CAGTTGCGCCTTGTACAGCCCGCGCAGCTGCTGCTTGTCGTAGGCCTGGACGGTGGTGGTCACGGCCTTCGGCTCTTCGGTGCTGCCCATCGGCGCTGGCTCGACGTATTTGAGGACCGTGCGGTCTGTACAGACATCGTTAGTCGTCGTGTCGCATGCGCTCGCAGGGAGTTGTCCTACCCTTCTTGCTATCAATCTTCATGCCCACGTAGAAGTAGACGCCCACAATGATCAAATTGCTGAGGATGTAGAGCCCGCGGATGCCGTTGAGCACGTTCGGGTCGTCAAAGGGCACCTTCTTGCTGACCTGCATCATCACCAAGATGATGACGAGGTTGGTACTGCGATCCGTCAGTTGTTGGCCTGCGAACAGCGCTCATGTGCGCGGGTGGTCGTCGTACGCACATTTGGGGATTCATGATTGCGGTTGTTGCTCGATACTGGCTCGATTGGCCTGCTGTATATGTGAACGTGTGCTCGCAAGTTGGCCAAGTGGTGGTGCGGTATATAGGTGGAAGGACAGATGGTATCTTTTGAAGGAGAGGCTCGAGCAAAATTGCCCCGACGCCGCTCCGCTCCGCCAAGACACCGATATCTACGGTTCTAGACCTCCATCAACCTGACCAACTACACTTCAGTGACTTCACACAATGCCAATAGCACAGTAGCCAACCACCGCCAGGATGAGTACACCTCACACCCACATCCTCCCCAACACCCACCTCTTCCTCCGCCTTCCCTCTGACCTCCTCAAACTGATCGAGATCAAACCTAATACGTAGGTCACCGACCACCTACGATGCCATCCTGCTGTTCCATGCTGAGAATGGCGCAGGATCATCGACGTGGGCAAACTCGGCTCTTTTCCCTCTAATCTCCTACTCGGTCGTCCTTACTACTTCACTTTCGAAATACTTGACAAGGTCAACAATGAAGCATATTCACGATTGAGGGTAGTAACCCCCAGCGAGCTGAACGCGGAGGTGGTGACGGAGGATGCTACGCCCTCGGAAAGTCGAGGAGATCCTGGGACGCCGGTGGGGGAGGCATATGACCTGGTCGGCGAAGATGGCACGGTGATTATGAAGAACAACCGCCTCACAATCGACGACGCGAGTCGGCAGGCGCTGTCGCAGCAGGAGATTGAGGAGCTGAAGAAATCAGCAGGCGGGAAAGAGATTATTCAGAAGATTCTGGCTGGACATGCTGCGCTTGACGAGAAGACTGTGTTCGCGAAAGCAAAGTACACACTGCGGAAGACGAAGAAGTATCTGAAGCGATTTACTGTGCTGCCGATGGATTTGGGGAATCTGATTGACTATGTTATAGTCAAGGAGGCGCCGCGGATTATGGAGTTGAGGGAGGAGGGTTTGGGGTTGATGATGGCTTGGGGTCATGCGCATTATAGTGGGACTGATGGGATGGAGGAGAAGACCGCTGAGCAGGCTGTTGGTGGGGGCAGATGGCTAGTGGTTGATGATACTGGTGGATTGGTGGTTGCTGCGCTTGCTGAGAGGATGGATCTTCTGTTCAAGCATGAGAGACAGCAGGATAACGCGGCGCAGGGCAATGGAGTTACTGCGACGTTGAATGGCGCCAATGGAATTTCACATCACCAAGGAGACGAACCAGACGCAGAAAAGCGTGAGCAGCGTACCGACGACAACCAAGAAGTCTCGGACACACCAGTCAAACCCACTTCACACCTCGACTTCCCAATACCTGCACGAACAAATACCGTCACACTGCTGCATCCCGCTGTACAGCCAAACGTCTCACTCCTCAAGTACTTCGGCTACGACACCAACCAACCCGATCCACTAAATCCACTACATACGCACCTCAAACCTCTCTCCTGGCTCCAACTGCTCCATCCCGAAGACGACGTGACCTATCGCGAACCAGAGCGAGAACCCGACAACGTCCTCCGCAACTGGAAGAGCGGCAAGCGCGGCACCTACTGGAAGAAGCGGCGAAGGTGGGAGAGATGCAAAGCTATCGTCGACGAAACGAGACAAGGCGGCTTCGACGGCCTCGTCATTGCCTCAAACATGGATCCCGCGTCCGTTCTACCTCACACCGTCCCACTCGTCCGCGGCGGCGGTCACATCGTCATCTACTGCCCGGCTCCAGAACCGCTGGTCAACGTCATGGACCTCTACTCCAAGGAGAGGAGGACGGCGTATATCACACATCTTTCCAAAGGCGAGACCCCGGATCCTGTGGATTTCCCTGTCGATCCTAGGCTGTTGCTTGCGCCGACTATGCAGACGAGCAGGGTGAGGGAGTGGCAGGTTTTGCCTGGACGAACGCATCCGATGATGACGAGTAGGGGCGGTCCAGAGGGGTACATTTTCACTGCGAGGAGAGTTGTGCCGTTGGAGGGTGGGGTGCAGGCGAAGGGGAATTTTGGGGGGAGGAAGAGGAAGGCGGCGGAGGCTGCGGGCATGGAAGGCGATCAGGTGGCTGTTGTAGCTGGTGCAGAGGAAGGCTGAATGGTGTCGTGCAGCGGTCGTTGACGATCCCGGAGGCGTAAAGCAGTTAAATCGATCCAACAGTGAGTACGGCGCCAGCAACCTAGCGGCCTTTGACTCGAAGATGCCGCTCCGCTTCGACTTCGGCGACACTCTGTCGGCTTCAGACCTTAGGACATTTGATTCACCACCATGGCCTGTCTCGACGGTCTAGCTCACGAATTGTCTTGCGATCGAGAGAGCAAAGACATTGTCGCATTATCCTTACCACTCTTTGTGGCCACGTCTCGGCCTGGTCAGACATCACTACCACGAGCACGCTGGAAAAGTTGTCGAGGTGTTCTGGTCGGACTAAGACCGATCATTCGAGCCTCTTACATTGTCTCGAGCGGGCATTGTCTTGCTCACGACGCTTCGATTAGAGCAGTGCAACTAGGTTGGTATATATGCTCCCGTCGCCTTCTGAAGGTAGGAGTATCACACAAACACTTCACTTCTTCAATCTTCTGCATTGTCAAGACTCTGCTGCTGGTCAGCTTTCTCTCATCAATTCTTCTTCCATCTTATTCTACCTAGCCCGCCCATATCCCTCTTCAGCATCAATCGCCTTCGCCTCAACCCCAACCGCAACCATCTCCAACACCCCAACCAACATGTCTCTCAACGAATGCAACAACAAATCCTCTCTCGGCGCCACCATCCCACCACCCACTCCCGTCGCCTCATCGATCCAAACGCCGCCATCAACACCTACATCCTCCGCCTCCCAACAAGCAGGCGCCGACTACCACTTCCACCACGGCGAAGGCGCCCACCGCTTTTCCAAATCCAAAATCCACACCAAGCGCTGCAGCGAGCATCCACCTCCGGAACCACGCAAGCACCAGGCCAAGCGCAACCCAGCCTTCAAACTCAAGAAAGGCGAGAAGCAGCGCCGTGAAGCCGTCGAGCCCGAAGCCACGCCCGGCCAGTCCACGAAGAGGACGCTGAGCAAGTCCCAGCTATTCCAGATCTACGCCGCTTTCCTGCTTCCGAACGGCCAGTGCAAGCCCAGGGAGGGCCGGGGCAAGAACAGGATGAAGCGTAGCCCCTTCTCCGGTCTCAAGAGTCGGAGGACTGCGAACCAGGTTCGTGTTCATGCTTGCGCGACCGCCGGCACTGCAGTTGCTAACCCCACCTCCACCAGCAACGGGAATAGGTCTAACAGGCCATGGGGCACCCGTGGGCATGTGACGGCGCCACGGACCTACAGGAGGCATGTGTGGTCGTACCATCTGCCGTTCATCGTGTACCATCGGTGTCCGGCGTTGAATAGGAGGAGGGAGGCGCCGTATTACTGCGTGAACTGTGGGCTGAGGGTTTGTAGGTTGTGTATGGGGTGGAGAGAGGGGCAGGCTTGTCTTTGGGTGAACATTGGGGGGATTGGGTTTACGGTTATGGGCCGTGGGGTTGAGTGGGCGGTTGTACGGACTATCAGTGGGCGAGGCATTGGTGCTTTCGTTTGTATTCTGCGACGCTTGTGTGGGCGAGATCTGAATATCATCATCAAAGGTGCGCTGCTTGATGCAGTCTTTAACCCTCATTCACTGAGCCTTCTTCCCATCCTTCTCCTTCACCCTCCCGTCCGCGCCCCGTATTAACTTCCAGCACACCCAAGAGAACCCAACCGCAACAGCCAACAAAGTTCCCATCGGCACCCACTCAGCCTTTTCGACATCCAGCACCGGCACCTTAATCTCCTCTACAGTCCTCTCCACACCGCCCGCAGGCGAGATGTGGTAGAACATCGTCTTCGGCCCGAACAACCCATCATACCCTAAATTCACCCTGTCAAAAGGATTCGTAGCCATCTTCAGCCCTTCTTCAGCTTCGCATGCCCAGAACAGGATCGGCCATGGGACTTTCAACGCTGTATGGCTGGTGCTGTCTGTGCCATTCGAGTCCGCGGCAAGGTAGCGGAGGTGAGTGGGTATGGTGACTGTCCACTCTGATGCATCGTCGACTGCAGCATCTGACTGCATTGCCGGCGGAGCAGCGAGTTCAAGGAGTGCTGCGGAGCCCCAGCGCTTGATCACCCAGTCTGGAGCTTCGAGGTCTTGTTCTCCGCTTAGACTGTGGAGTTTCAGCAGGTTGTTCGATGCGAGGAATAGTGGGTCGGAGAGTTGGTAGCGGTCGATGAACAGACCGGAGGGGAGGGTCCAGTAGGCGTGTAGTCCGCATTGTTCTTTGGGAGGAATCAAGTTTTGTTGGGGAATATTGATCTTCAGGTCAGGATGTAAGCCTATCGGCTGTTCGAAAGTTGCCTTGAAAGTGACTTGTTCAGATGGCGGTAGAGGGTGATGACGTGCTGGAAAGGAGAACAGTGTCATGCCTGGTATCTGTTAGTGATGTACCTGCAGCAAGTAAAAGCAATCGACATACCAGGATGATTGTTGTCTCCGATCACGGTGAGGAAGCCGCCTAACGAAAGCTTCTCTGGTTCTGTGGCTTCTTCTGGATGTAGCACGCCCACTTCCACTCTGTCATTCGTCCGTGTCTTTCGGATAGGCCGGGAGACTCGTTGGGCAAGTAAAGGGGACTTAGATGCGTCGAGAGAAGACCATAGTGCTGTGAGTGTGACTGCATGGCTGATGACATCGAAATCGACATCAATGTAATCTGCTTGGCCTAGCTCGTCCAGAACTCGATCACATTCAGCTAGGCCGGGTCCTTCGCCTGCACAAGCCTTGGTCAGGAAGACTTCACCAAGCTGTCTTCGCAGAGGCCAATAGTGGTAGTACTGATAGCTCGACGAAGCAGCGAAGCGTTCCGATAGCACAGACGGCCTAGTCCAGGATTCGGTTACGGAATGACACCTCGAAGGTGGTCCATCCAGCAGCTGATTGATGAGATCACACACCCGAGCACTGCCACATAGTCAGCGATGCTTATGTTCGTCGACTAGGTTTACCGAACGTACTGTTGATCGGCTGCTCGAGGTGTATAGAACGCATGCAGGCCGGACGGTACTCCCGCTACCAGAGGCGACCGGAGACTGCGATTTTCAGGGGAAGTCCATCGCAAGTGAAGTTCATGGCAATCGGCCAAAATGACTTGTATCTAGGGACGTCAGCATACAATTGCGGTGGATCTATCGATGGCTTACTTCTTCTGGCAATTCATCCAAACCCAATGTCAAGCGCCATTCCTCTGCCGCCTTACTTGCATCCGCGAAGCTCAGGGAGTCGTCTTGAACTAGAATGTCCGAAGCATTTACGCGATGGCCTTCCGGGAGGAGATATGTGATGCGTTGCTTCATATCGAATTGACGATCACAAACAAGGGCCAAACCGGTCCGAAAGTCAACGTTGGCTCAGGAACTTGCAATGACAGGAGGTGGCGATATAGAAGCCCATATTAATTCGACCCGCCCAGATGCCAGGGTTGTGAAGTGAGTGTAGCGAAAGGAGAAACCTCTTAAGTCCCGAGCTTCACCCGAGCATTCGCCGGCCAGTATAGCAGACACACATTACGAGACGTCTCAACCATTGGATGAGGGGTATGTGAATGGAGGGAGGATCTGTTGTGATATAACATAGAGTGCTCTTATGATTCGCAAGATACCATTGCCGCATTCTTTCCAATCAAATTTCCAGACTACCACTACGTCGCCTGCCTCTCGCCCCACCCCACCCACCTCCTAACGACCTCATCCACCCCCTTCACTCCAGCCTGTGAAGCCTCTACTTCAAACCACTCTCTATGCTCCTTACCACACGCAGTGCACTGCCGCTTCACCTGCCTCTCAGCCAGCTCAAGATGGATCAGCCTCTCCACCCGCTTCACACAAGGAACTTTCCGCACCGCCTCACCACTGCTTTGTCGGCGGCTAGGCGGTGGGCGGGAGAGATCAGGATAAAGCGGTCGACGCTCTTGCTGTGGAGACAGCTGAGGCGACGATGAGACGTACGGGTACCAGCGGACGAGGTTCAGAGCGTACCCGCATTGGCGTTGCCATTCGTTCATGCGGCGGGTGATGTTGCTCGCGCGGCCGATCTTGAGCATGATTGTGCGCTTGTTCTGTCGACCGTCGCTGCCAATGACCTTGCTCGAGAGAGAATCGGGCTCGTCGCCGTCGAAGGAGTATTCGGTCATAACATCGCTGATCCTTCGCTGGTTACCAGGTCGTCGAGAAAGTTCTGGTGGTGAAAGCAATGAGCGAGCTGTGGATTCCGTCGGGGCACCTTTCGACTGCGGTGTTAACCAGAAGATGTAGATGTAGCCCTCTTCGTCGTTTGCACCAATGGGCTTCGTAAGCTCGGCGAGTAATGCGGACGTTGTCTGTGGCGAAAGGGAGGTAGGTATCAAAGAAAGCAGATTGCTTGTCCGTGAATTAGCTTGAGTGCCCGGACTGACCGTTGAAGAGGGTCTCCCATGTGCGTTTGGCTGGCGCGCCGAAACCGCTGCAGATGCAGGAGCTGGCCTCACAGGCCGCTGGCCGTACGCACAAGAGGGTCCTGTCGGCTGTGTCATTTGCGGTTGCTCCACCCTAGTCTTATGCCGCACGATCTCAACGTAATCATCGTCGGCGTTCGTCATGCAGCAAAGACTGGCCCAGAACCCAGGCTTTCTCCGCTGTGGGCGAGGCTGATTCACTCTTCCGAGATTGTACTTCTCAGCGTACGGCGCCTGGCTCATTGGCCTCTGCTCCGCAGCAAAATCGGTTGTATGAGTTTTCCTTGGAGGTTTTGGGTTTCTCGTGTGCTTCCAACTGCTCTTTGCTCCCTCATCTGCTGCATCAATGCCCAGTCTTTGCACCATAGTATCGATGCTGCTCTTTTCCTTCAGGGAATACAGCTCCGTAGTCCGTCTTTTGGAGTTCCTTGCAGCTCCGGCTGCACCCTCTGGGGGAACGTTCTGACCTGCCTGCGTAGCCTGGTCCTTGTGCTGCCAGCAATAAAAGTCCGCCTCTTGAATCTCACCATCTTCCTCCACAGTCGCCACAACACCACCGAGAGCCGCGCTGGTCGAGCTCCGTCGGCCCCTCAACGAAGTCTTCGAAGCTGCCAGCGCACGTCTACATGGCCGCCCAGCAGACGTGATCCCTTTGCATGTTGTTGCCGGGTTCTTCGAGTCGTTGCGGCCGAGGAGCGCTTCCGGGGTGTGCGCGAAGTGAGGCATCTTATCTCATTGAAGACATTTTGAAAGGATGAATCGTATGAAGAGAAGTAATACTTACGCTTGGAGTGTGGACTACGATGGCCCTGCCGCCTGCACCGCAGCATTGTTGAATGGCTGGGTGGAAGTGTGACGTGGAGTCGCAGGCGCGAACGTGGCTGGCGATTCGCGACTGCACGTGACCCTTTGAATCAACAACTTGAACCTCGGGCATTGCTGCCATCCCATCCTCTTGCAGTTGTCTTCTTCATTGAAGTCTCAATACATTCATCCCGACAGTAAGTTGAATACCTACGATAATCTTGAGTCCAGCTCCTCAAGCAGCTGGTATATCTCCTGTCAACCCACCATTTCGGGAGACACTTTCTGCCTCTCCTCTTCTCTCGGACCCGCCTTGCAACATTCACACAATCCACTCTTCTTCAAGGTGACAACCAGAGAAATACGAGAACACTAGACCGCATTAGACATGGCAGATCAACTTCAGAACCAGCCGCCGCAGACTTCCTTCCTCAAGCTGTCATATCCTGCCCCACGGGTCGTCATGCTCACAATGAACCGCGAGAAAGACCTCAACTGCACCAGCTCAGCAGCAGTCCTAGAAATGACTGCAGTCTTTCGCTGGTTCGATGCCGAGCCCAGCCTGACGGTGGCAATCTTGACTGGCGCTGGCAAGCGTGCTTTTTCCACTGGTGCTGACCTCAAAGAGTGGAACGCAAAGGTCGCGAAAGCAGCTACTGAAGGCCGTGACACAGGCGGTGCTGGACCGGGCAACGTGCCAGGCGCCGAAGGTCTCAGTAACCGTAGAGGGAAGAAGCCGTTCATCGCCGCAGTCAACGGGATGGCGCTAGGCGGCGGATGCGAGAATGTGGTCAACTGCGATATCGTGCTTGCTAGCAGGACGGCTACGTTTGGGCTGGTAGAAGTCAAGCGCGGTCTTGCACCTTACAGTGGCGTACTCCCGCGACTCATCAGAACGGTCGGGCTACAGCGGGCTTCGGAGTTTGCTTTGACTGGGAAGATCATTGATGCCGAAATGGCCGAGAAATGGGGTCTGGTCAACAAGGTGGTCGAGCCGGATCAGTTGATTGCGGAGGCCGTTGAGTGGGCGAAGCAGATTGCTGAAATCAGTCCCGATAGTATCATCTGCACGAGAGCGATGCTGCGGGAGGGCTGGACGACAGCGGATGTGGTGGAGGCGACGAACATTAGCAACGGGCGAGAGTGGGCTGAACTGCAGAAGGGAGAGAATATGAAGGAGGGCTTGAAAGCGTTCAATGAGAAGCGGTCGCCTCGGTGGGGAGGTCCACGCCTTTGATTGGGAAGGTAGTTCTGTCGAACAACAGTGCTGTATAGCAAATTTCAGGCCCAACAACACCCCAACATGTCCGACACGGGTGGCTCGAGATGACTTGCACTAGTCAAAGCCAGTTGCATCATCAGTTTTGATTTCGTCTGATTTTGCATCGCCCTCAACGACAACACGGCTGCAACAGCTGCTGTCCATCAGCTTCGCGATATTCAAACAAACCACTGAAGGGATGTAACACATCGTGCAAAATTAACAATCGGACTGCTTCGCTTCTTGAGGTGGAGAGCGTCCCGAGGACGACGATCGAAAACGAAAAGGTACACGAGCCAGGAGCCTCTTCAAAATGCCTCCCTACGAACGCTATACCTTCAACTCGGAACAGCTGGACCAATACTTCGACCGCATCGCCTTTCCAACAACCCAACGCGACAAAGATGTTTCAGCACTCGATGCCGAAAGCCAGCTCTCCTACCTGGCGAAGCTCCAGAAACACCAAATCACACGGGTACCGTTCGAGAACTTGACCCAACACTATTCCTGGCATCGTGTGATCAACCTCCATCCTCTCCATCTCCACCGTAAAATCATGACCCAACCCGGACGTGGAGGCTACTGCATGGAAGCCAACTCGACGTTTCACAATTTCCTGCGATCGATTGGGTTCCACTGCTACCTCGTCGCTGGTCGAGTCCATGTACCTACAGAGGAGAGGTGGACGGGTTGGTCTCATCTTGTTAATATCGTCGTCATAGGCGGGACGAAGTACCTCGTCGACGTTGGATTTGGGCCCAATGAGCCGACTATTCCTATACCACTCAGCCATGGCGAGGTACGACCGCAGGAGCCTCCGGCGGAGTCGAGAGTCATGTTCGAGACGCTGGAGGAGAATACTAGTGGATGCAAGTTATGGCTTATGCGGCACAGGGCGAGGCCGGAAGAGGAGTGGAAGACGATGTATTGTTTCTCTGATGTAGAAATCTTGCCTGGGGATCTGGAGGGATTGAACTTTGCGCCATGGGCCAGCAGGACGTCCCACTTTACGCAGAAGATTATATGTGTGCGGTTTACGACCGCGAAGGAGAGTATGGAGGATATCGATGGGCTGCCGAGCTCTGAGACGGTGGAGGGCGGTGATGTCGATGGCCAGCTGGTGATTAATCAGGACAAGCTGAGCTGGCGGCGGAGAGGAGACAGTGTACTTGAAGTTGAGTTGAAGTCGGAAGACGATCGACTGGAAGCGCTGAAGAAGTATTGGGGTATTGTGTTAGATGTGGAAGATCAGATGGCGATTGTTGGGACTGTATCCGCTCTTGGACAGTAGCCTTCTATAGAATTACAGATAAGGAAACAGGATTCGGCCTTCTAAGCTTTACCCTTCTTCGCCCATGCACTATCGGTCTCCAACCATGACCGGAAATCCTGCATGAATGGGTACCGTTTTCTGGTCGCCTCCACATCCGTCTTGAACCCAGCGGTGGTCCACCACTTCATCATGATTCCCAGCTGCTCGTTGAGCATCCACCGAAGCACAGTAGCCAGCCAAGAGTAAGTCGCTGGAATCTCCTCGCCCGTGACTTCTTTGAAGATCGTGGCCATCTGTCTAGGTGAAAGCTCGTCGCCTGCCAGATGGACGGCCTTGTTCTTGTACTCGGGCGATGATGCGTTGACGAAAGCATCCGCTGCGACTTTACCGATGTCTTTGGTACTGACATGCTGGACTTTGTTGTCGAGTCCATTCAGACGCCACATGCTGACGAAGCCCTTCCCAATGAAACCAGGGATCAGATTCTCGTAAAAGGCCACCGGTCGCAGGAACGTCCATGTCGCGCCCTGCGAGCTTGCTTTGGCTTTCTGCTCGATATCCTTTTCGATGTTGAACTTGCTGGCGAAATGCGGTATGGGCGTCGGGTCGGTGTCACTCTGTGCACCACGGTCTGTGGCGGTGAAGATGATATGCTGGATACCTGCGTCCAGAGCGGCTTTCGTCATGGCCTTGCCCTGGACCTCTTCTTTTTTGGCACCTGCTCACGATCATCAGCACCGCGTTAGAAGAAGTAAGATTGGATAATAGGCTCACCTCCCAACGGCATCGTGACAGAGAACAATCCCCATGGCTTCTCTACCTGCTTGAAGATCTGCTCGGCGTTTTCGAAATCACCCTGGATGAGTTTGACCCCTTTACTGGCGAGTGCTTTGGAGCCTCCTGATGTTGTGTTGCGAGTGACAGCGTAGATCTCGAAGGGCTGTGGCGAGAGGTCGAGGAGAGCGTTTATGAGGCCGCCGCCCTGTTTGCCGGTGGCGCCAGTGACTACGAGTCGTCTGAGGCCGCTCATGTTGATTTGTTGATTTCCTGAGTCAATGAAGGAAGTCGTCGGGTATTTCTACCGATGGAATGTGAAGATGAGATGAACAGGTGTGCAAGAATAGTTCGGTTGTTTGAGATTTCAAGTGATCGGAAGGAGATTGCAGCCAACTTATACCCTTGTATAGACACCACAACAGATATCGATGATGCTCAGGCGGAGTGTTTGCGGTTCCGCCCTTACTGTCGTGAAGCGGTGCAATACACAGTGCAGTGAGAAGAAGATGAGGCTCGGCGACATTGAAGCATCGCGCCTTGGGGTGTGTTTCTGTCAATCTCGGAGCGCAGTTCACCCAGCCTGAAGCCCGGACCTGTTTTGATTGGTCGAGTGACAGATCGGACGAACAACTCGCCGCTTCTTCCTTTCAAGCCTTCCTTCTTCAACTCCTGAGTGCAACCTCCAAAATTCTCGCAGGAACGACGTATCGACACCTGGTATGGAAAGGCCGCCTGTCGCCACGAAGTTCTCTCGGGTGAGGAGTGCGTTGACAGAGCGGAACATCGATCGAATGCTCTACGGTGCCGGACAATCTGGTATCGATGACCTCAATCACACGGCACCAGCACCGAAAATTGACTGCCTCTACCAATGATGAAGGCGATAGCTGTCCACCAACATCAGGCGAGAACACACGTGCTTCATTGAGGAAAGTTGTATGGCACTCGACCACGCGGTTCTCAAGACGCAAAACCTTAAAAGGTTCCAAAAAGTCAAGTTGTTTTTCATTGTCACCAAATTTCTTACTTTGTCCGCAACATCTATCCTGCCTCTTGTCTACCAACTCTTTTCCCGCAAAGCAGTCATTCCACACAAAACTCCAAGTTCAACCCATCATGTCAAACATCATCAAAAAGATCGAGCGGAAGCTCGGTGACCACCCGAACGTCAGCGATGATCCGAACGTGAATCCGAGCTCTGGCACCGGACAAGGGGCGAATGATGGCAACAGTGAGAATCAAAGTCACCGACTTTTCTCGGGAGCACTGCTAAATGAACCTAGCAGATCCGAACAAGTCATGGGTACAAAACAAGATCGAGGCCGGCCAAGGGTCAGGATCGCCGAACGATAGGACTGCGAGAGCTGGAAGCACGACCATCGCGGACATTGTTTCTGCCGCAGACTCGGGCGGCGTGGCTGGAGATGGGAAGGGGAGACAGTCGTAGTTTCTGTCGTTGATGAGACCATGTCAGCGATGTCGTTGTACTTACGTCGGTGTCAGATTGACGGCAACAACGGCAACCTTCGACCTCCTTGCTGAACCCAACATCAAGAATGGCGCCTTAATGGCCGACCCGCCGTGTCCCCGGATGAGACAAGGTTGGCTATGCATCCCGCCACCTAAGGTTTTGCGTGGCTGCTTCGTCTCAGGCAGCAGACAGTCGAGAGGAACTGTTACTGGGGCCTCTCGTATAGCTGGCAAGGAGATTGGGGGATTTACACTTAGGGGGCCGGTACGCTGAGCTCGTGAGCATGCATTCCCGACAGCAGTTCCAGTTCGAATTACATACACAGACTGTTCGACATCTAAGAAATGGGGATAAATCACCACGATCATACTTTGTTTCTGGCATGCCGCAGTTGATTGGTTTACGAAAGACCACGCTAGCTGACGTTCAATCCTGGCGGTGCTGCCTCCTGCCTTTGCTGTTGTACAAAAGTACATGTGGTGCAATGTTCACCTTAGTGGGGTTGGCCTCCAAGCCGAAGAGCGCACCCCGAGGTCGAAACGCTCTCATCTCACGGTGCCCATCAGACCTGTCGTCAGCAACTACCCCCATTTTCCTCTCGCGTTCCCCATAATGGCCTCAGGAAAATATGCTCTCATCACAGGTGTCGCGAGCGGTGGCATGGGAGAAGGGCACATGAAAGCACTGCTCAGCCGTGGCATCAGCGTTATCGCAACCTCGATTGACCTCAAATTGCTTGAATATCTAGACGCCACATCTCACGGCGACGACGCGGAAGTCTTCAAGCTCGAGCTTGATGTTACGTCAAAAGAGTCGATTGCGGCTACCGTTGAGCGGGTGAAGGAGATCACTGGTGGGAAGTTGGATTTTCTCCTGAGTATGCCACGATGAATATGGAACTTCGGTATGGTCATTAGGACTAATGTCGTTGCAGACAATGCAGGGTACGGCTACTATATGCCGTTGTTGGACGTGGATTTGGAGAAGGCGAGGAAGCAGTACGAAGTCAATGTCTGGGGCGTGCTGGCTCTGACGCAAGCCTTTTTTCCACTGCTCCGGGTTGCCAAAGGTCTGCGGAAGCTTATGAGACATTATGTAGAGTGTGCTAACATGGGGCGCAGGAACTATCATCAACCAATCCAGCATGGCTGGTGTTCAAGGCTTCAATCGACCTTACAGTAAGTCTCGTCCCACAGGAGTTCAACAACCGGTCACTGGAATTATTCATGACTGACGTTGATACCATCTGCAGTGGGAATATACTCCAGTTCCAAGGCCGCAGTGTACAGCCTGAGCGACTATATGCGAGTAGAGCTGGCTCCTTTCGACATCAAGGTACGTTCCATACCTTTTCCGACTACTCTCAAACCCATCTCACTTACCGTTCCATCAGGTCCTCACTCTAGTGACTGGCGCAGTCAAGACTGAATTCTACACAAACATCAAGGAAGGCGGCAAACCCATCACTCTCCCTCCAGACTCACCCTACAACCCCATACGCAAGCACATCGAAACCATGATGAATGGGTCGTTAGCTGGGATGAAAGGCCATGATCGACTTCAAGTCACTCGGAGCACAATCGCCACTGCGCTTCGGTACTCGTGGCTCAGTACTCGGTACGTTCGCAGGGGTTTTGGAGCGCTGAAGATTTGGTTGATGCAGCTGTTGTTGCCGGTGTGGTTGGTAGATCGATGGGCACGGCAGGCGGGCTCCTTGGACAAGTTGAAGCAGATGTTGGCGAGCGGGTAGGGCAAGGCTTTGTTGTGCCGGACTGTTTATGCTTATCGGCTGTGCTTTTCAGAGGCGTTCATACAGGATGGCCTCACCAGAAAGGGTCCAACCTGTCCTCGAGCAGTATGTGGAAGTGACTATGGCGCAATTATCTGCAGAACTTGTCTCATCCCGTAGTTGAGATAGCGATTCCGACACGTCTGAACTCGGTGACTACCCTCGACGGCCTGAGAGCGTGGCCGCTGATCATATAGTCGCATACACGCGTCGAGCATCTCTCGTTCACAGCCGAGTTAGCTTTCGTACCTATCCGGCACATCGGTTCTCGGCGTCTCACTCTTGCCCGAGTAACAATCCTGTTTGATGCATCGGTTGTCGGCGTCCAGACAGCGCCACAAGGTAGCATGAACTGGTCATTCGGCAATTACTAGACTGAAAGTGTGCTCCGTTTGCTTACCAGCCGTGCGCTCTATACCGCAACGGACCTCGGACGATCCTTCATCGTCTCGTCGCCGACAGACCGTGATATCGACTTGGCTAGATCCTCCAATCTCCACGACTTCTCCGCGTAGCTGCAATCCTGCCCCGCGTACAGAGCCCGAAACCAAGACGCATTCCGTCAAGAATTGGGGCAATGGCGTGCTAGTCGCGGGCACTCCACATCGCATACCTGGGGAGGCAGGCACACGGGCACGGCAGGGTGTAAACGTGCAGCTAGCGATTCATTCGAGGTCTTGGGAGCTTGTCTTTCATCTCAAAACCCTCCAACCTTCCTCTCCATCTGTCAGACGTTGAACTTTTCTGGAAGGTGTTTGGTAGACCAGCGGCCGACGAGCACTTACAGCAAACATGGCACGGGCCAAGCTGGGAGGTACTCGAATGGGTGCCATCAGGGCGTACCTCTTTGGTTACTTCCTGTGTCTTCCTGGATTCTTGTTCGGATATGACACTGGCATCGTCGGTGAGTTATACATTACGCCTTATGTTAGATCTTGAAGTTCAGACTGATCCGTCATACAGGTGGTGTCTTGACCATGGAGTCGTACCAGAGAGACTTCGGCTACAGCGACAACACAACAGTATCCGCGGTCATGGTGTCCATGCAGAATGTTGGAGCCTTCCTGGCCGCCATCAGCATCTTCACTGTCTCTAAAAAGTTCGGACGGCGCAAGACGCTTCAGGCTGCGTGCACCATCTTCTGCATTGGTGTCACCCTTCAAGTGGTACCGTCTGGCTCGCTCGCTTGCTTCTACGTCGGGCGTTTTGTCGCAGGCTTGGGACTGGGCTCTGCAACGGCAGTAGCTCCTGGATACAATGCCGGTGAGTGCGGCGTTGACCTTCCACATGCAATACCGCGTGGCTGACGGTCGACACAGAGATGGCACCAAAGGAAATTCGCGCAAGACTCGGTGGCGGCGTGCAATGGCTGTTTGCCTTGGGAGTGATGATCAGCTACTGGGTGTGTCCTCGACGATGATCCGAGACATTCAAATGCATGACACTGACAGGCACGCAGCTTGACTACGCTGTCGTCCAGACACTTCCATCCAGCTCCAAGCAATGGCAGATACCCGTCGGTCTCCAGATGGTCCCTCCGGCGGTAATTGCCATTGGTCTCATCTTCTGCCACGAGTCTTGCAGATGGCTGGTGAAAGAGGACCGTATCGAGGAGGCCTGGGAGAGCCTGAAGTGGATTCGCGCTGATGATGGTCGGTAACCTTTTCCTAGCTGAAACACTCCCACTGACAGTACAATGCAGGTCCGGAGGTCAGAGCAGAGTTTGAGGAGATCAAGACCGGTCTGGCCGAAGAGTTCCGTGCAAAGGCTGGCTTCAAGAAGAGCGAGCTCCTCGAGCCTGCGAACCGCTACCGCCTCCTCCTCGGTTTTGGCATCTTCGTCGGGCAGCAGTGTACTGGAATGACTGCACTTGCATACTTCGCTCCCCAGATTTTTGCCGTGCTCGTTGGAGACGACCAAACGCAGAATCTCTTGATCACTGGATTGTTTGGAGCACAGAAGTTTATCACTTGCGGTGCATACATCCTCCTAGTCAGCGAGAGATTTAACCGCCGCCCTACATTCTGGATCTCGGCGATCCTCATGGCGGTTTGCTTCATCATCGTCGTCATCGTCAATAAGACAGCTTTCGGCGATGGCACCGGACCGAATGCTCGCCCCGCTGGTATCGGCACGGTGGCCATGATCTTCTTGACCAACTCGATTTACCAGTTTTCATGGGGACCTCTCCCGTGGCCCTACACAGCTGAGGTAAGGCAACACTATATGCATCAGACGTGCAACGGCTCACAGCTTCCCAGATCTTCCCCTCGCGCATCCGCGAGTTCGGTGGTGGGTTGTCGGTCAGCACTCAGTGGCTGTTCAACTTCCTCTTCTCCCTCGTCACACCGTAAGTCCAGTCAAAATCCTCCGTTAAGAGCTCTCGCTAACACTGCAATAATGCAGATACATGGTCAACTCCATGGGCTCCTATGTCTTCCTCTTCTACGCCATCTTGGACGTCATCATGTCGGCCCTCGCTTTCATGTTCGTCAAGGAAACCAAAGGACGATCGATCGAGGAGATGGAGACGATCTTCCACAGCAAGGCTGCTTTCGATGTGGATCTGGCTAGGAAGAGAGGCGCTACTGAGAATGAGGCCGAAATCATCGAGCATGTCGACCATGGCGATGGGACCGACAAGGCGAAGGACACTAAGATTGAGCTTTAGAGTGGTGTGTGGCGGATGTCGGGTGGATATGACTGAGAAAGCGATCGGAATGTAGGCCAGGAATACCTTACTTCTGCTACAGGATTCTAGTCCTTGTTAAAGTCAATTACAACCCGACCAGCAATCTCTCCACGTCGCAGTGCCTCCACACTTTCCGCCCACTGGGACTTCCCTCTTACTTCGTGTATAGGTTTCAGAAGCCCTCGTCTTGCATACTCGAGACAAGCTGCTGTATCCTGCATGGTTCCTACTAGAGACCCGATGACGTGCATATTTTTGAAGACAAACGTGCTCGGTTCGGCTCCGAGTTGTACAGTCCCATGTGGTGGAAGCGCAATGGCCATGATCCGGGCTCCTCTGCGGCTGCCGACGAAATCCATAGCGTCTTTGGAGGAAGTGATTAGCCGACGGTCGATGTCAGGTTCGAGAGGACAGGAACGCACTCTTGTAGGCTTGATACGCCGTAACAACAACACCGTGCACACCAACGCCATCGGCTATTTCAATCACCTTCGCGGCAACGTCTTTCTCCCCACGGAAGTCGACAAACGCTTCTGCGCCCATCTCCATACTCAGCTTCTTCTTTGCCTCTCCACCATCGATGACAATCGGCCGCATACCCATCGCTCTGTCGGGCTATGAGTCTACACACACTTTCAAGCATGGTTTAAGCAACTTGCCTCGCCAGCTGCACACCCTGAATTCCGACTCCGCCGCCTCCGCCAGGGAACACAACCCAGTTGGACGGCTTGAGCTGCCCCTCAATAAGAGCGCGGTGCATGGTGCTGGCCGAGCACATGATCGGTCCCGCAACCTCATCGCTCACTCCATCCGGAATCCTCGAGGTGTATATCGCCGGCTTCGCCAAATACTGCTGGTACGTCCCCGGCGTATGAAGACCGGTCTGAAGTGCTTCTGCGCAGTAGTTTTCCCGCCCGTTCCAGCATTCTTCGCAGTTGTGACATACATCGTGGATCGGTTTGACGCCTGCGCGGTCGCCTACCTTCCAGCCTTTGACTTGTTTGCCGATTTTGACGACGACGCCGGCGCCTTCGTGGCCGGCGCAACGAACGCCGAACTGTGACATTGGAGGGACGGGCCAATCGTTTAGCCTGGGGTTGTCGTGAGGGACGGATCTGGTAATATAACAAACGCACGTCTTACATGTAGTGGACATCGCTCATGCAAAGGCCGGTGCAGTTGAGCCGGATGAGAACTTCATCATCCTCTTGGAATCAATTAGCTCCCTCTCCTGTCAATGTGACGGGCGGCAAGCCTACTGGGCTCTGGCACGTCGAGCTGTTGAACTTCGACTCTGAAGTCCGACCCCTCGTTGACGACTACCGCCGCTATGCCCTTCTTTGGGATTTCCTCTGACATCGTGAGATGAAATGGAGACAAGATGGCACACTTACAACGGTCGCAGAAGAGACGAGATGGAAGAACAACTTGAAGAGCCACGTAACAATAGACTTTGCCTGCGATCGTCTCCCGTGTGCGGAGCTCCAGAGCAAGAACAAGGTGGGGTACAGATCCTTCTGCCGAAGACAACACAGCCGCCAGGAGTGCAATATGTCAGTCAAGCGTAAGGTGCAGCTGTTGTCAAGGACGGATGCGAGAGAAACGCGTCAAGTTTGCGACTTGAGCGAAGGTGAGCAACATCGCAACGCGTCTGGAGACAGAGTTCACACTGTCGAGACACCTTCCTGTTTGGGCAACACTGTCTGAGTTTGAGACAATGATCGCAAGCAGGTCTGGCGAGCTGAGACTCATTGCCCGCGCCCTTCGAGCGTTCATCCATGTCTCTTCCTACACGCGGAGTCGAAAGGATGCAGCAAGCAACAAGCCAACCCAGTCCTGCAAAGGCGAAGGGTTGGGATAGGGCTGTTCACCGTCGGTCAGACCAAAAGACAACGATGGACCGAAGGTACTTGAAGAATGTCCAAATCGGCCCGCAGTGGCCGCGTACAAGTGGTCAGCACTGCACATGTCGTTCTGTTGATGAAGAGAACGTGCGTACCCCATGGTTGGCCAGCCTGTCAATCTCCGTCTGCTGTGCTCTGCTCACCTCGTTCAACCGTGGTTGCTTGTCGATGTCGATGGTTGCGTTCCCTTGTATCCTCTAGCTCTGCATCGCCACCGCCCCAAGCTTCCCAGATCCGCTGCGGAGGAAGGCTTGCTGGTGCTTTCCTCCAATGGACGCCTTCTAGTTGCACCGCTAGAAGGGCCGAAGAAGCCGACCTGCGCCTTGTTCTTGTGTGGTGCTGTGGTTGCATCGGTCGTCTGATCCATTCAAGGGCGGTGTTTTGCTAAGCCTTGATCTTTGTACCGCTGGTCGGCAAGCTCAAAACGTCTTTTCCTACCTCCTGCGCCGTTCTTTGCTTCCTTGAAAACAATACCTAACTTCCTTCTGTCATGATCGAACATCAGGCCTAAGAATAATCAACATGCCTAACAGGTTATCCAAGATACTCTCGCGGTCCTCCAAGGACAAGGAGGCTGAAGCCAACACTGAAGATGACAACTCTTCCTCCTCCTCTCCACCTCCCGAGTATGCTCAACCGCTGCCAGACTACGATGAGGAGAACATCCTCACACCACCAGACCTGACTACTGGCTTCTCGAACCTGAATTTGAGCTCTCAGAAGAACGATACACCACAAGTCGATCATTGCATTGCACACCTCAAATTGCTGGAATGCTTTTACCGTTTGCGCCAGAGAGTGGCCTCGAAAGACGGCCTTTTTTGCATCTACAACAACATCGTGCTAGACAAGGGACTGCCATCGGGTGATAAGGAAGCTCGGGCTCTGGCGAAACTGTCTGAAAAACGATGGGCCGTCTACGTCTCTCGAGCCGTCGGTCGATTCGAAGCGTGGATCAACTCTTTATTCCCAAATCCCCGGCCGCTGAAGTGTGCAGAGTTCATGGTGTACGGCAAGGCGGGAACATTGTGCGAACCCACACAGATGAGTCGTCGCTTGACGTTTAATAAGAGCAACATGCCTCCTATGGACGTTCTCATGGTGTGGCATGCGTATATGCTCAACCCAAGAGCGTACCTCGAGGACTGTCTGCGGAATGGGTGGATGACGTTGTGGCACACCGGCTTTCCCTGGCAGTCGGCTATAGACTGCATCGACTCCAATACATTTGCGTACGAAGCTGGCGATGAAGCCGCGACGAATTTTGCGAGATCCACCAACTGGAACCAGCTTCGCGACGCGGACGTCGCGCGATTCAGCTGTCCAGGCTGCCTTGGCGGAGTCCAGAGTCCTTGGACCACCGTTTCGGAAAAGGCTGCCAGATTGCTCTCCGGGTGCCATGACTGGGACAGTCTGTCGAAAGGAGTGGACAACGTACTGTCGTCTGGTCGCGGCTTCGCAGACAAAGACTTTTCCATGCGCTGTCCGTATTGTATGACGGATATCAATCATGAGAGGTTGAAGGCTGCCAAGTTCTGCAACGACGCCAGGAAGCTCATCAAGGATGATGTGATGATGCCAGGCACTCCTCTTGGTTATGAAGGGATTCCGCTGAAGTGGGGGAAGAAGTCCGATACTATGTTTGCTTACTTTGGCAAAATGGGTCCTTTCGCGAATCGATTCGTCAAGCTGGGCCTGGGGATGAGCATCATCAATGAGAATGCGAAGAGAAACTCAAAATGCTCGACCATGACTGGGATACGCGATCAGATTGAGAAGCAGATGACGGATCGGCGGTATATGAGCACCGTCAAGTGCAGCTTTGGGATGCCGAAACTGAGTAAAGCAGATCGAGTCAGCATCAGGAAGATGATGAGTAGATACTGGGAGAACAGCTCACCGTTCGCACTCGATCTTGTCGGGGCTGTCATTCGGCAGGGAAGCTTCATCGAGAAGATGCATAACATTGACTGGCTTCATTCGCCGGCTCTGCCCAACACTATGAAGCGGCTGTTGGTCAAATATCAGCGGTTCGTTTCGATCATGAAGGATCCAACGCATATGGCTGTGCCGACGCTGGATGTTGATCTCGCATGGCACACACATCAGCTGTCGCCGTATCCTTATATGGCGTATACTATTGCCAATACCGGGCAGTTCATCGATCACGACGACAAAGTGGCAGAGACCGCATTGAATGACGCCTTTGCCTGGACCAGCAAGACCTACCAGAGGCTCTACGGCGAGCCATACTCTGAGTGCACCTGCTGGTACTGCGAAGCGACCCGGGAATCGCACACGAATGTCGCCTCTCGGCTCTTCAACACTTGGAGCAACCAAGCCAACGACTCCCTCGTGCACCGCAGCTCCCAGGACCCGCGGAAAAGCGTCCACATCTCAGTGCATAATGCTGTTCGTCCGGATGATACCGAGTACGCTGTAGGTGCGAGACAGAAGGCCGCTGAATTGGAGAAGGCATACGAGAAGGCCTGTGAGAGGGCACGGAAGAGAGGTCGTCCGGAGCCCAAGAGGGATGACTATTACTGGAGTGATGCGTACGGACATGCAGTTTACATTCCTGCATATTCTCCGTACGTTGGGGGGTACATGTTCATGCCGGCGTACTATCCTGTGGCGCCGGCGTGTATGGCGATGGGGGTTGGAGCGGCAGGGAATTGCTGTAGTGGGACTTGTGGTGGAGGGGTTGCTGCTGGTGCTTGTGCGGGAGCTGGGGGAGGTTGTGGTGGGAATGGTGCTGCGGGGGGAGGATGTGCAGGAGGAGGTGGTGGTTGCGGGGGAGGGGGAGGAGGGGGTGGTGGGGGTGGGTGTGGTGGAGGAGGAGGAGGTTGTTGAGCAAGTCAGTGGATTCAGCTGCAGAGGACTGGTTTGTTGAACTGGGATACCCTTTGGAATGCGAAGCGGCTTTATTGAAGTACGAACTTCCCCAGTCCTCCCATCAGAAGCAACTCAAGCAGGATGAGCATCATGAATGCACCGTGTTGAGAGCGAGTGCTCGAACATTTAGCTCACAACCGCGGCTCAAAGTCATCGCAAGAACCTCGTCGACGAGGAAGATGATGTAAGGGCTACTTCCGACAAACATCCCACAACAGATGCTCCAGCCTTCGATCGAGTGGCCGCATGAGGTTTGAGGCTAGGCTCGCGCACTCATGACGCTGCCCCAATCCGTCTCATCGAGCGCATAACCATTGTCGCATCTCCTTCGCCGCCCGACCAAGGTGCAGACCGCAACAGCGGACCTTCTCGTCTCAGCGATCAGGCCACCCTACGCCCTACTCCATCTCCGCCTAAAGACGCCGCAAAGCACATCACTGGGCCAGCTCCTTCCGGCGACCGCCTCACAACCAGCGTGGCTGACAAGCGCGAAGGACAAGGTTCTCATGAGGCCACGAGCGGCGATGCGTCAGAGCAGCCCTCGCTTCAGGGCGACAGTTCGACATCCGGAGCTCCAGCCAAGAAGAAGAAAGAGAAGGGCCACACATACAAAGGTCTTTGGAAGGTCCCTTCGACCGTACGCATGGCGCTTCAGAACAAGTCTTTCCAAGAAGGAGTGGTGCAGGCTCGTCGCCGCGTCTCACCGATTGCCCGGGACTTGCAGGCTCGCGTTCTGAAGAAGGACGGTTCTGCGGGCGCGGAGGGCGACAGGGCTTGAGAGAGTGTCATAGTGGAGGATGCCGGTTTCGTCGTTAGGATTCGCACGGCGAGCGGTTCCAACCACTTGTTGCGATGTCAAGTGGCGTCTGCGAGGACGGTCGATGTATGTAATGGAGGAGACGTTGCGCATTCTGGAAGTGAAGTTGAGGTGGATGGAGGTCTTGGCAAGATTTCGACTTCACCCTCCCTCCAACCAAAACACATTCATTCTGAAATCTTGCTCCAACGTCTTTAACGCCGTATACGCATACTTATGAAACGAAGTAACCGATTTATAGACTGTGTCGGAAGTTGGTAACGTTCTTGGACATGCTCGTATCAATGCTTCATCGGGAAAGATTCATCGGGAGAGATTCATCGGGACAGGCACCATGGACGACGAAAGGCAAACGATGATTGATTGTTGACTTGTACTATTTTGGCTTGTATTCGATCGATCGGTCTGGGATTCGTTGGAGCAGCGGCTTCGTTGTGTGTTGGTTGTTGTACTTGGTCGGTTGAGTTTCTCCACTTGTCGGATCGGCTCCATCGTTTATCCCGATGCCGCCCCGATTGCTGGAGTTTCAAGACAGCCCCGTTGTGTGGTTCCTATGTCGTCGTCCTCGTTGTAGATATTTATGATTGGCTGTAGTGCTGCTTGCAGGTCGAGTGGAACCGAGTTTATCCCGTCAATCGGTCTTACTCATACCACGGTCTGCAAGAAATTTCAAAAGGTATTATATTGTAAATTTGAATATTGATCTTTCATGATCGCAGCCAATCAGCTGGCTTGTGTCGTATAGTTCGTTCTACCCGCGTTCTAATCAATTCGACTTGATATACTAACCTGTCTCCAGGTGGTTAGGTACGGCTTTATCGCTCTCTAAATCATTAGATTCGATTTGATTCTGACATTTTCCAGTACACCACGTTGTGGGAGGGTTCTCTTGATCTAGATCATGGGATTCCAATCATCAATACCGTGGAAACACAGGTAAATGCCTTTGACACGATTGTTGTACACTCAATCGATTCTAATCGTTCCTTAGGTTCGATTCCTGTCACAAGCAAATTTCCGCCTTGAGAACGTTCGATCCGTTCATCATGGTCTTCACTTTTTGCGTTTTGCTTTACTCAAACCGTTGGTGTTTAGCATACTCGATAATGTTGTTGATTGACTCTGTCGAGATCCCCTGCGTAGAGCTTTTCTTTTGCCCCACCAATGTCCAGTGGTCTTATCTGATCCTTCTCGAGATCATTCTGTATCCAAAGCAGATATACAACTGCAGCAATGACCGTTATCTTGATAGATATGACTTGTCCCTTGTCTTAGATTTTCAACACAGTCAAACGTTGGGAGCATTCTGGGCACTCAAAGGCAGATGATCCATAACGGAAAGATGTCCACGACTCTTCGGGCAACACGTTATAACAACTATGAGCCATAAACAACATAACACCATGTCTTCAGCTAAGAATCATACCATCGAACGCCATGTAATGCATTTGTCCCATCCAGGTGGCCGCCGGGCACGCCCAGAGCGCTCCCAACATTGGAAGGGAAGCATTTCATTGCGAATCGATATGTAGCATATCCATTCAAACCATTCAGTCCCCATTTGCAACATATATGCATTGTTTCGTCCGATGGCTGCCAGCATCAAGCAGCAGGTGAGGTCGGAGAGCTCTTGGCATATCTCTAAAACAACCTCACCTCCCGACCTTAGCACCATCTCTACACCCCGACATTGGCCAATACTATGCGACAGTGGCATGATAACTGCCACGGAACGGTAACGCACATCTTCTAGACCCCCCAAACCCCCCGAAACATGGACGTCTTCTCCTCTACCCGCCACCCAACCCCCGACATCATCCCCTCACCCTACAAGCCCACCTACCTAACTTGGACCATCTTGACCATCATCGTCGTCGCATTGACGACCCGACTACTCACCTCTGCCAAGACATCCGCCACAACTCACACAAAGAATGGCCACCCCGTCGAAACCATCCCGCGCATCCCCTACTACCTCCCCTACCTTAGCCACCTCCCCTCCATGGCATGGGACTCAACTTTCACCCGCCGGCTCCGCGACCAACACCAGGACGGTGCCTTCGCTCTCGACCTCCTCGGGATGAAGCACAACATCATTTTCTCGCCTTCTCTAATCACCGCTTTGCTGAATCAGCCACCTGAGCATGTCTCTGCTCAACCAGTACGGACGAAACTCCTCACCAACGTCTTCGGCATGCCATCCTCGAGCTATGAGCGGAAAGTCTGGGAAGCGGCTATGCCCGACCTCCAAGCCTGTGACCGGGATCTTGACCAGGAGCCCACGCTTGGAGAGACGGTCGATCGGACGATCCGTAACCTGAAGAGCAGCATCAGTAGTCTCGTCTCCGGAGCCGAAAGCCTCGTCGACCAGTCCACCTGGGAGCGGAATGCCGGCGTGGAGATGAAGCGAGATGCACTCGGCGAAGAAGTTGTTGAGACGACTTTGCGACCACTGATCCGGGACTTCGTGGCGCGGATCACGACTACCACGCTCATGGGCGAGACGTTTGTGGAGAAGTTCGAGGCGTTGTGGGAGGACTTTTGGACGGTTGACCGCAGCTACTGGCTGCTGGCATTGGGTTGGCCGCGGTGGGTGCCCCTGCCCGGACTTACGAGAGCGCACATTGCGCGGAAAAGAGTCCTCGAGATGCTGGAAGCGTTTCACGAGGCTATGGAGAAGCAGGCAAAGGGGGAGGATGCAGGAGCGGAGTGGCTGGAGTTGGAAGATGTGAGCACGCTGCTCAAAGAGCGGACCAACGTCTACCGAAAGCACGGGCTGAGCATGAGAGCGAGAGCAGCGTTGGACTTGAGCTTGGTCTGGGCGGCGAATACTAATGCTAATGCACTAGTCTTCTCGATGCTTCACCACATCTATGCTAGCCCCGAAGTACTGTCTCGCATCCGCCAGGAGATTGCTCCATTCGCCCAAGTCGTCCAACCAAAGCAAGAGTTCCCAATCCCGGAGCCATCTCGATTAGAGTCGGTCGATGCTGGAGGACTGTGTGAAGGCTGCCCGCTGCTCAAAAGCTGCTATACCGAGTCTTTGCGGCTGGACACAGCGCCGTGGTCCACGCGATTCGTGGAACAGGATTGCGTTCTGCAGTCAAAGGAAGGTCAAACCTGTTGGCTGTTGCGGAAAGGCGAGTATGTCCATGCAGCGCACGACCTGCACGGCATCGATTCGGAATATTTCCACGATCCTCTTGTCTGGAAGGCGGATAGACATATTCGGCCAGACGGTGATGAGAAAAGGGCAGCTGTCGATTTGGGGCCAATCCCATCGTTTCGTCAGTACCGAACATCCTACACTCTGGACCGTTGCAACGCTGACAATGCTCCAGGAAGCGGTGAATTGGTGTCTCCCGGCAGGGATCTCGTTGTCAAAGAGGTCATGTGCTTCGTCGCCGCAATCATCGCACTGTGGGATATCGAGCCCGCAAATGGCGGTAAATGGAGAATGCCACAGCCTCGCACGGCTGCAGGAGTGTACGGGACCAGCAATAGCACACGAGTCTGGGTGAAGCGGCGTCAACTGCCACAGTCGAATTGAAGTCCAGGCTGCCGATCTTTAGCCCTGCCATGGCTCCATGAAGATAGCTTCAACGACGCTCCATAATCCGAGTCGACTATCTCCATGATGGACACCAAACATTCCCGGGTCGTTCAGACGGCTTCGAGGGCGACAGGCGTCAATAGTCCGAATCAACTTCTTCCATGATGGGTTGCTGAAGCATTCCCTTCCCACGACCGACCCTCCGGCTGCTGTTGGACGCACTGACCTGGTTCGGAGACGAATAGCCTGGAGAAAGCAATGGCAGCCCATTCTCTCTCTTCCTGCGCTTCTCCTGCCGATACTGCTTGGCTGTGCGGCCTGATTCTAATGGCTGCGGCTCCAGACCAAGAGGTCCTTGAAGGGAGGTGCAGATGAACGCCAGCAGAAGACCGAGCGCACCTCCCACCAGAGCTCCGATTCCGAGGTAGATGTAGAGGGTCTAGCAGACAATCATCAGCTCAGCCTCATTAAACAGTCCATCCCAACCAACCCACCTCGAACCTCGCCAGAAATTTAAAAGGCGCCAGTACACACGCGAACAGAAATTGGCCCAGGTAGACGACCGGGAGGAGGAGAAATTCCAGCGGACGGTACAGCAACTTCAAGATGAAGACCACTGCAAAGGCGAGGTTGTACAGGACGTAGTATAGTCCGATCGCAACAGGATAGACGACCCAGTAAACAGCCTTGCCCGCCGTCACCACCAGATCACGGAGCTGCGGATCATTCCCGGCCTCTGGCACATCCTCCCCATCCGTCGACATCCCGCTTCACTGCAGGATGAGGCTGAGCGAGACTTTGGTGGAAGGATGACTTGCATGTGCTGCTGCTGTCCGGCGGCTGTCGGAGAAAACCCGCGACTCCCATTCGCGCTAGAGGTGGCGCTAAAGCGGTCGGCGTGGTGGGGGCTCTTGGACTCTTTCGCCGACGTGCTGCACCTTTACAACCCCATGTCATGACCGTGTCCGCCAGCCAGCTGCAGTTGTGTTTTCGATGAGGCCTCTTACTGATATGGAATAAGACAGTCGCAACAGCCCACCCCTCGCATCCCACCGGACATGCTTTGAGGGATAATTGGAAAGATCGCACCGCAGGAATCGATTGGATGAGCGTGAAGCCGCTACAATGGGAAACAGCCAAAGCCAATCGAGCGACCGGGACGCTCCCAAGTCGCCCGCCGTCCACCGTGACTCGAGTCGGAAGGAGCGTACAAGAGACAGAGATGGATCACAGTATCGCACCACCAGCAACACCAGCACCTCCACCGCGCGGAGAGCGCAATCACATGTCAGCGCCAGCGCCAGCGCCAGCACCAGCAAGGCACCCGCGACGACCCCACCAAACCCCACGGCGACACTTCTACCTTCCACCACCGCGACTAGCTCCACCTCCACCTCCAACGCGCACGCCCATGCCGAGACTGGTGCGACGTCTTCACACTCAAGAGCCCGCTCCATAACCTCTCCCTCTCCTCACGCCACCTCCACACAAGACTCGGCAGCAAGTCAGCAGTCAGGCAACATGGGCAACGCCGAGTCAAGGCAGCGTCCGCCGTCAAGATCCAGCACACTTCCACCACCACAAACCGAGAGGCCACAGCCATCGCCGTCTTCGCAGCCCGTGGACGTTCCGGCAAACCTGCATCATCATGACGGACCGCAAGATCAAGATGCCTATGAAAACACCACCGACCAGCCCATGTATGGAGGCCTCCCGGCAAGCGACTTCAGCCGACCGCCAAGACTTCCTCTACCCATCGACCGCGATCCAGAGCCGACGTCACCAATCGCCACTCCCACCGATGCGACGACACCCCACGAGATCAGTCTTACCCGCCGACCGGCTAGCATGCTGAGTTCGACCACGCTCGACGATGAAGAAGTGGCCGACATCGAGACCTTCACGCAAGAGACCGACCCGTACAGCCAGAAAGTCCTCACCACTCTAGAATGGCGCGGCAAAGCTGATACAGTCTTCGTCACGGGCACCTTCATCAACTGGGAGAAGAAGTTCAAAATGCAAAAGGATCGAGAGGCCAATGGCAATGCCGTATTCAGCCTCACCGCACCATTGCCGACCGGCACGCACCACATCAAGTTCCTCGTGGATGGTGAGATGGTTCTTTCCAATCAGTATCCCACGACTGTCGACTACACCAACTCGCTTGTCAACTACGTCGAGATCGCCGCCCAGCTGTCTTCAAACGAAGCGCAGCCACCCGCGCCTGCAGAGCCGATGCCGATACCCGGCGCAGCGGCGGAAGCAGCGAGCGCGCGGACCTCGGCCAAGGACTTCTCCACGGTAGCGCAGCCGCCCGAGACAAACGAAACGGCCTCCACCACTCTCCAAGACACTGCTCCAGCACCAGCGCCCTCGCAGCCCCCTCAGCCAACACCCAGCGCCGTCCAGCAGCCTCAACAGCAACAAATCCTCGAGCACCAACATCAACAACCCTCCAAGCCACTGCCGAAGACCAAGGAACCACGTCCAAAGTACACCTCCGAGATCCCCGAGTTCCTCCAGCACGTCGATCTCTACTCCACCCCCGACGACGAGCGTTTCCGCCGCGCTAGCAAGGCTACCGCGCACCTGCCCCAGCCTCCCACGCTGCCCATGTTCATGAGTAAGAGCATCTTGAACGCCGCGACGCCGCACAAGGACGACGCGAGCGTGTTGACGATGCCGAACCATACGGTGCTGAATCATCTGGCGACGAGCAGTATCAGGCAGGGTGTACTGGCGACGAGTGGGACGACGCGGTATAAGCGGAAGTTTCTGACTACGATTATGTACAAGCCGACGGGTGAGTCGGGATGAGGTTGTGATGGGATGTTCTCGACGATGCGATGAGACTATGAGAGATGTGACATGCATGGATGGATTGTTTTGCGTGCGCAGATGGAGCGTTCTAGCTAGCACGTGCATGCGCTGATGGCACGTGATTGTCCGTGTTTTTAGATAGCATGTGCAAATGTCATTGTTGCACAACATTCACTTCCAACGGCTTAAACTAGCCTTCTCCAACATAAAAGTGTACGTCGTGCCACCGCAGACGACCGTGAACGACTCGCTGGATACTTGATATATCCGACATCTTTTCTCATCATCGAGCCCTCCTCCAGCGTACAGCTTTGGGATGCGTTAGTGCAGCAACTGTAAAAGGCTTGTCCACTACTTGATATCCTCGCAAACCTTCGCCGTCAACGCCATCACCTTCTCATCCTCCAACCTCCTACACGTCAGCTGCAGACTGACAGGTATCCCCTCAATCTCAGCCGCATCATAGTCCGCCTTCGTCACCTCATCAACCTCTCCCAGCGCCTTAAAGTCCGCCGTATACACATCAACCTCCCTATCCCCAACCACCCCGCTCGGAAACGACGTCGAGCTATAATCCAGTAAATTAAAAATAGCCGTATAACTAACCGTCTTAAACCCTCCAGCCCTGGGCGCCGCGTACGGCGTCGTAGGCCCCAGTATCGCGTCTAAACCCTCGCACGCCGCCCAGCGGTCGAGATACATCTTCTGCAACGCCGTGCGCTGTTTTTGCAGCTGCCAGAGATCGTAGGTAGACAGTTCCTTCGCCTCCGAATAAGACTTCATCTCCGGCCGCCAGGGCTCGCCGGTGGGTTCGAGGATCTTCTGCACGGAGCGACCGCCGTCGGCGACGAAGAAGCGGCCGACGAGGTCGTTGGCTCCGGCGTGGCCGGTTGCGGGCCAGGTGATGATGTCGTAGTTTTTGGATTTGAGTTTGTCGACTACGGTCTGCAACGCTCGCTTTACGGGTGGCGTTGGGCTGCAGAGGCCGTTGTCCCAGAGGACGGCGATTTTTGGTCTGTTCTTAATCTCGACGCTTCGCCAGGGCATAGGGATGCACTTTGGATCTCGCAACCATGGACTAGCGTTCGCGACGTTATCGGTGAATAGCCGTAGGTCCGCCATACTCCTCGCCATCGGCCCGTGAACGCTGCCGATTGATTCTTGACCTGCTAAGCCGGAGCGAGCGTCGAAGTGCGGAAACCGCCCGTATGAGGGACGGATGGTGTAGATGCCTGTGCAAGCGGCTGGGATGCGCAGGCTGCCGCCAATGTCTGTGCCGACGCCGAGAGGGCTACCTCGCATAGCTATGAGAGCGCTCTCGCCACCTGAAGAGCCGCCGGAGGTTAGGTTGCGGTTGAGAGGGTTGGTTGTTCTGCTGAATGTGAGCACGCTGCCGAACGGTTGCCGAGAAGACATGCCAGCTTACCGACCATAGCAATTATTCACAGTCTCAGCAATCATCATCGCCGTAGGCACATTGGTCTTAACATACGCCACCGCCCCAAGCTCACGCAGAATGGCAACGATCGTACTTTCCTGCTCCATCGGCTCCAATGCCCAGCTGCAGAAACCAACAGAGCTGGGATAACCGGGAATATTGAAATTATCTTTGAGACTGACGGGTAAGCCATGAAGAGGCCCAACGGTCTTGCCGGTGCGCGATAAGTGGTCATCGAGCTCCTTCGCGCGGGCGAGGGCTGCATCGAACATGGTGACGGTGAGGCAGTTGGTCTGGTCAAATGAGCCCGTGCCTAAACAAAGTTGGAGGGACCGTTCAAGACGACTCACAAGCTGATGAGCGATAACAGCACGTCTGCAAAACGCCCTTGTCACGTCCTCCGCCTTCCACTCTCCAGCAGCAACCTTCTGGACAATCTCAGTTGCATAGCTGTCCGTAATCGCGAGCTCCAGGTCGCTCAAGATGCCGCATTCTGCTGGCACACCTGTAACGTCTTTCCGATCTACTGGCGGCAAGTTGTCCTCTTTGATACGCCATTCTGCTGGGATCGAGGCGTCGAGCTTCTCCTTTGCCTTTGTGCTGATGTCCTGCCAAGCCATGTTGTCGAGATAGAGTTAGCTGAGTATGCGGAGCAAACGAGAACGAGAACGAAACAAGGGCTGAGTCGTGGAGCTTCTTCGACGTGAGTGGGGATCTAGATAGGCCAACAACAGCAATGAGAACTGGTTAATAGAAACACCTACTATCCACTGTCGTTACGCATACTCCGAAGTCGGCGTACCCCTCTTCTGGCGTAGTACAATGTCACTATTCGCTATCAGTCTGAAGAAGAGCAGAAAACGGGACAGATGATCGGTGAGCAGCAGCAAGGGAGTGTCATAAAGATCTGCCTACGATCGCATGACCCCAAAGGTCTGAACAAGATTCCAAGACTTTCGTATATCGCATGAACATCAATCGCTCATCGCTCAAGCGGCGGCTGCAACAGCCTGCTGGACCTGAGGACGCTCCTGCTCGAGGATGTTCTCAAGCACGCCCAAGGCACCTTGTCCTGTTTTCATCTCCTTTACGACTTCGGTCAAACCGAGCTGTCCGTCGGTCCAAAGAGGCTGGACAGCTTGGGCGTCCTTCTCTCCAACGCCGATGAAGCCGCCCTCACGAGCCCAGTCAGAGGTGCGTTTGATGCCGAGCTCGTTCCAGACGCTGTCCAATGCTTGCACGAGATGCTCGCGGAACTCTCTAGTATGGCCAGGAGTTGGCGTGATACGGAGACGCTCCTGACCAACAGGCACAGTAGGGTAGTTGATCGCCTGGACGTAGATCTGATGCTTGTCGAGGAGCAGGTCAGAAGCCTTCTTCGCCACCTCAGCGTTGCCAACCAAGCAAGGGATGATGTGGGACGGATTCGGGATGACCGGGATGTCCATGGCATTAAGCTGCTCCTTCACAGCTCGTGTGTGCAGCTGCTGGAGTCTCCGATCGCCTTGGTAGCTCGCCTGATACTCGATCGCAGTCTTCGCGCCGGCCATGGTCGCAGGGGGTAGAGAAGTGGTGAAGATGAACCCTGGAGCGAGCGAGCGTATCGTATCAACCATCTGTGACGAACCTGCAATATAGCCACCCACACAACCGTATGCCTTCCCAAGTGTGCCGGTAATGATGTCCACACGGTCTTGAACAGTGCCTCGAGGACTGCCACCGTTCGCGTATGTCTCGTAGTCCAAGTGCTCTGCCACACCAGCACCGTTTGGTCCGTACATTCCTACCGCATGGACTTCGTCCAAAAAGGTGATTGCGCCGTACTTCTCGGCCAAGTCGCAAATCTCTGCGATCGGTCCAACGCTGCCGCACATGCTGTACACGCTCTCGAAAGCGATAATCTTCGGCACATCTAAAGGCAGCGAAGCCAACTTGCTCTCCAGATCCGCCACATCGTTGTGCTTGAAGACCAGTTTCTTCGCGCCAGAGTGCCGAATGCCCTGGATCATGGAAGCATGGTTCATGCTGTCACTCAGAATGACACAGTTCGGCATCTTGCTTCCCAGAGTCGCCAGAGTCGCATCGTTCGCGACAAAGCAGCTCGTAAACACCAGCGCTGACTCCTTTGCGTGCAGATCCGCCAGCGACTTCTCCAAGGCGATCGCATGCTGGTTGTGTCCGGAAATATTCCTAGTCCCTCCAGCTCCAGCACCGTACCTGTCCAACGTCTCGTGCATCTGCTTCAGCACATGCGGGTTCCGTCCCATACCCAAGTAATCGTTCGAGCACCATACCGTCACCCGTTCTTCCGGAGCCGACATGTGCGCTCTTGGAAACTCCTGCGCCAATCGATTGATATTGTTGAAGTAGCGGTAGCTCTTGTCCTTATGCTTCTTGTCCAATTCCGTCTTGTAGAAGCCCTCGTAATCATACTTCGAACCCTGCGGTGGTGGCGCATATCCGTCTCGTGGGCTCGGAAGGTCAACGGCCTGAGCCTCCTTGGGTGCTGTGGTATGCAAGTTCGCTCGTGGCGGGTTCGTTGCGGCGTGATACGCTCGACAGCCTCCGAGTGCAGCACCACGGGTACCACGAGCGGAGGCAGCGAGGGCTGGCTTCATCATCGGGCATCGTTTGGCTGCGTCGACAATGCGAGCGCTGGTGCTCATAGACCGAATGGTGGCGACAGAGGCTCTCTTCATGAACGGGCAGACCGACTGGGACTGGCGGAGGAGTGCTTCCATGGTGTCGAGAGGGCGTTGGTAGTCGCCAGAAATGACAACAGATCCGGGCGTTTGTCAATTGGGGAGGAAACAAGAAGATTGCAAAGGTGAGATTATGTTCAGCCCAGGACAATGTGAGTATAAGCTTCCCGGCAGTCCGAAGACCGATGACAGGGACAAAATACAACCAATAAGAACGAGGACATTACTCCGCTTCGCAGGAATACACTATTCTGGACTGTCGATCGGACAATGGACCGCGGTTGCTGTAGAAAGGGTCGCTAGTTGGAGACAGTGACAAATCTCACACTTAGAATCAGCACATCTCCGTTCTCTAGACTACGGTACAACGCTCATATGCAGCCTGGCGTGTTCCTTGCCAATGGGCCTTCCCCGAAACGCCGCCGCTATGTTGTAAAGCATGGTCAACTCTTAATACACCACATCCAAACCCCCCAAGCGTTACGCTCCTAGCGTCCACTCCGTCTCCTCTTCGAATCTTCGTAAGGCGGCGCTTCTTCATGCCTCCGCTTTCGATTGCCAGATGGAGGCGGACCATCGTCTCTCGGTGCTGGCCCTCTCCCATACTCCTCCCTGCGGGGTCCTCTGAAATCCTCTGGCCTTGAATTCCCCGGGCCTCCTATCCTCCCATCGTCTTGCGGTAGGTCTCGCCTTGATGAGCGCCTGTCGCTGCCACGCTGCCATTCTGGCGGAGGCGGTGGGTTGAAGGAGGCAGGCATCTCCGGCGGACGGCGGGTATCGCTAGGCCCGCCTCTTGCATCCCTAGCCTGTCCTTCTCGAGCTTCTCGATCATCTCGCGCTCTACGGTCATCGCGACCACTGCCACGCACATCTCTTCCATCCATGCCACTAGGCAGGCGCTGATACTGCTCCTCCTGAGCCCTCCGACCTGGACTGTTGTTGCGACTGCTATGCCGCTTGTCGGCGTATGGGTCTTCTGACTGCCTTAGAGTCCTCTCGTCATAGCGGTCGGGTCGGCTTCGAGAGTTATCTTGCCGTGAGTCCGGGCGAGAAGCCGCTCCATTTGACCTCGGGGGTTGAACAGGCTCGTTGCGTCTTGGTGGAGGCTCCATCGACGAAGCGACAGCTTGTATAGGCTGCGTGCTAACCGCTGAAGCCATTGACATGCTCGAAGTTCGGTTGAGTGCAGCGCCTCTAACGTTGATATTCTGGCTTGGCGTAGAAGGTGGAGGTGGGGGCGGCGGCGGTCCGTTGTTCGAGCCCTGCAAGGTAGCGTTGATGTTTGCCCGCTGTCGGTCTCCTCTCCTATGATCAGAAGCAGGTCCAGATGGTGGTCCAGCCATAGCGGAAGGAGGCTCTTGTCGTGGAGCAGCTGGCGCGCGACCAGGGCCGCGAGGGCCAGAAGGCGGTGCTGTGACAGGTGAAGCTGCACTACGAGAGCCGCCTGGGTTGGTGTTGGTTTGGACCGGCGGCGGCTCGGCTCCCATTCGCGCAAGGCGGCTGGGATGAACAGATGGCCCACTCTCCGCAGCAGGTGTTGTCGGCACAGAGTTGGAGGCAGGTTGCTGCTCAAAGTGATTTTGCGAACTTCGGCGATCGTGCTGTCGTCCGCCAGGTCCACGAGGCGCTGCTGGCACTTCCGATTGTCGGTTTGACGATGGTGACTGCGGAGGCGGCTCGTGAGATCTGCTGCTTGCAGGGCCATGCGGCACTGGGAAGCTCCGGCTCCCGCGACCACTTGGGCCATTCGTAGGCGGAGGTCTCGGGCCGGCAGGTACTTCGTGAGGCCCATTCAATCGGCCATATGATGATTCCTGCGAGCTTTGGGCACCCAAGTCTCGGCTTCCTCTGCCCTGTCGTGGTCCATTGGGCGCCAGATCGGTAGCAGACGAGCCAGAACGTAGCTGAGCATCTCGAGGTGACTCTGGCGGCCCTGACCTGCCATCATTCGACCTGGCTTCCGGTCCTATACGACCATCGGTAGAGTGGCCATTTGGTCGAAGGTCTCTCGACCTGTCACTACCACGACCAGGATCGTCATTGATCAGAGCGAGCCTGGCTGGGTTCTCGTTGTGCTGGTGAGGGCCTTGTGTGTCCTTCGCTTGCGCTGGGCTTGCGCGAGTGGCGGATGGACTGGGCGCACTCGTCGCAGTGGAGTTGAGATGAGCTGCGCGGTCCGGATGAGTCGAATGGCTTGTCGGAGGGCCCATCGAACTCTGGGTTCGCTCACGCGTGTCGTAAGCCGAACGTGACGTGTGCGCCGCTTGTGACGGCGGCTCACGCCAAGCAGGAGGTCTGCCGTCGTCTCGAGGGTGCCTTGCTTCGTGTTCAGTGGGCCGCGACGGTGGACGCTCGTCTCGACGGGGGCCACGACCCGCAGCTTGAGGGCCGTAGTATGGATCGCGCGGAGGAGAACGCGGACGACTCCTCCCGCCAGGCGAGTGATCCCGAGAGGCAGGGCGTACATCACCAGGGCGGTCAAGACGGCCATAGCGATCTTCGTTGCGGCTTGGATAACGACCGCTCCCTCGGTCAGAAGGTGTCGGTGGCAGTGGCTTGGTGGGCGGACGAGAATCTGGCCGTGCCGGAAGATCATGCGCAGCACGAGATGATGGTTGCGTAGAGTCCGGACGCGAAGAATCTGCTGGTGTTGCTGGTGGCTTTGAAGGTAATGGAGCTGGTGTTGAGGGTTTCGTGCTGGGCTTCTCTGGCTCCTTCTGAGGCGGTTCCGGCGCCTTCACGGGCTCTGCTGTCGCCTTCTGTTCGCTTTTCTGCTCAGCTGGTGCATCTTTCATCGTCACGTCGGCCGACTTCTCCACTGTATCCTCAATCTCGCCATCCTCAGTACCAGTGGCCGACTCTTTCCGTACCGCACCATTCGCCAGCGCTGTTACACTGGTGGTAGGCTTGAACTCGGACGCACTCGCATCCAGCTTCGGGCCCTCGGGCTGCGGCGTCGCAGGCTTCGCGGAAGGCGCTCGACTCCCCGCCAGCGCAGCCTCTCTCTTCTCATCGTTCAGCCTGAAAGCCTGCGGCAGAATCCACTTCTTCTCCCGGCCCTTCAATGGCCCAAGCAACGACATCGCGGCCAGCTTCAAATCCTGCCTTGAATCCTCCTGCGATATCGTGGTGATATGCTTGACCATATTAAGGCCCTGGAAGTTCAGCGACGGGAACGCCGGCACGACGGCTTTGAGCACGGTGATGCCGTTGCGAATGTGCATGTACTCGCCTGACTTGAAGCACGCTTCAAGTGCCCCACCCAGATGCGAGTGCCAGTTGTAGAGGAGCCGGCGGAAGTCTTCATAGTCCAGAAGCACATCGGGCTCGCCTTTGGCGCCCAATTTCTTAGCGAAGCCAGGCAACTTCTTCTCCCTCTCAGCAGCAAGAGCTTCTTTGTCGTAAGCCTCGGGATCGGCGTGCCATTTCTGCAGAAGCTTGAGGATCTCGCACAGGAATCGTCCCAGATGCTGAGCCTCCATGGCGGTGCATTGAAATATAACAGCAGTCAGCTGTCGCTTCTTGAACAACTGGTTTAGCAGATGCATTGTGCTGAAACCTGGCGTGCCGAAGTCGTGAAGCATCCTGAGCATCAGGAAAGCGTACAGAGCGTCGAGTGACGAAACCATCGCCCGGGGGAGAAAGCATTGTTGCAACAGGCCAATGTGTCGAGCGTCAATGTCGGCCTTCTCCATGCTTCGGGAGAACCAGTATTTCTTTTCAGCGCTCAGCCGGGGGACGACCTTTTGGTACGCGACCACCCGATGCTTCATATCCGTGTGGTATTTGCTCTGCACCTTCTCTATGTCTTTGATCTTCTGTTGGCGGTCTTTCACCGCGACGGCGCTCATGTCGGAGCGGTTGGCCCGCAGCGTCTTGAGCTGCTCAGTAAGCTTTGCGAGCTCTCCGTTGTAAATATCCATGGGAGAGGGGATGTCTGGTAATGAATGAGTCCAGAACTCGACAAAGAACTGAACGCTGACTTGCTCTGCAAGCCCGGGAGATGCAGCTGACAGAGCGTTGATGATAGGCTCAAGTACGGGATGCACTGTTCTTGTCTCCTCAATATCCCCTGCGCCCGATGGCTGTGGTGTCGCTTCAGTTTTAGAGTCCTCCATGTCAGCGTCCAGATCTGGCTTCGTTTCGCTGGTCACGGGGTCCTCGGCGTGGTCACCATTCATGACTGGCTTCGTGGCATCCTGCGTCGTTGCATCGGACTTGCTTCTCTCCTTTTCCTGCTTCAGTCTCTTCTTCTCGTTCTCCTTGTCGGCGTGGATCGACATTCGAGAAGTGATACCGAACCGACAGATAGCAAAGGCAGTTCCGGGCTCCAGACCGTAGTCACTCACCAACTCAACGACACTAGGCAGACTCGCCTCGAAGTCCTCCGGCTTCACATTCGACTTCAACACCTCCAGATACTGCGCAAAGACTGACTGAATCTTGTCAAGGTTGTTGCCCAGAACCTTCAGTGGCATGAACGCCGAGCTCTCGCGGTACGGGTACATCTGTTTCTCCTGCGCAATGGCCACGAGTGTCTGTCCGATCAGGCCAGGCCCGGCCAGAGCCTTGATGAGTCTCTGTGCCGACGGTTTGCGTTCGGAGCGCTTGTCGCCAAGCGTCGCAAGGACTTGAGACTGGAGATTCTCTCCGCCGGCCATGAAGAAGACCTGGGTATCGTTGTACTCAATATCCGAACGAATACCGCCCATCTCTGTCAAGACTTGCTCGAACATCTCCAGATCCGTAGAGTCGCCTTTGCTGAGCTGATGGACAAGGTACTGCAGTATCGGGCTCGGGTTGACGAAGGTGTATCGCAGGAACAAGCTGGCCACGAATTGGGAGATGTACTGCAGCCATCGACTGGTGAGCATACCGTCGTCCTGCATGCGGCTCTTGCCTTGGCCGCTCAGAGAGTTGATGAGAGACCAAGTCAGCACATCGTACGCCAGCAGGCTAAAGTATCTCGTACACTCCACGAGACTTGCGATCATGTTGCTGTACTCCTCGATCTGGCTAATCATGCTCATCATGACGATGCCAGGTGAGGAAAGCGACACCTTCGCAAGAGCTCGAGCCTGCTTCTTGCCAGTCTCGTTGGTCACACGCCGCAGAATATCCTTGACTTCTGCCCTGTTATGGTCAAAAGCTACGCGCATGTCCGGTAGTCGTGAGGTCCTGCCCAGGTACCACTCGGCGTAAACATTGTACCTGGTCGTGGTGGGATAGAACTTCAGCAACTCGTACACTTCTTGCGTCAGGCCCACGTTGTGCTTGCTCAGACTGAGCGAGGGCACGAGGAGTCTCTTCATCAGCTCCAGCCAGCGTGCGCGATTGTGCTCGGACGCATCTTCTGTCAAGCTGTGCTTCGCTATCCTGACAAGACTGCTCAGCAGCGCGGCGTCTTGACCAATCTTCACACCGAGCAGGCCGAGGAAAGTGTTGCAGAGCAGAAACACATCTTCCACGTTCTGGCAGACTGGAATGTTCTCGTCCCAGTCCGGATAGTAATGCCGATACATCTGACCATCTCCTTTCTCGACCTGATCAAGTCCTAGCCACCTCGTGACCTTCTTGGTCTCCTTCGGCCGAAATAGGAGCGTTCCGTCAGGTCGGACGATTGTGCTCTCAAGATCCTGCTTCCCTTGCTGCGTGTCCGGGCGGTCGGCGAGAGGCTTGGTGGCATCTGCAACCTTGCTGAGCATCTGCCGTGCGATGCGATGCAAATAGGGTGCGAGAGAAGTGTCAACCTCCAGTAGCCACGGAAATCGTCCAAGAATGTATAGCGCCTCCGGTAGCGCACCGATCAGTAAAAGTGCTTTCAGAAGCATGATCTTCTGGTTCGAAGGCGTCGGTAGTGTCTCCGTATCATCGTCCTTCTTATCTGCCTTCGGTGTGCTGCCACCGCTCGTACCTTTGTCGCCTTTGAGGTTGCGGACACCAGGCGCCAAGGTATCGTCCGGTAGTGCTCCAGCCATGGCCAGCGCATTCATTCCTCCGCCCGGCCGCTCTTTCGCTTCCTTCTCAGCCTTCTCTTTCTCCAGCCGCGACTTTTCGTCCGCCATTCCATCATCGGAAGGGTGAAGATGGGGGTACAGATCTCGCAACGAAATGAAGCCAATCTTGATGAGCAGCGCAGCGAGGTATATGAGGTTCTCGGGCAGCGAGTCTTGCGCACTTCGAGCATCGGAGGCGTAGAAGCGGAGCTTGAAACCAAGCAGCTGAGCGGCGTCCGAGTTGCCGGGCGGAGGAAGCGTGCCAGTCTCCTTCATGAACTTGCGGTTCTCGTTGATGCGCTTCCGGCGATCCGCGTTGATCTCTTTCTGTCGAGCATCGAGTTCTGGCGCGACCTCAGTTTCCAGTAAAGGCAGGACTTCTTCGAAGTCGACGATCTTCCGCGAGCCTAAGTCGAAGAAAGCATCCATGCCCTTCTCCTGTACGCGCTGCCAGAACCTGACATCCCGCGTTTCTCGCATCGCCATCTGTTCCTCCTTCTCTGCTTTCTTCCTCTCCTCTTCACCTTCCTGGTCTAGCCAGGGCCGTTCAGACTCCGGTAGCGCCCATCTCGGAAACGAGCCAAACCCCTGATCCTCCCATCGGACATTATCCAAAACTCCAGCTTCCGGCCACCAAGAGCTACACCGGTAGAACTTCACAAAGAAGCCGTACGCTCTGACGAGCAAATTCGCACTGATGTCCAAGGTGATGTCTAGGACCCGCCCGACGTCCAGGTCAAATGACCCAACCAGAGCTTTTATTCGTTGAAAGGCAGCTTCGGCGCTGACATCGTGGTTGAGTACAGCTTCGTTGGCCGTACTGAAATACTCCGTGACAAGCTTCGCATAGCCTTCCGACTCTTCCCGTAGCAAGTTGAAGTTGGCCTGTCTGTAGAGGATGTTCGTCGTCTTCCGAGTGCGCATCTGAGTAAAAGTGCTTCGAACCAGGGCCAAGGTCTGCAACAGCGGGATGTCCAGCTCCTGCCGTATTACGTCCGGGTCGATCTCTGTTGCCGTGACAAGCGTAAGAAGCTTTGAGTTCTTGGTATCCGTATCATCCAGCAGCGAGATGGTGTTGAGAAGGGTCGCCTGCACATCGATCGTCTCTGAGCCTTCACGGTCCGCGATCATCTGCTTGATGACACCTCCGGCTTCCGACGCGTCCAGCCTCGAATCTAACGCCGACCGAGCCAGCTCTTGCACAACGATACCGATCGTGAGCTCGTCCGCCTCTTTCGCCGCATCTTGCACCGCCTGTCTCCCATCGCCCTGCCATGCTTCCACCCTCTCATCTGTCACATGCTCGTAACAGTAGGGCGCTGGCGGAGCCGCTACAGGCTCATCCGCAGCCGACTTCGTCGACGCAGCTGGTGGTGGTAGCGGTGTAGCCGGTCTCGAGGTCTCGACCGTCGGCGTCTCCCTCGCAGGCGCGGGCGATGCAACACCCCTCGGTGTCACAGGGACGGTGTTTGCGCCTCCTGCCGGGCTGGCAGGCACATTGTTGCGACTCTGCCTGCGTCCTCCTCTACCGCCTCTTGGTCCTCCATTCTGCTGGCTCTGCTGCGCCAGTCCTAGGTTCTCCGGCCGATGGGGTGAAGGTCTCCCGGAGCCATCGTCGTGTGAGGCTTGCCTATCTGGCCGCTTCCGCTTGCCGGGCGCCATCACTGGCGCGTCCGATGAAGAAGGAAGGGCAAGGCTGGAGATCCGTGGTTGCTGATGATAGCATCAAGGTTGTGTTGTGGACTGAGAGGTTCGGGTGATGTCTGTAGATGTAGCTGTCGGAGGTGATTATCGGCCAACGGGCTGCAGCCGCGTTTAGATGCCAAGCTTTCTGAGCTTCACTGCGTTCACTTTCCTGTAGCAGTCGGAATGTGTTTTCGAAAGCACAACGGTAATGTCACGAGCAGTAGAAGTTACAGTGGTGGACTTCATTCAAGGGAACGAATCAGTGCAGTAAGACTACAAGTATCATATGCTCCATAGCTACATGTGCAACTCGAGTACAGCAGCTTCAAGCCGAGCGAACAACGCAGTCATACCTCAGCGCAAGGCTATCCAGCCAACAGCAACCCTTCCTCTCCCATCATGAGCTCTCGCGAGCCAGTAAAACCTCTTGACTGTTCCACCCAAAATGCATGCCCATAATCGTACGCTCGTAATGCCACAACAGCCAGTGTAACCCATGCTCACATCGTATCTCAACAAGCCAGTCCCTCGACCAACAATGCACATACTCAAGTCCCGCGGAACAAGAACTGCATATCCTCCGGCGTGAGCTTCTCCATCGACGTCTTGTCATTGTTAATCGTGCCGTTAATCATGTTCGCCTTCTTCTCCTGGAGCATGACCATCCTCGACTCCACGGAATCCTCGATGCACAAGCGCGTGATGACGCAAGGACGCTTCTGGCCGATGCGATGACAGCGGTCAGCGGACTGCCACTCTGCGGCCGGGTTCCACCAGGGGTCGACGATGAAGACGCGGGATGCTTCGGTCAAGTTGAGCGCGACACCGCCGGCCTTGAGGGAGACCAGAAAGACTTCGACGTCTGGGTTCGTCATGAAGTACTCGATACTCTTTGCACGCTGGATAGGCGTCATAGATCCTAGGGGGAGAGTCAGCATGGTTGAGGAGATGTGAAAAGGATGTTGCTCACCATCGAGCATGACAGTGTTGAACCCGGCGCGGCGCAACCGCCATTCGATTAGCTGCAGCATGCTTGTGAACTGCGAAAACACGATCGACTTGAGCGTCTGCTTCTTACTTCGCAGCTTGTAAAGATCGTAGATCAGCATCTCGATCTTCGTCGAGCTGGTCCAGTCTTCCATCTTGATCCTGTTGATAATGGAGCTCTTCTTCACGTTCTCCTCGTCCTGCTCATGCTCGGGCTGGTCGAGGTCGATCGCGAGTGGAATGTGGCAGCGTGGACAATCGGCATCTCCGCCGGTCTCCTCCACAGACTGCATGTAGCTCTTCACACATGAGCGACAGAAGTCGTGCTTACACTGGGAGCGGATGGCCTCCTCAGCCACCTCGTCGCAGATGTTGCAGACCAGCACGTTCTGCCCCTCCCCTGCATGCTTCTTCAACAGTAAGTCGGGGTGGTTGGCAACTGTGGGGCAGAAAAGGGGTTAGCAAAATTCTCCAAAAAGTGAAAAAGGCGTAGAAAGGCTCAGGACTTCGGCTGGCGGTTGATTGGGAGTGGGAGAACGCCTTGCGCAGCAACTTGCCCTGTCTCATTTGCATGATAAGTCCGAAGATATTCGCATAATTGTTCAGCATAACACCCCGGGCCACGTAGGTATCGAATTGGCGACCAGTGTTCGACATGATGCTCGAGGAGAAGTCACGCTCGATCTCACCGAAGAACTCGTTGTGCACAATGACCTCCTTGGGCGGAAGCTCCATGGAACTGACGTAGTCTCTCTTCACGCGCCGAAGCATAATACGAGCCGTTATGAGATGCAGTTTGTCCATAGCCGCGGAGCGATCGGCCGCCTCCTCGGACTGGGTGAGAGGATTGAGCAGCTCCTGGTTGAACACCGACACGTGCTCCATGCCGGTGTGCTTGCACTCCTTGCACATGTGGTCTTCATCAAGCTGCCAGTGAAGGAGGGAGCAGGGACACCTCTTGCAGAAGTAGTCGGCGAACGGACGCACTTCGAGGAAGCGAAGCAGCGAGAAGAACTCTCCGATGCGGTTCTGCACAGGCGTGCCGGACAAGCACCACTTGTACGTGCCGGTGAGCGCGAAGCAAGCCTTGGCCACGCCAGTCGTGCGCGACTTGATGCTGTGTGCTTCGTCCAGAATCAGGCGATGGAAGTGGATGGCGTGGATTGGCGAGTCTTCCTTGACGAGATCCTCGCCGCGGCTCCAGCCCTTGGTCTCCTTGCGGTGCAGCGACTCCAAGCTGTTGTAGGAGATCATGATGACGTCGAACTGCTTCAGCTCCTTGAGCTTCATGTTCTTGACCTTGTTGTTCTGACCGTGGTAGACCAGCACCTTCAGCTTGCCGTCGGTGTACTCTGAAATTTCGGAGGACCACTGCATGAGTGCAACCGGTGGCACGACGACCAGAGTCGGCTGCTTCTGCGGGTAGTCGGACATGATGAGCGAGACCGCTTGGATTGTCTTACCCATGCCCATCTCGTCGCCGAGCAGACCTCCCTTGTACTTGGTCTTCTCCTGCCTCACCATCCAGTCCAATCCTTCGAGCTGGAATGGCTTGAGCTTGCGATTGATGGATTGGGGCTGCTGCGCAGCAACTGGTGTAATCACCGCTTCAGACTCGAGCTGCTTCCACATTGTCGTGATCCCAGGATGAGCCTTCTCGAGCTTCTTACGCTCTCTGTCCTTCCGGGTCATGTGAGCACTGGCGACGATCCTGGCGATGCGCCGGCCATTCTCGCGAACTTGGGCTGCTGTCTGGCTCCCGTGACGCCGTCCGCTTCTACCGGTCAGCGCGCCGCGAGATGCGGAAGGCAAGGTTGTCGATGTCTGAGTGGCTTCCGACTCGGCGTCACTAACACCGGTCGAAAATCCTTCAGAGGTATCGAAGAGGGAGACTTCATCGCTGTTCAGCTCGCTGAGCACCTCCTGGTCGGAATCACTGTCCTCGATCTTGATCTTCTGCTTGGTGGGCTGTAACTTCGTGCTGGTGCGCCGGCTTGAACCAGAAGCTGTGATGTTCCCTGCTGCTTCCTTGCCTTTGCGCTTCGCGCCTGCTTTGGGGACTGATTTGAGATCCATAGAATCCAGAGACTCAGGCTCACTAAGCCCGCTCTCGTCAACGTCGGAATCGTCAATAGACCACTTCGCCATCTTCACGCGCTTGTTCGGAGGTCCCACTCGTTCGTACTCCTCCTGTTGCAGCCTCATCGCCAGTACCTCATCATCATCTATCTCGTCGTCCGTGTCCTCGACCTTGATCATCTGCCTACTGAGAGCACTGCTCTTCCGCTTCTTGCTCGACGTCCCTCTCGTAGATGTGGCAGGTGTGGTGCCCGGCGTCTCGTACTCAGCAGAGGTGTCCCGCAGACTGCTAGCCTTCGAGGACATCGTACTGTCGGTAGGAGAGACTGCGGTCTTTGACTTCCCAAGCTTGCTCGCTGCCGCGACAGGAATCGACACCTCCTTAAGGCTTCGCGCTGCCCCCGGCTTGGTGTCCTGGACCATGATTTCGTCGCCGGAAGATGCGTACGGGTCTGAGTTCGGGACGGCTGCTCGTGATGAAAGTGTGCGTCCGCGGCCTTTGAAGTTTTCGCCTTTGGACTGCGCAGTTGCTAGGAAGAGAGATCACAAGGTCAGTAGAAGTTCTTGTGATCGCACGTGGAGGGCATGTCAGGGTGAATTACATGATCTGCGACCCGTTGCCTTCGCCATCGTGATTTACCCGCTGGATCTTTCGGGTCAGCTCCTGGTTCACACGCTGCCAGTCCAGACACCCAGGAGTGGCCGAAGGAGGGATGATGCAGGAGAAGCTGCCGGAGTCGATGGACGAGTCGAACCTGCGGCTCGGGACCGATATCGATTGGCGTTTTCGCCACCGGCTTTAAGCGTCGCGATCAGATCGCGTCAAGATCGCGTTTGACCAGATCTGCTGCGGCCAGCGATTCAGTTCAATGATTTGTGTAACACTCTATGGAGAAGATGAGAGGGAATGGTCAAGTTGTAGTTTCAAGTTGTCAATGCTGTTATGGAGAAGGTACAAGGGATGTAGGCAGAAAGGCGCCAAGTCGATACGTCGCGTGCATCACGTGTTAATTGAGGCGAACTGAATGAATATTCTCAGACTTCAGAACTATCCTGGCATAACAAATCTATCTGGTGCTATACTCTGCACTATCGGCCGCAGCCAACCCCTCCCTATTAACAGATTATATTTACAACTAGTAGTAGAGTCGTTACGTCGTCAAGATACGAAACCCTCTTTTACAATCCACTGTCAATCTCATTGGGGATATTGTCACCAGTCCAGGCACTCCAGTCACGGCATGTCTGGGCCATGATCGAAGGAATCGGCATGTCCTTCTTGATCTGCTCCGGGCCTTCAAGCAGGTTGATGTACAGGCCAGCGGACACGTGCCAAGCGATATGGCAATGGAAAGGCCAGACTCCCGGGTTATCGCCATCGATTTGGACCACAATATAGCCCGGCTCGGTTTCGCTCACACCGTTTGGCAATATCTGGACGTCTCGTCGCTGGGGATTTTTGGCGTTGACGACGCTTCCATCCCAGGTACCCTGACCTTGGGCGAGCACGTACATGTTGTGGCCGTGCATATGCATTGGGTGCACGCCGGTAGTGGCGTAGTTGTAGACGACAAGGCGGATGGAGGAGCTTTCGCCGAAGTTGTAGACGTTCGACTCTGCTGGGAAAGTCGAGTGGCCGAGCTTGGCTTCGAGCTGCAAAGAGAAGGCAAATTCATTAGCATAGTTCTCAGATGTATTGCGGGTGGCTCAGGGGTTTCTCACCAATAATGGATCATTGTAGTTGGCGCGGAACGTCGAGTTGTTCATGAAGAACAGGTTGTGTGTGCCGTTCGTCTGGAAGGTGATGTCCACTTGCTGGACAGACGGTGGGTTGGGGTCCGGCGTGATGCTGAAGTACGGCACAGTCATCTCCAGCGAGTCGCCATCGCAGTTCAGAATCTCGCTGTCGGAGACCAAAGAAGTCGTGGTCGGCAATGCGGTGTCATCTGCGTCTTCGTAGTAGATCGCGGCCACAGCCTCAGGCGATACGCCATCGTTGAGCGTGCAACCGCCGTCGAAAGCAGATGGTCCAAGAGTCGACCTCATCCACACGGCATCCTTGGAATCTCCGTTCGCTTCGAGAATGACATCAGCCCGCTGGCCGATGGCAAGCGTTACTACGTCCACTTCATAAGGCACGATAGGCACATAGTCGTTCTGGATGATCTTGAGCTTGTACCCATCGACAGAGAACTTCTGGATTCCCTCTGCACCGCCATTGATCAGACGCAGACGGTAGCTCTGGCCGGACTTGACGTAGAACTTGGAAATGCCGGCGTTGGGCGTGCAGTTCGTGGTGTCGTTCGCGCAAGGGTAGTTCATCTTGCCGTTGATGAGGTTGTTCTGGGAGACGGGTGGCAAAAGGCCCTCGGACGCCGGAGCCATGACTTGTTCAACGAGGGTGAAGTAGTCGTCGTGGTACCAATCGGTGAGGAGGACTGGGCCGAGGTCGACGTCGTAGTCAGCCTGTTCGTGTGGCCCATAGATGATCATGGGACCGAGGATGCCGTCGGTGTACTGAGCAGAGTAGTGAGAGTGGTAGAAAGAGCTTCCATAGAGATCAGCTCTGAAGCGGTAAGTGAACGAAGAGCCTGGTGCGATAGGACACTGCATGACCGAAGGTACGCCGTCGAACCAAGGTGTATCCGACTGCAGCAGACCGTGCCAATGAAGAGCTGTGCCTTCGTCAGATAGCTGGTTGTGGACATTGACTTCTATCCAGTCACCCCAGTTGGCCTCGATCGTCGGACCTGGGAAAGCACCGTTTACGACCATTCCCGGTCGCGAGAAGCCATCTGGGGCTATGTCCTGCTCACTGATGGTGAAGTCGTAATGCCTGGTAACGCCGGTGTTAGGGGTGTCCTTGTATTGGTTGGTGTGTCCAGCTGTTCGTCCGCCCCAAGGCCGGCCATGCGGCAAAGGACTGCCTCCCAGGAACGGAGGAAGATGCGGTGCCTTGTGGGTGCCGAGCGGACTCTCGCCATTGGTCTGGTGCTGGGAAAGGCCAGGTCTCAAAGAATGTTCGCCATGTGGTAGGAAAGCTGGGGAATGGAAATGGCCGCGTGCTGGACCGCCATAAGGCGACGGCTTTGGAGAAGGTTGGTCGATTTGTACAGTGTTCGCTGGATGTTGGCCCTTCCCCTTTACGACTGCGTCTTTGGGACCTCTGTGTCGACCCGGGACAGCGAAAACAGACGACACCAAGAGAGAAACCCCAATAATTAACCGTCCTGCCATGGTGTTCTGTTCTGTAACAACGAAGGAAACGAATGAAGAAACCCAACAATGAAGAATGTCCAACCACGAAAGTGTGGTCAAAGGAGAAGAACGATCACCAGGCAATAAACTTGTACATCGGCGAGGCTGATAGTCTAATAAATGAGCCGCATCGCATGACCCACCTTGCGGGAGAAGGGCTGCCACGTTTGGAGATCTTCAGATACCTACGATCATAGAACACCCCCGTCTTTCAGCACGACACCATACCTGGCCCCAACGTCCGGTTACAACGCCGCTATCTCGTCACGCATATCCCGATTCTCCAGACAAGCGAGGCTGACCCCTGCAAAACTTTTGGATCAGGCTGTGGAAAGTCAATTGTTCGAGCCGTCCACACCAGACACCGTCTTGACCGTGCTGAAGGGGTGGCAAAGTTTGGTCACTGGCAGACCGTTATCCTGCTTTGGGCCCGAGCTAAGGAAACGGCGGCGGAAGCCTCGTCTACAGGGCGAGTCGTTGAGTCCGTAAGCGAGAGGATCAGCATTTCGATACTTTGTGCATATCAGTTTGTCATTTTGCGACTGAACAGGCTGAAGCCAAGGCCCACAGGAACGAGCAGGTGCTCCAGGTCCGGTGTGGATGGGATGCTCGGCTCGCGTGCGTGTGGCTTCGACGTGAGTCGGCAATAAGAGGTGAGGTCTCCAAAAAGAGCGCGACGACCACGAGCAACTAGGACAGGGGTAAACGGTCGCTGCACTCGTGATTGCTCGAAATGGCCCGAAGCAATACGGCTCGACGCAGGACAGAAAGCCATGTGGATCGCTTTCCACCAGCTGTGCGCCTCAAGCTCTCTCGGGTCGCAACATGCGGGAACATGCAGCAACTGCACCACACCTTTCGACGGTGCCGTATTCGAGAAGTGTGTGGAAATTCAGCGGTCTCTCGTCTGTAGCAGTTTTTAAAAGCTGTTCCCTCGGCTTCCCTCGTTCGTGTTCGTGTTGTCGTTTGGCATGATTCCAGTCTCAGTACCGGTCCCGCGGCGGGTGGCGAGCTGTCTTGCCGTCCTGCTAGGAGCGAGGAGGCTGGCGACGAAAATAGTCAGCCGCTCTAGCCGATGTTCCTAGCTTGCAATCTTCTTCCCGCATCGGACATTTCTCGAGGTCCGTACCTGGATGGCGGACATCGAAGTGCAGCTCCGAGGGATATTGTTCGCCGTATCGACATGGAGTTCCATGTTGCTGACAGCCAACAGCGCTGTCCCAGGTGACAGGTCGACCCTGCATCCGTGACATGCCGGCTCGAAGGAATCTCTCCCCACGATTGTGGTGGTCTGTCCGCAAAGATGCTAAAGCTTGTTCCAACTCTGCTCGGGCAGGCGTCATCAGATTGAGCACCGCCTCTGTGCACGCAGAACTTGCATGAACAAGACATTCATCCTTGTCAGCTTAATGAAGTCTGCAATGCCTACTCCGCGGGTATGCAGACCGGAACATGGCTGAAGGTGTAGCAAGCCGGAAGTCCGGATGGCTGCGGTCTTCGAAAGCGGATATCGGCTGCCTTTTTGCAACAACCGGTCTTTGTCTCCAGTATTCAAGCCAGTCGATGATGACTACTTGCTCGAGGGTATGGTCTTCGAATGCTCTTACCTCCTATGGCCATGAGCATTCTATACGAGCTTTCGAACAGCGGGCTGCAGCTCTTTGGGGCTCTTTGGAGCTGGTGGTTAGTACAGGCTGGTCCCATGGCATGCGTATCGTCTCCGTCCTCCTCTACGTCTGTATTGCGCTGAGGTTACTGTAGTTCAAGCAAACGTCGCCGGCAGCACTCGAGACGCGGTTGCTGTGGCTTAGTCAGACGTCGACGTCGAACATGCATGTGAACATGAATGTCTCCATCACTTCACTCCTTTGCCGTGGGTCCGGGAAAAGCGTGTCGCTGATGAGAGTCGATCGTAATGTATTGGCGAAGAGTGCCTTGAAAGTTGCGTGCCTCTCCCTAAGCGTCTTATCCATGCCTAAGGTACATGTACGGTCTGGCGCATCTTGTCTGCCATTCTTACTCTCACATGCTCATGAAGGCTAACACGGAGGAATAGTACGCTCTGCTCATCGTCTTCTCCAGATCTTCTGCTGTCGAGTAGAGATAGCTGAGTGTGACTTTATGGAGCCAACATGATGAGGTCCGAGAAGGCGTTGCGTCAGGAATAGGGCAGGAGCGTCGCAGACCTTCCGTGCCTGCTTCTGTTGTATCATACTCCACTGCCTCTACCTCGACCACCCCATACCTCTCACCAGAACAACCCGTTACCCCTCCCTACCCTAATCGAACAACCAGACCACATTCTTTCCGTTCACCTCACCCTCACGCTCTCAGGCTTACTGCTCATCCTTCTCTCCTTCTCAGCAGCGTGTCTGCAGGGCTCCACTTTTGGGCAATTCAACAAAGCAACAGTCCTCGAACGCGTCCTCACGGCGCTTCTACCTCTACTTCGAAACCAACCTGTCCAAATATGGAGGACCCGGAAGAAGACAACCCTCGCATGCTCCTTGTCCGCAACGCCTACGAACCATATACAGCCGAGGTGATCCACCAGCGCTTGAACGCATCCAAAATCGACAAGCACCAGTGGATAAGCCTTCTCGCCTTCACAGAGTTCTCATATTGCGAAGCCGCTCGTAGAAGTCGTGCCTAACTCCGCAAGCTAGCGCATACCGATCGCAAGGACTATTGCCGTCGAGGCCACCCAACCGAGTTCACCAAGCCAAAAGGCAAGATTATCATCGCTCAAGCCACCGACACCAACCTCAAAGTCTCACAGCTGAACCGCGACGACCCTAAGCAAACAAGAGCTTTCATCGACGACGTTGTGTGCGAGGTGATCGAGATGCTGCCGGTCTTCCAGTATGTCAGAAAGAAAATGGTTCATGAAATGCTTGAAACTAACATTTCTGCCTCGGACGCCACCCGACCGACATGACCGGCAAGCATTTACGTACCGCGACTGGCGCCTTCGCTACGATCCCCTGCCCAAGCGGCGTACAGCTTGCGCGTCTCGCGGAGAAATGGGTCGGCTTGCACATCGACGAGATGCAAACGAACCCCATTCTCCGCGACAGGAACACCGAAGGCGATGTGCCCCACCAACCACTCCGACCTCACGTGGGCTCCAAAGAAGACCATCGAGTGGATAAGCTCGGTGCCAATGATCCAGATGATGTTCCAGGAAGAGAGCCCGAATGTCATCACTGCAACCTGCCCATTCCAGTCAACCAGATGGCGTAGCACTTCCGAGATCATGGCGACTTCGAGAGCAAGCCACTCCGGTGAGCCTAATGCAATCAGGGCTTCGAGGTGAAGGACGCGGACCCGGGGGAGGTCACCTTATCATCGAAATTCGCGTTGACGAAGGATCGGTTGCGGAAGATTAAGTCAGTCTCCCAGACCCTCGAGGTTCTCTTCACGCTATTCGTCTTTGAGTGTCCATACTGGCGGCGTGTGCTCGCTTGTGGAGTCCACGGCACTTTTCGAGAGCAGGACAGCATTGGGCCTGCAACGACCTGCACTTCATCTGATGCAGTGAGAGGATTGACCGCAACGCATGGTATTGGTCTGCCTTCTCATCGGTCTCTGCTGACACATTATGCTTTTCGGCTTGGTACGTTTGCATTGATCATGGCCACACGTTGAGAACGTTGTGCGACAGAACAAATTCATATGGGCACCAAGCATCCCAACCTCCTTGATGCTCGCTCTCGTCCATGTGAGAATCGTGCTTGGTCCTCTGCTCCACAGCAGTCCCTCCGCGATGGCCATGGCTCATCCCACGGCCTGCTTCCGACCATGCATCCGTCAGTAGCGTCAACATGGCAGCGGCATTGCAGAGGATCATGATCTCGATCTCTCCGGCCTTCACATATTTTGGCCCCGCGACACGCCGTAGACTAGCATCAACAAGTCGAAACGACACATCTGGAAGCTGTTGATTTAGCCACAAACATGGATGCAGCATTTGTCGCGCGCTCAGTCGGCGGATGTCTTTGGTCACAGAGTGATGCTCTCCAGGTTCTGAACCGATGGCGACCATGAAAGAAGGCTGTCGTTGGCTGTTTGCTTGCGTTGAGATAGCACCCGTTGACTGTCGGAGGAAGAAGATCCGAGTACCAATCTGACCAAGTATGTCCCCTGGCTCTGGAATGGCGTCGACGTATGCGAAGCGGTCCTGTCTGTAGGCGGATAGACCGCCGAGCCATGGCTGCGTGATTATGCGTATCACAAAACCTCGCCCTTCGACAAGCTCTGGCGCTCGCTCCGAAATGGGCCAGATGCTGTGTTTGTCAAAACCTGCAATTGGCAAAACTTCTGCAACCCGCGACAGCCCAGATAGCGCGAGGAGTCCTTCCGCCGTAACGGCTTCTCGAGCTGGCGGAGAATCGCAGAGTTCACGAAGCTCAGCAGAGGACAGAAGTTTTGCCATATGAGAGCAGAACGACTGGAAACCGTAGCGAGGGACTGGCCTTGCAAATTCACCAACTGTCTCGATGGGTATGTTCTCCCCTGTCCAGTGGACAAAGTTGTCCAGCAATACCTGCAATAGAGGCTTCTGATAATTCACCGCGATCTGCCTCCGGGTATCTGGGTTGGTGAGTGACAGCAGGGCATATATTTTGTCTCTAGCGTCCTGACATCCCGCGTTGCAGAACTTCACAACCAGCTCTGGAAGATCTAGGTTGTTGTAGTGCAACGCTCGATAGTCCAACAACGATAGCATGGACGCCGCCTGAGGCTTATGGCTGGCCGCGCTTCCTGTCGCACGTCTTATCTGAGGCTGGTTGGCTCTGCTGCGGCCGAGAGAGCTGACAAAACGAACATCGTTCCAGTGCGCTGCCTTCTCGCCTTGGAACAACCAAACGTCCTTTGCCAGAATGACTTCCTGTTTGATCCACAGACGAGTCCAATAGGGACTCGATGCAACAACTTCAAGAGCTGTTGAGTACTGCCGAGATATAGAATTCCAGGAACTATTATTTCGCCGGCTCAATCGAATGGACTCAATGCGATCCATCTCTTCGTCCCCAGACTCATGACCTATTCCGAGCCAGCCGTATACTGCATCCGCTGCTGTATACAGCTCACCCATGAATGAGACTTGGTAACTCAGCTCTCGAAGGTCGCTCTGTTGAATGCAAGTGTAATCAGCCCACACACGGATAGTGTCCGTTTTCCTTTGGCAGAAGCGCGCTCTAAGCGCGTGTAGAAACAGCCACAGGTTCTGCCTGATCTGCGTGATGTGGCCGTTGAGCGATATCGACTGAGTCGGAGACGGAGGGCCCCAGACATACGAGAGAGCGTAGAACGGATTTGCAGCACTCAGGTCTACCGACTCGAGTGAGCATACCAGCATTGTTCGCGGGTCCGGTCCAGCATGGATCCTCATAAGCCGAATCTGCTTCCTTGATTCGTCAAGTGGAGGATAAATGAGAGGCATTTTGTCGATGCAATCCATACTGCATGATAGTGTTGCGATAATTCCTTGTCACTTGACTGTCGAGAGGAGAAGAACCTGGTCACTGCCGAAGTGCATAGCCTTGTTGCCGCTTGTTTTAGGTTGTTCCAGGCGCTGCCACTTTGATGCTTCTCAGCTTCGTGGAACAAGCAGCCTCAGCCTAAAACAAGGCGAGAAGAAGCGGATGATGTGGTGCAATCTATTGAATCATCGGCGGCCTGCCTGACAAGGTGCTGAACGAAGCGATTCAAACTTGCGCTAACAGAACAGAAGGCAACCAGAGACAAGTCGCAGGCGACATTGGATGTATTTCGTTCTTGATTGGAGGTTGACATCCTCAAGAAGAGACCTCCCATTATCTACCGTTTCAGCGGTGACCAGCGTCTTGTCTCCATTCCTTGCTAATCGGTCACGGACTGTTCTGCTTTGCGCTTCCTCCACTCCCAACCGTTCGCCCTTACGATCCAGTACATTGGTAAAGTAGCCCAACATAGACCGCCAATCAAGGTGAACGTCCAGCCTGACCCCAAGGCATTCATCACGACCTGGACGACGACGACACCTCCGGCTGCGATAATACAGCGTGTGATGCTCACAGACGCTGAAGCAGTAACAGGTCGGTCGGGTTGCACATCGACAATCAATGTGTTGGAGATGTTGAATACTCCTGTAACGGCAAATCCAATGACGAATTGCAAGATCAGAGGCACGGCAAGATGGGTGCGTGCCGTAAGTGACCAGCCGTAGCCTATTACACAGGTCGATCCCAGCGTAACATATCTAGGATTCAATTACATTAGCACAAGTACTTTGTGTAGTACTTCTTTGTGGATACGCTTACATCCAGACTGATCGTAAACGAGCCTTCTCGATGGGAAAATGCAGGATATTGTCGCCTCGTAGGCGATCGATGGACAGATTGTGTTGCTTCGCCGTGATGCGATAGTCACGATCAGTAATCAGCCCTATGACATACTAACAGTAAGTGGTCAGCTTGATGTTCTCGCTCAGCGGACTCTCGATACGAACGCTGGCGACCGCACCCGCAACTCCATACGGAAGGTAACAGAGGCCAGCTTGCAGCGGAGACAGACCATATAGCTGCTGCAGAAGTGGCGCTGTGGTAGCCTGTAGGAACGAGTACGTCATGTAAAACGTAGCGTTGGCGAGGAGCACTGGCAGGGTGTTTTTGTGGAAGATTAACTTTAGGCATGGAACGACATTAGGGGCCCGAAGTCGAACTGGCTTCGGCGGTTCGTCCCTACGTCCTTTTTGTAGAAACTGTAAGATGTTCCAATTGAAGCGTTGGGGTGGTATACTGCCGTTGTCGACGATGCTTCTCGCAGTCTCGTAGAAGAAGAGGGCCAGCAATATGAGGAGAGTCGCAGAAGCTGTCGCCAGAAAGACGAAGATCCATGGCCATCCTGCTCGATCGGTAATAAGTCCTCCAACGACAGGACCAAGTGCTGGTGCGCTGTTGAAACCCATAACCGATAGTCCCACGTACTTGCCACGTTCGTGAGGAGCAGCGATGTCACCGATCACTCCATATCCCAAAGCAATAGTTGCAGAGCTTCCAGCACTCTGTATCATGCGAAGGACAAGTAGTGCGGCATAGTCCCGTTGCAGAGCCAGGCCAATGCTGGCAGCACAGTAGAGTGTGAAGATGCTCAGGTAGACCGGTCTTCTGCCGATGCCATCTGAAATGTCACCCAGCAGAGGTGGCACAATCCCCTGGACGACGAGGTAAACAGTGACCGTTACATTCATGAGTTCGAGCGAGACATGGAAATCCTTCGATATCGAGTGTAGGGACGGGAAGTAGGTGAAGGCTGTGAAAGGCGAGAAGAATCCTGCGAGCGCTACCAAGCATACGGTAAGAATCGCCTGAGGTCTCGTGAAGGTGCTATAAGCGGCACCTTGTTCCACGTTGCTCTTTCCTGTTTGACGTCGATAGTAAGATGCTGGGTCTTCTCATCTGGCGAATCCATACGACTGTTCGCCGACATCGTGGTGCCCTCTCGACCTGGGGCTTGTGTGCGTTCTTACAGATGCGGCTCGATAGAGGGACATTGCCAGTCATGAAGAGTGCCCGGAAATGCAGCTTCCAACAGCCTTAGCTCGCCTGGCTGATCAGCTTCATCAAGAATTGTGAGGCTATTTCTGCGGACCATGTGACGGAATGATACAAGGCTGCAGGATGCAATGTTGCTTCGTTCACCAGCAGGGCCGGCGTTCAACGTACGCTTACCGAATAAGTACTAGTCACGTGCTCAAGCGTATCAACATGATGACCTGGAAGCGTTCAGAAATTGGCGTACAACATGGACCCAAGTCCAACCGTAGCTACTACAAGGGCTGCAAATGCTGGAGCCGCCAACGGCAATATTGGTATATGTCACGATGGGATGTGTCTATTCCAGTAACAGTGCATCAATTACGGAGGTAAGCAACGAGCGAACTAACTATGCCTGAGCACCTACAACCGCTGCCTTCTGCGGACTGTATTTCTCGTTCAAATAACGCATATCCCCGAAAATGCTTTGGGGACGTCAGATATCAAATCGCCAATCTCAAGTGATGCGGTCTCCGACTTACATCTCACGCTGACGCTCACAAGAGTCAGGCCATCCAATCGAGTGGGCAATGTTGAACTTGATGCCGTACAGCCGGTTGCGGTCATCCCACTGCTCTTTCGGTTCGCTCGGGGGCACATGTTTCAAATACTGTCGTATGTGTGGTCTGCCGAATCGTACAGCTGGTGTAGCACGCCACATACCAAAGTCGTATTCGTTGTGGCCGTAGAACACAGCGGCATCGAACACCTTGGGCTGACCTGTACGAAGTGCCTTGCGACAGTTCTCGTCCCACAAGTTGCCGTGGACCAGAGAAGGTTTCAGCATGCGGCCCTCAAGTTGTAGAGGCTCCAGAATCTGAGGCACGGCCTCCGAGATCAGCTTGTCAAACTCTGCTTCATAAACGCCGTCTGCCGAAGGCCGATTCGTGTTAATCTCGCGGTCGAAAAACTGACGAAGCAGTCGACCGAAGAATACCGACCAAGAATCCTCCCACGACGTGTTTTGCGGATGCGGGCCGTGGCATGTAACCATCTGGAAGCCAAACTTCCCTGTTGGCGATTTGCTGGTCCTGTGAAGTTGCTCCAAGTGCTTGCAGAAGACTTCTGGCGGATGCGCACCTGTGTCGATGTCGAGGAGCTCCATCAAGAAGAAGTACGTTGGAATGCTAGCATCTAGGAGCTGGCCTTTGGCATAGGGTATCGGCGTGAACGAGCTGTTATACTTTGCGATCTCGCTAATGGAAGCGAATTCGCCCTCAATCATCTGTCTTCCCATATCTTCAGAGGCACACTAGACATCGTCATTCCTTCACGCGAGTAGAGACTGCGACTACTACTCACCTTCAGGAAGCAGGATTTCTCGGTACCATCTTCAAGAGACACTATGGTTCGAGTAGCTCTCGTCCAAGCGGCTGTGCCGTAGGTGAAAGACCTTAGAATCTTGCACCTGTCAGGAAGGCCTAAGAAATTTTTATTAGCAGCACCTCCAACGTTGGCAGACGCAGGTTGATCTCGCATCTCTTGACGTTAACATCCAGTTCTACATCGGAGTCGAGAATGGGATGGGCTTCCTCGTCCCGGAAAAAGAAAGAATCCATCAAACCAGATGATGGCTAACTGAACAAGACGGTCAGAAAGTCTTTGCTTACGCTGCTTCAAGCGAGACTAGTGTTCAACGAAAAGGGCCGGCCTCTTTGAATCTCCCGTTTCTCTTCTGTCGTCCTCGACATCTATTCGCTGGCGCATATGCTCTTGTGGCTTCTGCACTCCAATCATGGGCAAGCTGTCGTCCAGCTGGACGCGCCCGGTGCGGGTACGGTGCTGCCAGCCTTGTTCCATTAGGCTGAGGAGGTGCTTTCGAGTACGCCGTCGTCGACGATACACTGACAAGTCCGGTATGCTGACCACGGGAAACTCGAGACCAAGGGCTGCAAATCCTTACCCATATCTCTGGGAACATCTCCATCCCCATCAAGCGGGTGACAGTGAAAAGGGCCGCAGAGGCAGGATACTGCGCGGATTGGAGCGGACTCCAGTCCGGTCTCGTGGCCCTTTTCACTGTCGCCCGCTTGCCTGACATCGGCGGAAATACAGTAGCTCTCAGTACCGATGCGAGGTTCCGATCTTGCGCAGCCAAGCAAGTCCAGTGTTTTAAATGCCTTGCAAGTGAGCGCCAGCCGCGCGCTCGATGGTCGACTGCTGAAGTCGAGAGCGACGCCTTGACCGTTCCATATACTCTCCTCGTCGCAGCGCTGGTCGAATCCAAAGGGTCGTTGATCCAGCCACGAGTCACGGTACGAGATGCAAGACTGAACGGGCCGCTCCCAAGCTTCGAGCGATGTGGGTATGAGTTGCAAACGTGCGCCTTCAAAGTCCTTGCAGCCATGCTGATTCTGGGTTTGTATAGCCTTCCCTACAAGACAATTACCGTTCCCAGCCCTCTCATCCCTTCCGCGGGTACGCTGATCGAAACGTTGGTGATGAGGATGAGCACAGTGAAGATTTGGGGCTTGGGTGGTCGAGCAGCCGGCGGAGTCGCGGGCAACATCTTCCATCGAACCATGCCCTTCGCCGCGAGACTCTACACTCCCAAGGTCCGTCATCATCGTCCTACACAGGAAATGTGAGCATACCTCATCACCCTCCTACCGGCGGCGCAGCGCGCAGACGATCTCAAGTACCCGAGGGAAGGACGGATCCTGTTGGGCTTACGGTGCTACATGAGCCTAAGGATGTGCCAATTGCGGACCTAGTCTTCGTGCATAGTTTAGGAGGAGGCAGTTTCCGCAGCTGGACGAAGGATGACAGGCCAGATGCTCTATGGCCTCTCACTTGGCTTTCTACAGAAAGCTTGATTGAGTCCGCTCGGATAACCACCTACGGCTACAGCGCATATACATCTGCTTCGGATCCTGACCGTCTGCTTGATATATCCGGCTTCGCAAAGGACCTCCTAGCAAAGCTGCGCTTCGGCCATGGTCGAGAGGACAGATCTCTGGACGCGGGAGGCGTGCCAATCATTTTCGTATCGCATTCCTTGGGAGGACTAATCGCCAAGAAGGCATATCTTTTGGCTGTCTCTGATTCCACGTCGACCTACCGGCAGATCGCACAAGCTACTTCGGCCTTCGTCTTCTTCTCGACACCCCATCAAGCGCTCGACGAAGGTTCTGTGGTCCATGACATACTTCTGGCCTGCGTGGCAGGATGGCGATCTTACCAAACTGATACAGTCAAGAGGCATCTGCCGGCTCTCAACGATACCAATGAGAAATTCAGAGACATGGCCTCGCCTCTGAGCATCTACTCGTTCTACGAACGTCCTCTCACGCGTTACTACTCTGAATCTGAGCCGTATGTTCTCCCCCAAGACTTGGCGATCCTTGATCATCCAAGTGAAACCTCGATACCATTGGATTCCGATCACCTTTCGATGACAAAATATGGCTCACGCACGGATCCAAACTACCAGAGCGTCCGTGGTGCACTTCGCTTCCTTGTTGAGAAGTTGAATTCACGCAGAAGAGCCGCTTTTCCTGATAACACTGCAAGTCAAATGGAAGAAGTCAGCCGGCTGCTTCGCGGCTTCGAGGCTCCGCAGGACGATCTACAGTCTTTCTCTGATAGGCGCATTTCAGGCTCATGCGAGTGGGTTCTCCATCACCCGACTATGCACTCGTTCCTTACCCACGACTTCTCTCAGCCACAGCTGCTGTGGTGCCACGGAAAGCTAGGCAGTGGCAAATCCGTTACTGCGACGTATCTAATAGAGCATCTTCAGGCCGATGACCAAGCCTGCGCGTATTACTATTTCGGCTCTGGACAGCAAGTCAAGAACAACTTGAATCGGTTCTTGTCAACTATTGCTTTGCAGCTTGCCCAGCAGATACCAGAGTACCGCCGGAAACTCTGCACCCTCGCGGCAGAGTCGATCGACGTTGGGAGAAATAGCCACAAGATGCTTTGGAAAAAGTTGTTCATCTCAACGCTGGTCAGATGCAGCTCAAGGGTACCCTTCTACATCGTGATCGACGGATTGGATGAATTTGCACAAACGAAGGAGCTTCTTCAGAAAATGCTGATTGAGCTCGAAGGTGCACAGGTACCCCTACGCCTATTACTTTTCAGTCGGCCAACACCAGAGATAAGCGTGTCAATTGAGCGACTGTCGAAGCGTGTTGGTGTGCAACGTCTAGCCTTGGATAACAATGCTGAGGATCTGGAGTTGTATGTTCGGGATGAAATGGATGTCATGATGGGCGACGATGACTTCAAAGAGGAGACAGTGAATCGTATCCTTGCGAAAGCTAACGGGAACTTCCTGTGGGCTCATCTTGTCGTGCAGGAAATCTTGACCTGCCAAATGGAAGAACAGGTGGAACAAGCGTTGAGGCAAGTGCCTAGCGAACTTATTCCTCTGTACAAGCGCATGGACACTCGACTTTCGGACATGTGCCGCTCGCGCCCCCAAGATCAAAGATTGGGTCACGCGATAATCATCTGGACAGCTTGTGCGCGACGACCACTTCACTTGGACGAGCTCGAGATCGCTCTGGAGCACGAATTTCCAAGGATCTTGGATATGGGCCAAACGATACAAAAGCTCTGTGGCGAATTCGTTTCCGTTGACAAAAAAGGGCATGCTCAAATGATGCACCCCTCCGCCAGGGAGTTCTTGATATCGCACACGGAGCTAAGCTACTACGTCGACGTTCGAAAGGCACATCACAGCCTGTTCACGAGATGTGTGCACGCTCTCGCATCTCCAAGACGGGACTACAGTAACCACAAAGACGCCACACGAGCTTTCCAGCTCTACGCGGCATCGTCTTGGCCATTCCATCTGAACCAGAGCTCAGATCATGAAGACCAGCAGTCCCTTCTTTCGATTTCGAATCTTATTGCCAGCCGTGCAATACTGGATTGGATGGTGATGCTAGTGCAAGCTGGCAACCTCCGCGCATTGGTCGATGCATCGAAGGCGTTGAGCTACCTCCTCAAGACGGTTGAGAAAGCGGACCGGGATCGTAGTCCCATGGAGCATCGACTACAAGCCATTGATCATGTACAGTGCTGGGCGCAAGATCTGATCCGTGTGGTGGGCAAGTTTGGCGGTCAAATCATCGACCAACCGAAGACTGTGTATCGATTGTTGCCGGCGTTCTGCCCGCAGCAGTCTATCTTGCACAGACAATTTTGCACTGGACCTCCGCACCATGCGAGCAGACAAGACTTGCCCTTGCTTATCCGCGGCAAGCTCAGCCATGTTTGGGACGACTGTTTCGCCAAGTTCCCAATCGCTGGTGATTCTTTACCAAGCGCTGTCTTGAGTCTTGATCGCTACTTCGCCATCTTGACTAAGGACGATGGCACGGTTCATCTCTACTATTCGACCACATGCGAAGCCGCTCGTCGGCTCTGCCATGGAGACCATGTCCTAACGTTCTGCGTTGACCCTTCGATTACGCGCATCGCAACATGCGGGTTCCACAAAACAATGGTATGGGGTATCGAAAGTGGGAGACTGCTCTTCAGTGTGGAAAACCCAGATCACGCGAAGGCCCTGGCAATCAGCTTTCAACGCGGAGACCGCGGAGAGGAGACGCTACTCACCTTCTCGGACGACAGGACCGTTCGGACTTGCTCACTCGAGGCAATGCGGATCGAATGGCAACGTCTCAGACCCAGTCTTGATAGTGAAGTGACACATCCTCACGAAGTGAACGCTCCGCACAATGCTCAGTTTAGTCCTGATGGACTCTACCTCGCGATATCCTTTCGAGGCGCTAGTCCGGCTGTTTGGTATCTGGGAGACTCCGTTCCGCGATTCGTTGCACATTTTGACGAGCGTTCCCGCGGAAGCTCGATCCATCTACACGAACACACCAGGGTTATCTATATCCAGGCTTTCGCGTGGAATCCTCTCACAGGCCATCTACTTGGGACCTATTACGGCGGCGGAGTCTTCAAGTGGCATCCGCGCGATAGAGACTTTGCAATTGATGACTCTAAATGTGAGTCCATCAAGTGCTCAGCGGACGGCAAACTTTTCATTACCGGAAGCAGCGATGGGGCCTTGCGTATATGGGATTTTGAGCATTTCACGCCCATCTACCAGCTACGGTACCCACTACACATTGAAGACCTTGACCTCGCTCGGAGCGAAGCACGTATCTACGATCTAAGGGAGCAGTACTGCAACATCTGGGAGCCTACCAGCCTGCTGAAAGCTCTAGAGAGCGACGATGTCACAAGCGACACTCAGAGCAGCGACATGCCTTCGTTCGTTGCAGAATCTGTTGGAGAGCAGGAAAATTTCGAGCCAATAACCGCTCTCGCATCGCTAGGTTCTGCTGATTTGTATGTCAAAGGGGACGACGCGGGACAAATCTCTATCTGTGACTTTGACGGAGTAGCAGTTGCAGAGACCCCAGCAAGTCCAATGAGCATCGAACAGCTCTCATGGTGTGGAGCTGCACAGCTGCTGGCCAGCGTCGACTTAGGGCGGGAAATTGTGGTCAGAAAGCTTGAGTCCTTTCCCGCGGAGGACCGGTGGCACAAAGAGACTGCGGTGGTGCAGACCTATTCTGAATGGGACGAGGTTCATCAGATTGAATTACAGCTCTCCGGTGAACGGCTGCTGGTTGTGACCCCCGATGCCTTGAAAGTTCACACCGTTCGGGAGAGCAGCGCGCCTGTTGTGATACCTGTGGTACACGCGAAACGGTGGATTACACACCCGACAGACGACAACCTCGTCCTGGGGTTTGGTCCCCATCAGGTCACATCGCTCCCCTGGGACGATCCTTTGAACGCATCCTCGCTGGTGTATCGGCCTTCTGCGCAGAATGGAATGGATTCGGCAGCTGAAGCGATGGCTTCCCTACGACTGCCAAATCCGAGACGGCCTTCCCAAGCGTACCCTGCAAGTCCTTCGGAGATCAATCAGACAGCTCACAAAGTCTTCATATCGCCAAGCACGGACTTGGCTATGGTTGAGCTCTTCGAAACCACAAAGCAGACCCGGCGGCGGGCTGCATGTCTACTAATGGAGACGAAGCACTTTTCCAAGAAGACCACAGAAACCTCCATACCAGTCTGCTCACTTCCGTCCGACCTTACGGACAACCTGTACATCTCATTGGGGTTTGTCAACGCGGAGAGTCAAGCGACCGCCAATCATCGAGGCTCTTTTGCCGAGCACCGCAGGTCCAGTGTCCGACGACAATACAACCTCAGCACATTCGTGTTCGTGGATAGGAATTTCTGGGTCTGCACTTCAGACGTCGGGTTTCCACAAGAGCAGAACGTGGCTATCCGAAAGCATTTCCCATTACCACGAGACTGGCAGAATGCTGAGTGTCTGGATATGGCAACGGTAACGGAAACTGGAAACATCTTGTGTCCTCGCAATGGAAATGTGGCGGTGGTGTCCAACGGATTGATAGAGGAGTATGATGCCTAATGCGGTGGTTTGGGAAATCTTTCTGCACACGACCACCTGCTCGCATATCTGTTAGCGTACGCGGCCTTTTGAGCATGTGGCTTGCGGCTTGGTTGAGGTCTTTCACAGCTTGATACCCCATGAGTTTTAGATCTCATATAGTCTATCTTTGCAATTAGGGAGATGCTTGTTTATCACAGACTGCTGAAGACATGTTGATCCAGCTGTGCAATTCAGAATGCTCGCCTGGCTGGAAGCCATCTTCATGGGCTTCAGAGATTGATTGACATAGCAAAGATATCTACAACGGGTATCACAGGCGCCATTAGTGAGCACGAGCTCCATTCACTTCGTCCACATCGCCAGTCATCGGAATTCTAGATTCGGATGATTCCATCACAAGCCCATGCAAAGCCAGTTCATCCACTCCCAGAAGAACTAGCAATGCTGTCCCTCCTTTGCGCCAGCCCAGACGACCTACCACTGATCTTCCTATCCTTCCCCCGTCCCTTAATCCCCTTGTTACAATTCTTATACAAACCCCCAAAATACTCCCACAACTCCTTCTCCCACGTCTGCACGACATCCCCATCCCTCAGATTCTCAAACCGCTCTTTCAGCCGGCGTATCGTCTCCACATGGAATTTGTTCTGATGCGACTTCAGATTCCCCAGCTGCGTGAACTGCTTATTGCAATCGTCGAGTTTGCAGAGGAAAGGCTTCTGCCCGCCGTGGATGATCTTGTGGGCGCGGACGTTGCCGTGTTGCGCGAACATCTTGCCGCAGGTGTTGCATTTGTACGGGCGTTCGCCGGTGTGTCGGCGCTCGTGGGTCTTGAGGTTGCCGAGTTGGCTGAAGCGTTGGCCGCAGGAGGGCTCGGAGCAGAGGAAGGGTTTGACGCCTGTGTGGGCTCGGGTGTGGATTTCGAGGTGTGTTTTTTGGTAGAAGGATTTGTCGCAGCCCGGGAGGTTGCAGAAGTATCGTTTCGATCGTGGATTGGTGGTTCGGGATTTGGGTGTTGGCTTGTGGTCTTTCGAATCTGACTTCGACTGGATGGCCCGCATAAGTGTATCGATCTCGGTGGAGAAGACGGCCGGCTTGCTTTCGTCCGAGGCTTCAGATGAGCTCCGCGAGGATGGCGAGTCCACATCAAAGACAAGCGGAGGAGGCTGTAAGGGCGAAGGCTCCTCCATCTTGATGTATGGCTCAGAGTCTAAGCTTGAGCTAGTATCAGCACGCAGCAGGTTGGCTGGCATGGCTCCGAACGACTGCGCCGGAGCAGCCCAAGACAACGAGCCAAAGTTGGCTCCATTGAAAGTTGTGGATAGATCGTAGGGGTTCGTGAAGGCGTTGTTGAGGCCACTCGCAGATCCGTCGACGGCAGCAAGGTTCACGAAGCCATCGTTAGCTGCTAATGGTTGCTGCGGCGTTTGTGCTGGCTGGGTCTGCGCTTGATGTTGCTGTTGCGACTGCGTTCGTAGCTGAGAGGGATATTGCTGTTGCGTCCGCTGATATGTTTGCACTGACTCATGTCCTGGTGTGGTGTTCAAAGGGTTCGGCCGAAAGTTCAGATTGAATAATTCTGTCATGTCGGCGGTTTGGTATTGCGCTTGGCTGAATCTGCGCTGGAGTAGGCTGCTCGGATGGTGAGCAGGTAGTGTTGTAGTCATGTCCATGAGAGCGACCGTATCCGACTTTCGACGACTGGCTGTAGTGAAGAGTATCGATTTCCTTCCCGTCTGATGTCCCGGCTCGTCGGACGTGAGATGGGTACTGCAGGGCGGCGTCCACAACAATGTAAATATGTACAAGGAAGAAGAAAAGTAACACAACGTGTATAGCAAGAGAGGAACAGAGAAAGAGAGATCGAGTAGCGCGGCCGCGCAGACCTACCTGTGTATTTCCGTTGACATACAAGATCACCAACACCGTTCTCTGCTATCTGCTCCACGTCAAATGACGAAAGGCAATCGTCCCACCGCCCACTCGGTACCGTGCAGAGTGGGCATCGAATAAGGCTAAGATGATGTGGCGCAACCCCATATTAGCAGGCGAGAGAGTCCCAGAGTACCGTAAAGAGATCGAGATGGACGCGGGATAAGAAGGCGACAGCAGCAGATTTGGGGGAAGGAATGTGATGTGAGCGTGCAGCGGCTCTGCGGGACAAGGCCGGCACCAGGATTGAGTCGACCTATCCGAGTGGGCGGTAAAGATCGACTATAAGCGTTGTAGACAAGCGTGCATGATCTGCTCGTTTCGTGGGTCACGCTGCGACGGGATGAAGCCATAGCGTGAGCTCTGAAGCGAAGATTTTGAGGCCCGTGGCTGAGCTATCGTGAGCGAATATTTGTGATAGGAGCAAGCCGCATAGATAGTGCGTGGACAAGAGCAGTCCCTCATGCGGGGAGCGGCCCTGAGCTTTCGTTAAGCAGGGTGGCTCGGGGTGGGCATGGTCATGGTGGGATGGATGGGCAAACAACAGTCCCACTGCTCCGGCGCGGGTAAAGCTGGGTCCAAAGATCAGGGCAGCGATATCCGTATCTCTCCCAAGACAAACCAGTGTAGTTGGAGGTTAGTGCAGATCGAGGATATCTGAGGATCGCCCCCCTTCAACCCGGCCATCCTCGGTCTTCCAGCCCGATTGCCCGGCTCTCATTTTGCGATGTAACCCAGCTGTGACATCCCGCTGGACCTTGTCGAGACGCTGTAGAAGGCCAAGGCAGGATTCGCCTGCGCCGTCGAGACAGTCAATGTAGCCAATGGCAGTCGGCTACCTTGCCCATCCTCCAACTGCCATCATCCCACCCACCGCTCGAGCGGCTCTCGCTTGCCTGCGGGGCTTGCAGAAAAGTCGAAAGGCAAATTGCCGCCAGCGTACAAATCCGCATCGAGGAACGAATGCTGTTGTCGCTGGCTGGGAGCCGGCTGAATGCGTTGTTTCGATTGGTTATCAGAGTTTGGAATATGTGTCCTCGGGTCGTGGACAGTGCTGATGGCGACGAGGCCTGCTGTCCATCTCATCGTCTCGCCAGCCTCCGATGTCAGCGTGGGCGGCGGCGACGAGGTCACATCGCGCTGCGTCAGAGACGTCCAGCAGACATATCTGCTGTCAGTTAGATTGCTCAAGAAAATTGGGATGCTTGGGGTTTGTTGCTGTCAAGAGCTTCGGCAGGTGGAGGTGAATTGACTCGGCACGTGGCAACCAATGTTGACTTTGACAAAATAACGTGATTTCTTTTCAGCCTTACAACTGGCTACATACAACAGAACTCAATCGCGTCCCTAGCTACCGTTGGAGACTCGAACCACAGTATCACAGATTGACATATTCGGAGCGTAGGTGCAACGTCCTTGCAACATCCCTTCAGACACCGCCAAATCTCTTATCTCGACCTTCTACTCCTTCAAACGACTCTTAATTTGTACCTGGTTGACCGAGTTGCAAGCGGGCAGTAGCTCTCTGACCATTAATCCGGCAAGCAAATATACGCAGCATGCCACCATCACGCCAACCAGCCGACCCCTTCTCCTCCCAACCACCACTGCAACCCACAACGTCCAATTCAACGTCCCTCCGCAGCCAAACCTCTCAACACAGCCTCCGCTCCAACGCAAGCTCCGCCTCGACCCGTCCACGCCAACCCAACAACCTCTTCGCGCCGTCGCTATCCCGCCGCCCAACCAGCAGAGCCACCCCGCGCGTCGACGACGAGGTCCTGGCAGACTCAGACTCCGAGCAGGACCTTCCAGTCCAGACTCGCCAGCGGCAACTACGCAGAACACGGCATGGGTCGCCGGAAGGGAAGCAGAACAGACAAAAACCGAAGCAAGAGGACGAGCTGGAGTTCGTAAACAGGCAGCCGGACGGGAGCTATTTGCTAGGTGTGAGCGGATATGGAGAGGCTACAGCTGTGCCGCAGATAGGACAGTTGCAGACGGAGGACGAAGCTGATCAGGCTGGTGGGTATTGATGATGCAGCAGTGTTTACGATGTCAAGCTGACTCCGATGCAGAACTTGATGCGCACTATGTGTCTGTAGCGAGGCAGTACTTTAGCTCTGGCGCTGCGCTGGGGGAGAGGAGTGGTAGCAAGAAGCATGAGGAGGCTGGTAAGTTCTGAGCGAAGTATAGCCTACGCGGTAGCTGACGACGTCTTAGACTTCGAGCAATTACGACTACCCATGATGATGCGGCTAAGAGAACAGGTCATGCAGCAGCTGGAGGAGGAGAGGTGGCGGTATGAGCCCCTCGACAGGTTCTGATGGGATGCTTAGGTCGGCATTAGGCGACATAAAATGGACCCGATCATGGCCAACAACACGTATGATCATGATCAGTCACACGTCTGATAGGAACGCTGTGCGACCTTGTCATTCCGCCGATCGGCCAGCGTGCTTGTGCTGCGTGCTACCAGCATTGCGGTTCGTCGATTACGTGGTCGCACACAGCACTCCTCTTGTACCTCCCCACACATCACGCCACCCTGGTTCGGTACGGTCGACAGAAGTGTGGTTGGCGCTACTGGAACCGCCGGATGAACTGTGTGGAGAGCGTGGCTTACCAGGGATGGTTGGGGGAATGAATGAAGGATCGGAGAACGAATACCTCAGCACAGCATAGACCGAATGAAAGCCCAAGGCAACGAATGTCTCGACAATCAAGCGCAACGGTCAATTCGTAAAATAGCACAGAAACATTAGGAGGTTGAGGTTGTTGAAAGACCAAGAGCACGAGTCAGGGCAGAAACAAGCTTTGTGGTGCTTCTACCGTGCATTAGCGCACCCGCCGTTGACTCCACTCCATCAAGGCGAAGCTCTCAATCGCGGCGCTGAACCGAGATTCTCATGTCCTCCACCATCGCCGGCTGTTCCTCCATACCACTATCACTGCCTTGCCTTGCTATACCGTCGTCGTCGCTGCCACCGCACAGCTCATGCGACTGAATCTACTTGCATCGTGAAAAGCAGAAGATACGCCCAGAAGAAGTAGCTTGACCACAGCCTCGAGGCCGTCGCAAGCGGGCGCAACAACGGTGGGAAGGCCGCCCGGTACCACTCGATCCCGCGCGCCAACGACGACGACACAATGTATCGCGGCATGCCGCCAGGAGGGCCGGGGCAGCCGGCGCCCGAGACCAGACTGGCCGAGCTGCTGGAGCAAGTGAGGAGGGAGTTTGAACAGCAGGCTGCTTTGAGGAGCGAGACCGATCACCAGAGTACGTTATCCCTTGGGCAGACCCGATCTACAAGTAGCAACAGGAGGGTGCGACATGGCACAAGGGAGCTTGGGCTGTGCGACTCCTTTGACCATGGGCAGACGCACGGTCTTAGCTGTCTTGCTTGCTATTCTACCACCATCTCTATAAGTTGGCTGCCAGACCTCGCTGACCTTGTATTGTCGCAGTGAACGAGCAGTATCGGGAGGTCGAACTCATTAACGGCAAGATCTACCAGCTTCAGCAAACACACGTGACGATGAAGAAGCAGTAAGTCTCCAGAGGTTCATACACCCGGAGAAGGCTGACGTCCTGCAGGTACGAAGAAGAGCTGGCCCGCCTTCGTCACGAGCTCGAGCAACGCGGAGGTGCACCACCTGGCGCGCACGCCGGTCCGTCGCAGCCTCCACCACCGGCCATCGGCCATGGCCCAGCCAACCTCTTTCAAGGCATCATGACTGGCGCTGGCGGTCAAGGCGGACCTGGTCTCGCTCCGCCACCCCAGGATCAGCAGGGCGCGCCCGGCATGCCCGGACACATGCAAGGTCAAGCACCGCCAGGTCTCAATGTGCCGCCAGGCCCTCCTCATAACCCTTTCGGATACAACCAGCCGCAAGGACCAGGCATCAATGGTATGTCGACTTCATTCTCCTAGATCCCAGTGCGTTCCAGAATCTAACAGCCCCGCTGATCAAGACCGTCCGCGATAGGCTACGGTCCGCAGGTGCCTCAATCCACCGCCTCTCCAGGCCCAGGTAACGCTCTCCTTGGCGGTGGTCGCCTCGGCGGACCCGCCACCACTCCTCAACAAATTCAAGCCAACCCTTATGCAGGCTCGCCCGCGATGGGTCGCCCGACTCCTCCACCAGGCCAAGCCGCGCGGTTTGCGCCCGACTTCCAGTACTCTCAAGCCGAGATTGAACGCATCGGCAATACCCTGTCCGACTACGATCTCGATAAACTTCCTCCACATCTCAAGCGGCAAGGCGAGGACTGGCATGCTGTCTTCAATCCCAACCACCGTGTGCCACGCCGTCTCGATGTCGAGCTCGTGCACAACCTTGCGCATCAGAGCGTCGTGTGCTGTGTTCGCTTCAGCCATGACGGACGTCATGTCGCGACTGGTTGCAATCGTAGCGCGCAGATCTTCGATGTTGTGACTGGCCAGGAGATCTGCCACCTGCGAGATACCAACACGAACCAGGACGGTGACTTGTACATCAGGAGCGTGTGCTTCAGTCCGGACGGCAAGTACCTGGCGACAGGTGCCGAGGACAAGATCATCAGAGTAAGTCCATTGAACCCCAATTCTATGGTGTGCCGCTGCTTACTTTGTGTGTGACAGGTCTGGGACATCCAGCAGCGGATCATCCGCTACCAATTCACTGGCCACGAGCAGGACATCTACTCTCTTGACTTCGCCCCGGATGGCCGTCGCATCGCCTCTGGCTCTGGCGACCGCACTATCCGCATCTGGGATCTCCAGGAGAACAAGTGCGTTGTCGAACTTCACATCGATGACGGCGTTACCACCGTCGCCATGTCTCCAGACAATCGCTTCGTCGCTGCCGGTTCCCTGGACAAGAATGTCCGCATTTGGGACGTGCAGACGGGTACTCCTGTCGAACGCACAGAAGGCGAGCAGGGCCACAAGGATAGCGTCTACTCCGTCGCATTCAGTCCGAGGGGAACTCACCTCGTGTCTGGTAGCTTGGACAAGACTATCAGGATGTGGAAGTTGAACAGCCACTTTGATGGGCGTGCGAGGTCTGGCGAGTGCGTCAGGATCTTCGAGGGACACAAGGACTTCGTCCTGAGTGTGGCGCTCACGCCGGACGGCAACTGGGTCATGAGCGGTAGCAAGGATCGTGGCGTGCAGTTCTGGGATCCGGAGACTGGGCATGCGCAGTTGATGTTGCAGGGACACAAGAACTCTGGTGAGTATCGATGTGGAAAACGGACAGAGCGACTCAAGGCTAATTCTGAATGCAGTGATCTCCGTCGCACCCTCTCCAATCCGCGACGGCAACGGTGGGCTCTTCGCCACCGGCTCAGGCGACCTCAAGGCGCGGATATGGCGGTACACCGAGTACAGGCAAGGCCCGTAGGAGGAGCCTGCACAGTCGTGAGAGAATAGCCATGAGCTGCGCGGTCAGACGTACTCTCAGGGTCGGCGCAGGGAAAGCACTTATTATTTGATGAGCGGATTCGGGGTTGTGCTTGCGGATCGGTTTGCTCGTGGTTGGGAATTTTCGGATCAGTCATGTCACTACGGGTGATGGACAGCCTGAATTATGTGACGACCCGCGGGTGCTGGAATGGTTTTGTGAGCGTGGGAAGTTGTCATTAGTGGATAGGTCTATACCGTGTAGCTTTTTAGGTGGTCCAGGCGCGATTGAACTCCATCCTCTTCACTCCATCCTTTATTAAAATACCCGCACGTATACTCCAAGCTTCCCACCGACCACCCGATTCATTGCTCTGCGCCACTTTGCTTGAGCGAACAACACCCATTCATAAAGGTTGGTTGGGCCGGCGATAGGACGTGGTACCGCTTCGACATCGACAGCACCTCTTCCGGTCCATCCACCTACATATTCCAACCAAGAATTACCACCGCCCATTGCGGCAGCGCACAAGATGGAGACCTTTCACCGCCTCGCCGGCATGACCGAAACGCACAACAACCAAAGCGAACACCCCTCCTACCCCATCCCCGAACCACCGCCCATCCCCGACTCCGAAACCGCCTCCCAATACGCCGCCTCCACCCACGGCTCCCGCGTCTCCCTCCCCCTCAACCGCCGCGCCTCTCGCAAATCCATCCGCTCCACCAAGTCCGGCAAGAGCCAAAACGGCGGCATCCGCCCTCCAACCACCCACCCTCCCCTCCCGACCACCCAACCGCAACCAGCACAACCCCGAATCTCCCAAGACAGCGCCGGCAGCAGCAGCGAAGAGTTCGCCTGGGGCCCCTCACACCCATGCTTCCCACACCCGAACCCACACTGCTCCCCAGACAGCCCGGAAGCGCAAAGCACCCGCGTCATCCGCGTGCGCCGCGACTGGCTGCAAGCCGGCGATCTATACCCGCAATACGCGAACCTCTACCCGGAGATCCTCGACCCGCTCGTCACGGACGAGGACTTCCGCTTCCTGATCTCCTCGCTCAACGCGCGGTTGAAGGAGGTTTTCAACCCGCACACTACCCGCGCGTGGCTGGATAGTGTGATGGGGGTAGCGACGGGGTTTGTGTGGGATGATTTGGGGCTGACGGGGGCGAAGAGGGGGGTGAGGGAGTTGGAGAGGTGGGTGGAGAGGTGGAATGCGGAGAAGGAGAGGGAGGGGAAGGAGGTGAGGGTTGTGCAGCTGAGGAAGACGGGGTTTATGACATTGGATTTTGTGGTGCCGGATCCGGGGATTGATGTGGTTGATGAGGGTGGTGAGGGAGGAGAGGAGGAGATGGTGGGTGGGATTGGGCCTGCTGAGTAGGGCTGGCGGGCCTATGTTAAGGAGTTTCTATCTCGCGTTGGTTGAATCTCTGAGCGAGCGAGGCGTACGGAGTTTTGGAACATTATATCGCAAGCCAGGAAGCCGCTTGACTAGGCTCGAGTCGACTGACGGTAGTCATATCCATCGATACCGTTATCTGCATGATCTGCACGGAACAACACGAGCATCTTCCAGCACGGCCCTGAGCCAGTTTATCAAGCATGATGAGGAAGAATTGTTATACGTCCAGGATATCGTAGCTCGTCACATCGTACACACCATCCACCCGAGCCCACCAACGTTGCCTGGCCTTTTAACCACCACCTCCACCTCCTCCGCCGCCGCCTCCGCAGCCTGTGAATCAGGTCAGCTCCGGTTGCCAGAAGAAAGACTGTGTGTGCGGGTGCGTTGGAAAGACTTACCACCACCACCTCCTCCGCCCCCATGGCCTCCTCCAAATCCTCCTCCATGATGCCCACCACCAAAGCCTCCTCCTCCGTGATGGCCACCCTATGCAATGTCAGCGTTGCACCGATTGCTTTGGCGACGAAGGAATGCTCACGCCAAAGCCGGCGCCGTGATGATGATGCCCGCCGCCGACGCCCCCGCCGCCGCTGCTGAAAGTATGGTCAGAGGTTGACACCTGATGTTAAGGGGTGGAAGGGTGACCTACCTGTAAAATGCAGTGCTCGCGCCGGTCACGTCGGCAGTGTGTCCTCTGCCAGGTTTGCGGTAGTTCTTCTGGTCGTAGTCTGGTGTTGAGGAACCGCAGCCCATGATTGTGGGTGAGAGAGGAAGGAAATATGGGCTGTGGTGGTGTTTCGATGTGCTCTGCTGTCGAGGTGGGAGATAAGGTCTTGGATGTATTGGTTGTTGTAGTAGAGATGGAACGGATGAGTCGAAAGAACACCTACTTTGTAAACCACGATTATATATGTGGCCCATCATTGGTAGCAACGACGATCGACATCGGACCGTTGGTAAGGCGTCGCGGCAGGGCTGAAGGTGCCTTCGGTAGAAGAAGAAGGCTTAGACGAAGGAGCAAGGCGCATGACCTACACCTCCAATCGAAGGATCGATACGCTGTTGCGCAGCTGTAGCCACCGATGGTACATCTGAAACTGCGTGATTTTCGAGTACGAGATTGATGATGTCGAGTTGATGGCATTTGGTGTTGGATGGAACATAGACCGAGTCGATCGAGACGAGGCATTCATTCCATTGGAAGCCTCCTGCAAACCACGAGTGCAGATTTTACGAAGCACGAGTGTCGCTGGTTCATTGGATGGCCCGAAGAGGATTGATTGATTGAGCGAAGAGCGACCGAAGTCAACGTGCAAAAGAATATGGGTTGACTGTCAAAAGATATCATCCATTGCCTTTGTGGCTAACAGGCTCCTCGTAAAGTCATACATCATCCATACCCGTCGTCTTCATACCTAACAGCCTCCTCCTCCTCCTCCACCTCCCCCGCCGCCACCGCAGCCTGACCAAAAAGGTCAGCATCTCAGTCCTCCAAGCTTGGATAATCTCGGTCACTTACCTCCCCCTCCTCCACCACCACCTCCGCCCCCACACGCTCCCCCTCCTCCCCCGCCAAAGACTGCAGGGCTGGCAACAAATCCCACCCCATGGTGTCTCCGTGCTGCATGATGGCCACCTGCCGAGCTTGCGGGTTTCTTCTTGTCACTGTCGAGAGGTCAGCATCTTGTCTCGTCGTTGTTGGAGTACCTGACTCGGGAGGAGAAAGCATACTCGTAGTATTCAGCGCCCTTGCTGTTGGGGTAGTCGGCCCCGTCGGCTTTGGAGAGGCCACAGCCCATTGTTGTTGTAACTTGTGTTGAGGGTCTTTCGATGTCTTTCGCTCTAGAGATCTCGTCGGTTGGTTGGGACAGGACAAGAGGTGATTGAAATTGACAACAGCATTAAAGGTAAGAGATCATTAACTACTTATCCTCCTCCTTCAGTCACATGAAACCCAACACCTACAAGTTCCTTACATCACTTCCTACGCCTACCGTACGGATCACAAGGCGCAGGCGGATCCAACCCATCCCTCCAAACCCAACTCCCACCGCGTGACCCAGTAGCACCACCGGTAGGCAGCGCAAAGGTCATCTGTCGGCGGGAGGAATGGGAACGGGGTGCCATTCGGTGGTAAATCGGATCGAAATAACCAATGGGTTGGAGGACGTATCCCGCGGTAGACGGTTTGCACGGCAAAGGCTCGCAAGGCGAAGCAGTGAGCCAAATTCGGGTCTTGTCGGACGTCATGGTGCAGAGATCTGGAGGCGCAGCAGAGGATACCTGAGGCGATACCACGTGACAGTTCTGGAGAATGAAGGAAGTTTAGGAGATGGTGTACGAGAAGAAAGAGAAAGAGCTCAGAAGTCGTCGATACATCTATCGAAAGTATCGATCCACACAGCTATCCCCGACGAAGGTCGAAGACCACCGCGGTGCCGTTCTCCTGCTCAATTCGTATATCGTATATCGTATCCCCAGTATCCAAACGAGGAAGTCCTAGGTGAATGCCTTGAACGACTGATACTAGTACCTCCATCTGTCTCTTTTCTCTGCACAGTGCCAATCCGTGGATGCACGCTCTATTACTCCCAGAACGCCATGCTATACCCTCCCGATGAATGATTGTGAAGACGCTGATGCCATTGGGTGCGCAGAAACGACATTGCCGAAACGCTGGGATGGAGAAAACAAAAGCCCGGCCTGCTGAGTTTGTCGTAGCAGGCCTAGGACCAATGTCACAGCCCTTCCTCGCCGGCTTTGCACAGCTTGATGCCCTTGCCCCATTCGGAGTTGAGGACTTGGTGCGCGCTGATTCTGCGGCTTGGGTTGGGGTCGAGGATGCTGTAGATGACGTTCCTGCAGCGGGCCTGGCAAACAACGTTAGCAAGGACGAAGAAGAAGCTATGGTGCCGGGCAAACTCACCCTGTGAAGTGTCTCGATGGGCGCATAACCCTCCTCGCTCTTCCGGCCCCGGATGTAGTTGTCGAAGAACTCATCCTCGTCCTTCTTCGCAACACGCCACAGATGTCGGCCAGTTCGCATGGCCATATAGATGACACCGCAGGCCCATACGTCGACAGCGCGCGGATCGAACTCGCGGTCTGTGTACTCTTCAGGTGCAATGTACGGTGCGCTGCCGCAGAGTCCAGCCGTCATGTGTGCTTCCTTTTCCCACGCCATGCGGAAGCACTCGCCGTTGCCGAAATCGGTGATCTTGAGCGCGCCGTGTGTGGTGAGAAGCAGGTTCTCCGGCTTCAGATCGCGATGCGCCACGCCCATCTCGTGGATGTACTCAACACCACGCATCAACTGTAAGAAGTAGCAGTCTGCTTCTGCGACCTCCAGCTTGCCGTTCGCCAGGACAAGCGAGTACAGATCACCCCCAGCACAGTACTCCATGACCTCGCAGAAGTCTCCCTTTGCGTCCTCCAGCAGATCGAGCGTGTGGATAACATTCGGATGCCGTAACGACGACGAAATGCAGAACTCCGAGTTCAAGCGCTTGCTATACTTCTTGATATCCTCCTGTGGTCTTCGTCGAAACTCTTTCACGGCGTAGAGTTGTTCGTGTTTCGAGTCCTTGGGATCTGGCTTGTGGGCTATGCGCACAATACCGAAAGCACCACGACCTACTATCTCCTGGCACTTTCCGTATTTCTGCACCAGCGACGCTGTAGCATTCGGCCCTCCCGTCTTGTCACGTGCCATTCTGTCCTTCTCGTTCTTCATCTGGTCCATCCAGGTCGACATGAGCGAAAGCTGTTGTTCGTCGTGATGTTCCTTCTTCTTGCCTCCGAGGAAGTCTCGAAGCATGTCTGACAGCTTGTCCTGCCTCTTCGTGCCCTTGAGGAAGTGGTGGTGATCGCCATTGTCGTCGACGGTGAAACGCTTTGGCGCGACTGGTTGCGACTCGTCTCGCTTGTCTTTCCTGACGGAGCCATTGCGCACCATGCCTGCTGGCATGGCTTCTGTTTTCGACGATTGTCGCGAGGGCACTTGTGGTCTGGGTGGTCTCGAGCTGTCTTCCTCTTCTTCCACGGCTGTTTCCAAGCCTTTCTCGGGTGCTTGCGAAGAGTCACGAGACGCAGCGTTACTGTCCTTTTGCGAAAACATCCGACTAAGCCGAGAGGTGAAGGTAGGTTTCTTAGGTGGCACGCCGGGTCGAACCTCGCCGTTTGTTACAGGTTGGTCGTGTGGTATTGATGGAGGTTGCTGTGTAGTCTCGCCATTCTGAGTGGAATTGACCGACGTCGACGAGCCAGTCGGTGCTGGTGAAGGCTGTGGGCGCTGGACTTCCACCTCGCCGCCCTGTGTGACGCTGTTGTTCCGAGCTGCAGGCATCGCGCTTCCCTATCTCGGTGGGGGTGTACGGCAGTAGGCGGAAACCTGTTTTATCTGTGTCGCCCCGCGGCTCCGGCGAGCGCGAGAAAATTCGTTCGATGTTTCGCAGAGCAAGCGGTCGATCAGGGAAGCGGGTTGATGTCAGGCCAAGGTGCTTCAAGCTTTTGAGGCGACTCGAGGGCTGTCTCGAGAGCTGATGACAAACGTCCAGTCGCCCGAAGCCGAGCTGTCGACGGGTGTTGTGATATGCGCGGCGGCGTTCAGGCTTGCGCCTCGAGGAGAGAGTCGTCTAGAAACATGTTGACGGCAGGATTTGCAATTCGCAGAAGGTGGTATGTGCCTTCGTGGGGTGGGTGAAAGTCTGGCAAATTTGGATTGGGTGCTGACGCTCTGATGCAAAGCGCAGAGCCGACGAAAGGGCCTCAAGGGTCCCGTTATTAGGCGAGACTGCCCCTCGTCCTCGTGCGCGAATTGTGGCTCATGGATATGAGGTCAACAAGGAGCCGATCTGGCAAGACGAAAGGGACTTCTCTGCTGGTTTATAGCCCACCCGCAGAGGCGAAAAGACGAAATTTGTTGTGGCCATGAGCGGCCGAAGAGCCATTGTCCCGGAGACCTAACAAAGGCAGCGAACGAGCACGTGCAATCGCATTGACTATCTACTCATTCGCCCTTCTTCACCGACTCGATCGACGCAGGGGGTGTTGGGCTTCCTCGTGCCTGTCTGACTGTGCGGTGAGGCTGGTCGCAGGCGAGTACAGTCGGCGGTGACCAGCTCGAATGCAATGCTTGCCACCATGCGGCACATATCGAGAGCCTGCGTCGAGCTGTTTATTAGCACACGGGTCGCACTGCTGCCGAATTGCATAATCGCAACAAGCTCTCATTAGCCGTCTTTCTCGTCCTACAGTATGCTGTATGTTGTCAACGTCCAGCCCTTCATCTCACGAGCACGAGCCCGCTTCTCAACGGCATATGCAGCACGCCGTCGCCCTCCTGTTGTGTCACGTCAATCTATTCCTGTTTGCCCATGGCGATCCAGCAGATCGGATCGTCAACTGGTGTGGTTCGCTCTATCCGTACCAGCGGGAGGGGTACGGTTGCATTCTGCTGATATACGAACGATGCTACTGGTTGTTCTGCAGCTCGAAAATCGCGCACCCGAGTATGGCTAGCTCTGGCAGGAAACTGGCTGTGCATCATCTTGTGATTGCCGACGGTTGAGCAGGCCCAGAAAGGAAGGTCCGCGATGCCTCGCAAAGACTGTGTAACAGCCCACAATAGTACTCGTAGTGTTGGGATACGTTGGTGCACGGCAAAGACCTCGATTGCTTTGAGTGTGATTTGCTTGGAGAGGTGAGGTCAAGATTGAGCATTTCGAGAGATCGCCCCTTCCCCTTTCCCCCAGGCCATAGCAACATCAGCCCATCCATACAGCATAAGACTTGATATCATGCATCATGCGTCGACCGAACAGCTGAGTAGAGTAACATGGTATGTACGCGCCGTCCGTATACGTACATCCATCCAACGGTATACCGTATGCCAGACCAACTCCATGCTTGACACCTCGAGGGTATAGTACACCATCTGAACAAATCGTACACGCAGCCTCCCACATCTCTTCAAGACTGTCCGACACCGCTCAGAGGTTCCTCCGCCGCCGAGTCCTTGTCTGACTCAGGGCCGCCAGATGGTCCCCGGCTGTCCGAGGGCTCGCGAGCGGACTGTGGGCGTGAGAGTGTTTCGAAATTGCCTGGTACACGCTTAGCATGCCACCCCTTGTTCTACAGCGTATGCCGCCGAATCTCACTTACGCATCACAAGATTGAGCGCCGTGCGCCTGTTCCCATCCACCTCGTACGAATCCATCTTCGCCTCTGCCTCCACGAACATCTGTGTCCTACTCATCTGTATCAGCACTTGCTCCCATCCCCCTTCCCACCAATCGTCGCCGTCCATCCCAGGTATCCTCCTTCAACTCACCCCTTAGGCAAACTCAACAACAAATCCCTCTGCGGCCCATCCTCCATGAAACTCGCGACATTGAACCAGCTCGTCGCCCTGTTCCCATGCTCATCCCTCGGCCCCGTGTTCACGCCCAGCGCGAACTTTGACACTTCTCGTCCGGTGGAGGAGGGGAGGCATTCGGGTTGGTCTGCGAGGCGGCCGATGATCTGCATCTTTGCGAGCGCACGGGGGGTGGTGGTGGAGAAGGCGCGGGCGGAGAGCGCGGCTGCGCGGGGAAGGGAGCGGAGGGCTTGCATGGTGGGCGGTTGGGTGTAATGGGCGTGGAGATGGTGGGAGGGTTTTGGTTGCGATATGATGTGGTGGCCGAGTTGGAGGCCGAGTCTGAAATGCTGTTTCCAGTCTACGCGAATGATGCGCCTGTGGACGCGCCAACCAATCACAAACGAGTATGGTCTTGCCTTTATGCAGAAAGTCTTCTACGAACAGAGAGTGTTGAAGGACTACTTGAACCAGGACATCAATTCTGCCGGCCGGCCAAACGGAAATAAAGATGCTATATTGATTCATCTAGTCTAGGCTTTTGCCTCGTGGCCGCAACGCCGAACTTTTGGTCGTATCCCTGTGGCATGTCTATCATGTCGTCCTCGAATAACTCACATCTCGCATCAAGTCGTCGGGTCACGGTCCACCCTCGTAGCAGCGCCAAGCGCACTGCGACTAGCCGAGCTGACTGTCATTAGGTTATCAGGGTGTCGCTGCAAAGGGGGAAGAGCTTTTGCGCCTCTTCATGCAAGTGTCTTCTCCAGAAGGTCAATGCCTAAATAAGTGGAGGGTTAGCAACTGTCTCCCAGTTGACAGTGGGTTTGGCAGCGGGCTTCGAACGCCGCGCAGCTCATTGTATGTCTTGACGTACCGTATTGGTCCTTCAGCTTCAACCGAATCGGCTCCGCAAGGTCAGCCGTGACAGGCGCGAGAATACCCTTCTCCTTGATTTCGCCGTTCAAGATCATCAACACAGCCACCGCGCAGGGCACGCCGACCAGCCTAGCCATCGCACTGTACCCGCCGCTGCCTTCAGGCTCGCCGTAGTCGCAAAGAGTTGAAGTGCGCATCTCCTTGCTGCCGTCCTTGTGCTGGATCTCGAACTTGTGCTGGAGGATCACGAAGTCGCGCTCGCCCTCCTCGTACTTCATCTTCTTCTCGAGCGTGGCGCACAGGCAGTCGAGAGGTGTGCCTCGTGGCTCAATCATCTCGTCACCGAACAGGCCCACCCACCGCAGACCAGCAACGATGCGATCCTTCTCTTGCGTGCTGTTGAACTTGGACTTCGAGTCCACCGCCCACGTGAGATCTTGCTCCTTGCTGCTGCTCGAGCCCACAATCTTCGCAAAGGCATCCTTCCACGCAATCTTCGACTGAAGGAAGTCCTGCTTCTCCTCGCTCAGCATGCCAAGGTCGCGGAACGTCTGAACGAGAGACGGGTTGCCTTGATACCGCAGAGTACCTCTGATGACGGTCTGAGCTTCGGGCATGTTGTACCGCTCGCGGTATGGAGTGCTGTCGCGGTTTGGGTAGGCCTCGAAAGCGTAGCCAGGGTAGATGAGGTATGGTTTCGCGCTCTTCATCAGGTTCTCGCCCTCGATTGTCTTCTTCTGTCCATCTTCGTAGAAGTGTGCGGTGTTCCTCGCAGCGAGGAGGACTCCACGAGGCGACCACGAGAACTTGTAGCCGAGAGGGTTGTCGGACGCCTCCGGTGCTGGCAGACCTCCAACATACGACCAGAACCCGAGAACCTTGCCTCCCTCCTTGTGGACTTCGTCGATCGTCTTGACGGCATACAAGTGATCAATGCCTGGGTCCAAGCCAATCTCGTTCATGACCGTAATCCCTGCGTCCTTCGCGTCCTTGTCGAGAGCCATCATGGCCTCAGAAACGTATGAGGTCGTGACGACATCCTTCTTCTGGTTGATTGCGGCCTTGATCACCATGGCGTGGAACGTGTATGGGATGAGGGAAATAACGAGGTCGACCTTCCCGATCTCTTTCTCGAGGGCACTGCTGTCGGAGACATCGAGAGAGATTGCGCTGGCATTCTTCAGTCCTTCTGCGAGCTTCTTCGCGCTTTCAAGCGTTCGGCAGGCGACTGTGACAGCCACACCAGCCTTGTCTAGCTCGACCGCAGAGGGTCTCGTCACCTGTATGTCACATAGTCAGTGAGCGAGTTCATAGTGACCTGATGGATGGAAGGGTTGAAGTTGAGCTCGAACAACGTTTCGAAACAGCTTTCAACCATTCTGCTCAAGATTTGGGATGACTTACGAAGCCCGCACCGAGCAGCAGAACCTTCTTCGCCATCTTGTTAATTCAGGTTGTTTGGGCTCGTCAATTCAGTATTCTCTCAATTGATGTGTTAAATTTCAAAGACCTGATGCGTCAATTGTCGCCGACTTCGGCGTTTGCTGATGCCTGGGTTTCGTGCCTTAGCGGCGAATTTAGAACGTGTCTTCAGTGCTGCTGCTGCTGCTGCTACAGTACAACTTTCATTCTCACCACGCCATCAACACCTCATCCACCATCATGTCCGCCCAAGACATGTTCTGGGCGGCTCCGCCGATAGCGAGGTAAGCTCTTCAGCCTGCACCTTCACGCAGCAGCTGATACTGATCCCTAGAACCCTCACAGCCGCCATCGTGCTCGTCTCCATCCCAGGCCACCTCATTGGGATCCCTGATCTCTACTGGCTCGTCTTCGACACCTACACCATCTTCACGCTCAAGCAGGTGCCGCAGATATGGCGGCTGGTGACTAACTTCCTCATCACCGGGCCTAAGTTCGGCATGATTCTGGATCCGTACTTCGTCTTCACATACGCCTCGAGCCTTGAGACGGCGGCATCACGATTTTCTCAGCCGGGTGACTTCTCCATCTATCTGGCCTTCGTGTCAGTCATTATTCTGGTAAGCACGCCGCTTGATTTCGTTTCTCTTTTCCTCATCTTCAAACCTCGTATAATCTGCCCGTACAGAGTTTTTCTATCTCTGTAACGGTTCCTGGAAACGAGGGAGATCACCCCTGCACTGTGCGGCGCTCGTCATTCGCAACCTCAAAAGAGCGTTCGCGGAGTGTGGGCATGGTGGGATACCAGCTTGAGAAAACTGTCTGCCTTGATCCTTGTGGCAAGACGGTGGTTTCTGGACCCTACACACCTTCTCTTTCACAGCTTCTCAGTATCGCTCTTGTCACTGTGACTTTTGCTGACTTCTGGCAAGCTACTCGGCGGCTGCTATCTCGGCAGTGTCTTCCTCTTGAGCCCGCTCACGCTGGCCCTGGCATACACCCACGCTCAAGAAAACCCGAACCAGCAGATCAACTACTTTGTCGTCACCTTCAGTGCCAAGTGGCTTCCTGTCGTCATGCTCATCGGCACCGTGATCATGGCCTCGCCCTATGCTGCGCTGGTGCAAGCGACAGGACTGGTCGCCGCTCACGCCTACGACTTTTGTACCATCATATGGCCGCAGTATGGCGGTGGGCGGAAACTGCTCAGCACCCCCGTCGCCGTGCAAAGATGGTTCGCGAATGTTGCCGGAGCTCCTCAACGAAGGGGTGCCGGGACCGCTTTCAATACGGGAGGTCCCGCGGCACAGAACGTACCCCAAAGGTCGGCGGGGACTGGCGGAGGATGGACCAGTGGCTTTGGTGGGAACGGCTGGGGTCAGAGAGGACCTGGCAGGCGTTTAGGAGGTGATTGAGCGTTCGGACTGAGCTCGCTGACTACCCTCATCACGCTTTACGAGATACCATGCATCAAATATCACAGTGTATGATTAGGTCAACCACGATCACACAAGCGAATCACAGGACGACAAGAGCACCGTTCGTCATATGTACTCGTAACCACTCTATGCTATCGTAGGCTAAGCAGCAGGGGTATCCATCTATCATCATTCATCAAACAGCCGTCCATCACCATACCAGTCTATTCCGTGAGCTCCCACCATCTTCATCGCGCCAGTTATGCTTATTTCCCAGTAAGTCTATCAACCATCTGCACCGAAACCCTGCCAACCAACGCCGCACCCAGAACCGGCGTGAACATGGCCAGAAACTCCAAGGGACTCCTAGGCTTGACCTCTGTGTTTATGTACCGTTGCTCCTCCTTCCCGCCTTCATCAGTAACGCCTTCGGCATCAGCAGGGAATTTGCCGGTGCGCATGAACTCTCCTATGAGCTCGTCCTTCTCCCGCCATCGTTGTAAGATCCACTCGTACATCGCGTCGTGGTCATTGAAGGGGATGTCTTTGATGGCGAAGCGGCGCCAGTGCATGTTTACGGATTTTGGCGGACGGCCTTGGAAGTACACTGAGCGGAGGGTGAAGACGTCTTGGCCGTAGTCGCCTGGTGGGATGCCTTCGTACGCGATGGTGCAGTCGTAGAGGTACGGCACTGTGTCTTTCAGCTCTTGCAAGCAGAACTGCAGACCGGTGCTTCGGGGCAGGATCTGGTGCTTCATGTCGGGTATCGAGCTCTTCTCAGCGAACTTGGCCGACGACTTGCGCGTGTTGGCGCTGAGATTCGTGCCTTCTGGGAAGATGAGGAGCCACATTGGATCGAGTTGGACACCTCCTTGGGTTCCAGACAAGGGCCCGCTATGTCGCGAGTTGAGCTTTTGTAACCGATACCGTAGTCGCTGTTGGTCTTTCGACCACTTCCGCGCCATGAAGATGAAGCTGTAGAACTGCATCGCCGGTCCGATCAGAGGTACCCACTTCAAGCTCTCCTTCAGTATGATGTACAGGTGTCCATGCATAGGAGGCGTGCTCGTGTATGCGATCCACCAGAGGTACAGCCAATCCGTGTAGATCTGGTGATTTGACATCAAGACCACTCTTTCGCCAAAGTCGACCTCAAGCATCCCATTCCCTCCTCCGTTGTCTTTCAGCTTGATCAGACCTTTCATGCTCTTGTCCCCACTGATCCGTACGACCGTCGGACTCCACCACTGCGTCATGGTCGTCACGAGCAGGCCAAAGTACTGCTTCGTGAGCGCCATGTAGGCGTAGAACCAGTCTTTGCTGACGAAGTACAGCGGGCTGCCGAGCAGCTGCGCGAAGTGGATGAAGATTCCAGATCCGAAGAAGTAAATGCCAAAGCAGACGATGCGCAGTGCCTGCATGCCTGGGCCATGTTTGGGAGCGCCCATAGGGTGTTCGTTGGCGGACGATGTGGGAGACGTCGGTGAGGGCGCCTTCGCGGAGCCGTTCTGGTGTTGCTGGCCTTTCGGGGTGCGCAGCCTGGCGCCTTCGGTGTTGATTGTGAAAGCCATGGCGGGCTCGCGGGTAGTGGCGGATGAGTAGGTGGTGGTGTAGTCTTAGGAAGTCGACCGTCCAGTATCGATCCTCCAGGTGCTAAGTCATGTCCGGGAGCGGTGTTGAGATTCCTTCCATGTCCGCTATTTGCGAACGGGAGGAAGGTGGCAGTCACATTGCTCGTAGCAGCTGACCATAGACTTCCGGTCTTAGTGGTTAAGGGTGCAGGTGCATGACGGCAGAGGTGCATCGCGCGTAGGATCCGACTCCGCGACGACTTCACTTCCACCTCACCTGCGATTGACTGTCCTGCTTGTGGTATTACGCCTATATAGCGGTGGTATCATCTCAACTCTGACATGGAACGATGACACGAATATGGCGATGCTTCTCTACCACTGCTCGGCGCCTTGAGATACGAGATCTGGCAGAACTACCAGTGAGGGTGCATCCCCAGGTCAAAGGTTGGATCATACTCTTGTCAATACCAGGAGTGCCAACTAACGTGTAAGCAGAGACGAGCAACCACGACCTCCTCGCGCTCCAATGGCCCTCGCCGCCTCGCAACATCCTACTTGTCCGCAAAGATGACGATACGGAGGTCCAGAATGCTCTGGTTGAGTACGTCCATCACATCAGGTCTTCGTACCCAGACATTGCCATAGTGTTTGAGCGCTATGTCGCCGAGCAAATACATCAGACTTTCAACTTCCCAGTCTACGCGCCGGTCAACGAGAACTCGAATGCACTGTACCAAGAGAAGATCGATCTCACTTCAACACTCGGCGGAGATGGGACAATACTGCACGCTGCCTCTCTCTTCGCCACTGCGCCGCGTGTTCCTCCTGTGCTCTCCTTCAGTATGGGCACGCTTGGCTTTCTCGGTGAGTGGAAGTTCCACGAGTACAAGCGTGCCTTCAGGCAAGTATATGTGTCTGGTGCTCCCTCTCCGTTGAAAAGTACGGACGAGGCGGAGACTTCTGTCACCAAGCCTGGGGCGCTGCAAGCATGGTCAAACATTAAGGGCAAGTCTATGGGCCATACTCGCTCCTCCCGCATCCTCATGCGCAATCGCCTCCGCATCGGCCTCTTCGACGAGCATGGCCAAAGACTACCGCATGAGCCACCGTTCGCTCACCGTGACCACGAATGCGAGGACATCTTTGCGTTGAACGAGGTCCTGCTTCATCGCGGAGCACTGCCACATCTAGCCAACATCACCATCCTCATTGGCTCTCCGCCGCACCAGCGCATCCTCACTACCGCGATTGCCGACGGCTTTCTCGTCAGTACACCCACTGGCAGCACCGCTTACAGTCTCTCGAGTGGCGGCAGCATCGTCCATCCTCTGGTAAACTCGCTTCTCCTCACGCCTATCTGCCCTCGCTCGCTCTCATTCCGTCCTTTGGTCTTACCCGCCAACACGCCCATCACTCTCCGGATCGACGACTCCAATCGTGGCAAGGAGATCGAAGTCTCAGTCGACGGTGTTAGACGACAGCAAGGACTAAAGACGGGCATGGAAGTGAGGGTCGTTGGAGAAGAGGTGACGAAGCCTGGCGAGGTTGGACAAGTCGCGAGTGTGACTGGTGGTGTGCCAAGCATTGTCCGCTCCGGCGGCGCAGCTGATGGCGAAGACCATTGGGTTGGAGGGTTGAACTCGCTATTAAAGTTCAACTATCCATTCGGCGAGGATGGGTGAACCAAGACCAATCCGAAATCGCGAATGGTAATCAATGCCTACGACTCATGCTGACCTTTGACCTTCGGCCGACTGGCTCGACGTCCAAATGGTCCGATCCGAGGAGTCCAAAGCGCTATAAAACTTGTCGCTCCTACATCTGCTTCAAGAACTTTTCCATTTCCACGAAGAGTAACCATCGACTGCTTTTGCCAAACTTCGCTATGGATACCCAACTCGAACGCATGACCCTGACAGACCCCATTCGCTGCCATCTGCTGGAATTACCGGTCGAACTTCGCCTGCACATCTACCACTTCGTCTTCGGACCACCCAGCGACAGAGACCAAATAAATTGCTTCTATTCACCCCAGCCAGGGCGATGGGAGGTTGCTGTCTGTGAGAACTTGAAACGCACCTACACGTCCTTACTCTGGACGTGCCGAACCATTAACAATGAAGCGACGCCGGTCATGCACGACGAAACCACAATTAGACTTTTGACGTGGAGCGCCAGCGATTGCGCAGTAGAACAAACCATCGACTGCACGAGGAGCAGCGCTCAGCTGATGGAATCGATCAGGGACGTGGAGGTGTGCTTCTTTCCAGGCTTTCCTTTCCAGAAGTTCCTCCCGGCGATCGAGCGAGCCATCGCCTTTTTGGAAGCTGTACCGTCGAGGACGAAGATCTGGATCAGTCTGGATTGCGGTCATGATGGGGTGGACCATATCGACGTTTGTGATACGAAACGAAGGTTGGAGAGGGAGGTGACGACTCGTGGGATTGACATTGATGCGGACACGTTAGTCGCCAGGGTGTGGAGGACGCTTTCGCAACACCTGGCTGCGGCGGAGCGGTATGGGGATATAGACGAGAAGCACTTCGTCAGAGGCGATTTGTGGCGTCGTGGAGGTGTCGCTGAATAACACGCTGGGGAAGTATGTAAGGGGCCGACTGAGTGATACCGGGGAGCGGTCTCGAGGTCGTCGTGCCACCACAATTCTCCGGCGGCGATTATGCGGGAGTGGCATTGATCGTAGGGAGGCGAGAGCGACGGAAGCGCTCGTCGATGGAGAGGGACGACAGGTAGTGCGGCGGTCGTACCTTCCGCTGCGAGCTAAATGGCTCTTGGCGAGGTAGGCCAAAGTTCCCTCCCGGACCGCCGCCTTCGACCTGGCGTGCTACTTCAGGCTTCAGGACTCAACAAGATCTTTTCCGCTTCTCTCACTCCTCCGCTCTCTGTCGTTGACATTTTACTCTGGCCTTACTGATCTCCCACAAGTTGGGCTCGAACGTCAGTATGGCTAGTCACGCCACATCCTCCGCATCAATACCTTAGAGCGTACGCCAACACCAAACGAAGAAACCGGCCACTCCTACCTGCTGGACTTGCCGCCCGAGCTGCGTCTCCGCATCTACGACTTCGTCTATGAGGGATACGCAGGCAAGAGGATCACATGTTTCATCACTACTGAAGGAGCGCTGGGATACGACGGGTACGACAATCCTGGTCCACCTTTTGAAGCAACAACATCTGCGCTGTTTCGAACATGCCGAATGATCCACTGGGAGGCGCTGCCTGTCCTATATGAAAGTGTGCACTCCCAACTGAGCCTGCTCAGTAAGTCGGGTCGCTTGGGCAAGTGGAGCAAAGCTGAAAAACGCTGGAAACCGGACGTCGTCGTCCCACAACACACCAAGTCCATGATCAACTTCGGAAAACTATTCAGGAACCTGGAGATTAGAACGTCACTCCGTCGTCCTGCTGCCAACGCACAGGTTCTGGAAAGGTTGTGCGCGCTTCTTGAAGTGCCGGCGGTTCAGCTCAGACATCCAATTGTGGGTTTGTTCTATCCCCGAGAACGGGACTCACCTATCAATTCTATGCAGACTCTTCAGCAGTACGAGAAAGAAGCGAAGAATCGAGAAATCGGCCTCGACGCTACTACCGTAGCCGGAAAGATCTGGTCAGCCGTGTTGAGCGAGCTCAAGAAGAAGGCCGGCGAGCACTGACACGCCGCTCTGCGCGAAGGCGGCAATCAAGGCATCATACTGTGGGAGGTCGATAGAGTCAGGACGGCTCCTGATGATCGAAGAGTGCGAGGGTGTCTAGAAAGGGCTGGGATGCCAAGGGTGGTGGGCATACCAAATAGAAACGCCTCATTGTAAGTGTCTTGGTGTGGAACAGGTTTTGCATGCACCAGAACCCACTGTCTGTTTCCTTCCACTAACCTAAAGAGAAGCGCTGCAGTGTTACTGCCTGTCACAACGTCCTCCTCTCTGATAAATACCACGGACGCATCGTTCTTTCTACCTCAGACGCATCGCTTCACCACCAGTCATGCCGCGACACAACATGTCACTGCGCTCGCATGGCACCCAGCCTTCCGAATCTAGCACAATCGCAGACCCATCTTTACCTCCAAAGTCTGGCATCTGCCGGCTGCTGAAGGTTGAACCAGAGATGAGACTTGGAATCTACGACTTCGTCTGGGCAGACATATCCCACAAGCGCATCTCTTGCTTCCCTCACGGCGCTGAAGGCAACGTGGGCTGCATCTTCCCAGGCAGCTGGCTCAACGAGAAAACCGTGGCACTTTTCAGGACCTGTCACATCATCTATCGCGAAGCCTTTCCAAGTTTCTATCAAACTGTCATCTTCGAAGTCACTTTGTGGAAATCGACATCCACTCCGGTACCACGTTGCATCAGAACCGGAACCGAGATCGGGAGATACCTTAGGTCTATCGCCCTCCGAATGCCCATGTTCACCGTCATCGACAATGCAACCGCCATCGACCAGTTGTGCGCGACGATTCAGGTGCCCGCGACTCAGGTGACGGAAATCAGCACCGTACTCTTCAACCTAAACAGAGTCACCTTCAACCATTTCTCGCCCTCTTATTACGGCCACCTGCCGAATGGCCAACCGTCGGACTGCTTGGAGGAGTACAAAGAGGAGCTGTCCGTGCGGCAGCTTGACTTGAGCGCCAATACCTTCGAGGCGAAGATCTGGTCGGCTCTGATAAGGCAGGTTGAGCTGAAGGTGGCTGTCATGGAGGAGCGGTCGCAAGCTCGCAAGCTGGAGCAAAGGGAGGGATGACGGAGCATATGGGGCACGAATGGTCGTGTGTGATGTGGGAGAGTGTGCTGTGAGTAGGTCGCGGTCACGTTTGGTCGTAAGTAAGCTTGAACTCCTTGTGGAGCGGATCGCAGATGGGAGGTTGCAGTATCGTTTTCACAAGGGAATGTTTTCACATGCTTTCTATTCTTTTCCTTTTGACGTCATTCACTAAGCTTATTCACCTTTCGCATCTCTGTCAACATCGAGCCTCAAATTTGACGTGCACCCTTCTTTGTACGTGCACCTTTCTTTCTTCCGCACATCAAAGATCAGCTCTCGCGGCATCGAGGGCGGTCCAGCGAACCAACGAAGACGTCAACCCACCTTCGAGACTGCCACTTCCTCGAGAACAGAAAAGCGCCGCCATGCCACGATCCCCAACGAACCCACCGAGCGACGGGCGCTGCCTGCTTTTTGAAGTCCTACCACCAGAACTACGCCTTCGCATCTACGAGTGCCTCTGGGAGGACAAGCGGCGCGACCTCTTCTACTCCAAAGTAAACAGATCCCGGGTGTTCATGAAGCGCACAAAGGCTGGCAAGGTCAAAGGCCGACAGACCGCATTGCTCGTGACCTGCCGGAAGATCAACAACGAGGCGCTCCCGGCTCTCTACGGAACCGTCCAGTTCGTCTATCAGTGGACCAATTCTCAGTTGCGACGTTCCATGACACCCCACAAACAGCTCGGAGAGTTCATCAGGCAGTCTTCGGTGGCCCTCGATCTCGGCAACGCCCGTCGGAACGCGCTGCTTATCGATGAGGTGTGCGCGCTGCTGCAGAAGCAAGGAAACTCGTCGCACACGCCGGGGGTCCATGTGGTCCGTCTCTTCGGTCTTCACGATGAGAACGTCCCGGAGGAGCACGAGGTGGAGATGGTGAAACAACCGGTCGATCTGAGCGATGGCAGCATGGACGCCAAAATCTGGGCAGCTGTATTTGAGGAGATCGGAAGGTACGAATTGAAGTAGAACGAAGAGAAGGATGTTTAGCGGTACGGCGAATTGGAAAAAGGTTGGTCCCTGGGAAGGAAAGAGTTGTGATGGCGGCAATTCATCAGCGCCGATTCAGCTTTAATCTTCTCCAATGCGGCAAGAGAGACTATGTTGACGGATTGACGGATACGACTACAGGGGCATATCACTGGAACGGGAACGTGAGAGGAGGCGAGCGAATTCATGTCATTGAACAGGGGAGGAGCTGGGCCTGGTGACTTTATGGATATCACAGGGATCGGGTATGCAGATGCTCGGTGTTACCATACTCATATTGCGAATCCATTCCAATCACAGTCCGAGTTTCCTCGTTGATGTTGCTAGGCGTGATATCGCATTACCCATTGCGCAAGGCTCATTTCTCCCGAGCCAATGTCTCAACACCGTATCTTTCACACTCACCCAAACTCGATCGCACTCCACAGCCTCCTATCCAGCGCCCCATCCCTCTTGAACAGTGCATCCCTCCTCTGCTCCAGCATCTCCACCGCCGGCAGACACCCATGCTCCAAATCAGTATCACAATCCGCCCGATCGTTGGGCTCGACCTGCAGATACCAAACAATAAATGACAACAGCCCAACAACACTCTGCGCCTCAGCCGGCAGCTCGATCAGAGCAGGATCACTTCCGCACGGGAGATGCCTCCAGGTCGCCATCAAGTGCAGTATAAGGCCCATCTGGTAAACATCCGACTTCGTCGTCATAACCTGCCTTCTTGCGGCGACACCGTAGGCCTCAGGGTTCGTGTTTCGTACGTCCGCCACTGCTCTCACCTCAGGCGAGTCCTACCCCGGCGTTCCAGTGATGCCGCGGGACTCTGATGCAAAAGCGGCCATACCAAAGTCAGCAAGCACAACGTCCGGCATCCCGCACTCCATGCCCGGCCAACGGGGGAAGACGTTATCGGGCTTCAGGTCGCCGTGGATGATGGGCTTGTGGTTCTCGCGGTAAGCGTACCGTGTCCGGCGGGTCGGTCGTAAGCCATGGTGAAGGAAAGCGAGGGCACGGGAGAGGCCGGCTAGGACGTGGAGTGTGAACATTACTGGTGGGTCCACATTTTGTCTCCTGAAGGTGCGAAGTTGTTCCAGGAGGTCGCCGCTGGAGCAGTATTCAAGGTACATGAGATGGCGGCCAGGAGGGGTGGATGCTTGGACGTCGAGGAGGTGGATGATGTTGTGGTGGTTTTGCGTACGGAGAAGCATCTTCGCTTCGTTGGGTGGAGGTCGCCTGCGACCGGTCTGCGAGGTGTTGGTCTGCCTTGCTGGTGCTATTTCATGAGCACACTTGACGACGAAGACGTTGCTTGTTGTTGTGGACCGGATGACCGAGCATCCGCCCTCTTCGCCTTCTTCGAACTGCTTCAAGACTACGTAGTTGTCGTTCTGCTTGAACTCGGGAGGCGTGTGCTGTTTGATGGACCCAACCACTGCATTTGCATTTGCTTGCTCACCAGCCGCTTGATGCGCGGAAGACTTGCGGCGTTTAGAGGACAGAAGTCTTGATACTACGTCCCTAAACTTCCTCTTAGCCATAGCTGAAGGTGGTGCGCACGGCGATACGATGTAATCTGCAGCGTGCGAGTGATGGCAGCTCTTCGTAACTGCGGCACAGATATTCTTCCTGCAACAAACGCAACAGAGATGGTAATGGCGAAGACGCATGGAAAATTTGCCTTGAAGCTTGCAGTGTAGAAATGAAGTGAGATTGCGAGACAAAGAGACCGAGACTTACTTCTTTCTTCACGTGTGAGACACATCTGGCTCAATGTATTGTCAACGGCTTTGTTGTACCATGTATGCTCTCATAGCGTATCTCACGCCAGCTATACCTGAAATTGAGCAGTGCAAAACTTTGCGTAAGCGAGCTTGTAGGAAGCAAAGCAAATGGCATCGGTTGGCCGGCCGAAGCACCAGGAGACACTCTGAAGGTGCGAACAGCTGTCATCGGTCTGTGTAAAAGGGCATGGCCCTGAAGCACGGAAGGGTACAGGGTGAGCAGGTGTCTCAACGCCGCAGAAGAGCTCAAAAGGTCTCAGAGCGCCACTTGCACTGTGATCGTGTCTTGGAGAACCCCTCTACTCACAGGCATTGTTCGTTACACATGCTCAAGCTGCCAGTCACTGTCTGCAACCCAGATATCCGACACCAAAGAAACCGCCGTATAATTTCAGCAGAGCGTCAATCTCTGCGTCTCCTGCGTGTCCATCCATTCCCGCACAGACACCGAATCGTCTACGTTCTCAACATAAGGGTTAAAGATGTACGCCATACCCTCGAAGCGCCAGTATCGTCCGGCTCTCTGGAGCAGCAATGGCCATCTTGCTCCAGGAGCATAAACAATGGTGTCTCCGACTTCACATGAAGCCGGCGCAAGTCCAGGGCAGCCGTTGTCTGTGGCACATAAAGCCATCGTTCCCGCAGATCTCTCCCACACCCAATGTGAGTAATAGACCTTCCAAGGACCCTTGGAAGTACCGTCTTGAGGTTGCGGCCCTTCGAGGAGGGCATTCGACAAGGCCTTCGTGTTCATTGTGCTCCAGTGGCTGGCGCAGTCGTACAATATATGGGCCAAGCCATCAACCCAGGATGGGAACTCCAGCGGGACCAAGGGAAGGGGGAGGATTATTGACCAAGGATCTCCGGGACGAGCAGACATATCAGAAGCCACGAGCTTGTAGGTCTCTATCAGGGCTCGTTGATGCTGTTGCATTTTCACTCCGGGTGTGTACTGGGCTGTACAATAGTCGAATTCTCGGCAAGCTTTTATTCGAGCAAAAGTAGTGCCGGTGACAGTCAGATGGCGAGAGTCAGAGCTGAGTACCGGCATGTCAGGTTCCGCGATGGCTGGAGGGGCGTCTTGATAGTATCGCATCTCAAATATGCCAGGAGTGACCACAAGACCAAAGAAGGCAGAAAGTCTACGGTCCATGTGGGCAGATTCTTTACTGCAGCATGTTCGTAATCGGCAAATTCCAAGGACAGCAAGTTGCTGGTCTCTCGAATGTCGGAAAATGTAGCCCTCGCATACACTGCCCAAGTAGCCAGATCGTAGTCGGCCTCCACCTTAAGGGACGAATCTTCAGGCATGAGTCCGATCAAAGAGTATACTTTGTCCCTGTCGTCAGAGGCATTTGCACCGGCGGTGGCTATCGCGGCGTGCAGTAGGGATCCAGTTTTGTGGCGGACCTTGTGCATCGATGACCATTGATACAAGCTCTCTGCCCATGATTCCCAGAGGCCGTATTCATGTGGTCCTATGTAGACCATGAATCTCTGCATATCGTCCCACGCCCGGCCGTGGAAGCGTTTGAGGACAGTCCTGCCGCTGACGAAGACGACTTTCTGAGCCACGTAAAACTCCTGGCAGACCCAGGCGCGGGCGTGCCAGGGCCTCGACGAGGTCCCCAAGGCGTATTCTGTATTGCGTATCTTGGCAGTCAAGAACTCTATGCATAGATTGAAGATGTCCCAACAGCCGTACCAAATCAAGACCCAATTTCGTTGTCTTGCCAATCTGGGTGCATCCTTGAATCTATCGGTCATGGCCTGCAAGAGCTTCCAGGAATATTGCAGTCATCCATGCTTAGGCGCGTCGCCTAGCCACACGCGGGCACATTGAGCCTTATTGTATACCTGTGCCATTTTTGCAACTTGTTGGCTCTTCTCGTGGTTGTCGTTCTGATTTGTGCAGAGAGCATCCACCCAGATGACGAGAGACTTGGATCTTCGGAAGCGCATGGTCCGCAAAGCACGGTGTAGATTGTCGGTCACCGGTACTTCATACTGGGTACCTCCGCTGTGAAGAAAGGCGGTCCTCCCTTCGTTTGAAGGGCCCCAAACATACGACATGGCGTCGTATATGGGCAGCTGCTTGTCGTTCGCCAGCGAGACGGTGCGGATGCCGCAGACGACTGGAGAGTCCTCCCTACCAGGGAAAAGGTGGAGGACGCGGATCTCTTTGAGTGCATTGTCCAGTGGTCGGTACAGGCCAGGTGGAGCGGAGGATATGTTCGGTGCCATACTCATGGTCGTGCCTTCCTCTTCTGCTGGCAACCAGACCACGTGCTCTTAAGCTTAGGCTTGTTTCAACGGCAGCAATTCGAACAAGCATGTATCGCCCTCGGTGGAGTGTTTTCTTTAACGATGCGCGTGTGTTGTACCAGTCTGCACGCCATACACAAGGACAAAGCATTAACTGATGCAACTTGTTGCTATCTTTGGGCTGATCTCCTCTTCCTCTTGGTCGTTGACTGCGGTGATTCACTGCGTGAAATGGTTTGATAGTCATATTATAAGGCGGTATAGCTGGCATGACAAGGCTGCGCAGCTCTCGTTGCGAGGCTTAGAACGCCACCAGAGGACCTGCATAGTGTGATAAGGCACAGCTGCATACACTGCTGTTGTACGGTTGTACCTTGGGTCGGCTCCCCAACGCCATATGATGAGATGTTCGTGGTTTTGATAAGACAGCAGTGTTATTATGGTATGATACGAAAGTGGCAACGGGGGATGCTCCAGCGCGACGGGGTTCTCAGTGGAAGGAGATCCGATGCATGATTCGTTCCCTGATTTTGCACCTTGTTCCTGCCCGCCTGCAGTCTCCTGCAAACAAAAGCTTGTTGCGCCTGCAGTGGTCAACATAGCAACCTGCTTCTCCGTCACCGTCACTTCAAGTATCCAAGCGACGATATTGCAACAGAACGAAACGATGCCTTTCACATGATGATGCACCGGTGAAAATAGACACATCCCCGACGTCACCGGCAATCCTCATCACAACCCTGCAAGCAATCTTAAGTGCACGGACGAGGGATACCTTAACGCGGTCACTAAAGAACCGTCTCCTACCACCCAGTACCCACGCGCCCTTGACAACTACCCAACAACCGTCTTCGCTTCAGCGATAACAGTCCGGCAATCGACCACACTGTCGCTACCGCTTTCAATCCGACCGCGCTGAGCGCTGGCCAGCACCATGCCGACGTGCGTGATCCTGACCATATCCTTACGCCAGCCATGGGAATGCTGACAGATCAAACAGATTCACCGACTCCCTTCGCAGCTTCTGGCACGATCTCACCAGTCAAGACCGCCACGCCTCCGTCGACTCTCCATACCGCTCTGGCCAGCATCAACCGCTCCCACAAAACCGCCATTCTCCCCTTACAAGCGTCACAACTAGCGCTGTCGAATCGCGAACAGACCTCGAGTCTCCCTACAGAGAGGATCTTGAAGCAGGCCATGGCTTCGCGAACAGGAGTTCGAATGATTCACCTAAAGAAGGGTTCCGGAAGCCGCTGCAGAGATCGTCTACTGGAATGAGCAGCGACATGGAGGCTGTCGGTACAGGGGAGATTCAGATGCAGAGTTTTAGCGACGGCCTACCACCGCCGCCACCAGTCGCGCATTCGTGGGGAAGGGTTGACAGGTGGATGGAGGACAACTACGAAGAATTGTGGGAGAATCTGTGCGAAGGCGCGACGTTCAATGATGTCAACGAGCTGGAGCATGAACTTGACTGTACACTCCCGCAGGAGGTGCGCGAGTCACTTCAGATACACGATGGACAGGAGCGCGGTGGCCGGCCTACGGGCGTCATCTTCGGCTGTATGCTGCTCGACTGTGAGGAGATTCTGCAGGAGTGGCAGCAGTGGCGCACCATCAACGAGGTCTACTTCGGCGACAACCGCACCTACGAGATCCCACAGGCGCCTCTGAAAGCGTTTGCGGGCTCCTCATCAGCAGTCCCACTCGCCCAGGCCTCACAGTCGAACAACCCACAGTGGCGGCAAGAGCTCCAAGACAAGCAAGACTCACAGCCACCCAACTCCATCCAAAAGTCCTACGCCCACCCAGCCTGGATTCCTCTCGCGCGCGACTGGGGTGGCAACAACATCTGCGTCGACCTTGCGCCAGGGCCAACAGGAAGATGGGGCCAAGTAATCCTCGTCGGACGCGACTACGACTGCAAATACGTCGTCTCGCGCTCATGGGCAGCATTCATCGCGACAATGGCCGACGATATGAGCACAGACAAGTGGTTCATCGACGAAGACACGAAGGAGCTGAAGCTTAAGGAGTTCAAGCAGCCTGGCGTCGAGCCCGCGTACATCGACATTCTGCGCTGGAGGACAGACCAGAAGTATGGGCGGAAAGGACCGAAACGCCCGTTGCGGATTAACAGTCAGGTGGCGGGTGCGCAGGCGAATGGCTACTCGCCGTACGGTAGCCCGGTGTCTGCGGCGGAGGATCGTGGAAGGAGTCCGCACAGGTTCCAGAACGGCAAGCAACCGGCCGCGGGCAGTCCACGCGCGCATATGTCGAGTCCGCTGGCGCGCGTTACGGAAGAGGGACCACAGCCGCTCAAGATCGACACGCACGCTGATGCAACAGTGGCGCGGCCGGAGAAGTTGGTGTCTGTTGATACCCCACGCTCGCACAATGCGCCCAAACTCGAACGCCTCGTTTCAGTCGACACTCCTACGATTCCGAATGGTTTTGCCGACGACAGGCGCGCGAGCTTGCCGAAGAGCAGGCTCAACAACAGCATGCTCAGCGAGACCGAGAGCTCTGTCGCCAGCGACACACCTACTGCGAAGGCGGAGGAAGCAGCGACGAAGGCCGGAGCTCAGGAGGAGGAGATGAAGGATGTTCAGATCTGAGGTGAAGACACTGAGGCAGGAGGAGCGATTGTCAGAATACCGAGCACGAAAACATGCATACAACGAAATACGTCAATACATTCGACTTGGAAGCGCGAAAGAAGCGGTGGGAACGAACACGGAGTTGTGGCGTGAAGAGGGAAGACGAGATAAGATGAAGACTGTTGTATTTCGTGGATGGGATGGAGGTTTATCCTCGCCGAGCGAGCAAGCAATGGTATATGACGTGAGCGCTTCTATTCTCGTACTACTACTGCTGCACATGGCTCTGTTGGCTCTTGTTAATGAGGGGATGGAGGGTAGAGGTGCTGATGGTATGTACTAGTAGGATAGGATTGTGGTATGGATGAGTTGAATACTTGGGGTGAGGATGATTTCTTTCGATCAATTTCACTTGCTTTCTGGAGTGCTCGTAGTGGAGAGAGAGGCTGAACTGGTACGGGGTGAATCGTAAGAGGTTCAATGGTTTCCTATTTGTCGAGCAGAGAGTGCTCATGGTCTGCAGTCGTAAATCCTCAGCGAGCGGGAAGACAATGACTGTCGCACAACCAAGCCCTCTAGAGGCGGATGCAAGGGGCGGAACCGGGCCACCTCTCTGTAACCAGACGACACGATACCCTTGCCACGACACAATGGATGAATTCTCTCACAACTAACAGTACCCTCTCATCGCAGACTCCGGCACAATGTACGATCTGGAAAGCTTCACCATGGTCGTAGAAGGGGCGGCTGTTCGCTTGACCGAGATTCTCAGCTCCGTCTTCCCGAACGACTTTCGCCCCTGGACTGCCACTGGGACCTTTCATACCACGGCACCTACACCGATGCAGACTGTGTTTACGACCACGGAGAGAATCACGGTTACCTCAACCTCATCGGCAGAGCCAACGGGTGTCCGCGAGCCTGTTGTCCGGCGAGAAGATGCGCCTGACGAGCAGCTACCTTGGGAGGACCACCAACTGCTCTGGCGGCAGGCGTGGAACGACAAGCCTCTTCGGATCCAGGTTTGCATTATGCTTGTTGATTGGACCAACGCTGCTTTCGAACACGTCAAGAGGCGCATGTCGTGGTGCGGGTGCGTGGGTGCCAAAATATTGCAGTGCAGTCCGTTGACTTTCTGTACGCTCCGGCTTCTCGGGGTGATGTTTGGTTATTATGGGTATGTTTCGCGGATCCAAGTCTAAAGGAGACTGTTCTCTTGTCTGGTTTCGCTGCGAGAGGACCAGGCAAGCGCAGCAAGGGAGGGCGGTGCAGCGATATGATACCAGCATCGTGGGACAAAGTGATCCTCAATCGTGCGAAGCTCTCGATTCGACAAGCAACCCGGGTTATGAGCTAGTCCTCGACCACTCCTAAGAACTCCATCTCAACAAGCCTGTCGACAACGGCTAGATGAATCAATTGAATCGCGAGGACTCCTGGATCAGTAACGTCCAGTGCTTCCTGGCGATGAACCGCTGCGGCTTCACCTCCTCGCTTTCTCACAACTCTGTTCCAGGTGTCAACCCACACGAACGCTGCTCATGTCAACGATAGTGTTGGTGGTCAAGATCTCATGGCGAGGCTATCGCTGCTGGACCGGAGCCCGGAGGCCCGCTATGTTCACCAACGGCGAGACACCGCTGAATGGATGAGCCTACTTTTTGGCTGGCCACGACGAAGAGCATTGCCACATTTCAGGCAATGGACTGAGATGACTGCCTGGGGTTCGAAGGCTTTGGGCCAGGAGGGGGCTTATCGCATTGGAATGTCGCACGGCAGCACAGCCTGAGGCTTCTCCCTCCCTTTGATGGATTGTACGAGTATATGAACGCGGTCGATGATCCCAATGGTTTCCAGCAACGATTCACATCATCTGCCGCCTCGACCGCTTTTCGTGGGACACAAAAAAGTTTCGATCTGAGGCCTTTTGCAGTCAACAATCATGACCTCAACACCTCTGCCTCTACCACCAGCGTACCAGCCGCGGCCACAGTGCGCTCATCAACCGTCATGGCAGACCAACCAGTGGCCACACGACGACCATCAGACCAAAGACCAACACCGAGAATTGGGCACACCCCCAGCACCAGACGCCAATCCCAACGGCCAGGTGCTTGTGCCAGGTCTGATAACTTCGGGGCCAATTAAGGCCAGGAGATCTGTCCGGCGAACAGGGTGCGAAGGCCTCGCATTTGTGGTGGCTTTCATAGTGGCGTTTGCGATCGGTTGGGCCATTTTTGGGCGATCAAGTGATAATAAGACGAGTGGGTGAGCCTTTAGCTTTGCGGAGCGACTTGGAAGCGGGATCCGTATGGAAGTGCAAGCGTTTGTGGTTCGCGGCGGGATACTGTTTGGGAGCTCCTATCGAACTGGTGTGCTCGAAACAATGTTGCAAGGCCTTGCATGGTCTGGCTCAAGCGGCAAGGGGGTTTTGTTGTGGGAAGATGATATATGTCCACAGCCAATGCATCTTGCTGTACCTAGTCGTAACTCTAACGTCCGGTCGACCGTTCTTCCTGTATCATGGACTCCAATTCGAGCGCAGACCCCCATCTCGACAAGCCTTCGCCACAAGAACAAGTCTGCGATCTCCCGAGCAGCTCACACGAAGACCCAGTACTCCAGGACAAGCCACGGGAGTCTTCTTCCCAACGTCAACCACCGGACACTGCTGTCTGCCCGCAACACACAAGCGCCTGCGCACCTGTCTGCAATTCATCATCTCCTCAGCTGCCGCCACCGCCTGCGGCCCAGGCTGCGCAGAGCCCTCCGCTGAAGTGGTGCCAGAATGGACATTACAAGGACCACCCAGACCATCTCGCCTGCGTTACACGGGAACTCCGTGATTTAGAGGGAAATACAAGGGAACTCCGTGATTCAGAGGAGAGACGTCGCAAACAGGATAGAGCGCACTCGATCGTCACGTGCATCTTCGGCGTTGCCATTATCCTTATTTGGGCGCATTACGTCTTATTCGGACCAAAAGGCTGAGGATTAGAATGCTGAGGATGAACGTGTACGTGTCTACACCTCAGCGGTCCAATGTTTGTTTTCTGAGCTCAAGTTTTCGCAGGTCAGGCATCGCTGCTCAACCAAGGAGATTCGTACTGACATGCAAGCAAGGAGTACCTGGCGCTGCTACGCCCTGTGCAACAATCACCATCATAACAGGAGCCTTGCGCTAAGGTTGACTCAAGTTTCAAATCCTGGCCAGCTGATTTCGAAGGCTGCCAGTGCCTGCACTCGTCGCCTAGGAATGTGACAAACGAGGGCACTGCCTGAGGCTTAGATCACACCCATTCCATCCATGGATCTCATATAAGAATGCGATAGAACAGTCCTGAGAGTCCCTAGCAGCGATCATAGTCGGTCCAATCTCTCCATCACCCTGCTCTAGCAAAGACCGAAACAGCGACCACCGGTTCAGCCCCTTCCGCAAAGCAAAGCTATGGGTTCCACGCCTTCGCCTCCACCACCAGCTTGCCAACCGCCGCCGCAGTACGCCGACCTGGAGTCATCGCAGCCCAGCGGTCGTCCGGACCACGAGCACGCATGGCAGACCAAGGATCCACAGCCACAGTTCGGCTCACCTCCAGTACAGGACGCTTCCTCGTACAGCGCCCAGGAATCATTTTTGAACTCTCGGGAAGCACAGCGGATGACGAAAGCTGCACAGCGTAAGCAGTGCAAGAGCGTTGCCGCTTTGGTGGCGGTGCTGGCTTTTGTTGGTTTGATTGTTTACGATTGGTGGCGGTTGTTGAAGGATGCGCACGATGAAGAGGTTGTAGTTCTTCAGTATGGGTTGTCGGGAAGACATCTGTGCCCAAGGCGAGGATACCCAAGAGTCTAGAGTCTGCCATGGTGATCGTCATTTGACGCTCAGAGCTTCTCTAAGGTCAAGTTTTCGCAAGTCAGGGATCGCGGCTCAAGCAAGGAGAATGGCAGGCAAGCAAGGAGAGGTACTGCTAAGCCTTGCCCAACCAGCAAGCCATATAGATCAATCAAAGTCCCTCACTTTGATTAGCAGGTGTCAAACGCTGCAAGTTCTTACACAGGAGCACAACATGACTCTGATCATTCCATCTTCCCAAGACGCCTGCTGCCATCATACTTGTCGGTCGTGTCAACATACGGCACAAGAGCTACCGCCGTGCGCATGTCAGCATCAACACCCAGTGCCGGATCTGCATCGTTGGCAACCACATGCTCAAGGCACCGTCTGCGCCGCCAGCTGTCGACAAACATGGCTCTGCACACCGCCCTCGCACCCGCCTCAACCTCCATGCACTGCCCAGCAGTATCTTTACTGTCACTCCAAGACCAACAACAACAAACAAGACTTGCAGCCACCAAGTTGCCATCAGCGCTTGCCGTCAAAGGACCATCGGTCTGCTGAGCCCCGGAAGCAAACGATAGCAGATCCGACGACTCCGACACGCCCATCGAACACTTCGGTCCTCGAGGAGAAGGCTCTCCAGCACAAGGACGACCCATCCGCAAGCACGTGGACTTTTGAAAAGGCCGCGAAGATCGCATTAGTCGCGGGGGGCTGTTCGGCGGTCTTTTTCACAATAAACACTGTGATAATTTTAGCATTGGTGGTTGAAATTCTCAGTCGCCTTGCTCCTCCGCGACAGGTATGACTGATGGCGAAGATGCTTTGTATCGTCGATGCACCACTTTGTCGCCGGACGATAAAGATTAGACTAGCTCCGGCAGGCTGGGTAGTGAAGATTGTAGCAATACCATATTCATTGAATGGATTCTGTTCTGCGAGTCGACGTCAATCATGCAAGGGGCAAGCGTGTGCTCCGCCCTGCGTAACATGACGGACACCTCCTAACTTTTCTCCTTTTGTAGGCGCTCCGCGTTGCTCGTCTGGTTACCAGTATCCTCCAAAATGGTTGTGCGGATGTTTGAGCAAGTGGCGCGTACGTACGGACCGCGTGGACTGCACACCCGTCCAGCCGTTCGAGCAACAGCGCCGCTGAACCATCTTCATGGACCCGTCCAGAAGGCTTCCGTCAAATCGAGCAAGCGTATTACGACTCCCCTACCACCGTCGCCCCTTTCTCATCACTGGCGACCACCACCAGGGCCTGCAAGGCTCCCGACTCCGGGGCCTGTCATAAGGACAGGGAAGAAAGATATGAGGTTCACCGAGTACGAGCCAGATAAAGCTGATCGATGGATTATGTTATTGTTCAAAGGCGTAGTGTGGGTGTCCAAAGGCGTGGTCCGAGTAGTATTCAGCGCTCTGGTTTAGCCGGGGAGATTGGAAGGACCTAGCAGATGCTAAGGTGCGGTTCATGGTGGTGAACATCCGCATATTGTTTCAGAGAGGCAGGAGACGAGGTCTGTGTTGAGGGAAGTGCCACGGACGGTACATGTGCTGTTGGCTCCTCTCTACAAGAGTGACACAGCAGGCGTGGTCCGACTCTAGCACCAGTGAGGCACTCTGGTCGCTGGGAAGGGATGCGGAAGTCCATTGAGGCGTCCAGGGTGTCCTTCGCCAGTCCGGCATTCACACCACCATATGGTCTTGCGCTTTGGGCCACCTCTGTCTCAACACTGGCGACCACCCCAGGGGCCTGCAAGGCTCAGGACTCCGAAACCAATCTCGAGAAAGAGCACTGCCGCCGTCAAAGGCACCGAGCAGAGGCAGACCACATCAGAGCGTTGGATGGTCAGACTGTTGGAAATTGTGGCTTCGATGGTGTTCTGTTTATAATAGCGGGCAGAGGCGGCTGAAGCGAACAGACCGGAGCGTATAGGCAGCGGTGAAGATCTCTGGGCTCTAAAGCGTAGCAGATGGGCTCGGTATATCTTGGCCAAAGGTGCGAGGAAGCAGCGCTTGCGGGCAGAGTCGCAGTGGAGTGTGAACAGCATACCGGACACCGCTGTGAAGGGGTGGTGGGAGCGCTGTAGTCGCTTGATAAGGCTGCAGTCACGCTGAGGGCGATGGAAAAGATCTTGCCTGTGGTGAAAGGCAGCGCAAAGAGAGCGCGGCATAGACCGTGGATAGACATCAATCCAGTACCCCCCCACCGAGTCCGCAATGTCTCACTTGCTGTTCCAGCTGTCCTTGCAGTGATGGAATTGTACGTCCTTGAAGGTAGATCAAGGGGCAAGGACTGAGTTCTGCGTAACGATGGAAGCAGAAAACATGTTGAATGTGGATGGCCGCGAACATATAGCCATTGTCAGCCGAGACCACATTTCCTCGCCCTCGCAAACTACCCGCCCCGAACATGAGCTTCTCCGGACACGCAATTGCCGCAGGCCCTCCGTGCTTCGTTCGCAATGCCTGCACTCCAAGACCAGGCCACCTTGTCAAGCAGCCGCCCATCAGCAAATTTCAGCACCAGGTTCGACACGAGTTAACAGACGACCGCTCATCAATGCCGATACAGCCAACCTGCGACGTTTGCCGCACCAGAGACGCAGAGCAGGCAGCCAAGGACCAGGCAGCCAAAGACGAGGCAACCAGAGACGGGTTCGTGCTTGTCGGGTTTGGCATACTTGCGTGTGTCGCTGTACTAGAGTTCAAGCAAAACCAAAAATGGAAGTCCCAGGGATCAGGAGGAGCATCACCCGAAAATGCATCACAGGCACCAGTTCATGGGCCGTCAAAGGAGTGCGGGCCACAATGATCATGTCGACTCTTGCTCGGGCTGGCAACGTAGCGGCAGTCTGCAGAAAGGCCTAGCACTTCCGAGCGGTCTCCCAGCTGGCTTCGTTCGTCCATAGACCGGATACGGTCGAGAAGCATTGCAGCTGTCCGAGTGGGAACTGGACGTCGCACCGGGCCAGTGTACCAGCGCGGAGCTTCATGAGCGGACGACGGATGACGGAGACGGCTGTTTGACTTGGGCATCTCCGTGGATTGTGGCGCTTGTTCTCCTCCGTGCGGTTGCTTTGGCGATGGTGTTGGATGAGCTGGACGTGGGCCACACACGCTTAACTTTTGGTTTCTTGAACAGAGTGGAGCTGTTTGGTATCGGCATGACGGAGCAGCGTTGATACTGAGGTAGTGCGTCCTTTGGAATGGATGTTCTGATAGCTTTGGATAGGCCTAGTCCTCGACTGGATTATCTCTGATACATTAGCTAGCACTTCTTGTTAATCACATAAACAGCCAAGCCCCTCCTCCCAATCACCCTCCTCAACGTCTTCCAAACACCATCACCTGCAAAGTCAAGATCATCCAATCTGATATGCTTACTCGTCCGCCACACCTCTTCCAGCTTGATAGTAGCGCCGTACATTCCGCTGTCAGGAGTCTCCATATACGGATCCAGCGCCACTGCGCTCAAAGGCGCGACGAGCATCGATACCCTGGTTCGCTCGTCCTGGCATTCAGCTCTATTGTAGAGTTCAAGGAACAGCTGATCGTGCGGTGTGCCCATGTAGTCCTTGACTTTGACGTCGGGGCTCAAAAAGGAACCTCCGAGCCAGGTGGGCGGTGGGTATGTGCGCCACCATGTGATTTGTTCAGTGTTGGTGCCGCGGGCGAGGAAGCGCTGTGCAGGGACGATGCCGGCTTGGTGGTAGGCGCCGAAGAGTAAGCCCACGGTGGCGTTAAAGAGGATCCAGCTGATGAACCAGATGTTGGAGAAGCGGACAGGGAGTTTGACAGAGGCGAGGAGAAGTGGTACGGCGGGGAGTAAGAAGCGGGCTTCTTGGTGTTGGAAGCAGGATAGGGCTGCGATGCCGGTGATGCCGGACCAGAACAGGGCGTTCTTTCGGCTGGAGAAGAGTAGAAGGGGGATCGCGGGGCCGAGTAGTTGCGGGAGGTTAGCGGCGAAGTGCTGCCAGTAGGGATGTAGGCCGTGCTCGGCGAGGTTTTCGGGATCGAGATTGTACATCAAGTTGTTGAGAGGTGTAAATATTGTTGTCCCACGGAGATTGCTGAACGAGGGCCGAACAGACGCGTAAATTTCTGTGTCGACTGTGACTGCAATGGCCATCGTGAGAAGACTGCCAAACAAGAGGATGGGGATCCTCATGGTTCGAGTAAAGAGATGAGGTATCAGTTGCAATGCTGGAACCAGGATAAAGGCAGGGAACGTGATGCGGTTGAAGACGCCGAGCACACCCATGAAAGCCAGGCCGCAGCACGCGCTCGCCATCGTGCTTTCAGGATGCTCACGGATGCGACGCATGAGTACGATGCACCATAGCACCAGCAGCGTCTCGATGCTGTTGGAGAAGGTGTGCATTTGGAACGTCCAGGTGACATAGCTGGAGGCCACCAAAGCGATGGCTCTCGTCCGGTCGCGTGGTGAAGGGATGAGTTCGTGTAGTGCCCAGTCCTCGAGTACGAAGCTCAGGATGAACATGAAGATCCGCAGAGCGTAGAACGCCAGCATGGGCTGGACATTGCCATATCCCAGGCCTTCCCAGATCCATTTCAGGAGAGTCAGGGGGAAGCCGTAAGCCAGCCAGAGAGGAAAGTAGCTGCGGATGGGTTCGTCGTCTGTGAACTCCCAGGGAGGATCGGACGGCCAGTCGAAGACTTGAGCTGTATATCATGTTAGTTTGATGCGCTGCGGAGTAGTACGCTGAGGCTCACCAGCAATTATCTCCGGCCCCTGAAAGTGTTCGTCTGGATGGATGTAGCTGGGTTGAATCGCAAAGTACAGGCGCACAAGCAGAAGAAAGAGGTAGAGCCGTCGCCACATCTTGAATGATTCAGTCAAAGGAACGTATGTGGTCAGAAAACGAGTGGTAAAGCGAGGTCAGGAGACGCATCTCGTGCCCGATCAAACAAGCACAAACACCTCCTGTCCTTGATGTAGCGGCTGCTGTGCTGAAGTATACCTACTGGGTGCTGACACATACACTGTAGCGCACGGACCATCTTGGATCCGCATCCGGCCTGCTGGCTTTGTGATACTTCATCTTCAATTGACACCCACCTTACGCACCGCCCTCACATTCACCAATTTCACACGACAATAGAGATCAAATTGTCTCATACAATAGCAACTAGGTACGTCGATTGTCTCTCTGCCCCACCCTGTCAGCAATCAATAGCGTTCCAGCAAACAGGCAGCGACCAATAGAGTTCTGGGCGGGCAGTGTCACTGGCTTCACGATTGATATAAAGCTCCCGCTCCCTCACCTCAGAACACTCCCTCTAACATCAACCTCTTCACACCAGCTTCCAACCCAACCCAACCCACACCACACAACACTTCACACAACAACCACTCACACCACACACCAGCACTCGCGATGGCGACCGAAGGCGATCAGCTCGTCAAGCTCGAGAGCTCCGACCATGTTATCATCGACACAGGTATGCCCAACACCCACCACCACCGGCGCATACCAATACTGACTTTCACCTCACAGATCGCAAGACCGCCGAGCGCTCGATGCTAATCAAGAACATGATCGAGGACCTGGGCAGCCCCGGTGAGGAACCAATCCCAATCATGAACGTAAGTGAACTTTACCTTGCCCAGTATATCTGACTCCGCTGACCTTCACCCCACAGGTCTCCGAAACCGTCCTCCGCAAGGTCATCGACTGGTGCACCCACCACAAGAACGACCCACCGCCATCCGCCGAAGACGACGCCGACTCGCGCAAGAAGACTACGGACATCGAAGACTGGGATCAGAAGTTCATGCAGGTCGACCAGGAGATGCTGTTCGAGATCATCCTCGCCGCCAACTACATGGACATCAAGGCTCTGCTCGACGTGGGGTGCAAGACGGTCGCGAATATGATCAAAGGCAAGAGCCCTGAGGAGATCCGTAAGACGTTCAACATCCAGAACGATTTCACGCCAGAAGAGGAGGATCAGATCCGTCGCGAGAACGAGTGGGCCGAGGACCGCTAAGCGGCTCTTCCCCCGCTCACCCTCACACGACGTCAACGACCTCACATTCATACGACATCATGCATGCGGCGATGGGTGGCTGGATTGCAAGGGCGTTCTGGGCGTATGTTGAGGCTCGATGGACTGATTACTAGACGAAGATGAATTTTGCTGGCTTTTGCACTGGGCAATGCTGGTCTTCGGCGATGCTGCCTGACTCTTCTTCTGGCGGGCGGCTGCTGATAACCACATGCATGCTTTCAGACTGCGCACATGGCGCCTAGAAATGATTTTTTAACCCCACTACTGTGTCCATCTGTTCTCACCCATGTTTACGATCCTTCACCCCCAGCTGCTGCCTTCGACCAACTTCACTGACGTCGCAGTAAGATCACGTGCTCATCCTTCCGCTTCCTCCAGCCGCAGACGCCGCGACCGGCGGCTAAAAGCGCCTTCCTGTCAGGGCCGCATCGCCGTTGGATCCAGGGCAACTCTATTCCCTCCAATCGCTCTGGCCCAAAGTCGCCCAACCCAAAACCTCGAAAGATATCTTGAAACGTTTACGTTTTCCCGCGGACGAGTTCTGAGACCAGTTGTGTGGTTGGACTCCTTTCTTCTGAGACTGCCTGCGGGACTGTGTTGTTTCGGGAAGGTGGCATTGGCTTCAGGCGGGGAGAACTGCTCGTGCACGATTACCTATTGTTGGGGTGCTGGGCACTCTTGCGTTTGCAATTGGGAGGGACAGCCGCTGAGGAGGAGTACGAGGAAGTCTGGTACAAGAACACTACGGCAGAAGTGCTTGAAAGGAGAGCAAGCAGTATACTCAACCCATCGACTTACCAACAGCGAACAAGACCAGCCCGCCCAACATGAACGTCAACAAGAAGTTCGACCGGCTGAAGCAATGGGGCAAGGAACGCATGGGCGCGGAGGCTACGACGACGACTACGGAAGAGTTCAAGGCATTGCAGACGGAGATGGACTTGCGGCATGCTGGTATACCTATGCTCTTGCAATACAGACGATCTGACATAGACTAATGTTCACCAGGCATGGACCGCCTCCAACTCTCCACCTCCGCCTACATCAAATCCCTCTCCAGCCGCACTCAGGGCGAAGGCAAAGAGAAACAACTGCCTGTCGGCTACTTCGGCAACACGCTCATGGTCCATGGCGACGACTTCGAGGCAGACTCTGAATTCGGCCAGTGCCTCCTCTCCCTCGGCCGCGCCAACGAGCGCATCGCCCGTATGCAGGAGACCTACTGCGCCAATGCCACCAGCAGCTGGCTCGAGAGCGTGGAGCGCAGCCAGGTGCAGATGAAAGAATACCAGGCGGCAAGGAAGAAGCTCGAGAGCAGACGATTGGCGTACGATACCGCGAGCGTGAAGATGCAGAAGAGCAAGAAGGAGGATTATCGGATGGAGGAGGAGTTGCGGAGCCAGAAGGCGAAGTATGAGGAGAGTCAGGAGGAGGTGGTGAGGAGGATGATGGATATTAAGGAGGCTGAGCAGGATAGTGTGGCGGACTTGACAAGTTTCTTGGAGGCGGAGTGTGCGTACTATGATCGGTGTAGGGAGGTGTTGGTGCAGTTGAGGAAGGATTGGCCTGCGTATGTCTCCTCCATCTCCTCTACGGAAGCCCGGATTGCTAATCTGCTCGAACAGCACATCAACCTCCATCTCCCGCTCCTCAACAGCCTCCCCAGTCAACGGCCTCCCCCGTCGCCCAACAGCACGCAGCCGCGCCTCCTCCATCAACACCGACTCCCGCTTCTCCCGCATCACCGAAGAAGAGCCCGCCGCCCCGCCGAACCTCGAAACCCTCCGCGGCGGCGGCGGCTCCTTCGCCTCCCGCTCCACCTCCGCCCAAAACTCCCCCCGCCGCGAACTCCCCAACTTCGACTTCAGCGGCCGTCCCGCGCCCCTCGCGCGAAGCACCTCTAACTTCCAACCCCCCGTCACAACCGGCCGCGACCAATCTCCCGCCCCCATGCCTCGCTTGTCTCGCGTCCCCACCGAGCCAACACAAATCCTCGCCGGGCGAAACAACCTCCGCGTCACCAAACGCGTGGACTCCTCCCAGCGCGATCCAGTGTTCGGAGACGACGCGAGCGATGCGTCGGACTCTGCTTCCGAGCTATCGCGAATCTCGAGCTGGACGGCTGGCGGGCAGCAGGAGAATGCGATTTCGAAAAAGGGACCACCGCCGCCTCCGCCACCGAGTAGGAACACGAAGCCCGCGCCGCCGCCTTTGCCGATGAAGCGGAGTGCGTTGAGTACTGGGGAGGTGCCTAGGGGATGATGGAAGGTAGTGGGGGACGTGGAGGGTGGGGAGGGAGAAAGTGGTGGGGTCGAGATTGTTTGGTTTTGTTAGTTGGATAAGATGGCGTTCATTTGTGCACTGATACCCGGTATTTGGATTAGCGCAATGGGTGGCGTGGATAGTGATATTGTGTGCAATTGAGCATTCCTTGAGACCCAGACTCATTTTCTTCATGGCGGTGCATCGACTTGGTGATCATATATCATCACAACATCAACGAAAGAAGGGCAGACATCTTGTGCTTCATGAGTTTTTCAATCGATTTCTCGGCTGCCTGTGTTAAGTATCCCATGCAGCAAATCGCCGCGCATGCCGTGACTACAGCAGCAGCACGAGTAGGAAGTCCTGAACACCACAAGCCTCCATCCTCTCCTCTACTCCTTCGTCTTCTGGGTACCACGCAGCAGACCAGTTCTCCGGGCGGCGATGAGACCCGCCTTTTGACCCTGGGCGGCGTAGCGGTTGATGGTCGAGGCCTTACCGATATGCTGGTGGTTACCACCACCGTGAGGCTGTGAAAAAGTGTGTCAGTATATCCAATCGTTTCGTAGTGGATCGGATGGCGCCTTACATGGTCGACGGGGTTCATGGCAACACCACGAGTCTTGGGCCACGAGTTGCGCTTGACGGCGAACTTATGCTTAGCGCGGGACGCCTCTGTGTGATCATCAGTATGCCATCCTCCAGCGTATGTTCTCAGCTCAACACATACTCAGCAGCGGCTTGTCGGTCCGTCCACCACCAGCGACAATCCCGATCATGCCACGCACAGAGCTCTTGACCACCTTCTTCGCACCACTCGGCAGCTTCACGCGCGTCTTGCCCTCGTCGGGGTTGTGTCCAATAACCGTGACGTAGTTCCCGCTCGTCCTGCCCAGCGCACCGCGGTCGCCCATCTTCTCCTCCACGTTCGTCACTACGGTACCCTCGGGCACGCTGCCGAGCGGGAGGATGTTGCCGATGGTGAGCGAGGCGGACTTGCCGGCGTAGATGAACTGGCCCGTGTACATGCCCTCGTTGGCGATGAAGGTCTCGGTGTGCAGCTTGAAGCGGTACGGGTCGCGGAAGGAGACTCTGGCGAGAGGGGCGCCGCGGCCGGGGTCGTGGATGATTTCCTTCACCACGCCGCGAATGTAGCCATGGCGTTCGGCGAAGTCGTAGGTGCGGAACTGCGCAGGCGCCTTGTTGAGTCCTGGTGGTGTCCATTAGTTTGCTAGTATGCTGCGAATGGCTGAGGATCGCATACTTGTGTGAGCCTGGAAGATGCTCCCACGGCCTTTCCTCTGGTTGCGAATCACACGACCCATTGTTGCGGTAGTCGGTGTGGTTCTTGACTTGACAGAGGTGTGTTCGGCGTCGACCAAATTCTCAAGAGAGGTGCGATGCTGCCAAGAGTGGCCCGAGCGTCATAAGATCAACCTCACTCCGCAGACTTCTGAGCACCCTTCTTCGTGAACCCATATCAAGAACGCAGCGAAGATCGTGAAAATGTCATCGGAACCTGCTGGTATTGGGCACTTTGGTCTACATGCAAAGGAAATGCTTTCAATGATCTCGTCGCTACGGGCATTACAGGATAAGTACCTTACTGTCTCATCTCCTACATTCAAACACGATTTTCCATCAATCCTTTCGCGATATCGGCATGAGCAGTATCTGCGTGGAGAAAATGGATGTAGAGTGCGCAGGTGCAAGATGCGACCCGCCTCAAGCGAACCTGTTTTCGAGAAATGATGGGGCGCAAACCGCCAGCTGGAATCCGCCTCGAACACAGTACTGCACACCACAACTCAGCGGAGGCACTTATCTATCTTCGTACGCTGACTATAATATCTATACCTGGATGATGGATCTCGAGTCGGGACCCCGCACGATATCGAGTGTCATCGGAGTCGTTTCTCACCAGGCTGCGGCAATAAGCTCACATCGGGAGAATGTGCCATCCTTCCGTACCTTCTACTGCATATCACCGACAGTGCAACCTGGAATGCGATGCTTTCGTGGCTCTCGAGCGTCTAACATCCTTGGATTGCGTGCTCGACAGGTCCGAGAGGGCGAAAGTCACACTGTACTCGATGAATACGACGTACCGAGTGGCGACAACGTGTATTGATATGCACAGCCAGCTCAGAGTCTCAAGCACGCATCCGTGAGAAGGCTTCCGGTCGTTGGGCGGTTCAAACGCCCTCAACTAACGGACCGAATCGCGATTCCTTTCCGGCATACTTCTGACATGTCTCACACTACATACGCAGAGGATGTCTATGTGGTGCTCTTATTACTGAGCTCAGGGCGCGTGCGGAGGGCAAGTGGGCGTGTCAACGACATTGCAACTCGCGCTGGTACAAGCAAACACGCCGCTCAAGGTAGCCTGCGATTCCACTTTCGCAATGGCTACAAAGAGCACAGTCGATCTCAGACAATACATAGCCACTCAATGTGAATTCATCTGCACACTGTTTGCTTGTCAAAGTTCATCTCATTGCTGCGGTCTCGGCGAAGCCCGTCATTCCTCCTTCGCGCTCGCCAAAGCTCCGACCTAACCTCACATGTAACTTTCCACCACGAACATTGTTCACCTTTCACAACTACCCACCACCGTCGCCCACCATGGCCGACTCGGATAGCAGCGACCTGTCTGAACACTCCGACAAGGAGATCCAAACACTTGCGCCGATATTCCTGAAAGCGAAGAAGGCCACCAAACTTGTAGCACCACCCCCCGTCGTCTCGCCGCCAAAGCCCAAGAGACCCCCTTCACCACCACACGAAGAGGCGCTGGCAGATCATGGAGCGATCGCAGTAAGTAGTGGACGCGAAACGGCGCGCTCGAGACGCGCCGGACACGTGAAGTATGAAGGCTGATCATCTGGTCTACCACAGTTCCTCGTCATGTTCCGCTCGCGCTTCAACGACGCGTTCCCTTCGAAACTTCCTCACTACGGACCGCAGGATATTGAGAATGGGGTCGTGGACACCGCGCCGAGCACAGAGGTGCAACAGTTGCTATGCGCGCTGCTGGGGTTGGTGTTGAATCGCAAGAAGCCGGTTGAGTATGTCTACCCATACATACCCTTTTAATGCCTCCCGAAGCGGGGTTGGCGACTTTGGAATGGGTCTTTGCGGACTTGGGGCTAACAGGTACACAACAGGCGCGGACATCACGGGCGAGCACTTGAAGAAGCCATCTCATCGCAGAAGTCGCAATGGCCATATCGGTGGCGCGGAGTCAACCCGATCCATGGCGGCAAGACCTTCGAGAACATGCTGCCAACTGAGAGGGTGGGTCTTCACCTTGGTCGTTCTGTTCACAAGCAAAGCTGACCTCAGTCTAGCTCGACCTCCTCCAGACCCTCGTCATGTGGGCCCTCACTTCGTCTGAAGCGATCCAGGCTACCATCAAAGAGAAGTACAAGCAGCAGAGACATGGCGATGACGAGAACCAGCCGCTATCGGTGCAGCCATGGGGCGTGGACGCCGACAAGAGGAGGTACTTTCTGATCCAAGGACTGGAAGATACCAGCTTTCGGGTCTATCGCGAAGGCTCGAGATATACCAAGAATGCACATTGGTGGAATCAAGCAGGCACGATCGACGAGGTTAAGGCGTTGGCGACGAAGCTGCAAGAGGTCGACGGCTCGCAGGCTGCCAGGAGGTTGGCTCAGCGAATCTCGAATGCCATACCCACGTTCGAGGCTACTGAAGAGGTACGTTTTAAGCTTGTCATACTTAAAACGTACCACCTTGCTAATGATCTAGCAGAAGCGACACCGCCGAGAGTATCGCCGACAGCAAAGGCAGCGCTTCACGCGCCCCGAACCAGGCTTCTCGCTCTATGAAGGACGGACTCGCGGCAAGCGTATGCGGTACACTTACGACGACGATGAAGCTGGCGACTCCGACGCCACCTCCACCAGACGATCTGCTCGGCAGTCGACGCGCAACACACCCTTCGAAGCTGGACCTACCATGACCTCGAGCGGGCGTCAAATCAGGCAGCCCAGGACTGGTACTTACGGCGAGAGCCTTCTAGGAGCGCCGCCAATGAGCACAGACGAGTTGACGCCAGGCTACAGCGATCCGGAGCAAGTGATGTCTAGAGGCAGGACAGGCCGCTCAACACGCTCAGGCACTGAAGATTCAGAGCAGCCAGTCGGCCGCGGAAGGCCTACGAGGTCCGGTGTGAACGGTATCAGCAATCCTCGGAAGCGCGCGTACAACGACATCGATGGGCTGAGCGACGAAGACGACGCGGAGCCGAGTGGCGATGAGTGGGATAGCGACAAGAACGATGAAGGGGACGAGAACATGCCAGACGTTGGCGACGCAGACGACGACATGAGCGACGCGGTGGATGACGAGTCCGCCGATGAAGAGCGCAGCTTGGTCGTGAAGCTCAGAGTGTCGCCCCAGGCAATGCTTCAGGCGGGTTCAGGCGTGCCAGCAGCAGCAGCGCAGAATGGATCCATCACCCCTGCCAGCGCGGCGGACGACACGACCAAGGCTGGTGCATTGAAGGATGAGGCGCTTGTTCCGGATGAGAAGCCTTCCGCCAGCACCAACGGCGCATTACAGCCGAACTCGTCACCAACCGGGCCCTCCTCGTATCCTACCCCCACATCCGCGGCCTTTGTGTCCAAAGACCAAAAGCCTGTGGTGGCAACTGCGTCGCACACTTTGCCAGGCAACGCAAGCTTCCCTGTGATGCACGGCGAGAACGGAGAAGGCGTACCAGGGGCGATGGGAAGCGAGAGAGCCGATGCGAATCCAGGAGTCAACGGCGTCTGAGAAGGGTGAGGAAGATGTATCAGTGATCAGTATGGCATATCTGGGGGAAACATGTGCGAATGCATTGTTACGGCATTGCGGTTTATGAGCGAGCTTTTGCGATGGGAGTATGGGCGGCGGTGTTTGACTGTGTTTGACTTGCGTTAAGCTATGGGCATGGAATTGCATGGCGGGAGATTGCTGTTGCATATACCAGCTGGTCTTGTCGGCAGAACCTCGTACGGAACAGGTATGCAGTGTCTAGATGGCTAGTGCCTTTTGTGACGAGTAAAGATGGCAGCCAGAGTCTTTCAATCAAGATGTCAGAAAGGCATTCCAATTCAGTCATTCCTCATCATTTTCCTCCTTCATTTCCTCCCCGCCCAGATCCATATCATCCTGATCTTCGTCCTCATCCTTAACATCGGCGTCCTTACTGCCTCTGCGTTTCCCATTCTCCTCCGCCACCGGGAAGTGAAGGTGCTTCCAGTCCTCGATCTCTTCAATAATACTCCTCAGCCTATCCCTCACGCTCTCCACAGCGTACATTCCCAGCAGCAGTCGAAGCGGCGGGTATCTGCAATGCCCCAGTTGCCACACCAGCTCTGCAGACTTGACCGCACTCGTCGGCTGCCGATCTGCGAGCCACTGCACCACCCTCCTCGCATGCCCTGCTGGAGCCGTCGGCGTATCGTAAGGCGCAGACGGCTTCTTGACGAAGAAATGCCCATACTTTGGTAAATTGATCTTATGCCCGCTCCCATCCTTTCCTTCTAGCCCCAGCTCGCCGAAAGTCTGGTCATCGAGTCCGGTCGGCTCGTCGAGACGCATGTGTCCGGGTTCTACAAGGGTGGCTTTGATGCCGAAGGCGTCGATTTCGTAGAGCATGCTTTCGATTAGTCCCTCGGTGGCGTACTTGGTCGCGCAGTAAGGGCCTAAACCTGGGACGCCGAGGGCGCCGGAGGTGGAGGAGAAGATGAGGTAGCGGCCTGCGTTCTCGCCTTCTTTGCGTTTTGCGGACTGTTCGCGGAAGTAGGGGAGGGTGAGTTGGATTATGTTCAGGGTTCCGAGGAAGTTGGTCTCGAATTGAGAGCGCAGGTCGCAGGTGTCCTGGTCTTCGCAGGAGGCTATCACGCCGTAGCCTGAGCAGCTACATATTGTCCAAAGTCAGCATGGCCGTTGTTGTCTGTGAGTAGATTGCGAAGGGCATGCTTCTTACGCAAGAGCTTACTTGACGACAATATCCACGCCCCCAAATCTCGATATACAGGCATCTATCGCCTCCCTCACTGTCTCCCGTACTCGCACATCGCATAATAAACCCAGACACCGCTCATGCCAGCCCTGCATCTGCTTCATGCTGTTCTCCATCGTCCGTCCCACGGCAGCCACATTGTCGCCATGGCTGAGCGCGGACTTGACAAGCGACCGTCCAATGTGGCCAGTAGCTCCGAATATGAGCCAGGTTTTCTGGGTCGGTGGATTGGTGTCGCTGGGAGGATCGGTCGCGGCGGGGAGGTGGAGCTTGGGGTTGTCGGCGAGGAGAGAGGTGGGGGAGAGGACTGCTGGGCTGGTCATGGAGGGTGGTAGGATGGGTGAGAGGGGTACAATAACAAGATCATTGCTCAACGTAGACTAGAAGTATATGGTGTTCATGATTGAGAGGGAGATGAGGTCTGGCCTCCATGTGGTGGCTTGCGGGGTCTGGATTGGTGTCGAACTCATCCTTGCAGCACATCTTGTGCATCTTCTCTACATCCACCCACGCTTGAGAAGTCAGCTCTGGACTGAAGGCTCGACGACGGTGATAATGGAAGGTCTGAAACGGTAGCATATCGAAATGTCCAAGGCTAAGTTGCAAGCTGCTCAAAGTAGGTACTCCAACAACAGTGATACTCCAAGTTCAGATACTGACCACTCATAGATGCACAATCAGGATCATCAGGCTCTTTCGCCTCCGGGTTTATATTCGGCCAGCTGACCCTCGCTCTGATCTTGTTCTGCTTCATCAAGTTCTTCATCTTTGGTGAGGCTCCCAACGCCGACGAGCGAGCATCATCACGGGCAGCGGCGAGACGTCGGCGGACCTTGTCACACTCCAATGCTCGACAACGGACCTTCTCCTCAGCATTCCACCCGCGGCCATCGTCTGCTGTGCTTAAGCCAAGGACTGGAGATGGCCTGACCGTGCAGAAGATCCTCGAGAAGACGTACTACAACGTCCATGGCCATCAACCGGAGAGTCTGGACTGGCTGAATGTACTGATTGCTCAGACGATTTCGCAGCTACGAGCGGATGCACAGGAAGACGAGGCAGTACTAGGCTCGTTAACGCAGATTCTGAATGGCTCCACCAAGCCCGACTTCATCGACGAGATCAAGGTCACCGAGATCAGCCTGGGAGATGAATTTCCTATCTTCAGCAATACCCGCGTCATCCCCGTGGATGAGAATGGCATGCCCATCAAGCAGCTCAAGGGCAACAGAGGCGAGCGACTACAGGCACGCATGGATGTCGACTTGAGCGATGTTGTAACCCTGGGTGTGGAGACGAAGCTGGTACTAAACTACCCGAAGCCCTTCGTTGCCGTCCTGCCGGTAGCACTGGCAGTCTCTGTTGTGCGTTTCTCGGGCACCTTGTCTCTTTCGTTCTCTCCATCCAGTCAACCGGACCCGGTACCTGTCGGTGGTGATGGGACAGGCACCGGTCCAGCGAAGAACGAAGGCCATCCGCTCAACCCCACCGGCTCGTCACCAACCACTCTCACTTTTACCTTCCTCGACGACTACAGACTGGACCTCTCGGTCCGCTCACTGATCGGCTCAAGAAGTCGTCTCCAGGATGTCCCGAAGATTGCTCAACTGGTGGAAGACCGCATCCATCGCTGGTTTGATGATCGATGCGTTGAGCCTCGCTTCCAGCAGATTGTCCTTCCATCCCTCTGGCCACGGAAGAAGAACACCCGCGGCGGCGAAGAGGACAGCAGCGCCATCATCCCTGAAGAAGACGCTGAAGACCTGCAGTATGGTCCTGACACTGCACTCGACGGCGCAGCGATGCCGACAAGCGAGCTACCAAAGTCGAAGAAGGAAGGTGCTCGTCCCGGTCTTGCGAAGGCTGCCACGACAGCGGAGCAGCGGACGCGGGATTGGGCCGCTCAGCATGGCAAGCCGAGGGAGGCTATGTCCGAGCTGGAGATCGCCGGGGCGGAGATGAGGGATGCGGATGAGAGGGAGCGGAGAAGAAGAGGAGAGCAGGAGTATGACGGCGGGATGAGGCTGAGAGCGGGGAGGGAGCCGGGTCAGAGGTTGGACAGGAGGACTACTTCTCATGCGCAACGAGCATCGGGATGAAGGTATGACTTCGAGTTGAGGGACTAAGGCATGCATAGCGAGGCGTCTGGGCGGTAAGGGGGTTATCTCGACTTGGTCAAAGATAGACGGCTACCAAAGAAGTACAACCCGGAGAAAGACACTGATCACACAAGAAGTCATTGATTCCACAGGGGTATCTAGCGCATGAGACTCGGGGACACCCCGCTAACTTGATACAGTGACAACACGAGACGACAGAGTGGCACATGACCTACTCATATTCGCCCTTGCCTTCCCTTTAAGCCTTCCTGAGCTTCTCGTCCTCCAGAGACTCCAGGATCGCCGCCTCTAGCTCTTCCTGCTCCTTCCGAGCTTTCCTTTCCAACACACAAGCCCGATGCGCCTCGATCTCTTCAGCAGAGAAGCCGCTGAAGTCGGTAGTGGTGCTTTGCTGGTTGACGGAGGTTGTGCTAGCGGAGTTCTCGTCGCCGAGCTTCATCGCGGCAGCCACAGCAGCAAGATCATCAGCAGTATAGCCGAAGGCGGCTTGGAGATACCGCGCGATATACTCGGGGCTGCCATCCTCCGGGGGCGCCTCATCGACATCCAACCCGGACGCAGCCATCTCATCTATGCTACCTTCGTCAGGATTTCAAAGACCAAGGCGCAGGAGGCCACTACTCATCAACTGCCGCAAGAGGAACCTTCTTCTCAGCACGGAGCTTGGTGAGGCACTCCTGGATCGCCTTGCCGCTGGGCATCGCTACAGCACGTACGTTAGCACAACAATACGACGTGAACTGGGAGAAGGCTTCTTACGATTGAAGAGCCGCGCGACGAGCTTGAACTCCGAGCCCTTGACCTCACGCAGCATTCCGACCAAGAAGAGCTTCCGATCTGCCCCATTAGCACATGTGGCAGTTGACACTGGGAGAACACAGACTGGTCTCACCGTCGAACGCGGAGACGGTGTTTTCGAACTCTGGACATTTGACGCTCCTCGCGCACAGCTCGGACAACCGCTCCTGGATCGCTTCGCCCGTGGGTCCTTCTGCATGCTGTGCATTAGCATCAAGAATAAATATCACGCGGAGACCCGAGCTTGCCTGAGTACGTCCGAGCAACGATTTCGATCTCCTTGCCCAAGAGATGACGATCCGCGACGGCATCCCAAGTCGTCTTCTGTACCTTCACGGGCCGGATCCAAGTAACTCTTGTACTCCAAAGGGTCCTCTTGGTGGCTCTCATCGTCAGCCCTGTGACCAAGCGGACCTATGCCGAAACCATCACTACCAGGTGGCTGGTTGCCTCCAGGCGCAGCGGCTCGGATATAGCAGGGGGTGGCTGTCCGCAGATATATGTTGATGTGCTGGATGGATATACGCCGCTAGTGGAGAGCGCGCTATAGAGGGTAAGAAATGAGAAGTGATCTGCTGAAGCACGATTCCTTATACCTTCAAGAGGACAAGGAACAGTCGTGACTGAGACAAAGGCATAACCAGATGGTTCTTTGCCCCTCTGGCGCCTTCCAGCAGCACTCGTGTCTACGAGCATTACCCCGGTCTAGAAGACATCACACACATACCGTAAGACCACAGCAACGGCCGCCATGGGTCGAAGGATAGATGACTCGGTATGGGCTTATGAGGTAGCTGCGATACCAGACTGTGTCATTCAGCAAACGATCGTCCTGGTTAGAGACGAAGAACATGTGAGTGTACCATTTTTAGAAGTAGACCACCACAAGTACCATGTAGGCTTGAGACATATCAAGCCATGCGGACAGATCAGTAAAATTATCACGTGACACGTACGGTTTTCGTGATGCGCCAAGCATGGTGAAGGTTTGGGATGTCGTGTTCAGTCCGACCTTTCGGATGGAACAAATGCCACAACACCCAACGTTCGCCTTCTTCGTACTGTTGCTTCAATCCTTCGTCGTCCCTAACTTCTCAAGCCACCGTCGCCATACCATCGTGGCAATCGTGAGAGCCACTCCATCCATTGGCGCTCAAGCCTCTGTCGCGATCGACGATCCAGCGCGTGCCGGCAAGCAAGCCTCCAGACAGGCCTATCGCCGCAAAAGTACGCAAGGGCTGCTCGGACTGCAAGGTAAAGGCAAATCCATCGCCCTATCACGAGCGCGCACGTCCTCCTTGCGCGCAACATCTGCCGCCCACCACTCGTCTCGGCCTTTGTTCGAATTAGATTCACAGATTCCACCTCAGGCCCCGCTTCATCCCGGCACGCCCACCTCACCTCGTCTTGAGAGCAGAAGCTGCATTGTTCCTTCTTCTCAGACCATTGTCAGGACGTTGACGGCCAGCATCGTGCTCCAAGTGAATAGGAGGAGCAGAGATTGGGAAGGCAGATGGTGAGTCGTGAATTCCTTGGATCTTACGTCGCTCGACGGCGGCTTCCCACCTTACCGCGCTCCGTGCGTGACTGCGAAGCTCCAGGATTGCTCGCACTCCGAGTGTGCTATGAATACGACTATTCACAGGAGGACATCTTCATAAGACTGACGACTTTGACTGCAGAGGCTTTGAGCATCTCTACCGCCCACGACACCACCAACCCACGAGAACACGTCATCGCCCACCCGGAGGCTCGCTAGAAGCGAAGACAGCGACCTCAGGATTCACGACACTACAGAAAGACGCGTCATTGCGCGCCAGAAATACAGAGGACATAATCAGAAAACTGCATGCCGCCCTCCACGATGGGTTCGACGCGTCGGCCGCCGTCGGTCGACATCTACAACGATCCCGACGCGTCATTTCAGCACAGCGGCTCGTCGGACGTGGAAACGGCACTACTCAATGCACTGGGACCACTCAGCGATGCGTCAAACAAGCAGAATATGCACTTTGAGCGCCCACACACATCTGCCGGAGGCGCCTCTCCGGTCAAGACGGACAGCTCGCCCATGCGCCCCATGAGCTCGAACAGCTTGACGGAGTACAGGATACCACCACCGATGCAGCCTGACTTCAACACGGACTCGCCGCAGAAGAACGCCAACTTCTACTCAGCCTACGCACCCCCGATGCACCAGCGACCCGAAACTGCACCGGTCAACATCTTCCACCAAGGACTGCCAGTGGACAAGGAGAACTTTTACGACTCGAACGCGTTCCCAGGGCTGCCGCATCACTCTTTCGAAGAAGCGGAGTATGGCTACAAAGCTCCACTGAAGAGAACCATGTCGGACTCTGCTCCCATGAAGAGTGGTGTGATGAAGAAGCAGAAGCTCGAAGTTGAAGAGCCTATCATCCTGCCCGATCCGAAGGACCTGCCCTCAATTCAAGACGATGGCACCAAGCCGACGTACAGCTATGCTGAGCTCATCGGCATGGCCATTCTGCGCTCGCCAAACCGCCGCCTTACTCTTGCGCAGATCTACAAGTGGATCTCGGACCACTACTCTTTCTACAAGCCTTCCGACAGCGGGTGGCAAAACAGCATCCGCCACAATCTCAGTCTTAACAAGAACTTCATTAAGCAGGAACGTCCCAAGGACGACCCAGGCAAGGGCAACTACTGGGCCATCAAGCCTGGCGAGGAGCGTCCATTTTTGATGGGTAAGAAGAATCCAGTCAGGCGCATCACGAATCCAGACGGCTCTTCGTACATGAATGGACTGCCTGGCGAATTTGGATATCGCACAGGTAACACTCCAGCTATCGGCAACTTTACTTTGGCTCCCGGCCCAGTGAAGAAGAGCGAGACCAAGGCTATCGACTCAGCAAAGTTCCCAGATGAGACCGAGCTGTCTTCGGATGGCACGATTCCAGCCTCCGATCCAGCGCTTCAAGAGGATGACAAGGATGATTTTGCGAGCATGATGCCACCGCCAGCGCACATACCTTCATCGCCGCCTCCTGTCGAGCTCGGCTCTTCTCCACCGCCGATGCTTGCTGAGGAGCGCAAGGCGACACCACCTCCCGTCCCGCGCTTCCCATCCACCAGCAGGTCTGGCAACCGTCGTCAAAAGTTCGCTGGTCTCAATGACAGTGGCTACTGGTCTTCGATCGAGTCTTCGGCAGCACGTGGCGCGCCGCATCCGCTTACTTCTGAGGCTGACATGGCTCGTCCGCAGCGCAGCAAGAAAGGTCGTGCCGAACTTGAGATTGCGCGCATTCGGAGCTCGTCGTTTGACAGCCCGAACAAGGACAGGCTGAACTTCAAGGCTCCCGTTTCGCACTTCGTCTCATCTTCACCCCTCCGTGATGATAACCCTCTGACCCCTGCCGTCGTCTTCAAGCGCCCTGCGAAGCCGCCGCCGTCGATTTCGCCGAACACCAATCTCAGGAACCACCGTAGCCGTATGAGGGCTCTGCTTGGTACTCCGGGCAATGCACTCACCCCAGCCAAAGATGCAGGTCTGGTCGAAGAGAGCTTTAGTCCAGCGATGAATAACTGGAGTCCGGCCTTTAACATTGGCGACGACAGTAACTCTGGGATCAACGCAAGCCTCACACCATATCAGCCTTCAAAGTCTCTCTGGGCGTCATTTGGTAAGACACCAGGCGCCAGCACGAGCAAGGTGTACCCAAACCCATTTGACATCTTCATTGATGCTCCAGAAGAGGACATCGCTGCTCGTGGCTCACCTGAGAAGCGTTCGGCTAGGCGCCCTTCGCTCGCTCGGGCGGCCACTAGCACCAGTATCCTAGCAGACATCACTGGCAGCTCGAAGAGCGATAACGTCACTCTTGCGCCGACCAGCAACAGCCCCTTCTCGCTCTCGCCCTTCATCTCGATGCCAGGCAAGCTGCGATCGCCGGCTAAGCTGGGCTCGCCGCTCAAGCAGAGCTACAAGCCACCTACCAAGAGCGTGAGTCCTGATGACAAGTGGCTCGACATTGGCATTGGCGGCGAGAACGTCCACCCTGGCGGCCATGACACTACGGATTTGTTTGGCGGAGCACACCTACCGAGCGATGGGAGCGAAGAGGGTATCGATCTCTTCCAGGACTTCGGCAAGATCGGTCAAGCGCAGCAGTTCCATGCAGCCGACAACCGTGCGAACGGCAGCCCAGTGAAGCGTTCGATGCCGCCGCCCGCCCGCCCAAGTCTTGGTCGGAGCAACACCAGCAGATGGTAGGACCATCACGCCAGCGATGCCAGATCGGCTTTGCGCGAGACGAGGCGAGGAATGACGAAGTGGAGCGGATGCAACGAGTAATGACTGCGCTTTGAGGCGCTTGGGACTGGGTACGACAACAACGACGTCTGGAAACATCTGGGGGTGTTGGCAACGAGGAGGGATTCAGTATGCTTATTTTGGTTCATGTGGTTATTTGGTAATGAGTCTCTTTGCTTGGGTTTTGATGACGTTCATGGGACACACGTATGGGATGGGTTGGCGGAACACCAGGGAAGGGAAAAGCGGAAGCGAAGAGGATATGATTATTTGGCTCTGCAGGTCTTATGCTATGCTGTACTTTTGGGAGTACTGGGTTAAGTTTTGACACGAGAATGATACAAAATTATTTGCAACTCGACTTTCGCGCCGTTTCATGTTTCTTCCAAATAGCGCGGTAGGTGGTACGGGCTGCGCTGCCAGTTGGGTCTGAGAGCATTGACCTGGAAGGGGAAGGGTACTTCTGTTATACCTTCGTACAGGACGATGTGATTGCTGGTAGAGTGATGTACTGAAGAATCAAAATGGAGCACAGGGCAGTGTATTGGGGAGTTTGTTCAGATTCGAGTTCGGTTGTGCCATCTTCTGCCAGGTACAGACACATGTAGCCTCCTGACCCATATATCTATCTCATGGAAGCTTCTCACCGATATGCTTCCCGCAAGACGAACCACAGCCAACACACCCGCAACCGTCTCCACTCGCCAGACGACCATGGGCCAATGCTGCGGCCGCCTCGTGAGCCCAGGGTATCCGGGACTTCCAGACTTTAAACGACAAGCGTGGGTGTATCGCAGGAAGCGGAAAGGACGTGAGAAACGGAGAGGAAAGCGTGACAGACGTCCTTCCAGTGCCGCACGGTCAACTGCTGCGACGCGAATACCGGACGTCCAGCAGGGACAGCTGACTGAGGAGTATAACCCTTGGGTGTTGGCGCCGGCGTTAGTCTCCGCGAACGTGGGCAAGGCTGGTGGTACTCTGCGACCGACCGGTACGATCGAGATCCATGCTGACCACGGAGAGGACCCCAGGAGGTTGCCATGGATGGCCCTCGAGCATGGAGGGTGGCGATGGGCCATCCTCCGCCTCGCAGTTCGTTGTTCGTCTGCAGGCGCTGTAGGTTTCCCTCAAAATGTCGGGTTATTCAGGAAAACCAGACCTCCGACGGAAAGCTTGGATCCCATGACAAGGATTGCAAACGAAAGCAATCTGAAGGCGCTTCAAACAGTTCTCCGTCGAGAGTTGCGGCTCCAAAGTAGCATGGCCAGCAGGGACAGCAGGCGGCGCGGGTGCTGTCTCCGCAAGCGAAGACAGATTTGACAATGCTCTCAAAACTAACAATGCAAACAAAGGAATAGGGATCAAGGAGAGGTCTCCAAGAGCTTGGTGTGGGGAGGTTCCGAGCGTGGGAGCTGGCGGCGGTTTGTCCTCCGTCTTGCGGCGGGATGTTCTGGTTCGAGCGCTGTTGGGCCCGTATTCTTCGTCCGCACAGAGTAGTGGGCGTTGCTTTGCGGCGTACGTCAGATCTGCACACACAATTTGTATGTGGTGGTTGTTTGATCTCGGTCAACCTCGTACGCAGCATCGCGGCGCACGCTCACCTGAGCCGGCGATGATCTCATTGTCGCCGCAGTCGCCGGCACAGAATGGGTGGGAGTGGGTGGTTCTATTGCATTGCGTGCTCCAGTCATCGTGCAATGATAATTCCAAAAGAGCAGGCGGAATGCAGTCTTCTGGAGCCCGAACTGTTCCAATGTCCGCATTGTCGCCTCGACAGTAGCTTGGAAATGAGATAGCCGACAGGAGGCCCCGGCCTTGCGTGGACGTAGGCTGTTGATCTGACTCCACCTACCTACCTTCGGACCTTCACCGGGCGATGAGTCGTTGTTGCGGACTTCGAAGTGTCGTTTATGGAAGGACTGGATGTTTCGACTGCCACCTGAGCTTTTGCTGTGTCTGGCAATTGCCATGTGAATCCCCGGTCAAGGCTGCCGCTGGTAGTCAGCCTGAGGGTCGTAGAGGATGAGAGCAGAAGCCAGATGGGCGCAGAACCATTTGGGCGTGCCCCCGACACAGCAATGATCAGTCTTTGTTCTCCTCCCATTTATGAGGAACCTCACCCCTCGTGAGGACATTCATATCTTCGTCCTCGTTCATCTCCAGCAGCCTATATCCTCAGCAGTGAATTCCCATATAATTGCGCAACGTCATCCGATTTGCACATGCACCCCAACCAGCGTGCGCTACTTCCTCTTTCGGAAAGATCCTTGCCCTCTGACCAACCAGAAGTGTCTTTCATCTCCCGCCAAAACGAACATTCACCGCGCTGGGCTGCTAACAGCGAGCTAGAAGCCTCCGGAACTGATTGAGATTTTGGCACTAGCGGCCCACTCTGCTATAAGTTCTTGAGATTCTCTTCGACCGACCCAAACATTCCACCCACCACCACCCGGCACCTCGACCTTCGAGAACTCCTTGATCGGTCCAAAGTGCCTTTCCTCTGGACACTTTTGTCTTCTGCAGCAGTCAGCAACCCAAGCTAAGAGGGGAGAGAGTCCAGACTTCTTACGAAGAGGTGATTAACGTGAAAATCAGAACTTCACCTTTCTCACCTGCACCGATCACACCATTCCTCCTCTTCCTCCCCCCTGACCATCACCTTCACGATGGCCGCAGCAGCAGCGCCCGGAGGCAATCAGCCACCTGGCGGCAACGGCTTCGGAAAGAAGCCAATGGGTCGCGGCGCCGACGACGAACCCGACCCCTTCGGCATGAAAACCTTCCTCAGCCCGGCGCACGGGCGCAAGGGAGCGGCGAAGAAGAAGGAGACGAAGAGGAAGCGCGTTGCGGATGACGATGAGGTTGACGAACAGGAGGAAGAAGTTCCTTTCGCCGACGATAGCTTCCTGGGCAAGAGCGGTCATCGCAAGAAGAAGGAGCAGAAGATGGCCTGGGACAATGAGACTGATCGTCCTCTCCTTCTGACAGGGTTGTCGAGGAAGATCACCTACAAGGAGATGAAAATCATCGCTGCAGCGTATCCACGTGAGTTCACCTTGCTAGCTTCTCCGCGAAATGGTTTTTATTGATGCTAACGTATGACGTGCAGAGCAACCCACCGCGAAGGCCATCCAGGAGAGGCTTACAAAGCTCCGGGCCGAACAAGAGCGCATTCTCGCCGGGTTGCGTAAGTTTGCGACGTCTGCAGGTGAGATGGAGGCGCCCACCATCCCCATCCCGGATGCGCCGCCGGAGAACATCACTTGGGACGGCGTGCAGGCGTTCTTCCGGAGCAACAACTACACGCCAGCCGACATCAGGGCTCTGGCCGATGCGATGGAGCGCGGCGAAGACGATGCCACGGATGGCGAGACGCAGGAGGAGCCGGCCGCTCGCTCCACTCGACCAGCTGGCAGTGCTCTTCCTCTCGGTCTCGACGAGCCAGCCCATGCTACCAGGATCACGGCCAGCAGGCGGCTTCGTGCGGCGGAGAGCAACGCCGTCACCTACCCCCCGCCGGCTACCGGACGCGCCGCTACCAACCCCTCCACCACCACCACCGCCTCCACGGATCTCCTCGCCGAACGCACCCAGCAAACGGCCACCATCGAAGTTTTCCGTCAACAGATCCGGGACCGCAAGGCGCGCGAGGCGCTGGAGGCCGAGGATGCCGAGATCGCACGCCTGATGCAGGAGCAGGAGAAGGAGAAGCGTGACGGGGATGATCATGGCAAGGGTGAGGACGGCAAGGGCGGCGACGATGGTGAGGGCGAGGAGGGCGGTGCGGACGGTGAGAAGGGCGAGAACGTCGGGGGAGAGTAGGGGAGGGACCTCCTCTCCAGCACCGATGTGGTACTACGGGGCGGCCTGAGTGGTTATTGTTCGGACTTGCTGCAGCGGAGAGCCGGTGATCGAGCTGGCGACCAGCGCTTGAGACTGTCGGCAGGGAAGTCTTGACGCAGCTATTGTTTTCATGTTTTTCTCGTGCGAATACTCAGCAGAGCGTTTCTGGAGTCTGGCTAGATACCCCTGGGCTGGAATGAAATTACGCTTGTACTTCACTTCACTCTTATCAGTCTTCGTACTCATACCGCTTCCGTACTCATACCGCTTGACTCCCGTTGATGCATATGGCAGTCCGTAAAAGTGCTTGCCCGCATGAATCACGTCGGACTCTGAAGGGTCAGGAGGTGAGGTGAGGTCAATGGTCTTGGCACATGTCCAAAAAATTCCTTCGAAAGTGCCCGCAATCCGCTTGCCCAACCATATGACGCGGGACTCAGCATAACTTCTTCGTCCTCTTCCTCCCTCTTCCTCCCTCTTCCTCTTTTCCCACCAAATTTCCTACTACACAAGCTCTAGCAGCAGGCCTGCGAACGATACCACACGAAACCCTTCCCTTCCTCGCCTAAAGGTCGCTCCCGCATTTCCTTGCGAAGCGCCGGCGAACCCCACCGGGCCACGACAAAGGCCTGTGAAAACTTGACAGGAACCACTTCCTATCCTACCTCACTTACACACCGCAAACATGGTCTCCGCCTCGAAAGCAGCACGTCAGGCCAAGCGCGAGGCCGACGGCAAGGAGCCAAAGAAAACAGTAGCCTCCAAGGCCGCCTCTAAGAATGCGTCCAAGGCAGGCTCCGAAGCCTCTTCCGTGAACGGCGATGAGACACCACCGATGATGGATGGCGACGGCGACGCCTTGCCAGACAACAAACAGAGAGCCATCAACAACAGAGTCGCCAGACTTGCGCTCCAAGAGGACAAGGACGGCATTTCTGACAGAGTCACGACAGGTGTGCTCGCGTCGCTGGAGGCGAGTCGAGACGTCAAAATCACTTCAGCCTCGCTCGTGTTCCACGGCAGAGTCCTCATCAATGATACTACGCTTGAGGTCAACTACGGCCGAAGGTACGGCTTGTTGGGCGAGAACGGCTGCGGCAAATCCACTCTCCTCAAATCGATCGACAGGCGCGAGTTCCCCTTCCCTGAGCACATCGACATCTACCTTCTGAACGAGGGTGCTGAGCCTTCTGATACCGGCGCTTTGGACTGGGTGGTCAACCAGGCCGAGAACGAGATGAAGAGGTTGGAGGATCTTGCAGAGAAGATTCTTGAGGACGACGGAGCAGACAGCCCGAAGCTGGAAGACCTGTACGAGCGGATCGATGGCATGGACCCGTCGACGTTCCGTACCCGCGCTTCGCTCATTCTGACCGGTCTGGGCTTCAACAAGAAGACCATGGATAAGAAGACGAAGGACATGTCTGGTGGATGGCGTATGCGTGTTGCGCTCGGCAAGGCGCTGTTCATCAAGCCTTCCCTGCTACTTCTGGATGACCCAACCGCACATTTGGACCTCGAGGCATGTGTGTGGCTGGAGGAGTACCTCAAGAAGTGGGATCGCACACTTATCCTCGTCTCGCACTCCATGGACTTCCTGAACGGCGTATGCACAACCATGATCGACATGCGGCAAAAGCAGCTCATGTACTACGGTGGTAACTACGACTCGTACATTAAGACAAGGACCGAGAATGAGGTCAACCAGATGAAGGCGTACGAGAAGCAGCAAGAAGAGATCAAGCACATCAAGGAGTTCATCGCCAAGGCTGGTACTTACGCCAACTTGGTGAGGCAAGCAAAGTCTCGTCAGAAGATCTTGGACAAGATGGAGGCGGATGGGTTTATCCAGCCTGTTCACCAGGACAGAGTCTTCACGTTCCGTTTTGCGCAAGTCGAAAAGCTGCCTCCGCCTGTGCTGTCTTTGGACAACGTCACCTTCTCCTACTCTGGCGAATCGAAGGACAACCTCTACGAGAACCTCGACTTCGGTGTGGACATGGACAGCCGGACAGCGCTCGTCGGACCCAACGGTGTCGGCAAGTCCACGCTCCTGCGCATCTTCACTGGCAAGCTTTCACCCACCGGCGGCTCAGTCTCTCGGCACACCCACTTGAAGCTTGGTCTCTACAGCCAGCACTCTGCAGAGCAGCTCGACCTCACCAAGTCTGCGCTCGACTTTGTGCGTGACAAGTTCCACAGCGTCAGCCAAGACTACCAATACTGGCGTCAACAGCTCGGCCGCTACGGTCTGAGCGGTGAGTCGCAGACTGCGTTGATGGGTACGCTTTCCGAAGGCCAGAAGAGCAGAATCGTGTTCGCGCTGCTTGCGATTGAGGGACCGAACATGTTGCTGCTGGACGAGCCGACGAACGGACTGGACATTCCGACCATTGATTCGCTGGCTGATGCGATCAACACTTTCGCTGGTGGTGTGGTGGTTGTTTCCCACGACTTCAGGTAAGCCTCACATTTCGAATACAGTATGATGATACATGCTGACCACGATACAGACTGCTCGACAAGATCGCAAAGGACATCATGGTATGCGAGAACAAGACCGTGACAAGGTGGGATGGCAGCATCGGCGAGTACAAGAACCACTTGCGCAAGAAGATGCTCAAGGCCGGCGGTGTCTAAACAATTTCACCACTATGACTACCAACACGACACTTTGATGAGTGCATGGGTCTCTTTACAGTACGGTGGGCACGGCACTTGGCTGTCATGAGGGATGATTATACTGCATTGCATGACAGTATGTGCGTGAACATGCATGGCTCGAGGGCGAATACGGTGCATTGGATGGGATAGACCTACAGGCGCTTCACGTCTGAGTTGTGTAGCTTTTCCAAAATGCGAATCATGAAATGAATGTGAATGGCCTTCCAAAGTCTTTTCTCGCCTGTGAAGTGGTCCGACATCACGTGATGCTTGGCACAGCGGCCCGCGTTTGCCTCCTCGATTCAGCGCTTCTGCCAACACCCAGCTGCAACACAGGCGGCATCGACACCTCCGAGCCCGAAAGACGACCCCCCGCTGTTGAAGCGCATCAACACCATCCTCGACTCGGCGATTGGCACGCGTTGGAACACGCCGCGACCATCTGTTCACTCTCTATTGCCCGCTTTTTCACAGTCACTACTGCCTGAGCAATCACGACCCGATCAGCGAGCACCCACGAGCAGCGGCCATCAGCCAGTCCTCCACCCATCTCATTGGGCTTCGAAGCCGCATCCCGCATCCATACCACGCTTCACGAGAGCCTACCCCGGACTATCACCGCCCCGTGCTGGATATTTGCTTCCCCAACCAATTAGGGAAGCTGGTGGATCACCTCTCATCACGTGTCGCGTGCGCCCAGAACTGCACTGCGCAGTTCAGAAGTCTATGAAGAGGTAGAAGGGACATACTCCAGACAACATGGCTGCTGTGCAGGCCAATGCGGCCATGCAACAGCAGCAGCAGCAGCAGGGCAATAACCCCATGATGAACAATGTCCTGCCGCATGGCATGACCAAGGAGGATGTTCAGCAGATATACAAGGTACGTACTAGCACTCTATCCTATATAGCAAGGAGTATTGGGTGAGGGATGCTGACATGCTACGCTGCAGAAATACCAAACAATGAAGGCTCAAGGCGTGCCGGACAATGAGCCCGAGATGATGAAGGCGCGCCAGATCCTACAGCAGATACAGCAGAAGACTGAGCTGCTCAAGAGGCAGGCTGCGGCGCGTCAGGCTCAGCTCAAGCAGCAACAGGCCATGGCTCTGCAGCAGAATGGCGCTGGTGGTTCGCGGCCTCAGATGAATGGAGCACCTACTTCGACCGCGCCTTCTATGCCTACGACCAACAGTCCGAGTCAGACGCAGACAGGCACACCAACTGCGAATGGCATGCCTCAGAATGCTCCTCCCCAGGCGACTGAAGCGCAGGCGGCCGCGACATCGGCACAGGGCAAGAATGCAGCCCAAGCGATGTTTTCGAAAGAGCAGATCAGTATGCTGGGCAGCCAGATGAGGGCGTTCCAGGCGTTGCAGAAGAATCAGCCTATCCCAGCAGACGCACAGGCTCGTATCTTTGCTTCCCGGCAGACCCAGGCGTCGGTGCCAGACGGAGTTGCAGCTGTGGGTAAAGTGCTAGATGAGGCCGCAAAGGGGGGGAAGGTGGACGGCCAGGAGGATGTGCAACCTCGGCACAAGTTCGAGACATTCACCGATCCTCACTCTCTGCTGTTCAAGAACATCGGCTTCCTGGACCACTCGCATCGTCAATCTCGGCCCATGATACCCAGCATTATGCCCTTGGGTGTGGATCCAGAGCGCGTGCGGGAAGAGCGCGAGAACATGATCTACAATCGTGTTGTCGCGCGGAAGCAGGAGCTGGGGAAGACGTCCGCGAACATCGGCGCATGGGACGTGAGCAAGTCGGACAAGCCAACAGACAACACGAACCTCAAGCTCAAGAGCTTGATCGAGTACAAGATGCTGTGCCTGTTACCAAAGCAGCGGGAGATGCGGCAAAAGATCAGCAAGGAGATGGCGATGTCGGACAATCTGTCCATGACCGCGAACCGTTCAATGTACCGCCGCGTCAAGAAGCAGTCTTTGCGTGAGGCGCGCATCACCGAGAAGCTTGAGAAGCAACAGCGCGATGCCGCTGAGACAAAGGAAAAGAAGAAACACCTCGACTTCGTCCGGGCTATCACTCACCACGCAGACGAAATTCGGCAGAGTGCTCAACAGCACAAGAACCGCGTGCAGAAGCTTGGCCGTCTCATGATGAACACCCATTCGAATATCGAGAAGGAAGAGCAGAAGCGCATTGAGCGGACCGCCAAACAGCGTCTCCAGGCGCTCAAGGCTAACGATGAGGAGACTTATCTCAAGCTGCTCGGACAAGCCAAGGACTCTCGTATCACGCACTTGCTCAAGCAGACTGATGGCTTCTTGAACCAGCTTGCCACCTCGGTTCGTGACCAGCAACGCAGCCAGAACCGGCGCTACGCGGAAGAGGTCGTCGAAGAAGAGGACGAGCCAGAGGAGCCTGATAGCGAGGATGAGTCGAAGCCGAAGGTGGACTACTATGAAGTCGCTCACAAGGTCAAGGAAGAGGTCAAAGAGCAGTCACACAACCTTGTCGGTGGCACGCTCAAGGAGTACCAGCTCAAGGGTCTGCAGTGGATGATCTCGCTCTACAACAACAACCTCAATGGTATCCTCGCCGACGAGATGGGTCTGGGCAAGACCATCCAGACCATCTCGCTCATTACTTACCTCATCGAGAAGAAGGGCCAGTTTGGACCTTTTTTGGTCATCGTCCCGCTCAGTACGCTCACGAATTGGAACAACGAGTTCGAGAAGTGGGCGCCGACGGTTCAGAGAATTGTGTACAAGGGTCCACCTACCCAGCGCAAGAACCACCAGAACCAGATCCGATTCGGCCAATTCCAGGTTCTACTCACCACATACGAATTCATCATCAAGGATCGCCCTGTTCTGAGCAAGGTCAAATGGCTGCACATGATCGTGGACGAAGGTCACCGCATGAAGAACGCTGGCTCGAAGCTGAGCAGCACGATCACCCAGTACTACCACACCCGCTACCGGCTCATTCTCACTGGCACACCACTCCAGAACAACCTCCCGGAACTGTGGGCGCTGCTCAACTTTGTGCTTCCAAACATCTTCAAGTCGGTGAAGAGCTTCGATGAGTGGTTCAACACGCCTTTCGCAAATACCGGTGGTCAAGACAAGATGGACCTGACGGAAGAAGAGCAGCTGCTCGTCATTCGTCGGTTGCATAAGGTGTTGCGTCCTTTCCTGCTCCGTCGTCTGAAGAAGGACGTCGAGAAGGATCTTCCTGACAAGCAAGAGCGGGTCATCAAGTGTAACTTCTCGGCGCTTCAGGCTCAGCTGTACAAGCAGCTTGTTACTAACAACCGCATCATGGTCACCGACGGACAAGGCAAGAAGACTGGTATGCGTGGGCTGTCGAACATGCTTATGCAGCTGCGGAAGCTGTGTAACCACCCGTTCGTGTTCGAGGAGGTCGAGGACCAGATGAATCCTAGCCGGATGACGAACGACCTCATCTGGCGTACGGCGGGCAAGTTTGAGCTTCTGGACCGAATTCTGCCCAAGCTTCAAGCGACTGGGCACAGAGTCTTGATGTTCTTCCAAATGACGCAAATCATGAACATCATGGAGGACTTCCTTCGTTTCCGCGGACTGACGTATCTTCGTCTGGACGGTGCCACGAAGGCTGACGACCGGTCGGATCTGCTCAAGGAATTCAACGCACCGAACTCGCCTTACTTCTGTTTCTTGCTGTCGACTCGTGCGGGTGGTCTCGGTCTGAACTTGCAGACTGCAGATACGGTCATCATCTACGACTCCGACTGGAATCCTCATCAGGATTTGCAGGCTCAGGATCGTGCGCATCGTATCGGGCAGAAGAACGAAGTGCGCATTCTGCGTCTCATCAGCTCGAACTCGGTCGAAGAGAAGATTCTCGAGCGTGCTCAGTACAAGCTCGACATGGATGGCAAGGTCATCCAAGCTGGCAAGTTCGACAACAAGTCCACCAACGAGGAGCGTGACGAGATGCTGAGGGTCATGCTGGAGTCTGCGGAAGCGGCTGAGAGCTTGGAGCAGGATGAGATGGACGACGATGATCTCAACGTGATCATGATGCGCAATGATGACGAGCTCATCACGTTCCAGGAGATGGATCAGAAGCGGCAGCGGACGCAGCCATATGGTCCCGACAAGAAGTTGCCGCGTCTCATGGCTGAGAGCGAGTTGCCGGACATCTACATGCAGGAAGACAACCCTGTCGTCGAGGAGATCGAGTTCAACTACGGCCGCGGCGCTCGTGAGAGAACGAAGGTCAAGTACGACGATGGGTTGACTGAGGAGCAGTGGTTGGATGCTGTCGATGCGGACGACGATACCATTGAGGAAGCTGTCGCTCGCAAGCAGGCTCGTGTCGCTAAGCGCGCGGCCAAGAAGGAGTCTCGTGTTCGCGGCGAGTTCGATCTTGGCGATTCCCCGCCTCAGTCTCGAGCGAGTTCTGAGTCGCCTGCGCCAAAGAAACGTGGTCGGAAGCCGAACAAGCCAGAGAAGCGGAAGGCCGAAGAGGCTGCTCTTGATCCGGTACCTGAGCCACCCAAGAAGCGCGGTCGCGGCGCGAAGGTGGTTGAGACTTTGTCGAAACAGGATCGCGAGACCTTACAGACGATTCTTGACAACGTGCACGACTCGCTGCAAGATCTGGAAGAGGAGTCCACAGATCCTGGTCTGGCGAACCGCGGCATCATCGATCCTTTCCTGGAACTGCCGCCCAAGAGCGATTACCCAGACTACTACCAGCTGATCAAAGAGCCGATCGCGATGAAGCAGATTGAAAACAAGATCAACAAGAAGCAGTATCAGAGTCTGAGGCAGTTCCGGCAGGACATTGGGCTGCTGTGCAACAACTGCAGGCAGTACAATGAGGATGGGAGTGTGCTGTACAATGATGCTAATTTGATTGAGGTGAGCCTTCAACGCACACCACGAGAGGTGGTAAGCAGTACTAACTATCTCTACAGAACGCCTGCGTCGAGAAGCTCCGCGAGGAAACAGCCAACCACCCCGAATTCGCCGACTTCGATGATCAGAGTGCAGGCGACGGCGCTTCTACTCGCAACATCTCGAGCGTCGGCACGCCGCAGCCCGCGCCGCGATCGGGTTTCAAGCTCAAGCTTAATGGGTCGAAGGCTAACGGGAACTCGTCGCGGGGTGGAACGGAGAGTGTGGCGCAGAGTGATGAGGAGTAGGATCCTCGGAGGGAATGGCGTTCGTCATATTTATGATCTTGGTTTGGGTGGGCAGGGCGGGCGGTATGCTATGCACGATTACGAGGTTGCTTGCTTTGCTTTCGATTGATTGATTAGTGGATAAAACTTGGGCTGGCTGTCTTCGAAGGCATGGCGAGGACCGTGGAAGTTTGACGGCCAGCTTTGCTTGGGCATGAGGGCTTGTAGTTTAGCTAGAAACCAGACATCATTTCACCATTACACATTCCCATTCATCCATCTCATCGTAATGCATGTCTAAAACAGCACACCCTTCGTACTGGGCACCTCCCCCTCCCTCCCCACCACCGGCGAACACGCCATCCGCAACGCAACCGCCAACGCCTTAAACGCACTTTCCGCCCGATGATGATCGTTCTCCCCGCGTATACAATCCACATGCATCGTCACCCCCGCCCCCTGCGCGAAACTCTGCAGACAATGCGGCAGCATCTCACAGCTCAGATCCCCGATCTTCTCCCTCCGCAGACCCAGCTCTACCACGGAAAAAGGCCGATTACTCAGATCCACCACCGCGCGCGACAGTGCCTCGTCGAGCGGGCAATACGCGTACCCGAACCGCGCTAGCCCTGCTGTAGTCGACAGCGCGGACTTGAACGCCTGGCCCAACGCTATACACGTGTCTTCAGCAGTGTGATGGTCGTCTATATGCAAATCCCCGCGCGTGCGGATATGCACCGACCAACCCGCGTGTTTGGCCAGGGCGTGCAGCATGTGGTCCAGGAAGCCTATGCCGGTGTCTACGCTGATCTGCTGGGATTTCGAGGACTGCGAGGCGTGGGCTTGGGAGGAGGAGGTGCCATTGGAGGGGTCTGAGGAGAGGTCCCCGCCGTCGAGGTTGAGGGAGAGGGCGATTTTGGTCTCGTTGGTGTCGCGGTTGATGGTTGCGCTGCGGATGCGTGGGGGGGTGGACATGGTTTGTTGGTCGTCTGGCATTGGGGCGGTGGAGAGGGAGTTGGGAACGAACAAAAAGTGGTTTGGGGATGATGTGAAGCTGCAGGGCAGTTTGCTAGCGTGAAGCTTAAAATTTAAGGCTCGGTATCAAAATCTGGAGCGGATCTTGGACTCGTTGATCTCGGTACTGCTTCTCACTCCTCAAGAGACGTTACAAAGATGGCGCGCACGGAAAGTGATGTCGAGATGGCAGACGATGCGACTGGCGGCGCGGAGCAGAATGGTTCCACCGGCGATGAGTTTCGAAAGCAACGACTACGACTTGTACGACAGCCTTGGTTGTTATATGCTTGCCTTTGGAGACTGATGAGTGAACTACAGCTACCCAACTCGACCGAAACCGCTGCCTCATTCGCATTCGACAAAGAAGATCACACGCTCGGCAACGCACTACGATATATCATCATGAAGAAGTGCGCCAGTGCTACAGCCATCTGAAGACGAGTCGCTGACATGTGATCCCAGCCCCGACGTCGAGTTCTGCGGCTACTCGATACCTCATCCCTCGGAAGCTGTGATGAACCTGCGGATACAGACATACGGTGGGTCTTCTCCTCCGCGCTCGTAGCAGCGACAGACCTAACAAGGTAACAGATGATGTGAACGTTTTCGAAGTCCTCCGCAAAGGCCTCGAAGATCTCTCAGACCTCTGCGATGTGGTGGAGGACAAGTTCGTTGCTGCGAGAGATGAGTATGCTGCATCACAGCCGGGCGGCGAGGCGTCATGACACGGGCTGGCTGAGAACGGTGCAGTTTGAGAGTTTCTCGATTTGCTGCTTTGGTTCGATATATACACAGTGCGCAACAGCACTAGTTCCGTCCCTGGCGATAAGTTAGCGAGGAGTTCGGTTGGCAGCTGATAGAGGCTCGGTATGCATACTTCAATGAAACCCTGTATGAAATTCTGCGGCAGCTTCGCCTTCGGGTCCTCCTCCGCTCTGAAGTATTTGAGCACGTGTGTGAGTTGCTTCCAGAAGTTTAGTGTTTCCTGTGGTTCATCGTCAGCATGCCCTCTCACCCCCATGTTCTTCCTTCTTGCTCCTGGGTATCTGCTGCAACGCACCTGGAACTCCTGATGACTGTTGAACAACAACACATCCACCGTCCTCAGCTGCGCCACGTATCTGTGCCGTTCAAACTCTTGTCGCATCTTTGTCCGGATCGCGGAGACGGGCATGTTGAGGGAGTACATTTGCTGAATCTCGGGGGCCTGTTCGTGGGATATCCTGTTAGCCATGCTTTCCCCTTCTTTCCAGCACTCCCCGCCAGCTCTTGATATGGGTATGCACGTACCGACCGCACCCAGTCCCGGTAGCTGTGCAGGACTCGTTGCTTCGCATCTCCCCAACTCGCGGCTATTGCTCTCGTTAGCACAAGTCTTCGCTTTCTCGCGGGCTAGAAGTAGCGTACAACTGCGCGTCCGCTGCGCGAGGTATGTCGGATTGATCACCATCGTGAAGATGTCCTGGGAGCCTCGCGGCTTTCGTGGTTCTGCCTGGTCGTGTTCGTGGTCCTGCCGACGAAGTGTTGTCGGAGCTTTGGCCATTGGGAGTGAGGGCTGGACGCACGGGCCAATCTTGAGCCTTGGGCAGAGGGCCCTGAATATAACACACGCTCTCACTGCTACCGTCGCGCTATGAGGCTGGCCTTATCCTACGTGCCGGTACCATTTGGCCAGTAGTCCATGACCATTATCGGTACGTAATCTTTGTTGGTGGCTGAGCTACCAACATTCTTCAACGCGGTCTTCGACACAAGGATGTTGTGCTGCTCGTGTCGATAACCTGGTATACCATACTAGCTCTACTACGTTCTCTCATACCATGCCAAACCACTCTACCCGGAGATGTCGTTGACTCATGTGCACATACGGCTTACGTCTGCTTACCGAACCTAACAAAGGTTCAGATCAGCAACGCAGTGCGACCACCCAGACATGCAGGCCAGCAGCAAACGATGCACCTTTGTTTGACCAGATGGCGTGCAGACTTCGAGATTTGTCCTTGTTATCTGCTTTCTCTCGCACTACTTATCTAAGTCGTCGTAGACTTTACAGCAGCAGGATGTCGTCGAGCCCACCAACACCACCCCGGAAGGCGCCGTCGAACGAGACTGAATGGCGATTCAAACCATTGTCAGCGCCGACCGAATGGATCGAGTCCTATCGCCCTGGCGGACTTCACCCAATCCATCTGGGCGACACGCTGTGTGGTGGGCGATTCAAAGTCGTTCGCAAACTGGGCTACGGTTCCTCCTCAACCGTCTGGCTTGCGCAGGATACCCATCACAACCAGCTTGGCCAGACAGGCACGCGCTCCGGCCGACGCGCCACAAGCTACGGCTCAGTCGTGGCGATCAAGGTCATGATCGCGGACGCACCAGCGGATTCGAAGGAGTCGGAGATGTACAAGCTGATCAGCGACACACCGGCTGACGACCAGGCCAAAGACCATGTCCTGAGCCTCCTGGACCAATGCGACCACGAAGGTCCCAACGGCACTCATCGATGCATGGTATTCGAGCCAATGGGTCCTTCGGTCGGCATGCTGATGGATAGCGAGGATGGAGAAGGTGTACAGTTGGCACAAGCCAAGTCGATCTTGAAGGATACTCTGCTAGGGCTGCATTGCCTGCACAGCTGCCGCATCGCACACGGTGATCTGAACCAAGGCAACTTGCTCACGACGCTCAGGCCATCGCACGACCAGAATCCACAGGCGCTCGGCCAAAAACCTACGCCCGACAACATATCGGATCCGGTGACACGGAAGGACGGGAAGCCCGATCGATGGGCTCCCAGATACCTCTGTCTGGATCGTCCACTGACCGAGCTCGTCGATGCAAATGGCGCCTTCCGGACGAAGCTCACTGATCTTGGTGCCGGTATGTTGCGTCCGTTTTCGTGCAGCGCGATCCCGACTAACAGGCAATCTCTCTCATCTTAGCATTCTTCTTCGACGACCACCCAGCAGACCCCGCCACGCCCCTGGGGCTCCGAGCGCCGGAACATATCCTTCACGGCCCTGTAGACCACAGCATCGACATCTGGGCATTCGGCTGCCTGGTATACGAGATCTTCACCGGATTCCAGCTGTTCGCCATTTCTGATTTCGGCAGCACGGAGACCGAGAACAACGACTCGCACCTCCTGGAGATGACGGACGTCCTCGGACCGCTTCCTCCCGCGCTCTACGAAAAGTGGGATCGTCGCCATAGGTATTTCGGACCCGGTGGAGAAGCAATTCGGACGGGTGTTGGGCCTGATGAGCCCTCAAAGTACCCGATGGCTTTTATCGCGCCGCTTGAAGAGAGGTTTGGGGAGGCGAAGCCGGAGGAGATGGGTAAGGAGGAGACGGCGCAGGTGCTTGCGCTGATCAGGAGGATTTTGCAATATGATCCTGCGTTGCGGCCGTCGACTGCGGAGCTGCTGGAGGATGAGTGGTTCAAGAACATCGGGAGTGGTGAGGGAGAAGAGAGTGCTTCTTCTCGCAGTGAGAATGACGCTGCTGCACTCGACTCCACATCGGTGGACAGCGGAGTTGTCAGTTCATGAGCGTGTTCACCGGCGTTGTTGGACTGCCTTTTGTGCGAACGCTTACAAGTTGTTGGCGGTGGTTTTGCGATGGGAGCGCGGCGTTTTCGGGAGTGGATGATCGTCCATGTACGTCTGCAGACTTAGTGAGAATAGGTTAGCCAGGTCACGATACCCTCTTGGATAGCGGCTGAAGCGTGGCGAGGCCAGCATTCCGACCACCCATTCATTCTTCTTCAGCGAACGTCTCCTCGTACTAATCGACACTATGATGTCGCTTCAGTTTGGGATGGACTCCACGAGCTCAGCCTAGAGAGCACGAACGCACACTCAATTGCGCGTCCTTCTAGGCTTGATAAAGGAGGGCCAAGCATCCCAGGGACACTTACTGACCGCGTCATTTCACCGTGAACCTCTGTTGCTGTGGACCCGCGATGTTCTCACGGTGTCGATGGCCGGGCATCTCGTTGTTGCATCCCGGCCAGACCGCAATACATCCATGTTATGGGGCGGTGCTGGAGGCTGCCCTTCTTGCGGTCGTGTTTCCGATCTTTTGGTGTGCTGTTCATCAGATTCATCACCCTAGCCACACTTTGGGAAAGAAGAAGAGGTGCGACGATGAGACGTACATGCTGGAGATGGTAGAAGATACGACATTCTCTGACAACTCTATCTTACCTCTCCACTCACCTCTCACCTTCGAGACGGATCGCAGCCCGCAATTCCAACGCAAGGCAGACCCAAGACGCAGGTACGGCCCTCCTTATCTCGATCGCAAGCCTTGTCTTTGCCCGAACAAGCAGGTCACTTTCATTGAGGCTCTTCGCGCAACGTTGCCTTCCCACACACCTGGGACAGCTGCGATGTTGAAGCCCGCAGAGGTCTGAAAGCAGAAGGCACGGCGTGCGTTGACTTCTGCGACCTTCGATGGGGTAGATGCATCGCGTGCAGATTGTCCGAGCTGGTCAGCGAGTGCATGATCGTGCATAGATACTTGACCGGGGTGGTCTCGCTTTGGGCTCCGAGAGCTCAGGTTAAGACAGAAGCTCGAGTGCACGGCAAGCTTGGGGTATATATGTAGCTACCGCATGAGTTGCACAACAGAGTGAATGCTGTGAAACGACGAATGACTCGCATATCCAGCAACCGGTGTACGAACCATTGACACAGCTTGGCCCAAGGGAATGCCACTGTAGCTGCTGCTTCTCAGATCCGCTAGTTCGGTGGGATACATGATAGTCTATTTCGCGTATGTAGGTTAGATGCAGGTCGCTCGAAGAAGCGGCAGCAGGCACTTTCGTCATGTGGGCCAATGCGGCTTGGGTCTTCGGAGCTTCGGTTCCTGGGGGAAGAGGCTCTGAGGGGGGTGATGCCAACATTGGTAACAAAGTGTGGGAGATGAAGGGAGACGTTCTGAGAGGACGGTGTGTTGGTGCTTTGAAGGAGATGGGTAACCAATGGAAAAGGCAGGACTAGGGAAATTCATGGCTCCGGAGGTTGGCGGCGATGGGAAGAGAGGTTTGCGGAAAGCAGAGAATGGTGCAGAGACAGCGCTAAGCGCGAAAAGAGATCTGCAATGGTCACATGCTCCGCATGACCGTTTTGGTCCCCAAAGTATCCAGTGTCTCGCTGAGACGGCTGCTTGGCCTGGCCCCGGCCGTTCGCCAATCTGGCACGTCGAGGCAACGCCTGGTTCTCAACAAAAATGGCCGGTGTGCTCAAGACATCGACACCGTGTTGGTGATGGTGAGCGTCCTGCAGCGGTCTTGTTGGTATGCGCCCGGTACCTGTCTGCCTCGTCAGCCAAGGCACATGAGCCGTTGTTCTCACATGACCGCCCAAGTGGATGCTGCCAGTGGTAGCTCTCCATGGACTAGCAAATCATTCTGCCCCACCGCCGTTAAATGAGGCCGCTCGCAATGCTGGACCTGATCTGATATCCCCGTCCACCAGGGCCTCATATTACCTAAACTATTGTCCTGAGCGTGCGGCGCCAGTCTCGTGCCCTTTGCCAGCCAGCAGCGTGATTCTCCCGCCATTTGAGCTGTCTTGGGGTCGAATTGAATGAAATCCGGCAGCAGCCCCGCAACCTCGACCTGACTTCACTCCACCACTCCGCCCACACCACTTGCACTTCCACTTCACGCTCAGACACCCACTCTGCTCCGAGTGTCGCTCACTCCGTCATTGCCGTCGCCTGAAGCCAGCAGTCCCGCGACTGCCTCACTTACTCACGTCGCGCCTTCCACTGACCAAAGCATCCAAGTCAGCCGCCAGTCACCTGCACACCCCCATCACGCGCGCTCGTAATCCGACAGCTTGCGCCTCGCACCCGCACCACGACACGACCACCTCACCACCACACCTCCTCACCTACCTCTCGCCCACCACGGACTTCATCCGCGCCAATTTCAAGACCCGTTTGCGACACCACCTTTTGAAGATATCCCCGCCGTCCACGCGGTAGCGCGTGACTCTCCGCCAGCATGAGTTCGCGACCTTCGGCCTTCGGTGGCCTACGCATGGGTGGTATGAGCTCCCACAATACAAATATGCAAGCGATGGCAGAGTGAGCTGACACATACTACAGAGGTGATTCGCGAGAAGGTGCAGGATGGCCTGACGGGGGAAACCAAGGAGATGCAGTACACCCAGTGTAAGATAGTGGGCAACGGCAGTTTCGGCGTCGTCTTCCAGACCAAGCTGTCGCCTTCGGGTGAAGACGCGGCCATCAAGCGGGTGCTGCAGGACAAGCGATTCAAGGTAGGTCCCGGGCAAGAGAAAACGTTTATGCATGGCACGTGATCCTGACGTCGACCCTCTCCAGAACAGAGAACTGCAGATCATGCGCATCGTGCGCCACCCGAACATCGTCGAGCTCAAGGCATTCTACTACTCCAACGGAGACAGGGTTAGAGAACTCGACAACCACATGGGTGTGCAGACAGCGCTGATGGCAGCGCAGAAAGATGAGGTATACCTGAACCTGGTCCTCGAGTTTGTGCCCGAGACCGTCTACCGTGCGTCGCGCCACTTTAATAAGATGAAGACGACCATGCCGATCCTCGAGGTCAAGCTCTACATCTACCAGCTCTTCCGCTCCCTCGCCTACATCCACTCCCAAGGCATCTGCCACCGAGACATCAAGCCGCAGAATCTGCTCCTCGATCCGGCCTCCGGCATCCTCAAGCTGTGCGACTTTGGCAGTGCGAAAATCCTGGTGGAGAACGAGCCCAACGTGTCGTACATCTGCTCGCGGTATTACCGTGCTCCGGAGCTCATCTTCGGCGCGACCAACTACACGACCAAGATTGGTATGTGAAGCCTGAATTTTGAAATTTGAGTGATGAAAACTGACAATTTCCAGATGTCTGGTCCACTGGCTGCGTCATGGCGGAGTTGATGCTTGGGCAGCCGCTCTTCCCGGGAGAGTCGGGCATCGACCAGCTCGTGGAGATTATCAAGGTCCTCGGGACGCCGACGCGCGATCAGATCCGCACCATGAACCCCAACTACATGGAGCACAAGTTCCCGCAGATCAAGCCGCATCCGTTTAGCAAGGTAGGGAAAGATGGCGCCGAGAATGGCTCGGCTTCGAAGCTCATGCGATCTCAGGTGTTCCGTAAGGCGGATCCGAACGCGATCGACCTGATCTCGCGACTGCTCGAGTACACACCTACGCAGAGGCTGTCGGCGATCGACGCGATGGTGCATCCATTCTTCGACGAGCTGCGGGATCCGAACACGCGTTTGCCGGACTCTCGCCACACCAATGGCGGCAGCAAGGAGCTCCCTGTGCTCTTTGACTTCTCCCATCACGGTTTGTGAAGTCTTCATTTTCTTCTCGCTCGATTTGCCCCTTTCTGACCTTTTCACAGAACTCTCCATCGCGCCCCAGATGAACTACCAGCTCGTCCCCGCGCACATCAAGCCCACGCTCGCCGCCAAGGGGCTCGACATCGACAATCTCCGCCCGTTGACGAAGGACCAGATGATGGCTCGCTTGGACTGAGACTGTCCCCTCACGACAAACGCGAAGCACAAAATCCATTCCTAGCCATTTACGAGCAATGAGCTACAACAAACCCCATCACGACTTGAACGCAGCGGCATGCATAATTGGCTTGGAATTCTTGACCACGGGCGTTTCTGGCGTCTTGAGATGCAGGAGAAGAGAGAGCCCACGAAAATGAGGGCCAAAAATCTTTTCAGGAGTGACATGACAGGACTGGACAGGAGGCGGAAGGGATGCAAATGAAATGAAATGCGATGCGGATGCTGGGATGTGATACACTGTCCCTGCCCTGCAACGAGAGTGTGATGATGTTTTTTCCTGGGTGCAAAGCAAGCAGCGAAGAGGCGAAAGTTTTTCTGCAAGGACGGACTGGACAGATCACGTGTTCTGTCTGTCTGGTCTATCCTGCAATGGATGGATTTTTTGACAAGGCCGAGCATGGATTGGGCGTGGCGTGCTTGCTGTTGCTGCTGCTGGGAGTTTATACCAATGACTACTGGACTGAGTGTGTGTGAAGTTAGATTCCCATGGGGGAACGGCTAGGTCTGTCTGTCTGGCGGAGCTGCTCAGCAACGTGTGGAGTTATCGAAGAGAATTGCGCTTGAGAGTTGTGCCTTTTCTATCTTTTTTAAACGTGATCGTGTTTCCGATGTTCGTTTTCTGCATTCTCATGCTTGAGTATGGCCACTCTACGCTACAGTGGACGCGTTGGCTTGGAGGTGGTGGACACGTTTACCCAGCGGACGCGACGACTTGTTGCCTACATACTTGGCTCACAACTTCACTCTATTAAGCCCGCTCGCTTGCACGGACGCTACGGTACGCTTCCTTGTACACCGACTGCCGCCGGAATTACAGGAAACGACCAGGGTCGTGAAGTGACGCACCACACTGCCGGACTGGCGCGTACCTTTGAAGCCAGCCTTAAGAGCGCAACGTGGATGCTGACGTCGGTCTTCGAGTCCGGGACGGCGACTCACGCAGGTCGATTGTGCTGAGAGGAGGGATTGGGAACTGGCTAGGCGAATTTTCGAAGGACTGGGATGGATCGCGTCTCGTGGTTGAGATATCGCTCGCTGGTAAGAGTAAGAGCAGCGCTGTGGCTACGCTTTGTCTGCGTCGACGGGCGAGCAGTGTGCGTGTAGACCTGATCGAGTTCCAGGAGATGATGATGAAGAGATGTGCGGAAGCGGGAGCTCGGCGTCTTGAGGAGCCCAAAGGCTTAGTAGGTGCTTGATAAGAGCCATGAGCCAGGCGAGAGTAGATGCCAGCGACAGCGTCCAACGTACGTCGAGCATCGCCAAGCTTCAGGGTTCTGTCTGCATTTCGGCCATCCCCAAGGCAAACGCTCGCGGGACCCCACCGGTGCGTCCTCGCAACACTATCAGTGCCCTTGGCTCCGCCAGAGCAACGCAGCGAGTCGCTGTTGGTTTCGCATCCTGACCGATCGCCGGTACTCTGCTTGGTCTGTGCTCTCTTCGCTGGAAGCGGGATCGTTGAGATTCTGGTAAGGCATTTGGTAGCAGTGGAGGACGGCCCAGCAGAGAATGAGGAAAGCTGCTGCCGCCAGGATCGAGAGGAAGATGATGGTCGACGGCTGCATTGGACAAGCCAGCGAGCAAGAGGCGCTGGTCGTGAAAGTAGTGGGTCGTGCAAGGTTTCGAGATTTCGAGATTCCCTACTGCAAGACACTTGCTGTCAACACCGACTGTTGTACAGCTTCGTCAAGCAGCAAACAAGCAGTCGTCACCACATCCAGCACGCGGCACCAGCGTCACATGCGCAGAACCAGGGGTATCATTTCTCAGTACCAACCTCACCACCAAACATCCCCCTCCTCCCTTCAAATCGCCCACGCCTCCCGATCATCATCCTTGGTAACAAACGGCTCATCCACCAACTTCACCGCCATCTCACTACACAACACACACGCTCCCGCCACCAACCCATCTAGTTCCCTCACCATCCCCTCCCTCCTCTTCCCCAAAGCCACCCCTCTCCCAATCTCCCTCTGCAACTCACGGATCCGCTTGCCCTTCCCAAGCCCCGCCATGCTCATCACCATCTCCCCCAAGCAATCCGCGTGGAAAGCGTGCTGGCAGGGAAACACAAAGAACTGCCGCATCAGCAGCGGAAGTCGACATTTCCAGCATCGCTCGCCTGGCTCCACAATAGCGTACCGCTGGTCGAGAGCCTTGATGTCGGATTTTATATGCTCCGCCGTGCTCGCCGATTCATCCATCTCCGTCTTCAGCTCGTCGATACGCCGGCTGTAGTCTTCCAGCGCAGCGCAGATTTCCTCCTTGAAGTCGTCGATGATGACAAAGTCGGGGAAGAAGGGGATGAGGTCTTCGATGCGCAGGAGTTCGCAGCGCTTCAGGAACTCGATAGCGGATTTGATGCCTTTCTCGCGGCCGATGACCTTTTTGGCGACTTTCAGCCAGAGGCGTTTTCGGAGGGCGGTGTCGATGTCGCGGCTGTCGGCGACGGTGGCGGCGACCTCGACTTCGTCGTATTTGAGGGCGAGGTCGACGGCGGAGGCGTACTGTTTCATTGTGGTGTAGATGTGGACGCATGATTGGACGCGCTGGTGGGCGATGCAGAGGCGGAGGGCGAAGTCGGCATCGTAGTTTTGCTCTTGGGCTTGGGATTGTGTTTGTAGGTAGGTGAGGAGGGTGGATTCGTCCTTGGTAGGATTGGAGGCACAGAGTGAGATGAGGGTGTTGTGAACTGCTGGTTCCGTGGAATGGCTGTGGTTGATGCAGAACTGCAGATACCGTACGGCTTGGTTCTGCGAAAGCGGCACGCTCGTCCCGATGGTCTTGTTGTAGTTGAGCAGGGCGGGTATCAATCTCTTCGCTTCCAACGCTGGTTGCCGCATCAGAACCTCGACAAGGTCGACAGGCGTGTGTGCCATTAAGACGGTGCAGTACTTGTAGAACATCTCCGGCTCGGTCTGCTTCTTCAACACAGCCATTGCCTCATCCCAGCGCTCTCGTTGCACCCAGTACGACAGAACATAGTTGTAGTCTTCTGAGACATTGGCGAAATGTAGCAGCTCCTCCTCTCGGCCATGAGAGCTGATGATCTCATACACAGTCTTGCTGTCCAAGTCTGTTTTGTACTTTCTGCAGAAGTCCTGAAACTCTCTGCGGATCTGCGCAAGCTGTCGTTCGTTTGACTGTCCAGTGTTGCCAGTTCCGTTTGTACCAAGATCTGCTTTGGTGGAGATAGTGTCGTCCAGCTGGTCCAGCTTCGCCATGTACAGCTCGATTAGCCAGCACGCGACCATTGTTCGTTGCATGGCAGAGCTTCGCTTCAAATTGGACAGCTTCGTGATGAGGTACTTCCGCAGCGCATCTTGCTGGTCGTTGTCGATGAAAGTGAGTGCGACATCTTCGAAGGACTTTGTGCTTCGTCCCAATACAGTTGCGGCTTCGTCGAATTTGCCTTGGGACATCAAATGGTCACCAGTCCTTGATGCAACAGCATCTTTCTGCTCAGAGGTCTTTGCATACTTCTGTGCTGCTTCGAATTGGCCTTGCTGTAGGAGGATCCGCCACACATCACGAGCCTCTTCGGTCACCACGACCTCGAAGATCTCGTTTGATGTGAACAGCCAGTACGTGTTCTTCTGATGATCCGAGAACAGGCCCAAGTTTGGAGTGTTCTGCTCTAGTATCTGCTGGCTGTACACTACACTTTCATCTAGGCGATTGACCGCAGTCAGCTTGCCCTCCACCAGTGCTAGGATATGGAACTGCGTAAGTATCATCGAGCCTATGGGAGGCTGCTGGGCACGGTTGCGGCCACTTGATGTCTGTACCGGTGGCAGTTTCGTCTGAGGCAACATTCGTGACTCGCGGAGTATCTCGCGACCAAGCGTTGACAGCTCAGAAGAAGTGTGAAGCTTGCCGTTGAAAACGCCGTCCGCATTAAGCCATGCGTACGCCCTCGGCTCTTCGCCGTCGCCTGTCCGAGCGGGAGCTGCTTCCGGAGGGTCTGGGGATATCGCTAATGATGAAGGGACTCTGGCTTGCGTTCTGTCAATTTCGTGAACACTGGGCGTTTCAGCTTCGAAGAGCTTGGAATATATTGACCCGCTCCCTTCGTGTCCCTGCCTACTTGTCCGTCCAGCAAAGTGTAGCAGCCTGTGCTGCGTCGTGACCACCATTCGCCGAGTGTCTGGTCTTGAAGACAGCACATCCGTATACAACCCCGTAATGGCGCCATCTTGAGGGTTGAAAACGTTCTTGATGTACTTCTCCTCCCTTCTGTAGAATTCCGTGCTCGGTTCAATGTATGTCTCGTAGATATTGCCATCCGCAGCTCCCACTAAGATCTCTCGTGTCGAAGCTGTTGGCAGCGAAGGATTCCAAGCAATGCATTCGATCTGTACGCCCTTCAGTCTCGACAATGCCTTGGGCTGCCGGGACTGAGTATGCAAGTAGTAGTTCTCTCCCAGTGCAGTGCTCATGATCAAATGGCTTGCACTGGGATCGAGGAACAGCTTCCGGATGACCCCAATCTCTGCCGGTCGTTTCGGCAGGTCGATGTCGTCGATGTCTTCGGCATTGTCGAGATCGAAGCGGAGTATGCGGCCAGTCGAGAGGGCAAGTATGAGGACGTTGTTCGCTACTTGAGCTGCAACAAACTCGGCGGATATATCGAAACGGAGCTGGACCTTCTGGACGTCGAAGATGGGTAGGGCCGTGTCGTCCTGCGCTCCGGCGGCATACCCGCTCGTTGAGTCCAGTGCCATGGTTCATGTATCATTCCAAGAGACCCTCCTCTTCTTCATCATGACGGTGTTGGCTTCATCGTTGTCCTTGAGTTCATTGAATTGTCTGGTGTATGGACTGAGGTCCTGATCTTGAGCGCACGGACCAGCCCAGCTAAACCTCACCATCGGTTGACTTGACTCTCTTCGTCCACTCCTGGACGATCACCGTACGTATATGTATGACAGTTGTCGAGTAAGCAGCAATAGACCATGCAAGTGGTGATCACAGGTGCGAGAGGCGGAATCATCAGCCTCCAATCGCCTCTCACATGCAAGTCCAGGCAACGCTCATCAGAAACGACAAGAGAGTGAGTGGAAGTGCTTCAACTTAGGGTACCTCAAACACATATGGCACGCCTGCTCCAAAGCCCCCGAACGGCATGTGATTCCACGTTGAAAGGCGCAGCTTAGGCGCAGCCCGAGAGCGTCTTCTCCGCCAGCACGAAAGACAGGCAACGCACCACGAGCCATCGGACAGGACCAGATGCCAACTCAGAGAAGTGGCCAGGGCTTACTCCCAGCTCGTCTTCTGCTTGCTCGATATCACTGCTCGCGGCCTCATCACTGTCCTCACGAGCCTTTCCATTGCGCGTCTTACGGAGAGGCTTCTCTAGACCTTTGTGTTAGCCTTGCCCGGGAGGGACTTCATTCACATAAGCCTCCTCCTAGCGACATGCTTACGCCACCTGAGCATGAGTAATCCTAATAGTAAGTGACAAGAGAGTTGAAAGCAAGTCTTGATGCATTTAGGGTATCTGAAGCCACATCCCGGAACGCCCGCTTCAGACGCACAAACAGACATGTGATCGCACCGTGCCGACAGAACTTGGCGATTCAGGTCCAGCCCAAACACCTGCCCACTGCCAGCATACAGAGCTCTCTACAACAGCAACACCCCATACAAGCACTACAAGCCACCACTGGGCAGCAGATGCTCGGATCGAGAAGTGTCAGGGAACACGACCCTACTCCCCCTCGCCGTCACCATCCTCCTCCTCACTCTCTTCGGCCCTCTCCCTGTCCTGCTCGCGAAGGCGACGGAGAACCTCAGCATCGTCCCGAGCACGCTGCGCCCGCTCCCGCTCTGCGTTGATTTGGTCCCGCATTGCCTGGACTGCCGCGTTGTCGTAGTCAAGGAGAGTGTTGCTTCGGCGGCTGGACGGGCGAGTGGAGCGAGTGGAGCGGGAAGCGGGGCGAGTGACTGGGGTGCTTGAAGTGGCGGGAGTGCTCGAGGTGGCAGGAGCACTCTGCGCAAGGGTCGCATTCTCATCACTCAACTCCATGAGGTTGGCCACCGCACGGATGTCGTCGGCGGTGAGGTTGTTCGTGCGGAGGTACTCTGCGATGAGCTCATGGGAGACGTTCTCCTCCGGAAAGGCGCCGCGAAAGGTGTTTGTCGGGTTCTCGAGCTCTACGAGAAGTCTGTTAGCACATCGGAGAAGAGGTACAGCTGACAGGACTATGCCTTACTTACTCGCAGTTTTGTTGAGCCTTTAGTTGCTGGCGGAGCTTCTGGTACTTCTCCTGGATGGCCTTCGCGCTCGGATTCTCTGGAGGCGAATACGTTAGCAGATCTTCTAAGCAGGTCTGGGAGAAGGCAAAATTCACCCTTGAAGGTCTCAGCGATCTTCTTGAAATCCTTCCCGCTCAGAGTCTTGCCCATGCCGAAGTACAGCAGCTTCTCGACGTTGTCGCGGGTCCATTTCATCTTGGTGGTGCTGGACCTGCCCTGCTTGTTGCCGATATATTCACCTGTATCGCTCTGGCTCTCGCTGTCGCTCACGTCCGCGCGGTCGTCGTTGCCGTGGCTGAAGGGCTTCTTGTTGTTGCCGTCGCCTGGAGGCTGGTTGCCGCCCGGTGCTGCTGCGGCGGCCATGGTGAGGGGAGGTAAGGGAGGGTGGTGAAGGAGGAAGGTCAAGGTTGTGGTACATCGCAACGGGGAAGAAATGGAAGATCATATAGCAGAAAATACCAGCTCGGACCAGGCCCAGAGGCTTCTAGCTCCTCTGCTAGCCTCTGCTAGCGCGGTGAATGTACGCTTCCATTCCGAAAAGAGAGGCCTTCTGGTTGGCCGGCAATCAGCTGATCGTCCGAACGAGGAAGTTGTGCAAGCTGGAGGGAACGCACAGGCCACCTGGATGACCCTTCGCAATCTTATGGATATATGGTGAATGTAGAGGGTCAGTATATCGTGGTGGTAGTGGTGGAGGTTGGAGAAGCAGAGATGGCAAGGAGGTAGGTCTTTTGTAGGTTGTTTGTCGACAAGGAATGACCACCGGGGAGACAAAGACAAGATCAAAACGATTAATTGAGTCTCTCCGGCAGCTTCTCGTTTCCGTGGCCATTAAGCTGGTATCTCCTGATAGAGGCAAGCAGAGATCCACCTGGCACAAAGGTCAAAGACCTGGAAGAAGTGTGAGACCCGGGAGATCGATACAGAGCGGCCTTCAAGAATTGTCGACGGGCCTACCGCACAGGACCCTGCCGCATTCGCCGAAAATCCATATCTCGAATCGAAGACAGCAGCCTCAGCTTGATCCCGGTGGGATCCGGCACCGCAGGCTCATCTTCCTCCTCTCCAACGAGACTATCCATTCTGCCCCTTCCATTCACCATTGCCTCTCCAGGACCCGCCTCCAAGTCATTCCTCCTCTCTCTCCCATACGAGCCCCGTCTACACCCCTTCAACAACCACCTCTCCTCCCCTTCCTCTTCCCCATCCTCAAAACATCCCCTCCACCACCCCCTCCCCTTCCAACCCGCCCAAACAACCAATACAACAACCCCAGCCCCAACCACACAAAACGCCGCAAAAACCAACACCCTACCGATCGTCAGCGAAGCTCCCCCTTCCCTGTTCCGATCGAGAAATGAACATACCCGAACACAGCAATCCCCACGCTCCACCCAACCCCATCAATCCCCTCCGGCAACCCCCCAGCCAAATGCACCAGTAACAGGCCTATCGGCACTAACAAATAACCCCCCGCGCACGTCAAAACGCAGAGCCCGCGGATGAGTTCGAGGTGGTCGCGGTAGGCTATCAAGCGCGCGGGGCCGAGGAGGATTCGCAGGAGAAGGATGAGGAGGGTGGCGGCGAGGTAGCCGAGGAGGGAGGAGAGGAGGGTGGCGAGGATGTAGAGGAGGATCTGCGGGGAGGGAGGGGGTTAGTGGGGTGGACGGGAAGGGGGGATGGGAGAGGTACGTAGGCGTTTATGGAGAGGATTAGGAGGATGAGGTGTTTTGCTGGCATGGTTGGGGAGGAGGTGTTTCGACGGTAGAGGTCGTGTGAGGATGGGGTGGGTTGCTGGAGCTGTCATTTAGGAAGGCACGGGGTTAGTGCGTGAGGGAGGGAGATCGCAGACGGGGCACAGGCGTTGCGAACGAGTGAAGTGCGAAGTAGATATGAGCCTGCTACATGGATGATTATACCTGCTTCAACGTCCATCTGACGCGGCCTGGGTTGTTAGAGCCAGTCGTACTCTACGAGCATCTCCTCGGCATGTCAATTCAACTCCGATGAGGTGTGCGCCGTTCGAGCGTACGAAACATGAGCAGTAGCGCTTGCGCCATCGATATATGTAGACGCACCCGCTCGGTTGGACATCCGAAGAGGATCAGTAAAGTGGTCGCCGAGTAAGCCGTTGATGCTTGTCGATGCTTGGTCTGCATCAAGAGGGCGAAGAGCGATGCTCGTCCAACCAGTGTCGCTGCAACACTGGTAGCGCTGAAGTCACCACTGTTCATGCTTCGCGGGCAGTCCCGCGGCTTGTTGATAAATGCCTCAGCGGTGGCCCACCCATTTTTCCTTCAAACGTCACCCAGTGCAGGTTAGACATAAGCGATGGAGCTGTGCGGACGGACGGGTGCTGTGTCCTCATAATTCTCAGCCAGAGTCATGATCCGAGGAGGATCCGGGCCGGCGGACGTGGGCCGGGAACAGGCGAATGCTGGGTTCAAAACTTATTGCAGCGGTTGTCGTCAACAACATATGCTTTCGATCGCAGCCAGCGGCATATCGTAACCGGGACGAAGCTCCGTAATGTGACGGCTAAAGGACTGGCTTGGCGTGGCTTCCGTGCCCTTCGAAGCCGACCAGTTTGAAGTCAATCAATCACTCCCACTCATCATCATCCCACCCCTCCTCCTCCTCCTCCGTCTCCCTCACCACCCTCCTCCCCTCCCCCTCCCCCTTCCCCATCTTCTTCCTCACCAACACCCCACACCCCAACAACCGTCCCTCCAACTCCCCCGCCGTAATGCCATCCGCCCTTCTCCCCACCCCCTCGAACCCAATCACCCGATCCACGCCCACCCCGTCCACAAACGCAATCACGCACGGCAACACCTGGATCTCCAGCTTCACGACCAACCACGGCGCGTTCTCGACGTTGATACTTACGAAACGCGTGTCGAAGTGCTTTTCCGCGAGGGTGGCGAGTTTGGCGTCCATGATGCCGCAGCGGTGGAAGTCGGGTTTCATGAAGTGCACGACGGAGAGGTGGGTGGAGGTGGTGATGTCCATTAACTCCTTTTCGGATTTAATTTCCAGGTAGGTGCCGTGGGCGGTGGATTTCATCTCGCGGGCGCGCGTCATTTCGGCGTGTAGCTGCTCGAGACGCTTTTCGCGGAGAGCAGAGACCTCGTTGGAGTCGTCCTCGAGTTCGGCTATGAGTGCGTCTTCGTCGTCGCTGTCGTGGCCGGGTTTCTGGCGGTCGAGCACGCGGGCGACTGCTGGGTCGATGGTGGCCATGTTGTCGACAAGTCCTTTGTTTCTGGAGCGATAATCTGTTGAGCCGGGTCCGCGAGTGTCTCACAAAGTCTCAGTATAGCAGAGACTAGTATGCTGAAGCGAGATATCGAACGCGTTGATTATCGTTTGCACGTATTAGGTTCGTGTCGAGGATGCTTTCCAATGGTCGGCGGGGCTAGCGACGGCGGTGGCCTGAACTTTTGATAAGGCGAACTGTATCTTGCGGTCAGGAGAAGGTCAGCTATCACCAGTTCTCCTTCTCGACGGTATAGTAGTCACTCTCTTTTGCCTCTTCGTTCAAAGCAATCGTTCATTTCTCCCGACTCGAGTTAAAGAATTAAGGCTGAAGAGGAAGCATTGCGTGTGCCTCGACGGTGATTGGCTGTCCCTTCTCGTGGAGTGGATTTTCTGGGAGACGACGACGACAGTTGCAGACAGACAGACAGGGTCTTGGGTCTCTGTACTCTCGTGCGACTTCCCCCCTCGCCCTCTCCCTCTGTGACACTTCTTCCATCCTCGACCGGCGCAAGGCGCACCACTCGCCCAGCATTACCACCTTCGTCGGCGTCGCATCCTCCCTCGGCCCCGCCCGTCCCTGGAGACCTGCCTCCCTTGCCTCTCCATCCCCCTCCTCCAACACCGCCGAGCACTACTTTTCCATGGCCGATGAGAAGAGACGGGGCGACGCGATCATTGAATTGGAAGACAAACAGCCCAACGGCCACCACTTCGACGCCGCTCCCAGACCGCAGCCCGCAATGTCGTCTGCTCCAGTCGCGCAGTTGGCCAACAACCCTGTCGTCTCGATTCTCACCTATTGCGGCAGCAGCATCCTCATGACTGTCGCCAACAAGTTTGTCGTCAACGGGCATGATTTCAACCTCAACTGTTTCCTACTCGCTGTACAGGTAGGGCACTTCTAGAGCACAAATCGAGAGGACTCGAGATGCTAACGACACGATACAGTCGGCCGTCTGCTTAACAGCCATCACGACCGCCAAAGCAACCGGCTTCATCTCCTTCCGAGACTTCGAAAGCGGCCAGGCGAAGAAATGGTTCCCCATCTCCCTCCTCCTCATCGGCATGATCTACACCTCCACAAAAGCGCTCCAGTTCCTCAGTATACCCGTATACACCATCTTCAAGAACCTGACAATCATCTTGATTGCGTACGGCGAGGTGCTATGGTTCGGAGGCAGCGTGACGGGCATGGCACTGCTCAGTTTCGGTCTCATGATCATGAGCAGTGTCATTGCAGCGTGGGCAGACATCCAGCACGTCCTTGAATCCTACGGCGGCGACGCCATGACTGGCGAGGCAGCGGAGCAGATCTCGACGCTGAACGCGGGATACATGTGGATGCTGATGAACTGCCTCTGCACCGCCTCCTTTACCCTCGGCATGCGCAAGCGCATCAAGCTCACCAACTTCAAGGACTTTGACAGTGAGCCTTTTCCCCCCCTCCTCCCCACCCTGTCCCATCCTCTATACTAACAATTACCCAGCCATGTTCTACAACAACCTCCTCTCCCTCCCCGTCCTCCTCATCGGCTCCCTCTTCCTCGAAAACTGGTCCCCCGCCAACCTCGCCCTCAACTTCCCCCCCGAGCAGCGCTCCTACCTCATCGGCGCCATGATCTTCACCGGCCTCTCCAGCATCCTCATCTCCTACGCCTCCGCCAACTGCATGCGCGTCACCTCCTCCACCACGTACTCCATGGTCGGCTCACTGAACAAACTGCCGATCGCGATCTCCGGGCTGATGTTCTTCGGGGACCCCGTGACGGTGCCGAAGGTGGGGGCGATTTTTGTGGGCTTTGTGAGCGGGATTGTGTATACGGTGAGTAAGATTTGGCAGAAGGAGCAGCAGAACAAGGGACAAGGGGGTGGAGGGATTCTGCCGACGACGACGAGCGCGAGTTCGCAGAGTATGCGGGATTCGCTGAAGTCGTAGTGTGAGTATGGGCGAAGTCTAGTGCGGCGACGAAGAGTTGGCAAGAACATTGCAGTATTGTTTGGAATAGACGCATAGAGCGAGCGGTGCTCGCACCCGGCGCTGGAGTGGAGTTTCGTGGCGAGGGATGGAAAGCTCGTCGCTTCTCTTTGCTGTTGTATGATACCTTGGGACTGGCATCTGTATCTCTAAATCGGTCAAAAATCGTTTCACAACCTTCAGCAAGATACAGTGCTTGACTGTGCCCTGGAAAAAGGACGAATTGTTCGGCCGTGATATGTCTATCCCCCTCGAACCTCATACCCACTCACGAAAAACTTGATATCGCTCACAAACGCTCTCATACACGAACCGCTTAGATTCCCCGCCAACGCCTCCCATCGTAAAAGGCCCCTCCCTCACCAGTGATTCGTCGGACGCACCATATCTCTCAAGTCGACGTTCTCCGCGCCAGCGACGTCCCCGTATTGCGTCGGGAACGACGTCTCCGGCCTGACCACCCCCCTCTCGCCCAGTATCTTGTTCACCCCAGCCTTCCTTTCATTGTTGTACCGGGCCTAAACTTCCCCCCCGGTCTCCTCCCACTCCTCCCCGACCAACCGCCGCCGCCCCTCATGACGCTCCTCCTCCGCGCGCACCGATGTCCCGGTATGAAGTCCCACCCCTGCGGCTTCCACTCCCTCGGTCGCAGCCCCAACTTCTGCTTCATCCTTCTCTTGAAGACATCCTACATCACCACACATTTGCTATTCCCCTCCTTCGGCTGTCCAGCCTCCTGGCCCTTTTCAATCTCCACGATCATGCCTTCGAAGGCTTTGCTGACGTTCTCGTTGTACCGTGCGGAGGCCTCGACGAACCCGCAGCCGAGTTCTTCGGCGAGCTTGCGGCCGTCGGCAAGCGAGACCTGCCGCTGTTCGGGGCGGAGGTCGGATTTGTTCGCTACGACCATGATGGGGACTGCGTCGGCGCCCTGCCACAATTACCCGTCGCTGTCAGCGACCCACTCTCTCTCACCGCTGGCATAAGGACATGGGCGCATACGTACAGTATGATTCAATATCTTATCCCGAATAATCCGCACCATCTCGAAACTCTGCTTGCTCGCCACGCTATACACCACCATATACCCATGTATCCCGATGAAATGCTTGCTATTGAGGATGGTGTACTCGTCTTGTCCCGCTGTATCGATGATCTCGACGGCGAAGTCGTGGTTCTTGTGCCGGATCACTTTGGAGAAGGTGTTTTCGACCGTCGGGTAGTAGGAGTCGACGAAGTGGCCGTCGACGTATTGGACTGTGAGGGAGGATTTGCCTGGACCACCACCACGTTCTAGGGTTAGTGGGGTTTGAAAGGCGAGGGGCGAGGGGAGGGGGGGAGGAGTACCGACGGATCTGCTGCCTACGATGGCCATTTTGCGCTGTTTCTGTTGCGGAGGCATGATGGCGGGCGGGTGTTGCTGTCCTTGGATGTGTTAATGATTGGAAGTCGAGCGCTCGCAGCGCAAGTGGTATGAATGGTGTGGTATGGAGAGAGGAAGGGATGTAGGAGGGTTGTCAACGAATAGTGGAGTATAGACTCGAAAGGTAGTCCTTTGCTGTAGTCCCAAAGTATAAGGCGAGGCAGATCTCGAGATCGATATGACCAAGTACATGTACTCTCGAAGGGGCACGTTTCTTGCGTCAAGGCTCCGTAAGCTCTTGCCTGTGTAGTCCAGCGGCAGATCGGTATGCGCTGCGCTGCGTCGTAGTCTCTCTGGATTTATACCACCCCGTTCATTTTACTTCCCTGTGGAAGAAGTGATGAACACCACTCCAAACCTTTTGCCTTCACCTCAGAGACACAGAACCATAAAACTCACTTGCCACGAGGGGGGCGACGAGCCGAACCAACCCATTCTTCCACACCCCAAAAGAGTGCAACCAGCGGTCAAGAGCAAGCCGGTGACGTTGCCTGACTCGTCCGAAAAGCAGGGTTTCCATTACGCGAGAGAGCAGGCTGAGTGGTCCAATCCAATCATCTCGTCGCCCGGAGGAGAGTTCAAGGCTGTAGGGATGATGGGATTTATTTGAGTTGCCCGGCGTCGCTGACATGTGATTGTGCGAGGTGGTTGTTTGGGAAGGTGTTTTGGGGGGAAATTGGGAGAAAAGTTCTGGGTTGGGATGTCACGGGGTGCGTGGAAGATGCGGTGCTGCGTGGGACGGCGTTTCGGACAGTGGGACATGGGGGCGGGATGGTTATCGTGGGTAGATTGCTGGTGGTACCATGCAGCCTTGTCAGGAACGAGTTGTAACGATGATGAAAGTGACGAGTCGACGTGACGGCAGTTGAGGAGGTACCTTATGTTTCATTCTCTACAGATATGTCCACCCCCGAAAATGGCGCCTTACAGTCCGGGTATTATGCAAACAAAAGGTTCGGAACAATCGTAATCTATATGACTTCAACTCCTCATCCACCTGCCTCCACCTCCTTCAACCTCCCTAGCACTACCTTTAGCTTCGCGGTAAAGGCGCCCCAGACTTCCTTCCCTTCTTCGCCTTCGAAGTTCAGCGTGTCGACTTTTTGGTGGTGCGCTACGAACTCTTCCACGGCGTCTACCAGCATGCGCAGATTCTGGCCTGGGAGCTTTGAGGCGATGAAGATTCTCGCATCTTTGCTTTGACAGAGGTTCGCGAGCATTACGGCGAGGTAGCCGAAGGTGACGTTGGCGATGGACTCCTCTTCTGATTCGGCTTCTAGCATATGTCGTTGGCCGAACTGGAAGATGCTGAGGAGAGAATCGAGAAGTTCTGGCTCCGAGATAGCCTGCGTTCGAGCTTCATTGCTGTGCTCGCTGAGGTTGATCATGATGCCGAGAGCAAGGACGAGGAAGTCTAGAACAATGCTCTTCTTCTGCGCATCTTCCTCATGCCCCAAATTGCCGAAGCCTTTTTGGATGGATTGTAACAGATATGTTGTGGTCGATCCGTTGTCGCTCTTGGAAAGAAGCTCGCAATTCCTGGCGTTTTCGTTTGTGAGGTTGAGGCAAAGTCGAAGGGCAAGGAACCGTGTATCGCGGAGCATGGTGGAAGTGGCGTTAAGAGTTGGTAAGATCTTACTGATCTCTTCAACGACTTCTGTAGGCCACTCCAGTGTTACCGCTGCCGTAGACAGCGACTCCAGAACGGATACGGCTAGAGCCAATTCCAGATGATATGCCTGGTCCTTCGCGTCGCTGCTGTCCGGGAGGATCGTCTGCAGCTGTTTTTCGCCGAGTAACTCAGATCTGTCGCCTATGCGCCTCAAAGCGCGCACCAGCAGGTCCAGTGCTCGAAGCGAGACAAGCCGTGGCGTCACTATGGCAGGCACATTCTCATGCCAAAGAGCTGTGTGCGTCCGCAGCCTCTCCGAGAACTCCAGTAGCGAGGTCTGTGCTGACTTCGACATATTGTTCTTTCGGTCCTTCGCAAGCTTGGCCATGGGTGTCTCGCTTGACAAGCGCATGGTCAACCAGACCACGATCTCGGCATCTTGGAACGACCGGACGACATGCTCTGGAGAATTCGTATCCAGAAGCAAAGCGACGCAAGACGCGAGGAGGAAGTCTGCGATAGCATCCGGACAAGCTCCGCACTCTGCTGCCAGTCGTGATTCGCAGCTCTGGCCGACAAAGCGACTCTTGAACGACTTGTCCATGAGTCTAGCGGCGAGACTAGTAATCGCTGTCCGCCTCATCCCTCTTTGGGCAACACTGTGCTTTGCGATGTCGTCCAGAAGGTCGTCAATGTCGCCCATACCTCGAGCATTGCTTCCAGATGCGCGCAGCTCGTGAATCGACCGCATTTTGCCTGGACCCTCATCATCTTCGCTGTCATCAAAATCGAAAGCAGACTTTTGGGTCTGGCTTGAAATTGTACGCTTCGTGGCCGCTGCTGGAGGCGGCGGCTCGTCATCAAGGCCGAGCATGAGATCAGCTTCCATATTGTCTTCCGGCAGGTACGACCGCATGCTAGAGTAAGTGATCTTAGGTCCGGTGACTGCTGTCTGAGACTGACTCTGCGAATAAGATGTCTGCCGCTGGATCTTCGGCGGCTGTGCGGCTTTGGGTAGTTTAGAAACCGAGGGCTGGTCTGTCATCTCGCTGTCCGCGACTTCAATCTCGTCCTCACTATCCTCGCTCAGATCGCTCTCTGAGTCCATGACCGATGCTTTGAGTCGATCTACAAGCCTCGTCCGGCTTCGCGGCGCATCAGACTGGGACTTCGTCAAGCGCGGTGAAGACGGTTTCCTACTGGTGCGCCGAGAGCCAGAAATGCTGAGATCCTTGATTGCCAGCGCACTGGGTGATGGAGCAATTGGGTCGCTGGGCAGCAGACTGTTCCAAAGGTTTGCTTGCTTCGGTGTCACAGCTGTGACGGCTCTTCTAGCTGCCTCCGGGCTGCCTGGACCCGCTGAGGGAGGTGTCGAGGGTTGGTGAGGAGTGGAGTTGCGACTCGGCACAGAAGGTGATCTGGTAGGAGCTTCAGTAGTATCGGTATCAGTAGCTATCATTTCGGCCAGACGTCCAGGAGCTGAGAGGCCCTTGCGTGGCGTTGTGCGGGAGTACCTTGTGAGCTTGCCGCGTCTGGCGTTTGTCTTCGCACTTTGTCGTGGTACTGCAGGCTTTGCGCTCACTCTCTCATCCTCGCTGGAGTCTGGGAAGTCGTAGACGTTTGACTCTGCGACATCTGCATTCTTCTCACTGACGGCGTTGAGTTCCGTAGGAGGCGATACAGGCGCATCATCCATCGCAATGTCGTTGTCATCCGCCCTACCGGCTGACTCCGTTCTTGCTCGCTTCCGTGGTGTTTCTTCTGAGCTCTTCACAGTATAACCGCCGCGCTTTGGCACAGAGAGACCAAGGTGTGAGCTCTCTTCGGCACTCTGGGATCCGTTGTTTTCAGCCAGCCTCTTGCGTGCGGCTAGGCGTGCTGCAGCGCTCGTTGCCTTTCGACCAGCAGTATCACTTGAAGGCGAGACAGCACTAGCTTTGCTCGCAGCAGGTGACACGCTTTCTGCCGATCGTGCAGTATTTGCATTGGCCTCAGGCGATTTTGTCGCCCCTGCGAGCTCACGTCTCAGCTGAGCGTCGGGGCTTGCAGGTTTGCCGGCCTTCCCCACCCGCCCATTGCCATTCCGCTGCGCGCCGTTTGTTTCTTTCCTTTCCCAAGATGCATAGTGACCGCGTTGCCTATCATCCACCAGGGCAGGCTTGTACTTTGGCGGTGCTACCGACGGCACTTCCGCAGCCTCATCTTCAGACGACGGGATATCGAACGGGTCCCTCTGTTTTGCCGGTTGCTTGGGTGGCTTCACTGGGTGAGCCTTGGCCTCAGTCTTTTGAACCGTATATGACTCCTTCACCGTCGCGCGGCTCCCAATGGTGGGCTTCGAAGTCGTGAGTTCGTCCTCGTCGTCGAAGAAGTTGGACGCGCTGTAACCGGGCTTGCTCAACTTTCCGTATACCAGCTTCTTACGCTTGGGCGCTTGGAGTGTCGATGTCGTAGCCATTGTGCGTTTCGCGGCGGTAGAGGACGGCTGGCGTTACCGTAAAGTGTGAGAGGTGATCATGGTTGTTGACTCAGTGTGTGCGAGTGATTGCTCGTGAACTCTGTACACAATCGCAAGTGAAACCAGTGAGAGTGTGATGCGGTGCGCGTAAGCTGTAGTGGTATGCACGTGGCTATAGTTGTGATTTGTTTTATTGGTGGGTCACCGGTGAATGTCGAAGAGTGAAGTGAAGTCTAATTGTCTATTCTAAGTGAGGCCCGCGACGTCAACAAGCAGGCGTCTCAGGGAGACACTGGATAAGCTCCGGGCAGACAAGGTCCGCGCCGGGCCATATGTGGGGTAAGTAAATGGAACGAGCACGCGACTCGCCCACCAAGTCACAGTATACCAAATGTGAATCAGAAAAAGAAATATGTATATTGGGTGATAAAATTCAGTATATTCGTTGCGTATACTCGAGTCTATCGCTCGAGAAATCAAGCAAATTCTTACCAAACCGAGTCCGAACAATGGCCAACACCAATCAGGAAAGCAACGAACTCCAGCGAGCACCAAGCCAGCATGTAGGCCCAGACTACAAGACATCCGACGAGAAACCCGAGGCCACGGTGTCAACTACAATCGAGCAGAAGAATGTGGTCATCCTCCCACAGACACCGCAGCTCATAGCACTCCTCACGTAGGTCTTGGAGCCTTGATATCTCGAGTCCTGCCGTGCTAAGCATACTATCAGCATGATCCGAGACAAGAACACCAGCCGCGCAGACTTCATCTTCTACAGCAACCGCATCAACCGCCTGCTCGTCGAAGAAGCTCTCAACCACCTGCCCGTGCACCCGCACACCATCACCACGCCCGTGGGACGCACGTATGCCGGCGTTAAGTTCGAAGGCAAGATCTGTGGCGTCTCCATTATGCGTGCTGGTGAGGCCATGGAGCAGGCGTTGCGGGAGTGCTGTAGGAGTGTCAGGATTGGCAAGATTCTAATTCAGAGGGATGAGGAGACGAGTAAGCCTAGGTTGTTTTATGACAAATTGCCGGAGGATGTCAAGGATCGGTGGGTGTTGCTTTTGGATCCCATGTTGGCGACTGGTATGGTCATTACCCTTTGAGACGAAGGAACATGCTGACCATGCTCCAGGTGGCTCGGCGCTCATGGCTGTGGACGTCCTTCGCTCGAAAGGCGTTCCAGAAGAACGGATACTCTTCCTCAATCTCATCGCCTCTCCGGAGGGTGCAGCGAACTTCTCCAAGAAGTATCCAAAATTACGGATTGTCACGGCGTTCGTGGACCAGGGTCTGGATGAGAAGAAGTAAGCCTGCTTCCAATTCTTGCACTGTCGTATGCTTACCTGTCTCAACAGCTACATTGTCCCAGGGCTGGGAGACTTTGGTGATCGGTTTTACACTCTATGAAAGGTGCGGCTATGTGTACAAGTGTGCATATCAAGCATCATGTCTCCGAGCAGTACCGTCATCCAGTCCCATGCAATCTTCAAGCTCACTCTCGCTCGTATGCATCTCCCCGGGAAAGACCAGCAGTACCAAAGCCATTGCTGCAGGAGAACAATACCCAGTCAAAAACAACCCGCTCTTCTTGCAGAATCCATCAACCTCAACACAACGCCATCGCTAAGACTCCATTTCCTATCATCCCGACTTCCAGTACCTCTTCGGCATCTTTGTTGACCGCTTCGGACGTCCAGAGGGGGTGGTAGTGGCCGTCTCGGTCGAATCCTCTCCGGATCCCTCCTTATCGGATTCCTCCTTCTTGGCTTTCCCCTTCATCGATCCCTCCTTCTTGGTTCCCTTCATTTCGGACTCGCCCTCCTCGATCGTGGTCTCCTTGTCCCATTTGGAGACCACATCAGCCAATCCCTCCTGCGCTGCACTCAGCCCTCCATCCTCGCCGCCTTTGTCCATGCCATCTTCCTCTCTCCGCCCGTTCTCGACTTCACGGGCGGGCCTGCCCTCATCCTGAGCCTCTCCTGGTCGTGGCTTCGTGCCCGGGTGCTTGAGAACAAGCCGTGAGCGAGGCTTATTGCCCGGTGGTGTCTGCCCCGTCGCCCTCGCCAGCACCATTACGAGAGACTTCTCATCGCCCCTTTTCTGCGGCGCAGCCTTCTTCGCGGCAGCCTTCTTAACGCCTGCCTTCTTCATTGGCGCCGCCTTCTTCTTCTTCGGGGTCGCCGCCTTCTGGTCTGTGTCGCTCAGGATGTGAGCCGAGTCTTTCCTGCTCGTGTCTGGCTCTTCGGGTCCAGACGAGACGTCGTCCGCGATGCGATCCACGCCTGTCGACTGTGATGCCTCGCTTCTTGTTCTCCGCCGCTCGACCGGTCGTGTCGCCGGTCTGGCTGCGGTCGAGGCCTCTGCAACCCCTTCGCCATCGTCGAGATCATGGTCAGAGCCAGCAGCAGCGCCTCGTCTGGCTTTCTTGCGAGGCGGTTCCGCCACCTCAGCGGCTGCCGAAGATACAACATCCTCGCTTTCGGCATCCAGAGCTGCAGCCTGGGCTGTTCTCTTCACCGCCCTTTGCGATTTGGGATTAGGTGGTGGGAGCTTCTTTCCAGACGCAACCATCTCTTTCTCAGCGGCGATCCGGTCTTCTCGAGTCACGCGGACCTTGCTGCCGAACACAGGCCCCAGATCAACATTGAGGTCTTCGTCCTTGTGACGAGACGTTCCGGGGTACCGAACAGCCGTGTCCCGAGAAATCATCTCGGCTCGGTTGTACACGCCAACGGTACTGTTGGGCCCCTCGAACGTTGCTCGAAGGAATCGGTTGCTGGGACCGAGACGTGGAAGATCGTACTCCTCCCCGGGCGCAGCGGTCCTCGCTATCCACTCCAATGCGGTCGACAGGTGCATGCCGAAGTCCAGCTTCAGCGGAGGATCCCGCGGCTCTGGCGGCGGCGGCGGTGGCTCATTCTTGTTGAGCTCCACTTCCTCGGGAGTCTCTGGATGGGCCAGATCCCAGAGCCGCCACTTCTCGGCCTCCTCCTTCTCGAGGCGCATGTGTTTTCCCTCCATAATTCCCAGGAGCCGGGCCATATCGCCTCTAATGAGATCGTGTCCGTCGTTAGACGGCTCGTGCTGGCTTTCAGGTTGATCAAGAGACACGCCTTCCCAGTACTCAGTCCTTTGGACCCAATCCTTGCCCCTTGTCGATTTTTCTGGGCCTGATTGATTCATGATGTCTACCATCTTTTTGAGCCTGGCCTGGTCTTTCCAGTCGAACGAGGCATCTTCCTCCTCCTCCTCCTCCTCCTCCTCCTCCTCCACCTCCTCCTCCTGCTGCTGCTGCTGCTGCTCATCACTGGCAACCTCCTGCTGCTGAGGGCTCATCGGCGCCTTCATCTGCCTGGCATGCTTATCGCAGGCTGCCTGAGCGCGAGTGTCCGGCAGACCCGGCTTCCAGAGAGGCCGCTTCTCCGGGTCCTGCCCCTCGCGGAACAGGTACTCGTCAACTCGACCATATGGCAGACGAGGCCGTTTGTCGAAGTCGGCATCCGCATCCTTCAGCTGCCCCATCAGCTGCGAACCCGAGGTCTCCTTGACATAGGCAACCTTCTGCTCCCAGGTCTTCTCCTTCACCCGCTCGACTCCACGGTCAGCCGGGCTCGTGCCGAGCCAGTCGTGTTGGCGCCCGGTCAGCTTCCCTGCCGCAATGGGCGGATGGTTTGGGGGAAGCCTGACCTCCTTGTACCGGTCAGGAATGTGCGCGGGGTGGGTCAGAGTGGTCACGAACGTGTACCCAAACTTCATCATCTTGTCATCGTCAGAGTAGACGACGTGCTCGACGTTGTCAGTCACCACATCCCAGTCACGAGTGGATCGGGGTAAGCCGCTGCTGCCAATCAACGCAGGCCCGACGGCGCGCACATGAGCTTGAGCGTCTGCTATCTGAGCGACCCGGGGCGCGCTGTTCTTGCTGATGGAGGGTGAGGCGGAGTGGGTGTTGTTGTCCGTCACGGGCGGCGGCGCAGGTGGTGAGCTCGTCTGCGGCGCTAGAGAGGGAGAGGTAGGCCTCGCGGTGGAAGATAGCAGTTTGCGCCTCTGTTCGATGGCCTTAGCCATGTCCTCCTTGGTCGCTTTGCGGCGCATCGTGACCGATGTCGCGGCAGGAGGGTGATGGTAGGGGCTTTGGGAGGTGGACGTGAGCTCAGGTGAGCTCGTGGTTGACCGTGGCGGCTCGGTCAAAGGCGGCCGGGGGACGCTTGAAGGTCGGCTGCTTGTGATAGGAGCCGGCGGGGGTTTCAGGGACGATGTTGTTGTCCTCCGACAGGTGGTGGTGACTGCCAGGCGGAAGGTCGTGTGTGGGGAGGGAATGCTGTGGTGGAGGGGTTGGAGAAGTACTAATTGCGTGCCGGTTGCCGTGACGTCCGAACCCTAGCGTAGGCTTCGAGCACGTGGGAATGGATTCGAGGTGCGGACGTCAACAAAGCCAGCCTTCCTCGGGAAGATGACAAGAGACAAAGCAGGAGATGATGGTTTCTTTTAGACGGAGATTGGAACAATGTCACAAATGGACGAGGAACAAGGGACGGCAGGTGGAAATTCGCTGGAGGACTTGTACTAACGGCAACATGTTTCCCAGCATTAGAGTTCAAGGCGGGAGGCCTGCGGCCAATCCGCACACTTGCATTATGATGGGAAACGAGAAAGTCATTTGAATGGGAGCAACTTAACTGCAGGACTACAGAGCAATGGGAGATGGTTTGGGAGGCCATTACTGTGCTGCAGCGCGGACATGGGCCGTACAGTTGACAGAGGAACACCGCGAGGCCCGTCTCGTAGCCTGGCACCTTCGTCTCTGATGCTCGTATTGGAAATTAGACACTGCGAGCGCGTCTCTGAGGGTTAACGCTGAACACACAAAGCAGCAGGACCATGCCTTTGCAACACAACGCGTTGTTGCTCCAGCAGGAGGTGGCAGGCGAGGATGGCGGCCAGTCGTAGGCATTGAGTAAATGGCTACCAAGGCTGCTGCTCGGAAATGCATGGCCCCCCCACCCATGGCGACGACAATGGTGGCGCAACGATAGCTTCCTCATATCTTTCCTCTGTTAGAGTGACCAGGACGAAGTGAAGTAGAGTCGGTATTCTTGGCACTCAACGGGCCGACTTTCCTGGTTCGTGCGCTTCGCCGCGGAGGTCCTTTTGCTAGCTCCAGACCTCGAGACTTTCCCGAATCTTCGCTATACCTTCAACACCATCTCCCATCCAACCTCTTTCAACTCGACACATCTTCTCATAGAGCGACGAAGCTGATCTCCATCTCGCGCCTTGCTTCTTTCTCATCATCCACCATGCATCGCGCCATCTCCGCTGCTCCTAGGGCAGCTGTTCGTTCGTCCCGAGTCCGCCCTGGATCTTTAATACAACAACGTTTCGCGCACAAGGAGCTCAAGTTCGGTGTGGAAGGCAGGGCATCGCTGCTACAGGGCATTGACACGCTCGCAAAGGCTGTTGCCACTACTTTGGGACCAAAGGGCAGGAATGTGCTCATCGAGTCGAGTTATGGCTCGCCAAAGATCACGAAGGGTAAGCATGGAAACGAATCTTTAACTAATTCATCCCTCTGACATACTTTCATAGACGGTGTAACTGTCGCCAAGGCTGTCGCGCTCAAGGACAAGTTCGAGAACTTGGGCGCAAGGCTTCTGCAGGATGTCGCCAGCAAGACCAACGAGGTTGCTGGTGACGGCACCACCACCGCTACCGTCCTTGCCCGTGCCATCTTCTCCGAAACCGTCAAGAACGTCGCCGCCGGCTGCAACCCGATGGATCTGAGACGGGGTACTCAGGCAGCTGTTGACGCTGTTGTCGACTACCTCCAGAAGAACAAGCGCGACATCACCACTTCAGCAGAGATCAGCCAGGTGGCCACCATCTCCGCGAACGGCGACACACACATTGGCTCGCTTCTGTCCAGCGCGATGGAGAAGGTCGGCAAGGAGGGTGTCATCACCGTCAAGGAGGGCAAGACTATCACCGACGAGCTGGAGGTAACTGAGGGTATGAAGTTCGACCGCGGCTACATCTCGCCTTACTTCATCACGGACACCAAGTCGCAGAAGGTGGAGTTCGAGAAGCCGCTCCTGCTGCTCTCGGAGAAGAAGATCTCTGCCGTCCAGGACATTGTCCCGGCTCTCGAGGCCTCTCAGCAGATGAGGAGACCTCTCGTCATCATTGCCGAGGACATCGAGGGCGAGGCGCTCGCAGTCTGCATCCTCAACAAGCTCCGTGGACAGCTCCAGGTCGCCGCCGTTAAGGCGCCCGGCTTTGGTGACAACCGCAAGAGCATCCTCGGCGACCTGGGCGTTCTCACCAGCGGTACTGTCTTCACCGATGAGCTCGACATCAAGCTCGAGAAGGCTACGCCAGACATGCTCGGATCTACCGGCTCCATCACCATCACCAAGGAGGACACTGTCATTCTCAACGGCGAGGGCAGCAAGGATGCAGTCACCCAGCGCTGCGAGCAGATCCGCGGCGTCATGAGCGACCCAAGCACTTCCGACTACGAGAAGGAGAAGCTTCAAGAGCGTCTTGCTAAGCTCTCTGGCGGTGTTGCCGTCATCAAGGTGGGTGGCGCCTCGGAGGTTGAGGTCGGCGAGAAGAAGGATCGCATGGTTGACGCTCTCAACGCTACTCGTGCTGCCGTCGAGGAGGGTATTGTGCCTGGTGGTGGCACTGCGCTCCTCAAGGCTGCCGCCAACGCGCTCGACAACGTCAAGGCTGCCAACTTCGACCAGCAACTCGGTGTTTCAATTGTCAAGTCTGCCATCACCCGCCCCGCCAGGATGATTGTCGAGAACGCCGGTACTGAGGGCTCAGTTGTCGTTGGCAAGCTCATGGACGAGTTCGGCAAGGACTTTAACAAGGGCTTCGACAGTCAGAAGGGCGAGTACGTCGACATGATCTCCTCGGGTATCCTGGATCCTCTCAAGGTCGTACGGACAGCACTCATGGACGCCTCCGGTGTGGCCTCCCTTCTGGGTACGACTGAGGTCGCAATCGTCGAGGCACCAGAAGAGAAGGGCCCCCCAATGGGCGGGGCAGGTGGCATGGGCGGCATGGGAGGAATGGGAGGCATGGGCGGCGGCATGTTCTAAGGGAGCAGTAACCTGGACTTGCCTCTCGAACTTCCTCCTTGGACCACACCTTGATACCCATCCGGACTCTTTCTGGCTCCCACGCCCTGTACAAAGCTAGGACTTCCTCTTCGGCCTTGTCGTTTTGCAAGCGAAAAAGCATACAACTCCACTCTTCACTCCTGCATGGCGAAGCGTTTTCATGGGCACTACGTGGCTGTGGTGATGGAAATACAAGTGTAACATTGTAACATAGTGTCTAGATAGCGTTGACAAGTCGGATTGAAAGCAAACGTCCTCTTCAGCTTTGTCTTGTCCTGGTCGTTGTCTTGCCATTTCGTGCTTGGCTGGTGCACAAACGTCTCGATGAAGGATTGGCCTCGACTTCCACCACTCTCCACCGATGCACACTATACCGAGCCCAGCACCAGTTCTTGTGCTTTGGCAATGCCTAGGCCTGGGTGAGTGGATACTGCTCGATTACTGCCCCACGTGCTCACGAGGTAGCATCGCGAGCTGCTCTGTCGCCGACCAACCGAGAACGGCATCGGACGCAGGTACAGCTACCGCAAGATGCATTTCTTCTTGAGCTCATTGCGTGCTTGCTCTTTCTTCACTGTCTTACCATAGCACTTCATCTCCTGCTACTAACGCCAACAGCCATCAAGGCGTATATGCTCATCGCTGGCAAACATGAGCGCATCAGCGGATTCAAACGCAAACGCTGGAAAGCGGCCCAACTTCCTCGTCATCGTCGCGGATGACCTGGGCTTCTCGGATCTAGGATGCTTCGGCGGCGAGATCAGGACTCCTAACCTCGACAGACTCGCCAGCAATGGTTTGCGTTTCACGGACTTCCATGCTGCGGCTGCTTGCTCGCCTTCTCGGGCTATGATCTTGACGGGGACGGATCACCATATTGCTGGACTTGGGAACTTGATCGAGTGGACGAATAACAGTGGGCAGAATGCTCCGAGTGAGGGGGAGCAGAAGTACTGGTCTACTGCTCCGCAGCGCGGTATGCCGGGGTACGAAGGCTATCTGAACGAGCGAGTCGTTACGCTGCCGGAGCTGTTGCACGATAATGGGTACCTGACTATGATGGCCGGGAAGTGGCATCTTGGTCTTACGCCTGAGCGGTCTCCGCGCCAGCGCGGTTTCGAGCGTAGTTTCGCTCATTTGCCTGCGTGCAGCAACCATTACGCCTACGAGCCGCAGCTGGAAGGTCGAGGAGAGGAAGACCGCATTCCGGATTTCATGACTATGAGCTTCATCGCTTTGCACAGCGAGGATGGCGAGTATGTCAGGAACCTGCCCAAGCCGTGGTATAGCAGCAACGGCTATGGGGATAAGATGCTCGGGTATCTTAAGGATAGGAAGGAGAAGGGTGATGAGAGGCCTTTCTTCGCTTACTACCCATTTACTGCTCCGCATTGGCCACTGCAGGCGCCGGATGAGTATATCGCCCACTACAAGGGCGTCTATGATGATGGCCCGGATGCTTTGCGTCAGAGGCGGCTGCAGAAGATGAAGGAGATGGGCTTGTGTCCGCAGGACGTGGAGCCTCATCCAGTCGTTGCAGATGAGGTGAAGGAATGGAAGGATATGGGTTCCGAGCAGCGGGCCAAGAGCAGCAAAGCTATGGAGGTGTTCGCCGGGATGGTTGAGTGCATTGACGCGAACGTTGGCAAAGTTGTGTCTTACCTCGAGGAGACCGGCGAGTTGGATAATACGTTGGTATGCTTCATGAGCGATAATGGGGCAGAGGGTGCGGCGTACGAGGCCTATCCGATTGTCCAGGGGCAGATGATGCAGCATCTGAAGAAGTACTACGACAACTCGCTGGACAATCTGGGGAGAGGCAACAGCTTTATCTGGTATGGACCGAGATGGTGAGTACAGCGACTTGAAGGTGCGTGGTAGATATTGAGGATGGTACTGACTTCTCTCATAGGGCCCAAGCAGCCACTGCTCCCAGCAGACTATTCAAAGCTTTCACCACCGAAGGCGGCGTGCGTGTCCCTTTCCTCGCAAAGTTCCCCAAGGACACCAATGTCAAGCCGTCTTCCGACGCCGTCACGTCTGGACCAGTCGGCTCCGCCAGCGGCAAGGCCAACATCACCAACTCCTTCAGCACAGTCATGGATCTCGCTCCGACCATCCTCGAAATGGCCGGCATCAAACACCCAGCTCCGACCTACCAATCCCGCGATGTCGTTTCCATGCGCGGTAGCAGCATGCTCCCCTTCCTCTCCGGCCAGTCCTCTTCAGTCCACCCAGCAGACCATATCACCGGGTGGGAGACCTGCGGCCGTGCAGCGGTGCGCTGTGGCGACTACAAGATCGTCTTCATCCCCAAGCCCAAGGGGCCGGAGAAGTGGCAGATGTACAACCTCGCGAAGGATCCGGGTGAGGTGCATGATCTGGCAGAGCAGGACCCGCAGAGGCTGGAGCGGATGATAAAGATGTGGGATCAGTATGTTCTGGAGACCGGTGTGATTCCACTGGCGCCAGCGCTGGGTAATTGGATCGCGGCGATGGAGGAGCAGATGCCGGAGGATGCTTGGATGGAGTATGAGTACTGGTAAGTTCTGAGGTCAGGCGTACTTGTATTGGCAGCTACTGATATTTCTTTGTGCTTCAGGAAGGACGGTGCTCGCGAAGATCCAAAGGCTTTCACGAAGGACATTCCTAGGTTCACGCGGACTGTCAAGGCGATGTGAGGGTGGGCAAGCTCAGTTCATCTCAGCTGACGATGAAGGCAAAACGGGGTAGTCTTTGATTCCACGTTCACGATACATCCAAATAGACGGGGCGTATGGTTGGTACACGTATTCACAGAGGAAACATCGAAGTCTTGCGCATGTTTGACTCGTCCTCTCTATTGAACTTCTTCGGTGCAAGCATTATCTTCCCGAACCCCAATCACTTATCATCCAATCTGACCATATAGCTGATCATCGTTGCTTCCATAATCATCTGGACCGGTGTATCGCGTCAGCCGTCAGCACACCATCAGCTGAAAACGTGCAATGCTCGCCCATTACGGCCCACATTTCAGATCACGCCCGGCGCGCAACTTGGAAGTTGCGAGCACCAAGACAAGAGACATCGCTTTCGCGACGACCACTGGCTCAACTCCTGGTTTTGTCCGAGAGGCCTGCAGGATTGTTGGAACCATTGGATCATTCGTAATAATCGGACAGTCACCAGTCTGATATGAATACAAACGCGCCAGCCTTGACTCCCCATTTAGCGTCCACTCTCTCCTCGCTTCTGAACTGCCAGGACAGCGACAGGTAGACGCCGTGATGGAGATCCCGCAGTCGCGCCTCACGCTCTCAGCTGCGGCAGTAGTTTTAGGTGTGCTATTGATACGGCTCCTCGTTCGAGGTTATCGTGTCCGGCGGCTGCTACACTCTTTGGTATGTACAACACAGCGCAGTGAGCGCGTGAACGGAATATCAGCTCACATGTGCACCATCAGCCCGGCCCACCACATTCATGGATATGGGGTCACCTCCAGATAATGGGTGAGGCGATGACAGAAGTGCCTGCCCGGGCACATCCTCATGGTGATTCCCTGCCTACACTATATACCATAGGGCCCTGCGTACCGCTAACACTACCCAGCCCTGCCTCTCCGCATCGCCAAAAAGTACAACATTTCCAACAAGTACTTCTACATGGACGTCTGGCCCTTTCAAGCACCCATCCTGTATGTATTCGACCCTGCGCTCTCGCAGCAAGTCACGCAGGAGCACAGCCTACCCAAATTCGAAGGCCTCAAACCGTTCATGATCCATCTCGCTGGGCCCGGTGATATGGTGTCCAGCGATGGAGCGCACTGGAAGAAATGGCGGAGTATCTTCAACCCTGGGTTTGCTGCGAGCCATCTCATGACGCTTGCGCCGTTTATTGTGGACAAGGCGACGATTTTCACGCAAAGGCTCACCGGTCGTGCGGAGAGGGGAGAGGTGTTCAGATTGGAGGAGGATGCCACCAGACTGACTGTGGACATCATTGGCAAACTTACTCTGGATCTCGAGCTCGACACGCAGGAGAGTGAGAACGAGATGGTGACTGCGTTCCGGGATCAGGTGCACCTGCTTCCGAACGGTGGACCGCTAGAAGTCTTGAAGATGTGGCAGCCAACGGGAATCTGGAAGCGGTGGAGGAATGGCCGTATCATGCGTTCGTATATTGGGAATGTGCTGGACCAGAGGTTCGCCAAAGAAGCGCAAACGGCCAATGGGTCCGCTGGTGGTAAGAAGCAGCGCAAGCGTGCTATTCTTGATCTTGCTCTGGAAGGGTATAAATCGCAGCAGGAGGTTGGCGGCCAGTTTAAAGCGTCTGCTGGTATGGACACCGAGTTTAGAGAAGCAGCGATCGCTCAGATCCGTACCTTCATCTTCGCCGGCCACGACACCACCAGCTCGACAATCTGCTACGCAACGTACATGCTGCAAAAGAACCCGGACTGCCTCGCGAAGATCCGCAAGGAGCATGATGACATCCTTGGGCCCCTCGAATCGACACCAGAAGCCATCAAGAACGACCCTCACGTACTCAACAAGCTGGAATACACCTTAGCAGTCATCCGCGAGACGCTCCGGATGTGGCCTGCAGCATCGTCCACACGAACCGGAGAAGCGGGCTACACGGTCCGCGACCCCAAGACTGGGGAAGCGCTGCCGTCAGAAGACATGCTGGTCTGGGTGGTGCATTTCGCGCAGCATCGCCATCCGGATATTTGGGGTAATGATGCACATGAGTTTCACCCGGAGCGGTTCTTGCCTGAGAATGTTGGAAAGCTTCCTGAAGGTGCTTGGAGGCCGTTTGAGAGGGGGCCAAGGAATTGCATTGGACAGGATCTTGCGTTGCTTGAGACGAAGATGTGAGTACAGCAGCTGTCAGCTGTGATGTGGAAGGTTGGGCCTTGCTGACATTGATTGTGCAATGCAGTATATTAGCATTGGTTCTGCGCCGTTTCTCGTTCAAGCCAGCATTCGACTCGCTGGAAGAGCTGAAGAATGATGGTTCTTACTACTCGAAGGAGGAAGACTGGAAGAAAGGAAAGCAGGACATTGATGTGAGCTCACCGATAAATTACGCTTGGTACTTTCACTGACAGTTGTCGTAGGAAGAGGAGGCCTACCAGATTCTTCTCGGCGCGGCGAAGCCACGAGAAGGCATGCCGATGCGCGTGAAGGAGATGTTGTAGAACGTCTGGATGCGTGAGAAGCTCTCGTCGACACCATACCGGTGGCTGTAGTCGCGTGGTTATTAGCACACTCTCCGAAGAGTAAATGGTAACAACGCCTCATCACCTCGCTTCATTTCCCCAAGACTCACCTGCCGCTGCCCACCTCCGCCTCCGGTAGTAAGCACGAGTAATTAGACGCCACAGTGAGCCAATGTCGTTGCAACAGCCTGCAGACTTTGCAGGCACACTTGCTGGGTCATCGGACGCCTTGACCGAGAAACCTCGATCTAATAAGCTGGTAACGAGCCGTTCGGTCAGCCGACGTCCAAATTCGCGCATGTGGTCCCGATGGCGCTGAATCGCAGGATCCGCGGTCTTCCTGCGAGGTTGGTGCGTGACCGCGCCGCCCGGTAGTGGTGTGGACGTGCTTGGCCTGGAATTTCGCGATGGCTTTGATGAATCATGGGAGTCGCGACCTGTCCAATTCGGAACTCTCACTGGAATGATTTAAGATGACGAAAATTTGAATTATTCGAGACCGCACACCAGACTCTTCCTTGCAAACTCGATCGACTTCGGTCAGGGCAGAGCGGACGAGCCGTCCCCGAGCTTCGATGATCTGCAGCACTTTGTGGAGGGCTGGAGGTCTGTCCGGAGCAGACGCGGGCAGACCTGTGGTCGCCGGCGTGGCCGCGCCGTGCACCCGTGGCTGGGAAGTGCTCTGCGTCAACAAACGCATTGTGGAGCCATTCGTCGCCGACTGTCCATCTTTTGATTGCTCCATCTCTGCAGACGCCAGGGTTGCATCGACTCACGGACGTGTCCTTCTAGCGTGCTTCTAGACTCCCACATCTCCACCGATGGGGGCCCCGCCAGTAAGCCGCCACCTGCCCCGTACGTTGCTACTGTCACATGCGCGCGAGGATTTTCTCCTCATCTCGATGGTGCTGCTGGCGTCGGCCACACCTCCTGATGGGGCGTGATGTATGATTGAAGGATCAAATGGTGAGATGGCTACCTACGCGCCGACGAGAGGGTAGCAGATGCTTCGACCGGGGTGGTCGGGTGGGCGTCCCTCGGCGTGCGACACAAGCTGGAAGAGGTAGGCCATCTCGATTCGATCTTCCACCACGACATTCGGCGGCGAGGATTGGTGCTCGTGTGGTTCATCTCGGCACGTCCAGCCTGTAGCATTTGTCACGGGCGTTGTTCGGTATAACGAGGGAGAAAAAGTTTGTCGCTATTGGGTGTCCACAAAACACGCGATCACGCGTGCTCCGATCCCACAAAAGAACAAACAAATGATGGGGCAAATACAGCGCATTGGACGGATCGGGCGTGCTTATACCGAGGTGATGAGCTCGTGAGCGTGCAAAATCATCTCTCTAAAACTAGTGCTAGGGGGTGGTAGTAGCGTGGTAGTGTCGGGAATGGGCATGGTTGTCGGGGTGCTGGCATTCCGGTTGTGGGCGTCGAACGATTTGCTGCGTGGCAACCGCCCAACAACCCGAAGGTGTCACCTCGAACTGACACCTCCCGCCGCCTCTGTAGGTGCCATCTGCTGGCCACGATTCGCTTAAGCTGGGAGCGCTCGACTTTCGCCAGGCTAGGGCGAGCTGGGGAGCCAGCAAATGCACGTCGTGTTGCGGGTTGTCCAATAGAGTCGAGCCGCTTCGAGACTCTGGTCTGCAGAAGCTCGGACCAGTACGCTAAGGTTAGTGCAGCGCCGAGGCTTTTGCGGGGACGCGAAGGAGATGCGCCTGCTTTAATAAATGCTTGGTGTTTCGCCGTGTTGTTGTCGCGGGTCTCCCAGTCTTCTTCTCAGTCTGCTATTCTCTCCCTCCCGAGCACCTCATCCTCCTGCATCTTCACTTGACCCCTCCTACTCCCATCTGAGAAAGCTCCGCAACCATGCCTGGCAGTGCGCTTGCGGCGACCAGCGACGTTGGGCGCATTGAGGCCCCCGTCACCTGGAAGGCCTACCTGCTGTGCGCGTTCGCCTCCTTCGGTGGTATCTTCTTCGGATACGACTCCGGGTACATCAACGGTGTCAACGGTGTCCAGCCGTTCATCAACTCCGTCGAAGGTCTCAAGCCCAATGGCAACGAATACGCAGCCCTCACCCCGCCACACCAGTCCCTCATCGTGTCCATTCTCTCCTGCGGAACCTTCTTCGGCGCGATAATTGCTGGCGATGTTTCGGATATCATTGGTCGCAAATGGACCATCATCGCCGGCTGCGGGATTTACATCGTCGGTAAGTCTTGGACACATGTAGAGCCCAGGGCCGTCACTAACCACGAATGCAGGTGTGATCCTTCAAATGGCGCAAACGAGCGGTCTTGGCCTCATTGTCTCCGGTCGTCTCATCGCTGGACTCGGTGTCGGTTTCGAGTCTGCCATCGTCATCCTGTACATGTCAGAGATTTGCCCCCGCAAGGTTCGAGGTGCTCTTGTCGCCGGCTACCAATTCTGCATCACCATCGGTCTCCTGCTCGCGTCTTGCGTCGACTACGCTGTTGTTGACCGTCAAGACACTGGCGCCTACCGCATCCCGATCGCCATCCAGTTCCTCTGGGGCCTGATTCTTGGCGGCGGTCTGCTGTTCCTCCCCGACTCCCCCCGTTTCTTCGTCAAGCGTGGACGCGTCGAGAAGGCCCGCAGTGCTCTCGCTAGGCTCCGTGGCCAGCCGCAGGAGTCGGAATACGTCGAGGCTGAGCTTGCCGAAATCATTGCCAACGAGGAGTACGAGCGCTCGCTGATCCCGGCTGGTGGCTGGTTGAACGGGTGGATGAACTGCTTCCGCGGCTCTCTCTGGAAGTCCAACTCCAACCTCCGCAAGACCATTCTGGGTACCTCCCTCCAGATGATGCAGCAGTGGACAGGTGTCAACTTCATCTTCTACTACTCGACTCCTTTCCTGGCATCCACCGGCGCCATCAGCAACACTTTCTTGATTTCGCTTATCTTCACCCTGGTCAATGTGTGCTCGACCCCGATCTCCTTCTACACCGTTGAGAAGCTCGGCCGTCGTCCACTCCTCCTTTGGGGCGCCCTTGGCATGTTGATCTGCCAGTTCCTTGTTGCCATCATCGGCGATACGGTCGGCTTCAACCACATCCACTTCCTCAACGGCGACCCGGACCAACCCCGAGCCGACAACATTGCTGCCGTCAACGCCCAGATTGCGTTCATCGCCATCTTTATCTTCTTCTTCGCCAGCACTTGGGGCCCTGGTGCCTGGATCGTCATTGGCGAGATCTTCCCTCTGCCCATCCGCTCGCGTGGTGTCGCTCTCTCCACTGCGTCCAACTGGCTGTGGAACACCATCATCGCCGTCATTACACCATACATGGTCGGCGAAACCGAGGGCAACCTTCGATCGAACGTGTTCTTCGTGTGGGGCGCTCTGTGCACGTTCGCTTTCATCTACTCTTACTTCCTCATCCCCGAGACCAAGGTATGTTCAGCCATCGTCTATCAGATCATTCACCTTTGCTAACAAGCATCCCAGGGCCTGTCGCTCGAGCAAGTCGACAAGATGATGGAGGAGACCACCCCCCGCACCTCCGCCAAGTGGAAGCCAACCACCACCTTCGCGTCCGAGATGGGCATCAAGGAGGGCGGCAAGCTCGACGGAGAGGTCACGGCCGATGCCGAGCGCAAGGGTTCCATCTTCTAGATGGTCTTCCTGTCATTGACATCGAAAGAGCGTTGCATGCGGTTGCTTGTTGCACTCACAAGGGAGCCGAAAGATGTTTCTTAGTCAAGAGACAACTTGGGCACGACAATTCCTTGCGGAGGCAGGAGGTAGCTGGCTGTTGCATAGTCTGTTTGTAGTGTGCGAGAACCAATGGTTTTATAATACTGTGCTTTCCTCGGGCTTTCTTCTTCTGGCGCGTTGTGACTTTAACCGGTTGCATGTGGCTTTGATTATCCGGATACCAGTTGAGACAGGCGTGTGCTTGAATATTTGCGCCAATGAATGGGTGGAATCACGGTAGAACTCGTTGTTGTGAGCCCATGGCGTCTGAGTCGGTCTGGAGAAGTGGTCTGGAAGCTGGCAAGGGTGGTTCACGACGCCAGCAACCTCGGTTACGGTCGTAGGCTCATAGAAGGCTTGTGTAGCTCACAACCGGCACACGTAATTGTATCCGATACCGATGCTGGTCCTTCGAACCTGTTCGTTCACCTTGGGCCAATAGAGCTGAGGTCAAGACAGAGTGTTGAGAAGGTGAGGTTGGAATAGAGCATGAAGCTTGGCAATCACTTCACCTGCTGGACGATCTCGAGACACGGAGCGCCCTACGTTGCCTATCATCTAGCAAACATTGTCCTTCGCGCCATCACAACCGGCGTAGAGCTGCACTCACCCGCTCCCCGTCCCACCTTACCCACCGCATGACTGACATCCCAGTCACACACCACCCCTCCGTGCGTCGTTCCAGCGGCAGCAGGCCTCAAACGTGACACCCCTTCCCCCAAAGATATCCAGCGCACTGCCAATCGTGAGATCAACTTTACCGCCACTCAGCCGCTCGACGAGCTCCAAGTCCTCGATGCTGCGTCCGCCCCCGGCGTAGGTGACGGGAACAGAGCAGATTTCCGCCAGCAGGCTGACGAGGTCTTCGTCGATGCCGGCTTGGAGGCCTTCGGCGTCGGCGGCGTGGATGAGGAATTCGCTGCAGTAGGGTTCGAGGAGGGCGATATTTTCTGGGGGAGGGTTAGTGGGGTTCGGTCGGTAGGAGGAAGGGTATTGCCCACCGCGGTTGATTTCGAAGCTGGTGATGGTCTGCCATCTATCCATTGCCACGCGCCAGCCGTCGCCGACTCGACGGCAGCTGAGGTCTATGACCAGTTTCCTACTGTCGCCGGATAGGGCGTCGAGGACGGATTGGAGACGGTCTTGAGAGAAGATGCCGGATGGGAAGAGGAAGGATGTTATGATGACCTACTGCTCTACATTAGCCTACAAATTTATAAACATGTCGATATGTGGAAGAGCGCACCTTCTCCGCCCCAGCATCTATCCACGTCTTCGCGTTACCGTCTTTGATGCCGCCACCTACTTGCATGCCACCTGGCCAGGCCGAGAGTGCTTCGCGAGCGGCTTCATCGTTGCCTGGCCCTAGCATAATTACATGGCCGCCCGTGAGACTGTGTTTTTCATACAAGGAGGCATAGTACGCTGCCGGGTGCTCGGACGTGAAATTCGTCTTAAGGCCAGCAACGTCTGTTGTCAAAGTGCCACCCACAATCTGCTTCACCGAGCCTGAGTGGAGATCTATACAAGGCCGAAACTTTGTCATGTTGTTGTGTAGGTACATGTAGTCAAAAGAGGACGAGGGAGAGGCCGTGTTCCTGACCTTGAACTCACTTGCCCTGTGCAGATCATCGAAAGTCTAAAGTTTTGGCTCCCCTGCTTGGCATGACCTTGAGTGCATGTTCCTTCTCTTCACCAGCACAATCTTGAAAGCATGGCAGCGTCTTCAGGGAAGCGAAAGAGGGACAACAGCAATGACGATTCCGAAGATGAGGGTGCCCTCCGCGCGCGCTTTCAGAAGGCGTTCGAAGCCAAATTCCGGCCTCTAGACATCAAGAAGCCTTCGCCACCACCAGAACCGGATGAAGACGACCATGAGGACGACGAAGAATCGGAAGCATCAGATTGGGAAGGCCTTTCTGATGACGAGCGGGAGGTGGAAGTGATACAGCACGGCAGTGCGCGAAGTCCCGACGCTATGGCGATCGAAAGAGAGAAGAAGGCATTCATGGTTGGCGAATATCACCTCTTCCTATATTTCCAAAGCTAACAGTATAGCAGTCATCCAGACCACCGACCTCAAAGGACAGCTCTAGGAGGGAACCGCCGGTCAAAAAGGATGCAGTTGTCGAAGACACAGAAGAGGCGGCGAATCTCCAGCATGACCTCGCCCTCCAACGATTACTAAAAGAATCACATCTGCTCGACCGGAACTCATCCACCGCGGCCAACACCAATGTCGAAGGCAAAGGACGACTCAAAGCTCTCGACCTCCGGCTAAAGGACCTTGGTGCTAAAGCACCTATTTCAGCGCAGGAGAAGATGCCTCTGGCCCACCGCAAAGGCATCACCGCAAAATCTGCTGACCGGGAAGGTAAGCGGCGGCGGGAGGCGGCGGACAGCGGAATCGTGCTAGAGAAAGCGAAGTTTGCGTCAAAGTACTCTAAGCCAAGGGAGAAGAGTGTTGGAGGGCCTACTGTTGGCAAGTTCAAGGGCGGAACGCTGAGTCTGGGGAAGAGCGATCTAAGGGCGATCCAAGGGCCGAAGAGAGGCGGTGGTGGGAGGAGGGGAGGGAAAAGATGAGCTGGTGTTTGGAGAGTTGCTGCAGACGAGCTTTGACAGATGACGAGCGATGACCTCCACTTCATCGAGGCACCAACGGCAACGCCGGCAGCTGATCCACACGTACCCTTCCAGGAGCGTAGCTGAGCAGTGCAGCAGAACTTTCACCATACGCTGAACGATCACAATCGTGCCAAACGATAGAGCAGCAGGTCTACCCTGCGACTGCGATTCAATGGGCCAGTGTGTCGGCGATAGATTGCTTCGATGCAGAATGAGCCACCTCAGGGTCTGTGGACAGAGACTGTGAAGGCTGGGACTGTACATCCTCCGGTCGAAGCGGCACCATCAGCATTGGTTGGAGGACTCAAAAATACTGTGCTGTGGTTGTTGAGCATTGCACGACTCATATTCTAAGGCGCCTTGACCACTTGTTTCAAGCAGCTTTCTAAACATTTAGAACAACCTAAGTTGGCCTTATGCTCACCTGTTATGTTTTGCGCAAACATATATGCTGTGTGCTGTATGTTTTGTAATTCACTTTCCAGCCAATGACGCTGCCATGCCCACTACTCTAGTCATGCGGTGACTTATGTAGAGTCTATGCATGGTGTTCATATACTCGAAACAAAGCGCAGCGCCTGGACTGATCGCGCGCGAGGATTGCTCGGATGCTGTGGTTGATGATGTGCCGGTCCGAAGGCTGCGGTTGTGGGGAGGATCTGCGTGCTATTGTGTGGTTGTATTTCTCTATCCTGAATATGTAGGTACATACATCAGCTCTGGCTTGGGTGAAGTAGCCTCGCTTCGCCAATTCGCAAACTGGATTGGACAGCGACGTAGAATAGGAGAATCCCTTCCGACCATGCCGAAGGTACAGCGAAGACACGATAGGACAGGGAAGGATATACTGCCGCATACCTACCTCAAGAAAGTCTAGGCCATCAATGCCGTAGTGTCCGAGAGCGTGGTGTCTGAAGTCTTGCGTTTGCGTTTCAGGTATCCTCCGCGCGATCTACAAGGCTACTTTCTCCGGGAGATGGCGTCAAAGTCGCCGGGTTGCGAGTATCAGAGTGGAACAGCTTCCAGTAGTTCCAATGCCGCTGTGCAGGCCGACCGAGGATGTATCTCTTACGAGACCGTCTGAATTGGGAGTCTTGCTTCCGGACTCTTGAGCCGGGCTTAGTAGGAAATGAGGCGTCTTGCTAATCAATGAACAAGCTACGGCGCTGAAAGACTGGAAGCAGCGAGCGGGCCGGTCTTTTAGCAATCTCTGGACCTATAGCAGAATGCTGGGTTTGTATAGCCTGAAACGCGAGTCAAGGTGTGGTCGTTCTGTGCAAATCTGAAGTCGTCCTGGAAGCGGGGCTGGCGGCCAGAGGTGGAAATCGTTTCAGATTGTGCAGGAACAAGAAAAGCATGCAGGTACCGGATAGCTGCTGTATAGGCGTAGAGGTGGCAGGCATGCAACCTGCTCTGCCGGCCTATCAAGCCTATTCTGACTGCAGCGAGGAGCGTGATTGTGCATGAAGGCTAGATCGAATGGCAATGCTGCTGCCACCGTTTGCCGTGTCCAGCGGTCAACACGCTCTGTGAGCGCCCGAGAGTCGTGTCCAACCGGTGCTTGACCGTAAGTTTCTGGGCGAAGCGCTGGGGGTTGAAGCGCCGTCCACCGCACTGTCGTCCGAACACTACTCATGCTGCATTCTTGGACATTCTGCGATCATGTCGCCGGATCTCCGCTCGAAGCAGAGCGCCTTGAGCGCACATGGCACCGTTGGCCTTTGCTCGCTGATCGCAAAGCTTGCAAGCGATCCCGTGCAGGGGATATTTAGCTTGAAAACGAGCCTGCCGAGTAATGGCACAGCGGTCTTGGTCCGGACATGGGCAAGTGCAGACGGCGGGCGCTGCCATGTTCAAGCCTCTCCGCGGTATTGAGATTGCGGTGGGTCCGCTGTGCTGTGCACCATCTCTTCATGCCAGCGCTTTGGTGGGAGTTGAGGAACGACGCTGGGCGGCTGCAAGAGAGCGGACAGCAAACCGCAGAGTCGGCCGGGTTGACTTGGCCAGCGAGCACAGGAGCAAGAGAAGTGGAAGATCCCTGCGTAGCTCGAAGCAGTCTATTCCAGTCTCGCAATTGGCGCTAACGAGAGGTGTGAAACGTCCACGTCCGCCCCCTCAAGTTTCACGTCCTTTCCCACATCCACCCAACTCCAGCCCAAACCTCATTGTCGATACCTCACCATTGTCTATACAACGACCTTCAATTGCACCCGCGAGCCGGTCTCGCCACAATACCCTTTCTCACACCTCCTCCATCTGCCGCCCACAGTCGCTACCGCATACCAACCCACCTCCCATCCCTCCCTCCTGCCCCCGACCGCGTGCGACACTGGTGGTTGCACCGATCGCCCACCATCTTCTCCGTTTGAGATTGAGGCTTGCCTCATACTCTGATCCCAAACATCGCACATCTTACCTTACTCTCGGCCCGCAACGTCTGCAGCGCACCGTCGCCCGAGATCATCATGTATCCCAACCACCAGCATCCGGCAATGCCACCACCCCAGCAGCGCTCCGTCGCGCCAGAGACCTTTCTGCTGGCCGAGGATGCGCAACAGAGCTTGCCGGCAGACTCTGTTGTCGCATTGCAGCAGGTCGACAACCGTACGTATCATGCACGACCGGCTGCCAGCGTAAACAAACGCGCGGGCACCTACAGTGTACGCGACGCTGACATCTCATGCAGTCAAGTATTTCCTCATTTCAGCGCCCGTGGACTGGAGCCAGGACCAGTACATCAGACGGTTTCTCCTACCTACTGGCGAATATGTGTCTTGTGTGCTATGGTACGTACGAAGCAAGCCCACATCCCGCGCCTATCACTTACAGCAAACAGGAACAACCTCTTCCACATCTCTGGCACCGACATCGTCCGGTGTCTGGCCTTCCGTTTCCAAGCCTTTGGCCGCCCGGTCAAGAACTCCAAGAAGTTCGAAGAAGGCATATTCTCCGACCTTCGCAACCTCAAGTCCGGCACCGATGCCTCGCTTGAGGAGCCCAAGAGTCCGTTTCTAGACTTTCTCTACAAGAACAACTGCATCCGCACGCAGAAGAAGCAGAAGGTGTTCTACTGGTATAGCGTACCGCACGACCGCCTCTTCCTCGATGCGCTGGAACGCGATCTGAAGCGGGAGAAGATGGGACAAGAGGCGACCACCGTGGCAGTGAACGAGCCGGCACTGTCCTTCGAATTCGACTCTTCTCAATCCCTCTTCGAGCAGCTCACGAAGGCGCAACAGAACAACCAATCGACGTTCAACGGCGGCCAGTCGTCGTCTATGCCGCCGTCCCATTCGACGTCACCCGTCCTCCGGGCGCAGGACTCTATGCCCCCACCACAGATGATACCACAACAGCAACATCAACACATGCCGCAAACCACGATGTCGCAGGCGCCCATGCCTCAACACAGTATGCCACCAGTCATGCACAATGATTCGCTGACTCATGTGCCAACTTACTCTCAGATGGCGATGCCTCCTATGCCTTCTCAGATCCAGAGAACGCGTGAGCACTCCGTTAACCCGGTCTTTGATCGCAATGGCGTTCCGCTGTCGCAAGTTGCGCATCGTCACAGCTCAATGCCTGCATACATGGAGTACTCACCAGCGCCGTCTTTCGTCTCCTCGCACTTCGAGGACTACAGTCAGCGAGGCATGTCGTTTGAGCCAGTCACGCCCCCGCAGCATATGCCGACGGGCCATGAGCCGGCATACATTGCCAACGAGGACACTGGCCTGTACACTGCTCTCCCTGACGTCGGTCTACAGCAACCTTTCAACCCTCTCATGTCTGTGCCACCACATCTGGCCGGCGCGCACTATCCGTCGATGGCGCGCAACTACCAGCCTCAGCAAGTCTATTCGGTTCTTGAAGGCTCGCCAACCTACAAGCAAAGGCGTCGGCGGTCTTCACTCACGGCGGGCCATCATGCGGCTGGCGTGACCGGCGCAGGTAGCGTCACTGCTCACGCAGTCCACCGACCAAGCGATCTGCGCCGCTCGATGTCCAGCTCCGTTGTGCCTCAAGCTATCCCGGAGGCTCAAGAGGTCACCTACAACGACTCCCCAGCGAGCATGCATACTCCACATCATCCCAACCAGATCATGGGCGACCACAAGGAGCTTATGAATCTGTCTCGTCATGGTACCCCACTGGGAGCTGTGGAAGGCGCACACGAAGACTCTCATGCCCTTCGCATGCCACCTCAGATGACCGAAGACTACGGCGCGTATACCTCCAGCCCCACGCAGGACTACCGCGGTGCATCACTCCAGCATCATGCTGTCCAGCGCACTGCGAACGGTGTCTTCAGGAGAGCGCGTAGTGCCACCGCCAGCGAGCTTGGTCCGTACCCGACAAAGAGCCACTCCTGCCCAATCCCAATGTGCGGGCGTCTGTTCAAGCGTTTAGAGCACCTCAAGCGCCATGTGCGGACGCATACGCAGGAACGCCCATACATCTGCCAGCTCTGCAGCAAGGCATTCTCGCGCTCCGACAACCTCGCACAGCACCGTCGCACGCACGAGACCAATCCCGACGGGCACGCGCCTTCTGAGGAGGAGATCGAAGAGGAGCGCGAAGCTCTCAACGACCTCGACGACGCGGGTGATGATGAGGTCAACTACCTCGATGTCGGCGCTGACATGTCATCACACCTCCCAACGCACGTCGACATGCGCAGCATCACCCGCAATGACATGCCTCCACCTCACATGATCTCGGCTGGTGACTACCGGTAGTCGGTGCACTTTGCAGTACATGCTCTGGTCCTTCTGGACATTTTCGACGAATGTGTTAGAATACAGCAGGTCGCCGGTCTCGCGACTTGCCACTTATCTCCTTGACTTTCTGGACGATGGTTTTCGAAGCTGCACGCTTCGAGAGAGGCGGGCGGTTTGGGGCTTTGACGACGTGAATGATACCAGTTTTCCTTTTGTGTTGAAAGTTACCTTGCATTTGGTACCTTTAGAAGAAGAGTTGTTGTGCGAACTAGCGTAGGCGATGGAAGGGTTTTGAGACAGTCCACAGAACAGATTTACCAGCGCATTCAGAATTATTATTCTACCAATCTCATATTCGTCCGGCCCAAATACCTTCAGAGTAAGCACGTGACCCAGTAACGCGCTAGCTCGATTCCGACCTCCCGCGCCAACTTCCATGAGCGAGACCCTCTGCCATGCGGCACTAGCATCTGCTGTCCTACCTTCAATTCCTTCTCTTCAGACACGTTTTGCGCTGCAAGTTCTTGGGACACTTTCGTCTGTGATATTGGGACCTTGATCTTTTCGACTTTTCACCGCCGGCGATTGCGCAGTGTCCGGATCACTCCTTAATAGCTCCCGCGGCTCGAAACAGCTTCTACAGCACCTGCGAGGACCCCGATGCGGCGTCTTTCTTGAAGAATTGGACTCTGGAGCTCGTGATTGAGGTACGCCTGCATGGCGTACCAGCAGGGCGGAATGAATAGCGCGGGTGGACAGGGTGGAGAGCATTTGGGGCAGCCGCAGGGGACGGAGTATACGCTTCAAGGTACGTTTGCGAGTGAATAGGAGACAGTGGGCAGACGGGCGGGTGCGCAAGCGTGGAGAACCATAGGCGGGCGTGGTGGAGACGGAGGTCGGATGGCACACGATCGAGGGTAGCTAACGGACCACAGGCGTAATGCGCTTCCTACAGATCGAATGGCACAACCACGAACGCGCGCGGAATTCTTGGGCGATCGAGCGCGCGGAGATGAAGGCAAAGATTGCGAAGCAGGAGGGCGAGTGCAGGCAAGCGAAGCGGATCAATGAGCAGCTCGTCAGGCAGATCCAAATGCTGCAGAAGGCGCTGAAGTCGTCGCGGGAGCAGAACGGTGTTACTGTCAATGGGACTGGACGGGTGGCTACGCCTGATCAAGCTGCGGGAGAGAAGAGCAAGGAAGGGCATCAGAAGGTTGAACACGGGGATTTGAAAGGTGGGTCTGATTGGCGTGCTGAGGACGGGCATGAGCTGACCTTGGGCAAAGCGCTGCATCATAATTCGTTCCTCCAGACTGGAGCTGCGGAGGCGGAGACGGGCGACAAGGCGAGGGAAGAGTATCTGGACAATACGCGGAAGTACTTGAAAGAGTGCATGCAGCAGATACAGTACCTCCTGACGCCGCCTCCACACCCTCCTCCGCAAGCGCTGCCAAATGGGACGTATCAGACTGGACTTCCAGAGCCACCACCTTCTGTCGAGGACATTTATGCGAGAAACAATCAGCGATGGACGCGCCAGCAAGGCCAAGCATTACCACAAGCATCGTCGATGCCGAATCATCAGCCACCTCCGCCTCCGAACAACGTAGCTTCGGCACAAGAGCAGGCCATGTCGCGAGGTCCTAGCTACGCCGATTATCAAGCACCGTCTCACCCTCCTCCCGAATCCCGACAACAGAACACCATCGACAGCCCAGCACCGTTTGAAGACCAAGTGGAGAGCGTGACGCATACGTTCGACTCTAACGGGCGAGCAGTACCGACACCTCCAGAGCAGACGCGACAGATACGACAGCAGCCCGAAGCGGACGGTTGGACGTTCGATGATGAGCCTCCGCGATCCGAGAACGCTCCTTCTGACATGCCGGCGAAGAGACCGGATACCGATCTCTTCCCTACGGCAGCCGGCAACACCCATCTCTCGGCTAAGTCGCCACCACGGACTGGATCGATATCCCACCGAAGGAAGAGTTCTGGCTCCCAGGCTATGTCGAGAAGGAGGAGCTCGCAGGGTAAAGCTGAAGCACACGACGCTGCGGAAGCCGCTCTTGCGAACAGCGACCCGTCTCAGTTCAAGGTCAAATTCGCGTTGCGAGGCCATCTGGATGTGGTTCGGAGTGCAATCTTCAGTGGTGGCGGCAGTCCGAGCGAACCGGAAGTCTGCACTGCTGGCGACGACGGCACGATCAAGCGGTGGATCATTCCTGGACAATCGTATCAAAACTTCAACTCGGCTAGCAACACAGCTGATCTAGACGTCGCTGCCTACTTCACGCACCGAGGGCACGATGGCATTGTTACTTCGCTCTCGACATGTCCCGCGAGTACTGGATTTAGCACTGGCGGAAGGGCGAGCGGCGATGGCTGGATCTTCTCGGGTGGCCAGGATGCGACAGTGCGAGTTTGGGAGCGTGGGCGAGTGGACCCGAAGGCTACCCTGGAGGGCCATACTGATGCTGTCTGGTCGGTCTGCGTTCTGCCCGCTTCCGTTGGAGTAGTGTTCGGTCCTGAATGCGGCAACTTCGGCGGTCCAGATCGCCTGCTCTTGGTTTCTGGCTCTGCAGACGGCACCGTAAAAGTCTGGGCCGTTAGCGCGCCGCCTCAGACCTCTTCACCGTCCACTGGGAGCAGGAGAGGCGTCGGCGGCAGTCGCAGGCATAGCGTGACGAGCGGCAGCAACTTCACATCCGAACCACAGCCGAGCGTCGCCAGCAGTACGCCTTTCAGCTACACGCTTGTGCACTCGATCGAGAAGCCGATCACGAACCGCGACACCAAAGGCTCGCCGACGTCAATCTGCCCGCTTTCTGCTTCTGGCGACACATTCGTGGTCAGCTACACCGATTCCTCTGTGTTCATCTTCGATACCAGGACTGGAGAGATGTTGAGCGAGATGCAGAGTTTCGAGACGTATGATGGGACGATGGACACGAGTATCAATGCTGTCGTGGCAACGAGTTTGGGGATGGAGGGCTCGGGTCCGGCTATTGATGCTTCGCGTGGTCTGGAGGCGGAAGAGGTTGGGGCCGGTGCTACGGGGAGCAGGGAGGGTGTTGAAGGGGTGGTGATTAGCGGGCATGAGGATCGCTTTGTGCGGTTTTTTGATGCGAATAGCGGTAAGTCCTCACAACCCGGATATCATCTGCTACTGGCTACTTATACTGACATCTCATAGGTCAAGCAACCTACACCATGCTCGCCCACCCCGCCGCCATATCCGCCCTGTCCCTCTCCAAAGACGGACGCGAAGCCGTTTCCGCAGGCCACGACGCTAGCATCCGATTCTGGTCCCTCGAGAAGCGCATCTGCACGCAAGATATCGTCTCCCACCGCGCAATGCGTGGAGAAGGCGTCTGCGACGTCGCTTGGAGTCAAGACGGGAGGTTGGTGGTCAGCGCAGGTGGTGACGGGGTCGTGAAGGTGTTTGCACGATGATGTAAGAATGTTTGGGGCTTTGTGTGCGTATAGGACTACTTGTGTGTTGTAGATATGGGACGTTTGTGCGGGGCGCTGTGCTGATTTTTGCATGGACAGAGATGCGGGCATGGATGGCATTCAAGGGCGTTGCATAGCATCTTCTGTCTGGCGTTGCCGCTCGATGGAGGTGAAATAGACCAGTGTCAAGTCTACTACGCAGACAAAGTCCTTCCAATTCCACGGACACTTCAGGACGATGGCTTCCTTCCTGCACGATCCAGCGACATGTTGGACGATCTCGTGGGCCCCCTGTTCAGCCACGGTTACACGGCATTTCGGACGAAGCGTTGCTCGAGAGATTGATAGTTTTCTACCATACTTCAACGACGAACGGTATCAAGAATATGCTCGACCACCGACCGAGACTAGGAAGTGGTTACACGAACGACACTGATGCCTGGGTAAGTCATTAGGTTTTCTGGGCTATGTGATGGCTCTCACAAGTAAGCCAGATTTGTATGAGGCTCTCGTACGATTCTCCTTCATTGTCAAGCTCACATTCATATGAGCAGAACAAGGTTCTAGAACGTCACATGGGCATTGTAGCCTAGACGACCTCACTGCCCTTTTTCACCTCTTGATCTCTTTGCCATCCTTCTCTCCAACATCCATTTACGCCCACCACCACAATTTTGGAAACCGAGAACACTGATCTTCAACCATACCAAACCCAGCACAATCAGGCGTCATGTCTAACATCACCTACAACTACGAGATCGCGAAGTCTCTCACCGAGAACGAGAAGAACCGCCTCATCTGTGTCTTCCTGAACGCGCCGGCGGGCGTCGTCAGTACCTTACCTCACCCTTCATTGCATAACATGCTAACATCCCGACAGCACAACCAAGCGGACTGGAAGAAGGCAGCCGCAGAGTTCGGAAGCGCCAACGCAGACAGCATGAAGGTTTCCACGGCCACCATCTTCAAGAAGCTCAAGCAGGCTAGCGACGGCGAGACGACACCAGCCAAGCCGGCTGGCAAGAAGCGTAAGGCTGCTGGTCAGGACGGGGATGATGCTGAAGACACGCCGAAGCCGAAGAAGGGGCGCGGGAAAGGCAAAAAGGCTGCTGCGGAGACCAACGGTATTTCTAGCCTGCTTCGTTGTGTGGTCCGTGACTGTGCTGACTTATTCAAGGCAACGACTCCTCTAGCAACGAGACTCCAGTCAAGCCCGAGGTGGGTGATGATTTGTAGATGTGCTCGCCGCACGACATGAGCCGAATTGTGACGATCAAGGGAAGATGTTTCAGCGGTTTACAGGATCTTTGCAGAGGGCTGGAGTGGGCATTTGCCGCCATCTAGTTGATACACAGGATCCAGGCCTCCGGTGAGCAGCATATTCACCCAATGTCGATGGTTACATCTTTAGCAGCCACATCAAGCAATGGACTTATGCCTCATCAACCTTCTTTCCAACCTTCTCTTCACCACCGTGACTTCTGCCTCGGTACCTCTCAGCTGCGCCTCGTGACACCTTCACAAACACGCTAGTGATATCGCGACATCAACAAGAGTGTCCAGGCCTGGAATATCACGCGGGCTGTGCTCATAGAAGGTCACGTGCGTTTCATGTTCGAAGCTGCCTGCTTTACTATCAGCTTTCTGCTTCCAACCTTTTCTCTCTCATCGACATACCATCTCCCGCACAACAACTTCCCACAAGCCACCACCACTCAACCACAACACATCCACTAAGCATGTCTGAGCAACCCACCGAGCAAGCTGCTGCGCAGTCCAGCGAGCAGACTAAGAATGTCAACTTCACCGATGGCGAGAGCAAGCTCTTCGTGAGCATCGTGTCCAACCTCACCGGAGACATCCAGGTACGCCTCCGCGTTCGCCACTTTCTCTCTCCAACAGCTAACCGGTGACAGTTCGACGCCGACAAAGTCGCCGCAGAGCTCGGCTACAAGGACGGCAACATCGTCAAGACGAGATGGGGACAGATAAAACGCAAGAGGCTAACTGGTGACAACGGCCCGGCTGGCGGTATCAAGAAGCGTTCGCCGGCGAAGAAAGGCGCGAAGGCCAAGGCTGAGACCGAGGGCGAGGGTGGTGACGATGAGGAGGCTGTCAAGACCCCGAAGAAGCGCGGTCGTAAGCCGAAGGCTGCGAAGGCTGAAGAGGAGACTCCGGTCAAGGACGAGGTTGTTGATGAGGTTGCTGTGATGGAGGGCGCTGACGAGGCGGAGACCCCAAACGAGTGACAAGCGGACTGCTGCACGCATAAGAATGGCAGCTTCGACATGAGTCCGACGTTTGCGAGAAAACAGAGCCGACAGCCGTCGTGTGATGGTTTGATGTAGCCAGGCTTACTTACATGTCGCCCAGAGAGGCCAAAGATCATCTGTCAAGCATACCATGAAATGATATTTCAACAACCATTGCTCGCTTCCAGTTGTTTGGCGAGGTCATGGGCAGTTCTGCTTTCTCTCCCTTGACAGTGAAGTGATGTAGAAGAAGTGAAATTGACACGTGGACCTACCTGGATGCTTCTGGTCTCCGTTGCTGTCACAACCTGACACCTACCTACCCACCCACCCACCCACCACAAACTTCTCAATCAACCTACACTTCTCAAAACACAACACTTCGCACCCCCGCATCAAACTCAGAACAAACAACCCACCCGCCATCACCATCGTTGCTAGCCATGGCGACCACGACCCAAGTCTCCAACGAGCAGTTTCTGTTCAGCTGCATTGACCACTCCAACGGCGGAACCGTAAGTCCTCCACACGTCGAGATTTGCAGTTGCTGACACAGTACAGGTCAACTGGCAGAACGTCGCCGACGAGTGCGGGATCGTCTCCAAGGGTGCTGCGTAAGTCCATCCCTTTTAGCGCTGACAAGTACAGCCGCTCACTCCATCTAGCGCCATCAAGTACAAACGTCTCAAAGACAAGTTCGGCTCGGCTTCTGGCAAGAGTAGCGATGGCGGCGAAGGAGAAGAGGGCACCAAGACGCCAAAGAAGAAGAAGGCTGCAGACAAGACCACTTCGGCCAAGAAGGGCAGCGCGAAGAAGCGCAAGCTCAACGACGACGACGACCGGGAGGCTCAGGACTCTCCCGTCAAGGCGGAGAAGGAGGAGAGTGTGAGTATTCTGACCTTGAATTTATGAACTTCTACTGACCGAGATCAGGACATCTGAGATTCCTCCGAGGACGTGAATGTGAGTATCCATCAGTTCTTCCTCCTGTACTTGCGATGAAATGGCGGCGGCATGGCTGGCATCGAAATCATGAGAATGGAAGGAACAGGGAGCTGGACAGTTGACAGGTTGGGATGAAGTGAAGTGTCCAGCTGCCAAGAGCGCCGTCGGAGGTGTGCCGACCTCACGTCTCGCGGTCTTTCACATGCACGCGTCCGTAGAACCAACTCCATCCACGATTCACACAAGCCCACATTATCCTCATTCCCGCCGACTGCTCGCTGAAAGAATGTGTCGGTACCTCAGGCTGCGCCTTGGGTAGACTGGCCGTTACAATGTCACCATCCCGCAAGGCTATCAATACCCTCCTCCTCGACGATAAATCGCAGAACATCACAGCTCGCATGGTCGAGAGAGAGGACGTACAATCGCTCTGGAGAGTAGAACGCGGGCGATGATACAGCAGTCCTTGTCGCGACGATCCCTAATGCTTATGCTCTCGAGAGATGTGGCCAGTGTAGCGGCCCAGTTGGCGACTTCACTTTTCGTGTATGCGTGACACGTTGGTCTCGTGACCTCTTGGTGATACTTTCTAACCTCCACTCTGTATTCAACTCTCACTCCACTATCACTGCTTCAACTTCACTCTCACGTTCACCATAACTTCCGAGAAACAGCCGCGAATTCAAAAGACCCGATTCTTCCCTCACACCTACATTTCCACACACAACCATCAAAAACACCACTCAAGCCAAAATGCCTATCACCTGGGACGGTGCGTCGTCCGCCGCTAACGTACTGCACGTTGGTTCTCTGCTGACTTCTCCGCAGCCACGATGGATCGCAAGCTCCTCCTCGCGATTCTGAAGAAGCACCAGATCTCCGTCGACGCGGAGGCGGTCGCCTCCGAGCTCACCTCCGAAGAGCAAGCATGCACCCCGACCGCCGTCAGGAAGCGTCTTCAGAAGATCCGCGAGCAGATCAAGGATGGCTCCGGGTAGGTCTTGCAATCACAAGTCATTGCCATCACTAATAAGGCATTCATTCTAGGGCCGACGAGGGAGAAGGCACCCCGAAGCCGAAGGCGACCCCGCGGAAGCGCAGTGCTGCCGCCGCTGAGGGAGAGTCGCCAGCTAAGAAGGGGAAGGCTGGGAAGAAGGGCAAGGGTAGCAAGAAGCAGACCGAGGAGGAAGCTGATGACGAAGAGGAGACTGCTGCCGCCGGTGTCAAGAAGGAGGAGGTGGACGACGATGGATTCTAAGATCGGGAATGACGTGCGGGCTCCTTGAAGAAGGCTGTGCCGAATCGATACCGCCGTCGACCTCTGCTGCCAGCGGGCTATGCTGCTCAGCAACACATGATGAAGTCCTGGACTGCCTTATGGCGATGGTCCCCCGACGAAATGACAATAGCAGTCCTTCCGTCCATCCCTCCCTGTGACACTTATCGCTCGATCCGCCTAACCCGTCCTCACCTCATCGTCCACCTCCCACCACGTCGACCACCTCACCAACACCGACGCCGCCGCCGCCGCCGCACGTGAACGCACCTTCCTCGTCCCCTTCCAATATTTGGCTACGTCACCGAACCCAACAAGCCCCTCTACTGGCTGCAATGGTCACGCTGTTGCCTCTCTCGGAGATTACTAGAACCCACTAGCGTGTCTTCTGACAGGTTGCCAGCGTGACCTGACTTGGCCAAAGCTCGAAGAGCTGCTTTCCTGACTGACGTTCGCGTTGAGCACATCACAACAACCACCTCCCATCCTTTTGAACATCAAATACTGCACAGCGTTACTCAAGCAGCATTGGTCACACTTCAATTTAGCAAGCACGTCGACCGGCGGACATCCGCCAACAGTTCTGCTTTGCACTCGCATCGCACGCATCGAAAGGTTGGTCACGTCGGTGTTAACAGCCACCTACCACCTTGCTTTTCGGGCGTTGGAGGATTTTGAGATCACACTGACTGCTCCCAACTCTAACAAAGTTGAGAGCAACACACTGCTACTCAACAAGCAGAATCTTAGCCTAGCACTCAGCACTCAGCACTCAGCACTCAGCAAACAGCAACCTCCCACCTCCAAACGACCCAGGTCATCATGGCTCCGAAGAAGTCACTCTCCGACGCCTCGTTCGGTGACGACAACGACGATCTCTACCAGAACCCAGACGGTGTCAATGCCATCGACGACGATGATGACGAAGACGGCGACTACGGAGCTGAAGCCAACACCTCGAAGGATGGAAAGAAGAAGCGCAAGTCGGTTGCCAACCGCAAGCTCATGCGCTGGAACGGTAACGAGACCCCATTTATCACTTCCATGCTCTTCGCTAATACTCTTCCTTCGTCATATAGCCGACAAAGACCAGCTTCTACTTCTGCAGATCGAAGCTGTCTGTGCGAAGCGTAACATCACCCTGCCGTGGGATGATATCGCTCGCGCGACCGCACCGTTCTTGACTGGTGAAGCAGTCAAGCAGCATATCACCAAGGTGTACCGCACCCGCGTTGCTCATGGCTTCCAGGTCCCAGTCCGCCATGATAAGAACACTTCGGCCAAAGACGCCAAGACAGAGTATGATGGCATCGACTCCAAGGCTGAAGCAGGTACGAATTCTCAATTACTTCACTGGGTATTTCCTCCTGGCAGAGGTGGCAAGGCAGGCGCCTTTGCAGAAGGGGCGGATTCTCAGAAGAGCATGAAGAAGGAGGCAGGTGGAGACGGATATGGTGTGACGCCAAAGAAGGCTGGAGGGGGTAGTGGTGCGCTCGTGACGCCGCAGAAGCCTTTCGCTCGGTCGTTCTCTTTCTCTTCAACGCAAGCGACCCGCGGCAGTTCACCAACGCCCGAGTCCAAGTCGACCGGCAACCGTGGGCGTGGCCGTGGTAAGAAGGCTCAGTCGGAGCTCTCCGCGGCGAGGGTTGAACAGGATGCCCTCCCCACCCCATCCAAGTCTACAGGCAAGCGTGGGCGTGGTCGCAAGCAGGAGAATCATCGCACCCCCATTAGCCCTTCTGGATGTATCATCCCTGGATCACATGGCAGCTCCCCATCCAAGAAGCAGAAGATTGGTGGCGTGGCTACTGATGGACTGCCTCGCCGTGCGAAGGCTATCGTGAACTACCAAGAGCAGCTGGAGTCTGACGATGAGGCTCCGGTGGCATCCCAGCCCGCCGATGAGGACGAGTCATACGGAGGCCAAGGTGACGAAATGGCCAAATTCCAGGAGATGGTCAAGAACAACCAGGCATCCTGTAAGTTGAGAACTGCCTTGATGTCAGTCCTGCTCCTTTTGAACACAGCTAACGCGGGAGTACAGATCTCATGGACTACGGAGCCACCGCATACGATGTGCAAGAGAAGAACGCTCTCAATCGTATTACTGGTACGTCCGTCATGCACTTACACCTCATCTGGGCATAGCTAATCTCACCACGTAGCTCCGATGGGCTACAATGTCAATGTGTTCGCCATGCCTGCGGCACAATCGTTCGACTCTAGGCCAGCGATGCAAGCGCCTCGGCACGAAGACTTTCCCACGCTTCCAGCCTCCGTCACTGCGGTGATGAACCGCCCCAATGGGGTCACTCGCGACAGCATGATCGGTGGCAACAGGTTGGAGAGATCTTTGTCCGGCAACACCCTGGCTGATGAGAACTTCGGCAGCGGCAATACGAGCAGTTCTTCCAGCGGTGCCACCTTGGTAAACGACTGGACCGATGCCAACGGTCAGCCATGGGAGGCTACTCATACTGGCTACAGCCTCAACTACACCGATGATGGGTCTCACGTTGACGCTCCTTGCCGCCTTGACGCGAACACGGGCGAAGTGTCCTATCCTGTGGACCAATCCTACCACAGCAGATACGGCAGCAACGCAGCTCAGCAGGCAAACCTCAACGCCCATCACAACAACAGCTTCGGCAGCAACACCACGCAGCAGTCAAGCTTCAACAATGGTCTGACTCACAGCTTTGGCAGCACAATGGCACAGCAGTCGAACGCATCTCTCAACGACAGCTTTGCGAGACAGATGTCCAACTTCAGTACTGAAGCCCAGAGCTCCATTCCGCACAGCGATGCTGAGACGCTGCCATGGTCTCCTAGCGGTCAGAGCTACAACAACACCGTCTGCCCGCCTTTCACGCACTCGAACGGTTTCCCGAACGGATTGAGCTGCAACCCACCTGGCGAGGGCGACCTCAGCTCTTTGCACCCGCACTACATGAACTACCCTCCGCATGTGGACAACTTCCAACGCGGTCACAATGTCACCAATCAAGTTCAGGGCATGGGGCAAGTTCCGCGCTTCGGCAACACTGACCACAGCACCGGCAACGTCGTCAACTCGAACAGGCTCCTCCACACCAGTGCGTCGGCCCCAGGCACCACGAACAACGGCGGGAGAGCCAGCACTACACCCGGCTTTCCACAGACGAACTACTACACCGGCGCCCCATTCGCCCGCTCGAGCCCGAACACGATGATGGGGGCGATGAGCTTCAACGAGGATAGCGAGTTCGACGCATTCGCGCAGACCACCAGCACCAACGCCAGCCAGAGCAGCCAAGGCACTTACGACCCGTCGCTCAACCCCTTCATCCATGGGCTCAACTGGGCCGAAGATGGCGACGGAGACCTCTTGTGGGAAGGGAGTAGCATCGTGTGAGCCATTCTCGACAGCAAGAACAGTCCGCACCACACCGCCTTCTTACCCATAGCACTTTTCAGCACAGTTTGTTCCCCGGCAGAGAAGCACCTTGCCTCTTCCCACGCCATCGCCTCGTCCCCCGACACCAACACACTTGCAATCAGACCGATCGACGACTCCAATGACTGGCAGCGTCACTAGAACTGTCTTCTGAAACCAGATTCTTCAGATAGCTTGTGACAAAAAAAAATGAGAAAACTAACATATTTAAGAAACTTGTGTCTCCTGTTCATTCCATTTCGTTTCGTCTGTGATGACTACTTGCAGGCTGCTAACGCAGGAAATGACCCTGGCAATCCTTCTCGTAACGCCATCATCGTCATGCGTAACACGCCATCTTAGACAAGACCACATTGCAAGTCTACGACAACTGCTCCTCCTTCTTATGCTTCGGCCGCTCAACTACCTCACCCTCACCTGGCACCTTGGGCGTACCAGCAGCAGCAGCACCCTTGCCTTCCGGCTTGCCCTTCGCCTTCAAGCTCGTCGAGTCCTTCGGCAACTCCTTTACATACGGCAGGAACTCTGGCTGGCCGGGGATGTACTTGCGCAGGACGGATGGGACTTCGATACCGTCTTCGCGCTGGTAGTTTTCGAGGACACAGCAGAGGGCGCGCTCGGTGGCGCAGAGGGTGGAGTTGAGGGCGTGGCAGTAGGTCTTTTGGAAGGAGGCGTCGGATTGTTTCTTTTGGCCGTACCTGATTGCGAGGTCAGTACATTGTGTGACTAGCAATATGGACGGCGAAGCTTACCTTATCTCGAGCTCACGAGTCTGGTAGTCTGTGCAATTTGAGCATGAGACGAGCTCCTTGTACTCGCCTTGGAAGGGGAACCAAGCTTCGAGATCGTACTTCTTCGCCGCTGCGTTGTTGAGTGCGCCAGAAACAATCGCCACGACCCTGTAAGGGATGTCCAGGCTCTTGTAGAACTCTTCCGAAGTATTGATCATCTCGTCAAAGTGGTTCCAGCTGTCCTCTGGCTTGCAGAAGACGAACTGCTCAATCTTCTCGAACTGGTGCACACGGAAGATGCCCCATGCGTCTTTGCCGTGCGAGCCAGCTTCTTTCCGGAAGCACGTGCTGTAGCCAGCGTATTTGATCGGGAGGTCTTGGTTATTCAGCCATTCGCCTTCGTGGAGTGCTGAGATGGGCTGTTCTGAAGTGGCGATGAGGTACTTGTCGGTCGCTGGGTCGTTCTCCTTTTCGGTCACCTTGTACAGCTCTTCGTCGAACTGCTCCAGCTGTGCGGTCTTTGCCATGGCTTCTCGCAGCATGAAGAATGGTGGCTGGTTTGGCGAATAGCCCTTGTTGAACAAAAACTCCAGTCCGTAGTTGATGAGCGCCAGGTTCAGGAAGAGACCGTATCCCGTCAAGCAATATCCTCTGTGCCCTACAATCTTGACGCCTCTCTCCGGGTCGTATCCTCCTAACCGCGTGAGCACTTCATGATGCGACAGACAATCCTTCTTCTCCACCTTTGCGCCCTCGGGCTTCCAGTCCCGTACCAACGCATTGTTCGCCTCATCGTCTGACACTGGTACGGATGCATGCACGTAGTTGCCGACACTCTTCGCCTTCTTCAACAATGCCGCCAGCTTCTGCTCCGCCTGCTCCTCCAGATTCTTTTTGTCCTTCTCCAGCTCGTCCTTTTGCGCCATAAGAGTCTTGAACTCCTCTGGGTCACCCTTCTTCTTCTTGTTCTCACCCATGGCCTTCTTCACCTGGTTGATCCGCATGCCCATTGTTGTTCCTGCTTCATACTGAGTCTTCCTGTGGTCTTCGAACATTTCCATGACCTCGTCTACGGTGGCTTCAGGAGCATGGCGCCGTCGCTGCGATTCCTTGATCTTTGCTGGGTCGCCGCCGCGCTCCTTGACGAAGTCGTTTATGTCGAGCATCTTGTCGGCCGCTCAGTCTGGTGTCCAACGAAAGTGTTGTTCTCCAGGCTAAGTGCTGGTTGCTCGTTGTATACGTTGGGCGGCTGTTGTTCTCAGGTGCCGCTGGAGCAGTCGAAGACCTTTCGCACACCTCGCGACCGTGGAATATGAGCAATGCGGTCCGTATGACTGTTCAAGCAATTCATACAGCTCAATTTCGCCAATGGCTGCGTTTTCCGAGAAGCAGCCTCAGGCAGATCGCGACTTCTGGATGAGGTGAGCATCAATCGACTATTCAATAACAGACACTTTCAACTACTAAATGAGACTTTCGCCTGATCTATTCGATCCCCCTTGATCTACTGTTATAGTTGGCGGCTTCTCGCGATACTTAGGTTGCCGGTCTCAACCCCTTCCGTGGCAGCGGCATCCTTGGGTATGCAACATGACCGGACGTGCGCAATGCCACTCGGAGCGATGAACCAGGCTCACCCGGACGAGCATGAGCGCGATGGGGAAGACGAGGACTTCGACTATCTAAGCCAGTCAAATGCTCCACTCTTGAATGAGGGTTCTGCTGGTTCTCCCCGAAGACACAAGTCTGGCGGCTATGCCCTAACGCCTAAGGGGAGGTTACGGGCATACTGGCTCGGGATAGTGGTCTGCTTGGGTGGCTTTCTGTGTGAGACTATGCCTGCTACTGTTCTCACAAATATATGTGCTAATGCTTGGTCCAAGTTGGCTACGATTCTGGCATTATTGGTTCGTGATCCTTCCCACGAGCTCCGACACCACCGAATGTTGACAGTATGCAGGCGGCGTCCTCACCCTGTCATCATTTGAGAACGACTTCCGCTATGCTAGGGATGAGGCAACATACGTCTCGTCCCTCGCGGTCGGTCTGCAACAGCTCGGTGCATTCGCAGCCTGCTTTGCCATCTGGCCTATCACCCACAAGCTCGGCCGCAGGCTGGCCATTGTCATCTGCTCGATCATGTTCATCTTTGGCTCACTCATCCAGACTGTTAACACCCACAGCACATCCGCCTTCTTCTTCGGCCGTGTGGTTGCCGGGGTAGGACTTGGAGGGTCGTCAGTCGTAGTCCCGATGTACTCGACCGAGATGACGCCAAAAGATATCAGAGGGCAGATTGGCTCCTTATACCAGCTGATGTTCACGTTTGGCATCTTCACAAGCTACTGGATCGATTATGGCATGGCGAGGAGCGTCTCGAACACAAGCTCCGCACAATGGCAGATTCCTGTGGGCTTACAGATGCTCTTCGCGGCTCTTCTGGGTATCGGCACGCTTACACTGAAGGAGAGCGTCAGATGGCTGACGCAGAACGGTCGCCACAAAGAAGCGTGGGAAAGCTTGAAGTGGATTCGTGCGAGTGATGGACGTGATGTGCAGGCGGAGATGGATGAGATCCGGTCTGGTGTGGAGCGTGAGGCTCATGCTAGGCAAGGCTTCCAGCTGAAAGGTATTCAGCACCTGTCTTTAATATGCTGAACATGGAGCTAACATTTTCTGACCGCAGAGATGCTTCAAAGAGGGAATGCAAGTCGCACCGTGACCGGCATCGCTGTCTTTGCGGCGCAACAGGCTACCGGCGCGACAGCATTTGCCTACTTCGGACCACAGTACTTCAAGCTTCTGGTCGGCGACAAAGGCAATTCGGACCTACTCCTGACTGCAATTTTCGGTGCCGTCAAGGTCGTTGCTTGCCTAGCGTTCGTTCTGTTTGTGGCGGACAGCGTTGGTCGCAAGGCTATTCTGACAGGTGGCGCCCTGTTTATGGCCGCCTGTCAGATGACCACAGCTGTCGTCGTCAAGACGTATCCTGCTGATCCCGAAGAGGACCTGACCCGCTCTGGCGTTGCTACCGTGGGACTTATCTATCTGTTTGTGATTGCTTACAACTTCTCTTGGGGACCTTTGGTGTGGCCCTACGTGTCAGAGGTGATGTCCCTCACCACCGTAAGCTTATGTTCGCGAGACTGACAACACCCCAGATCTTCCCAGCACGAACTCGTGAACCAGGAGTGGCTTTGGGAGTTGCTTCGCAATGGGCGGGCAATCTGATCTTCTCGCTCACCACGCCGTACATGATCAAACATCTTGGATGGGGCACGTTCCTGCTATGGGGACTCTTCGACGTTGTCATCGCGGCATACAGCTGGTACGGCTTGCTGGAGACACAGGGCAAGTCGCTGGAAGAGATTACACAATCACATGGCGATCGTGGAGTTGATAAGAACCTGGAGGATTAATGGATGGAGCCAAGGACGTTCCAGGCATTCTTTCTACTATTTTTGGTGGTCAATATCTCCGCGTCCGCACTGAAGTTATTCCCTCTCGCACGTGTGCCCGCTCGGCCCGTCAGGCCTGCGATCACGCAAAATGTTATCTTTCGGATGGCCATCGGCTGTTGTCGCAATGGATCGACACAAGCTTCTTGGAGCTGCATCCGCGGCTTGAACTGGCTTGAAACAATGCGGTGGAGCCTTGAACACAGTATTCCACTCACCCATACCGTAGGCTTCCCGGTTGAAATTGGGGCAGCTGGAGAAAGCCTACGGTCTGCTCCGTCGTATCAGTGTAATGTCGAGGTGTTGCTGAATTCCTGGCAGCCTGAGAAGCCGCATCTCGTCAATCTTCTGTGCCGTCCGTGCCAATTTGAAGGATTCGAAGATGCAGTAGATTCGAAGGATTGCGCTAAACCATCCATATCGCACTTTCATTGGCTGCGCATAGATTGTCGCAGCAAGTCGCAGGAAGACGCCGTCCTTTGTGATCATCGTCCTTGATCATCCCTCCCACGTGGACAGAGGGATCTGGTGTCCTCGAACTCCGTCCCGCCTGTTGCCTGCTTCCTGATCGCTTTCCTCTGTCTCGAGCAGCGTTGGGAGGATGGTGGTGTTCCTCATGTACGCCTTGTTGGCGCTGGTCGCGGCGAGGAACAGCAGATGCGACGGGCACGAGCTACCGACTCAAGTCACTCGACGGCTCGTTGCACGGGACACGACTCAGTATCACCATCGGGGCTTCCACAATTGTATGAGAATCTTTGGACTTCGCGGGATTATCATGCTGACTGACGCTCGGCAGCCATTGTCGCTGGCAATTACTTGTATATCGACGGCGGCGAGTTGACAACTTGGAACGGCAGCGGCGATGGATTACAGGCATCGAATCCACAGGACGAGGGGGACATTGTCACGGCGACAGGTATGCTTTTCTACCGGCCACACGCCATGCGCTGTTCATGTTGCTGACTACAACAGACGAATATACATACTCGATAGACCTATCATCATCCTGGACGAACAGCTCCGTGACCATCAACAAAATACGCAAGTCCGCACCGGTCCTGAACAATGAGGCCCTTTGGCTCGATGCTTCCGGAGACACCTTCTACGCTTACGATGGCGGCTTAAGTATGGGAGATCCGAACTGGTTGGATATTGAAGTTCCCTCCAATGCCCTGTGGCAGTTCACACCGCGTGGAGACGCCGGCCGTTGGTCCCAGGTGCCGTTTGACCCTTCTTCCAATTTCTCGGCGCTTTCAAGGGTGACAGTTGGAAACTATGCTTATGGAAATGGGCTTGGATTCTCGCTTGGTGGACAGCAGAACTATGCTACGTTCCACTACGAGGATTTCGACAATCCTTATGAGGATTCCATGCTCGCCCCTGGTAAGTATGGGTAGACTCAAGCTCAGTCGGTCTACAACATCAATGGAAACTAACTATATCCTACAGGGCTCGTTATGTACAACTTCACATCTCAAGAATGGTTCAACTTTTCATCGGAGGACTACAGCTATTCCGGCTTTGCGGGTTCCGGCATGGCCCATTTTGTGCCTATTTTCGGGACGGATGGACTCCTGCTATCCTTCGGGGGCTGGAGCAATGAGGACCACCAGTTGTTGTCGCTGCAGTACGCTTCGATGTACGACCCTATGACCCAGCAATGGCAGAGACAGATGACCACGGGCAATATCCCACACGAGACTCAAAACGGCTGCGTCGTTGGCGTGGAAGGTGATGATGGTACATATGAGGTAGGTGCGTTCAGCTCTGCAATTTGCAAAGCGCTAATACGGCACCGAAGATATTCTTGTACGGCGGCCAAGTCAAGGACGACGTCTCCAGCACGGTATCCAACGGCGCAGTCTACGTCCTCTCCCTGCCTTCTTTCCACTGGACGAAGCAAGACGCTCCCACCAAGCTCGGTCGTTGGATGCACTCATGCAATGTTGTCGCCAACAGACAGATGGTTGTGGTGGGTGGCATTACCGTCCGACCGAAGGATTCGACCGACGCTTTCACGGTATCTGGTGGCTCTCCTGACCCTTGGGACAATGGTCTAGGCATCTTCGACCTTACCGATATGGAGTGGAAGTCGCAGTATGATGCGGCTGCTGGGACATATGTGACGCCGCAAGCCGTCAAGCAGTACATTCAAAGGAATGGGAAGTACCCGGCGAAGTGGGCCAACGTCGAGACGGCGTCGTGGTTCACAAAGCGCAGTGAGTACAATGAAATATGATGCGTTCACGATTGTACGTTAACTCTCCAATGCAGTCGCGGCCAGCGCAGCTTCATCCTCTTCAGATGGCGGCGACGACGCCGATTCCAACGACGACTCCGACAACGATTCCAACGACTCCAACACCGACGCCTCGAATAGCGACGCCTCCAACAACGACATCTCCAAAGATGACAGCAATAGCGACTCAAGCTCAACGAACACAGGCGCAATAGCAGGCGGCGTTGTCGGCGGAGTATTGGGCGCTGCTCTTATCGCCGGCATAATATTCTTCGTCCTGCGCAGACGCAGGCGGCAGAAGCTTGACGTAGCGCATGAAAAAGACGGGACATCAGTGACAACGGACGCTAAGTACGGCGCCGGGTCAGGCCCTCGAGCCGAACTGTCAGGCGAAAATCCGCTGGTCGAACTGCCTGCGTACCGAGAAGAGTACAAGCCGGAACTTGGTGGGCGGCCGATGAAGAATTGAAAAAGCATGCGGACGACTTTCATATTTTGGGTCTTGTGGCAAATACCCCTGGAGTCTGGCGAAGGACGATGCATTCTTGAGAGTGCTATTATGGGTGAAGCCGACCTTCGATTCTGGTTACATCTTCGACATCTGGATTCAGAAACTTTCCTGGCCATCAAGCCAACCGCTGCAAGAATCTTTCCAGCAACGGCAACTGAGAAACGGCTCTGTCATATTTTGGATCTGCACCAAAGATCTGCCGCAGTTTCGTACACACTGCAAGCAGGGCCGACCTGCCACCTCGACCCGCATGAGTGGCAGCAACGTGGACTCATCATCATGGCCAAGAGTGAAGGGTCTGAAGGACCGCCACGCAATACAGTCATGGATGCTCGTAATTGGGAGGTCGAGCCGCTACAGGTTTCTCGTTCTGCGCCTTAGCGGGCTGTCACCAGGCTCTATGCAAGATGGTGTGCCAGGCACCGCGTCGGACATATGGCGGAGCAGACCCTGCCTGGATCAATCTGATAGTCGGTCCTTGTACAACAGCACATGTGAGATATTGGCGGCTTCTGGTCCCTATGGGTCGTCGACCGGGAGGATAGAAGCCAGTAATGATCCAGAGCTCGCGCGGTGTACTTTTAGTGATGCCGATATGGTCAAAGGCAGCAGGAGGGGCAGGGAAGGCCCGCCAGGCGACCGACGGGGTAGCTTCATGCTCGTCCATACTTCGATCAGCTCCTGAGGCTCCGCTTCTCAGCTTTGGGGCGCCGGTGCATACTGGTTCCCATGTTCGTAGATTTGTGGTTCTTTGAGCGGTTGGAAGACCTTCGCTTCTTCGATCAAATAGCCACCGTCTCTCCAATGTCGCACAGACCAACACCCGCCTTTCCAACGTCAACCGCTTGTCCTCGCCCCTCGATCCCACCACCACTCCACAAGCCTTCTTTCTCAGCAGCCTCCCTCCACCGTCTCGGCGGCTCCGTGACGTCCTCAAACTGTCCAGAGATCCCACCTCGCACAGTCCCATAATGCATACCGATGCTTAGCTTCGAGTTGATCTCCTTGTGAATCTGCAAAGACTGCTCAGGCGAAGCATGCACTCCTCCCATGAATGATTGCGGCTTGAAAAGGCCGATTGGCAGCATGGCCAGATCGAAGCCACCGAACGTTTCGCCCACTTGCTCAAAAGCGGGACAAGGCGACGGCGTGTCAACTGCTTGATAGGCTGTGTCGCCAGCGAAGAATAATTTGTGGTTCTGCATTTCCACCGTCCACGAGCACCAGAGCGAACGATCTTTGTCCCAGCCTGTCCGAGAGGAGCCGTGCTGCGATGGTGTACAGGTCATGGTGACAGCTCCGATATCCTCGATCTGGACTTTGCAGCTCTGCCACCAGTCGAGTTCTGTTACTTGCTGGGCGGGACATATGTGCTTCACGAACCATGCTTTGTCGTTCAGCGGCACAAAGAAGTGGATCTTCTCCTTCCGTGTCCGGTAGAGTTCTATTATTGTGTAGTAGTCCAAGTGGTCGTAGTGGTTGTGGCTTATGCAGACGATGTCCACTTCCGGGAGGTCTGAGACAGCACATGGCGTAGGAGAGTACCGCTTCGGACCCAAAAAGCCAACTGGACTCGTTCGTTCGCTGAAGACGGGGTCAAAAAGGATCCGTACTCCTCGATCGGCATTGTTGGAGGCGGGAGTCTCAACAAGAAACGAAGCATGGCCTATCCACGTCGATCTCAAGCGGTCCTTCTTCTCTAATCCCCAATCTGGTTGCCGCACTTTGACGAGCTGATCCGAGCGAGAGCCGTCAGGGCCTTGGGGTACGGGTACGAAGTTCTTCTCCGGATGGTTGCCAAACCTTGCTTTGAAAGCGTCGCCCATCGCGATCCCGTGGTATGATGGCCATGGGTTTTTGAAACTCGTTGGCGGACTGCCGACGTGGTGGTCCTTTGCTGCCTTGAGGTCTGGTTGCCGTGATGGAAGCGTGTCAACAGTGATGGCGGGAGACATGGTTGACGAGAAGCGGGTTGCTGGTGAGCAAGACTTGCGGGCAACGTTGTTGTACGATCGTTTCAGCAGCGGAATGGCGGGCCTCATATCTCGACGCTACTCCGGCCGTAGAAGATGACTAGACCGAAGTGGTGATGTCGTTGGCGTTGGCGTCCCGTTGCGGGACAAGGTCTCACCGGCGGCTTGGCGTCAAGCCTGTGCATCGCAAGCAACATAAGGTAGTAGCCTGAGGTGGTCGTCCGAGAGGAGAAGATCAGAAGGGAATTCATTAGCGATTTCCAGCGATGGGCCAATTTGATCGCAAGAAGGAGTCGCAGCCAAAGCATGGGAAACCAAGTGCCAGTGGTGCATACAAAGGTCCCCCTCCCCTAGCTCGCGGTATACCAGAAGATAGGAAAGGTCGTGGCTACACTCTCAAAAAGAAGCCCAAGCAGCCAGCAACTCCATTGGCAACACCGAAGCCTTCGGAACTGGAGCACGTCCTGCCCACCGATCTTGAGAAGCGGACACTAGAAGTTTTCCGCACCACTTTCCCTGCATCTAATGATTTCGAAGCCCTGAAGCCGATCTTGCAGGAGATCAAGGATGCGTTAAATTGCAGAGAGTTTGGAAGGGCTTTCGGGAAAGACGAACATCTGGAGGCCTACACAATACGCTGGAGCCCAAGTCGCACTTTAAGCTATGCACAGCTGCTCGCTTGGATCTGTACGCGACTGGCAGGCAATGTTTGCATCCAGCGACTAGTCGGCAGCGCAGCTGGACCAGTCGCGGCGAAAGTAGTTTGCCTCGGAGGCGGCGCATCTGAGTTCATGGCATTTTCAGGACTTCTTCGATATCTACAATCTTCAGAGGCTGCCGGAAAACCGCACATGCAAGATGAAGAGGTTCTGGAAGGGATGGGAGCCATGTCAACTTCCGCAAGCAACGCACCATCCCCTCTGCTTCATATCGATCTTCTTGATGCTGCAGACTGGACCTCGGTGCTCTCGAAATTGGACCAAGGACTGAGAACGCCTCCAATGCTTTCCAAATACGCCAGCGCCACTGCTCGCGCGGCAAACGCCTCCTTCTTACTGCCTGGTGTTGCTGAGCATACTTTCACACAAGCAGATATCTTGAGTCTCAGCACAGACGACCTTCGCGCTGCCGTCGGAACAGCTCCTGCGCTTCTCACACTCATGTCAATACTGAACGAGCTATACACAATCTCGATGGCTCGTACGACCGCCTTCCTCCGGAGGTTGAAAGACGCCACTCCGATGGGCAGCCTTCTCCTGGTAGTGGATAGCTCTGGTGCCTATTCGGAGATCGCTGCCGCCAATGCAAAGGAAGGAGACGAGAAGAGGAAATACCCCATGAACCTGCTGTTGGATTATGCTTTGCTTCCGAAACCTCGGGAGCAACACGAGCAAGAGGATAGTGACGGAGACAAGTCGGAGTCCGCTTGGGAGAAAGTGATCAACGAACCTAGCATGTTGCACAAGCTTGACGGCGCGCTCAAGTACCCGGTCAGCTTGGAGAACATGAGGTTGCAGGTGCACTTGTATAGGCGTATATAGGTCTCAGAGAGATGAGACCGATACGCAATGAACGTCATCTTCAAAAAAGGCTAACAGCGACATATATCAAGCAGGACGCTCTCTACCTACAGCCGCGCTGGGACACTATCAAAATCAGGCAGGTCGTTGAGATCGAGCAGAGGCAGACTATGCGGGTCGTTCTCCAAGCTCTCCTCCACCTCTGGCTGCCAGCGCCACTTCTGCTGGGCTCCCACGTCTAACTTCCCCTCGAGCATATCGGCAATGTATCCGCCTATGACAGGCAGGAACTTGAAGCCGTGCGCGGGACCGCCCACTGCCAGGCTGAGCGAGCGATGCTCGGAGTGCCGATCGATCAGGAAGTGTCTGCCCTTGGTGTGCGCGTCCCAGCACAGCCAGGTGTTGCACCACACTCTATTGCACAGATAGGGTAGAAGAGTCAGCACGTGTCTCAGCCGGGCGAAGAGTGGCAGAAAGGTCTCAAGACACTACACGTCGCTTGATGATGTCTCGGAGAACCATTTTACCTATTGCTGCTTACCTGTCTGCCAGCTCTGGAGCCAGCTGGCGAACAAAGTTGCGAATGCACTGCTCTACTGGTTTTGGAACAGTGTCTCGAGGATTTTCACAACGGCATCGCGCCAGGGAGGGTCCTTTCTGGTCGACGAAATTCGTGGCAAACTGGCAAGCGCCGAGCTTGATAATGCCGTCCTCCTGCGGTGGGGACATGATGCCTCCTTCGAGATGGTCAATCATCGGCTGACGAATGACTACGGCTGCTGCACGCAAGGCCTCGCATACCCGCGTGACAAGGCCGAGGATCTGCTGCACTGGGATGATGGAGCGCCACGCATCGGCCTACGAGGTTCTTCAATTGAGCAGTATGCGGATGAAAACGACGAGCTGTGCTGGGCTTTGACACCGAGCGTTCTTCAGCACATTGGCCCGAAGACATTGAAGGATGTCGTCAAGATGGCGAAGAAACAGGTTCTCATTACGCATAGAGTAAAGAGCTACCCATTTGAGCTGAATGATGCTGAGGAGCTGAGGAGGGAGCACTTTGTGGCCGCTGGGGATGGGACATGAGCTAGCGCCGCCACGGCTTGACCAGCTACACTCGAACGTCAGCTCGCGTTTCGCGGTCAAACGCATGATTGTCCACAGCCCTTGCCGCTCTGGAGAACGAGCGCCGGAAGACCAGTTCAGACCAAGAGCTCAATGGCAGCTCGAAAAGATGGAATCGAGAAGACAGACATCAGCTGAGACACGTACCAATCCATACCCTCTCAGCCGCGCATTGCTGAAGAACGAGCCCAGTGGAGTGGCTTGGTGTTGTCGTTCGCTTCCGCTGGAATGGGACCGCACCACCTGAGATAAGTATACTGCAAGGCCCTTCCGAATCTGAGATCTGCCTATTGGAAGAAGGCTCCATCAATCCCATTAGTCTCGTAAAAGATCTAAAGCAGCCATGAAGCTGGTTCTCTCCGCGGCTGCGGCTGTCCTCTCGCTGGCTTCGACAGCCAGTGCCGGTGCAAAGCAATCGAGGCCTTTCTACCTGGTCGCAGTCTCGCACGTGAACTCGATCAATAACACGGCATTCTTTGCCTGCCATGAAGGAGCAGCGATCGAGGGCCTCTGCGTCGCCAAGAAGATCCCAAAAACGAAGCCTCAAGCGGCCACCTACCGTTTGAACAACACCAACCAGAACCCCAACGAGGGTCTGCTGTCGTATCAGCTCGTGGCCGGCAATTTCAAGAGTACAGGTTGTTCTTCTCGCAAATATCACCATGCCGCTAATAAATTGTCGGTAGTCTGGGAACAAATGGACCTTTCCACTGACGTAGGATCCAACGTCGCCCTGCCGCTCTTCCAGCCCTCGGATGAGGGACAACAGGTCGGCTTCGATGAGCACAACATGATGTACATGAAGACGTACCTCAACGACATGGTCACCCCGCCGAGAGGAGGGAAGTCGAGGAAGCTATATCGCTGGTACACTTGCACGACGCTGTACAGCTCGTATAAGTATCATGCTCTTGCTTGGGTGCTTGGGAAGTCGCCGCCAGAGGTGTGTATCAAACGAGAGTATCGAACAGTGTATGCGAGCTGACTTGTGTAGAATCCGAGCTGCCAGCGAGCGGGTGTAAAGCGGGTCTGGGTGAAGTAGAGGAGGTTCTCGACGTCGTGTCCTTTGGTTTTGAAGTTGGTTAATTTCTCCGGGAACTTCAAGGCGGAATCACTCAATGGAGGACTAATCGCCGCGTACTTCTATTCACCCCATCTGACATTCTGAATGACCGTATGCACGCCAAGTCCACCGAGCTCATCTTGCATAAAACTTCCGTGCCGACCTCGCGTGCTCGACTGCAGCTACAACGTGCCACGTCAACATCATCACTAACGCACGTTATGTACTGGACCTTTCCTACTTCAGCCTGGAGTCTCTGCAGGCACGAGAGCTGTTGTCATGCGCAAGCTGCTGCTGCATGCTACCTTCTGCAGAGCCGTCGTTCAACAGCTGTCTGCTGTGCCACGCGCCTTATCAATGGTACGCATTCAACTGCCGACATCCACTGTGCCGCATTGGAGATATTGCCCGAGAAACCATCATGTCTGCAAACAGGCATTGTTGGCATGAGAGAGAATGAACTTCGGTAGCCATCGAGCTCTCACAGCAGCCAGACAGCGAAGCAATACTTTCAGCAGACTACCTTGACAGACCTGCAGCTACGACTGCCCAGACGGCTGCGAAGTAGAAGCGGATGTCGAGGTTCCTGAATCCGCTGCAGTTGGTCCTGTATCCGTCTATGCTGCTCGCATTCCAAGCCAATGGCGGTTGCTCTCGTCTGGGACCTGCTGCATCCGGATGTCATGGTACCTTGCTAGAGCTCCTGCCATGCTGCGTTGGTAACATCACCTCTCTTTCTTCTCTTGCTCGAGTTCGACTGTCCTTCCCGTCCCTCTTGCTGCCATCAGCGTCTTCACAGCAGCAGACATCACGGCATACGGAAGCACTGCAAGACCATCCTTTCGTTTGCGATTTTCATCAAACCCCAACGTGCTGTACTCGCAATGAGGGTCAGCGGGGCATTCCTGATTGCTTTCTCTTCTGCCCTCGCTCTTCCAACCTCCGAAAAATGGATTGAGAAAGATGTCTGCATCATCGGAGGAGGTGCGAGCGGCACGTACGCTGCCGTAAGACTGAAACAGCAGCATGTCGATGTGGCTCTAATTGAGAAGGAGGGCAAACTTGGTGGTACGAATGAATGTGTTGGTGGCTCGTCAAGCACTTCTTACTGACTGGCAACTGTTGTAGGTCCAGTCACGACGTACACAGACTCCAGCACCGGCCAGACGTACGACTACGGCGTTCAAGTCTTCTCGAACCTGTCCGTCGTCCACAGCTTCTTCCACCACTTCGACATCCCTCTGGTGCAGCTACCTCCTCCGTCAGGCGGCGACACAAAGATGATGAACTTTGAGACCGGCGAAGTGGTGCCTCCAGCACAACTCTACCTGGGTAACCTCACAGAGGCTATGCTCGGTTATGCGGAGCAACAGGCCAAATACTCGTCCATATTCGAGGACTGGGATCTACCAGACCCAGTACCGGAAGACTTGCTGCTGCCCTTTGGAGACTTTCTCAAGAAGCACAATCTCGAGGCTTTCGCATACATCGCTTTCCTCTACGACCAAGGCATCGCAAACCTCTTGGCACAACCGACGCTATATGTCATGAAGTATCAGGACCGAGTGCAGATACAAGACCTGCTGACCGGCGGCTTTGTCGTCAACGGTCTCCAGAACAACCAGCTGCTGTACGACCGTGCCGCAGCTGCGATAGATGACGGCAGAAGTCTGTATCTGAACAGTTATCCCACCGAGATCACCCGACACTCCGACCGCGTTGAGATCACGGTCGTCACGAAGAACGGTGTCAAGCATATCAGAGCTCGCAAGCTTTTGGTCACCATCCCACCCAAGTCCACCGTGAGCTTCCTCGATCTCGACCGCTCTGAGCAGACCATGTTCAGACAGTTCAACAACAGCTACTACTGGAACGCCATCCTGAAGAACACCGGCATACCCGTCGGCACCACCTTACCTAACGTCAACCCCGAAGCGCCGCTCAACATCCCAGCTATGCCCGGCATGTACACCTTCCTTGCCTCCCCCGTCCCAGGCTTGCACGCTACTTACTACAGCAGCCCGCACAACATGTCCGACGAAGAAGTCTCCGCCGACATCTTGTCCACGCTACAAAGAGTCCGACAGGGTGCTGGATACCCAGAGCCAGAGCATAGTCCGGAGCTTGTTGCTCTGCATAAGTGGTCGCAGTTCGAGATGACGGTATCTAACGATGCGATACGGAAGGGGTTCTATAACGACTTGTTGGCGCTGCAGGGAAAGAAGAATACGTGGTGGACGGGGGCGACGTGGATGAACCAGGCTACTGCTACGCTTTGGAGGTACACTGAGGAGAAGGTGTTGCCGCATTTGGTGCCGGAGAGGGATATTTTGAGGGTACAGGAATGATAGTATAGAAGTGTCTGGTAGGTGCAGAAATCGAATACGTTGTCTCGTTCTATGTGCTCAAGTGGTTTAGCTCAGATTGTCGCCTTGACGAGAATGTGATTCTCAGGCATACCACATGACGTCGGAGCTGAGCACAACAGACACACAGCATCGAGTTATTCCTGCAAGTCCGTCCACAATTCTACCAACGCTTGGATGTTACCATGTAGCGTATCAAATATTTCCCAATATGGTAGAGGAGAGTTGTAGAAGGCCTCGAAGTGAAGTTGAAGTGAAGTTCACGTGGGACGGAGGAGCATCGCCTTCAGGCAGGTCCAAGCGAGGAAATATCGTGACAGCATCCAGGTGACCTACCGTACATACCACGACCATGGCGAGTCCGCGGTAGCCAGACGCACTGGGTGATTGTGCTGTTCCATGGCCGGCAAGCGACTATTGGACAGCGCGAGGTTATTCAATGCCGGACGAGCAATTGCAAAGCAGCACATTGCGCTGCGCCAACAGCAGTGGGATGTCTTTAGCAAGACTTCCGGCCTTGCGAAGGCAGTCAAGAGTCAGACGGATCGGATCACGGTGACAGCTGGCGCGGCGTATGAGCTTGGGAAACGATTCAGTGAGACGAGCCCGCCATGGCCGGAACAAGAACGGAGCACAAGTGGACCGTCAAGAAGTGATGTGGACGGTTCTCGTATTGACCGAGAACGAAGAGATGCAGCTACCAGTGCTGAGGATGGTATGCAGAAAGCGGCGGCAGCAGCTGAGGGTGGCATTAAAACGGCACAGGATGGACAGACCACGGATAATGGCTCCCTTGCCTCTCTACGAAAGAGGGAGATGCAGAGGCAGGCAGAAGGGCAGATACCTGCGATGAGCTCAACTCAGCAGCCAGAAGAAGGGCGGTCGATGGGGCAGGATAGCTACGGTGAGCGGCCTGACGCTGTCTCTCCGGAGCTCTCGTCTTTACCTCGAATGAGGATCCCAAGGCGTGCAGATGATGCGCAAGAGCACCAAGACTCCGTCACGGACAAGTCATTGAATCAGGACGTCTTCTACACACCCGGCGAAAGTGCAGAGAGCAGTGAGCTTCCTGAAGATGTCAAGGTCGAAGGACTTTTCACGGCGCCTCGGGTGTCACGCATGATGGGTCAGGGCGAGACAGAGGCTAAAAGTCCTTACGGTCAAAGAAAGAAGATGGCACCCCAGCCATTGCCTGAAATGGTCGCAGCTCGAGAGCGTTGGAGCCAGGAGCGGGAGCAACAGCCTCAGCCAACGCAGAGCACGGGTTCACAGGTCGAGGAGCAGAGCGGCGCGCAAGGTGACGCAGAGACTGAAAGTCTGGCGAAGTCGATAGCTCAGGAGGCCAACACGCCTACGGAGCCCGAACAAGGGACAGCAGTACCTTTCGAAATGCATGAATCTCGAGTACCATCTTCGAGGTTCGGAAGATTGTGGCAATATGGCGGCCTTGCAACGAGTATGGCATTCGGCGCCTTCGGCGAAAGCTTCCGTAGGATGACCGGTGGTCCTAGCGAAGGTAGTCTCATGATGAGCGAAGGCAACATGAACCGGCTGGTGGCGAAGCTCAGTCGGATGCGTGGTGCAGCACTGAAGCTGGGACAGATGATGAGCTTTCAAGATTCAAAGATTCTTCCGCCTACGATCAACAAGGTATTGCAGCGGGTACAAGACAGCGCCGACTACATGCCACCCTCCCAGCGAGACAAAGTGCTGGTCGACAATCTGGGCGTGGACTGGCGGGACCTGTATTCCAACTTTGAGGAGAAGCCGTTTGCCGCTGCGTCGATTGGCCAAGTACACAAGGCAACGCTCTCGTCGAACGGGAAAGACGTTGCTGTCAAGGTGCAATATCCAGGCGTACGCAACAGCATTGACTCAGATCTAAACAACCTGGCGCTGCTCCTGACCGCGAGCAGACTTTTGCCAAAGGGCCTGTACCTTGACAAGACCATCGCCAATGCCCGACTTGAGTTGGGATGGGAGTGCGACTACGAGCGAGAAGCAAAGGCTTGTATGAAGTTCGCAGAGCTTCTGAAGAACGAAGAGGGCACGTTCAAGATCCCTACCATCTACACCGAAGCCTCTGGGCCTGGTGTACTCACGGCAGAATTTATGACCGGCACCGCCGTCACCAAAATGAAAGACCTTAACCAAAGTGACCGCGACTGGGTCGGCACGCAGATTCTACGGCTCTGTCTGCGAGAGCTGATGGAGTGGCGCTTCATGCAGACCGATCCGAACTGGACAAATTTCCTCTACAACCGCGAGTCACAGAAGCTCGAACTGCTCGACTTTGGCGCGAGCAGGGACTTTCCCGACAAGTTCGTCGAGCCGTACGTCTCCTTGCTGATCGCGGCATCGAAAGGCGATCGCGAAGGGTGTAAAGACTACTCCATCCAACTCGGCTACCTCACCGGACACGAGAGCAAAGACATGCTCCGAGCTCACGTGGACTCCATCATGACTCTCGCCGAGCCTTTCGTGCAGACAGCTCCTGAGGTGTATGATTTCGAGGACCAGACGATTACGGACAGGGTGCGAGCGAACATTGGGTTGATGTTGAGGGAGCGGTTGGCGCCGCCCCCAGAGGAGACGTATAGTCTGCACCGCAAGCTTAGCGGTGCTTTCTTGCTGTGTGCGAGATTGAGGAGCAAGGTCCGGGCGAGGGAGATGTTTGCTGATGCTGTTAAGGTGTGGGACAGGCGGGAACGGAAGGGGGAGGAGGTGTCGAGTATATAAATCCTGTACAATACTGTTGATACCCTGGCATCCCAGCTTCTCGAGCCGTGGTCAGACGACCTTGCCCGTTCAACGGCCTTTCCAGGATTCAAGAATAGACGGTTGGATGGCTCCCCGGATGTCCTAGAAGCAATCGACCACGAGGTATTTTTACTCAGCCTTAATCCTCCAGGCTTTAGGTAAGTGCGCTAGAAGGCGTCTGGAACACGGTGACTTGTTCGGCGACGGTGTAGGAACGGTCACCTCCCTGTCTGAGACCCCACGTCGCCAGAACGGCGTACGATGTTGTTATTGATCACGCTTCCTTGCTTACAATGTCTGAGGAGGCCGTCAATGCAGGCTAAGAGCTGCGACGGAACTTGTGAAAGCGGCTATATCTTCCGTTGACGGTCGATGTGTCCATTACAACCTCCTAGGCCTTATTAGCGATCCTCGGGTGGCAGAAGTGCAGTGCAGCTTCGGGTTGCTTGCGAGCCCGAGCGCTCGTCCAGTGAGATGGCCAAGCGATGAGGCGTCCATGGAAGGAGTACCACGGCTGCTGTCGGAGGCGCAACGCCTTCCTACTCCATCTTCCATCAATATCCCGTAGAACATCGTTCTCGCATAGTGTCCGAACGACACAGTGGCGGGCCATGTTGCGAGATCATAAAATGCATACGGCTCGCTTGACCGTCTCATCGGCGTTTACGCACTGACGGACGGACGCCACATGGACAGTTGCATCCATCTGCGCTCGGGAACCTCAGCACCCGAATGATCACTTGCATTCGAAGCGAAAGGCGGCAAGTTCGTTTCCCTTTCCACTCGCCTGTTGCTCTTTCTCGTTTCCGTTCTCACTTCTTCTCCACCATCACCTTCTTTAGATCCCTTGGAGGAGCCGCGCAGCTGGTGTTGTTTGACTAAACACGCCATCACCCACGCCATCCTTCGCTCCGCCGCCGAAACATTCGAAGGAACTGTGTCCTTGGCATAGATCTCACGCGCATACAAGAAGTGGCGAAGAGCCACGGAGAGCCTCTTCTGCTGAGCAGATTTACCACCGACACGATGGGCGGCGAACTACTGGAAAAGCCGGTCGAGTACAGCTCGAGCAACGATGGCAGCTCGGGCAAAGATATCGATGTCGGCGATCAAGAGAAGGCAGCGATGGGTCAGACTCCATTCCCACAACAGCTACCCAACGAGCCCGCGCCGCCGCTCACACGGCTAGACTCTAAGAAGCCCAAGGCGGAGAAGGAGAAAGACGTGGAAGAAGGCGAGGACCCTTTCGCACATCTGCCGGAGCATGAGGCCAACGTCTTGCGAAGGCAGCTTGATATCCCGCCTGTCAAGGTGACATATATGATGCTGTACCGGTACGCGACTCGGAACGACTGTCTTATCATGGCATTGGCGGGTATCTGCGCGATCGCAGGTGGTGCGGTCATGCCTTTAATGACAGTTGTCTTTGGTTCGCTGGCTGGCACCTTCCAGGGCTACCTGGTCGAGCATACGGTCACGCACCAGGAGTTCAATGACAAGATCGCGCATCTGGTGCTATATTTCGTCTATCTGGGCATCGGAGAGTTTGTTACAATCTACGTCGCCACCGTTGGCTTCATCTACACTGGCGAGCATATATCAGCAAAGATCAGAGAGCACTATCTTGCTTCGATTCTACGACAAAACATTGGCTACTTCGACAAGCTTGGAGCCGGAGAGATCACTACTCGCATCACGGCAGACACGAATTTGATTCAAGACGGCATATCAGAGAAGGTCGGCCTGACGTTGACAGCCATCGCGACCTTCATTACCGCCTATATCATCGCATTCATCAAATACTGGAGGCTGGCGCTCATTCTTACTTCAACGATCTTCGCCATCGTCTTCACCATGGGAGCTCTCGGCGGTTTGATCACGAAGTACAACAAAAAGTCGCTTGCAGCGTATGCCGCGGGTGGTACCGTGGCTGAAGAAGTCATCAGCTCCATCCGCAACGCGACCGCTTTCGGCACGCAGGATAAGCTGGCCAAGGAGTACGATGTCCACCTCACTGAGGCGGAGAAGCAGGCTGTCAAAATGAAGTCCATCCTGGGATCCATGATCGGCTTCCTCATGTGCTACGTTTACCTCAACTACGCGCTGTCCTTCTGGCAAGGCTCTCGCTATCTGGTGGCTGGAAAGATGTCGCTGTCGGATGTCCTGACTATCCTGTTGACCATCATGATTGGCGCATTCTCGCTCGGTAACGTGGCCCCATTCATCCAAGCCTTCACGACTGCTGTTGCAGCGGCATCAAAGATCTACTCCACCATTGATCGTGAGTCGCCTTTGGATCCGGACTCGGAGGCAGGTGAGAAGCTGAAGAATCTTGATGGCACGGTTGAGCTCCGCAACATCAGACACATCTACCCGTCGCGCCCGGAAGTTGTTGTTATGGAGAACGTCAACCTCCTTGTGCCGGCTGGCAAGACCACTGCTCTTGTTGGAGCCTCGGGGTCGGGCAAGAGTACCATAGTCGGCCTGGTAGAACGATTCTACGATCCAGTCGGTGGTCAAGTTCTACTTGACGGAGCAAATGTGCAAAACCTGAACCTACGCTGGCTCCGACAGCAGGTCAGCCTGGTGCAGCAGGAGCCGACTTTGTTCGCCACCAGCATTTTTGACAACATCACCCACGGTTTGATTGGTACTCAGCACGAGGGCAAGCCGCATGAAGAGAACCGGGAACTGGTGGAGCATGCCGCGAAGATGGCAAATGCTCATGACTTCATCACGCAATTACCAGAGGGTTACGAGACGAACGTGGGAGAGCGCGGATTCCTTATGAGTGGTGGGCAGAAGCAGGTAAGTGAACAACCATGACAACCCGCTTGAGCTTGTAATAACAGCTTCCAGCGTATCGCTATCGCCAGAGCCATTGTCAGCGACCCGAAGATTCTTCTACTTGACGAAGCAACATCAGCGCTCGACACCAAGAGCGAGGGCGTAGTCCAGGCCGCGCTCGACAAAGCCGCTCAAGGCCGGACTACCATCGTGATCGCACATCGACTCAGCACTATCAAGCATTCAGACAACATCGTCGTGATGAGCCAAGGCCGCATCGTGGAGCAGGGAAAGCACGACGCCCTCCTCGAACAGCAAGGCGCCTACTACAACCTCGTCGAAGCCCAGCGCATCGCGCAAGAGAACGAGCAGCACCAGGATGACCGACGCTCTTCCAGTGACGAGGAGGAAGAAATGATTTTCGACGATCGGTCTGGCAGATTCATGGCCACGGCGAAGACACCTGTATCCGAGAAAGGCGCGCCGTTCGACTCTGACCCTGCTGATCTCGAGCTTCGTCGCACGAAGACCGGCAAGTCGGCCTCGGAAAAAGTTCTCGAAGGCAAGCCATCGGAGCCGGCGAAGAAATACTCGCTCTGGACGCTGATGCGTCTTGTTGCTTCCTTCAACCGACAAGAATGGTGGCAGATGCTCATCGGTCTGGCCATGTCCGTCGTCGCAGGTGCAGGCAACCCCGTGCAAGCTGTTTTCTTCGCCAAATCCATCACCGCGCTCTCTCTTCCACCTTCGCAGTACGGTCAACTGCGGTCGAGGATCGACTTCTGGAGCTGGATGTACTTCATGCTCGCCATGACTCAACTGATTTCTCACGCTGCCTCTGGCGTCGTCTTTGCATACTGCTCTGAGAGATTGGTGCACCGCTCACGCGACCGCTCCTTTCGCTCGATGCTGCGACAGGACATCTCGTTCTTCGACAAGGACACGAACACCGCCGGTGCCCTGACCTCTTTCTTGTCTACCGAAACGACGCATCTCGCTGGTATGTCTGGCGTCACTCTCGGCACGATCCTTCAAGTCCTGGTAACGCTCATTGTCGCCTTCATCATCTCGCTCGCCGTTGGCTGGAAGCTAGCTCTCGTCTGCATCTCCACTGTGCCTATCGTGCTGGCTTGTGGATTCTTCCGATTCTGGATGCTGGCGCGCTTTCAGCAACGTGCGAAGGTTGCGTACGAGAAGTCTGCTTCCTACGCCTGCGAGGCCACGTCAGCTATCCGGACTGTTGCTTCTCTCACTCGAGAAAACGACGTGTGGCAGCACTACCACGCACAGCTCGTTTCGCAGGGCTCAAAGTCGCTCAAATCCATCATCCAGTCATCCAGCTTATATGCGGCGAGCCAGAGCGCCATGTTCCTGTGCATTGCGCTCGGCTTCTGGTATGGTGGCACTCTCATCGGCAACCGGGAGTACAACATGTTCCAATTTTTCCTGTGCTTTAGCGCAGTCATCTTCGGCTCTCAAAGCGCCGGTACGATATTCTCATTCGCTCCAGACATGGGCAAGGCCAAGCACGCCGCGTCTGAGATGAAGACGCTGTTCGACAGACAGCCGGAGATCGACACCTGGAGTCCCGAAGGCGAAGACGTGGGCAGCATGCAAGGCAGCATCGAGTTCCGCGACGTTCACTTCCGCTACCCCACGCGTCCAGAGCAGCCCGTACTGCGCGGACTGAACTTGGACGTCAAACCCGGCCAGTACGTCGCTCTAGTCGGTGCGTCCGGCTGTGGCAAGTCCACCACCATCGCCATGCTCGAGCGCTTCTACGACCCGCTCGTCGGCGGCGTCTACGTCGACGGACGCGAGATCTCATCGCTAAAGATCAACCAATATCGCAACCACCTGGCCCTCGTTTCGCAAGAACCCACACTCTACCAAGGCACCATCCGTGAAAACATCCTCCTCGGCGCCGACAAGCAGCCTGAAGACGTACCCGACGCATCCATCGATCAGGCCTGCAAGGACGCCAATATCTACGACTTCATCCTCTCCCTGCCCGATGGCTTCAACACCGTCGTCGGCAGCAAGGGATCTATGTTGTCTGGTGGGCAGAAACAACGGATCGCCATTGCAAGAGCCTTACTGCGTGATCCGAAGATCTTGTTGCTTGACGAAGCGACTAGTGCCCTGGACTCTGAATCCGAGAAGGTTGTGCAAGCGGCGCTGGACAAGGCGGCGAAGGGACGCACGACGATCGCAGTCGCTCACAGACTGTCGACTATTCAAAAAGCGGACATGATCTATGTGTTCGATGCGGGCAAGATCGTGGAGGCCGGGACGCATCAAGAGCTGATTGCGAAAGGCGGACGGTACTATGAGTTGGTGAACTTGCAGAGTTTGGGGAAGAACGCGTAGAAAGTTGTGGTACATTATGTGGGTTCAGCGAGGCGTTGGTGGAGTAGCTGGCGAGACGCCGCTTGATCTTGAGGTAGCATTACATCTGGTATATATATAACCGCACTTCTGCTGTTCGCTTTCTCAAGCCCTGTGTTCACAGCCAGCCTGTTGATTGGCTCACTGTTTCTCCACGCTAGCTCATGTGCAAATTCAGCACCGCCAACTCAACACCGCCTCGCCGCCTCCACTCACACGTGTGCCTCTGCTTCTGGGGCGAATGATGCAGTCTTCCCAGCCATCTTTCGAACTTTAGGACATAAGGTTTGAACATGGATGTTGGGGATCCGGAATCGACTGAGAAGCGGGAGCGAAAAACCGATCCAGCGGATGTGGCCTTCTTCCAGGCTCGTCTAGATCATGTGCGGAGTGAACGGACATTTCCTGCTTGGGAGAGGATAACACCATCAACTCCAGTTCCCTGTCAGCTACAGTACTGAGGAGTGGTTTGGCACGGCTCCACGGATCTCGAAAAGCGAACTGCAGGGTCCAGACTGCGTCTGTCATGCAGAGGCGCAAGAGGCGACAGAGTTCCGACCTTGGCACCTCCACTGTGACGAGGCTCCCAAACCTTTCCGCGGACTGATTGCGTATGCCGACACCTACATGAGAAGCTCAAATCCAGCTGTTGGGCTGGAGATGACGTCCTGGCTGGACCGCAGTGAAGACTCCGCGGCATGCTGCGGCAAAAGTAAGTATTGCTACAAAACCAGGTAGCCGCCACGGTGGGTTGTTCGAGGTAACTGTCGTTTCATCTCATATCACCGCACACCAATTGCATACTCCATACCGATCCATCTATCAAACGCCAATATGCAGTTCCTCACCGTTGTCGCCGCTTTAGCGTCCACCGCACTTGCCGCACCTCAATACGTAGCGCCTATCGCTGTCAACAAGACGGCGATATACACTTGCGGCGATGTCCCGGTGAGCAGGATATCCTCCCTTAGACAATGTCTGAGACACTTTACTGACGGATTCTTGAAAGTACTACACCTCCAACTACACCTGCTATGGCGACCAGTACCTGTGCCCAGTCGTCAATGGGCGCAGGCAGGAGGCGTGCGGAACAGCATGCTTCGATCCCATGAACTACGGGTAATATACAATGTTCCTCTGTGGCTCAGCTACAGCGTGACGAGAGATCGTTGCTGACCGTGAACTTCAAGATGCACAAATGGCACGCTCGTGCAAGTATCGATGGGCCAGTATCTGAACGGCACTGTGGCCAACACGACTGCTGCTCCGATCAGCCAGTACAGCGGTGACGACGTCACCCTCAAGAACGCCACGTACGAAAGCCCACCACCAAGGAGATGAGAATGGTGTGGCGCAAGGTCATTGGCGATAAACGAGTGTAGGGGAGGGGAGAAGGAGACATTTCCTCAAAAAAAGGCATACGGCATGACATAACGATATTTGTAATGAGGGTAATGGAGCGTATTGGACACGATCTCTTTGACTCTCGATGAAAGTACATCCTTTGGATCTGCTCTAAAGTTGCTCACTGCTACAACGTATAAGCCGCTTCGGCCAATAAATACCTTACTGAATGATGTGTTGATCGATAGTTTCGTACACCGAATTCTGTCATATGCGGAGCAAAAGACGACTGATCAGACAGTCGATGGCAACCCTTCTGAAGCCAACGCATACCCATTCCTATCGTTGGATCGTGCCCGGTGGGTGATTATCGACCGTCGGATCGATTGTCTGGCGTTCGGGGTAAGCAAAAGTATACAACTCGCCTAACAATGAGTATTCAATGAAGGTGTTCGAGTAATGGGCTGTCGACAGTTCTGGCCGGTATCCTTCAAGCGGGTTCAAAAGGCCGAAACAGACACCGTCGAACGTTATTGACGACTTCCCAATCAACAGGACCATTGATGTAGACAAAAAATCGACAATGGCAGGACTCGAACCTACGCCCCCGAAGGGATTTGATATCGATTGAATGCTCATGAGCTCGTTCGAGTCAAACGCAGTAACCTGGAGAGGTGTGAGCAACTGTATATCGACATAGACAATAGCTGTCCACCACAAGATGGTGGAGCGAGGCGAAGGGCAAACGTACCACTTTGCTACATTGCCCAAGACTAATTGGTGGAATACCCGACTCGCTGGAAGGCGATAGCCAGACACCCAGCAGATTGGGTAGACGAAGAATTCTCAATCGTAAAAGTCTGTTGTTGAATCCTTGCCGAGGTATTGCCGCTATAGTAGCTAGCCTTACCTCTAATGACGGTCCTTGACCGGGCAGTCTCGCCAGTTCAATGTGCAGCGTGGGAGCAATGTATACACCAGGCCATTTCCAGATCTAACCCAGGACATGATTAGCCTGTGCATGAAGCCCGGGATACTTGCGACTACTTTCTACAGATCCTCGCCGTAACCTGACGGCTCTCTTGACGGGTGGTTTACCTCTGAATGATTGCTGAGTATTTGGTATGATATCCGATCGACTCTGGCAACGATACGGTTACTGTCAGGCGAAGCAGAAACATGGATGTAATGTTGCTACTACTTAGTTCAGCCGCGCGAGTAAGTCTGGACAGATCTATACTGGATGATGGAATGTAATCTGGCCAATATCCTCAACTCAACTTGCAACCATCGGCAATCCCCCGCCAAACCAGACGAGGTCGGGCCTACGCTTCACCTCAAATGAGGGTCAGAGAGGCTAAGTCGATCTGGAATAGCTTGACAGCCTTCTTGGGGACCGCCATGTGCTCTGGAAGCCTTTGTCGTTCGCAAGTTTACCCCCAAGAATGCATCCGGCTACGGAAGACTCACCAGCGTCTACATCCTAACGAAGGGCCGCTACGTCTCTATTGCGAAGTAACGGTTATCATCACTTGTGAGGACGAAGACGATTTGTTCTGATGAAAGACGAACACGCTGGTCCACGAACACATCAAGCCCGGTGTGGACAGGACCGACCCGATACGTCCGTTGGCAGAAACTCACCACTCTCGTTGTAGGAAAGATGACCTTGCAGTGAACGGCAAACAGTTCTATCGAACATACTTGCAGCATGTGACGCGGATGACGGAGGGTAGGGAAGTGCTACAGTACTGTGCTCGTGCCGGTCAGGCTCCTTTGTGCCGCTTCTTTGGCCACATGGAGCCAACGATGGCTTTCCCAGGAATTGATGCGTGAAAAAACTTGCCATCGTGATTCATGGAGGTATGCTATGCTTTGCTTGAGTTGATGAGCTAATTCTTAGCAGAGCCTTGCGTCCTCAGCATATCTGAACACTCCGTCTCAGGAGCATCTTCATCTCTCTCCATACTTCTTGGACCTGCGAGATCACCATACAACTAGTAACAGTAGTACACAGTCGACGAGACGACGCTCGCGGGCGAAGTAACAGTGACGGTACTGTCAGTGAAGCAGGAACAAGCCTTCGAAAGGTGTCCATCCAAGAGCTTCTTCAAGCAGCGCGGCTTCTCAGGAGCTTGCACAAGCGGCGTGATGGCGGCGGCGTCACGCTTCACCCACTCGGGCGCCTCCCAGCTGGGCGCAGTAGGGACGGCGCGGGCGTGGTGATGGTTCCTGGACGCCGAGGGCTGCAATTCGGTACCGCAGTTCTCCGAGTAGGTGAATGTCGAGGTGCCGGAGAAGATTGTGGTGGTGGGAACGCCGTTGTGACTTATCAATTGTGAGTGAGTGTCGCTCGGCCAGGGGCTTGGATCACACTCACCGGTCGCAGAAGGAGGTGATGGCCGCAGCGTTGCCTGCTTTGGCGACGCATGAGCCGACAGAAGAACAGACGGACTTGGTGCCGCGGCCTTCGAGTTGAGGATTGGCTGCGAAGGCAGAGCCGAAGAAAAGGGTAGCGAGAGTGAGGAACTGCATGTTGACTAATTGGGTCTTGTATGGAGTTGGACTTTGGTCGAAGTCTAAGCAAGACGAGCAACAGACTTCATCGAACATATATCATCAGCTTACCCGTGCGTCAAATCAGGCAGCACTATCCGTATACGAGAATGAGATTCCATAGCGGCTGGTTGAAAGCCACAATGCGGAACAGGTTTCATGCTGTCGTCTTCATCTGGTCGTCTGCTTCAGGCCTCCTGGCCACGCGGCGATAGTGCAAATTGAACAGAGAAAACTCTCGCCTCTCCTACTGGCTGGGTTGTTGTCTTTGAAGCCAATGGCAAGCGAATTTGTGTCGTCTTTGCGGAAGAGCAACGAGCGCGTGTTATTGATGTGGACCGAGATATTTTAAGCTTCGCGGCAGTCTAACACGCCTTCCCCACGGGAGCTTTATTGGCCTTAGCATTTGCTTGGTCTCGCTTGGTCTCGCTTGGTCGGTCCACTCAAAGTGGCATAGCAGCTTGCGGCTGAATGGCTAGAAGAGAACGAGTGTTGCCGGAGTATCTTCTCAATGTTCTTCTCAGCTCGAAATCAACAGTGGACAATCAAGGTAAACTCGGTCCTCGTCAACCTGCAGGAATTGCATGTGATCGAAATACTGTCCGATCATATGTCAGAAGCGACCCTCCTGGCTCTACGATTGACAAAACAGGTATCATAGGACACCCCCGGCAAACTAGCTCAAACCGAGCCATGCCCAACTTGGAAGCAGAAGTCCACCTCCCAGCTAAGAACATTGGCATATTATTGCTAAAATTCTCCACATCCTCAAGAATCACCCGACCGACATCCATGTCTTTCACCACCTCCAGATCCTCCTGCCTTGACCAGTGATACAGCGCCTGCACGGCGTAGGGCGGCCGCGAACCATCCGGGCGGCTCTCGAAATTGATCACTTCCCAGCGCTGCAGACCGTGAGGAGCTTAGACTTTGGCGCAGAGAGACATGTGTGTTTAGAGGTAGTAGTCCATGTCGACTTGGCGGCCTGGGTCGTTGGCGTAGAGGACTGTTGAACAGGCTGTTGGTTTGCAGGCCATGCTGGGCTGGCGTATTTGTTGATGGCCTTCGTCGTCCTTGGTAGCCTCGTGGAGAGGTATGTGGATATGTTCTTGTTAAAATTTGCGATCGGTTGAGTCGGTTGAGTCGATCGACTATATAGGCATAGCAAGAAGAACCGCAGATGTAGCTATTCGAGAAGGCCAGCGTGCTGCTGTGGCTGAAGAGTGTGTCAAGAACACTCGGCGTGCGCTCCTACTCAAAGCGGTTATGCTCGAGCTGCTGAGTAAAGTGAGCAATCCAATGCTTCCAATGGCTAAAGACGTGCGAATTCTCTCTTCACAGCGAGAGCTTGGTCAGACTAGAAGCCTCACAACGACAACAAGAGCTTCCCTTCTGAGCACAAGCAGCCTCGGTGGAGTCGCACATACGCCAAGTTAGCCGCTTGGTAAGCTCTTACGATGGGCACGGGGCTGGTTGCTACACAAATTGGTCTGTATAAGATGCCTCTGGCCGGGCACTCTCAACCTCTGAAGCTTGAAATTCTGTTTCACATCAGTCGATCATGAGAGTCTCTCGAATCTCTTTCGTAGCATTCGCTCTTGCGGCCCTGGGGAATGCTCTCCAACCGTTCGACACATGGGGCCATGAAAGAATCCAACTGGAGCACGTTTCCATCCATTTTCGTTACTCCGAGTCTGGCAAGCCGCCGCTCCTGCTCGTCCATGGCTGCCCTCAGCACTCGCGGACCTGGACACACATCGGACCGTTGCTTGCTGAGAAGTATACCGTGATCGCTCCGGATAACCGTGGCATGGGCGACTCGAGCTTGAGCGACGATGATAATTACACTGCTTTGTCCGCAGGAGGAGACCTTCAGGCCATCTTGAGCTTCCTCAACATCAACAGGACTTTTGTCTTTGCTCATGACAAAGGTGTCGGACTTGCTGCGTCGTTGGCGTTGGAGAATCCTGAGCTGATTGAAAAGATCATACTCGCTGAGTATCCGCTGCCTGGGTAGGTATCGACGAAAACTGTTCTGTAGTCAGTACTGACGCCAACGATGAAACCAGATATGGGTATACAACCGAAGTGACGTCTCCGAATCTGTATCAAAACTGGCAGCTAGCGTTCTTCGCCGTCCCAGAAGCCGCAAGCTTCTTCATCCAGGGAAGGGAACGAGAAATGCTGGACTGGTATTTCTTCCACTCGTCCTACAGCGGAGTGGACTCAATCTCGAATGATCTGAGCGAGATCTATACCCGCTCGATCTCGAAGCCCGGCTTCTTGAGGTCTATGCTAATGTACTTCGCTGCTGCATTCCCGGACAAAACTTACTTCGAGAACAAGATTAGTGAAGGCAAGCTGAAAATGCCGGTGCTGGCAATCGGAGGAGAGGCAAGTTTTGCTCCTGCTGGTGCTATCCGGCAGTTGTTTGAGCCCGTTGCTGCAGATCTTCAGGTTGATGTGATTCCCAAATCTGGGCATTGGATAGTAAGTGCCGTGCCTCTCCGAGGGGTTCTGGAACTGACAAGGGTGCAATAGGGAGATGAGAATCCGGCATGGTGCGCCCAGCGAGCACTCCGGTTCTTTTGGAATAGCTCGAGTGTTCCTGCTGTTGACCTGGCCTGGTTGGATCATACGTTTACCATGCACGGAGCTTTTGGGGGAGTCGAAGTGACGGCGGGCACTAATGGGACTGCATGAGCGCTGCGTTTACACAACAAGCGCAGAGACAGACGGGGACAGCAGAGGATGAGAGATGGAAGATCTTGTTGTGACTACCGGTTTTGTCGAGAGCATGGTTCATCTTCCATCGGCAATGCTGAATCCAATGGTATCTCTGTCATCATCCGTCAATCTGCCCAAGTGACCATGTCGCCAAGGTAAGTCTATCGTATTACAACTTTGAGAAAGAGGTCGTCCCGAAGTCGCCTCTACCTACGTATAAAAGTAAGAAAGGGTAGGCGTATCTCAGCGCGGTGGGTGCAGAAGGGACGAAACCGGCGATAAAAGAAGGGGAACAAGCCACCATTCCATTTTGAGAGTGCAGAGCACGGACATGATTTGACATCGCTTGCACCAATCGACAAGAAGCCTTACCTTATTGCCTTCTCGATGGCGGCGGGATGAGCCACGAGGATGCATCTCAGATGCGCAGCCGCAGCCTTGTCCGCTCGTGCCGAATCGTGCGGACAGGTTGGCACGACTCCATGGCCAGAATGGTGTGCTTGTACGCCACAATGCACGACAGCCGAATCACATTGGAGAACGGCCGAATCATATCAGCCTCCGGAAGTGCAAGACAAGCAAGCGTAGTCTGCAGTGGTGGCTTTGATGAGCCTGATGAGGTACCCGCTGGTCTTGCAGGTCACGGTGATGTCCTGGACCTGAATCGGACTGGGATACGACACGAATGATTGTCCTTTCGTACACCAACGCCGACGTATAGGAGCTGCTGCTACTCCAGCGCTAGTCGTCGTCTTTGCTTTTCACCGGTACTTGGAGATTCTCAGTGCCACGCGAACTCGATCCGCCACATCTTTTAACGAGTGCCCAGATGTTCAGCCTTGTGCGAACCTCCGTGCTCCGAATCTGTGCAGACACTTCCCGATGCATGCCTAGATCGGCACGGTCAACGTATATATGATCTGGCCGATCCTTGGACAGTGGTTTGGGGGGTCTCCTCCTATCCCGCCTCGCAGGGCGTTTAAGGCTGGTCGCTCTTGATTTATGAGCTATGCCTGTCGCCCTTGGTCCAGCTGATCATCCTGCAAAGACCATGAGAGAGGGTGCGAGGTGCTGCCGCTTCGCTTAAGGAAGAAGAGTAGAAGATGAAATCCGCCAGGGTTGGCGTACCATGGAAAAGCCTTTGGGCAAGGATTAAAGAGTTCTTTCGAGACGTCGGGAGGGTCCCCAAAAGATGGATCTGGGGGCCTGCGAAGGAGGAAGCCAAAGGCAAGTTGCAGCGTGTGAGGTACCAAGCATCATCGCACAAATACTGTGCCGAAGTCGGGATGAATCTGACTGACGACCACAGTCGTGCTTCCTGTTGGCTTCGTGCCCATATTCCTCAAGCTCGCAGTTCACGCAATACCCACGCTCGGGACCATTGTTTTGTTCTGGTTCAACTTCGCCAAGTATTTCATAGGGAGCACGCTGGCCGGTATTGCCACGCCACAAGCGCAGAGCATCGATAGACTTGCGCTGCAGGTAACAGCAAAGCTCTACGTGAGTGGCCACGCTCAATCCCGAGCATGGAGACACAGAGAATCACGCGAGAGCATGGCTGGCTGACCATTCGACAGGAGGTCTTTGTGATCGTTTCTCTCACGACGATAATCATGGACGAAGTCAGGGAGAACTTGATTGTCGAGAAGGGCGGCCTTCCGCTGGGCCTCCTCTTTTCGCACAAACAATTCTCGGACTTCCTCTACCTCAGGTCTCATGAATTTCGAGCTGGATGTAAAGGCATTGCCAGCATCCGCAAGCGCGCTCTGTTCGCTTGGCTCATAATTACTTGCTCTTTGGTCGCGCTCTTCGTGGGTCCGTCTTCTGCTATTTTGATCATACCGACTTGGCATACAAAATGGCCTGCAGCTGGGGCATCTATTTGGCTAAATGGAGACCTTTCTCCATCTCAACTCGATATCGGGACCATCGGGAACGAGCTGTGTCTCAACTATACGGATGATCGTAGCATCCTGGACACCATGGACTGGACCTACGCCTCGTGCCCCTGGGCTGGCTTCCCACACTTCAAAAGATACTTTGACGCTCCTGCCACTGGAGCAAGCCATCATGTGACGTACAACTCCAGAACCTTTGTCCAGGACATAACATTGCAGTGGGCCGATGGACTGAACTCGATCTACGCAGTCGACGCCGTGCGTACTTGGGCCGTCTCCAGTAATTTCGCCATAGCTGTGTTCGCTCGCCACATCGCCACCGTGAATTGGCCTCAAGCTCTGCGGTTGGTGATCGGACCGAATAACCATGGGGTAAGGCATCAGTACGCATACGCCCTCTCGAACGGCACCACAGCAAGCGTAGAAGCCCAAGTTCCAGTGGTCCGCACAGAATGCTTCTTGGCCCAAGATCATACGGCGGGCATCCCGAGTGACCCTCCGAGCGAGAACGAGCAGTATCTGCCAGTGAGTCCATATCGATTTAGCTTGTGCGCTCTGTCTTACTCATACTACCCCTGCACAGTTCCCGATTATACCAGACTACTCAGGCAGCCGGTGGGGTGCGTACTACATCCCCGTGCCCATCGTCGAGAGTTCGCATACTGCCACTCAATGGGTCGACATACCTTCTTCTCCGTCAATGACCAACTACAACTCGTCGCTTTCCCATTACCCAAGCGCATTCCTTATCATTCGAAATGCAAGTACATTTCAATCGGACGTCACCTGTTCCATCCAAGCCGACTGGGTGCCCGGCACACATGTCACAAGCTTGGTCAGTTGGGAAATCACAACAAACCAGGCAGCGCAGCTAGGGGACAAGAACTTGGCTTATTTGAAACAATGGATGAACGACGTTGCCCCTTCAGGAGATTCGCAAAATGAGCCCACCCTCTTGGGACCATCGCCAGAGTTCCAAAAGCCAGCCAACTGGCGACAAATATCCATCTCGCCAACATGGCTGGACATCCTCACTCCCGAACTTTCTCCAGACAGGCCAGGCTGGACGACGTTGGCTTCAGTGCTAGATGCCGTGCTGGCCCAGCAAGACAGCGCCGCGTGGGTACCTTTCGAGGTCTATTCGGAGTCCTGGCACTTTGAGCAGATCAACGCCGTTATTACGAGTTTTGTCGCGGACGGACTATCTCGCCTCGGCTGGGAAGAGAACTACGCCTGGGCACTGAATCGCGATACGGTCTTCAATACGCAGGACAGCAGCAATGCCTCTGTCTCGGGCTGGAATTATGCGCAGCAAGAGTGGGAGGGCGTGTGGTCTGCCCTCATCCGAAAGAAAGCAACCCTTCTGCCCAATATACTCTACCGACATGCAGACGGACAGAATTACACCCTACAGATCGCACTCGAAGGCTACGGCATGCGCATCGGCGGGTTAGCGTACAAGCTGGCCCTGCTAGTGGTCTTTATCTACATCGCCCTCGTCTTCTACCACATCCAATTCGTGGTGCGCAAGAACCGCAAGAGCCATGGCAGTGACAGCTGGTCGTCGCTCATCGACATGCTCGTCCTCGCCCAGACCTCCAACCCGCCTGATACGGCGCTGCGCAATACTTGTGCTGGTGTCGCGACGCATGCTACGTTGAAGCTCCCGGTGACAGTGCGGTCGGTGAAGAGCGAGAAGTTGGGGCGGGAAAAGGTGCAGCTGCTTGTTTATCAGGATGGTGGACAGACTGTTGTGCCGGATGAAGCGTATGGGGTTAATAGGAGCCATCCTGTGCAATCCCTCTCGCCGGGACCTGGTGCGACTATACGCTGAGGCGGAGGGGTTGCAAGCGAAGTCATCTTTATACACAAAGTCGTGTTTTGACATCGTGTCTTGTCCCCGCTATCATTCATGTGCAAGTTAAGTCAAATACTAAGGTAAACATTGAGCTCTACAACTCCTGCAACGACCTGGGTTGAATGCAACGCCACCGACCTGGCCACCGACCTGTCACATGTCAGCCTTCCCTGGCAGGATGCGGGCTGACGCGGGGCAAAGCGAGGCAACAACAAACACCACCACAACCACACCAACATACTCCCACATCCTCTCCAACATACAACCAAACCAAACACCCACAACCATGGCATCCACCATCCTCCTACAACTCTGCCTAGCAGCTCTCGCCCTCGCCGCCCCCACCACCTCCGACATCCACACCCTAAGCAACCCAGGCGCCCAAGGCGCCGGCGGCGGCATCGTAGGCTTCATCGTTCTCGTGTTGGATATTATCATCTGGAGTAAGCCTTCTCACCCTACTTAGCCTTCTGATTAGTGAGCACGCGCTGACAGAACTGTGTGTACAGTCGAAGTCCTCAAGTCCAGCCGTCCTCCGAGTCATAAGATTCTGTGGTGCGTGCTCGTGTTCCTGTTCCCGATCGTGGGCGCGGTGGCGTATTGGCTGTTGAGTGATAGGAAGAAGTGGAACGATCAGGCGTATGAGGTGTTGCCGTAGGCTGCCCTGAAGCGGCTGGGATGGGGGAGTTGGGGTGGAGGGTAAGAGCGGTGAGACACACGGGCGATGAAGAATTGGAGAACGCGGAGCGGATGAAGTAGGAGGGAGCGGTCTGGATACTGACTCTCGTGACGGGGTGACGATGACGGGGCAGCGACCTACGAAGTGGTTCACGGAGGGGAGGCGTTCAAGTAGCTTTTGCAGCATTAATACCCCCTTTGTACTGACTTCTCGTAAAAACTGGTCATTGAGATGGATCATATTACAGCTCAGTCATTCTATGCTAGCTCTTCGCCTCAGGAGTAGGGCTAGGACTTGGGCTGGGACTCCGATTAACACCTCTCTCGTCGTGCAGACTCGAGCTCGGGACAAAGACCTTCTCCTTGTTAGGACTCGCACTCTCCACCCTCGGGTGGCCCTTCATCGGCCGCTGCTTCCTTTCTGATCGCCCTCCCAGATCAGCTGGCTCCGTTTCGTCTGCAGGCCTGGCCGCCTCTCGCTTCTGCCACTCTTGCAAAGTCTCCTGGATCTTTGGACCCCAGACCTCCTCCCCTTTCTCCAGATCAACGTATTCCAGCACGTTTTCTCCCAAGCTAAACTCTCCCTGCCGGCTTCGCACGAGTGTCGACATCAACCCCATCGAGTCCACTGCTGCGCCGAGGTCATGACAGAGGCTGCGGACGTAGAAGCCGGAGGTGACGCTCATGCGGAGACGGCAGGCGGGTGCTGGGCAAGGCTCTTGAGGGGCTTGGGGCAGTGTCGGCGGTGCTAGAGCTTGCTCCAAGCTAGACGTCGGCTTGCTTTCATTAGTCGGCGGTGTTGTAGACTCCGGACTGGCCTTCGTCCGTTTCGAAGATTCGGTGTCACCATTCCCAACCTCCTCCTCTCGCTTCCGCTTCGCGCCCTGCCCGTCGCTTTCAAGATGCAGCACCTTTTCCGCCACCCCCTTCGCCTCGGGCTCCGCTTCCTCCTCTGGCCACCTATACTCATGCGATCCTCCTTCCATCCACTCCACCATCTCCAAACTCTTCACCTCCACCGGCCTCTCCTGAATCTCGACCGGCACCTCCTTCCCCTCCCTCGCATACTCATACAACCTCTTCCCCTGCACCCTCAAGGCGCTGAAAATCGGCGGCCTTTGCATAATCTGGCCTCTGAAATTCTCCAACGCCTTCTCCACCTTTTCCCTCGTCACATGCTCATACCCCTTCCGCCCGATAATCTTCCCCACCGCATCATACGAGTCCGTCGCCGCGCCAAACAACACCACGGTCTCGTAACTCTTCGTGCACCCTATAAAATCCGGTAACCTTTTCGTCCCATTTCCGACACCCAGAACCAACACCCCCGTCGCCATGGGGTCTAAGGTCCCTCCATGACCGATCTTGACCTGCAGCGGCTGTCGCTGCTTCCAGCTCCGGCGTTTTTGGCGTTGGTTGTGGGATTCGCTGTCTTTGCGGGCTTGTTCGCGGTCGAGCCAGGGTTTGAAGAAGGTGGAGGATTTGAAGTGGGATTGGCAGTCGCGGATGACTTGGGCGGAGGTTATGGAGGGCGGTTTGTGGATTGCTATGACGGGGTAGAGTGTGTTAGTGGGATGGGAGGAGGTGGAGGGAGTGGAACCCTACAGTACCGAAGATGCCTTCGCAGGGGAGGTAGGCCATGGTGTTGCGGGCGAGAGTGGGGAGCTGAGTGGCGGCGTAGCGGGTGCCCATGGAGGAGGAAGAGGTTGATATCAGAACTCAATCGCTGTCAATGTGAGCTCCCAAAGAGGAAGTAGCGATCGGAAACATCTCGCCGTGCGGCTCGGTCCGAAGCATGCCACTTTCAGATGCAGCGCGCCAGTCCAGCCATCGCGTCAAGACGAGTGGGAGAGGGGAATCGAAGGTGTTTGAAGACGTGGTCGCGACTACACAACGAAAACTGCGACCATCAATGCGACCGCGAAGATGCCGCCGCGACTACTCCCGGAGTCTACTGTCCTCCGTCCGCGCGACCCAGCCGACATCGATACCGACCAATGGCCCATCTTCGAGCTCGTCGATGCGAGCGTGACCGACCCGAACAACGAGAACGCGCCCGCCACTCTCCTTCATGCAAGCGCGCAATACCCTCTCACAGTCACCGGACGACTACGACCGCTTCCGAAGCACCTCTCCCAACTCTATCTCCCGCAATCGCAGCGTTCGTCGCCGATTGAGATCACCGATGTTCGCTCGTTCTCATATGGCGCCTGGGAAGATGGAAGCATTGGACTATGGGCCTGTGGCAAAGCTGGCTGGTTTCTGATAAGCCCTTCCGCGAGCTACAAATCGATCTACGACAGCATGACCGAGGCCGTCAAATTGCTGCACTTTATTGCCGACACCTACAAGTCCACACGAAAGATTGGCAAAATGCCGGGTGGTAGTTCGCTGGGCGAGTACAGCGCGACTGAGATGTTCGCATTATACGCGAGCAAGGTCATGAGAGGCAAGGCGACCGCAGACGAGGCAGCCGAGAAGGTGTATGAGCATAGGCTCTTTCTGCTTTCGAGCGTGATTGCGGGCAAGGAGGGCATCGCGTGGAGCAAGAATCCTTTGTATGTGCATCTTCGGCAGAAATTTCCCAGCGATCGGGCGCGGGCGAGGGACATGCTGTTTGGGACAGGCAGTAGTCGGGCGTCTGCTGGGAGAGATGTTGTTGCGCCGGCAAGACGACCATCCATGGAATCGACTTCGACGAGCAGTAGTCTGAAGAGGAAGCGAGGCCGGCCGCCGAAGGATAGCGATGTCATCTCGATAGCATCGAGTTCGGTTGCTAGTGCCGGGGGCAAGGGGCGGGTTAGCCAGACGAAGAATGAGGTGGACAGCAAGCCTCCTGCAAAAGCTGGCTCTTCTGGACCAGCGACATCGCGACAGACTCGCACGCGTGCGGGCTCACAAACCGCAACACAATCCGCTACGCCTGAGACACCACCCCCTCCGAAGAAAGAAGACGACGAAGACAGCGACATTGATGCGATACATCCTCGGAACGCCAAATCGGCACTCCGACTCAAACCGAACGTATCATCCAAAGGACCAACAAGGAGCACGCTCACGACAGCCAAAGACAAAGACCAACCGGACGGCCGGCGGCGATCCTCACTGGCAGCACTACACTACACCCGCCACCGCGACTCTGCCACCTCCCGCCGGCTAAAATCCGAATTAGACGAAGGCATCTCCATGCCTACCTCCCCCTCCTCAACCTCCCAAGCCGACGGCGGCGGCCCCGACACCCTCCCCGGCGCATCCGACGCCCACGCTCTCAACCACGCCCCCGACCCCATCCAACAAGACACCTGGATCTGCGCGCTCGCCGGCTGCACACACAAAGTCTACGCCGCCTCGACACCGGCTTCGCAGGCGCTGATCCGTCAGCATTACGCTTTACATGCTTGTGATGATGATGAAAGGGTGCAGATGGTGAAGGAGCTGCAGGCGCCGAGCCTGCCGGTTGGGAGGTTGGTGGAGAGGGTAAGGCTGCAGGTTAAGGGGGAGGGGTTTCCGGGGAGTCGGGTGGCGGGGACGAGGTTTCCGGAGGCGCTGAAGAGGAGTGTGTGAGGGGAGGGGATAAGGTGGGGGAGTTTGGGATGGGATGATACCATTTTGTTTTGGACTTTGCTTTGGAGTGGGGGTGGGATGAAGTCTGAGAGTCTGCGTAGACGCTCTGCGAGGACGAGGGCATGTATAGGAGACACCAAGAATCGATGGCTCCCGAGTCTCAACCAAACTGTATAATCCAAACAAACGCCATGCTAAATCTACTCCCAATCCCATTTACTCCCTCCCATAATGCCCTCACTTCTCCTCCCCTCCCTCGCTCTGAGCATTCCCCGCCTGAATCGTCGCCTCCAAATTATCCAACCGTCGACTCATCTCGTCCACTACACCACACCAAAACATCAGCCCACCCCTTCGTCCCAACCACATCACCACTTAGTCCATTGAGTTGAAAGGACACTTACTCTTCGCAATCATCTCCCCCGACAAGTTAGAAAACTTGGAGCTCAGTTGGTTGAGCAGGTCGTCTACTGTTGCTACCAGGTCTGAGGGGTCGGTTTCGGCGGACTGTTGGCACAGTGAGTGGGGGGCTGAAGGAAAGGGAAAGGAGGGGGACGCTACGGAAGAGTCGTTGATGTTTAGTTTGCTGACTTGGGCGGAGAGGGAGGGGGTGTGGGAGGACATTGCTGGGAGGTCCTTCGATTGTTGACTTGAATTGGGTGTTGCGAGAATAGGTCCTTCGTGTCGTCCGTTGGAGGGCAAACTGTTTTATGATAGTGTTTGCCGATTCAAGGCGTTCGCGGTTCGATGGACGAGGTGAGGTCGATATCGCTACCGTATGCGGTTAGCCCGCGCCGTTTGCTGTGGCTGACGAGATCGCGTAGCCACGCGGCGAACGATCCGTTGCATGTGAACGTCAGCAGCGCCGACTGTATTTGATATCTTATTGTTGGTATTGCTACTCATCACCCAGCCCTCTCAAGAGTCCAGCACAGCACCATTTCGACTCTCACCAACGAACGAATGAAGTTCGACGTCTGTATACCATACGCAACGATGCAACGATAGCAAACCACCAACATGGCCACCCTCGGATCTCCCTCCCCTCCCTCCTCGCCCTCGCTCAACTTCCGGCGCAAGAGCTGGGCCCGCCGACTGGAAAGATGCTGCTGCCAAACACTCGCCTACTTCCCTCTGACCTTCGTCTACGGCCTCACGACATGGGCCGTCTACGTCGAAGTCAACATCAGCTTCTGGAGCAGCGCATCCACGACCTCCTACATCAGCGCCTTTCTCGGTCTAGCCCTCTACCTCCTCGCCAATACCAGCTATACCGTCGCCGTTTTCACCTCCCCCGGGTCTCCTCTGGACCCGCGACAAGATTGGCGCGATCGCGGCCTCTTCCCTAAATCCAGCTCCACCTACTCCGCCCTCCCTACAAGCGAGCGGCACGACGACCACTCTTATGCACCGCACAGCAGCGGCACCAATGGCATGACCACCCTCACCGCCAAATCCTCCACCGGCAAACCTCGCTACTGCAAAAAATGCCACGTCACCAAACCCGACCGCGCCCACCACTGCTCTACCTGTGGACAGTGCGTGCTGAAGATGGACCATCACTGCCCTTGGCTCGCTACTTGCGTGGGTCTGCATAACTATAAACCCTTCCTCTTGTTCCTCACCTACACGTCGCTGTTCTGCTGGCTCTGCTTTGCGGTTAGTGGATGGTGGGTGTGGAACACGATCGCCGAGGCGCAGCGGATGGAGGAGGGGATGAAAATTGTCAATGCGATATTGCTCGCGGTGCTGGGAGGGATTATAGGATTGGTGTTGACGGGTTTCACGGGCTGGCATATTTGGTTGGCAGTGAGTGGACAAACTACGATCGAGAGTCTGGAGAAGACGCGATACCTCAGCCCCTTACGGAGAAGCATGGAGCCATCGGCAGCGCACGGAGCCGGACGACACTACATCGGCCAGGACCCAGAAAGTAGAGAAGAAGAAGGCCAAACCCTCCTCGACCACCTCAAAGAAACCCACGCCAACGCCCTCCCTGGCATCCTCCGCCCGGAAGAAGGCGAAGAATCCCGCCCGCCCTCCTCAACCCCCACACCTCTCCCCCAAGCCTCTTTCACCCACACCCACACCCGCGCCCCCTCCGACTCACCAGCAAAGAACTCCCTGACCCAATCCTACGCCTCTCTCGAAGCCGCCCGCGAACGTGCCCGCTACGCCGCTTATCAGGACGAACTCGACAGCGCCAAACTGCCCAACGCCTTTGATCTCGGCTGGAAGCGCAACCTCCTACACGTTCTCGGGCCGCAGTGGTTTTTCTGGCCGCTGCCGGTGTGTAACTCGACGGGCGACGGGTGGGGCTGGGATGTTTCGCAGGAGTGGAGGGAGGCGGTGGAAGTGGTGAAGAGGGAAAGGGAGGCGAGGGAGAGGGAGGAAGCGGTATGGGATGGTGCTGGACACGGTAGGGAGGAGCCGAGGAGGGATTTCAGGTGGCAGGCTGGGCAGGGTTTCGTGAATCATGCTCCGCCGCCGCCGGGAAGGTACCAGGATGGCGGTGATGAATTGGATGACGAGGGCAGGCAGATGCAGATGCAGCCGTTGGATCGGAGGAAACCGCTGCCGCCGAGGGTGTCGTCGAGGAATAGCGGTGCTGGTGGTGGTGGGGAGGTTGATTCCTATGATACGAGCAGTGATGAGGATGTACAGCAAAGGAGGTTTGAGGCGCGTGGGACGAATGGGACGGCGAATTGGAACGACATTCCTGATGATTTTCTATCGGCTGGGCGCAGGAGCGAGGGTGTGAATAGGAGTAGGAGTCGCGGGAGGAGGAAGGGGGACTAGGTAGGTGTACAGTAGTGTATTGATATCATTGCTCTCATGAGCTCACGTCCTGTGTCCTCGTACACCTCAGCAATGCGTTCAAGCCAGCATACACCTGTTCGCAGTAGTGAGAGCAACGATAGACATGCTTGCTTGCCTTCGCCTTGGCTTACACCTGCCTTCTCGATTCAAGAAGACGGCTCCTCCATCCGGATGTCCTTGCCCATCGAGTCCAGCACCATGCAATTGTCGGGAATATTCTTCTTCGCCTCCTCCAGGCTTTCCTCGGCGCTCGGGAAGTCGAGCGGGAGGCTGTCGAGAAGACTCTCAAGCTCCTTGCGCGGGTACGTGCACATGAATCTGTGCAGCTTCCAGTGCTTCTTCTGGCAGCTCCTGGGGCAGTACTTGCGAGCCCCGCAGCCACTACAATCGCGGAGCGGTTCGCCGTTACTCTTCTGGTCCGCGCCGCATGCTGCGCACAGATGGTTGGGATAGCTCATTGATTCGAAGCCTTTCCCAGCGTCGGGGAAATTGCGGATGATGTCGACGACGTCTTGACCGTTTGGCATGGTGCTCCGAAGGACTTTGATGCAGCCGTACTCCTCGACGATGGGCTTCGTCCAGGTTGGTTCGAACATCGTTTGCAGCTGTTGGAAGAAGCTTGGGCCGCCGTAGTCGGCCGGAACTCCTGGGGTGTAGACGCGATAGGCCTTCAACAGCTGGGCCAAAGCAAAGCCGTTGAGAGCGTAGTGGGAGTACCTCTTCTTCAGTGCAATCGCAAATTCGGGGCTCAACATCTTGTCGCAGCAGAGCTTCATCTCGTCAGGGAGCACACAGCCTGTTTTCGGGGTCAGCGATATGCGTAGAATGAAAAGAACACAGACCTTTTGACATACCCAGTTGCATGACGCATGCAAGGAAAACGTAGAAGCGGTATGCATCCTCACCGCTCCAGTGTTTCCTATTCTTGAGGAAGTTGTCGTTCATGATATTGTTCGCGAAGTCATCTTGCACGAGACGGCGTAGTGCACCTGAGTCGAGGAAGCGGCGAGTGATATCCACAGTGTTCGGTCCATAGCAGCTGTTCCGAAAGATGGAAAGGCGGATGCGTTTGTCGTTGGTGGTGATACCAGCCTTTTCAGCCACTTTGGCGCGTAGCTCGCGCAGACCAAGGGAGTCGTCAAGCTCTCTTATGTATATGAGATCTTGCCTCTCTTGGAGGATGCCCACTCCCTGTGATGCATGTCAGTGATTCCCTTAGGTGTGAGTGTGAATTGCAGCGACTGCTCACCACATTTGCTGTCATCAATGCTCCATTCGCCCACCGTTACCCCGTTCATATACGCCCTGATCTCCTGAGAGCTCCAGCCCGTGTCGCACAGCCTGTCCGTCACTCCCTCGCTCCACCGTAAAACAGCCACATCCCTCATGACCATGTTCTTGAGCATCATTATCTGCCCCTTGGTAGGCTTTGGTGGCGCCATGTTTGCGTCAGCACAGTCAGTGGTTGTAGTGAAGAGAAAGTTGAGAGACGAAAGATGAAGTGAAGAAGCGCGAAGTGGATGAAGCTTCAGGCAGCAAACGCGCTTCACGCGTGCGAGAGGGAAGGCACGCCCTCAACCGCACCTTCCTCTGCAAAAGCGTGAGCCAGGCTCCACCTCCCAGCGCTGCTCTGAAGTCTGAGCTACGAGCATGAATGAACAGCTTCTGAGGAATACATGTACGTACCGCGAAAAAAATGGTCGGGTACATGCGATGACTGGCAGCATGGCCGACTTCAGGGCATCACGCCCTTTTCTTCCTCCGCCTCGTCTAAAACGCAACTTTCGCCTCCCTACTGCCGCTCGGACAGCTTTCCCATCAACATCGAAGAGTTGAAATACCCACTGAAGGCAGTGAGATGCCAATCTCAAGCGATGGCAACAGGGAGATGTGAACGTGAATGGATTCGTGCCTGGCGCAGCTCGCCGTGGCGCTCAGATGAATTCGCTAGAACGCAGCAATAGTCTTTCTCTCAAACCATCACTTCACTCACGACATCTTCGCCCTCTTGCTCTTCCCTGGCCTCTGCGTCTTCCCGACCTTACCCTTCATCTTCTTCACCGAATACCCCTTCGTGTCACCCGCAGACTTCGCATCATTGCTCTTCGCGAACCTCTTCTTGCCACCAAAGCCGAACTTCTCGTCCTTCTTCTGGCGCTTGCGGTTTCCAGGCCCGCCGGCTCCACCGCTCGCTCGTCTCGCTGCGCGATCTGCCTTATCGGTCGTGGCGGCGTCTTCAAGCGCGACGTCGAACATGTCGTCTTCTTTTGCAGTGAGGTCTGCACCTTGTCGTTCTGCGATGGTGTTAGCATCTTTTGAAGTCTCAAATATATGGGTCAACATACTCCTCTTGAGCACATTAATCTTATCCAACGTCTCTCGCTTCGTCTTATCCCTCTCCTGCAGCTTCGCCACCTGCACCGCCTTGCCAAACTTCTTCAGATCCCTCTGCCGTCTCGCATCTGAGCTGGCCTTCTTCCTCGCCGCCTCATCGACCATCTTCTGCCGCACCTTGCCCATTTGCTCCTCCGACTTGACCATCTCCGCGAAGTAGTCCGCTGGCCGTGAGAAGGGCGCGCCTTCCTTCTTGAGCCGTGTTCGTGCATCTTTGACAGCGTCCAGAGATTGCTTGTAGAACGCCAGCTCACGATTAAGGTCGTCTTCGACGTCCGGTATCTCCACTGGTTCTGCTGAGATCACAGTCTGTGCTGCTGAGAAAGGCAAGCTCGAAGGTAACGCAAAAGACTTCAGTGACCGTAGTAGAGCAGCCGTATTGTTGATCGTAAGCCGTTGATGCGGTATCACATCCCCTTTGTCCTCTTCCGCAAGCGACTCAATGTCCGACAGCGGTATCTCCTCTTCATCCTCTTCATCCTGATCGTCCACTTCCGCACCACCATTCTGGAACGGCTCCTCCTCTTCATCCGACGCAGACTCATCCTCCATCATGTTCGCATCCACTCCCACCCCGTCCTCCGCATCCTCACTCTCGTCCGTCTCCCAGCCCGCGCCCTCCCCAGCATCCTCCTCTAATGCTTGCGCTGCATCCGCCGTTAACCCCTCCTTTGCGAGCTCCGCTGAAATCTCTGTGCGCAATTGGTCGTCTACGGCACCATCGTCGCTGAACGTCTCGACCTCCAGGCCTTCCTCATCCTCACCTTCATCCTCTTTCGGAGGCTCTTTTGCTCTTTTCCGCTTCTCGGCCGCTTTCTGCTGTTTCTTCTGCCGCTCCTTCTTGTGGTCGACGCCTTTGTATCTCTCCAGTGCTGCTTTCAGCGTCTTGTCCTTTGCCATTGTTGTGCAGTGGTTTGTTGCGCAGTGGTAAAGAGTTTACGTTGGTCGTAGTCGCAGTCGCAAGCTCGAGCTTCGTCCAAAAAAATGCTGGACCCGCCAAGATCTAGAACTTGAAGGCAAAAAGCGACTAGCCGCATTGAGCAGAGACGTCGACCTCACTTCAACTCCATCCGTCACGCAAGGGATGTAGAGATCGTGGAAGGCGAGATGTTCCGTGCCGGGCGAGGACTACGAACCCTAAGATGTAACCAGCTATTCCGACCAACGCTCCTCCAGCGCACCCGGCTCACCTCATCAACACCGCCCCCGCCAAAAGCCTCCAATGCATACCCCCGACCCACCCGCTCCCAAATCCTCCTCGACCGCTACGCCCGCCGATCCACCACCGTGGTCTACATACTCCTCGGCATCCTCCTCACCGGCCACATCCTCGCGACCTACGTCGTCGAAGTCGGCTGGTGCTACGGCATCTCCATGCTGCCCTCCTTCGCCAGCTACGGCGACGTCGTCTTCATCTCCAAATACCACCGGCGCGGGCGGGACATTCACGTCGGCGACATCGTCTCCTACGCCCATCCTATCGAGGAAGGCGAGCGCGCGATCAAGAGGGTTCTGGGGATGCCGGGGGATTTTGTGTTGCGGGATACGCCGGGGAAGGGGAAGGGGGTCATGCTGCAGGTGCCCAAGGGGCATTGCTGGCTGGGTGGGGAGAATTTGACTTGGTCGCGGGACTCGAGGTTGTTTGGGCCGGTGCCGTTGGCGTTGATTAAGGGGAGGGTGACGCATCGGGTGCCGTTTGGGAGTTGGCCGGTGAGGTTGGAGAGGGGGTTGACGAGAGCGGATGTCGAGGAGGATGGGGTGGACTGAGGGAGATGTTAAGCCTTGAGACGATGATGTCGAGTCGATGGCTACAGCCTGCACCGCTGTCGCTTCGACCCCCACTTCACGGTCCCAGGTGGCTACACGAAGCAGATCCAGAAGCACTCCAGCCTTGATTTTCCAGGAACGCCAATGGCTACAGGCGAAGGATCGAGCCGGTGCATGGAAGTCTGGTGGGCCTAGAAGGCAAATGATGCAGTCAGAGCTGCCAGTAGTGGTCTCGTATACCTGCGCGAAGTTAAAGTCACTAGGAAGAGAACAGGGAGCACTGTATGACAAGGTGAGCAGATCAATGTACCTGCATGCTAGTGTATTCTGCAAGGCCGTTCTTCGACTTAGCCAACACAATCCCAAGCGCCTGGCTAATTGAGAAGCGGCAGTGACGCAAACCCAGGATATCTCATGCAAAGCGCCTCGCTGTCCATAACAAACAAACACTTCCTCTGAACATCATTTCCATCAATCTCTGCTACGAACACGCACACTCACAACAAATCGACCGCTTTCGCCCGTGCCACCCAAGCCTCGCTTCACTCCTCATCATCCGAAGTGACGGACCGACTCGATCCGTCCTCGCGATACATGAGTGCGCGGAAAGCCTCCGACTCCGGCCTGTCGTACGCCTTCCGGTCGGCCTCCTTCTTGGCCTTGTTCCTCGCCTCAATCGACTCGAGCGACTCGAGACCTGCTTCTTCCCGAAGATCCCTCATCTCCTCGGCAGTGTAGTCGCGGAGGTCCTTCCAGGTAGCCTCTCGGATCTGTAGCGGAGTGTTTTGGGTGGCGCTCGCCTCCGGGGCTTGCTGGTCGACTGCTTCCTGGCCTTGAGTCGTGAGTCGGTTGGCAGCTGCCTGAAGAGCGGACTGAGGAGCTTGCTGTGTGGTGGTGTCCTGATCTCGAGGAGCAGCTTGATTCTCTGCTGTCTGAGGAGCTGGCTGTCTCACTGGCTGCTTGCCTTGCTTCTTCGAGAGGCTCGCATCCTGAGTCGTGTTTGTCGCCACCTTTTTGCCTTGTCTGTCGGGACGCTTCTTCGGCGCCCCTGGGGCCTGCAGAGTACTGTCCTGCTCCGCAGCCTTCCTAGCCCTCTTGGTCTCCTCACGCTTCAGAGAGGCGTACCGATTCCTCCTGGCTGCCGTACCAAACTCCGCCCTCTTGGCCTCGAGCTCTTTCTTCACGGCCTCTCTGTCCTTGTCGCTGGTGGCCTCAGCAGCATAGGCTTGACTCAGCAGCCTGGTGAGCTGAACGTCGCTGAGCGTGCCGGCACCGTGAACAGAGTTTCACTCCGCCACCATCTCCTGATTGGTGAAGACTGATGCGACACTCAGCAAGTCGTGACTGGTGAGTGCAGCAGGAAGGAAGGTGCTGATGAGCGACTCTGCTTCAGCGTGGACAGTCTCTGCTGTCTCCTCCGCTTCCAGGTCCTCCTCCGCTTCCTCCTGCTCCTGTCCTCCGTCAGATCCCTCGCCATCTCCGACGTCACCGTCGTCATCTCCGGCCGCCACAGGCCCAGCCTGATCGACCTCATCCTCACCAGCAGCAGCTTCCGCTGACCGCTTGTGCTTGTCGCCCGCGCGTGGAGAGTCAGAGGATGACGCAGTTGCCGTCGCAACTGCGCGCGTGGAGGATCTGGTGGAAGGGCCAGCCATGGTGTTGGTTGCCGTAAAGTGGTTTGTGATTGCCGGCTAGCAGTCGGGCGACGGTGATCGTCCGGTAACAGGAGAGCTCTGCTGCTCTGTTCGCTGAAGCTTCCGGAAGAAGGCAGTGATCCTTCCCTGTGGTGGCAGAAGCTTGGTCTGCGGGCGCCGTGGTAAGCTAGGAGCCATAGCGAAGAAGTGCGCGGAGGCGAGGTGAAATTTCTTGGGATGCCTGCAGGAGAGGGGAGGTGTGATTGTGGTGGCGCAGATCTCAAGGTGTAAGTCGATTGGGGATGGTAACATACCTTGAGCTGACAGCTGTGTTCGTGTAGGTAGTTGGACGAAAGATGTCGAAGGAGTCGTTATATTGTGTCGAGTATGTCGTATATGGAGGGGTGATTTCGAGGGGACGCTTGGGCCTCGAGCTAGAAAGAAAAAAAGAATGGACTAGGCCAAAAGCGGTGATTTTCACGTGAGAGTGAATGTCGGCTATTTGCTTCGCCGTGCTGAGAGGGACATGTGAGCGGAAGGACATCGAAATTTGCCAGCAGGAATATCATATATTCAACATGGTGTTGCGCTCCAGTCCGAACGCCTCGCTGCCCTGAAAAGCAACGCTCATAGCATCAAACGAAGCGTCGCTCAAAGCAACCAACAAAACAAATGCCCACCACCCGTACTTCCCCACCTCCGAAGCCTCGCTCAGCATCTTCGGCAGCCTCAGCATCGGCTTGTGGTTGGACTGGCGCATCTGCAGGCCCCAGAATCTGCGATCCATCCGCATTGTAGGCGCGGAATCCTGGGACGTAGCCGGGCTGTCCAGCGAGGTAGCCGACTGATGGTGCCCAAGGGTTTTGCTCGATGGTTGGAGGAACAGCAGGTCCTTGCGGATCCGCCTCTGCCAACAAGTCTTCGAGATCTTGCGCAGGGTCGTCGTCGCCGTCAGGCCCATCGCTGTCATCCACTCCACCCTGCCCTGCCTGCTGCACCTGATCGAGGCCACCAGTACCAGTCACAGGCGCTGGTGCTGGCGCTGCCGCTGGCTGGGTTGGTGGTGGTGCCGGCTGGTTGTTGGCCCTGGGTCTGTGTCTGACCGTACCAGTGGTTGCGTTCTTCCGCGCCGTGGTGCCGTTTGCGTTCTTCAGTCGTTCCAGCTCCGCTCTGACGACAGCACGAATCACGCCTTGCGTTTTCCAGTAGTCCGTCGCGTGTGTGATGCGACGTGACACTGACTGGTCGGTCAGCTTGGCAGATTCGGGATGCTGCGCGTTCCACACGTCAAGAATCTCCTTGTTGGTGTGAGTGATGGCGATTTGGAGCATGCGAAGATCACTCAGATTGGCGAGTGAGTCGGCGAAGATTTGCGCATCCGTCAAGCCAGTGGGCGGGATGGTGAATGCTGTTGCAGGTGCGCCGGCAGCAGGAAAGACACCCGCCTGACCAGTCTGGTTGTTGCCCGGCGCAGGAGCTGGTGGCGCTGAAGGTGCGGAAGTGCCAGTGGGCAGGCCGTTCGACATGGTGCCGGAAGAAGAAGTGATCGTGTATTTAGGTGAGTGGAGGTTGGACTGTAGTCTTGGTAAGCTATGCGCCATGTTGTGGTTCTTTGCAGGTGAAATCGCTGGGCTTGACTGCTGTGAGGTAAGCATATCTGCTGATGTCGCGGAACGGCTATTGGGCTTGGGAAGACAGTAGCAGGAACGTACCTTTTAGCCAGCGGATGTTGGGCTATTGTGTCGTGTGATATAGTTGTACCTGGTGATTCTTGGTCTGGTGTGTCGTGGGGTTATTATTTACGTCGTGCTCTTCGAAATATAAGATCCGCTTGGCACCAGAAGGGGAAAGAAGTCGGTGCTGGCGGCAGGCCGGGAGCGTCCACTAGCGCTAGCATGTGCGCCAGAACAGCCATCTCATTCTCCCTCCAACGAAAGAAATGCCACCAGAAACATGATAAACACAGCTGATGGTATTGTGTACTTGCTCTCTCGCAGTTAGCTGCATCCCACTTCGGGGGACGAAGAAGTCGATGCCAGCTAAGGTCTTGACGGGATTGGGATTGAGATGAAGCAGATATGAGAGGAGCGACCTACATGTTGCTTTTGTACCTACCACAGACCAGCACTTACCAATGTAAGATAGTTTGGTGAGATGGAGCCCATTCGTGATCAGACTCCTCCATCTCTTTGGTTCTCCTTGATTGCACGCCGTTGCTATACGGCTTCTTTGGACAGCAAAGCCATCTTGAAAGGGAATGCAAGAGGGCAAGTACCTTTGCCAACTGATAGTAAGAAAGAAGGTTGGTGCAGACCTGCCGTTTGCATATTGTCCAAAGCGGACGCGTTCTACCAACAGGTTTGCCATGTCCGCATGGAGTGTTGTCCGTCAATGGATGCAGAACAATTATTGCTACTGATAATTGCCAGTACCAAGTACAATGGGGACGACAGATTGAAGGAGAACGCATGCAGGTCGAGAGGAGAGTCGAGCGCCAGGAGGTGAAGTTGAATTTGAAGTTGAGCTGGCTGACTAAGATTCCGACTTGAGCCGCATCATCTTGAGTCAATCCACTTACAATAATGAATCTTACCAAACTTTCGAACGCCCGCAGACTTCTGTATCCAGCATTCAGATGGATCCTTTCGAAGACAACCAACGCGGAGCGGCATGCTCACTGCCATCTGGACTCGGGGAATAGGCCGGCATCGACCGTGTTCCTGTTCGAGACGACAGCATGTCGACAAATGGTCAAACCGCTCACACTGGATCTAATGGCAAGATCAAGACGTCTCCCCCGGACGCCGACAGCGGCAGGGTGCCAATCTTCACACGCATGCTGGACAAGACAAAGCACTTGTGGACCAAGTCTGGCATCACCTGGCCACTATACAAGTCCATGTTCAAGGGAGCGCTGGCGCCGACAATCGCAGTGGCGGCCTTCCAGGCCAATGCTTATGCACAAGAGTTCTCCACTCTGGGCTACCTTATCGGCATCATGACCATCTTGTCTCTAGTCATACAGCCGCGAGCGAAGTTCTTGCAGACCATGCTTATCCAGCTACTGCTCACCTGCTTGGTCTGCGCTGTGACGGTGCTAGCTTTCTTTTGCTGCGTGCAGGCTAGGATGGGCTCTGAGGGAACTGTAGGCCCCGGAGCAGGCGGGTCGGGAACGAGTGGGCTTGCCTCGAACGGAGCTGCCACAGCACAGTACAGTTCTTCTGCTTCTGCAGTAGCCGGCGTTTGGCTGTTCACGCAAATCTTCTTCATCAGTGTGCTGAGGGCGAGAATGCCACAGTATACCGTTCCTTCAATCATGGCAGCGGTCTTTGTCAATGGTAAGCTCTTCACAGCACAGGGGCAGTTTTCTTCTTATTCCCTTGATTTCGATATCACTGACCGTTGCTCCTTTTTCATTTCAGTTGCGATGACCTACGCTCCGCAGTTCAGCACCATGACGCAAGCCGAGCAATTTGCACTCCGTTTGCTTGAGGCTTACCTCACCGGGTTTGGCATTGCAGCTGGCACTTCTCTACTGGTATTTCCGTTGACAAGCCGCCATTTGGTATTCGCCGACATGCGCGCCTCCATCGCAGGCTTCCGCGGTGCGCTCGGGGCCAACCTGGACTACTTGAAGAGTCTCGAGGACACAGATATGTTCGCTGCGCAACGTACGCGGACCGACGGTGTCAAACCTGCTCGCAGCCCGGAAGCTGAAGCTTTGATTGCGAAGGTCCAAGCCTTGGGACCAACCAATGCCAAATTTGCCATAGATCTACCGTTCGCAAAGCGAGAGGTGGCGATTGGCAAGCTTGGCCCTGACGACCTACAAGAACTTTACCGGCGGGTTCGTGAATGCACGATACCTCTTGTGGGCCTCAGCTGTATGAGCGATATCTTCGAGAGGACTTCTGAAGAGAGAGGCTGGGATCGATCTGTCTCATTCGCCACTGCGACCTTCGAAGACGCCACCAACGCCGCAGAACGTGCCAGAATCGAGAACATCAACCAATGGCATGAATTGATCAAGCTGCTCAAAGAGCCCTTCACCAGCATCACCGAAGCTATTGGCGAAGGGTTTGAGCATTGCAGCCGGACACTCCAATTGGAGAAGCCGCCAAAGCAGGACAAGCCCAAACGTGATCCGGAGGCCTCCGCTGCCCGAGTAGAGCCTGGAGATGCTGCATTCGGCGGGGCCTTTCGCACGAAGATCGAAGATTTCCACAAGAGCAAACAGTTGATGCTTCGTGGGTGGTGTGATATCCATGGGATTGAATTGCCGCAGGACTATTTCACAAATCCTTCTGCCAAGGAGATCCAGGCACCACGATGGATGAGTGCTGGACCACTGACCGAAGAAAGGCGGCGACTGCGTCGTCAATTGATGGTGCTGTTATACGTTGAGTTTCTGTTGTACCTCATGGCCAAACGAGTTCACGCTCTGATACTCGTTGCGGACGAGCTAAGGGCCTCTGGGAAATTAAGTCATTCGAGATTGATCGTACCAGGCTTCAAGAGACTACGCAAGTGGGTTCGATCTTCGCTATTTCACAGCCAGGAAGGCCACGAGGAAGATACCATGGACTTCAACGACCACACAACGAACGTGGAGCTGGGTCAAGCCTTCAAGAAGAGGAAAGATCCTGAGCACCTCGAACCACAGACGACGTGGGAACGCCTCACAGACCATTTGCGCGCCATACCACGCTTCTTCGGGTCGCCAGCTTCGCATTTCGGCTTTCGGGTGGCAGTGGCAGTCATGTCTCTGGCCATCATCAATTACCTCCATCCCACGCAAGTCTTTTTCACCGAGCAGCGACTGTTCTGGGCGCAGATCATGACCTCGATTGGCATGACCCCGTCCTCGGGGCAAGCTCTAAGGACATTCATTTTGCGAGTCATTGGCACTTTCATGGCCATGATCCTGGCTCTAATCGCCTACTACGTTGTTGATGGACATGTTGCTGGTGTTCTTGTGTTCTTCTTCGTTTTCCTCCACATCGGGAACTATATCATTCTCACGCGGCCTAAGCTCATTCCTATCGGCATTATCTCACAAGTCACCATCACCCTCATCATCGGCTATGAGCTTCAAGTGCGGAAGATTGGTGTTCAAGCGGCAACGAGCAACGGCCAGGCCTACTATCCCATTTGGCAGCTGGGCCTGATTCGGTTAGCGACTGTCGTCGGTGGTCTCTTCCTGGCCTACATCTTCTCTATCTTCCCATACCCAATCACGGAGCATTCTCAACTCAGGAAGAACCTAGGATCCTGCCTCTACCTGACGGCGAATTACTACTCAGTCGTGCACGAGACAGTCCAGGTGCGGCTTGCAGGTGCAGAAGGCGACACGACTGCAAAGGGTAGTCCCGGTCACCAACTGGAGAAGAACCGACAGAGGATATTCGCCAAATGTCAGGCCCTACTGGGCGGCCTCAGAACTCAAAGCGGCTTCGTAAAATACGACATACCGATAGGGGGCAAATTTCCGTCAGAGCTCTACACTCAGATAACGTCTGATCTGCAGAGCGTGACGAACTACATCTCCTTGATCAGCGTCGCTTCTTCTGCGTTCGCCGAGTTGCAGTACGACAGCAACGAGATGTCGGGCTCGGAGTGGCTGCGAAACTTCCGTCGGATCATGGGAGAGGCAAAGCTGACTTCTCAGACGGTCACAACTCTGCTGGCCTTGCTCTCGGCGTCTGTAACGAGTGGGAATCCTCTCCCGCCGTATGTGCGACTGCCAGAGCCTTACTTGTTGAGCGAACGGTTGGATGCGATCGATACAGACATCTTGAGCGTTCGGCACATTGCAGAGCCTGGCTATGCTTCGTTCGCGGTCATACAGATCGGTACCAAGTGCCTGGTCGACGATCTGAAAAAGCTTTTGCGAGGCGTGAAGCAGCTGGTCGGCGAGCTTGACTTTTCATACCATGTGGTCAACACTGCTGATCAGTCCAGAGCCGGTTCGAGAGAGGCGCTGTTCTTCAATGCGCCGGCTGGGAATGATCGATCGGATGGCAAGATGGAATGAGACTTTCCAGCATCAGGACACGCGACATCGCCCGGTCTTTGGCAACGCTTCCTGTCGAGGATATCTGGAGAGCCGGCAGCAACAACTATTCAAACACCGTCAGTTGCCGGTCTTCCCCTCACTGATCGTCATCATAAGCTTTGCAAGCCTCGCCTGTTCCACCACACTATCACCGCATCGAGCAGGTGTTCCTGACTAGTTACGGAAGACAACATCGGCTTCTCAATGATGACGTTCAATGCGATGTGATGGGCTTGGTAACCTCACCAACTCTCAGCACAACCATCTCGCTCGCTGTCCACGCATTCATCAGTCGGCCACAGAACTCAAGATGGTCAACATCACGAACGTCGACCTGCTCACACTGGCAACGAGCTACCAGTACGCATACCAGATCCAATCGATTGCCAATGCCTCGACGGACCATGTCTCTTTCATCTCCTACGACGACTCTTTCGCCAACATCCTCGGACCCAACCCAACCCAGGAAATGGTAGCCAACTACCCATACGCGGCCTTCCACGAAGCAGGCGTCTACAACCAAGCCACCGGCAAGCTCTACGCAACCTCGAACTGGAACGGCTCCTTCTCCAACCCAATCAATGTGACCACCATCGACATCCACAACAACGATGCCATCGACTCGATCCGCTACCCCCATCTCCACGAAGCCAACGGCGCCGCAGCCTACTACCCACCCAGCACCCCGGCCAACAGCAGCGCAGGCCAACAGATTGTCTTCTGCGACGAAGGCGACCTCGTGCACCCGTCCCAACTCGTCCTCGTCGACCCCGCGAGCGGCGATAGCTCCGTCCTGCTGAACAACTTCCTCGGTCGCAACTTCTCCAGCCTCAACGACGTGGAGCAGCACCCGGAGACAGGCGACCTCTGGTTCACCGACGCGAGGTACGGATACTGGCAGTACTTCCGCCCCGAGCCTGTGATAAGGCCGCAGGTGTACCGTTTCTCGCCTTCCACTGGTGTCGTGCAAGCAGTGGCGGACGACTTCATTGCTCCGAATGGGCTGGAGTTGAGTCCGGATTTAAAGCACGTTTATGTCACGGATACCGGCTCGCACACTTTCCCTGATAAGGATAATCTTACGGACCCGGCGACGATATACCGCTTTGACATCACGGGTGATGGGAAGAGGTTGGCTAATCGCCAAGTCTTTGCATATTCGGAGTTCGGGTTCCCAGATGGGATTCATACGGATACGGAGGGGAATGTGTACTCGGGCGTCGGTGATGGGGTTAACGTATGGAATCCGCATGGGGAGTTGATTGGAAAGTTTGCGGTTGCAAATGGAGGGTCGAATAACTTCGCCTTCGTGCCTGGGGGGATGTATATTTTCAACAATTACCGGTTGTTCAAGGTTACGATACAGGCGGAGGGAAGGACTGTGAAGAGGGATTTTGGGTTGGGTTAGCTGGCAGCTCTGTACACAGGATGGATTTGTTAATGCTGCTCATCATGTTCCTGCCGCTATGATTCCAAGTGACAGGTGCTGCTTTGCTCAACATCAGATACTCGAACGTACAGAGATTAGTCGGTCGACTTCTTCCGCTTCTTGTTCCGACCTCCCGAGTTATTGTCGTCTGCGCGGCGCTTCTTGTGCTTATGCTTTTCTGCCCTGAAAGCTACTCCACCATGCCTAGCCTTCTTGACTTCCTTCGCAGGTGCTGCATCACCTCCAGCAGTAGCAGCATCGACTGTCCCATTGCTCTCCCGCTTGCGCTTCTTTTCCTTCTTCTTGGCCTCCCTCGCCTCGTCCTTTGCCTTCATTCGCGCATCGACCTCGGCAGAGACGTCTTCGTACTTCACGCCATTGCTTTGCCCCGCCCGTGCAGCAGTGTCGCCTTGAAGATCCGTGAAGAAGAGGTTGTCGCGGGATGGATGAATAGTCCCGTTGGCCTTGGGTGCACTCCGGTCGACGACATCGTGCGAAGCAGAGCCTACTGCAGCACGCTCACCGAGCTCTTCCCTCTTCTGATCTTCCTTCTGCTTCCTCCTCTTGTCCCTCTGCATGTCCAGCTTGATCCATTTCCGCTCCTTTCCAGAGCCGGTCCATCCTTTCTTCTTCAGTTCTTCCTTCTGAGCCTGAGCGCTTGTTTGCGCAGCAAGACCCTCACTAGCCACGCTCTCGCTCGCACTCGAGTCATCCTCTATCTCCACATCTTCTGTGGGCGCCGCCGCAGCTGCTGCTTCAGCCTGCTCCCTAGCAATGTCTTCGAACAGTCTAAACTCCCTCGCCTTGTCGTTCGCCTCCGTCGCTAGCCTCGCCATCTCCGCAAACTCTGCATGTCCGGCCCTCTCACCCCTCCCCTCGTCCGGCTCTGCTGCAGTCACGTCCGCCAAAGCCTCGAAGATATCTGCGTACGTTGCCGTCGCCGCCTGCCAAGCCTTGACCGCGCAGTCCATGTAGCGGTTATGCACCGCCTCGCCGTCTTTCTCGCCATCGGTGTTGAAGTGCTGGACGTGTAGGTGCTGTACAACGTTGCGCGCGAGTGTGAGATTGCTAGTCTGTTGGCTGGTGCGGTCGGTGCCATGGCGGAGAGCGTCGAAGAGTGGTTGCGAAGCGGAGTAGGCTGCCTTGGTGTGTCGTTCTCGTTGCTTGAACTTTGGGGGCGCCATGTTGTGAGCGGGTGTGGTACAGGTGGTTGTGGTAGTGGAGGTCGTTCGGGGTCCACCAAGGGAACTTTTTCTCGAACGCCAAGACTGCCAATGGCTGAATTCGGGCCAGCAAACGGCGATCACACATGCAAGGTCCAATCTGAAGAACCAGGTCAACTCCAACTTCCTTCCTTCAGGTCTGCTTCGGAAAGAATAACACATTTGCAGCAGTCACTGGACACTGTGAAGCATACCGTTTAGTGCCCATCTGGGAATAAGAGGAGCGTTCTGGCGACAGGAACGCCTCCAAGAAACGCAACTTCGAAGACTGAACGAATCCATCAATTCCTACGCTCGAGCAGCTGAGCCGTCGTTGAGGCGCAACCGATATTGAGGGGTATCAGAGGGCCGCGAGCATGGCGGACGAGGAGTCGCCTCTCATCAAGGCTTTGCCACCGGAGTCGGACTACTACACCTACCTCACCATTGTGGAATACAACCTTTCACCAGAGAGTCTACCAGTCCTACATAGGGTGCTACAGGATGAGAACCTGACCACGAACATCGGCTGGGACCTGGTCCACCTGCTGGTACCATACTTGCCGGAATCAGAAGGCTGTCTGCACACCATTGCACGGCTTGGCAACCCACGAGAAGTCATTCTGAAGGTTACCGAGAGCCTGCGGCTGATCGAGTACGACAAGTCAGATGACGAAGACGAGGTCGACGAGTCCACGGAGCCGGGAGCAACAGATGTTCGCGTTCGGGCAGACTCTTCCACCTACCCGCTCAAGACTGCAGCAGTACCAGAAGGCGAGGAGCAGCCTGGTAGAAGCACCTCGCAAGCAGTCGAAGTCCCTCCCCCGCCTCCTCTGGCCGTGAACAAGTTTGTATCGCTGCTGTCGATGTTATCAACTCTTCACCGCCGGATCAAAACGAAGAACCCGAGTCGCTTTCTTAGCACTACTTTGCAAGCTATTCTGGCCAGCTTCTCCAATTCTTCTTCGCATCGGGAGGAAATGGTCAGAGCCATCGTCACTACCGTCAAAGCAGTTTCTGGGACAAAGCGGCCGACTTTACCCAACAGGCAGGGTAGCGGGATGCTGAGCTCTGAGATGCTGCAGAAGTCAAGCGATGTACAGGCAGGAGACCCGGAGGCCTCAAGTACTCCTGACCTTGATAAAGAGGACTCGGCCATTCAGAAGAGACTACTGCAAAGCTTTCTCACTCATGTCATGGAAGAGTATATGCTCAATCTGCCTTCGACTGCAGACGATGTACCCGGCATGGCGTGGTGCAGCCGAACGATGGAGAAGTTGCAACCGGAGAGAAAGATCCCACAAACGCAGACTTTCGCAGATCGCTTCGCCAATGAAGAGCAGCTGAACAGGCGCATAGATGCTGTTGGACAGCTTGTCACGCTCGCGCAAGACTTGAAGCTCACCGATGAAGAGTTGTTGTCTGCTGCCATCGTCGTTGAAAAGATGCCTGACCGCGACGAAGAGGATGAAGATGACCCGCCTGAGACAGCAGACGACATCCCGCTTAGTCGGCTGGGGTCGCTGATGCTGTACGTGGCGCGACAAGCTTCTGAGGTCCTTTACGATATCCCGAGAAGCGCGGCGGAACCCCCTTTTGCAATCTTCCCGGACCACCAGGAGCTTCTGAGACATTGCCTGTCTGCGCCGAATAAGGGCAACGGTACGCTTGGGACCGAACCAGAAGGTCTCATCGATGCTACGCTCGCTCTAGGCTTGCTGGCGCTTGAACGGGATTCGATCGGCGAGCCTTCTTCGGATGAGGATTTTACTGCATACCTACAGTCAATCTCGCTCTTGTCTTCCAACTGCCCTTCGCCCAACCTCAGAGGACACGCACATTATCTTGCCTCGACGATACTCCGCTCGCATCCGGACGATCAAGTACGACTTGCCTTCATACAGGACACTCTCGAGCATTGTCCGTTTGAGAATCTGAAAGTCAGCGCAGTAGGCTGGATCAAGGGCGAAACGATCGAAGCGAATCCACCAACTTCAGGTCACAGCCATGGTGCCCAGCCCGAATCAGCCACCGGCGACAAGTCAGTCTTCGCCAAACCGCTAGCGCTTGACACCCTCTCACCCCACCTCTTCCCATCTCTTCACGCCGACCTACTGACCAGCCCTATCCCCGACGCCTGGCTCACGTTCCGCGCCAACATCTCCTTCTACCTGGCCTCGCTGAACTTCCTCTACCTGCTCCTCTGCGCCAAGCATCTGCATGAGAACCTTCTGGTGCAAGACCTCTGGACGAACAACGACGTTGCTGGCAGCTTCTTGCAGCCGCTACGGGAAGGCAGCGAGCGGTTCAAGGGGGAGATGAAGGGGGGTGGGCAGTTGAGTGAGGAGAGGAGTGATGAAGTGCTGGCGGAGATGAATGTGCTGGAGAATGCGCTGGAGAGGGTGGAGGGGGTGGTGAGGTTTTTGAATGAGTGAATGGGATGTTTGTATGAGTATGAAGTGATGAAGTGACGTCGAAATAGAGGCGTCTGTCGCCTTCAGTCTTGGCATACTGGACCCTGAAGTTGAAAGTCTGCCTGCCATGTGCCCCGCTAAAAGTCTCGAGCGACCTCGATCTGTTTCTTGTTGATTCACGTCACCTCGTTTCACACCTTTCGCGTTGCCTTTTACATATACAACACACCATCGCGTCCCCCGCTGCATGACGGAGTACAAGGCGCGCACACCTTGACACCGCGACCACCTACCATCCTACGTGGGGGCGACGACAGCACCCCAACCCACCATGTCGTCCGCCTCAAGCGTACCGCAGAACCCAACCACCCACAATGTCGCCCAGATCCTCCCCAAGCTCAACGACCCCGACAGCGACATTCGCTACATGACTCTCAACGACCTTCTCATGATGCTCAACAACGGCAGCCCCACCCTCATCTCCCACGACTACACCACCTGCTGCAAAGTAGTCGACGGGCTGCTACATACCCTCGCAGATACCCACGGCGACGTGCAGAATATGGCTATCAAGTGCCTCGGACCGTTCGTGATCAAGGCGCCGGAGAACATTCTGTGCCCGACGATTGAGAAGGTCAGTAATATCAAGACGGAGGGCAGTCTGGATATCAGCATCCCTGCGCTGGGACTGATGCGGATCGTGGTCGCGCTGCCGCATCCTGTGCCGGGCGTGGCAAAGAGTTCGAAGTTGAATGAGGCGTATGGTGCAGTGAGCAAGGCGCTCATCCCACGGATAGTGGGGAGGGTGGTTGTGCCGCTTAAGGAGAACAAGTCGCATCCTGCGCCGCCGAAGGGTATGCTACAGGAGGAACTCGAGACGGGGAATGACAGCAACACTCTGGACCTGCTGGCGGAGGTGGCGAGATGTTTCGGGCCAATGTTGCAGGAAGCGGAGGTGCAGGCGCTAGAGGAGATCACGATGAAAGTGCTGGAGAGTGACAAATGCGGTACGGTAATGAAGAAGAAGGCGGTCGCTGCGCTTTCTGCTCTGGCGCCATATTTCAGCGAGGGGCTGCTGGCGCACCATGTCACCAATACGATTGAGAAGCTGAGGTCGCCACATCTTACTTCGCAGCAGAGAAGGCTGTACATTACGGTCTATGGGTCGCTGGCAAGGAGCATACCGCAGAAGTTTGGGCCGTATCTCAAGACTCTGACGCCGTTCGTGCTTGCGCCATTGAGTGATATAGAGCTCAAGCAGCAGGAGGCTGTGGAGGCAGAGGCGGACGGCGAGCGGGACACGCAGTTAGAGGAGGTCAGAGAGGCAGGGTTCATCGCACTGGAAAACTTCCTGCAGGCATGCCCATCGGATATGAAGCCGTATAAGAAAGATGTACTGGAGGCGGCGACACGATTCTTGAAGTACGAGCCGAACGTGGCAGATGATGATGACGAGGACATGGAGGAAGAGGAAGCAGCGGACGACGACTTCGACCTTGACGAGGATTTTGAGGAGGAGACTGGCTTTGAAGATGAAGACGACGTGAGCTGGAAGGTCCGGCGGTGCTCAGCCAAGGCGCTGTACGCTCTCATCGGCACTCTGGACCCGAACGACCCTGCGTTATCTGGCACAATAGCACCAGCACTCATCGCGCGCTTCAAGGAGAAGGAGGAGAGCGTGCGCAGCGAGATCATCGCCACTCTGGCCTACCTCATCACCAAGACCGGATCTATCGATGCGAGAGACACCACATCCGACTCTGGGCACGTCATTCCACCGAGTAGGAAGCGGAGACGAGGGTTCAGTGAGTCTTTGGGCTCTGATCTGCAAGCTCAACAAGCTCTGATGAACGGATACGCATCACCCTCGACACCACCACCCACGGACACCGGCACGAAGGGCTTGGCGAAGATCAACCCAGACATTGTCAAAGGGGCTGCCAAGCTTCTGAAGAGCAGCACTCCACAGACGAAGGAAGTCGTGCTGTCTTTGCTCAAAGATATGGTTCTGGCGCAGCGAGGTGGCCTGTCAGAGCACGCTGGTCTGGTGGTCGACCCAGTTGTGGATGCTCTGACTACTTCATCCGGCGGCGGCTCGAACCTGGCGGGGAACAAGCTCCGCGTGGAAGCACTTGGTCTGCTCCGAGTTGTCGCTGAGATGCACTCTAGCAAAGTGCTCGAGCCACATCTTGCCAGAGTCGTGCCAGCGCTGGTGGCAGCGGCCAAGGATCGCTACGCCAAGGTGTCGAGCGAGGCTTTCGGTACTATCGAGTGCTTCATCAAGGCCCTCACGCCACCCAGGAGCGCAGCGAGTAATGTCAAGAATGGCCAGTACCTCACGCAGCTGCACCAGGTTGTGACGGACAGGGTCTCAGCCAGCGATACAGACACGGAAGTCAGGCAAAAGGCTGTTCAGGCGCTCGGTCTGCTCATCGGACGGACTTCTGGTTCGGCAGGTCAGAAGCTGTTTGGTCAAGACAGCAGGTTTGCCGGCCAGCAGCTCATCGCGGATCGACTCAAGAACGAACTCACCCGCCTCCCTTGCGTTCGCGCTGTCGACACCATCGCTGTGCTCGCGCAGAACAAGAACGACTTCAAGCCAGAGTTCGTCAGCAATGTGGCTTTGGAGCTCGCAGCACAATTAAGAAAGGCCAGCAGGGGTCTGCGTGGTGCCAGTCTTTCGGCGTTGCGTATGTTGGCGGTGAATGAGGCTTCGCGATCGTGTCTGGATGATCAGACCATCGTGCAGGTTGTTGAGATGCTCATCCCACTGTTGCAGACTGAGGACTTGCACATGATGAGCCCGGCGCTTGTGGTTCTGGCGGCGTTTGCGAAGGATAAGCCTAGTCTCGTGGCTACACCGCCGGTCATCCAGGGTGTTTGCGGCATCGTCACCAGTCCGATATCTGGTGCCGCTCTGGAAGCACTCATCACCTGTGTGGAGGCGATGGGCCACGCTGGTGCTGGCAAAGATCTCATGAAGGCGCTACTAGATGTTGGAGTGAAGGGGGACACGGATGTCACTGGCCAGGTCATCGGCACTCTGCTCGTATCTGGTGGCGACAGCGTGGGCGTCAGCCTTGATGCTTTTGTCAAGGAGCTCAAGTCGCAGTCCGATGAGTCCAGGAAATGCCTGGCGTTGTCTGTCCTGGGCGAAGCTGGTCTCAGGATGGGCACGAACTCTCCGCTTAAGCCGGACAGCTTTACGGCGTACTTCACCGATCCTTCAGAGAAGGTCAAGCTGGCTGCTGCTGTAGCCTTGGGTCGTGCTGGTGCGGGCAATGTGAAGGCATATCTGCCGAAGACTCTGGATGCGATGAGTCAAGGTGGAGGTTATCATCTGCTGCACTCTGTCAAGGAGCTGCTACAGCACAGCACGGCGGAGGACGACATCAAGCCCTACACTGCCAACTTGTGGTCGAACATCATCTCTTCTGGACAGGCGGAGGACAACAAGGTCGTTGGCGCGGAGTGCATCGGTCGCCTCGCCATCATTGACCCACAGGCCTACATCCCACAACTGCAGAGCTTCCTTCACGACAACAATCCTGCGATCCGCGGCATGGTCATCTCAGCGCTCCGCTACGTCTTCTCCGACACCGACGCATCCTACAACACCAACCTACAGAACACCATCGTACCCATGCAAGAAGCCATGCTCGCAGACACCGACCTGGACAACCAGCGCCTCAGCCTCTCAACCTTCAACAGCGCCCTGCACAACAAGCCCGAACTCATCCTCCCCAACCTCGCCACTCTCCTCCCCTACGCCATGGCCGCCACGGTACCCCGCCCCGAGCTCATCCGCGAAGTCTCCATGGGCCCCTTCAAGCACAAAATCGACGACGGCCTCGAGATCCGCAAATCCGCCTTCGAGACCCTCTACGCCCTGCTTGAATCCCCCGCCTCCCGCCAACGCCTCGATATCGTCGCCTTCTACGACCGCATCGTCGCTGGCGTCGGCGACGAGCACGAGATCAAGATCCTCTGCTGTCTCGTACTGTCCAAACTCCTCGTCATCGCGCCCGCCGAGTCGACGCGCAGAATGGACAGTCTGAGCCAGCAGTTCCGGGCCGTGCTGGCTTTCAAGCCGAAGGAGAATGCGGTGAAGCAGGAGTTGGAGAAGTTGCAGGAGCAGGCGAAGGCGGTGGTGAAGGTTAGTGTGGGTTTCAACAAGGTGTTGGGGAGTGAAGGGGAGGGCGGGGGCAGGGCGTGGAGGGATTATTTTGAGTGGGTGAAGAAGGAGTTTCCGGTTTATATTAAGCAGGCTCAGGAGGAGGAGGCGAGGGATCGGTAGGGGGTGGCTTGTGCTGGGTGGGGAGAAATGGAAGATGGCTGTGTGGTGGAACAGTCGTTTCGATGCATGTGTGTGGCGTGGAGCGGGTGGTCTCGTTGCTGCATTTGCATCTGCATCGCCCACGGGCTTACATGGCTAGCATTAGACTTCATGAATAGCTGCAACGAGGAGATGAGACCGATTCATCCTATAAACACTGCCGCGCCTTCAGGACAGCAACGATATACTAATCTCAGCACCTCGTCAGCTTTTCAAAGAAGATGTAAAATCATTAGTAATTACCCCCGGCATTGTCATTACCTCCTATATACAAGATCTATCACATATCCCTAACGCTCACAGTATAGCTCTCAGTCTTGAAAATACTGTGATCATTCCCATGCGCCCCAACGCTCTGCCGCCACTGCGTCGACTTCGCCTGCGCCGAATGCGACACCCCAGGCGGTCGAAACGTCGGAACCGACGTAATAGCGTCCGTCAATGGCAACTCATCTTCCTGTCCGCCATCGACACCAATACTCCGCGTACTCTCCAACGTCCTCGATTTCCTATCTGTCCCTGACCGCGGACCGCTGAGCTCGTAGTACCGATCCCCTCTTCCGCTCGGTGTTTCGGCGGTGTAGCGGAAAAGTCCAGAGCGTGGAACGCTGATGTTGAACGCGACGGGGTCGAAGGGGGAGAGGAAGGGTTTGAGGCAGGTTATGCAGGCGAAGACGATAGAGGTGCCTTGGATGACTTCGGTGACGATGTCGGCGGGGATGTAGTCGGAGTTGTGCTGGGAGGGGTGGAGGTAGTAGAGGCGGAAGGCTACTGGGAGGGCGAGTCTGAGAGAGCGTTAGTGTTGTGGTTATGGTGTGTGGGTGATGGCAGTTGGACGTACAGCAAGCGGCAGTTCAGTATGCAGAACACGGCGAGCTTCTTCTTGACGGCCATTTGGAGAGACCAGACCAAGTACGTGGCCAACGCTGCGGAGAAGACGTCCATCGTAAACCCCGTTGCTTCTATGCCGACCCATCTCGTCCACTGGGAAAGGTCAGCAGATGTTGAAAACCATGTAGAGAGCTTCATACCACTGTCGTATCGTTGAGAGTCTCCCATGGCTGCGACAAATCGCCGCGTAGCGTGATGGTAAAGATGGAGGCCACCAGCCACACACAACAGAGTCCTACCAGAGCGCGAGCGATCTTGATATTGCGTGGATCTCTTGTCAGAACACTGGCAGTGAAGAGTCCAGTAGACATCTTTGTGAAGCCGATGGAGGCTACGTAGAGCACTTGGCTGGCGAACAGTGACTGGATTGTGTTTCTCGTCAGATAAGGTCCTTATCAAGATACCACACAGCACAGCATACCTGCTCGACCACTTCCTTGTCGTCGGGAGACATAGCATCCCAAGGACTACCATATCCTCGATGGATCGAGTAGCACAACGCAATTATCTGCCCCAGCATTGCGAACACTGCCAACGTGATTGATGCATCGTCGAGCCCCCAATGGTCTCTCTTTTGAAGTTTGACCCATGACCTGACACCATACGACACAGTCGCCCATATGAACAGCAGAATCGTGATGGTCGTCAACGTCGGTGCAGTGTTCCCAGTGCCGTTGGATGCCATCGTAGAGCGGCCCGGTCGACGAGAACAATGGATGCCATTTCCTCGGCATTTGGCGATCAAGGACTATTTCACGTAGCACGACATGCCAGACATTTGGGCCCTTCGATGGCGCCGTTCCATATCTTTGCGTGGAGGCAGGAAGGGGGAGAAACTATGACAAGCCCCTGCTTCTTCATCTCACGGAGACATGAAGAACCAAGATTGCTATCCGACGCAACGCCTCTGAACGCGTTCGCATCAGCCATCCTTGCCAAAGACAGTCCAACAATCCTCGCACGATGAGGATGGGGGAATCGATTGGTCAACCCGCCGCTAGTAGACGTCCTGTCATCCCACGCTTCGGTGGATCCTTGAGGTGGTTTTTGAGGCTGCACGAGCACGCGGGCGTGCTCAATCCGAGGCCATGGTTGGTTTCCTGGTGGCCGGAGCAGGTACCGGGGGAGTATGCGAGGGCAGCAAAATCGATGGTGTGATGGGGGTGATTGAGGACGTTCGTTTAAAGCACAGAGATGGGCAGATCTTGGGAGATCTAGACCGATAGTCTTATGAACTACCGAGACGGAGCCACTCTAAGCAAGCTTAAGCGTGGTTTCTAAGCGTCCCCGGGAACATTCCCCATCGCACCGTTGACACTACAGCTGCACGTTGATGCTTCCGTCCCGTCTTCATCAACCTCGAGAGTCTCCCGAATCGCGAAAACGAACATGGCCTGGAATACCACGACGAAAAGACTGCTTCGTCCACTGAATTCGAAACTCGCATTCGCCGTAGGGGATATGAAAAAAACAAAAACCGCACGTCCCCAATCTGTCCCCAGAGCCCGCATGGTTGGTTTCAACGACCAAGCCCCGACTTTCATCCTTGTCGACCTCGCGTATCGCATTCCCAGCACCTGCAGTGAGACCGCACGATGGCGCCAGGGCTTTTTGCTAGGAAAGAAAGACCTGGTCGCGGCCGAACGCCGTCTTTTTTCCACCTTCCTGTTGTGGTTGGTGTGCAACTAGGATTACAACCTCGCCTCCAGCAGGGCGAGCAGAGCTGGCAACCAGATGTAACAGCAGACCCCGTCTCTCGGGCCTCTCCAAGGTATCTGTCGTTTTCGTGTTTGTAGTTCTCTTGTTTGACTGTTCCCACCCACTGTCTGGGCTCGAGAAACATAATTCTTCGGAGCTCTTCCAGCATTTCCATCACAATGCCAGCGTCCGGCTCTGTGCCCTACGCCGCCCATGGCTCGATTGAATTGCTGGATCAATCTACCCTACACCCGACCTCCGCCATGCACAGCAGCGACAAGGAACCCACTGTCATGGTGCAAGAGCCGTACGGCGAGGACCTGGAAGAACAAGGCAAGGCCACGGCAACCAAGACCACCCCGTCCGACATTCGCGGAATGGCACGAATGGGCAAGCCGCAGCAGCTCGATCGAACGTTCCGTCAGATGTCCATAACTTCATTCGTCGCGCTCGCAACTGCTACATGGGAGATTGGACTATTCATCATCTCTCCTGCGTTGGTCGATGGAGGACGAGCAGGACTCGTATGGAGCTCGCTGTGGAGTTGGATATGCTTTGCGCCGATCTATCTGAGTATGGTAAGCGGTACACTCGTTCCTCGGTCGCTGAATATGTGAGCTAACATTGAATGTCAAGGCTGAAATGGCCAGCATGGCACCGATCGCTGGCGCGCAGTACCACTGGGTGAGCGAGTTTGCTCCCGACGAATGGCAGAAGCCAATGAGTTACATCGCCGGGTAATTCCCTAGACGCCTTTGCCTTAGAGACCCTACTGACTCAATCGAAGATGGGTATCAACAATCGCCTGGCAAGCCGGCAATGCTATGGGCATCTTCTTGACAGGAAGCCTGGTTCAGGTAGAGCTCCGAGATGTCCCCTATCCATCGTAGTCTAAGGGGTGCTGACTTTTGGCAGACAATCATCCTCGTCAACAATGACTCCTACGCTTTTCCTGCCTATCAAGGCACTCTTCTTGCCATTGCAATGGTGATTGTGGCATACGTCATGAACATCTATGCCGCGAAAGTACTCCCCTACTGGCAGAACATCTTTTTCGCGCTCCACATAATCGCATACTTTGCCTACATTGTGCCCATCTGGTGAGCAAACCCCCGAGCACAAAGATATCGCCAGCTGACCACTGCAGGGTAAATGCGCCTGTTGCAACTCACCGTCAAGTATGGGGTAAGATATCAGAGCATCACACGACTTCCCTACCTCCACTGACTTCCTGCCCAGGTGAATTCTCCAACACCGGAGGCTGGTCTTCCATGGGCCTTGCAATAATGGTCGGACAGCTCACTGGAATCTCGGAGCAAGTGGGCATCGACACTACCGCACACATGTCCGAGGAGGTCAAGAACGCCGCGAAAGCTGTCCCGAGGACCATGATCATCGTCTATGTGATCAACTTCATGCTACTGTTCCCGGCGATCGTGACCATCTGCTACCACATCCCAGACCTCGAGGCTGCCTTGGGCGATTCGACGACGTACCCAGCCATCTACGTGATGCGCCAGTCGATGTCGAATGCCTGGATCTCCGTTATTCTGGCAATCGTCGCGCTGATCTGCTGCGCTTCGTGCATCAATTACTTCGCCGCCGTTACTCGGGATCTCTTCGCCTTTGCGCGTGACAATGGTCTGCCATTCTCCGGCTGGCTTAGCACTGTAAGTATAACTGAGCAGCAGCAGCGGTCCGACGTCCCTCGCTGATTCGTGTTGTCAGGTTCACCCAAGAAGACATCTTCCAGTCCACGCCAGCCAACTTTCGGTCGTCATCGCCGCTCTTCTCAGCTTGATCTACATTGGAAGTCCAGTGGCGTTCTACGCAATCACTTCTCTATCAACAGTGTCTCTTTTGATGTGCTACACGCTCTCGATCGGCTCGGTCCTTTACCGCAGGATCTACAAGCCGCACACACTCCCTCCAGCACAATTCTCTCTTGGACGCAGAGGCGGAATCATCCTCAACTCTTGTGCGGTCGCCTTTGGCATGTGGGCGGTACGTACCAACCAACGGACGAGTAACTGCTCTTGGATTGCAACACATTTACTAACGAGACGACAGTTCTTCTGGAGCTTCTGGCCTCAATCTCTACCGATTACAGCCGCTGGGTTCAATTGGGCTTCGCCCATCTGGGCTGCCGCCATTATCTTTGCCATTGGCTACTATTTCGTCACTGCCAGGCACAAATACGTCGGTCCCGTGGTCGAGGTCGAGGGCAGGAAGCAGGATTTTGTTCGATGATTGGGATGTTCCACGGGATAATACGGTGGCCGGGTTCAACGGACGGTGTTAGTTCTCGAAGAAGCGTACGTAGCCACATATGTCAGTCTTCCGATGTGACGAGTAGCTATTTTCCGGCCCTTTGTGATCCATCCATCTCTGGTCTGGTTCTGAAGGGAGTGGTTCGGTGTTTGATTTTGGTGATTGAATCTTGTTGATTGAATCTTGTGGATATGGACGAGATACTTGTGTATGTGGTTGTGGAGCGCCCGAAATCTGTCCATATTCACAAGACTCGATCCACATGGACTCGAGCTTAGCATCTATGCCCCAAAGGATGCAGTAAGATTTTGGTGAGCTCTTCAAGCTGAGTCCTGTCATCTCTTTGTCAGCTTACTTGAACAATAGCAGCTTTTCAAGATCACTACGTCAACACGGTGCGGCAGAGACTCGTGCATATAAAGCGATGTCAAGTATCAGAGGCAAGAAGTCGCTGATTTCTACGGAATTAACAGCCTCAGCTCTGACGAAAACCTCAATCAAACCCACAACCAGCAAGAACCCATCATGAAAGCCGTTCGCGTATCAAAAGACGCCTCCACAGCCTCTCTGGCCATCGCAGAGATACCCAAGCCCACTCCCGCCTCTGGAGAACTCCTCGTCAAAATCAAAGCTTCCTTCATCCAGCCTGCCGACATTCTCAATTCTAAAGGCAGCTTCCCCATCACCACCTTCCCTCGCACAATCGGCAAAGACTTCTCGGGCACCGTTATCTCAGGCTCCCCAGACTGGATTAACACAGATGTCTACGGCACCTCCGGATCCACCTTCAGCTTCACGGAAGATGGCGCGCAAGCCGAGTTTGCCGTGTTGCGAGAGGATTGCGTGGCCGTGAAGCCAGGGAACCTGAGTTTCGCGCAGGCAGCGGCGGTCGGGACGCCTTTCACGACTGCTTTCACGGCGCTGAAGCGGGCGAGGGTGGTGGAACGAGAGGTGGTCATGGTGCTGGGGGCGACAGGGGCTGTAGGGTCGGCGGTAGTGCAAATTGCAAAGAGTATGGGGTGTCGAACGATCACGGTGGGTCGACATGGGACCGATGTTGATTCTACCAAGGACCCAGAGCTACAGAGTGCGAAGGACTTGTCTGATGGCAAGGGTCCGGATGTTGTCGTTGATACTGTCGGCGACTTCGCATTGACCAAGGCTGCGTTCAATGTACTGGCGCCCAAAGGCAGGCTGTCAACCATTACCGCCCCGAGGCAGGGATCCACTGAACTGGCTGTTGATATCCTCTCGCTGTACAGGAGGCAGATTGAGCTCATCGGATGCAACACAGCTTCTATGCCGCAGGCTGATTTCGCGAGAATGATGGAGGGAATGACGCAGCAGTTCGAGTCAGGGGCATTGACGGCACCGGAGGAGAGTACTATGACTAAGATTAGTATCGACGATGCGCCAGATGCGTATTCCGGTAAGATCAAGCGGGCAGTGATAGTGTTTGAATAGTCTGATCAGGGATGTACGGAGATCGTTCGTTCTACGACACAGCTTAGCTCATCTAGGACGCGGACCCATACTCGCATGCCGCCGATAGCCTCTCCCTGAGACCGCGCCCAGATGGCGCTTACGATCGTCCTTTTGGTACCCATGCTTTCACTCCGTGCCCAGGATGAGTCTCGACAGGTCTTTCCCGGCGGAGGAATGATCTATACCTGAAGCATGTCTCTCGTGAGCAGGCTACCAGTTGAAAACCGGTTCGAAGGCTCGAGATAATCCAGGCCGGCGATTTCATCCTGCAGTGGACTGGATCTTGTGCCACAATTGCCGTCCAGCTACCGCTGAAGAAACAATGTATGCAGTACCGACCTGTAGGTCATCCGCTTCGATCCAGCCGACAGACGATCCGGCAATAATAAGATCACAGCTGTCGATGAGCAGTTGCTGGTAGACCTCGATGCGTTGGCTTGTCCTCGTCGTCGCGCGTCTGGGCTTTTGCATTTTGCCTGACCTCGAACCTTTCGAGGATCGAGGCGTGGAAGCCCGCGGGCCAATAAACGAGTGAAAGAGCTGATACATCGACACGAGTATCGAGAAACCGATCGCATAGACCCAACACTTGCTTGCCTCGAGCTGAAGACGATGAAGGATTTGATAGTCCGTCAGCTTCATGATATTTGTCTGACCATGTCAGCCTTTATGCGCGTGCCCTGGTGATACAGCATACGATGGTTGGCATCTCGAGAAAGTAGTAGAGACCGAGGAAGGACCATTTAGACACCTCAAGAGCTTTCAAAAAGCCTGCTTGGTCTCTACCCATCACTTCGTACGCGCTCGAGAAGCATGGGTGCCATTTGAGGAGCCGAAAGTATCGCCTACCTGTACTTACATTCAGCTTCGTTGTATTCGGTATGGGTATGTCTGGGCCGAGTCACCTAGCGCGAACTCTGACCTTGCCCTCACCCACACTATAGTGTCGGCAGGCTTCATGGACATGCCAGCTGCTGCCGTGCAGAAGCCTTGAAGAAGGCGCAGCGTTTTCTCGATGCCGGCAGCATTGTCTCCAAACCGGACGATGGCCGGGAGCATTTTGTTGTTACTTGTTTGGAATAAGAAAGAAGCCAAGCAGGAGACAGTGAAAGTGGCCACCTGCGCACGTCTGGGAGTCTTCTCCGGGACGACGTTCCGGTCAGAAAGGCTACATCACTCTTGTCAGGGGACGGTCGTTTTCTGCGAGAAGGCTTCAAGAGGATCCTTCGGCAGAAACTCGGCTCCGTTTGTTTGCGCCAAAATTTGGTCTCGTCCCATCATCAACTTCATCTCTTCTTCCTTTATTAAATATTTCGGTGGCTCTCTCCTTGCAATCGATCTTCAGAATGGCATCTTGATGTCGCGTTCGAGAGTTACAGGAACCAAATGCATTGGCAACCTCAAATATCCTTCTCAACATGAACCATCACACTTTCAAAAGGAGCTTTCAGCAATAGAAAACCTCATAATCAGTATCAGCGGTGATCATCGTGCTCATAGCTTCTATTGCCTCTCCAGGAGCTTGCTGCAATTGCCAAAAGTGACCTCGAGAAAGCCTAAACTCCAGGATCCCAGGAGCTTTCAAGCGTATCGGCTCGCACAACCACTGACGATGGGTCTCCATTCGCTTTCCTGCACCATCAAGGCACCGGGGATGAGCCTGGCGAGAACTGTCACAGTTCCTATACTGATCTACGGTCTCTGTCCCACAGTGATGCATATGAGGTTGTACAAGCTGAACTGTTCCTCGACCACACTGGGGTACTGGGGCTGGAACATTGATCCAGCGCTTCTTGAATCTTTCAACAGGCACCACCTATCTGCCAGCATTCTCTTCAATAGGCAATCATTGACACATGTATTCGACTCCCGCAGTATCACTGACACTTCTTGGCCACCTGATAGGTTCACAAGAGAATACCATCTGACCTTACTCGAACTCAGCTGGTAAGACTTGAAAAGCCCCAGTTAGGATATCGGGGCATCTTAGACGGGACAGAGTGAGGGTATAAGGCAGGTTTGGTATGCTGTTGTTCTTTCTCCTTGCCACCATCATTAGACCTTCCTTCGTACAATCTTCGGTCACAGCCCTTCCGATCATTAAGTCAATTAAACATGCGCTTCTCTACTCTCCTTCTATCTGTGTTCTCCGTCGGACTGGTGGCCGCAATGCCAATGGACGACTCCTTCGACAATGTCTTCGAGGCTGGTCTCGCTGAGCGCGAAGAGGACATTCCCGTCTACTACGACCTGGATGAGCGCGACTCGGACGCAATCGCTTGCAACATTGTTGCCTACTCTGGCGACCACTGCGGCGGAAACACTGGGGTCCGTTAGAGTCTGTGTATGCTGTATGAGACTGCGCTGACAGATCATTCTCAGGGGCCTCTCGGCATTCCGACGAACAACAAAGATCAGGCCTCCATGCATGCATAGCCCATTATTCATGTTGACTTGCTCGCCAGGCGTCTGTGTCGGTGTCGGACCAGCCTCTGGGGTCCCACGCCACTCCTACCGCATCAGCAAGGCTTGCCCGCCTCGCGTGAAGATGTTCTTCGCAAGTGCCATTGGGGACTACACTGGCAATCTGCACATGCTGACCTGTGTGCAAAGTACGCCACCAATGGCTGTGACGGAGCCAGAGCGCACCGCAAGACCGTTGGGAACGGATGCCACAACATCAATACTGGAGGCCCAGTCCGCAGCATCCGCGCTGTGCATGGGTAGGAATCGAGACTCTGCTGGATGGCTCCCAGCAGCTCAGCCTGATAATGCAGGGTCGATTTGCAGCTTGGCTCAACGAGTGTCTTGGGATAACAACGTCATGGGCCGGGGACTCATAGTACATCAACAGTAACTACTGAATCTACCAAGCAGTCTTTGGGCCCTTTCGAAGTGTCATTAAATGAAAGCAACATGTCGCCGAAAAATTGAGCCATTCCCTGCGAGCGAGAACCCCCGCCGTTTCTCTTACCACCCCTTCGTGATGGTCACACCTCGTCCTTCGCCTTTGACAGATATCCGTCGACAAGACAGGTCAAACTTCTTCTCTAGACCTTCTTCTCCCCAGCTACGAGGCTTGCCCGACGTTCCTCGCCTCGAGCAACCAAGCTAGATCTCCGCTCCGACTTTTCATCGCCCTCCACGCTACCATGCCGATCGATCTTTGCCAGACCAGTCTCAGGATCGACCACGCTACTGCCCCTTCGTGCTGCCCGAACCAGATTAGGGTTCTCCTCAAGCAGAACGCGATAGTTCTTTTCAGCGTCCCAGTTCCAGATGCTATCCGCAGCGAAGACCAAGTTCATCTCCTCCAAAGTTCCTAAAGTGGGAAGAAGAAGGGTCAGCAGATGTCTCGTCAGTTGGAACAAAGATGGAAACGACTCAGAGTGCCGCGCAGTCCTTGGACCTTGACAATGTCTCGGAGAGCCCTTCCGCCCATCGGTTTGACCTACTTTGATTAGTCTCCGGGTATAGAGCCCATACGACGATAATCGACAGGACGTTCACGCCGCCAAAGATATACAGCGTCGACTCCGAGAGTCGGGCGAAGATTGTCGGCAGCAGGAGGACGCACCACCCGTTGCCGATACTCCAGCCGACTACGCCCCAAGCATTGCCCTTTGCACGGATCTCCAAGGGGAAGATCTCGGCGGGATACAACCAAGGCACCTGAATGTTGTTAGCAGAAGTGGCCAATTATATGAAGAATGTGTGGCTTTGACGCACCGTCAGCCACGTAGCACCGAATATTGCGGTATAGAGGTAAACGAAGAATACCGCTGCACCGCCGACGTGCTCTCGGTACGAGCCCGTTGCGTTCTTGGTAGCGTAAGCCAGACCACCAGCACAGAAGCAGCAGATTCCTTGACCGGCAGCGCCCCAGTACAGCGTCCATCTACGGCCAATGCGGTCCAGAGTGAAGACGCAGAGTAGAGTGGCGAACATGTAAGTGATGTTGTTCAGCCCTGCAACCCATTGCCTGTCCGACGATCCAATACCGGCCAGTGTGAAGATTTCTGGCCCATAGATGGTAATTCCTGCTATACCGATCCATTCCTGAAGTATTTGTAGCCATACTACAAGCTGGACTCGACGAGCTGTGTGGAGCTTCCCTTGTTTCAGACCGAAGAGCATAGCAAAGTAGGACGACCGCTGGCTGTTCTCCCTCTCGAGCTTGACGACGTTCTTGATGTCCTGGAACTCAGCATCTGCAAGGCCTTCATCTTCGCCACGGAGACGTCCGAGGATGAAGCGGGCTTCGTCTTCCCGGCCGACTTTGGTCAGCCAGCGAGGGGATTCGGGCATGAACCATACCACGCAGAAGAGGCCTATCAAGGGGACCTGGTGGATTTGTTAGAAGGCTTTGAAGGTAGGGGACACCGTACGTACTATTTGGAACGCTATCGGGAATCTGCAAAACATCGGTGAGCAGAGGGATACGCTGGTGGTCACTAAAGGGTGCATACCGCCATATAAATGCTGATGTGCCATCCCCGTAGAAGGACGTCCCATATTCCAGCCAGTAGGCGACAACAACACCGAAGATGTTCAAGGTGAATTCTATCGACACGAAGGCGCCGCGCGAGGTATGGCTTGCCGTCTCAGTGGCCCAAACAGGCGTGATGGCGTTCAAGATACCCGTGCCGACTCTAGAGCATTCAAGCGTAAGAGATTAGCAGCATTCTTTCCTTACTACAAAGAACGAGAAAGAGACGACATGTTCCATCTCATCCTACTCACCCGTTAAAAACTCTCGCACAGAACATCCATTCCGCATTCATCGCCGAGCATTGTAATGCGGCACCAACGATAGCCCACAACGCTCCGAAGCCGATAGTCGAGATACGCCCAAAGCGGTCTCCAAGCCAGCCACCCCATAGTGCTCCTACGAGGGTGCCTGGGAGGCTTCGAAGACAGCATCAGCATCCTGCCTCTTGCTACGAGTGTTCCCGAGTATACGTACTAGTACACGGCAACCTGGAGGCTGTCAATCTCACGATGTGCCTGTACTCTAACTTGGGAAGACTCACTATGCCTCCCTGCAGCAAGGGTTTGTCCACTTTGACAAGCTGGTCTGCCACGTCGAAATGTCCGAAGCCCATCAGCCTTGCGTAGTCACGCGTTGTGTTGACCCCTGCCATTACACCCTGATCGTAGCCAAAGAAGAAGATACTCAGTCCAGCTACCAGGTTGACAGCAACAAGCAGAGAGCGCTTCTGCAGCTTGTTCGCTACGCCATGTTGCTGGAAGAACGAGGGCGGGCCTGCGATGGCCATGTCGGCATCCGATTTCACTGTTCAGACTCAACTTGGTAATTGTCGACCTGAACGATTCCAGTCTTGGGGGAGAGTATTAGTGCAGACGGGAGTTTTAAAGTCGGGAGATCGAGCGGCAATTGACGGCAAAGCACGAAGATCTGCCACCATCTTTCTGCTCGTCTTACATCTCTATTCGCCTTTGTGCCTTTACATTACGTTTCACCCGCTCTTCAACAACCAGCAAATACAGATGATCATGCGACATCCGATCGACGCACCTCTCTCGATGTCATCAATTCTCAAAGACCTTGCTGGTCCTTCCATACGGCACCGTCTGGTTGGAGGCTACCCGTGATGATCGTCGTGTGGTGCGAGGGAGGCACTGATGAGACGACCAAACGACCAAGTGGCACGCTTCTGACTTGCAGTAACATCGCAGAGAGATATTGATATACTTATAGAGCACTGGGCATGCACAAAATGCACAATCTGGCACCCGAAACCTGAAGCTCGGCATTAAGGATCATGGCGCTCGCGCCGCGCCGCGCCAGGTGGATGCCACCAGGATTCTTCCACACGCGGCCCGATGAGCTTGTTGTGCTTGTTCTTATCCTGCAACGTCCCGTCTTACGTTCTTCTCACTTTTGTTCAACAATAATCATGGCCTCCAGACGCAAAAACACCCAAACCAGTAGCACATGCATCGCTCGATCGACCCCTTCGGTACCTCCGTACTCGATCCATCACAACCCCGGTTGGGGGCCAACATGAACAGTTGCTGAGTAATTTCTTATGGGTGCATCGGCGGCGCCACGCTGGCGGCGGCTGTCCGTTCTCCCTTGGCTTATTCTAGGTATTCCCGCTTTTATTGCTCTTGTTGTCCATCGCCCTGTATATTAGAGCTGGACGTTAAAGTTGATTCGACGGTGTGGTAGGAGGTAGGTGGCGTGAAACCGTCCTCTGCGCTCGATAGGACTAGCAGTGTGCTACATCCGGAGCGTTTATCTCTCTTCAGTTGTCTATCTTTTCCATTTCTACATGTTTCTCAGCAATCACGCTTGCTATGCTTAAGAACCGACAAACCCTGGCATTCGACGCAACGGAGCTACAATCACAAAACCTACGAACCCCTTGATTAGCTGACCATGTCGACTTCTGCATCTCCTCCGTCGATCGAACTCCAGCACCTTGACACCTCAGAGGCTGTCTCCCCCAGAGGCTCCCGTGATGAAGATAGCATATCGAGCACACGCAGCCGTCGGGCATTGGACTCGACAGTACGCTTGACACCACCCGCAATAACAGGGCAGAACAACACTGCTCCAGTACTTCTAACACCTGCCGGGCCACCTGAACAGGCCACAGTACCGTCAGCATCGCCTCCACCTCCTTCGACGACTCCGAATCAAGCCAATGGAACCCCCTTTGCACCTTCACTGGTGCCTCCCAAGGCACCCTTAGTCGCCAATCGCTCACTCTGGCAGACCTTGGTACTTTGGAGAGGCGAGCTGATTGCGGCCCTGATTGCCCTGCTCCTTCTCACGGCCGAGCTGATACTGTTCGCTCATTACAACCACAAATTCGTACGTGTACCGTGGTCTGATCAGTACTCGACGCCACTGACCTCCTAGATCTTTCCCCACCATTATGGCCTTGGATATACGGCAACCTGGCCATTCAACTCGATTACGATCAATGCGGTCTTCGCGCTGCTCACTGCATTCATGGAGACAGCTATCGCCTACTACATCGCTAGCTGTATCGGGCAAATGAGGTGGAGACTTTACCGCGTCAGCGCTCATCGCCTGGACTGGCTCGACGTGATGACCAAGAGCCATGGCGCTCCGGGCGCTTGGAGGTTGCTGTGGAAAGGAGGGACGTGGAGGTGGGTACGGTCCGCAGAGATTTCGAGACGTGTTATAACCAAGCTACTCACAGACAAATACCAATCCTTGGAGCCGCGTGGGTGATAGTTCTCCTTGTCTTCGTGAGCACATTCACACAACAAGCGATCAGCCTTGTCACCCGTCCGTTTCCACCTCATGGCTTTCCAAACGGCGGACGGGTACCCATTCAAAGCGGGTATACATGGACAAGTAGAGGTAAGCACCGATAGGTCAAAGGGTGCTCGGAGACATGATCACACTGCCGGTGACGCTCTGAGATCTTTTGAGCTTTTCCACAACATCGAGACACCTGCTGACCTCTTACCCTTCGCTGCTCCTGGCAGGCACGACTCGTAACATCGCAGATCAGATGCCTCTCGTCAACATGATGGGCTCCATTCAATCAGGCTTCGGCTCGGTCGCAGATTCTACGCAGAGAAAAGCGTCGGCATCAACCATCGCCACCTGTTCTGGAGATACTTGCGATTTTGGAGTATATCAGAGCCTAGGAGTCTGCGGCGCTTGCTCGTCTGGATCACTGCCGATTGACCTATCGGATGGATACTACGTGTTGCGCACTATGGACGATGTGGACCTTTCTCTCAACGCCATCGAAGGCCAGGTCAATCTGACGGCCGACGGGAGCTATCCTGTAAGTTCCGACCTGAAGGAACAAGTCGGTCCACTGCTGGTCAGATCTGTCGCTTTCCTGCGTAGCCGGTTCGCCAACAGCACAGTTGTAGCAAAAGAATGTGCAGCTTGGTGGTGTGTAAAGACTTACGCCAGTACAATGACCAACGGGACTCTCCACGAAGAGATGAGAGAAGAGCGGACCGACCGGTCGCCTGGAGCTCGAACGACAGGGGACTCGCAGCAAGACAGCATTGACCTCTACCCGCCTACTTGTCCCATCAATCCGAGCGACCAGTCTGCTGTTCCAAAGTCGTGCGACTTTTTTGTTGGTGCTGAGTCTCATCGAGCGATACAGAACTTCTTCATATCGAACAACCCCAACCTATTCAGCTCACCATTCTTCACAGGTTCCGTAACAATGGATTGGAACACTTCGAATGTTACCTCACTGCCGGTAGCAGCGCTCTTAGAGCCATCCAACTTTGACGGCGATATAGGAGCGGTTTTCGACGAAGCGTTCACATCCATGCTACGGTATATGACAGTCTCGCTGCGAGACCAACCCACATATGGTCCAGACTATCCTGGCTGGGTGTACGGCAAAGCCTTCACTCGCGAGACCGCCTTTGAAGTCAACTGGGCATGGTTGTCCTATCCCATCATTGTGGTCGCGGCGAGCATAGCATTCCTGGCTTTAACGATCGTCCTCAACCGCCACGACGAGATCTGGAAATCCAGTGTCTTGGCTATCATGTTCCACTCCTTCGCGGACGACGATCGCAGAGCTTTGGGCGATCTTAATACGACGCAAGCGATGCGTGCTGCGACAAGAGACCAGAAGGTGCAGATGGAGAAGCAAGATCCGGGCGGGCAGTGGGTGTTTAGAACCAGAGCGGGCAAGCCGAAGACGCATGCTGAGGCGAAGAAGATGGTTGGAAGTGGTGCTTCACGGATCTTTGGCCACGGGAGCGAGTTCGCGAGAGAGTTCTTGAGTGACAGGGACTGAGTCGTCGGATAGAAAAGCATACTTTGACTGAATTTTGCTACAGTTCAGCGGGCTGCTGTCTCACTCTTCATTGAGGCAGAGTTTGATGGTGTCTTCCCAAGCCCCTGCTCTCGTTGCGTGTTCTAGCCCCATGACGCTCAGGGTACCGTTCTCGTATGCTGTCTCCGTGTGGCCAACGTCTCGCCCGCCGAGACGCAAGCGGACATGCTGTGGAGCTCCTGCAAGACCCAGCACGGTGATGTTCGCGAGACCTGCGCCCGAGGGATAAGACCCCCAAGAGCGAGCCGTTAAACAGCTGTCGGCGAATGTGAACTGCGCGAATGGTTAGTAGTGGGATTAAATGCTTCTCTCTTTCCAGGACTTACCTCCACCATGCGAGTCGATTCAGGAACGATGCTCTCACCATCATCGAGATAAATCGATCCAGCAGCGCAGTCATTTTCATCCAGCGCCACAAGGAGACTATATGGGTTCGCCCTCGTAGCCGTAGTGGTATAACCCGGCTGTTGCATAGGCAGGATCGCTCCGCCCCGGACATGGACGTTGATGTGCTCGAGAGGAGCCGCCATGGTGACATTCTCGCCGGCTTGGACGCCAGTCACCTCTTTTAGAGAATGCCAGTCGTACCATCTGGTGCCCTTCCCGATGCCGGGAAATACTCCTTTGACAGTATCGGCTCCTGGCACAAGCACCGGCGTGACGAGAACCGAAGATCCCACGAGGAACTGGTTGTCGGTCTCCCGCAGGGAGACGTCGTTCGCAAACTCCCAGGCAAGTGCTCGCATGATTGTGTCTCCTCGGGTGTGGGCGTAATGCATCAGGGTGTAGAGATACGAGAGAAGCTGGTAGCGTATGCCGATGGCCCTTCGACTGGCTTCAGCAACGGTGGGCCAGACGTATGCTTCTTGTGGTCTCTTGCCGTCCGCATAGTGATTCCTTAACATACGGTCAGCATTGTTTTTACGATGCGGCTTGCAAAAGCTCTCACCTATAGAATGGGAAGAACGCCGATAGCTCCATCCATCTCGCACAGAGCTGTTCTGTCGAGTTATTCGCAAAGCCGCAGGTGTCGACGCCAAAGACCGGTACACCAACCATCTGGAAGATGAAGGACTGGGAGATTGAAAGGTACATGGCTCCCCACTCCGCAGCATTGTCTCCACCCCAGTGTGCTACATACTGTCCACTGCCTGCCCGAGGCTTAGTCTGGTACGGGAGAACCGTCATGGTCGCCGGACTCACCTATGCCAGTGCTCCGTGTCAGGATGAACGGGCGTTTACCAGGGATGGCCTTCGCAATTGCATCATACGTTGCTTTCGACACCCCAAGAGACCACAGATTGTGAATATCGTATTCTCGAGTTTGGTATTCGTCGTTGTGGAAAGCATCGAGTGCGATTGTCTGCTCGATGATCTGCTTCGTCGGTTTTGCACTGCATCCTGCATCAGCCTGACAAGTCCCGGCCTCAAGCATATTCTCACTCACTTATTGATCTTGTACGGTGGGAAGTTGAGCTGCCTCGGATCCGGGTTCGTGATCTCAGACACACCTCCTGGCAGCGCAGGGATGGAGACTGAACCATTCAGTTCCGCATTGCCGCAGGAGAAGGTACAGAACGACTGCGGCTCATCCAAGTCTACCCAGACACCATCGAATGGAATGAGCTGGTGGAACATGTTAACCTCTGAAGACCACCAAGCGTTCGCTTCTGGGTTCAGCCAGTCGCCCCAAACGCTGTACCCAGGCCAATTCTCGCCAATGAAGTAATATCTAGACGTAGCGTCTCGAATGTAAGCATTGGCTTTAGCACCTCGTCCGAATGCTGGATACGATGCCACGTCGGTCTCGTTCGATGGGTCAGGGAAGTAAACGTTGCTGTCTTGAATGACGATGTACCGCTGCCCTCGTTCATGCAGGAAATCTACGAATTCATGCATGCCGGCAGCTGGGAAGTTCTTCTCGTCATTCGTAAAGATTCTTGTACGATCGTAAACATTTATGTCGTTCCAAATGCTTTCGAGGGGAATGTCGGCTGCAGAGTAATTTGCTACGACTTCGCGAAGATTCGCAATATCGGAGTAGCCCCAGTGACACTGATGGAAGCCGAGAACATAGGCCTGCTGCATCGCTGGCAGTCCGACGCAGCCCGCTTGATACTGTCGGAAGGTCTCCAATGCACTGGAAGAAGGCGCCTTCTCCTTCTTGCTCGACGCATCTTGGCCACTGAGGAAGTAGAGGTCGATAGAGCCGCCAATAGTACGATACGTAAGCGCTCTTTCTCGCATAAGCCATTCTTGAGCGTGTGCATTCCGAGCATACAGGCCATGAGCTGTGGATGGTTTGTCTGGAGATTTAAGTCAGCATTCAAGGCTCAGTTCGAAACATCTTGTTGCTGAACGATTCATACCTGCATGATACCTCGTCTCCTGATAGAAGGGATGAGAGCTGTAAGAGTTCGAATCCATGGCGTCAGCGGTGTCGGCGTTAAACAACGCTTGGGTGTAGTTCGTCCCAAGCCGGAAGTTGCGTATGTTCTCCGCCAGTCCATACACATTGTAATTTGGCACCATGCTGGTCGTCAGCTGTAGAAATTGGTCTTCGAACACGAGTTGGTGTCCCGCTGTCGAGAAGAGCTCCTCCTGGTCATGACAGCGTTTGACCGCAAGGTGGAAGCCACCGTGATTGCTCCAGCTGAAGCACAAGTCACTGGTCCTCTTCGTAGTTTGGCCGTCCCATCTTGGTAGCCGTACGAACTCTTCGCCAAAGATGAAGCGAGAGCGGTTCGCGGCGCCGATGTACTTGGGCTGAATACGGACATTGAGACGCTCCGTGGCCTGGTAGGCTACTTCGAGGTGTAGGTCATGGATGTCGTTGCCAAAGACACTGCATGGCTCGCCGTCCAGTACGAGGTCGGCCGTGATGCCATGGTCTGTCTCTACGACGCTATGTGCTTTATAGCCCGGACAGCCGTCTGTCATAGGGGCCTTGGGGTCAAGGTACGTTGGCGTGATGGTTGGCAATGGTGGGAAGGAGCTCGTAGCCGCTGTTTGATGTGAGCAGGACTTCGTCGTGGGCAAGACCAAGTGAGCGTACCGGCAGACAGTCCTGCAAAGAACTGTGCTAGAGCACACGCTCTCCAGACCGTGTGGTGTATCGGCGCCATCAGGCCGGACATGTCATCTAGAACTACAGCACGATTCACGATCAAACCCCAAAGAATGATGATGGAGGCAAGCGTAGAAACATGGCGACCTAGCCATTGTCTCCCGGCGAAGGGTTACAACAACTATCACCCCACAGAGGGTTCATGGTTACATCTGGAGAAAGGCTTGCGGGGAAGTTAAGAGATGGTTTCAATTGAGGAAGTGATCAGACTCGCGGCTCGCGTTGAAGACGCGATGCCAAGGAGCGGAAAACAACCTCACCTCTTACAGGCAATATGAACGATCTTCCTGCCTCGCAATACCGTGAGGTAGTGAGCCCCGGACAGTGCAATATGTGGTGGCTGGTCGATCATAGCAGACAACGCTTCGTTAACCATCATGCGAATTCCCCAAAACAAGCCTACGCCGTCTCGTCTTGCAGCACTAGCGCCCACCACCACCTCTTAACACACCTTGTTCTCCCCTCCACCTCTACACTCACCACCGATCCTCCTCTCTTCCACCCCTTCCCATGCACACTCGACTTCCCCTCCTCATGCTCAAACGTACCACCCCAACGCCTTCTGCCTCGCCACCCTCTTCGCCAACGCCGCCTTCCAGTCCGCAATCGCACACTCCATACATTTCTCCCTGTCATTCTTGACCGGCCGCGGCGGCAAAGAGTCTTTGACGCACGTCTTGGGGACCATGTTGGTGAATGGCTTGTACTCGCGGTCGCATCTGACGAGCTGTTTTTCCTCGACGTGGGTGCAGGCGAATGTTACGTTCTGGAATTGGCACATGGTTGTTTTGTGGTTTGTTGAAGGGTGGGTGAGATGGTGTTGGTGCGTGGTTGGTAGTGCTTCGTTGTGGTGACAGCTTGTGTGCCTGTGGTTGGAGGGCAGTGTTTTGAGGCGGGCAGATGTCTTCTGGTAGGGTGAGAAGACGAAGAGAGCGATGGTGGTAGATATCTCCCTGCCCTGTTTGCCATGAATCCAGTTTGTGTCGTGCCGTCTTTGATCCTCGAGAAGTGTCTCGCATGAAGATGTTTGTCTCTTTGGCCAGAAACAAATTGACACGGTAGCGTCCAAGCGAGGGCCATCTGAATGCCGAACACTAGGTGCCAGCATTTACCGTAGGCGAAGGGAGGTATATGCCAGGCGATGGAACTGTCACTGGAAATGCAAGTTTCTGTATCAACTCACCCACTACCTCTTCCCCTTCATCTTCTTCGCCGCCCTCTTCTCCCCTCTGACATCCTTCTTCAACCGACTATCCACCATCTTATACTTCCCCTTCACGCCCCTCGGCCTCCCCGATCCCTTATTCGCACCCACAGCCTTGATAACCTTCACCTGCTTCCGCTTCTTCTGCCCCGCCTTCTTCGCCTTCGCCATCAGACCGGCGATACTCGCCGCCTTCTCCTTCTCGCTCAGCTCGCTGCCTTCCGCTAAGCCGTCGGACTTCTTCTTCAGCTTCTCAAGCCGACGTGCAGCGCGGAATGTCTTGCGTGCTTTGGCTTCGCGGACTTTCTTGATCGGACGGGCGTTGAGGGCGCGGAGCTTTTCTTTGATGGCTTTGGCGGCTTCAGCGGTGATGGGTCGTTGGGGACGGGAGTGCTTGTTTTCGTCGTCAAGGAACCATTCGGGCAGGCCGTCGACGTCGCGGTGGGAGAATTTGTTGAAATTGTCGTCGGCGAGCTGAGCTTTGGTAGTCTTGCCAGTGGCGAGTGCGTGGGCCAGAGTCATGGCTTCGGCGGTGATGATGTCGATGTTTGGCCGGCCGGTCTCCTGCTCTGTAGGACGGGAGGTGCCCTCTTCCCAGTCTTCCGCATCGTCTTGCTTCGTGGCGACTTCTTCAATCTCTGATTCATCTTCCACATTATCGTCCGCCACTACTTCCATAACCTGATCTGCATTGTCTCCCTTACTGGCAGCCTTGAGCTCCGGCGAAAGCGAGCCAGACGCAACATCTATGCCGCTGTCCCGTTCCTGCTCGGCTTCGCTCTCCTCTGCGTCTTCCAGTCCGGGAATGTCCTTGAAAATGTCTTGCTGGAAGAAGCTTGCCGCACGTCCAGACAACGCACCCTCTCGATCCCGCGGCTGCGGCCCAGTCATAATCTCGGCTTGCTCACCTTCACTCTCGAAGCCATCATCCTCGTCCTCCATAAGATCAGCATCAGAGCTAACATCAGTGTCTGCTCCCTTGTCGTCCTTGTCGAATCCTTCAAACTCATCATCTTCATCTCCTCTCGCCTTCATTCGGGCTCTCTTCGCTGCTATCTTCGTGCTCCTCTGCTCCAGACGATCTTGATAATCCTCATACATGCCATCGAGCTGGCGCTCAAGCTCATCTCCATCATCGTCCTCGGCTTCCTCCTCGGACTCTTCTTCCGCCTTCTTGACCTCTGGAACTGGATTCGCAACCATCCGGCCCCTCACAATCTGCTTCCGGACACCGCCATCTTTGTCAACATCCTTCAATCTGAAAGTGGCATCGCTACCTTCTGGCCCACCAGCCTCGATACCAATATCTGACGGAGTAACCATGTTCATCTGCATGCGCACAATCTCTTTTTGCTTCCTCTCATTGTCCTTCTTTCGCTTCTTGCGCTCGGTCTTGGACTGCATGTCCTTCATGCGCTGAAGATCCTCCTGCAGCTTCATCTCCTCGTCCATGGGTTCTACCATCGCCACCTCTTCGCCGGCAGCTCCTTCGACGGCAACATCGTCCGCAGCAGCTTTCTGCTCAGCCGAAGCACCGACGTGGTCCGTCTTCTTCTGCCGGAATCCGAATCGCTCCCTCGCCTTCAGCCTCCATCTAAGCAGCAACTTGAACTCCTTGCGACCAAGTACCTTCAAATCCGAACAGCACTCCCGGATCTCTTCTGTCGTCTCTGGTAACTTGTCCAACGCAGCAAGAGCGATGTCGCCATTGTTCTCCTGCCTGAAGTGCAGTCGATTCAGGTTACCCAGCATTTCGATCGGATCCTGGGTCTGAATGAACTCGCTTGCTGGCGCCTCATGGAACTGCGTCCAGTCGCCCTCCTCATACCCCTCACGCTTGCGCTTCTTCTTTTCCGGGTTGAAGACTTTCGCCTCATTGTTCACAGCGGCTGCTTCTACTTCTGCAAAGGCGTGCTTCGGGTCCAGAAATCGCGGGTCCATGTGCTTTGGCGCCTTGAAGCCTCGGCACACGTAAAACGTCTCGGCGGAGACATTGCGCGAAGAGGGCGGCTTCGTTTGCTCGACCTTGCTGAAAAGCTGCTTGAAAATCCACTCTAGCTTCGCGGAGTCTTTGGAGCGAAAGACCTTGGTCACGAATGTGCCGTCTGGCGCCAGGAACTCTGTCGCCAGTTTCAAACTCGCAAGCACCAGCTCGTTCTGACTGAAAGCATCTTGCACCCAAGCCGTACCCACATTCGGCGCACCATCGTGCACCACCGTGTCTGCTTTCCAACTCTTGAGATGTCCTCGAATAGTGGCTCGGCACTTGTCGCTGGTGATGTCGTCCTGGAAGCTGATCGTTCGTGGAATTGGCTTGATGGGAGCCAGGTCAACGCCCACGATGAGCGACTTGACCGGCATTGTCTCGGCGGCGACCTGCATCCATGACCCTGGTGCAGCGCACAGATCGAGCAGACATCTTGAGTTCTGCAGGAAGGAGTATTTCTTGTTGAGTTGGATCAGCTTGAAGGCGGCGCGAGCGCGGTAACCTTTCTCTTTCGCGAGGTAGTAGTACTTGTCCAGACGCGCTTTGGCATTCTTCTTCTGGATGGCCATGTCGCCTGACTGTGTTCGTGTGCGGTCTGAGGTGTAGTTGCAAGTGAAGGGTATATTCTTCGCCGTCGAACTTTTTGCTTGGCGATCTTATCTTAGCTCCCGCGTCCCGCTCCCGCCTAAGTCTTCTTTGGACTACTGCGCCGCGATCTACTACATCGAGGGCAAGCTGATGCGCTGGTGAAGGAGTCCCAGACTCTCTGAGAAGGCTAATAGCCGGACGGTCAACATGGTACGGACTGCATAAGCGTACGTCCAATCAACAGCTCCAATATTCTGTCGCCTGCATGCAGCATTACCAGACCTTGAATCTAACGAGCCGTGTCTGCACCCCGCCACAGTCGGTCCTTTCGATCTCAAAGTAAGATAAGGTAATGTGTGTCTTTCCTCCATCTCACCTCGTTACTCTCCTCTCGTCGTCTTACACAGCGTCCGTAAGCACCACTTTTACCCCTCAAAGACGACAACGATCGAAGAGATGGCGCTCACACACTCAGAGAGAGTCTTGCGCACAATTTGCATCTTCACCTTCATCCCCACTCTAGCTCTCTGCCTCCCATTCTCCGTCATCGAGTATCGCAAGTGGGCTGCATGGTGTATGCTACCTATGGGCATCTCTATGATTTGGAGTATCGTCATCTTGCTCGCAAAAGGGAGCAAGGAACGACGTGCCATTCTGCTCATTGGAGATGCGCTCTTGGCTTGCTACATTATGAAACTGTTGGTCTTGGTAAGTTCCCTTCTTAGAGTTGCGGCTCTGTAGATTTTGACCACTGCACGGTAGACATGGAGCGACCTAGTTCCTCGCGGGCCTTGGAAGAACAGCAACAGGATGGTCCTCGTTGGGACTTACGGCACTGTGCCTGTGCTCGCGAACTTGTACTCAGTATCCGAACCTCTTCACTCGCACTACCCACTGATATCTATCGAGCTTCATCCACCTCTTCCTAGCCCTCCGAGCGGCGTACGATCTCAGCAAGCAACATACCCACGACATATTCAACTTCAAGCTCAGTCTTTTCCACTGCTCGCACTGCCACTCCCGCGAGCAAGATCTGGCGGCACAGGGCAGCAGAACTACCGAGGAGAACGTTGCTCGCTTCAGGGAAGTTGCTCGGATGACTGATGAGCCGAGCTGGAGTCCGCTCAGTTCCGAGACGTTGACCGAGACCAGAGAGCGGGACGACGATGCTGCGAGGCTTGTATGAGCATCTCGAGCTGGCGATGTTTCTTGGACTGGAAGACACTCCAGAACTTCTTACGCAGGCCCAGCCGTACATGGGACAGGGAAGGCGGCAACAGCCATTATGGCTCTGTAGGAATACTCACCACCTCATTTAGAAATATAACGAATGCATGAAGCTACGATGCAATTCCTCCAGCAGTATCACACAGACTCATTAACACCCCTCGTTTTTGATATTTACGTGAACCTCATGGCATTGTCAAATACATTCTGCCCTTGCCGTCGGCTTTGGACTGCCAAGCGGGAGACAGTGAAAGCGGCCAACAGGGCTTAGCTAGTAGTCTTCTCCAACAGGAAGTTGCAGCCAGAAAGGCCTCATCACTCTTGTTAGTGGGTCGTCGTTGTCTGTGAGAAGGCCCCTTGCACGGCACGGCTCACCTCACTGTGATCCAGTGGGCCGCTTTCACTGTCGACAGCTTAGACTGCCAACAGTAAGATCCCTGCCGAAGCATGAGCCTAAAGTCGCGCAGAGCGCCTCAGCCAATGACGCGTGATGATGATGGACCACATGGCACATGCGGGATCGACTGCCGGTGCTTGTATTGTATACATGTCTACTTCATGCACGTAGGAACGATGCGCGTTTGACGTACACAGGGACGAGAACAATAACAGTTCGCCACGAACATCATGGGCGGCAAGAGGAAGAAGTCGAAGCCCAGCGCAACGGGACCCGAGACAGTCAATCCTGCGGAACAGAATCAAGATGGACAGACTCAGAGCAGTAGTAGTAACGCCGGTCCGTCGAGAGCAATAACAACAACTGCGACGGATGGCAAAACAGCACCGGAGGCCTCTGCAGCTACACCGCAAACTCCAACCCCGAACCGATCAAGCTGGTACGGCTCATGGCGCTCATCATCCAAAGCTCTTCCGGCAACAGCCCAGATCGCGAAGGAGAGCATATCTGTCGCTCAAGGCGCGACATCGTCGGCGAGTGAAGACCAGCCCGTTCGACCTCCAAGCTCCGTCAGCAAAAGTGTGCGCGGCAGCCGGAAGAGTATTCCATTAGCCGCTGAGGCTACCAGGGTACACGCAACGAGCGATTCGAGCGATATGAGTCGGCCGCGAGTGTCCTCGTCGGAGAAAGACAGAGAGAAGGAGAAGGAGAAAGCTAATTCGGGCAAGGAAGAGCAGTCAGCGGAGGTGGTAGTGGAGGAGGCGCGGCTACCGCCTGTACCGGCTTCTGTAGATGGCGCAGCGGACAGCGGGAAGACGCAGTCTGGAACGTGGTTTGCGTGGTGGTCGAGACCCGATGGATATGGGAGTGACGGAGAGAAGAAGAACAAGAGGCTGAAGATGGATGTTGAACAGGAGGATGCCACTTCTACTCCACTTCCTGGGACGCCGAACGAGGAGGGGGTGGATAAGCGGACGAAGAACGCGATGGAGTTTGAGGGTCTGAATGCAGCGTCAGGTGGGGAGAACGGGAAGGCTGGACAGCCTGAGATGAAGAGCGTTCAGTCTTCGAGGGGCTGGTTTGGACTATGGAGCTCCACGCAGAACCAGGAGGCTGCGGAGAGCCAGCAGACGGCGAAGGAGGACGTACAGAAACAGCAGCCGCCTGAGATCGCGGTTTCGGCTGATCCTCAGACAACAGAAGCGGCGGCAGCAGAGACTCATGTGCCCAAGCAAGGCGACTTGAAGGACGCTCAGTCCGCCGCGAAGTCATCTGGTTGGGCTTTCTGGTCAACAGATAAATCCAAAGAGGATCCTCCACCAACACCGGGAGGCACGCAGAAACAGATAGGGGAGCTGGCAGTGGCGGACACGCCCAGTCAGAGTCACCCCGAGGCAGCGCAGTTCAACGAGCATGAGACGAAGCAAGCAACGGCGGCTACTCGACCAAGTAGAACGGGTTCGTTGTTACGACCCAAGCGTGGCAAGCCCAGGAAAGATACGCCAGCAAGCGACTCTTCCTCTGCACCAACACCGCTAGCAGGAAGTTCTAGGGCACAGACGCCAACGTCAGAAGTCTCCACACCCTCATCTACACCAGCACCTGAACAGTCAGCAGTCTCGTCGAGTCTTTCGAAGACCTTGGACCAGAACAAGACACTCTCCACCAAGCAAGAACGACCTAACCACATCTTGCCTTCCTTTAACGCCACATTCCCACTGGCACCCAATCCAACTTACATGGAACGCTTAACCAGCTACCTCGCACAGTCACTCCGTCTTCCCGGCGCGCAGCCAGATCCATCACCTCAACACGTCTTCCGCAGCACTTCTCCGCCAAAGATCAGGAAGGCCGTAGCACTCGGCGTCCACGGCTTCTTCCCCTCGCCGTTGATCCAGAAGTTCATCGGCCAACCGAAAGGCACATCTGTGCGCTTTGCCAACTACGCCGCCACTGCCGTCAAGACGTGGTGCGAGCAGCACCAACCCGACCTCAAGACGGTTGAGATTGAGAAAGTCGCTCTCGAAGGCGAAGGCTACATCGCAGACCGTGTAACGACGTTGTGGAAACTGCTACTGAACTGGCTCAGCCATCTGCGGCAAGCTGACTTCATCCTCGTCGCATGCCATTCCCAGGGTGTGCCGGTGGCAATGATGCTAGTGGCGAAGCTGATCCAACTCGGATGTCTTGCGCCCAATGCGCGAGTTGGCATTTGCGCGATGGCGGGCATCAATCTCGGACCTTTTCTCGAGTACCGCTCTAGATTCTTCGGCGGGTCGGCCCTGGAGCTGTTCGAGTTTGGCGACCAGAAGAGCACCGTTTCGCGTGCTTACGCTGAAAGTCTGGAGCTTTGTCTACGGCACGGTGTGCGAGTCACCTTTGCAGGAAGTATTGACGACCAGCTCGTGAGCCTGGAATCATCACTGCACACACCACTACATCACCCGTACGTCAACAGAGCGGTCTTCATCGACGGTCGCCTGCACGCGCCAAACTTCCTGACCCACCTCGTGGTCTTTGCAGCAAAACTACGCAACCTCGGCGTGAGCGACCACGGCTTAATACGGGAGTTGTCCGCACCGCTAGCCGGTAGTCTCGTTGGCGGAGAAGGACATAGTCGTGTCTACGACGACTCTGCAGTCTACCAATTAGCCATCGAGTTTGCCCTCGAAAGCACAGACGTCCACTCTGATACTTCGCCAAAGCCCTCACAACCGGACAAAGCTAAGACTTCAACAAGAGGCAGTTCCGGTGATCTCGCAGGCACCCTCCCCACATCCCCAGCACTCGCACAGCATCTCCGCCGCTCCTCCGTGGCCATGACTTCAGGTTCAAACCTCCTCGCTCCCTCGGCCAACTCCATCGCACCGGTAACCACGCCCTACGAACCGCCGCCTTCGAGCACGACTGCGAATCCTTTCTATCTTCCCTGGGCTGTTAGAGGGATGCTCGAGGAGGAGATGGTGAAGAAGGATGAAGGGTTGAGGGAGGAGGTCAGGCAGTTGGTGAGGGAGTTTGAGGAGTGGAAACCTACGAGTAAGGTGCTGCGGGATGTGAGATGGAGGTTGGAGGGGGTGAGGGGGATGGTGTAGTGCTGGTGATGAGAGGAACATTTGGGATTAGCGAGGTGTTTTTGTTTCAATTGGGATGTGAGAGGCCGTAGATACTCCAAAGCACTGCAATTCTACGATTAAGACTACCTACATGTACCTACCATCCGGCCAAAGCAAGAGACAGTGAAAGGGACCACCCGGACACATCTGGCAGTCTTGTTCTCCAAGGCGAGGTTTCAGTCAAACAAAACCACATCACTCTCGTTAGCGGGCGGTCATTGTCTGTGAGAAGGTCCCTTATACGGCTCACTCTCACCTATAGGGCCGCTTTCACGGTCGACAGCCTGCCAGCGCAACGTTACAGTCACGTGCCGGCGCCTCTTCATCCGGCGGCGGCGCTAGCGTGATGGTCTTGGAACGAGTGGAGCAACTGGACCTCACCTTATCTACAACCACCCAACACCCCTGCTGCGTTCTCTACTTCAGACGGCTCACAAGATGAGCCGGGACTGCGGAAGGTATTACTGCTTGGCCTACGAACACTGGATGCGCGAACCGCACGATCGAGACGCTGCGGCAGTTGGGAGACACCTTCGTGTTTCTGCTTTGCTTATCATGCCTTCCTGATCTTGCGGACCTTTAATCCAGACAGATGTATCACTGTGGACTTCGATACATATATTAGCCTGGATTAGGGTTCACTGCCTCTCTATACCACTGACACAAAGACTGCTGCGCAGCTGACAACTTCCAGTGAACGACCACTCGGCCACCAGCAACACAGATAACGGCCGTTGCCAAGCTGTTTGGTAGGCATGTCTTATCTCCCAGCTCTCGCCGTCGTTTCTGCTTTTGTGTCTACTTTCTCGGCGCCCCATCGAAGTTGGTGTACGATCGACCCCATCAGCGGCTCAATGATCTGCTCTGGGGGCCTTCTCCAGCGCCCTGGGGTAGACGATCCTGCACCCATACCGATGGGCCGGTATGACGACCGAGGGGGAGAATAGCCAGAGGGAATGCCTATAAAGCTTGTCTGCTTGGCCTGCGTAGGTGCACTCTGATTTCGTTTCGTCTTCTTCCAGTCTCTCGTACGCTGAGTCCTGCTCAAACCTCTCTCTACTTTGCACGCCGACTGTGGCCTGCGCACTCCGCTTCCACCGCCAACATGACGCCCACGACCGTTGTTCACAATGCCTACACCCCCAAGGAAGCGACCGAGCAATGCTCGCGCGCTGGTAAGGCGAAGGCCAATATGCGCATCGACAAGATCTTTTTCAGCTCCTTCATGGCGGGTTGTATCCTCGCTCTGGCATGCGCTACCTCTCTGTCCACCAACACTTCCCCATGGTACCAGGAGAATGCTCCAGGACTGATGCGCATGATCGGGGCTATCATCTTTCCCTGGGGCCTCGTTTCGATCGTCGTCAGTGGAGCAGACCTCTGCACTGGAAGTTTCATGTTCACGACTATCGCTGTGCTTCATCGACGGTTGAGCGTGGTGAAGATGCTTATGCATTGGTTCATCACGTTCTGGGGAAACCTTGCTGGATCGCTTTTCGTGGTCGGCTTGATCACAGGGTCAGCTCGAAAAGAACTCTGGCGAATCTCAATGCAAAGGGCTAACGTTTTGGCACAGACATGGCGGTATCTTCAATGAGGACCCGTACTTATCAGAGGTCTACACGTTCAATGAAGCCAAAGTCGTCACGCCCGAATGGCACATGATCTTCCTTCGCGGCATTGGAGCCAACTGGCTCGTGTGTCTGGCTTGCTTCCTGGCTTTCCTCGCTAGGGAGTATGTTAGCAAGGTGGTGGCTATCTGGTGGCCTACGTTCGCCTTCGTTTGTCTTGGCTTCGACCACGTTGTCGCGAACATGTACGTTTCCCGCGACCGAGCGACGATCATCTACTAACCGCAGCTATCGTACAGGTTCTTCGTCCCCATGTCAATCTTCCTTGGAGACCCCAACATTTCGATTAGCTTCTACATCTGGAAGAGCATGATCCCGGCTCTCCTTGGGAATATTGTTGGGGGTGGTCTGATGGTGGGCACAATGTACTGGTATCTCAACTTGACGGGCGAGCCACCTGTCGCCATAGATGGGGTGCAGTTCGAGAGCGAGACGGCGGCGTTGGTGGGACAGTCCGCTGGGAGCGGAACACCTGCTCGTCGGGGGTCGTCGAGCGAGGGCGAGAAGCGTGATGATGGGGATATGGTCTAGCCGGCTTCAATGAGGAGGGAAAGGAGGGCACGCTGGACGTTGTGCGTAGAAGACACACGAGCTCTTTTGGTAATGTGCATGACCTGGAGATGGTCGTCACCCATGAGAACGTTACCCAAGAGAACACATCGCGAGCTACGAATGCAGTAGGAACCACAGCACAGAGGTGGCTGTACAGCTTCCCGCATACCACGATGGACTTCAACCTCCGTTGAGCCCAAGAATGTCCAGTCGACCTTCCATTCTTGCTACGAGCATTCACAAGAGCCGCCCAGGCCTTGACCTACGTGATCCATTGACCAACGACTTCTCAGCGCTCGGATAGGGCAGTTTGGCCGGTGATATGGACCCAAGATCCTTATCTCTGAGTGTTTCCGAAGAAAGATATGATCGACCGTGCATATGAATGGTTCTAGTCGCGATTGATGGCCAATCAGACTCTCTCGATAGGTCATATCACACACACTCAGACTAGGTCTCGTAGATGAACACTTCACAGGTTGCTGTCTAACGGCTTGTACCTAAGTACGCAAAGTAGTTGGGATGAGAGAAATAACCTTTGGAAAGCAAGTTGGGTCTGGAAGCACGGACAGTCTCGGCGCTGTGCCTGGCTTTCCTCGAGGACACCTTCCTCCCCTGTCTTCAAATCTGCAAGGCTTATCAGTTCACCTGTCACCCATCATGTTCACGTCCTCGGAGAAGTTACTTTTGCCGTTATCAACCTGCCCCAACGCGCCCAGCTGTCTCGTCGCCACCTCGGAACGCTCGCCATACCACAAATGCCACGATCGTGATCATTTTGTGCTTCTCCGGCTGTATATCAGCGGGAGGTGCTTCGATATATGTAAGACCAAGGCGAGGTGGGTTCAATGCGAGTCCTTCCAAGGCAGTGATTCGTCTAGGTGTCTTTGAACGTCTTACGGAGGTATCGTGTACTTCCTTTGGCGAGTTCTCTTTCGACTTCACTGTCATTCCATCGCATGCGCTCCGCTACGTGACCTCTCGTGGTCATTCATATCTCTCGGTTAGCACCTACAGGCAAAATGAGCGATGATGGGCAAGGACAGCCTCCAGCGCAGGCAGAGACGCTGGAGGCAGAGATCCCTTCAAGCACCGGCAGAAAAAGGGTCGTCGTGGTCGGATTGGGCATGGTCGGCATAGCATTCATCGAGAAGTTGATGAAGCTGGACGCGAAGCGAAGAGAGTACGATGTCATTGTCATTGGCGAAGAACCGCATCTGGCCTACAACCGCGTGGGTTTGACGTCGTTCTTCCAGCATCGGAATGTCGAGGACCTCTATTTGAACCCTGCCAGCTGGTACTCATCCATGCCGGAAGGTTCGCTGAACTACCATCTCAACACTCTCGTCACCTCGATCGATACCGGAAGCAAGACGGTCGGCACCTCAAGCGGAGATACTGTATCATACGATATTCTGGTGTTGGCGACCGGGTCTGACGCGATTCTGCCACGACATTTGCCCAACTATTCTGCAAACGGTGTCTTCGTGTACAGAACAATCGACGACCTCCAGAAACTAATCAACTTCGCTTCGTCGAAAAAGGGAACCGTGGGAGCCGTCGTGGGAGGTGGACTTCTTGGTCTCGAAGCCGCCAAAGCAATGATGGATCTCGAAGAGTTCAGCAAAATCAAGCTCATCGAACGCAATAAATGGGTGATGAGCCGGCAGCTTGACGGCGATGCTGGTGGGATGGTCGTTGAGCAAGTGCGGAATCTTGGTGTTGATGTCTTGCTGTCGAAGCGAGTAGGAAGGCTCAACACTGACGGCGAAAACAACCTTACCGGCGTTACGTTTGAGGATGGAGAGGAGATGGAGTGCACTTGCATCACATTTGCCATTGGTATCAAAAGTCGGGACGACCTCGCTCGTGGTAGTGGTAAGCGACATTCTTAATATTAATGATACGTAAGGCTCCGAGCTCATTTGCTGACCACTTCTCGATTCACAGGCATCAATTGTTCCGATAGGGGAGGGATTGTGGTCCAACCAGATCTCTCTACCAACGTGAAGGACGTCTATGCCATCGGCGAGTGTGCAAGCTGGGAGGATCAGACGTTCGGTTTGATCGCACCTGGTATTGAGATGGCGGATGTCCTTGCCTTCAATCTCACACAAGCCAAAGCACACGCACCGCGGAAGTTCCAGCGGCCGGATCTCAGTACCAAACTAAAACTTCTCGGTGTCGATGTCGCCTCGTTCGGAGACTTCTTTGCGGACAGGGATGGGCCAAAGCATGTACCTGCCAGACGTCGGGCGAAAAAGGATGAGTCGAGCGATGCCACAGATCAGAAGAAAAGCGAACCTCAGGTCAAGGCTCTGGTGTACCAGGATCCATTCCAGCACGTCTACAAGAAATATCTGTTCACCATGGACGGAAAATATCTGCTCGGTGGCATGATGATAGGCGACACCAAAGACTACGTCAAACTCGTCCCGATGGTGAAAAGCCAAAAGGCCCTCGAGATCCCGCCGAGCGAACTCATTGTCGGCGCCGCGAAAAGCGACGATGCGAGTGCTGACGACCTGCCCGACGACACCCAGATATGCTCCTGTCACAACGTATCCAAAGGAGGCATCTCTGAGGTGATCAAGGACGGCACCTGCAAAGCCATCGGCGACGTCAAGAGCTGCACCAAAGCCGGCACGGGATGCGGAGGCTGCATGCCTCTCGTCCAGACCATCTTCAACAAAACCATGGCATCGATGGGTCAGGAGGTCAAGAACCATCTATGTCCCCACTTCGAGTATTCACGAGCCGACCTGTTTAACATCATATACGTCAAGAACCTGCAAAGCTTTCCTGACATTATGAAGGAAGCCGGCAAAGACCCGAATTCTAGCGGGTGTGAGGCGTGCAAGCCGGCTCTGGGATCGATCATCGCTTCTCTGTATAACAAGAACATCATTGATCCGGATAGGAGAGGGCTGCAGGATACGAACGATAAGTTCCTGGCCAACTTGCAGCGCAACGGGACATTCTCGGTCATACCGCGTGTGGCTGGTGGCGAGATTACGCCGGAAAAACTAATTGTGATTGGAACGGTGGGGAGGAAGTATGGGTTGTACACCAAGATTACAGGAGGTCAACGAATTGACATGTTCGGCGCGAAGAAGGTAGGGACCGATCGGGAATGTCCCCTCAGAATCTACTTCATTGCTGACACCTCCATAGCAAGATCTCCCCGCCATCTGGCAAGAACTCATCGACGGCGGCATGGAATCTGGCCATGCATACGCCAAAGCCCTCCGCACGGTCAAGTCCTGCGTTGGCACGACGTGGTGTCGCTTTGGCATCGGCGATAGCGTAGGCATGGCTGTGCGGTTGGAGGAGCGGTACAAGAGTATCCGATCGCCGCATAAGCTCAAAGGCGGTGTTTCGGGCTGTGTGAGAGAGTGCGCGGAAGCGCAGAGCAAGGATTTCGGGTTGATTGCTACTGAGAAAGGTTTCAATATCTTCGTCGGAGGTAACGGAGGAGCCACGCCTCGCCATACTGACCTGCTGGCCAAAGACGTACCTCCTGACGACGTCATCCCGATTCTCGACCGCTATCTGAGCTTCTACATCCGGACTGCCGATAAGCTTCAGCGTACTGCTCGGTGGATCGAGAACCTGCCAGGCGGCATCAACTACTTGAAGGAGGTCATACTGGATGACAAGCTTGGCATCTGCGCCGACCTCGAGAAGCAGATGGAAGACCTAGTCGGCACCTTCTTCTGCGAGTGGACAGAAGTGCTGAAGTCTCCGGAGCGCAAGAAGCTGTTCTCCCAGTTCGCTAATACCGACGAGACGGTGGAGAACGTCGAGAAAGTCACAGAACGCGAGCAGCAACGGCCAGCGAAATGGCCCAAAGAGTCCGTCACCGAAGACTTCCGCGGTATCAAATGGAGCAACCTCAGTTGGCAGCCTCTTGCGAAGGTCGACCAGTTCTTGGAATCGCAGGCTGGCTCGAGCGTGGCTGTCAAGCGTGGAGACACTCAACTTGCTATCTTCAAGGTGAAGGGCATATATTATGCATCGCAGCAGATGTGTCCCCACAAGCGCGCCTTCCTGCTGAGCGACGGCTTGATCGGCGACAACAACAGTGACAAGCTCTGGGTCAGCTGTCCAGTGCACAAGCGCAACTTCGAGCTCAAAGGCGAGACCGCCGGCAAATGCATGAACGACGAATCTGTCAATATCGCTACGTTCCCGGTTGAGGCGAGGGAAGACGGGTTGGTGTATGTGAAGCTGCCTCCGGTGGAGGAGTTGGATGGTGCGTTGTCGACAGAGAAGTACAAGGTCAAAGGGGATACGGAGACGAATCCATTTGAGGGCATAGACCGCAAGATTAAGCCGATGAAGGGGAGGAAGGGCATCAATCCTAGCCATCTGCCCGACGGGTTGGGGATGCACGGGAAAGCGCAGCAGATTCTGGCGGGAGGGGAGCGCGGCTCGGGTGGCATAGACTGGTAAACAATGTAGGGCGTAAAGCACAACGTTCAGTATCTGTACGTTCCGTCATCAATGGCTTCGTCGATCGCTTCGTGTGGATGCGTTGTCGCTGCGAGCAGATAATTGCAAATTTTGCTGTGCGACGATGCAGCCGTATTAGGAACAATGTCAACAGGCCATGCTGGTCGTCTCACCGACCTGCCTGTACCCGCGCGTGTGTTTCCGTGGGCTCGTTCATGCAGCTGTCACCGACGAAACTCCTTTGCATTAGTATGCTTCATTTCGTACCGCAATATTTCTAAGACAAGAATGAGGACGAGGAGAGTGCTCTGGCCAGACACCCTCGTGGAAGCGGAGGCCAAGCAAGACGGCAATGAGGCATGTGAAAACTGCCGGGGAAAATCGTGGAGTTCGTCTTCCATCCTGGCACTCGGGGCAATCAGCCACGATCCTGGGGCAAGCTCCGCACAATCTCCATCACACCACCCCAGCCGCCCCTCCCATCGCAACGAGCAAGACTCAAAGCAGCCAAAGGAGGCGTCCGGCTTGAACCTTGTCTGCCATGTGCGCGTCGCCTGCGAGAAGATCAACTGCCGACAGCGTGACACAGCACAATCTCTTTCGCTAAGGAACATGGGAAGCGAACATCTCCCGGCAGCCCTTTCGCTGTCTAGGCGGGCGAGGGCTAGGCGTGGGGATCTAGGCCTCGGGGTAGGACGAGTCAGTGGTGCTTTGCCCTACTTTTAAGATCCACGTCGTTCCCATCATCTTGTCTTTGTGTACCGCGTCGAGAGTCGCCCGCTCAAACTCGAAGCACTACACCAGACGTCAACGGCAAGATGGGGTTAGGTGTGCTCGAAGGTAAGTCTGCTTGCTGTGCTGTTCGCTCAGGCTTCTTTCACTGACACGCGTTGACAGATCGAAGCTCTCTTCCGCATGTCCCTGGAACCGTGCAGCTCAATGAGAGCAGCACTGGGGACGGCAATGGCGCAGCACGCATGCTCAAACATGGCACGGGTCGCGATTCGGACGTTATTCTATCTCCCCAGCCGAGTGAGGACCCCAATGTAAGTCGTCCTAACATACGCGTCATGGTATCACGATTGGCTAACGATGGGTCCTCCTGTCCAGGATCCTCTCAACTGGCCACACTGGCGTAAAGAGCTCATCATTGGCATCCTTTCTTTGGGCGCCATGCTGAATGCCGGGACCAACGTTCGTGGCTACGTCGTCCTCCTCAACGAACAAGACAACTGATCATCACAGGGTCCGTTGCTGAATGCTAGCTACTTCCCGATTTCCGAACAGCTAGGAACGAGCCTCACTCGCGTGGTACTTGCTTCCGGCTACAATCTTCTCGCGGCCGGCTGCATCGGCCCATTCGTGGCGGCTTTCAGTCGAAAGTTCGGCAAGCGTCCGGTGTTCCTTGTATCGACGCTGTTCGCCATCGTCGGGACAGCAGTCGGAGAGGCCTCGATCAGCTTCCAGTATCTCCTGGCCGCACGTATCATCCAGGGATTCTCCACGTCTGCGTTCGAGTCTCTGATCGTTGCTACTGTCGGAGACATCTACTTCGTCCATCAGCGCGGCTTGCGAATTAGCTTCATCAACTTCATCCTCAACAGCGCATCCTCCTTGGCTTCCATCATCTGCGGGGTGGTGTACGCGGAAATGGGATACCTGTGGCTCTTCCACCTCTTCCAGATCTTCCTGGTCATCCAGTTCGTCGCCATGTTCCTGTTCTGCCCGGAAACGACCTACAACCGCGACTCGAGGTACGACACCGACGAGACTCGTCTGGAGAAGCTGGACGAACTCGCCAAGGTCGAGATGCACCATCACGAGGCGGCCTTGACTTCCACGGACGTTCCTCCAAAGAAGACCTTCGTTCAATCGCTGGCTGTGTTCACTGGGGTCTACTCCCCCGATAGCATCTTCAAGTTCCTGCTCGGGCCCTTCATCACTTTACTCAACCCGGCCGCTTGCTACGCAATCATCGTCTCCGGCTTGCTAAACAGCTGGTACGTCGGCAGCGCAATCATCATCTCGGGTATCTTCGCTGGTCCACCATGGACATATGGCGCTGCGCAGGTGGGATACCTAGGAGCCGGACCATTCATTGGCGGCATGCTAGGCTCAATATTCGTGGGCTGGTTGTCCGATCCGGTCATCAAGTGGATTTCTAAGCGCAATGGCGGCACCTAGTAAGTCACGTGACATGAATGAAGCTGCCTTAAATTGACAACATACAGCGAACCGGAGTTCCGGCTGGTCTTCATGGCTATTGCTCTCGTCTTCTGTACTGTCGGCATGTTCGTCTTCGGATACACGCTCTCCGTCGGCTCCCCTGGTCCGCTGTGTGCATTCTTCCAGGGTGTCATGTGAGTGCTAACCACCTTCGAGGCCAGACGGTCAGTCATGCTAACATTCCTGCAGGATGGTCGGCGTCCTCATTGGAATCTTCTCGACGCTTTCCTACGCTCTTGACGCCTTCCGCAGCCAGTCGAACGATATCTTCATCATGGTCAGTTTCTACCCCTTCATTTCCCTCTGTAGAAGAGACCCAACGCTGACGTCTTCCATCTCAATTTTCTAGAACATGCTATTCAAGAACTTCATGTTCTACGGCTTGTCCAACTTCGCCAACAACTGGGTCGCTGCCAAAGGCCCGCAGGAAATCATGTTCACCTTCGGTGGGACGTCGGCTTTCATGTGTCTGATGGCAATACCGACCTATATCTATGGTAAGCGGATGAGGAGCTGGTGGGCAAGGCACGATTTGTTTGTGAAGTGGGGAATGCAGACGACCGGTGCGGCCAGTGAGAGTAAGTTGGTATCCACACGAAAGCTCCAACATGGCAGTGGCTGACCGATCATCACAGTGGGTTAAGCGGTGTATGCTTCAAGTCGAGGGGGACGTAGAGGAGGTGTGGCAGGCGGAAGTGTGTGTAATTCCAGACTTCAACACTAGTAACAATGACAATTACTTGATACTCGAAATAAGTCTTTCATCGTGACATTTTTAATTACAACCTCCTAGGCTCCGTCAAATTGCTCGCGGCTCAAGCACTTCTCCCATCACGACGGTCTGAACACCTACAACGGCCAAAGAATCGTATAATAAGTATTCTTACAGCCCTTCGGAGTCGGAGAGAGCTACTACGTACGGAACCTAAGCTCAACGTTCGCTCGCCTGCTAGAGATCGAGACGTGAAGCTTTGTTGTTAGGCCGCGAGCAATCTAAGGAACCCTCGCTCGCTCATACGTGCCCCAGCTGGTTCTGTTCAGAACCAGGGCCCATCGAAGCAGTTGCCATGCTCGAGTGGATCGTGATATCATAGGTTGAATCAATTTCAGACTGCCTCGTTCCTGTATCAAACATCACAACCTCACACTCTCCCCCTCTCCAAGAACCTGCTGGGAATGTCCACCCACTTGCTCCGAACAAATTCGCACAAATTCTTCCCCAACCCATCAAGCGTCGAGCAACTATTGAAGCCCCCGTCCAAATGGTCCTTCAGCAAGAAATGCACCACGCGCAGATTCGGTATCTCGAACCTTTGACATCCATGACCGAGATACTCTTTCGCTAGCAGCTGAATGAATTTGTCTGTTGTGAGAAGGCTGCGGAGCCACTCGTACTCGTCGTCGTGTCGTACGAATAAGCCGATGTTGGCATCGGAGGCTTTGTCGCCTGAGCGTCCGAGCACGACCCAGCCGAGGGGGCCGCGGGTTGTTGAGCCGAAGGAAGAGAGGTCGACAGGGAGGGAGGTCTCGTACGAGTTTTGTTTCCGCGGGTACGTCTGCGTAGTCTTTGGCGCAGGGACCTCGATCGCACGGTTGTTCTCCCATTCCAAGAAGGCGCGGTGCTGGATCACTGATTGGGGAAGAAGAGCAGGCCAATATTCGTAGACGCTTTTGGCGGATGACTGACGCATGTCGGGAGTGACTGTAGCGCCGGGACAGCTCTGGAGGAAGTTCTCGAGGCACCAGCGGGTGAAAGAGGCGCCCAAGGAGGCCATGGTGCCCACGCTGGTGGATGTATTAGTAGGTAGACGAATCAACGAAGAGGGAGAGGCTCTTACCCCATGGTGCTTGGGTCCTTGGACTGCACGAAGACCCGGAAGTCACAGGTAGCGGAGTTCTGGTCTTCGGGGTCTTCAGCCGGGGTGCCTATGAGTTGAAAAGACAGCTTGGAGAATTTGTGGATATGGTTGCGCATGGAGTGGCGGATTTGCTTTTCGGTCCAGGCGGCCTAAGCAGTGTCAGCATCTGAAACTGATGCTAGTAAGTTCAACAACTCTTACCTTCTCCTTGTAATCCAGCCCGGCAAAGAGGTAATGAAATTCGGCCTGGTAGCAACCTTGCGCGGTGATGCCGACCTTCGTCGTTGGAGGGGGTGGGAGGCCTTTGACTCCTGTCATTTTAATCTCGTCTTTCCCAAGCTGCTCAAAGTTGATCCCTTCAAGGCCAGCTGTAACATCCGAATTGTAATACAGCGGCCCCTGGATCTCATAAACAAGCTGCGAAGTCAGCGTCCCCACCGACATCTCACCACCTGTTCCCTGCTCCTTCGTGAACACAGCATCTCCGTTGGCCTCAATAGCAGCAATGGGGAAGCCAAGATTCTCGCATCCGTCGAACAGATCCTTGAAGCCTGAGTAATAGCCTCCGCAGACGTATGAAGAGCATTCGATAAGGTGGCCGGTCATGAGCGCGCTGGCTAGTTGGTCGAAGTCAGTGGTGGACCATTCGTGCCACCATGCCGCTGCTCCGACTACAGGGGATGCATCGGCAACGCGGCCGCAGATGACAATGTCCGCGCCGGCTTTGAACGCTGCTACAATCCCCCAGGCTCCAAGATATGCCCTTTGTAGCGAGATGAACATTAGCTTCGCTTGAAGCGGTAGACCGAAGATGTACTTACTGGGCGCAGATGGGCTCGTAATCCCACTCGTCGATACTATTCCCAGTATCCAGATTCGTAAACTTCTCACCAGCCTTCCTAAGCTCCTTGAATTGAGGAGTAACCTCATCTCCCTCGATCCATGCGACCTTAAGATTAAGTCCAAGCTCTCCCACTTTCTTCACGACCTCCTTGGCCAGAAGGTCCGGATCACTGGCTCCAGCGTTGACGGCGAGCTTGACCTTGTTCTGCTCAAGGATCGGTAAGGCTGGAGCCAGAGATCCCATGAAACATGGATCAAAAAAACCTGGTCCAGGGGTGGCTCGAGGGTCTTTGGCCAATCGTTCTCTTTCGGCTGTCCTCTGGGCTCCATGGATGGTCATTGTGCATTCTGACATCCAGTCGCCGATGATAACGTCGACCTCGCAGTTCTTGGCCAGGTCATGAATGGAACGTTGGCGATCAGTGAAGCCTCCAGAGGCTCCGCCGACGCGGACAGCGCGTTTCATCGTGCTTGAAGGCATTATGAAAGAGACTGAGTGATAATACTGGGGGTTTCTAGCAAGAAGGCGATGAAGGAGGCGATGAGATGATGAAATTGGTCCTAAGGTTGTTGACGATGAACAGAGGTGTTCAGAGGACTTACGTTCTCATCGTGGAACTCACATCTTCAACAGTCCTCCACGGTCAATCGGTCCTGTTGCTACCTCCAGGTTAAACATATCCACGAGGCCAGCTTGGCCAACCCCACAGCCGAAGGACTCCGAATGCGGAACCTGCGCGTGGTTGGCGTGTCTCCCCTGCACTCCTTTTTGTCTCGGTCTCCATCGTGTCCTCTTGCATGATGTTGCACGAGATATCCTACGCGGAGAAGCCAGCTTGTGATCGAGGACGCAGTCAACAGCGATAGACCAGGAACATTGTTCTGGTGGAGCTACTGCGTGGCTTCCGTCCGGCCTCCGACGGGCGAAATGCGCTGCACTTGTCCGTAGCAGCTCAGCAGTTGTACAGTACGGGACGTCTTCAGGCTCACGAATATCACCGAGACTGTCTTCAAGACCGCTATCACCACGTGTTCTCTGCCCGATGCTGGAGGATTACGAGGCTAAGGTAGCGTGTGGAAGAGACCTTCCTTTCTGAGCCAAATGTTGTCAGCCGGCGACCCGCATGGCTTCATCAGATACTTTCTTTTACAACAGGCACGATTTCTCCTTCTAATACCATCCGCGGCTGCTTCGTGTAACCATCAAGTCTCTCTAAATTGCTCACTTCAAAAATGGCACAACAATTCAAACTCCCAGACGGCAGAAACCTAGACTACTCCCTTACAGGAGCCACCGATGGCTTCCCTCTCGTGTGGCACCATGGCACGCCTTCGGGTTACACAGCGATTCCTGTTCTTGCAACTGCCTGCGAGAAGCGTCGCTTCAGGCTCATAACATTCTCTCGATCCGGCTATGGCGGTTCTTCCAGGCAAAAGGGAAGACAGATCGTTGACGCAGTGGGCGACGTCCGAGCACTTCTTGAGCATCTTGGCTACCAGAAATGCGTAGTCGGCGGGTGGAGTGGTGGAGGTCCGCATGCATTGGCTTGTGCTGCTAAACTTGAGAGCTGTTTGGGCGTCATTTCTGTGGCAGCGGTGGCCCCGTATGACGCTGAGGGGTTGGACTGGATTTCTGGGCAGGGAGAGGATAGTGAGTATGGCTGATTTCCTGTATGCGTGAGTCAAGACCTGACTTGCCGTTCCACAGATATTGAAGAGAGCAAAGCTGCACTCGAGGGCGAGGACGCTCTAAGAGAGTTTTGCGAGGCGCGGCGTCCGGACATGATCAAAGGCACTGCCGCTGAAATTACTCAAATGATGGAATCGATCCTGCCAGAAGTTGACAAGAGAGTATTACTCGAGTCGCGTGAGTTCGGAAAGTACATGGAGACTACGGTAAGAACTTTGCTTTGGGCTCAAGTGCCTTGCTAATTCCATATCTTCCTATGCCAGACACGAGAAGGCCTCAAGTCCAGCTCGGACGGCTGGATAGACGATGACCTTGCTTTTATCAAACCATGGGGCTTCGAGATGACGGACATCCAATGCCCTGTAAGCTTATATCAGGGCAGTGAAGATCTCATGGTCCCTTACGACCATGGGAAGTGGCTGGGATCTCATATCCCTGAGCACTTGTTGACCAAGCACCTGGAGGGTGGCGAGGGACACATTTCGATCTTCGAGGGCAATATCGAGGGGATGCTGGACGAGATGAGGCGGGCGATTGACTCTCGGTCGTGAGGAGCATTGCCGCATGGTACGAGTCGGTTTGCAGCTCTATCTAACAGAATCACAAAACTTGCACGTTCACACTGAGCCATTACCTGGAACACGAGGCTTTCTAAACACACCCTTCGATCAACAGATAAAACTGACAGATACAGGCGCTTCTGTTTAGGAAAATGCAAAGCACAGCAATGATCCGCCACGCTACTTCGTCCACACCTTCACCTCATCCACATCATTAATCCTTGGAACAATATGCGGCGCCCTCGATGTGCCCTCCATCTTTGGCATCTCCCTGCGTTTGATGCCCAACGTCGCCGCCATGGCCTCGTGCGGCATGCCTTCAGCACTCGCCTTGTATCCGATATCCAGCGGCATGGGCTGGTCGAAGAAGATGCAGAAGTGAATCTCCTTCCCACCCTCCGGCAAGACTTCAATCTGATGTGGATAGGCGGCAAGGATGAAGTACATGTCGCCAGGCCCGAGAGTGTAGGTGTCCGTCTCGCCGCTGGGGTCGAGGATGGTCATTCTTGCTTGGCCCTTGTCGACGTAGCCGAGCTCTGCGGTGATGGGATGCCAATGCGGCTGCAGCCAGGTCAGCGGCTAACGTTCAGAAAGCCTGGAAGAGACTCAGCTTACCTCGCGCATCGCCTTGTCCTCCACGCGAAGGGAGTACATGGCCACGTTCTCCAGAGCCGGCCAATATATTGACTTCGCAAGTCTCGCGCTTCGGATATCCTCACCTTGGAGGGGAGGCTGCTGTCCCTCCACATCGAATTTGTGGACATCCTGGTGGTGCGCAGTATCCGGTATAGTCGGTACACCACCACGCTCAACGATCTCCTTGTTCTCTGTTGAGAACTTGATGTGATCAAAAGCAGATCCGGGCAGGTTGTACGTGTTCCCAAGAAAGCCGGCGACATGGCACCATACGCGGCAGAAAGCGAGAAATCCTCCGGCTTCTCGTGGCGAAAGCAGACCAGGAACTCAGCTGGTTCGTCATCGCTGATGTTCTCGATGTGGTGAAGGGAGCCGGAGGGGATGTGAAACATTTGGCCTGCTTTGATGGTGAACGAGGCGAAGTTGGAGTGGGTGTCGATGATGTTGACGAGGGCGTTGCCGGACAGACAGTATGTCAGCTCATTGCTGTCGGCGTGCCAGTGTGGTTCACGGATGCCTTTGGGTTGCAGTGTCAGGCGTTTCAATGACATGGCTTTGAGGATCGGCAGCTCGTCGACGGTGCATTTTCGGATCGATCCTAGAGGTGAGGAGAAGGATGGTTCGGAAGATTCAAGATGGTAGACATGGCGGGATGAAGATGCCATTGTGTTCTTGGTAGTTGGACGTTGTATGGACTTAACGTTTCTAGTGTCTGAATGAGACGCTGGTTGTTCTCCATGACGAAGGGCAATTCTGTATGTTATATATTTCCTGCGCGTAACTTTGCTCTTCTAAGAGCATTACATCCAACGCAGTGACGTCTCCTTTCCCCCCAGCAGAACCACGAGCTGTTCAGCATGCGCATGTTGGGACAGTCGGCTGCGGCTCCGTGTCACAGAGAAGGCTAACAACACCATAGGCAAATCCTGCCTCAGCGCCGCAACACCCGCCGATTCGTGCGGATGCGATCGGTGTGCAGACTAAGGTTCGGCTCACTGCAGCTCGTGGACGTTGAACCAATTGTTCGGTCGCTCCTCTGCTCTCCCACCGTCGGAATGTGACGGCCTGAATACGATATTCTGTCACGAGAGGCTTACGATCCGGTCGGCCCAGGACATTCGGCTCGAGGTTATTTCATGCCGTTAGGCTCGGCCGTGGTATGACAGCCTGAGATGTCGGACGGACATGACGATACCGTCCAACCTCACATTGGTGGAGTCGAAACTAAGCGGTCTTTACCAAGCACGTTTGACGAGAAGTCAGCTTGATGTATGAGGGAAAGTGGGGCTCGATGTCCGATATAGCCTTGAGTGAACACAAGTCACACACGGGGTCTGTGAATATGGTCTGGTGTACAAAAGATATAGAGTATGCTCTTTGAGCCTTAGCGTCGAATCCCCTCTGGACTCGCACACGAACTGTCCAACACCGCAGCAATGGATCCAGACGCCGCCGACAAGCTTGAGAGCTCCGAGAACGAACGACTCCCGCCGGCACCGCATGGCAGCTCATCTCAACGTGGACGACATTGGCTTGGTCAACTGCCAGTAGATTCATGGGCGTGGTATCTCTGGCCGATGACGAGTCTGGTAAGTCAGGAAGGCCTCCAACAATGCTTCAGAATGCCCTCGTACTGACACTGCCCCTAGGGCCTGTCGACCCTCCTCCACGCTCAAGAAGCCATCCACGACTTTCCGGGGCTCTACGCTCTCGGCGTCCTCGTGTACATGGTCGGCGTCATCGAGTACTTCTTGACCATCATTCTGAAGACCAACAAAGCGCTCCTCAACCGCCGCACCCTCATCAAAAGCATCTCCAAGCCTTCCGAAGCCATGTTCTTCGCTACATTCTGGATCAGTACCTTCGGTCTCATTACTGCAGGAATCCAATACTCTGACCCTGCTCCAGGCGGCAATCTGGCGACTACATTCTTTGCGATCTTCTGGATCTGGATCATCTTCGCGCTTTGCGCCAGTGTTGGGATGTTCATCATGCTCGCACACATAAACGCACTGGAATCGAAGGACATGACGCCAGCTTGGTTGCTACCACTGTTTCCTCTCATCCTCACGGGTGTCATGACGGGAAGTCTCGCGGAATGCCTCGGCGAGGCGCAGGCATTTCCGGTCCTGATCACAGGCCTGATCTACTCCGGTGTCGGGTTCTTGCTGAGTCTTCCAGTAGATGGGATCTACCTCTGGAGGCTCTACTGCGCTGGATTGCCAGGTCCTGACAAGAGACCTGCAATGATGCTTGCGGTGGGGCCTCCATCGTATGCACCCCTTGCGTTCCTCAAGATGGCTGCGGTGGTGCCCACACATTATGCCGTCTTCGCGGAGATCCCGATCGCGGGGGTGGTCTGCCAGGTCATGGCCTTGGTCTTTGGTGTCGCGATCGTTGGCATGGCATTGTTCTTGTTCCTGATGGCCTTCTTTTGTATTTTGAGAAGGGCAAACCAGATGTCTTTCCATTTGACTTGGTACGGCTTCATGTGAGTATGGCCCTATAGACCCTGCGAACTTCCGCTTGGGCAATCGCTAACGGGTTGGTAGTTTCCCAAACGTCGGTCTGGTGTCTCTCGTCGGGGTGCTTGGAGCCGAAATTCCGAGCGATGGTGTGCAGTGGGTCGTGTCGGTGTTCACCGCTTTGATCGTCGGGGCCTGGCTGTTCGTCTTTGGCATGCATATGCGAGCGCTGGTGATGAAGAAGGACGCCTTTTAGCTGGAAGGTACCTGTTGCAACGAGGTGATCGTACTGCGGAGCTCTCGGTGGCAGTGAGTGGTGGCGGTGGGCTCTGTCGTCCAAAAGCCAAGATGTGTGCACTTGGAGTCGTGTGATCTGTGGCCTCCGAGCACCATAGAGGATATAACATATCCCGACACACCCTATCATTCAAAGCCCAAGACCAGTACCATCCCCACTCCATCGGTATAGCTTCAAAATATGTTTCCGCAAATGCTGTTCAGTCTTTGACAACGGCGTCCCAGACTGCACTTCTTTGAGCGTCAACAAGACCAACTTCCGCATCTTCCGCAAGTATTCAGCTTGATGAGTGCAATTCGACGCCTCGAAAGCACGCACATATACTTCAAGCGCTCCGACCACCTTGGCATCGGGGACTCCACGGCGGCTGGCTGTTACAACTGTCACGGCCCAGGGGAGCGTGACTCCGTGGTAGAGGAATATGCCGAAGAACTGGCGTAGCGACGGATCAGTGACGTTAGGAGTACCAAACTTGAGAAAGGACTCACCATTGCTTTGTACCCCAAATCCGGCATTATTTTCATCATATCATTCACGCAATCAGCAGCCACCAGGGATCTCTGAAACGTTTCCGGGAACCGTTGCGTCTGCATCCAGTCGTGACTGCGTTCGACTAGCGTCAGTTTGTCCCAGGACACACCGAGCAGAGAGTGCAGCAGATGGAGCAGGAAGCGAGCATGGCAGCTCAAAAGGCGGTTGTGTTGCACAGCTTCGTGGCTTTGTGCCGACCCAGTCGCTGTGAACGTTGGAAGGCTTCTTTCCAAGGCTGCGATGGAGGGCGCCAGTTCGTTCAGTTGTTGGGTGATGGCTGTTGTGTAGGCATCTGCAACGAGGTTGGAAGAGCTGCGCTCGACGCGCGGGTGGTAGCTTGGTGGCGAGGATTAGCAGATATCCCAGAGGCCTCCACAGGGAAGGTTATTAGGATTGAGAATACTCACGCAACATGATGCATGTCTATGATCTGCCCAAGAATGCACATCAACGGCACAAGAACATCGAAAATACCATTGCCTGTGACTGTCAAAGGCGGACCTCGGGGTCCCAGATTACCATTCAGATCAGGTCGTGATGAAGGGCTGCTACAGGTCTGCCAGGTGGTGTCAGGAATCGGTAGGTGTACGTCCTGCGACTCGCTGTCCTTGATTGACAGAGGACTGTTGTATCTAATCGCAAGATGACGATCCCAGACATAAAGGCTCCACCAGAGGCGCCTGCGCTCTTCGCCTTCCTCTGCTGTTGCTTCAACGGTCCAATGGTCGCTGCTGTGTTCCACGACGGCATCGTCGCTGACGCTCATGGGGGACGCAGCACCACTCGTGTCGTCTTCGTCGTCCAATTCATTGTGTCGGTCACCATCCTGGGTCCCGTTCATCTCTGTCTTGGGGACAGCTTCATTACCACCATATCTTGCTGCCGCTGCTGGTGCTCCGGGATCCCGATTCAACCGATACTCTTTAGCGAGTTGAAATGCTATTCTGAAGAAATGCAAACCTGGAGGCTTTGTTTCCGTCGTCATTGTTACCAGAGCGACGTGCATGTAGGTTGCGGTATCATCGATGTATGCGGTCCTCGGCCTCTTGTAACTTGATGGACTTGGGCTGGTGACGGAAGCTGACTGATTAGCTTCGCTGATATCGTGCTTGTCCGTTCGAAGATCAGCAGCCCGCCGTTGTCCAGCCTCGGAAGATCTATCCATTAGAGCCAGAGAAAGACGGAGTAGATTCCTCTGTAGGCGGTCCCTAGCTGCCGGGGCTCCACCGAAGAAGGGGTACTCCGTAGTATGAGCCGCAACTAACAGCATGCTGGCGAGGAGTGCTGGCGTGCAACTGCGAGGTTGATCTTGGGTGAGAAGTGTGTCCCTTCTGAAGATGTGCGCTAGCAGTAGCGGTGAAGACGGCGAATGCACACCTTCTGCGACATCTTCAACGTAGGACTCCAGTAAATGGCACGCCATTGAAGTCGAGATATGCCGGCTTACGAACGGCATCAAGGGAGCCAGGACAGGGTACTTGAGCGTCTGCTGCTGAGCCGATGAAGATCCTAGGGCTTCTTCAACAGTAGATGCCCGGTCCGATGCTCGATGCGCCGTTTCAAGCGACTGAAAGGCGGTGGGATACATTGCATACATTGCATTTCCAGGATCGAGATTCTGAGCCCACGTCTCATTCAGCCAGTTGATGGAATGGTCACCATAGACGTCAGCATATGGGATATCGTTCGTAAACCATGGCGTGCCCGGCGGAAGGGCTGGCAAGTGTGCCGTACTGGACCGCATCATGTTCTCAGAAGGAGGCACGACATCGAAGTGACCAGTACCGGCGGCCTGTCGGTCATTCGGCAGTGCTGAGCGCTCCCTGCTAGATACCGAAGTTCCTGCAGTCGTGGCTCTCCTCGACTTGCTGACTCTCCCATGTCGACGCGAGACGCGTTCGTACGAGCATTCGGCGGCAATATCCTTACATCTCGAACACGGAAGCTGTCCATCGCACTTTGATCGGTGGCGGTTGCAGCTGTCGCATGCTTTCGTGATGCGCTTCCTCTTCTCCGGTTCCATCTCGTGTTCCCGGGCACAAGATGAAATCTAACGAAAGGGGTGATTGGACGACACGAGGTGAAGTCGGGCGAGGCCCATGTCTCCAGCCACTTGCCGTGTCTCGGCCTTCTCAATCTCGGTCGACAATGACCCGTCTACGACTTCCCCACAATCGTTCATCCCTGAAACTGATCACTACGAGCGGCAGAGCACAACTACTTGAAGGAGACCGAGTCCCCATCCACGAGATCGACCAGATAGCAACTGCTTATTGCATGTTGAGTAAAATTGCTTTTGAACAAGTTATTTAACCGCTCGAACCGCATCACTCCTCATGCCTTCAACTCTACTCCCTCCACACGGTTCGTTACTTGCAACTTCTCGGCGGGAACGGCATCGTCCATGTGAATCGTAACAAAAGTGTCACCAAAAACTTCCGAGACCTCCTCCAAACTCTTGCCGAACGTTTCTGGTAAGAGGAACCAAACGCACGCCGCACAAAAGAGGTTCAGCACCAGAAAGAAGATGTAGTAGCGCCTGCTCGTCATCAGCGAACGTATTCGATACGAATGTAGCCATTGCACGACTTGCCATCCAACGTTGTTGAGCGCCGTCGGAGACGCCTGTGCGAGGATGACCTGGACGAGAAATGACATGAACGTGCCAATCGCACCTCCAGTTGCCCGAATGTTCTGGGGAAAGATCTCGGTGCAGTACACAGGGGCCCCGGCGTTCCAGCTGAGACTGAAGATGACGCCGAATAGAATCAGGAAGACTACCCCGAAGCTATTTGCAACAGTGTTCGGCCCTCCGCTATAGATGGCTACAATGGCCACTGTTCCGCTCCATCAGCCATGCAGAAGGCGCAGCATGACAATTTGCGGTATGTACTTACTAACAATCGAGATATCCAAGGCCATTCCAAACGAACCCCAGATGAACATCGTTCGTCTCTTCACTCTATCAATAACAAAAGCCAGACAGAACAAATTCGCCAGCGGACCAGTCAATCCCCAAACCCCAGCAAGTGCCAGTACCGTCGGCCCTCTTATACCAAGCGAGACATACATCTTAGTCTGATAATAATTGATCGCCGAAATCCCGCAGATCTGCTGGGCGAACTGAACGAAACATCCCAGGAACAGCCGCTTCCGGTAGCTCGGTTTGCGCATGATCCCGACAATGGACGAGACCTCATTCTCCTGTTCCCAATTGATCTGGTCTACCATCTGCTTGAACTCTTTCCGGACGTATGCCTCGTCGCCCTTGCGGAAGCGCTTCATGATGTTGAAAGCGTCTTCGTTGCGGCTTTGCTCGATAAGGAATCGAGGCGATTCTGGAAGGAAGAAGGTACAGACGAGCAGGATAACCGCCCATAGTATCTGGAGACCGACAGGGAAGGCGTACTGGGTCTTGTCAGCGGTACCTTGCCAACGAGATCAGGAAGGACGCCTACGGTGAACTGGCCATGGCTGTACGACACCGCGAAGCCGATCCAATTGCTCAAGGCGTACCCAAACCCAATGAACTGGGGATGCAATCCTACGATACTACCGCGGTGTTCCGGCGGCGCAATCTCAGACTGGTCTTCTCAATCACTCAGCAAACTTCGTACTCGTACGCCGTTGCCCGTCGCAGGTACTCACATTGCGGGATGGCGAAGTAGATGATACCAATGGCCAAACCTGCGATCAATCGACCGGTGATCAACATGCCCACATTCACCGCCGCGGTCTGCAGAGTCGTCCCGATGATAGCGATCACTCCACCTATCCTCATGGTGCCGCGGCGGCCTGCACGATGGCCGATTGGCCATGAGAAGAGACAACCCACCGCGCCGCCTGCTGTGTATGTCGAGATGATGGCTCCGAGGATTGAGGGGCTTGGGTGGAACTTGATCTCGAAGTACTCTTGCGCCTGAGCTGTGCTGGAGATCCGTGGGCGGTCAGCGGCAAAGACCTACTGCTGCTTGTGGTTGACATACGCAAAGATACCCGAGTCGTAGCTGGGTCAAAATTAGCGATCCTTCAAGGTAGGGGAAGGGTTTGCTTGTTCATGTCGTACCCCCATAACAACGATCCTGTGCACACTGTGATAGCTGCTGACCGTTAGCAACAGTCGTCGATCTTATCAAGGTGTTGCATACCGCAGAAGTAGTTGTACTTCGTTGCATGCTCCGAGATGAATCGAGGAGACATAGGTACATGTAGTCAAAGCTCATCACACAGCCAATGTCTAGCCAGTAGGTAAGTTGAATTGACTCCACTCGCACTACTGGTCAGTGACCCTTGAATAGCACGATCTGGGGAGAAGTCCCGAGAGTTAGAAGGCCTTTCGGGAAGGCTCTGACTGCGCTGAGGTCCCGAAATTGCCCTGAAGGTTTGCACGTGGCTGATAGCCTACTCCAGAGGGCACGGAGGGTGGATAGCCGGCGTCGACCTCCGGTAGGCTAGCATCAAGTACCACGGCGAAATCTTTCGACAACTTCCACTTGCCCTTGCTTGCACGGCAAGACACAGCTTTGGCGCTCGGCAGAGAACAGTGGCCTGACTACGGCTAGGAACCCAGGATCAAGAAATGGGTCGCTGGTGCTTCCGCCGGAGTTGGGGGGTTGATGTCAGGATTCCCAGCTCCTCCACTCTTGGCAAATTTAACACTGTGTGAAAAGCAAATCTGTCGGAGGACAGAGGCCTGAAAATAGCTGGGGTCAAGAAGCAGCCAAATATGGTTCGACTGTTTGAGAAAGAGCATGCGTGGTTGGGGACTTATGAAGCATAGCCACGGTGTGTGGTACTTCAAGCTTACTGCTGATAGATGTAGACAATACAGCCCATCTGTCAATGGCCCTCGCTATTCACTCAAGCAAAGCAACTGCTCTCATAGGTCCACCACTACCCTCACGTATCTTCAAAGGAAAGCCCATGAACCGAAATCTCTTGTTCACAACAGCGTCCAGGTTGTCAAGCCCCTCTATATGAGTAATGCCTCGCTCACCACACGCATTATGAGCTTGGAAGTTTGGTTCGCCTTCTGGAGCAGGGCTAATGGCCTCCACACCGAAAATCTTAGCGCCTTTGTCCGCAAGCCAGTGGACTGCTTCCAGAGACAGTCCTGGAAAGTCATGTTGCCACCGCGGGTCGTCGAACGGCACGCGTTTATTGAACGCCATATAGACCATGACTGTGTCACCCTGCTTGATCTCCTGCCCGCTGGCGGCAAGAGCATCTTCCATTTCCTTGACGCTGATCGTTGCCTTGAGCTCGACGTGGGAAAGGTCCAAGCATATGGCTTCTGTGTAGAAGTCCTCGATCGGCATCTGGTCGATGGAGAGGGCACCAGGTGTCGGATCAAAGTGCTTTGGGGCGTCGACGTGGGTTCCGGCATGGTCACTCATAGAGAGTGCGTACGATGCACTGCGTAGGACTGTGTTTCCTGCACGCTTAGGCTGATGGACATCCCACGGTGTCAAAACGACTGGAGGATGGAATGGATGAGCCGGGCTGCGGTGGTATAGCTCGCGACTTAGGTCGATGAGCTTTGGCTTCTTATCAATGGTTGTGGCATTGCCTCTTCGTGCCTGGAGGAAGCAGGTAGTTGGCACGGATCGATACATGGACCGGAGGCTCCCGGGCATGCTCTCGACGGACCTCGTCAGCCGGGAGGCCATGTTAAGTGGCTTTTGCTGGAATGAACTTGTTTGTTGAGCTAGAGAGACAACCCGACCTCTTATCTTACTCGTGATCGTGGCTCGTGCTGGGGAGATCGATCATCGACGGAGTTTGCCCGACCTCGGAAGGCCCTATACTTGGAAGGTCCTCCATTTCGATACCATTCATGCTCATCTGCGTTTTCTCTTCAACATCAATTTTCTTCGATCTTACTGAGGAACGCATTAGGCGCTCTGGTGGGAAACCATATTCGAGATGATACTTTGGTCAAGACAGATGAGCTGACTGACGTGCACGGCGCTGAGAAGCACCTGACGGCCCTTGGGCTGTTCGTAGGATCACTCCAGCCCCAAGCGCCGTCGCAGCCAAGACGACTTCAAGTTGCTGCGCCTGTAAGGATGGAATTAATAGCAACAGAGAACCGTAGGCGTCCTTTCAATACTTCATATCCTTTCTCTTCCTTCTCTATAACTACCTAGGTAGACGCTTCCGCATTTATCTTCTGCTTCTCGCTTGCCAGTTATCAAAGCCAACAGCACAACTCGCACCACACCATCCCCGCTCGCCGCAACTCTCGAAGAACCATTCGAAGAACATCCTCACCATGGCCCCCCGCATTAACACCATCCACGACTACAACCAGCCCCGGCAGCCACCGGCCATCAACCGCAACTGCCCCGGCATGACTTCGATATGGCCCTTCTCGATCAGCAGCTTCAGTCCTCTCGGCCGTTTTTCCTGGGGCGACGTGCTACGCCGCATCGGCATGATCTTAATTCTTTGCGAAAGGACGGGCCTCGAAGCGTACTTTCTGATCATTCTGCTGCACAGCAAGAGCGGGCTTGCTTTTATCATCTGGCTGGCGATGGACATTGTTGCGTTCGTCTTCCTGGCGTGGTGTCTTTCTGTGATTGGAGACGCGCAGGGAGATAAGATTGTTTTTGGGGCGAGAGTGGTATGTTCCTGATCCAATGGACGACAGGGGTGACTTTGGGTGCTAATATGGATATCAGAGCCGCTTCCACTTCGACGCGTTCCTTCTTTTTGCAGCGCTCGTGCACCTTTTACTGGTCATGTCGTTTGGCATACTCGTATATGGTCTTGGAGGCGGTACCTTCAGCGCCATCTGGATGGGCATGTGGTTGTTATTTATTGGCGTCGCCTGGGTTGCGCGATGGGAGGAGGCAGGCCCTGTCAGTCTTGTATGAAGACTTCTTACCGGAGCTGCCCAAGGGGATCGCCTCCTCATCGACGTCCGCATGCTGGAAACGACGGACAGCTCGGCGGCTTGTGAGCACTTCGCATTCACGAGAACCTTATGGACGACCACGTCGCGTTGTCACTTTGCAAAGCGCTGCGCAGGGAGGGGAACTCGTACGGTAGACATGTCGAATCTCTGCCAGCTAGCTTTCGACCTGTCGAAGGGAACACCTGTTCCAAACACGGCAAACACAATAGCTGAGCTCTACATGTCTCACCCACTACCCCACGAATATCGTAATCTTAGAGTGTATAGGACGTCACAGTGTCATTCTCGCAACCCCGCGGACCGCGACCTAGACGCATCCAACTGCACCTCATCCCGCACCTGTACCTGCATGACATCCACAACAACCTGTTTCTGACTTCCGTCGAGCCAAACGAGATGTGTCCATTGGTTCGGAGCGTTGTCAGGATCGATCTAAGCTGCACAACTCGATGTGGAGCTGCACTTGACGACACCACTTCGTCATTTCTGCTTGTGTCTTGGGAGGGTGACTTGGTGGGGTGTTACTCCCATTGAAGCTCTCCTACTTCCTTCTCGCCACAACCTCTACCCTTAGAAACAAACATCCACACATTCAATTCAACCAGCAAAAATGTCCGCCAACCTCAGCCCAGAAGAGCGCAGCAACATGGCTAATGGCCATAAGGCTAACCTCTCGAACCCAAGTAAGCGACACCCGCCTGAAGTATTCTTGCAATGGATCTATACTGACCCTATTAGACACCTCCGAAGCGTCCAAGCAAGCCAGCCGACAGGCGTTGAAGGAGCTGGGTGGAGAAGACGCATTCTACTCCGAGGACAAGCAGGGCGACGATGCTCCTACCGCGGGCATGGGGAACGAGGGTATGTTAGCAATGGACGGGTGGACATCCTTGGGTGCACGCTAACGGAATATGGGACAGGCAACGTGATCGGGGGACACAAGGCCAACTTGAGCAACCCAAACACTTCGGAAGAGGCGAAGCAACATAGTAAGGAGGTTCTTAAGGAGCATGGTGCTGCTTAAACTCTGAAGACTCTTTGATGAAGATATGCTGTGTCGATAGTCTATCATGTATGAGACGACGATTGCTGTATCACGGAAACGTTCCTACTCTCGGTTTGATCGCTCTGAATTAAAACCATGCCTGGAAGACGGATCAGACGCCTTCAACAAACCGGCCAATCGATGGACAGTGAAAGCGGCCCACCTTGCATGTCGTGCAGTCTTCTCCTAGACCTCAATGGACATCAGAAGGAAATATCACTCCCGTGGGCGGGTCTTCCTTGTCTGTGAGAGAGTTATCAATTGGCTCGCTCTGACCTGGACACCTGGTCGACCGCTTCCACTGTCCCTCGCTTGCCGGCGAATGCCTTGAGTGGAGATCTCAGCCTTAGGGACTTCTAGAGACGCATCACGGCACGAGAGTCACTAGCCTCCCAATGCCCATATACTCCGCCGCAGCATCGAATGCCTCCTTCCATTCCTCAAGCGCAAATGTCTTGACATCGACCAAGTCTGCACCTTTCGGGAACGCGCCGTTCTCGAGCATCTTCACGAATTGCACCATGTCTTCGCGCGAGTACATGAGCTTCCCTGCGGAATGATCAGCATCTCAGAATGCAGTGCTGTGTCTCCCAATCATACCTTTCATCGTGATATCATCCGAAATGACCTTCCACCCAGAGATAGAGAAGTCGCCAAACCCCATCAAGCTCATCCGTCCTCCCTTCCTCAAAGCAGTCGCTGCACTCTTCAGATGCGGCGACTTCGCAGCAGCCGGTGGCGTTAGATCAAGGATCGCATCGATCGGTCCGACAGCCTGCAAGGCTTCGGCGTCTTTGCCTTCGTCGCCGGTGGTCTGCACTGTTTCAACGACCGCATTAGGAGTTCGGCTGCGCACGTGTTCTCTAAGCCTCGCGAGTCCCTGCTCGTTGCGCCCCATGGCGATGACTTTGGCACCCATGGCTACGGCGACTTGCACGCCTGCACCTCCGAAGCCTCCGGTAGCCGGAAAGATCGTCACTGTATCGCCAGGCTGGACACCGATGTCCCGCAAGCCGCCGTATGGGACCAGGAGGTAGCTGAGATACATCAGATCCTGGTGCGTGTAGCCCAGCTTCTTGCACAGCTTCGCCTCGTCGAGCGGGATACAATTCTCCAGCGGCACGTTCGCGTACTCAGCGAAGTTCCCATCGCGCCAGACGTCCCGCATCAGCTTCTTGCTGCCCGGGCTGCCGCCTTCGTGGATCGCGGATAGGAAGGTGGCGGAGGGGTCGTCACGACCGTGGATCACGCAGTCGACGTACACAAGCTTTCCGGGCTCAAGCAGCGCTGTATCGGGACCGGGGGCTACCACCCGGGCAACTGCGCTCAGGCCGCCGACCAGTGGCAGTGGGTGCGCGTATGGTCTCTCGCCGGTGTAGACTTCCCGATGGTAGGAGAGGACTGCTGCTGAGAGGATACGAACGACGGTGCTTCCGTGTGTTGGTCGAGGGGTTGAGACTTGCTTTACCTGGAAGCCGGCTTCTCGGTCCTCGAGGACAAGAGCGCGGTGGTGGGTTGGTAGTTCGTGTGCCATGATGTGGATTGGTTTAGAGAGATTTGTTAAAGAATGAAATGGTATCGAGTTGCTGTGTTACTTCCATGTCCCCCAGGCACGACCTTTCTTATACCTACAACTCTCTGAGCTGGGACCAGCAGCGTCGAATGTCGTGCCATTGAGAACACCGACAAACTCCATGGCCGAGAGCGAGTGTCTCATAACTAGACCGTAGCATTGGGGATCTTTCAGAGATGTCGTCGGTGAATGCATATACTAACCCCGGTTAAGACCGGTCCACTGACTCGAATGGCTGTCTTAGGCGCTCATTAGCTCTGATTCCATAGAGCAGAGACTGTGCGTTTGGTCATCGTGAATGTGATCGCACGAGCGTCGTACGAGGGGTGCTGTAACTCCGGGTATGGTCGCAGAGCCCTCGTGTGGCATGTGGCTGGTAGGCGAACCTGCACCAAACTTTGTGTGCGAAGCTGCGAGAACCCGATTGCTGCGATGCTTGGATAGTAAGCGTTGGTGATGCACAAGGCTCGGGATGGTCCGTGGTTTTGCTTTGTCGCAATGAGGTCCTTGTGCTGGAAATGCGCCTTCACGTGCCTGGCTTCTCAGTCGATTTGCATCATCATGTGGCCGGGTTCGCGGACCACCTCAGACAGCAATGCACCATCCCGCCCGCCCACCTCAGAAGCTTCCACCACTCCCCCTCAAACAATCGCCGGTACTTCCTTCCAATCATGATGCTCATCCCACTGCACAATCTCCTCAACTTGTCCGTCTCTTGACTGCAACGCCAATATTCCATCCCTTCGAGCCTCCTGACCCATCCTTCGGTCCTTCCAACCGCGTGCGTCGACCCGCATCGACCGAATGTTCCGTGATTGATCCTCGCCATCCTGCATGGCATCTGTGTCCTCCCTGCCGTGCCCGCTTGCACCCGCTCACCATTCCCTCTCCTCCTCCCGGTCCTATATCAAACCCCTTGCACCGCCCATCGTCCCCATCTTCTTCCACCATCCATTGTCTCGAGCTCGTTACACCACAACACCCTCGGTACCTCCGCCGTTCCCCAAACGTCTTTCTAAATACCGCAACAAACATTGCAATCGCATACCAATCTAATCGTGTGAAGTCGTGAAGTCGGTAAAAGTCAAGAAGTCGCGGAGTCGTGTAAATCGTGATAACCTTTTCGGGCGCATAGGTCGCGGAGTCGTTGTAAATGTGAAGTCGAAGCAGTCGCAGGAGTCGTCAAAGTGGCGGAAATTTGAGAGCTGTCAAGATCGTAAAGTCGTAAGGTTTGAGGACGTGTAGAAGTCGTAGAAATTGTACAGTTGTCGGGGTCGTCCGTGGAACTCGTAGAAGGTGAGTTGAAATATGGTGGATTGGTTGCGTAGGCAGCCGGTACACCTGGTAAGACGCAGCAGACTCGAGAGTGTCCCAGTGAGCGGACGCAGCCTTGGGTCTCGATGGACGAATTGCCTTAGTGCCATCGAGAGTGGATCCGGAACGCGTCTTCCAGCAACGAAGCAGAGCGGCGTTGGGTTCGAAAGTCCTGATCTAGATGGTGTCCGAAGATAGCGATGACGGGAAAGATCATCAGTCCCACCAGCGACAGCTGTTCGCCATCTACCATCATTGCGGAACTCTCTTGGAAAGCGTTCACCGCAGAGCTTGGTGCCGCGACAAGCGTTGAGCTTGTCGCGGCACCAAGCTGCATAGGTGAAGGCTCTCCAAACCGAGCCCGTCGCAATGTGGCAGAAGTGCAAACATTGTCGCGATGCTGATCATGGAAGAACAGATTTCCTGAAGTAGTCGTGTAGAGATGCTTCCACAATGATGTGGCTGGCGAATGAGACTCCGATCCTGGGAAGCAAGAACATGGTTCCAACACTTTGACGGTGTGTTTGTTGTTGTCGTGCAGATTTTCCAAATCGTGTGGTTGCGAGGTGCGGTACAATCGGGAGCAGATGAGGTTAGCCAGAGAGGAGCTCATGGAAGTCTTTGATGTACAATCCCGGGCAAGACGGCGTTGAAATCGCTGCCAGGTCATGCATTGTGTATGGTAAGAGATGACATACGTCCAAATGATAATGTGTTGAATAGCTGTGAGCTGTGGTGTCCGGGTGTCGTGGAGAGTCATTGAGTCTCCTGGCGGGAGCCACTTGTACTTGTAATGTCTGTCGACTGCTTTTGCTCAACCTCTGCTCGCAGAACACTATGGATCACATCGACTCTCCGGGTAGATGGGCGCCATTAACGTCAGTGTGAATCGACTCATGGAGGGCACACCACACCGGAACGGTCGGAAAGACGCAAGGAACACTGGTTGTCGAGCCGGAGGTGGAACGGGCATTCGCAGAAGATGTTGGCTCTTGTTCGCCGGCGTAGTCGCAGCGTCCGTTCTGATCGGCTTGGGAGAGACTCGTGTCGCTGAAGCTCGCGGATATCAACGATAATCTGGACGCTGGTTTTGGACGATGTGCCGAGTTCAAGAGTGTGGTCGGCTGGTCTTTGCATCGTTGCGTGGTTTGACAACGGGACAGCGTTTGGAGGGGTGGGATCAGTCGGCGGCGTAGAGCTTGAGACAAGAGGTTTGGTGTGCAGGATCCACCAAGTGTGGGAAGGCAACGGCGCGGCTTCGATTTGAGAGGAGCTGTGTGGTTGCAATCGCCATGGCTTGTCTCCACCTCACGACATTTTTGCCGTTGAGATGTGGCGAGCTCCAGTCCACCGCGAACCAAGTCACCAGCCTGCTCGGCGGCGTCTCCGCCGATCTCTCCCTCAACCCGCCACAACGGTGCAGAGCCTCGTGGATGGGCTTTGTTGGTTCTCGCTGGCTTCCTGGATGAGACTTGTTGGTTCTCGCCGATCTTCCTGGATGAGACTCGTTGGTTCTCGCCGGCTTCCTGGGTGAGACTCGTTAGTTCTCGCGGGTCTCCCTGGATGGGAGATTCGTTGGTTCTCGCCGGTCTTCCTGGATGGGAGATTCGTTGGTTCTCGCCGGTCCCTCCTTGATCCAGCGGCCTTGCTGGCGCTCAAGTCACAACGACCGACTCGACGCATCTTCAGCAAGTCTTCTCAACAGGCCGTCCTGATTCCTCCTCGTGGTATCCTTGCTGGAGCTCGGCATCAGTAAACTGGTTCGAGCTTCAACAGCAACGGCTCCACAGTGTGCCGGGGTTGCATCTCTGTTGCGTCGGCAACTTCGTTAGGATCACATATCGTGCCTTCTGAGAGTCCTCGCAAAAGTTCAATCACCGGCCAGATTCGTAGTGCGCACCACTTCGCCGCGGTCGCTTTGTGGTCCGCGATTCTGACGACTCTTCAACCGGAGGAGTCTTTCCGCAGGCTCGTCCGAAGTACGTGCCGCACGACCACTCTCTCCACGCTTTGGGCCGCAAGCCGTCGACAGTGGAACGGGCCAACTAGGGCAGGGTGAGCAAAGTGAGGGATCTTCTCACAGATAGTGACGATTCGCCGACGCCGACGCGAGTGATCTGGTCGTTTTGGCCGCAACTTCGTCTCATAGAAGACTGCCAGATGGAACGGTTGGCCCCTTTCACTGTCTGTTGCTTGAGCGAGGGACAGTGAAAGCGGCCCACCTCACACCTAGCAGTCTTCTCCGAGATCCAAACGTTCCTGAAAGGGCCACATCACTATCATCGGCAAGCTGTCCTGGTCTGCGAGAAGGTCCATTTCACACAGCTCACTCTGAACTAGTTGGCCCCTTTTACTGTTCGCGGCTTAAGCCTCAGACAGTGAAAGCGGCCCAGCGGGCATGTCTGGCAGCCTTCTCCCAAAACCAGACAGCCCGAAAAGGCTACATCACTCCCTTCGGCGGGCTCCTCGTGTGTGAGAAGATTCATCAGACGGCTCGCTCTGGCCCGGTTGGCCTCTTTCACTGTCCATTGCTTGCAGCCTTTATATGTGGGACGCGGCATTGAACCATGTGTCTCTTCGACAACTCACAAGATATAGTCAACGGACATCTGCACCAACGTGAGGAAGGAATGCTGTTGCATGTGAATGTTGTGAAAGTGGATTCCAGGCTCTTGGAACGGCCCTCCATGCCTCAGCCCTCAGGCATGTGCGCTAGCCGCAAACGGCACGTGGCGTTTGAGCGTTTCGTTCCCAGTGACTTCAAACGTTTTGATTCAGGTTCCTCCGACTTCACACGATTGCCTACGCCTAGATGCCACGATAAAGAGCACGTCTTCTCGTTCCTTACTGACACCTGCATTCTTTAGTGCTCGACAACCTTACCCATCGTTTGACCGGCGTCGGCAGGATATGCAAGGTACCCGATAGCCTTCTCGTGCATTGCATGAAACCGGAAGCATGTTCGCCTCGAAACATGCCAAACCCAACTCTAAGAAGCCGACGGTGCGCCGTGAGACCGTCATGGTGCCGCTGAACAAGCCGTCGACTTCGAAACGGCCTTCCAAACCAACGCCACAGCGGCCGAGCGCGCCCGCGCCTTCGGATCGCTTCAAGCTTCCACCGCAGGCCGGCGCAAAGGCTGCTACTCGTCCATTGAAGAAGGCGCAGGCTCCGGTGCAGAAGGCGAAGGAGGTGAGCAGGGGCATCAAGCGGAAGAGCGCGACGCCGGACCGCATTCAGTTCAGCAGCGACGAGGAGAGTGACAGCGATGATGGTTCCGGCACCAGCGACTCTGATGCGGTCTCCCGTAAGCGTATCAAGAGCAGCGTGAGCTCGGTGGAGAGCAGTGGGCCAAGCAGGAGCTTGGTGCGCGAGGTTGCTTATGGGGAGAAGGCGGAGGAGGTGCAGTGTCTGCAGGGTGCCGATGCGACGTCAGGCGTGCATGAGGCAAAGTTCAAGAATCCATGGGATTCGGAGAGCTTCGAGACCGTGGAGCTACAGTACCCGAGCAACACCGCGCGCGAGAAGTTTGAGCTCAAATGGCCGAAGAACGAGAAGGACGACTACAAGCCGATGGAGGATATCAGCGAGACCGTCAAAGCGATCTGCGATTTCTACCTCCCAGCGGAATTGCGTCAGAAGCACGGCAGCGCGGAATTCGACCGGAAGTTCAAGAAGGCCTGGCGCAACGAGAGCATCCCGGAGTTCATCAGCGTGGTCAACGACTTCAACACCATGCTCCGGCCGTACATCGACGACGGGACCGTGCGGCGCGAACTCGCCAGCAAGCGCAGCCTCCCTCTCGACACCATCAAACGCATCCTAGACCAGATCTACGCTCGCACGGTCTCCCCCAAAGTCGAAACCCTCCGAGCCTACCAGAACGGCAGTGACAACGTCTACGGCGAACTCCTGCCCCGCTTCTGCAGCACCATCTTCGCCAAGACCAACCTCAACAAGTCCCACACCTTCGTCGACATCGGTTCCGGCGTCGGCAACGTCGTTCTCCAAGCCGCGCTCGAAGTCGGCTGCGACAGCTGGGGCATCGAGATGATGCCAAACCCCTGCGACCTCGGCGAGCTCCAGGCTAAAGAGTTCCCCGGCCGCACTCATCTTTGGGGTCTGGACGTCGGCAAAGTCAAGCTGATCCGCGGCGACATCACCAAGAACACCGAAATCAGCCCCGTCCTCCAGCGCGCCGACCTCGTGCTCGTCAACAACCAGGCATTCACCCCGCAGCTCAACGACACCCTGCTTTCCATCTTCCTGGACCTAAAAGATGGCTGCAAAGTCGCGAGTCTTAAGCCGTTCGTGCCCGAAGGCCACAAGCTGAGTGCGCGCAACCAGAACTCCCTGACAAACCAGTTCTCGCATCAACTGAAGCTCGAATACTTCTCTGAATCCGTGAGCTGGACGAATCAGATGGGCACCTGGTACATCGCGACCAAAGGGTCAAGTGCGCTGCAGAGCTACACCAAGTAGATCAAAGAGCGCTAGGGTGAAGCTCAGAAGACGATGTCCGGGGAGATGAAGCGCAGAAACGCTATCGGTGGATTTGAGGCAGCTGTGTTCACTGAGTTTGTTGGCTTGGATGGTTGGTTATGGGCTTGGTTCTGTAACCCGTGAATTTTTGGTGGGCATGCTTGGATTACTGGTGTTTGTCTGGCATTATGCATTGATGGATTGCATGGATTGATACCCGAACATTGGTTAGATAGGACATGAGTAGAGAGGACGTTGGCATGATAGACGATGATGTAGGATAGTGCGACTGTATTCCGTCGTTCATGTGAGACCAATGAACCCATATCATCTCAATCAGAGAGCTACGCTTCTTCAGCTCTCCACTCTTTGCACGCTGTCTTGGAAAAGACGTCGACACTGTAGGAGGTAGGACGTCTAGTGGGATCCTTTCCGAAGCACGAGGATGGCATGTGGCAAAACGTCATGATTGCATCCCGCTCACCAGCGAACGCACCACTTTCGGCGGCCAGCAAAGCTTCCTCTCTCCCAGACAATCACATGGTACACGCAAGCCGGAATCTTTGACGATTCGGCGACGAGCAGATCACAATCGTCGGATATTATCAATCGGCGAGCGTCCCTCCGAGCAGTCGGCGACTTCTCCCATAGCACAACCCAATCAGGAAGGAACACTACGACGGCCGGAGTCCCTTACAACTGAGATAATTCCGAGCTACTCTTCAGTTTCAGCTATACTTAAGCACTGGAGATTGCCTTCGGACTACTCTGAGAGATCCTCATTTTCAACAACCTTTACCACGTAATCCTCATACCACAACTCGAAAACATGGACTCCCAACCAACAACCCACGGCGCCCCGGGCGAACCAACCTCAACCAAAGAAAAAGTCCTGCACACCGGCGCCAGCATGCTCCAGAGCTTCGACCCGCCCAAACAACTCTGCGCCCACCTGCACGCCTTCCACACCTACGCCAGCAACCCCGGCGGCGCCGCAGTAGAAGCGAACCACTACTGCGCCCATCTCAACGAGGACGTCCGGCAATGCATCATCTACGACAGCCCAGGACCCAATGCTCGCTTGATCGGGATCGAGTATCTGATCAAGCCGCACCTGTACGAAGCCCTGGAGCCCGAGGAGCGGAAACTATGGCACTCGCATGTTTTTGAAGTGAAGAGCGGTATGCTGGTCATGCCGAATCCACCTGGTGTGCCGGACGTGGCGTGGGAGCCGGCGGAGACGGAGGAGATGAACGCGGTGGTGGAGTTATATGGGAAGGTTTACCATTTGTGGCAGGTAGATAAGGGGCACAAGTTGCCGCTGGGGGCGCCTGAGCTGATGACGAGCTTTACCGGGGAGAGTCAGCTGGATTTGGAGAAAGTGGTGAAGGATCGGGATGAGAAGTTGGGGCTGGATACGAAGCATAAGAAGGAGATTCGGGAGGGAATCAAGGAGCCGAGCGTGCATCAGGATGCTGATAGTGCGTGGAAGAAGTGAGGTGAAGGTGTGCGGTGAACGGTGCAGCGCTGGATCGACTCGACCAAGACATCGCTGCGGAAATTGCATGAGAGTTTAGCTGGCAGCTCTCCACTCGCAGTGAGCTGGGACAGGATTTCAGACTCTTGGAAGTGTAATTCAGTGATATATATCAGAAATTGTGGAATGTCTTCTCCACGACAATTCTATCCCCAGCGACCGAAGCCAAGGTAGACAGGTCGTAAAGAACCACACGAGCCTCGATGGAGGCCGTGCAGGTGCTTTCGCTCTCGCATACCGCTGTCCACACCCGCTCATCCTGGAGGTTTGGAGATGGCGGGCTCTAGCATATTTCGGTGCGTTTTTGTAGGATCTGAAAGGGGCGATGGGAAGAGGAAGGAATGGGAGAAGGAGTATGCTGAGTTCCTTTTCCGTCTCGTTAAGAAGACGCAGTGCGTACTGTACCATGTGCCGCTCGCTTCCACGAAAAATATGGAAGATGTACCGTCCAGGTAGGCTGTGGTCATGCCTCATGGCCCTCCCGCAGCGTGTCCAGGTAGACTATGTCTTCAGCCAGGGGCGATGACAGTGGCCTTGTACGAACGGAACGCAGCACGCGTCAAGCTGCTGTGCGATGTACATGTACTCTTGGAAAGGTCCAGAATGGATGTGATGTCGTGCGAGAAGTTTTCGTCCTCGAAAGAAGCTTCAAGTTAGCGCCTCGGGATATGCCGGATGTCAAAATAGCCAATAGCGACGTCAGGTCAACCTGACCGTGAGATGAACGCCAATGCTCGAAGAACATGAGGTATGGTCTGGCATCCTCCTTCCTAGCAATCTTGAAAACAATGTACCGAGTGTCCTCGCGGCCGTTCTAAGGTATCATGTCTGTAGAGCTGTAGCTTGTGACACCTGAGCAGACTCCACTACCAGCCACCGGGAGCCAGCAAAGGTTTGGCGACTTCTCGAGCTGAAAGAGCGATGCAGCCTGACCTTATACCACCTGACTGAAGGTTCTTGACTGAAGTAATACAGACAGGTATGCCGGAGTGACCATCCCTCCTACACTGGGAACTTTTAGCAGTCCCTTCGACTCCTCATCAAGAGCATGCTACGCCCTTCCGACACCATGATATGGCTAGTCCTTGCAACCATCTTTGGGACGACAGCAGCCAAGCTACACCCAGCAGATCCAAGTCAAAACATAACATGGCCATACCACACATACGAGACCGTTAAATTCCAGCCTCCTTGGCTCAACATAACCCACCACACCGCCCCAAGCGAAGGCTACCTCTTCTTCGCCCCTGACGGCGCGACAGAGACTCAACTCGCTCCCGTGATCATGGACATGTCCGGAGAACTCATCTGGAATGGACCGATGGAGCACGCTTTCAATTTCGGCGTCTACGAGTACGGCGGCGAGCCGGTGCTGGGATGGTGGAACGGCACGCTGTTCCCCGAGCCTGTTGGTCGAGGTAATGGAGTGATCTACCTCTACAACAACAAGTACGAGCAGATTGAGAAGGTCACTCTAGAAGGTAACTTCTTAAAACTTGAGCCCGGCGCCACCTTCGTATTCAACATCGACGTCCACGAGCTGCTCATCACTCCCAACGACACGATCGTCGTCACAGCGAACAATGTCACCCAGGCCGACTTAACTTCCGTCGGTGGCCCTACAGACGGCTGGGTAGTCGACGGGCTGGTCTACGACATCGACATCGCAACAAACGAGGTGCTCTTCCGCTGGAGTCCGCTCGAGCATCTCGATCAGATCCCTTTCAACGCCTCGCTTTACACTCTCGGCACCGAAGGCTATACTGGAACGAGCCAGAGCACAGCTTGGGGCTACTTCCACATCAACGCCGCCGAGCCGTACGAAGGTGGCTACATCATCAGCTCCCGCTTTCTCTGCAACGCAATTGCTATAGATGGGTCTGAGGGACACGTGAAGTGGCGCCTATCTGGCCGAGAAGGCGGAGACTTCAACCTCGTGGGCAGTGATGCGACGGCTGGATTCTGCTATCAGCACGATATCCGCACGGTCGATGTGCGGGACTCTGGCGTAACGCTACGGATGCACGACAATCACAACTCACCTTTCGAAAATGGAACGGTCCCGGCGTCGGGCAAAGTGAGTGATGTCGACTTTGGGACGAAGGACGCACAGCTTGTTCAACGATACTTCAACCACTCCGGGCCGATCTTTCCTACCGCTCAAGGCAACATGCAGCCTCTGTCCAATGGCAATGTCTTCGTCGGCCACGGCTGGATTCCGGTTATGGAGGAGTTCTCATCTTCTGGCGAGACCCTCACAACCGTCCAGTTCGGAGCCGCAGAGTCGAGACCAGGCGGTGGGTACTTCAGCGAAGAAGCACCCACGCTGAGCTATCGATCCTTCAAGCAGCAGTGGGTGGGTTGTCCAGCGGCTAAACCAGACGTGGTTGCGAAGGCCTCAAAGAACGGTTCAAAGGTCTTCGTTAGCTGGAATGGCGCCACAGATGTTGTGGCATGGGAGATATTTGCCGGGAGTTTAAAGTCGAAGATGCACTGCGTTGCGACTGTGCGCAAGTGCGGCTTTGAAACGGAGGGTAACATTGACGACGACACGGCTTACGTGCAGGTGAGGCCGGTCTTGAAGAAAAGCTCATCTTGTGATGCCCTTGATTCGGAGATTGTTTCTGTATCATAGTGACCTCGTACCAATAAGTGTTCATGTTCTGGCACTGACTCCTTCAATCTTTCTCTTCCTCACAGCCATCACCTTCCCCCCTCTCCCGGGCCCTCTTCCGATCAATCCATCGCCTGAACACCGGTACCAACAAACTCGCAGCTACCAACTGCAACCCCTGATAAACCACAATCGGAATCTGCACCTTGCTTTGCATCCCCAGCTCCATCCCATCCCAGATCGTCGAACTAATCGGCACGCCCATCACAATGCCCTTCGCAGGCACACACATACACACCGCCACCACATCCTCCCGTTCCAACCACAATATCGCCGTGAAAATTGTGATCCCGAAGAAGACAAGCCAGAGCGCAATGGAGATGAAGACGATAAACACCATGTTGCTGCCTGGAACGAGGGAGAAAGAGGACGTAGCGAAGGCTTGGTCGTAGGTTGCCCAGAGGAGGACGAGGAGGGCGATGGAGCCGATTTTGTTCAGCTTCCAATCCACGAAGATACGTTTGCAGAGGGTGGGAAAGAAATGCCGCACGACTTGTCCAACGACGAGAGGAAGGTATATCGACAAGCCAAGCTGCTTCAGGACTCTCCGGTAGATCTCGCCCCATGCACTGGACCCCGACGTCGCTGGCAGGCTGTCGTTGTACCAGGCGTTTGTGCTGGTGTACATCACCACTAAGGCAGGCGTGATAAAAACTCCAATCAAATTACCAACTGTCGTCTGCACGACCGTCAGAGCCGTGTTCCCGTGGGCCTGCCGTGTCATAACCACATTGCTCGAGATTGTCGTCGCGACGCACGAGAAAAAGATCAACCCCACCAGCAAACCCGGGTCCATGAAATCGTGATCCGTTGCAACCGCTTCCACCAGCCCAAATACAACAGCAGAGGTCATGAGGAAGCTGAGCGTTTGAGTGTAAAGGAGGAGTTTCCAGCGCGCGTAGTTCTGGAGCAGCACCTTGGTGTCCAAGGTGGCCCCGGTGATGAAGAAGATGAGGGTGAGGCAGGTGCTAAAGCACAGATGGGTAAAAGGGTCAGCAAGTGTCTCTGAACTGCGGATAGCGGGCATAGGGTCTCAGAGCGCGGCAGAATGTTTCGATCGTGTCTCAGAGAACCCTTTTACCCATCAGTACTTACTAGGAGGTGATGGTGCGTTTGAGTTCCTGTTGGGAGAGGGGGACTTGGATTTGGCTGGCGACGACGATGAGCAGGGCGAGGGCGAGGAGGAACCACTGTTCTGCGATTAAGGATAGGTAGCGGCGGAGCCTGGATGGCTTGACGTTGGTTTGGTTCATGCCATTTGTATTTGTGCTGGAATGCGCATTGTGCGAGTCGTTTGAATCTCCCGCGCCGGTCTTGTCGGGGTCAGTGGTACCCTCGTCATGGTCGCTGGATGCCTTCGCAGAACTCTGCTTAATGGACATGCCATCCTCGACGTGTTTCTCAGGCCAGCTTGTCATGACGGTGAGATGGGCTTGTCTGTGCCGACGACATTTTCGTGGTCTATCCAGGATTCATCGGCGAGACCACTTTTCACTCCATTCAGACATAACAGAGAAGCGTTGGGAAGAGATGTACTGATCGTCGAGAGATGATGTCAAGCATACTTCGTCAAAGCGGGAATTGCGGCTGCACGGCCAACACCACGCGGTGTGCAGTTTGGAACGCATACAGTAACATGACAAGAAAAAGAAAGGTGGAAGCAAGATATTTCAAACACAGCTTTAACATTCCCGCACTACAAACACGCAGTTACTTAGGAAAACCCTCTTCTCACACCCGGGTCTTGCCAACGAAGGTCAACAAGCCCATGTATTAGATAGGCCAGCAGACAGTACGCTGCTCGCCGGTTTTTGCGGTGCGAGAAGAAGCATGCCCGATAACAAAAAACGCAACAAGTGGTATCATGCAATCAGTAAGGCGCACGCAGCCCCAGATGTTCAGTGTTCCGATCCATCCAATCCCGCCCGTCGCTTTTTTCCTGATAGTGGTATCTGCAATCATGAGGTTGGGGGTATCATCTCGTCGCTCGTGAAGTGCAAACGCCTCCGCATCGAAACAGTGGGCGAACTCAGCTTGATGATGGTGCATCAAACTATTGGTAGCTGTAGCCCTGCTGGCCGCCGTACCCTTGCTGGCCGCCATACCCCTGCTGGCCGCCGTACCCTTGCTGGCCGTAGCCTTGCTGACCGGTGCTGCCGTTGCTGGGGTCCTTGACGCCGCCCTCGGTGACATTGTGAGGCTTGCGCTGCGGCCTGGAGGGGACAAGGCCAGAAGACTCCCTGGACGAGCCGATGCTGAAGACGGGGGACTCCCACTTGTCGCCCTTGTCGGCAAGCTGCTTGTACTCGGTCGCCTTGGTAGAGATGCCACCTGGCAGCGAAATGTTCTTGAAGATCGAATCTTGCTGGGTGATTGCGACGTTGACCTTCTTGTCGGCTGCACTCTCCTTCGCCTGGGACTCCTTCTGGTCCTTGGACTTCTGGATCTCCTTCTGCCAGGCGTTGAAGTAACGCTGGTAGATGTTCGCCTTCTGCTCTGGGTCGTTGGTAGCCTTGGCCGACTCTTGGGCACGGTCAGACTCCTGCTTGACACGGAAGAGGAAGGCGTCCATGGTGGAGAACTGGTCGCGGATCTGCTTCTCGACCACCTTCTGGATGACCGGGCGAATAACCTTGAACATGAGCGGCTTGAACAGGCCGAACAGGATCTTGTGGTTGGACTGCTTCATCTTGATGTCCATGTTTTTGATGTCGACGGTGACCGAGTTGATCTTGAAGAAGTGCGACCTGTCAGACTGGTCGGCAGTCTCCATGCCCACCTTGAAGCTCAGGCCGGTGCCGCCAAGGAAGATGTCCATGACACCCTTGTCGGTGATGCTTGGGAAGCCCTCCTTCTTCTTGACGTAGAAGGCGACGTCGCGCAGGTCCATCTGGACGCCGGACACGGACAGCATGACCTTGTTCTTGTTCTTGCTATGGTTACCCTTGCGTCCCCACTTCCAGTAGTTGTCGCTGCCGAACTCCATCATGTTGGGTGCGAGATTGTCACCCTCGATGCAGAGGTTCTCGACAACAGCGTCGACCATGTTGTCGGAGTACTCGATGCGTGGGATGGGGACGTAACGGATGTTCTCGAAGAACGCCGGCAGGAGCACCTCGGTCAAGTCCTTGATCAAGTGAGGCTTGAAGCTCGGCTTGCCATCCTGGTCGTTGCCCAGATCCTGGAACAACTTCTCCACGGAGCGGGCGAAGGCCTGGTTCTCCTTGTCCTCGTCGAACTGGTGGCCGATGAACTTGAACTCATCGAGGATGCGGTCGGTGTGGTTCCTGTAGCGCTCACGCAGCAAGAAGTGGCCCTGGTCGTACAGACGGTTCCATTCCTCGTTGGAGGCATCCTCGAGGATGTAGCCCTGCTCCTGGAGGCAGCGGCGGATGTAGCGGTCCATCTGCTTGAACCAGTTCTTCAACTCGGGATCGCGGTTGGCATCTTCGTAGATCTGGTTGATCGAGTCGAAGAGGTCATCGAAGGAGGTGCTGTTGGCGAAGCGCTCAAGCAGTTCCTTGAGATCAGTCAGCATTGGCCGACTCTTTTGAAAGAGATCTAGAAAAGAAAACGCACCCTCAGGTCAGTCTCTGCATTCTTGAGGGAATCCTGGTCATGGGCACCTTTGGCGGTGGAGGAGCCGTCCTTGGCTAGGGTCTTGCCATGGCCACTGTACTCCTCGGCGAGACGGAGAAGAGTGTCAATGGCTTGCTGGTCTGCGCACGAGGTCAGCATGAGTTCGCGGGTGCACGATGACGAGATAGGGGGTAAAGAAGAAACATACAGTCGGAGTGGTTCTGAATCTCGACCACCATCTTCTTAAGGCGAAAGATGGTCTGCTCGCGGCGATCCTTGGGCATCTTATTCTTGAAATAGTTGTTGGTACGCTCACGGTACGCACGCATCTTCTCCTTCTGCTCGTCGTCGAAGCGGCTGGACATGTTGTTCTTGAAGTTCTGCGCGCCGGTCTTCGCACCGGTCTTCGGGTCGACGCCGGTGGCAGCGCCATCCTGCTTCTCCCGAGCAGTCATGGCGGCAGTGTCGGTGGGGTCGCGCGAGCCCTGTGGGTTGGACTGCTGAGCAGCGTCACCTCCAGCGCTCGCCGCGGCATCCTTGACGTCCTTCTTGCCGACGGGCATCCGGTTCTGGGCATCGGCCTTCATCTGCTGGAAGTCAGGCTTCTCGTGCCAGGTGTTGTCCTCGGCTGGGCGGTCGATCTGCGAGAGCTGGTCGTCGGAGGGGTTAACATTATTCGCAGCCTTCTGGGCAGCGTCGCCGGCCATATCGCGGAGCAGCACAGAGGCATCGCTGACTGCTGGCTGTTAGCTGTGAAGTCACGTGCAAGGTGGGGCCACAACTTACGAAGCTTGCGGAACTGGCCATTGGTGATGAGAAGAGTGCCGAGGGTGCGGAGGCCCTCGACGGCCTCCTGGCCGTGCTGCTTGGCGGTGTCCTTTTCGATGGGGAGACCAGGCTTCTGCACGTTGTTGTGGCCGATGGCCTGGGTCTGCCAGATGAAGTCCTGGAGCAGGTTGCCGTCGTTCTTGGTGAGAAGCATGACCTTGGTCTTCTCGATGACATCCTTGAGATCGGCAATCAGGTGCTGGCCTTCAGGCGAGAGCTTCTTGGACGGGGTGTTGAGGCCCTTCCACTCGAGCGCGGTGTTCATCGCCACATCGATTTGCTTGTTCTGTGAGGTGTTGTTAGTGACTGCACGTGAGCGCGTTCTGTTCTCATGCTCACCGAAGGCACTTTGCCTTGTGCGAATGCTGTGAAACTTGATGTTAGCAAATTGCGGCACAATGGGCGGTGGCGCGTGGGTGAAACGCGCCATGGGGAGCGACGAACCTGCGTAGATGCCATAGAGCTGGAGCTTCGTGTTGATGTCCTTCTCCTTGATCTTCTGGTTGGTCGGCACATTGACCGAAGTGGACGCCATCGCTGCGGTGGTGAGCAGGTGGTCGCGTGTTGTGGTGTGTTGATGGAGGTGGGAGGGGACACAACAACAGCAGCGCTAGCAAGCAAAGAACGGCGCTGCAATGGGTATCTCTAAGCAAGGAGGGATAGAGCAGCGGAGTGCTCGCGGAGTATGAGGATGTGAAATGGAGGATGGGTGGTGTGTGTTTGTGTTGTGTGTGTGCAATGACGGAGAGAGTGAGGAGGAGCGAGGTTTTGTGGAAAGCAAGCTGCAGCAGCCAGCGGGCACAAGCCACTTGCCTTGGCGCACAGACTCCACGCATGACGTTGGCCCTCGAGACCTTGACCACGCTCCATTGGGCGCTCTTTCTCCTCGCAATCTGATTCAAACGAGTTTTGCCATCAGCCACACGGTAACTAATGGCTGGCTCTCTTCACCACCCTTTCTTCTACTATCGATGTTATCACGCTACGGGAGACAGGCAAGACGGGCTCTACAGCAGGCGCATTCTCGACAACGACGACGACGCGGCATCGAGATCACCACGGATGATTTTCTGCGCTATGTCAACTATCTCCAGTCTCCACTCCCCTCGCTCCCGCGCTCACGCTGCTAGCCCTTGGCGATCCCAATGTCCTCAGATCTGGCGGCGGGAGTTGCCAGTTCGACGGCGCTGTTGTGGCACTTTTCCTTCTCTCCTTCTCATTCTCCCCATCTCGTATGCTATTCTGGTGCAGAGCAATCTCCCGTTGTACGGCGCGATGGCGTTTTACCCACGTTGTCGCCGTGGAAACAGACCGCGAAACGGCACAGACGATGCGGTGTGGCGCTAAGAAATTGGATCCGAGTTCGTGGGAGAGTCTGAGCTTGAGCCTGGGTGATCGACGCAAGGCACGCCCAGCGCCGCCTGACGACATCCTACAGCTGCTTCTGGCCGCGTGTAGCATCATCGTGCTCGCGAAAAGAGGCGGTCTTGCAGGCTTTTCGCTCGCTTGCCAGGTACCGTCTTCACCGTACCCAACTACTTCTGCCCTGATCCCGCCCGTTCGAGGATAGGCGCGGCTTTTCATCTCTCCTTCAGGCCGCTCTAGCCACAGGCGTGGCCGATCTGTGAGGCGTTGAGAGGCAAGGATTCGAGCAAGGATGTCTGCGGTGTCTGCGGTGTCTCCGTGGGCTTCGAGGTTGTCGTGCGATACAGTCCAGACCTTGTCCAAATAATGTAGGAAGCAAACTAAAACAACCATGTTGTTCTACCTTCGTGGGCGCACTGCCCTGGCATATCATGGTGGAAACACCCAGCGGTACTGCGTTCTCGTTGAAAGACCTAGGAGGTGCCTAGGAGACCATGCAACCCCGAGCTCCCTTCCCTGCTTCTGGCCGATGAATGTATGTGAACTCTACGCCGCTGCTCAACAAGAGTCTCACAACTTCATCAAAGCTACCAAGAGAGACCCCAAGTACTTGCAATGTCGTTCAAGGAGTTGGATTGTCCTCGTTCACTTCTTTGACACACCGATACCGCAGCATCGTGGACTGGAGCGCCTCCAGAAGCTCACCGCTCCTTCTAACCAAACACACTCTCCTAGGCCATCAAGCTCAATTCCAGGTTTAAGGGAAAGAACTCTAATAAGAGCTCGAAGCCTCTGGCGATGCTCTGCTCTGTTTTACAATTCTGCTGCCACCACGTCAATGCCAACATCAACACATCGCCTCATACTAGCTCTCGAAAGCCGCATATCGCGAATGCATTATCATGGGCTTCTCGCAGACTTCAAAGTCCTGCGGGCTACGGAAACGCTGAAATCCATCTCTTACAAGGTGGCTACGCAGACGCCTGAGCTGAGTAGAAATCTATCACGGCGCGGTTGGTTCGGGGACATGCAGCCACAGCACTGCACACTGCCCACACCCAAGAAAGGGTTTGTACAGCTCAATGGCGTCCAGATGGCGACCGTAAACATGTCACAGGAGAGCGCGGTGCGGGCTACCGCTCACTGACAGGCGGCCCAGGATTTTATCGACAGGCCAGATTCTGTCCGAGAGATTGGAGCTTGACAGCCTACGTTCACTCTACATGAGCTCTGTGATGGCGAAGAGGGCTGCACTTTGAACATGAGGCTCAACTTCTTGGGGATGGTGATCTGTAGTCGTCCTCACAGTCTTTGAGCTTACCTGTAAGTGTTAGAAAGTAGATTGGACGGCTGGAACTTTGCTTTGTATTCATCGTGGACATGGGCACACGGAGTGATCTTCTGCCGTTGGCTAGGTTACTGCCTAAGATAGCCGATGGCACAAACGACTACCATGAACTACGGATGTCCTAGGAAAAGCTCGCCAGGAGCTGGGTACATTCTACAGACCAACTATAGAACCAAGCAGTGAAACCACTCAGGTTCCGTAATTCCTATTGACGCTCGATATGTCAGCACGCGGCCGTGGTGTCAATCGCTTGAAGCGCAGATGTACTGACCTTCCTGTATCTTGTGCAACCCTCCCGTACTCTCAAGTCCCGGTGCACATCGGACTCTTTCGATGAAGCTCAACTCCAAACGCCTTCGCTGTAGCGGCGCATATGGTCCTGCCCATGCTCGTTTTCATGAACGACAAGAACAGCAGAAGTTGTTTCGCGATAGCAACCGATTGCTTGACCGGCCATGGGTCGTCTTTGAAGCCCCAGCACCTTCAGCTGCGCTAAACTTTCCGCTGGAGGTACGGATTGATGGGCTTCTGGTAGAAGACGCCCCTGAGGCCCCACGGATCGCCTTTCCTCTGTGTTCCCTGTTGCTGTGGCGGCAAGTGTGTCGTTGGCTCCGAGCTTCCTCCTGGCGTTGTGCCCTTGTCGTCAAACATGTCTTCATCTTCGACGACGTACTTTGGTGAAAGGGCAGCCCGCTTAGTCGCAGAGGGTGGTGGCGCAAGCAGGTCGACCTCATCCTCTCGCCTGATCTTACTCTCCTCTCTTTGCTCCCTCTTCCGCTGCCTCTTAGCCTCCCGTGCAAGCATTTCTTGCTCGTCGTGCTCCTTCATGTTGTCCTCCTGCATGATGAGGAATTTCTGGCTGGCGTCCGGCACGTTGAAATGCACGGTAGAAACGTGTAGCTTCAGTTCTTGCTCGGACATGGAGAGAGTGAAGCAACCGGGGTAAAACCAGCAGAGGTATTCATCATGGGTGTTGAGGATTTGTCTTGCGCGGTCGTGGTTGGTGGCGAAGGTAGCGGGGCAGCGGGGGCAGTGTATGATGGCCATGCTGCTTCGGGTGGCGAGGATGCGACGGTGTTGGTGTTCCTGGTAGCAAGGTCTGTTCGACGGTTGTTGGAGGGCTTTCAAGAACTGGATGTATGATGTCGTATTGGACGAGCGGCCGCGAGGTGCATGCCTGGATACCTGGTATGGAAGTGAGAGTAGACTCGCCGCGAAGCATAGTCGTTCCTGAGCCCACGACACAATAGGCAGCCCTGAGACAAAGATTGAGTGACCGTCCGAGATGTTTCAGCGTACGATCCACAGGATGAAGTTATTTTTTGTTGTGGCGTTGGCTTGGAGACCCCTTGACGACACACCCCAAGTAGGCAAAGGAGAAGCCAACTCAAAGAGCTCACATCGCGAGATTGCAATGCGACACGACATGGACATGTCTACCTCCCGCAAGTCGAAAGAGCAACAGTGAAGTTCAATTCGAATGAAGCCTCGGGAGGGACCAGTGCACCACGTCCTTACCAAACCGATCCGGGCTCTATTGGCTGGCTGGATGCTGATATCAGTCGTGGGACCTCTTCTGTAAACATGTGTTCCGTGCTCTCGCTTCAGTCAAATGTTAGGCTGGCAGCTTTCATATGCATGATGAAGTGGACGACGTCACTTCATTCGTGCTCGGCCGGTGAGCTGTTGGTGCTGGCTTGTATGAGAGTGGGTTTGCGAACTCACTTCGCTGGTGGAGCGATGGCTTCATTAATAGATATCAATACGGCAACATATGCCCATCTTGCTTGCTGTGCCCCATCGCCTTCGCCATTGCAGGTCCCCTTGCGTTCGCTGTGTTTTGATGAGCACTTTCGAATCGCCTGCCGTCATTCGTCAGTGCCGTGTCAGCTGGTGGACAGGAATGACATTACTCACGCAGGCTCACGGAGTTCCATGCGCCGCTCACCCACACCCGCGCTCGTGCTGTGTGCCACCACTCAAGGAGGCTTTGTAGCAAGGCTTCCATTCCATCGGATAAGGCTCACTCGCAGGACTTTCTCATCCCTTCAAAGTTGTTTCCATGCCTTTCTCTTCACTCTCTCAGCCGAATACGCCAGCCCTCTTCATGACTCCCTCGAACTCCTCCACCCCTACCGTCCCCACCCCACCTCCCGTCGCCTCCCTCAACATGTCCTTTAACACGTTGTCCGGCACCTCCTCCCTCAACTCCCTGGCTACCCGCCGCAGGTCGTTCAGATTGATCTCTCTCTCCTGTCCCTTCGTAAACAGCTGATATGCTTTCATGACCTCCTCGCTCATGGCCTCCGGATCGTCGTGCTTCGCGCGCAATTTCAGCGCAGCGACAGCGACGAAGTGCTCATAGCTCACCGACCCGCTGTCATCGGGGTCGACAGTTGAGATGATCTCGGTGAGTTCATCTTGTGATGTTGGTGGAGTGTTGAGGGCGATGAGAGCGCGGCGAACATCGGAGGTTGCTATCAAGGACTCCTTTGACGAGAAAGATTGAAAGGAGAAGAGGGCGAAGGCTTCCTGGATCTCGGACTCTTCGTCCGCAGAGAGGTCGTTGTCCTTGGCCAGCTTCGAGCGGCGTTTGGCTGGAGTGGTTGCAGTCTTGGACGACGATCCAGTGGGTTGTTTGCGCTTCGGCGCCATGGTGGATTATGGATAGTGGTGAATGTCACCGTAGCATCGTTGTGGTGTTTGCCTGTCGCGTCGCGAACAAAGGTGACTTGAAGTGAGGTTGTCGAGACGCCAAGACCTGCGAAGATCACCTGGCTCGACTCTTGCCTCCTGAGTACTCACCTTCAACACAGGCTCCGCGACAATGATCCAGCATGAGTCCTGCTATTAGAAGCATCTGAAGCCTTCACATGCCAGACACTGCTTTTAGGTTTAAGCATTGGCACCGCTGATGGTACGCAAGCGGCCTCAGGGGTCACCATTACACAGCAACATCTTAAACTGGTTAATGGATTGGCCAGCGAACAAGTTTCCAATCACGTCGATGAGCGGGTAGGGAGATACAATTTCTCGTGGTGGCCCTCTTCGGACTATTGGAACAACACAAGAACAGCAAGAACATTGACTTTCCTTCACTTTCTTCGCCATACTCGACTACCAATCCACATCATGCTCAACAACAACAGTCCGATCATGACTCTCCCGGCTTATCATCTCCTCCGCCCAGTCAGTCATCGACAGTCCAACCCTAAGCCGCCTTGGTCGCCTGGATACCCAACTCCTTGACGCTGGTCTTCTCAATATTGGCGACGTTGTCGGCGTTTCCGTCGAGCTTCGCAATCTGCTTTCCGTCATGGAGCACCACAGCAGTCACGTTCTCACGGCCTGCAAGCAGCTGGATTTCCGTCACATACACCAGGTCGCTGCCGGCTGCGGTGAGGAGCTCGTAGACATTGTGAGCGGAGCCGTTGGTGGCGATTTGCAAGTCGATGTTCTTTCCGGTCTGGACGTTCGCGAACTGGACGGTGACTTTGTGGGATGCCATTGTGAAGATGGTGTTGGTGCTTGAAGTGCTGGGTAGCGTTGTGTTGCTGGTGATGAGGTTCGGGGAGGCTAATGAGAGGACGAAACGGATGTGAACGTACTCAAGGACGACTTCTTATATGCGAACAGCTGGAGCTGGGTTGCAAATCACCTCGTTCCTATCGTAGGGCTGCTGCACGTCAGCTTCGTCATGGCATAGCTGCGCAAGCACACAATACGAAGTCGGATCCCAGTAACTAAGCAGCCACGACCCAGGAAGCACACGTGTATTGGCTAAGCTTGTGGTACGTGAGAAGATACTCATCGAAAGCTGCAGTGCGGATGCAAAAGCTACTCGCGGTGACCTGATCTGCGTGTCAGCAGCATGCAGATGCCGCAACTCATACGACGCTCTGAGAGCTCAGCTGTCAGACGATGCTGCTGACTTGCCTGCCCCCAGTTTCCTGCCGATGTTGCAAGGCTGCCTACTCCATGGCGCGATCCGGGATTGCCTTGGAGCTGATACAGTGTACAAGGCAACGTGGTGTAGTCACAGCATCTCACAGCCATCTTCGTGCGGCTTCTGTTCCGGATGTCCACGGCAATCCGAGTGCGCTCACTGGAAACATACGACCGAACAATCTCCACGATCATTGCTACAGGCTGTTCACACGCACTGTACGACCAAGAAGGAGGAGCGGGAGTGTAGTTAAATTGAAGGAGTGACTCTGAGAAGTTGTGCCGACCTCGCTGGTCGAAAGTGCCTGCACCACCTGCCTGATACGGCAATGCCTCCTGGGCAGCCACGTCTTCTAGAGCTGTTATAGCCGGATGAATCTCCTCAATTTACCGACATCTTACACGAACAAGGGACTCGACACGCACCTGCGCTGGTGGTTGGAAAAGGGCTATCAAAGATCACGCAATGGACAGCAACCAGTCACAGCCTCCCAACTCGGACTATGACCTTTCCACACCAATAAATTCCGCAACAGGTCTTCGACAAGGCCTCGCCTCATATGGCGACGCACACTTCTCACTCTTCCTCCGGAAAGCTTTCATAAAAGCCGCTGGTTTCGGTGAAGACGCTCTATCACGACCCATCGTTGGAATCATCAACACTTTCTCGGCTTTCAACCCATGCCATGCCAACGTACCGCAACTCATTGAGGCCGCGAAGCGCGGCGTTCAACTCAATGGCGGGCTGGCGATCGAGTTTCCTACCATTAGCTTACATGAGTCTTTCTCAAGTCCGACAAGCATGTATCTCAGAAACTTGATGAGCATGGACACGGAGGAAATGGTTGCTGCTCAGCCGGTTGATGCTGTGATCATGATAGGGGGCTGTGACAAGACGGTGTGTCAGACAACTGACCTCAAGTAGTCGGAATAGAGGTTGACGACTCTTTCTAGGTCCCGGCGCAACTAATGGGTGGTATTTCTGCAAACAAGCCAGTCTTACCTCTTGTCACCGGCCCAATGATGCCCGGCTCGAACAAAGGTACTCGTATAGGCGCTTGCACTGACTGCAGAAACAATTGGGCCGCTTACCGTGCTGGAGAGATCGACATCGAGGAGATCTCGGACATCAACAGCGAGCTTGCGCCTACAGGCGGGACCTGTGGTGTGATGGGAACCGCAAGTACCATGGCTTGCATTGCTGTCGCTCTGGGAATGATGCCTTTCAACAGCGCCACTGCACCAGCCGTCTCCTCAGCACGACTCAGAGTGGCTGAAGCAACTGGTGGAAGAGCTGTCGAGGTGGCGGCTTCGAAGCGGAAACCGCAGGACGTCCTGAGCAAGGAGAGCTTCTTGAATGCCGTCACTGTACTGCAAGCTATCGGTGGCTCGACGAACGCTATCGTCCATCTCATGGCCATTATCAATCGCCATCCAGCCGTTGCTGGCGAAGTCACGCTCCAGACTGTCGACGAGATCGGCCGCAACGTTCCGCTCCTAGTCGACCTCAAGCCAAGTGGCGATAACTACATGACTGATTTCCACAATGCCGGTGGCATGCTCGCGCTGATGCACACCCTCCGCCCGCTCCTGCATCTCAACGCGAAGACTGTGTCTGGCAGGACGATCGGCGAAGAGCTGGATGCCACTCCATTCAAGCCGTTCCCGTACTCTTCTTCCATCATACGTTCGCTTTCGGATCCGCTGTACCCGAAATCTTCGCTCATTGTCCTTCAGGGCAACCTGGCCCCGAATGGCGCTGTAATCAAAGCTTCGGCCTCGAAAGAGAGGCGCCTGCTGTCCCATTCTGGCCCTGCCGTGGTGTTTGAGAATACCGCAGATCTGGCCAAACGAATAGACGACCCCGAGCTACCTGTAACAAAAGACTCAGTCTTGGTCCTGAAAAGCATAGGCCCGGTCGGCAACCCAGGCATGCCAGAAGCAGGCGTGATCCCGATACCTCGAAAGCTGGGAAATCAGGGTGTGAAAGACATGCTCCGCATCTCCGACGGAAGGATGTCTGGAACAGCTGGCGGTACAATCGTCCTCCACGTCTCGCCAGAGTCGGCAGTAGCGGACAGCATCTTCGGAATTGTGGAGAATGGAGATATCATTGGATTGGATGCAGAGAAAAGAGAGCTAATACTTGCGGTGGAGAAGAATGTGATTGAAGAGAGGATTGAGAAAAGAAAAGCGTCGTTGAAGGAGACTGGGTTCGCGCAGGGAAGAAGCACAAAGCCAAAAAGAGGCTATAGAGGCCTATACGAGTCGAGGGTCAACCAGGCGGAGCTTGGGGCAGACTTCGACTTCTTGAGGGCGGACGGCGCAGGAGCGGTGTGATTATGCTGCGGGCATAGGCAGGTTGCAGTCATTCGAGCACGCCTTCTGAGGACCAAAAGTTGATGTGTTACCTCGACATATTCAAGCAACAAAGAAGGCCAGTGTCGTCAGCCAGCCTGAGGTGCTTCTCCGCTATACATTCGAATCCTCGAGCGCCCAATGCTGCGACTGTGTCACCATAGGCCTTACTTCTCCCCATAAATGCGGCCGCTTTCATGTAGACAGGGCCAGCGCGGCTTGTGTCCGTCCACCAGCCAGAAAATGCTTCCATCTCACACCAGATTTAGAAAGCTTCTCAGTAGCCGAGGCAACAGCGACATTGGCATCCGGCCGCACTATTACTCGGACACCCACTCGGCGACATCAACTTTCTTCTTATAACAAAAGTCAAGATACACCGAACAACACCGCAATCATGCCTCCCGTCCTGGCCACCGGCGCATCGCCCCTCAGTGAGTCCTCTCGCCGTCAACCCGGTGCAAACTATGCTGACACAATGTCGAGTTGGCCCTGTCGTCTCACTCTGCGGTTGGACGCTGGTGATGGAAGTGTGGATGTACGCCGTTAGAATCCCAGCACTGAACAAGGGGACAAGCCAGAACAAACTCAAGATACGACCCGAGATGACGATCCAGGAAATGAACTCGGTCATCCCGCATAACGCTCGCTGGAAGGCAGACAAGTGAGTCCAGCCCCAAGCACGACTCGACCATCCGTTGTGTCTAATCGTAGCCAGCTACAACCATCTGCATGAACAACCAACCAAGTTCTACGCCATTCTCGTCGCGTTGATGCAGCTTCAAGCCCATGACAGGCTGACGGTTGGACTGGCTTGGGCCTATGTATGCTTGCGAGTGGTGCATAGCCTTGTCCATGCTATTGCGAACCCGGTAGGTGTCATTTGAAAGCACGTAAGGCGACAATACTGACCAATGTGATCAGATCATGGCGAGGTTCCAGGTGTTTGCGCTCAGCTCGCTCACATTGGCGGCATTGACCGCGAGAGCTGTCCAGCTGTACATGCAGTAAAACCTGGGCTCTGTGACGTTTCGGGCACAGTGGACAGATGGGGATGATGTATCGCCCAGAAGCTAGTGTGGCTACTCGGATTCACTTCATGCTGGCTCTCCAAGACTTCAACTTCCTAACAATCTCGGCTTGACTTTCTGCCTTCGAGTTACATGGTATGCGGTGGACTGTGCTTGTAGCGCATTTCGATGCGCGTCAAGAAGCTGGCCTGGCTGGCTGATATGAACGGGATAACACCCGTTGGGTCAGGAGTAGACTTCGATCCCGGAGATGCGCAGACAGGGACGAAGCTCGCTGTTTTGGTCGGTCGGTCTTGTGCGCCTGTAAGTCGCCCGTCATGACTGCGCATCCACATTGGCTATACTGAATGATTCTAATACTCTCACTGTCCCGAACACCCGGCGACAACATCGCTGCGCTAAGCCTTCAGGACTGCGAAGGATTCACTCAGCGTGCGACTCGGCCCCAAAGCACTCCGCAAAGCGAAACCGACCCAATCTGTTCAATCTTGCGAAGCGTTTACTCACCTGCCTCATGCCAACCATCCTACGGATCATTAACAAGCAAAACATTGTGGCAATAGTGGCAACTGTGTCTCCTTGCCGCTCGTTCGCTCTCGCTTTCTACTGGCCGGAGTGACGGGTCCATGAGATGAGGGCAGATTGGTAAGAACTCTTGGTTGATCTCCGTACTGTGCACGTTCGCTATATTCTAAGTCGTCCGCAACTCAACTCCATCTTCCACTTAATATTTACCATGGAAGATTCGAGACTACCAGTGTTTAAAGCGCTAGAAAGCATGATGGATCTTGAGAGCATCCTCTTCCTTAGTATTTCAATCTTTGTCTTCTGGGTTGTCGTCAGCGGCATCTACAACCTCTACATCAGCCCTCTGCGAAAGATCCCGGGTCCACGCATCAGAGCGCTCAGCAATGTTCCGCGGATATGGGAGATGATGGCTGGACGAGATGGCATTGACCACATCGACTTGCACCGAGTCTACGGCCCAATCGTCCGCACGGGACCAACCACCCTCAGCTTTGCTGGAGGAGCCCAGGCCTAGCACGATATATACGGGCCACGCAAGGGTCATGCCGCACCTCCGGCCAAGGACAAGTTGTTCTACCAACCGCCTTACAACGGCGTGGATTCTATCCTGGGTATCGACGATGAGGCCGCTCACAAACAGGAGCGCAAGATCATGTCTGCCGGCTTCAGCGAAAGATCGTTGCGCGACCAGGAACCGCTACTAAAGAGCTGGGCGACGAAGCTGGGCGGAAAACTTCGTGAGCAAGCGATCGCAGGCAACAAGGCCGATTTGGTAAAGTTCTACAACCTGACGACGTTTGATATAATGGTAAGCTGCTTCTCAAAGACCGGACCTTTCTTAATAAATCGATGTCGCTGAATCGTTCCAGGCCGACCTCACCTTTGGCGAGAGTCTGAACATGCTGGAGAATGAGGAGTACACACCATGGGTGCAGACCATCTTCGCTTGGCTCAGCGCAGTCACCGCTCTTCGTGGCCTTCGTCTGCTTGGGCCAACACCGAGGTTGCTTATCGACCGCATCCTCATGAGACTTCCCGCAGTCAGAAGACTCGACAAGGAACATTGGGAATACTCCACAGCACGAGTGCGAAAGCGTCTGCAACGAGAGCCTGATCATCCAGACCTCTGGAGCCACATATTGCAGAAGAGCGATATCAGTGGCACATCGCTAGAAAGAAATTTCTCGAATGCATCAGTGTTCATGATTGCGGGCACAGAGACCACAGCCACAGCATTGTCGGGAACGACGTATCACCTTCTGCGCAACCCTGCTTATCTCTCCCGACTGAAGGAAGAACTCCGATCACAATTCTTTTCGACTGAGGAGCTCACATTTGAAAGCCTAGCTCGCCTGCCCTACCTCCATGCTGTACTTCAAGAAGGGATGCGGATGTATCCACCAGTGCCAGCCATACTACCACGAATCGTACCAAAAGGCGGTCTTGCGATTTGCGGCGAGTGGGTGCCTGCTGGAACGGTTGTCGGTGTGCACCAGCTGGCAACCTATCGAATGGAAGAGCACTTCTCCAAGCCGGATGAGTTCCATCCCCAGCGCTGGCTGAAGGACCTTGAGTTTGCAAAAGATCAACTCAACGCTCTTGAGCCGTTCTCAGTGGGGCCGCGTGATTGCTTGGGCAAGGTGAGTTCTCCCTGATTTGGATATTGCAATAGAGCCTGAGACTAATCAAATCGATCCCAGAATCTTGCATGGCATGAGATGCGATTACTGCTTGCGACCGTGCTCTTCCAGTTCGACATCCAGCTGTCTGTGGAGAGCGAAAACTGGGCGGAGCAAAGCATCTATACGTTGTGGCAAAAGAAGCCGTTGGTGTGCTCGCTGGAGGCGGCTGCACAATAGATGTCGAAGGGAATCATCTAGGCCGCCTCCTGCCGTTCCAGCTGTTGAGGCCGCCGTTTCCCCGTTCCGCGTCACTAGACTTTCACTCGCGAGTTTCCGCTGTATCATCCGGGGCTCATTGAAACTACCCACCGAAGTTCTCCGAGCTGAGTTTCGGACACACTGCCCACGATCACGTAAAAGCGTATTCCGCAAGCAAGCTCGCGAGCGTATACACGGCCAACGACATCAAACGCCGCTACGGCGTCCAGGGTATGCGGCTCCTACATTCACGAGGTATCAGAACTGATCTTCGACCTGGAGGTCTGCATTCGGGAGTCTTGTCCGATACCGTCATGGTTGTACGCATAGATCGTACCTCCTATGGCAGCCAAGCACAACTTAATGAGCTTGGAGCAAGGCGCAGCAACCACGGTACAGGCTGCGGCGGCGAAATATCTGGAAGTGGAAGTACCTGTTGCGGATCATCTCAAGCCAGGCTGGGGTGTGCGGTGCGGTACGATGCGCTGGAGCCGGGTCATGCGACTTGGGCGTGCGATCGGTCATATGCGGAGGAGTTGTGGGATATCTCTTTCGAAAGGATTGGGTTGACAGGAGCTGATCGGATCCTAGAGCCGGGACCCTGCTAGACATAGACTATCTCGACCTCTGCACCAGTGCTTCCTTCAAAGGCATGCGCATGATGGTCGACGGCGCTTCCCATCGTTCAGGACATGTTCTCGTGATGTCGGAAGTCGGCCTTGCCGTTAAACCAGCTCTTTGCAGGCTCGAAATCGCCTCCTGAAAGGTGTCTGTCCACGAGAGGTCTTGAGATTTAGATTGGAAGCAGTATCGATCTGAGGGATCAGCACAAGTCTGCATATACCGGCACACCGGTTGTAAGACCTAGAACTCGAGGCCCGCCTCCACATGTAAGCGAAGGCCATTCCCTGCGTGACCAACGCCTGTGCATATGACTAAAACATACTGTACCTTAGTAGTACTTGCTATCAAAAGGTACTGTACGTTATCAAGGACTGTTACTTCGCACTGTACGTTTCCAGGATTCGATGGAATTGCGGGAACACCGATACTGCAGCTGAGAGGTTTTCGAAGCTGTTATTGTGACCTGTCGTCCGATCAGGCTTCCCTTGCGCCTGCAATTCTGGACTCTCGATCTGGAAGCACGATAGCACGAGTCAGGCGTCCATTGCAATATCAAACAAAGCGGCTCCAGCAAGATTGACCGATATCGCGGCAACATTCTGAAGGAGGCTGACGGGGACCAGCTGAAATATAAATTGCCAGATCACGAAGGCGCTGCGTGAACAGGGGAAGTATGCATAAGCTTGCTTACTGCTGAGAGGAACCAATGGCCGGACGCCAGCGATAACGACAGCGGACTGAAACAGCAAAGCGCCACTGCCGGCTCCTTGTTGGAATTCTCTTAGCGAAGTCTGCGCTCGTGTCGTGCTTCCGAAGGCCTGACTTCTCACTACCGGTGGGCAAATTGCCTGTTCTGAGATTTCGGCCGGGACGAGGGGGGGCATGGTTCCTCACAGCCTTGCAGCCGTGCAGGTTGTTCGCCTGCAGCATGGGCATGGGTTCAAGGTGGGAGTTGGGGCACTATCAAAGCCTCCGCTGACAGCTTTCTTTTCCTCTCTTCTTGCGTCTGCTTTTGCTATACTTCCAGCGTGGCATCGTGGCGTCTCATTGCGTTCCTGCGTCTGTACATGTGTTTGTCGCAGTAAGAGAAGTGGTGGCGCTGTCCTGATCTTCCGCACCCTCCAACGTCATGCTGGTCAGCTCCACGGCTCGCAGCCTTGCGGCCTTTGTCCTTCTTCTATCACATTGCGGGGCATCACATATCGAGACCTTCTCCGACGCGAACTGTAAAGTCTCTTTGAACGAATGGAATGGGCCAAACGGTTATCCGGACGGAGAATGTACACCATTCACTCGGCAAGGCAACTACACAAGCTTTAAAATCGTAGACCTGGATCCAGGCTGTGCCAGTGAGCTAGACCCCTTTCTCGCCCGGGATGGCGTTAGCTAACCTCACCACAGTCACGCTCTATGGACCTGGTCATAGGAACGGTCCATGCGACCCAGATGCAGCTCCAGGAGCCATTGTTGGGAATGGTGGAAAGTGTTACAACTCCACATGGGGCTACTACAGCCTAGATCTTTGCACGAAGCAACGGACAACGAGGAAGCCGACCACAATACAAACCAGCACGAAGGGCACGTCAAGCTCGACTTCATCCTCACCTCCATCTTCGACTTCATCCACGCCAAGCACGATCTCGACATCTTCAGCGTCGACAGCCCCGACACCAAGCCACACTCACTCTAACGACCAAGGCGACGGGACGAATGTGGGCGCCATCGCAGGAGGCGTCGTTGGCGGCGTAGCGTTCGGCGTCATCGCCGCAGTCGTTGGCATTTTGATGTGCCTGCGGCGTCGAAAAGCGAAGCGTAACCAACTCCCAGAGTACTCCGGAGCACCAGGATCATCCCACGGACTCGCGGACATTGCAACCAAGGAGCTCCCGAGCAACGACTATTTCCACGACCACGACAGTCGACTTGGGAGTCCACGAGGCGCGCCAGGGACGCCGGGAGGGGCCCAGGAGTTGTCGAACGAGGGAATACCTGAGATGGCCAGTTATCCGCTGGTGGAGCTGCCGGATAAGGAGCACCGTGCGGAAATGGGGACGAAGAGTCCGGTTGATCGTAAGGGACATGGAGGGTTATGATGAATATGGATTTTGGGCTCGTGCGTTGGGCGTTCGAGCGATACGAGCGTTGATTTGATCATGTCATGTCATTTATGTAGCATAATGATACCCTGTGGCTGCTCACTTGCGAGGATGTTCTGAGCGATCAAGATAAGTTGCACTCGAAGTCAGATCTAAGTCAACGTTCGGCGGTATTTCGGGTAAAGTCGGCTTGCCGTTGCAACATCGTCACCCACGTCGAGTAAACACTTGCAGCTGTACATTCAACCTCGTATACCGTACTACTTCTTGGGATCATCCGACACTTCCACGGGCTAATTGACCAAGCCCGATGAGGCGACCATGACTACGAGGCTGCTGTCCTCGCGCCTCGCCTCTTCTGTCCCGAAAGCTGGCAGGCAGAGACTACCACCAGATGTAGCCCGCTCAATACCCGGCGGCGCTCGTGCTGGCCGCCGACTCCTCTCCTACACGACTCTCACAAACAGCGTCAGGCCGGCAGCACGAACCGCGCAGCGAAGATGGCCGCTTGGAACGAACGCGATCCACAACCTCCCAGCTGTCAGGCATGCCTCGTTCGCGCGGGTCATACCGCAGTTGGCGATGAAGCTCATCCGTGTACCTGCGGTGATGGGCGCCGTGATGCTGGGTGGGGTGGCGTATATCCAGTACCAAGCTGGAAAGGCAGGAACGTGGGCACTGGATACGTTTGGCAAGGCGAGAGACACAGCAAATGCTACGGCTACTGGGGTGATGGAAGGCGCGGGTGGGATCTTCGAGCAGATGAGTAGGGGTTGGGATAAGACCAAGGAGGATGTGAGTGGAGTGCAGATGCCACAGTGGATGAAAGATACCTACGAGGGCAGGGCGAGGAAAGAGGGTGGTGGGGACGGACAGGGCGGCGGTGGCGGGCCGAATGAGCCTAAGCAGAGCAATGTCGGTGCTGCTGGGGCTGGAGCTGGAGCGGCAACTGCAACGGCGTTCGCGATGGATGCAGATGGCGAGGAGGATCAGCGCAGTGAGGATACGGCTGCGAGGGATGAGCAGATGATGATGCTTACGCGGAAGATGATTGAGATACGGTCACTTCTACAGACTATCGGGCAGTCGGAGACTCTAACTCTACCCTCGATCGTTGTGGTGGGATCTCAGTCGTCAGGCAAATCCTCGGTCCTTGAAGCCATTGTTGGACACGAGTTTCTGCCCAAAGGCTCCAATATGGTCACCCGCCGCCCCATCGAGCTTACGCTGGTCAACACACCAAAGTCGCATGCCGAGTATGGCGAGTTTCCAGCACTTGGTCTGGGCAAGATTACAGACTTCAGCCAGATACAGAAGACACTCACAGACCTCAATCTCGCAGTGCCGGAGAAGGACTGCGTCAGCGATGATCCGATCCAGCTTCGAATCAGCAGTCCCAATGTGCCCGACCTCAGCCTTATCGATTTGCCAGGCTACATTCAGGTTGAGGCATTCGACCAACCTACAGAGCTGAAGGTCAAGATACAGGAGCTTTGCGAGAAGTACATTCAACCGCCTAATGTCATCCTCGCCATTTCCGCAGCGGACGTGGATCTTGCGAACTCGACTGCGCTTCGTGCGTCACGCAGAGTAGACCCTCGAGGAGAGCGGACTATTGGTGTAGTCACGAAGATGGATCTGGTGGACCCGCAACGAGGTGCATCCATTCTGGCGGATAAGAACTATCCACTTCGCCTAGGATATGTGGGAGTCGTCTGCAAGATACCGCAGGAGTCAAGATCGCTGTTCAAGCGTGGATCTGCCAACATTCTCAATGCAATCACGAAGAATGAATCTGCATATTTCAATGCGCATCCAGACGCCTATGGAGAGCGGTCGCGCGTGCTCACTGGTACGCCGAACTTGCGGAAGAAGCTTATGCATGTTCTTGAGTCTACGATGTCTGCCTCGCTAGCATCGACGAGTGAAGCGATACAGCACGAGCTTGCGGAGGCGACGTATGAGTTCAAAGTGCAGTACAACGAGCGACCTTTGTCTGCCGAGAGCTACTTGGCGGAGAGTCTGGATGCTTTCAAGCACTCGTTCAAGGGCTTCTCCGACAGCTTTGGCCGAAAGGATGTACGAGAGATTGTGAAGCGCGAGCTTGACCAGCAGGTATTGAACCTGCTTGCACAACGCTATTGGAACAAGCCGGTCGAGTCGTTACAACCCAAGGATGAGCTGCAAGAGGGTGTCCACGAGCCCTTGGAGTCGCTGCCAAAAGCAGAACCTGAGAACATGCCACTCTGGAATCTGAAGCTCGACGCCAGTACTTCGACTTTGACCAAGCTCGGGATCGGACGTCTCGCGACTGGTGTCGCAGCGCAGGCGGTGCAGGAGAATGTGCAGGGCTTGGTCAGCAACAGCACCTTCAACGCACATCCCTTTGCGGTGAAGGCAATCACCGAAGCTTCTGAGAACATCCTCCGCGACCTCAGCTTTGAGACTTCCGACGAGCTCGAAATCTGCGTCAAGCCCTACAAATACCGCGTCGAAGTCGACGACGCCGAGTGGAAGCGCGGCAGAGATAACATCTCTGAAGTGCTAAAGCACGAGCTCAAAGACTGCGAGAGCGCGATGAAAGTCGTCGAAGAGCAGATTGGAGGCAGGAGAAAGGCCAAGGACGTCATCACCTTCATCGACAAGGTCCGTAATGGCGACGTCGTTCTCGAGAATGGCAGCGTTGGAGGAGCTGGCGGCTTCTCGGCTGCTTTGCTCAAGAAAGGCCGTGAAGCGCTCTTCCTCCGCGACCGCTCCGATATCCTTCGCATGCGTCTTGCCGCGATCAAGAGCAGACAATGCGCCAACCCGAAGAACAAGTATCACTGTCCGGAAGTCTTCCTAGACGCTGTTGCGGACAAACTCACCACCACCGCCGACTTGTTCTTGGATGCGGAGTTGCTGAGCAAGTACTACTACCAGTTCCCGAGACGGCTGGAGCAGGAATTCAGAAGCCTTGACGAATCGACTGTCGAGCGCTTTGCGCGTGAAGATCCGAAGATTAGAAGACACTTGGATCTTGTAAGGAGGAAGGAAGGGTTGGAGCATGTCTTGAAGGAGATGGAGAGTCTGAGGCATCTTGAGGCGAGGGAGAAGAGGCAGGCTGGCAGAGGGGAGGAGAGCAAGAAGAGACGGGGCTGGGGCTTGTTCTGATGGACTGGATTTGGCATGGAGATGCAAAGGCGTTGTGTATTGGGGATATGATACCAGTGGTTCAGTTTGTAGGTCATTCTGTAGAATGTGTGTCTCCGCTTTGCTTCAATGTTACGTTGTTTGATGAAGGCGTCGCTGTGGCCTTCTGTTCTCCCTTGTTCACTCGAGAATGCAGCCGCGAGATTCAAGATAAGCCCGGGTGTTTATCTAGTCGAGCACAAACCGATGCATTGCTACAATCGTTTATCTTCTAGTTCTAGCCGTCCCCTAGGTCCATCTATCTGTCGAGGGATATACTCTCGACCTGCTCACCCTCCCGCTTCTCACCCATCACACCTTCGTCGCCATACTCGTGATGCTCCTGCTTGTTGAGAGCTTGCTCGAAGCTCAGCTCCACTGGGTCGCCAAACAGCACGCTGATGTCCTCCAGTGTCATTCCTTTGGTCTAGCTTGATGTCAGCAAAGTGCACGCCGAGCCTATGCATTGCAGACTCACCTCTGGCAAGAAGAAGTACACGAGCACGGCGTATATGAAAGTCAAGCATATCAGCAGGACCCAGAACTTGTATCCGATTCTTGCGAAGGCTGTTGGGGCTGCTTCGAGAAGGATGACGGTGGCGATGAATTGCCCCATTATGGAGAAGCTCATTCCAAAGGAGCGGATGACCATTGGGAAGCTAACAGCGTCAGTGATAATGTTACGTGGTCATGGCTGGCGAGGGACTCACATCTCCGAGGGCACCAAGTACATGGTGGCGTCCAGACAAGACGAGTAAAAGGCGACGTAGGTGAAGATGAACGCCACACCCCATCCAAGCCCTACTTGGTTGGTCGACCCAGTCTCAACGAACTGTGCAGTGATGGCCGCCTCTCCGGACAAGCAGATTATGATACCAGTACAGCCGGTCAAGACGAACCGCCGCCTGCCGAAGCGGTCGATAAACAGTCCGTTGAACAGGTTCCCGGGTACCGTGACAAGGTTGAAGAAGCCAAGCAGGAGCAGCGGCATCGCGCCCGTAATCCCGAGTCCAGCGAACAGGATGGTGTTGTAGTTGTTGATCACTAATGCCCCGGTACACTGATTACCGAACTGCACCAGAAACCCTAGCCCAAGGCGTTTCAGGAAGCTCTTCTGACTGAACGCCAGCTTCGCCTGCGCCAACGTTCCGACGGCGTTGTGTTTCCGCTCAAACTCGATCTGCGCCTGCATCTGATTATACTCGGCATGGGCGAAGTTGTCCTCGGGATCCTTCTTGTTGGCGTGGAGTTTCTGGGTTACTTTCCATGCGGCTTCGGCGCGACCTTGAGACAACAGCCAGCGGGGCGAGAAGGGGAGCCAGAAGGAGCCGATGAAGAGGATGGAGGTGGGGACTAATTGCACTGCGAGGGGGAAGCGCCACCTGGGGTTGGTGTCAGTGTTTGGCTCGGGGTTTGGGATATGTGGGAGCATACTGGAACTCGCCGTACGGAGCGAAATAACAACCTTGATCGATGTCAGCTTCTCTCCCAGTCAGCGTACGTCTATGTCCACGAACCGTAAGTGACGAAGCCAGTCAGGGCATAGGAGAAGCCAATGAGGACACCGTGTAACCCAACCCTGCCGTAACAGTCAGCTATGCCCATGTAGCAACACATTCGAGTCGACTAACATCAATCCTCTGCTTTCCGGTGGGCTGACTTCTGATTGATACAGAGGTACTAAAGTCACCAGAATGCCAATGCCGAAGCCCATGATGAACCTGCTTGCAATGAACCTAGTCACGCTGTCAGTCATCTTTGCCATCTCATGCGGTCGTGTTGATGGCTTTGATCGACGTACATGCCGACATCCACACTTGCAGTCATGATCGTCCCTCCGACGATTGAGATGATGCATCCGATCTGGATACTGCGTTTGCGACCGAAATACTCTGACGACCACATGTTGAAGACACAACCGAAAGCACCGCCAGCAGCGTAGACGCCGTTGATGGCGCCGAGAATGGCGTTGGTGTAAGCTGTTCCCGACTCGAGACCCATGTAGTCGTACCATGATTGTTGTCCGATCAGGGCGGCGGAGATTGAGGATGCATCTACAAGTTACCGGTATCAGTTGTCAGGGCTACGTTGTAGTATAGCATGATATTTGGGCATCGCCTCACGAAGATGCCATTGAGTGTAACGTACAGCCATAGCATAGAGATCCCACTGCAACGAACAAGGCAACGCCGAAGTTGTAAAGATTCCGTGGCCGAGGAATGACATATTTTGTCTTCTTGCCTTGTGTTTCTGTCCGCATATTGGTACTCGGGCAGCTGATGTGAGAAGGGAAGTGTATGAAAGGTGAGAAACAATTTGACGTATTCTGTAATGAAGCCTCAAGGTACTTAAGTACCTACTTATCTGTGTCAGGTACGCGGGAATAAGACTCCGCTTTCTCCAAACATTTATCCACTGTCTCGTGGCAAGCGTGTGCGCGTCTGATAGACAGATCAACACCCCGCAGAGAGAAGCCCCGGACAGAGAAACCTCGGGGAGCAGCCTCGGGCGTTCTGAATCGCAAGGAGCAAGGGTGGCAGCGATTCGGGAAACGGACCATTGGAATTTGTTAATCATAAATCGTGAGTAGTCGTTGTAATGTTTGTGCAGGAACCTGAGTTCTTCAGCCGACGTGAAAGGTGAGGTCGGCAAGGCGAAAAGGCAGCCCGCCCAACGCAAGCGCGCCAAGGATGGGCTTCTGACCACATTGCCTGCAATGGTAGACAAGATCTCTGCCTGCCATTCTTTCGGAGGCAGTGGCATGCTCGATAGCTGGTCGGGATTATGGCACTGTATGCCAATCCGCCGTCACCCAGTACCGTGGCAGTCAGAGCTCAAACAGCGTGTGCTGTAATCTCTTTCGGCCAGGACCGATACTTCCTTCGTCCACCTTCTTCTCTGACTCTGCGGCGTGGCAAAAGGGCATCGTGCGGTATTGCGCCGTCGCGATGTAGTGCGTACTGATGAGTGCTGATATCGGTAGTACGGCTTATCGCTCACGCAAACTTCTTCCAAAGCAAATAGAGCAATGCGCCGATGATGCCGTATATCGCTTTGTCAATCCACGGCGGAACGCCCTCATCATGTCCAGGAGGAGCGCGTTGCTGAAGTCGTTGCGCTGGGAGCACCGTCGCTGTCGGAGCTGGTTGTTGCTGAGCCGCCGGTACTGCCACCGCAGAAGTCGTCGCATCGGCACTAGAGACATTACCAGACGTTGCTGCCGCCACCGACTGCTCACCCTCCTTTCGAGGTTGAACTTCTCCTTTCAGCTCCTCCCGATAGGCCAATCTCAACCCTTCCGGCACCTCCTCTTCCTTCTTCCCAGCCTCCGCACCCTCCTTCTCGACCCTCTCCTCCAAATCTCTCATGATCTCCTCGTTAGACCTTCCCCCACATGCGCCACACTTCCATCCCCGACTCTGTCCTGCCAACTTCCTCCTCACTTCCTCGCTTGCGTCCATACCTCCTAGCTGGCCCTTTGCATCCGTGTCCATGAACGACCTATTTCAGGTAATACACATCAGCATGTTATATTGCGTAAGGGAGAGTTCGTGCAGCACTGGCTACTCTGTCCTAGAGCGATAGGAAGGCTCACACAAAGGTCATCCCAGCTAGTAAACCCTTGGGCTCCTTCAGGTCTAAGACAGAGCAGTGACATGTTACACCTAAATATACTCACCGGATCGCAACCAAAGCAGTTCGGATCCCCCACGCAGGCTGCCACGTCTCCTCATGATGCCCCGAGATGCTGAGGCAGATCTCTCGATTACTCTCGAACCTGCCTGTAGGGGTGAGGAAACGGAACGAAGGTGGCTTCAAAGGGTATGCTGGCGGAAGCACTATTCGACCATGGTATATCCCGCCTTCAAACGGCGAAGGCGAGGGCGGTCCTCGGAGCGTGAAATGCCATTCGAACAGGTCGGACTCAAGAGGAGCGGCGTGGTAGTCGGGAGATGGTGAGTTGGCTAACTCGGCGGCCTCTCGGAGGATGCGCTTGGTGGTGGTCTTTCCAGACATTCTGGTAGGCGTTTGGGTGTGTTATTATCGGAGAGGCATTCCCGAGTATTGGCCTTATGTCCCAGGTAGTTTCGGGAGCGGCGGCTTCGTATAAGTGTCCGTGGTGCTGGAATGGCCACTTGTTCACTTTGAAGCTCGATACAATCACATGCAACGGATGTGGTCAGCGCGCACGTGCCAACTCCCGAAATGGCAACGACACCATCGTCCATCAACATGTGCGCCCACCCACACACCGATTGAAGTGCCAGTTCAGTTTGCCTTCTCGGTGATACGAGTGTTACGATCGAGCCTGCTGTTACGTAGTGCTTTTGCTGCTGTCATGGAGCACCACTACCTTGTAACCTCTTCTCCGTGGCACGATCGCCTACCCGAAGGCTCTCGAGTATACTCTGCTCACACTCTCAACCTTGGAGACTGCTACTTCAACTGATACACAGGCCACTCTATCATGTCGGTCTCACGATCCTCCTCTAACATCCGCCTCTCCCTCCTCCTCGCGCGCATCGACGCCCTCCTTCTTCACACCTCCCGCCTACTCTCCACCTCTTCCGGCATCGAGAGTACCCTCAGCACCATCTTCTTCACCTCTACCATCGCCCACGTCTCTATCTACCAGTTCCTACTGGATCGCCACAAAAGACTCGCGAAGCAGGCTGCTCGTCAACCTACCTTCCTCGAAGCCCGTGCCGCATTCTCCGCCGCCCTTCCAGCTCCCAAGCTCTCGCGCACGTGCGTAGCACTACGGGTCCTCGCGCGGACCAGCGGGGAATCATGGATGTTCCTACGTCTACTCGGGCTGTTCCACGTCTACCGCTGGGCACACGATATCTGGGAGAAGCCTCATCGTGATCCAGCGATAAAGGTGCTGCTCTGGGTAGAAGTGGGGATGGCAGCATGTGCCCAGGCAATGGAGAACGTAGTCTATCTTGCGCTGAAAGGAATACTGCCCGGTAAGCGGAAAGCGGCGAAATGGATGGTAGTCTCAGACCGCCTCTGGACAGCGCAGGTGGTGCTGGAGATGCTGAAGCTGGCGCGTGTGTGGCAAATGGGTTGGAGGGAGGAGCTGGGGGCAGAAAAGAGGGATGATGAGGTTGGGGTAAGAAGTGAGGAGTTAAGAAGCAGGTGGAAGAGGAAGATGTGGGCTACTGCGGGCTGGATGCCTATGGCCCTTAGTCGGAGCTACGCAGATGAGGCGGACAGTTCTTCAGCGGAGTTTTGGCAGGCATTGGGAGCGTTGGTACCGAGCCTGGTCGCGTGGAGGGATGCTTGGAGGGGGACTGCTTAATGGGGGTGTCTTCTGGGAGTGGGGCGATTATGCTGATTAGCGATGGCGTTCTGGCGAACCTAGTAAGCGATATCTCGCAAGCATGTTTCATGAGCTTTTCGAGTCTCATACATTTGACTTCCATCGAGCATGTGATCGTCCAAAGTAATATTCGGAGAATGGATCGGCCCTTGATGACTCAGCAGTGCGACGTCACATCACTCAAAAAGTTCGAGCTTCACTCGAGCTTGTGACTTGACATTGACCAATACTAGAGCATTGAAGACCATGGCGCGAACAAAACAAAAACCACGGCAAGGGGGTGGTCGAGGACGCGGACAAGGCAAGGAGAACCCAGGGAGACTCAGGAGGAAGGGCGACAGAGTCCCCGCGGAAGAAGAAGAGTCGGCACAAGAGTCTGCGACTGAAGCAGCCGACGATGCAGTAGGAGAAGCAGCAGATGATCAGGGACCACTAGAGCCAGCAGTACCCTCCAGCGACGTTGACGTCAAACCGGATGTCGAACAATTAAATGCTTCACTGGCAAACTCAGATCTTCCTTCGGATCCTCTCGCTCAACCGCAACCACCAGCACAGCCTACTGCTGACGAGAGCCAGATCTCCACAGCACCAAACGACTCAATCACGGTAAATGAGCCGACACCAGTCCAATCTCCAGCTCAACTCCCTACGCCAACGACAAGCACTCGGAAGACAGGCCCCGCACCAAGATTCGCCGGCCGACGCTCCGCAAAGCAGCGTGAAGAACTTCTGAAAGCAGACGAGGAGAAGCGCAAAGCTTTACGTGCCTCTGCCGCAGCTAGTGCCCAAGCTCAGGGCAGTGGGGCTAGGGAAGGCTTCAGGAAAGGCAGAGGAGAACATGGACGTCGACGTGGGCGGGGCAGAGGTGGGTACATGGGACAGAACGAACGTGAGCGGGAGCAAGAGGCGCAAGAAGCTGTGCCCAGTGGACCGTTCTCAGCTGGGCAGATCCACAAGGACTCGAGGCATGTCAGGAGACAGCCGCCGTCAAGCGGTGCGTGGGGATTCACGCCGGGTGCGGCGCCTAGATCGGAGAGACCGAGTGGGCGCAGGGCTTGGTCACATACCGCGGCTCCTGTCAAGACGAGCGACGGGAAGAGGGTGAAGGCTGAGTCTGGACCAAGCACAGGCGGGAGGAGTGGAGTGGATCGGGATGGAGACACACGCATGAACATTATCGATGGAGGCTATGTTTCAAGCGACGATGACGAAGGAGAGGACCGTATGAATGTCGAGGACTTCGGCATCATTGACCTCACGCAGAATGAAGGCCCTCGCGACTTCTACGCTCCGGTGCGGATGATGCGAGTGCAGCACAAGGACCGCGCGCTGGGTATCAACGCCGAGGGTGCCACGAACCAAGACGGAGCGGTCGCTGTGGAGTCGAACGATGTTCCGGCCAACGTGGATGTGACTGAAAAGGGCAAAGGCAAGCAGAAGGCCTCGCAGGACTTTGAGGTCACCAGCGAAAAGCACGTCTTCCAAGCCGTGTACTCCGACTCGGAAGACGACGTCAGAGCTAAGCCACAGATCAAGCCCGACCCGGAAGCCACCACAACACAACAACACGACGACCCTCCTTCTAGCCCTGAACTGCGTCGCAAAGGCAAGGAGCGCATCAAAGCTCTCGGCCGCACACCCTCCCCTGGTCCACCAGGAACCGAATACGTGACCCGCGAGGAGAGAGAAGAACACGCCCGCCACCAAAACGACCTCCGCCTCCTGCGCTCAGAGCTCGGCGACCCAACACCCACCAACGACGCGAACGGCGACGCCACGATGACCGACTCCGACCGTCAAGACAAGCGCGCAGAGAAAGTCTACCTCTTCCAGTTCCCGCCCATCCTCCCTGACCTGGTACCGGTGCCTATCAAGCCGGACCCTGAAGCCGCTGAGAACGGCACCGAAGACGCGATGCACGTCGACCCCGCCCCACCACCAGCGGCGAACACGGCAGACAAACCGATCAAAGTCGAAGACAACGCCTCACCCCCTCCGAAAGCCCCCTTACCTTCCGGCGCGGTCGGAAAACTGCACGTCCATGCTTCCGGCCGCGTGACGCTGGATTGGGGTGGCACGGCTATGACGTTGAACATGGGCACGGAGGCGGGGTTCCTGCAGGATGTGCTCTGTGTTAGTTTGCCCGAGGGGAAGATGGGAGAGGATGGCGAGGCGTTGGGAACGGGGGAGGCGGTGAGTATGGGGCAGGTGAAGGGGAAGTTTGTTGTGGTGCCTGAGTGGGGGGAGTTGGTGTGAGGGTCGAACGTGGTCCGGGAGAAGGGAGAGGGAAAAGGAAGCGGGAGAAGGGGAGTGTTATTGCTGTTCAGCGAGGCGTTGGTGATGGGGAAACGAGCATCTTCTCAAGATGTTATCATGTGACTGGGACGAATCTCCGGTTTGGGATGGCCGCTTGCTGTGAGCGAGAACGAGGCAGCTCATCAGGGCCAGGGCCTTTGGTACGATAGCCCAGTGAATGACGAATGAAAGCTTCAACCACGCAGGGATGATCCTGTATATCTTAATCTTGCATGTGCTTTTTGTAAAGATACATATGTACAACCGACCTCACCGCCTCCAAGTCTACCGCCACCCTGTGGGCGTTCCAGCATGGCCTCGGGTTTGCAGCGCTACTAGGTCCACCTTGATTTCTTCTCGAAGTCGAGCTGAGCTACTTCTGCCTCCCTTTTCTTTACCTCGCAGGCCGGTTAGGGTCCACAGTCCCCTGCGCCTTCGCCGTTTCTGGTGTGCCCTCGCCCTTCTTCGACTTACTCGCGTCCGAGTCGATCGGCAGCGAATGCTTCGTAGGTCCGGTGGAGAGGCCGAACTGCTTGCCGGTGATTTCTCCTGACTTGCCCTTTTCGGGCTCTTTGGCCGTGGCGGGCTGGAAGGACGTCTCGTTAGCATGTATTGGTCTCGCACGCGCGTGGGCTTCTGGGTTAATAAGAAGGAGAGGACTCACGTTCTCCATCGAAGGCCCGCCCTGCGGGTTCTCCTTGAATGACTGCTCCGTCTTGCCGATTTCTTGGCCCGAGTCGGGCTTCTTCTTGATCTTGCGCTCGTTGGACTTGCGCTCGACGACGGTTTCGTCCTCCTTGCCGCCGCCGCCGCCTGGGCTGGTCTCTTGCTCCTCGGTAGGCGGGGTGTCTGCGCTCTGCTCGCCGCCGGCAGGGGATTTGGCGTCGGGGTTCTCGGCTACTTTAGGGCCGTCGGCGTCTTCCTTGCTGTCTGAGGAGTCGCCTTTGCTTTCCGAAGAGTCTTGCTTCTCCTCACCGCCCTCCGACTTCTCTTCGCCGGCATCTTCTTGCTTCTCTTCTCCGCCGTCCTGCTGCTCCTCACCTCCCTCCTCCTGCTTACCCTCCTCTTCCTCACCACCCTCTTCTGCGTGCTCCTCGTGCTCCCCGCCGTGAGCGCCGTGGTGATCAGCGTGTCCGCTCTCCGGCCATAGGTACCAGCAAGCCGGGACAGTTACCACCACTGCTCCAATGGCCCTGTCGTGCTGTCAGTCAATACCATTTGCAATCCTGCCTCCCATTCACACGACGCTCTTAATTTGTAAAGGACATACCAAGGCACATCACTGCTTTCTTCCCCATGCGCGCCGCCTCCACTCGCATAACGACGCTGCACCACCTGCTTCGTTCGGGATTGTACGGAGGCTCGGGGGACAGCTGGTCGTGTAGCGAAAGAACGAGATGACGAGGGCTTCAGCGTGGATTGTAATGTTCTGAGCGCTCGTGCGCGTGCGAGAGCCATTGTGTCAGTGGTCAATGGATTGATGTAGGAGTGTGGTGAAGTTTGGGGAGCTTTGAAGGTCTCGCTCAGGAACGGAAGTGATGGCTGGGGTCGAGCTCGGACATTTTATTTCGGAGGAGAAAAGCTTGATGTCACGCTGACAGACTGCTACTTGTACATGCATCCCTCAGTGACTGAATGCCTGTATGAGTACGAATAGTACGTCTATTCGGTGTTGATGAGCCTCTCAACTACTTCTCTATCGTCCATCGTAGACAGGCGGGTAAGCCATTGAGCCTTGAAACGGTAAGTCCTTTACGAAGTATGCGGTTTATCTGACTATCCAATGCACTCTTTCATATCCGAACAACATCCACCCTCGCGCGCTCAAAGATGCAATGAGCTACCGCCTCTCCTGCTTCCGTCTCCTCCTCTGTCAAGCTCTTCGGCGTAACACTCATCGACGTGAACGTCCCGGCGCCTCGCTTCTTGCTCAGCGTCCCAGGGTTGATGCACAAAACCGAATTGACAACCTAGAAACACAACGAGTCAGCAATCAACAAAGATGTCTCTGGAGCACCACACAACTCACCTTCGCAAATGGATTCAACACACTAGGCAACACCAACACATCCGGCCGCACATTCAACCACTCTCCCAACTTCATATACCCCAAATCCAAACAAGCCCCCACCGCAAACCTCTCCTCCCCACCCACCGGCGGCTCCTCGCCCTCCAACCTCCTCGGCTTCGGCAGATTCTCCCTCGCCTGCGGCGGGAACACAGGGAAGAAATGCCGCTGCTCGATAACATTCCCCGCTAACCTTGCCAGGAAATCGTCGTTAAACGCCGTGCTCTTAGACGCTTGATGCACATTCTCCCGCCTCAGCTCGGACAGGACGTCCTGCGTGCTGATGCCGACGACCATCTCGTTGATGGAAAGTGTGATGGGGTTGGTGACGACTTGGACTTGCTTCGGCAGACCGAGGGGCGCTTTGGCGAAGCGGTCTTGAGGCCATGAGACGTGCTTGGAGATGGCGTCGCGGACGGAGGGGACGAGGATGATTGTGATGGTTGGCACTGCTTGGACGAGGGATTGCAGAGGCTGGGAGATGAGGATGCGGAAGACGTCGTTGAGAGTTGCGCGATCTGGGGCGATTTTGGCCGTCGATGGGAGGGATGACTCGAAGTCGCCGGTGGCTACGAGGGGGTGTTCGAGGTCGAGGAAGGGGCCGGTGAGGATGAGGACGTCGGGCTTTTCGTCGGTGGCGCGTTCGAGAAGGGTGTGGAGGGGGGCGAAGGAGAGGTCGGTTTCGGTGGTGTAGGGCCCGCTGGCGAGGAGCATGTGGATGGGGCGGGCTTCGTCGTCCGTGTTCGTCAAGCGGGCGTTGTGGGTTTCGAATTCTTCCGGGGTGGATGCCGAGACTGGTAGTGGTGGCATCTCGAGGATCTCAGAAACGGAGAAGTATTCTCCGCTCACGTTGGTCCCACGCAGAGCTGCGATTTTGCCGGGAAAGAAGTCGTAGCCTACACCATTGTCGAACCGCAGCGGCACACGCATGCCGGCGCCCAGCCGTCTGCTGGTCTCGAGGACTATGCTAGCTGCGTTGAGTCTGCCATTGGGAATATCGCAAGCGATTCGACCCACGGCCACGATCTCTGCAGTCGACTGAGCAGCTGGGTTCCCAAATGCACCGTCTGGCAGCTGATGGTGTGCTTGAATCAGATCCGTAAAGCTATCGATCCGGTCGTCGAGAACTTCCGACGACTCTGACTGCTTCATCGCCATGCCCTTGTACGCGAACTTGGGCAGCTCGGTGTTGGCCTTCAGCTTGACACGGGCCTCGCTGGGAAGTTGCTCAGGTGCCGTGGCAGCCGGGAGGTCTCCATTGAGCGATTCGATAATCTGTCCAGCATTCTGTCGGTCTTCGAAAGCTACACCCTGGCCTTCCTTCGTAACTGCAGGGGTCTTGAAGTCCGACGGCGAACTGTTGATCCCATTCTTGACCGCCTTCGCAGCAGGCGTGGCGAAATCATTCGCCTTCCGCTTCGACATCTTCGCGCCAGGCGTAGCAGACGCCATCCCGTCCAGCATCCCAAACACATCCCCTCGACCACCAGCAGTGTTCCGGGGTGTCGGCGCGGCTTTCTTCGAGCTTTGAGCCTGATAGAGGCCTTTCGAGCGTGATTCCCGCTCCAATACATCTTGGAGATCCTTCTTGAAGTCTCTGACAGTCTTGCATTCAATCTTGGTGTTCTCCATGCCCATCTTGATCACGTAGGATTCCCATTTGAAGAAGAGCTCCTGCCGCGAGAGCGTGTACAGGCGCATGATTGTATGGAGCTCGTCGACGACATCTTTCGGTAGTGAGGCTCCTGGGGGAGCGAAGAGCTCGTTGATCTCATCCGTGTCAGCCATGTTTGTTGTTGTGGTAGAAGTGTTGTCTATACACTGGCTTGATGTAGGTCAAGACGCGTGCTGGAGTCGGGCGACGCGTAGAGTGGGATTGGCGTTTAGCCGGAGAAGGCGCCCGCTCGCCGCGAACCCGAGGGTGTGGCATCCAACTTTAGCCCTAAACTCAGGCCTACTGAAACCTTACGGCCGCCTGTACAGTAAGAACGTCGACTAAGCCCGCCCTCAAATACACGATCTCTTCCTACACCTACGTTCGCTCAACAATCACCACCATGGCCGACGCAACGACAGTCCCCAACGCTGTCCCAGCACCGACCAACGCCAATGGCAACCTCCTTGACGAGAAGGCTCAGCTACTCACCGGCGATCCCGCCGCTGCGACATCACGACCGGAGTCCTTCCATTCTGCTGCAGAGTCCAGTGTAGAGTTCCACGATCCACGAGAGACGCCGGCGAGCAGTGCAAGGACAGTTGGGCATATCATACCCGACACCGAGGAACAAGACTTCCCCATCCCAACAAGTGGTCCCATCAAAACACCCATACCGAAGCCTACAACTCAGGCACCGCCCCAAGCGAAGTTGAGCGGCGAGCAAGAGTCGAAATATGCACAGGTCCTCGCCAAAGTCTCGACATGGACAACTCTCCCCGCTTCAACGGCCAAGGACGCCGCCTCAGCACCTCTAACAGACGATGAGCGTATGTGGTTGAGCCGAGAATGCCTCCTCCGCTACCTCCGCGCCACTAAGTGGAACACTGCCAATGCCCTCAAACGTCTACAGAGCACGCTTAGTTGGCGTCGTGAGTACGGTGCCGACACCTTCACATTCGACTACATCTCACCCGAGAACGAGACGGGCAAGCAAGTCATCGTCGGCTATGACAACCAAGCCCGCCCCTGCCTCTACCTCAACCCGGGCAAACAAAACACCGAAATGAGCGACCGCCAGATCCACCACCTCTGCTTCATGCTCGACCGCACAATCGACATGATGCCCCCGGGTCAGGAAAACGCCTGCCTCATCATCAGCTTCAAGGGCGCGGCCAGCGGCAAAATCCCCACTGTCGGCCAAGCCCGCGCCGTGCTCAACATCCTGCAAGGCCACAACCCGGAACGCCTCGGCAAGGCTCTCATCAACGAGCTGCCGTGGTACGTCAAGACGTTCTTCAAACTCATCAGCCCCTTCATCGACCCCGTGACGCGGGATAAGATGAACTTTGACCCGAAAGCGCGGGAGCACGTCCCGCCCGCGCAGTTGTTGAAGGATGCGTATGGCGATCTGGATTTTGAGTATGATCATAAGACGTACTGGCCGGCGTTGCAGAAGTTGACGGAGGGACGGAGGGAGAGGATGCGGGAGAGGTGGGTGAAGGGTGGGAAGAGGATTGGGGAGTATGAGGAGTATTTGAAGGGTGGGGAGAGGATGAGTTTGCAGCAGGAGTTGGAGGCGGTTGGAGGGACCGGGCAGGTGAGTGGCGCGAGTAGTCAGGTTGATGGGGTCACGGAGGGTGTGCAAGGTATGAGTGTGCGATGAGAGTTGGGTGGTGTTGGAAGGACCTGAATGGAGAGTAGGGTTGATTGACAGCGGGCATTGGGGCGGCGTTTATAGATCGACAGTACGTCCTTGTACCTGATAGATACCCGACATGACAGCGGCAGTGGCTTCTCTATACATATCAGACCCGGCTTTACTGCCTGAGTAGTGGGTAGACGTTGTCAGAGCATTGATTCCAGTCTGTATCGAATGGGGCGTGAAGTTGCTCCGGGCCCCGAAAGCTCCGAAATCGATCCTCAATCGACCTCGTAGACATGACCTCACCACTTTTGAGACGGACACGGAACGCGTTGTAGAGCTAGGTACATGCATAAGACGATGCTCTCTTGCGCCAGAGGTAAGTGATTTTGTCTCTTCTATACCGTCAACACAATCAGGTCAACATTCTGTCGAGGGAAGAGTCGCGCCAGCAGTCTAAAACACCCTACCTCCACCACCATCACCACCACCACCACGGCAGCAACCATGGGCGTCTCCCTCTCCACCGCCCGCTGGCTCGCGCCCGCCTCCTTCGCCTACGACTTCGCCGCCCAACAATACGGCATCTTCTCCTCCCCGACCATGAAAGAGATCCACGACCGCAACCTCTCCTTCTTCTCCCCCCAACCATACTTCATCGCAGGCTTCTTCTTCCCCCAGCAGCTCTTCCAACTCGCCTGGCTCTACCGCCTCTGGAAACTCGACTCCAAGTCGCCGGCGGAGAAGAAGGAGCTGGATCAGATTGTGAAGTTCGTCCCCTACTACGCGCTCGGCAACGTGTGCATCGGGACTTGGATGTTCTTCTGGAACTCCGAGCAGCTCAAAATCTCCAACCTCTTCGTCATCCTCAACACGACGGCGCAGCTGTACTACGTCTTCACGCAACTCGAGCCCATGAACACGAAGTCCTGGTCCTCGATCCTCACGCACGTCGTTAGCAAGACGTTCGCTGGCATCGGCGTGCTGGATTTGCTGCATAATACCTCTGTGGCGTACTTCAAGGACGACATGCCTAGTACCGCTGTCAAGGTCGGGACGGGGCTGGCTTTTGCCGGGCTGAGCGCGGTGAGCGATTGGATCTTTGGAGGGTGTTTGGTGTATGATCTCGTGGGTTTGAGTGTGGGACAGGCGGCGTATAGTCAGGATAAGAGTTGGAGCGGGATGTTAGGGGGGTTTGCGGTGGGGAGTGCGGCGATTGTTGGGTTGAGGAATTGGTTCAAGTAGGTTCGTTCGTTTTTCTCGTGTTGAGGAATTGGGAGAGTGCTGACGATTTGGTTGGTACAGACCGCCGTATGTGGACAGCGATGAAGGTTATGCTTTGACGGGGCAGGACGAGTATCCATGATGTACTACTATTTGCGATGCAATGGCGGGATATTCTGGGAGTTACAATGGGTCAATTTAGCTTCCACTTCACTTGGCAAGTCAGAAGAAACCTTCAGTTGGCGAGTTTATCAAGCCCTACTCCATTTTATGACATGATTTGGTTTCAGGATATGCCGCCTCCCTGCCATCCCAGGGCTGCATCTAACCACAAACCATGCGCAGGCGCCTGTGTGTGGTTCAGAGAAAGGGATATGAAGCAGTCTCACTTGCAGCGCCCGCAAAAACGCGCTTCGCGGATTCGCTGTACACTGGCATAAGTGTACTAGTGTGCTCGCCCGCTGCGGTTATGATCTGGAAAGCCTCCAACTACAACGGGCGCCAGTTAGCTTTTCAGTCGTTGCAGTTCTGTACGCTAACAATGGAGATATAGCCAGGCTCCGATTTCAGTAAAAGTTCGATGTGCGCCCGTTCCAAAGTCTCGTTGTGGAGCGGCACCTTCGGAGATATCAAGATCCTTTCATCAATTCGAAGCGCTGCTGTTTGGGCGGATGATTCTCGATTCGCCTTTTGCGCAAATTCTGTACAGCCACCTTCAAGGGTATGCATACGCATGCAGGGGTGCTGTGCCGCTCGCTTGGCCATGATCAACTGTAACGTCTCTCCTGATTCTCACGGCCTTGCTGTTATAGTAATTCGTATGACTTGGACTCAGACAACCGCCTTCGTAGCGTCACTGCACGTGGGTGCTCATCATGCCGAATAGCGAGGACCTGCGAAGTCAGGGGCAACTTGCCCACCAGTATCGAATCATCCAGAGACCCCAGAGCAGTGATTGGCCAGCCGCGCATGCCTCCGTCTTTCAACATGTACAGGAGCTGGGGCAGACATGTTTCCAAACATACAACAGTGGGATCGATGATTCGGCGGACCACAGACCTTGGAGACGCCAGAACAAGGCTCGCGCAGCATGGCTCGCACAACAAGCGGGCCGTTTGCTGGAGAATACTGCGAATGAGAGCGCATGGCGTATGCGGATCGAGCACATTATCCTGGATAGGTTCTCGGTCGAAGTTGCATGGTGCGTCTCTTCCTCACAACTACATCCATACTCGGTTCTGACCATGTGAAGTCCAAACTGCAAGCATCGGCTATGGAGATCAGAGATCGAGTCGAGCTTCTCGGGATCAAGCCCGGTATGGAGTGAGCTGGACGAGCGTAGACTTAAGCGGACGAGCTGTGACTGTCCGCCTGACATTCGTCCACAAGACAGGTGTGTCAATCAGCTCAATCGCCGAGACAAACAGCTAAGTGGAGTACAGATTCGAGATTGGCATAAGCAGAATCTTCGAGGAGCGCGTTGAGGAGACAATAGTGCATGATGCCTCCCTGGGCGAGCTGCCAAAGCAAAGACCGGATCGTGTGATCGGCTTAAGAGAAACGAAAAACATTCGTCACCTTCTCGACCAACCTCCCAGAGGCCACCCTGGGACCCAAGCTCGTGACATTCGGGGCCTCGTACGATGTGCCCCGTACAAATGGCAATCAAGTCCTCTGCTCTATCCTTTCCTGGTGTTGGAGGCCAAGTCCGATGTGGCTCCGACCAGTTTCAAGGACATTTCAACTCAGACTTCATTCCCCATATGGTCACTTCTCAATCTGCAAAGAGACCTCCGCTTGTTCCACATCAAAGAAAGTGAAGGACCGGAGGCACTGGTCTGGTTCCTTGGTTATAGAGGGAATGACTGGAAATTATACGGGTGCTACATCACTCAACAGGCTGACTCGAAATGTGATTATGTGAGTCAGTCAATCGTTGCAAAGTGTAATGGTTCTAGCAACGGATGTTGCAAATGCTGACTGACTTCAGAACATCCACGATCTCCAGGGTGGCGACATTGCCAGCAAAGATGGCGCTCTCCAGCTTCTTCTGCTTTTGGATCTCATAGCTGACTGGGCGAGAGACACCCTTCGACCTTCAATTATCGCACAGTTAAGGTCGTTAGCCACGGGGAGAGACCTCGACGAGATCTCTCTCGGCCCGGACAGTGACATCCTTTCGAAGGAGAAAACGCTTCGTGACTGGCTGTCTCGTGTGCCCAGCACTATCGCACCGGACGAGACCGCTCATGCTACAGCAAGCCAGTCTATCCAGCCATCGATCCGCAAGGATCTTACATCAGTGAGCCCACCCAATACTGAATTGGGTATTGTGAGACCAATGACAACCACGATCTTCCAGCTTGCCGGCCTGCGCGTGACGGCAGGCAACGTCGAGAGCCTTCTGGCCTTGAGTGACGGGCCTGCATCTGACAAAGAGGAAAGTGCCTGCGCGAGAAAGCTTTTGGCCGAGATATGCGGCTGGGACGAGGTGTTCGTCGTGCTGGGAGCTTACTTGGATGACTTGGAACGTCTCTGGACTGACGAGAGAGTTAATCCGGAGCCATTCGACGAGGGTTCTGGAGCTGAGTTCTATGCTATGTTCGAATATCGATGTTTCATCGACACATCGTGGGACATTATCCGAGAGGTCAGCTACTTGGCGATATCTGAAACGGCGTTTACTATGCTTCGCAAGCATGCTCGCTTCAGGGTCCGAATGCCTCTGATGGATTCGTTACGGAGCAGATCACGCCCATGCTCCGGTGAATTGATCCGAGATGCTGTCAGTTGTCTTCGATCCGGCTCTGCGTGGCAGGCACTCATCTCAGCCCTCTCGAGTACGCTCTTTGTTTTCGCTCCCGAGCCATCATCCAAACGAGGGGAGTCTTCAAACGTTGTGGAATCACTGGGCCTTCGACATCTTCGTGAGCCCGAGATAAGATACTTCGTTGAGTTCTACCTGCAGAGGGCGGCGAACCCAGCCCCGAATTGGAAACGGACCAGCCGGAATTCGCTGAGTCCTAAAAGGCGCAAGGTACTAGACACGGAGTGGGAACAACGGACGAGCAACAGATCATTTGGAAGGACGTCTCGACGAGTAGAGAGGTGCCTCTCGGCCGCTCACGATCCGGCTTGTTGCGTATGGTGCAGGCGCGACGGACAAGACTTGCATGCGACGAGATACCGGAATGAAGAAGATGCCACAGCCCCGACAGCGTACGGAGCAATCCTGGTTGCGTCTCTGGTAGAAGAGTCAAAGATTGCTTATGAACGTCAGGAACGCCACGACCTGTGCCTGTTTGTGCTGGACTTCTCACCGTGGCTGGAAGACACAGTCTCCATCTCAACTGTTGTTGAAGACCTCGCACAAAACAAGGCTACATACCATACGATTCGACATCAAACAAATCTGCTTGGACTATCAAACAGCGTCTGGAGGGACGACCCTGTCACATGGAATCTGCCATGTCCATACAGAAGGAACACTGCAAGACAGGGAGCGGACATCAAACTGTGGATCCAAGAGCTTAGAGGAGAACCAACTCCCAAGCCAAGCTCCTCAGTTGTGCCGTTGCCTCTATGGGTGCATCAACAGATACTGCTGCATTTCCTCAGACGTAACAAGTCATACGACGAGGCACTGGAAGCTCTTGTCAAGTACCGCGATGTGGCAATTGAAAAGGAGAAAGCTTCCCGCCGGCGGACGGGGCTAGGCGCTGCAGTCGTCGACGCCAGCTGTGTGCGACTCGACACGTTCTGGGATACAGTGCGCAGCAAAGATGATACCGCGCGTACTGGTGACTTCAGAAATCTCCGTAGGGATGCGATTGCTAGGAACTTCTTGGAGCCTATACCTCGTGAGGGAAGCAACCCCTGATAAGCCTATGCTCTTGATAAGCGCATGCTTGGGTACGCAGTTTGGTGGTTCCACAGCCGCCACGAGCGACGCGCGGGATACATAACTCGCATAGGACCAACCTAGGTGGCTTCTGCACGAGATGTACACCATGACCGAACGCAACGGCTGGGTAGGAGCACGACACTGTCGGTGTAACCCTTCGAATTCGGCACCGAAGTCTCGATGGGCGCATTGCATACGCAATTTGTATTCGTCTGGTTCGATCAAATCTTGCATACTTCATCGCTTCAAGGTGCTTTGTAAGGTGCAGGTCTATACCCAAGTAAAAGCCTCTCCAGCTCGAGACGACTCACGGCTGCTGGGCCGGATCACTCTATCGAACCATATCTTATCTTCCAGAACGAATTCCAAATTGATACCCATCTTCACCACCCGATCGTTGTCAAATCGAAACTCAGCCTCCAGCTCCTCTGGCTCCAGCTCTACATCCCCACAGCGAGTCGCCAAATGAGCAACATACATTGTCTGCCCCCGGACATGCTCAAACTGAAGCACGAACCCGTCTGACCTGTCCGTGGCATCCACAAACAACTCCTCGTTCTTGATCTGCACTCTCAACCCATGATAGCCAGCATTCCAGTATTCGCCAGTATACGAAGCTAACGGTATCTTCTGCGGCTCAGTTGTCCCGTCAAACGTAGGCCATATCTTCTTCTTCAGTGCGTCGCCTCTGAGTTGCTCCTTCTCTTTCTCAATCTTCCCGCGCTCGAGCGCAACGTGCTCATCACGTTCTCTGACGGGTATACCAATGAGCAAGTCGAGCATTTCCTTCACAAGTACAGTACCGATCGAGGACGCAGTGTCAGAGTTCGCCAGCACGACGCCGCCGAAGTTGAGGTCGGGCACGAAGAAGTGCAGACTTCCGGAGCCGGTGATGAGGCCATTGTGCTGGATGACTTTGTGGCCGCGGTACCAGATGTTCTCCCAGCCCAATGCGTACAGCGTGGGAGAAGACCGCGGGCCAAGCTCGTTGATCTCCTCGCCCGGATTCGCTATGATGCGAGGCGTGGTGACAGCAGTAACGATCTCGTTCGTGAAAGGGTGTTGCCGGTCTGTCATCGCTTGGACGTACTTGATATAGTCATTCACAGATGTAAAGATTGACCCGCAGCCTTGTTGTTCCGGCGTCTGCATCCACGGTACAGCTTTAAGCTGCTCGTCCACCCAGGTGTACTGGATAGCCATCCGTTCCTCGAGACCGGCAGCGATGGCGGCGTCCGGCTGGAGGTGTGTCGAGGTCATACCTAAAGGCTTCAAGATGTGCTGGTGTAGGAAGTCTTCGAATGTCTGACCCGTGAGCTTCTCGATGAGATGGCTGGCGACGATGAACATCATGTTAAGTACATGTATTCTGTCCGGATGGGTTTTGCGAGCTGCAGGTTGCGCAGGTTTCTTGTGATCGACTGGACGGTGTCTGACTGCTTTGCTCGAATACCCATCATTGAATCTCCGTGGCTGGTCTCGTCAACCGATGTATTGTAAAGGTTTCGACGGCAATCCTACCTTGGTAGTCCAGTCCTGTGACAGAGGATATCCTCAACAGTTATATCATCCGTATACCTCTTCTCCGCCATAACAAAGTCGTCCGGAAGCAGGCTTGACACTTTGCTGTCCCACTGCACCTGCGGGTACCGCTCGTTGTCCTCCACAAGCAAAGCAACGCAAGCAGCAGTCAATGACTTGGACGACGAAGCAATATCAAACAGCGTGTCTGGCGTCACCGGCTTTGGCGGTTCGAGTGAGGCCATGCCCACCGCTTTCGATTCGATATTCCCATCCTGGATTATAGCGATCGCAAGGCCAGGGGTATGTAAGAGATCGAGAATCTCCTGAACATGGTCTTCGAAGTCAGGAGCATTGATGATATCCATATTATCTGGATGTTCAGTCAGCGGCAAGGCGTTCTAACGAGAAGGGCAAGACAGTGATACATTGCCAAAGCATGTGCAAGATGTGTGAAACGTTCGGCTGCCCCTGTCCATGCAATGAGTCAAGATGAGACATCCCGAAGACCTACCTCGTGTTGACTACTACGAAGTGTGTTAATAGTACTCAGAGTGCCAGCGAGGCAACGGGTGGAAATGTACCTACGTGAACTCACTACAAAAGCGTCCTAGGCTGGGTGCTTCAGTTGACGTACGAGCTAGTGGCGGTGACTTCATCCGGCAGACCTAATAGACTGTCTTCCAGATATTTCACTCTAGCCCTTGTACGCGTGTACAAGGCGGTGTATAGCACGGGTAGTTCAGCTGAAGCCAGACCCAGTGCTGAAGAAGCTGGAGTTGTACCCCGCCTGTGATAGATACACTCGATCGCGTTGCTGCGACCGTCGAGTTTGTAAGTGACAATATTTACACAGCATTCAGGGCCGATCCCAGGCCTCGAATTCTCCTTCCCTCGGCTCACGCCGCACCTCTTCCTCCCTATCTCGCGTGTTCCGTTTGCGGACCCACCACTCACCATGGTCCAGCGGCACCAGATCCAGCACCTTCGCCTGCCGCGCACGTTTCTCCTTCGTGGCCTCCCGACCTCTTTCGATCTCTGCTTCCGTTCGAAATCGAATCTCGACAAAACCGTCGGACGTCTCGTAGCTCACCACATTCTGTGCGTAGCCACGCCAATGCCAGAGGATACTAGGGAGATGCCTCAGGATCCAGTCACCGCTGTCATCGATACGAACTCGACGGGAGGACTGCCAAAGGAACAGTCGGAGCCAGCGCTTGAGCCAAAATATGTTGCGCAGCCTGACGAGGGCTTGGTGCTCCCAGTTCCGGCGGAGAGACTGTAGAACTGACATCGGTGGGGCCGGGCGTTGCTCACCGAGGCGTGGATTCAATAAGGGCATAACCGCCTGCTTGAGTGATCGCCACGCCTTCCTTTCCTCACGCCGATGTTCCCGGTAGAGCTGGCGACCATTGTGCATCTTGTTGACCAATTCATCCAACATATCGCGTCGCTCCAGGTTTCGAATCAAGTAGTTGTACATACCCATCGTGGGCTTGACATTGTAGGGAGCGCTAGTCATGGTGTCCCATAGCGACAGCACGCTCTGTAAAGGGAGTTTGCCAGCCCGTTCAGCCGTGTTCTGTTCGTTATCACGACGCGCCTGGGCGCCTGTGCGGGGCATTGCAAGGACAAACGTCCATTCGAAGAGCTGAGCCCACGTCTGCAAATCGATAGGAACGTTGAAGTGTCGAGCAACAAAGTCAACGGTACGAAGTGCAGCCGGAACGTTGTTGTTGATGCCGAACGCATGAGCGATCGCGAAGAGCAGTTTTGGGGATGGGTAAAGAGGCGAGGATGGTTCCAACTTCTTGGGCTCTGGGGCGGCACCTCCATCTCTTCCAATGAACAATGCGTCGACGTCGACGTTCCACACCTTCTTGAGCACACTTTTAACCATGTCGGTGTCGCCCTCACGAGCGGCTGCCATAATCACAAGCCGAAAGCTCTCTTCATCTGCAATGATACCTCCCTGCAACATCTCCCCGAATGCTCGCAGAATCTCTTTCTTCAGCCCCCCCGGCCCCAGTCGATAGTTGGCAAACGATTTGCCCAGGTTGGCCGTACGCCTCGCAAGCATGTGGAATGCAGTGACACGCATGCTGTGTCGAACAGCCGGATTGAACATTCCGTTCAAAACAGTTGCACCCATGTAGTGGTTGTAGCATGCAATATCGGGTGCCACACCTTGCTCCCGCATGCGCGTCCACAGCCGGACGGCCATGTTTCGGTGGCCTAAATCTTTCGCTGCTTGCAGTAACATCCGGTAGTCGTCCGCAGAGAGTTTAAGATCGGCCGAGCGCCGTACAGCCAAAAGCACTTCCAGCATCCGAGAATGTTCCCATGCCACCCGCCGCATCGACGAAATGCCCATCATATTGGCCATAGCCCCGCTGATCTCCAAGTGTGCAGAAGCCAGTTGCTCCGTCATGTGGCAAGGTTGTAGCAGCTCAATGCATTGCGAGAAAGTCGATGCCGACAAAGAGCGGATGAAGTCGAGATCGTTATTGCGCTCCGCGACCACCAGGCAACGCGCGACCATGTCAGAGTTCCTCTCTCGCAGAGCTGGAGGCAAGTTCTCGCGATAGTCGAAATCCAGCTCAACTTCATGTTGTGATCGATAATCCGAGCGTGGCATCACTCTCGCTGCATCCTCCCATGTCTCGATGTCTGCGCTGGTTTCGTCCCCCGCCTGTTCGAACTGCTCCCAGATATCCGTCTGCTGCTGCTCGATGACTTCGCTCGTAAGTTCTTTCGCGGCATCTTCATGCTGGCTCGGAGCTTCGTCTGCTGTCAAGCCCCAACCGCTTCTCCTCGGTCTGCCCATCTCGGGACGTGACACGCGCTGGAAACTCCTTCGCTCTGAATGGTTCGCGTCTTCGGTGTTTCGAGGTTCAAAGGGATTGTATCCGGCCGCACCAACACTGACACTGTCATCGCTGTACGCCCTTCTCTGCTTCATCGCTCCCCTTCTCCTGCAATCGGCGCACACCCGGTCGCCTCTCTTGCGCTTGCCGGAGTTCCATAGCGTCTGTGAGCCTAGGCGAGCCTCAAGCTGTGTACCGAACCGTAGTAAAAGAGAGGTCATAACACCATAGTGCTTGGAGCGATGAAGTCCTGTCGTCGACTTGCTCTCCTTCCATTCTCACAACTGCGGAGTTTGCTCGGGGGTGAGCCTTGGCATTGACTGCAGTTCTACTTGAAACCTCACGAAGACAGTTATATTCACAAACACACCGTCAATGATCGATGGCTGAAGAGGAGGAAGTCGGCGCCAACCCGGTGAATGAGCCTCTCGACCTGGTCCGGCTTTCTCTCAACGAAGTCGTCTTCGTGAAGCTTAGAGGTGACCGCGAACTGAAGGGGAGATTGCATGTATGTTTCCATGCAGCGGTGGATGGCGCAGTTGGAGCTGACGAGTATGATGGCAGGCATACGACTCCCACTGCAACTTGGTGCTCGGCGAAGTAGAAGAGACAGTCTACGTGGTGGACGAGGATGAAGACAATGACGAGGAGAACGTGCGGACGGTGAAGAAGCAGAGCGAGATGCTGTTTGTGAGAGGTCAGTCGCTGCGGGCAGAAAGACACTGAATCGACGTTGACATAATATCAGGAGACTCGGTGGTCTTGATATCGCCACAGCAATGACCGGAAAACACTTGACGGCACACCACCAACCAACGGCGCATCACAGACATGCCGCAGATCGACCAGCCATAGGAGTGGAACGGCAGATGCGCTTCAAAGCTATTGACTGAAGCGAAAGCGTTAGACGTCGCTACTCAAGCGTCGCCAAGAAGCGACGTCTGACAAGCAGGCACAGCAGTCTTGAGTGCGGAGAACCATTTCACTAGAACTTCATCCGTATCACTGCGATAGCCAACGAATTCAAGATGGCCCAAAACCAAAACTCAACCATGCACTGTACTGCACTATGCCTCTGTGGGTATCATCATGCGCTCCCTTCAATATACAGCACCACTCTATGCAATCTCCCACTTACAAACCCCCCCAAACTGAAACCCACACCGTCCCTTCCTCTCCCTATACCGTTGTATCGTCAACCCCCTCCCATCCTGTCCATCGAAATTCGTCACCGCGAAAATCGCTGCCTTCCCACCCGCTGCTCCCAGATCCGCAACCGGGACATCGCACCACCAGACCTCCCCGTTCGTCTCAAAGGGCACGTGATTCCTGCCTGTCTTCTCCAGCCCGTCGAGCGCGAGGATGTAGAGATAATACGGTCCCTTGCCGCAACGCACGGGATCCCAGTGGGGGCACTTCTTTTGGAATGAGAAGCGGATGGTCGGTCCAGGTAGCTGGGAGTGGACGATGGGGTTCGCGACGGGCTGGAAACTCTTCGATGTGAGACCTTCGCTTGAGACGTAGCCGGAGAAGAAGTCGGCGCCGCAGCCGGCTTTGTTGGCGGTGATGTATTCTTCCCAAGACACCACTCTTCCATCATTGCGGAACTGTTTGCTGTTGTCGCCAGGGAAGTGGTCAAGCCCGAAATCCTCGTTCGACTGCGTGAAGCGCTCAGGCGAGAAGTGTTTCTGATAAGGTTGGTTCTTGCCATTGACATTTCCAGCGCCCCAACAGCAGTCGATGAGCTTCCATTGCCCGCCGTCGATTTTAACGGCGTTCCAGGCGTGACCGGCGCTATAAGTTGGCAGCGGCTGTCCGGGCTGGAGTCTGGAATAGCCGTAGCCTTTGCCATGGCCGCCTACGACGACGGCTTCGAGGCCGACCTTCACTGCCAGCGCGGCGAACAGGCCGGCGTAGCCTTCGCAGACTGCGAGTCCTGAAGATAGGGTTGATTGCGGTGTTGACGGTTTGACGTTGTGGTTGAAAAAGGCGACGGTATCGTATTCGACATTGTGATGGAGCCAGGTGAAGAGCGCACGAGCTTTGTCTGTGAGCGATGGGAAAGGAGCAGTGAGTTGTTGAGCGAGCCAGCCTATGTCTTGAGATGGTATCGACTGCCGCGGGAAGCGTTCGGCGTGGGCATCTGGTGCTGAGAAGTCTCGACATAGAAGGCATGAGCCTCCTGTAGGCGCAGCAGTCGAAGCAGCATTGCCATTCATCTTCGGCTTCGAAGCTTGGAGTGCAGCCAAGTCAGGCTTCGAGGATGCAGGTATAGGCGGCGGCCCTGCTATCTCTTGAGCATTTGCTACCGAGTTTGGGCTTGCAGCAGGGACCGGAGGATTGGCAGCTGCACCTTGATTCATCCCAAACGACAGTGCCGACTTCCTTGGGGGCGGCTCAACCATCTGCCTCTGCGGCCGCGGAGGCGGTATGGGCTGTGCCGGCGTCTGTTCCTGCGCTGAAGACGTCTGAGATGGCGTGCGTGTAGGCAGACTCGGAGCAGACAACCCACTCAGCTGCCTCGGCAGAGGCGGCACAGGCTGAGCAGGCCTCTCCTCCTGCACCACAGACGTCTGAGGTGGCGTCCGTGAAGGCAGACCAGGCGCAGGCAAGACACTCATCTGTCTCGCCGGAGGCGGAGGCGTAGTCCCCGTCTGCTTCTGCTGGACATTAGGACTCGACTTCGTCGACTTGAGTTGCTGAAATCTGGCCGTGGTAGCCGCAGCTTTATTGTACTTTTTGTACGAAGCATCCTTGTCTTCTTGCGTCCGCTTCGGCGGCAGAGCAGGGAGAGCGCAAGGGTCGAAACTTGGCGCTCTGATGGCGTATCGGTCAGATTGGCCAGATGTGACTGAGGTGCCGTTGGAGATGGCGGAGGTTCCTGATCGTGCTGTGGCGATCGAGCTGACAGACTCGTTTGAAGCTTTGCGGTTCAGTGAGAAGTCTGATGGTCTCCTGCTGCTCATTGAAGGAGCGAGTGAGGGCTGTCTCGCTGGCAGAGCCGGGGATTCTGAAGGCCGTCTGGATGGCAGTGCTGAATCTTGCGAAGACTGAGTGGACGTTCTCGGTGGCAGGGCAGGCCTTGAGATGCCATCCATTCCATTGGCATTAGCACTTGGTGGACTACTCTCTGGTAAATTGTTGATACCATGATTGGAGACCGGGGCATGGTCGTCCGTTGGTGGAACGTTCGACGAGTTGGCTCTCCCATGTGCGGTGGGTCTCGCGGGCACTGTTGGCCTCGGTGGCGGAGGAGGCCTAGGCCTCCCAGTCGCATTCGTGTTACTCGTTGCTTGATTATAGGTCGGTGGCGGAGATGAGGGCGTCTTTCCGACCTGGTTCAATTTCAAGCTCGCGATCCTGTCCGCGATGGACTGAGGTTGTTGTTCTTCCGCCATTTTATGGTTTCACTTCTCGAGAAGAACGAAAGAGACTGAAAGGGAAAGGAAGAGTTGATATCTATCGAGATCTCAATTAAAGTTGATCCTGTTCTAAATCCATTGCAGTCCGAGGGGAGGCACAGCCCAGGGCTAAGCTACACATGTGTCAGGATTCAGGCTCACGGCACGCTCAAAGCGCTGATTAAGCTTACACGTGACCAGGCTACCAACAGACAGAAACATCCATCCTTGAGTGTTGTATTCCTGGTTCATCACATACACTGCCATAATCTACCTCATTCTATGTCTTTTGTGCTCGTCATCCTTCCGTTTTCCTTCCCAATGCCATCCTTGCTCCTTCCACGCCTATCCAGCTGAACATTTACTGCGAGGATCCGCCAGAGATGGTGATGACTTGGCCTGATAAACACGTTAGCGACTGTCGAACCTCAATGTTGTGTAAATGGAAATCTTACCGTTGACCCAGCTGCCGTCGCCAGAAGCGAGGAAAGCCACCACACGAGCGACGTCCTCTGGGACAGCGCAGCGCTTGAGCGGGCAGTGCTCAGCCATCAGCTTCTCGATCTTGTCCGCTGGCCACTCTGGAGTGCCACCGGGGATCTGTCACACAATGTTAGCAAGCCGCCAGAGCCAGGAAACATGCGATTTAGACTCACGTAGTGCCACGCATTCTGCGTGAACATGTCACTCTTAATCCCACCGGGCGCGACGCCATTGACAGTAATCCCCCTCGCGCCAAAGTCCGTCGCAAAAGCCTTGATCATGCCAATGACGGCCATCTTCGACGCATTGTACAAGCTGTGGTCCTTCACACCCAACAGCCCCGCGGCAATCGAGCTCATCAAGATCAACCGCCCATCATTCTCCAAATGCTTCCACGCCGCCTGGCCGACGAAAAACTGCGCCCGCGCGTTCAAGTTGAACACATGGTCAAACTTCTCCTCGGTAATATCCTCCGTCTTATCCCAGCTCTCGGTGCCGCTGTTGCTCATCACAATGTTCACCTTGCCAAAAGCCTTCTTCGACTCCTGGAATAGACGCTCGATCTCCGCGACTTTGCTCACATCGGCTTGGATCGAGACAGCCTTGGCGCCGGTTCCGAGTCCTTCGATCTCCTTGACCACCTCGTCGGCGCCGGCTTTACTGTTGGCGTAGTTGACGACGATGGAGCAGCCGCGGCGGGCGAGCTCGAGGGCGCAGCCCTTGCCGATGCCGCGCGAGGCGCCGGTGATGAGGGCGACTTTGTTGTGCAGCGAGGCGGTCTGGACGAGGACGGGTTGTTGAGACATGGTGGTGGTATCGGTCTGGCGGAGGGCTTTAGTGTCGCGGAGGGCTTGTTGGCCTCGCATGTGGAGGGACTTACTGGTGTTTATAAGAAAGTACAAGAGGTGTGTTTGTTTCTTGCCTAGAGTAATGGAGTCGATATGAAAGAAGGAAAGAAGACTGGATGAGGGGCGGTGTAGAGTAAGGCAAGAAATTCCCACCACAGACCCGAATATCGACGACGACTCTTAGCTCGAGCTGTGCCTACATTGAACATCCCGAATGGGTTATTTTTGCTCCCAGCCTCACCTCCCACTGACGGAGCTGATTGCAGGACAAAGTGGGGGAGCCGCTCGGTGTGTCGCGGCGGACGAAGCAGCTGCACGATTTCCACCGGGTCATCGAATGCGTCTGGCACGACTCGGGGCCACTCGTCGTGTTCGGATGAGTTTGTGCTAGCTGCAGGTACGGCCATTGAACTGCTTCGGACAGCGAAACGCGCGAGGTCGCTGCGGGTGGAGTGGGGCGAAAGTGAGGTTGAGAAGTGGTTCGGGGTCGGCATCTGGACCAGCCCGATCTAGCTTCAAGCCCAAGAGATAGTGAAGTGAAAGTCGAAGTGTTTTGAAAATGCATCTTTCTTCGCAGTGCCTCTATAACACTGCTACCATAACCCCGCCGTAGCCATTGGATGTACTCCTCGGTAGCAGAACCTCATACTGACAACAAGAAACCCATGCACCTCTCAATGCTCCAGCCCCGAGAAACCCCCCAAACTCCACACACATGCTCCGATCTCCTCGCTCCGCCCATTACGAAAAGGATAAAGAATGCAGTAAGAGTGAACGCCGTGCCCAGTGAGAATCGGCAAGTCGGGTCCGGGTATGATTAAGAGAAGGCAGCTTCGTGTTATCATAAGATGTCGTTTCGATCGTGCAAGTGGTGAGCCCATTCCACCAAGGACTGTCGATGCTGGACAAGTGAGTGTTGTACATTCGACGTGCTGGGGGAGTGCTCCAATCGTGATGGCGGTAGCGAGGCGCGCCCGATGGTGGAAACACGGTCCAACGCAGAGTCTGCTGCAACTGGTCGTTATGCCGAACAGGCGAGGGTGTGATGGGAGAGTGTGTGCAAGCCAGTCATAGAGAGCCAGCAGAGAAAGCCGACTATCGCATGAATCCGCTCATGACACTCATACTGGCGCTGAGAGGAGTTGGTGGCAGTGGTGCTGGGTTGTCGAGCGGCAACCGGAAGCCTGCTGCGAGCTTGCCAGCGACGAAGAGCGAGGAGCGCTTATACCGCTTGTCGGTGTACTTGTCGTAGACCGCCGAGTGGTGCTTGTGCGGGTCTTCGCAGCACTCGAGGATGGCTGCTAGGAGCTGGCGCAGCTGCGACCAGGTGTAGTTGGAGTAGTAGACATGTGCCTGGCTCCACTCGTCGCCGTGAATCATGAGTCTAGCCATGCAGTGTGCGCCAGCAGCGAGGAAGCTTGGTGTGCAGCCGACGAAGCGCTCATCCATGATGGTGACTTCGAGGAAGTACTTGGCCAGTGTCCTTGTCTCCAGGTCGTAGTCGTCTGCCTTGCTAATGCGTCGCAAGAAGCTCATTGGGCCTGGCCAACCCAGCTCGAACTGCAGCATGCTGAGCATGAAACGCTCCGCCTTGAGCAGCTCGTCCGATGAATAGCCTCCGTCAACCATGTAGATGATCTCGGCGATCGTCGGGCACTGCACTTCTTCGTACTTGGCCGCGACAAAGATCGCTGTAGCGCCGACGAGTTGCAGCTTGCCGAGCGAGACTATCTTGCACGACAAGAAGCGGTCGATGTAGTTGACGGTGAGGAACAGAGTCTCCGGCAGCAGGTTGAAGCGTTGGTGGACCTGAATGACCCAGTCCATCAAAACCGCTCTCATGGACCACTGGATCTCAGTTTGCTGTTCCATGTACCGCGGGTTAGGAGCCATGCGGTCCTCGAGCTCGTGCATGTAGCCGAAGATTTCCTCTCCATATTCAGCCACCATCGACGTATCCCATTGCTCGTCTTCGATGTCCTCAGCTGGTCTTGTTGCTTCCACAAACTCTCTTGCGGCCTGGATCTCCTCCTTGACCCTGTCCGTGAGCTTTGGCGCGAGGACGGTGGTGACACCGCCCGTGCTCTCGCCTTGCAGTCCGAACGACCTGGCGGTAGTATAGCCGTCGTCATATCCGTACTCCTCTTCGTCTGCCTCGTAGTACTGCTCAGGCGGGGGCTGCGCGTTGGCGAGGTAGGGTGCTGGGTTGGCAACTGATCCAGCGTTGAGATTCTGTTGCTGAAGCTGGTACTGCGCAGCATGGAAATCCAAGTAGCTCAGGTATTCCGCTTCAGAAGTGAAGCCAGGTGGAAGAGCCTCCAGAGGTGCCGGGCCGGATTTGGCCATCGGGCGCGCAGCTGGCTCGTCCTTTAGTGGCACGCTCTCTGTCTTGTGCACTTCCTGTCGCCGTACTGGCTGCGCAACGAGGACGGGCTTCTCAACTACTGGCTGCGAGGGCGCGGCTTGCGGCGGCGGTGCTTGTGTCACTGGTGCGGCTGTCTGGTTCAGTGGAGCCGCGCTGTCCACCCTACTCGGCTGTGCTGGTGGCTGTTGTTGTTGTTGTGTTGTTGTTGTTGTTGTTGCGTGGGTTGTACGTCCTTCAGCACCTTCATGCTCTTCTTAGCTGCAACCTTTTTCACAGGCTCAATCTCTTGCTGAGTCGATTGCATACAGGTCGCGATCTTGGACATAGCAGTCGTGGCTGCGGCGGTCGAGGTGAGGCTTGCTGCGGTTGTAGTCTTCGGAGCCAGGGGTCGGGTAGCAGGGCGATTGAATGATGAGTTCACGGTCGGCTTGAGGGTCTCCTGACTAGCCAGTTTGCCGGGTGATGCTTTGCCAACTTCTGAATCGTCCTTTGCTGGCTGTATGACTCTTGAATTCGCGCTGACTTCACCGAGGATCTTCTTCTGTGTGGCTTTGATGGCAGCAGCCTGCACCAAGCTGGAGAGGGCGGGTGTTGACTTGGTCCGCTGATGAAGCGACTTGCCAGGCATACCCGCGCCGGGTATCGCAGGTGGTGGCATGTTCTCATCATGCACCCGCAGTCGTGGTCGTTGCGGCTATTGAAGTGTCAGCATTCGTGTCAGAGGTCAACCAGCAAAACCGCAGCAAGACGGAGTGAGGTTATCAGGCAGCGACGTCGGAGGCTGGAGGTGTGGTATGACAAGCATGCTCATGATGATACATTCTCGTGCCCTCCGAACCAGACGAAAATTGCTGCCGGGGGTGCAGGGCAGCTTACCTTTGCGTCCATGTTGCTTGGCCTTCACTTTTTCGTGAGGCGACGACGGCAGTGGTCGGTCTTGATTGACTGTGAGACTACCGACAGCGTGTTGACGATGGTGCGGCGATGGCGCTGCGATGGGGTCGTGGCGGCGCGGATGTTGTGCTGGGTGGATGAAGCTTGGTCGCTTCGCAGTGCTGGCGATCAGCGGCACATGGAGCGTTGTTTACTGCGCGTCGAAGCAGTATTCCCGGGTGTCGTCGACCGTCCACGCGCTCACGTTGGGCGCGGTGGTATCGCTGCTGTGCTGGCGCTGTTGGCGGTAAGGGATGCGGTGGGTGGAAGTGGTGTGCAGCCGTTGCCAACTTTCTTGAGCTCGCGAAGCAGATGTTGTCGCCCTTGCCAGAGTAAACAATCTCGGCAAAGCGGCCCTTCCCGCACAGGTCGGTGCGACGGCGCTAGCAGTTGAACGATCCGACGTCACCTTCTCAAACGCGTGTTCCAGAACACGATCGGAAGAGCGTGCAGCTCACTCGACAACACAACTTCCCTGTCGGCGGGCTACAAAGTCTGTAGAGATGAACTCGATACATTACGACTACACACGGCCGACTTTGACCGCTCTCCCAGCGCTCCCACAGCAGTAACGGTGACTTCCTCATCTTGTCGCATTTTCGCCTCGCTCGAGCACATCTCAACACGCTAAAGAACGACATCACGTGGTCGTTCACTCTGCCCAAGAAACCACCAGCATCTCTCCAATACCACTTAGATCGTGAGACTCCGGTACTTTATATCGCTTCTCATACTTCGACGCTATGCGCTGGCAATACGACCTTCGACGCGCAATCAGCCTATCGCTGATGGAGTTCCGTCGCATCCTGAAACCCGCTGCCACGGCAAGACTCGGGTTCGGCCAGCCGCAACGCAGCAAAGCCCCTCAAAAACTTATGCACGACAAGACATGCAGCCCCCGAGCAGATCGAGGCAGGTGAGCCATCGGTATAATATACTGCAGCCGCAGTCGGCGCAAAAGGACTCTCGCTGCTTGCGCCTGCTAGCTGCAGCGGTATCGCATGCGCTCTGCACGCCATTTGTCTGAATCGCGCATGCTCTATCTCGCCACATGCGCCGGTCTTCATTGCGCTCCATCACGGTATCCATCCCTCATCAACCGCAGCAAGAACATGCGATTCCTGACTGTACCTGAAACGCTGATATTGACATTCATTCGGCTGACCTTGCATACCGCAAAGCGCAGCAAGCATTCAATGATATTACTTGGTGACACAAAAGGCGCTCTCTGTGCCATCCACGGCGATTGTCGGTGGGGGACACGGACTGCCCTACTAACCAAACAAGCAGCACCACCTTCCACACTCTCCCTTTCAGCGTTGAGAGTGTCAGCGCAAGCAGAGCTCGTGTTACATGCATCCACCAGAGTGGCAGAGCAGGACAGACGGCGCGGCTCTGAAAGGATAGATCGGCGAGTCTGGCAGCGTATCATTGGTCATTCGTTATGGACTTGCTTTCCTGGGACAGTGGGACGTCAAGCGTGAGCGTGCTCTCTGCTTCTCGATCTCTTGCTTGCGCTTTGTCCTGGAGCAGTGCGGGCATGCAGCGGTTGCATGGTCTTCGCATCCACTGTTGAGGAGCATTGCATGCGCTGATGGCTGGTGGTGTCGAGTCTTTGCCCGGCAAGTGGCTTTGGCATTGCGCATTGGAATCGAGGTGAGCTTTGGTGAGTGAGTTTGGCAGGGCGGCTATGGCAAGTGATATTGGTAGGGACTCTATGATTGCGAACACATAGACATGCGACGTACATACTATAGCAATTAACGCCCAATATGACTTTCCCAAAACTATCATGGGAATCGTGTGGGAGTGTGATATTGTCCTGCCGACCTTGTGAATCGAGGCGGGTCGGTTGGCTTCTGGCGCTTTGGCTCTCGCCTGACATACTTCGCTTTTGCATGCTTCACCTTCTCCACCCTCCCTTGCCCTCCCACTCCTCCACCACACCAACACCACCCTCTTTCCGGTGTCAGAGAGTGTCCATGCTATCGTTGTTCACAGCCATCGCTTGCTGACTCGCTTGTTGGATCGTTGCCAGTCCACAGAACGCCTGGACTGCCCTTCGCCTCTGTGCCGCTCGGTGAGGTACCGCGACGACGAGCTCCTCCGGCTACAGGTCATCAACCACATCAAACGGCCATCGACGGTCTTCCCGGATACCAGGCGATCCAGGGTGAGCATCAAGACTCTTCTTATTCCCTCCAACTGGCCCCAATACAACCACCTCACTGCCCTGGCTTCGGACCGGCCTCAACCGGTTTCCTTGCCTTCCACCAGGACTGCCGTACCACCAGCCGTTGCCAAAGCCTGCTTTCGTGACTGTACTTTGACTCGAGAAGGTCACAGGCTAACAAACTTCCTCGCTCAGCCCACGTTCCCACCGTCGCCGACCCCCTCCCTCGCCAAGCCGCTCCGAATGCGCCGCCGGTAGCGCCGACGACACCGCACTTCACAACAAGTCCTTCTTCGCTGTGCACCTCTCCCACAGGAGGTAGAATACTGTGCAATCCAGAAAAGAACGATATACCGTCGATATGGACGTCTCGAGCATGCTGTCCAACGGCGGCGCCCAGGCTGCGGATGGGGCATATGACAGCCAGCAGAACTTCACCATCCGCAACAACACCTTCACACAGAATCAAGCCTCTGCTGTCAAGACCGAGTCTCCAGCACCGCAGCGCCCACTGAGGAGCAACAACATGCCTCCTCCTGCCGGCACTGGGTATTCTCGTGCGTCGCCTGCCAAGAAGGGCCAAAAGCATGTTGTGTTTCAACTTGTCGACGGCACCGACCCTCGTCTGCAGGCCCGTCTGCCCATGCGTGTTATGATCTCGCAAAACGACAACACGGAATCGATCATCACATCCGTCAAGAACTTCTACGGCTTGTACGAATGCGGCGTCAGCTTCGAGACCGAAGACCAGGTGGGCATGATCCCAGCCTACGACAACTTCCACCATGACATGAACGTTATTGTGCGGACTGTCGCTCAGCACAGTCCAGTCAAGAGTGAGAGCGGTGTTGACTCGGCATCGCCAAGCAAGCGCTCTCTGGGTGCAGCGTTCGAGCCGACCGCACGCTCGTACCTCCAGCCCTCGGCGCACTCTCCCTCCAAGTCCGGTGCTCGGTCGGTGGGTGTTCGTAGCCTGTCTCCAACGTCCGACATTGGCAAGCGCAGCGCTTCTTCCGCTCCTGGCGGTCCACAGCGCCCGAAGAGGACCAAGAGCAAGGATAGCAGCATGATGGGCGCCGCGGACGGATACAGCAGTGGTGACGATGGGGAAGGCTCTGTCGCCTCTCGTCGTTCCAAGGCCGAGCAGGTCAAGGCGGAGATCAGCGTCGAGAACATCGTCGAGGGTGGGCGCAGGAAGAGGGCGTTCGAGAGCTCGGTGAGTACTTATCAACACCTTTTAAATCCTCCTTGCTAACAGAACACAGCAACTGCCGCTGTTCGTGCCACCGCAGGTCCCTGCCACCAACTCGCTGCCCTCCATCTCGCCGCAGCGTAAAGTGGGAGGCCCCACTGCCGCATCTCCCTACGGATACCCGTCTAACCAACAGACGTTCTCGTACCAGCAACCTCTCCAATCTCCTCAGGGCTACGCCGGCGCCTTCCCGCACCCAGGCAACGGCTACCAGAACGGGTACGGCGCTACGTATCAACAGCAGCCTCCCCGCCAACTCCGCGGCTACTCCGGTACATCCTACCCTCGTGGATCGAACGGCGGCGTCATGCCCACCCCAGATCCCACCATCGGTAGCGTCAAGTCTGACGAAGATGCTGCGAGGAGTCTGCTACGCTTGAGCGACCCATTCCTGGCGTTCTCTCACGGCCGAACATCTACCTCAACTGTCGACGATGCGTTCAGCGGCAAGGCAGACGCTGCGTCCTCGGACGAAGAAGATTACGATGAAGAGGAGGAAGAAGAGCAGTCGAGACTCCCAGCCGTGCCGCCATTCTACCACAATGAACCCGGCCCGCAGCGCAAGAAGCAGCGCCTGATGAATGACCTGCCCAGCGACCCAACCAGCGGCGAGGAGTACGAAGACCGCCGCGACGGCACCTTCGACAGCCAGGCCGGCAGCAAGGCTTCCAAGTCCAAGGGCGGCAAGTTTCGCGCCAGCATGCCATCCACCTACAACACCGACAAAGGCTCCAAGCCCCGCGCCAACTCCCTCATCAAGCCGAAGTCCAAGTCCACCAGCCAATTCGCCGTCCCAATGTCGCCCTCCTCCCTCCCCGCCGGGTCCCGCAAGGGCTCCATCGCCTCGACCAACTTCCAGAACCAGCTCGGCGAAGACGAAGAGGATCTCTCCTCCAAGCCGCGCTGCAACCGCTGCCGCAAGAGCAAGAAGGGCTGTGACCGCCAGCGTCCGTGTGGGCGCTGCAAGGACGCGGGTATCGGGCTGGAAGGGTGTATTAGCGAGGATGATCAAGGACAGCGTAAGGGCAGGTTCGGGAGACACATGGGGATTCCGGTCAAGAAGGGCGAGGAAGGGTATATTGGGGGTGAGGAGGAGATGGCGAGCCCGCAGATGAGTGTGCCGGCGAATGGGTACTTTATTGCGCCCGCGCTGCCGAAGGATAAGGGTGGGGAGAAGAAGAGGAAGAGGTAGGAGGGCTGTTTGGGGTGGTGTGCTGGATATGCTGCATGCTGCTGTGGTGTGGTGTGCTGCGAGGAAGCAAACGCATGCGGACGACTTTCTCATGTTTCAAAGGCGACTGGCCAGCTCGATCGATTTCAGCGGCTGCGCATGTCTGAGCCTCCACACTGGGAAGGATGGAAAGTTTTCGGCGTTGGGCACGGTTCAAAGGAAATGGGGCGGACACCTGGCACACGATACTGATGATTCTCTTATGTTACTTTACGTTACGTTACGTTGACGGACGACACTGGGGCGCTTGGGACTTTTGCCAGGAACTGCTTGACGGACTGCTTGAAAGGATCAGGACACAGACGCACCGTCGTCCTTGTCAGGCGGGTGGGATGATGGTGTCGGGGATCTGTCAGCGGCTCTGGAGCGCTTTCTAATGCTGTGATGGATTGGAGATTCATGAGCGGCACGGGCGTTTGGGGTTGGCAAAAGAGTGATTGTTTTTCTGCACGGAGGGGGATGTTGCTTCTACTGCTATGACGTGGCGATGCGATGGGGTCGCTGCGTTCGTCCGACCTGAGTGCCTGGTTGGTACGTGTAGGTAGAAGTTGGATGAGTGCGAGAAAATCAGTTGAAAAACACGCGCTGTGGCTGTGACTTCTTAATGATCTCGTACTTCGTAATGGTCTAGCATCGAAGTCGTCGTGACTATATCGTTATCTACCGTCAGCGCCCTTCAAAGCCATACGACACTTGTCGGCTTTGATCATAACTTCACCTCCCCCTCCATCCCCTCCACATGCATGAAATTCGCCCTCAGCGCCGTGACGCTCGTCTCCCCAGCCTTGACCGTCCACCCATCTGACCCTGGTCCGGCTTTCTCTACACTGTCGAAGACATCTGTAAACCTGCAGGAAAGGGGTTAGCGAATATCCCAGGCATGGTAAAGTTTTGCTCATGAGCTTTGTACCGGGGACTCCATTTAAAATGCCTCGTCCGGAACTCGCCCTTCCCACCAACCCCTTCCCCATCCACCTTCGGCCCCTTCATCATCTCCTTCTCCTCAGCACCCCCACTCTCACGCCTCCGTATCCTCACCTCCTCCGTCTCGGCATCCACTTCCTCCCCGGCTTTAGCATCAGGCAATTCAGCAAAACACGCCCCCCTCCCCCAAACATTCTGCAGCACCCGCGTCCACACCACCTTCCGCCCCTCCACTCCTTTCAGCACAGGCACGTTGACACTATACAACTTCCCCTCCCCCCACGCCGCCTTTGCAGCCAAGTGCTCGCACACTTTGACAGCGTGTCTACAGCACTCCCCAACGATCTCGGGGTCGTTGACCCGGTCGAAGAACGCGAAGCTGAGCGCAATGGCCCGGTATCCGCACGCGGCGGCTTCGAGCGCGGCGCCCAGCGTGCCGGAGGAGAGGGCGAAGACGGCGGTGGTGTTGCGGCCGTAGTTGGGGCCGGAAATCACTAGATCTATCGGGCCGCGGGAGGTGAAGAAGAGGGAGCCGAGGCCGAGTTGGGCACATGTGGCTGGCGTGCTGGATACCAGTACCCACGGCTGCCGGCCGTCCCTTGCTTCCCCTGTGCCATCTTGGCCGGTGGTACGGGGAGTGGCGGAGGTGGTAGAGTGCACGCCTGGGTTAGTCTCGGGAGGCCAGTACGCCTCCGTTCGCACGTCTTGGCCCACGATATGAGCCTTCCCAATCCAACTCCGCTGACTATCCGGGATAATGACGCTAACGGTGTGACCGGCTGCTTCCAGCGTGCGGACGAAGGGCAGGATGTAGGGGGACGACTCGGCTGAGGGGGGGCCGTCGTCGTTCGTGACCTGATCGATTCGTTAGTGGTAGTTGAGATTTGGTGGGGAGGGGAGGGGGGGTACGAGGATGTGCATAATTATTTTCTCCGGGTGAGGGTGTTGTTGTGGGAGGGTCGAGGGGATGGTGGTATAGCCGAGTTTAGGTTTGGGGTGGTGCAGGGAAGTGGAAGGGAGGAAGTGAGGTCAGAGATTGAGTTTGAATCTCATGAATGACCGCCTTCACCAAGTCACGGCAGTTCAAGTGAATACATGTACCTTCCAAGGGCCCGAAGTATAGATTACTTCGCACAATCAAAGGCGACTAGGTGCATTCGTTATATGCCCGGAACGGCGGTTGACTTTTACGAGAAGGAAGTGAGAAGCCAATATCGTGAAACAACTGCCTCTCATGTGCTATACAACCTTCCTGGCCTCTACCCTCTACCCTCTTACCCTTCTACCCCATCCTTCTTCATCTCCACATCCCCATGCCCATCTCACAAAGTGGTATCATGCCATTATCAAAAGAAAGCATCGCCCTCTCTCCATCTCCATCCATCCCCAGTTGTCACTACAGGTAGCCAACAAAACTCCCGCGACATAAAGGCTGATCCGATCCCGCTCGTAGTCGCTGCAAACCAACACTCATGCCCTCTCGTACAGCGTACGAACGCCACGGCTATGCTTCGAAGTGCACAGAACAATAACCCAACCCAAAAGAAAGCCAGAAAGAAAAGAAAAGCCGCGTATCGAGTCGTCGTCCATGGCCGTCAGTCAGTCCGCTCAATGCTGATGCTGCGCCGCTTGCGCCCCGTGATGCGAAGAGTGATGCCCATGCCCATGCCGATGATGATGATGCCCATGCCTATGACTCCTCCCCTCCCCACTCGCCCCCTGCTCCCCCTCCCCCGCCTCAGCCGCCACACACCAGAAGCGATGGCTGCCCCACGCGCCCTTCTGGCACTCTTTGCTGCAATACTTCGTGCGTCTGCAGCGGCGACACTTGGCGAACTGCCGCGTGAACTCCTCCCACTTCCCGCACTTCCAGTAGGCGCACTGCCGGATGCCGCCGCGCTTTTCGTCTTTGCGGCAGAGGTTGCGCATGACCACGCCGGCCCAGTATTGCATGTCGCCTTGTTGTGGGGATGCGGGGGCGGTGTGACGGGAGGATGAGGGTTTGGCGGTGAATTTCTCGATCAAGGGGAAGATGTTGTAAGCGGGTTCGTCGGGTTTGGGGACGAACTCGTTGTCCCACTCGTCTTCCAGCTCTTCTTTCGTCGGTCGGGGGTTGGCGGCGGGGTTGTAGTCCGGGTCGAGCATGTTGATGTCGTCGCCGATTTTGAGGCGGGCGACGAGATGGGATTGCTGAAAGTAGGAGCGGAGGTAGCAGTATTTGGAGACGTAGGCGAGGAGCTGGAGGGACATGAGGACGTCTTCGTCGCGGGGCATGGCGGCGAGGACTTCGGCAGAGGGTGGGCGGGTGGATGATGCGGCGCTGCTGGTGGGGTAGAGGAGCGGAGGCTGGATGAGGCTTGGTGGTGTCGCATGCATCACGTTGGCGGGTGTCGGCACCTGCGCTTGCGGAAGGAACATCTGCCGTTGGGTAGGGGTGGTAGCGGGGTTGACCAAGCTGCCGTCTGCTGCTGATCGGTGGGTGATGTTGAAGGTCTCGTCGTCGGTGCTGGTGACGTCTGAGACTGCCAACGCCATGCCGCCTCCTTGCTCTTCCAACAAGCTCTCCTCGTCTACGATATCTTGCATGACAATATCAGGTTGAATGCCAACGACAGGCTCAGGTGGTCCATTGCGGCCGGCAGAGTCGTTCGAAGCTTCCTCAAGCACTCCATCGTCGTCAGAACCAGAAATAGACAGCTGGTGCCTGATAGATGGCCTCCTCCGGGGTGGACGTCCATCGCTGGCTCCAATCCTAGGGCTGCCAGGTCGTTGGACGGGTGTAGTAGGCGACTGCGGCTGCGAGCTCATGTCACCACCAAAAGGTGTCAGCATCGACGGCAGGCGGTCAATGTCGCGCACAGGGCGCAAGCCAAATGTGTTATTAGTATTGCTTTGTAAAGGTAGAGCAGACATTGGAGGCTCTCCATTCGGCCTGTTGCTGCCAAGACTAGGTGTTGAAAATTGCCCACGGCTTTCCTGTGAGCGGTGATGGTGGTGCGATCGAGGGAAAGTAGTCCTCTCAGGAGGCGAGCTCAGAGACATATTGGCAGTCGGAGCTGTCGGTGTGATCTCGCTCGGCGGCTCATCTGCATCAGGGTTGTCCGCTGGATCAGGGATCGAAATCGGTGGCGGTGCCTGCCGTCGAGCTCGCGCGTATCTTGAATCGAAGTTATCGTTTCGTGATGACGAGCGCGAAAAGCCTTTGAAGCCAGTCAGAGGACACCTTCGTCGGCTCTCCTGCTCGGAGCGCTCTCTGCACTTGTCGAGAACCAGGAAGTAGTTGTCCAGGATCGTGGCGATGACAGGGACCATATCCGCTTCCACCACACGTGTCCGCACGGCTTCCGATCCTCGGACACCGATGTTGACAATACATTGGAACGCCAAGTTCCACTTCCACATCTCCATCATGTCTTTGCTCCTCCCCTCCTTGAGAATGCATACCAATCTTTCGATCCCGCCATCGACGGTGAGGATGTCGCGAATGCGACCGGATGAGATGGTCAGGTATGCGAGGTTGTTCAGCGAGTTGATGAGCGGGAGGGTCGAGGTGCAGTCGAGGGCTCGGCGGTCGTAGAGGGCAGGGGTAATGCCCACGGAGGCTTTGTTTGCATTGGGAATGCTGAAGTTGACTTCGCGCATGGTCACGCAGGCGGTATGTACCCTTTACAAGACTTCTTGTGCGGGTAGCTGTCGACGTTCGTATATGCCAGACTCGGAGGCGGAGTCGACTCGCACCGGGCGCTTGCTGGCGACTGGCTGATTCGCGCGGGTCGAGTAATGTTCAGCAAGCACAAACGTGACAATCCAGGACTCCGGAGAATACAGTCCACCGTCCCAGTTGACGGTAGGACGGGTCCAAGGGGTCGGATGGTGGTAAAGGCGGTGTCTGCAGCCAAGAAGTCGCTCGACCGACACAAACAAAGAGGCGCTGTCACGTCCCGAAGTCCAGCGAAGAACCCAGACGCGGCCTGCTGTCCTCGTACACGATCCGGTGGCACGACACGCGGAGCGATGCCGATGGAGTCGATGGGGTGGGCGGGTGGTGGATGGACGGGATGTTTGCTCTCCTTCCCCGTGGCACTCGCACTCGCTGCTTCCACGGCGGGCGGGAAGCTGCAGCCGCTCGAGTGCTTGCTTCGTCTCGTCACGTTCTTGCGGCGCAAGGTAGACGGTAGACGGTATTGTGTAGTAGTATGTGGTGGTGTAAGTGTTGTTCGTAGTTGGTGGTGGAGATGGAGGTTTGGGTAAGCAGAGCAGCGGTTGGCGGCAAGAGGCGAGTCAAAGGGAGGGGACTGACTGAGCCTGGGCAAATGAAGAAGGGCGCCAAGGCCGAGAAGCGCTGTCTCTTTCGCCCAACACTTTTACTTTGCTGCCGCTCGCAGATCGCGGTTGTCTCGCTCTAAAAACAGCAATCTCGAGTGCGACTCTCTTAATCAAACAAGATCCCTTTTCATCCCTCATTTTCTTCATCAGGAGTGTGGTGGGTGGTCCTCATCTCTCACCCGTCTCACCACACCACCCTCCCTTCGGCCCGTGAGATCTGTGGAGTGCCCGCTCCGCTCCGGCATCAGCACTGTTTAATGTGGACGCTGTGGAGATGGCCAGGAGAAACATTTCACCTCCACTGACAGCGGCGTTTTCACTCGCGACGCTTCTTTTACCCGTCACTGCTGCCCCTCCGTCGCACGCACGTTGAAAGACCGTCAGGCCATCCGACGCCATCATCTTGCAGTACAAAACTTGCATGCCCGCTGAGAAACCCCACAACGCCCGCTGTGGTAGCTGTAGTAGTGGTGGCGGCACTTCTCACTCAAGCTCTCTAGCATCGGCGGCGTCCGATCGAGAATCTTTCGGCGTTGACTGGACTTCACAGGAAAACACCGAACATCTCACGACACTTCACCGTCCTCCACGAGCACAAGACAAGTCAACACCTTATTTCTGAATGTCGTGCATCCACTCTGAAACACATACTCAATTCACGTTGTGAAAAATCGGAGATTTCGGTGGCGCGATAGAGCTACAGCCATGTGTGGTGGACGTGCGAGCGAGAGCATGCAAGTCATCTCCGTCCCGGCTGTGCTCATCGTCGGTCGATCTTCGATCTTCATCACTTCTTCGTTCCGTCTTGTCTTTTTATTGTCAGAAGTCAGAATTGCCTCAGGTGAGGATCTTGAAGTGAGGAACTCAAAACGGATGTCAGTCAGCTTGTAAGTTACACTGAACACCATCTCGTGCAAGTGTACGAGGCACGCGCAACCATTCAAGACTAAGTATCACCGTCAAGCATAAATATTTCATTACCATCTCCATATCCAAAGGGGTATCACAGTACATCGCAAATCATTCATAACCCAATCACTCATCATCACTTTGCCAAATCCTCTCCATGCTCCATCCGTACACTCCTCGAGTAGTAATTCTTCGTGCGCCAGGCCGGAGTACCTAGATATTTGATGCCTTTTTCGTGGTCGGAGAACATCTGGTTCGTCTCTTCGAGGGGGCGTCCGGCGGTTTCTGAAGAGCTGAGTCAGGAGGTGTGCGTCAAGAGGGGGGGTAGGGGGACGTACCGGGGAATAAGAAGAACACGTGAACGGTCATGGCTACGCAGAAGGAGGCGAAGACGAGGTACTGCCAGAGACATGTCAGCCATCCCGTCCAAAACCATAAGCATGAAAAGGGGAGGTGTTCGACTCACCACCCTCCACTGAATATCCACAAACGCCGGCGGCACGAACCAGCCCAACGCAAAATTAAACACCCAATTCCCACTCGTCGCCAACGCCACCGCCTTCCCTCGTAAATGATTGGGATACAATTCCGGCGGGTAGATCCAACTGACCGGCCCCCACGTCGGCGCGAAGCTCGCCACGAACAAATACGAACACGCAATCACCGCCTTGGACGCATTCCCTTTGACGACAAAACTCGCCTCCCGCGTCCCGTCGACCCCGTCCGGCCCCGCGTCTTCCCCGTACACGGCGAAGATGCCCGCGTTGGCGAACATGAAAGCCGCCATCAGCGTGCTGCCGACGAGTAAGGCGGGGCGGCGCCCGATGCGGTCGATCCAGATTAAGGCCGGGATGGTCATGACGACGTTGATGATGTACTGGATGCTCGAGGAGAGGAGGAGGTGCGAGGAATCCACCCCTGCCGAGCGGAAGACGAAGGTGATATAGTACATCATCACGTTCACGCCCGTCAGCTGCGACCAGATCTGCGTGAAGAGGCCGATGTGCGTGCGGTTGAGGTATTTGGGCGTGAGGAGCTCGTAGTACCCGCTGCGCCAGCTGCCGTTTTCCGTCTCGACCCATTCGTGGATTTCCTGCAACTCCCTTCCCACCCACGGGCTGTATTCATCTCCATGTCCGTGGGTGAGGATGAGCACGCGCTCGCACTCCTGCCAGCGGCCGCGGAGGGCGAGCCAGCGCGGGGATTCCGGGAGGAAGATCATGCCGATGAAGAGGACGATGGCGGGGATCATCTGCAGGGCCCAGGGGATGCGGAAGGCTTTGGTGCCGGACAGGAAGGAGCAGCCGTAGGAGATGTAGAACATGATGAGGATGCCCCAGGTGATGGCCCATTGTTGGAGGCCGGTGAGGCGGCCGCGTTTGGACGGCTGGGCGATTTCGGAGATGTAGACGGGGACTTGGGCGGAGCAGATGCCGACCTAAGCATTCAATCTCGGTCAGCAGTGGTGTAATGGTAGAGGGGGAGGTACGCACGCAAAAGCCGTTAAGGACGCGGCCGACGATGAGCATGGGGATGTTCTGTGACGCGGATGTGATGATGCAGCCGATCACCCATATGATGGTAGCGAGCCTGGATCTTCCATCAGCAGGACGTCCCAGTCCAAGAGTAATACTACCACTCACATCACAGCCCTCCGCCTCCCAATAGCATCAGACAAGAACCCCGAAAACAACGAAGCCGCCCACGACCCTCCAGCCATCGACGCCACGATCCCACCCTGCACCGACGGTCTCGGACCCATGCATGTCCCATCAATAGACTGATCAAAGTAGCATTTATAGCTCTCCGTCGCAATACTGCCTTCACATCAGCACCATCTCTCCCTGGACTCCTTGATGAAAGTGATACATACATCGCGCTCATAGACGAAATGTCGAATCCAAACAGCCCACCGCCTATCACGGCGATGGCCGCGATGAAATAAGGATTGCTGTACTTCTTCACCATGATGGCGACGACTCGAGACTAGGAATTCTGATGATGCCGCCGGCGAGTCGAAGTCGATGGAGGTTCGCGCATTCTCGAGCGCAGTGGTGATGCGTGCAGCGGTGAGGTGCGGATGTGAGCTTGTAGGCAGCTGTCGATCGGAGTCGCAAAGTCACGTCGAAGTGTAAGTCGTGCGCTCGAGTTCTTCCTGCTGGTACGGAGCTATATTGCTTCGCCTGGACCTGCTAGAGTCGTATGGAGGATGTGCAGTCAAGCAGACAGGATGAGTGTCGCATGCGCAAAAGACGAGAGTCATCAGATGCCGATGGTGCGTGGTGGTGGTGGGTTCCCGGAGTGTGCCGCTAAAGTTCGCTTCCTCCGCAATCTAGATGCGTGGCGCCCTCGCGTCCCCAATTTCTCCAGCTCTCGAATGCTAGGTCAGCGAGGTCAGCTTCCGAGGTTCCTATGTATAGCTGCTGATTGCGCCGCTGGTACACGAGCACGACGTAACCATTTGAAAAGGAGAAGTGCTGCTGCAGCTGGGACAAGACGGTTTCTGAGTTCCCCGGACTCGCCCCGGATCATCGGAGTGAGACTGGGGAGCCATGTGGCAACCCGCAAAACCGCCAACGGGGACACGGCCCGTGCATACCGACTTCGCCGCGACTCCGACCGTTGCCAGCCGAGAAGTATTAAATACTTGCTCGCTTTCCATCCCGTTTGACGACGCGGCATCGTCATATCAGCCCACCGTCTGCTCTCGGAGAATCTACAAATCGCTCTCGAGTCATCCGCTCGCCCAGCACCCCTTCCGCCCATTTATCCTTATGGCTCACTCACACCGACGAGCTTCACCGTCTGAGCTGCCGCGAAAACGTCCAGCACCGCCATCTGCGAGTGACTGGTTGGACATTCGAAGGGGCCGTTCCACCATGGGCCATACCGGCCTCTGCCATCGGTGTTGCGTTCCACTTGGCTTTGGAAATTGATATAGACGAATTTCCGGATCATGTCTTTGACGTCTTGCGCTTCGGAATTTGGACAGCCTGTACGTTCGAGGACGTCGTATAAGGTGCCGAGCTGCCTGATGAGGACGGACTTGAAGCCGACGGAGTCGTTGTCCTTGAGAGGATCATGGTTTCCTTTTCCATATGCCCCCTTCTCAGTCAGCACGCCGTTGTCTTCGACCCATCCTGGACGGTTCATGGATCTGCGCGCCATATGGCAGGCTAGGATCATGTACTCCTCCTCGCGCGTGGCTTCGAAAAGTAAAGCACAAGTCCCAAGCGCCACGGCAGTGTTGTAAGTGAAGGTCCAGTCGACCCTCTTATCCTTGTTCAAATCAATATGATCAAGCACCATCCCCTTCCGTGGCCGATACCTACACCTCAGTATCCAGCCTAGACAACACCTCGCCATCTCGACATACTCCCTTCCCACCATCTCCCTCTCTCCCTCCCCCTCCCTCGCCCTCTTCATCTCCACCAACGCCAACCGCACGCTCAATTCAGCGTACAAGCCCGTACTAATAGCATTCACACACCCATTCCCTGACCTCCTTCGCTTCCAAAAAACACCCCCCTCCATATCCTCCCCCTTAAACAACACCTCCCCGTTACGACAAACACTCCCGTCGTCCCTAATGGCCCTCCACACCCCCTCCGCTTGCGTCAAAAACCATCCCTCCCCACTAAAACTGTACATGTGCACGCATAAAAGCGCCCACCAGCAACTATCGTCATTGAACGCATTAATTAACCCCCTTTGACGACGCTCGCATTGTCGTATCGCGCGAGAGAGAAGGTCGTACCAGGCTCGACTTCCGTGGTCTGATGAGAGGTTCCAGAGCGCGATGGCGGTGTAGGCGTTGGCGAGTTGCCACCAGCCGATGCCGGTGACGGAGCCGTTGGGGCGTTGGTGGGTGAGGAGTTGGTGGAAGGCTTCTTGTGCGATTCGGTCGGGATTTTGGGGTGGGGGGATTGGGGTGGTTAGCCAGGATGGAGTTTGAGGTGAGGTTTCCTGGGCGAGTTTGGCTAAGGCTAGGAGGGTGTTGGCAGTGATCATTGTGGTCATTTCCTTGAGGTTGCACTGGTTGGAGTAGTTCTTCTGGATTTTTCGATGCCGTGTTCTCAAGAAGGGCCAGGTGGTAGGAGAGTGATCCCCTCAGGTATACTACATGTACGTGTATGTATAAGGAATGACAAGTCATCAACAAGGTATGAGTCGAGAAGAGCGACTTCCAAGCTGGTGATCGACTTGCCCCAAGCTCGACTTTCACATGCAAGGCTTCCACGCCCCACATTCACTTGATCTTCGACAGCAAACAGCATTGCTTGCTGCCAGCATTCGCAATGGTCATTCTCGAACTGTCATCGAGGCGAACGATGCTTCACGCACCCTCAAACCACGAAAGATGAGCGACTGGATCGATCAGTATACCGCCGCACTCGACATCCGCGATGCGCGAGAGCAGGCGCATAAGCCATATATCGATGCCTGTACGCTTCCTCGTACTCCCAACAAACATACTACATACAAACGGCATAGCAGACACCAAACTAGCCGACCGCACAGCAGCAGCCTCCGCCCTCACCACCCCCTCCCGACCACCCCAACCCGAACCCTCCACCCAACCCCCACCACCCCAAAGCACCAAGCTCCCCTCGCGCAGCAAACCCACCTCTCCCACCCCTCCCCCCCAGGAAGCCACCGTCGACACCCTCTTCCGCCTCCGCACCGACCTCGCCCTCACCCAAAAAGCCCGCTCCACCCTCACCACCCGCGTAGCCTCCCTCACAGCCGAGCTCTCAGACCTCAGCACCGCGCAAAAGTCCTCCGCAGCCCAGATCGCCCTCCTCACATCCCAGAAATCCGCGCTCGAGCGGAGGCTGAGAGATCGAGAAGAGGAGTTAAGGGGAAAGCAGAAGCTGGTGGAGGATGCGCAGGATGAGATGGTGGCGCAGGGGTTGCAGATGAATCTTGCCGAGGAGAAGGCGGCGAGGTTGGAGGGGGAGAATAGGGAGTTGGTTGATAGGTGGGTGAGGAAGATGGAGGGGGAGGCTGAGAGGGTTAATCGGGAGTCTGAGTGGAGGTAGGGAGGGTGTGGTAGGGCTGGGAGGGGGTGAAGTAGAGAAGTTGGAGGATGTGTGATGGGTGAGAGAGAGAGGCAGCTTTGCGACGCCCATATGCTACACATCATATCTCTCTATCGACATCCGAAGAGTGAGGTTCCCGACCACTGAACGCCGTCGCTATGCTTGTTCATAGGCTTCGCAGCGCTCATCGAGGTATCATCGTATGCACAATCTAAGAGAAGACCCTCCCGCGTCCGTCGTCTATTGCTGGGCGCACTGCGCACCCTCAGCGCCCTCCTCATCATCCTCCCATTCATTACCAGCGCGCGGATCGTCTGAGTCTGCGCCGAAACCTTCGAGATCTTCCACTACGTCGAAGGAGACGTCGTCTACGAGATCGGGTGTTTCGCCAGGGCCGTGCTTCATACCCTCCGCTTTCGGTAGGACAGAGCGTACTTTGTCCACAGCTTCTTGCGTCTCGAGCCAGCCGTCCTCTGGAAAATTGATGTTGACCTTCAGGTACAAGTCGCCCTTTGCATCCGATCGTTTCATCGGCATGCCCTCTCCTGGCACTTTGAGAATCTCATCCGGCCGTAGGACCTTGCCCTTCGGTTGCTGTACCTTCAAGCTGATGCCGCGGCCGTCCAGATGTACCAGCACCACTCGGTTGAAGCCCGTTAACGCTTCTGACAGCGAAATATCCAGATCCGCTTGCAAGTCTGCCCCAGCACGGTTGAACGTCGCATGCTGCTCCTCCACAAGCTCGAAAACGATATCCCCCGGCTCTTCATCATCCGGATCCTGATCCGCCTCTCCAGCCAGCACGATCTTCTCCCCCTGCCGACTACCTCTCGGAATGTAAAGCTCCAGAATCTTCTTCTGCTTAATCGTCCTCACCCCCTTGCACTTCTTACACTTATCCTTATCCTGATAAAAGCTCCCCCGTCCCGCACAAGTATTACACGGCACCGTCTCCTGCGTCACCAACCCCGGCCCCACTGGTCGCAACCTCGTGCTCATCCCCTTGCCCTTGCAAGTATCGCACTGCTTCATCTTCGCCTTCTCCTTCCCCCCACTCCCATGACAGTTCTGACACACGACATTCTTCGTGCTCGCAAACTTCGTCGTCTTCCCCTTGTACAGCTCCTCCAGCGTGACCTCGTACTGCTGCATCTCCGGCCTGCCCTTCCCCCTCCTCCTCTTCCCCGGCATTCCACCTCCCATCCCAAACTCCGCCCCGCCCCCAAAACTCGCCCCGCCCGCCCCAAACATTTGCGCCAGAATGTCGTCCAAGTCCGGTCCCGCGCCCGAGAACCCATTCGCTCCTCCCCCTCCCTTCTCGAACGCCGCCATCCCGTGCTGGTCGTAGGCGGCGCGCGTGTCGTCATTGCTCAGGATCTCGTAGGCCTGCGAGACGGCTTTGAACTTGACGTCGGCGTCGGCGCGTTGCTCGTCGGGGACTTTGTCCGGGTGGGAGGAGAGGGCGGCTTTGTGGTAGGCCTTTTTGATCTCGGCTTTGCTGGCGGAGCGGGGGATGGAGAGGACTTCGTAGAGGTCGATTTCTTCGGGAGGTGGGGAGGCCATGGTGGTGGTGGTCAAGATTACGTACTGTGTGTGGTCCTCCTAGGTGTTCGGTGGTGGAGTGAGAGCGGGTGGAGGTGAGGTTTGTAGGGGGTTGTTTGGAAGAGGAAGAAACAGTCAGATCTCAAACTTCATGCGGTGACGATCGTTTGCGTCCCGGCTGCTCGGCGCTGGGTTTAACTAGCGTGGAACTTAAACCCGATCCATCGCTTTGGATATGGTTGTCTCGACTTCACTTCCACCCTACCCAACAGACTTCAATGAAGACCTTGTCCTCGTTACGACCAGCGCAATGGCAAGGCACATACTGGATCTGCTCTCGATGCTCACTGCTGCAGCAGAGACGGCCTGCTCCTCTTAAGTCTGCTCAAGTGTCGTCCCTTGGAACTGGTAAATACAATACCAGACAGGGACCAGTACGAGCGTTTTCAAGTTGCGCAGAAGCGCGATCTAAGGACACGGCGAACCGACCACGACGGAGAACGCTTCTCCCTCAGACACCGGCACGTACTCGCTTCGCGCCTTCGCCAACAGGCCATCTGCACATAGGGGGCTTGCGTACGGCGCTGTTCAGCTACTTGCTCGCGAAGCGCACTGGAGGCCAGCTCTTGTTACGTATTGAAGACACCGATCAGGTATTTCCGTCTTTACTTTAAGAGAAACTCTCTCGCTAAGGAATTGCAGAAACGACTAGTCCCTGGAGCCGAAGCTCAAATCTACAAAGACCTGCAATGGGCTGGCCTCCAATGGGACGAGGGTCCTGAGGTCGGCGGGCCCTACGGTCCATACCGACAGTCCGAGCGGAACGACATCTATCGCACTCATGCGGACGAGGTGTTAGAGCGAGGGGCCGCCTATCGATGTTTCTGCCCGCCACTGAAGTCTGGCGACCAAAGGGCAGCATACGTGACGTCTGGGTGCTACCAGAACTGCTCTTTATTGGAATATTCGATATCCAAGAAGCGTGCACAAGAAGGCCAAGAGCCCTTTACCGTCCGATTACATCCACCGCCACCTGTCGACAGACGGGACAAGGGCAAGCACACTGTGCCGGATCTAGTATATGGCAAGATACAGCGTCTCAAACGATCACCTGCAGCTCCACAAGCCAGCGCGTCCTCCGAAGACGGCGGAGACTCCGGCATTGATGCAGCAGACACTGTCTTGGTCAAGTCAGATGGCACACCCACCTACCACTTCGCGAATGTGGTCGACGATCATCTGATGAAGATCACACACGTTATCCGCGGAGCAGAGTGGATGGCGAGCACGCCACTGCATTTCGACATATACAACGCCTTTGGCTGGGAGCCACCCGAGTTCGCCCACGTCGGACTCCTAGTCGACGAGAACGAAGCGAAGTTGTCGAAACGCACCCAAGACGGCGTCGCTCTAGATGTCGCAAGTATGCGAGACAAGTACGACGTCCTGCCAGAGCCGCTGGTGAACTTCCTGGCATTGCTTGGCTGGAGCAACCCCACTAGGGACGATGTGATGGACATGGAGGCGCTCATCTCGAATTTCGACCTCAAGTTTACCAGAGGCAATACGATGGTGAAGATGGACAAGCTCTGGTACTTACAGAAGAACCACGTCCGACCGATGCTGGATCGTGCAAACGAGACGAACGACTTCGCGCCGATCATGCATATCGTCAGCAAGATTGCCAACGAGGTCGCGGCGATATATGACGATCCCATTATCAACGGTCAGAGTACGTTCAAAGAGCAAAAGACATTACTGCCGGACCGCCTGCACGCCTACTGCGCCGACATCCTGCTCGCCGATCGGAACAACTATGCCACTCCCAAAGCCTGGGTGGACCAGCATACCTACTTCTTCGAATGGGACGAAGCCAAAGTCCCGGAGATTGGCGATAAAATGAGGAGCAGCCCCGGACACCACGTCTTCCCGACCAACACCTTCAAGGCCCTAGCAAACGCCATACTCGACGACATCCCCTGGGACGCCAACGACATCCCAACTTTAACGCTGGGCCCTTCGAATCCTTCCGAACGAGCCATCGCAGCGCTCGTCTCCCGCATCAACAACATCGTCGCCAAGCACACCTGGGCGCTCGTGCTCACGCAGATGCAGCACGAGCTCCCCCTGGCAGGAGATCAGAACAGCGGGGATATCGCTCCTCCATTGCCACCACATCCGATCGCAGACTCCAAAATCCCAGCCTGGCTCCACCGCCCATCCCTCGATGCCGAAGACTTTAAGCCCGAAAATCTGGCCCCGCATTTCGCCACTACGGAGGAGCATGGAGTGATTGCAGAGTTGGCGGAAACGCTGAAATGGTGGCATAAACTTCTCAATCCGCTGGTGCACAGGTACTTGCGCACGCGGTTGGCGTATGGGATGCCTGGGCCGAGCGTGGGGTGGGTGATGGGGTTGCTGGGGAGGGAGGAGTGTTTGCGGCGGTTGGGGTCGTAGATCCATCGGCCTCCAATCGTGGAATAATGCTTGCATCGAAGACTTGTATATCTACACTGTACAAATACCTAAACTACAACTCTATCGCCACAGTGTGTCCCTCGTACATCGTACAGATCCTGTCATCTACCTAAACCTCTCCCCCTTCAGCCTTTGATAAGGCAACGGCTCCACCCTCTTCCTTCTGAACTCCACATCCCCGCCCGCCAGGCCCGCACGTTCCATCACCTCCGCCGTCCCATCATCCCACTTCGCTCGGAACAAATCGACCCCTCGGGGTTGGAGGGAGAATTTATCCATGAAACTCCTCAGGACAAACTTTTCTCTTTGCGTAACTTCAGGCTTACGGGATTTCATGTCCGTCAAGTTGAGGGTGCCTGGGGAGGAGGGGGAGGAGTAGGTTTTGTTGAGAGTCTCGGGGTTCTGCTCGAGGACGAAGAGCGCGTGGCGTTGGTAGGGGAGGCCTTTTTGGACGTGCGGGGGGAGCCAGGACTGCAGGACTTGCGTCTCGGGGTCGAGGGCGGAGAGGTCGACGGTGGTGTCTGTAGGCGAGATCTTGACGTTGCAGGCGAGGAAATGGCAGCGGTAGTCGAACGCATCTCTTTCCACGTTCGGGACGTCGGGGTTCACGATCGCGATTGTGACGAGCCGGTCACCCGCGTTGTAGGGCTGGATGGTGAGGACGGGTGGTTTCTCGGATAAGAGGGAGTGCACGAACTCGCCGTGCGGGACTTTGTGGGAGTCGGCGAAGCGGATGGAGGTGCTGTAGGTGGGGTCGATGGACTGGAGGACGTCGGGGACGACGTTCATTTGCGTGATGCGTTGCATGAGGACGAGGCGTTTGTAGGTGCGCCATTGGAGGTCGGAGAGGTGGCGGTAGATGGGTTTGGTCATGTCGCCTGCATTTCAACATCATTAGCATATCGTTCACCAGTACTGTATTGGAGGAAAGGTGAACGTACCCATCCCATCCTCAAACCTCTTCTTAACAAGCGGATCGTTGATATCCGCCAGGATCTTCCAATCCTCCAACCTCTTCCGCATACTCCGAATCTGATGCTCCCGCTTCCTCCTCTCCACCTCACCCTCACCTTCCCCCAACCGCGACCCCTTCGCCTCCAACTTCGCGATGCGCTCCCGCATCATCTCAACCTCCCGCACCTTCTCCGCGCGGTCTTCCAGCAGCACTTTCCGCGCCTCCTGGAAGCATTGGTAGGGGAGTTGGGAGAAGGGAATGTTGGTGCTGGTTGCGAGGGCGGCGCGGCGGCGGCGGGAGCCGATGGGATATTGGTTTTGGGTTGCGATGAGTTTCTTCTCAGTGCGGGAGGTGTGGACGAGGTTGGGGTTGTAGCGGTGGGCTTTCTCTGCACTGGTGGCATCTGGAGGAGGTGGTGGAGTGGCTTCGGGGGTTGAGGGGGATTCGGTGGTGGTTGCGAGGGTGCGGTAGGGGAGGTGGAGGATTCTGTCGTGGCGGGTGCTTCGAAAGCATTGCCCTAGAGGGCGATTGAGCGACATATCTGCGGTATAGTAGGATGAGATTGCAATGGTCAAGATGGATGAGGTTGGATGTTCATCCGATATGGCTTGGCGTTGCGGCGAAAGTTCAAGACTCCCGAGCACTGCAGATGCGATGACCATTGAGACGTCCAACTCCATCTACACCACCACACAAACAACATGGCATCAAAACGAATATCCGCGCCCGCCCGGCAACTCCTCAACACCTTCACCCACCACCGCCAACCCACCCGCTCCCTCACCACCGAAGCCACCCCCTCTCCGAACACAACCCTCTCCCAAACCTACCTCGACGCCCACCTCTCCAGTGCCCCCACTGAACCCATCCTAAACGATAACCCTTCAAGCATAATACCGCCCCCAACGCAACCTCAACGACAACCACAAAAGACCTACACCCCACCCCCCAACCCCTTCCACAAACCCACCCACATAACCCTCCACGCCTTTCCAACCCTCGAACCCCTCTCCCTCGCACCCTACCCATCAACCCACCTCCTTTTACCTTTACGAAAGGACCTGCTCCACCGCGCCGTCGTCCACGAAGGCGATGCCGCCCGGCAGGGCTCCGCCAACACCAAACACCGCAGCGAAGTGCACGGGTCCGGGCGGAAAATCCGGCCTCAAAAGGGAACAGGCAGCGCGCGGTTGGGGGATAAAAAGAGTCCGATGCTGAAAGGGGGTGGTGTGGCGTTCGGGCCTAAGCCGAGAGATTTCGCGACCGGGTTGCAGAGACGGGTGTATGATTTGGCGTGGCGGACCGCTTTGTCGTACAGGTATGCGAGGGGGGAGATGATTGTGCTGGACCACCTCCCGGAACTACCGGGGGAGGTTAGTGAAGGGAGTCGAGAGCGGTGGATGAGGGATCTGCTGCTGCATAACCGCCTCGGAGCGCCGGATGGACGGACACTATTCCTTACTTCAGACAAAGTCGAATCCCTCTGGGACGCGCTACGAGGCAGGAAGACGTACGGACTGAGGAGGAAGAAGATCATGGATACGATTGGAGAGTCGCGACACGCGCGGGCGTTGACGGTCGGGGAGGTGGACGTGAAGGATCTGTTGGAGTTGGGGCGGGTGGTGGTGGAGAGGGGCGCGTTGGATGAGATGTTGAAGGCGCATGAGAGTGATTTGACCCCTGGGGAGAGGCTGAATGCTTGGAGGAGGGGGCAGAGGTTGGAGGTGGTGTGAGGTGGACATGACGAATTGCGCCGTCTGTACAGTTATGAGAACAGCATGCGACTTGCAACATGCACTCGGGATCTGTGAGCGTTGTACTGTATTGTTATAAGGAAGAGCAGATCAAAGTCTTGACATTACAGATTTTACATGACGACTCCAGATCATGCCAAGGGGTATCGCTCGTCCCATCCCGTGCCATACAGCAAAACCCAACCCGAAACCCGCAACGCAATGCAATCAAACAACTTCCTCCAAACGCTACCACGTCCCCAACCCCCCACCCAAACTCGCCATCCCCAGCTGCTCCATCCCGCCCAAGACGTCTCGTCTCGAAGGATTCGGCGTCTGATTCTCCGTAGTAGTAATATTCAAATTCCCCACCTCACACCAATCCTGCCCATCCACCGTCACGGGCAAACAGCTCAAATACTTGCACCAGCTACACGTCGTCCGCGGCCAGGCGTAGAAATTCTCAATCAGCAGGATGAACCCGATCAGCACGCCCACGAGCGCGGCGGCCCGGACGAGCCACCAGGCCCACCAGGCGCCCCTCCGGTTCTTGAAGAAGGAGAGGGGGGATTTGATGAAGGTTTTGAGGTCGGTACCGGGGGCGGATGAGGAAGGGGAGGTGTGGGGTGGAGCGGGGGAGTAGTCGGTCGTGCGACGGGAGATGGCGGCGGGGGAGCGTAGGATGCAGACGCCCAAGACAAGGCCCATGAGGAAGCCGCCGATGTGGGAGAAGTTGTCCAAGCCTGGTAATAGGCCCAGAACGAAAGCGATGGCGACGTCGAGGACGATGAAGAGCAGGTCTTTTAGCGGGCCTTTGCGCTCTTTCCAGGTGTAGAGGAGGTCGATTAGTGTGATGGCGAGGATGCCGAAGAGGCTGCCGGAGCACCCGCAGGACGCGATGCCCGTGGCGGCGAAGTTGCCGCCGAGCACGAAGCCAAAGATGCCGGAGGCGAAGTAGACGATTGCGAAGCGCACGCTACCGATCAGCTTCTCGATGTCCCGGCCGAGCGTGAGCTGGAGCAGGAGGTTGAAGCCGATGTGGATGAGGCCGGCGTGCAGGAAGATGGGGATGATGAAGCGGTACCACTGGTTCGGGGTCGGAGAGGATGTCATGTCGCTGCCCAGTTCTGGCAGGGAGACGCCGCCGAGGCCGCAGAGCTGGGAGAGGGTGCATTGGACGTCGGCGCCGGTGAGGGAGGTGGCGGCGGGGCAGGGCCAGGAGATGGGGATGCTGGAGTTTTGCACGTTGGGGATGGAGTGCATGCAGGGCGGGTAGCGGGCGCCCATGTTGATGAGGACGTAGGGGGAGGGGCCGATCATGGGGTTGAAGGAGGGGTGGATTTCGATGGGGGTGTTTGTTAGGATGGCTGGATGTTCATGTTAGCATGAACCGATATTTCTCCTGTGTCTGTAGAGTCCTACCATTCTTGATAATCTCTCCCACAAACACACCAATCTGCACCACCGTCAAGAAATACACCACCCAACACCCATCCCTCAGAAACCCCTCCTTCTTCGCCTTCCGCCTCTTCCGCCGTGGGTCCGCATCCCTCACAAACGGATCATCCTGCTCGTGTGGTAATATCGGATCTAAAGTCGTCGCCGACGCATGCTTTGCCTGCCGCCCACTCAAAGGTATCGAGTTCTCGTCGTCGAAGGGATCTGATGGGTCTCGACCTCCTAGCTTGCCGTTGCTGCTCGAAGCGTATTGGGGGTGTGAGTAGGGGCTTTGGTAGTTGCTGTTGTATGGCGAGTGAGCGTTTTGTGGTATCGGAGGCAGAGGCGCGTTGCTGTACTCGTGGTCGTGGTAGGGGTTGGCGGCGTATTGGGAGTGGGAGTAGTAGTCGTTGGCGGCCATTGCGGCCGGAGGGGGTGGTGGAGTCGCGCGGAGGGAGGTGGTTCGACAGCGCTGGTGGGTAGGGTCTGGTGATGTTCTCTCCAAAGTCGTATGCTTTCCTTCTGCCGGACTGTCGTACAATGGGAGCTAACGTCTTGGACGGGTGGGTGCTTGCTTGCGTGGAACAGCTGCTCCGTGCGGCCACGCAATCGAACGAGTGTCTCGGAGTCACTGAGGTGTCACATGGATATTTGCGGTTCGGTAGCGACAGACAACGAGCGACTGTTATGCTCAAGACATTGTTATGGCAAGGAGTGAGATCTTGGAATTATGAGGCTGTCCTTTCGACCCCATCGGCCAAAATAGAAAGATGTGGCTGTGAAGGCGACGCGGCTGCCGTCGATCTCCCCAGATTTGCGACAGGGGGCAGGGCCAAGAAATAAGATATAGGGCTATTATCTATATAGCGAAGAGGAGAGCATGCGAGCGACGGTACAATCGATATGTTGTTCATCATCTACCTCAACTGCACGACCCACTCTTGCAGGTACAGTGAAACCTACTCATCATCATCCAAATCAATCGAGCTCGTCGTCACCTTATTCCGCTTCCCCCCCAACTCCCCAGCACCCGTGATCAAAATCTCGCTCTTATCCGGCAGCACAAGCAACGTCCGCGTATAACTCACCCCCTCCGGCGTCTCCACCTTGACCCACGCATCCTCAGCTCCCAGAGCCTGGTTGATGAACACCTCCGACAGCGTGCCACAAGTCACAACGATGGTCCCATTCTCCCCACCAGCGGGGGTCCAGACATTGTACGGAGAAGACACCGGCACCGTGCCATCCGTCGCCACGAGCGCGTGGTCCTCCGCGTTGTCGAAGTCGAGCGGATCGCTGCTGATGCGGTAGAAAACAGGAAACGTATAATCCCCGCTCGAATTCCCATCCACAGGGCCGCCGCCGAACTCGTACGTGAAGAAGTACTTTCCATTCGGCAGCTCGCTGACGATCGGCATACCAGGCCTATCGGTGTACTTGGGCTGCGCGACGTCGTCGACCACGGGGCCCCAAGACAGCAGGTCGGGGGAGACCTGATGCACGAGTTTCTGCCCGTAAGTGGCGTTGTCGCGTTGGTCGGAGTAGTAGCAGATCATCTCGCCTTGGTAGGTCATGAGGTAGGGTTCCCAGACGGGTGTGAGGCCGTTGTTGGGGAGGGCGAGGCCGCCGTGGGCGATGTGGGAGACGAATTTCCAGGTGTAGCTGCTTCGCGGTTAGTATGATGGAGTAGCGGGCACTGGGGATTCGTAAACGTACCCTTTATCTTTTGAAGCATAGAGGTCAATCTGCGTCTCGCTCAAATCATCCGGAATACTACTCGCCGCCAACAACACCGTCCCCTTCTCAAACTCCCCAATCGGCTCCGCGAGCTCGTACAAAAACGGCTGATACCTCAACCCCCAACCGTTCACTTGGTCGTAAACCCTGCTCCGCTCCGTCCACGTCTCCCCGAGATCCAGCGATTGGTAGATGGGCATGTACGGGAAGGAGTTGTTGTTGGGGAGATAGTTCTCCCAGGTTGCGAGGAGGGTGTTTTGGTCTTCATGCTTGCAGTTTTGGTTGAGGAGGAGGGTGCGGGCGTAGAGGGTGCGGGGGACGGTGTAGTTGCGTGGTGGTGTAAAGATGGTTACGTTGGTCAAGAGGTCGTCCTGCGCTGCTGCTGTTTGCAGGCTGGAGAAGGTGGTGAGAAGGGTTGTAGTAAGGACGCTCCACTTCATATTGACGGTGATGTTGGAAATGGTGGTCCAGGCCAGTAGAGGTGGCGCAAGACGTGGATTTGTAGCATTTTGTATTCGCCTCTCGGGTTAGCCATTACCGGAAGCCACGAATGGATTGTATGGTTCTTTGACTCGTTCGCGTGGATATATTGTTGTGGCAGAGGTTGATTTCTCCGCAATATGGGGCTCCACGAATTTTCCTCCAATGCACGAATTCCTCCGTTGCAGATCGCAAAGGTTGATCTCTGAGATCGTCATCGCCATGTTTTGAGCCGCGGCAGTTACAGTATTACAGATGCAGAAATGAACGAGGTTGACCAGCCACAAAAGAGTCAATGAAAAGGGTGTGATGTGAAAGTTTCCATACCCTCCCATCAATCAACTCACCTCCACCGCACTCTCAGTGAGTCCAGGCAATGTAGGTCGATACTCACCATCTCAGCGCTCACCACCACCCCCAAACAACCTCATCGCATCCCTAGCCAACGCGTTGTAGCTATCCTCATCTTCATCCATGTCTATGTCCAACACATTCGGATCCATCTCGCCAACGTAGCCGTCCAGGCCTGGCCATCTGGTCGGTGAGTTCCAACCCTCGTCGTTGTTGGACGGCGTCGTGCTCTGGCTGTGGTGTCCCTTCGTTCCCGCGATGGTCCGTTCGCTTGGTTCGTCGTCGAAGTTGTTGTCAAGGTAGGTGTTGTCGAACAGCTGCCAGGCTCCAGGATCGTTCGGGAGTTGGCCGAAACTAGTGTTTATGCCGTATGATGCCTCCAGCTCGCTTGGGGGCCACTGATAATTGAAGTCCATGGCCTGCTCCATACCAGTATTGAGCGCCGGCAATGTCAGGTCGCCGGTGTTCATCGTCGGCAGCATCTGCTCACCACCAACCGCCGCGTTGGCAAAGAGATCCTGCCCTTCCATGCACCGCCCGCAGCGACAACCTGGCATAGCCCATCCGTGCGAATCATGGGGATGCGTATCGAGCGAACTCTGATCACTTCTCGTGGCTCCACAGCAGAAACAGAAGTAATTACTTGACAGAGCTATTGGAGCAGGCGGAGGCGGCAGGTTGAAGAGATCCGCCTCATTGGGGGGTATGAAGGTGAGGTCGTTGGATAAGTCGAAGGTAGAAGCTGCTGTCAACGCTGGGTCAAGGTATGGGGCTGACGTACCTTCGTCTGCGTGCTGCGCAAAAGCCGGGTCTACGAACAACGGGTAAGATGCTGCCGTGTTCATGGTGCCCTGCCCTTCGTACAGAGGCTCTGGCTGTTGTCCCGACGTACCTTCATCTGCGTGTTGCGGAAACGCCAGGTGGGCGAATGTTGGGTAAGTAGGTGCGACGTTGGTGCTGCCAGCTTGCCCGTCCAGCGGTCCTGTGGGCTGGCCTTCCGTCGTGTCTGCTTGCAGCGGAGGGTCGTTGATTGTCATGCGATCCATACCCTCGTGGATCTGTCGGAAGTCAAACTCAGGCAGCACAGCAGCCTGTCCAGCGGGCCTTCCATCCCCCTGAGCCTGCGAAGGAACCTGCTCATCATCCTCCGTCGGCGCATCAGTAGCAGCACTCCTCCTTCTCGTCCTCCCACGCCCTTGCCTCTTCGTGACTCTACCGCGTCCAGCAGGAGAGGCTCCATCACGCCCACTCCAAGAAGGATTCTTATGGTGGATGAGGCGGATGTGTCGATTCAGACTCCCCAGTCGGGCGAAGGCGGACTTGCAGTGGTTTTCCGGGCAGACGTACGGTCTCTCTTTCGTATGCGCTTCGCGGATGTGTTGGTTGCAGTTGTGGTCGCAGACGAACAGGCGGTTGCAGCCATCGAAGGGACAGGGCACTTTGTATTTGTTTGGTTGGTAGTTGGCGGATTTGTTGCCCGTGGGTGGGTTGAAGGGGGGTGGTGGTGGAGGTGGTTGGTCCATGATTGGGGTAGGAGGTATCGATTCGTACAGTGTTGCAATAAGTTTTGCTGTGTTGGTAAAAGGTACAGATGTAGAAGAGATGCGACCGGCGCAGTAAGAAGGTAATAAAAATGAATAGAGACTGAATACGACACACGCTGCGCTGGAAGGGAAGATATGGGAACCACCTGGTCAACTTACGCTTTACCATCGTCGAGGTCTCAGAATACAATGTTCCTGTTCGAGAGCTGGACTGGACTAGACAAAGAGTTGGCTGGTCCGACACAATACCATTCTCCTGAGAGACAAGAGAAGTGGTCGCTTCACCTGTTGATTCGGTCTGCCTTGACGGTAGGCAACTTCACGCAGAAGGTTCCGGGGAGTGTGTAGGCGTGAAGCTGGCTGGTGATGGTTCTGGCTTGCGGTAGACTGCCAGAGATAAGTCAGTTGCCTTCCAAGAACAGTCGTGACGTGCGGCTGTTGTGCTTGGAGATGACGACCTGACGCTAGCAAAGATCCGGCGAGCAGGTCCATCGTGAGGTCGCGGATGGAGGCGGACTCGTCCGGAACGTCTGGGCATCGATGATAGACATGTTTGACTGAGCAAACCCGTGTCTCGAGCTGTGACCCGAAGATATCGAACATGACAGGCTCCATCCATAATCGAGCTAGGTCTCGATATTTCGTACAGAGGGGATCTCGCAGCTATTCCGTAGATTCGTAGTTAGCAGACGTGTTAGTGGACCACAACAGGGAAGGACGAAGAAAAGAAAGAACAGCAGGTGAGGTTTGAAGAGGGAGTGCACGGACCGCTTGATCCTGCAGGATCCAGTCGCCCTCCCATATTGATTGTCGTGTCGTTCGTGGTAGTCATATCTACTCGTTATCCATCCTTGCTTCATCGTATATTACGGCGTTCCCATCCTCGTCCTTCTCTCATATCTGCCCCTCATCTCCTTCCTCAATACTTCCGCGCATGCGTGTACCCCGTCGTCTGCACAGGCGCATACCCCGGTGGCGGCGGCCCAGTCTGCACGACCGCCGGCTGCGTCGCAGCAGGATAGTACCCTCCGTGCGCATGTCCATGTCCGTGACTACTCCTCCGTCCCGCTCCCAACGTCGACCGACTCTCTTTGCGCGCGATCCTCCTTCGCTCCGAGTGGTTCGGTGTTTTGATGATCACGTACCAGGCGTGGAGCACGCCGGGGATCCAGGCGAGGAAGCAGAGGAGGATGTTGATCACGACGTCAGCTCCACACCCCGTTCTCAGGACAACGGCGAGTGGTGGGAGGAAGATGGCGATGATGCCTAGGAGGAGTCCGCCCTGTGAGGTGGATTAGTTGGGTGTGGTGCTGTGCAGGATGTCGGGGGGACGTACGATCATGTTGGATACGGTAGGTGTGTTCGGTGTTGTGCAAGCTGTTCTCAGTCTCAAGTCGTTCACTTGGTTGTCGACGTGGCTGTCGGTTGCTTCGATAAAGTCTGATGTGTAGGATCGATTATGTTGTGTGTCAAGTCCAGCTTGATGATGTCGTCTGACAACCTTCGAGAGGGTTCCAACTTGACCTTTATATCACATGCCCTTCCACAGCCTCACATCCCTGCCTTACTGTGCCACCCGGACCTTCCGGCGTCATCAGGCTCGCAGTTTGCCTCGTGACGCCTGGGACGCGCTGCCTGCCAAGCGGGAAGTTCCGATTTGCCGACTCGAGAGAAGGCAACGCGATGTGAAGTGAAAGTGAAAGTCGACATCACTACCACATTTCCGTTGTTTCCTGAGCGGCTGTTTGCGAGCACATGAGATGGACTAGAACGTCATGCTGCGATGTTGACCAGAGGAAGTGTAGGTAGCATGTAAGCGACGTCTCGCAAAACGACTTCCTCCTCCGACCTCCGCCGCTTCCATCTCTGCCAAGCTCGCATTGAACGCGCTCAACTTCTGTCTATCACCAACGACAGCCGTCGACACGATTGGCGTACCGAATCGGCCGCAAAGATGCATACGAAACACTTGGCCAGTCCAGCGCAAGCCCTCTTCCGCGTCTTCGTCCAGCCAGCACTCTCTCACAGAGCTCCTCCAACAGCAGTTATCCAGCAGTCGTTCAAAGGAGCCCAGCGCATCCGCCAGCAGCCCAGTGCATGCTCGAGGCCCCTCTCGACAACTACAGCCAGACTAGCAAAGACTCGCGCACCTTCAGTCCGAAAAGAGCTATGGGACGAAGAAATCACTGGCCGCCTGGTGTACCTCGTGAACCAAGAGACTGGCAAAATCTTCGATCCCGAGACCGGCCGGCCGCCTGAACCTGTGCGCCGGGAAGAGCTGATGCGGAATATGGATCGCAAGACACACCGGCTGGTGCAGGTCGCGCCGGGCTTGGATATTGGCGCGCGGGAGGGCGGCGGTGGGCAGCAGAGAGAAGAGCAGGCAACGTACAGGCCTGAGTATGGCCGAGGTGCATCTAATGCGGAGACTAGAGGAGACAGCTGGGTCGATATACCAGTCTGCAGAGTCGTATCGAAGAAGGCCGCGTACGAAGCTGCCTCCAAGCGGAAGGAGCAAATGAAGGAGAAGCGGAAGATCTCGAATGTGGCTTCTTCGGTGAAAACGCTGGAGCTGAACTGGGCTATTGATTCGAATGATCTCGGGCACAGGATGGAGAGGATGCAAGAGTTTCTAGGCGAAGGCAGGAAAGTGGAAGTGGTGCTGGCGGCGAAGAAGAAGGGACGGAAAGCGAGTATGGAGGAATGTGCGGCCGCATTGGCGAGGATACGCAAGGCCGTGGACGATGTGGATGGGGCGAAGGAGGTGGGAACTATGGAGGGCAAGATGGGTGGGTTTGCGGTGCTGAAGTTTCAGGGGAGGATGCCCGCAGTGAATGCGAAGGAGGCATAGAAGGGACTCCGTACACCGCGATACATCAAGCCCTTCGCTCTGCAATGGGCTAGCGGCATGCCGGCCGTATCGTCTCACGTGCTTCTCTTGGCAGCTTGGCAGCGCGGAGCGGAGCTGGCACTCGAGCCACCCGGCCTGACTTCACTCTTCTCATTCTCCTCTTCTTCTTCTTCTTCCTCCTCCTCTAGACAGCGATAGCAGTCCCTCTGCCGCAGATGGCCCGCCGACCGCCCTTCGTCACCCTTATAGTCTTCTTGCCGGTGACACGTCGCTGTCCTCATGTATATCCCCGTGAGGGGGTATCAATTGTTCATACTGCGAAAGCCTAATCTTACACACTCTCTTTTAAACGGCATTACTGAGATCTGAGCCTGGCTCGTGTGGTGATAGCAGTACATAGCAGTGGTAGGAGACACTTGCTGCACATATTTCAGCTTTCATTTAATCAGTTTGAACGCCCACGGCTTGCTTCTGGAGAAAAACATGGGGGTACTATCGACTCCTGAAAATGAACAGAACCTCCTACGCGATCCAGATGCATTCTACTTTACTGACGTACTTTCTGAAAGCTTGAGAGAGCTTCGCCGTGCTTCGAAGGAGGCTTAGCCGCGCGGCCGTCCACTCAATTGGCTGGACCTCACTTCCCTCCTCAAAGCCAGGTCTGCTGACACCGATGCATTTGACTGTGAGTTGCCATGTGCCGTGAGGCGCTGCAAACAGGTGGCTTCGGAAGTGATAGTGCAGGTTCCGCCATCTCCACCACAACATTCTTGCGACCTTTCCTACTTTCCAACCTGTTCCGAGAAACCATCCGTAGTTGCTGATGCCCAGGAGACCGAGGAGACGATGATCGGCGACACAAAAACTCCTGTAAAGACTCCCTCCACCATTCATCCAAGTGCGCCCATGGATCAAGCTACGAAAACGACAAGCAATGGGGTGAAGAATTATGGCGGGCCACCCAGCACTACACGCCGTCGCCACACTAATGCGGTGATCGAAGCTGCAGCAGTTCGCGCAAGGGACGAGGTAGGCGACGTTCTGAGACGTTCTCCGCTTTGAAACTGACGTTCAACACAGCAACAAATGCAGCAGATGCTCCAGACCGTGCAGTATCAATACCGGATCTACAACAGCGATATCGAACCAGAGCACGACACCGACTACTATTGCTCTTGTGCCATCCATCAGTACAAGATGGCAAAGTATCGGCGATACGGAGTCCAGGAAATGTGGTCGAAGGCTGTCATGTACCCAGGTACGCCGGTCTGACAGAAACATTGCAGGCTTACAAGGCTGATCTGAGACCAGGCGAGCACTCTTACAACGACAACCAGATGACCGGCATTGCCTTGTTTACGCGCAACCCCTACCAGTTTCGCGTTTGTGCGTCCTTCCCGTGAATCTACAGCGCCGCTGATTATCGTAGGTTAATTCTGTGTACGGCTACAATGCGTTCGCCGTACGCTTTTCGATGCCACGTCCTGTCCCGTCGTGGCACGCACGGGCGATCCACCAGACAATCGACCTCAACAACTCTCTGAACCGAGAAGTTCAACAGAGCATCGACGCCAAGGAACCAAAACACAGCATCTGGGAGGACAATGCGCTAGAGGCTGCCATGACGAACCTCTCTATCGGTGACAGAAAGCCGTCAGTGGCGAACGATAAAGGAATATCTACTGATAAGGCGCCGAGCGAGAAGCGACAAAGCCTTGTCCCATCCACAGCATCGAGAACTGCAGAGCAGCCGAAGCTGTCGAGGTTCTCCAGCTTCAGAAAGTCTCTAGGCATCAAGTCTTCAGAAGAACGGGCGGTGTCGAAAGCCCACAAAGCTGTTGACAAGGGCAACAGCCTGCGTGACGACATCATGGCTGAGGAAGAAGCACGGTGGCCTGACGAACAGTGGCGGGGGCTAGTCAGTAACTATCAGGAGAAGGTTGGCATGACCCGCATGATCTCGAACCTCAGAGCCCGCAAGCCGATCCAGTATCTCCACCTCCTGCGTGCTGGCTACTTCGAACCGATTCCAGTTGCGTGGGCAACGCAGGCTTCGAACCCGCTGAAGTTCAGCATCGAAGCTGCGGCGGGTTGGCGTGGCATCACTCCAGCCTGGCGAGGCTATGAAGACACCGCCGAAGAGCGGTTATACTGGGTTCTCAACCACCGTGAGGGCAGCGTCGGAATGCGCATGAAGCCTGACTTCATCTCCGAGCTCAACATGGCGAGGGAGAGGATGGCGAGGGCTGTTGAGCCACCACCTCTATACTACGCAGCCGATGATGTCTGCCATCTTCAGCACACTTCGAAAGGATACTCGCCGCAGGTGATGCCGCCTCCTTATGTGGCTTACGACAGGCCAGAGCAGGCGTCGGACGATACGATGATCCTGCTAGATGTGAGCGGATCGATGGATTTTGACCCGCAGAGACCGGTTTATGAGCAGTATCTCGTCACGGGCTTTGCTCCATCCACGCAGCCGAAGAACAAAGGTATGTTCATCTAAACAACTCAGATCGTGAGTAGACATTCGCAATGCTGACGTGTGCAACAGACGTCGCCAAATCCATCATCGGCCGCTTCGCAGATGCAATGGCAAACCACGACCACCAAAACACCGGCTACGACCTCACCACTTTCTCGACTCAAGCAAGCTACATTGGCCCTATTAACCACCAGAGCCTCGACAGTCTGTGGCGTAAAGTTCGCTTCGGGGGCGGAACTCGAGTGATGACAGGCTGGCAGAAGGTGAAAGACCTCCATTTCCAGAAGCACTCCGAATCCGCCGTTCACCACCCGGTTTATGGCTGGCAAGCAGGTCCATCAACGCCGATGCTCCGCTTACTCCTCCTACTGGATGGCGAAGCGACGGATATGGACGAGTTCGAGCTTGACCTACTTGGGCTGTCATGGGCACATGTGACGATCTTCCTGATCGGCGTTGATGGCTGTCCACACCATCACCGGCATGCGAACGAGTTGCAACGGATTAGTGATGTCAACCATCACGTCTCTTTCGTGGATGCGCAGGGTAACTGTCCGGAGCGCTTTGTGACACATGAGCTGCTGAAGAGACATCTGGGGTATGACGTTTCGATGCGGGAGTTTGAGGAGATGGAGGAGCTGCCGGCTTATCAGGAGTGAACCATGAGAGAATGGCAGGGTGCGAACAAACTTTGGGCCAAGGAGAGGTGACCAATCCTTGCTACAGTCCACGATACTTTTCTCACCGTACACAAACAGACCCAGCTGGGCCGTAACGACGTTCGGCTCATGTCACAAATCAAAGTTCCAGTCGGACGGGAAGTCAGCGAAGAACGCCTGCCTGAGAACCAGAGTCCCACGGTCAGCAGCCTTTTGAGGATCATATCCGCCTTCGCGACAACGTACCAATCTGGCCCCAACTCCGGATACGATCCCAACCAATTATCCTCAAACGGATCATGATCCGGCAAGGCAATATCATCAAACTGGCCAGGAAAGCCATCAAAGTGAATCTCTTTCGCACTCGCCGGACACAGCAGGATGCTTGGATCCAAATCCGCCTTCTGCCATGCCCTCTCCCGCGCTCTTCTGATGAATACCCAGGCCTCGGCGCCGCCCTCATGCAACGGCCGCGCATCTGAGTCGCCGTCTTCGTGGCTGAGGATGCCTTCGTTGGCTTGGGGACCGCACATCAAGATCGCGAGGTCGATGAGACGGCGCGTTTGCATTGCTAGAGTGTCGAACGGTCGGTCTTCGAGTTCTTGGAGTAAGGCCATGATGCTGTAGAGGGGCTGATGTTGGCCTGGCCAGCACCAGTGCCATGGCTGTGAACAAGGTGCCAGAGTCAGTTTGTCCCAGACCTGAAATCTACTGCTGCTGCCGCGTACCTGGAAATCGTTACATTGCGTCAGTCGCAGGAACCGGTGGAGATACTCCCTACAGTACATCATGTGTCCCGTCGATGAAGTCAGTCCTTGCTCCAGAGATATCGTGGCGTACTTACGTTGGTTCCTTCTCAAACAGCTTTTGAAGCAGTCCATGTCGTCTCACAGGACCATACATGACAGCAAATGGTTTGGCAGCGAACATCGATAGACACATCTTAGTCAACTTCGCAAAGATCGCAGCTCCGGAAGCAGGCTCGCCATCGGTGATTGAGTCTTGCACTACAGTCGCCACACGCTCCCGCCTGGCATAGAGATCTGTCTGGTTCTCATGAATGGTCTCAAGAAGCCGGTCCAAGTCGCTCTCGTTGAGAGAGTCGTTGTGGAGCAGATGGAGGAAATCGCTCATACGTCGGTAGAACCTGGCAGCAGTACCGCTTGTCAACCTGTATCTGGACGACAAACGCTTGCTTGACTTACTCAAACTTGCCAGCCACGAAGGTCTTGCCGATCTCCTTGATCGTCTCACTGCCTTCGACCGGCGGAGAAGTGATCGCTGATTCGGACAGCTCTGTTATAGGACTCACGTCGTAGAGCTTTGATCCAATAATGGCTGGCAACCCTGATGCGAGGGCTACCTGGCAATCGAGCGAGACAAGATGCCAGAAGAGTTGCCGGCGGACGTGAGTTTCGATGCGATCAATGACCGGGAACTTCGAAGGATCCTCGTGCAACCCTGCTTCTTCTTAGCACTTTGCAGTATGGAACGCACGGATAAAGAATGCTGACCTAGCATCTGAGCGACACGTACAGCAAGCCCAACAAACGAGCAGCAAGTCAGTGGTTGCTCAGCTCGCAGCCAAGTTGCATCGACGATGATAAAAGCCGTGAAAGATTGGATCGAAGGGACCCGAGGGAAGTCAGACATGCGGATGCCTCGTACTGCTGTCCTGTAAAGACGAGCAGAAAGCTCTTCACGAACGGCGTCGTTGCCAAACATCGTTCGCACGTAGGAACGAGGAGAGACGACGGTTCCGGCGAACAGAACAGCCAGCAGCAGTGCGAGGAAATGAATGCTGGTGTCATTCTCAGTGTGCTCAACTTGGTTGCTGCGGACGTTGTTAGTCGATATGCAGAGCGTTCGTGCAACAACTGGTACCTCTGGAAGAACTCGCGGGCTTGCTGCCAGAATGACGGGCTGTGGAACAGCGGGGACACACTATGATAGCCCGCCAGGTACGCCCGAATCAGACCAGCACACTGATGCTGGGACGGTAACGCTCTGAGAAGTTCTGTAACGTCGGGGTTACGAGCATACCTGGCCGAGGAGAGCTGGTCAGTTGGCCTATCGGCCCGGGCACGACCTGAGCACTTACTGGCCGACTGCAACATCCTGTGGTCTGAAGGCTGGAACGTCAGGGAAGATGTCGCCATACGTACGGCGATCACCACGAAGTCTCACCGCAAGGCCACCAGGATGAGTATGCTGCTCAGACTCACTCTCGGACTCATCGTCGGCGTTGTTGACGAAGAAGCGTTGCTGGTTGCGCAGCAGCTCGTTGATGTCGTTGATCTGGGGAAGCTTAGCTGGTAGCCACTGCTGAAAGAGAGAGCTGAGATACCTCCTCGCTGATCATCGCAAAATGTACTGGCGAGATGTAGCGAGCCTTCGACTGAGGGCCAAACATCAGGTGACCAGGGTCATCCACTCCCTATGGGTGCGACTGCAACGTCGGCACAGGCATAGTGGTCGAAGCTCTACTTGGCCCGGCGGTGTCGCTTACTGATGCATCGTACTCCTCCAAGTTGCTGCCGGGTTCATCCTGTAACGACTGCGCACTGCTGATCATGCGATTCAGCCGACCAAGCCGCTGAGACAGGTAACGCTGTTGCTGTGCAACTGAAGAAGTCTCATCGATGATCGTGATCGGTCCTTCTCGAGAGATGGTATTGGAATAGACACACTGCGATCCGGACCTCGCGCGACGGCGGCATCGTGGTTTGTTCTGTTTGACAACTCAGCTATCATTCTCGAGAGGCGGAGTGAAGAGGAGGCAACCTTGTCACAGGCAAGCTTCCGCCTAGAACATTGTTGGCAGGACCTAGGTGGTCTTGGTCTTGAGCTTGAGGAGGACGTGCTGGGGTGAGGCGGCATTGCAGCATGCTCGCCATCGTCAACGGAGTGGACGCAGCATATAAACTGACCGCCCACCAGGAGCCAAGCGACATGGATGAAGCTCTCTCAGCTCTAGGTGGTGCCATGTCTCTTTGCGAGCTGCATGCTTACGACATGGGACGGAATGAAAGAGTGCAAGCGTTCAGCCTTTCGTGCTTGGCGACTGGGTTGAATGTCTTGCTGGCACTTGTGACTTCAGCTCTCATTATTGCTTGTTAGCACCTATTCTCAAATATGCCATACGGGCATGTAGTCTTCTTCTCCAGCGGCTTGTCGACAATACTGCGCCCACGGTACGACATATGACATGAGAAGCAAAATAGTGAAAGAAGAGAAGCCAATGCATGAAGAAAGTGTTTCTAAACACGAAGGACACCTGCGAGGGATAGCTGTGATAGAAGCTCAACCTCAAATCCAGGTCTGTTGCATCTCACCTTTTGGAGCCAGCCTTTATGGACTTCTGCGCTGTCTTCTTCGCTACTTTCGTCGTAGTATTCTTCGCTGCTTTCGTCGTTGTCTTCTTCGTCTTCTTCTTCACCGGCTTCTTTGCCGGTATTTTCGCCTTGCCCTCGTTCTCCTCCTCCTCCCCCTCCTCCTCTGGCTTCAGCCTAGGCAAGTGCGGCCGCCTATACCTATCGCATGTACATAGTTTCCCAGCACTCACAAAGTACCCTCTCTTATAGTTGAAGGTCAGCTCTTCGTCCGCCACGATCTCGCGTTCGGCACGGAAGATGAGTACACGCCGCTTGCCCACATGACAGCTATCAACGATCAAGTTCGGATCGCAAGACGAGTTGACATAGCGCGTCCAGTTCCCGTGCTTTTCAGCATCGATGAAGCAATGCTTGAACTCAAAGACATACATCGAGTCGAGAGTCTGGGGCCTAGAATTTTTCGGTCGCAGCTCACCTAGATACTCGTCCAGCTTCTCGTCCTTCTCGATCGTCACTTTGCTGTAAACGCCGTATCCGGTTCGACCAGGGCCTCTAATTTGGACTTTGGCGGCCTTTTCCTTGCATTGCTTTCGAAAGTCTCGATAGCAAGCGATCCCGCATTGCTGGTCGTCGTCGTCGCTGTCACAATAGTGGCATCCGTACTCCAGTTCGTTGCGCAGGACGTCGGCCGTTGATTTCTTAGACGAGCTTTTGGCCTTCTTGCTTTTGGTAACTTTGGCAGGCTTGACGCTCGCCGACCGCTCTTCCTTGTCAAATCGATGCTGGTTCGTTTTCGCAGGCGGAGAGGGGAGATTGTGTGGGTTCTTGCCTGAGAGATCATACGCCCTGAATTGGGCTTCTTTTGCCATACCGTCGGAATCAAAGGGTCTGCAAGAAGTTGGTGAGTTCTTTTGCTTACGGCGCGACGAAACGAGAATATGTCGTGGCAGAGGTAACACTTCTCAAAAGAATGATCGACTTATCTTGCCAACAGGACATGTGCTTGGTGAGTTCGAAACCTCTGGATTGAAGCCGGAAATGGAAGAAAGGCAGCGCCAGACAAAGGAGTCTTGTTGCAAGACATCTCAACTCGGCGAGTGCAATCGTGACCTACATTGTCTCGTCAACAGCACAGATTTGCATACTGGTTCATATTAGTTGTCGTTTTGGAGGTATGTGCTGCAGAATGGGATCGCAAAAGGCAAACGACAGTCCCAAGAGCCATCTCGCTCAATTGTAGGGCTGCGCTGTGTCGGATGTTTCTTTGTTCTCTGTCTCCTCAAGCGCGTCTAATTGCGGCCCAGTGTGTGGAGAAGACGACTTCTTCTCACAATTTCTCTCTTGGTGGCCATCTGGCCTGCCGCGTTCGTAAGCTCGTTGCCTCCTCGGCAGTAGCGGTAGGCTTCTTCGTAAACCTGATCATGCCATCCTGCGTCACGGTACCGATGTGGGCTCCGTTAGACGCCCAGAGTCTGCCATGAAGCATCGCGCGCCCACTCGCCGCTCGAAGCGTAAGGTCTTCCTTACAGAACCACTTTCCAGGTGGAGTTTTGTCGTCCATGGGACCATGGTTGGTTTCCGAAGGGCCAAACATGAGGTCCTCCATATTCCCATGGAACGAAGTTTGATGCACAAGGCTGCTCATCTGGGTGTAGAGGTCGCCCACGTCCATCTGGTTTGCGACGATGTAGAGGCTGTTGCGATCGCTTGCGTAGAGGTGAGCGCATAGGTGCAGGTTGGGGTCAGCTGCCAGCTGTCCGATGGGGCGGTAGAAGATCAGACCTCTTCGTTCGAGCGGATGCCGATGTTTGTTGTATGACTCTTGGTCGACCTTCCTCATGTCCAGCCCCGGGAAGCTGTCGTTCCTGCCCGTCTCCTTTCGGAGCTGCCAATACCACGGCGCGTCCACGCCGGGTACCTCCTCGAAGTCATCGGGGCGCTTGTGCCTAAGAGTGTCTTCATATTGCTTCCACAGATCCACCTTGTCCTGGACATCCAACAGGCTGTCTTCGAGCCTCTTGAACGAGCAAGTACTCGTGAAACAAGGGAGCGCCTCTCCCTGTACTACGACAGATACTTCGCGCGTAGCCGTCGATCTACCGTCACTGATGTTCTTGACCGTGTATACGAAAGGTGTGGTTCGCGAGCCTGGACGGTGAAAGTGGCCTATTACATTCTGGAAGGTGTCAGGGAACGAGGCCAACTCAGAAGCACCTACGTCGTCGAATGCCGCCGAAGCGGACTGCAACGTCTGCACTCACATACATATAGCAGCAAGCCATCCTTCACAGTCTGACAAGCCGCCCACGCAGCCTGAGCATATACATGCCCGCCATACGATCTCGCAACGGCATTCTTGAGTTGGCCGCCAGGAGAGAAGGGAAGAGCTATCGAGCGGAAGGTGATCCTATTGATGCGCTCCAGTCGGATGAGATCCTGGAACTCGGTATACTCGTTGCCATCGTGCGGTGGTGGCATGTGTCCTTGCGAGAGGGTCCGACGGTTGACATGGTTCTGACAAGCAGCGAAAGTGAAGTTGTCTTGCTCGCGAAACCAATCTCACATGGACCTCGGCTCATGGTGGATCCCGAAGATGCCGTATCTCGACGAGAGCGACACCGTCTTCGGTCTATGAAAGAAGATTTTCGCAGCGGCCATATGTGCCAGGAGACCACGCATGTCGAAGTCCAACGGTCAGTAGAAGGGTTCAGCTCATGTCGATGTTGGTCACTCCTTCAAAGGCTGCCGAGGCCCCTTCACAATAACGATCAGGAATTACGGCGCGAACAGCCAAAAGGTACCCAATACAATAGCGTCAAACCCATCCTGTACCCCGTGGGACGCCACCGCATACCCCGGGTAATGTCACATCGACTGTTTGCTGCCAGTCGGGCTTGTTGAACGACCTGTCGTACCTTTGCACTGTCCAACTTGAGGCTGCGGAGCTTTCGGGAAGGCGTGGAGGTGCGTCCACATTCAAGCCTCCCGGTGGAGGATTTTTTCTAGAAGCAGAAGCACAAGGCTGCCCCTGAGGACGTAGCTGTGTGACGAGCGTGTGCTCACGAGAGCACGCTTCCTCCAATGGCTTGCATGAACGCCGAGCCGTTAGAGCACAAGGTGGATTGATCGGTTGAACTGCGAAACGTGCATCCACCTTAGGTATGTGCACAACTGCTGTACACAGTCCAAGCAGACGCAAGAGACGCTTGACAGTCGACTCGAGGCGCTTCGACTGGAAGCTGTCTGCTTCGTCTTCTCCCACAGCTCCCAGGACAAGATCTTCCATTGTCGACCAAGACAACTAATGCGGAGAAAGGTTGACTAGTGCAAGGAACGTAACGCAACCTTGCGCGCCACGCGAACGACCTACACCGCAAACAACCTAGGGCAGAGCGCATCCTTGCGCATTCCACTGGAGTCTGGATCCAACCCGTCGGATACTACGGTATCACCTTCGCACAATTCATTCCAACCTAGCGTTGCGGGCCTCGACAGGTCCGCGGGACCACACGCTTCACTCAAATATCTCGTCGTTCCTGCGGCGATCCGTCTCACGCTATTGCCCGCTGTCAAAAGGGCTCTCATGGTTCTTAACGACACCTCCATATTCATGCAACGGCTAAGGCGATGCCGTTGTTCCCTCGCGACAGGATGAAGATCCGTAGCATTGGGCAAGATGAGCGGATCGACTTTGGGGTTGCGCCGAGCTCGATTCAACGCATTGAAGCGCCTGTCACGGCCAAGGTTCGTTTGATCTTATGGAAGTGGATGCGGCAATCACTTACGACGGACAGGCGTATCTGATGTGTGCATTCGCTGCCTTCGCAGGCATGCTGTTTGGATATGATTCAGGATACATCGCTTCAGTCATGGCGATGCGGCAGTTCAAGATCGAGTATGGCCATCCCGTCTCTCTCGACGTCGACAAGAGTGGCTACTTCTATGGTACATGGGAGAAGGCTCTGACAGTGTCGATACTGTCGGCAGGTGGGTTTCCGTTTCAGACCCACTGAGGTACTCGTTGGCTGACATACCTTAAGGGACGTTCTTCGGTGCGTTGATCTCCGGCGCTCTAGCAGATTTGATGGGCCGAAAGACAACGATAATAGCGGGCTGTGCTGTCTTCTGCGTAGGAGTCGCTGTACAGCTCTGCGACACTGTGGTGTCCGCTCTCGTTGTCGGAAGACTAATCGCAGGCCTTGGTGTCGGGTTCGTAAGCGCGATCAATATCCTCTACATGTCAGAGGTCGCTCCGCGCAAGGTCAGAGGAGCAATCGTGTCAGCGTACCAGTTCGCGATAACGATCGGTATCATGCTTGCCAGCGTCCTGGCCTACGGAACCCACAATCGAACAGACACCGGAGCCTTTCGAATACCGATCGCTTTACAGTTCTTCTGGGCCATCATCCTGGCCGGAGGCCTTATCATGCTGCCAGAGTCACCCCGGTACTACGTAATGAAAGGCCGACTGGATCTCGCAGTTCGCGCTCTTTCTCGAGTCCGAGGACAACCAATGGAGTCAGAATGGCTGCAAGACGAGCTCGCCGAGATCCAAGCGAATTACGAGTACGAACAACAAGTGGGCGAGGTGACCTGGTTGGGGTGCTTCGGCGGCGGCATACACAAACGCAACTCCAACATCCGGAAGGTCTTCATTGGCACCGCACTCCAGATGTTTCAGCAGCTCACCGGGATCAACTTCATCTTCTATTTTAACGCCACTTTCTTCTACTCCATTGGCCTCAACAACATATTTCTGATTTCGCTCGTCACCACGGTGGTCAATGTCTGCTCGACGCCCGTCTCCTTCTGGACCATCGAACGCTACGGTCGACGTCCCCTACTCATCTGGGGAGCCGTAGCAATGTCGATCTGCGAATTCGTCATCGCAGCAGTCTGGACGGCGGACGCGAACTCCAAGGCGGCCAACTACGTCCTCATCACCTTCGTGTGCATCTACGTCTTCTTCTTCGCATCAACTTGGGGTCCGACAGCTTGGGTCGTGATCGGGGAGATATTTCAACTTCCCATCCGCGCCAAAGGGGTAGCTTTGTCTACTGCCAGTAACTGGTTCTGGAACTGCATCATCGGGATCATCGTGCCCTACATGGTCGACGGCGGCCTCGGGGGCAAAGTCTTCTTCGTGAGTCATCCCCTCTACTAGTCTTCACGCACCACTTACCCAGCGTTCAGGTATGGGGCACCACATGCGCCTTCTGCGCGATCTTCGCCTTTATATTCGTCCCTGAAACCAAGGCTCTAACCCTGGAGCAAGTCGATAAGATGATGGAGGAAGTTCCTGCCACAAGGAGCAGCAATTGGCGTGCTCACGATACATTTGTACACGAGATGGGTGGGAGACAGGGGTCTTTTACCAGTAGAGACTTTGCGAAAGGAGCCGCGGCAGATGCCAAAAGCATTTGCACGATGAGGTATGGTAATGACTTATGAAGCATGGCACGAGGGTTATGGCAAGCGGATGTGTATGGATAGGTACGAATCAAAAGCACGCATGACGGCATCTTCTCCCAGACACGACATGTGCGATCTGACAAAATCAAGTCCAGGAAAAGTGCTTCGCAAGTGATTTTGAAGGAGAAGACGACAGCCTGCCAGATGGAAGCAATGCCGCTAGCGGCTCAGCGCCTGCGGTCACCACGAAAGAGGTGCTCTGTGCGATCGGGCAGCGAGACTTCCGCAACTATGAGAGGCTCGGCAGGATGGCGAGGAAAGGAAGGATAATACCGGCTGGCTTAAGATGGTTGGAGATCGCCAGGGCGGTTGGGAGTCGTAAGCATACCTCACAGAAACGAAGAAGGGACATCGTACAGGTAATGTGTCGGCGTCGCTTCGAGAACAACCCCGCGGTCCAGAAGAGATGTCAACGAATAGTCTTGGAGTGCTTGACAATGCTCGGTTTTGATTTGCCGACGCTTGGGGAGATCGGGGACAACGGATTCCCACAAGAGAGGATGGATGCTATATAGGACGAGATGGTTTGCTTCTGTGCATTCTGGTATCCATCCTAAGGGCACCTAGTGACATCTTCGGACCTACGACTTTTACGAGACGCACCCGCCTACGGCATCCCAATTAGGAGCAATTGGCCAGCAACGAAATGCAGAAACTTCTTTGCGGAGTCGAACCTTTGCGGAAGGAAACACGAGGAAGGGGTGGACAAGGGGAAGCTACATAGGCATTTGTGGAACCTAGGATGGGTCGACATCTTTGCCATCAGCTCCGGGTACGTTATACCGGAACGCTTGAACGAATGGAAGGAGGGCGCCACGAGATCACACTTATGTAGACATTATATGAGGGTTATGGCACAGCGGGATGTATTCGTAGGTATCAGTACTACCACCCGCCAACGATATGTTGAGAGACGTGGCGACGCGTGCATCAAGGCTCTCATCTGTTAAAACGCAAGGCCAAATGCTGACCTCTCCGAGATGCGAATCGATCGATATGGCAACGAACAGGTTCTCGTTCTGATCCGCTTGTCGGAGAACGCTCTTGTATGAAGACTTTGCCGGCTATGAGCATCCCTAGACTCTACACAACTGCTCGGCGGCATTCAGACCTCAACGACTGCGCTCTCTACATCGTCAGTACCGCCCTGAACCTAACTTTTCCACTGAGCATATGCTGGAATTGCCAAGATTAGCTTGTTGACATCGACGGAAGGGAGTTTGAGCTGGAACTTACCTCCATAGCCTCATTGACCTTCTCCAACGGGAACTTCTCAATCATACACTCCACCCCATGCGTCTCGGCAAACGCAATCGCCTCCTCGGAATCGTTCGCATGTCCACTCGGCCACCCCCTCACATTCAACGCATTCATCACCATAGGAACAGTATTCACCGGTACGGGTCCAATCGCCGTCCACAGCAACAGCGTTCCGGCCGGCGCCAGCCCCTCGAGAAGCGGCGTAATAACATCCGGGTTCGGGGCAGTGACGGCGATCATAGCGGCGCCGCCCATCTTCTGCAGCTCCTCGGCGACGTTGGTCGCTTCGGTGTCGATGTAGTCGGTGGCGCCGAGCTTGAGGGCGAAGTCCTTCTTTGCGGTCCCTCGCGAAAGGGCGACGGTGCGGTAGCCCATTTTGCGGGCGTATTGGATTGCGAGGTGGCCGAGGCCGCCGAGGCCTTGGATGGCGACGGTGTCGCCGGCGACGACTTTCATGTTGCGCATGCCGTTGAAGACGGTGACGCCTGCGGAATTGTTAGCGACTGTGGTATCAGCAGATGACTGCGAGGTGTCTTACCAGCGCAGAGTAGAGGAGCAACCTTCGCCGGGTCTGCGGACTTGGGGATGCGGACCTATCGTCTCTTGTCAACATACCACTCTTTGGCGAGAGGTTGAAAATGGCACCCACCGCAGCCTCACTCCTCAAAGTAGCATACTGCCCATACCCACCGTCCCGAAAGACACCATTGACAGTCTTGTTCTGACACATCTGGAACTGCCCACGCATGCAAGCCTTGCAAGTCCCATCGTGGCCACCATGCCATGCGCCACCCACACGGTCACCCACCTTCCACTTCTTCTCGCCAGGCGCGGTGGAGACGATGTCTCCTACGTACTCGTGGCCGAGACACTTGATCTGGCTGGGAGATAAGTCAGCGTATGCGAGGCTTGATAGATGTGTTGGGGATGTTCCTACGGTGGACCCATATCGCCATTGAGCACATGGTGATCGCTGTGGCAAACACCGCAAGCCAGCACTTTGAGCAAGAGTTCGCCATCTTTCAGCTCAGGAATGGGGAGGTCCTGAATCTCGAGCGGCTTCTGCTGGCCGACGAGGACCGCCGCCTTGTAGGTCTTGGGGAGGCTTCCTGATGACATCTTGTCTGCCGTTCTGTCTCTCGTTGCTTTCGTCTGGTAGTATCGATGCTATTGCACGGTTTTTGGTGACGCTGATGTGATCTTAGTAGATCTGTCGTAGTTCCAATGGCTCGTGGTATTCTCAACGGCTCGGAGGAGATGAGAAGGTAGCAACAGCATGAATATATACTCCCACACCCAATGCCTCTGCGGAGTTAAGCTCAGAAATGACAAACCCTGATATCACGAATGCGGACTCGAGTCCACAACAACCACCCTACCTTTTTGCCGGGTCATCGCAGCTACCGCGCCCTCAGGGCAGCCGATCCTGCTGCGTCCCACGGCACGTCCGTGAAGCCGTAGTCATCACAGCCTGAAGCTACCAGATCTGTCCTATTGGGCACTCGTGCTTCGGTCTTCCACACCAATGACTTTGAGAGATCGTAGTGCTGCACGATGACATCTTCCCCAAAACCTTCCCGCAGGGCCCGTTGTTGATAAGGTGGAGTGGAGTGAATGAGTCCTCGGAGGTGATGGCCGGAGCCAGACGTCCTCGCAGGGCTGGGCAACTCGAAAACACGGCAGGATTTTGAAAAATCTTGGGCCGGGCATTTCAGAAACGCTGCAGGGATTGGGGGGTGAGTCCGGATATTGGCTTCTCTCATGAGATCCTGGTCCAGACGGTCAAGGCGATCGGTTCAATGAGTTGTGCTGTAATAGTGGGCTCAGTGTCGATATCAGGTTCCAATGCTGCATCTCATGATCATCATGGTGAAGTCGGAAAGGTGAAGGTCAAGAGAGCGCAATAAGCACAAGACCGCAGTAGGCTGACTGGCATCAATGTTGGTAGACTACCTTGCTCAGATACATCACAATAGCCTCAAAGCTCTTCTTTGTCAGTAGACTACATCTCACAAAGCTCTATAGCCTTTACCATTCCACATCTCTCGCACTTCGACCCACTGCCGACAGCCTATACATACCCTCCACATGCTCAAACCCACAAGCGCCTCCCCAATGCAGACAACAAAAAAGGCGCTGCACACGTAACAAAAACCCAAAACCCCCCTTCAACTCCAGCCAACCTTCCCATTATCCCCCTCGTCACCGCCCAGGGCCCGAAGGCGTCAGATACCCGCCCGCAATCTCCACCCACTCCGGGATACAACTCCCCTCCTTCGTCTCGACATCCACAATATCCATGTCACACCTACACCTGCACCCAACACCGTTCTCCTTCCCGGCGTCCCATTTCGCCCAGTAGTCATCTTCTTCCTTCCAGCTCTGCCATTTCGTGTCGAGGGCAGGCGTGCCGTAAGTGGGGTTCTCCTTGGGGTCGTCGCGGGGGCCGTAGTAGGGGGTGCGAGGCATTTGGCGCGCCGGGTTGTTGGCGGGGCAGTGTTGGATGGTGGTGTGGCGGTAGCCGAAGTCGCGGAAGTAGTGGACTTGTTTCGGGGAGAGGAGAGCGCCGGCGGCGAGGGAGTGGATGGGTGCGTCGCCCCACTGGGATAGAAAGTCAGTACAGTAGAAGTGGTAGGCACAAGTGAGGATTGGCTTACCCGCTCCATCCAGAAGCCGCCGGAACGGTCCATCATGTTGAAAAAGTCCTCGTACTCCTGACTTCTGAAAAAGTCGAGGCGAGCAATCTCAAAGTTGGACCAGAAATGGCACATGTTGTAGATCTCACCCTCCATTGCCTCTGGGTCGATTTCTGGCAGTGTCCCCTTCCCTGGCTCAGTATTCATGATCTCCTCCGGTAGCGGCTTCGTCTTCTCGTTCGCATACTTCGGATCATCCTTCGGCAGCTCATTGGGCGGAATAGTACCCTTCTTCGGCGTACCGTCCTGATTATAGCCCTCCTTCGGCTCCACGAACATTTCCCACAGCCCTTGCGAAGTGTGGTTCGTCACCCGCTTATACGCCGATGCATACCGGAAGATATTCGGTACCGTCTCCTTCAACTCCTTCACCGCAATCGTGAACCCATACACCTTGTTGTTCTTCGCCATCTCCACGAACGGATCGTATGTGATATCGCAGAAGTACTTGATCTCGGGCTCCACGCGCCAGTACCAGTCGTACTTTTGCAGAAGCTCGTGCTTGTAGAAGAATCCAGAGTAGAAACGGCACATGTGGTGATAGCTCTCCATGCCTCCGTACATGATGGCCGCATCGCCCTGCTTCCGGATGCCCTCCTTCGCAACGTTCGCATCAGTCCAGTCCGGGTATCCCCAATGTTCCGATCCGATCTTGCCAAACTCGACGTTCGACGAGGTGTAATTGAGCACAGTCTCCTTGAAAGTGCTGTTGAAGTCTCCATCGTTAAGGAAGACGTACGGGTAGTGGAACCAGCGATTGAAGTGTCTCTCCACGCTCTTCAAGCTCTCCACCACACCATCCAGCTCTTTATTCCGTGCCAGCACCACAAATGCCGCATTCTCGCGCGGGTGTGCTTGCGCCTCCTTGAGCGGATCTCGACATCCCGACTCGAAGACCTTGTCGTGCTTCTCGCTGATCTTGCGGATGCTCGGCGGCGCGCCGCTCGGTATTAGTCGTCCAGCAGGCGAGTCCGGATGCCGTACGAAGACTGAAAGCAGAACCACCACCACTATGCAGGGGAACAGCAGGACAAGGTACAGTGGCACACTAAACTTGCTGTTCCCTCGTATGCGTATCCGTTTCCGCAGGAATGTGAGTTGCGGGACTCTGGCGTCTTTTAAAGAAGCGTGCTGTAATGATTTGAGAGTGGGCATGGTGTCCGCGGAAGGTAAGCGTTTCTGGACGGATTTGAGGTAGTCCATCTCCGCGGCGATTCTCGAGGCCGCGAGGGCCTAGCACTGGTCTGTCGTGTCAATCGCGGTCCGGCGCACTCGGTCTGGTGATGTTGTGTTGTCGAGTATGCGCGCAGGTGCTGGTTTCGAAGGCGTGGAAGGCTCGAGGATGCGCTGTGGCTGGACGCTGCAACGAGCGACTGGGGCGAGAACAGTAGACCGCAGTAGGATCTACTCTGAGCGCAGTCGCACAGATTATCCCGTAATTGATCGAAGATGGAGGTAAGGACGGTGTGAATGGCGAAGAAGTCCAGGAGGTGGGAGTGGTGGGTGGTGTCGCCGTCGTTGGATCGGCGTGAACCCCTGCTCAATCAATCCCAATCTCGAAAACGCACGTGCTGCTCCCTTTCCCGGCTCTTGCTGACTCTCCAGCTAAGGCCAGCAGGCTATAACTCTGAAGGGAGGAAGCAAAAGTCTATGGGCCACTTGTCACCTGCGCCCGTTGTTGGAATCGCTGGCCTATCGCGTTGAGGAGTTCGCGAATTCTTTGGCTTCGAGGAGAAGCTTACGTCGGCCCTTGCCCTTGGCGTGCAGCTGCATTGCGGCTAGCCCCAAGGCGCTTGGAGAATTTCAACGTCTGTTGCGCGACCACCACACCTCGATCTGCCTGTACCGTCCATGGTACCGCTACGACAGTGATCACGAGCCAGCAGGACCTGGATTGGGCTGATTAGGATATAGCACCATGGCTCCTGACAAGATCAAGTCGAAAGACCTGAGCTACGAGTCCACTCTCCCGCCATTTCTCCAGCGTCTACATGACCAAAAGGCCGGACGAGGCGACCAGGACAGGCATGAGCAGCAGATTGCTCGTCCCAAGCGGGCAAAGACCCATGACGACGAAGATGACCCGACGGTAGTAGATGAGAGTGGCGAAACCGTCTCCATGGCTGAGCTCAAGAAAATGGAGAGCAGAGGAGAGGGAGCGGACGGCGATGGCATTGTCACGGGCGAGTTGAAGGACGACGGCGAGCTTCTGGCTTCTGGCGCGCTCCCTGACGAGGATGCACGGCAGAAGGCTGACCAGAAAGTCACTGACGGCGCTGCTACGAAGAAACGCAAGGTTGCGAAAGTGGTCGGCGATGACGATGAGGGCCAGGTTGAGGACGGTGCAAAGAAGAAAGATGGCGAGCAAGGTGAGCCCGCCACCAAGAAGCCTGCGAAGAAGGCTAAAAAGTCGAAGCCGATCAAGCTCGCTTTCAACGATGACGAGGGCTGAATTCTTCATTCATTTGACTCAAGTCCCTGGAACGCTGTCATCTTGGTATCCATCGGATCCTGGCCATTTCTTGAGCATGTCTATTGATGCTGCTGCGAGGTACGTTCAACCATCTTCTTCAGTCTTATGTCACTACCATGATGATACCCATCTATACTGGAGCTGTCCTACATCTTGAATGAGGATAAACCATATTACATACGCAACATTTTCCTGAACTTCCAATTAGCCGTCGCCGCACCCCTTTCTGTCTCCTGCGCAAGCGCTTGACCGCTGACATGCATATAGTTCCCGCGAGTCCTCCTCAACTCCTGGGTAAGAAGCTGCGCCGCCGTATCGCTGGGTTGCAGCAGCTGCCCACTTACGGCATTCCACGTTGCCGAGATAGTCACCACTCTTGCGCACGCTGGGCACTCATCTGGACCCGGTCAAGCCACGCAAGGAACCATGATCCTGCGCATGTCGGCGGTATAGACAACGCCCGACCCAGCAAGATTACCAATCTCCATCGCCTCTTCTTCGTCCCGCCGCCTCCTGCTCGGTGCCCTTCTCGAGCAGCAAGATCGGCACTTGGTAGTCATCGATCGCCAGAATCTACCAAGAGCCTTGGGAAGTGAAGATGCTTCCTTGTCGATGTGCTTCGGAGGTCCATCAGTCCTTGTTGAGCTGGCGTCCATGGTGCTGTTCGAGCTGAGCCGTTTGAGAGCGTTGTCGATGTCGGTCCGAACCATGCTGGTTTTGCGTTCTTCTTGGGAGCCGGACGCCACAGGGAGTGGTGGGTGAGGATGAATTGTGCTAAGGAGTCAAGCTAGGCCTTCGGGGCATCAGGGATGAGAGCGCGACCTGGAGAGAGTCTGGCTCACCCAGAAGATATACGGTCTCTCATAAGTCACCCAGCGCACGTCTATCCAGCATGTGGTAACATCCCGGATGACAGCTGTCTGAGACAGCGGGACGTTGCATGTCCATCGCTCCCTCTCAACTTCTATGGCGGTCGAACCCTCTGGCCTGGTCGCACTCGACAATTACGGACAATGCAACAAGGCTTTTGATCCTACCGTCCACAGTGTACACCCACACAGTACCTGGCTGCATAAACAAACAATGTTCTGTTTGCTGGACGTCCTCTGTGGAGTCGCGCAGGTGCCCAATTTGCGCCTGGTGGAGTCCAATATCACGAGGTACAATGTGGTCGCACACAATAGTCACACGTCGAGCACATGAGTACGGAAAGCTACATCAGGTTGGAGAATGACAACGGGAACGCGGAAGCCATCTGTATGACGGCGGTTGATGGCAGGGCAAGCAACGGTGTTGACGGAATGCTATCCTGCGAACGCGTGCAGTGGAGGCCATGAATTCGAGCCAAAATCAGGCACTAGGCTGGGCAGAATCCGCCGCTCGCCGTCCGCAACAGTGCTTGCTCCCATCTCATGTTCCTGTCACTCGTAGGCAGCACTTCTCGCAGCAACGCGCTTCTCTCAGGAAATTGCCAAGGCAAAACATATTGCTGATGTCACAGCTAAGATGTTGCATCAGCGAGCGGCTTTATCAATGAATGTTCTTGCTCTAGCTACAAAAGATATGGGCACGAAGGACGTTATGCCATCCAGACAGTTTGATCAAGATGTCTCACAAACTTCTGCAACGTCCTTATGTCCTCCACTAGGCGGCACAAACATCTTTGCTGCTCACGGCTCGTTCGCATAATGGACGTTCTATTGAGTATTGACTGCTGAAGTACGACGACGTCTTGGTCCGCAGCCCGTCTACTCTAGCAGCGGTGCCACCTCGCCCGCAATACTATTCGAGCCAATCCGTCCTTTAGCAACGAAGAACAACAACCCCTGCACAAAAGCAAACACAAGATTATCCAGCGCGGCCCAACCAACCATTGACAACCAATTCATGAAACCTGAGAAGAAGCCAGGACGACTCGGCGCCCCCATCCTGAACACCCAGCTCACACCCACGACAGCAAAGACAACGGCCTGCCATGCGAGTCCCTCTGTACTAAGCGCACCCAGGGTATCCCGGGACAATGTCTCCCACAGCTGGACGAACAGCGATAGAAGTCCAAGGAAAGTCACGACCGGGCTGACGAAAAGAATATGGCCGCCGATGAACAGCCCGCCGAACCAGCCGTCGTAGGCTCTGTGTTCCCGCCAAGGCGGTTCAGTGACGAGTTCGAGGATGATGGGCAGGAGCGAGATGCAGAGGAAGAAGATGTAGAACATCAGGCCCCATGTCCTCTCTAATGGCCGGGGGGGCGGGAAACGGAAGACTTCCACAAACCTGTTGTCTCGTGTTAGCAAACAACTCACGTACGTATCTTGAGCAATGGCGATTATCTTACAGCGTCAACTGCCCCAGCCAGGTAACAACAAACTGAGTCCAGTTCAACCAGTCCCCGAACCCCGGCGGGTTGGCGATAATGCTCTCCTCGCCGCCTTTGTAGTCGAAGATGATGATGTGGGTGTAGATGGCCAGTTGTTCTGTTGCGAGGACGAGGTTGAGCAGGATGTAGGTTAGGGAGATGCCTTCGCCGCTGCTGCGTTTTCGAATTTCATGGATTTGCGGGCGGAATGAGGAGGCGGTTAGGGCGATGAGGAGGCTGTTCGCCTGTTAGTGAGGTTGGGGTGTTGTGTGGCGAGGGAGGATTACATTTTGGCTAGATTGGCTGTGACTGAGTTCATGTTGATCAGTCCCTATTGTTAGGGAAATGTGCCCAATAGTAAGGCACTATTAGGAGATATGTAGTCGATGGACAGTGGTATGTCGAGAATCGGAGAGAGAAGTTGGGCATACTCGATCCTACGGAACAGTTGTCTCAGATGTCGGGCCCCAAATCAGGTTGACGCCTGAATCCTTCGCTTGGCCAACAAGGCTGTGCGGGAGTTCGAAGGCAAAGTGGCCATCTCTGCAACGTTTGAAAGGCATCTTATGTATGCAGTGACTGATAGAAGCGACGACATCGGGGATTGACGAGATCAGCTCGAGTAAGCAACCTCCAGCCCAAACTTCCCAACCACACTGTCCCTCTTCTTCAGGTCCAGGCCTGCGCCAAGGGTGACCAACAACTCTTTGAGCCTACACTCCCACACCACGCCCACTTTGCCCTTGTCGGTCATCCGCGCCTTCAGAACGCCCGTCACGTCTTCATCTGGGACGACCTTCTCCGGTGCGACTTTGGGCTCCCAGCCAGGCCGAATTAGATCCTTCACCCATGCCACTTCCTCCGGAACACGAGGCCTGCTGAGCTGCCACAGTTCGAGTCCAAGAGAGACGTCGCTCTCGTAGCTGTAGACGTTAAAGTCGAAGCGGCTGCAGAGCGAAAGGTTCGGGCCGGCTTTGACAGCGTAGCTACTGCTCAGATTACCCATGAGCGGGTTCAGAGTGAGTGTCATGGTATACGGGAAACCAGTATGGATCGGAAGAGTGGTGAAGCGGAGGCCAGTGCTGATGCCGCCGCTCTTGTTGATGGGCGAGAAGTAGGCTTCTGCGCCTGCGCTGAGTCGGCCATTCTGGTGGTCCCAAGGATGACGAGCCGGACGCGAGGAGACGTGCTGCTGGTCCAGAGGATAGCGAGGATCGTAGCCGAAGTTGTAGAGCGCGCGGAAGCCTAGAAGGGAGGAGTCGGTGCTGTAGAGGTACTCGGTCGTGTACTTGCCAAAGTCGTTCTGGAGCAAGGCTAGCACTGTGCCTCCGCTTGGTAGGGTGGCATCTGATACGCAGTTCAGACGGAGGAGGCGATTCGGTGACAAGCGGCGGAGGTAGAGTGCTTCGAGGCTGCTGCTGGGCAAGTACAGACGGCCATAGAGTAGAGTATCCTTGCGCCCATCTCCAGCAATGGAGGTCCCGCCATCTTGAACGTCATTCAAGGCCTTCCCTTTCGGCAAACTGAGGTGCTGTAGATGCCTATAGCCTCGTACCAGGTTGGCCAAAGGAATATGACTGCTCCTGCTAGTCACATTCAACCCCAGGCTCGTGTAGAGGAAGCTGAGACTGCCATCAACCACTCCCTTGCTACCGAGCGTGTATGAAGTCGCGAAATTGGGCGAGCTGAGCGAAGACACGTGCAAGCTCAGGCCATGAGGGACGTTGAAGTCGAGCAGGTTGTTAGCGGTGGTAGTCAAGGAGGCATAGCTGTTGTCCACATTCCAGCCCGTCTTATGGTGGAAGGCCGTAAGGACATAGTCCATGAAGTCGCGCATCCTGGCTGTCTCTTCATCGTGACGACCGCATCACCGCCCTTTCGTCTCTTTTGCTACTTCCTCGCCCCTTGCGATCGAGAAGTGGTGTTGATCTGTCGCGCATGTGATTGTCTTCCCCGAACCTCACCTCCGAGTGGCCCGTGCTCTTAAATTTTGTCGCGCATCACCGACTACAACGAACTCCATCTGCACAGCGACCATCACCGTTTCTCCTCTCTCTTCCTTCTGGCGTAGGCTTCTGGGGCTCACCATGTCTCTCGCTCGTACCTTTCTTCGTACATCACGTGCATTGCGCACGCAGAGCAGCCCGGTGCAATGCGCGCTGGGCAACAGGGGAGCGCAGCAGTATGTGAACTCGACGAGGAGCTACGCCACTGCCTTTGAGCGCAACAAGCCGCACGTCAACATTGGCACGATCGGACACGTTGACCATGGAAAGGTGGGTTAGCAGGGAGTATAAGAAGGCAAATCGGTATCCTAATGCTCATTCTACAGACAACCCTCACAGCAGCCATCACGAAGCGGCAAGCAGAGAAGGGCTACGCCTCCTACCTCGAATACGGCTCCATTGACAAGGCACCCGAAGAACGCAAGCGCGGTATCACCATCTCCACTGCCCACATCGAGTACCAGACCGACACTCGCCACTATGCCCACGTCGACTGTCCCGGTCACGCCGATTACATCAAGAACATGATTACGGGTGCGGCTTCTATGGATGGCGCTATCATTGTCGTGGCGGCCAGCGATGGACAGATGCCACAGACAAGAGAGCACTTGCTGCTCGCTCGCCAAGTCGGTGTCAAGAGGATTGTCGTTTTTGTGAACAAGGTGGATGCGATTGAGGACAAGGAGATGTTGGAGCTCGTCGAGATGGAGATGCGCGAACTTCTCTCTTCCTACGGTTTCGAGGGCGACGACACTCCCATCATCCTTGGGTCGGCACTTTGCGCCATTGAAGGACGTGAGCCTGAAATTGGTGTAACAAAAGTTGATGAGCTCCTCGCATCCGTGGACGAGTGGATTCCAACACCCCAGCGTGAAACCGACAAGCCATTCCTTATGTCCGTCGAGGACGTCTTCTCCATCCCTGGCCGAGGTACCGTCGCTTCTGGTCGTGTGGAGCGTGGTATCTTGAAGCGGGATGCAGAAGTCGAACTCGTGGGCAAGAACGCTACGCCGATCAAGACCAAGGTCACCGATATCGAAACGTTCAAGAAGTCCTGTACCGAGTCGCGGGCGGGAGACAACTCCGGCCTTCTCCTTCGTGGCGTCAAGCGCGACGACGTGCTCCGCGGTATGGTCATCTCCGTCCCTGGCGCTCTGAAGGCCTACCGCAAATTCCTCGTGTCCATGTATGTCCTCACCAAGGAGGAAGGTGGCCGACACACGGGTTTCCACAACAACTACAAGCCGCAGATGTTCATCCGGACAGCCGACGAGGCCGCCACCGTTACCTGGCCCGAGGGCACCGAGGGCGCAAAGGAGGACAAGATGGTGATGCCAGGCGACAACGTGGAGATGGTCTGCGAGATCCACAAGCCGTTGGCCGTGGAGCAAGGACAGAGGTTCAACATCCGTGAGGGCGGCCGTACTGTGGCGACTGGCCTCATCACGCGGATTATGGAGTAATTGCCGACGATTCTGGATGCAAACTCAAGCCACTGGACGTCGGGCCACTAGTGGACGACACCTAGTGCATGAGGAAGAGGGACATGGCGCGAGTAGAAGGAGGAGAGAAGTGTAAGATGCGACGACGGAAGCCAGATGCATTGTACAGGATATACCCACCCCCGGGGCCAACTCCTTGACTTCTCGACCTTGTATTTGCTGTACTTTAGCTGGGCAAGACACGGGAATGGAATGGGTGCATAGCCACGGCGTCGAAAACTACTTGCTTTTACATAGACTTTGTGAAATAGCACTTACACTCTTCTCTCACTTGCGTACCGGAGATCTCTCTGTCTGCCTGCTTGGTCAAACTTTCCTTCAATGTGTCTGCACCTGAGAACGGCTGGAGAACATTCGACTCTCGAGTCTACTCCTCCTCGACCAGTACTGGCTGACGAACGATATGACATCCTCGACTCCGATCGCTCTGCCTGAATGGTACTCGGCGGGACGCAACGCTTGCAATCGATGGTAAATCGGTATATGTATGTGCATGTATACTTCGCAACGACACCCTCGATGCCAACCCAATGCAACGTGACCCTATACACTCAACATGGCCTTCTCCCGCTTCCGCGTCCAACTCGAATCACTCGCCCAAGAACAATGCACAACCCTCGCAGACGAAGACCGCGCCCTCACCCTCAACCACCCATCCCTCACCTACCTCGCCTGCCCCAACCGCCAACGCAAACCCCTCGCCTCTCTCCCAAGACCCGAATCAGACGACAAGACATCTCTCGACGGCTCAGAAACCTCCCAGCGCCTCACGTCCTTAACGACCCAAATCCTGCACCACCTAATCAACACCCGGGACTACACCCACCCCATCCTCGTACAGTACATATCCCCTTCCTTCTCCGCCACCAAGGACCGGGATGGCCCTCACGCCCACACCAACGGCGTGCGGGGGATGCAAGTCTTTAGTTCTCATCCTGAAGTCGCGAGGCGGATGCCGGGGCTGAGTGCTGAGGTTCTTTCTTCAGTGGCGAGGGTGCATGAGGGTGGGAGGAAAGCGGAGGTCTGGGTGAGTTTGCGGATGGGGGGGTTACCTGCCAATGATCTCGAGGAGGTGGAGGGGGCGGGGATCGTGAAGGAGTGCGTTTGTGTTCATAGGTGGGAGAGGACAGGGGAGGGAGGGGGGTGGGTTTGTGTTGGGGCGAAAGTGTTGAGGGGGGTGTTGGGTGTATGATAGGTAGGCCTTATCAGGTGCGTAGTATGAGCGGAAGGGTGATGGAATAGAGAATCAAGGTCTTCTTCAATTCACATATCGCGCGCACAGCGCCAGCAAGACGACGACAGCAGGTATCTGTTCCCAGAACGATCACCCTGCTCCCCGTCCCCGCCGCCGCCTCAGCTAATCTCGCAAAGCAATCCACACACTCTCCTTCTCAGCCAATGCAATCCGCCGTCTATGGCTTCTAGGTCAAACTGGCACCGCTCTCCGCTGATTCCATATTTCACACATCAACCCCCAGGGTATCTCAGCCTTCGCTCCAACGATACTCCACCCAGAAAGTCCCGTCCCGTCCCGTCCTATCAATCCTACCACCACCGCCCTCGCTATCCAAGTCCCTCGCTCGCACAGCGGCGCCCATCCACAAACGCCGAATACTAAGATTAAGATCCGCGGTGGGAAAAGTCCACCAAGTTACACCAACGCAGTTGTTTCTTCAAAGTCGTCGAAAAAGGGGAGAGAAAGGTGACATATGATCAAAAAAGCATCCACACAGAATTAAGGGGGGTATAAGTCGAAGTTGAAAGTCGAAAGTCGCGCAGTTGCTTGTTGGGTCGTCTCGTACGCAGTGCGCGTTGTGGAGAAGTCCAGCGGTCCAAGATGCATGTCGCTAGTGCTGATGAGGCTGGCCCAGATTGTTCGGATCGATGGTGCCGTACATGCCAAAGCTTTGCATGTCCATCTCTTCACGAGAGGTGGCGTTGCCTAGCGGACTCTGCTGGTAGCCGGGCTGCTCATGTGGTATCTGATGCATCTGGCCCGGGCTGGAGTAGACCTTTCCGTCTTGGTAGACCATGCCGTTTTCCTTTGGACTGTGGTACATCTGACCTGCGTCCTGGGAAGGTGTCGAGAAGGACACACCGCTGTCCTGATGCATTTGCTGCTGAGGCGAGTGGTATGACATCGGGTGCTGCTGGCCGCTCATGTCTGGTCCAGAATGTGTCGGCGACTGAAAGCTGAAGGATCCATCCGGCATAGGTGAGTGAAAGGACTCGTCAGGCAACGGGCTTCGGAAGGGAAGCTGCATTTGCTTGTTGAATGACTCCGACAAGTAGATGCTGTCGTCGCCGAAGTGGGAGCTCTCGCCAGGTGTTCCGAAGATATCAGCGCTGTGACTGCGACCAACACCGTTCAATGGTGGTGAGTGGTCAGCAATCACTGGGTCGCCATGACTGTGCATCGACAAAGGTGTATTCGACGTGCCAATCATCGATCCAGCGTCAACAGCGAGGAAGCCAGGGTGGAATGGCGTGCCGAATTGATGAGTTTGATTCATTCCATCCCCAGGTGGCGCGGACGTGAAGAAAGCCGGTGTACCATACTCGCTAGGAGAGTTCGCTGTTGTTGCCGAAACTGGACCACCAAACTGGTAACCAGGGAAGCCAGCCGACGTATCAATGCTGAGATTGGGCCCAATTGGACCTTGCGCAAAGCCGTTCATATGTTGATGCTGGGGTTGAGGCGCGAAAATGTTGGCATCATGCATTGGCGCAGGCGTGGGTTGACCATCAGGCTGGATCAAGAAGGATGGCATCGGATTCCGCAGCATCGAAAAGTCCATCGCCACCGGTACAGATCGACTGCGCTGGCGCTTGTGACCTCGGGGCCCAGGCGGGCCCATCATGCCAGGCGCATTGTGGTCTGGAGGGAAGAGGCCCATTGGGTTGTGTGGGTGCATCATGTGGTTGGGCTGGCTCTGTGGGCGATGGCCGACGGGCGAGACAGGCGCAGAAACGGCGAAGGTATTCGGATCGAAGAAGTTGTGGCGGTTCTGGTAGGCCTCGAGCGAGACCAGCTTTGCGAGCTGACCGCTAAGAACCTTTGATGGTCCGCCGAGGTGGTGCACCATCACATGGGTAGCCTGTTGGTCTTCTGTGAAGTCGCCACACTCATAGAATCCTCCACTGCCCGAGCTGTCCATGTAGAACTTGGGCGGCCGGTTGAGCTCGATCAGAAGTCCACCAGTCCTATGTGAAGCACCTTCCGCAGGTGCCAGCACGTCGCCCTGCTCCAATGAGATGTTCTTGATCCATGCGAAAGGATACTCGATCTTGTATCCAGCCGAATCGTTGTTGATGTAGTAAGTGATGCAAGCCTTGTCCGGCGAGTAGAAGATGACCAGGTCCATTGTGCTCTGTCCGACCCTTCTCCAGGTGCCAATGGACAGAGACCGACAAGCAAAGTGTTGGATCACGACTTTGCCGCTGGCACTCTCACCGTTCATGGCCAGCATGCCACTTCCGTAGGGCACTATTCCCTGGCCGTGTCGTCCAAGCATGCTAGCACCAAGACTTTTGCCAGCTCCATACTGCTGCATCGCCAGATACTGTCGCATCGACTCCGGGATGCTGTCGCAGTCCTCACCGCTTTCGATACTTCGCTTCGCAATGTTCTTGATTTTGGCGCGTCTGCATAATGTTAGCTATAGCTTACTTGTGAAGCAGAACCATATCATACCTATTCTGAAACCAAATCTGAACAGATCGTTCCGTCATATTGATGTCCTGCGCAATCTTCTCTCTCACCATTGCAGTAGGTGTAGGGTTCTTGTTGAACTCGACCTCCAGCAACAAAAGTTGATCCTGCGTGGCGCGTTGCCTCTTTTGATTCTTCTGCTGCTGGGTGAGGGTGCTCTTTCGCGGCGGTCGGCGCGCCGCGTGGTGGTGTGGACCAGGCGTGGAGGGTGCTGAGGGCGGTGGCATTTTGGCGCTCGCATCTTGCTGAGGTTGTGGAGCAGCCATCACGTCCGCCATCTTGGCTACTCGGACAGTTCGCCTCCGGGTTATGTTGGTGTTTATGCTACAGGTATCCGTAAAGCTCGTCCACTCGTATTGCTCGCTGCGTTTCTGCAGGGTGCAATTGATATCGTTGTCGTGAAAGGGGACTGCAGTCGATAGTTGGGAAGCGAGCTGAGCCGGTGTCGAAAGGAACGAAGATGATGAACTCCAGCGCTTGGCGGGTCTCGAAGGTATCGCCACAGGCTGATTGCGGGTCGGTAGTCGTGGGTGTCGTCTTACGATGGCGAAGAGCGGACGGGACGATGGCCGCGTGTGGAAGAGTACAATGCGGGAATAAAGAAAGTCAACGAATGGATGCCGAAAGGAGTGACTTGGGCAACGGCGGAAGCGTACCCGGATGGCAACAAAGAAGGGTGTCCGAAAAGAGGGACTCAGAAGCAACAGTACCGAAGGAGTGAGGTGCTGTGCCCTGGCAGTAACAACGACAACAACGACGACGTCGAGAGGTGTGGTGAAGTGTCGAGGGAGAGGGGAGGGGTGGGCGAGACGAAGTAGGAGGAGGCGCGTTGTGCGGCAAGGAGAAGCTACGCTCGAGCCACGTCGACCAATCCACTTCCTGTTTTAGTGCTGCTTGTAGGTTGGAGGCTGCAGCACCACTCCCGCTCATTGGCCCTTCGCTCTTCTCACTGCTGTCTACCCTGGCCGTCAGACCAGCACATCATGGCCGATGCATAGTGATGTGCCGCCCCGACTACTCCCAGGCCGGGGGTTTTTCGATATTGCCCCTGGGACCGACAGCAACCGTCAGCGGCCACGACGTCCGCGTTGGGACTCGCGACACGCTACACCGCCGCGACCGGGTCATCGGCCAGCAGCGTGGGCAGAGTGGTGCCATTGTTTTCCCTCGATCACTGCCCAAGCGCGATCGATTCTGCGCGTTCGCTCCGAGAGGCTAGCCCTGCTCGAGCCGTTGGCGGCTGACACAACTCTCCGAGACTGCAGCAGGCGGTTGACTCGTTCTGGTGATACAGCATGATTCTGCACCCGGCTTCGAGAAGGCGGGAAACACACCCGACTGTTCCTGCATTGCACGACGCTGCTGAACCGTCCAGACATCCCACGTGCAGCTCCTCCAGGAGACAGGATGCAGGATCCAAACCTCCAACAAAACACCTGCAGTAGCAACCACAACGGCCAGCTCTGCCCTGAATCGTGACTGGCCACTCGCAGACGCCGAAGGATCGACGTGCACCGGCTAGCTCAGGAACACCCGTGCTCGCCTTGGCCGAAAGGAGCTGCGTGGTGGTTCCTGGAAAAGCAGCGTCACATGATACGCACGACATCCGCAGGTCCAACGTTGTTGGAAAGACGCCACATCCTGTCCTGAATCTTCTCAAACCCGTCTTGAGATTCATGACTGAGACATTGTGAGGCTGTTATCTGGGACGTGCCACGGTCTTGGGCGACGCTATTTCACAGGCAGGACAGGTCACGCGTCGCTTCTACATTATCATGCGGCGGTGGTTGTCAGTACCTTGAACGTGGGACGAAAAGGCAGCTGTTTTCAGGGGTTGGATGCACGACGAAAATAATGCTTGAGAGAAAGCCGCTCGACTCCACTCCACCCACGCGCCGAACAATCACCCGCCAAGCCAGCTCCACTCCCAAAAAGAATCCTCCGAACTCAATATGGAGCCTTCCTCCACCTCCCTCGTTACCTCGCTCCATGCATGCTGATCTATACCCGTATCTCATCACCACAGAATCCTCACCAAAGCGTCGCGTCCCGATCAAACCTCACCATCTCCTTCCCCGCATCCTCCACATCCTTCTTCGCTTTCATACGCATGTAGAAGATCGGACAGTCGCGACTGGAGCAGATGACCTCGTTGTGCATGCTGCCCTGGCAGCGCTGGCACTGCGTCCAGAGCCTCGCGAACCGCACCTCGAGTTCCGAGACTTTGGTCAGAGATTTCTGGTACAGCTCGCCGAAGCGTGGGCGGCACTCTTCTCCCACAGCGCCTTCTTTCTCTTCTTTGGTGGTGAGGGGCTTCTTGCATCCGAGACAGGTCTCGGTCTTCTTTGCGAATTTCATGAGGCCGCCCATGGTGGGTGCTGCGACGGAGATGGAGCGCGTGTGCTCGCCTGTGAGGAGGGAGCCGGCTTTCTTTTCTCCGAGAATGGGCTCGAAGATGCGGCCGAGTGGCTTTGCCAGCTGGTTGTCGAGGTAGTACTTGGCATCGATCGGTAGGTTGTTCTCGAGCACGAAGATGGGGTCCTCGGACTTCTCGTAGCCCTTCGAGCCGGCAGAACCCTTCACCATCACGTAGGCCACACGGTCACCGAGGGCGGGAGCAGAGCCGGCATCTCGCTTGCGCATGCGCTCAGCAAGCTCGACGTGCGCTTGTTTGGCGGCGTAATCTGCCTTTGCCAGTGCCTTTGTAATCACCAGGTTCGACATGTCGATCTTGTTCTGGAGGAGCTCCGAGATGGTGTCCTTGACGTAGCTGTGGACGGATTAGCTCCATACGCAAATGCAGTTGGAATGCAACTTACTCTTGAGCTCCCTGCACATCACGATCAATCAGCAACATCCTTAAGCTCGTCTCAATCACAGTCTGTACAAGTCGGCAATTGTCTCGCCTGACCGTCTCGATACCCTTGGTGTCCATCTTGTCGTACTTTGCCGTGTTCGTCCAGTAAAGCCCAGCATAGCGCTTCTTGTTGATCAGCAGGTACGGATAATAGACCTTCTCGAACTCCAGCTTGATCGGCTTGATGAACTTATCAGAGACATGGCCAGCAGCCTCTTCTCCCAACTCCATGCATTTGGCCAGATCGCTGGGACCAAACTTCACCATGACGGAATCGGTGTCACCGTAGATGACCTGCGCATCGTGAGTGTAGCCGTTGGCGATGGTGTAGTGAGACTCGACTTCCTCCTTGGTTTTCTCAATCATCTGCCGCCCGTAGGAAGTGGTGCTACTGGCGATGGCGAGACAGGGCAGTTTACCCACAGTTGCTCCCGTGAGACCGTAGACGGAGTTGGCACTAATCTTCAGAGCGAGCTGACGACCGTTCAGGATAGCCTTCTTGAAGGGGTCGGTCTGGATGGCGAGCTCCTTCTTCGCACGCTTACGAGCACCCAGCAGCTCCTCCAAAATCTGGGATAGCAGACCCTTGCGGACTTTGGCGGTGCAAAAGAGGTCGCCGTTCGGCGTGACGATGTAGTCCTCGTCCTTCTTGAGGCTCATCTTCTCTACCGCTGTCTTGTTCAACAGTGTCGTGTAGCAGAGATTGTGCGCCTGCATAATACTTGGGTAAAGCGATGCGAAATCGAGGGTTGCAACTGGCACATCGTAGTAGCCTCTGGTAGGTTCAATGACTGTAGCACCTTCGTACTGCTCTTCCGAGCTTTCGGTCTTCAGGTTCGGAATGACCAGTTGCTGCTCCAGGGCCTTTCGGAAAAGCTGGCTGATGAACTTGACCTGCTGGCCACGCGAGAGCAGGAAGTTGAACGGCACGCCTGTGACTCTTGCCATCTCGGTATAGTTGACGAGACACATGAGCTTGTCCATAAGCCGCTGTGGCAGGTATGCATCCTTCAGGCAGTACACGGCGAGACGACGTCTGGACTCTGGCGTACCGTTGTACAGCGCTGTGATCATGGTGTGGTGGACATCCTCTTTCTGTTCGTTCAAGAAGTGTGCGCATACTGAGTTCAACGTGTAGCTTCGCAGATGGTAGTCTCGCTGTATCAACTGCAGCAGATCCAGCTGAAGCCGTCCGTTGGTGTTCGTGGCCTTGGTGTCTCGGTTGCCCATCTGCTTGCTCGAGAAGTTCGCATCCTTGGCCAGGGACTTGACGTTCTTGAGTCTGCTCCAGTACGGGAATTTGGCGACCTTGAGGTGTGCAGCTCGATCCAACAGGTATGGGAAGTCGAAGTTTGAGATGTTGTAGCCGATGATGACATCGGGATCGACCTCTTCGACGAAGTCTCTCCATGCCATCAGCATCTTCTCCTCCGCTCCAAACTCGAAGACTTGGGTGTTGACGATCAGACTGCAGGTGTCCATGCAGAAGACGTTTCGAACAAATGGCTTTTCTTCACCATAACGGGTCACGACGTTGGCAATCTGGATGACAGGATCGATGTTGGCCTCCGGAAACACTCCTTTGCGGCCAGCGCACTCGATGTCGAAGCTCAGCACACGGAGAGGAGCCATCTTCTGCCACTCTCCATCGATGGGGTGCGCAATGATGTCTCGGAAATGGCAGTGAGCCTCAATCTGACAGTGCGATTGACGATCTCTCTCCGGGATCATGTGGTACTTCGAAGGATTGACGGAGACCCAGGACATGCCAGCAATGTGGGTATCGATCATGAAGCGCAGGACATACTGGATGCTGTCGAATGTAAGCACACCACCATCGGCTGCCTTCCACATGCCCTTGTAGTTGGCGTTGCCACCCTCTATGCACGTTCGCAAGCGGTTGATGAACTTTGGATCTGTGACCACGATCTTGATGTATGGGTTCTTCTGGTTGCCCTGGAATCCGTACAAGTTCTCCCGCATCACAAGCTGAACGTTCTGAATTGCTGGTTGATGCTGCGCCATAGCCGATTCCAGGAAGCCTTTAAACGGCTCCAGATCAGTTTTCTGGAAGTTGACCGGTGCTGGGACGTAGAGGTAATGCATGAAGTCCGTGACGTGAAGCAACACCGAGTGGCCCGTCTCCGTCACGCCAAAGAGCTTGACGGTGGTCTTCCCTCCATGCAGAGTACCCTCCTCGGCGTCGATCTGCTGAAAGCATAGTGTATCACTCTTCTCGTTGAAGTCGTCGAGACTCGGCCGGCCCCAGTGCTGGTCCTTCTCTGCATTCTTCTGCTTGAGCGCTGCGAGATCTTCCTCGAACTGGCTCTTCGGCTGGCTGGAGCCAAAGTGGTTGCCATTTGGCCCATTCTTTCCTGGCGTCTTGAATTTGGGTGTATTCTGCACCTCGAGCTTCCTCTTCTTCGATGGTGACGTCTGCTGGTTGCGATGAGAATTGGTGCTGTCCTGCAACACTCGTTTCGATGGCACCTTGGCAGGCGTTTGCGTTATTACTCCCGGCATGTTGAGCGTTGGTGGTGCAGAACGACTTGGGAATGCGTCGTCTGGTGTATACTGTTCGATACTTAACGCGCCTGGCTAATTAACGCGTCTCTGACGCCATGGTCCAAGCTCAGCGGGATCGGCCGCAACTAGAGCTGCATTCAATCAAAGCTCCAAGTTCTAATAAACATTCGAAACACTATAGCACAACGACGCAAACAGCGAAGCGATCGTTGCGGAGGCACGAGGTTACTTCGACAGGATAAAGCATGGTAGTCGAACGATAATATCCTGCGACGACCAGACAACCATTCAAGATGGACGTCCAGAAGTCCTGGGGTGGGTAACCTACTTCACATGTCGAAGGCAAACACTGACATCTGAAATAGAGATCGAGAACTCGGTGAAGCTCGTGGACCCGACTCGCGACGCACTCTACGCATACGACCACGAAGCGAACAAGAAAATTGTCAACGACAAGCCATGGAAGAAAGACCCAAACCACTTCAAGCATGTGCGGATATCAGCCGTTGCGCTCATCAAGATGGTTATGCATGCTCGATCTGGAGGAGACATCGAAGTGATGGGGCTGATGCTGGGTTATGTTGAGCATGCAACGTTCATCGTCACGGATGCACTACGGCTACCAGTGGAGGGGACAGAGACACGGGTGAACGCAGCATCAGAGGCAGACGAGTACATGGTGAACTACCTTGCGCGGTCACGAGAGGCAGGTCAAGTGGAGAACGCGGTGGGCTGGTATCACAGTCATCCTGGCTACGGCTGCTGGTTGTCCGGTATCGATGTCACCACACAAAACACCAACCAAACATTCCAGGATCCTTTCCTCGCAGTGGTTATCGATCCTCATCGTACCATCAGCGCTGGGAAGGTCGAGATTGGAGCCTTCCGTACCTATCCCGAAGGCTACAAGCCGGAAGGAGCAGACTCGAGCTCCGACGGCATGGCCGCAGTCCCGATGGCGAAAGCAGCAGACTTCGGCGCGCATGCCCACCGCTACTACCCTCTCGAAGTCTCGCATTACAAGTCAACTCTCGACAGCAAGCTCCTAGAAGCGCTCTGGAACAAGTACTGGGTGCAGACGCTCTCTTCTTCACCACTGTTTACCAACCGGGACTATGTCACCGCTCAGATTCAGGACCTCGGCGGTAAAGCGAAGCAAGTCCAGGACCTGATGCAGCCCCGCTCGAGTATGGGACCGATGGGCATCTCCAAAGGTAAGGGAAAGCCCGGAGAGGAGCAGCTGGCGAAGGTTGTCAAGAGCGCTGAGAAGATCGCGAACGAGGAGCGGATGGGTCTGATGGCGGCGATGGTTAAGGAGAAGGTATTTGGCGCGCAGGCTGGGGAAGCAGCACTTGCGGCGCAAAGCGCAGAGACGAACGGTGCGACAGATACGCACATGACGGATGCGAAAGCTGCCTGATGTTGCGCGCGGCATCCCACGCGGTCACGAAGATACTCATGATTCATGGCATTGCATTGTATGGCGTCTCGATCACATACATAGCTGGGATAGCATGTGTTGCCTTGCTGCTGGCGTCTTGTCATCACAGGAGATAACGAAAACATGAAAGTCCCAAACTACCGTACACCAATCTTTCATGAACCATTCCAATTTTGACGCCCCCGAATCATGGAGATGCGACTCGTCTAGGCTATATACTTATGCTGGGGCACTTCGGCTTCTTGTGCTGTGCTGTGGTGGAGTTGTGCAAAACCAGGAGATATCACGGGAGTGATTTCCCGAAGCTATCTTACCCTTCCTTTGGTAGAAGGATTTCAAGCCCAGGAAGTTAAATGTACGGCCCAGTGGCAAGGCGAGAACGCCTTCTTTCTCTCAACGACGTTTCCACATTGTTTCGCCTTGGTAAAGGAAGCCGCAATCTCGTCTGCGACTTTTATGTAGAGCGGAAACGGACACCTACGGATTACTCTTCTCCCTCTTCGAACAGCGGTGTAGGCAGTCTGCTATTGATGCGCACACACCGTTATTGAAAGATTCCAAGGAACGCGGCAAGATGTGTTTCAAAACCCTGGATGATAAGACGGCTCATGTGGCGTACATTGGAACCGCTAATTGGCGAAGGATTCACTTCCGATCTCATACAAGGATGTCCAAAGGAGCAAGGACCAAGTAGACCTCACGCCCACGACACGACATCTCCTTAGTGCGGGATCAAGACTCGATCATTCACGCAGGAACCATGCTGGCACGCTTTCCCCACGCATCTAACAGTCAATGGCTTCCAGATCACCGCCGTCCATCGCCCTCTCGAGCCGCAAGCGAGATGTCGGTTCATCGAAGGATCTGGTTGGCGCAGAATGCCTGTTTCTGGGCTCCATCTTGGTCGTCTTCGATACCTGCGTGTATAAGTGGCGTCTTGGAGCCGGTGCCGTGCTCTCCCGTGGGCCTGGGACCTCGACGTGATGCGAACTCCTGAACGCGGTGTTTGCTGGACGTGAGGGAAGACTTTCGACCTTTCACGAGAATCATCAGCTCTCTGGCAACGCAATGGCTGCCGATGAGGTCCCAACTGCGAACCTGAAGAGGACGATATACGGTGTGGTCCTGACACTACAGGTACGCATGGACTAATAAGCATTTTGAGGGTGAGATATGTATGCTGACGCTTCACGCATCAGATTGCTGCTTTCTTAGGAGTTTCCTTACGGCTGTATACTCGTCTGTGGTTGTTGAGAAAACCGGGCTTGGACGATGTAGCAATATTCATCTCAATTGTATGTACACGCATCAACGCGCGCGGAGCATCTCGATTTTCGCTGCTGACATCCTCCAGGTGGCTGTCACGATCGGCTCAACTTACACCTGCAAGAGTAAGTCATCTCCCAACAGTCAACAAGCTATCGAGCAGAAGGCGTAGGAAGCATGAAGCTCCACCTCATGGTCTCCACCCTTTCAGTTCGATTGCAGTGCACGTTGAGGCCGTATCACTGACTGAGCAAAGGTGTGGACTATGGGCTCGGAAGACATGTCATGACCCTGACGAATGAAGAGTTCTTCATGTATCTCAAGGTCGGTCTCCGTTTTTTGAGCGCGACCTGTACTGACCCGCCCAACAGAGCTTCTACGTCTCGAATGGAGCCTACATCCTCGCGACAGCGACAATAAAGCTATCGCTCCTCCTACAGTATCTGCGGGTGTACACGGCCGGACTCATGCAAAAAGTCTGTTGGTTCTTCGTAGCCCTGATCTCACTATGGGGTCTGGCGTTCGGCTTCCTGGCTTGGGTTCCATGCATTCCTGTACGAGGGTACTGGGACTGGTCCTTGACTTCGGCTACGTGCTATGCATACGGTGCGCACTCGTCTCGAACATATCTGAGGTCGTGGGACAAGCTGACCACGCGACCGCAACAGGTGTCAAAAGGCAAGGGCCTTTCCTTGCGGTCTACACCACTCACGCATCCCTGAACCTGGTCTTCGACCTTGCCGTGCTTTTATGCGCGCTGCCAATGTTTGCTCGTCATAATCGTTCGCGAAGGGAGAGCATTTCGCTGTTTGCGTTACTAACCGTCGGGACTTGGTAAGTCCCCATCAACAACCAAATCTTCACGCGCCGCCTCTGACCATGTCCCAACAGGATCATAGTCGTCTCCGCCTGGCGCCTGGGCACCATCGTCCAACACGGTGCCGGCTGGGGCGGCTCCGACGAACCTATGGACTTCACCTACTACGCCCCCATCATGATCCTACTTTCAGGTGCAGAGGTCGGCACCGCGGTCTTCGCCGCCAGCATACCAGTCTTCTGGCCCGTCATCGAATCGAAATGGCTCGGCGTCCTCGTCACGCAGGAGATTGTCGTCACCGAACAGCACCGCAACGGCGAACAGGGTCTTGAGCTGGAGAGGTCGTCCACACACAGCGGCGCTGGGAGTACGAGAAGCTTAAACCGGTCGACTGGGACAAGGGCGGCGCAGTACTATCGGAACGCGCAGCTGGGAGGGTATGTGGATCCGTTCAAGAACGAAGAGCAGATACAAGTCACGCCGTTCGGGTATACCGCGGAGGTGCCACAGCAGCAGCGGAGGGACCGGGACAAGTATGAGACGATTCATGGATCTTAGGACCGATGTCCTTGTATGTAGTACAAGCAATGATTGAACGCACACGTTTGGAATTAAACCTTCTACACTGACCGTCGATGGTCTTCAAAAGCAGATCAGGGCACGAAGCCATGGGCACGGGTATCAACAGGCGAAGGAGATCGGGCCGCGCAACGAAGGGGCTCTAACATGACAGAAAGACAGCGACACCCTCCTCTCGCCTCGCCACCGCCATCGACGGGCTGCCCGACACATCGAGTCGATACAGAGGCCAGAACGTGTGCTACACGGCTCGCAAGTGGAAGTAAAGAAGCTGAGAGACACTGAAGTATTACTTCAATCCACCAATACGGCGGTCGATACTGCAGAGGCGGCGTTTGCATGGTACACCGTTCCATGTCGAGACCGCCTAGCGCTGCTGGCCAGACACGACTCGCAATATGGACGCACGTCCAGCCCGAGACCACGAGCAAGAAGTAGCGACTTCCAGACCATGCTGCTGTTTGACGTGGTGAGCCACCGCAGCCCAAGACACCATGCTCGCCGTGCATCATGCATGCGTGCTCTCCGTGCGAACACCTGCGAACGCAACCTGCGAACTCCTGCATGCAGAAGTTACGCATGTCTCGAACACCTGTTCGCATTCCTGCAATGCGCTGCACACGTTTTGCTCGACAGCACGTCACTGCAATCTCTCCTCTGCCGCTTTCCGAGACCTCGAGCCAGTTCTATGGTGACGGCTGCCATATGGGCTCGATCTAGACGCTGCTGTCTCATATTCGTGCTGGAGTGGATCCACTCGACGGACAAAGAAAGAGGGCTGAGCACCAAGGGCCTGGATGCGGTGAGGGATGATGGTGCTTCTGGGAGGGTGTGAACAGCTGTTCGCAGCAATTGCTTCTTCGTTGTGATCTTTGGCTACACTGCAGCGAGTACTACATGCTTTCTGTATATCCTTGGGACTCTGTACGGCTAGAGGTCGTTACGCACACTGAAGCATCCCCGCTCTCCTTCCATCTTCCTCAGTCTCTCATTGCACCATCTTGAGCAGCCATGGCGTTACACGTCGCTTCTCCAACACCGCTCTCGACAGCCTCGCTCTTCGACGATGACTGGAAGAACTGTGGTGGTGATATCGGAGACCTAGGAGCGATCGCAGCGTTCAACGACACCTTTTACGCCCACCGCTTCGGCTCAAGCAACCAGACAGGCCCCGGAAGCGAGATCGACCCTCAATTGCTCAGCAGTGCCCCTTCACCGGCCAGTACGCATACAGCCTTCGATAGTTACAGCCATGACCATCAAAACGTTGGCAGTCTGGATACAAGTATGTTCGGCTTCTACGCGCCTTCGAACTCCTCCCATGGAGCGGTTCCAGCAGCCTCGCCGTACTTGCAGCAAACCTGGGGTCCTTTCGGACCACCCCACCAGCAGCGCTCGTTCCAGACTTCACCGCATCTCCACCCTCAGCTCCATCGTCGGTCAATCTCTGAGCCACCAGAACAACACCACATGCCGTGGCCCCCGCAGCCCCAACCCGTCCCCACCTTCACGCGCTCTGGCACGCCGCTCGGCATCCCAAGACAGATGAATGGTCAGATCAACAGAGCTTCGTCCAAAAGGCAGCCGCCTTATCGACAGCACTTCTCAGTGGCAAAGAGACAGGCGCCACGACAAGAAAGATATCAGCTCCGGCGTACGCAGACACAGCCGATCCGAGGTCCAGGAGGCCCAACGAGCGTTCCGCCATCGCACGTCCATCAATCGCCACCAGTACCGCAGATGATGATGTCGCAGCCAGCATTGATGCCGCCTCCACCGCCACCGCCGCCGCAAGCACAAATGGTCAGCTCGCGCGTATGCACGCCAGGCCCGCCGCCAGCACATGGCTTGAACGAGGACAACACCAATGGACATGCGTCGCCTTCGCCAACGTCAGGCCCAGCGCAGAGGCAAATTGGCGTCCAGATCCCGTTAACGCTTGACGAGCTCAAAGCCATGATCAAAGGTGCTGTGCAGGAAGCCGTGAAAGCTTCTTTGGCAGAGCTGTCTCGTGGTACAGCATCGGCGCCGGTTGACGAAACGGCTGCAAGCGAGGAGACAGCAGGGTCAGAGGTTCCGAGTGCGACGGATGAAGACAAGGACGATGACACAATCCAGGTCTGCTATGGGATGGAGGGCGTACGCAATTCGATTGAGGTGGATGATGGGCTTTTCTGAGTAATGGCCAGATGCTGGTTGCTCGTGTTGTCGATTGTACAGTAAACGCAGCTGGGAGATCTCGCGTTTGGGGGAAGGCATAGGAAGGCGCCGGATCCTGATTGAAGTCGGGTCTGTATGTGGCCTTCATACGGAATTGTCGAGGCATCAAATCGAGTCATCTTCATTCATCCTCATCTTTCTTCTTCCCCCAATTCCAAACCTCCCAAATCTGATCCGTAATCATGTCTGCGAAACTTTTCCCTTCCTCCATCTCCTCTTGAACCTCTTTCTGCTGCTGCGCCTTCCAAGCCTCACGCTGGTTCTGTACCTGCTCCGTCACGGATGCCTTCTCCTGCCTCCCCGTGCGCTCCATCTCCTGTGTCGCATGGTGGAGCTCACGATACAGGTTTGCTTGTTCCGTGGGTGAGATAGAGCTGTTACCCTCCATCGACTGGTTGTACGCGCGATGGTCCGCACCAATGCCAACGTGCTGCCAGATACTTCGGCCCGTTCGCTCTCGCACCAGCCAGTTCGCGGAGAAGATTGTCGTTCCTCCTAGGCCGAAAGTGTATGCATCGAGTTTGCGTGGAGGGAGTAATGCTAGGATTGGGCACGCTACAAGGGCGACGAGAGCCGTGTTGTGGAGTGCTTTGGCATAGCGGATGGTCTCGTTGTCTGTCGGCTGTCGTTGGGGAGATTGTGGATGTGACATGCTGGAGGGGGTTGGTGTTGCTGTTGCTGTTGAGAACACACGAAGTTCTATGCCGCTCTGTCGAACAGGTGAGATGGTTGAAGGTCCGATGGAGCGCCTGTAGATGTTTGCATATCCAACAACCTCGAACTTCGAAGATGGATGGAAGTCGAGACCCGGAGGTCCGAGCGTGCAACGGTTCTACGATGAGCATGTCTGTCAGGACATCATTATGATCAGGGGTGTCGAGAAGATACCATCTCTTTCAACTGTGGAAGCAGGAGAGAAGAGTTTGGATATGTACAGGAACAGAATTGTTTCAAGTCAATTTTGTCTACATGACAGGTGATTGCCACCAATTACCTCTTACACCTTCGGCGTCCATGTATGCATGTGATACCAATAGCTCAGCATCGCAACCACCAGAGCTTCTCCTCAATCGATCACATGCTCTGCTGGCAGTCCAGGCACTCGAGTACACCCCCTCTAGAACCCATTGCTTTTCAGAAAATCAAAGCTGACCTGAAACCCAGCCGAAGCATTATTGTGCAACGGGAAAGCATGACCAGTATTGGGTTGGATATCAACTTGAAGCGCGAAAGCCTTGGGATACGATAGCCGCTGCGCCGTCTCATTCGTAACTCCTTTGCAGTCACCACCACAGATGAACGTGTCGAACTCGGCCAGCATAAAGTGTATTGGACCCGTGTAGTTGAGCCCAGGCAGACCGACCAATTTGTACCCCGAAGCGAGCTCACCGATAGGGACCGGCTGTTTGATGGCATCGCCGTAATCGAGCAGCTCTTTCGTGAAAGCGGTGTCTGGGTCGCCGGCGAAGAAAATGTTCTGGATCCCGCTCTTTTGATTGACAATGTAGCCAGGTGTACGGTCGAATGGTTTGTCCGCCGTTGGTGGGAACTGTGCGGCCCAAGGCGAGTAGCCGGCCATTGCAAGGTACGGGGTGGCTGCGTAACCAGTGATCACCGCTGCGTCGCTCAGCTCGGGATAGGTGGCGATGAAGGCAGATGTCAAGAACGAGCCAAAGCTATGGCCGACATGAATGATCCGCATTGGATCTTTGCTGGACTGCTTCATGCCGTCGTGGAGCGTGCCATCGCGGGTCTTGATGGTGAGTTCGCGGAGTATCTCAAGCTCGAGTCCAGCCTGCACGCCATGATATGCATCTGGGAGGTCTGACTTGCCGGCTCCGAGACGATCGTAAGTCAGTATGGGATAGCCGGCTTTGAGCGCGTCCTCAACCCAGGAATGCTCTTCGGGCTGAAGTTTGGCGTCCCAGTATCTTGAGTCATAGTGGCCTCCGTGAGTGGCGATTTGGATCACATCAGGTTGTTTGGAAGAATGCGGCTGACAGAGTTGCACGTGGATTTTGTAGGTGCCGCTGATGGTGATGTTCTTGATGATGCGATCTGCGCCCTTGAGAGTCGACCAGGTGTCTTCCTTGATTGCCCAGGATCTTGCTGAGATGTTGTCGTCGATGTGCGTCAGGTTGTAGACGGCGCCTTCGGCAGACGCGGTGATGGGCACGTCGAATTGTTGGCAGGTACCATATCGATGCGTCGAGTGAGGACTAGCTACAGAGCCGCCCGTGAGCAGCAAGGTAGCCGTGAGTATTGTGCTTTTCATGATGGAATCGGGACGTCTTCAGGAGCTTGGAGGTGTCTGTCAGAGTAATCGAGAGCCATAACGGAGTATTTGTACGTCGGTCCATCACCCTGAAGTTCCTGAATTCAATCGCCATACGACATTTCAAGACTGAAACGAGGCCAGATGAGGCACAGATTGAGGCGAAGTAGTGCCTTAGTTCTGTTGAGAGCCTGCTCTTGCTTCGTTCTCGTTCAGCCGGCAACTTGAGTCCTAGACGCCCTGGCTTGGACTTCGCAGACCCGGCCGTCAGGATATTAGGACGTGGAAGCAGTAATGAAAGAAAACAACAAGGCGAGCTAGCGAAGGCGAGAAGAAGAGTACTCATCCCATGCAAGCCACACACAGCTCGTTCTCGTTTGCAGCTTGGCAGTTGCAGCGGACTGCCCAACGTCGAAACCCCGTATTGCGCCTTTCTGCGATTGAGAATTTTCGATACTGAATTCCTGCAGAGTGTGGAAATGATGGCAAGAGTGTGTGCATCATTCTGCATACCTAAGCGTGCGCGTCAGTAAACCCTTTACACGCCACGTATAGCAGATGCTGCAACGTGTCGAGGCTATGCTGAAGTGCCTCGTCCCTCCACCATCCAAGCGCCTCTCCGTAAGGGAGGATGGTGAGTGGGACGACCTTCGACAGTCGTTCCCATTCTTCCTCCGAGTTCGCTCTCCAAAGTCGCCCGGCGACGGTCAGTGGTAGCATGGCCAAGAAAGGAACCGTGTTCGACACTCCATCCCTGAGGTTCACGTAGATGCACTCGACAAACGTGGAAGTGATGATAGTGCGGCGCACGCTTTCCATGAACAGCCACCTTGCGTACCGTGAGGATCTGATGTGTTCGGGCATTTCAGCAGCGTCGCGGCGCTGGAGATGCAGCACCTTCTCCCTCAGTGTGTCAATGTACGACTCTGCTAAGGACCGGTACCTAATATCTCCGTCAAACAGCAGCGGGATGTGAAGCAGTACAGCTGCCTGAACTTTGGCAAGCTCGGCCTCGAAGTCGAGGTCTTCTTCAGCTGACAGGTACGCCGAATACGTCTCGAGGAGAACGTGCCGGACGAAGTGCGAATTGGAGTCGGTGGTAGACAGATGTAACGAACATGCGACGAAGGCGTCTTGCAACGGTCGCGGCAGCTGCGTCCGACTAGACATTGGCTTGATGAAGAACGTTTCGACGCCTTTTGCCATCTCGACGGTGCTCTCCTGTAGCTTGGTGGCACAGTATGTGAGCCTCTGCGGCGGGAGCCTCACTTCCTGCGCGAAGTCCTGCGGTGGGTAGGTGACCGGCTCGAACTTGACTTCGGCCTTGTCCACCAGCGGTGCGGGTGCGGACTTCGTCGTATTAGGCGAGTCTAGTTTTCCGGCATCAGGTGGACTCTATGTGGTACACAGCGGGTCAGTAGATGGTGCGGAATCGCGCTGCGGAGCACATACGTATGTACAAGACCAACTGCCGTCCCTGCAGCGTCCGCAGGAGGGTCGCTGCAAATCGCACCGTCGCTTGCCCTTCATACATCGCTCGCACGCCTTTCTCCTCGGCGGAGGAGCTCGTAAGACCGCCATGATCTTGTGCTTCGTCTTCGAGAGACGATTGAGGCGGAAGTCATGACGAGAGAGAAGTGCGGACTTGCGGACATTGTGATTGAGCGGGAGAAGTGCTGATGAATGCGGTGGCGCCTGACGAAGGACAGCCGCGAAATGGGTGCGGAACTCCGCACCAGGGGCATCGTCAACAACACTCAACCGTCTTCGTGCACGTCAGGAGATAGCCCAGTCTGAAGTGCTCGGATGCTACATGTGCTCGTAAACATGGGTATAAGCAGGCACACCACCACCACCATGGAGGGCAATACCATCAGCCCAGCAACCACAAGCACCCAACAAGAGACAAGATGGAAGGACTACTGGTAGTCTTAGGCGCTACAGGGACCCAGGTAACATCTGTGCCACCGTCTCCACCATCAGAGAAACATGCTGACCTTCCCTCGACTAGGGAGGCTCCGTTATCGACCATGTTCTACAACAATCCCCCAAAGCCCAGATACGCGGCGTGACACGTAACACTTCCTCAACGACTTCGTTGGCTCTTCGGGAGAGGGGGATCGAGATGGTTCAAGCGGACATGGAAGACTGTGCGTCTCTGACCATGGCACTGAAAGTCAGTCCATCTGTTTCCCGTCATGACGTCCTGCAGGTCGCTGAACACATCACCCAGGGAGCCTCCTTTATCTTCGCCGCCACGGACTACTGGGAGCCCTTCATCAACTACCTCCAATCCGGCCGCTCGGACAAATGGCAACAAGCAGAAGCAGACGAAGTCCGCTGCGGCAAGAACATCGTCGACGCCGCCTGCCAGACTCTCGACACCCTGGAGCATTTCGTCTTCTCCTCCCTGCCGAGCCCGGACGCCATCTCCAACCATACGTTTTCCAATCTTTACCACTTCGAGGGAAAAGTGAAGATTGTTCGTTACATAGGAGAGAAAGGCTTGCAATGCCCGACAGGGAAACGCGTATGTGATAATGACTTCGGAGAGGAATTTGCTGAGTCGAAGCAGCTGCGAGATGTCACGACGGTGCTTTGGTGCGGGTGTTACATGGAGAACTTTCAGCGGTGGGATTTGAATTCGTACCTTGTGCCGAAGGACGTATGTACTACGACCGGTCGAGCCATTCAAATACAAACTGACACTATTGGACAGAACGGCGAAGGAAAGTTCGTGATGAGCACGCGAGCCCATCCTTCAACCCCAATGGAGTTCCTGGCCTGTGGCAAGGACGTTGGGCTGTTCGTGACAGCAGTCCTGCAACGCCAACCGCAGGGCGTCGACGGGACGCCCGTCATTGCATCCCCAGCGTCCATGACATTAGAAGATGCCTGCGCTGCTCTTGGACAGCTGACTGGACGTAACATTCTGTACCAACAGAGTGCGGTTGAAGAGATGGCGAAGGGTTCGCCGATCGGTGCAGTCTTCGAGCGGATGTACGAATTTTACAACACCTATGGATGGTCGGGGGGTGTGAAGGCAGTTGGTCGTGAGGACGTAAGTGCACTGCCGCATTAGCGCGCAAGACGTCTCCAGTCTGCTAACGTTTCGTGAGCAGATAGGTCTCTCCGGCAAGACCAGCACGTTTGAGTCTTTTGTTGGAGAACACAACTGGGACGGCTTCTTCGTGAAGACAGATGACTAGCCATCGGCCACTTCGTAAATGTCGGTCTGCAGTTATAGCTTCGTAGGAAAACCACTCTACAAGTAGACACTCAAGCCCGAACCCCTTTCTTCTCCCCCTCCTCCTGCGAGCTCACCTCGACCTCTCCACTTTCCGCCCTATCAGCATGCTCTGCCTCCATAATCCCCTCCGTGACGTTTGGTGCGTAAGTTTTGATACCTTCATCCAAACGGTGGTTCGGCACGAAGACGTCGAAGAACCTCGGTGTCATCAAGCTGAGCACCACAGCAACAAGGCAGAAGTGGGCAAGAATGAATCCGAACACATAGACCGGATCGTTGCGGAGCGTCCAGAACTCGGGGTAAGCGAAGCTGTAGACGATAAATAGAATGGGAGACGAGATGTAGCGGATCATGGGAGCCCAGAAAACAGGGATGTTCCAGTTATTGCCGGTGCCGACAATTACGTTGAGATCTCGGCGGAGTTGGTTGCCCTGAGAAGGTGTTAATAGTGGCTACAAGGTTTGAAAGTAGTTGCGCTTACGGAGTAGAATGCCAAAAAGTACAGCTTCCTTGTGAGCCCGCTCCTGTCAAAGAACCCTGGGGCTTCAGCGTCCGGGGTCCGCCCAATGAGCATGGCAGGAATTGTAAAAGCGAAGAAGGCTCCGAACCCGGCCCCTGCGCCCGCTGCAGGGCTGACGACATGGCCAACGGTAACACCAAGTATCTGGCCCAGGAAGTATCCGGCGTTCCAGAGAGCATACGCAGGGACGCCTACTTGGCCGTAGACATCGCGCCAACGGTAGATAGTGGTGGACAATGACAGCTCGGACCAGACGACGAACACCAAGGCAAGATTGTTGATCCACCGGTCGACGCCGTCCAGGAGATAGTATCCGAATCTCGTGCAGTACATGAGGGAGATCAAGAAGGCTACGACGACCGCGGTCGTGGCCACCACTGGCCTGGGAATCCGAGTTCCCGTCTTGTCCATTATTCCTGTTACGATGACGTCCAGCATAGGGAAAGTCGAGCTGATACCGAGCAGCATCAGGGTCAGGAAGAAGAACCTGTAAGAGAAGAAAGTAATGGTCAGTCGACGTCTCCAAACAGTTCTTAGAGGGACAGCACGTGGTGTATCACGATATGACCTTGAGAACACTTGCTGCTTGGGAGAAGGGGTTCGACTCACACCGCCCAGAAATTCGCGCCTGGCATCGCCACAATAGCTGCCGGATAGGTGAGGAAACCAATCTCGAAGGCACCAAGCCGTGGCGTATTCGCGGGGTTAATGTCCAAATATCCAACAACGCCAAAGACGGCGAAGGCCGCAATCGTCTCGAAAGTACAATTGCTGCATACCAGAATGACCGCATCTTGAACTGCATTTGCCCACTTCGTATTGTAAGAGGCGTATGCGATGTAGTATCCAAATCCAGCTCCCGTCGAAAAGAAGACTTGGCCGCAGGCCGTCTGCCAAATCTGACCGTCGGCGAGCTTTTCGCTGTGCCACTCAGCGAAGTACATTTTGATTCCTCTTCCGGCGTTTTCGAGGGAACAGCAGCGACCTAGCAAGATGATCGTCATGACGATGGGTAGGCCCATGGTCACATACGCTGCGCGACCGCTTTGGCCGACTCCGTTGAACATGCAAAGCCAGACGCAGAACCAGGTGAAGGCAGACCAGCCAACCGTCTCCGCGACCATGCCCAAGTCAGGGTACGATGTGAATGACGTGACTGAACCGCTCGGGTCTCCGTTGGAGAACGTCCCCGGGATCGGATCAGCCTGACGGAGGACTTGGTTGTTGTAGAAGTCGTTGATGTTGTCCGTCCATGGGAGAGGGCTGGTGAACGAATGCCGGAAGTAGGTCATGATCCAGACCAAGATGATTGCGAAGTATACGACGACCACGGAGCTCACGAACATAGCAGCCAGTCCCGTGCCTCTCATGCGGTGGTGCGTGTTGTTGTACGCGGCGACCGCACCGCCTCGGTAGGCCTGGCCAATCGAGACTTCCAGTATGAGAGCCGGAATTGCGAGAAGGAAGATGGCAATCAGGTATGGAAGGAACCATTGCAGGCCGATGTTGTTAAAGACCTGCGAAGGGAAACGGATGATGTTGCCTTGGCCAATGGCTCCTCCCACAGAGGCCAACAAGAAAGCAGTCCTGGAGGGCCATTGATCGCGTCCATCTTCGTTCTTCTTCGCGGGGGTGGAGAGCTTTGCTCTGATCGTGCGGAAGATACCAGACATGTTGGGCAACGTGTACCATGCGGCGTCGATGTACGAGTCGGTCGATACAGCAAAATCAGTAAGTTAGACGTGAACAAGTGGAGATGACAGAGGGCCGCGTTCGAGACTTCCAGGGTGCCATGGCCCGCAGTTATAAGAGCCTTGGGACCTTGGGACCGTCATCAGCGCCGCCCACGTCGGCGGACGCGATGGGTGTGGGCAACGCCCAGAGCATCCCAGCATCCCATCGCGCTACAGCGTCTTGTTCATCGCGCGGGCACTCGGTCCGTCCTATGACAAGCAAGAGCAAAGCCGCTGTTCCGGTGTTGAGGGTTGGCGGACATCGCCAAGTAGCGATCAGACCTGGGCGTGATGGCCGCGGAGGGGAGTACAGTAACAAGCACAGGGAAGCAATGGAGGGAGAGGAAGCTGGGCACTGATGTGTGCCATGCGAACAGTGGGGCGGGCTGAGCTTGGCTGTTGATGGCCCCGAGAATTTGTCCCGTTCACGTGCAAGTCATTATTAACGAAAGGTAAAGTATGCGAAGCATTTTTGATTCAATTGCGTACTGCAACGTTAGCAATGCAACCTCGCACTCGCTCTTGCCTAATAACGAGAATTGCCTTGCACTCTCAGACGGAACGTAGGCTAGGTGTTAAAGGAGCCATATTGCCGCGACACCAAAACCACCGCTGCAGTATATGGATGTCTTGGGAGGAATGATGAACATACGGCAATCCTATCGGTCTTTTTTGGGCTGTTTCGTTCAGAGTGGATGGAGTCTCAACCCTGGTAGAAGACTTTCTTTGGTATGATAAGAAGATAACAACAGCCAGCAGGGACACGTCCAAGACTTGGATTCAGTATCGCTGTCCAGAGGATGATTCTATTTCTGATGGGCAGCGACGCGAGATATGAATCCTCTGCGACTGAACCAAGACTCCCTCTCAAAGGAGCCTCCACAACCCGACCCCGTACGCGGCGGCATCAGATCTTCTCCTTCATGGTGGTGGTGTGCTTCTCATCCACACCACTCAGCGGAGTCTCGATCATATCAGCGCCGACAGCCATCAAGCTCTCGTCGAGCGCCCTGCGCCTGTCCTCGCTGAGATGGGACAGATCAACAGCTACTTCGTCGCCGAACTTGTCTGCAATTTCTTCCAAGGTCAGGCCTGGTGAGAAGGATTAGCATATCAGTACGATGGATGCAAGAGCTATTCAACAGCTTACCATTCGTCTCCGGCAGGAAGAGGTATTCCAGCGGCACACAGAGGGCGGGGACAATGATAAAGACCAGCTAGATGAGCGTTAGCCAATGAATCAGCGAGAAGCAAGACGGCCTACGTACGTAATACTTCCATCCGACCTTCAAGAAGGCGATAGGAGCAGCTTCGGTGTACAGCAGGGTTCTATAGTGCATAGTCGTTAGCGCAGCTCCTTGCGTGAACCCTTCCGGACCAAGAGGTATGGACTTACGAGCCAAAAAGCGTAGCGATGGCAATCGACAACCCCTGCGCCCTGACACCAGTAGGGAAGATCTCGGCACAGTATACGTAGCTCGATGCGTCCTGCGAGGCGCCGTAGAAGGTAACGAAGAGGAATAGGAAGAGGACACCCATGGCATTTCCTGCGCGATTATCGGTGCCTGCGTACTCGGCAACCATGGCAGTGTAGATGGTGATCATCGCGACGCATCCCATCAGTCCGAAGATGATGACAGGGCGTCTTCCGATACGGTCCAGGATGAGAGAGTTGATCCAGTTGAGGAAGGCCGCCCAGGAGGTGTAGATGCCATCTTGAGGACGCGGAGTCAGCTGAACATTCCATCGTTCAAATGGTAGAATGTGGGTACTTACACAGCACCAAAGGTAACCACCCATCAAGACCGAGATTCCCGTAGAGCAAGACTTGGTAGTTGTTCACGACCAGAACTCCGGTTGATTGGGCAGCGAACCTGCTGAGCGTTAGCTGAGTCCTGATGAACAAGAAAGTTGAAGGTGGTCATACTGTACCAGCACGCCGCAGAGGATGCGCTTGACATAAGACCTCCGCTTGAACATCTGCCACATGGTTGTAACACCAGTCTGGGCCTCGAGCTCGATCTGTTTCCGGATCTGGTAGTATTCTTCTTTCGCTGCGATGTCATTCGTGTCGCCCGGTCGAACGTGGAGCCTCTGGAGTACGGCGAGGCCCTCCTTTTCTCTGTTGTGGGCGATGAGCCTGGAGGATAGAGGTCAGTAACAGCCACCAAGCAATCACTACCGTGGAACCATTGCTCACCATCTCGGAGACTCAGGGAGCCACGGCGAACCGATCGCAAGTATAAGGGGGGCTACAATCTGCAAGCTCAGACAGAGTCGCCATGACACTTCTGGTGCTGCGAAGAAGCATCCGACTCCTGTCCATGCAGCCATAGCCTAGCGAGCGAATATCAGCGATGGCCACGAGACTGCAGACAGACAGACTTACGTAGCCGCAGACGATCAGAATTCCATGTCCTCCGACCATGCGACCGCGTTGCTTCGCCGGCGACAGCTCGGACTGGTAAATCGGTACGGACACCTGCATCATGCCGACACCGAGACCGCTCAGGAATCGACCAGCGAGAAACTAGGGCAATGATTAGCCATGTCCACACTGGTATTGTAGGAATCATCGTTTACACACCATTCCAATATGTACGCTTCCACCTTGAATGGCGGACGCCACTACACAAATGACGCAGATAGCTTGGATGGTGAGTTTCCGTCCGAATTTGTTCAGCGACGGCGAGATGATGAGGGCTCCAATCATGCCTCCGCCGGCGAATAGCCCGTTGGCAGCTGGGAGAATCGTCAGCAAGGCGTTCAACGCTCACCTGGTGGAACGCCTACCTCCGATAATGTCATTCCCATGCTTCGCGCCCTCACCCTCCAGGGAGAGATCGAAATACGCAAAGAAAGACGGCAGTCCAAACACAGCTCCAATGATAGAGCTGCTGAACCCGTACGTGAAGGAGCCGAGAGCGGCGAAGAAAACGACCATGAAATTGTAGCCATTGCCTTTGGCGGCATGGTTGCCCTGGTTCTCCGGGTCTCGTTTCTTTCCGAACATCGTGCTTGACGGCCTTGAGTACAGTACTGATATAATTGAAGGTTTAAGAGATAAGGGAAGGGGTAAAGAACGGGATGAAGTGGTTCTTCTACGGCACAGATCGGCAGATACTTGGACTTGTAATCTCAAACCTCCGCATTTGATAGCTTGGAACTGCCACCAGAGCTGGGGACGGCTCCGAGTCATGATCCTGGTGGGATGGGTGTTCTGGAGCGATTGGCGATGCGTCGCCCGCCAGTGATGGTCTTGCCGGCCATCCCCATCGTTGTTCAGAGCTGTACGGAGTACATGATCGCAGAACGCGCCTATTAGCCGGTGGCGCTCGTGTGGTGGTCCAAAGCGAGGAGTTGTCGTTGTCTTGGAGAAGAAAGTACCTGTGGGACGACGAGTCTGGAAGTCCAGCTCCCCGGACTTTGCCGTGTTACACGACACGTGGGGGCTCCACTTCCCCATGGGCTTGCCCTTAGTTTCAACTCTCGAGGACTCTCGAGACTCTGGCACTTGGATGGGAATCAGGAACATCATCAGATGGCTTCGTAGACCATATGTGCCTACTACTACATGCTCCTTGGTTTACGACGGACACGTACGATCACTAAAAGCATTGTCTTCCACTCTATACTCCACAGAGCCTCCAGTGGATGGCTTTGCAAAGCACCACGGAGAGATCTCCTCGCGGACCTCAAATAGAAGATGCTGGCATGAGCACGGCATTACAACTCCGCTCCCACACCCTCCAGGCCACGTGGATTGGCGCCAGGTGACACGGCAGGCTTGCGCGCGCGCGGCTAGCTGCTGGGAATAACCATCAAGCAACCATCCGTGCCAGCATCTCGGTAGTTCATCAATTTCTCCAACGTGACCCTGCGTCAAAGTCCGGGGACAGCCGAGATGATGGTATGCAAAGAACAGTCTAGCCGGCTTCACAATCTTGACCACTGGCGGTCGCTCGCCTGTTGGCTCGCCTTGTGCAGCGCTGAGCTCGAGTTCTCGTTCTGGAGGTCATTCATGAGTGCGGAACTGGTCGAATTCCAGGCAGAACCGATGGGGGCGGTATGCGCATCAACCTCAGCCTTCATGCACTCTCGTAAGAAGTACCCAGACAACTCCGCGAATTGTTTGAACAAGCCACCTTGCCTCATTTCCAGGCCATGAAGTGTCGAAAACGGGCATTTGCAAAGTCTGAGAAACAGCAGTGATTCTATTCATAAATCATACAATTTCTATCAGATGCATCATCTTACATCCGGTACAGCCGGCTGCGCAACATCTCTGTTGATCGCCGCAGCCTGTACGTCCGTCTCAGGCGCTGGAAGAGCGTCCCGGTCGAACAGCCGAATCCACCATTGTGGAGGGTCCATAGGTCGAGATCCGTTGTGCGTCGACGGGTAAATGTCGTTGAAGAAGTACCAGACTGTGGGAAACATTAGCAAGCAATAACTTTGGCCGAGTATACGTTTAGTCTTACTATGCCCAACAACAATTCCGCAAAGCTCATCCTTCGGCCAGTGGCCATGCAGCACCACATTGAAGGCTATCAGCACCCAAGGCAGCCATGGTGCCTTGAAAGTCAACAGCCCGAGAAAGCTCAGCCTCACGTCTGGGTTCCTTCTGCTCCAGATGTAGACCAAGGTCGAGCTCAACGTCGTGCCCAGAAATGCCTGGTTGAAGAGGGGCGCAATGCAGAGGAGCGTCGTGCTGGCGTAGAACATCAACCAGCTAAAGTGGGCGACGGAAGCGGCGGACTCTTCGAGCATGCGTGCGTATCGTTGGATAAAGAAGATGTGGAAGAGGAGGTTGAGTGATAGTGGGCCGAAGTAGACAAATGTCGAGAACAGTCGCCAGTACTGGTGCACCATATTAGCACAGGCTCTTGCAATACTCATCAACCATCCATAGTACCTGTGACTTGTTGAACACGGCTCGGAAGCTGTAGAACAGCTGGAAGGGCGTGAGGATCTGGCACTGCACCAGCACGCCAGTCACCACCGTCGCTGTTGTCCACCATCTTGTGCAAGGCGGCATCTCGAACCACCACTGTTCTATAGGCAGACCTCCCAGCGCACCATCCCCTCCTCCGCCTCCGCCGAGCATGGCCGCCATCTTTGAGTGTGTGGTTGTTCAGCGGAGATAAAGTGGTCAAGGTCCGGGCGCTCCTTGCTTCGCAGTACTGAGTCGTGGAGAGAGGGTCGCGAGCTGGCTTAAACGAGGCGACTGTGGAGGTATTTGTACGTCCGTCGTTCGGGGTGCTAGCCTCTGGCGACGAATCAAACAAGTGGCATGTGTCGGAAGTGTCGCTGACATCAAAGGAAAGGCAACGTGGGCGGAAGCGGGATGCGGCTGCCGCTAGCTAGATAAAGATAGATTAGGGCTCTCGGGTACTTCGGCAGCGGCCTCTGCAGCTTCCAGAATCAAAACAATGCGCTGCACACTGCGTTTGATTGACCTGTGAACCTTGCTACCACGACATCGACACGCTCAGATCTACTAGACCTCACCAATACAGTCATCATCACGAGCGATCATACGCGCCTCATCCGAACCACAACAACAACCGAACAACCGCTCGAAACCACTCACGCGTACAACCACCGCGACAATCGTTCCAAATCGAGTTAGACGAGACACATGTTCTTGCTATAAGGCGGAACGCGACGACAGCAACGCGACATACCCGTCCAGCCGTCCACCATGGCGCGAACAAAGCAGACATCACGAGGGAGACACAGCTTAGGTGGGAAGTCAGCACCCGGTCGAGGCAAAGGCGGAAAAGCACCTAGAAGTAGCGGCGTAGGCTTCAGCCCAGGACGGAAGAAACCACGCTATAAGCCTGGAACAGTGGCGCTGCGGGAGATTCGACGATATCAGAAGTCGACTGAGTTGTTGATGGCGAAGCTGCCTTTTGCGCGACTGGTATGGCAACCCTTCGGCAGCCGCAGGATGTTCGAATGCTAACAGGAGATGGCGCGCAGGTTCGTGAGGTCGGTCTTAACGTGACACCCATGACATCGGAAGTGATGAGGTGGCAGTCGCAAGCCATTCAAGCGCTGCAGGAGGCGTCAGAAGCGTTTCTGGTGCATCTGTTCGAAGATACGAATCTGTGCGCGATACATGCGAAGAGAGTCACGATTATGCAGAAGGATATCCAGTTGGCCAGACGGATACGTGGGGCTTGGGGTGGTCTGGGGTGAGTTAGTGGTTGGCTGGGTGGATGAGGCGGGATGTCATGATTTTTTTGAACAGCGATGGTGTCTGGCGCGTTTATTGGCATGGCGGCTACGTCGTCTACGATGAGCCTGATGTTGGACGGGTTATTGTGGAGACTTTGGGCGGTAAGACATGTATGTCAACTGAAGATGCTCGCATTAGTCGAGCTTGTCTTGGCCAAGACTTGTTCAGTACCAACTTCATCTCCTCATTCCTGCTGTGCCGCAAATACATACTCGCCGGCCTTGACTTCGACCCACGTCTCCAAGCAAGTACGCATACACCAAGACAGTGCAAACCCACAAGCGAGTCTGCCACTACGCTACAGCTTCTGGCGCCAGATCCACGTTCCTCGATCATGAAGGCCGTATCGACATCACCAACATTGTCGATCCTGTTATCCGATATCATACCTCTCCCAATCTTCTACCACATTTTCAAGGACCATGCAAGAATCTATCATCGTTTTATTCCAGCCCAACAGACGACGACCCTCATCGGGCTGGCACTCTACATCACCGGCGTGCTCGTCACTGCATTTGTGTGGATGGAGTATGCATGATGTTGCAGCCCGATTTTCGACCTAATCACTACCACGGTTTGCCAACAAATCATCCACCAACAGCAGCACCAGCCATATCGATCTTCTCATGCTTCATTACCAACGCCGCAACGAAAAGCAACGCTCCCGCAGCAATCGACATCCCAAAGATCCGCGCGATGGTGTGAGCGACCGTGCTGACGACAATCTCCTGCACTCTAGCAGGCAACGAGCTCAACACGTCCGACCCAGCACCGCCCAAGGCAGCCTGCAGCAAAGGAGTTGGAAGGTCATACGCGCTGAGTGCGCTCTTGAGAGCAGAGACGCCGAGGTTCTGGTACAGACAACTGGCTATCGCCAGCGCAAGCGCAGTTGTGCCGATTTGAGCGGTGTTGATGAAGCCGATGGCGTTGGATTTATCCTCCTCTTTGACCTTGACAGACGCCACGCCGTATCCATTCTGGAACGTCATGCCCGCCCCAGCAGCGATTAAAATCTCATAGCCGTACACCTTGCCGATGCTGGTGTCGTCACGAACGGTGAACATGAGCGCCGAGCCGCTGATGATGAGAGCGCCGCCGAGGATGTAGTAGAGGGAGTAGCGGCCGACCAGTGGCAGCGTTGCGCCAGCGAGCATGACGAAGAAGATGAAGACGACGATGAACGGTAGGAGTCGGACTGCTGCATCGAGAGGGTCGTCTCCGCGAGTGAAGACGAAGAGGAGCGGGATATAGTAGATCGTGACTGCGTTGGCTGTTGCTGAGCCTGCGGTGGCGATGAATAGTAAGAGCTGATCTCGGCTCTTGAGGAAGTGGATCGGGAATACTCGGTTGTCCTCCGTAGTGAGGAAAGCAAAGTACTGCTGCAGGCTAAAAGCCACCAACGCGACTCCACTCACAACCCAGAGAGCGATGGCGGTTCCGGATCCCCAGGCGAAGGTCGAACCAACGAATGCAATAGTCGTGATGAGAACGACGAGGATGGTAGCGATGAGCAGGGATCCCAGCCAGTCCAGCGTCTTGAGCTTTTGCCGGAATGTCATGTCCGGCCGGGGGTCGAACGATGGTGTTACAAAAATGTAAACAGGAGCAAATAGTGCGGCGAGCGGGAGGTTGATGTAGAAGGCCTGCGAGACGTTAGCGACACTGCAACCGTGTGATCGTTACTCATGAACTGACCCATCTCCAGGTCGCGCTGCTGACGGAGAACGCTCCTCCAACGACCGGTCCGAGGATGGCCCCCGTGCCCCAGCACACTCCGATCAAAGCATTGTACAGGACAAGCTTCTTGGGCGAGCCGAGAGCGGAGAAGAAGCTGAGTGCGCTGTGTTCTGTCAGTCGCTTGCTGCCACCTCTGTACCGAGCCGAGAACATACCCAAGGTACATCCCACTGCCACCAATACCCGCAATCACCCGTCCAATTATCAACGCGTTCATACTCGGCGCAGCCCCGCATAGCGCACTCCCGACCTCGAAAACGAACACCGAAGCGTTAAGCAGGTGTTTTGTGTTGAAGAGCGAAAAAAGCTTGCCGAGGAGGAGGATGCAGGAGACTGAGGCCATTGGGAAGCCCAGGCCAACCCATGCCAGGCTTTCGATGTCGCCGAATCGTTCGTAGATGCCGACTTGTACATCGGCGGCGATGGTCGTGTCGAGGCCTATTGGTCGGGTTAGCACAGTACAGGGCATGAAGATTGCGACTCTGGAACGATACTCACCATAGAGTAGGGATCCTAGGTAGAGGCCCGTGATAGTGAGCCCCCATTGCCAGGCAGCGTAATGCGGTCGCTCGGGCTCGTTGACAACTTCTTTCTTCTCTAAGTCGTGCTCATGGGTATCCACCCTGGTCGTCTCGAGACTTGGACTCGACATATCCGGTCAGTACGATGTGGATTGGCAAGAGGACCGAATTATGATGTGCTGTTGCTTTTCGACGAGGGAAACCGTGAATGCAAACCTGTGTTGTGAGATTGATACATACCGTCCGGTTGACTCAGCTTTTATACGTCCACTACAGTGGTATCGGACAATCACCGGCAGAGAAACCTGGTGGATCCTCGGATTGCGAGCTGACCAACTTTAGCTAGTTTACAAAGACATCGCTTGCGCGCTGACGAACATACCGAGATATCGCCTGCGCGAGGACCAACTAACGAAAGTGCCATTGCCAATGACAATAGCTATCGTTCCACAATGTTTGAGAATTGGCGTAGAAATAGCAGTCGGCCGAGCAAAGTCGTGTTGAATGCTGTCGGGACGACCGCCAAGAATGCTCGTGGTTACTGGTTTCGCGCGTAAGGTATCGGGCAAACGTCTGTCCCATTTCTGCGCTTTACACCGGCTCTCGCGCGCAAGCATTTGGATCGGTCGTTATAAAAGGGCGCAAGTCCAACGATAAGGGGGATGCCATGCCGTACTCGAAGCAAATTTTTGGCTTGAGACAGAGGGCTCGTCGTCGTTGAGACTGTGACAAGACCCCGAAATTTTCCAGCATGCCTCATGCCTTGGTATATCCTAGACAGCAGGACACATGTTTCCCCCAGACGTGAGAGTAGTACAGAGACCCGATAGTGCCTGGGGAGCTGTGGCATATCTCTCATCTTCGAGCTTCCTTCCTCGACAAGATGTTGATCCAACGGATCTGTCCTGTGGTGGTTGTGGCATTTTCAGAGAGCGCATCAGTCACGCCGTGTGTTGACACCTTAGATATCTTCGTTTTCAGGCCAGTCAGTAGTGTTGCTGATGGTGGAAGTTCCTACCTCACTAGACTAGATGGAGCTGCCTTCCTCGCACTATTAGAACAGGATATGTGTTGAAGAAAGTAGCATTACGAATCATACACTAATCTCTCTGCGCAACCATGCTCAGCTGTTGCCATCATGTCTTCTGACCAAGATGTTCAAAGGGAAGAAGCTCGAAGAGGAAGAAACACTGCTGAAGAACGGCGGCAGTCCTTGCCAAGCATGACGTGGGTCCAAGCGGGCGACTTCATGTCAACGGTGTTCTCGACTGTTGGGGTTTGCATTCTTGCTGAAATATGCACTCCCTACAATGACCTCCAACTGGACCCAATAAATCGGACGGATATCAAGTGACACTAATGGAATGATAGCCCGTCGCCATGATCCCGTACATCAACATACGTAAGCACATTGAATTTCCAGTCGCTGCCAGTATATTGACATCGAGGGTAGCGTTTGACTACGTGTCTGGTCTACTTGGTGCTTCTACGGACGAACGTATGTGCTCCTGGACAAGCCCTGTCTCGAGCCCAAGCCACAACGCTGAACTGATGCGTAGTGAAATTGATATCCTCCTTCCTAATATCATACCCACTCGCGGCCGTTCTGAAGCGATTACCGGACGACAAACCATGGCTGAAGAATGTGTTCAGCATTTCGTATGTCCAAAGTAAAACACATACATTCGCATGTTAACGATTCGGTAGAGTCGGCGTCTTCTTCGTCATCGGCCTCTTCGACCTCTGGGGCGGCCTCTTCACCCTCACCCTCGACGCCGTAGCCACATACGCCATAGCCGCCTACATCCAAGGCCCCTACATGCCATGGATCGGCTTCGTCTGGCTCATGGGCCACATGTCCGTCAGCCACATCTACCGGCAAATGATCAACAACCCTAGCGCGGTCGATATCACCGGTGCGCAGATGGTCATGGTCATGAAGCTGAATGCTTTCTGCTGGAATGTCTGGGATGGGAAGCAGAAGCAGGCCGATCTCACGGATGCTCAGAAGGAACGCATGCTTACTGGGCTGCCCTCTGCTCTGGACTATGCTGGGTTCGTGGCTTTCTTTCCTTCGCTCATGGCGGGGCCAGCGTTTGACTATGTGGATTATCACCGCTGGCTGAATACGTCGATGTTTGATCTGCCTCCCGGGACGGATCCTATGAAGGCGCCAGTGACTCGCAAAAAGCGCAAGATCCCACGCAGTGCTACTCCAGCTATGCTCAAGATGGCCTCTGGCCTTGGCTGGATCCTTCTCTTCCTCCAGATGTCAAAGTATCACAATCCTCAGGTAATCCTAAGCGACAAGTACATGACCTACAACTTCTTCTGGCGAGTCTACCATCTCCACATGATGAACTTTGTCACCAGGATGAAGTACTATGGCGTGTGGTCGCTCACCGAGGGCTCTTGTATTCTTTCTGGCATCGGCTACCAAGGGATCGATCAAAAGACAGGCAAGGCGAGATGGGACCGCTTGACCAACATCAAGCCTGCTGGAGTTGAGCTTGCGCAAAACAGCCATGCGTATCTGGGGAATTGGAACATCAACACAAACCATTGGCTGCGGAACTACATCTACCTCCGTGTCACGCCAAAAGGAAAGAAGCCAGGTTTCCGAGCCAGCATGGCCACCTTCGTGACGAGCGCCTTCTGGCATGGCTTCGAGCCCGGCTACTACATGACCTTTGTGCTTGCGAGCTTCATCCAGAACGTCGCGAAAAGTGTGTTCCCCCTCCAACCTCCTACTTCTTCCCCCACTAACATCCTTCCAGACGCCCGCCGCCTCCTCCGCCCCTTCTTCATCGCCCCTGACGGCAAAACCGGCACACCCTACAAACGATACTACGACATCGCCACCTGGCTCATCACCCAACTCGCCTTCTCCTTCACCACCACTCCCTTCATCCTCCTCTCCATCCACGACAGCATGACGGCCTGGGCACGCGTCTACTTCTACTGCGTCATCGGCGTGACCGCTTGCTCCGTCTTCCTCGTCACACCTGGTAAAGCTTACCTGCAGAAACAAGTAAAAGCGCGGAGTTCCCGCCCGCAACTGCAGAGGGGCGAGAGCCAGGAGGGTGATGTGACGTTGGGGGTGCCGAGTGAGCCGGGCCGGGAGTTTGATGAGATGGTGGATGAGATTATGGAGGAGGTGAAGCGAAGGCAGGGGAGTGGGACGGTGCCGGATGGGATGGAGTTGAGGAAGAAAGTGGAGGAGACGTTGCGGTCGAAGACGGGGCAAGGGAAGGGGAAGGAGTCGTAGGAGGCTTTGGTGGGGAGTATGACGGGGTGATTGTTAGAGGCTGCTCAACCTGCCGTGAAGTTCTTGAATCATACCAATCGCTGCAGCTTCTTGTTTGAGCCGCGTTGATTGCTGGTGATGCCCAGGACTCATTACAGGCTGAAGCGATGTCGTCCGATAGCAGCGCCAAAAGCCGAATGTTTCCCATTCTCGCTGCCTCGAGTAGAGGTCGTGCCTCAGATATGGCAGCCTCACATACGGTTGCGTATAACTGTGTGCAAGCAGAGTGTCCGTCTCAGTGAAAAGTGAAGGGAAGACAATAAAATGTGGTGAGCGAAGATCCCCTTGTCACTCGAGCAACGTAAACGACATCCCGCCATCCCACCAACAGCGCCCCGCTGTGAAGCCCGCAGCCTCATCAAATTTACTCCGCCAAGCGCTCGTCAACACTGCCTACTCCCTCCATTGCGCGTACACCTCTCTCACTCGAATACCTGTCGCCTGATCTTCACCTACCACACATACAAGTACGCAGACTCCACCCGATCAGGGAGGCCAGTCGACACACAGGCGCAAGAGGCAAGACTAACAGCTTATCGCAGGCTTGGTGAGAGTTCAGAGTATCTTACACCGTCCGACAACAGCCCATCATGGTACGTCCACCACACATCTCCCAGTAAAGACCACCTCCTAATATACCCTCCCAGGCGTCATCAGGGTACCACCTCCTCCCTCCCACCCTCACCACCCCACCCCCAACTAACCCTCCACCCCCAGAGTCTCCGTCGCCCCCGAGTGCATCCAAGCCTTCAACGACCTCAAGCTCGGCAAATCCACCAAATGGATCATCTACAAAATCTCCGACGACTGGAAGGAGATTGTCGTCGAGGAAACCTCCTCCGACCCGGACTACAGCAAGTTCCGCGAGAAGCTGCTGAACGCCAAGAGCAAGAACAAGCGCGGCGAGGAGGGGATGGGGGGCCGGTACGCGGTGTTTGATGTCGAGTATGAGGCCGAGGGGGGCGAGGGGAAGAGGAGCAAGATTACGTTTATTGCGTGGGTGCCGGATGATGCGCCGCAATATGTGAGTTGTTCTACCCCTACTTCCAATGAGGTGATGGGAATGTGGAACGACTGGGATGGTTGCTGATGTTGTTTGTGTGACAGCCCCGCATGATGTACTCGTCCTCGAAAGATGCGCTTAAGCGGGCACTCAACGGCCTCGCCGCCGACATCCAGGCCAACGACCCGGACGACATTGAGCACGACAGCGTGGTGCAGCGGGTGTCCAAGGGCCGTTAGGAGAGGGTCGCGAAGCCTCACACGCCGGTGCACGCGTTGCAGATGGCGAAGGAGCGGATGAAAGTATATGGCAACGACTCAACGACGTGCGGGATGAGGCGGGAGCATGCTGAGGAGAGGCGAAGTGCTTGAAGACGGCTGCTGTGATGAGATGCGGTGGTTCGATGAGAGTTTCTTCGATAGACGACATACCTGTGCTTACTCGACATTAGCATGATTTCTTTACATTCTTCTGACCTTCTTGGGCATTATGGGATTTCGGCAGCTAACACAGCACGCCACCGAATACGCTCAAGAGACAGGAGACACAGGTATGATCAAGAAGCCATCACCTTTGGCTTGTGGCTGGATGTCCAGCATACCAGCCGATCTATCAACCATTTTTCTATAGAGTCGAGAGATCTAATGCTGATGCCCACACCCCCAGCCCACCGCCTCCCTCCTCATCTTCGCCGCACTCTTCACCCCCCTCTTCTCCGGCAACAACTGCCTCCCACTCAAATCCTGCTCCAACCTCACCCCCTGCGTCCCAATCTTCCAATGCCTCGCCCTCTTCCCCACCTCGGCCTTCTCCGCCAACGCGTCCAACCACGCCGCTAATCTAACCCCGCCCTTCGCAATCTGCAGCTTCACGACATCGACCGCGCCCTCGTAGTACTCTGGGTACAGATCTTCGCCTTCTAAAGGATCTGTCCCGTCCGGCAGCACGGTGCTGCAGACGTAGCTATTCCCGTCCCTAGCCCAGACCATCGCGCTCGCTTTCGGATCCTCGATGTCCAACCCCTTGAGCCAGGACTTACTCTGCGCAGCGAAGCTGCCGTTGCGGATCGAGTTTGTGAGGTTCGCGGCCCAGGCTTCGGCGTCAGCGAGGTCGTAGCCGCCGACTAGTTCTTCGGGGATAGAGGTGTCCCAGACAGAGTGTAGGTTTGTTTCGTCGCCGTCAAAGGTCACGTCGATGTCGTTGCCGCCGAGGGCTAGGGCCTCGTCGTGGAGGGGTTGGGTGATGTCGCCGAGGAAATGGACGAGGAAGCGCAAGGCGTAATCCACCTCTTGCTCTCCTAGTTCCGACTGCTGTACACGAGCGGTGTAATTCGCTATAGCGCTAACGACACATCCTTCTTCTCCACAATCCCGCTCATAATCCACATTACACGACTCGGGCGGATTGTCCTCAGCGTCGATGTAGTGGAAGGGCGAAGTAAAGTCGCCTTCGTCGGTGTAGCGGTAGCTGTCGGCCCAGGTTGCGATGCTGGCTAGATAGGTGGTGTTGGAGTTGCCGAGAATGTCTTGGGCCCAGTGGACGGTGGTGTTGGCGATGAGGTTCTGGGCGATGAAGGCGACGGTCTTGTGGCCTAAGCTGCCCCAGGCATATGTGGTGCTGGGGAGTGCGGCGAGGGGGAGGAGGATGAGGGGGTGCATTGTTGCGAGATCGTTTGGGGTGGTGGAAGGGTAATGGGAGTGAGAAGGGTAGGGGGAGGAAAGAGAGAGTCCTTATCTTGATGTCAAACAGGCTGGGTATATGTGCCTGGCTGCTATTCCTCGTGCCTGCTTCATTCGGGACGGCCGAGAAAACAAAGTCCCCATCAACTTACGATTGATCCATTGAGATGTCGCAGCGGGCTCACAAGGCCTTTAAGCGCAAAGGCAAGGTGGGACGACCGGATGATTGGGAGCTGCAGCAAAGGCGATGTTGCCAAAGAAGAGCATGATCTCCGTCACGTCCATCTTGTTTGCAGCCAATCACGCGCCTGGATGTCCGATCGTACTTGAGAGTGTGCGACGCTGGTGCTTCTGTCCTTTTGTGGCAGTCTTGACGTCTCGTCTTCCCAGAACAGAGCATAGAATTTGATCAGACGACAACATGAAGTTGAACGTCGTAGAGGAACAACCTCAAGGTCATCGTCATCCTTCCGCCGGAGTTTTGACGCGCTTCTGCTCCGGTCCGATTTCGGTGAGTCGCAGCGCCGAACTCCTTCATCATCAACACTCGTCTTTCTCATCGAGCACGATGGCAATCCATCACAATTGAGGAAGACATGCTACGATGGAACATACGCAAAGATGGCTCACAGATGAGCCGTCAAGACCATCTTCCCTTGCGGCGAGCTGTGAACACGGTATTGGCATCGTAGTCGCAGGAGCCTTCAACGGCGTCAGGGCTGCTGCAGCTCAGCAGATATGAGCTCAACACCCGTGGACGCCATGGACGCATAATGTCCGGACCTCCCATAAAGGTATATCAAGGTAGGAGAAAGTGTGCTACTATGTCTCATCCTCTCCAACTCTCAAGCATTTGGAGAACAATACTTTAAACTTCCATCCCAACATCCACACCATGCCTCAGACCTACCTCATCACCGGCGCGGGCACAGGCTTCGGCGCCCTCGCCGCCCGCGCCCTTGCCTCCTCCCCCGCCAAACCCACCGTCTTCGCCGGCATGTACTCCCACGACTCCAACACCGCCCCCTTCGAAGCCGACCTCGCCACCTTCAACACCCAAAACAGCACCGACATCCGTCCCATCCCCTTAGACCTCCTCTCCCAATCAAGCTGTAACGCCGCTGTCTCCACCATCCTCTCCACCACCTCCGGCCGCTTGGACGCAGTCGTCCACAACGCCGGCCACATGAACTACGGCTTCGCCGAATCCTTCACCGCAGAGCAATACCTCCGTCTCTACGACGTCAACGTCGTCGGCGCGCATCGTCTCAATCAAGCTGTTCTCCCGCATTTCCGCACCCAGCGGCAGGGGCATTTGATTTGGATCGGGAGTAGCAGCGTTTATGGCGGGAAGTCCCCGATGCTGGGAGCGTATTTCGCGGCGAAAGCTGCGATGGACTCGTTGGCGCAGACGTACGCGCGAGAGCTGAATCCGTGGGGGATTGAGAGCACGATCGTCTCGCCGGGGGTGTTTACGAAGGGGACGAACCATTTTGCTGATGCGATGAAGCCGGGCTTGGAAGGGGTGGCGAGGGAGTATGAGGACGGACCGACGAAGGGGGTGGGGGAGCAGACTATGGAGGGCACGGCGGGGGTGGTGCCGGAGGACGCGGATCCGGTGATGGTGGCGGAGGCGCTTGTGAGGTTGAGCGAGGTGCCGAGGGGGGAGAAGCCGTATAGGATTAATGTGGACCCGGGGCAGGATGGGTCGGAGGAGGGGGCGAGGGTGGTGGACAGGAATGGGGATGAGTTCTATCGGAGGTTGGGGTTGGAGGGGTTGCTGAAGGTTAAGATGTGAAAGTGTGAAGAGGGGAAGGACGACTGCGGTATCGAAGAAAGATAGATTCGTCAGCTTAGACCAGGTCAACTGCTCTTCCACGCCTCCCTGAATACCCCAACCAACTTCTCCCCCTCCTTCTCATCCCGCAACCTCTGCGCCAGGAACCCCTTCAAATCCCCCCAGAACTCCTCCGTCTTCAATATACCATCCACACCCTCCCCTTCTGCCTTCGACTCCACAGCCTCCGCCATCGCCTTCTCACTTTCCGGCGCCGGACCTTGAGAATCCACATCTATCTTCTCCGCCTTCTCCCCCAAAACCGGCTCACCCTTCTCCACCGCCGGCGTCGTCGCCCCGGGGGTCCCTCCCCCACCACCCATCAACATGACGCTAAACTCCACATCCCCTTTTACCCCCAACTCCTTCAACGTCTTGAGGTCGGCGGCGGGTTTCTTGTTCAGCAGCAATTTGATCTTCTCAACCGCCTGTCCCGTTTGGGAAGCATACTGCGCTTTGAGGTCGTGGATCGTAGTGTTGGCGTCGAGATCTGCGAGGGTCACAGGCGAGCCGGAGCCGGCGCGCATGGGCTTGAGGGTTGCGGTGAGGGTTTTCGCGGGAGTGGTGGTGGTGGGCGAGCGCCGGGGGAAGGGGTGGGTTTGGCGGGGGAGGATGAACTGTGGTAGTTGTTTAGTATAGCGCTGGTATCAGTCGGGGTGGGGAGATATACCGGGCTCTGATTGGGGTATTTGCGTGGATCGGAGACATGGTCGGCGGGGAGCTTGATGGGGCGTTTGTCGAGGGTGGCGAGGAAGGATTTGGCAAAGGTGACTGTGCGTGATGTTAGTATAGGATGGCGGTGGTGGAGGGGGAAGGGTTGGTTACCTTCGGACATGATGACTTTCTCGAAGCCTTGGAAGAGGGTGTCGGGTTCGGTGAAGAAGGCCAGCGTTACGGTTAATCTGTTGAGTCGTGGTCGTAGGATATATGTGTAGTTTTATATATCAAGAAGATGATGATAAGGTGGAAGTTGGTTGGCGGCTGGTGGGGAGCTTGGATATGAGTTCATGTGCAAATCTTAGACCTCACTTTTAACAACACTTCTGGTACAACCTGGACTCGATATGCGTTGCTAGTTATAGATATCCTTTCGCACAGTCTGCGCCATCATGTCGAACCTCTGTAAGACTCTAATACGCTCGGGTGAAGAGCATTGCTAACGAAGTACAGACAACCTCGAGCCGCAACCGTAAGACGACATAGCCACTCCAACGCAATACCAAGTAACTTGCTAACGATGGCTTGAAGAACAGCCAAAGTCGTCCTCCAAACGACCACCGGCGACCTCACCCTCGAACTCTTCGCCAAACAAACCCCCCTCGCCTCGCGCAATTTCCTCCAACACTGCCTCGACGGCTACTACACCAACACCATCTTCCACCGCCTGGTCCCCAACTTCATCATCCAAGGCGGCGATCCCACTGCTACAGGCACCGGCGGCGTCAGCGCCCTCAGCGAAGATGGCGCGCCCTTCCAGGATGAATTCCACTCACGGCTCAAGTTCAACCGAAGAGGACTATTGGGGATGGCTAATGATGGAACGAAGGATAACAATGGGAGTCAGTTCTTCCTTACCCTGGGGGCGACGCCGGAGTTGCAGGGGAAGCACACGATGTTTGGGAGGATAGAAGGGGATACGATCTACAATTTGATGAAAATGGCGGAGGCGGAGATGACGGAGGAGGAGGGCAGTGAGAGGCCGTTGTATCCGACGAAAGTCACGGGGGCGGAGGTGCTGGTGAATCCGTTCGAGGATATGGTTGCCAGGGTGCGGGAGGCGCCCCGGACGAAGGGGGAGGAGGGAAGTGGGAAGGGAGTGAAAAAGAGGAAGAAGCCTGCTGGGAAGAATGTGTTGAGTTTTGGTGGGGATGAGGGAAAGGATGGAGAGGCTGTGGCGCCGGTGTTGAAGAAGGCGAAGGCGAATCCGAAGATGGTGTCTGCCGGTGTTGAGGAGCCGGAGAGCATGAACAACACTGCGTTGCCAAAGGCACCGAAGGAGAAGGTTTCGAAGAGGAAGTCAACATCGCCATCTCCGCCACCTGCGCAAGTCAAGCCAAATGCCGCACCGGAACCAAGAAGACGCAGAACTCCCTCGCCCTCTACATCTCCTGAGCCAGAAGCTTCCAAGCAAACCGCAAAACTAGAGCAGACGAACGCAGAAATCGCCGCCCTCAAAGCCAGCATGAAACGCAACGTCGACGCCCCGCCCAAAGAAGACCCCAAACCCCTCTCCGCCCTCGAAGCCATGATCCCCACCACCAGCACCCGCGGCCGCAAACGCGGCAAAGCCGCCGACGAAAAAGGCGCCATCGACCTCTTCAAAGCCTTCAAGCAACGCCTCGAAGACCTCCCCCCGGACTCCAACCCCACCCCCACGGACCAACCCACCGCACCAACGAACGGCCACACCAACCCCAACCCCGAACCTACTACGGCAGACGACGAAGAAGCCGACCTCTGCGACCTACACTTCATCGCCAACTGCCAATCCTGCCGGAACTGGGACGAGGAGAACAAACCGGACGCCGAAGCCGAGGCGGACGGGGAGGATGATGGCGGGTGGATGGCGCATTCGCTGACGTTTGCGAAGGATACGTTAGGCAAGGATTTGGAGTGGAGGAGGAAGATGGAGGAGATTGAGGTTATTGATCCGAGGGAGAAGGCGAGGGGGATTAGGGAGGAGGGGAGGAGGGGGAAGGATGGTGGGAAGGGAAAGGAGAGGGAGAAGGGGAAGGGGAGGGCAGCGCGGTAGGTAGGTAGGCGATGGTGATACCAAGAAGCTACATCACGACATGAAGCGAGAAATTCGTCGGCTCCTCCGAGGAAGTCCCAAGCACCGCGGCTGCTCGATTCGAGAAGGTGACTCTCACATTCTTCTTCCGGAAGAGCGAAAGAAAATCTCGACGGGCGAGTCGTGATGGCAAGCAACCTTCTCCGGCGCTGTGAGTGGTCTTGCGCTTGCCGGTGAGCGATCGTGGAGCCTTCCTGCCTCTGCGTTGCTGAGAGAGGGTCATCCGCTTAGATAAGGTACTGCTTCACTTCACAACCTTCGGTTCATACTCCAATATCGACATTTCTACAACAAGCATTACTTTAACAGCAAAGCCCACAGTCCTCGCCCGGGCACTCTTACGAACGATCGATGGACACCATGGTGCCTCGAGAAGTCATTCGACAAGGCTTGCAAAGCGGACAAGCGATTAAAGATGGAGCTCTTGTCGTGGGCGCGGAAGCATTGCGGCCTGCGCCTTGTCATCACGAAGGACACTTGGTTGCCGTCCAACGTCAAATGGGACAAGATACCAAAGATCGAGCTCTTCATCCACCACATCGACCGCTCCTGCGACTGGGACATGCTCCTGCGGATAACGATCTGTGAGCTCGCCAAAGAATTCGAACACTTCCCCCAACTCCAGCATCTGATGATCAGATTCGGCGACCTGCCATGCGAGATAGCAGATACTCCCAGCAGTTCGCCCACGACGTTCCAGCGCACTACGTCGGGGAAGTTCGATCGGAAGTGGTTCTGGACGGAGTTCGTGGAGCACGCGTATATCATGGAGGACATCCTTGAAGGGCTGGCTGTTCTTCCGCCGGCCAGGACGCTGAGCTCTCGAATCCGGAAGCGAGGATGGGATATGAGAGAGAAGCGACTTTGGGGATCTGCGGGAGGGTTCGGGGAAGACGAGGGGTGAGCCGGGACATCGTTATGGGCAGGTGGACTATGATCCTTGGCATTTCCGGTCGCCGCGTGATGTGTCAGAGAACAATTGGGACGATATGGCGGACAGCACGTCGGAAGATGAGTTCCATTCTGGAGAGCATCTGACTGGGTCACCTAGGTCTCAGCAGGGATGAATCAAGCGGCTTCGTGGCCATACTGAGAGGGAGTGGCTGGAGGTGTTTCCAGGTACCTACTAGTGCAGCAGTAGAACAAGAAAGCGGGTTATGGGAGAGCGCGGCGTGAGTTGTGTGTTCTTCCTCGATGATCGAAGGTGTGGTGAGGATATTTTCAGGGCGTGCCGCAGCGCAGACAGAAGTCGTCGGGCTATGAGACACTGTGGTGGCCTATGCCTTCGAAAGTGGACGAACTACTCATGTTCACGAGTGCCGCTATGTACGCTCAGCGCGAGCAACATTGCAAGCCACGGTACACTGCTAGACCGGCTTGTACTCTGCCCCGTCTCTCAACGCGGGCTTGTCTGACCCTCGCTATGTTGGAGCCGACACAGCTTGGCTCCCTCTGCAAAAGTCCGAGAAGACGACTCGGGGGTAGTATGAGTTGGCAACGAAGGGATCATTAATCTATCATCGACTCAAACTCTTCACAGCCTTACTCTTCACGCCCTTAGGATCTATCCCCTTCCTCCGCATCTGCCGCTTCAAGCTTCGCTGGATCATCTGCTCATCCTCATCGTCGTCGTCAAACCCACCAAATCCATCAACACCATCCTCAGCATCAAGATCAACATCCTCTCTCTCCGCATCTCCGTCGGCAGCAACGTCAAGATCCAAGTCCACACCATTCGCCTGTCTCTTCTCCTCCGCAGCGGTACCCTGCGCCTTGACAGCGCCGACGGGAGTAGGACCAGTCTTCTTGAACTTGGAGACGAAGAAGCCGTCGACGTTGTAGGCGTGTGGGTAGTACCTCCGCGTTTCCTTCATGCTGGGATGGAAGCGCTTGTTATTGTATTTGATGAACCCTTCTTTGCCAAAGACCAGACCAGTGGACACTAGGCGGACGTTGGGCCGCTTGTTAAGTGCGTACTGGACGACTTGCTCGTTCTCTTCGACTGTGACGGAGCAAGTGGAGTAGACGATGTAGCCACCGGTCTTGGATGCGTGGTCGACAGAGTCGATGGCGGACAGGAGCAGCTGCTTCTGCAGATGAGGTAGTCGCAAGAAGTCTGCTTCAGTCTTGTTCGTCTTCACACTTGCGTCTTTGGCGATGACGCCGGTTCCAGAGCAGGGCGCATCGAGGAGGACACGGTCGAAGCCGCCCATCACCTTCGGGAACTCCATGGCACTGTAGTTGCAAACCACAGTGTTTTTCACGCCCATGCGGTGAATGTTACCAATCAGACCTTTCGCACGCTCCTTGTTCGAATCATTGGTGAAGATGCAACCAGTATTGCGCATCAACGCCGCCATATGGGTGCTTTTGCCACCGGGCGCAGCTGCCATGTCCAGTACGCGTTCGTGTTCCTGGGGCGCGAGAGCCATGACTGGGAGGAAAGACGACGCAGCTTGCAGAATGTAGTGACCAGCGAGATACTCAGGCGTAGCACCAAGGGGTACTTGCGACTCGAAGATCTGTAGACCGACTTTGGACCACTTGCCCACAGGCTCAAGTGTCACGCCACGATTGATGAGGCTGTGTGCAAGGTCTCTTCGGTGCGTTCGGAGTGTGTTTGTGCGGATGACCATTGGCCTTGGCGACTCGTTGCTGTCGAAGAAGGCGAGTGCCTCTTGGGGTGGGAAGAGTGAAAACAGCTTCTCGGCCAAGAACGGAGAGTAGCCGTAGTATGCACTTATGTCCTTCAACAACGCTTGCGTGTAGTCTGCTCGGCTCCGCGCAGGGTCTCTGAGCTCCGTGAAGTTTGTCAGAACTCGTACTGTCTCCGTGATCCGTGTACGTAAAAGTTGCAAGTCCGGCGCCAGTGCACTCTTCTGGCCCTCCTCATCATCCTCATCCGGTATGTCAGCTGCAATGTTGGTTTGCAATGCATCATCCTGCAACTCTGCTTCCGCATCTGCAACCTCTTGAGCTCGCTGGTTGTCCAGCCTCTGCGTCAGACCAGCAATGTTGGCCGCTGTAAGCGCCTCTTCTGCATCTGAATCCTCGTCCTCCGACCACATCCCCTTCTGCACCTCCTGATCCGAGTCTACCACGTCCTCATCATCGTCGTCAGAGCCAGAGGGTGCATTGGCGAAGTCATCCATATCATCCTGCAGCTCGTCGTCATCCAGGTGGTCCAGGTCTTCTCCGTCCAGCCCGTCCATCTCATCTTCCATAACATCCTCATCATCAATACCATCGCCGCTGAGGTCCGAGAAGCCATTCACTTTTACACCACCTTCTTCGTCGTCTGAAGCCAAGTCCTTCTTTTCTGGAACAACCCGTTTCTGTACCTTCGCAAATTGGCCTTTCGAGGCTGCTTTGCCCGCTGAGTTCTTTGCACCATTCACATTGCCATTCGGCGATGCCGGCTTCTGCGCAGGTGTCCCATTCTGAACCTTCTGCTTCTTCACGGCGCCTTTGGTCGGTGCTGCCAGCTTTCGCTTCTTCGATGCATGTCCTTCATCCAGCGCCGGAGGTGGACCTTGCTTTTGCATGCGCCGACTTGGTCCTTTCTTGTGGTTCGCCATGGCTACCGGCAGTTGTTCTTGTCCTCAAAAGCAGGTGGATTACTTGTCTTCACATGCGATCAAGAAGATCCAAAATTTCTAGACTAGCGCCTCGGCTGTTTTGCCTTGGCCCGAAGTTCTTCCGATACTCTATCAACACCACCTCTTGGTTCTGCTCGTAATATCCTCCATCACTATGCGCTCGAAATGTCAATGCAATGATTCTAGGGCATTCGGATTCTCCCGCCTCACAGCAACTCCACTTGCACTGACAAAGATGCAAGATAGTCGCGTCAGTGACAATTGCGATACAACGGTGCCTCATCACAACGCCACTGGCTTCCAAGACCAGATTGCACAACTGGTCGACCACCATATTCGGACTTGAGAGTTGAATGAAAGCAGTGCTTTCTACGGCTGCCCTGTTCTCCCGACGATGCGGCCATCCCGTTTGCGGACACAATGTACCCCGTGCGAACCCCTGGTGCTCGAGCCACTCCATCCAGGCGGGATATTGATTCAACACTCTATCAGGATTGAGATGCAACGCTGGGAACCCTTTAGTGTCTTGAGATTCTGATGACTGCCCCGCTTGGATGGCACATGGACACAGGGTTGAGTTAAGATGTGTTCGTTGCGCGACCCTCGAGCATGCTGCAATGATTACCGGATCTTCCTGCCAGTGGTGTTTCTCCTTCAGCAAATGCTCAACTGATTACATCGCTCAAAGTTAACAAAATAACATTGGGACGCCGCTGTGCAGTCAACAAAGGCATGCTAGAATTAGCAGCAGGCTTCGTACCATTTGTCTGGGTGACTGTCATGTCTACTGGCAAGCAGTCGAACCCAACATCGAGGCAATGATCTGTGTACGAAGCTATGCTACTGTCTGACTCAAGGTACGTACATTCTTATTTTCATGTCCACAAACAGCGACGAACATGGCTCACACCACGGCCTGATAGTATCCAGCCTAAGCACTCACCGGTAATTGCATTCCATGCTCGCGCTTCCAGCGAAGCTCTTTCACTCTACCTCCTTCCTGAATGCCGTCTCGGTCTTGTACTCCGCATCCGGAGTCACCGGCCCATCGGAATACTCATCAAACTTGTAGAGCGTTGGCGATGCAAGACCCTTCTGACGCAGAATCTGCGTCTTGAAAAAGTAGGGCAGGACAGTGCCGACTTGGTAGTTCATGTGGCGAGTTGTGGGAACGGCGAAGACATAGTCGAGTTCTGTTTGCGAGGCGTGTCAGTGAGCTAGTGGACATGGTTTTGGAGTGGAGGGGGATGTACCTTCGAGCGACTTCTGCTTAGTCTCCGGCAGCCAGAAGAAGATCATGAGGAAGGCGAGGAAGTTCATTGCTGCATAGAAGCCTGGAGTACAGAAAAGGGTACGTCAGTAAACATATCGGACATGGGTGTTGGGGCGATACTGACCGAAAGCGCCGGTCAAGCCGAAGGCACCGAGTTGACGGGGGAATGTCAAGGAGACAACGGTCGCCCAAAAGTTATTTGTGGCTACGGCCCAGCTCATTCCCATCTCTCTGTGCGACAGTGGGAATACCTCAGCACTGTAGGTAAACGGAACGGGTCCTTCTCCTGGCGAGTAAAATGCATCGTAAATCTGCACGTAAACGTCGAGGAGTCAGCAGCAAGCTCGGCATATTAGAGATCTCGACAGCAACGTACGTAGATGAACGTAGCGATCAGCCCTAGATGAGCGGGACTTGACTCCGGGATGTAGAAACACAGACCCGCTGCTAGCAAGGTCCAGCACATGTTGGGGAATGTGAACAGCAGCAGCGCACGCCTTCCGAAGGTGTCGATGGTCCAGATTGCTGGCCATGCCTATATATTTAGGTGAAAGATGTCAGCATCCTTTCCTTCTTGCACAGTGGATGGAGGGAGGGGGAAAGAGTGAGGGAGGAATACGAAGAGGAAATTTATGATGCCAAACCCCCAGGAAGCCAGCAGTGCTCCGGTCACAGAGGCACCAGCTTGCGCGAAGACGGTGGATGAGTAGAAGGCGATAATATTTACTATTGCATATCAGTAAGCAGTAGAGGATAGATGTACAGGTATGGCATGACTTACTCCCGCACATCTGCTGTGCAATCATCACGATCCCGGAAGCCTGAGTCGCTCGGCGAATGCGAGGGATGGTGAACAGCTCGACGAATCTAGTGAACATGTTCGCGTTGACGGAGACACCGGACTCTTTAATCAGAAGCTCTTCCTGCTGCATCTGGGCATGGATGTAGTAGATTTCCTTGGCCGCTCGGATATCGGTGCCTCGGAGACGCTTCAGGCTGCGGTAGGCCTTCTCGAAGCGGCCTTTGGACATGAGCCATCTGTGAGGTGTCAGTAGAGTCATGCGACAGACTTATAGGGCAGGTGATTGAGGTACCTGGGAGATTCCGGACAGAAGTAGATGCCAATAACCAGTGGGACAGCGGGAATGAAGGCAGAGGCAAGCTGAAGTCGCCATGCGATCGCTCCAGTGTCCTTGACAGCCAAGTTGGCGGAAGTACCAAGCATGATGCCGAAAGCGGTCCAAAGCTGCCAGGTCTGCGATGATGTTAGCGCCGTTTTCTGTCTAGAGATGCGACGGAAGTCACCATACCATAACCAAGCCACCACGAATGGCCGTTGGAGCCACCTCGGCGGAGTAAACTGGCACCGTCACTTCTTTAAGGCCCATACCGATGCCGAGAAGAATGCGACAGGCAATAAGCTGCTGCCATGTTTGACACAGTGCCTGACCGATTGGTGCAAGGACGGAAAAGATTGCGGCGCCGAAAATGACGTTCCGTCGACCGAGCCAGTGGTTGAGGGGGTCAGAGATCCAAGCGGCACTGCAGTCAATTAGCTACCACGAACGGTACCAGGCAGGTAGTGTTGTCCTTACAAGAGAAAGATCGCAAAGTAAGGCATCGAGTTGACCAGACCAACCAGCCATTGATTCTTGGCGCAGAGCGCTGGGTTGTCGTTACAGAAATCCTCAGGGCCATCGGGGATCCCAAGGTCGAGCGGCCACGAGAGATTGGCGCCGTTTGAGCCCGTCTGATCCCATCCTTGGACGGCCGCTGGATCGCGTTAGCTGGGTATTGCAGCGTGTTTTGTCGTACACATACCTGCGATACTATTCAGAATGATAGTAAAGTACAGGATGCGTGGATGGCGCCATTTGTTGGTGATCTCTTCAGCGAGGTTCTGCTTCTCATCGTCGTTGAGCTCGGGAAGCCTAGCGATCGCGTCTGGGTATTGGACTTGGGCGGCGATTGCGCCCTTCTTGAGGAGTGGCAAGACGTCGTCGAGGTTGTTCGTTCTGGCAAACTCTTCCACATCTTGCAGCAGGGCGTCTCGAGTGACACCGACCAGAGGGTTCTTGATCCTGGGGAAGGGTGAGTGGTGGTCTTCGTTCGAGGGGAAGGTCGACCTACTCTCCAGTCTGGTTGGATGTCAGATCTGCAACACTCGCCTTGCGCTTCGCTGTTGGGTATTTAGCATCGAGAAACGTGCTTGTGGTGTTGCAACATACCCTCATCCTGGAAGAGAACCGAACCACGGCGTTCGCCAGTGCTAGACGCTGCTCAGCCGATGCGATCGAGACTAGCAATGGCCAGAATGACTTACTCGTTGTTTGGGAACCCGCGTTGCTTCTCGTCAGCCATATTGGTCGACACGGAACTCAATCGATGCGGAAAAGCTGAGCAGGAACTGTACAGACGGACGACAACGACGAGTGCGACGGTGGGACATGGCGAGACTTATTATGTCTGTGCCACCACCACCGCTCCTTGCGCAGCTCGTTCAGGAATGGCATTCTGCGCGAGATGCTGCTGCGTATTGATTGGCCTATGGTCTCGTGGACAACCTCACTAGCTCGTCTGGGGTAAAAGTCTGCGGGGAATCCTTCGTCACAGGTCAGGTCTGGATTTCTGCAGCTTGGGTCAGACACCAAGAGAGTCCTGCATCGGGGCGGCCGCTCAATACGCTTCCCAAGCGCTTCTTAAGAGAGCCCAAGCATGGCACCCGGTGTGCTTATTCTAAGCTTGGTTTGGGAAAGTGTTGCTTTGAAATGTGGGAATGGAGATCAATGAGAAGGTTCGGAGTCCATACTTAGCCATTCGATCCGTGTTGTTGCCATTCCTTACGTATGATCGGACGTACTCATGTTCCTGCTGGGTGTTCGTAGCTGTCGCACCGACTCCTGCAAGCACCACTGAATCGAGATGTCCTCCTTCTGAGCTGCGCCTGCATGTCGACCCCTCCTGGCGCACTCGTTGGGGCATCGTCACTGCTTAGCCAAGCAATATACCGGACAGCTTGAAAGTACTGTACAGTGAGCCTGACGATGGTGGCGTGAAACGCTTCTTGTGATTGCATGGACATCATCTCCAGCTGGAGGAAGCCGAGAACGAGGCCTCGTTCAGGCGGCTAACCGAAGTTACCTCTCGGTGGCCACCCGACGCCACTGGTGGTACGGTATCCCGTGACGGCGTGACCTTGACTTGGAGTGTGTGATGCAGCCGGGTACAATGACCAGATTGGTGAAAGGCCGGGGACGGACCGGGCTGACGACACGCGCATTCGCGTCGTGGTAGGGCTGTTTCGCAAACTTTCCCCGCTATGGCCACGACGGGCATCGGTTGCCGTCTGTGTCCAAGGCCATGTGGAGCTATACCGCCGCAACCGCGAGGGCCTTCAAAGTTTAGTGGACCGGCGAGCGGGCCCAGCAGCGCGTGTGGAAAGCTCCAGCAACTCGTTCGTGGGCCAGACTCCGGTGTCAACATAGGCCCTACCGCAGTCCACGGCGGCGATGGACGTCTCTTGGAACGCCAGGAAGACATACACATACGGAACTCGAGCGACGACTTGCAATATGGTATAGCTGCCTCGAGTTGGTACATGTCGGCATGTAGTGTCAGGAGATGTGGGCATTTCCAGGGACGAGATGATTCCTCCCGACATCGCGATCCCCGCACGCCTTTCTACAAGCGTAGGCAAAAACATAAAAGATGTTGGAATGGGGATCAGGATTGAATGAAATGGTTTTTTGAATCTAACACTTATCGTCATCTCGTCCAAATCAAGTCACAGTGTCAAAACTGAGGGAACCGACGAACGGTAATACATGTAGGCTTGACTGAACGATCAATCAGACGTTCGAACAGAACTATCGAACTAAACTGTTTGACAGAAAAGGCTCCAGCGAAAGCTGCTGCTACAGGATCAGTGAGAGGAAGGACAGTCGACAGCAGCGATTGAACACTGATCGTCGAGTACCAATCTTCACAGAGAAGTCGTTGATCAGGACTATCCATCGGAACAGATCGTCAACCAGCTTGAGAGGAAGAAGACCATTCAACCTTTGCAGCGACACACCAGTCAACATGAAGAAAGGCACGATCAACGGCGTGAGTCGTCACGCACCATACTTTGTTCCCGATGAGGCTATCAAAGTCTTCCACAACCACATTCTCTCCGACCAGCGCATATCCAAAGACCTGCCCTCAGACATTCAGGAAGCGGCAGCCAAAGTCCACTTCACCGGCTCGCCGTCTCCCTCCCTTCCAATCAACTGGCGTTTCGCCGAAGCAGTCTCCAGCCTCAAGGCCCTCGAAGCCTCCCTCGTCAACGTCCTCGTCAAACGCAAGTACCACACGCAGCTGTCCGACGTGACGATCGACACAGACCATGCAACGCTCTTCATCATGTCCGGTAGCCTCTGGAGCATCGACCCTGGCGAAGGCGGACTGAACATCACAGCAGTAAATCTGCGCAAGCCACCTCCTGAGCTGGAGCAGTTCTTCCCGAATTGCGACATCCATCGTTCACATGCTACGCTGCATCGCTCGCTAGCGACAGGCATCTATCCCACCTCAGATGACCGCTACTTCAACATCCACGGCGACATGAACCCAGACCCATGTCTCGACGCCCTCGACCTCCCGCACGACATGGACCACCCCTCCTTCGAAGCCGGCGTGCAGTGCTTCCAAAACGCCGTCGGCCGCCTCTCCAGCTCCGACCTGGAACACCGCTTCTCAGACCTCCACCACCAATCCGGTACGACCTGTCTCTCGCGCTCCGAATTCAACGCCTCCGCCCACGGCAAAGCAAACGCCCACGTCGGGCTCTGGGAACTCCATCCCCACCCCAACCCCTCCCAACCCCCCTGCTGGTGGCCCTCCATCCCCTCGACCTCCCCCGCCCGCCCGCTAGCAGGCCTCAAAGTCGTAGACCTTACCCGCGTCATCGCCGCTCCAGCCGTAACGCGCGGGCTGGCCGAGCTCGGCGCAAGCGTGATGCGCGTCACCGCCCCCCATCTCCCCGACGTCTCTGGCCTACACCCAGACCTGAACTGGGGCAAATGGAACACGCATCTCGACCTCCGAAACCAGTCCGACCGGGAGAAGCTCCGCGTGCTGATACTAGACGCAGACGTAGTCGTACAAGCCTACCGCCCCTCCGCCCTGGCGAAATACGGATTCAGCGAACAGGACATCCTATCCCTCTGCTCCACCCGCTCTCGCGGGATCATCTCCGTGCGTGAAAACTGCTACGGCTGGCATGGCCCTTGGTCCCATCGCTCAGGCTGGCAGCAGATCAGTGACGCGGTGTGTGGATGCGACGTCGGGTTTGGAGAAGCCATGGGGTTGGAGAACGGAGAGGCTGTGCAGCCGATATATCCGCATTCGGACTACTGCACGGGTATCTCAGGGACGTGTGCGATTCTGATCGCGTTGATGAGGCGGGCGGAGGAAGGGGGGAGTTTTGCGGTGGATTTGGCGTTGAATTATTATACGACGTGGTTGGTGAACTCGGTTGCTGAGTATCCGAAGGAGGTGTGGGAGAAGGTCTGGGCGGAGCATGGGAGGAAGGTGTGGAGGAGCTGGGATGCTAATACTACTACTGGACCTGCGACGATGAAGAGTTTACGGGCTGGAGAGGGGGGGAAGAGGTTGTTTAAGGAGGAGTTCTTTGGAAAAAGGAAGGCGCCGGGGATTTTGGGGGAGAAGGTGTTCAGGCATATCAAGCCAGTGGCGCAGTCGCCGGCTGGGACTGTAGAGCCGGGGTTCAGGATAGGGACGAGAGGAAATGGGGTGGATGCTCCGCATTGGCCGAAAGACTTGAGTGCAGAGGTGGTTGGATAGAAGCTAGCCGGGCAGGCAAAGTCGCACAGTCACATCCCATCATTTGTGGAACGAAAATGGTTTCAACCAATTCATAACACCGCTATCCTACACAGAAACTCCCAGCACCGCCCGCTCTATACCAATACATCGTCCCCTACGACCCGCCCCCTCGGTCCCTACTCCCATTCCTCTCCCTACTGCTCCCCTTACTTCCACTTCCACCGGGGTCAAGCAACAAATGCGGCTTCAAAAAGTTCTCATCCAACTTACTGAATAAATTCCCCGCGTCCTCGCTCGTCGCGTTCAGAATCGAATTAATCGCCGTTCGAGCAGTCATGTGAGGTCTCGCTTCGCGCTCCGCTGCATCCGTTCGCGCTCCAGTCATGGGGTAAGGGTTGTTCGTATCGACTTCCGGATTCGCGGAAAGGGGACGGGAAGGCGACCGCCGGGCGGCGGGCGGTAAGTCGAGATCTTGACCTTCGTCGTCGGACGCGTGGTCCGCGAAGTCGTCGGGGCTGAGGAGGCCTTGCTCTGCGGTCGATATTTCGTGCTGCCGTGAGCTGTTGCGACGAGCGAAGCGGGGTGGCGAGCCAGAGTTGTGCGCGGTGCTGTAGGCTCCGCCTGCGCCGCCGTTGACGTAGTTTAGGTCGATGGCACCGTTGACACTGCTCTTTGGCGTATGGCCGAAGCCTCCATTCGAGCGCTTCGCGTACACGCCGGGGGTATGTGGGACGGGCTCGATGTCGAACTCGTCGTCCGAGTCGATCTCGTCCACAACGCCGGTGCGGATGTTGAGGATCTCCAGCATCCTTGCGGTAGTACCGCCAAAGATGATAACGGTCAGCACAACAACGACCAGCACGGTGGCTTTGAGGGCGTAGCCGCTTTGGCCTTGCAGTCCGGCGGCGAGCGCGACACCGACAGCTCCGCGGAGACCAGCCCAGAAGATGAGGATTTTCCAGTTGGTTGGGATCTCTTCGGCGACTTCCTGGCCGCGCCGTCTGGCTCGGTAGCGCAGGAACCAGTTGATGGCGCCACTGAGTGGGAAGACGGCGCACCATCGTGCCACGCAAATGCCAACAACTGTGACTAGGATAAAAAGTGGTTTGTATTCGAGCGTCGTTTCGGTGAAAAGTGACAGCCCGAGATAGATGAAGATGAAGTTCTCGCTGAGTTGCGCAAGAAGGGAGAAGGTGAATTTGGTCGTGAGTTGGGTGCGGCGGGACATGTTGTGGTAGGCGTAGTGCTTGAGGCAGATGCCGCAGAAGAGGAGCGAGACGATGCCTGTACCAGCTGTCAGCTCATAATCGTTCAAGCAGATGTTGATGACACGTACCGCTCATGTGTATGGCGTTGGCAAAGAAGTAGGACGAATAGGCGATAAGAATGACCAAACAGCTCTCGATCTTCGGCTCTCGTCGTACGTGCGTGAACTTGAGGAGCAGGCTCGTCGCCAAGCCAATGACGACTCCGATGAACATGCTGCCAAAGAAGACCATCAAGAAAATGCCGATGCTTTCGAAAAGGCTGAAGGGTGTCAGCTTGGCGGTATTGCTGTTCTTGTACTTCTGAGCAGTCTCGAACAGGACAATGGCAATAGCGTCATTTAAAATACTCTCGCCAAAGATGATTGTGTACAGCTTGGGATCGACTTTGTAGGTGTTGAAGATGGCGAGGATGGTGACCGGATCAGTGGCCGAGAGCGTAGCTCCAACGGACATGGCGTCGACGAACGACACGTCCAGACCTTCGAGCGGTATCCGTGTCCATAGCCAGAGGATGACACCGAGGACCAGGGCCGATATGAACGTTCCGGCAAAAGCGAAGGTCAAGATGGTCCCGATGTTCCGGAAGAAGTTGCCCTGTCCACAGTCAGATTTTGTGGCTTGCTTCTATTCTGCTCCTCTGACTCACCTGATGCAACTCATATCCCGCCGCAAGAATAATCGGCGGCAGCAGCAGGTTAAAGAAGAACTGGTAATCAAAGCTGACACTCGCCAGTACATCCTCGAACCCAACCAGCCGCAGTATCAGACCAATGACCATTCCCGCGAAAATTGATATGACCGTCTCATGTACCGCCTGTATTCGCTTCGATTGTAGGACGTAGGATGTGAAGAAGGCCGCGATAAGTAGTATAATGAGAATAAGGAGCGCCCACGAGGAGAGGATCTCCTTCTCCCCTGCCTCGGGGGCCTCATCGTCGGAGTCGGAGCCCTGGCGGGTAACTAGCTCGACGGCGGAGCGGATGAAGAGATTTCGGTCGACCATGTTGGGCCTTGGAGTGATTGTTATTGGCGCATGCTATACTCGACTCGCAGAGGGGTCGGGTCGATCGAGGGGTTCTGGCTACGGTATGGAGAGGTATATGGTGGCCAGCTGTTCCCTCGATCCTGTGGCGAAAGTAGCGATTGGGCGTGCGATAGGTATCTTACGATAACCCTTCTTCTCGTCGTGGTGTGGGTGTCGTGCGGGCAGTGGTGTGCTATCGTCTGGATTGATATGGTGTGGCCTGGAGTCCAGCGTGGGACGCTCCTTCCCCGAGCTGCGTACTAAATCTGTCGTGCAGCGGATCTAACCGGCGCCTTGCCATTTCCGACCACAGCCGTCTTGCACCTCAGTTCACGACCTCCGTCACCGCTAGGCGTTTTGGTGGGGATCACTTTGGGACATGTGAGCTTCTGCCTGCAATCACCCGACATTTATACCCGGCCCGACTTTCCGTCTGTTGAAATACGTCCCAGACTCCTACCATCCTCCGGTCTACAGTCTACCTAGACAGCAGCATGTCCTGAGCGGGTGACACCTGGGTTGACCTGGAACACTGCACCTGCCACGATGTCCTAGCAAGCGACACACTCCATATCACTCTACAACATCGATGCAGCAATCATGGTTAGGCGGACACGAACAGAACAGTCGGCTTTCTTCGAGATAGTACATCGTCACAGCAATAGTCTCACGCATCCTCAAGATGGACGGACAGCCCAACGTTACACAGCCAACGGCGCCTGCAGAAAAGCCTCGCCCAGCACGTGCTCAGGTCAAGTTTGGACGGGAACCTGCATACCACGATGACAACCCCCGGCCAAGCTTCCAGAGCTATAATGGAGACGTGCGGCGAGCGAGCAAGAGCATCGACTTGGTCAAAGAGGTGGACGGGGTCAACGAGGCGTCACCGCTTCTTCGTCCTAGGATGAGCAAAGATATGAGTGCGCTGCCGCCGCTGGAGAGCATCACGAGTCCGAGCGATGACGACGATGACTGGATTGCCGATGCGCCGCACGAGTACGAGCAGCAGGAGTCGAAGAGCAGCTGGTATCTGTTCTTGCTGACTTTCTGCATGATGGGGTAGGGCTGCATCACATACGCCGCTGGCAGGCTGTCGCTAACATGATTTCTGTAGCCTACAGATCGCATGGGCCGTCGAACTGTCAAACGGCTCTCCTTACCTTCTCAGCCTCGGAATATCCAAGTCTCTTCTGGCCTTCGTCTGGATCGCAGGTCCGCTCTCTGGCACTCTGGTCCAGCCATATGTTGGCATCAAGTCTGATCGTTGTCGTTCGCGCTTTGGCAAACGGCGTCCCTTTATGATTGGAGGCGCCGTCGCCACAGTCGTATCTCTGCTTGCCTTGGCTTGGACCCGCGAGTTCATCGGTGGCGTTCTGGGCATCTTTGGCGTAGCACCTGAGTCTCAAGCAGTTGCGACGACAACAATTGTGTTCGCGGTGCTAATGATTTACATTCTGGACTTCGCCGTTAACGTCATCCAAGCCGGCATCCGCGCCTTCATTGTCGACAATGCGCCCACGCATCAGCAAGACTCTGCCAACGCTTGGGCGTCACGGTTGAGTGGCGTGGGCAACATCATTGGGTATCTCTTTGGCTACGTCGACTTACCTAAATATCTTGGATTCTTTGGCAACACCCAGTTCAAGGTACTTTGTGTGATCGCATCGTTCGCTATGATATCTACTCTTGCTGTATCAGCGGGCAGCATTACCGAGCGAGATCCACGGCTCGAAGGAAAGCCAGACAAGGAAGAGGGCGGAGTGATCGCCTTCTTCCGCAACCTCTATCACTCCATGCGCAAGCTACCACCTCAAATCAAGGCTATCTGCCGGGTGCAGTTCTTCGCTTGGATCGGCTGGTTTCCGTTCCTCTTCTACATCACGACTTACGTCGGCGAAATCTACGCAGAGAAGTTTTTTGCCGAAGACCCAGACATGAGTTCGGACGAAATTGAGAAGACGTGGGCTCGCGGCACCCGAGAAGGCACCTTTGCCCTCTTCATGTTCGCGCTGACGACCTTCGCCTCAAGCGTTCTCATCCCCTTCTTCATAGCCAGCAGTTACAAGCCTCCCACGCTACCCCCTCGGACACCAATGACGCCCACAACACCCAGAACACCACGCGCCAACCGCACCCTCCTGACAGAGGAGGAGGACTATTTCAACCACCCCTCTAGCAGCCCCACCAAACCCTCTCGCAGTCGCCGCAACTTCCTCTCGCGCCTCCGCCTCTCCAGCCTCGAAATCCGCTCCCTCACCCTCCGCCGCGCCTGGCTTCTCTCTCACGCCCTATTCGCCCTCCTCACCTGGTCCACGTTCTTCGTACGCACCACCACCGGCGCCACCATCTTGGTCGCATTGATCGGCATCCCCTGGGCCATGACGAACTGGGCCCCCTTCGCCCTCATCGCCGCCGAGATCTCTAAGCGGGACGCCATCCGCCGCGGCCACCTCCCTCCACCACCGCTGGAAGAAGGTCGCGATAGGGACGCTGAGCTCCTAGCCCGCGGCGAGGACCCTAGTGAGGGCGCTGATCAAGCGGGCGTGGTGTTGGGGATCCACAATGTGGCGATTGCGGCGCCGCAGGTCATTGCTACGTTGGTCAGTAGTGTGATCTTTCGATGGTTGCAGAAGCCGAGGGGAAGTGTGGGGGATGATAGCGTGGCGTGGGTTTTGCGGTTTGGGGGGTGTGCGGCTGTAGTGGCTTGTTGGATGACGAGGAAGGTGGCGGAGGAGAAGGGGTGAGTGCTGAATAAATGATGTGGACGTGGATGATGATGAAGCAAAGCAGTGATGAGATCCATGATGCATGATATGTCGTTTCCCCTCTATACACCCAGCGCCGCTTCTCGCTGATGAATCACCTCTTACTTCCCAAAGTTCCCCTTCTCAAGCATCTTCTCCTCATGCCACGATCGTGTGCCTAACGGAAGAGTATCAGCACGTGACCTCTTAACGTTATCTCATTGCATGGGACAGTCTTACCTTCAATAGCCGCCCCCCTCTGACAAATCGCCAGCGTCGCCACCACGCAAAACAACCCCCACGCCTCCCCAAACCTCTCTACAGGATTACTCTCCGCAAATTTGAAGATGGCCAGCCGGCCTTCGCGGTTTGGAATCGAGCCTTCGGTCCATGTTGTGACTGTTTCTTCGTGCTTGCCGCCTACACCGCCATTAGCTCGAAGGACATCAGAAACATGAGGGGACGTACTCGGCTCAACAGGCCTCCCTTCCTCGCCTTGAGCGTCCGACGACGCCGCGGACGGCGCAGAAACATGCACGACCCTAATCGTCTTCGGCCTCTTCTTCGGCTCCTCGCGAATCTCAAACTGCTCGCCTTCCCAGACGAACGTGTGCGCGTTCGACGCGAACCCGCTGGACGTCAGTCTCTCTGTCCTCGGCCCCGAGTTTCCGGAGCTGGGAGGCAAGTTGATGAGTTCGTGATTGCCGTAGCGTTTCTCGTTCGTGGCGACGGCCAGGGGCGTGCTGCCGTGGGTGAGGGAGGAGTAGATGGTGCATTGGACGGTGCCGGGGCCTTTGTGGAAGGTGACAGCGTAGAGGTCCTGGCGCTGCGGGTCGCTGTCGGTGGAGGAGGGGAGGGTGGCGAGGAGGAAGTTGAGGGAGAGGAAGTCGGTGCCGTGGCCGAGGTAGTAGAGTCCGAAGGTAGAGGCTGTGATGGTGTTAGAAAGATGGCTCCGGTGTGATTGTTTTGGAAGCTGCTTTGGCTTTTGTGGCCGCTGGAAGGGGAATCCGATATCACGATGGAGGTCAGTGTAGCAAAGCGGTTTGCTTACGGAAATTGCCATAGAAGCCGGGTTTCATGGGAGTAGTCCTGGCCGCATCGCGCTGTTTCTTTGAGCTGAAGAGATATTTCACTAGCCGCGGAGGGTACGCGGTCGACATTATGAGCGTTGCGTCTTCAAATCAGTGGTAACGATGATCTCAATGTCGTTATCGCTGCCTGCTGTGCCGCCTCACTGGGAACGGTTGATGGATATCTCTGCTGCAATCGTAATCGCTCAGAACGCGCAGAACATTCGCCAAATGTAATTTTACTGCTGAAATGGGGGGATGTTATACTGCCTACCTCACGCGCCGACATAAGAGGATCTAGATAAGGTGCCATCCATCGCGGTCACACAGCCCAACCGTGCGGATGCGCGAAGGATGAAGTCCGTTTCGCACATGCAGCCTGCCGAGCCTTCCGCGATCCGCCAAGGCGTTATGAGCTTGTTGTGCTTTCTGTTGCTTGACAACGATTGTGTAGTGAACAAGGTTTGAAAGATTTGTCCTTCATTTGTCCTGACCATCAAAGGTTGTATCTAGCCGCTTGAGAGGTTCCAAGACGGAACAGTAGGAACGCAGGTCTGCCATGTCTACTGCAGAAGACGCTCAACCATTCAAGCTTAGGCGATAGCTATCCACACTCTCGGTACCAACGAGATCCCTCGCCTTCCAGCCTTCCCGTGTCGAGGTAGTCGTGCAACGGCCTGCTTCTGCACCGGTTGTTCGAATGTATCGAAGATTAAGCTCGGAGCAATCTGCAAAAGCCGCGCCTGAGGTAGGACTGTACACATGTCCATGGTGAGAGCGAGGCCTGCCTTGCTGCATCTCGGTGCATGGAAGGCCGATACGAGTCACACAAGCCCGTAGCTTTGCGTGATCTTAACTTAACCTATGTGCAAATGTCGCCATCGTCCCCGGGAGCTGGCAGGCTTGAAAAGAGCTGCGAGGTCCAGAACGCAGCTCAACTCAAACCAACGACCTGCTTGACGGCCTTGAGCGTCACCGCGGCGCTCTCAGTAGCCCTTTGAGCGCCCCGAGCAGCGACATCGTCCAGCATCTTTTCGTCAGATCTGATCTGACTGTAGCGCTCTCGGATCGGATGAACAGTCTCATCGACCTTCTCCGCAACTCTTCCCTTCAAGGCCTTGAACGACATCGATTCCATGTCCCGAGCGAGCTCATTCTGGTCTTGGTATGAAGATGCGGTCGTGCAGTGATACAGTATGTCAAGCAGATTGCTCACACCCGGTCTGCTCTCCGGCTCATAAGTGATGGACGATGTTTCTGAATCGGTGACTGCGGCTTTGATCTTCTTGAAAATCTCGTCTCTCGTGTCGGTGAGCATGATACGCGACTTGTCGTTCGAATCACTCTTCGACATCTTCGTTGCTGGTCGCGTGAGAGACATGACTCGCTTGGCCGGGCTGATCAGAGTCTCGGGTACCACCAATGTCCCAGCACCATAAGTGTGGTTGAATCCGACCGCCAAATCTCGGGCGAACTCAAGGTGCTGAGCCTGGTCATGGCCAACGGGGACATGCGTGGCACGGTGAACAAGGACGTCGGCAGCCTGCAACACCGGGTAGGAGAACAGCCCCAATTTAAGCCTCTCGCTATTCTCTTTCTCGTTCGAAGTCTTGTCTTTCCACTGGGTCATCCGACCAAGATAACCTGTACTGGCCTGACACGATAGAATCCACATTAACTCGGAATGAGCGGGCACATCGCTTTGGTGAAAGATGATGCTGCGATTTGGATCCAAGCCAACAGCCAGAAGCATCGCGAGGCTGTCGCTCTTCCAATGTCGAAGCTGCTTAGGGTCCTGGCGGATGGTAATGGCGTGTAGATCGACGAGGGAGTAGATCAAGGTCGTGTCTTGGGCTGCTTCATTTTGGAGTTGGACCCATCGCTGTAGTGCTCCTAGGTAGTTTCCCAGATGCGGAACGCCTGTAGGTTGAATGCCAGAGAAGATGGTTTTGGGATGCGACGCGTTCGCCGAGTCTGTGAGCCATCGCTTCGAGGGAAGGGCCCAGGATTGATGGCTAGCTCCTCTCTTGCTTGTCCGAAGTGCGTTGATGAAGCTCCCGCATCCAATTTTCCACGATAGCATGGATGCTTCAGCAATACTTTTCCAATGTCAAAAGGAGATGGTTGTGGCCGTGGGCCATCGTCGGAAGTTGCACGTGCTCAGGCGTTTTTCGGACAAACCAGCTCCGACAGGCACCAGGGCACGTCCGAACTTTGGCACATCATCTATGTATTTCCTTCGAATCTAGCATGCACACACAACAACCAGCAACATGGCCGACGGCGACTTCAACGACAAGACGACCTCGTTTGTCATATGGCTTCAACGCAGCGGTACCAGCGTCTCCGAGAAAATCACAATAGCAGACCTGAGACAGCACACCGCTGGCCGAGGCGTTGTTGCGGTGGACAATATCGACGAAGACGAAGAACTGTTCAGCATACCTCGATCAGCTATCTTGACTGCTGAGAACTCGAGTCTCGATGTCGAGGTCACAAAACAGGTGGAGGATCCATGGCTCTCCCTCATCCTCGCCATGATCTGCGAGTATCAACTCGGACAAGCCTCGAAATGGCACCAATACCTCGATATCCTGCCACACGAGTTCGACACGCTCATGTACTGGTCGGAGCACGAGCTCAAGTTTCTCAACGGCTCAGCAGTCGTCAACAAAATCGGCAAAGAAACTGCCAACACAACCTTCACCGACACTTTGATCCCGATCGTCCGACAGCACGCAGCCACCTTCAAAGCAGATGACCTCAGTGATGTCGAGCTCCTCTCCGTTTTCCACCGCATGGGCAGTATCATCATGGCATATGCCTTCGACCTCGAATCCACGACCCAACCGCCACAGGGCGAAGATGATGGATGGGAAGAAGATTCTGACGCCGGCTCTGTGCTACCGAAAGGCATGGTCCCGCTCGCCGACATGCTGAACGCAGACGCCGATCGCAACAACGCTAAGCTGTTCTACGAAGACGACAAGGTCGTTATGAAGACCATTAAGACGGTGAAGAAGGGAGAAGAGCTGTTCAACGATTACGGACCATTGCCGAGAGCAGATGTGCTGAGAAGGTATGGATATGTCACGGAGAACTATGCAAAGTATGATGTTGTCGAGATACCGTTGGAGCTGGTGAAAGAGGTGGTGGTCGAGCAGTCAGTTCTGTCGAAGCCCGAACTGGAGTCAAGGCTGGAATATCTAGAAGAGCAGGGCGTGGCTGACGATGGCTACGACGTTGCTCGAGAGGCAAACGAAGATGGGCAGATACCAGAAGAGCTCATCGTCCTCGTCGAGACGTTGACCCTGCCTCAAGACGGATTCGCCAAGCTCAAGAAGAAAGAGAAGCTGCCGGAGCCAGAGCTTTCGAAGAACTCCGCCCAGCTGTTAGAACAGGTTCTCATGAAGCGACAAAGGCAATACAACCCGCCGTCCAAGCAAGTCGGATCTCTCAGCATCACCGAATTCGACATGGGTGGAGCCGACGAAGACCCCGTGGGCGTGGCAAGAGCAAGACGGCGGCATGAGATGGCATCGCAAGTCATCATGGGTGAAATTGGGGTGTTGGGCGAAGCTGTTGCCAGCATGCGGAAGCTCCTTGAAGGCCACGACACCAAGAGGAAAGCTGAGAACGGCGAGACCAGCTCAGCACAGGGAGGAAAGAGGCAAAGGACGAAGTGAAGCGCTTGACAAGGGTATCGCTATCTATCCTACTCGTACAACGCTCAGGTGGAGTTACAGTATGCCAACACTCGATGGACGCCATCGGACTCAAGAAGCGCTACCAGCCGAAGCCTGCTGCTGCAAAGTGCGCGACTGACCACCAGACGCACTGACTGCCATCGAAGACTGGTCACCACTCGGATGATGTCTCCGCTCACCGCCCATGCCTTCTGGACGCGACCGCACATTCGTCGAGACCCGGAACTCGAACACCTTTTGGCTGTCGACGGGGTAGTAATCCTCCATCTCGTCGTCACTGTCCGAGTCCGAGACGACGCCACTGCTGATGACTCCCAGTGGTCGCTTTCTCCTGGCCTCGAGATAGCATCGACCCCCACGACCGTATCGAAGACGGCAGGCTGGAGCCGGGTCACGCTTGATTGGGGCGACAAGCTCTTCATCCGCCGGATATGCGCCTGGGATATGGAACACAAACTCTGGCTCATGGTTAAAGACGGGAGCACCGGCAGTCGCATCCTCCTCCTTGATGGCCGGACGATCTGTCATCTCCACATCCTGATCCCGATCTTGAGAACCTTCTGAAGGCACAGTCGGAGGTGGTGACGGATATGGTCCTTCAGGAAAAAGCAGTGGTTGCCATCGAGGAGGATCATCCGGCGACTCCAGTGGTGGCGTGATAGGCCGCCAAGTCTGGTCAACCCAGTGGTCGTTCCACCGGCGATGCTGCTCTTTCTTGGAATCGATCTGTTGTTGCAGCTTGGTTTCAGATTCTGCCTGGATGTCGGAAAGCTGGACAAGATCGTTCTCTGGCGCTCGGTCGCCACCAGAACGTATCCGGATCATTGCAGGACGTCGATCGGTATCCTGCCTTGCTTTGGGCTTGGGCGCTGGCTTTTGATTGACCAGCAGCTCTTCGTCCTCGCCCTTCTCGCCGATGATCTGTTTATTGACCTTGACATCCTTGAGTTTACGGCGCTCTTCGAAGACCTTGCGCGAGACTTCCAGATCCTCTTTGTTCAGCTGTTCTCGCTGGACCACCATATGGACCAGCTGCCGGGCTTGTTCGAGCTCCAGTCTGAGCTTCTTGAGCTTTTCGACGACTTGCGCATCTCGACCTCTGGTCTTGCGCGTCTGCCGGACTTCCCTACGCCGGAAGCAGATGTATGGGTCTGCGTCATCGGCTTCGTTTGTGGCCTCGAGCACACGCACCTTGATCGCCGGCATCAGCGGACGATTGCCCTTCTTCGAGACCCAATACTGGTAGATTGGCTTCAACCATTGGTGCGCTTCGGCCGAGATTGACTCTTCAGTGGAGGCATCCATCTCTTCGAGTGTTGGGATTTGCGCAGTCTCCACATTAGCGAAAGGCTGCAGGCGGGCGCTGCTCTCCTCGAAGAAGTTCAGCACCTCCTCGAAGGTGTCCTCCGAGCACTGGCTGAGCTTGTCTTTCCTTGGCTGGCCGTTGACGTCCTTGCCGTCATTCAACTGGCCAAGGAAGGCGGCATCACTGTCATTCATGCAGTAGGGAACGCCGACGCAGTCCTCTACAGTTGAACTGAAGCGAATGTACGTCGAAGGCTCCTTGAACGCTTTCGGGTAGAGGTCGTCATACTTTACACCTTTTGCTCTGACGGCGTCTGGTGTGGGAATGAAGCTCTGCTGCTGGGACTTTGCGCCGAGCGCTGCTGCGTTGGCTGCATTTATCACTGCTTGAAGATGGTACTCCTACAGGATGGTCAGTATTTGGCGGCTGCGAGGTAGGTGGTGAAGTGCTTACAATTTCCTCTCCCTTCTCAACACCTGTCTCCACCTGGGGGAAATTCCGTTGCGACTCATCATCGTAAGTATCTTCAAGCTCACCTTCACGCAGGATGCGCAGGGGTTGCTTGGTGTTTAGCTTCCGTTGGCGCACATGCCGGCCTGCTGTGGCTCGGGTCGACATGTGCGATCATATGAAGGGTGAAGTCCAAAGTTTGATTGTTATGCCTCAGGCATCTTGGGCCGCGCGGGCGCACGAAACAGCAAACACCGCGACGAGCGTGTGCTCAAGCGGCTCACGAGGGCGCTCAGGCTTCGGTAAAATTCGCAGAAGTCGTAAAAGTCGATGAAACCCTTGCAGTAAGAAGCGCAAGATATTTGGTGATGGAAGTGATGGCGGTTTTGATGAAGGTGAATCGTGAAGTCTCTGCGGGAGGTGGTTGCGAAGACGGGCAGCTGCGAGCGGCGGGCTGATTGTGTTTCCTCGCCACTGCGGAACGAAGGGCGCTAAGCCTACTTGGGGGCTCAGGAGGAATACATTAAACCAACGTCACCAAGTCACTTTCAAAAAACCATATCGACATAACCTACCTACGCACATATGTGACCTTGTCACCGGCACATCTTCAAGTGCTTGTTGTGTGCAGCGCTGTCCGGCCCAACCGGCCCAATACATAGATATTGAAGTTTTAGTGAAGGCCCTACCGCTTCTCTTCTTGGACACCGTGTCTTCATTTCCTCTCTTACATGTACCATATCCTTTCAGCGTACACAAACTTGAATCGTGACCGCTTTTCTGTAAAGCCCACAACACCGTTGTTCCGTTCCAACAGTGGCTCTCCGTGGCACGCGTTACAGGCCAAACATTCGCCGTCAATCCTCGGCAACTACAGTCGCTCCAACTCCCTCACAAAGATGTGCGACAGTATCGAACGAGTATTGCCTCGAACAACATATGACCTTGCAGGAGCAGCCTCTGGCAAAGAAGGAAGACTGCTAATACGACAAAACGTCCTCGTCTACTTCATCCCCGGCAATCCAGGACTCATTGAGTACTACAGCGCCTTCGCGGACTACCTCACCAGAGCTCTCGAGAAGGAGAACAAAGATACTCTGTACCACTTCATGGGCACCAGTCTCCCAGGCTTTCACGTCAACCCCCAACCAGATGATGAGGTCGACAAGCTCCCGTTGAGTCTGGAAGAACAGGTCGGACTTGCAGCGAACTTTATCGCCGTCGCTGCTCGTCATGACCAGGAGTTGTTCCGGAGGCAATGTGAAACATCTGGTTTGCCGCGTCCGGGACCACTACCGGTGATTCTGGTTGGACACTCCGTGGGCACGTACATTACGCTGCAGACTATCGCGCGGCGGCAGGCTCAGCAGAAGAACGAAAGTGCTGCGGAAGAAGCGGACTTTGAGATTGTAGGCGGGATATGCCTCTTCCCAACCATCATCGACCTCGCTAAGAGTCCGACGGGCAAGCAAGTCAACGTGAGTCCTTGACACCACTTCGGGGAAGCCGCGGCTAAGCAACGACGAAGTGGCTAGCAACATCACCCTACCTCGCACCAACCCTCCAAACCTTGACGAAACTTCTCACCACCATATCTCCCACGTTCGCTCTGCGCAAGCTCGTCCAGCTCATCACAGGCCAGAACGCCGGCGCGGCCGAAACCACCGCAGCCTTCCTGAGTAGTAAGCATGGCGTGCTGCAAGCGCTGTACATGGCTCGCCACGAGCTGTTGGAGATGACGCATGATAAATGGTCGGATGATCTCTGGAACGGACCCCTTCCCGTTGGTAAGGACGACGAGGTGAAGATGGACAGGCCGAAGTTGTATTTCTACTGGGGAGCGAATGATCACTGGATTGACAACAGTACGCGGGATAGTGTTATTGCGTCCCGAGCAAGGAGGGACAGCGATGCGGGTGGGGAAAGGAAGCCGGTCATGGAGGTTGATCAGTTGGGGACGCCGCATGATTTTTGCATCAGTAAGTGTACAAGTCCGCTGTGGTACGTTTTATGGCTGATGTGAAAATGCAGAAGACGAGACAAGCAAGATCGTGGCGGAGAAAGCTGCGGGGTATGTGATAGAAATCTTGAGAGAACTGGAGGCACGGCGATGAGGTGGTGTGACGATGGGTTGTTCAATCAACTATCTGCGCGGATGTGCGCCAGAATTGCCAGAGCGGCTATCCTGCGCCGAATGAGTGCCCTGGATTGCATCCCAATATGGTGCCTAAAGTCCATAGCGCCCATCAGCATCTCTGCAGGATCTCTTGCGGATGACGATGAGCATGTGCAGGTGGCTGTGTGCCTTTATGCCATTGAGAAAGTCTCGCCTCGCGTATCCAATGCCATCAAGTGTCCAGTCCGCCGACTGGCTCCAAATTAGATGACCTGGGATAGGCAGGCAGCTCGAAGTCGTTGTGTGTCGCTCTGCGGCGACACTTTGTTTTCCCTTGCTTCGGCTTAAGTCTCACCCATGGTCGTCGCATTGTCACCTGTTTCCGCCGGCGCGCTCTTTGGCCCAGCATTACCGGCACCCTGACCACCATCCGCGGATGCGGCAGCAGCAGCTGAGGGGTCATTGCCACCCTCCAATCCTGGGTTTGACTGAGGTCCTGGCAGGTCACCGAACGACTGTTGCGCCGCTCCAGGCATTTGGAAGTTCGGATCCAAGGGCGCGTACTGCATGCCATCCACGGCTCCCATGGCCATGCCGTTGCTCATGTCGCCACCCATCCCCACACCCATCCCGTTGCCCATGCCCATGCTGTCGCCCATCCCGCCCATACCATCCATGCCGTTGTTCAGGCCGCCGCCGCCGTTCGACATCCCAGGCATCCCGCCCATCTCCGCGCCCATCGCGAGCTCCGGTGGCGGACTGTACAGGCTGTAGATCCTGCCATCCAGCGCATCGCCATCGAAAAGCGCAAAGTTCTGGATCGGTTGCTCACGCTTGCCGAGCACATTGATGACATCCTCACTAAGTCTGCCACCGACGAACGCGGCCGTGGGCACCATTTCCGCGCCAAGGTTTTGAAGAAAGCTGCGTAAGAAATCTGCACGAAGGGCTGGGAGTTGAAGCTCGCTTGTCTTGCTGGTAGCGATTGTGGTGAAAGTTCGGATGTCCTCGTTGGTGTGGCCGGGAAGACGAGCGAAGTTGCGCTGAAACTCGAAGAGCGCTCGCAGACAAGGGAGAAGTGCTGGGACTGCTTTGAGTTTGCGGTTGTTGCGAAGGATGTCACCTGGTAGTGGAGAGCTGTTGGCGAGGATGAGAGGGCAGTAGTTTTCCTGCTTCTTGACGACTTCAACGGTCTTGCCGTTGCGTTCGCGCTTGCTGGAGACGCTGAGGACTGACCGAGTCATGGTTTCGGGCCCGATGTTGGTGGTCATGTTCGACTTGTCGCGCTCGACCACAAACTCGTGGCTCATCAGGTCTGCAAAGATGTAGCCGTAGAAGCCATGAACTGCGGCTGCGTAGAACGGTCTGCTGGCCACACGAGCTGCGGTGTTGATCATCGAGAGGGTGAGGAAGTCATGATCACATGCGATCACGCAGTCGAAAGGTGCGTAGTAAGTTTCGTTTTGGCCGAGCAGGTCAGCGAGGCTGCCATCCGTCTTGACAGTAACACGTGGGTTGAGTTCCTGTATCCGAGGAATTGCGCTTTGTGCTCGCTGGGAGATGGTCAGTGAGAAGTTCGCGCGCAGATTGAATCAGACTTACAGGCTTGCCGATGTCCTCCTCCCTCAAGAAGTACTGCGCTCCCAAGTCTTCTTCTGTGACGGGCTCATCGTCGATGATCGTCAGTGAATTGATGCCGGCCAAAGTCAGATTCTTTGCAATTTCTGTCCCCAGCGCGCGAAGTGAGACGAGCAGAATATGCGCCGACCGTATGCGCTCCTGTGCTTGAGCGCCCCAGAGTCGAATTTGCCGGTCGTAGAGGGCGATCTCGTCCGCGCTCAGGCTCTGGTTGGTGGTGGTAGAGATTTCTGTAGCTGCGCCAGTAGTCCCGTTTGTGCCGTTGCTTTGATTCTGTTCAGCCGCTGTCGCTGCCATGATGAGAACACGTCTCCAGTCGGAGTTTGTCGTAGTTTATGGTGAGTAGGTAGAAACGCCTCAAGCGGAGGTCACTGCGGAGTCGCTGAGTCAACGCCGCATTTACGATGAAGATCCAAGAGTGTCCCTGGGTGCTATGATGGAAGTCTTCTTGAAGGGTGACCTGCTTGTGACGGGTGAAGAATCAACGTGGATAACTTCCAATGCGTGTGAAGTTCGAAGGTGATCGGTTCAGGTTGGATCGCGGCACCGGGAGTGCCTCCGAGGGCTCGCGCCGGACCTTGCTGGCTCGTCACCAACCCCACGCCAAGTTGGAACACATGAACCTCGCCTTTCTCCACGTTCATGCTTTGTGTAGTACAGTACCTCCACGCAGTGTCCAATGTCTTGCTAGCACACTAATCCTCGTCCAAAGATAGCGAGTGCCGAAAGCCACAGTCTCAGCAGCAATGCCCGATCCACTCCGAGTTCGTGTACGACCATGCATCCTGGCCGGGTCAAGCACGTTTCAGCTGACAATATGTGCTAGCCTGGGAACTTCGACGACCCTCCCGCAAGCAGCGAAGCCTCGACGCCTCAAACTCGCCGTAGCCGCCTGCGGAGAGCATTGCAGACCACCAGCGATCTAGCGAGCGCGAGTCAGCCCCGGAACACGGAGATGGGCAGCGCAGAACGACGGAGACTGGGTATTATTGGGCCAACATCGCGGAGGAGGAGAAGGTCTGAGAGCACGCATGACGAGCAGCCCCGGCTCAGCAGCCCCGGTAACAGCGAGGATCGTCGCCGCAAGCGAAGACGATTCGAATCACCTCCACCAGTACCGAAGCGGAAGTCGATCAAGTATGGCTACTACGGCCAGGTCGAGCCTGGTAGGCTCAAGCTCGAGCTTGTAAGCTGTGACGGTGGCGAGCACAGAGATCCACGAAACACAGGCATTTCCCTCGGACCAGAGAACATTCTAAGATACGATAAGAGCGTGTACTGCTCCGAACAGAGAAGCAGCACGATCGTGGTTAGGCACGCCGACGATACTGCATTCGCTCTCGAGATGCTTCATATCGTGGCCCCCGAGCATGGTTTCACCGCTCCCATACGCGCAGGTGTCGTTCACGTAGCGATGAACATGGCAGACCTGCAGAAGTACATTGATTCGCCGCCGCACGCCCGGAGAGCACGCGTTGCATCCCCGCCATATATGCCCCCGGCTCGAAGGAGTACCAGCATACAAGGTTCGCCTGAGCGGCTTACATTAGCGGACGCTTTGCGAGATCCAGAAGTAAACGCAGCCTTCGGAGATCGCGAGCAAGACTATGGCCGCAGCGCAGACGGCGTGCACGACTTGGCAACGAACGCGAACGACTTCAGCTTAGACCCAGGCGGCCGTCCAGCAGACCCTGATAACCACTGTGATGTACCTTCCCCGGAAGCTATGGCCAATGGAGACTCCACCTCACACGACTCCGAGCGCAACCCCATCATACTTTCTTTCGACGAAGAAACTGGGCCCGAAGAAACCTCCCCGCAAGACGTCCTCGACTTCCGCCTCCAGCGTCTGCGCATGATGCGTCGCCGTGTAGAAATGGACAGCTGGGACCGCGAAGACCGCTGGGCGGGTCTCAGCCGCATGCCCTCCTCCCTCGACCCGAGCGACCGCGAGCGCCTCTCTGTATCACGGCTAGACGCTCTCATGGCTCGGTCACGCGTTCACGATGATACGCCGCCTGGAAATGAAGATGAACTCGCTGCCATGATGCCTTCAGAAGAGGAATTGCTGGAGAGGACGATGCACGTGCGACCTGGAAGCGATGATAAGAACGTTACTACGGGGAGATTCTTCCTTAGCAAAGGCAGGACGAAGGTGACGCTGAAATTTGATCCGCCGGTCAGCGGAAGATTCATCATGATGAGGTGTTGGAGTGGGAAGAGCAATGTTGATGTGCAAGCGGTGATTGCAAAGGGCTTTGGCGGGCCCAGGTTCTTCCCGGCGATGGAAGTGAGGTGATTGATAGATGAGGTATGACTTGACGGAATGATGAGTCGTTGGCAAGTCGTGGTAGTCCTGCCATGTAGGCAACTGATGCAAGGACTCTTGACAAGCGCGCCCTTCTGCCAACACTCCGTGCTCCTTTCCGTGAACTCATGTACATCATGCATCATGCATTACAAAATCACCGTCACACCGTGACAACCCGCACCTACACCGTTCCCGCAATGCTCAACTCCCGTATCTGCCCTAGCACATCCTCCACCCTCGCGTCCAGATCCCCAGACGCGTACTGGTCTCTTGTCGAAGCGTCGAGGTACCTACACCATCAAGTAAGTTCTGCTTCGAACAACAATTCAGGGAAGGGAAAGGGGTACGTACTGCTGCACCTGCGCCATCCGACTATACGCCTCCGCGCAGAACCGCAGCTGGATCTTCACCAGCGCTTCGAACGTGGGGTCGAGGTAGGGTACCCTATCATCGTTTAGCACACCTCGTCTGACGGCAGTAGGTTTTGACGTACCGCAAGTCAATCAATTGCGGCAGTTCAGACGTCAACTGCTCGTTCAGCTGCTCGTATTGCGCTTTCGCCTGTTCGAGCTCGTCAGCCTCCTTCTTGATGAATTCGAGTCTGAAGGGCTGCATGATCTCTTCCAGCTCCGAGGGGTTGAAGAACGGTGTGGAGAGCGATGGACGGGATGGTGGCGCCGGCATGGTAGAAGGCCGGTTTGTAATGGTTTGATCGCGCCGAGCTTTCGCAAGGGCTCCCTGAGGAAAGGGGATGAAGGTTTGGGGTTGGCTAACGAGCGGAGTACTGGCGGTGCGAAATGCTGGGGCCGTATGAGGCTGCGCTGGTTCTCCGCGGTCCGCAGTTGGGGTGCCTTCCTGAATGGTGGAGTCGAAGCTTGAGCTGACAGAGCTGGCGGCAGGACGCTTCCGTAGTGCCATCGACGGACACCTTTGCATGGACTCCGGGCCGCCGCTCTGCCTTCCGCTGGACCAGGTTGTGACACGGCTCAGCTTGCGTGGGCCTGATCTGACGTCCGCCGCGGCGCTACAGTCGCTGCCCCTCAACTTCTGGATCTCCGGTCTCTGAAGGGCCTTCGGTGGACTTGGAATGCTCAGGTCGAGCTCGTAGTCGCATCCGTCCTTGCCGGTGGTGTGGTGTGCATTGGTGGTGTGTTGTGGATACGCAAGAAGAGTTTCGTGACTAACCATTTCGGCTTCCTTCTCTGTCCGCGGCAGCTTGCCGGGATCCTTGTCGGGCTTCTCAGTCAGCTTCTTGACTCTCGAGCGCACTGAGTCGTAGTCGAGCATTTTGTGCTGTCGCTTCTTGATGCCTGGGGGCAATGTCAGTGACACGACCAAGAAGTGGTGATTGCATAATCGACTTACACTCGTTGATGTCGGGAAAGTACGCGCAGAAGCGATTGATGGGATCCAGCACCGTAGTCCTGTACAGATATTCCATAAGCCCATGTTCTGGGGATCCGTCTGTCACATCACCTCCTCCGCGGGTGTACACCCTACGGTTCCCAGCCTTGAAATTCCACTCCCCTTCAATATCCCGGACGACCTCGTCGTCTGCTGCGTATTTGAGCAAAGAATCTGGCACACACCTGTATGGCCCATCAAGCGCTTTCACAGTTTCCGCGTCCAAGTCCTCCACAGCTTGCTTGTAACTCCTGCTCACGCCGTCTTTTGCGCCGCTGTCGCCGTAGAAAGCGTCGATCGTTTCTGCTATCCGCATCTGCGACGCCGTCATTGCTCGTAGCGAATCGAGGTAGCCCTTGGCTTCTTTCTGTAGGCGGAGTGATGCGGCTTCGAGTGTGCGGTATCGGCGTTCTTCGACTTCGTATTCGCGGTCTGATGTCTTCTCAACGTGGCCGGTCTTCATCATGACCTGCGTCGTCGCGCGGCCGACATTCTTCTTGAAGCCTGCACTCATATGTCAGCGGACGGCATCCACGAGTAGGCGCAAGTGGTGACTGACCTGACCAACTCATGACGGGCTATCTGTTCGTCTCTTGGTTTTGATTGTAAGAAATGAACTATTCTACCCACGGCGGTGTACTCTCCAAAACGAACAACAACGCTGGAAGTGGTCGTTTGCGCCGAGCGTTGCATTGGACGAAGCATGAGGTGGCTTAGAGTCGACTAGCGTTCTTGCGCAGCGCACGGGCCAAGGCTTTCCGACACTTCACCTTCATGTGACAATCATCTCTTCTGAGTCTGAGAGACACATGTCAACGCTGCGGCCACAAGAGGTATTGAAATTTAAAGAACACGACACGTTCAAAATTGACGATTCTCCTTCTTCGCTCGAGACTCGACAAGGCATCGGATCATAGCCTTCCATCATGCCTATCGCATTAGGCCTCGAATCGTCCGCCAACAAGCGTAAGTCAGCTTTCATGCTGTAGGTGCTACAAGCTGATCAGATGCGCGTGATGTCCAGTCGGTGTAGGCATCATACTACACACGCCTGGCAATGGACTACAGCCCTCAACTCCGCCTTCGCCACACGACAGTGCACATTCGGATGACGAGCGACTATACTCTAACCCTAGAAAGACTTCTCCACCAGTCCAGATCCTCGCAAACTTGAGACATACATTCCACTCGCCTCCCGGAACCGGCTTTCTCCCCAAGGACACCGCCGCACACCACCGGCAATGGGTTGTTCGACTGGTCAAGCAAGCCATGAAGCAGACCAACGTCCGGATAGAGGATATCGACTGCATATGCTACACCAAAGGTCCTGGCATGGGCGCTCCTCTAGCGGCGGCAGCACTGGCAGCTCGGATGTTGAGCCAGCTCTGGAACAAACCGTTGATCGGTGTCAACCACTGCGTTGGCCACATCGAAATGGGTCGCTCGATCACCGGCGCAGACAACCCAGTCGTGCTATATGTCAGCGGCGGCAATACGCAAGTGATTGCATACTCGGCCCAGAGGTATCGAATCTTTGGCGAGGCTCTCGACATCGCTGTGGGCAACTGCCTGGATCGGTTCGCTCGAGTTCTGAATATCAGCAATGATCCAGCGCCTGGGTACAACATTGAACAGCTTGCAAAGAATGGCAAGGTCTTACTAGACCTACCTTACGCCGTCAAGGGCATGGATGTCTCATTCTCCGGGATCCTCGCGCGTGTCGAAGAGCTGGGTCACCGCTTGGAGCAAGGCCAGCCTTGGAAGGATGAAGAGACCGGTGCCGACATCACCGCTGCCGATCTATGCTTCACGCTGCAAGAGACCGTCTTCGCCATGCTTGTCGAGATCACCGAGCGAGCAATGGCGCATGTTGGAGCAAGCCAGGTGCTGATCGTAGGAGGTGTTGGCTGCAACGAGCGCTTGCAGGACATGATGGGCCTCATGGCATCCGAGCGAGGAGGAAGCGTCTATGCGACAGACGAGCGGTTTTGTATCGACAACGGCATTATGATCGCACACGCTGGATTGCTGGCGCACGGAATGGGCTTCAAGACTCCAATCGCCGAGAGCACATTCACTCAACGGTTCCGGACGGATGAAGTACTCATCGATTGGCGAGACTGAGTTTCTTGACATCGGGGATCCTTTGGGAGTCCGAAGTCTGAGAAGAACACTCAACACCCGACCTATGAACGAGCCCTGCATGGGGCGCCGTATCAGCCCTTCCCTCTTAGAAACGGCGGAGGGTTCGCTCGCTCCACCGCCACGAATGACGGCACTAGAACCACTCGTTCGCTCCCTTCAACGACTGCAGTATAAGCGGGATCAAGACTCGATGTTTCCATTGTCACATGCTTTGATACCGCCAATCTCAGGTCTACAACGCTCTCCTAACTGCTCGGGAAGGACTGGGGGGAGCAGGGCCCAGCTCCGGAGACCAGTGGGTTCGCGCCGGTGTGAAAGGACACATGGAGCCTTCCTACTGGTCGCTGGAGCAGCGAGGAACAGGTCACAAGCAGGCTTGGCACTTGCAGCGTCCGTATGAGGAAGGAGCGCAGCTTCATACAAATGCTATCTTCTCCGCCATTTCTGGCGAGAGTTGCACGTTATTAAACGGAGAAGGCAAGGACAAAGTGAGAGGTGATATCTGGCGACGGTGGGCCCTTCTAAGATTATCATTGGCCGGACCCTTGGTGAGTTTAAGGTCGTCCTCATGTGACCCCCTGCTGCCTTTGGCTACTTAACGAATTCTGCTGCCCCCTCCCACCTTCTCATCCAACACAACATTTTCCGACACTCACCACCTACAACCCACCACACCGACAGGAACCTAGTTCCCGTCTCACACCAACAACACACACAAACATCTCAACGTAAGTCACAGTCTTTTCATTTCAGTGCGAGGCGGCGGGCGGGCATGGGGCAGTGGACGGTGGGCAGTGAACAGTGAACAGCGAGGTGTGGGTGGTGGAGAGCAGAGCGACAGCCGATACGAACAGCGCCAACAACACCGTCGACAACCACAATAGCGTAAGCACCCCTCTCGATGACTTCCACTGACGATCTAGACAGCCACCACAAGACACTTATGTCTTCCACGACGGCTGTCTCCGACACCAAGTCCGCTTCTCCGACCAAGACTGACGCCGCTGGCACGAAGTCCACCCTCACCCCGAAGGAAGAGGAGCTTTTCAAGGTCGCCATGCTCTTCTGCCTCAAGTCCGGCGCACCTGAGATCGACATCGACAAGTTCATCACCCACGGCGAGTTCAAGACCAAGAAGACCGCGCAGAACACCTGGGCACGCATCAAATCCAAGATGTTCCCAAAGAAGGAGACCGCCGAAGGTGAAGGTGAAGACGGTGCTGGTACGTATCACTTCACTGACCTCACTACATTTTCAGCGTAGCTGACCTCACTGCAGCCACCCCGAAGACCACGAAGACCCCGCAGACCCCAAAGACTCCAAGCACTCCGAAGACCACGAAGACCTCCAAGGCTCTCACTACTCCCAACGCTCCGAATGGCGGTCCCTCCACCCCGCTTAAGCGTACCAGCAGCGACGATCTTGTCGACGACGAGGAGGAGGTTTATGAGGAGGGGTCTGACGCCGGGTCTCCGAAGAAGAAGCCGCGTACGATGACGATGAAGCAGCGTGCTGCCGCCAGGGCCTTCGCGATTGTGGCTGCTGAGATAGCCGAGGCCGTCAAGGGCGACGGCATCAAGCGCGAGGAGGCTGATGAAGAGTAGGCCAGCTTGCTGCATCTCGAGATGGTGTATTGAGGTCAGGGTCATGGGGGGGTTGGCGTGCTGCTGTTGTCGACAATCTCCACGTCGGAGAAGAGTCCTACGATAGTCGAATCAAGGTGTTCACTGCTGCGATCTATGGTCTCTCGCTGCTGCTTCTCACGACAGCTAATTGTTTAAGAAACCTCTGTTGGCTGGTCGTGGTCGGACGCTTCTTGCGGACGAGTCGGAGATACGTGTGGCGGATGGCGGGCGGGTCAGCGCGCAAGACGACAGCCTACAGCTACCCAATGCGCAGCGAATGGATAACCAGTCCAGAAAATGGCTGCAACCCGGAAAGGAGCCTGCAGTCTTCTTCCCGGTGTTGTAAGCATGTAGCCTGAGTAAAAGCGTTCGATGAGATCGTATAAAAGCCATAGCTGTGGCTACAACAGCATGTAAATCCTTCTATTCCCTAACAGCAACACCGCTGCAACGTGTCCACGATGACCACCCAACAAACAGCACCAACCCTCTACCTCACCGTCTCCGACACAAAATATGCTTACCGCCTCATTGGTCCTTCCAACCCGACCACCTTCCCACCACTCTTGATGCTCAACCACGTCCGCAGTACAATCGATACCTGGGACCCCGAAGTCATTAACAACCTCACGTCCACTGACCGTCAATTGATCACCTACGACTACGCCGGCCTTGGCCACAGCACCGGCACCATCGCCGCAAATATCCGCGGCTTCGTATTCGACCTCCTTAAATTCCTCAAAGCCTTACTCCCAACGCTGAATACGGAGCAGGTCGACGTCCTCGGGTTCTCCATGGGAGGCTACATAGCCCAACAGCTCGTCCTCGACGCTCCAGACATTGTTCGAAAGATGGTTCTCGCAGGCACAGGACCGTCTCTCGGCCCCGGCCTCGTGAGGCCGATGAACGAAGTCCAAAGCACCGTCTTTAACCCGAACCCTGGCCTCCCAACAATTGAAGCCTTCTTCCCTTCCTTCACGACCGGTCAGGAAGGACCAGCCTGGTTCGACCGCAGCGTCAACTCTCGTGTCAACATCGCAGGCGAAGACGAGGAGCCAGAGATGGCGCACTTTACTACCGGCGAAGACCTGGTGAAGCTGACAGCAGCGTACTTGTCCTGGGACGCCGATCCAGTACCATACAGTCTCTTGCAAACGGTGCAGAAAGACGTGCTCGTGACGAATGGTGATAACGATCTGATCGTCCCGACGCAGAATTCGTTCGTGCTGGCGAGACAGCTGCCAAGGGCGAATTTTGTGATGTTTCCTTGTAGTGGGCATGGGCACCTTTTCCAGGTACTGTACACACTGGCATTTTCTCTGTCATGGTGCTGACTGCTGCCCAACAGTACGCAGAGTATTTCGCGAAGTTGGTGGACGAGTTCCTAGACGGCAGGTTGCCTGCGGCATCGTTCTCGGCTGGAAGGGCGGCTGCGCTTAAGCGATGATAGAGATGCGGAGTCTGCGGTCTTTGACTGCAGCGGTATTAGTAGAACCAATCCGTCGGGAAAATCGATGTTGTCCCATGAAGTCAAGATGAGAGAAAGCATGGAGCAGGGTATCTCGTGTAGAAGAAGTCATATCCTACCGTCCTTACCTCGCGCCGACGGCTTTCGTAGATTGAAAAAGTTGGCAAAGCTCGCTGGTGTGAATCTCATGTGGCAGTTTCGCCAGAGCGAGATTGCTATACATGCTGAAGCAGTATTGGCATAGGACAGGGTAGCAACTCAATTGCTATCACCGTCGTAGTCGAGTCGATGCCTGGCCATTGGTATAGCTGCTGCTCAGCTCAATGCCGTATCCAGGTGGCCTTTCACAGCCATCGTACTTCTTTTCAGCACCGTCTTCAGCGGATCTGAAGTCTGATCCTAAAGCCAGGAGTGTCGTTGCCGACGCATCATGCTCAGTCATCGTCGTAACCATCCCCATCCTCGTAATCATATTCATCATCGACGTCCATTTCGTCAGCATCTTCCGCAACATCATCGTCGAAGTCGTCATTGTCGTACTCTTCACCAGCATCACCTTCTCCATTCCCTGCTTCGGCGTCTCGCTCTCCCTCACCAGCTTCTTCCGCGCCGGCAGCAGTGGCTTCGCGGTCGCCCTCTCCACCGGCAACGCCATCAGTAGCCGCATCCGTAGCTGCAGCCTCCTTCTCCTTCTCTTTCTTCTTCCTCCCCTTCCCCTTCTCCCCCGGCTGCTTCGCCTTCGTAGTCCTCCTCTCCTTCGCACTCCCCCTCTTATTCGCGGCCCGCCTCTCATTAGCCTTCTTTCGATTCCTCTCCTTGACCTCCTCCGCCTGCTTCGCCACCTCCTCATTCTCCTGCTCCTCTCGTATCGCCTCCTGCATCGCGGCCTCCTTCTCCTTCATGCTCTCGCTAATCTTCTTATTCACGGATTCCAAATCATGCTTGAAATCATCCACCTGCTTCCCAGTCTCGCGGGCATAAAACGCAAGATCGTACGTTGGCCCTGTCTGCTTGCCCATCAACGCCGCGTTCACGCGCTGGAGGTCAATGCGCTCTTCGCGGATGAATTTGCACTTGATCATCTTTCGCGTCTTGGGCGGGAACATCTTCGAGATGAGGTAGAAGTCTGAGCCAAACATGCGCAGAGCCTCGTAGAAGCGCTCTGTCTCCTCTTCCGACCAAGGATCGGATTTCCCACGATGGTGCGGGACACGATCTGCAACGTCGCGGCGGCGGTTGTTGATCCAGGTCATCTGATTGACGCGGCGAGTGAGGTCGTTGTCTTCTACGGCGGGGACAGCATTTTCGGCGACTTCCTCCTCAACCTGAGCCTGGCGGTCGATTACGAGGTCCGTTTCGTCAGCCACGATTTGGCCGTCGACGATGCGAAAGGCTACACCTTCATCGGTCGCTGGCGGCGTCCCGGGGTCAGGGTCTTCTGGAGGCTGCTCGGGCTGCTCGGGCTGCTCGGCGGTGTCATCTGGCCCCTCGATCGTCTCCCGTACATCAGCTGGCTGGGTCGATGGATTGGTTCCTCCTGCTGCCGCCGCTGCGGCTGTTGCCTCCGCTTCTTCGTACTTTTTGCGTGCAACTTCAGTCCAGTCGATTTCAGCCATCTTCTTCTCCCGCTCTGATGTTTTGCCATTCTTCTTGTCCCAGCTCAAGCCAAACATAGTGACAGTATTCGGGTCAATCTCGTGCGCTTCTGGATCTGATTCTTCATCCTCATCTTCCTCGTTCGCCAGGGCTTCTCCCGTTTCTTGATCTCCACCTTCGTCTACTTCCTCCGTCCCCTCTTCTACCGGTGGCTGCGACGCGCTTGCAGTCTTTCGACGACGACCTCTCTGTCTTGCAGGCGTCTTGCGAGGCTTCCGAGTCTTGGTAGCCGGGGGTGACGGCGCTGCCGGAACATCCCCTTCATCATCCGAGTTAACCACCGTAGCTGCCGACTTGTGAGATGACCTCCGACGTCCTGCCCTTGGCTTTCTTGTAGAAGCGGCAGCTGGTACATCTGGAGCCTCAGCCGAAGTAGCATCTTGTGCTGCTGTGTCTGCGGCAATCTCTTGCGGAGCAGCGTATTCAGCATTGACCTGAGACTGAACGAGCGCGTTGCTCCTTGCCGAACTCCGCTTCACCCGCTTGACAGGCGGAGCTGCTTCTTTTGTCGGCGCTTGAACCCGGGCTTTGCGCTTCGGAGGCTGTTTGGCTGGCTGAACGGTTTCCTGGACTGTTGGCTGTCCGACGGGCGTCGCTGCTGGGATAGATGCCTCGGCAGACTGCGCAGCAGAAGACTCATACTGTTGCGACGTTATCTCGCCGGCGGTGGAAGCGGGCGTAGGAGCTTGCGAAGGAGTCTGCGTAGAAGTGACAGGAGTGGGCTGTTCTATGACTGGCGGAGGAGCTATCGACTCGGCATAATAAGAAGGGACAGGCGTTGTCGATACCTGGGTTGGTGGGGGTGAAGGCGGAGCGATGGGCGTCTCTTCGGTTGGCTGGCGAGTCGTGTGTTGATCTGCTGGTTCATTTGTCTGCTCGGGCGCACTCGGGACTGGAGTTGCTGCTTTCAGAGGTGGGGGAGGAGGCGGTGGTGGAGCGGCGCGGCGGCGAGGTGCGCCCTTGGGTTTGGACTGGGTACCGGACGACGCCGAGCTGATCAGTTGCGACATGGCGCATGTCGCGTGCTCTTGCGCGAGGCGATGGGTAGACCGAGGGGAGGAAGTGGATGTCGGCCTCCCCCACCACATGGCTCGTGCGTTGCGGACGGGCCGACCCCTAGCCTGCCGTTGACTTCACAGAAAACACGACCTCTCCTTTTGCGTCTACATGACCAAAATCGCAGCCCATCAACAACACTACACCAATCACGACTCTGCCCATCCCCATCTCGCACGCACCCACACTTTCATGCCCATGCGCTTGGTGGAGTTGAGCTGCGCGGTGGTCGTGTGCGCGTGTCGCGAGTAGGAGGTCCAGCCTTGAAACAGCACCTTCGCCTTCCATGACAACCACCCAGGCCCCTCCTGCTGCGCTTCCACCATCTGTTGACGTCAAGGTCAAGATGGAGGACCGCAAGAGGTCTTTGGCTGCTGATGTCGACGACCTGGCGCCCGCCCGAAAGCGCCTGATCAAGGATGAGAATGGCCAGCAGATGCGTATGGATGCCGAGAAAGAGAAGGAGGTTGAGGTGAGCCTAATCTACATCTGATGCTGATGACCGTGTTGCTGATGAAGGTGGCATGCAGAACTACCAGAAAGATGCGATCATGCGCCAGATGAAGGAGTATAAGCGGCAGCGAAAAGACTTTGAAGAGCAAGTCAACGACCTTCAAAAGAAGTGCCAATACCACGATGAGCACCTGCGCACCATCGATGCCTGGTTCGCGCAACTGCTCGATGAAGTACGAGTGCTCGCCTCGCAACTTCTACCGACTCCGCCGCCGAGCGCTTCATCCACATCCGGTATGCGCCTACACCCCGTCATTTGTGAAAGAATTATATACTGAGAATCGACATAGGCGAAGAGATGTACAATTCGGCGCTGCTATTCAAGGACAACGAAATGTTCTCAGAGCATCTCCAGGCGCGATCAGGCAGCATCAAGAACTGCATATCAGATCTTTTTGGCCGGCTACCAACAGCATCAGAAGGTGTGGAAGATCTGCGCCGCCAGCTGAACGAGCTCCTTGCAAGAGAGAAGGAACATGCGGTGGACCTCCGGAAGGCTATTGACGACAAAGATTCTCTCTCAGAACGACTCGAGCAAGCATCATGGCGGTACATGACAGCAGAGAAGAAGCTGGAACGGGCCAAGAGCGCGCAAGTCTTGAAGCTGGAGCGAGCTGCCATGATGGGTGGAAATGGCGATGCATCTTCGCCAACGACCAAGAAGTCCGGCACACCCAAAGGCGAAGGTGAAGTCAATGGTGAAGCAGAAACCGGAGTTGCCACCGCGGAGGCTGAAGCTGCGCGGAAAGAGGCCGTTGCTGCAGCGGAGAAGCAGAAGGCCCAGCTGGAGGAGATCGAGTCGGAAAACGAGCGGCTCACAAACGAGCTCAGTGCTGCCCGGACCAAGCTCGCCAGCCTTTCCGATGATGAATACGCCGAGACTTCGCTCTTCAAGACCATCAAGTCTCAATACGAGGATATCATCAAGCGAGTGAATGATTTGGAAGCCACGAACATCCAGCTGCGAGAGGAGGCCCAGAAGCTTCAAGCTGAGCGAACCGCTTACCGTAGTGCCGTTGACGAGGAGCATCGAATGAACAACACCGAGATCGAGATGCAGATTGCACGAGCCGAGAATGACCTCTCCCGGATTCGCGGCCAGCGAGACGAGTTTCAGTCGGAGCTTTCCATTCGAAGATCGGCAGACGAGAACCGAAGAACATCTGCCGACCAGGCCAAGGAGCTGGCAGCAGCACGAGACTCTCGCATAGCAGCCCTAGAATCTGAAGTCGAGCGGCTGAGGCTTCGGCTTGGCGAGTCGCAACCCTCTGAAGGCAACCTGGATGATTTTGACGCCGAGACCTTGAAGAATAAGCTGCGAACCCTGGAGAGCCAATACGCGCTGCTCAGCAACGAGCTGCCGTCCATGGAGGCCGCGTGGAAGAAGACGCAGGTATTGGCGTCAAGAAAGGTCGAGGAGGTTGGGAACTGGGAGGAGCAGATCGCACGTCTCAGCGCGGAAAAGGCCAAGGCGGATCAGAAGTTCTTTGCGACCATGAAGGCCAAAGACATGCAGCTCAACGAACTCCGCATCCTTAAATCGCAGAACGCACGCTCGAGCGAGATCGTCTCGCAGCTGAAGGATACGGACGGCAAAACCCGCGAGCTGGTGGCGAATCTCGAGCGTCAGATTGCTGACTCCCGTGAAAACGTCAACAAGCTGGAGTCGCAGCACCGTGTGCTCGAGCAGAAGCGGAAGGATGCCAGTATCAGCGCCGAAGGGTTCAAGAAACAGATCGAGGAGCTGAAGGCGCTCGTTGCTGGCAAGGACAAGGAGGCGCTTGGTACGGCGAAGGGCAAGCGGGAGGCGGAAGAGGAGCTTGAGAAGTGCAAGGCGCGGCTCGATGACACCAAGAAGCAGTTTGAGCAGCTCAAAAAGGCCAAGGCGGCGAGCACTGGCTCGGGTGGCGAGGATGAGTGGAGGGTGAGTTGCACATCCCTCGAATGCATTCGACTGTGGTGCTGAATTATCGCGTGAACAGAAACTTGCCATCTGCCCTGTGTGCAACGCCAATATTCGCAACACCGTGCTCAAGCTGTGCGGTCATGTGTTCTGCTCGGACTGCGTGAAGGATCTGATCAGCAATCGCAGTCGGAAGTGTCCAAGCTGTGGAAGGGCGTTTGGCAATGGTGATCACATGCCTGTGGTACTCACATGAGTGGCGGGCCTTGTTGAAACCGGCAACGTGTTCTCTTACAGGCCAAGGAGGTATAGGCGAGCCGTCGAGCTGAAGGAGAAGTACACCATTGATCCAATCGCTGCGACGTGAGCTCGTGGCTCTAGCCTTTGGTGCTAGTTCTGCGACGATCTATCGGGGTCGAGACCTCTGGAAGCGATGGCATGCTCCAGGCCGGGTAGTGGAGGGACTGGGCACGCTGGGCAGGTGTAGATGCGAAGATTCGGCATGAAGACGGCTGGAGACAATGTCTGCTCGCTGGCCTTCGACCTGAGGCGACAGAGGGTGTTGTATTAGTATGAGTCGAGTGGCAGCAAAGCATAGCGCAGCATTATCGAAGTCTTCCACTCATGGCTCGCTGCTTCTTACGAATCTTCCGCTTCCGAGTAATCTGGCCTTGTACCCATCCGCCGCCGCTACACCATTTGCCTTCTTCCCACCGCCCCGAACCCATGGTCATCTCAATATACACGAGGGTTCGGTACGGCATCATTGGCCCATGCCTGATGCCGACCCTGTCGAAGTGCCGAACTCCAAGCAGACCTGTTGGCTTGGCAAAGGTATACACACATAAGCGAGCAACGTCAAAGTCTGACTGGCCATACGTGTCCCAACCCCTAGCCCTACTCCGCACCTGGGGCCTCCGGTGAGATAGCCTTCCCTCCGCTACGCTTCGCGGGCTTCTGATCTATCTTGTCGAGTACCATACCATGGAACTCTGCGCCACATGCAGCTTGCTAGGTGCTACTGGAAGCCTTCACAATCGAATTGGACGTTGACCCTGTCCAACTGTCGAAGGATCAACTCTGTTCTACCGGTCCCAAAGGCTTGCATACCACATCACAATACTTGACGGCTCAGACGGCAGGGTTTTGGCGTGATGTCAAGCCATTTCCTGGCTCACTTCCGGGAGGCCACCAGTGAGGCCTGGCACTGCAGCCTCCCTTATCTATGGCCACTGTGTCAGATGTCGTTGTCTGAAGACGGACGATTTCGGGCTACCATTCTGTCGCTTCCAGCGCCCGACTTCCAGTGCTGCAGGAAAGGTGCATAAGAGCATGAAGCCCTCATTCGACCTCAAAGCGGGCATACCTCCTACTCCACAGCACCTTAGGTCCAAATCATCAAGATGCATTTCAGCAATCTTTCTGCCCTTAACCTTGTTAAGAGGCTTTATTTCCCTCGGAGTATAGGGAAGAAACGGCGGCTACACTAAGACCTGCAACAGCGCGCAACTGCCCACCACCAGAGTTCCTCCCTGGGTCCTGTTCGCCAACTGTGAAACAAGACCTGACGGCATCTACAACGTCGGCGCTCAGCTCGTGTTGGGAAAATGTATTGGCAACCAAGGAGGCAAATTGGTGTACCTTCCTGGGTAGGCTTCAGCCCTCGTTTGGTGTCAGACATTGCTAAACGCTAGGCTGGCCTTTCGCAGAGGTTCGTTCGGAAACAGCTGCAGCAAGTGCAAAATCGCTGGTGAAAAGCCGTCCGGAGGCAGTCAGATCATGACTTGTTCTTGTGGAGATGGCGCAGGCGGTTCTCGGACCACTTCGATCGATTTGAGTAGGTTCATCTTTTGTCGCAGCTGTGATTGCATAGCTGAGGACCCCGATAAATACGATCGTCGGCAACGTCAACGGCTATCTGGCGTGCTGATTGAAACGGCACGGGCGGGTGTCGTGAAGGACAAGGGGTGGGAAGATCTAGGTGAAGCAAGACTCAGTAGCTTAGAGGAATTCATCCATCATGGGCCGACACCATCCGCATACCCTTGCGCATTATCCTGCACCAGGTGAGCCAGCGTGGAGGTGAGAGTTTTGCTGAGTATGTCCCCTCGCTGTGCGCTGTTAGGGAGTCACAAACCACACTGCTTCAGTGCTTCGAAAACTTTAGAGCATCGTGAATCTTTTGTACTTGCTCGAACCAACTTAGATTGTCCTATATCATCTCAGCCCAGCCAGTGCTGCCTGGGTATCAAGGTCGGATGTATGCACATTGAAGCAGCCGTTTCCCAACACCAACGCCAATCACCAGACTGCCGGCGCGACACACCCGCTGCTCCAGCAAGATTAAACCTCAAACTTAACCCTTCGTTTGTTCAGCGGAGCGCGATCTCGCCTTGCCTCTGTTGCCGCTTGTGTAGGAATGCTTGTGATGCGCAGAAGAGGAGGAATATCTAGTCACCAAATTGTCAGCGTACATGACCGCCTGTTCCCACTGGCCTCCAGAGGCTCTGTGCCGACTTACAGCATATACTATCACCGCTCCAAACACTGCTCCTGCCACCTTCTTGCCGTCCTTTGGATCTTCTGTGCTGCCCATCATGCTGTGGTGGTTGTTGGCGAACATGCTACCGATGGCTGAGAGAATGACTATGGCGAAGGCGGAGATGACGATGCATGTCCTGCGGTCCTGGTTAGCGATCGAAGGGGGGTCTGGACGGACTCGGGGTGGCGGGTTACCAGGCGTTGAAGGCTGCAGAACCATTGTTAGCATGTCTTCTTTATCCATTGAGAATGCATGTCAGGACATACCTGAGACGACGGGCTTCATGGTTGTGGTGGATGGGGAGGGTAGCTGCCTATGAGGGCGGACGTCGGGGGGCTGGCGGTCGAGCGCAGGCGAGGTGGGTATGCCGAGGGACAGAGGAGACTTCGGAGGAGGCCGTATAGTATTACAGAGGTCGTTTTGGTATAAGAAGAGGAGAGAAGGACGTTATCGTGGCGGTGTTGCTGCTGGAGGATCGCGAAGGTGACGACGTTGGAAGCGCTCTTGGCACTGGGTCCAAAGACCTCACCTCTGCCACGTCTCTTACCATATTCGCGACTGCAACCTATATACGAAGTCACCTCCGGGTGCACCGCCAACAAGATGCTCTCAGGCGTGCTGCTCTTTAATCAGAAGGGCGAGCTGCTCATTATGCGCGCCTTCAGACAGGACATGCGGCCGCGACTCGCAGACGTATTCCGCATCCAGGTCATCAGCAATCCCTCCATCCGGTCTCCGATCCTCACCCTAGGCAGCACTACATTCAGCCATATCCGGAGCGAGAACATCTACATCGTTGGCGTGTCCAAGGGTAATGTCAATGCTGCTCTGGTCTTCGAATTCCTGTATAAGCTGGTCAATTTGGGCAAGAGCTACTTCGGACGGTTTGATGAGGAGGCAGTAAAGAGCAACTTCGTTATGGTCTATGAGCTATTGGATGAAATTTTGGACTTTGGCTATCCGCAGAACACCGAGACGGACACCCTGAAAATGTACATTACCACGGAAGGAGTCAAGAGCGAACGAGCCCTCGAGGACAGCAGCAAGATTACGATGCAGGCCACAGGAGCGTTGAGCTGGCGAAGGGACAACATCAAGTATCGTAAGAACGAAGCGTTCGTCGACGTGATCGAAGATGTCAATCTGTTGGTCTCCGCCTCTGGCACTGTCCTCCGAGCAGACGTCAACGGCGCAATCGAGATGCGGGCCTATCTTACTGGTATGCCCGAGTGCAAGTTCGGCCTCAATGATCGCCTCACCCTGGGCGAGAACGGCGCAGACGTCAGCCTTGGAGGACCCATCGGTAACATCGGTGGGCAGAAAGCCTCCAAAGCCGCTGCCGGCAGCGTCACCCTAGAAGACGTGAGCCTGCATCAATGCGTCAAGCTCTCCTCTTTTACCAACGACCGAACTATATCATTTGTCCCACCCGACGGCAGCTTTCAGCTCATGACCTACCGCGCCACCGAAAACGTCAACCTACCTTTCAAAGTCCAAGTGATCGTCAACGAAATCGGCCGTGCGAAGGTCGAGTACTCCATCGCCATCCGCGCCAACTACGGACCGAAACTTTTCGCCACAAATGTCGTTGTCAAAGTCCCTACGCCTACAAACACGGCCTCCACCACTGAGCGCTGCACGCAAGGCAAGGCAAAGTACGAGCCCAGCGAGAACGTAATTGTCTGGAAGATCGCGCGCTTCACCGGCCAAAGCGAGTTTGTGCTCAGCGCCGAGGCGGAGCTGTCTGCGACGACACAGCAGAAGGCTTGGAGTCGGCCGCCGTTGAGCATGCAGTTTAGCTTGCTTATGTTCACGAGCTCGGGTTTGTTGGTTCGATATCTCAAGGTATTCGAGAAGGGCAACTACTCAAGCGTCAAGTGGGTGAGGTACATGACAAGGGCTGGGAGTTACGAGATAAGGTTCTGAGCTTGGTGAGAGCAAGCGGCAGTGAAATGGACTGGAACATTAGCAGAGATGTGAATTCGATAACGACCCTGACCTCTTTTGATGGCGGATCGAAGAGGACTATGTGGGCAAGCAATGCTGCTGTCCCAAGATCAGGGATCCGGAAGCGCACGACAACTGATTCGAGACGCGATTCCCTAAGGCTTACGAACGGCAGAGGCTCCAGGTTGTGGGTATACCGCATGACTCGCTATCTCGAAAAGCAAGCGCCAGTGAAGCCAGCCCGAGCGAATCACGTAGCATAGCCGCCAAGCATAGCGGCAACAATCACGGGGATATCGATTCCACACGCAAGTGAGCTCTCCCACCCAGGAAAGCGACACAGGTTCTGAACGAGAAACAATCACACTCCATTACCTCTGGCGCTCTGCATTTCCGAAGCACAGTCTCCCTCCATGGCATCGATAATAGCGGACTTGGGTTGAAGAATGACAGTGATTGACACTACCTGACGCCAGCTCACTCCCTGCGACGAGCACCTGCCATTTGAACAATCGTCGGACCCACCTTTTAAAGGATTCAGCGAGGCGTTCGGTGGACTTCTTCTGACAACCTCCCGGCAACACTTGCAAGAGCCGTCAATTCATCGCTCATCCATGACTCCACACCTGTCCGGAGTACTTCCGCCAAAAGTCATAGCACCGCTCAACCAGAAGATCGACTACCACGAAAGAAAGCAGACAGACTCGGCTTGTGGCTCAACCTCACTTCACTACACGCCAGGTGACCGCAGCATGGACTCCACGTCATACTCATCGTCACAGCTGAACGCAACATTCACCGCAGCTTCATCACCCGGCGCGAGTCACGCGCCCTCATCCTCTAACATGAGCTCACCGCTTAGCTCACCCACGGTCAGCCCCATCACTCCACCTGGCCTTCAAGTCACACGAGGTGACTTGCTGCCTGCGATCCAGAACCATACAAACAAGCTTCAGGCTGCGATCGAGATTGGTGTTACCGATTCTGCACCAGCCACGGAGGTCACGGAAGACACCATTCGGCAGCGATTGGCACTTGTCGTGGAGAAGGAGATGGCTCATGAGCAAGGTTCGGCGGGCGTGGATGCGACACATGAGGTGACGGGCGCAGAAGAAGGGTTTAAGACTCCAGGCTCGACCACGGAGATGGTGACGGGCTCAGAAGAGGAGCTTGCACAGGCAGATGCTGCCGAGACTCGAGGCTCGACCACGGTGTCAGATGTGGCGGACAGCTCGATCCAACAAGAGCCTAGGAGCACGGCGGATGACAGTATGCCAGATGCGCAGGAGTCAGCGGAGGCCGGTGCGACAAGTAGCATGATGGTCGAGGGAGGGGTACCGCAAGTGGATGGTGCAGGTGGAGCAGGAGATGCTGCCGCCGCTCCTGAACAGCCTACGGCAGACCAGCATCCCCAAACAACATCCGCTCAGCCACCGCCACCGCCACCACTGCCCACTTTGAGAGAGCGAATACAGGATGCAGCCAAACACTTCAAGGTATGATTTTATGCTTTATTGTGCCGGCAATTACCCATCGCTAACTCCCGTCTCAGAGACCGTTCAACCAGGGCAACGTTGCGATCGTGACTTCGTTCGATGACTTAAAGAGAACCCTCCTCCTTCGCTCAAACAAGCTGTTCAGCGCTTCCGAGGTCCTGGCAGCACAGCCCAGTGTCCAGAGTGGCGGCGGCTCTGTCGAGTTCATCTTTATGCTTACAGCAGATGGAAACGATGTTTCCGTCATGCCCAAGCTCGTAGTGCTGGACGGAACCCAGACCCTCGAGAGCTTAAGTGAAGCCTACGAGCCGTACAGTACGTCTGTGCAGGACGCCATCAAAGTCAAGAAGGAAGCATGTGAGCCGCATGATGCTGCCCCTGTCGAACAGCCTATCTGGATCAAAGCATACGCCACATTCCTCTCCCTTGTCGCGAACCCGGCGCGTACAATCGTCTTCTCGAGCGACGCAGCATCAGAGCTAACCCACCTCGAAGCTGCGGTAACCATCGCAACACACCTGAAGGCGGAAGACACGGTTGTTGCAGCCTTCCATCAATTTGTGACCAAATGGATTCCCAATAATCTCTACGTTGCTATCGCGGCTGAAGCTGCTTCGTGGCTCAGTATCGGTCATACGCTACGCTCACAGATCATTTACGATGAAGCTTTTCGCCACGTCGCTGGAGCTTTCCCGAAATGGCCATGGAAGAAGCAACAACAGGAACTGCTGAAGGAAGATCTCGAGGCGGTGGTGAAGCGCTCCGCGGACCTGCGAACGTTTCGTGATCGAATCGACAACGACCTACTAACGATATCCCAAGCCCAAGGCCCGCAGTTCATCGCTCGTCGCCAGAGCCCAAACGAGTACCACACCGGCCACATCTTCCAGGACTGGATTGGCGTCCAACTTACGTTGTTGAAGCAGATTGAGGCCGGGCTCACTTCAGTTGCCGGCACCATCCAAGCTGCCGGCACACCGGGTCTCTGCGGGCACGCTGGGGAGTGCCTCACCGTGGCTGGGTTCTACCGTACTATCAGCAAGGGCGGGGACGCTTACCTGCCGGCAGACGTGCTGGTGGTCTCGGAAGGTGTGCTCCACCACGCGTCGCTTCACATGGAACGTGGAGATCCGCCGAAACGGCACGAAGCGACGATTCGCAAGAGGCTGAGTGAGCTGAAGCAGTCGGCTGCAAAGATCGTCGCGCCACTGATGAAGTCTGGCATGATGTTCGCGGAGAAGGATACGTTGGAGTATTTGACGTGCGTTGAGCCTCCGAAGAGCAAGATGTGGTGTGATGGCGAAGACGATGGCGGGATGGAGGTTTATTGAGCGTGGTGGCACATGGATATGAGGTTCTAGGCGCTCATTACGACTCACAGGGAACCATCGGAAGGTCAGGCTGGAATGCTGAGGGCTGGATGGCGACATGATAGGGCACATGCCCTGGTCCGATAAGAAAAGAAGCAGACAAATTGAACACATCAGCCAGCCTGTGCCCTTCATGTCCTGTACTGATGATCTATGAGTAGCATGCTCGAAGTACTTGTGATCTTCTCGAAAGGCTAACAATCGTTTGACACTGAACGCATGCCACGCATGTGAGCATTACCCGGAGCTCGGCAGTAATGGAGAAGCTTGGTGTGAAGTAAAGCGGGAGCGATGTCCGTGGCTTCTTTTCGATGCCTTTCAACTATGGCTCTCTCCTTCCTACTCGCCTCGCCTCTCATCGGCTTGGTTTCTCCTAGAGCATGCAAGCTTCTCCTTTGTCTCCGAGGCTCAGATCCGGCTTTGCCTGCGAGACGGCGTTCCGTCTTCGCGGCCCTTGTCACTTGCTGACTTGATTGCTGGATTCCCTGTTGCTGCGGCCGCTACACATTTGCATCGTATCTATGCTCTCCAGTGTTGTCGGCTTGTGGCTGTATACGTATTTCTTCGCCAGCTGCTGTCGTTTGCTTGGTCGGCCTCCACCTCCGTGCGTCAGGATTGTTGACAGGCCAGCGGGAGTTGTTCTGGACACCACTTCAGTCCCGGGTGTTTCGTTTGCGCATTGCGGAAAGTAGATTTGCACGGCCAAAGCCTTTGTCGTCGACCATGCCTCGCCTATACACTTTGGCGCTCATGTCGTCTGCGTCTCTCCCTCCTTCCTCAACTGGTCAAAGTCCGGGAACGAGATATACCCGTCCCGCTGCTGGGTACACTGCTCCCAGCTCACCCGTCGCTCGAACCCAGGCATTTCGACAGGTGATGAGCTGACGCTGCTGCCTGTGGCACTGTCTCGCCGAGGGGATGTCGCTCTGGAGGCGACATTGGCCAAGACAGTGGTGGCGTCGGCTGGGGAGGTCCTGCTCGGGCTGGGACTTGTCTGGGAGTGTTGACGGTTCAGAGCGGGTGGTATGATGGATCCTTTGGTTGCTGCGTTCAATGGGGCTCGTTTTGAGGAGCTGGAGGCGGCCATGTTGAGATTTGCGTGAGCGGAAGTTGACGGGTTTGCCAGTAGATGGACTTCTTGTATTTCCAGGCAAGCAGAGTCTCAAGTCCTTCAAGTATTGTCTGTACTTTGATCGATAATCAAAAACGAAACATCCAGGCGTCAACCTGGCGTAGCTGTGCAATATACATAGCCCTCTACTTACTTCACCGTTACCAACTCACCTACCCGATCGCTGCATCCCTCCAAACAAGGTCTCCCCAATCACAATGACGCCAGCGATAAACTACGAATGAGAGCGATCCCGAGGAGCTTTTGGGCAGCAGGGGATGTGCTGTCAAGCTCTACGCAAGAGCGTCCGCGAGTCGCGTGCTGCGATCGATGTAGCGCATATGCATGGGCTGGGCCGAGCCCGCACTCGCCCGCGTTGGCAGTTGGGCTAGTTTGTTCAGCGGTTCCTTTGGAGGTCGGCGCTGTGGTGAGGCGAGTGAAGTTGGATGGAACATGTGGCACCTCTCGAGGAGGATGTAGACGTGGCTTGCTTCGCGAACTGCCGCGTGGGAGAACGAGGGAGCCCTTTCGCCCCAAACCTGCCTGTGACTGGTTGTAATGCATACGGTGTGTCTGGCCTGCAACCTGTTTGGGTGCGATGGACTGCCGAAGAGGAGTGACGGACTAGTTACACGTGGCTAGAGTTGGCCTAGAGGGTCCCATGGACGGGGCAGTCGGGTAAACGGGGCGGACACGGCTGGGCTAGCTATAGCTTGCAGATAGCCTTGTAGGCTAGAAACGGCATCGAGACGGCAAGATCCTATAGGTACGGAAGATTTGTTCCCTACGCTCGACGACGAAGACTCATACACCGACATTTGATCGAAGAGATTGGACATGGGCTTTCTGATCGTAGCGAGGAGTGGTGATGCCGGTGAATGTTCGATGGGGAGTCTTGGATATATTCAATTGCCGTAGTATTCGACAAGAGACATGCGCAGTGCATGCAAAGATACCACGTGCTGCAAGGAGCTTACAAGCATTGTGGGCGGGTGTGGGACTGGGATCCTGCGAAAGATCATCCAGGCCTTCCCACGACTCGGTCTCCTAGATTGGAAGCTGAGATCGATGGGCTACTCTTCTCTTGCGTAGGAGTACTCATTTGATTGTTCGTAGACTGCGATCTCTGATGACTGAGCTGTACATTGCCCTTGACCAAATTATTGTCTCGAAAGGCATCTTCGACATCGGCAAATGGGTGTTGTTGCGGCATTTAACAACCTCGAGGTGAGGTTGGTCAGCCTTGAATCGCTGATCAAAAGTGATCTGCAACACCACTTCCTATTGTGAAGCACTCACGCGGCCTCGAACGACCTCACCTCGACCTGCCGAAGCTCGCAGTGGCATGTTTCCGCAGTCGCCTCAATGCTGTGTAACAGTCAGCGTCGTCTTCGTCTAGAATTCCTGTCAGTGGTCGCTTACATCAACATCGTCCCAAGCTCGACCATGTACATTCCCCAGCTCTTCCATTGTCATGGTCTTCCCCATGGTGAAGTAGCCGGCGTGAATCTTCGCATCGATCTCGACGCGGCTATCTTCTGGTATCATTTCGTCCGGAATAGGCACCCTCTCCACGATTGGTATGCCTTGCTCGACAATAGCATCATGCTTCATGTTGGACATGCTGAGCATGCGATCGATCTTCTGAATGCCGAGCCAGTGCAAGATATCCGGCATTAAGGCTTGGAACCTCATGTCTTTGACGCCGGCAATGTTCTCCGTCCGCTGAAAGTATTCGCTCGCCTTGTCCGAACTACGCTTCCGTGCATTGTAGACCAGATACTTCGTCACTTCACCAAGCGCTCGTCCTTCCTTGCGGAAGTAAATGACAACGCCGCTGCCACCCTGCTGGGCCTCCTTGACGGCTTCTTCGATGCCAAAGATCAGGTACGGGCGACAGGTGCAGATGTCTGAGCCGAAGACATCGCTGCCGTTGCACTCGTCATGAACCCGCAGTGCGAGCTTGACGTTCGGATCACTCATCTTCGCCGGGTCGCCGAAGCAGTAAACAGTCAACCCTCCTATAGGCGGCAAGAAGAGTTTGATGTCGTTGCGCGTAATGAGCTCGGGGTAGCTGCCGCCGGTGTTCTCGAAGAGCGAGCGACGCAGCTCACCCTCGCTGATGCCGAACCGTGCTGCCACGCCAGGTAGATACCACGTTGGTTCCACCGCGAACTTCGTCACGTTGAGCTCGCCAGTGGCGTTGAGGCAGATCTTGCCGTCCGGAACGAGACGACCTTTGCGTACGCTCTCTTCGAGCTCGGGGATTTTCATGTGTGCTCTGGTGATGGCGATGGTGGGGCGAATGTCGACGCCTTCGTTGGTGATAAGGTCTTTGAAGAGCCAGGGAGCAAGATGGCCGTATGGGTCCATTGCTACGATCTTCTTCGGGTCGCCCCACGCCTTGAAAGGGCCAATGTTGGCCGCGGGCTCGGTGTTCGTGAAGTCAGGCTTATGGTCTGTGTCGAGCTGATGCGACGCAACGGCAAGAGCGTAGTAGATGGAGTAGGATCCTCCGTGTGCTCCAATTGCGTTTCTTCGCTTGATGGTAGATGGGTTGCGTGAGGCCACAACTGGACCTCGTTTCTGGGGTTCACTTTCACCCCAGGACATTTGTAGCGGATCGACGCCAGCTTGGCCTGGGTAGGAGGTCAGGATGATCTTTGAAGTGGTCGTGCTGCCTTTACGAGGCGGTGGCGGAGAGTTTGACAACGTGGTGTCCCTTCCATATCCGTCTATCGAGCTGATGTTGTCTCGCGAGGGATGGCCGTGTGGATCGAGCTGGGGACTTTGGGGAGCGTTCCTCCAGCCTGGCTGAGATACGTCTTGGGTGATACCATTCTGGGCTTGCTGGACTCCTTGCAGTGCGTTGACACGGCCGTTCGTTGCGTCTACCACGGAGGCCAGTTGAGCTTGCTCTAGGCGAAGAGTGTTGATAGAGGCGATAATGGCGTCCAGCTTAGCGTTGAGTCCTGAATCATCGGAAGGCTCCATAACAGCGTAAGCGACTTGTCAGGATAGGTTGTGGAGGAGTTGGAACAGATCCTGACGGTTGTTTGGTGAGAAGATGTACCGTCAACAGAGGGGCAACTGCACTGTACGCTATTCACAGATGTAGACTCCGGCAGATCTGGGACTGGAGTGACACGCTTGCGGCGAGAATGACCAGTTGTGCTCGAAGACACCCGAGCTTTGCTTGTATTCACGATAGGTTGATAACAGTGACTGGGTAGATAGATCAAGAGGGTTCACATGTGCCACTCGATACGGTTAGCGCCTTTTGCCGAGCTGTACAAGTTGTTCGGTCGTCATTCCTTCTACACAGCTACAACAGCACATCAACAAGTCAGCAGCAGCGAACAGCAAGCATGGTACGTGAACCCACAAGAAGTACCGGTCGCCATACTAATTAACCTAGGGTAAACGCAAGAAGTCATCGCGCGGACCAACCGGGCCCAAGAAGGTACAGTCCTACTCCACCTCCTGCTCAGACCGACCACAGCTCACATATGACTAGCGCGAACCTCTAGCGACATCGTTCCGATGCGTTTTCTGCAACCACGAGACCTCCGTCTCCGTCAAGATCGATAAGAAGGCTGGGGTGGGCAATCTCAGCTGCAAATCATGCGGACAAGCGTTCCAGACTGGCATCAACTGTACGTTGCACAACACAGCAGGATTTCGATACGTGCTAACTCACACCAGACCTCACACAACCCGTCGACGTCTACTCAGACTGGATCGACGCCTGCGACGCCGTAGCCAAGGACCAGACCCCCGCAGCAAGGCCAGCCATGCCACCAGCCGCGCGACAGCGAGTCGCGAACACATCTGCGCGCGCGGGTCTTGCGCCAGGCGAGAAGTACACCGAGGAAGATGAAGGGTTTATAGTTGATGACGAAAGAGATGACGAAGCAGAGTTTGCTGATGAGTGAATTACTTAGTCGAGCACCACTGCGTGAACGACCACAAAAGCAAGGCGAAAGACCACCGAAAAAGAAAGCCAAGATCGATGCGAAGTTGCTACTGGGCATGAGCAGGAAGGAGGACCGAGAGCTCGCACTGCATTCGACGGCGATGTGCGAGGACAGTGATCATGAAAATGCGAGGAATGATGATGTTCACGAGGTGGGATCAGGCATAAAGAGGAAGCGGAACGCTGAAGAGTGCTTGCTCTGAAAGATTCGTGTGGAGGCAGAGGTCCCAGGTGGCAGATCACGTGAATTCTTGCAAGGCCGGGCAGAATTCTGTCATTTCTAGACCGTATCATTGAAGCAAGGACATGCTTACCGATTTTCCGAATCACCACACCGTAGCCGGGGCGACAGCATCACCACAATTGAACGATTAGGGACGTGGGGGATCACTGCTCGAAATTTCATGCTTTCTGTGGACGCACGTGAAGCCTGTCCTGCGTCGGCACGAAGACGACCAGGAAATTTCATTGAGAATGCAATGCCTGCTCCGCATGCACAGCCGAACCGAAGTCTTTGGAACCCACCGGACCGAATGGGATGCCGGTCCAGCAACATAGTTCTGCTTACCACTGTCACCGCCACTCACATCAACCCCATCTCAGAGCCACCAAGGCCCAACCCTACCACTCACCGCGAAGACGTTACCATCCCCGAACTTACTTAGCCACGGCCAACCATGCAATCTACAAAGCAGCACCGCGCCTGTACTTGTCCCCATCCATCTCTACATAAGTCCTCCAACCTGCCAACCACAAGTTCACCAAATCTCGACCATAGCAATCCACCAAAATGGTTCGCCGCTACGACACACACTGGAGCCCGCTGTCCGCAACTCACAGCGGCAGCGGCAGCGCAATCGCCAGTTCTTCCTCGTCGCCACCCAGCTACGTTGAGGACGAGCCCGACTACGAGATGTACGACTACGGCCAGGGCCAAAACCAAGCGAACAAAGCCGCACCGACAGCGACAGCGTACCCAGCAACAGCACACATGGTCTACGCACCACAAGCACTAGGATCGGCACCGGTCCAACCCGCTGAACAATCAGCATCAGCACCAGCACCAGCGCCCGCGCCATTCGACAACGCCGCCGCCGAACAGCAAGCCCAGAACCGCATCGCCGTAGGCCGCATGAGGAAGCGGTGTGTGTGCGAGTTCTTCAAGGGTTGCGGGATTCTGTTCGGGATTCTGTTCCTCATCGTACTGGCGGGGACGGCTTGCTACTATGGAAAATTGCTTTATCGGGCGCATGAGTGTAAGAAGAATCCAATGGCGGAGGGTTGCGAGCCTGGATGGGAGAGGTCGCTTGATTTACGTGGTCAGTAGTTGGTGGGGAGGAGGGGATATGTGAAGGCTTGAGAGGGAGGGTGAGGGTGGTGGGGTGGGGAGGGGTGCGCTGATGGCGATTTTTCGATTGAGGGGCGTAATAATTCCCAGCCAGCACCTGATCGTATAGCAAGGCGCTGAAGGCTGGAAGAATACCAGACTTGAGATTCATTCCACACAGCCCTATAGTGTGTCGCTCACTTCCGTAACCACTTGTTCTTTCTTTTGGTCCTGCACCCTCTTGCTGGTGAGGGGTGTGAGGTGGACGTAGGGTAACACCGCCACTTCCACCCATGGTAAGCCTGAGACAGAGAGGGGCACGCAAACCATACGAGAGCCTGGATATAATGAGGATGGTCTTGCTGACCACGTTTCATGACCTCTCTGGACCAGTGGGCTGAGTGGAATAGGTCACTGCGGAACCAGCGCCCTCGCCTTTATTTCCAGGGCAGAGATGGTAATCGTGGCGATGCAGCCGATACAAAACTCCTCCAGCACACGAAGCATTCTCTCCCTACACTCCCAACGCCTGTCCTTACCACCCTAATCATCCCAACAACACCTTATTCACAATGGTCCGCCTCGCGAAACCACCGCCTCCACGTTTGGCAGCACCAGCGACGGCATCATCATCATCATCCTCAGCGGCGCCAGCTGTGCCACCACCAGCCTACACAGTCAACTCCAGCCCGAATGCCAGCTCCAGCAACCCACCAGGCTACTCCCTCTTCGAAAACTACCGCCCCGGCGAAAAATCCGCTCCCACCGAGCCCATCCCGGAACCGCGCGTAGTCGAAGAAGCCCGGCCGCAGCGCGAACGCCAACGTCAGGCCCAGCGAGCACCACAGCGTGGGAGACGCCAGGCCAGAGACGAAGCCGCCGTTGGCGATGCAGTTCGAGGCGTTCAACGGCGAGCGGAGACGAAACCTGGGGAGCAATGTTTGGCTGGTTTGACGTTGATGGCGATTAGTGCGCTGGGGCTGTTCTTCATTTTTTGGATGATGTCGAGGCCGAGTCCTGAGAGTGAGGGGGTGGAGGAGAGAAGTGTTTCTACTGTGATGTTGTTTTGAGGGCAGCCATTGGCAGGCTTGGACGGCGGATGCTGATACTAAATGACCATAAAAGGAGCCGTTTGAGATAAGGTAGAGAGCGAGTACTTGCCAGCGGCCAGTGGGCCCAACTTCTGCTCACTTACTTTTATTTTGCAGTATGCTGTGCATGCCGAAGTACATTCCCGTCTTTCAGTTTCCCGTTAAACTCAATGCAGCGGGATGCTTTTACCATGGAGCACGTACAGCATCTTTCTTGTGCCACGTAGCAGGACAAAGTCTCCAATGTTATCCCCGGGGACAGGCCCAGAGCAAGCTAGAAGCATACCAGAATGATACGAAAGCGTATCAAGTTTATGAAAACTTACCTGCTTACCTCGCCTTCCCATGTCTGTGGGTTGATGGGTCCAGAGTTGTCTGTCACACAGCCGAAAACCGTCTGCACTGCCTTCTCTCGGAGAAGATAGTAATGCAGCACGGGGGCAATACTTCCGTCAGTCTTTCACCACATCCCTGATCCCCGAGTCACCATCAAACTGGGTAACACGACCATCTACTGCCTCGGATCAGCCATGCCGCCACCACAATTGACTCCATCAGGGAGAGTCAGGGGCCCCTCTCCAAGAGTGGCCGCTTCCAGCCCATCCTCTCCCGGCCTACACAAACGAAGCGAACTCCAATGCTTCGCTCCCACGATACTCTCTCTTCGACTATCACCGCCCGGGACCAAAATCTGCTCTAGAGCCTCGAGTCGTCGAAGAAGCCATACCAGAACCATCTCCCGAGATACAACAAGCGGCTCCCGTGGCGAGGATCAAAACAGCTGCCGCCCAGTTAGTTGAAAGATTACCCAAGCCAGCCCACGGCTCACGGAGAGGATTTTGTGGTGTTCTGCTTGTCTTCGTGGGAATTGTCGGGGTCATCGTCTTCGCTATCGTTTGGCTTGCTACTCATGATGGGGGCCAGGAGTGTAAAAGGAATGTGGCGAGAGGTGCGGGTGTCAGCGCCGGCATTGCGGTGGTGCTGGCTTCGCAGAATTGCTAGAGATGTGATTCCGTTCGGTCTGTTGGAGTGGACTGAGGGGTTCGACTTGAGCGCCTGGAGCGTGTCTTGGTTGAGATGGAATTGAGCGCCGTGGGAGGCAGAGAGGCTAGACCGCAGGGACGTCGAAGATGTCCATGATATGGCCTCACCAGGAGCTTGTACCCAATCGTATATGGAGTTTTAACGGTGGTTTGGCAGGAGCGGGAATGAGGATGAGATTGTGTACTCCGTAGTGTGTCTGTCTTGCGAAAGCTGGTGAACGCAGATCTGCATCACGTGTTCCGGATCGGATCAACCCGAGCCACGTGAAAAGCGACAACGGACAGAGTTCACTCCGCACTCGCTAGCTCAAGGCCCTGCATGCTCAGCCACGGTCTGGTCTAACCAAGACCGCTCCTCCCACTGGAAGCTGCAGCACACCAGGCGTCACCATTCCCACCTTACTTTTGCTTCTTCGTCGCTCCTTTGCAGCTACTCGATCTCTGTTCATGTTCGCTCCCTACAGATCCAAGCACTTGTATATCACGAGTATGGGCTTTAATTTCCGTTGATCCCCCGAAAATCCCCTGATCGACGACCGTCCCGATTACCAGGTCCCTACGAAGAAGGAACGAAGGCACACAGCAACATAGAACAACGAGCAGCAACCGGAAGACGACGGACGGTTACGACTACACCGGGAGCAACAGCAACAAAAACAACACCATATAATACGAACCACCAGCAACCCTCGATCCAACCCGCCAACATGCGCCGCGGCCTCCTCATCTTCCTCCTCCTCCTCTTCGCCCTCCTCGCCTTCGCCATCCACACCGTCTGGACCCTCATCACCCTCCTCTTCGTCACCGGCGCCCGCTCCGCCATCACCAAAGCCGAGCTGCCCTCCCCCAACTCCTCCCGCATCGGCACGGGCCCGGCTCTCATACCCAAAATCTTGCACCAGACGTGGCAGAACGAGTCCATCCCAGCTGTCTGGAAGGGCGCGCAGCAGAGCTGTCTCGACCTCCACCGCGAGGAGGACGGGTGGGAGTACATGCTCTGGACGGACGCGAAGATGGAGGCGTTTATGCGCAAGGAGTATCTGTGGTTCATGGAGACGTTTGATGGGTATCCGTATGTGATTGAGCGGGCGGACGCGATACGGTATTTTGTTCTTTACCATTATGGAGGCGTGTATCTGGATCTCGACGATGGGTGTGGAAGGGCCATGGAGCCGTTGCTGAGTTACCCGGCGTGGGTGCGCAAGACGGTGCCGACGGGGATCAGTAATGATGCGATGGGTGCGACGCCGGGACATCCTTTCTTCAGGAAGGTGATAGATTCGCTGCAGGCGTATGATCGGAACTGGCTCTTGCCGTACATCACGGTAATGGGATCGACGGGGCCGCTGTTCTTGAGCGTGATCTGGCGGCATTACAGCTCGGAAGGCTTGAACGAGGATGATGGCGAGGTCAGGATCTTGTTCCCGGACGAGTATCAAGGCACGCCATGGGCGTTTTTTACGCATCATTTGGGGAACAGCTGGCATGGGGCGGATGTGGAGTTCATCTTCTGGGTGAGTCGGCTTTTCCACTTCTACTGTTAGATCTGTACTAATGTCAATACAGATGGCCCGCAACTGGTTCCTAGTAACCCTCATCGGCTTCGCCCTTGGCTTCACCATCATCTTCGGCACTTGGTGGACCTACCACCGCCTCGTCCTCAAGAAGCCCGCCAGCGACGTGCCGAAGTGGAAGATGGCTTCCGTCCGATCGAAGTTTCCATTCTGGCGGAGAGCCAGCGCGCAGAAAGAGTACGAGCTCGTGAGCCGGCATGAGGTCTAGTAGACCTTGTCTTCTTGGGTGCCTATTAATACCTAGAGTATATCTAGAAGTGGATTGCAGCGACGGCGTTGGATTGCGTGGGAATTTGGTTTCTTCTGATGCTGGATCGAAGGGCTCGACTAGCGGTTCTATCTAGATACCTTCACCATTGGCGGAACACGAGTGTGTCTCATACAAGCTCGAAAGTCTCACTCCTGTATTCACCTTGTTCATAACGGTCCATCATTTCTCCGTGCATCCAGCCTTGGACGTAGCACTCACCTACAAGTGTGTAGAATTGAGGTGTACTGGCCGGCCTCGTGGAAGCTATAGATTCGCCCGTGGTGGAGCTCGTCGCATCCTTGCCAACAATGCGTTGACGGATAATAACCGGGACTCGCGAGCCAAAGGGTATGATGATCAAATCGCCGAGTTCTGCTTCGTACGATGTCCAGCCCACGAAGCGCTGGCGCATGAAGATGAGGTGTCCCCGTATGGGCGGTGCTGTCGGATCGATGACAAAAGGTGTTCGCATACTTCGCCAGCGATAAAGCTCGTGGTGCAACGCTGTGATGTCCCCCTTTTGCGCCAACAGGGTCCTGAGTTCTGCCGGCCAGCCCAGTCGAGATTCGGCTGCCACCGATGTCGCAATACGCTCGATATTAGGTTTCCAAACGTGTTCCCGTGGATACGACCCTGTCCCGGTGATCACGTCGCATTTGAAGCCCTTCATGGACAGTATGCAAGGACCGACGCGTATGTCGTTAGGCTGAGGCTAGCCCTGTCGGGTGGTTGTATAGCCGTCTAGCGTTAGTACGTTCTTTTCAAGATCTTGTTCCTTAGAAAAGTTAGGCATCCACGTCGGTAAGAGTTGGTCACCATTGGTATCAGTGGGTGGGTCCCGCTCCGCACACGACAACTTGATTGACTCACTGTCTTGGTACGTTCGCATGGCTTGCAAGTGGCGCAATGTACAGTCGCTATAGCCCTGTCCTCGTGGCCACCGGTCGAAAACGATGCCCATGTGTGAGGTGATTCGCCAATGGCATCGGACAACATCCGCCCAGAGCGCCGCGATATCCCGACCTCAGTCATAACTGACAGGTAGCTCGCGCCGTACAGTGTCGCTAGCCAGGTCGACCAGACTGTACACACGATCCAGTGGCTGAGAAACGCCCGACGGCGATGTCGAACGTAACAAAGATGCAATGTCCATTCCCGTTGAAGTCTCCATGATGTTCTTTCTCAAATTTCTCAGCTCTCTGAGGTCGGTCCGTGCTCTCCTGAAGCTGTGCATCTTTTCAGCCAGATCGCTCTTCGGCGAGCTGTAAGGATGTGCCAGGAAGTCTAGCGCGTCTCTCGATATCGATCGACTTGTGGGCGTGTTGTATCTTAGCATTTCTCTCATGGCGTAAGACAATCTCGCTTTAGCCCATACATCTTCATTTGAGGGGAACAAATTCATGAAGTGTAGCCACGGTGTGATACGAGAACCAATGCAAACGTCCACATTGTCGCTAGATGAGACCTCTTGGACCACCCACAGTCGAGTCTACTAGACCTTAGGTCCTTGGGCGAATAATTCTTCTAGCTTCGCAAAGGTGATCCCAGCATTTTGATGTCGCGGAGACATGAAGCCCACACCAGGCGCCGTCTCCTCTCCCAGCCAGACCAGAACTCTGCTTGCCCCACTGTAAATCGATTTCATCCGGCGTACCTGGTCGTTCTTGTCGTGGACTGATGCTTGGTCGATCGACAGGGCATCTACCCATACCCATTTGGTATCCTCCATTCGAGCGATGCGATGGAGAGCGTTCCTGAGGTCAGCACTGACCGGCGTCAAGCGAGCAGATGACTTAGTATGAACTCGAACAATGCAGTCGGCGACACGCCCACCCCAGCTGTATGAGAGTGCGGCATAGGGCGGAGGGGAAGACGAAAATGCTCGCATCTCGCATTCCACGGAGCCATCGTTGCACATGGAAGGCTTCAGCAGTCGGATGAAGTGTTGGTCAGTAGGGTGCTTTCCGGCGCCACTCGGTAGATCGACGTGGTATATGTCTGTGGACATCGCCGTCTCCGATGATTGATACCGGCGAATTCAAGGCTCCTCCGCGTAGCTGAGTGCGGTACCAACCCTCACGGGAAGGCTGGGTTGGCGCTTGCCTCTCTCACGCTGGGTTGCCAGAATATGGCGGTAGAGGACACTGCTTGGGATGTCCATCGGATCAGTAAACGAAGCTGCTCGCTGATAAGATCTGTCTCTAGTCTGTTATACGAGACAGACAAGTCGAGACGTGGAGCACTTATGAATTGGATGAGTGACAGCCTTATACAGCCTTGCGCAGCAATGCCGCACCGAGCCAGCACACTGTGGCGCCACGTAGTGATGTACCTCGCTACTTGGTCGCATGATACACTCCATGCTCCAATGGGATGTGGTTGCAGCGCGAGTACATGTGCCTCAGCAGAACGAGGAGAGGCGGAGAAGATGCTGCAGTCGAGATTGCCCCACGTGATCTTCTTGGCGGAACGCACGAGCCAAGCGCACCCATCTCCAGAATTTGAACCTCAGCCAAACGTCACGCCAGCGACCACTTCTACCACAACCACCGAAGACATCACCGACAACTGTCAAGATGCCTGTACGTATTCAAACAAGACGGTGACTATCGTAAGGATACTAATACCGCCGCGACAGTCCCACAAGTCCTTCCGGACGAAGCAGAAGCTCGCGAAAGCGCAGAAGCAGAACAGACCCATCCCACAGTGGATCCGCCTGAGGACCGGCAACACGATCAGGTATGGCGCTCGAAACTATACTCAAGAACGAATGGAAGCAATGGAAGCAATGGAAGAGGATGGAAGAGCTGACCACCGCATCACAGATACAACGCCAAGAGGAGACATTGGCGCAAGACCCGTATCGGCATCTAGACGACTCGCCTCGACACCCATCACCACGAACGACAATACGACGAATTCAGCGAGGAGAGTTGTGCTGCTGTGCGTGACGGCAGGATGGGCGGGCATGGAAGGCGATGAGCTGGACGAAGGAAGCATGAAGGGCGTTCATACGGAGGCTGTCATGTAGCCGCGCTGGCACAATAGCTGGACTGTCAACGAGAATGCAAAACCGAATACCACAAAATCAACGTCCAGTCGTCGATCTTATGTCGTGCGGTGACATACGTGAGACCTACTGCCCTGGACTTGCGGGACGGTCTCATGATATGGTGATAAGATCCAACACTTAATCGCGACAGCTTCCTAGGCAGCCGCGGTAGTCTTCCGACAGATGCCTTTCAACTCGAGTTGAGAGCAACTCCATACGCCACGCTTGTCGGAACAGATAGGAAAGTCTACCCTCTACCACTATCACACAGGCCCACTTTGCAGGGAGTACTTCGCAGCCTATTACAACAGACATTAGCACACGAAATTCCGGTTATCCATGTCGGACGTCGGAAGAGAGGCACTCACCTGCTCAGTATCAACAAACAGCACCCCTTCCTCCCCCTTGCCCAAAATCGCCACACCCTCCCCTCGCTCATACATCCTCACTCCACCAGCCTGGAACTTCATCACACAGCTACTCCCGGCATAGCATACCCTATCTCCCTCCTCAATCTCCATCCCATTCTCCACATGCACACTCCCCACTCTATTGCCTTCTATGCCGCACCTATTCGCAAACACCACAACAATGTCCTTATCCAACGAAGCAGCTATGAACGGCGCAAACCGATGCCGCCAGTACCCCACAGTCTCCATATCTGGAGTCGCAGGATCCCCCTCGATCTCTTGCGGGAGCCGATGAGTCAGCCATGCCATGCTGAGCACGACCAGCCGGACGTCGTGAGAGAGCATTGTTGAAGCGAACTCATAATCTGTCCAAGGCGACATGAAGCGGTAAGGGTTGATGTCCATGCAAATGCCATGACCGACTGTTCCAAGCGTCCCAAGAGGACCGATGAAGAATGGCCTGGAAGTCTGCGACCACATCTCCGGATCTGTGGCAGAACCATTGGGACCTTCGGCGGCCCAAGTCTCGTCTGTGTAGTAGAGGAAGGACTTGCGGTAGTTAGCCAGTACTTCACCGTTCGGGCCTACGGCGACCGTGGAGTTGTATTGCGCCGTCTTGCCTGTAGTAGGTGAGGTTTGGATTTCAGGGTAGCCGGCGATAACGTGGCATTGGAGGTAGCGAGCTGTCTGTATGCACCATTCTGTCGTTGGTCCTGAGGTGGTGGGCTCCAAGTATGGACTGATGGCGGCGAGGGATGAAAAGTTGTAGCCAGTGAATGCCAGCTCGTTCAGAACCAGGAGATCGACTTGGCCAGGCTTGAGAGCTGAGATGAGTGCGGTGGCGTGGGAGATATTCTGTTCGACTGCGCCCAGGTGCGGGTTGAACTGGAGAGTTGCAACCCTCATGTTGAGCGCCACAGTCCTCCCGTAATGGTATTTCCCAAGGTCGGAGGACGATGTCCTTGGAGCTTCCAGACAAACAGATGAGAGCACGAGGAGCCAGCCGTCACTTGCTGAATCTCATTGGGAGTCCCATGAATTAGATTGGATCAACGCGCGGTTGGGCATGATGTTATGAACGGAACAGCTGTCGGGTGAAGCGTTGATTTATGCCTGGAGCAGGGAGAAGGCACTCAAGGCGTACGAATGCAGAGGCCTAGGATTTAGAGTTTGGACTATCACCACAATAGGCAGTAACTGTTGGGCGACCTTGACTTTCTCCAAACCACAGCAACTCTTGTGCTTCGACCAATAATGCCACCACAAAGCAGAGGGCCTGACCAACAGGTGCCGCAACTCAAACCTGCGCCATCGCCAGCGGGCTTCCAATCCAAGTCAACTCCAAACCTACCAACTCTGCGAGCCTTCCACAAGTCCAAAGCGACGAATGAAGATGGCACCGCTACTACACTACACGATGGACCAGCATCGCCCGAGATCGTGACGTCTCCCTCCGAGTCAGCATCAATCGACGACTTCTCTCTCGACGCCGACGCTCCTCGATCTCTGGCAGACTCCGACTCGGAATCATCCTCTTCCACCTCCATCCATGCGGCCTCCCTCCCACCAACACGCCCGCTGTCCCTTCGTCAGCGCTCCTACGGCCACCACAGTCTAGCTCCTCAAGCGTTCGCTCCACCCTTCTATGGCCGACCGCCGACTCCTCTCCCACCATCTCCATCCCTCACCTCACTCCTCCGCCCGACCTTCAGCAGCAACTACAACTCTCGCCCTACCACACCCGACCCTTCTAGCGATGAAGGCGGCACCAGCACTCCAGCCACCCACAGCCATCAGCCTAGCACCGCGACAGGCAGCCAGACACCCAGTTCAAGCCTGACCAACACCTTTCGCACCGCGACCAAACCCATCCCCCGAGCATCGCCCAAAGTTCCGACCTACGAGTACTACGGCTTCACGCTCTACCTCACCTCATCACTCGTCTTCATCGTATATCTGCTATGGAGCTTTCTACCAAGTCCATTCTTGCATCAGTTGGGAATCTACTACTACCCAAACCGCTGGTGGGCACTGGCGATCCCAGCATGGACAGTAATGTTCGGGCTGTACATATACGTGGCATTGGCGAGCTACAACACGGGGTATCTGACAGTGCCGATGCATGCGGTCGAAAGTCTGGTGGACGAGGCAGCTCACGTGGCGGTGGTGGACGGGAAAGGGCAGTTGGTGTTTCAGGAGAAGAAAAGTTGGCAGAAGGAGGGCGGGAAGAAGGATGGTGGAAAGGGTACGAGGAAGAAGGGAGGCAGGAGTAGGCAGGGAAGTTTGAACATGGAGCACTCTGCGGTTGACACGAGCCAGCTGGACTGGCGGACGTTATGGAACGAGGGGACGGACGCTGTGATGGATATACCCATTGGTGGAGTGTGTGAGATCCTATATGGGCAGCACGACGACAGCGACGACGAGGACCACGATGTGAAGGGTAATGCTCACGATAGATGAGGCTATGACTGATAACACAAAATAATTTTTGGTATGCCCAGGAGGCAATCTCGCAATGGCTGTCCAGCAAAGGTCCGCGCTACACGTCGTTTCGCGGAGAATACATGTACACAAGCTGGCCGAAGTCGAGAATTTGGACGAGCTCGCCGCCAAAACGAATCTTCTCCCAGAAGCAAAGAGGTTGACAACACTTCAAGCGAGTAATAGGCTCGGCTCCCGGAAATTCTCAAGCGAATCGAAGCATATCAAGATTTCTAAGGTTAAACGGGCTTGGCAACCTTCCCCTCAACCTCTGCCTCCCTCAACTCATATGTGGAACCCGGCTCATCGGATACTAGGGTGGAAGTCTTCAAACCATCCGGGCTTCTGCTTGGTCATTCCGTCCGCTCCGTCCCGTCGTTTCATCAAAATACAACTAGCTCGGAGTGCAACATTCGTAGCATTGTTACATTGCTCCACTAGAGCGTCGCGGAGACGGCTGCCGGCACGCAACTTGCGAAGGCAATTAAGCATTCACTGAATCGAAGCTTCCGTTACTCGATCGTCGAAGGATCAGAGGATTCAAAGGATTCAGAGTATCAAGTCTCATTGAATCGGAACATAGCACACACGGCTCATAGTAGCATTTTGATCGGGACGGTATGTAGTCTATGATGTGTGAAATGGCAGATCAACATGAATCTGCGATTGGCATTGAAGCACGTATGAAGCCGTCGATGAAGGCATCTGGGTATAAGTATCGCCTGCAAGACCCGTCTCTTGAATGCATTCCTTAACCTCAGAAATCATCTTCCCAACCTATCCCATCATTCTCCTTGCACCATCAACATGAAGACAGCCTCGACCTTCGTCGGCATTGCCGCAGGTTGCCTCATGACGCTCGCATCCATTCCCACTGCTAGTGCAGACTGCACTATCAAGCTCGAACTTTGGGCAAATGAAGACTGTTCAGGATCTTCGACAGAATCCTGCCCGATGACCACGTGCGGAGTTTATGAGCAGACCGAGGATCCGGTTCAATACAAGTCCTTCAAATGGGTCAGCAACGATGGGTGCGACCCGGAAACCAGACTTGCGGTTTCGACCCAGAGGAGCATCCTCGGGGCGACCTTCGGACAGATTGGAAACCAATGCACCACTGGCGATACGGGTCCAGTCGACCCAATCACTCAAATGCACATCCGGCCAGATGACCCGGCTACGTGCGACTGCTATACCGAGGAGGGGGGTTTCGTGGAGTGGGGATGTCACCCACTGGGGAAGACAGGCTGCGCCCCGAACACGTGCGGCAACGGGAGTGGTTATTGCCTCCGGGGTGACAGATAAAGCGTGACAGCTTGGCAGGATTTGGGCGGGAACTGTAAGGGCAGACCAGATGGAAGTGTCACCGCAGGAAAGAAGATCAGGGGAGGGCTAGAGTGGTCCAACATTGCTTCCGGGAATGAAGGCCAACCTCTGGCATGGTCTTTCCGGCAGATACATGTACTGTTTTGCTTCCGTAGACACATCCACATTCGTTTTGTCAACAAGCCGAGGCCGCAGCTGGTAGTCCAGTCGTAATGGTGAGGTTGCGCAGGAGATAGTCTTCCCACGCGTGTCGGAGATCAGGCATTTGGCATACTAGGATTGTAAGCAAGCTCTCCTCGTAAGTGCACAGCTGTAGTCGCTCCGACTGGTGCGACGGTAGGTGAATGATCGCGCCAACACCTCTTCGGATGCAATCACGACAAACTAGGAGCGCATCAGCCGAACCTTTGGACAAATCGACGAGGCGAGAATGCAGGGAGAACGTCGGACGACACTAGAAACTTTTGAGAATCTTGAAGGATCATATTCTTCGTAAAGTGTCGTCCCTCAAAGAGGTCGACAACACTTCGCTAGCGGCGGACGCAGCCGGACCAACCATATCCCCGCAACCTTGACGTTTCACACACTCTCCCAGCTTCTTGTCTTCAAGACAGTTGCTCACCCGCTGCAAATGCACGACTTTCGTCTGCCGCCAGGAGAAGATTTCACCCTGTGCTGGCCTTTCTTAGGAGTACCACTGCCGTGCTGAGCCATGACTAAGGCAGAGGTTACGGCCGTTACGCGCCTTCTTTCGACACTCTTCCGGCACTTCTGGAAGACTTCCGCCATCACGTCGTACTCGCACTCGCAAAAAGAGCTGAGGCGAGGCAGCAAGAGTTCGTCAAGGTGAAACTGAGCGGCTTCAACACTTGTGGCGCTCACGGTACGCTGGACCTTATCCAACATTCTGTCTTCTTCCTAGATGTCTGGTGTCTGAATTGGCCCCCAGCCGGTCCATGCAGGCCATGTCGGAACAGTAGCTGACGACTGCTGAGCCTGACCTTATCACAAGGCTGCATCTTTCTTTGCTCATCCTTTTCAGCTGTTCAAAGGCGTGTTTTTTTCATTCTGTCTTTTCAACATCCCATCAGGAAGTGCTCTTTCCATCTCATGACAAGAGCCGAAGCAACCTTCCAGGCACCACGAGCACTTAGCTGAGTCGTCCGTTATGGAGAGCATACTACCTAAAGATTCTCTGCTGGCCCTTGCACGCTTCGTTGGCATTTTCGGACCAACCCTCTACTGCGGTATCACAGCTCAGCGTACGACACCTCAGGTGCAGCACGGCTGACCTGTCCCTCATGCAGGCTTCACATCCTCAGACAGCTTGACTTTTGTCAACCCGATCGTCGATCATGCACCAAATCAGAAGACCATGGCCAGGCAGTGGTATCATGGTTACTCATATGGTATCAAAGCTATAGGCAAACCCCTACCATGTCTGAGAAGTTCTCTGACTTCTTTCCCCTTTCGACTGTAGGGCCGTACTGGGTGCCTCCCATGATCGCTCCTAGCACTCTGGCAAATGTCTGGCTCGCCTTTACCGCTTCAAACACAAGTGGGCGGGCTTGCTACATCGCGGCCGCGGTAGGCATCTTCAGCATCCTACCAATAACATTCTTTTTCATGGAGCCAGGCATCAACGGAGCATCGAAGTGGAAGGTGCAAAGCCTGCTGAAAGACGAAGGCTTCTCTTTACCAGAAACGAGCATATTCATGCCTTCGTCGGTGAAGCACGGCAGCACAAAGAGCTCGAGAAGCTGGGCGGAGAGGACTGACATGAAGTCGTTGATTCTCTTCTGGAGGAAAGTCAACAATGTGCGGTGGGTGATTGCTGGTCTTGCAGCGATGTTGAGTGGTTATGCTACACTCGTGCAGTGAGTATGCATACATATGAACAGATGAACTCACAGCCTGCTGCCACATCTGGTTTGATGTTGATTTGTAGAGCCGACATTGCAACAAGACATGTCTGCCCCGAGCCGACGAGAAAAGATGGCAAGTGAGGGACAGTGAAAGCGGCCCACCAGGTGAGATGGAGCCGTCTGATTGATCTTCTCACAGACAAGGAAAGCCCGCTCACGAGGACAGTGTGGCCCTTTCGGATTGATTTGGATCTGAGAAGGGGTCGTCAGATGTGGCCGCTGGGCCGCTTTCACTGTCTCTCGCTTGGATGGGAGTGTTTCTGGCTCTATACACTGTTTCAACCTCAGCACATCGTGACAAAACGCCTGAGGATATTCGGCCTGGACAGTGAATTGTTTCTTCGAGACCTTGAACGAACGGTTTTAGATCTCAAATCGAAAAGGTCGCGGTTATACAACCTTTACTAATAATTAATTACCCCAAAACCCTTGCCGATCCGAAGCCTCTCCTCCAACCCCACCCCATTCCATCACAAAGCCTAGCCAGCTACCCGATTCATTGTAAAGATGTATTTTCCTCCAGTTCAAGGTGCAATTGCACCTGCAACACTCTTACCATGGCCTCCACCGATACCGACTCATCCAGCCAACTCTGGCAACATCCAAACCCCAAAGACACCAAACTCTACGACTTCCTCCAGACCGTGAACAGAAAGCACGACAAGAAATTCAGCACATACCATGAACTTTACCAATGGAGCATCGACAATGTCGCCGATGCGTGGGGAGAGATATGGGAGTATGTGGGCATAAGGCATTCCCAACCTTACAAAAGCGTGGTTACGGATGAGAAGACCATGTTCCCGCGTCCGACGTGGTTCGAGGGCGCGAAGCTGAACTTTGCTGAGAACTTGCTATTTCCTACACAAGAGGTCAAGCAGGACGATCTGGCTATTATCGCGGCCACAGAGGCTACAAGGGAAAAGGTGACGTGGAAGGAATTGAGGGACAGGGTACGGCAGTGTCAAGCTGGGATGAAAGCCGTTGGGTTGAAGGAGGGCGATCGCGTTGCTGGATACGTTGCGAACCATACCAATGCGCTGGTGGCTATGCTGGCCGCGACGTCGCTTGGAGCGATCTGGACGGCTGTGAGTCCGGATACCGGGGTTACGGCGGTGTTAGATCGTATGGTACAGATTGAGCCTACGTTGCTGTTTACGGATAATGCGGTCATGTACAACGGGAAGACGCATCCTGTTCTCCCGAAGGTGGAGGAGATTGTGAGGGAATTGCCGACCTTGAAGGCTACGGTCGTATTTCGAACGGCGGAGGGGATGGAGAGTAAGATTGAGGGTGCGTCAAATGGGAAGGTGGTCAGCTACGACGAGTTCACGAGCCATGGAACGGGTGGTGAGTTGGAATTCAAGCAACTGGATCCAGACCACCCGGTCTACATCCTCTACAGCAGTGGCACCACCGGCGCTCCGAAGTGCATAGTCCACGGTGCAATCGGGACGCTAATACAGCATAAGAAAGAGCACATCCTCCAAAGCGACATCTACCCTGGTGACCGACTAATGTACTTCACCACTTGCACGTGGATGATGTGGCACTGGCTTGTCTCCGGTCTCGCATCCGGCGCCACCCTCATCCTCTACGACGGCTCGCCCTTCCAGTACCTCTCCAACGGCCAATCCGTCAAAGACCAATACGCCATGCCCAAACTCATCGACGAGCTAGGCATAAACCAGTTCGGCACGAGCGCAAAATTCCTCTCTGTCCTCGAACAGAACAGCATCATGCCTAAAGAACAAGGCCTCACACTCAAACCCCTCAAGGCGATATACTCAACCGGCTCACCTCTAGCACCATCGACTTTCCAATACGTCTACAAAGCATTCGGGCAAATAAACCTCGGCTCCATCACCGGTGGTACAGACATCATATCCCTCTTCGGCGCCCCTTGTCCTCTACATCCAGTCTACGTCGGCGAGATCCAAGTTCTCGGCTTAGGAATGGCGGTCAAAGCATGGGACTTCGAGGGCAAAGACGTCAGCAGCACGGGCGAGCCGGGCGAGCTAATTTGCACGAAGCCTTTCCCGTGCCAGCCGGTAATGTTCTGGGGTAAGGAGGGTGCGAAGAAGTATAAGAGTTCTTACTTTGAGCAGTTTCCTGGTGTATGGGCACACGGAGACTTCGTCCGGTTCAATCCGGAGACGGGCGGATTGTTTATGCTTGGGCGGTCAGATGGGGTGCTGAAGCCGAGTGGGGTGCGGTTTGGGAGTGCAGAGATATATAATTTGGTGCTCAAGCATTTTCCGGATGCTGTGGAGGATAGTCTGTGTATTGGACGACGGCGGGAGGAGGATACGGATGAGACGGTTGTGCTGTTCTTAAAGATGAAGGACGGGGAGAAATTTGATGAGAAGTTGGCCGGGGATATCAAGGCGGTCGTGAGGAAGGAGCTGTCCGCGAGACATGTGCCTGGGATTGTGGATGAGTGTCCGGAGATACCCGTGACTTCGAACGGAAAGAAGGTTGAGGGCGCGGTCAAGCAGATCTTGTCTGGGACGAACGTCAAGACGAGTGCTAGTGTGGTGAATGCGGGCTGCTTGGACTGGTATCGAGGGTGGGCGAAGAACCACTGACATACTCAATTGTAGATATTCCAAACTAAGCAACGTCAATGCTCGTCCCATTCTCGCGCTTCACGAACTGCAAAAAGCTCTCCAGCTCTGGCATCTCATTCCCTCCCACCAGAAAGACAGCCGGTTTGCCATAAGGCGTCCCAACTCTCACTCTCTGCCCACCATGATACCGCATCCCCGTCCAGACGTGCGTGAACTCGCACCGTCCTGGTAGGTACACCTCCAGCTCAAACGTGTGCGGATCCAGCACCGGCGCAACATACAAACTCGGACCTAGATAAAAGCTCTGGTAATTGATCTTCCGCGCCTCGGCGTCGTCCGTGTGATACATAACCGGCGGACGGAGCAGCGGCCAGCCACGAGTTGCACATTCCGTCTCTAGGATCTTCCGGCGGTACGGAGCCAGCGAGACGAACATCCGGGCGTTGTAAGCGTAGTAGCCGTACGTACCCGCGTTCGAATAGAACTGTGCATTGACCTCCGGGATATTACCCTCATGCGAGCGAAACACTGCGCTCGAGACGGCTGCCAGCTCGCCCCAGCGACCAAGCAGCTCAGGGGAGCGGGTGATGTTGAAACCAGAGTAGGTCAAAACGGTGGTATATCCGCCTATGTCGGAGTGTTGTTGGGAGTAGCCAGATAAGCCCATGTGCGTCATAATAGTGACGACGCTCTTGATACCGTCGTTGAGACCCCAGTCAACGTTCTGATCGCCGACCCAGAAGAGGTTCATGTAGCGATTTGAGTTCATGGAGGCAGAGCGATGGAAGAGCAGAGCTTCGTCTTGGAGGTCAAGAGATTCCACGAGTTGGCGTTGGTATTGGGCCCAGAGGTAGGGGTAGGAGTTGTGGAAGAAGAGGGCGTCGGACGTGTTGTATAGTGAGGTGTCGGGTGTTACTGGCGTGTATTCGCCGAAGTCTGACATGAAGCTAATAACAATGAGGGCACTTCGTCAGCGTCTGCTTCTCACGTTGGGCAGGAGAAGGTTCACATACCCGGAGATATTGGCGAAGTTCCAAACTTGCGACCTCATGACTTCTCCAAACCATGAGCGTAAGCCGGGGTTAGTTAGGTCAATGATCCCTGCGTCCAGCCCCGGGCCTGAGGAGATGATTGCGGTTGAGTTTGTGGTCGTGTTCTGGACGGTGTAGTGCAGGCGATCGGCTTCAGCGTAGAGGTTACGTCGGAAGCCGTCTGGTTTGGTAGACACGTTGGCGAGGAATGCTATGCAAGTGTTATGAGTATTGTTGGCGGATAGATCGTGGTTTGTGGAACTCACTGTTGATGTATGACAACGTGCGAACACCGTGTTGGGACCTCAAGCCTTGCACGAACGCGGGCCACTCTGGATAAAGAACCTCGTCGTTCTCCCAGTTCCACCATAGCCGCGAGACATTGATATAGGGACCCTCCTGAGCATCTTCCAAGTATTAGCCATAGAGAACAGCCTTGCTTGCAGGCGATTGACTTACGAGTTCCAGACCAATCCTGCAACCAAACGGCAGCAATGGGGCACTCGAGATCTAGCCCTTCCTGTACGATGTTCGATACCTTGCGTTGACCGCCTTGAACACCGAGTACTGCACCCTCATCTACCCAGCTTGGTAGAGCTGGCATTCGACCAGTATAAGCGGTAAGCCGCTCGACTGCTTCGAACATGTTCGATGCTCGGAATAGTGCTCCACGGAAATTGAGTGCCCCATATCTGACTGTGGTTGTGTCCGACTTCGTGAAGTCGAGAAAAGTGAGAGCTGTGCTGTCCAGAGACAAATAGAACCCGTTGCTGTCCGTTGAGACATATGACGGGATTGAAGTGTACGTGGTGAAACGATTTCCTCCCGCGAATGTCCCGTTGCTGCGATTGTGTTAACACACAATACATCTGACACGAAGAGCAAGACCTACGCATTCTCATATTGTGTCACCGGCATGTCACCTCTTCCGACGCCCTGTTCTCTAGTGAAGACGGGGACGTCCTGGCCCTTCAACGAAGCAAAGCTGGCCTGCGCACCCAGCCCGTAGATGTCTTCGTCAGCATTTGAATCAAACGTGAGATACACTCTCTGATACGTCCGTCCAGATGATCCAGATGAGACCTTGATGTCGAACGCAATCCTATCACTGAGATCTTCTGGGACCCAGAACGTAGCAATATAAGTCATATCCTCATCACCGCAGTCCAGCAGTGAGCCTGCCAGTTGAACGGCAGCCCCATTCACCGCCTCATCCCATTGAGTCTTTGATATACTCGAGATGTCCTGTTCCTGGCAGATGGCTTCGTCCACTTTAGTAATGTTGAAGGCGCCGCTTGTTCCGGAGATCTGGTCCTGACCAGCGCTCGCGCTCAGAAATGGTAGAGCTGCACTCCATATGACATCTTTCTGGTCAGCGATTAGGATCTTTTCTGCAGATCGTTGCAAACTGTATCCATTCCCAAGAGCCCAGGTTTCGTCGTGATTCGAGTAGGCCGCTGCTTCAGAGAGCAGACTGAGAGCATGGAGAAGCGGGAGTAATATAGCGGTCTTCATGGTGAGAGTTACCGTGGTACCCGTCCATGTAAATGGGCGCTTCAAACGTGGTATATATGTTGGTTATGCCCGTTACTAAGTACCGGCGGGTCGTCGGCGGCCAGCCTGCCTCCTCTTTCGCGAGAAAATGACGTGCTGTTGTCTTCATCTTTGAACTCTGCGAGGAGTCCACAATGAAGGTTGGGTAATCCTTCTACCGTGCAAACAAGGGTGGGAATGAGAGGGAACAGCACGAGAGAAATGTACTTGCCGTCGCGGGCTACTGGGTTGTTTCCTGACTATGTCAGGGCATGTGAAGAGTTACCGCAACACACGGCGTCGTACGGCCGCTATCTCTCAACAATTGGAACGTCCAATTTGGCCTTATATGTGCATAAAGCCATGGTCTGATTCATTATAAGAGTGTGTGGTATCGTCCCGAGTGTCGAGGTTCGTGTAAAGGCTTCCAGGCGTCCAGGGGAGACAAGACCCCACCAAGCTCAACGTCAGACCTCGTGCCCCTCCAAAACAACTTCTCCAACAAAACAAAAACTTCATATCTAACCCATTGACCCAAATACAACTCTCTGAAGCATTCGAAGGACCTCCACAGCACTGAAAACCCAATAACAACCAACAACACCGCCACCATGGCCCGCCAATTCTTCGTCGGCGGCAACTTCAAAATGTAACCCTGCCCCCTCCCCACCTCACCAACTCCCTCTAACACCACCCCCAGGAACGGCACGATCGACTCCATTAAAGAGATCGTCAACAACCTCAACAAAGCCACTTGCGACTCCAACACCGAAGTCGTCATCGCCCCGCCCGCCCTCTACCTCCTCCTCACCCGCGAGCACCTGCGCAAGGGCATCGAAGTCGCCGCGCAGAACGTCTTCGACAAACCCAACGGCGCCTTCACCGGCGAGATCAGCGTCGCGCAGCTCAAGGATTCGAATATTACGTGGACGGTCCTCGGACACAGCGAGCGACGCGTGATTCTGCAGGAGAGCAACTCGTTTGTCGCGAATAAGACGAAAGCGGCGCTCGATGGCGGGATTGGCGTGATCTTATGCTGTGGTGAGACGCTGGAGCAGAGGGAGGCGGATAAGACGATGGATGTGGTGCTGGCGCAGTTGAAGGCCGTGGCGGACGTGCAGAAGGATTGGAGTAAGATTGTCGTGGCGTACGAGCCGGTGTGGGCGATTGGGACGGGCAAGGTGGCGACGAATGAGCAGGCGCAGGAGGTGCATAAGGGAATTCGGGAATGGTTGGGCAAGGAGCTGGGGCAGGAGGCGAAGGACAAGACGAGAATTATTTATGGCGGGAGTGTGAGTGAGAAGAACTGTAAGGATTTGGCCAAGCAGGAGGATATTGATGGGTTTTTGGTCGGAGGGGCGAGTTTGAAGCCGGCGTTTGTGGATATCATTAACGCGAAGGCGTGAAGACCGCTGTAGGAAGGATCTCGAAAGGTGTGTGGGGAAATGTTGCTTCCCTACTATACAGCATCATATCAGCGACCATTGTCCGATGGATAGCGTAGCTCAACGGCCTCGAAAGTGCGCATGCTTCGCTCAACAAACCATCTGATCTCTCCTTCACCACCATTCCCACTCCCTCCTCCTGCCATACAGTGCTGCTGGTATTGCGTTTACTCAGCCATCTCTCCCCCCACATCCATTTCTTCTTACTCAATGAGAGCAGCCCACAGCCCAAGCACACCCGCCGCCAACGGCCCAACCACCCTCACCATGTTCAGCGAGTTGTACTTCTTCAACAACTTCATAACCTTCAACTGCTCGTACTCCGTCTGCGTCATCATGTCGTCTTCGAACGGCTCAAACTCCTCCATCGGCGTCAACGCCCCATTCCTCTGCGCACTGCCCTGCGGCACCCCAAGCCCTCCGGCCGCCTTCTCCGCGCTCGTCACCTTGACCGCCGGCAACTTCGTCACCGTCGCGCTGCTCGCTACCTCACTGACCCACAGCAACTTATAGCTCGGCGCCTCCATCAGCGCGATCGTCCAGGGGATCACGTAGAACATGCTCCCGGCCGCCGCGGCCCAGAGTTTCCAGGCCACGCTGGAGCGGTTGTGCGTGTACCCGGCGTAGGCGAGGGCGGAGCAGATGAGTGTTGTAGCGATCTCGACCGGGGGTCCGGTGGCCTTTGCGGTGCGGTAGAGGGAGGCGAACTGTTGGGCGGCGAGGCGGTGGGAGGTCTGCGCGGCGGGGTAGAGGGAGGGGAGGGTGAGGGAGATGGTGCCGAGTTCGCCGGCGGTGAGGAGGGAGGCGGTGATGGCGATGCCTTTGAGGGCGGCGAGGGTGGTGCCATGGGGGCGGTCTATGGAGGCCATGTTGGTGGTTGGTCAGGGGGTGTAAGCGGTAGATTCGGGGGTGATTGTGGGACTTCAATTCATCAAGAAAGAACTCGAGAATCGAATGTGGTACTGTACAAAGAAGTCGCAATGGCAAGAGAAAGAAGGATGGAAGTGACGTAGAGAAGGTGCGAAAGAAAAGGAGAACGTTTACTGTCAGGAGTTGGTCTGAGCTGAGTTCGGCTGAGACGCGAGGTGAGACGCGATTCCAGCAGACTATTTCTTGAAATCACTCGTCTTTATGTGCAAGTCTTCTCCTGGCCGTCTATACACCTGTATATCTATCACAATTTAGTCTCTCTATGCCGTTTATCCCAACTCCACCAGTCCCCAGTCCACCGCTCCTTCAACCAAGTCTGGTAAATCTCATCCGCCTCCCCATCACCCTTCGCCTCCAGCATTTTCCGCCACACCAACAGTTGTGACTTGAAGCCTGGATTCGGATCACAAACCTACAACCATCAGCACATGTCCCAAAGAAAAGGACCACGTAAGTTCTTGACATACCGGCCTCCCCTCACAAACCCACATCAACGCCTGATCCGGCGTGCCCCCAAACTTCTGCATCAAATACGCACAACAGATCGTCGCACTCCTTGACTTGCCCATCGCGCAATGCACAAACACCGCCCCTCCACCCTCCAACGCCTGCTCGATGAATTTACATGCTTCAGAGAAGTGCGCTAGCAAGTTCTCATTGGGATCGTCGTCGAGACGAATGTGCAGGTGTTCGTACTGCTGGAAGGCGCCTGCTTCGTAGATGTCGAAGTCCAGAGCGGAGACGATGTGGGTGATGCCGGCTTGGGCGAAGAGGTCGGGTTTTTGGTAAAGAGCGTGCAGGCCGCCGATGTAGAGGCTGGGTGCTTTGGGGATTTGGTCGAGCCAGCCCATTGTTGATTGAAGTGGTGGCGGTGTTGTAATATCACGGCTTAACGCATGGAGATTTGGCGGTTTAGCGTCATCTGCACATGGCTCCTTGATACACTCCCAGTGCCATTGTCTCAGACATGTTGACGGGCATCGTCGAGAAGCGAAACTGCTAGTCTATCATCAAAATGTGTTGTCTCAAGTGTTGGAGCGCTGGACCTCGGTCCAGATCTGCTGACATCAGTCATGTCCTGTCGATTCGCGCATACATCTTCCCATTTACTCCATCCGACTACCAATTTACCAGCATGTCTCTCGGTAGTGCTCCGGAAGCAGCCGCAGCAAATATGGGCGTGCAAAGAGAGCATTACTGCAACGACCGAATGCCATCTACGCCTGCCGTGGGAACAGGCTTTTGACACCCCGCCTCATCCCACCACACCTCGACTCGGCTCAGATTGTTATACTTGGCCAGAACAATGTTGAAGAACATGAAGCCGAACTCATAGCCGCTCGGAATACTGACTTGCGGTTCTCCGTGGTTAGCTTGTATAATTTATACGGCTACTTTACCGTAAGCTACTTCCGCAAAACTGCATTCTGCCCGGCCAATTCAGCCTCTCCGTAACTACATACCCTTCTCCCTTCTCATGACCCAAAGAGCTTCCAACAACATCCCTCCTTCACTCCGTCAACTGTGGCAGCACCAAGAAGAACACGGCCGAGCATCATCACTCACCATGACTCTGCCCTGCAAAGCCATCGTCTGCCGAGACACCCACGCCAACGGGGGCTGGAAGATGGAAGATGTCATTACTCGTAAGCCTGGTGAAGGCGAACTTCTGGTCGAGATGGTCGCATCCGGGATCTGCCATACTGATGCTCTGATCGGAGGAATTCCTGGTGGTGCGGCGCCGATTGCCTTTTACCCACGAGTACTGGGACACGAAGGCTCTGGGTATGTCAAGGAGGTCGGGAAGGGCGTGACTGTTGCACAGCCAGGAGATCCGGTGTTGTTGTCGTTCGCTTTCTGCGACAGCTGTGCGATCTGCAAAGACGGCCATCGTTCCCACTGCCTCAAGTTCAACGACCTCAATTTTGGCGACGTGTGCAGGAATTTTGGTGATACGTCCAGCACCAATGGCGAAACGAACATCGGAGGTGCGTTCTTTGGCCAATCTTCGTTCGCCAGCCTCTCGATCGTTAAGCAATGCAGCGTCGTCAATGCCAAAGACCTGGTGAAAAACAAGCAGGAGCTGCAGTTATTCGCTCCTCTCGGCTGCGGCATTCAGACTGGAAGCGGGACTGTCATCAACGCTGCCCAAGCGACATCAAAAGACGTGGTCTGCATCATGGGCCTCGGCGGTGTAGGCTTGAGCGCTGTGATGGGAGCAAAGATCCAAGGCTGCCGCACGATTATCGGCATCGACCGCATCGAAAGCCGTCTCGAGCTGGCAAAGGAGCTTGGTGCTACGCATGTGATTGACGGCAGTAAGCTGCCGGAGGGCAAGTCATTAGGAGATGTAGTTGCCGAGTACGCCGACGGCATCGGACCGACTGTTACGATCGACACAACCGGCGTACCGGCGCTGATCAAGGCTGGCGTGGCCTTCACGAGGAACCGTGGAAAAATCATCCAAGTTGGCTCGCCTCCGTTCGACTTTAATCTAGAGCTTGAGACTTTCAGCTTTATGGTGAGCGGGAAGCAATTCATTGGCGCGATTGAAGGGCAGGCGTATCCGCCGGAGCATGTGCCGAAGATGATCCAGTGGTGAGTGAAGCATGGATGCCGCGGGTGAACAGCTGAATGTTGACGATGGTTCCAGGTACCGGGAGGGCAGGTTCCCGATCGACAAGTTCAGCAAGTTCATTCCTGCTGCTGAGTACGAGCAAGGGTTGCATGAGATGCATGAGGGAACCATCATTAAGCCGATCTTGGTATGGTGATCAATGTTAACGTGGTGCTTTTGGCAGGTCATCCAGGAGAATTAAGAGACCTTAGCATAGGAAAGAGAGGGGAAGGTAGTCTAAGAGATAAAGCTATATGGACACCAAAACTACCTCGTAGTGGAAGAGAACCTCCGCCATCTAGCATAACGCCGCATCGTTCTACGATTCAGCTCACTGGCCCATGTTGGCATACCATGTCGTGAACGTACTCCTGGAAGACTGAAACAAGGTGATGTTGATTGGAGATAGTCCTCGGGACATGCCGAAAGCTTAAGTTTAGCGGCTTCTCTACGCGTCGACCTTCCACCACCGCGTTCTTGGTGTTTTGGTGCCCACCATGAATGGATGGTTTTGTTCTTTTCACCATCGTCGGAGTGTGTTTGTTGACCTTGTGCATACACTGTCGCATGCTTTTTTCAGGGACGGCGGGAAGAAAGGGGCTTGCACGAGTCTCCGCCACGGTCCTTCCTCCTTCCCGCCTTCGTGCAGTCTACAACACCCCACCACAGCCGAAGGCATCAAACTCAGTACATACCACATACGCACCATCCAACATGCTGCGAGGAGCCGTGGAGGCCCACGAGCAGAAGGCTCCTGCGAGACCTACAGACACAACCTCGTTCTTCGGCTCGAGCCCGCCTATGCCATCGTCCCAGGCGCAAGGCAGTCAAGCCACCAATCCAGGCTACCGCAACCCCCTCAGGCCAGCCAGCGCATCATTCATGAATAGCGGACGGTCATCGCAACAACAGCAATGCACAATGAACGGGGTGAAGAGGACGGCGAGCGGGCTTGCGAAGTCGTTGAATGGCTCATTCGAGGAAGGTCCAGGCTCTAGACTGAACCCAATATCAGTAGGAGGCGCCAACTCGAGCGCTGGGGGAATGCTCCAGGTCACACAAAATGAGTTCATCGACGAGAATGCCTTCGACAGTGACATTGAACTCGACGTGGAAGAGCCGGTCGCAAAGAGAGGCTCGAGCTATCCTTCTCTACACCAGCAACGTGGCCCTAGGCGAGCGCCATCTCCTGTGGTCTATCCCACTCTTTCGCGACAACAGCAAGCGCAGAATAGCTTCCCAAGGGATCCGGATCCTCCTTATGATGCTCACCACCCTGCTGCCGAAGGTCGCCCAGTTACGAGTAGCGCTCCCATCCCCTGGTCATCCTCGCCAGTCGAGCACTACAATGCCGCTCTGAGTCCGACGAAAGCCAAGACCAAGATCCAGGCCTACTCGTTCAATCCTACGAATGCTGCGCAACATATGCAGAATGGACCGCCAACATCAGAAGCACAGCCAAAAACGGCAAAGAGGAGAGCTTTGCCATGGTCCTCAGACGACGGTACGCAGGCGCCAAGTTACGATCGCTATGCTTCCAAACCCAAGTACAAAGTCAACGATTCCACGCCAGGGGTCAAGATGACCCAGACTCCGAAGCCGGCGCCGCTGTGGAACACCACCGCCAGTGCCGTCAAAGAGCAGCAGAAGAAGCATCGGGAGGAGATCAAGCGGGCAGTTAAGAAGAACGATGGCGATGAAGAAGCGATCCAGAAGGCAAAGACCTCCCGTGAGCGGCCAGCTCGTGTGTTCTTGAGCGAAGAACAGCAGCATGTGCTTGATCTCGTCATCGAAAAGAAGAAGAGTGTCTTCTTTACTGGTTCTGCTGGAACGGGAAAGTCTGTGCTGATGCGGGAGATCATCTCGAGCTTTCGAAAGGTGTACAAGCGTGAGCCTGACCGTGTGGCTGTCACGGCATCCACAGGTCTCGCAGCTTGCAATGTCGGAGGAGTCACGCTGCATAGCTTTGCAGGCATCGGATTGGGCAAGGAAGATGCTACGGAGCTCGTTCGCAAGATCAAGAGGAATCAGAAGGCCAAACATCGCTGGATGAGAACCAAAGTGTTGATTGTCGACGAAGTCTCAATGGTGGACGGGGACCTATTTGACAAACTCGAGTCCATCGCTCGGCAGCTGCGGATGAACGGCCGACCTTTCGGTGGTATCCAGATCGTCATCACGGGCGATTTCTTTCAACTGCCTCCTGTGCCAGACTACGGCAAGGTCGCGAAGTTCGCTTTTGACGCTGCAACATGGAACACGACTATCGATCACACCATTGGCCTGCATCATGTGTTCCGTCAGAAGGATCCAAGTATGTCCTCTCTACTTCACGCTACGCTATGTTTTGTTGACGTGCTAACCTTTTCACAGTCTTTGCTGGTATGCTCAACGAGATGCGTGAAGGGCGCTTACAGCAGTCATCGATCGACGCTTTCCGAAAGCTCAACAGACCACTCAACTTCGAGGATGAGCTTGAAGCAACGGAGCTGTTTCCTACCCGCAACGAAGTCGACACTGCGAACTTCACTCGCCTGAAGATGCTCCAAGGCAAAGAATACGTCTTCGAGTCCCGCGACGGCGGTGCGATCGTCGATAAGCCGCAGCGCGACAAGCTACTGTCGAATTGCATGGCTCCCGAAAACATCATCCTCAAAAAGGGTGCGCAGGTCATGCTGATCAAAAACGTGGATGAGAGCCTTGTCAACGGCTCTCTCGGTAAGGTCATCGGCTTCATGGACGAAAAGAAGTTCGACAGTTACCAGGCGACCGAAGCATCTCTGTCCGGTGATGGCACTCTAGGCTCACAGGCTGTCAATGACCTCGGAGGTGAAGGCGCCGGACCAAAGGGCATGATGACCAGCATCCAGACCGTCCGCCAGTGGCCAGTCGTACGCTTCTCGATCGCAGACGGCACGACGCGCGATCTTCTCTGCCAACCCGAAAGCTGGAAAGTCGAGCTTCCGAACGGCGAAGTGCAAGCATCCCGTAATCAGGTGCCGCTCATCCTGGCCTGGGCGCTGTCCATCCACAAAGCACAAGGCCAGACGCTGGAGCGTGTCAAGGTCGACCTGGGCAAGGTCTTCGAAAAGGGGCAGGCGTATGTTGCGCTCAGTCGTGCGACGAATATGGCGGGCCTGCAGGTGTTGCGATTCGATCCGAAGAAGGTCAACGCACATGAGAGGGTGAGGACGTTCTACGCGAATCTGACGAGGGTGGAGCTGGACCAGGCGGAGAGTGGGAAGAAGGCGAAGCCTAAGAAGCCGGGCATGGATGGTCGCGAGTATGAGCGGAAGTTTGTTGACGATGAGTGGGAGAATATGGCATAAGTACACTCGACTGTCATGACGGAGGATGATGTTCGGTGCTTGATTTGCTGTTGCTGAACGAAAGTGTAGAGAACGCAGCTCTGTTTGAGAAACGTACGATTAACATCAGCACTCTGTCATACCCATTGCTCTTATATCTTCGTGCAACGCGGTGCTCATGCTGACGCTTTCATGCTGAAACCGACCTTCTCAAAGAACGCAACTGCCTCCTCCGACGTCAGACACTCCTTGCTGCTACAGCTTCGAAACTTACCGTTCGGCCACACTTCCACCGCAATCAGCACCGTCCACATCTGAAAAAGGGCACCTCGCCTACCGACAACAAATTCCTCTCCACTCTCCAGATTCAACGCCAAAACCTTCGGCGCCCCAAACGCCTTAATGTCTTCCTTCAACTTCGAACAGTTACCCTGCAGATCCGTAGAAAACCCGCCACCTTTCCTCACCGCCACGTAACTCGGTCCTTTGTCCGCTTTACCAAGCCAGGCGGCTTCGTACTCCGCCAGATTCCCGAGCCTTTCTTCCATATCCTTGGGTAGTTTCCAGAGACGTTTTCGGCCGATGTGCGCAAAGTAGCACCCGTTCGGACCGAGGGAGGGACAGGTCGGGGCGGAGGCGAGGGAAGGGTCGGCGAGTGATTTGGCGAGGGAGGGGTATTGGACTGGGAAGTTGTCGCTGAATGCTGGGGCGGGCTGTGAGAAGTGGTAGTAGATGGGAGTGGAAGGGGGCGTACAGATGACTTCGGTCTCGACGACTTTGGCGTCCTTTCGCTTGGAGCAGCGGTACCAGGAGTTGTTGGTGCCGAAGGCGACGTATTTGGGGACTTCGTTGTTTTTGAGATCTTTGGTTAGGGAGGTTGGAGAGCTGAGGTTCGAGTTGTTAATTGATAGTATGCTGGACGATGAGACGTGGTAATGACCGGCAGCGATAGTACGCTTTGCCGCACAGGAAGTAAGACTTGCCATGAATGGCCAAGGAAAGGACGTCGTCTGTCATGTTCGTGGCTTGATAGTGGTTTGGTCTTGTTACAAGGGCAGTATGCTACGACTAGCAAATGGTGAGCAGTCCTCGCCGCGGCTCATGGCATACTTGTAGACCTCTTTGACATAACGTGTGATGTTGACGTCAATGCAGCTGCAGTACAATACAACGTGCCAGCCCGTGGGCACGCCATGACGGAACTCACAGCTCTTCGGTCGTACGTTGGGCCAGCTCTGCCGCTATCCGTGGGCGATGACACCTTCTGTGCTACGGCCACCCACGCTCGCGACAAAGTGCTCGTAGATCGAGGTACTTGTATGGTCTCGAGAGACCGCTACTGTCCACATAACCTCCTCAGCCACATTGCGGCAACGAAGCAACGTGGCAGCTCTTGATGCAGAGCTTGCCAGGAGTGACCGGTTGTGCTTGTACGACTGCACAAGGCTGTCAATACGGGCTAGGGATTGGACCATGCGGTACTCTCCAGGTGCGAAGTACTCTGATCAAGACCACGCATTTCGGCTCCCGAGCGCTGGGCTGTAGCTTCTAGAGGTCCTGGTCGTGGGGTGGGATGGCACAGTAGCCATGGCATCTCGTTCACTTCGTCTTCTTCCCGCCGTCCCCCCTCATGACCCTCGCCCTCTGCTTCATCATGTGCGTAAACAGCACATAGCTCCCCGGCACATACACCCCAAGCACCCCCCAAAGCACCCAACTCGCTCTCACCCCACCCACCTGCACAAACCTCCCCGGTCCCCTCGCCGCCAACCCCACCAGCCAACACTCACTACCAATCCCCAACGGATACAGCACCCAGAACCCATTATACCTCAACCACTTCAACACCCCCGGCACAGCCACTCCGCTGAGACTGAAGACGAAATATCCATACCGCACCACCTCCGTGAAACTCCAGGCGAGCAGCATACTGCGATATGCTTGCGCGCCTCCGTGCGTAGTGTCGGTGGCGAGGTGCGGGAAGAGGTGGACGACGCCCCAGACGAGGAGGAAACGGGAAGCGACTTGCATGATTGTTGTGAGGAGCGGGGCGCGGACGAGGCCGAGGAGGGAGTGGAGGATCTCGAGGGCGGCAAGGGTTTGGACATACTTGGTGTAGGTGCCTATTGTAGGGTAGAGGGAGGAGGCGGGGCCAAGTGTGCAGAGGTTCGTGGCAGTGGTGAGGAGGATACCGAACCAGAGGAGGGAGGAGACGAGGTTGTAGAGGAGGAGGTAGGTTGATTTGGGTGATGAGGTGGTTTTGGTAGACTGTTGCCCGCGTGAGGGCTTTTGGGAGTCGGAAGGGCGGTCCATGGTCGTGGATATGTGTAGATGCGCCGTTGAAGGTCTTGTTCAAGAAGGTGGACGAGATCTGAGTGTTTCGGTCTCAAGAAGGAAGGAGTGGGACTTCCCCAGACGGAAGGCGCCGCTGTATGCAGGAACCAACCCAACGTCACGAATCATGCAGGCCAATATGATACACGATGTAGCCTGAAAAGCAGTAAAGAGACTGCCCTCTTTCATGGCGACCTTGACCACTGATAGCAGTACTGTCAGCCCGTCCTCCCCAACCAACACCTTGCTTAAAGCATCTCATCAGAACGCCGTCCCAAGCCACAGCAACCAGCGTTCAGCCGTTCACATTCCTCAACCTCATCCGCCCTGCTCCCTACTCATAGACCTTAACCCACGAGGCCTTCACTGCCGGCTTACTACATCCATCGACCACGCAGTTTCTGAAAGGCTGTGCTTTGGCTTCGAAGCCCAGATTCGTGGCGGGGGCCTTTCCTTTGCCCTTCTTGCTTGCTGCCGATTTCCCGCTGATACGAGCACACTCGCCGCAGTAGGCCTGCGATGTAGTTAACAAGGATGTCAAACGAGACAATGATCAGAGCACATACATGTCCACAACTCTTAATCACCCAAATCTCCTGCTTGACCTCCCTCTCCTCCTTCGAACGCGACGGCGCTGCCACCGCAAGCTCGTCCCCACAGTTCGGACACACCACCACATCCTCCTCACCAGGCGAGCGCGTGAAGCCTGACTCTGCTGCAGGTGGCGGACTGTACTTTGGCGTCGGCGGTCGATTGCCACCCTGGATCCCCATGTCGAAGCCGGTCATGTTGTAGTCCATCATACCACCCAACTGCATCTGGAACGCTCCCGCCATGAATGCCCCGGCGTTACCCACTGGCGCGTTTCCGTTGACTGTGCGGTGCTGAGCACGGTGCGCGCGAGGTTGAGGTGGCGCTTCGCGTCTGGGAGCATGGTTGTGTACGAACTGCGCCTCTGCCTGCTCCCCCGCCATTCGGTCGCCGAAATCCATGAAGCCGTGCAGTCGCTGGATGAGCCTCGAGCCCGCATGCGCCCCTCCTTCTCGCAGCAAATTCGCAATGTTGCCGAAGTGACCGAAGTCGCGACCAGGTGCCACAGGATGTGCGTTGTTCGCGCCCACGCCATCTCTTTGCCGCGCGTTCAACAGCACCACATCATCGTCGTTGTCCTCCGTGAGATCGATGGGCTGGTCTGAGTTGCCTGAGGTGCCGGTAGGGTAGGGAGTGATACTGCGTGGACCACGGCCGAAACCTGCAAAAGGTGTGGGTTGTCGACTCGCTACACTCCTTGGCCGAGAAGTCGTACGCTCTTCCACAAACTCCACATCATCCATGTCTGTGGGCGGTGACGGCGGGCGTGCTGGTCTTCTGAGCCCCGAGAACTGCGGTCGCCTGGAATATACTGCTGCTTGACCCGGAAGCGCAAGGTAGTTGGCACCTGGTAGCTCTGAGGTTTCGTGGTCCGGTTCGTCGATGTAGTTGATGACGTTGCGATCGAACCTGGGCCACCCATTTGCGCGTGAAGAAGAGCCTGCAGTGACGGCAGGTGCGGGAGCGGCCGCTTCACTTCTTTGTGGATCTTGTGTGTTGTCGTCGTCCGTCAAATCGATGACCGCAGCGGGTCCGCTGCTATTCACTGCCGCCTCCCGCCTCTCATCCATGCCCCTCTCCGACATGACTGGCCGCCTGAAATCATACCCGTCACCCGCATAGCGCCCCTCGCCTGGTGTCGGTCTTCGAGATGCTCTTCCCACCCGCCGTCTTCTCGCCGCGTGTTCTTCGTTTGCATAGTGGTCGTCGAAGTCTTCGAAGAGTGAATTGAGGGGGCGTGTGTGGTCTTCGACGGAAGCAGACATGCTGTCGAAACTTCTCTAAAGCAGTCAAGTCAGTTCTAGTCTCGCGGGGGTGTTGTAGTAGAAGCTGCAGCAGATGACTGCGGCGGATGATGAATAATGGACAAGAGGAGTCTTGCAGACTCACCTTGGTGCTGGTCCGGCGGATGTAAGAATCGCTGGCGCAACCCTCTACGTTCATCCTCGTCCGAGAGAGCTGCTTCACCTCTGAGCGCCAGTCGGTTACTGTCACTTACGTCGAGAAGCCTCCATACAGGACTAGACAGTGAATATGTAGCTGACAATGTGGTTGTGAAAAGATCGTGAGGTGTGTCGAAGGTGAAGCCTCGGCCAGGTGAGGTGAGGTCGTGGTGTGGTTGGTGGTTGTAAAGCCGAAGTCGAAATCCAGACCCCGGTGACAGCGCTTCGAGCGTGATGACGATGCTGCTGCTGCTTGCACGTGTCGATTACCTATTCTCGTCTTCTTTTCTCTTCGAGATGCGATAACCTAAAAGCACCATGCACTGAAAGGGACCAGAGGCAGAAGGAAAGAGCATTGAGATATCAGATAGAAGCGATGAGCTCATTTCTTAGGCTGCAAGTATCTAGCACTACAGGAACCCAGCAGGCCGAGGCAGCCCTCAATATCTTTACACAGCGGACAGGTACTCGAAGGCAATGACCCGTCCTCTGCTGTTCGATCCTTGTCGCCAGTGTCACCGGCCTCCTACGCACTGAGAACACTAATCCCGCCCTCCTTCGTCAACGCCACCACCGCCCTCGCGCCAGCACCCCACGCAACATCGACCGCGCCAACCGCCTTCCTGAGCGGCTCCTCCCACGCCTTGTTAGCCTTGATGTACTGACTGACCACCACGCCACCTGGTCCAGCAGCAGCAAGGAACTGTCCGGTGTAGTCCCAGGCCAGCCCCTGAACGGCAGTGCCGACGTCCAGCGTCTTGAGCAAGTTCGTCTTGCGGAGGTCCCAGACCTGGACTGATGTCGAGTTGGCGTTGGCTGAGGCGAGCCAGGTGCCATTCTCCGAGAAGGTCAGGGCTTGGACTGGTGCTTGCGAAGGAGCCGGGAAGGTATGCAATGTCTGCGCCGACTTGACATCGAACAGCTTGATGCTGCCTGTCGAGGTTCCGGTGGCGAGGAGGTGGCCGTCTGGATGGAAGGCGACGGTCGTGAGTTCTGCAATCGGTCAGTATAGTTCAATCGCTTCGAGCTTGCGCGACATACCGGAGTCGGTGTAGATTTGGGTAAGCACTTTCGACGAATGCAGGTCGTAGAGCACATAGCTCTTGTCCGCGCCTACAGACGCCAGAATCTCGCCGCAGGGATGAGCAGCGACCGCCGAAGCCTCACCGGCATGCTGATGGAACTTCTTGACCACCGAGCCGCCCTGGCTGACGACTACTGCACCGCTCGAAGTAGACACGACCGCCTGATCACGCACCCACGCCCCGCCTGTAATGCCCCCAGCGCCGGTGTTGCTCCTCGTGGTGAATGCGCCAGCTTTGGCATCGTACACGCCGATGTCGCCGTCTGAATCACCGCACAGGAAGAAGTCGCCAGTCTCGTCCACCGCCAGCTTTTTCGCGCCGGTGAACTGCGAGTCTGCCGTGCTCTTCACCTCGTAGGTCGCCACCTGTTCTCCGGTCGCCCAGTCCGCAGGTACCGGCCTCTTCCTGCGCGTGCCTTGCAGTCGTGCTTGCGTGTCCTCGATCTTCGCAACAACGTCGTCTGGCAGACCCTGTCCATCCACCTGCATCGCGTCACCGTTGGTAGCGCCGTTGACACCGTTCGCCGCCGAGCCGGTCACCTGCACCCTGGCAAGCGCATCCCTAGCCTCGTTCCTCTCCTGCTGTAACCGCGCGATCACGCGCTGCGCCGACTCATTGTAGTACAGTGCAGTGCTCAACTCCTGTCTGGTCTCCGCAAGCTGCTGCTTCAGCTGAAAGCTCTCCAGCACAATCGCATCCCACTCATTCTGGAAGGTGCTCAGTAATGCCGGGATAGACGTGAGCTGCGGCGGGCGAGGCTTGACCACGCGAGAAGATCTTAGGTCGAGAAGGTCGTCAAGTGTAAGGGTTTCGCCGGTGACAGGGTCGGTGCCGTTCTCGGAGATGTAAGCCTCTATTAAGCGCCGTTCGAAGATGTTGCCTGTCACACTCACTGTAAGTTTTGCGGTTCGTGGTCATGAGGGGAGCGTTTGCGACTGACCAGACTTGCGCGACGTGACGGGCTGTTGCGGCGCCTCGCCAGAGACTGGGCGAAGTGTTAGCTGTCATGCCTGTGGGCGGTGGATTGTTAAACTTACTTGCGCACAGCATGGTAGCAATGCGGTGCAGTTACGATGTGTGAATGTCTGCTGCTATGCGCCAGAAGTTTTAGAAGCTCGAAAGTCAAGCAGCATGTTCTTCCGCAACGTTGCTCGAGTCAGCCACTCTTCGCTGCATGACTCGCTACTACACATCACGTGCAAGAACTACACAGCGGCGTCGGGTTTAGGTAGATACTAACCCTACAAAATGCAAACACTCGTGTGAAGCCAGACATTGTGGAGGGACACTTGTCACGGGAAAGTGCTAGAATAGATGTTTCAAGCATCCTCATCATAAAGCTAATCGTAGCAAAACTTCCGCAAACCCCATGCCACTCGTGGACTGTGTCCATCATCCGATCGCCAGCAGCCTTTCTTCTGCCCTCCTCCGATCGCGCGACATTGCCATAACCCAATGATCAAGAAACACAACATCTTACATACCTTCATTAGCCAGCCGATGCACAACCGGCACCGAGCTCGGCGGCAAGCTCCCATACTCGCAGATGACCATCCGAACGTACTCTGCCGGCGTGACGTCGTACATCAGGTTCAGCAGTTGCAGATGCGGGATGTCTTTCCAGTCTTCCAGTGTCTTCGGCTTTGCTTCTGCTTCGTCCTCGCTGCTGTCCTTAGGAGCTGGCCTCGACGGGGTGGGCTTGGAAGGTAAGAGCAACTCCTCAGCTGGCGCAACCTCGTTGAGCACAATACTGTCCAGTGCAACCTTGCCGCTGAACTTGACCGACTCGCAGCAGACGATGACCGGGATGTCGCGCTTCGTGGCATGCATCGCCACTGCAGCTGTGCCAATCCGGGATTGCAGACAGCCGTTGGAGAGCATGGAGTGTGCGCCTAGCAACACCACTGTGGCATGCTTGACGGCGTGTGGGATGCCTGAGAATGGCACGTATTCGACTTCTAGGCCGGCGTGCATCAGAGTCGTGGCTTGGCGCTTGCCCTCGAGGAGCGGCCTGGAGTCGACGACGATGACTCGGAACTGCGTACCCTTCGCGTGAGCCTCCAGTATCGTCTTCTCGACGATCGAGCTCTTGGCGTATGTGAGGACAACAGAGCCGTTCTTGATCTGCTGGCAGGCTGAAGCAGCAATAGCCTGATCAGTGACAGTAATGCGCTCGCGGATGAAAGTATCAATCCTCTCGCAAAGCTCATCCTTGGCTTCCTGCTCCGGCGTGCTTGGATCAATCTCCACGATCAACTTCTTGAGCCACCGAATAGCATTTCCCATGGACTCTGAAATCGGCCGGCAGGATTTTAGAAAGTCGATCTGTGGTGAGAGGTAGTGTGATGTAAGATGCCGTGCGAGCGAGGTGCCGACAGGTGTGGTGTACTCTTGTATGGCCTCCTTGAACGCCAGTAGCATCGCCACACAGCGTGCGCTGCTGCCACATATCTCGTAGCTGCTGATCTGGAACCCGAGAGCCAGGACAGCAGGGTGGACGTCCTTGGAGACACCTTCAATGGTATGCCGTCTCGGCTGTGTGTATAAGTGGCTGAACAGCTCGACCTGCTTGTTGTCCTTCTTCGTTTTAACGGGCGCCTTCGGCTGCGCGCCTGATTGCGAAGGTCTTCTGCGGAGCGGCATCTGTTGTGAGCCTGTCCGCTTGTGATGGGGTTCAGCTTCTTGTGCGCCTTGCTTGCCCGGCTTTTGCTGTTGTGCCTTTTGCTGCTTCTCGGCCTTCGGCTTCTGCTGTTGCTGTTGCTGTTGTTGAGGCGCACTGCTATTCTTCTGAGGCGTCTTCGATTCCCCATTGATGCCGTTCGCCGGTTCTGCCGCTGGTGGTGGGCCTTCCTCCTCCGGCTTCTGATCTTTCTGGGCAGCTCTTCTGGCCTGCTTCTCAGCTTTCGCTCTCTTCTTCAGCTCGGCTGGTGTGAGCTTCTGCTCGTTCACCCTGGGCGGGTCGTGGTCTGGCGTAGTCTCAGACATTGTCGCAGAGTTCAAGGACTTCTCGCGATCGATGTGCGGTGATTTGTGTTCAACTTGTGACGTGCGCTGACCCGAAGAAGTATTGATCGCAGATCTCGTGCTCTGCTGTTCTGGTGGTGGGACGCCATGTTAAGTCCTAAAAGGAGCCCATGTTGCCCTTGCTCTGTTGGGTTGAGTGTATGTCGCGATCGTGTGTGCGCCTATTGTTCTCGGATGCAAGGATGCTAGTGCTTTCCATGGGGATGTTCACGTTTAGTCTTTGGTGTTTTCAAGACAATGTCGAGCTCTCGATGCTACTACTTGGTCGAGGTAATGTGGCAGCAGAGTTCACAGGATGGAAGGTAGAATGAAGTGAGGTCGCGCGTCATGAGTCAAAATTTCGAGGGCCGGATCAGCGCCTCGGGCGTGGTGTCACATGCAACCAAAAGGCGAAGTGACAATGGTATCATATTCTACATATATACTGTACATATTGTATCGCTCGAACGCTTCTCACAATCGCACTAGTAGAAAGCAGACCACCCCACGAACAGCGTAGCAAGGTTGCGCTCGTCCGTCGCCTGCTGAATCAGCTCGTTGACCGTGGCGGCGGTACTCAGATTTTTCGAAAGCTTCTTCTCGACCACCGACAGCGCCCTGTCAGCGTCGCCAGCCTCCTGATCCTTCTTCCTCCCAGATCCCTCATCTCCCTCTGCTGCGGACCGCTTCACCTGCTCCTGCATCCGCTTTGCTCTCAACGGCGAGACCGTCCAGACATGGAGCGGATCATACCGCAGCACGTTCAGAAGCGTCATGATGCTGTCCTTGTCGTCCCGCAGAGCATCCATTGTCAATTCACAGCACCTTCGAAACACACCCTCCGTCTTTGTGATCCCCATGCCGTCGACCACGTCCCGTGACAGGCGGAATGGTACCTTCTCCGGCACAGGTAGCACCTTGCCACCTTCGAAAGCGATGCCAAGATCTATGTGCACCACCTCGCCAGTCTTCTCGTCCAGCATGATATTCTGGCAATGCCGGTCGCCTAGGCCCAGAACATGACCGAGGATCGAAATGGCGGCTGTCGTTCGGGTATACGCAGTGCGCTTTGCGAACCACTCATCTGGATCCTTGAAGCGTTCAAAAAAGAAGTGCCGAAGTACCGGCTGCAGATGATCGCACACCTTGCGGTACTCTTTGACCCTGGTGTCCGTGGTTTGGCCGGCGACGGCAGCGATCTTGTCCCGAGCCGTTCCATACTTGTAGTCTTGTGGGTGGTACCTCTGATGAGCTGGTGAAAGGTAATCTGTCAGAGACACGGAATTTGGCACGAACTCAATGACGCCGGACTGTGACGACAGCGGAACAACGCTGTAGGTCCTCACGTGAAGGTTCCTTTGCCGTGTTGTTTTATGGTTGTGCAGCATTTTGCTCACTTCGCCAAAGATCTGTTCCATGATCGCATCCTGACGAAGGTCATCACCGCTCTTGAACAGCTCGATGTACGTGCGTCCGTTAGAAGCAATGGCATCAAGCCGTTTCGGATGACTATTGCCCGTCATGATCCGCACAGCCGGACGATATTTGGTGATGAATGGAATGTCGTCGTAGCTACCATTGGGCCTGATTGGAACGCTGAAGGTGGTTGGGGGGACCTTGCATCGTGGCACCTGGTTGCTAACGTTGAAAGCATCGGGCATGTCTTGCAAGGCAACCTGGGAGTTGGATCTCTGTTCATTCGGGGTCGCCCAGGCTAGCTTGTTAAGCAAGCCATTAGCACAGAAGACACTTTTCAAAAATGGGCCGACCTTGGGTAGGCCTTGGACTTCAGTCCGGATCTTTGCAGCAACTTGATATCTGGAGACAGCCGCTTCGTCCGTGGCCTTAGGGCTCCTGGTAGCTGCGTAGAGGTGATGGAGGCTGTGGTGCGGATGCTCTGCACATATACGTCGCACCAACTTCTTGAGAGTCGTTTGGAAGGTGCTCTTGTCCTGCAGCAGCCGCGGCATGAGTTGGTTCATCAGCACCACGAACTTCCAGGTTGGCACCTGGTGAAGGTGGACTTCGACCACTTCGTTGACGTTTGGAGCTTCCGAATACTCGAGCCAAAGCGCAAAGAATCGCAAGACGGAGATATCATGCTCGTCAGATGCGCACAAGGCAAGCATGTAGTTTTGCAAGCTCTGCTCCAGAAATGTGTCCCTTGTCTTCGTGAGCCGCTGGTATTCCGCATCGTCCAAGGCATACCACGACTTTGCTTGATTATATGCCTTGCGAGTTTCGTTGTCGTTCGGTTTGGAATTTTTGGCCAACGGCTGGAGGTCTTGCACATCCTGCCACTTCTTCAAACGAAGCTTCGTGATGTGACTGAGCTCGTCAGCGTTTGCTGGGTTCTGCAGCTGACGGTCGCAGAATGTTGCGAACTCGTGGAAGACTTTGCCAGCTTCTTCGCCCATCTCGCGCCCTTGCAGACCGTTGACTGCCGGCTGGAGATATGCTGACAGTATATCGTCAGGCTTTTCCAGGCGAGCCTCCGCCAACTGATGGGCCAGCTGAGCGAGCAGACCAGGTTGATCGACTGAGATGTCTTCTTTGCCAGTCTTGCGTACCTCGAGCGCGTCACGTAGCATTTGTACGGAGGCAACGGCTTCGTCAGATTGCCAAAGAACAGATGCTGTTTCGACCAAGGCGACTGTATTGGCTTTGACACCAAGCTGCTCGGCCGATCGTACTGAGTTATTGAGCTGACTCATCGCAGTCAACGCCTCTTGAAGATGGCCGTGCTGTCGAGCAGACTGAGCGATGTCGACAAGGCTTTCGATCTCGGCTTTGCGGCTTTGCTTCGAGCCGACGACATCCCCAAAGACCTTGTTTTGAGCCATGATACTTAACAAGGTCTGGCGGCAGGAAAGGATCAGGCGGAAGTCTTCGAACGGAGCCATCTTCATCCATGCCTGGCGGGCGCGCACTTCCTCCCAACAGATACGAAAGGAATCTTGGGTGCGGCTTGCTACGATGCCACGGGTCTCCACCAGGACCGCAAGAGCACTCAAGAAGTCGCTCGACGGACTCTGTGCCAGCCGGTCGCTCGCAGACTTCGTGTGTGTCACGATGATAGACCCCAGTTTCCGGTCAGCAGAAGCATAGTCGACTGCGCGGCTCAATTCTCTGAAGGCGGAGAAACAACAGGATGCAGCACCAGAGGTTTCCTGTTCTGGCGCAACGACGTCCCATTGTTGCAAACGACGTGCGGTCTCCATAAGCTCGGTAGAGGACTTCGCGGACTCGTATCCATTCGAAAGCAGTGCAAAGTTCAGACTGTCTAGGTTCAGGAGTGACAAGGAGTGGACCATCCCACGACTGTTGTCCGGGCCAATCTTGCCGAAGCGTTGAATGTCGTTATTTGTTTGAGCTGAGCGGAACATCAAGCTTTTGTAACCGCTGTCTTCATAGTCGAGTCGTTCGAGAACAGATTCCAGGGCTGCAGGTTGCTCAACGCCATAGTAGGAATCGGGTTCTTCTACGGCTTTGAAGATGGACAGAAGTAGGTCCCGAGGAATCTGCGCGATCGAAATCTGTGACAGCGAAGCGCGGCTCGACGACCGTCTGGGTCCACCAGACGCCTGTGATGCTGACTCTGCGAACATCAGGGCCATGGTGTGCATGCCGCATCTCTCTGCAGCTCGCGCAGCGCCAACCCAGTCAATTTCAAGCCAGCGTAGACGATCAGCGTCAGTTGTCTCGTTTGGCAGTTGCTGGCTTCGTAGGAACGATAGTAACTTGAGGATGTACCTCTGCCTAGGGAGCCATTCTTCGTCGGCGATCCGCAGGTGCGTCGCAAATGCTGTAGAGAGCTGAGAGCGAAGTACCTGTTCCTGATCGAGCTCTTGTGCAAGCAAGATGTGGACGATATAGGGCAGCAGCTCCATCGCAAGATCGACATCATTTCGAAGTGCTGCCTGCAAGGCCGGAAGAACAGCAGCCTCATTTGCTCGCCGACAGAGAGCCAAGCTGAGCTGTCGCACCCAAATGCTCAGATCTGGACCATGCGTCGAGGCCAGTATGCGACGCAGAGCATCAGGATCCTCCGGCAGGTCGGAAGGCAGTGCAGCGAAGTCGGGCACATATCCGTATGGCCCAGCGATAAACGCAGGCACAATCGTACTTGGTAACATTTGCTCAAAGGTGATGGCTTCTTCTGCAACTGTGAATGATTGTACGACGCTGCGCAAAGTATGATCTGCCAGGCTGGCCTCTTGACGCTTTCGCGAATAGAGCATTGCTGATAGCCGATTCGCAATAGCAGCCACTGATCTTCCTACGCCTTCGTACTTCTCGAGTGCAACTGGGCCAAGGTACTTATCCGAGCTATGCCTGCTGACCGGACGAAGGCCGGTGGATGCGTAGGCGCGCCCAACCACACTTGCAGCCCACGAGATGAAGTTATCATCCACTCCCGGAATGTGCATTGCCGTCCACACACTGTGTGCCAATCTCACGCAGTCGTGATCCCCAGACAGGCAGTCCTCAGACGGCGAGGATGGCGGATCGAAGTTTTCGGACAGCATGACGAGTGCTTCATCACGATCTGCAGACGAGAAAGCAGCTATTTCAGCAGTACCGTCGTCGAGAAGCATAAGAATGAGTGAGCTTTCCGGAGAATCCTTGTGCGCGTTTCCAGGAAGGCGTACACGTCCTAGCGAGTCGGTCAAGCTGGAGTACATGGCCAGAGTTCGTGACTTGATGTGCTCAGTACACTTTCGCAGGTAATCGACAAGCCACGTCTGAAAGGCTTGCATCCTTTGCACTGTTTGCCTGTGCTGGCTCTCTTGCGTTGTGCTCTCCTGTCTGGCCACGGAATGCTTTCGCATCCTCAATATGATGAGTGTAATGGTTCCGAACAGGAAGGAAGGCTGGGCCCGCAAATATTGCCGGCCGTGATTGAACAGGTATTGCAGAATGCCAATGACATCGTCAGCGCACTGGCTGTCACTCAGATACGGTCGCAGGGTGTGTACAAGCATCTCCAGTGGGAAGCCTGAGAAAGGCACATCTCCACTCATAGCAATCAGGAGCCGTAGCTTCCTGATGATCAGGCAAGTGTGCAATGGCCCCAAGGCGTCACAGATAGAGTCGAGAAGCATCCGTGCAGCCAGCGAGAAGGATGAAGCATCCAATGGCTGGGCTGAGTTCTGTGAAGTCCTTCGGCACAACCGCTCGATCTGATCGAACAGATATCGGCTTCTGAAATTTGGCTGCTGACTGTCCGGGACAAACCTTTCGGAGTGACTTATCGATTTCATTTCGCTGAGTGCGTTGGTCGCAGGGGCGTATTCTTTGCGTTTCTCGGACCACTTGGGGTCCACATCGTCTTGTTGTAAGGAGAGGTAGAATTGACCCAGGATTGCCGGCGCCTGTGCCACCGTAAAAGTCTTGAGCGCCTCCTTACCAATCAGCTTTCGCAGCCGAGCCTCGCAGGTGTCCTCGTTTGATCCCGCAAATTTGCGTGAGTCCATTGCTATGCCATACGCTCGACATTGAGCAAAGGACCGCATGACCAAGTCAGGACTTTCCATCTTGAGCGCAGCTGCGGCAACTTGCATTCCGTCTTCATTGCTCCTGACTAATAACTGAGCTGTGAGTTCTGACCGGTTGTGCATGATCAAGGCCTCCAAGGACTCATATTGGAACACGGCGAAAGGCAGGTCAGTGATCTTCCTGCTTTCGAGCCAGGTATGAAGCAATTGAGGTGCGAACAGGTGGAACAATTCCTGAGGAGAGCCAAGTCCAAGGGCCTCAGAGAGGTCCGTGGCGCAGCGTGCTGCATGCTTCGAAGTTTCTTTTGCGAGGCCGGCAGTCTCAAAGATATAGTACACTGATTGTCGAAGTAGTGAGCGCCATGCAGATGCCAGTTTCTGATAAAACAGTAGCCGCATCGCCATGCCTTCCACCCAGTCGGTCGTCGAAGGCAGACTCTCCTGCAAGTCGTCGAACATGGGAGCGTGATTTGACAACACGAAAAGGCCGAAAAGCGACGGGATCTGGTCTGCCACGTGGAATAGAACCGTGATGCTGCCAAGCTGAAGAAGCTTGAACAAGCTGGTCCTGGGCGAAGGGACATCGTCGTCATACCCGTAGTCGGTGTTCCCATGGCACAGTTGAAGCAGTAGAGTCGCAACTCTCCTCTGCGCGCTGGGTGACAGGATCCCGCCAGTCAATGCCGTCTTCGTGTACCATACGTACATATCGATGCCCAGATCGTACAAAGACGTTTGAGTCGGGCTTGTCCACTGCGGAGCCAGACTAGACATGATGTCAAGCAGCACTCCAGTGGCGACCTCGGAGCGTTCGTAGGCGTAGGCTTGCAAGAATTCCTCTGTGCAGAATTCCAGTAGGCGCTCGACTTCATCCGAAAGCAGGCTCACTCCGATTTCAGGCAACCGTGCCACGACACAGCGACCCGACAATATCGTGTCGCGTGGAAGTGAAAGGACGTAGTCGACCATGGATGCTGAGCCCGAGTCCGGGGGAGAGAGCTCCTGCTCTAACCTTGACACAGCCGCGGCGTACATTGTCACACTCGAACGCATTGCAAGTACACTGTAGCTGGCAGCAGCTTCATGCTTGAGGTCCGGCAGAGTCGTCGTCTGTTGGCCTTGCCTGCTGTCTTGCGAGTCGTATTCATCATCAAAATCCATGGCGGCCTGGCTATGGGCTCCTTTGGAGTCCTCTTGACTGCGTCTACGTTCGCATGCTTGGTGAATGGCTTTACAAAGCTCCACTTCGCACTTGCAGGGCGTTGCATGGTATGTATCTGCAAAAAGCTTCGAGCATGCGGAGGAAAAGGTCATGAGCATCGAGTCAACCTTGTCCTGGCCACAATCACGGCTCGGTACGAACTCAACAAGCTGATCAAGTAGGCTATGAGCCTGCCGTTGTAGCTGGTCCTGTCTCCTTTGGTCTCGAAAGGAGTTGCAGTAAGCGACGCATATCGCAGCGCTGACAGAACTGCAGAGATATGTGAACATGTCAACGCTGATACTTAATGGTTTCTCGCGCATCATTGGAGACCACGTATCCTGGGCTCGCCGTAAATCTGCGATCAGGTGGTCCAAAGTATTTGTTTCGCAGCCTGCTCTGTTGGGCAACGATACCAACGAGGTGTCGGACAGATTAGAAAGGTCGTGGGTGGCAAGGGCAGGCTTGGGTAGCAAGAGCAAATACTCCAGTAGACTCTCTTGCTTCTCACATGACAGCCACACGCTACCGACTGACATCCAGGTGGGAAACTGCGGCGTCGTCAAACGATGTCCAGATTGACCGAGACAGCTGACAATGAGTTGAACCACATCAGCCGGCTCCAAAAGGATGTGCAGGCTTGCGTATCGCTTGTCTTCGAACATACTGGGCGAGAAGTTCCGGAAAAGCCAATTCAATGCACTCTTGGCTGTTGCAGTGGCAGAAGTCGGGTTGACCTGCTGGGCAGTCCGGAGCACCTGCGTAAGAAGATGTGCGACCGAGTCCGCTAACGACGCTGGTCCGTTGACGTCGATGGAGTGCGTTAACACGCCAGTCAGCTCGGCGATATTCTGCTGCGACGGAATGCTCGCCTTAAGCATGGCTAGGAGTAGCTGGCATGCAGCACGGCATGTACTGGCATTGTTCATCGCCCTTGAAGCGAGCTGCCAGACAGAGGCCCAACGGCTGGATAAGCGTTCTTCGGAAGCTGTAATCTGCGAAGCAAGACTGGTGAGCGCCAGCATCGCCCATGAAGCAATAATGGGGTTCTCATCCGTGCAGCTGGGCGAGAGGCCGTCAATCGAAATGCCAATTCTTTTGCCGGAAAACCTTGCTTGCTGGGCGGTGAAAGCCATTAGCTGGAGTGTGCAGAGCCGCGATGGGGTGGGATCGTTCGTTGATGTACTCATGAGAGTTCCAATCTCATTGGTGAGTTTCAGGCGTTTTCGAGGTCGAGGATTGATGTCCTCCTCTTCGTCGGATTCCTTTTCGTCTTCACAGGCTGACAGCAAGCCGTGAAGCGATGCCAGCATGTGCACTGTCACCCAATTCGCTTCGGCTCTTGTGTTTCCACAGCGCAGGCTGAATACACTGAGTCCGATTTGGTGGGCGTCGGCATGACCAAAGTGCAATCGCAGATCTTCGAGATGGAGTTGCTCCTTTTCTTGACGCTTGCTGTACTCCGACTTAACTACGTCGAGAAGTCCCTTTGTCTCCGATCGAGCAGTGATATCGCCTGCCGCAAGTGCTGACGCAAGGTACGGGCGCAGATAGAGTAGTGTCTTCAGCATCTCGTCTTTCAAAGCTAGCGAGGATTTGACGGGCCAGTAGACCCGTACAAGGCGAACAAGTGGAATGGTGACTTTGCGTGTGAGCTCGATGTTCTCTGTCCTGCTCAAGGCCAATATGTTGTTAATCACGCCAAAAACGTCCGTGTGAGAGCGTGCGTTGGAAGTTGACCTCTTCAGAAGCTCAATCTGGCCCCAAAGTATGGTGGACAGCGTTGGACCACTTCGTGTGTTGGCAGGGGCGGTCAACAAGCCTAAGCATGCGACCATTTCCTCGACTATCTGCCTGCCTAAAGACCGCCCCCCTTGCGAACCTGCAGACTCCTTGAATTGCGACCTTGAAGACCGGTAGCTGTGGCCATTGAGAGTTCCTGAGACTGAGATGGCCTCAGCACCAGCCTCTGCATCACCACCATCATCACTGTCTGAGCTCGCACGATTGACACATTCCAGACAGAACAGCGCCAGGCGTTCTCGCTGCTCCTGCTCCAGGTGTTCCACATGTGCCTGGTAGCTGAGCAATGCTCTCAGTCCTTTGGCGTAGTCCAGGGCAATAGGCTCGCAAAAGCTGCCGTTAGCAAGCACCAGGGTCTCAACAACATGGTCAAGAACAGATCTGACGGTCTTGAGCTTGATAATTCTCACACCCTTCTCCAGTGACGCTCGGAGGGCAGCCGCGCAAGCCGAGAGCCGGTTCTCTGCGGCAGATTTGGTAAGGCTGGTCTTGGGCTTGAGGGCAGCTGATTGTTCAGAGACAGTTAAGCGGAAGAGGACCTCATAGATCTTGTGGAAGGAGGCGTCCGAAAGCGTCTCGAATCGGTTGTTGGCTCGGAGTACGTGCTTTAGATCGGCCAGGCCTTCCGTCCGTCCCTTAATGCTGGACGACTCGACTCGCTCCAGGGCATCTGCGAGACTGATTTCGCCCTTCATGGCGGGTAAAGGTTTGCGTTCCGATCATTCAGACGGACGCTATGCCTCTACCAGGTGATGTCCCAACGCGGTCGCCCGAGCATGGCGATTGCGAAGTACCGTGAACGACCTTGTCGAAAATTCCCAGCCTGGAGAAGAAGTAGTAATGGTGTGCTTTAAGTGGGAGTCAGGTGTCGGCGTGGCGAGGTAATTCACGTTTGTTCTCGAAACGTAACGCACTAGGAAGTGAAGTTGAAGGGTTCACGACTTCTGCAGCTCAAGCTGGAAGCGCGTCTGCAACCAAAGACTTCACGCGAAGCAAATGCATTTCTTTGAGTATCTACTATGAATCGACCTGGCTCATCGCTGAGCTGACACAGCGCGACTACACGGCGACATAGCCGCATCTTACCAATGGAGTCGAACGAAGCGATCGAGAGGCTCCAAAGCCTCCGGCGCGACCTGATCGCGTTCACTGAATCACGACTGAGCGCGCTCAGCAGACTTGAGGCCGAGCTGGTAGGCAGCGTGGAGGACTTGAAGCGGCTGTTAGAGAAGAAGAAAAAGAATGACCAAAGCAGAAGAGTTCTGGATCCGCCTGGGGCAGAGAAACCGACCACCATCAAGATTGAGGATACGGAGTACGGCATCGACGATACGTTCCGAACGGCAGCTCTGACGGTCGCGGAGGAACTCGATCTGGACGAGCTGCAGGCTGCGAAGCGATGCTATGATGTGGGACTAGCATACGACGGTCAGACGGAGTCGACGATAGCATATCGGGCAATCGTTCGATTTCACGATGAGCGATACGTCACGCTAGACTGTCTTCGCCTTCTTCTTTCGCAATGCGTGGACTTCGATGAAGACGACGACCAAAGCAGGTTCCTCAACGATGTTGTCCGGAGCGTGGTCGAAGCTCAAGGTGCGCGACCTGGCGATGCGTCAGCGTTCTTTCGAAAGTGCGTGGATGGCTTGTCCGAAGTGGAGGGCTACCTCGACAAGAACATCGCGCACAAGCAAACGCTGGCGTACACCGGGCAGTCCCAAAATGGCTCAATGGCGCAGTTCTTGGCCGCCCAGAGGCTCCTCCTGAGTCAGCAGCACGAATGCCTTTCAGCGGTGTTGTCGCACATGATCCGAGCTCGGTATGTGTCGCGCGAAGACTATCGACCACTGCTTAGCAAGGCTACGCAACGGGCCGACCTGGACGACATTACGATCCACTACCTGCCCATACTCACGAGCGGCGCGGCATATTACGGCGCGGATGAGTCGATTAACCCTGATGTCGCGAAGGAGATTCATCGATTGTTCGCCGCCGGTCCTACCCAGTTGCAATGGAAACTGCCCATACTCCGCGCAGCAGCAACAATATGCTGGCTTTCGGAGTACAGCAGCCGATTTTTGGACCCGACAGGCGGTCAGACACTACGAGTGGCTGACCGGCAGAGGGAAGAAGAGGAACGGACGAAGTTGTTCTTTGACAGTGTCAAGGACAGAGGCTTTCATTTCCTGCTGCTTGCTTGCCAATTCCTGAAGCCCGAGATTTGGTATGATCCGGCCAAGGTTGGCTTGGTCAAATTTCTGATGGAGGACACTCCGATCATCGATGCAACCCCCGCATCTCCTGAATGTGCTGCGCTCGTGATGGGAGAGCTGCAGGGGTTCAGTGACGCTTTCGTTGCGAACATGCCCGATGCTTTGCGCCGACTGAAGGCCGATGAGGATGACAGACGGCGTGCCAACTTCTCGAGACCTCCCGAGGCGGGTGATGAAGACCAGCTAGACCTCGAAAGATTTCTCGTCATCATGTCGTACGCTTACCAGGACAGTCCCGAGGCTGCAGGAGACTTCTGGAGCGACAAGGAGAGCAACCTTTACGGATTCCTTCGATGGGCCTCCCGGAGATTACCAACCCCGAGGGTGGCGGCGTTCTGTGAACTGCTAAGAGCAATTGCCAGCGACGAAAAATCAGGAAATCAAGCCCACCTCTTCCTTCGAGAAGACACGACCATGACAGGCGGCCGGCTACGGAAGTCGTATTCGGTCAGCTGGTCCCAGATCTTTAGCGAGCTGGACATATACGCTTCCGCCATGAGAAGCAAGCCGGCAAGCGCACAACAAGCGCCAAGTCAGAGCGGCACGGCCTATGAAGGGAGCTACGACGAGCCCGAGACTCACATCATGCTGGAATCCTATCTGCGTCTGGCAGCTCATCTGTGCAGGATTAGTCCTGACGCCAGGAACTTCATCTTGAGAGAGCAGAGCATTCACATCGGCGAGACACTCTTCCACCTCGCGTCATCCGGCAATGACTCCCGGATACATGCTGTGTGCTTTGAAATGCTTGCCGCGTTGTTGACCGACAAGATACCGGAGGTCAATGAGGGCATGTGGGCGTTGCTCGACCACTGGATATCCGGTGGCGGATCGAGTCTCCCTCGCCATGGTCGCATGACACACGCAGAACAGAAGTACCTCAACAACTACGTCTCCGACCCTGAGACGGCAACTGGTTTAGTCCATTTGCTCAATGCCTTGGTCGCCCCTACTAGAGACATCGGCGACTTTGCTGTTGGCGCCATCTCGTTTCCCGAAAGTTTGGGCGCTTCAAGTCGGCACGATGGTATCGAAGTGTACGTCGATTTCGTGCTTGGCCCGGTCTTCAGGTCGACTAGCTCCTACGATGTTCTCCTTCTAGAGCGCGATCGAGTACCAATAGATGTCCTGCGCTACGCGTGCCTCGACTTCGTCTGCATCTGCCTGTCGACCTTCCACGAGGATCTAGTCGGCCTTGCGAATGCGACAAACATCAATGTCGACTCTGTCATTCGGACTTCCTCCTTGGCCGCGTACGTACGACTCCACCCGTTCGCACGGGTTATGGACTGGATGTTCAACAACAACGTCATACATGCCTTCGCATATGTAATACGACAAGACATCGACCTCCTCAACCAGCTCAGCCCAGAATCGCCGCGCGTGCAGGCTACGCTGAAGGCTATTCAGGCCATGAATCTTGCCATGAAGCTGCAAGCGACATACTTCGACATTGTGCGTCCGATCATCAGCAAAGACCCGCAAACTCGGTCACCTTCGAATGCGAACGCCTCATTGGCTTCCTACGATGAGGTAATACTGAGCCAGCTGGATCTCGTGACCGACATTGTCTCTTTCGCCTCCAGCAATAACCTCGACCTCAGCCTGGAGTCGCTGGGCCTACTGCAGAAGCTCTGCAAGTCGAAAAAGCTCAGCGAGCCTCCTGTCTTCGGTGATGGTGACGCTTTTCGCGTAGGAAGCCGACTTGTTGGACGGCTGTCGGAAGTTAGTGACGCTGTCGCCGTCAACCTGCTGCCCTTCTTTGAGATAGACGAAAGCGACCTCGACTCTCTGGATCAACCACCGAAGATCGCTCAGGCGAATGCGATACTCGAGGTCTTGAACAACAGTCTCGACAACTCAGCAGGCAGGCCGTCGGTGGCTCACTGCTTGCTCGGCTTCACGTGCCATCTTCGCACGGTTACCGTCGATCCGGGCAGTGCGTTCAGCCAAATCCAATCACTGTTCCACCACATCGTCCTGTGCGCGGTGCAAGCACCTTCTGCCATCGAGATCAACAACGTGTCGTGGTTACTGAAGCTCAAGAAGGGTTGCATGGACCTCATATTGAAGCTCGCAGAATCTCCCTTGACATCAAGCATTGTCTTACCGAACATCCGCACAATGGACTTCTTCCCTGCAATCGCAGAACAGCAATTTCCGGCGCCTGTAACCGCCTTGTGGGACCAGAAGCCCATTGACGACCCAGGTCTGCTGCTCGACAGCTCAACTGCAGCACTGAAGTATCGCATCTACCTGCGAGAGAACTACTTCGAGTACTCTGCGCTGGAGCTGCGCAAAGTCAGCGAGGAGCGTATGTTCTCCGTGCAAGAGAGGGTTACGGCAGCCCTACTTGGGACCACTACTGGTCCGGACGGACAACAGACGCCCATTATGTCTATCTTCGATCTGTTCGACTTCTTTGATCTCGGCACCGAGCCGGCTCTGGTCGCGAACTGCAAGTGTTTGAAGGAGGTGGACTTCACTGCTTGCCTCAAGGACGACCCGGAGATCGTTACGGCTTTTGACGTGCCAATGGCTGAACAGCTTCTACTGCTTCAGAAGCGCGAGATGCAGCTGAACGGCACCATCAAAGACCCCAACGAGGATGCTGCCGTTGACGACGACATCCGCGCTCTTTGTGCTTCTCTCACCAGTCAGAACAATTGGCAAGCGATCCAGAATTCTCGGCTTTCTGCACTGGAAGCTTGGGTTGACCTCGTGTCACTGCTCGTTACCTCGTCCGGCCTGGTTCCCGACAATGCCACTTCAGTCGCCGTACAAGGACTCCAAGTGGTTCTGCCACGTCTAGAGAGAGCCCTCGCAGAGAGCCTGGAATCGGCTGCTCTGCTGGCGAAACTGACTCTGACCCTCGTCCAGACTGCCACGACAGCGGATCCTAGCAGCCAGTCCACCCGCAACACCAGCCTCGTCCAAGAGCGACTCATGTCCGCCTTCCGCGTCTGCCTCAGAGTCATCACAGACAGCAGCACAGGCCTTGGCCTCCGCGACGTCTGCTACCGCATCTCCTGCTCAGTTCTCGCGGCGCTGGCCCTCACCACTACCACCAACGGCAAGACCACTGCCTCGTCTCATGCTCGCCAGTTACTCCAACTTGTTCAAGCAACCGGCGACCGCCTCATCACCGTCATAACCGAAGATGCCTTCTCCGGCCGTGGCATCACTCGCATCTCCTCGCTACTCTTCCTCGACGGTCTTGTCGCCCTCTTCAGCATCTGCGGTGTCACCAAAAGCATGTTCCGCGCATTGGAAAAGCTCAACTTCCTCCCCGTCCTCATCGACCAAAGCATCGGCAACGTCACCGCATCCTTCTCTGGCGACAACGAGGAGCTTGTGACAGCCGTCGCTTACTTCCACACAGCTCTGACCCTACTTCTGCGGATCTGCCAGACACCAGAAGGGACAAATCTCTCGTTGAACTCTGGTTTCTTTCCTGCCGTTGCCGAGAGCAGACTCTTCAGCACTGATCCGGACATTGGGCTTGACATTGACAATCCAGTCGCGCTGAGGGAGTTCTACAAACTGCTGTCCGCAGTCCTGAGGGTCGTTACGGCCATCGTACTCACGAGAGGACAAGGCAACGCGAGCGTGTTGCAGCAGGCGAAGAGCTTCCTGCAAGAGAACCGATTTAGTATGCAAGCAGTTTTCAAGCGGACGAGTGCTGTGCAGAAGACGGCCGGGCCGCCAGAAAGGGAGGCGGTGGACGTTGCAGAGGAGTTTGGGCGGCTGTTGGTGGTTACCGGGTTTCTTGAGGTGAGTCTTCATACCTTGTCCGGTGAATGGGTGTGTGCTAACGTAATGCAGGACGATGAGCCAGCGCATGTGAGGGCTTCGCGCGCGAACGGATTTACGTGAGATTTTGCGTGATGGAAGGGTTGTGTAAAAGTCTTGTTTAGCGGCATTCCATTGCATTGCATCGCAGGCGTTCTCATCTCTTGCGTGCGCAATACCCTTCATGTCGATACCGTCTCGCGACCGTAGTACCGTAGCAGATAACATGTACAGTGGCCTCTCAGCCGCCTCGTCATCAACCGTCTCTATCCTACACGCATGCCATCAATGCACAGCCGCAGCTCATGCAAACGCCTTCCCATATGCTCATGCAGACACTCAACATACACACAGTATCACCCACTACCCTTCCCCTCCGCACCCTCCCACTCCGCCTTCCCCCTCACCTCCGCAATCTCGTCCAGCTTACTCCCCATCTTCACCACACTAAACCGAATCATCCTCGGATCCAGCCCCAGCGTCCTCCTCACCGCATGCTGTGTCTTCGCGCTCGAATCGAATCTCAGGATGAAATATTGCCCTTGGTGGTATGTGGTGCCGGCTTTCCGCGCGGGCTTGGGGAGGAGGAAGGTGCCCCAGTTTGTGATGCCGCGGACGACGCCGCCCGAGGAGAGGATCTGGTTGCCGGTTGTTTTGGCGATTCTGAGGCAGACTGGTTAGTGGTGTAGAGGGTATGGTAGTGGGGAGTGGTACTCTTTGATCTCGTTGATGGTGCGGCCGGGGCGGACCTAGGGGGCGTTAGTTGTGGGTTCTGGGTATGGAGGAGGTGACTGACCACTCCGATTAACTCATAGAGCATGTTGTGATGTGTTTGGTGTATAGAGATTGGGATGAAGTCGAGGTGTTTGGTGGTGCTGCGGGATCTTCTTACCGAAACAGGGTCGGACTTCATGCCAATGCTCGCGTGAGGTTGGCCGGTGGAGTGACTTTGCGACTTTCTTCCCTACACCTCTTTACGTCTCAATTACGACAAGAAAAGATGTCAGGAGCCGTAGCAATGTCTGGAGCCTTTGCTGGACGAGCGTTGAAGCACGGCATGGACGCAGTGAGCCGCTGTAGCAGACCGCAGTTCCAGAGACTACGGACACAGAAGCCGGCGTTCAAGCCAGCGGTCAGGAGCTTTACCGCGAGCACGAGAGGTACGAGACGTATCGTATGTCTTGGATGGGCCATAGCTAATGCTATATAGCGTGGGAGAAGAAGTATACCGAAGACCACGAATGGATCGAGCTCTCCTCTGACGGCAAGACTGGTATGTACCCAGCCCCTTCTCTGTTTCCCATAGTCTAGCCTAACATACGTCCAGGCACCATCGGCATATCGACCTACGCAGCCAAAGCCTTGGGCGATGTCGTCTTCGTGGAACTCCCAACCCTCGACCTCGAAGTCAGCGCAGGCGACTCCATCGGTGCCGTGGAATCAGTCAAGTCCGCCTCGGACATCATGACCCCCGTCTCAGGCAAGATCGTTGAGGCGAACAGCGTGCTCGAAGATACTCCAGGGAAGATCAACAAGAGCCCAGAGGGTGACGGGTGGTTGGCGAAGATTGAGATGAGCGATGCGAAGGAGGTGGAGAAGTTGATGGACGCTGATGGGTATCGGAAGTTTACTGAGGAGGCGGATGGGCATTGAGCTGCATTTCGGAGAGGCGGCGAAGAAAGCCGTGTAGATATGCATCTGATGTTAGAGGTCGTAAAGGAAATACTGGCGGAGGCAGAAGATACCTGTGATCGCCGCGGGATGCGTCAGTGGGCCACACAGAGGCTGCTCACGGCCTGGTGTTGTGAAAGGCCTTGGTTTACCTATGTGAGTGAAGAACATCTTACTAAGAATCCTCAAAGGTTGCTACCGTTTGCGTGATATCAATCTCAATCTTTTGAGTGTTCAAGTCGTCCCTCACTGAAGGTATGTACCCGACCGTAAGTGAGCGTGTGCCTTACCTCAACACTACCACAGTACCGTGCTCAAAAGAAACAACTCTCTCACTGACCTCAAACAACTCACAAACCCCTTCGCCCCGCAGCTCACCAAGAACAAAAGATGATCAAGAAGGAAGAACAATCTTACCCCTGGCTGGCCTCAATCAAAAAGACCACCCAACGAGATTCGAACCACCGACCTCGAAATCACGAAAAAGAATCTGGCATAGCCTCGCCGAACCAGCGCAACCAGGAGGGGCCCCTCCGGTTACGTCCAGTCCTTCAAGGACCCCAGCGCGCGTTTAGTCGAAATGAATCAAATTCGATAACAATCACATCCCGTTGCAGAGGATCTCATTCGATCGAATTGATTGAAAAGCCCCCTGAGCTGCATCATTGTTGAAACCCCCCCAACTGCTCTGCCCGCCCGTCCTCCTCGTCTGTGAGCTAGGTCATCCCCTCCTTCGGGACCTGAGAGCTGGAATTTTGGATTGCGTATTTGAGGGATGGGTTATTGAACGCCGGGCCAGCGCCGAGGGTGGGCCGGATGAGGTGAGGTCGTGGGCTTGTGAGAATCTCCAATTTCTTGGTGGTGGAGTTTGGGGGAGAGAGGAGTGAGAGATGGCACTGAGGTGGTGCTCTCGATGCTGCGTCAGGCTTTTGTGAGAGATATTGCTGATCCCTCAGTGTATTAGAGGAGGCAGTGGCGAACGGGGGACAAATGAAAAAGAGTGTGCGATCTGAATGGATGGTGAAGGCACGAGCACAACGATGAGAGCATGAGCGCGGCGATGAGGGCATGAGTGTGGCGGTGAGGGCATGGACGCGACGATGGGGGCGCAACGAGCACAAGGGTCACAACAAGAGGACGTTCAGAGCACGACAGCGAGGTTATGAGGGTCGGCCTGAGCATGAGCGGCGCACGTGCCGAGGCCTTCAGTCCGTGACGAACGAGTGAGCGACTCCTGAACCACCAAGCAGTGGCATGAGGGTCATTCGCGTAATCTGAGCAGCGATAGAGCAGCGTGGCATGCGCAGCATCACCGACTAAAGAGTGTAATGAGTGTGCTCTGGTGCATCGAAGAACTACTTCTGCGGCATCTGATATTGGCGTATGAACGATATGCAAAACCAAAGGCAGCACTGATACCTCTTCAACAGCAACGCCACAGCGAACGATGTAGAAATGAAGCAGAGGAGGCTGTCACCAAAAGATGAAGAGGCAACAGGAGAATGTGACGGGTCGAAGCGTCATTGTTTTCGTTACTCGAATCGTAAGCTACAACAGCTCGATAACTTCTTCAAAACTTTGATCAAGAGCCATGCAGTGCTCCGTCATCCTTGCTTTCCATCATAAATTTCGACACACCTACAACTGCCCAGCGGCATTGAAGTCCTTGAGCGCAGTGGCGATGCGCTTGGTCATGCTCTTCTCACCCTCGCGGACCCAGACACGGGGGTCGTAGTACCTATTGCCACATGGTCAGCGATGCTCTTCAGAAGCGAGGCCGCGAATTTATAATCGACTTACTTCTTGTTCGGCTTGTCGTCACCCTCCGGGTTGCCGACCTGCGTGCTGACGTAGTCCTTGTTCTTGAACATGTAGTCGCGGATACCCTCGGTGTACGCCCACTGCAGATCAGTGTCGAGGTTGACCTTGACAACGCCGTAGGAGATGGCTTGCTGGTAGTCCTCCTTGCTAGATCCGGAACCACCGTGGAAAACGAGGAAGACGGGCTTCTCATTCTTGCTGCTCTCCTTCTCCTGGACGTGCTTCTGATGCTTCTGGAGCAGCTCTGGTCGCAGCTTGACGTTGCCGGGCTTGTACACGCCGTGCACGTTGCCGAAGCCGGCGGCAATGGAGAAGTAGGGGCTGATGGGGCTGAGAGTCTTGTAGATGTGGTAGATGTCCTCGGGCTGGGTGTAGAGGCTGTTGTTGTCGGCGCTCTCATTGTTGACTCCGTCTTCCTCACCTCCCGTAATGCCGATCTCCATCTCGAGCCACTGCTTCATCGGGGCAGCACGCTTCAGGTATTCAGCGGTGGTCTTGACGTTGTACTCAACATCCTCAGCCGACAGATCGATCATGTGGGAAGAGAAAAGCGGCACGCCGTGCTCCTTGTGGTGCTTCTCATCGGCGTCGAGCATGCCGTCGAGCCACGGAAGCAGCTTCTTGGCGCAGTGGTCGGTATGGAGGATGACAGGGACGCCATACTGTGGTGCCACGGACCTGATATACTGAGCCGCAGCCACGGAGCCGGCAATAGAGGCGGACTCCTTCTCGTTCTTGACACCCTTGCCGCAGAAGTAGGCCGCTCCGCCCTGAGACAACTGCAGGATGATGGGGGACTGGGCGTCTTTGGCGGCTTCGAGGGCGGCCACGGCGGTGGAGGAGCTGGTGACGTTGATGGCCTGTTCGTACGTCAGCATGTGCCTCTAAAACAATGAGATAGTGGGGTCAAGCGGACGGGGATGGCGTAAGCATTCTTCTGGCAATGCTCGAAGAGCTGCTTCACGTCCTCGCCGTAGATGACACCGGCCTTGGTGTTGAGGATCTTCGATGCCATGTTCGTTGATGTGTGGTAAAGTTTTTGTGTGTAGGTTTCTTCTTCTTGTCTCTTGTGGTGGTGTCGTGGAAGGTAAAGGTTTTCAAAAGTCAATCAAGAGCAGTCTTGGGTTTTTGATGTCATTGCAGTTGCATTGAACACACTGCTGGCGCGGGGTGGTGGGGCAGAGGAAAGGAAAGAGCAATCCCGGTCCTTCCCGACGATTCGAGTGTTTGCCGATGCTCTTCCGACGACATTACCACGTTACAATTGTTCCGTTGTGGCTTTCTGTTGCCTCCGGTTTACTGTCTCCAGTACTGCATGTTCGAATGCGGAGTCTGGCCCGTCGTAAGGACGCAGTCGGGAGCAGGAAAGAATTCTACAGTACGGCATCCCTTATCGGTGAAATCGATGCTTTTTCGCTGCCACTCCTCTCTCTCTGTGCTCATCGCAAGCACCCAATGTCTGAGTGGGAGCAGAGCGTATCGTCAACCTGCAGCATGAGTGGCCCTTCGACGGAGAAGATCCAGACCATTGCACCCGAGGCGGCGGCCCTTCGATTGATTGATGGTAATACGGGCACACCACATGCGTTATCCTCAAGAGCAATGCTTTTTCGATCCCACTCCCCCCCCTCTGTGCTTATGGCAAGCCACCAGTGTTCACATCAGGAGCAGCGCATGTCGCATCCAGTGGGCCAGTAGAGATGTGTGAAGAGGCCCCGTGGTTTCGTTGTTGCTGCGAAGCTGCCGCGTCATCCTCTGTTGAGCTCCCAATGGCCATACTACTTCGTTCGGTGTCGCTTTGTGGAGTTCGAGACAAGAGCCAGAACAACACAGTCCATGCCACTATGGCTGTCGTCAAATTAATCTTCCTGCCTTGGCAAATGTTATTGTGAATAAGGTAGAGGCAGGAACGACCTCAGCACCTTCCTTGAGTCCTGGACTTTAATCCGACCTCAGAGAGCTTGTCCTGACCGCCGGTGTCGAATGAGTGTTCAACGATTCAGTGCCGGCAACAAGTATGGGTACGGCTCGAAGGAGAAGTCGCTTACATACGAGCCATCAGCTTAAGATCTATGATACAGCAGCATGATCCATAGTCCCATGAAAGTACATTTACACGTGATAGCCTCCCATAATGTCCCAAGACTCGAATTCTCTCATCCGGCCACGACCGTTCTGCAATCATCTCACTGTTGTCCAAGAAGGGAAGTAGTAACGTCAGAACAAGAAGAAGTAACCAGCCGTCGACATCGTGCACAGCCGTAGGCTCATCATCGTAGGATCTGGTGTCTTTCCGAACACAGAGAGTCAGCGCCCTTCCTCTTCAAGTCCAGGTGAAGTCCACACATACCTCTGCAACACCATCTCCAACGTCCTCGCACTCAAATCCGCATCATCAGGAATCTCCTGTATGATCGGCACCAACCCAGCAAACTTGTCCCCATCCCTATACGCCAGCAGCGCCGGCACACCTGCTGGCTCCATCTCCGCGTCCTCGAAATGCAGCTTCACAAACCGCACGTCCAGATGTCGTTGTGCTATGCTTCGGATGCAGTCTTCGATCGAGGTACTGACATGACTCTGCACCCACCGTATCAGCAACATGACCCCATACATATCGGACGTATGGCACTCACATAATCGTCATAAATATAAACCACCACCACCGTCCCCTCGGGCGACCCCTCCACCGCATCCAAGAACCCATTCCCATCCACCGTCGCCAGACCGCCCCATAACCGCCTACTGCTCTTCTCCCTCCCCATTGTCTTGCTCTCTCGTGGCGTCCCACTCTGCATCTCCCTCAGCCTGCTCTGCCTCCATTCCCGCATGAACTCGTCGTCGTCTTCATCGTCCTCTTCCAGCTCCTCATCCGACTCAGCGAGCTTCTCGCTCAGCACTGCGGGGTTCGAGGACCGCTGTGTCTGTATCTGCGCTTGCAAGTTCGAGTTGCTGCGTAATGAGATCCGCTTGCTGCGGCGTGAGTCCCGGAAGTGCTGGGCATCTGCGATCACACCCTTGGGGCCAGTGTTCGCTTCATAGCGGGTGGTGGGAATGGTGCTGCGAGCGAGGCTCGTGCTTGGACGAGGAGGAGGTGTTTCGTCGAAGGAGGCTGCAGGAGTGTCGTTCTCATCGTCAGAGAGGTTCAGGAAGGAGCGGGCATCGTCTTCATCTTCTACGTCCTCCGGGTGGGTTGAGCGACGCTCTTTACTCCGCATCAAGTCGTCGAACTCATGCTGGGCGGCGGACATGGTGGGCGAGGTGGTGGTGGGTCAAGCGAGTGTGGTACGCACCTCCTGGCCGAGCAGCCAGGAAGAGAGAGGTGGGAAAGTCAGAGCAGATAAGGTGTATAAAGAGGCACAACCACCCCGGCCGCGTACTGGCGCTACTACAGAAGGAACCCTGCCGTCCACGTGTCAATCAATGCCAGGTACCTTACGCCGCCTCCGAACGCAGGAAGCAGGAGTAACTGCTGCCGTACTTGAGCCAGCCAAGCAGACACCACCCGAGTCCACCGGATTGTATCACCTATACTGAGTATATCCCACGGCAAGCCCCAGCGACGCTGAATCGCGCAGACCCGGCCCGCTGTTCTCCTGTCCTCTCTCACCGCATCACCGCACCTGACTCCTGGGCTGCATGTTGCCGTCAGCAAGCCGCTGCCTTGGGCTGTTTCAGTTTCACGAAGAAAGAGGGTTGGATGCTGCGAGCCCAAGGGATGGCGTCCGCAGTAGCAGATGCAGGAACAAGCTCTGCCCGCCCTAACCTGCAGCCGGAGGCAGGCGAGACGAACCACCCCAGGTTGGGATGGGTTTGAATCTGGCGATCTCGGCTTGATCTTGCATGGTGTCGAACGACAGATTGATTCGACGGTACCTTCGCAGACATTCCACTACAATCGCGAGAAGAGAGCGAAGTAAGCAGCCGTAGAATGGTCAACGCAGCACGACTAGGTGGAAAGATAGACCAACGGAACTACCTGCAAGCCACCCCGATCTGGCGACGGTCTAGTTCTCCGCCCACAATATGGAAGGCTTCTCCGGCCAAGCCAGCGAGAACCCACACGGGAACAGCTACCACCGAATCCGTTCCAACCTCACGGGCACTCAAGAAGCATTGAGTTGAGCTCAACGTGACACCGCAGATAGCCCGATAGACACCCCACTTCGCACGCCTGATCTGGATCCATCGTCGGTGGAAGTGAGGACGAGAACATGAGAAAATCAAATCAAGTTCGCTACCCACAGAAGCGCGTCTCCCGACGACACGCACACACACGACACGAATCAAAGATAACAACAATTTCCCCACCCCTTGCCCGACCGATCCCAAGTCCCAATCTTCTCAAAGCACCTGGTCCTGTAGTATCCATCCATCCTCGCCATCAATCGCACAACAACAATCATCCCCTTTCCCCAAAATCCAGAAAAGCACGCCGTTGTCCTGTCCGTGAGGAGAAAGGTATTGTCGAAGAGTTGTGTGAGGTGGTGTAATGGTCACAAGGGGGGACAGACAGACTGGCTGGTCGCACGATCTAGAATCCGCCGGGGTGGTTGAGGTTGAGGTTGTGTAAGGGGCTGCTTTGGACTGCTGACTTGAGAAAACTTTCGACTCGATTCTTTCCGTTCTTCCAAGCTGGTTTCTGAGCTTTGTGAAACCCGCTCGCTCTCGCCACATCGTACACGCCACGTTAGCTCTGACCGGAGATCATATCTGCACATTCTCGCGGGGGGTGACTGTCGCTGGGTATGTGCCTCCAGGGGTAATTAGTGCTCCAGTCGACTCGTGGCAGGTTGTGTTTGGGGGGTATAAGGTTATGCCCAGATGCGGAGCTGGAAAGTATGTCAGCGCACTTGTAATAGTCTGGAGCAATTCGCATGACGCACCATCGAGTCCCACGATCCCGTGCATAACGACATCGCATCGTTGCTCACGCCCAGGCAGCTCACGCGGTTGTCGTGGCCTTGTAATGTTCCCACTCGCTCCCCGCGAAGCACGTCCCACACCTGTAGGTTTTGTTAGTCGATGCGTAAATTAGGATCAATGCGGCGTTCTCACCTTGCACTCAAAGTCATCGTAGCCGGCAAATAGAAGTCTGCCGGAGACTGAGAAGGCGACGGAGGTGATGCCGCAAACTGGCTCGCCGATCTATCCAGGCGATTAGCACTTTCTCCCACGTATGATTATGATGTCCACCTACAGTATAGCTTTGAAGCTCACGATCAGCACGGATATCGAAGAGTCTGCATGAAGCGTCATCAGAACCAGTCCCGAAGGCGTTACCGTTCGGGAAAAACTGAATGGCATTGATGTCAGAGTCGTGTGCGGCGAATGTCTGGCTGCATTTCTGCTGGCGGATATCCCACAGCTTCGCGAATGCATCGCAAGCTCCAGACACGAATTGGTTGTTGTCCAGCGGGTTTATGCTCAAGCTCATCACATCACCGAGGTGGTCGGCAAACTCGGTGATTTTCTGACCGGTCTCGATATCCCATAGCACGCAGGTCATGTCTCCTGACGAGGTCAGGATGCGCCTGTCGTTGATGAATCTGCAGCAACTGAGATAGCCGGAGTGGCCGCTCAGCTCTCGTGCTACTCGAGTTGGTCCTTCCCGCGCCGAGAGGTTGTAGATGGAGCAGATATTGTCCAGCCCTCCGCACGCGACGTAGTTTCCGCTCGGCGAGTACGCGCAGGTCATGACCCATGACGATCGGAGAGGGATGGCGTGCACTTTGTTGGTGGTGTAGGCGTCCCAGATGATAAGCTTGCCGTCCTGTGAAGCCGACACCAGATGTCTGCGGTCGGTCGACCAGTGCATGGCGTAGATCTTGGCCAGATGGCCCTTGAGTGTTCGTTTGGTCTTCATCGCCAGCCGGGGCAGCTGCTCGGTGCGTTGTCGCGCGACATCACGCACTGTTTAGGGGATTTGTAAGCTGTTGTCACGGCCGTGGCCTTGCACCATGTACCACGCGGTGGTGATGGGATTATACTCACATGTGGTGTCGGCGAGCTCATCCTTCTTGCGCTTTATCCGGTCCTTGAGCGCCTCTGCATCCCGCCGCGCGATCTGGATCTTCTGCTGAATGGACTCTGCGTTCGCGTCCGCCATGCCGCCAGAGCTGTGCCGACGGCGTCAATGCCTGTCGCAAAACCGTGGGCGTGCGCGCCGGGGTGAGGTCAGTTTGGAGAACGAGCGACGACGGTGCTGGCAAACGATTGACAAGGTGAAGCCGGCTGGATGCGCTTCGCGGCACAGAAAGGTGCTCCGTTCTCGAGCTTGGGCCCTCGCGGACGGACAATGGCGCCCGTAGGGGATGGCGGGCGGACAGCGGTGGTCAGGCGTCGACGGCGGTGACGAGGGGTACCCCTGCGGCGGCGCGCTGACTCTTGGCGGGGTGAGGAGGGTGGAGGAGGTGGTGTCGTGCGTGCTGGAGACACAAAGGAAGCTGGAAGGCAGGAAGGAGCCTCTCCAACCAGGGCAAGTGCGCTCGGACGCACTTGCACTTGCTGCCGGAAAGAGCCGTGGGCCGCGAGGCGAGCAATCCTTGGATTGTGATCTTGACCGAAGCGAGCGGGATCGATGACAGCAAACTCTATGCTCACTTCTCGAAGAAGGAAGAGCACGTGCAGGTGATTGAGTGACACTTGGGCTCTGAGCAGCTGTAGCTGTCCTCGAGACGCTGCTGTCACGGGGAATCTGGCGACGCTGTGTGATCGAACAACCCGGGCCATTGACTCGCTAGTGCATTGGATGGCTATACTCTAATGCAGGCTGAAATTCACCTCTTCCCTACTTGCCGATGCACGACTCCTGTATATCCGACAGCCCTCTCATCCATTCACTCAAACCGAGAAGCCTGTCTATGTAAACACGATCGCTGGCTTTCACAACTCTCTCCGGCCTTCTATAGCCTATCTGGATGTTCTCTCCAACCATCTCCACATTCTGCAAGGAACAGGGAGGTAGCCCAACTGCCGTGCGTCAAAGATCTTCTCCTCACCAACCATCTCTGCTCGTCTGAGTGAGACGGGCGGTCGGAACGATATACTCGGGCCCTATGACAACGGGCATCAAGAGTGTGCAGACATTGACGCTCTACTGGGAGGCGTACCCAGCAGGAGAGATAGAATCATTATGGACACGATCTCTCCACACATGCCACCCACGTTCAACTGGCGATTGTTTCCTTCCAGAGTTGTGCTAGGAGAAATTTGATGTGCCGCACCGATTGGAGGATCTCAGCAGCATGCCATCGGTTTTGGCGTGAGGCCGAGCGGTAGAATGCTCAAAATTACTACCAGACACTTCCCGGAGTGATGCCATTGAGACACTTCTGCCTGAAGCCGGCACAAGGAAGGCAAGAAGTACGCTGAGAGTTGACGGAGGCGCCAGCAATACTGCACGCTGGCCAGGCATAGTGCGAAACGCTGGTGAAAGTAGAGCATCGAAAGTGGATGAGTCGGTTTGGCATTGCTCACGGTCGTTCGATATATCGCTTCGGGTTTCACACGGGCGATGAACAGCGACCCTGTGAGTTCCCATCATGCAGACTCCATGGTTGTCGTGAGAAATCGCTCACGTCCCACAACCAGCAAACCCTCATCTTCACCGTCCTCTCCACAATTCATTCCTCTATCGGTTCTGGGCGCTTGTCAGCAACTATCACCACCCTGCTATTCCAACCTCGCATACCTTGGTGAAGCCGATATCAGTCGACTTCTCCCTGAAGCACTGACGGCAGATGTTGAGCCCGTATTTGCGAATGAGACCGGCCTTGTGTGTGCAGACGCGGCTGCATATCTGTTAGCGTTGTCTTTCCCTGCCCATCCCCTTCTAAGGACCAGGATTTCTGCTCTTCTCCTCTTTCAGGTGCTGACGTACCATGATCGTGCGCCCTTGCCGTAGGTGCGCGGGCGAGAGTACCAGACGGTTTCGTGCGACATGTTGGGTGGTTGTCGGAGGCTTCGGTAGGTTCGGAGGAAGCTGGAAGAGCGGTCAGAGAAGGCCTTGTCGATCTTTGGCGGTTGTATGTACCTTTGAGTGCTGTCGCAGTTGTTGTGTCGTCGGTTGCGCTGGTGTGAAGTCATTCAATATCGCGCTGGCGGCACAATTTCGAGAGCGTGCATCAATCTTGGCATCACGGGAGCGCGGCACGAAGCGTAGACGCTAACTGCAGCAGGAAGGCTCGATGGAGATCACGTCAACAACGTGGAGAGCATCTCGACGTTTTACAATTTCGCAAAGACGATCCAGCTCACGAGGCAAAAGTCAAGAAACTAATCATGGTAAGTGCACTACGCTCCACTGACTGAATTTCGCTCACTCTCTTCAGTCCCGCGATTCCTCCTTCACCTACATCCACCTCCACTCCTCCCACCACGCCGACCTACTGGAAGACTTCACCCGCGTCAAACTGCCAGCAGAGGAAATCCTCGTCCAACCGCAACATCAACCGCTCAATCCAGAAGACGAAGACGACGTTGTTCCGGACCAGCATGCCGCCTTCGGGATCCAGCGCGCAACCAACAAGCCTCGTGAGCCGGCGTGGCGAGATCTTGGTCTGCAGAGTCTGATGACCCAAGGACCGTCGAATGGCCAGGCAAGTGGCGGTGCTGCGTTGGGGGGTGGGGGTCGGGTGCAGAGGTAGTTGAGCGGACGGTGTTGCGGATTAGCGTGGCGTATGGGCGGTTGATGGCCAAACAGCGATGGACGCAAACTTGTACGTGTTAAAGCCGAATATGTTCTCTGGACTACCGAGCGTCTGTATGATCTCCAGGTACGCCCTGCCATGCCCTTATCTGTTCGCCCTTCCAAAGAAGCACCACCATGGGGATCAGGAGCACGAGGTTGATGGAACCCAGTACTGAAAAGGCCACGTCGAAGCCAGCGCTTTCTCCGAACGGCAATGCATAGAAGGCAGTCAAAAACGCCATTACTGTCCTTCGTCAGCGTCCGCTTTATGCATGGTTGAAACGAGGCTCTGGCTTACTCGATTTCAAGAGATTGATCACTGCCCCGATCTCGCCCGACTGCGGTTTGTACGAATCTGTCGTGTACGTATAAACGATGGTGTTGCCAACTTGTGTTCCAAGGCCTGATATCGCCATGCAAATGGCGGCGATGATCCAAAGCTTCGAAGCCTGGACACAGTAGCCGTACGTCGCAGTACCTATGCCGAGCAGTGTCGCCAAAGGCAGGAGGTAGAGCCGTGCTTCCGGCTTGTGATGCCTACGAATGAGAGTTGAAATGTCAGAAGGAAGACTATTCGCAATTGCCAGGCACGAGGCTCAACATACCCGTTGTGTCGCCTCGCATAGGCGTTGATAATCACATCAGACACCCATCCAGCCGTCGCTTCGCCAATCATGCATCCTACTGTCAGTGGAACTCCTAGAAACAAGCCGATCTGATCCAGATCGAAGTCGAATACCTCAACACATATGTGCGCACCCGTAACGGCGAAGATCGTCGAACCCCATGCATTGGCTGCGGCATACCAAATGGTGGGAAGGAGGACTGCAAGGTACTGTGCCATCCGTAGGGAACCAAAGAAGTCGCGCGGCTTGACTGATCGGTTGACGACTTTGCCATGGAAGAGCAGCTTCTGCATGAAGGACCGCTTCTTTAGGCCGGCAGCAGCCTCTCGCCGCGAGAACAGCGTCTCGGGCAATGTGAGGGTGGTGACGACCCATAGCCCAGCTTGTATGATACCAGGGATCCAGAAGCACCAGCGCCACCCTAGTCTCTCTGCAACATATCCTCCCGCAATCGGTGCCACATGCGGACCATTGGTGACACTCAGGATGTAGATACCCATGTAAAGACCACGCTCGCCTTGATAAAAGAGATCGCAGATAAGAGCAGCTCCAATCCCAAGGGGCACGGAAGCTCCAGTGCCATTCAACACCCTCCCAGCAATCACTCCACCATACGACGACACACCGCCGGAGACGAACTGTCCTGCGAACGCAAACATCCCGGAGATGACGAAAGCCGGCCGCCTGCCGTAGATATTTGCGAACGGCACCACCAAAAGCGCTACCACACCGCCGAAGAGGATGAACACTGTGGTGCAATACGACGCTTGCTCGACCGTAATGCTGAGATCTTCAGACATCTCCTCGAAAGCCGGGTTGATGAGCGCAGCCCCCATCTGCACGACGAAGCCGAGGAGGGATATCAGCAGGGCGATGTATATTTTGTAGAAGATGCTCCAGTTCAATGGGTCGTCCGGGTGGTCAGAGGGTTGTGGGGCAAGGGGTAGGCCATGGCGGTCGAGTTTGAGGGTTGATGGGGTTGTTTGGGAATTGTTTTCGACCCAGCCCAGGTCGAGGGGCTTCTCGGAGTCTGCGATACTCATAGTCGGTAGCAGTGGGATGAAACGGAGCTGTCAATTAGAAACGTATACTGGGAGGATTTGGATATGGCGGCCGTAACAAAGACGAGATGGAAACAGTATGAGTTCGAAAAGATCGACCGACACTGCCTTGAGCCTACCTCCCTACCTTTTCGCGTCGTCATGCGGACGCAGTGGAACGGTGCAGCAATTCGATCGTTGATTTTTGCGTTTGCCGTAAAGGCGACAGAGTTGATGCAGATCGCTCACCACACGTCGTCGATAGATGCGGGGCTTCGTTCAAGGTGGGCTTGTCGGTTTGATGAAAAAGCAAATCGAAGACAATTATATGGAGACATTGGATGTCACATCGAAGAGCCGTGTTATTCGTACGGCTGGATTCAAAATATTCGTACTGTCTACCATGTCTGATCCCTCGTTCAATACGAAGTATTACAAGGCTGGACAATAGGCCTGTGACAAATACAAACAGCTTGATCGAGGTTAGAACTACTGCTTACGAGGTGATTCCATCCTTCTCTCAAAGCTCCGCCTTCTTATGATCTAAAGAGAGACATATATGTATACTGCCCGTCTGTCTCTCCCCTTGAGAAAACGCTTCCATCCCATCACCAGACCTCCCATCAAACGCTACCTCAACCTCCCCTCCGGCCTACACAACCTCAAACCCATCCCAACCATGCACGCCCGCGCCACCATCTCCGGCACCACGATCGCCGACACAGACTCCTTCGAGTTCGTCGAGGGTAACGTCTACTTCCCAGTCTCATCCGTGGTCGACCGCGAGAAGACGCTGACTCCCGGTTCCCGAACTTCTCACTGTCCTTGGAAGGGCGACGGGAAGTATTATGACTTGCATGTCAATGGGCAGACGATAGCAAATGCGGCGTGGTATTATCCGGCGCCGTATGAGAAGGCGAAGATGATTAAAGATTGTGTTGCGTTCGGTAAGTTCAGGTCTTTGCAGCTGTGCCAGGTGAACGTGCTGATGGGGGTTCAGACAAGAGTAAAGTGACTGTTGGGAAGGACTAAAGTCATCATGTTCTCGAACGGCGTGAAGCGTATCTTCATACTTCATTCAATCGAAACATTCAAACATCAACCATGGTATCGTCGCCGCCCATCGCCGCACCAGTGTCTTCGGCTGTACCCCTCGGCTTGCCTTCCACCAGCTCTCTCCTCACCTCCGGTCCGATGTCTTTGTGCCCTCTAACCTTCAGCAAGTCCAGCAGAGCATCCCGCTGCTCCTCCTCGATCTCGTTCTTGTACCTTTGCGCGAAAGCGAGCAAGCATTGATGCCACAGCACAGGCAGTTTGGTATCACCAGCGCCTTTCTTGCCCGGATACCCGCTTGCTCCACTCATAGACACGTCTTCGCCATCGCCTTGCTTGACCTGTCTAAAGCGCAGGAAGTGGAAGACCAGTTCGTCGATCACGCGATAGGGCAAGGCGTACTTCTTCTCCAGCAGTGTCCGGATGAAGATGTTGCATGCGCCGGCTGATTCAACGTCCACTGACATCTGATTGCTTGCGATCTCGCAAAGGTGGTAGAGCGCAGCCGCAGAATGTAGGACTGGGATAGAGACTCTTGCAACGACTGAGGCGATGATGGTGGCTTCTCGAAGCGTGCAAGTGCCGGATTCGAGGAGTGGGAAAACCAGGCCTTTAAAGAACGCCGCCGGCTTGTAAAGTGTCTTCTTCAGAGCCTTGTACAGATGTACATTCAGCTTCTTCGTTTCGTGGATGTCCTCCCGCACCCGAGGTAAAAGGACTTCCTCGTTGAAGAATTGTGCCATTTCTGGTCTCGAGGAGGAAAAGATCTTGGTGGCTTCGTAAACGGCGTTGGGTGACCAGCTGTCGGGTCGTGTAATCGCAAGTAGTGTGTCGCACTGTGGCAGCGTGGGCAGAACCTTGAATGGCTTTGGCATCTTTCCGCTCTTGTATCTTGACAATAGCTTCCCAACATGGCCATATGCTTCAACGACCTTTTCGGGCAACTCGACTGCATCTTCTGGTGGCTCATCTTGCTGTACAGGCTCGAAACCTTCCCCTAAAGTATCCTGCTGAGCCTCATGCGCCGCGATCTTTGCCAGTATGAGTTCCGTAAGATTTGTGCCACCTCCTGCTGTGTCGGTCTCCTTGCCCTTCGGTTGTAGTAATGTCGCCGGGTCGAAGCTGCGGTTGAATCTGTTGAACGCCTCCAAATCGTTGGGATCGACCTCCACCTCTTCCACCTCCTCGTCTGAACCCCACGCTTCCTCATCGTCGTATTCTCCAGCCTCTGCGCCTGCGTTATCCTCATCCGCGCCACCTATCGGAAATCTGCTCTTGAATGAGAAAGCATCGTTCTTTGCAGCAGGTTGCGTGGATTGTCGCTCCGCCTCATCTTCCGCAGCGAGGTCCTGTCCGAGGCCTAATATCCGTCTCGACGACTTACTGTTGACGTATGCATCGTGCCCGGGCTCTTCATCGTGCGATTGCTTTCGCTTCCTGCCAGTCTTCTGCTTGAGTGGAGCTGTTGGCGAGTACTCTTCACTCAGCGGCTGATGGAGTCGCTCTTTTTGCGCGCTTGAGGCTGATCTTGCGGTCTTCGACATCTCAGTATGCTGTACGTTGTGGTGCAGGAGCGATCGCATGAATCTCCAAAAAATGTCGACGGTCGTTGCCAAGATTTCGTCCCACCAGCCATAAGGTTCGGCATGTCATCGCTAGCGTGATATGCGATATAGCCTATCTCCTCCGCAGACGATCTTCTCGAGCTTCCGAAATCTACTCCTGCAAACTACAACCGCAACAGCACCATGGCAATCAAGCGCTCCGTGGAAGAGGCCGGTGCCAGCGCAGCCAGACCACGCCGCCAACACCTCAAGCGCATTAAGATCTCACCCACTCATGAAGACACAGACAACAGCAGCGAGGCCTCCAGCGGCTCGGTCTCAGAGGACTCGGCACTCCGCAGCAGCCCGCAACCCTCAGACCCCGAGCGCAACAGTAGCATGAGCTCGCTCGAACCCTCCGCAGCCAACGGCGACGACGACAGCGAAAGCAGCATCTCGAGCACGAGCTCCGAAGACTCAGAAATCGACTCGGATTCAGAGACAGAGATCACAACGATCGGGCAACCGAAGAAACCTCCCATACACAAGCAAGGCCTCCAAGAAGGCGCGCAGGATTTACGATCGAGACTGTCGTCTTTTCTACCGCAGATGGCAGAAGCTAACAGGCTGCTCGCGGATAAATCGGACGGGTACAGCTTGGAGGAGGTTGGGGAGGATGAGCAGCATATTGAGATGAATTTGGGGCTGGGGGTGCTTGAGCAGCAGGGTGAGGAGGATGCGGAGAACAGCTTGGACGAGTCGAGCGATGAGGAGGATGTAGGGGAGGAGCTGCCGGCATTTTCCGAAGGTGTGAACGGTGTGAAGCAGGACCGAGAAGCTGATGTGTTGGGCAAGCTGATGGGACAGGATCGTAAGCGGCAGAAAGTTGGGATTCAGGAGGCCGATTGACCGGACGCTCAGCGTGGACAATGAATTACTACAATGGAACGAGGGCCGAGGGCCAGCAAAGGGTTGTTGGAGGAATGAGATTGGCCACAGGCGTGATCGAATGCACCGTGCTGCGCTGCGTTGGACGGGCAGCTTTTTCAAACATCATGACATTGCTGAAGGACTTCTAGATCGTTGCAGCAGACCATAGAGGGCTGTCGCTAAAGTTCCTCATGCCGCCGAACGCTTGGAAACACTTTGGACCACGAACTTCGTTGGCCATCATGTCAGCTTTTGGCTTTCCTCCAGTCTTTCCATTCTTTTTAGTCTCAATCCGTGCCATTCGGTCTCTCACCACCTTGCTCCGCCCTACTACGCTCTGCTCGACCAAGAACCCGCCTTACTGCTGGCATCCTCCGGAATCCTAGGCATCACCGCCGAGAACTTCGTCCCCATCACACCATTCGCCGCCTGCCCTGGCTTGACCACCGCATTGCTCGGGGTCTGCTTCACAATCTTCGGCTGCTTCACACTCTCAGACGTCAAGAACCCTCCGCTGTAGTCGTCGAGCATCTGGTTGAACTCATTCGTATCTTTGACCTTGCAAATTCCGCCTGCACTCTCGCAATGCGCGATGAGACCGCTAGCCTTCTTGAACAGCTTCAGGCAGCGGCGGCAGCGGAATTGAATACGCAGATGTGCGATCTTGAAGTGCTCACCCAGATACTCGGCATCGTCGTAGACGCCGTCGCAGTCTGGGATCGGGCAGCAGTACTTCTCGATCAAGGTGTTGTAGAAGCGCTTGGGGTTGTATTCGGCGGCGTAGGGGTCCCAGATGCGGCTCTTGAAGAGGTTGCTGCCGTGGCCTACGACGGAGTCTTCGCGTTCTTCGAGAGCTTTGGCCCAGTAGGCGGGGTTGCCGTTGCTGGGTTTGGCGTCCTTGAAGAGGACTTGGGAGGTTGCGCCGGTCGTCCGGGCTAGTGGCTTGCTGGCGGTGCTCATGTTCATCGTGGCGACGGAGGCGGTGTCGTCGTCACCTGCGTAGCTGGAGCATGGCCCCGGCGAGCCGACTGAGCTGAGCGGAGGATACGACTCAAAGACGTACTTTAGGTTTCGGCTTGTGATGCTTGCAGCAAAGGCGCTGGCAGACATGTCAGTCGAAGGCGTGGACGAGCTCACGGATATCTTCCTCAATGACTCCGTCATGCTGCGCTCTGCTTGTCCCGGTAGCCGTGGCCAGTTGCTGGAGGTGGTTGATGTTGGAGCCTTCGACTGTCTCAGGTTGATCAGCTCCACTTCTGGCTGGAGCGGCCTGTAGCCTCCCATCTGATCCGGATCGTCAATGTCAAGCACACCTACGCCGCCCTCGGTACCGTCAAGCGTCTCCAGCTCTGAGCGCTCGTCGTCGAAGCCGGAGGTGGACTGCTCGGTGTTGGAGAACTCCGGTCCTTGAAGACGGCGCATGTACTCCTCAGGGTCCTTCATGATCAGGCGCATGATAAACTTCTGCTGGACGCTGCGCTCATAGTCGAGGTGGCGGATCTCCGGGCACTTGTTCTCTTCGAAGTGCTCAATGAGCTGACTGGCGCGGGTGAAGTGAAGCATGCAGCCAGGGCAGGTAATGTCTTGGTCGGCTGGATGATACTGCGCAGGAAGTCAGCACGATGTGTAGAAGCTCCAAGAAGCTCAAAAACTGGGATGTCCTCACCTGGTCGCGATGCTTCCTGCGCCCACCGAAGCTCTTGAAGTCCTCGCCACAGAACTCGCACTCGATGTGATCAGGCTGCTCACCAGGGCTATCCTTCATCTTTCCTTCGAGCCATGGCTGCATCGCCTTCACCTTGTGCAGAGTCAAATCCTCCCAGTCGATGCAGTCTACGTCGCAGCGCTTGCAATAGCAGTGTTCTGGGTCATCTTTCTTGTGCTTCTTCATCAACTTTTCGGTCTCGAAGTGCTTCATGCAGTCGTCGTAGGTGCATTTGACCTTGAGCTTCGGGCTGTCCATTTCCTCCATGATGACAGGTGCCATGGTGGTTATTCAACTGTGCGAACGAGTGTTAAGAATGTTTGCTGTGATGTAGGAAGGTAGGATCGTATGATGTGACGTTGAGGACTGAGGGTGCTTTATGATGAGACGTTGTCGCTGTGGCGGGATTCCGGTTAGTTTGAATCTTTATGATGAGGAAGTCGCTAGGTTGGGAAAGAGCGACTTGCAACTGAACCTGAAACGATGGAAGAAGCTCAGCGGACTGCAAACTCCCTAAGGAAGGGAGATCGCAAAAGACTTTGGAGGTTGAGTCGTGAGACTGAAAGTAATAGCAGCGATAGCTTCTTATATAAGGTGCGTTCTTGCTCAGAGTCATACGCATCAGCATCTTCATGTGATGAAGGGCAAGTGAAGCAGGAAGCAACTCATCGATGAACCTCATGTCATGGCATCACGAGCTCAGCGCTGAAGTGAAGCACCCCTTATGAACACCCTCAATGCCCACATAACCATCTGTGTCACCCAAGCAGCATGACCCTCCATACTCAAACAATCTTCAAGCTTCTGCGAGGAATATTCGCCGCCACGCTGCAGGCCTGAGCACGTCAGCGGACTGTGTATGGGATCCGTAGAAACCACGACGAAGCATACCTCTCAGAAGCAAATGTCGAAGCAATTGCAATCCTTGAACAGCACTCTCCGACTATACCACTTCTCCTTCTTCTTCTGCTCCTCTTCTCCCATCTCCATTTCCGTCCCCAGCCGACTCGCCGCGCGCACCTTATCCCGAATCTCCGCCTGACGCTCACGCATACTACGCGGCCGGGACGGATGAGTAAGAAACTGCTCCGGAGCCAGCAAATTGCCGCTCGGCGAGCGAATGTGTGAGTCCATCTCGACTTCCGCCGGGTCGATAAGCTCGCTTAGACTGTGGATGCGTGGTGGCGGTGGCGGACGGGTGACGTTGGAATGGCCATTGATCCCGTCGTCGGTGTACATGCCGGCTTTGACCATGTCTCGGACCATGTAGGGTGTGTGGTCAGTGCCGCGAGGGCTGATGTTGGCATCGATGGTCCAGCGTCGGGTGTATTCCTCGAGAAATTTGTCTTTGGATGGAGGTGGCTTTGTGCTGGCTTTCCTTCCGAACGGAATCCTACATTCGGTGGTGGAAGGCGCGTTGCTGGTGCTGTTCTTGCTGTCGACAGCCGCTTGCTTGGGGTGAGAGGAGCCCATTGTTATCGAAGTCCTGTCTGACGTGAAGGGCCTTTCGGACTGCACAGCCGTGTCAAGATCAGACCACGCTCGAGGCGAGTATGGCAAGATGTTGCTTCCTGTTACGATGTATACGGTCGCAATCACCGCATGGCGAGATGTCTGGCAGAAGCCAGGCTGTGGAAAGAGGTGGTGAGGTACTGAATTGATGAAGAAAGCACGAAGTAGCTGCAGATTTAGCTTTTCTGTGCGTACGAAATGAGGTGAGGTCGTGCGAAGGTGCGGAAGCCTTAACATGTGACAGGCCTTGTTGGTGCTAGATGACAAAGTCTTGGAGGTGGCATCGCGTGTATGTACAGATGTTGATGAATACTATACTGGGAAGATATGTGCTCTGTTCCTCGTTTCTCAATGGAGGTAGCCAACAGCTATGGCTCCTCTAAAACCGCGAGTACGGCAACCTGCGATTGTCAGTATATCGAGCAGGCTGATAGTTGACCGGCAGACGACATACCACTTCCCTCGAAGGGTAATCTTCACCCATTCGCCCTTGTCATCGACCTCCTTATCCACATGCGTAGAGAACGAAATCGCACTCATGATCCCATCGCCAAACTTCTCGTTCAAGACCGCCTTATATGCATACCCGTAGTTCTGCACAATCTCAAAAAGACGGTAGATTAACGGTTCTTTCGGCGGCATCTCGATCATATGTCCTCGATCAGGAGCAGCCGTCATCTCGGTCGCGAAGAGGTTGGCTTCGGGGATATCGAGCAGCTTGCTCAAGTTCTTTACATCCTCTTCGCTCGCGGTGGCTTGCCCGTAGAAGAGCGCTGCAACGGCGACTTCGTCTCGTCCGAGAGCTTTGGCGATCTCTTCGAAGCTCAATTTCTTTGCTTTCTTCTGGGCGAAGAGCATTGGCGAGTGGGAGGGCAGCTTAGGGACGAGGTCTTGCTGATATGAGTGTCAGTGCGGTTCATCAGATGTCCTGACACATTGGAGGTTTACTGTGAGCTCAGAGAGCACGGGGCCACTCTGGATTCCTGTGATTTTGGCTGCCATCTTGGGTGCACTGGTGGTGAACGCAGTCCTCTGCTGGTACAAGGACGATACAATAGGACGAACAACGGTTGTCGAACGAGGCAGGATGCTGCGAGGGAGTACTCTCAGGGAGGAAGTCGCGATTGAAGACGCCATTTTGAGAGCTGTGGTATGCAGGAGCTCGACCTACCAGCGATGCACTTGAGAGCTGCCATCATTGCCTTCGGCGAAATGGGAGCAGGTGGGGATGCTGGCCGTCTATCACTCGGCAGAACGTCACATCGCATCGCTTTCATCTCGTCCTAAATCCACTCCTTCCAATCTGGGATTAGCGTGTTTCTGGGCAGACTTCACCTCCTTTCCAGCAGCTCGGATTAGGACCAACCCAAGACGATAAGGCTGCAAGTATATCTTTTCCAGACTTGGTACCAACCAGGTACATCGGATCGCTATCTACTGCTAACCAGCTACTTACAATATCAAATACAGTCGCTATCACGCCCGAGGAACCATCATCCTGCTTCTCCGGTACTCCGAACATATCCTAATCCTTTGCGCGACACTACTCCCTCTGACGTGGCCACCGAATTCTGATCAAGTGCTCTTCTTCGGCTTCGGGAGCTTCTTGGGGGCCTCATACATCGGAACTTTCTTGGATCTGGCGTATTTGGTGCACTCGCCTTCGGTCCCGCATGTCACCAGAAAGCTGAAAGGGTACTTCTGACTCTGGTCTCGGCTTGCTTCTACAAGTGTCTTGAAGAGCTGCATCGTACCCTCGCGGCGGTCTCTGTCCTCAATGGACTCAATGCATTCAAGGACAAGCCAGACCGGTTGCTTCTCCCGATGAGCCTTGATGCACGCCACTATCATGTCGAGGATTTTCCGGTAGGTCGGCTTTTCCTTCAGAGTTGGCACAGGCATGCTGTCGGTCCCGACAAAAAAGATTCTCTCCAGAAGACTGAGTGCAATGGTGGTGGAGTCCACGTTCGGAAGGTCGTCACATAAGACCATGATCTTGAGAACATCGGGTATGCCTAGGAAGATGTTGTATATTGCCTCGGAGTAGCGGCTGACGGCGCGGTTGCCAGGTCCAGTGCCTTCGCGGACCGCAGGTTCGTTGCCGTTCAGAATGAAGGCGACACTCTTGTGGGATTCGTGCCTTCCAAGCAAGTTGATCTCATCCATTTTTGGTTTCGCATGGACCGAAATGTATGCTGCACGCTCAAGGACAGACTTCGCCTGCACAGCTTTGGTATACTCGGGAACACGGGGCTCCTTGTATTCGCACCACGCGAGATATTGAGCTACGAAGGAGTCAGTCGTGTGTGGCAGCTTCTCAAGACCCTTACCAACCTTTTCTTATCTGCACATTCGCGATCTTTGCATTATTTGCTGCGCTTGGAGGATCTGCCAATCTGTCAAATTTTGACTGCCTGCTGAGTGCAACAGGCCACCGTACCTTGTCGATCGGCATCTTTGGTTAAATTCATTGGCTTATGACCGATCTGGTGGTCAGCGGCGAACTTCGTCATGTTGTTCTCGAGTATCCTCGCCCCGCTCCAACAGCTGGACTATGATGAGATGTTATACATTGTGGTGGGTCAAGGGTTCTTTTGCTCACCTGCCACGGCATTGATATGCAGCTGTTCCAGGAGCTCTTCGGTGGTGAGCTCCGGTGAAGCGCTCATGGTTGCTACGTGCAAGGGTGGATGTGGCTTCGAGGATGAGGATGGGTACAAAGATGTGTCTGGGATGGGAGAGATTGCGGTGGAAAGGTGTTTGTTGGAGAAGGCTCAGCCAGCTAATAAATGCCTACAGGAGTCCGTTTGCTGCTCTGCGGGCCATTCCCTGACGGCGAGACGACGGTGAACAGCGTACTTGTATCACTCTGGCCGCTGGCTCCGCCGTCGCTTCGACTACACGAACGCTACCGACAGGAGCAGCGGGACGCTCAACTCCCTCCGTGAATACGTCTTGAACACGAGAACGGATACCGGGTGAATGGGCTATGCTGCACAGTAACACTGAAGTAGACCTCTATCAGCAGGGTCTGGCGAACAGTGTTACGTGAATACGAGAGACTAATACAAAGAGCTAATATATGAAAGCAGTACTACAAACCGAGAGAACAGCCGCCCAACTTATCTGTTATTTACCCTCGTCCACATAGTCAGAGCTAACATTGATGCAAGCCTACCCTTGCAAGACAGCAGTGACCAGGCGCGAACTACTGCGCCCGCCGCCTACGGTACTCATTCACCACATGGTCGAGTACTGTAAGATGCTGGGCTGGCTCTAGATCGGCACTGAGGACACTTTCGGAGGACAAGGCGGTGATGATCAATCTCACCTTGAAATCTCCAGCACGACCCTTCGTATGTGCAGCCAGAGCCTCGACAAGCTTGATGCACTCTTTGCCGGAGTACACATGAAGGGAGTCGATAACGCAAAGAATGTGGCGAGCCCGCAGCTGCTCCACGATGCAGTGTTTGAGGAAGTCCAACATCTTATCGAACGTCTTCGGCGGCGCTTCGTGCGGAGCATGCATGTCTCCATGAGAAAGCAGCTGGCCGATCAAGCTGCGCATCATGGAGAGGATGTCCTGACCCTCGCCCACGTGCCGACAGAACCAACTCAGGGATACAGTATCCGGGATCAGCTGCTTGGGATCTTTACGCTTCACCGGCTCCTTGTCCAGCGGGCTTTGCGCCGCGAGCAAGGCAAAAGCAGCCACGCCATGCAAGAAGTCAGGATCGTCCCGCGGAACACCCTCCCCACTCACCAGCAGGAAGGCGGAAGCGTAAGGGTCGTTTTCCTCGGGCGTGGGCGTCTGACCCTGTGCGACAGACTGCCAGTCCTTTGCGAAAGGATCCTCCGTTGCGACATACCGGCACACCCTGCTTAGTTTAATGCTCTTCTGAGCGTCCAAGGCCTGCTCGATGGCTTTGAGGTCAATACTGCCTGGCTTGAAATTAAGAAGCTTCTGATACTCATCTGCTCACCTGGTCAGCTTTTGCTCCTAATCCATGGCCACCCCCACCGCTACCCATGAGTACTTACCTATCTTCTTGGGATCCGGCTTTCCCCTTCTTGCAGGCCGTGCTCGAGGCTGCTGCGAAGACTCAGCTTCCGGCCCCCGTGCAGGTGTACGAGGTGGCTGGCGATCTTCCCAAGGACGGCTGTGTTCGTCAGTGTCACTTCTTGCCCGGCGCGGCGTTGCATACTGTCTGTCATCCGGAGACCGAGAGTGACCATCACCCCCATCGCTGTCTGCCTCATACCGCGAATCTCTCCGCCGAGACTTCGTCTCGGGCTCAGCACAACACTCTGACCTGCGATGCTCTCGCTCCGGTGACCGATGTCCCCGCTGGCCATCGAAGCGCTGAAAGTCATATTCATCCAAACCTACAAAGGAAGGCTCGGTCTGCCGCGAATGACGACCACCCGATCTTGGAGTACGTCCTCCTTGCCTTCGCTCACGGTCGTCGTCGTCATCATAGACATATGACGGTCTGCTCCTAGGAATCTCTGGAGACCGCCTGTGCGTGTCATCATACGGGACGTGTGATGACGCAGTCGCAGATCTTCGAAGTTTCGGGCCCGTGGACGGCATTCCGTAGTCCATGCCGTCCCATCTCGACCCATAAATATCATAAACATCTGAGCGCCTCGGCCTGTCGTTGGATCGTGGTGGACTCTCCCGGTAAGAGGCACTCGATCGACGCATGTGTGGAGAAGCATTCGGCGACGGATATGAGGATTTATGTGGAGAGTAAGCTGTTCTATGACAACTCTGTTGAGGTGATCCCTCATAGCCGGCTGACGGGTGTGCATATGACGAATGATGGGGAGTATACGGAGGCGACTGCCGGTAAGCGGCCGAAGCTTGGGCATACGCCTGCTGCTGGTTGTACCCGAGCGGTACGGACTGTTGCATAGAGTACGGGACTCCAAACGAGTTGAACTGCGCGGCCTGAGGAGATCGCGGTATTTGCGGTCCGTGAGGTGACGTGGAAAAGTACTGAGGTGGGTAACCATATTGGTAGCTTGGGCTGGGAACTGGAGGAGGTGCAGCATGTCTTGCATTGTAATAAGCGGCCTGCTCAGGTGTTTGAGTTGAACCTCCGTAAGACTGGCCGCGGCTCGGATGCATGGGTGGAGCTCCTCTTTGGGGTGTCTGCGGTGCATGGGTTCCGCCGGCATGAGGATGAGGCTGCGTGTACGAGCGGTGAGGCAGGGGCCGAGCATCTTGTTGTGGGCGCCGCCGTTGAGGAGCAGATCTTTGCGGACAGACAGGCTCAGCTTCCTCGTCGTGCTCGCTGTCGCTGTCGTCGTCGTCAGGCGGACCATTGCCAATTTCGTCCTCCTTCTCCTCCTTACGGTGTAACTTGTGGTGGTCCCGGGGAGCACTTCTGCTTCGTCGGCGTTCGTATCCTCTCGAAGTCATCCGTGTCCTGGATTTCTCCTTGGATTTCTCCTTGGACCTTGACTTGCTCCGCTTCTTCTTTTTGTCTGTCTTAGCTGGCATGTTTACCTTCTGTGAATCGTAATCGTCCTTCGGGATATGTACTGGGGAGTTCTCGCAGACCGAGGGAGCCGTCCTTTATATTCTTCTGCCCTTCGGTCGTGTTTGCCATTTTGACTGCAGGACGAGTCTGCAATCCTGCTGTGAGTCTTCAATTGCTCAGTGAGCCTGGATTCACCGTCGTTGGTCAATAACGGTAGACACATCCTTGAGGCTGCGTAACGGAGTAGCCCACGACTTGCGGTCTTTGGTGGCCTGAACTGGCATGCGTAGATTGCGTGAGAAGAAAGGCTCAAGCAGCAGTCTAGTGATCTCTTCCAAGAACATGAGCTTTCACGTCACGTTCTGTCAATGGTCTGTACTTTATGCCACAGTCAATTTCCTTGGGACGATGAGATAACCACAACTTGCATTCAGTAGCTCAGGAGATGACATTGATTGGGAATTAGTGAAATTGACCAAAGAAGAACAACAATACATAGAAGCCTACCTCCCAACACTTGAGAAGCCCCAAGAAGCCATCAACATGCTAAGGCAATACACCTGCCATCAGTCTGCTCATATCTCGCTTTCTGTCCGCCCTGTTTACTAAGTCGATCACTCACCTTCCTCCTCATCCTCAGAGGCATACTGCTTCTCATTTGCATGTTGCTCACCGATCTCCCAAGCCTTCTGCCTCTCCTCTTCGGGAACTCTCACGATCTTTGCAATGCCCTCCGGTTTCTGCAGGAATCCGAGGTCATTCACACTCGTGATGACAACCTTGAGCGGGTGCCTCTCCTGGTTTGTCTGTGCAAGCTCGATTAACTTCGACAATGCTGTGAAAACGTGCACGTTCGCTTCTTTCGGAGCCTCGTAACGATGGACTGAGTCGACTGCAATGACTACAGGAGCTTGCTTGAGCAGTGCAGAGAGTACTTGCTCCAACATCTCCTCCAGCTGCATGTACTCGAACGGCTTGTCACTATCTGCTCGACGAGGGATGTGTATGACGGAGAAGTCGCAGAGATCATTCGTGAGAGCCTGGCAGATGATTTCGCTGAGAATCCAAGCGCCGTTCTCATGCAACGAGCCACAGTTACAGCAGAACTGCAGGATAATGGTGCCTTCTGCTCTATTCAAGGACTCGAGAGTCTCGCCCGTGAATCGAGCGACAGCAGGGTAAGAACACCAGTCGTCATGATCGAAGGCTTCTTCGCAGATGACCAGAATTGGGGCATTCTTTCTCGCTGTGAACCAGGTCCGGGCGTGATTGGTGTTGGCTATGAACTCACTGATGTAAGCATGCGCGTAGGCTTCGTATGATGGAAATTCCGTGATGAAGTCGAACGGGAATTGAGCGAGGCTAGGATGACAGCCCAGTGTTTTGAGCACGTCACCTGTGTTGTTTGTTGTTAGCTAGCGTATCGTCGACATGTGTTGTTATTAGTACATACCTAGGGTGGCGACTTCCGACATCATAGAGCTGACGTCGGTGAACACAGAAGGCGAAGCTCCACGTCGTCTACCCCTTTGCTGCTGGTCTGGAATAGGTCTTGGCGAGATTGGCCTTCCACGAGTTGGAGAGACTCCTTGACCGTCTGAGTCACGGCTTGGGCTGTAGGATTTTGGACGCCCAGGCGCACTTGGTACATACTGTGACGACGATACAGAGGAAGGCGGTTTAGAGTCCGTCGGAAGATCCCACGTCATGGTAATGCCCATCTCGGGGGGGAAAGGATTTCGAAGAGGAACCTTGGCGGTCTTGAGGTAATGCTGCGGTTGTACCTGTCCCGGAGGTGTGCGAGAACTTTGTAGAGCATACCTGATTGGAAGCTCAACCACCGTGACCGGAGAGCCTGGGCGAGAGGTTGGTGTGGTGCTTGGCAAGGGAAGAGCGTCACTCATTCCACCGTAGCTGTAGGCATCGGGCGGGATATGGACGGAGCCTCGATGCTGCGTAGATGGCCGGCAGTCGTCCCGCTTGCGACCATGATCTCCAGTGTAGTCATTGTCGCTATTAGAACCCTTGCTTCGAAGAGGAGACTGGCGTTCGTCGCTCCGGTCACTGTGTCGCCGACTTGACATGAGTGTTGGATTGTGTTGGGGTTTGAGAAGTGCTAGTGGTGCGGTCGGATGTCCCTGTTTCAAGAAGATTTGTGATGCTGCTGACTCACATGCAGAGTGTTGGTGTTGTGGTGTCGAATGTCGCACTCTCTCGAGGGCGGAGAGTATTGATATGCCTTTCTCATCAGTGGTTTGCTGCTATTGCCACGTCAGCCACTCGAGTTGCTGACCATAGAGTCGCCCATGCTCTCACTTTAGTAGATGATAGTGCCGAGCAAACACACTGGGACAACAACTCCTCCAGTACGTCGTTCCAGCTAGCTGCTGTCCGAAAGAGTCATGCTTCGTCGCCTGCTGTGGTTGAGCTTTGTCGCAGTCACCCTGCTCGTCGCTATCGCCAGGAATGTTCTCGGGGCCAGCGGTCTTCACCATGGCTCGAATCATCTTTCAACAGCATACGTTGATGTAACAGGATGCTGAGATGTGTTTAGTGATCGCGCATACGGGAGTAAGATATAGAACTAGACTACAGTCAAGAAAACCAACCAACCTCTCGTACTAAGTGGTGCGTTCCACACACTCCGTAGGCAATGCACTTCAGGTAGAAGGAAGCACTTGCCTAAAAACGCTCCAAATGGCTCCCAGCACTCCGTCGCCCACCCTCGCCTTCACCTTCGTTCTCGCCTTTGCCGCTGCCCGTTACGCTCATTCTCGGCAGCCTGCTGAAGAGTAGCTTCAGCATTTGCTCGCAGCTGGGCGTAATCTTGCCGGCTTATCGCAATGCGTTCTGTGATAGAGTCGCCACTGTGTGGAAGCCAGAAGGGCGTCAAAGAGGTGATGAGTATCGTGAGCGCTTGGCCGGCACGATTCTCCCACGCCAGCTGAGCTAGCGTCTCTACTATGTCTCTGTATGTCGTCCGTTCTGCATCCGGGTCGTCGTAAACATGGGCTGAGTCCAGTACAACGACGACCTGCGCGAACTTGAGGAGAGTCGTGACCAGGTCTTCGAAAATGGTCATCAACTCCTTCCAATTGAATGCACCATCGGCCCTCTCGGGTAGCGGAACGTCCACCATCCGGCCTTCCATAAGATAATGGGACAGCGCCTGGCCGATGAGCTGACGGAGAAGCGTCTCGGCGGGACAGTCGTACGCCGAGCAACACCACTTCAACACTAACGTGGGTCTTGCGCGGGTGGTCATGTTCCGCGCAATTGAATTGGAAAAGGCGGCGAAGAAGCCCATCGTTCTTGGGCGTGCCTCGAGCTCCTCATGAGTCAAATCGCTTTGCAGAAGGAGGATGCCTGCCCGCTGCGCAGTTACCCATGCCACCAGCTCCTTGGACTCTGCTATGGAATTGGAGATGGTGCGTTGCGCCATGAGTGAAGGCTGTGTGAGGTCGTTGAGCCGGCTTTCGAGGACCTCTGTGCAGTCAACAGAATAACCCACGGCTCGGAGCACGTCAGCTGTGTATAGTTAGCGTCAAGGTAGCATGCTGAACGTCAGTGGCATTGAAGATACCTTTTGTGAGGGCAGTGCGATCGACAGCGGGATCAGGAGCATACGTGTCCCTGCCAGACTGCACTCGGCTGCGTGGCGACGGATACGTAGGTTCTGGGTGCCTACGATCGCCGCGAGGATTGATACGACCGTCGTCCGGGATGCCGAGTATCCGGTATCTAGGCACTGGAGCCTGTGGTCTTGGGGCTGGCGGCGTGACATTTGCGTAGTAGCCATGTGGGTAGTATGGCTCAGACCGTCGGCGACCATCATCGCCGCGGTCATCCGGTTCATTGCGCGGACCACGAGATCTGTTGTTGTCAGTATCTCTGACCGGCTTCTTGCCCTTACCGCCGTACGACATTCTCGAAACGCAAGATGTCCAACGATGAGGCTGCCGAGGATTGGGTGCTGTTGAGCGAGTGGTCGTTGCAGGAGATGTGTGCCTGTACAGAAGAAGGTTCAAGCTGCAGTTGCTGGAGATGTTGGTGGATAGAGTGTTGTTCCAGTAAAGATCTGGATAGCGAGGAGGGTTGATATACAATTCGAGTGCCTGGTGTTTGCCGCCTTCGATTCCTTGCTGCGTCGGATGAGTCGCACGGCCGGTATTGAACACGCTTGCTCCATTCGTAGAGCCATGGTGAAGGCCGTACGCAATGAGCAGATGACGGTTTGGTTGCAAGCTCAGCTATGGAATGATCATTGTGTGCTTCTGCCAGTGGTACCGTGATGTCTGATCTGCAGTCTTCGTACAATGTAAACGGGTCGGTGTGAAATGCGGGAGAGACGAACCTCGAGGATTCCAGCACGCCAAAGCATTCCGTAGCGCCGCAATCCCGTCAGCGTGCTGCCTCAATGCACGGCGCCGAGCACAGTTCTACGTGAATGTCAGTGTTCGCAAATCGACCATTCACAGAGAGGCCATTCCTTATGTTGTGGTCGATATTCAATACCATTTGCAGTCCGTCTCGAATGATATCTGCCCGTCCACGCTTCACAGGAAGCCTCTCTGTGTCGTACAGGAACCACAAGCGTATTACATACACAGCAAATAGAAATCAAGCAGTATGGCCCAAGCAATTAAGACGCACGTAGCAGCCTATGGCGGTGCTTCTCCTCGAACATATCGAGATGTGGGTGCAAGAAGACGGAAAAACGTTCTCAAGAAATAAGAAGTACTATCAGGAATTGCAGACGGCTCGTAGGAAATAAATGCTGACACAAGAATACACTCACCTAGAAAACGCCACGAAAAAGTCTCCTACAACCTCTACTCCCTCTCCGCCGCATTCCAGGCCCTTATAACTCTGTCAGGAGGAAGCCTGTATGATGTCGTAATCCTCGCTGCCCTGTCCAAATGCTCAAATCGCTTCGCATTCGTGACCAGTACCTTCATCGGGTGCCGACTCCTTTCATCCTCAGCGAAGTTCAGCAGCATTGACAACGCTTCACGGGTATGTTCATGCTTTTCCTCGGGGCCTAAATAACATTGGACAGCATCGATCACAATGACAATCGGCGTGCGGTCGAGAAGGATCCTGAGCGCTCTTCGCGTGAGCGACATTACTTGCTCGAAGTCGTAGTTATACTCGAAGTCGTGGTGATAGCCCAATCCAAATCGCCGAGGAATGACGAGAAGTCCGAAATCGAAGAAGAGATGCGTGACAGCCTGGCCGATCAGCTCAGTGAGCAGACGCCAGCCATAATCCGCGTGCTCTGAGAATTGGCAGCAAAAGGAGAGCACCGCAATCTGTCCCGTCATTACATCAGAGGCAAAGGAGCGGATCGTATTCGAAGCAAACAATGAACTGCCGGTCAGAGCAGCTGGCAGCGACCAGTCATCAGGCATCTCGGCATTTTCGACGAGAAGAACGGCTGGTTGTGCGGCGTGCAGCCATGTTTACATCTCACTGGACCCGGAGAGGTCGTCAGCAATATGGCGAAATGCAGTGTGCCATTGTCCTGGAATGTCTCGCAGGCTGTCGGAAAGGTATCCGCGGTCCTGGACTGGGGCCCTTATGATGGCTAAAAAAAGCTCTTAATTGCTATCGTCAGTACGATCAGGTAAGCATAGGTGGACGGGCTGACGACGTACCTCTAGAGATACTCTCGGTCATTTCGTTGTTCCTCGTACGCGTGTCGGGAGGCGGTATTGGCAAGTTGATGTCAGATCCGATACCCATCGTCAAGCGTGCGGCAGGTGCAGCCAGCTTGGACTGCCCGAAATCGGTGCGTCTTGGATTGTAATAATAAGGCGGTTCGGGGAAACGAGTTATGCTTCGTCGAGATGGGCCATGGCGGAGGGTGGGAGGCGTCGGTGCCCTGGGACCGCCTGGGCTCCGTTCTTGATGTCGGTTGCGGCGTTCATCTCCGTACCGATCGTCTCTGGACCGACCGTTTCCGTGCAACGGCCGTTGAAGCGCATTCGCTTCGTCCGTAGGACGACCCTGGCGCGGCGTGGGGGAAGAAAGAGATATCGAGCTAGTTGGGGGGGCCGAAGCTTTTGGTCGTCGAAGTTGGGTACTGAGGCGACGAGAATATCTGTTGGTATTGGCACTCGAATTGAAGCTCGGTGCGTGGTTAGATAACCTGCTGAAGATGGTTTGTGGAGTGGATGAATCTGCAAGGTCCTCGACCATGGGAGCTAACAGACATAGCTTCGTGATCCAGATGTTTGCCGACTGGCTCCTCGCTGGGCCGCACGTTGTGGCATCGTCGACATTCGTTTGGCGTACGCGAAACATGGAATAGTCGGCTTGCTCAGTGAATAGCACCGCTGTGCAGCAAGCAAGTCAAGATGACTTCTGAGGCGGAGATATTAATTGGAGTATAGGCACAATCCGGCGGGTGTTTGTTACATTGTCAGCAAATATTGACTACCGTCGCCGTGCTAGGACACAGAGAACTCACAACATTCGGCGCCTTCCTTGCGTGAGTCTCAATTGACATGTCGCGGCGTGACGAGTCTCGACGAAGACCTGTTTAACCACTGGATCTATGAGCAGGTACGCAGATGGGTATTTAGAGAGGATTCAAAGCTTGAGGTTACTGAGCCCATGCAAACCTTCGGGATTCGTCGTCAGCATCGGCACAAGTGCTCATGTCACGTACGCTTACCAACAAGTGAAACGAAGCTCACCAGTGAACCTGAACTGCAACCCTCACTTTCCATGCCCAGCTAACTCCCAACCCCTCTAAACCACCTCCGGCGGCACGTTCAACATTCGCGTGATACCCACGACCTTACCCAAAGGCTTAAACACCGCCGTCGATGTGATCATAATCTTAAGCGGGAATTTCCCGCGCTCATACGCCCACTCCGCCATCTCCTCAAGTCTTGTCAACGCAGCACCCACGTACATATTCTCCTTGCCCGGCCCTTCGTAGACGTCGACGGAGTCAATCACCACGACAACAGGGGCACGTTTGAGCAGCCCGGACAACGCTTGATCGAGGATCGCGAGCCGCTGCGTGAAGTCGAGCACGAGCCGACCGGTGTTAAGTGAGATGTCCAAGTAGGCGAAGTCGGCCAGCGGGTGTGAGAGCGCTTGGCCGATCAGATGGCTGACCATTCGCAGGCCGTTGTCCTTGCCATACGACATTGTGCAGCACCAATTGAGGACGACGGCGTCCTTCATATTGTGTGAGCAGTGATCCAGCATCCTGGCTGAAAATTCCACTGTTTCGGAGGCTTCATTTGGTTGAAGTGGTTTTTGGCCACTGTTGACCACCAGAATTAACGATCGTGGTGCGTTCACCCATGCGTGCGCTTCGTCTGACCTTTCCAATTCGTCACTGATGTAGCGAAAAGCGACACTGTGAGGTGGCCGAAGCGTTGCGAGGTTGTTTCTCAGCAGCTGGCTGAACTCAGGGCGGTACTCCAGCTTTCTCAGTAGACGATCTATAATCTGTTGTTAGCGATACCCCAACAATAGAGCATTTACAGATGTACAGGTACCTTTCGTCATCGGGACTGGGACTGATACCTCGGACTCAAGACGTTTTGGAGAAAGCTGAGTACTAGAATCACTATGCGGCGGTGTATAAAGCCCCGGGGGCCTCTCAAGAGGAGCCTCAACGCGGAATGCGTGCTTGTTCATGGACTGACCTCGGGGTGGTGGTGAAGGAGCTTTTGGTGGACGAACGGGCCGCTTCGACTTGCTCCAGTGGACCTGCGGTGGTGATTCAGGCTCCTGCTCGTACCTTCTTTGGCCCGACTTCTCCTGGGACCATGGTGTTGCTCGCTCAGATCGTTTTGGTGTTTGGTGAGCTGCAGTTGCAAAGCGCCCAGATTGTCTCGATGGCTGGGGAGCTGCGGTGGGAGTGTGCGGCTGAGGCTCGCTCCGCCGCGAATAATTTCTCGAGGACGTGTGGCCATCCCTGGGTGATTTCGGCGGGAGAGATGTGGTTGGATTCGACGATGTTCTAGCCTCCCGGTGCGATTCCGGCGAGACAGGCGTACTCAGCGGACGCTGCGTTCTCGAAGCCTGTCCAGGAACCGGACTGACCCAATGCGAGTAATCATACGAGACAGTGCTAGTCCGCTTCACTCGATACTTCGCATCATCTGGAGGCCGCTCACGCCCTTTGTCGCGGCGGGGGTCTCTGTCTCGAGAGCCTTCGTGAGTTTTCGAAGATCGCCCGTGACCGTCGTCCCCGTGGTGGGCCTTGCTGCGGCCGTGCTGGCGTTTTTCGGAGACTTCTCGCGTGACTGTGATTTTCGTGTAGTCTGTCATGTTGGTGGAATGAGGTGTTAGATATGATGCAGATCCTGCGGGAGGCGCAAAAGCGTGGTTTCGCTCAGGTGGGAAAGAGAGTTGGTAATATGGGTAGTTGTCGTTATTGTACAGTTCTGTCGTCGTCGGCAGCAAGGAATATTGATGCTATGGTTAATTGACGGCAACACCACATCAGCAGTCGCAAGCCAATAAACCTGTTTCGAGGCAACGTTTGCCTTCTCGAGTCCTCGCCATGTCAAAGGCTGTGGTGTACTCAGGCATGACTCTGCTTGAGCAGGGTCAACTTGTATCTACGAACCCATCATCAGCAATTTCGAATGAGAGTGTTCTCTCCAGCAGCTCATCTACTGATGCCGGAAGTTCGCGGTGTCCAGCTCCGATGAAGTCGTCCTCACCGATTCAAGCCCAACGGTCGCACCGCATCCGCGTCGTCAGTGATACTCGAAAGTCCAGGCTGGCAATGCATTCATTCACCGTACTCGCTGTCTTGCTGTACATCCGCTCGCTCAGCTCCCATTCTGCCCCATATTCCTCCTCAAGCTCTCCACAGCGCCCTTCGCTATACCACCTCCTCCGGTAGGAGCCTCTCTACCCTCAGCCTTCTTCCGAACAATGCCTTTAAAGCCACTCGCTCCATCGTCCTTTACGTTCTTACCGTCGACCGTGTCAGATGATCCACCTCTGTCTCTCATCAAACCCCTGACCCCACCCGCTTTCCTAGCCGGCAACTCCCCCTCCCCTGCTGTCGCCACGTAGACCAGAAGTCCCAGGTTCGCCGCCGTCTGCCGCACGTCCATCACTTTGACTCCAAAGCACTCCTCCAGCAAAATCTGCACATCCTTGTTCAGCAAGAAAACAGCATACTCAAATCGAAACCTTGGTACACCCCGGGAGTAAAGCGGGTATGTGCGCAGCTTGACTTCATCCTCGTAGCGCTGCGTAGTAGAAGCGGAAGTCGGCAGTTTGCTGATGGGGTCGGAAATGGTGCTGGAGCTGGCGCGCGGGGTAACCGGGTAAGGTAGGGGAGAGCGTAGGTAGTAAGCCAAGAGCTGAAGAATGTGCGCAGCGTAACCAAGAGCAGCAGCAATTGTTTCTGGTGTTGTTGAGGGGTCGACGGGCGGCGACGTGTCGAGGGCATCCGAGTCCGGGAGGTGAAGTGAGCGAATGGCGAACTGGAGAGGCTTGGAGCTAGGGAGCGGACTTATTGGGTAGATGGTCTGAAGAGTCGAGATGATGCGGCGCCGCTGGCCGCGGATGGCCTTTTGGAGCACGTCGTGAGAAGTGTGGGACAACGCCAGGTCGCTACGGGTGGCCTGCATATCAGAAAGCCGGTGCTTTCGAGCGGAGAGGTCCTGTGACATCAGCTGACGTCGCTTCGAGAGTGAAGCGCGCTTTTCGTCGATCTGAATGCGGGCTTTGTCAACTTGCTTCTGCACAAGTGACTTGGCGTACTCAATCGTCTTGAGGCGGTCGTGTGCTTCGGCGACCTTGTCTCGCTCCTCGAGAACTACTCTGTTGGCGGCGAGGAGGTTCTCGAGGTCTAGGGCCAGCTTGTTCCTCGTTGCAAGAGCATCCTGAATGCTGTCGTCCAGCTTTGCAAGACGAAGGAGTGCATCGAATGAAGAAGTCGCCAGAATCCGGCTACTCATTGATCGTGCGGGTAACGGCGGCGCACCCGAATGTGCAGGTCGGAAGGCTGTCAGGCTTGTTGGAGGCATGTATATCCCGTCGGTCATATGGAACAGCAGCGCATTCTGTGGGAGAGGGTTGTCCAAAGCGTCGAGCTGTCGAAGAGCACATCAGCAGGGATCAGAATCAGAGAGGATTGACATAAAATTACATTCTTTCCAAGATATTGAAGACCTTCCAGATGGACGTCAAGATCCAACAGCTGTTTCCAACCATTGGCTTTCTTGCTCCTCACCCAAACCTTGACCACGAGCCGTTGCGATCGTAGGACGCCTGGTCCGCACGTCTCTAGGTCCAGATGACGAAATGTCGCGTTCATGGTCTTTGCCACAGTCTCGCTCACGTAGATCGGTTCTGAGTAGCCAATTTGCATATCAGCCCAGCCCTCCTAGTCGCGTATACCAAGGGCTGCAACGGCAGGGCAGTCGTACCATACCTTCAACACCAAGCACATGTAGACTGAAGAAGACATCAACCATCCTCTCCTCCAAAGCCCGCTCCAGTCTTTCCTGCCTTCGCTGAGGCGTAGAGTGCGCCCATTCCAGCGTACTCCGCCTACGCATACGACCAGGCATCCGTGGTCTCGTTCCCTGGCTCTGCCTTGCTTTACCCCTGGACTTCAAGGGACTGCCATTCTCTGGACCCTCGAAACCATCCTCTCCAGCCTCATCACCATCGTCGCTAACCGCAGTCCCACCAGTCGCTGCCCTCAGATCACTCGAGCTCCGCGAGTGTTCCAGCGCGCCGCGTTTATTCTCCCGCTCTCTCAACGCCACAAGCTTCGCAGGAGACTGAAGCGTGTTCGGCAATGCATCGTCGTCGATGGTCTTGCCTCGTCTCCGAGCTGCCGGAGAAGCAGGAGTGTCGAGAGTAACGTTTCGGAGCGAGATACTGCTGAGGTTGCGGAGTTTACTGCGGTTGCTGGGCAAAAGATAGCTGCGATCACGGCGGACGGAGGCGGAGGAGGCCATTCATCTCGACCGGTCTGCTGCCGGAGAGTATCGCACTGGGAGAAGCCAATGGGTGTTGACGGCCGTGGTGTAGTGGTGGTGGGATGGGGTGAATACGGCGGAGGTTCGCCGCGGGAGTGGACTTGACTTTTGGGCTTCCGTAGCGATATAGCTCCATCCATTGCCTCTCAAGTTCTACCGCACGAAACCTTGGTTCAACTCTATTGAAGATGATACGATAGCACCTCCCATCCATTAAACGACCAAGAAGACGGCGCCACAATGCAGCGCGCCGCCGCCGTCAAGCCCAAAGCACGCCCTCGCTCCCTGGGAGACCCCAGCCATGGCTCGAACATCTACGCCTACTGCAACGTCCGCACTCGACAAGTCCTCTACTCCTTGACCCGATCGCTAGACGTATGATGTGACCCCACCAAATTATACCGCAGAGCCCAGCTAACGGCGGTATATCCAGTCCTACCAATCCCTCAAGCAGCTCCCCCAACTCGGCCCCAATACAGTGCCTCCCAAACTCCGAAAAGACCTCTGGAAACCCCTCTATACCATCTCCCTTCCCGAACCCGAACACCCGTATGCCCGGTCGCCCATACCGAGACAACCCAATCCGCAAGGTCTGGACGCTTTCGCCAAACTGCGCGAGTACCGACGTTTACACGAACTCTACTGGGAGCCCACCGAAGAGTTGTCGCGCAAGTACTCCAAAGATGAGATCAAGGACCTCCAGGACAAGTATGACAAGCGTGGGGGCAGCAAGAAGGAGAGTGTGTACGATATCATCAAGCGCGAGAAAAAGAAATTGCGGAGAGGTATCGTCATGGATCAGAAGGCCAACAGTATTGCCGATCTTGCGGCTGTGCTGAGTGCACAAGAAAAGCAGGGGGCAGATAGGTTCGGCACGCAGATGCAGGAGGCACAGTTGGACAGATCTCAGGAAATAGAGAAAATCATGCGTCTCTGTCGGCCGGCACGCCTGCACGGAGGAGGGTTGAACAGGGTTGATCGGGAGATCGAGCGAGTGAGGGAGACCATTAAGCAGATTAAGGAGGACAGGCAGCAAGGCAAGGAAGTGGAGCGTGGTCTGACTCAGACGAAGCAGAATCAACTATACAGATTGCAAAGAAAGAAGCGGGATATGGCATGGGCGCATGAGACATACAAAGCGGTGGAAGAACGGATTGCTTCGAGTCACGCCTTTGTGCGAAAACTGCGTGAAGGGGACGAGCAGTTCGAGCTACCAGCTGACGGGTCGGACGTTGCTTCGGAGGCCGAACAGGTAATTGCTGCTCTGGAGCGGAAATGGGATCTCGCCGACGAGAAGCGTGAGCAAGCATCGCGGATTGAACAGGAGATCCGATCGGAAGAGGTAGCCGACGAGGGCCATCAGCCAGGATCAACGGAAACATCGCAGTCGGCAGAACAGAACCAGGCTAGGCACGAGGAAGCCCGATTTCTATTAGAGGAAGCAGAACGACTGGAGTTGGATCTAAAGCCGCTGGAGACGGTGGAAGCTAAGGATCGACCGACAATCGACATTGCAGACAAGCGGGCGGGAGTCCTGAACACGTCTTCTGAGGCCCTGCAAAGAGCGCGAAACATATATCGAAGTCTAGATGCGGATCTTCGTCGCCTCAAGGGGCGGATGAAGAGTGAGAACAAGATTAGAAAGGAGCTGACAGACGCATTGCACCTGCGGGAAGGAGAAATACGTCAAACTCTCGAACAACTGACTCGTCCAGTCGCAAAAGCCAGAGCCAGAGCAAGAGAAGAAGCCGAATCCAGAGCATCAACAGAAGGCAGCGAAATCACCGTCTCGGAGACCAAACACGAACAGATGTTGAGGGACCAAGAGCTCCTCGCGCAACGCGACTCACTTCTGGCGGAGCTTGAACAGGGTCGAAACGACCATGAGAAGGCGTTGAAAGAAGTTGAGGAAGAGAGGACCACGTCACGGAAGCGGTTGGAGCTAAGAGCAAAGCTTGCTGCTGTGGAGCACGTTCTTGTCACGAGAGGAGTTGGGCCCGAGCCTCATCCTGTTCTGGAGCGTGTCTTGAAGTCGGACGCCGCCGAGAATGTGGAGGCGGTTGGAGAAAAGCAAGAAGCCGATACTATGACAGCGGAAGCGGGAGCCACCTCTAATGGATCCGAAATCCCTCCCGCTGATGCGTCCGCCTCCTCCGACAACGCCGTTCCGACCGACCCTGCCATCTCGCACGAGCCAATTCAAACGCCCGAGCCACGGCTCGTAGCCTTCCACGAACTTCTTCCCTCGTTCCCTAGGCCGAACATCGACCCATCCACACTACCCAAGCACGACAAAATAAAGCACAAGCTCCGCCGCCTCGCCGCGCCCATCTTCAAGACTCGCGGCGTCAAAGTCCAGTGGGCCAACATCCTCGACGCCGAGTTCGCCGAGCAATGGCCAGAGCACGTCGAGCACGAACCTATGGGTCTTGTGCGACATACCGCGAAGCATCCAGACTACGATGCCAAGATGACTGTCCTGGACACTGCGCCGCACATCGAAGAGCGCGCTATAGAGCATGGGAACATAGAAGCGGATGAAGTCGATGAAGTGGACGAGGAGGTTCAGCTAGAGGATGCGGAGACCCAAGCGGTGAAGCGAAGGCAGGAGAAGAAGGCGGAGAGGCAGAGTGAGCAAGTGGCCAGGAAGGCTGTGTTGGATAGTCTGGCCCAGCAGATGGTGGCGAAGTTGCGGGACCCTCAGCTTAAGCCCCTCAAGACTCGGGAGGCGATCAAGAGGAGCAGAGAGCAGTCAAGACAGCACAGGGCGAAGAGGTTGGAGAGGATGGTGGGTGGAGGTGCTGGGGAAGGTAGCAGTGCGGATGTCAACGCGTGAGCTTCTGAACATGTTGGATTTGGCGGCGTCACCGCGGAAGGGTATGGGGTTGCATTTTCGGCGCGGAGCTTGTATCATACGCTGCATCTAGGGCTCGACCAGGCTCTTGGGTCTTGTATATCCTAGCTAGAATGTGTACATAGAGAACAACCCTCAACTGCATCCATGAAAGAGTGCACGTGATACCGTTCACGCCAAGCCACTTTACGCGACTTTGCTTCAACGCGTCTTCATCCACCTCCGCGAAACACAACTACAACGACATCAACCACAAACATGTCCGAAGCAACCCCCCGCATCACAGCCCAATACCTCGAGCAATTCTCTCACCAAAACGTCCGCATCCTCGGCAAAGTCCGACAGCTGCGCGGCGAGCAGGCGACGATCGATGCTGGGGGCCAGATCAGTGTGTATCTGAACCGCGTATGGGCCACTTCACCCAAGCCCCACCCCCCAAAGAGGATTGATAGTGGTGCTGACGTGGTGAGAAGGACGCACATCTCCAGCTCAACCACGCGGTCGAGATTATCGGCAAGGTGCAGAATGATTTGAGCGTGAAGGTGATGGCTTCGACGGACTTTGGGCCGGAGGGGCAGATCGGTCAGTCTTTGTTCTTGCTAGATGCGAAAGGCCTGAGGGCGGTGCTGACTAGGTGGATAGATTTTGCGGCAGTGGAGGCGGTGGTGGATGCGACACATCGGTATCATGAGATCTTTTATGACAAGGAGTGACATGCCTCCCACGGAAGGATGCGGGACGTTTGACGGCCGGTGCAGAGGCTGTGGCTAAGCTCGGTGGCATGGCACGAGACATGAGTGTGACGTTCGAGAGCGCCAGGGCATCACGAGACGGGTAGGGTGAAAGTGGCGAGTTCAGATGAGACCATGACCCGGAATGCTTTTGATGCTTCCTAATGCTAAAGTATCCGCATGGGTATATCCAGTGGTACGCCAGACGCGATCGCTAGAAGACACAAAAGACAGCAAAGAATCAAAGCAACCCGACACAACTCAAGCAGCAGCAAGTCCTGCTTCCCCAGCACCACCATTCATCCCACCAACACCGCTCTGACCTGCAATGGCAGCCTTCGTGCTCTTCTTCTCCGCAATGCCATCACCGATCGTCTGTCCCTTGTCGGCAGCGAACCTACTACTCCTCGGCATGCTAGGCGTGTGGTTGTAGTATTCGTCGACGATAGGATGGATCAGAACAGTCTGGTTGTGGATGGTGAGGACGCTGTTCGTAGGCACAGTGACCCAGTTGTCTCGCTCGAAGGTGAGCGGCTCGGATGCCACCAACACGATGTCGGCCCCCTTGTCGCGGCGCTCCATCTTGTACTCGCCCTTCCCTGGCTTGCAAGGAGTGCTTGTCCCATCACGGCTGGTCTTCTGTTCGCGCCAGCTCGTGCCCGAGCTGAAGAACAAGCTAGCAGCTTCATCACTCCGACTGCTCACATACCGCGTGCACACCACCGACTTCCCATCTGCCACAGCAAAGTTCAGCAAACTCCTCGTATCCCCCGCGGACCTCGTCTCCTCCGGCAACGCCTTGATAAACCCATTGATCCTCTCAATAGTCCGCAACATCGCCTTCCTCAACACTGTATGCCCGAACCCTTCCGTCTGCTTCCTCGCATCATCAGGATCACACCCCATCTTTTCCAGTGTGTCCAAGAACAATGCAAACGCCCACTCGCTGTCGGTACTCCCGCTCACCATCTCAAACCACCGATCCCCAATGTCCGTGACCAACTTCCTCTTCACACCAAGCTTCCACCCCCCAATACCACCATTGTGCATCCACATCAACGCCCCACGGCTGAAAGGGTGACAATTGCTATCGCTCAACGCACCCTCCGTGCTCGCCCGTACATGTGCGAAGACGAGCGGCGAGACAGTCTTATTCGCCAACCGCTCCAGGTTCCTGCAGTTCCACGCCGGAATCGTCGAGGTGAAGATACACGGCTCGGGCCCAAGATCAATCAGCTCCTCCTTCACCTCTGGATCCGAGACACCGCGTTTCCTGCTCCCGCTCGACGGCGCAGTGGTATAGTACCCCACGCCAAACCCATCCCCGTTGTGCGGTCTCGTCTGGTCCAGCCGCAACCGTGAGTCGTAAGATTGCGTGAGGATACTATGCGTAGGCGCAGTGATAAGGTGGGAGAGCAAGATAGGCGACTGGCCCGAATAAATCAGGAACCGGCACATTCTTGCCGTCCGCGACAAACCCCGCTCAGCAGCTCAGGAGGAGACGGTCAGACCAGTGGAGGTGGAGGTGTAGATCCTTTCGTGGATGCGGAGTAATCGTCAAAGCATGCTCGTGCTCCTCTCGACTCCGCCTTACGGTGAGGGGCTCGCGGCGTATATCCGGCGACGACAGGAGGCTTATGTCCTGGGTGCCGGAACCTTCGTTAGTGCTGGTGGTGGGTATGATGGATCTGCGGATGTCGTGCGTACACGTGGGCGTTGGTGAGGTACATGCAAGTACTTGTAGGTAGTGAGAGACGATCGTGGAGTATCCAAGGCATTGGGTTGTGAGTGAGGTCCAGGGTCTGTCACGTGCTGGTGAAGCTTAAATTGACGACGGTGAGGTATCGTTCACTCCACCCACAGATGCATTTCAGAATGAACGCGGATGACAAGGTCATAACAATCGTGCGTAGATACAGTTGACTATCCAAAGGGGTACACTTTTCCGATTCGATTCGCATCGCCCTCCCACCCAAAAGCACACCTGTGCAGCAAACCGTTGTCCTCGAATGAGCAAACGCGCTGAAAGTTCGTCATCTTCATTAATAAGTCGTCCATCCACAAGCCGTGAGAACGCCGTCCATGCTGCCTCCGCGTCCAATACTGCACGAAAAGATTTTGTAGTTTTCTCCTGGGCTTTTATGTACCGAAGAAGGTATCGGAAAGATGATTTAGAACATGTAGCGGAAGTCGCTGTACAGAGGAAGCAGGGATAGCCGAAAGAATATGTTGAATGGGTAAACATCTGCAGTGTCGAAGGGACGTCCAAACAGGGCTCGTGCGAATCGTGGTAGGACGGCTGCTGGAGGCCAGCTCAGTTGGACATCGTGGACTCCTCAGCCCGGCGATCCATGTGGGCGGCCTGAGTGTCGAGGGCCTTAGCCATGACGTGTGTAACTGCGAAAGTCAGCAAACGAATTTTGTGTGTATGGTGGCTCTTGCTTACCAGGCCAAACGACAGCCTTCTCCAACATCATAGCCGTGATCCTCAAAATCTTGCTCCCGTACCCACACAATCCCAGATTCACGTTACTCATAGCGCTCAAGCTCTGCGTCTCCATAGCCAACAGATTCTCGTGCTGGAACCGCTTTGCCTCAAAGCTCTCGCAGATGCGCTCGATTTTGCGGAAAAGCTCGACATCTTCTGCTTGCAGCATCATGATAGCCGGGACTTGGGTATAGTCAACAGGGTCGCGGCCGAGGACGCCGAGGTAGCATCCGACGCGTTCTTGGACGGTGCAGGCCCATTCGGCTAGGACTTGGGCGCAGTCGAAGAAGCACATGGCCGATTGAACGGGGAGCTCGTGCGAGGCGGCGTCGCAGTATGTGAGGCTGTAGGTGCAGGCCATGGTCAGAGAATCCGCTGCGTAGTACGCAGCTTTCCGGAGATGGCGTTCGCGCCTCGAGATGGCTTGTTCAGGATTGGGGTCCTGAGAAGGTCGCCTCTGGACAGCGTTGTTTGCAGGAGAATTGCCATCTCGGTTCGATCTTTCTTGCTCAGATGGTGCACTTGGGGTACCTTCAGCGTGCTGCACAATCTCCGACCCGTGAGCGAGCTCATCGGCCATCTGGTCAAAGTCGCGGTGCCAGAATGCCTCTTTAGATCGCCCCAGATTGACGAACAGCCGCACGAAAGCGAGGTCCAGCAGTGGAATGCTGTCTGCTGAAAGCGGTCCCATGCCGAACGGATTCGGTCTTTCGAGTTTGTGGTGCTCGTTCGACTTCCAAGCCTCCAGCCAAGCGCTGAGCGCAGGTTCAATGTGTGAGAACATCGACTCCGTCTCCTGCGGCGTCCATTGTCTTCCGTGATGTCTGCTTCTAGTCTCCCAGATGTAGTTGTGAAGAGCGTTGATGAGGACGAGGCATCCGAACGTGCTGGGCCTGAAATCGTTGTCCGTTAGGCCATCACCAGCTTGCAGCGCTCCGAGTGGGTTGTTGGAGTTGTACGCCGTGGAAGTGTAGTTCCTGCCTTGCCGCTGGTTCGCTGTGAGAAGCGTGCTTAGCGCGGTAGCGAACGACATGGTGTTCTGTTCTGCCGCAACAAGTCCACCACGATCTTGCCACTCCTGCGCGCTTCCAGCAGAGTACAGCTCCTCGTCACAAGGCAGATCGAGCAGAATCTCCGAGTTCATGATTGTTGGCGTAGCATTGTACGCCGTCGTCAACAAGCTGGACACAATGAAGATTGCAAAAAGCGTCCTCTTGCGCTCTTCCGCATTCTTCCACGTGATCCATTGAGTGTGAAGGTCCGTCTCGGCGCTTTGATGCCGCGACACGCTGTCTCCAGGTGCAATGCTCGACTCGCTCATCTCCACATCATTCGTGCCATTCTGCGCGTCGTCACTACTCGGCGTGCCTGTACTCTGCGGCTGAGCGAGATCAGCAGCGCGCGCGAGACTGACCAAGGCGGCGCAGTGGTTGCTCGCAATGTCCGCGGCCGTCTTATCCCCACACTGATGACCGTATATCACGTTAAGAAACATGGCCTGAACCAGCCACAGGGGCGTATGGGGATGTCCATCGCTTCCAGCGTTCGAGCCGCTGACTGCCGCGGTCACGTCGGCCTTCCGCCTCTCCTCCAGATACAGCGTGATCATCTTCTTCGCCGCATTGAAGAGTTCCTTAGACGCCGGATGTTCGTATTCGTAGAGTGCGCCGATGGCCGCCATCCCCAGCACGAGGCATCCGGCACCGCCCCCGACGCCGCCACCGCCCAGGCTGCTGGAGGGCGACCCGCCCTTGATGCTGGCTTCGATAGACTCGAAGGATAGTGTCGGGACGTGCGTGACTGGGATATGCGGATGCGCGTACTGGATGAACGCCTCTACAAATCGTCGGATTTCTTTAGTGCTGGGGAGACTGGGACCTGGAATCGACCCTCGAGCTCCTCCACTTGGTGAGAGAGGGGAGCTGATGTTTGGCTGCGAGTACTTTCTAGGATTGTGGCCAAACACGGAGGGCTGTGATAGAGTGAGGAGCAGCGCTTGTCGCGTGGCGTCCGTGATGGAGTCCGTGGAAACAGAGGTCACCGAGCTTTGTCTATTACTTCCAGTTATGGACGATGAAGACATGCTAGGGCTATCCGAGTTGAACTGCGAGAGCGGTGTCGGGAAGAAATTTTGTTGCTGTCCTTGAATCATCTCGGGTTGCTGTAGGTTTTGTTGCTGTTGCTGAAACTGCTGGGATAGTTGTTGTTGTTGCTGCTGTTGCTGCATCATTGCCTGCTGAAAGTACGCATCGGCCGTTGGAGTCGGGTCATGCAGCGTGCTCGGAGAGATGGTATTTGGCTGCATTTCCAAGTTCGGAAGCCCCGTGCCTAAGGAATCCAGGTGAAATGGCCCCGTCCCCATAGACTGCCGTCTCTGCATTTCATGCTGCTCCCATTGAAAGTTGTTCTGAATTGGCATGGCGGCTGTGCTGTTGCTCATACTCTCTGTCCAGTCGCCAGGGCTATCCCCACTGCTCATGCGTGAAGGCGACGATTCGTCAATGGCATTCTCGTTTCCGTCTTGCGAGACTTGCATATGCCAGTTCTTCATCCAGCCAAAATCGTCGTTTTGCGCTTGTGGGTCGATCGCTGGATGGACAGTAAACGGCTCTAGCGGTGGCATGTTGAACTGGTTCGTAGACGAGGATCCGCCGAAATGGAGCTGTGCCGGGTTCACCGTAGTACCTGGATTGAAAAGCTGGTCTATGTCGAAGCCGCCAAAACTGGGTTGTGGAGGAGCCGTCCGCAGGGAGTTTGTCATGTCCATATTGTTCAACGCATGAGTGTCAAGCTTCGGCAGCCCCATGTTGCCGTGAGAGCCCATGGCGGTCGACATGCCGCGATAGTCCATGTTCATCGGGCCAGGCAGACCGCCCATGTTCACATGGCCAAGGCCCAAAGCATTCAGCCGACTGAAGCTCGGAGTGTCCATCATACCGAGTCCCGAGAGATCGATGTGGCTGATCGTGTTTGCTCGTGGCCTATGGCCGATCCCAGTGCCATTAGGACCGCTGGCGCCATTTGCCATAGAGTTCTTGCGTACTCTGCCGCTGGCCACACCAGCGCTGCTGACACTCTCTCGCCTTCCACTGCGCGGCTTGGAAGATGGTGTCCCAGTCAAATGCAACTTCTGCTGATGCCGCAGGAGCAGGTCTCTCCGCGCAAAACACCGCGTACATTCTGCGCACTCGAACGGCTTCTCTTTCGTGTGAGACCGCTCATGTCGTTTCAAGTGCTCTAGTCGCGCGAACGACCTTCCACAAGTGTTGCAGATGTGTGGTCTCGGCTTGTCCGTCTTGGGCGGTGGAAATTGACCGTTGGCTCCGCCATTCTGTCCGGCGCCTGCTTTTGATTGAGGACGGCCTACACGTCTACGATTAGCTCTAAGCCCATCTGAAGCAGGAAATGGTCTATCGTACCGCTCTTGCTATCCTTCGCACTTGAGACGTTGATATTGGACTCCGGAGATTCAGCGTCCGCTTCGGCCTTGAGAACGACGTCCGGTTGCATGCTCCAAGAGACAAATGCCCACGCTGCCACCAGCTAGCTTATTAATAGCGAAAAGTTGATCGCCAATGGATGATCAGGTATGCCACCTCGCGCGACCGTTTGATTACTCGGTCAGCGGCTTGATTGTTCAGCCAGTGTGCTCGAGGCTATGCGCCAACACACGTGTTGTCCTCGCCCTCCTCTGCGGGATTGCCTGCAGTGTGTGCTTTCCTGATGATATGTGTTTCTGTCCCTCGCTCGTGCTATGAACGCTCAATCGTCGCTGCAGTGTGTGCGAATCCGAAAAAAAGGATGGAAATGGTCCGACCAGTCGTGCTCTCGCTAATGGGAATAGAAGTCGATTTGGGTGTGTTCCGACCGGACGGAGGCTGGAAACAATACCTCGAATAAGCCAATATGTGTGCGATTGTGTGGTCTGGGTCGAAGTCGTCAGCTGGACCGCAGGTGAGTTGGGTTTGCCGGAGAGTAGTAACAACGTACAATGCTCTGGGTCGAGTCCCCGTGGTACAGCAAGCGTCGAACCTTAACAGCGAGAGAGTTTGATATCGCAGTCGTTGGAGTCGTACAAAAACAGAACCGTCAAAGGAACTGCGGATGCTCGGTGCTCGTGCAGGTGTCGCTCAAGGTTGGTATAACGATTTGCGGGCGTGGAGTAGTCCGGGGTATAGTCGACGGCAGGGTGCACCAGGCGGCCGTGCCTCGGGGTTTGTTGCTAACGACAATGCGGTATGGTTTCACTTAAAAATGTGTTGCAGCGTTATTAGGGCGTCTCGATTGCTCACGCAAGTATCACCAAAGAACAGATGTTGCATAACAGGAAGCACAATTGAAGAAAGGGACCAAGCTACCTTCGTACCGACATCACCAGGCCTGACCTGACATCGCAACCGCGCGCAGGGTGGCCGTCCAGCATGAGTGCTTCCATGCCCGTCAAACTCGAGCACCGCGGCCATTGGCTCCTCTGCACCGGGATGCAAAGGCCGAGGGACGGGCACAGAACTGCTTGCCACCACGCTAGACTCGAGCAGGTCGAGCGACTTCGAGGCGACAAGCTAGGGAACTCCCGGTCCAGTTTTCTCTGCTGCTCGTCGCCGCCAGATCTGCGATCGCGACGGCCGTGGCTTGCAAGCGAAATGCTGCAGTCTGGCGCGCCGGTGACATGCAACCCTGGGAGTTGCGAGTGCTTGCGCTGCTCTGCTGGTTGAGTCCGACTCCGGCCTTCCACCGTGCCGTCGCTCTGGGTGGGTCAGTGGCCTAGTCCCACCCGCAGCAGGCCGTTGGTCGTTCTAACAAGGTAGCCAATACACTGCCCGCTAAATGTCGTTACCAGCAAAAAGCATGATTTGCGCGCAAAACCCTCCGGCCGCTGATCTTAGTAGCCCTGCCGGCGTCCATCGTGCTAAGATCACCGTCCTGCTTTGCCTGCCTCTCCGAGCGCTCCCGTTCCCAAACAGACAGCACCGGGCAAGCTCCCAGCGGCTTGCGCAGGTTCGTCGAAGGGAACCGCGACGTACCTCACCCACTTGGCGAAGGGACCCGCACTGATCGAAAAGGGCTCACTGATGCTGTGCTGGTATTGGGTGCCGTCGAGCAGAGAGTGAGGTGGGCGGCTGGGCTAAGAAGTGTCCCTTGACGCACCTCAGGTCACAAGTACATGCCACAGCCACCCAAGGCCGAATAGCCGCACGTCATCCTCCATTGCCGGAGGAAGCCTCGCGCGCGCTGCTCCACCAGCAAGCTCTGCCGGTTCATGCGCCTGCCACTTCCACCACTCAAATGAACAGCGCGGCTCCAAGGAATGAGAAGTTGCAGATTTGCCTCTCGACGATCAGCCTTGTCGCTGCGAATATCTCGACGATCTCGGGGATCTCTCCAACTACAAGTCTCGAAGCGGCAACGATGTGCCCCTGCCCACGACAGAGCTCCCCACAAACTAAACAATGGCTTGCATATCCCACAGCACGTCCATTGGTCGAGGCGTTGGTGATGCTGTGGGGTACAGAGAGGTCACTAGGTCACTTTTACAGAGGAACCCTCGCTTCACTTTCTTGTCGACCACGCGAGCTACGGTTCCGTGCGGTCCTGGTGTTTGCGTCGTCTGCGAGGTGGATCTAAGCTAGTTGTCATATTGCATCCAACTCCGACGATGGGTCGGTCGTGGTGTAGCCCGGCGTAGCTTACCAAGACCGAAATGCATCATTGCGGCACAGATCGCAAGGAAGTTCGCTGTTTCCTCCTAGAGGACATCAACAGTACACACCATGAAGCCGTGGGGCGCCGTCTCCCCGTTTTACCATCCGGACATTGTCCTTGAGTGGTGATGGGCTTGATACTGCACTCCGGCTTCCTTACCGGCGAGCTCGACGGCTGCCTGCAGCGCCCTGACTCGGAAGGCCAGGCTGTAAGCGGGAATAAATCGTCGCCGTCAAAAGCTCACCCGGCTCGATTCTGGAGAAATGTATTGTGTACCTTCAGCACTGGTTTAAGCACCCTGGGGTAGCGTTGCCGTCCCACACGTGGGTGCAAATGCTTGGCTTTCATATGGTTCCCAGGCTTCGAGTGATTGTTTTCAATATGTTGCCGCTGTGACCCGAGCAATGACTGTCGGCACTCAAGCTGCGACGCTGACTCTGGAGTGTTGTGAGCTGCTCGGTTTCGCTCTCCATACAGGCAGATCGTGATGCTGGCTGGAAATGCCTCATGGCAGAGAACAGCTGGATGCATGCCAGCTTGCAGGCGCCTTCCGGTAGCGGATTACCCTGGACTTTTCTCGGCATTAAAAATCGCAGCAACTGCCTTGGTCGCCTCAACAGAGAGTGACCCAAAACATCCGCGGTATAGTGTTGCAGCTTATCCGACATTGTTGAAATGCGGTTGCCCGCGTCGATACGGTTGTTGAAATGCGGTTGACGGGCTGTTGAGGATGCGGTTGAAGGGTCCAACAACAGGTACCTGATACTTACCTCCAGACCCTTTTGTATACTTTAGGCAAGTATCTTTCGAGGGTCGGCGGCTCCACTGTAGTTCAAAGTAGCGTGATAGGGTCTCACCGGGCGTTTGCCCTATGCCGCGGTGACAATTGAACCTCACCTGTGGGCCTTCGGCTTGGTGATCACATGGCTGCATATTGCGTGTCTGGAGTTCCGTGGCTCCGGCCATAAGATGCATGGGCTGGCAAGGTTTGAGTCTGAACAAAGTTGAGGAGCGCTCGAATGGTCGTGGCAAATGAACGAAGAGACAAAAGCGTCGACTTTAGACAATGTTTCTGCTATTGTCTCAGCTACTGAAAGACTCGCGTCAGTGAGAAACGGTGACAATCCGCTCAGTTTTTCTATCCTGAATCTGTAGCCTGATGCTTGGAGTTGAGTGAATGCGATTCAATACCGCCTGTACTCCGTGCTCAGGCGCTACTTGCTGCGCAAAATCGTCTTGTGCTCGGTTGATCGACGGGGCTACTGGCAAGTGTTGATTTGTATTGAATGCCAGTGTGGTAGTGCCCGCCATGACTTTCAAGGGTGCCAAGACGTGGTCGCCCATCGGTCGTTCCATAGCAAGGGCTGATAATCCGGTTCTCATTCAGCGTTGCAATGATCGTGGCAGTGCCACGAGGTCTGCTGGGGGCGTTGCGGATACGAACGTTCGTATCCCTACACTTTCGCTGATGTTGGCCTCTGGAGTTGATGCGCTCGACGACTGCCGAGTGCAAGACCGCGACCGAAATATGCCGTCTCACTTGCTGGGCTCGGCAGCTTGAAGTTGATGGGAGAGTGCCTCCGCGCCCAGCTCACTTCTTGCCCTTCTTTTTCTTCTTCCCACCGCCCCCGCCACCACCACCTGCAGGCACGGAAGGCTTGTCAGTCGAAGTCGCAGCGGGTTGATCCTGGCCGGCGGTGGTCTCCACAGGAGGCGCATCCTCCATGACAGTATCTAGACCTCAAATCAGCCAAAGAGCGCTCTCACCCACTACCAAACGTGCATACCTTCGGTCTTCTGCGGCAAGGCCGCCATATGTCTCCCCAGCTTCCCTAACCCATTGATCAGACGACCGACCTCCGCTGCTCTATCTGTCTTGAACTGTAGGCACACGCCGGACTCGGGGTCGTAGGTTTTTAAGCACAAAATAGCTTTTGGCACTTTCGGCTGCGCAGTTTCGGCGGTGGGTTTGTCTTCACGCTCGATGGCCTTCGTGAACTTCTTGCGTCTCTGGTATTTGGCTGACTGGAGGTTCGGGACGTTGTATTTGACGGAGATGCGAGCCTGTAAATGCGTCAGTGGTGGGAGTCTTTGGAGGTGAAGTGGTCCTTACTGTGGTGGGTCGGGCTTGCAGCAAGAGGGACGACTGGCGCTGCCATTCTTCGCTGGTCGTGAGGAGGACCATCTTGCGCAGGTTGGTAAATGGTGTTGGTGAAGGTCTGCGGGACAGATTGACATTCGCATGTTATTTCCCCACAGCATCGGAGAATCGTTTTTCCGGTGCGGTCCCAAAGTGAATTCAATCTTCGACTCATGTTCGAACAGACTGCACTATTCCTTGACATTATCGAAAGCAAGGAAGAGGCCCTGGCGAGCTTGATGTAGTGACATATCTGTGGAAGTGGACGATTCGCTCGTATTGAGACCCAGGAGCCCCGATGAGCCGCCGCTGCAGTGAACACACCGACAACGCAACATAAATATTCGCTGGAGACTCTCCAGAATATGGACGACCTGAATGACCGCAGTGACGGTACTGCCAATGCGTCGACTGCGGACGACACTCCCGGATCATCTCCATTGGTAAACGATCTTGTCATACGAGCCAACGCTGTGCTCTCCGAATTGGAAGCATTCCGAGAACGACTAAAACAACTCCGTATGGAAGGGACCGTCGAGACAGCGCACTTCAAGAACACCATCAAGTCCGAATTGGGCATGCTCGACAAGTTGGCAGACAAACCCGAGAGCGATGCTACCAACCACATCGCTCGCTCATCAAATCTACCATTTTTAGAGGCTTGCTGGACGACTGCCAAACGATCAAAAGACGTAACAGCACTGTTGAAAAGATTGTTCTTCAATGCAGAACTGCCTACTTCGAGCAACAAAGTCCACTCCAGACCTGTAGGCAAGAGCAAAAAGTCCAAGAAAATGCATGATGAGGTTGCCAAAGTAGATGTCATTGACGATGGCGGACGGACTTGGACCAAAATCTCATTAGTGACCAACACGAGGCTGCTATTCGACTTGGCTAAAGAGGGCTGGGACTCTGGGGGTTCGGATAACGAGAGCGAAGATGCCCAGAGCGACGCAAAGTCTGCAGACGATGATACTGAAATACCTCTGGTCAAGACTGCGAGAGAGCTGGCACGAGCTTCCAAAGCATTCCGCGTCAGGACCAGACACCCAGTTGTATACCTAATCCTACCTCGCATAAAACTAGGTGAAACACCAGAGGTTGACAACATCATCGAAAAATGCCGAAAGACAGGCGTAATAGTCATCTGCGGCGAAGACACTCGACCTCCCGTGCCCTTCGAAACTGCTGCGCCTATCATGGCGACCGACGTCTTGACGACATTCTCAGACGTACTCAATATCGACTGCACTATTCTCCTCGCGCTGGTGTCCGAGTTCTCACACGCAAAGGTGTCTAAAGAACCCTGGTTCCACACCGCGCTCCAAAGGCAGGTTGAGATCGAAGACAACGAGAACTTACTGCCGTCTCTTCTCTACCCAGCCATGAAAGGCCATCCCCTCGTCTGCACATTCGAGGCAGCGAAGCGAATGCGAGAGATCGTGGATACCATCGGCACACCATCCGAAAAGGCCAGAACGGCAATATTCATGGGCAACGATACACCAACAGAAAACCTAATATCCGAACTACAAGAATGGTCCGCCTACGCCGTTCCCTCAGACCTGCAACTCCCTATCCGCGTCCTCGAACAGGACCAAAGCGACCTCCAATCCAGCTTACCAAAGGAGGCGGCATCCGTCCGCGAACACTTAACAGAGATCAACAACTCTGTCTTCATGTACGGCTGGGCGACCGGACGGACCACGATAACCAGTAACCGCATCGTCACCAAACAGATCGACAGCGAGCTAGAGCAGTTCTCAGACCTGGATGACAGCGTCTGGCCGAAAATCTGGCTCTGTCCGACCGCGAGATCGCTCGTCGGGAAAGAGAAACGGAGCGCTGCGAAGGCGGGCAAGGACCAGCCGTGGCGGATGCCGGATCCGTTGAGGAGGGAGCAGCAGCGGAGGAATGGGCTGGACGTGCTGTCGGAGAGGGAGGGGAAGGAGGTGGAGGATTTGAGGCCGAATGGGTATCCGTGTGAGGAGGTGATTGCTGCTAAGATGGCTTCGTTGCGGTAGGCGGGATGAACATGTCTCGTACAACGGGGTATCGTTCTAAATGAATCCACATCCGCCCTGTCACTCTGCCACTCGCCACATTTCATTATCTCAATGACTTGACGAGACCGCCCGATCCCTTCTAAACGACGCAGCGAGATCAAACATCTTGCTGCCTACCCTCGCCAGCCATCTTCTTATCATGCATGACCTCCTCGCTGCTCCGCTCTCCCTCCGCAGCCATGTCCACCTCAGCTTCGATGAGAGGTCCAGTGTAGAACTTTCTGCCCCGGACATACCAGTAAATGGTGGAGAATGCGAGGATGCCGGCGAGATAGACGATGGCATAGTTCATCTATGGAACTGTCAGTATGTGTGTGGTCAGGAAGCGAAGGGTAAGGAGCTTACGTTGGCAGGTGTAACCGGCATGATTGTGGGCATGATGAAGATGATCTGTGGTATTGTCAGCATTCTATATAGAAATTCCCGTCATCACAATAGACTCACGCTGACGAAGAATGTCCAAATGCAGGCCCATACGTTGATCGCCCAGCTAAATTTCCCCAGGTGCCACGGCCCGGGCGTGAAGGTCCCGAAGACGAGCTTGCAGAAGATCGGGATACAGTAGCTCCAGTCCAAAGCAATGGCACACACGTTGAAGACACCCAGGATGGCGGTGTAAGACCCAAGACCGATGAGGTTGATCGCGATACAAAAGCAGACGCTGATCCAGACAGCCAGGATCGGGGTGCCGGTCAATGGCAAAATCTTCGTCCAGACGTTGGAAAAGGGCACCAAGCGATCGCGGGAGAAGGCGAACACAGTCCTGCCGAGCGCTTGCATAGCCGTGAACGTGACGAACTTGATGATGACGAAGGCGCAGAGCGAAAAGACGATACCGCCTGATTTGCCCAGGACGTCGAAGAAGATCTGCGCGACGGGCTGTGCGATCTTTGAGCCGAGGATATGGTCCACGTCGCCCATGCAGAAGCAGAGGACGATGGTGAAGAGCCAGCCGACGACGTAGGTGAAGAGCATGGCCAAGCTAATGGCCCAGGGGGCTTTGATTTCGGGCTCCCGGATTTCTTCCGTGATGTGGGCGGTAGCGTCGTAGTCCGTCATGGTCCAGCTGACGGATAAGAAGCCGAAGAGGAATGACCAGCCGTTTGGTGTCCAGCCGGAGACGTTGTGAATGTCGGTGAAGACGTATTTGGCGGTGTGTTTGGGGGTGCCGTTGCTTGGCTGGGCCATGGCCAGGAGCGCGACGCTGCAGGTGATGATGACTAGAACGTGGAAGATCACGTAGTTTTTCGTCATTTTTTCCATCCAGTAGGTGGATAGCGAGTTCACCAAGCCAGTTAGCACGGTGAGACCTGCCATGACGCCGACAGTCTGACCAGTGGTAGGCTCATATTGGAAATCGGTCCCGATCGAAATGGTGGCAAGCAGTAGGGCGGCAGCACCCCATTCTGAGGAAGCCACCCCGGCGACTTGGCCGAGAAGATTGAGCCATCCAGTAACCCAGCTGATAGACGGGACCCATTCTCTTGGTGCGAGCCGACTGACGGTATAATAAAGTCCACCGCACGTAGGATACGCAGAGACAAGTTCGGAGACAGACAGCTAAGATGAGGTTTAGTACTATTATCCAGGGACTGTTACCCGACAAGGGCAATGACCTACAGCGATGCACATGCAGCCAGCGCCCGAGATTAGCCAACACCAGACAGCAGACGCGCTGCCGCCGGCTTCAAGCGGGTACACAAAGGTCGTAGAGATGGTCGAAAATGTTCCAGAGATACTGACGGCGAACGAGAAGGCGGCAAGGTATCCGAACTCGCGCTTGAAGACTGGTTTGTACCCAAACTCTGCGGCGAGCGCCTTGTCCGCTTCAGTCAGGTCTTCAACAGCTACGCTGCGGGTTCTGCCTTTGGAGTCGCGCAGCTCGACAGTGGTCAGGCTCTCCCTGCGTTGACGAAGTTGCTCTGGAGATAGATCGGCCGTCGTAGGCTGGGGTTCGGCCATGGTAAAGGTATTGCTGCTTGTGGGCGGCCGCTGGCGCTTTTGGAAGTTGTTGCGTTTGGGAGCGGTCGTTTAGTCCAGATGGAAGGCGGAGGTGCTTTGGCGCTGTGGTGGGGTGTACGAGTTCAATGCTGCTTCTGGCGTTCATGCGGCACGTCGTCCGGCAATAAAACTGTCAAGCGCAGACAGACGGATGAGGTGAGGTCGAGATAGGTCTGGAGAGATGTTGTGCGGAGATCGATTCGATAAGGCTTCCGATAACGAAGTAGCTACTGCAGAACCCAAGCTGCTGTGTCCAAGGTCCTTAGATGATCGTTCGGCGTGGACAAACAACTCCTACAGGCCACGCGACAAGAGGGTGGGATGTGCGACCTTTTCTATCCGATCGGTCAGACGCTTGGCCAGATAGCAAAAAGTCAGACGCTGGGCCCAGACAGCCTCCCAGGATCTCCGGTCGCGCCGGTATACGGCCGCCCTCCGTCTGTGGGTGTGGTTGGTGAGCGACAGGATCATGATGTAGCCCGGACGCAGGGACTGTCGATGGACCTATGAAGCGAAGAGTTGGCCGCCAAGCTTGACCAGGCTTAGGCCACTTAGCTTCGACTTAAGCCCTGTTGAGAAGCATTGGCGAGCTCACGTGCTCGTGGCGTGGTCGTCGTGTATCCGTGGCGGATTCCTGCGACACCGCGGTGATTATGGGGAGTTCCTATGAAAGTCATCGACGATATCTTGTTTTCCTTAAGGTCATGGCTTGTGTGATTACACCCCTGGAAGGCACTCTCGCGCTGGATGGCCAACCTCAGCTGCTGCAAACCTCCCCCCAGCGATAGGCACCATGCGGGAAGCAATCTCAATCTTACATTCTCGCTTGTACCTACCTACCGTTGTTCGTCGAGACCGAGGCCCTTGGCGTGGGAGGAAAAACATCGGAATAGAGTTTCAGCGAGGGAGACCGGATGGCGAAAGACCACCGTCTCGCAGATCTCGAAAACTCTGCAATTTGTGGATGTTGCAAATGAAGGCAGTGTGGACTTACATTGGGTCTTCCGCCGACCTAACAATCTCAACGCTATGGGTCGTCTTTGTGCCGTCAAAAGCCGCATCAGCCTCATCTCCGCTCACATCACGTGAGTATCACATGCAAATTTTGCGATGTGTGACAGCGGTATCTGTGTGGTTTGCCAGGGACGAGTAATGGAGAACGGCCCACGGAGTACTTCGAAGTGATGCTACAGGTTCTGGCATGAATGGAAGGAGGCGAAGACGAGATGGAAGGATATCGGACGACACCGGGAAAGTGCCAATCCTTTGTCGCTTGCCTTAGGCTCCACCATCAGACCTCACCCTTTCCCATGGCCATACAAAGAGATATCCAATAAACTCGTGGGTGTACACTTGCACGACGTGCGTGCTGACGCTCAGTCACCACGCATGTGGTATGGGTCGATGAGACAGGCAGAGCTACGTAGCTCTCTCGAGCTCCGGCATTCGGCAATGAGCTTCTGGCGATAGTCATACGAGAGGAGATGGTGAGGAGGCGGCAATTGGACCTCATTGGAGTATACAGTAAGTTGCATTCAACTTACTATCATCTCCTGTCCCTTCTATCGCATCTAGATGTTCTAGCAGTCAATATGCCGCACAAAGAAGAGAGTCAAATCACCGCAGTACCGCTGCATGACACGTTCGCTGCCGAGGTGAGAGGTAAGTATTGTTTCGATACACTCTCTTGCAGCCTTTGGACCCATATGCGAGGCTCACGGTGGCCGACCAGGCGTGGACTTCAGCAAGGAGCTCTCGGACGAAGATTTCCAGCAGGTATATGATGCAATCACAAAGGTAGGGTCATGCACTCTCGCCTGCTGAACCACCATCAGCTGAAACAAGATCAGTACGGAGTTGTAGTATTCAGGAACACGCGCCTCACAGATGAAGGTCATATCGCTTTCTCCAGGCGATTCGGCGAGCTAGATGACATCTCTCCATACACAAAAGCCGGCAAGAAGAACCGGCTCGGCTACGATGAACTCTTCGACGTCAGCAACCTCCTCGACGACGGCTCCGTCGCACCCCTAGACAGCCACCGCGCAGCCATGAACAAGGTCCGCCACCCCACCCCCTTCTATTACACCCGCTCACCTCTGCAGGGCAACTCCCTCTTCCACGTCGACTCCTCCTTCAACCCCCGCCGCGCAGGCTACAGCCTCCTCCGCGCCCACGAACTTCCGCCCTCCGGCCACGGCGGCAACACCGAATACGCCGACGCCCGCACAGCGTACGACGACCTCCCGGAGGACCTCAAGCAAGAGCTCCTCGCCAACGACTACGTCGTCTGCCACTCCCTCTACCACTCTCGCAAACTCGCCTCTCCGGATTCCCTGCCAGGAGTCAACCCCGAGGACCATTTCATGTCCCGCCACAAGCTTATCCAGCGGCACGAACCCTCCGGTCGGATGAATCTGTACATCGCTTCGCACGCCCACCACATCGAGGGCTTGAGTGCGGAGAAGTCGAAGGAGCTGATTAGTACGCTGTATCAGCATGCTTGTCAGTCGAAGTATGTGGTTAGTATTGAGTGGAAGAATAACACTGATTTGTTGCTGTGGGATAATACGTGTGTGATGCATCGGGCGGCGGGGGGGAGTTTTGAGGGAAAGTTTAAGAGGGACATGAGGAGGACGGTATGGATCTTCTCGAGGTTTTGTGTGGCAGTCAGTGCTAATCAGAGACAGACTGTTCATGACAGCAGCAGCCAGGCATGGGGATTAAATGAGCCGACTACCGAGCGCATGGGGTGAGTCTGTCCATGATCCTCTCGTGGTTGATGTTCGCCTGACGTCCATTTAGGACGGCCGCGGATATCAGGCTTCGATCGTGATGAACATATGCGCTGACCTGATATACCAAGGTATCCTTGAACACCTCGACTATGTCTAGAGCCGTGGAATTACCTATGTTCTTGTCTAACAGGTAGCACTTTGAACTCGTCTCCCTCCTCCCCACTTCGAGCTTTCATATCAAAGCGCGGCGGCAGAACTGTCAATTCCCGTGAGCTTGAACGTGACAGCGAGCATGTCGGCGGCTTAGGATACTCATGGCGTGCCACGAAGTCGTCTGATCATGGCCGTAAGCCTGTTGACTTGGTTGCATGACCAACGTCAGTCAGCACCCAGACAAACAATGGCAGCTGATCCCGCTTCGTGCTGGGCTCACATCACCCCAATCGCTGTTCGTCTTTTCTACGATGCTTTCAAAGCTCCGCTCAATGTAAGTGCGATCTTCCTGTCTCCAGTATCAATCAGCGACGACCAAACTACCGAGCAGAAATATCTTTCGATCTAGGAGAGATAGCTGGTATGGATGGCCAAGCACAAGAACCCATGCTACGGCGTGTAGCTTCCACGAGTGACCTGAACCTGCCAGGATTCATGCAGCTCCCGGAAGCCGAGTTGCAAACGTTGAGACCAGCTCCGCTTGTTATTCGCAAGCCCGCACCTCCTCTGAAAGCCCCTGGCCATGCAGTGAGTTCGATTGGAGGCGATCACCGGCCGACACCTGAGCCTTGGACCACGAAAGAGTATGCCACCTGTCAAAGTCAGCACAGTACTGACGCCGAAGCCCAAGGCAGCACACGCAGAGTCCGTGCGGCAGCAGGAAAAGCACTGGCACTGGCGAATCAGCGGGATCCAGACGTTGGCAAACACACTGTCGTGGTGTCGCCGCCTTTGCCTCCACTCAGATTGCGCTCGCCAATCCCTAAGGCCAGCGAGCAATATCGCAAGGCACCTTCGCCCACCTACAAGGTCGTCCCAAGCGCACGAGCAGAGCGCCGCCCTCCACCTCTGATCCAAAAACAGAGACACAGCGAGACTGCGCTCCATGATGCCCGCTCACCAGGCAGTGTTGCCGGGTGGCCAGAAGCTGCACGGAAAGCACTGGGTATTATCACGCCACCCCCTAGCCCACACGAAGCAGAGCTTCAGCATCCAGTCAACGTCCGACCGGGAAAGAGACTTGTCCGGGACAAGCCGTTACCAGTTCCACCAGTCAGGATCGAACCAGCTGTCATGCCAACGAAGTCGCTCAACGATCTTGCAAGAACTCCAGGTCAGCTTGCCGCAAGACGCTCTGTGAGTTTCGATACGGCCAAGAAGAATTCCAAAGCACCCGGCAGCGTTGCCCATGCGCTCGACACGATCGATGAACGGCGAGCACTCGAGCCAAGCCATCAAAAGGCACACGTACCACAGGATCCGCGTCGTCTCTCAAGTCTACCTCGCCTCGCACCACCGACAAAGTCTTTGCAGCAGCGCAGAAGCGAGCGCAACCTCCTGTCCCGTGCACCAGTAATCTCGCAGAATGCCTTCAATGCCGAAGACGAAATGCTATGCCTCCATACAGCGCTCGAGTCTGCCCCCACTCAACTCAAAGGAGGTGTCGGCCAGCAAACCTTGCGACGGCGCTTCTCAGTGAAGAACCTGTTGAAGCCGTACCCTAGCCTCCGTCTACGTGGTGGATGGGTTCAGCTGGGTGGCTCGTCCGGTGGTCCAGGAAGTCTTGAAAGGTGAGAAAGCGATGACAACAAGACAGGATTGGGAGAGCGGGAGGTCGTAGCGGACTATGGAATGCTAGGCAAGAGGAGGGTATATCGACTGTCCGCCGCAGATCCTAATTCCGATGCTGCGGGATGGGCGAAGGAGTAGGTCTTGGATCAGCATGAGAGAGGGACATTGAGCACGTGACTGAACAAATCTGGATGCTTGAGTAACTGTGGGCTGCTCTTTTCAGTACTCAGACACAACAAAAGACACTAATACTACCTATGCTGACACCTCATGCCTTTCCTATATCTTTACTCCCGCTAACGCCTGGTAACACCTGCATCGCTGAGAATGCGTCGTCGTCCTGTCATCGGCCACGTACAAAGCATTTCGTTCGTCGCTCTCATCCTCTCTCGGTCGTAGAAGATCCGCTCACCAGCCGCTTACGTTTGCGACTGACGGCGTTTTCGTTCGTGCACGTCGGGCAGCAGTACGCTCAACCGCTGCCTTGGTACAGCAATAAGGGCTCGCCGACGTGCTCTATCTCCGGGATCGTGCAGCGTAGGTCGAAGGCCTTTGAGAGGACGATCTTGAAGATCTGCCGAATGATATGTCAGCATAGGCATTTGGGAATGGAGGTTCTAGACGACCCACCTTCTGCACATTGATACTGTGACTAGTACTCGAAAAGATCAACGGCGCCTTCATCGCCTTCGCGAACCGCTTCGCCTGCAGACTGATCTCCTCCTGCTCCTCCCTAGGGAAATTGACAAAGTGGTCGTACTTGGTGCCAACCAGGAAGGGGATGGCGGTCTTGTTGAAGCCGCGCCCTTGGCGGTACCACTCTTTGATGCTGTTGAGGGTGGATTTGCGCGTGAGGTCAAACATGAAGAGGATGGCGACGGCGTCGTTGCAGACGAGGGGCAGCATGTTGACGAATTCGCGCTGGCCGCCGAGATCCCAGATGGAGAAGGTAATTTCGGTGTTGCGGATGGAGATTGTTTTTTCCATGAAGTTGACGCCTGAGCAAGGACACATTAGCATGACGGCTCAGAAGTTGGAGTATATGTTCTCACCAAGCGTCTGGATATAGTCCTCATCCCAGCTCCCCTCCACGTACTTCACCATCAGACTCGTTTTCCCGATCTGTGCGTCCCCCACCATGCCCACCTTGATCACCACACTCGCGTTCTTCTGTGCTTGTTGCCGTTGCGCATCATTCCCATACTGACTCTGCACCCCGGTCGAAGGCGGTCTGCTCAGCCCACTCCCATTCTGCAGGTGGTCTGGCGTGCCGCTTTCACTGTGTGTGTAGGGTCTTGAAAAGCCGGTGTCGGAATATGAAGTCTGCGGCCGTGGCTCGTATGAAGGCTGCTGTTGGAGTGGGTGTTGCTGCATGGAAGAGGCGGTGATGGTGTGCATGCTGGCGTCGTCAATGGGCGTCTGTTGATTCGAGCTGGAGTTGGGCGGGGTCTGTTCGTAGTCCATCTCCATAGCTGTTGCCGGCAGCGGAGCCGGGTAGTCGGGTGGGTGGTTATATCGAGAAGCTTTTTGCTTGGTCCTGCACGCCTCGGACTCGCTGGGTGAGACCTTGCGTGCTTGGTGTCTCGCGTGCCAGCAGTTGGACCCCTCCCTCAATGGCCTTGTTTACGCCGCGACCAAAGCCTTGTGTTCGGCCTAGGCGAGGGTGATGGGTATGTAGACCAGGATAGGTGTCAGCAGAATACGAATAGCATGTCACAGCTGCTCCAGGAGATCGGTGTCGTCGCACGAGTGAAGTCGTCCTTCGAACGAGGCCGCTGGTGTAGGTGGTGGAAGGCCAATCAGCGCGTCGGACCGCGAGATCGACCGTAGCGCCGCGCTTGGGCCACTCATATGCATAATCGATAAGCGAGTCGTGAACATTTTGTGAACAACCAGACTTGGAGCGAAACTGTTACATGCGACTCTATCACATCCGGAAAGACTTTGCAAAAGACTACAGACAAACCATTGATCAAGGATAACATGTCGAAAAGAGCGGCAGAGGACGATGAGCAAACTACTCCCGGAGCCCTGAAGAGTGGCGAGAGGCCTGTCGAAGACACCGGTGTACCAGAAGGCCAGGAGTTCGAAGACGAATTCGAAGATGAATTTGAGAGCGAGGACGAGGATGAGATTCTGGAGGCGGGCGTCGATGGGAGACCGGACGAGGAGCGAGAGGCTGAGGAGCGGGCGAATGGTACGAATTCCTCCAACATCAAACAACGAATTGTGTTAATGTTACGACAGGGTCGATGGAAGTAGACCAACAGACCTTCATACCTGGACGACACAAGCTGGATGCCGGCCAAACATTAGCACCCGATCTGTCAACATACGAGATGCTCCACACCCTTGAACCAACCTGGCCATGTCTGTCGTTTGATATATTAAAAGACAGCTTAGGAGACAACCGAAAATCCTACCCAGCAACCGTCTACGCCGTCGGAGGCACTCAAGCAGCTCAAGCCCGAGCAAAAGAGAACCAAATAATGGTCATGAAGCTCTCTGGCCTCTCACGCAACGACCAAGCTGCACAACTAAACTCCGACTCCGAAGACGACGATGACGATGAAGAAACAGCCGACCCCATCCTCGAAACCAAATCCATCCCCCTAACCTCAACCACTAACCGTATCCGTGCCCACCAATCCCCGCCCTCAACCTCCTCCTCACCCGCCACATCCATCACAGCCGCCATGCAAGAATCCGGCGACGTCCTCATCCACGACATCACCCCCTACCTCCAGGCCTTCGACACTCCAGGCTACCAACTGCCCACCAACGCCTCCAAACCCCTCTCCACCATCCGCGCGCACAAGAAGAACGAAGGCTACGCCCTCGACTGGTCCCCCCTCGTCCCCGGCGGCAAACTCCTCACCGGCGACACAGCAGGCAACATCTTCACCACGACGCGCACCGAAGGCGGCGGCTTCGTCACCGACACCACCCCTTACACCGGCCACACCAGCAGCGTCGAAGAACTCCAATGGTCGCCCAACGAACGCAACGTCTTCGCCTCCGCTTCTGCAGACTCCACGGTCAAGATCTGGGACGCGCGGGCTAGAGACCGCAAACCCGCCATCTCGGTCAAAGTCTCCTCCACCGACGCCAACGTCCTCAGCTGGTCGAAACAAACCCCTCACCTTTTGGCCTCCGGCCACGACGACGGCAGCTGGTCCGTCTGGGACCTGCGGCAGTGGAAAAGCCAATCTTCCGCCGACGCGAGTAAGCCAGTCGCGCACTTTGACTTCCACAAGGAGCAGATCACGTCGCTGGAATGGCATCCGAGCGACGACAGCATCGTGTCCGTCTGCGCGGGGGATAACACGCTTACGCTCTGGGATTTGGCGGTGGAGTTGGATGATGAGGAGAGCAGGTACACGGCGGATGTCAAGGATGTGCCGCCGCAGTTGTTGTTCGTGCATTTTATGGACGGGGTGAAAGAGTCGCATTGGCATCCGCAGATGCCGGGGCAGGTGATGGCGACGGGGGGGAGTGGGTTTGGGGTGTTTAAGACGATTAGTGTATAGTCCGCTTTTAACACGAGATGCAAGGATGTTTGCAAAAGTATGTACAGCTACGACACGTATCTGATGCTGGTGCAGAACCCAAGTGATGTCCTCCACCTGGCAGTACTTCACCAATACCTGCTTTCTCATCGATACAATGTCGTCCGACGAGCCTTCGCCGACCCTGGGTATCTCATGCAAGCGCTGTAATGTCTCAATCGTTTCCTTCCGTACCGTTGCTCCGCTGCAAGTTCCTCTCCATCCTCGGTTGTGTGTGATATTCCTTCGTCTCTTTCTCCACCAGTCCTGACGGCGACATCCTACTTCTCCGTAACAATGTCCGGTACTCCACTCCCCACCCCTTCTCCGGCCAACGCCACACCTCCATCGACGTCCACTTCGCTGCCCACACTGCTGCTGCTGTTCGTCGACATCGACCACGTATCTGATGGCTGGTTGTCCGTATCGTTCATCACTCCACACACGCTGGCAGCCTTCTGAGTCTTGCCGAGCTGCGCCGACAAGCCATGCCCGAACGGAGAATGATCCGGAGACGTCGGAGTCAGCGGCTCGGTCTTGGGGTCTGGTAGGCTAATCGACGAGCCGGCAGAGGAGGTGCCTTCGGATGTCGACGTGACTGATCCTCGCATGTGGCGAAGACCGCTGTGGCTCGATTTGAGGGGAAGCTGTGGGCGCGGTGCCATCCCGCCGGTCGCCTTGCGAGCAGGCGGTACATCGTCGGAATCATCAGAGTCGAAGGCGCTTGAGCTTGCTGAGGTGGGAGTCCAGTCGCTCGAAACGTCTTCTTCGGGGCCGTCCACCTGGTCGATGGCGACCTCCGTATGCTTGATGGGCGTCCGCGGTGACGAATCCGCCACTTCACCCAGCCCCAGATTGCGAACAACACCCGGGTTCAACAGTGGCAGCCTCTTGATCTCCGTCTCCGTGATTGCTGGCACTTCGTTGCTCAACACGGGCTCGAAGCTCATCGGAAGGCGGTCCCGAAGGAAGGGGCGGCACGAGTGACAGACCTTGTGAATGCATGTCGGCCGGCTGTAATTTGCGTTCTTGACCGGTGTAGTCGCGGTGCTTGCGGCAGGCGTATTAGCCGGGGTGCCAGCAGGCGACATTGGCAGATGGCCAGTGGTGGTCTCTGGAGATGTGGTTGTCGCAGTTGCGACGACGGACGCAATGACGTTCTCCGCCGGCAGCTGGGATTGAGTTGGTGATGACTTGAGAGATGGAGTAGTGCTGTGTGATAAGCCGTGCTGAGACTTGTGGATGACATCGAGGACGTGCTGCCTCTGCTGCAGAAGGATCTCAATCTGATCGAAAGTGTACTCGCCCGAGCGCATCTGCTTAATGACGCTCTTGCTCATACCGATCGATTCGGCGACTTTGGCTTGCGCCTCGAAGTAGTTGCTGCTGTCGGGGATCTCTGGTAGTGCTTCAATGCTAGGAGTGACTTGCTGATACTGAAGCTGGTGATCCTGCTGGCCTACACGATTTAGATCAGCAAGCAGCGCTGGTGTCGTTGCGTCTGACGTGGACAAACATGAGTACACCCAGCCTATGCTCGGCACTTTGCCACACATGTGACAGGTGTGGTTGCCATAGAGCCGGTTCATCGTGGTATGAGTACAGGTTGGACCACGAGGTGCCGCTTTCGGAAGGAACTTGTGTAGGCGATGCTGAGGAATTCGTGGTGTTGGTGGAACAACCTGGCCGCGGATTAGAAGAATTCGCGCTCGTCTGGCAGCTATCACGGTGCGGCAATTGTCTTGGAAAGCAACATGCTTTGGACATGGGATGAAGCAGATTGCCTCTTGCAGCCCCAAAACGCTCTTGTCCAGCATGTCGCAATTCAGGAGATTGGTACGGAGGGACACCGATTTCGGGAAGCACTCACCTGTTGTGCGGCCATCAGAAGCTCGAGTTCCTGTGACGTGTTTGTGATACGCGGAGTGGCCTGCCAAAATGGATCTGCTGGAGGTGGAAGATGGTCTTCGTTTGCTGGAAATGAATGTGGGTGCGGCGCAAGCGCTGCCATATCAGTTCGTGAGGTGAAGTTGATAATGAAGACGACCGCTTGACCTGGATGCGCGCGTTCGGCGGCAATGGTAGAAAGGGGAGCGAGCAGGATGGAGCAATTGCTCCAGAGGGGTGGTAAACAATGGGAGAGCCTGTCTCAGATCAATTGTGGTGTGTTCATGAGCTGCAAACTTGTGCAGATGTCTAAAGTGGACATATGAGATTCCATGCTTGCCGGAGGAGGTGCGGCGCTCGAGGTGTTCCTTCCCTTCTAGGACGCCATGTGACGCGCTTCGCTCCTTCCTTGTGCTACATGCACGTTCCAGAGGCACGTGGAATGCTTGTCAACTATATCAGAACTGCACCTCTTCAAAGAGACGTACCCATTATTGACGGGTACGTGCGACTGAGCCGCGTCCTCATGCCGGCTGCCATAATCTGTTTGAGCAAGCTGGGATAAGGGGAGAAGGGAGAATCTTGTGCTACATGAGCAGATGCTCAGACAAGACGATACTGCAAACCATCGGCCATGGGCCATCACTACGGCGCTCAGCTCGACAGTCAGACATCAGGATAGCCAGTCAAGACGACATACCACACCGACGACGGCAGCAAGACCGAAGTCATATCCAACTTGAACTAGACCCCTGTCGCGCTAAGTACGCCATCCGGCTCGGCACGAATCAACGCGCCTCGATCGCCAGCATGCGGCGCAACAGCTCGTAAACAACAGCTCGTCCTCCTCGACACCGTCAGCCCTATCGCCCGTGATCATAGCTCGTCCAACCTAATTGTTGGACACAAGACCAACCGCCAACCTACATCCTAGCATTGGGACACCCATCTTCGCCTTCTGGTCTTCCCTGCTTGTACCACCGTCAACATGAGCCAAGTGCGCTTCCAGGAGGAGACCGTCCGCACCACCACCCAGCAGAATGGTAACGGAGGCGGGCGAGGTGGCGACGGTGGAGCTCGAGGCGGCAATGGCGGAGGTCAAGGTGGCGATGGAGGAAGAGGAGGAGGTCGTGGCCCGCCGCCTCAAGCTCCACAGAAGCAGGACTTCGCGCACGAGGTCGGCAATGCGCTGACACAGGGCGCTGGACCGAATGGCTACCTCGCTGTAAGCATAGTCAATGGACCTGTACTTCGCGCATATACTGTGCGCGCGTGGTCACTAATATGTGGTGTCAACAGTGGTACCTCAAGAAGCTCCGAGAGGACCCTCTACGAACCAAGATGCTCACCTCCGGCTCGCTCGCAGCTCTGCAAGAGTTTCTAGCCTCCTGGATCGCCAAAGACCGCAATAAGCATGGTCACTACTTCACCAGCCGCGTGCCAAAGATGGCCGTATACGGCGCCTTCATCAGCGCGCCATTGGGACATCTCATGATCACGATCCTGCAGAAGATGTTCGCAGGCAGGACGAGCTTGAAGTCGAAGATCTTGCAGATCGTCGTATCCAACCTGATCGTACGTCGTCCAACAACCCTACTCATACCCTCGAGTCCCTACTAACGTTGGATTCCCAGGTCTCCCCAATCCAAAACGCAGTCTACCTAACCTCCATGGCCGTCATCGCCGGTGCCCGCACCTTCCACCAGATCCGCGCCACCGTCCGCGCCGGCTTCATGCCCGTGATGAAAGTCTCCTGGATCACGTCCCCACTGGCTCTGGCGTTCGCGCAGGCCTTTTTGCCCAACGAGGTCTGGGTGCCGTTCTTCAACTTTATCGGGTTCGTGATTGGCACGTACATTAATGCGCATACCAAGAAGAAGAGGCTGCAGGCGTTGAGGAGGAAGTATCAGGATAATCGGGGCATGGACGAGGGGAGGGATGGGAGGAGTGAGTATGATAGGCGTGGGGGGCCGGGTGGGTATTAGGAGGATGATGGCGATGGGAGGAGTGGTGTGCTGCATTAGGTGGCGAGATGGTCGAGGCTGCAGAAAGTCTGGCGTGGCAGATTGGTCCCCTTGAAGAGTTTGGTCGCAAGTGGGGGAGCCGCGCTCAGCAATGCGGCGAACGTCGTGGTGCGTGTGGTTGAGCTTTGTATGACATTGACTATTATGCAGGATTCCTATACTACTCACCTTTTTTCGAGCTCTGGTTGGAACCGAGCATTCTTACGCTGTTGTGTTGGACATGATTAGCAGCGGGACTGGACACAAGCAGCCGAAGGGGAGCAGAAGTTGTTTCGGCTCCTCGCTCATGGCACGACAGCTTGTTTGTGTGCTCCAAGGCTCCCGGTGGCTCTCTGGATCGTCCGCATAGTCCGGTGTCTCGGAGTCTTTCATCCTCATCCCCTGCCCACGACCGCCATACTCGGCACTTACACTGCTGTGCGCTTGCTCAACGGTTCTCGAGATGCTTAGCCGGATCCCGTCTATCGCTCGCGGTCATTGCACATGATCAGGAGTGTCACCCCAAGCTGTTCTCCAGACCGCACGTGCGACCACGAGAGCAAACCGCTGTGCTACTGGACTTGCTCAGCAGCAGAAACGAGCTTCAAACTGCCACTTCGCTGCCGTTTCCCACGTCAAGCGTACGAAGTTTGCCGTAACAACGTTCGCATATAGGGCCTTTTCGTTGATGTCAAGGTGAGTAGTCAAAATTCTTCTTTTCATCTCATCTAATTTTGTGGCATCGAAATCACTTCTAGCACGTCAAGCAGTTTCAATTGGCCCACCACATGGGGATGGACAGCAAAGATGATACCGTTTACTGTGTTGATTCAGAGAACAGCCTGGTCGCGTTCCCAAGGCGCGAGGCACCCCGGCCGGCAACATACGAAGACCTGATATGGGGCTCAAAACACATCATGATCCCAAAAACACTACACATGGAAGCGAGGCCCTTCATGGGACCGTACGAACTGCCCAAGAACAGCACAGAGGACATCATGCTATTCATCTATGCCTTCATACAGTACGGCGAGTTTGGTAGGGTCAGTGTACCGACGATCCGCTCTCATGGCTACGACTTCCACGAGCCTCCATTCCAACTCAGGAGCGCAGAACAGCGCCCCTTCGGCCCGGAGAAGCAAGCATACCGCAGGGTGTGTGATAGGGTTGATCACATTAGACTGTTCAAGACCGCGGACGAAACAGGCTTTTCAGAGCTGCGCTGCCACGCTCTACAGCGCTTACACAACGTGCGCTTCGACTCTCGTAGTCCCATTGAAGCATTAGAGGAGGTCTACAACATAAGCACCGACGGCACACCCCCTCCTCATCCCGATCTCCGCCACTGGGCCAGGAAATTCCTGATACCGTTCATGCCCGTAGACTTGCCGTTCCGCGACCCGCGAAGCTTTCTGGAATGGCACGGGGTCGTCGATACCTTCATTCGCTTAGACTCAGAGGACGAAGGAGCTTTTGAAAAGTTGTTGGATCAGAGCAACGCGCTGTGGGATGACACGGAGCTGGTGGAAGCCAAGCTGGAGGCCGATTGCTACAGACAGCTGGGACTTCGCCAATCCCGCGAAGATTGGGAAGCCTGGTTCGCTAGGAATACTGCTGGTGCGTACGAACGCCGAGAAAAGTTGCGCCAAGGGGAGGCCGATCCGGATCCTGAACGAATGCGTGGCTGCAAGGGTCCTGGAGATGGGCGAAGCGATGGAGAATTTTTGTACGCTGAGCTGATCGCGCCACTGCTGATTCCATCGCGATACCCACGAATTTGAAGCCTTCCGCCAAAAGGTGAAGCGCACTCAAGGAGGGGTGCACCGAGATGCGGCAATTTGTGATCGTGTGTGCGAAGCATCTTTCGTCTCTAACGACAAGGAGCTTCTCACACGAGCGTATAAGGTGCGGTATTGTTCTCCATGTACCTGCGTAAGGAGCTCCTAGAAATCTTAAGAAGCGAATGAATTGGAACTTTCCATCGAGTACCCATACACCACCACCTACGGACATCGATCACCACCACCAGAAAACGGTCAGCCCTGCAAGCTTGCCTAAGCCAAACTCATACAAGCAAAACTCATCTTCTTCGCCGACCCTCCATCAACAGGCCCATCCAGCTTCCAAGCCATGTTAACGTACGGCCAGCAGATCCTGCCATCGGGCATCGTGACCATATCGCCAGCGACGTATGTATCCATGCTCTTTAATGGCTTGCCGATCATCTTGCCAGCCTTGTTGACGAGCTGGAAGTAAGTCCCAGAAAAAGCGCCGCTGCAGCCCATAGCCACGAAATCACAGCTCGGGTTGGCGATCTCTTCCCAGGTGACCAGGGCGTAGGTGTCATCGAACACGGCAACGTGAGCGTTATTGCTGTCGCCTCCGGTCGGAGCGACCCAATTTACCTGACTGTCGCCGTTTGCTGCACCGACCTGGGAAGTCGCTTGCGGGCCGACTTTGGTGTACTTGTCGCTGAGGATGGCGATCGCTGTCCGGCGGCCTTCAGTGCGCGGGAGAGAGTGGGTGTAGCCTTCACCCATCCAATCGTTTCCGGACAGATCGACTGCGCCGCGGGACACCCAGGCGAAGATGTATGAGTCGGAGTTGGTGAAGCGAGCGAGGGCAGAGTAGGAGCCGGACATTCCGCCCACTGTGTATCGTTAGTCCGTCTCCCCTGACCACGTTGGTGAAAAGGACTTACTTGGCTCGCCACTGCCGCCATTGGTAGTGTTCTCGTTCGAGATCTTGACACCGGTATTCGACATCCCGAGCGTCTTGCTGTTCAACCAGATAGCACCTTGGTCCTCAGCGCAGATGCTGGCATACGGCGGCTCATCGGCAGCCTCAAAGGCGATACCAGTGTTGTGAGAACAGCCCCAGGCACTGGATGCGCCTTCGATGGTTTTCAACTTGCCGCTGTCGTCCACATACTGGATGCTGTCCCCAAAGTGTCCCTCCGCAAAGCCGGTGTAGTCTGTCACTACGAAGTACGCCCCATACAAGCCAGACTTCTCAGAGTAGACGAGATCGCCATTCATGTCCGGTGCCATCGACAGCCCGTCATCAGCATGTACACCTGGTCCGGCGACGAAGGTCTTCCATTGTTGTTTGCCATTCTGGTAGCGGTAGATGGCCGGGACAGGAGTACCACCCGGCGGCGCATTGGCGACCGAAGACGGGATGGCCTCGTTGCCTAGCAAAGCGAACCCATGGCTCTGCGCAACCAGACCGCCCGCTTCCTTGACATTCGGGATGGTGACAGTACGTCCCTTCTCCTTCATCGTTCGCATGTCGATATGCTGGAGGTGCACATCTGTGCCGCTGGCGTCCAGGTAGGCCAGGAAACCCGTCTTGCCATCTGCAGACACAGCGAAGGGGGTGCGGCGATGATGTGGCAGACCAGTCCAGTAGGCTGAGATGACGGGGTTGAAGTTGAACTCCAAGGGCAAGGCGTCGACGTATTTCTTGAGCTTCAATGATGGTACCGAAGGAGCGGCCAGCGCTGTGATCGAGTACAGGAAGGGAAGGGAAAGGAGCGAAAGGCGCACCATTGTAACGAACGTGATTTGAAAGAATGACTGAAGAAGATACGAACGACTTACTCCATAATGCCGACAAGGCGATTACTTACTTCTATACCGGAACCGTAGATGTCGTGCTGTGCTTCCTGAGACGTGGTGCATCCGACGCTCTACTCCCAACCTCATCTCCTCGCGTGGAATAGATTGCCTCGCTGATGGGCACGGATGGGGTACTCCACAGTGTGCGCTCGTTCTAGATTCGATGTGTCAGTGTTCGTATCGACGAGATGAGAGGAGATTGAGGAGTGAACATTGGCGTTTCACGTCCGCTTCAAAGTCTACCCGACCACCAACACTCGGCGTAAAGCGGTCCGAGTGCAGATACTTCATTATCAACAGTACAATTGATTGATGGGTATATAATAAATGCGTTTGTTGTGGGTATCTATTAGTATCTAAGTGAACCGGATTTGTTATGCTTTTCCTGAACCACCCACAGTCGGCTCCGCCAAATGGCAACCAATTCCCTGAAGGAAACCGAAGAATGTCCGTTGAAAGTACGCCCCTGCGCCATCATATGGCAACGACTTGGCCCCGAGACCATCGCTGTACGGTCTCAGCACCATCAACAACGACAGCCACCTCCGGCACCTCTTCCACCACATCCCACTCCTCCACCTTATCCTCCTCCGCCTCATCCGCTTCGGTTTCCGTAGCTTCCACCGGGGCAGCCTCCTGTACCTCCCACTGCTCAGAAAAAGTCTCCTCAGCCTCCTCACCCTTCTCATCATACAGATCGCGATAATACTCCTTGAGTCTGTGAAGATCCTGCAGCACCTCGATATTCTGCTTCTGCAACGCCTTGCTCTTCGCCATCTCGCGCTCCGTAATCTTCGCGGAGAGGGCGTTCTTCTTCTCCATGGCGGCAAGTTCGTGGCGGAGGTGCTCGACTTGCACCTCAGACTTCTGCAACTTCACGTTCTTAGCTGTTCCGTACTTCTGCCATTCACCCAGGTTGTGACTGAAGTTGTTCAGAGTCTGAGCCTTCTCCCGGATCTCCAGCCTCAGGCGGCGAGCTTCAGTGTCGGCCTTGTCGAACTGCTCCTTCAAGAACTCGTTGTAGAGCTGCATGCCGTTGTGCACCCTGCGCTTTTCAGCCTCAAGATCGGCGAGTTGCTTTTCGTGCCGGGACTGGGTGTTATCGATCATTCCGCGCCAGAAGACGTTGACGGAGCCGTGTTTGTCGGCAAGCAGGTCCTCCTGCTTCTTGTTTTCGAAATTCAGAGTGGAGATCTTTCGATTCTTCGCAATGGTCTCGAGGGCCAGCGTCGCGATTCTGCTTTCCAGAGCCTCGATCTTTTGGTTGCTGGTAGCGAGGCGGAGTGCTTGTCCTTCGTTCTGTCGGGTGAGGGTGGCGTTCTTCTGAGCCAACGGAGCGAGCTGTTCGTTGCGACGCTCCAGAGCTCTGAACTTCTCATCCGTGGTTGTTGTGTGGGCGGGCGGAGTGCACATGCAAACAAGCAAGGCGAGATAAAGAACAGTGAAAGCCACGAAGGCGGAGGCGGGAAAGAGTTCAGACTTGACCCAGTCAAAGCTGAAAACCCATTTTGCAATGTGTCCGAGCACGGCGAATGCCGGGAACTGGTCCACAACGAAGAGCAACCCGCAGACAAGCACGCCGGCGCGGAGAGAGAGGTGGGGGCGGATTCCAACCGTGATGTCTGAGAACAAACGGGCCTCGTGGGCCTCGAGGCGGTCGAATAGCGTGCTCAGAGAAGATGGCTTGTTCCTGTTGCCGACTGCGGGTCGAGTCCTTGTCTGCTTAGAAGGTTTCGAACGGCCGTTGCTCTTCTCCTTGGTAGCCGCAGAGGAGATACCGCCCCTCGTCTCCTCATCAGTAGCAGCGACTCCAGGTCCCTGTGAAGCCGCATCCCCTTGCTGTGCTCCCACAGAAGCGCCACCCTCCTTGGCACGAGCAGCAGCCTCATGCATCTCATGATCGCGAAACGCATTGATAGCCCTCTCAATCTCCGCGACTTTGTCCGCCTCCGCCTCCTCGGCAGCAGCTTTGGCGATCGCGCGACGGGCAGTCCAGGTGCGCTTGAAGGCCGACTTGTTCCCGGCGTGGTATTCCTTGAAACCTGGATGGCCTTGCAGATCGTCGGAGGTCTTTCTGGTAGCCATGATGACGGGCATCGTGGTGGATGAGGTGGAGAGAATGACGGGTGTGGTATCTGGAGGATACGGAAGATGAAAGGCTTGGCTGAGATTTGTTGGGTTGTGAAATGTGAGGTGTGAACGAGCGTGGATTGTTGAGGAAAGATCGTGGTGCGGATGATGTGTGAGAAAGGGTTTGACAGCGAGCAGATCGATTCTTGTACTGCTGAGGAAATTGACCAGCTTACCCACGGTGTGCGGCAATAGAATTTCTTTCGAGATTGCAAGAGAACTGTGTGGAGCGAGTGCTTACCACCTTACCATCTTGCCGCCGCTCGTTCGCCAGACATGACCACCCAGCCCAACAACCACGCTTCCTCGTCTCACAAAGCCGGATCCGGAGCAGCGTGCCATGGGAATAGCGACAAGAGGGGACACGTGGTCTCTATCCGTGCCCTGAAGCAGGCGAGCGTTCATTGCGGGATGGTTGATTGGGAGGTGAAGTCGGCAACCTAGCGGAAGTCAGGAACTCAGGTGTTCCCACGGATAGCTGGGGTCATCAATTTGACCGAACCATGACCGTAGAAGGTGCGGTTGCTATATGCTGCGCGTTACAGAGCGAGTAGAGGTAAGCAAAGTAAGTTTGGGGAGAACATGGTCGATTGGTCTTGGCGCGGTGTGGCTGGGAAGTTCTCTTTGGGCAGTATTGCCGGTTCGACTCCATACAACGGCTGTAGACGTGCAGCATACCTGCAGTAGATATGACAACTGTCTCGTATCAGCATACTGGCCTCGCAGAGCACGTGGATAGCTGAGCTTGAGCTCAAGCTCAACAGCTCTCAGATATCCTGTGTCCGCCGAGTCTCTTCTCTCACCACGCCCAGCGGTACAGCATACCTGCCAGTAAACAGTATACTCCATACTGTGTCGCATGAGCATACCGACCTCGCATCGCAAATGCCAAAACCCATCCCCACCTGCACCTCAACTCAACAACTCCCTAATATCCTCAATCCTCTGCGCCTTCTTCTCCTCATCACTCATCATGCCCAACGAACTCGCACTATCCCGCAGCGTCAGCGTCAGCACTCCCTTCCAAAACATCCCCCTTCAAAAATGTTCAACGGGTCAAAAACTCACATAAACTTCTTCCTCTCCTGCACCCTAAGCATCTTCTCCTCAATACTCCCCTCCACCACCAACCGCACCACCCTCACCTCCTGCCCTTGCCCCATCCGATGCACGCGATCAATCGCCTGCGCCTCCACCGCCCAGCTCCACCACGGATCCATCATGAAAACCTTATTCGCCACCGTCAGATTCAAGCCTACACCTCCAGCCCGCAAACTTAATAACAAAACCGTGAATTTCGGCCGCGAGTTAAAGGTCGCAAGCGTGGCGGTGCGGTTCTTCTGGCTCATCGACCCGTCGAAGCGGAGGTGCGAGACGGAGGCGGAAGACAGCGCGGGCGCGAGCAGGTCGAGGAAGGAGGTGAATTGGGAGAAGATGACGACTTTGGTCGTGGGGTCGGCGCGTTTGAGGGCTTTGAGTTGGCGGAGGAGGGTGGTGATTTTGGCTGAAGAGAGTTGGTTGATGCGGCGGAGGGAGATGCGGGGGGGTGGTTTGGGTTTGGTGGCGGAGGGTTGGGTGCTGGTGTATAGCTCGTCTTCGTCTGCGTCGATGTCCATGGCTGAGGTTAAGCGGCCGGCTGCTTCTTTGCCGTCTGCGTCTTCTTCTTCGGAGTCGGAGTCTTCGTCCTCGTGGCGTACGACTTCGAAGACGTCCCTGAGACTGACCGGCTCACGGCAGTTGAAGCATCGTGGCACTTCTCCCTTGGCGGTCTGGCGCTCGATGTAGTCAACTAGACATCCCCGACAGGCAGAATGCCAGCAGCCCGTGACCGCCTGCTCGACCATCGGCTCCTCGCTGCAGATCGGACACTCCATGTCCGCTTCCTCCTGGATCTGCTTCAACACATGACTCCCAAAGCGCGCAGCATCCTGTTCGTCTTCCTCAGCTTGAAACCGCTCGAGCAGCGCGCTCAGATCCATGTCGTCCGCAAGCCCATTCGCGATATCCGAATCAGCGGCCGCGGACTCCTCTTCAGCAAGTAAGGTCTTGTTCCGCGTAAGCACCGGATGGCAACAACTCTGCCTCAATCGCAGAATCTGCGCAAAGATGGTCGTGTAGCTCTTCATCAGCGTCCCAGCCTCTACATTAGCGGCAAAAGTGCGCTTCGCGCGCGCAAAGATATGGTTGTAGACCTCGCGTTCGGGATCACTCAACTTCACCTTCTCGATCTCGATGGTGCGAGGCGGGAGTGGAACGAGAGCTTCACCATCAGGCGTCTTCATGTCCTTGGTCCTGCGGAGCACGAGAGGTTCAAGCACTGTCTGCACGACGTCAAGAGCGCGTACAAATTCACCCTTCTCGAATGGCGTGGTAATGAAGGTCTTCCAGAAGCTGAAGTTCGCCCATGGCTCGACACGCAGGAAGCGGACGAGGGAGAAGAGATCCTCCAGTCGGTTCACGATGGGCGTGCCGGTGAGGACCCAGCGGTGAGTGGCCGAGAGCTCATAGCAGGCGCGTGCAGTCTTGGACTGGCGGTTCTTGATCATGTGGCCTTCGTCGAGGATGATGCGCCAGTAGTCCAAGCTGAACAGGCCGCTGGAGGCGCCCTTGTTGCCACCGTGGGCGGAAGCGACAGAGTTGGATTCTGAAAGCACAACGCCGTATGATGTGATGACAACGTTGGGCGCAGAGGCGGCGTTGGAAGCACAGCAGATCGTCTTCAGGTCGATATTCTTCTCCGTGCCATAGTACACGAGCACTTTCAGCGAGCCTGCACTCGATGCTTTCTCCGCTTCGCTAGCCCACTGTGCGAGCAAAGACATTGGCGCGACCACAAGCGTGGTGGCAGGTGCTGGCTCGATGCTGGAAGAGCCCTTCGAAAGACGGGGAAGCGAGTTGACGCCGTCGGCCTTCTTTGCAGAAGCGCTCGCCATCGCCGCTTCCTGCTCAGGTGAGATGTGGGAATGGATCAAGCTGAGCATCTCAATCGTCTTGCCTAATCCCATCTCGTCGGCAAGAACACCTCCAAGGCAATTCTGCTCCTGCACAGGGAAGTCAAGGCTCAGCTCGCCGCTGTATGGGTTGACGTAGAAGGTATCCTGGCCGCTCACCGCAGGCAGATCTTTGTCTTCGGCATCCTTGACAGGCCAGTGATACTCTTCCCACAGTGGGTGCATGCTCTGCTGCTCCTTGTGGTCCTGACCCTGGCTCGTCTCCTTGTTGATCATCCAGTGCAGCGCTTGCTTTTGGTATTTCCGCAGATCCATCGCGAATGTCTTTACCGGCTCAGCGACCGGAGTATCAAAGTCGAACGATTGCGCTTTCTTGTACAACGTATCCAGTTGATCTTGCTCTAGCTCCTCACCCTCCTCAGCCTCATTGTCCTTTTCAGAAGGTGGCGAGGAGCCTCCATTTTCTGCAGGAGTGCTCTTGTCCGACGTGGACTTCTTGTTCGAAGCAGAGCTGTCTTCATATTGCTCTGCTATCTCAGCAGCCTGCAGGATGCCTTCTCGCTTGTGCTTCGCTGTCGTCTCGTTGACTTTCGAAGGCTGGAGGTTAATCTCAGAGAAGAGCTTGACCAGACCGATCTGCCGCATTCTCAAGCTCCGCTCGTCCTGCGTCTCTTTCGCCTCGAAGATGCCGGTTTGGCGGTTGTTCTCCTGCGGCTTGATGAAGTTTCCGGCTTCGAAGGTCTGCTTCAGCAAATAGCACCGAAGTTGCAGGATCACCGTGTCATTCGTCCGCAGTCGCTCTGGAGCATAGATGCAGTGCCCCTCAAAGAGACAGACCCTCTGGTCAATCAATGCGCTCATCCACGTAGCCACCTCCTGCTCCAGCCTTCCCAACTCATAGCCTCGTTTGTCCGTGAAGCGTACCACGACATCCGGATTCTTTCTCCCCACCTGCTTGCCCTTCCCACCACGTCCGGCTGTCTTCTGGGGGCCAGTAGGTTGTGTTGGTCGCTCAATCTTGACGACATCACCATCCTTCAGCAGGCCACTCCCGCTCTTCGTGGACCATCCATTGACACCGAGAGCTCCAATGTACCTCTTTCCGGGCATAGACTCTAGAGCAGGCGCTTGGGGTGGTGTGGAGGTTGGCTTGACAGCTGCCGGTGGAGTCCGAGTAGGTGCCTGGCCGGGCGAGCGAGACTGAGATACTGGTCTATGGGCGTGTAATCCGTTTGGAGCTGGTGATTTGACGGCTGGTGCCTCCTTCCATGACCCGTCGAAGAAGGCGTTGATAGCCCGTTCGACATTGTCCCCAAACTCGTGCTGTAAGGCCTGGAACGCGTGCTCTTCTAATTCTGCTCCAGTGACGGCCTTGAACGTCTCCCTATCGAAGCCGTCATCCTTAGTCGCAGGCACGCCGTTGCTGGTGGAGTAGTTGTTCGCCTCCGGTAGCGGTTCGATCTCATCTGGCAGACTGGGTTGAGGGTCGAATGTCGTCTTCTGCTCAGGCGAGTCGTCGACGAAGAACCTCCTCTTCTTGTGCGGCCGCTCTGAGATATCCGTCATCTTCCTCCCTTAGTAACACGACTTTGGTGGCCGTGGAAGAGTTGTTGACGAGGTCGACGCGTTCGCGTTAAGTGGAAAGCTCATCCTTATGTAAGCATTGAAGACATGACGAGACGACTGCATCAACTCCATCACACCAAAGATCACCATTGAGATCTCTATAGTCAGAGAAGATGCTGGAGACACAATGGATGCATCCGTAAGATAACATACAACCACCGGAGACAAGTTCCACAACGACAATGCAACCCGCCATCCTCCTGCGGCGAGTAGCACGACCACCCCCATCGACATGCCTCCGACACCTCCGCTATGCCTCCTCCGAGCCCTCGAGCCAGGTCTCCCAACCCTCCAGCACAACCACCGCCATTTCTACCGAAGAACTCACCTCCGCCCGCCGGTACTGCCTCGACACCCTTCGCAAATACGACACTCCCTCATCCCTGCTACTCCCGTACATCCCCACACAAGCCCGAGATGCCTACATCGCCCTCCGCGCGTTCAACATTGACGTCGCCCGGACCGCAGACACCACGTCTACGCCCACAATAGGTAGCATGCGTCTGCAATTCCAACGAGACGCCGTGACGAAGTCCTTAGCTGGGACGCCCCCAAAGCAACCAATCGCTATCCTCTTAGCACACGCAGCGGAGGGACTAGAAGCAAGAACAGATGGAAAGGCGAGGTGGAGCAAAAGTTGGTTCATGCGAATCGTCGATACGAGGGAAAAGTACCTCTCTAACCCTCCGTATCCGAACATCGAGGCTTTAGAAGGGTACGCGGAGAACACGTACTCCACGCTGCTCTACTTGACCTTACAAGCGCTGCCCATGGCAAGTCTAACAGCTGACCACGTAGCGAGCCATATCGGCAAAGCCTCAGGGATAGCAGCAGTGCTGCGAGGACTGCCATTGATCGCCTTCCCCGGACCACAAAATAGTCACAGTAATCAAGGTCAGATGGCCGGAGATGTCGGAGCAAGTAAGCAAGGCGCCGTGGTGTTGCCGCTAGACATCATGGCTTCTACCGGCGTTCGAGAGGAAGATGTCCTGCGAAATGGAGCTGAGGCGAAAGGGCTGCGAGACGCGGTATTCCAGGTCGCTACGCGCGCGAACGACCATCTCATCACGGCAAGGCAGATGCTGGATTCCATCCGCGCAGGTCAAGGGGAAGGACATGAATTCGAGCACGGGCATGAAGAAGAGCACACAGCGTTCCCGGGAGTTCTGGGTGGCGGGAAAGCGGAAACGCAGGCGCAAGAGGTGGAAAGGGCTTTTGGGGTCTTCATGCCGGCCGTTGCGACGCAGTTGTGGCTGGATCGGCTGCAGAAGTGCGATTTTGATGTTTTCGATGCCAAGTTGAGGGTGACGGATTGGAAGTTGCCTTGGAGAGGGTTTTGGGGGTGGAGGCGGCGGAAGATTTGAAGGAAAATTTTTTGAAGAGTTAAGATACGGGTATTGAAAGAAACTTTGAAAGCATCGCTATGGAGGGACTGCCAGGTGTGAAAGCAGCCATCCTTCGAGCAATCTTCGCCATTGCAAGAGGCCATTCGAGGCGACGCTTGATGGGCTGCCAACGCCTCGAGGCCATTCGAGTTCTTTTCCGTCCAGCTTGACTCACGCCACGCCCTCACGCCTTGAACCCACCGCTTCTCCGCCGTTGCAAAGTTGTTCTCTACTCCTTCCTACGCACTGCCGAGAAGTATTCTGCCGCCGCTCTATCAACAGCATCAACTCTCGCGCCGCCGTTCGCCGCAGACCACCGTCGTCCCCCTGTTCACCTCAGCCACAGCTTAATCGACCCCTCCATGGCCCTGAGTGCGGCGTCCAAACTCATCAAGTCTCCTGGCGATCCCTCCCTCGATCTCCGCAGTGAGCCGCAAGCCCTCTGCAGCCAGCCCAGCGAGATTGGCGCGCGTCTGCAGCTGGGCCCTGAATCGTGCTCTTGCCTCCGATACCTGCCTTTCCATGTGTTCGCGAGCCTGCTGGCGGGCCCTTTCGCGTGTAGTCTCCATGATCGCCTCCGGCGCGGCTGCGGTAGGGGTTTGGGAGGGGTTGTTGGGGCTCCGTCGCGGGGCGTTGATGAAGTCCTGGTGTGCTGCTTCGAGAGTGGTCTGGAAGTCGTCGTCGGTGGCTTGGAGGATGATGGTGTGGATGATGGTGTGCACGTGTCGATCGTTGGAGCCTTCGCCAACTTCATGTTCCGCGGAGCCGCTTTCGTCAGCTGTGATGAACTCGTGCTCGCTGAGACCTTCCTCGTGACCATCTTCATCCGACTCCTTATCCCAATCCGAGCCTTCCACCGACTCCAACTCAAGCGCACTCATCTCATCAACCTGATCTTGTCCGGCACCGAGCACGGGCTCAATGTCCCCCTCCATCGCAAATTCAGCGATCCGGAGCGCCCACGCATCCTCTCCGAACGTAAGCACGCCAGGCCCATCCTCTTCTTCATGGGACAGCTGTTGCATGACCTCATTATCAGCGCCGGCGGCATCCTGCTCCTCCCGTGCTTCTGCGGCAAAACGTTCTCTGACCAACTCGAGAAAGGGCTCCAGCTGCTCCTGTGTCGAAGCATGGTCAGCAAACTCGTTCTCGGACGGCCATGAAGAGCTCTCTGTGATGGTGCGTGGCCATCTATTGGAAGAAGAAACTTACGTCGTCCTCCGCAATTCCCTTTAACTGCTGTCCAGCCGCCGGAATCCCTTCTGGTAAGGCTGCGAGTAGCTCGCGCGGGAGATTTGCCGCTACTGTCTCCGCTACTGTCTGCGCTGCCGCGTGATGCGTAGCTGGAGCGAGCCTCACCTCCGGCGCCGTTGGCTGCTCTCGAGCCACCCCCAGATCCCCCATCATCCTGTCGACCTCGTCATGGTTGATTCCCCAGAGATGCTCTTCCAACCCCGGGACATCTTCCTCCACCCACCTATCCTCCATGTACCACCCATTCCCCACAAGCGGAGCGTTAAGCCCATAGTCGTCGAAGATCGCCCTCCGATCCCCAACCTTCCCGAACCGCGGACACGAGTTCCCAGCCGCCCAGTGACCCCTTTCCGGATCCTTCACCATGCACACCCAGCAGAAGCTCTGCTTACACACCACGCAACGGCAGTCGTTGCAGCCATCGTGCAGAAACATCGGCGCGCCACACTCCTCGTTCGGGCAGCGCTTGTTGCCCGGCAGCTTCGCGATCGGATCTTCACCCTCACCCAACGCCGCGTCGTCAAGGCAGTCGCCGACATCATGACCCGGGTCGCCGCACCAGCCACACACCACCATCTTGCACTCCCCACAATACCCCGTGCTCTCGAGATAGTCGTCATACTCCGCAGCGTGCTTCCGCACGAACGTCTCACAGTCCCCACAGTACACCCTCAACTTCACCGGCGTCTCGTACTCGCGCACCCGCTTCTCCCAGGCCTTAGCGAAGGTACGATACGCCTGCTTGGATGGGAAGTGCTGCGCGAAATCTTGCGGGTGGAGTTCGATGCTGGCGGACCATTTGACCGGGTATCCGGATTCGTATTTGAGGGCGGATTCGAATTGCGGGATGATGTGGTGGAGGATGCAGGTGTGGCAGAGAGGGCTGGAAGCGAGGTGGTGGGGGCGACCGGCTTGGGGGGTGAGGCAGAGGGCGCAGGTGAAGGGGACCGCTTGTGGTGGCGGCATGGCGGAGGGGTGGTGTTTGTGTTGCGGAAGAGGTGGTGGTGATGGCTGTGGGTGAGGGGTTGTGTCAGTCCAGAAGCCTGCGATGTGAAGGAGCGGTGAGTCCGAGCCGTATAGCAGGTGGCTGGCAGTGGTGAAGTTTTTCGAAGCTCAAAATATAATGAATGGTGAACTTTGCTATGGGCTTCGTGCTACATTTAAGGTTCATACCAGGGTCCAATATTCACCAAGCGCACGTGATTGTCACATGTCAGGGTACGCCACAGAGCTGCTCAATACACTCGAGATGCTCTACAATATACCGCTGGAGCGCAGATATCAACAGACAAGAGCAGAATCGAAGCGTCAAGTCATGAAGATGTGAAAAATGCTGGAGACGGCGGATCTCCAGGCTGAGGGACTGAACCGTGGCGTCCTCTACAGACATTGCTGAGCACATCAACCCTCGCTCGCTGAAAACAACTTGCCATGAGACTTTCCACTGCCTACTCTCTCACCAACATACTTTGAAAAGTCCTAACAGCCTCCGTCTCCACTTCATGAATTGGAACAAGACAAGGGTGTAATGACTGGATGGTATATGAATAGGTTGAAGAGAAGTGGAAGTTTTGTCAATGCAGAACGCAGGAGGAGGTCATGACTATAGATGGACTGCTCAGTGTAGGTAATCACATATCTCCAGACCGCGCCCAATAGCTTGTTGGTGATGCTCATCATGCTCTTCCTCTCCTCCGCACAGCGCCATTGTTCTTATCAGACCCAGCCTGTCAGCCACCGCTCCGCCATGGCCGCGCTGACTGAGGTCCCCTGTGCTGCCTTTGGAGTACGCACGACTCCCCCTGTTCATCATCTGCTCCTCCACGGACCACAGCCACGTCTCTCTCGAACGCCACTCTCCCTTTCATTTCATGCAACACCATCTGCTGGATGCGAAGCCGGTTGCCCCTGGCCTTCTCGATCGCACGATCATGACGTCCCATCGCTCGTACCTCCTCGTTCGGCTTGGCCGAGCAACCCCTGGAGCCTTCTTGTGTCCCCAATCGCCCTCGCCAGGTTAGCGGGATCGTCGAAGTTGAACACGACCACGAGAGACTCCTTTACGGTCGCCTTCTTCTTTGGCGCCGACTTCATCAGATCTGTGTCGCTCAAGCTGTGAGCCGAGTCTTTCCTGCTCGTGTCTGGCTCATCAGGTCCAGACGAGACGTCGTCGGCGATGCGGTCTACGCTTGCCGAGAGCAAGCTGCGAGTTCCGCTCTCCATATTGCTTTCCGCCTCGTCGGGATCCTCTAGGGACTCGATGAGCTCCGCCTACACGAGGTCTGCCTTCTTACGGGCCGCCTGTCTCGCCCTCCTCCTGTCGTTTCGGATCTGTCTCCCCCCCTGTCCTGCTCCTTTTGCCACTGCTCCTCCGTCATCTCCGGCTCGGCCAGAGTTCTCCCAGATCGCCGCTCCCGCAGCCGAGAGCAGGTCTCGTAATGACTGCGGGTGCGGTATCCAGGTTGGGGGCGTTGATGCACTTCAGTAGCCGTTGAAGATCCGGACGGCCCTGGTATATACTGCTATACTCGCTACACAAGCCGGAGCTGCTGTTATTGGCCTACAGCCCCCACCAGCTACTCTTGATGGTGTTTGGTTCGGTGGATTCATTCGAACCGGTCAGGACAACTCCGTACATCGTCTTCCAAAGCAGAGCTCTGGTCTGTAGCGGCGGCGTTGTTGGTGGCTGGCTTCTAGCGTCTGGAGAGATGACGATTCTGCAGCAGCAATATTGGGCGAGCCTTGACTATCCTCTTCGTTCGAGACAGTGCTGTCCTGCATGTTGTTGGGCTCGTTCTGAAAGGAGCGATGTTCGTTCCGAATGACGTTGCGTTCGGCCTTCAAAGCGATTTCCTGGTCCTGGCTGTTGTCGATGCCTGTTGCTTGTGACTGTAAGTGGTGCTTGCCGTGTCGGTAGTTTGGCATAAGAGGACGATGAAGTGGCCTGGACGGTCGTCCAGTCGTCTTCGGCGCCGACTGGCTGGTTAGTTCAACGGAAGCGAGTAATTCTTGCAACACCATTCGGCGGAAGCGGCAGAAACAGTAGGTGGCATGTTGAAGATCAAAGGCGCATGGCAGTAGAACGTCGGATTCTGTGTGTATACACTGTTGGTATTTCTGGTATATAATGATAAAAAAAATGCTGTGGAAATGGAACAGAAAATTGCACACTAACCTGACCTTCTTATGGACCCTCACCTTCTTGCCACAACCGCGGACTGCCATGCTTTCCAAGTTGCAATGCCGTCGCATGGTTTGCTATCTGTCCTACGCCACGTTGCATGCCTCCGCTGCAGCACGTCTGCGAGGCCGACAACCAAGCAAATAAAGCCACCGGAGTCGTGCTGCATCTCTGCGAGATGGTCGAAACAACAAGCATAAGCGCAGGCGGCGTGCAGCTCACCTGCGAGGTTATGTCGGAAGAGCAAGCAGACCGAGAGATGCGCACGCCAGCGTTCGACGTGCGGCCCAGTGTCTCGTTGTGTTTCGTCGTCAAAGAAGGGGGTGCAGCACAGGTCTCCCTCATGTACATGACCTCGTTGTCGCTGAGAGACAAAAACACAGCCTCGACGACTGCGATTTCTTAGCCGGCGTGACGGTGTGTCTTAGCGTGACAAGATTGAAGTGATGCTTGCTGGCAAGCCTTTTGCGTTGATCGATGGGAGTGAGCGCTGTGGCGGTCAGAAGTTTCGCTGGCGACTTCGCAGGGCGCTTCAACAAACCCTCCATACGGCTCGTTGAAAATCTCCATGTACTTCCTGCACAGGCATAGAGCGGCCGCGGCATCTGCTACTGCAACTAGGGAAGAGTTCGTATAAGCGTTCGAAGCGGCCATTCACGAAGTCAGGCATGCGTCGGTCCTTGGTCACCGTTTCCGGTTAGCGGTCAGCGAAGGTCGCGAGTGCCAATGATGAGAGATCCGTCATATTCCATGAGTGGAGAGCCCAGCTGCATGCATTCTCCCGGAGTGGAGTTCGTCAGACGACCATACCTCATCCACCTCACCCCTGCCACCATTCCACCACCCACCATCCTGGACCCCAAAGCACCGTCCCCCACGAATACAACCCCACGACGAAAGCCATCCCCAGCACCCACCACCCAAGCACGATCGAGAAAAACCAGAAAGACATGCCCAGCGCAAACTGCATCTGCTCGTCCAGCTCACCGCCCCACCAATTGCCCCCCTGTGCGCGACGGCGGCGCAGCATGATCGTAAGCCCGTAGGATGTGGCGAAGAGCATGATAGTGCCGCAGAAGCATGAAGCGGGGATTAGGATCGTAGCAACGGTGCTGACAGGGCCGGAGAAGGGGGAAAAGTGGTGGGCGAGGCAGACGCCGAGCGCGTAGGGTGTCAGTGGGTAGGCGACTATTGCTTCGGCGGCGGTGAACATGGCGAGCTTCTCGAGCCGCGATTCGTGGCTTGGCTCGCTGCGCCATAGGGTGATGGTGCATTGTGGGCAGCTGGTTGGTGTTAGATGCTGTTGGGGCTAAGTCGTACTGCGGTGTGGGAACACTCACGTGCTGTGCCTTTCATGCCATGCATCAACACATTCTTTGCAGAAGATATGACCACACGGCTTAATCTGCATTGGGTCCTGATAAGCATCATAGCAGATGGGACAGTGCTCATCGTCTCGACGTTCTCCTGGCGGCACAGGCTTTAGCCCACCGTTGGCAGTCCACTCCTTGCGAGAGGGCAGATGGGCGTCCGGTGCTGGCGGAGTGCAAATGAGTAAGAAACGGTTGAAGCGGTGTTCATGTCGGAGAAACAAGTAGATCGATGCTATTGCGGCGGCGTACAGGCCAGTGAGCGGGAAGAAGGCGGTAGCACCGACAGTGGCGCCCGCCAGAGTGCTGCGATCGAGGAAGGGGAAGGATATACGCATCAGAGTTCTTTTGATGGAATTCATGCTGACTTACGCCAGAGATATGCCATGAGTGATATATGTTATCAGGTGTGCGGGTAACTTGTTCTTTGAGGCAACCTGGAACAGCTCAGCTGCGAGGTCGTTGGAGAGCAGCAGGCAGAAGCAGAAGCAGGTCTGACGTGCGGTGCACCCGTCGAGGTGCTATAGGCTGGAAGACGGCTCACGCTAGTGGATGTTCCCGTCACTGGTAAAGGCGTCAGTCTGAAATGATCAGATCCTGACGAGATCAAATTCTTGTGTTCTGGCGAAAGATCATGGTATTGTTCGGATGTAAGACGACGTCGGCGTTTAGCGACGGAAACGTGCTCTCGTGAACAGTATCATTCCAGCAAGCAGTCTGATCGAGGCTCCAGGCTCTCTTTGATTACATGGTGTATCTCGAAGGCAGTGTTGCTCCGCGTCCCTTCTCTCCAAATCAGTATATGCCAGCACGCACACAGAACAGGGTATCAGTCATTCAATCACTCGGTCAATCGCTCAAGCCCGCACTCTCCCCGTCTCCTGCCTCATTGGCGCCCTCCCAGACTCCTGCCTCATGGGCGCCCTACTATCCACAGGCCTATCGTGTCTCGGCCGCTCATCCCTCCTCGCACCACTGTACGCCCGCTGCGGCTGCTGCACCCTCGTGCCATTGCGCGAAACAGGCGCATACTCATCATCGCTGTACTCCTCAAATGCAGTCGCCGGCGGCGGGTCATTAGGCGTAAAGATGCCCGACGCCCGCTTCTTGCGCCTCTCCTCCTTGTTCACACCCACCATGTCCCGCTCATCCCTAGTGTGCGGCTTGTACTTCTTATCCAGCACCTCCTCCAGCAGCCGTAGATTCTTGGTATTGCACTTGAACGCCGCGTCCGCCAGATCGCCGATAAACGGGACCAAGCCTACGACGAAATCAACGATGATGTTGAGCATCATGCGCATCTTGATGCTCTGGTCGAGGCCTCCTTCGATGGAGCAGCATTTGCGGAAGACCATTAGGGCCAGCAGGACGCCGACCGCGTCGCCGAAGGCTGGGATGATGCCAATGACTGCCTCCCAGCCGAAGCGGATGCCGAGGAAGTTGAAGAGGCACATATCGAGGCGGTAGGACTTGCGGCGGACGCTGGCGAGGACTTCGGCGTCGTGTTGGGGAATGTAGGCGGGGATTTGCTTCTTGATCTTCTTGGGTTTGCCGGGCCTACGAGGGTCCTCGACGTAGGCGAAGTAGGGGTCCTATTCATATCCAATTAGCTCGACTCGTATATGAGGCGGTCTGGATGTTGCTCACCTCTCCACCCTCCGGCTTCTTCGACTTGTACTTGTCCATTTCCTTCTTCAGCATCTTGTTTGCCGCATATTTCCCGATTGCAGCCGCCATTGTGGATTAGGTATTACTGTTGTATGTCGTAGAGTCGTGTCAATGTGGTCGTGAGGTCGCGAGAAGCTGCAATGGCCTATATAAGGCCGTGAGCAGGTCTTAGAGTTCGCTCAGATGCCAACAATAGTCGTTGGTATGCAACGGCTCTCGCGGTTGGCTCGTAAACTTTCTGAAACACGAGTCTCGCAACACCGCGCGCTTGCTTCAGTACAAGGTGCAATGCGGTAGCAATTGGTGTGGGCGAGAGAAGCAGGTCGCACGACGGAGGACAAGCAATATAAGCGGTCAGTAGATTGGCTTTCCTGACTTTGCAGGTATGAGACAGTTGACAAGCAAGAAACGCACGATGATGATCCGGAGCTGCGTCTGTGTCGTGGCTGTGTGGCGGTGCACATCGAGACTGGAAGGCGCGACCCACCCTCGGGAGTGGCTGCCGGATGTTAGCGTGACCTGGGAGCCGATCAGCTGTCGAGCATGTGAATTGCATGTTCATCGAAGCTCGCGCGAGCAAGGCAGTGCTGCGGAAGAACAATCTCGAAACGCCTTACCCTGACAAGCGGTCTGGATTACGCTCCGACGCCATTGTAATCATCCGAGGAGCCGAGTCCAGCGGCAGTATCAGGGGCATTGGGAAGACCCCAGGCTACCGCTCGCTCGCGATCCGCTATACTGCTCGGCTGCGGAAGGGTGAGGAGGGACTTGGTCAGTAGGAGGGTTAGCAAGGGCTTGACAGTCCACAAAAGGACAGCATGCCAGGATGGTTCCGGCGCGCAGGCCTGCTGCTATTGCAGCTTGCGGCAGCTGTCAGCGCAGTGGAGATGAGCTTGGTACGTTGAAACGGATGACACTGCCAGCGAAGGGCAGGGCTGATATATGCAACAGGACCAGAAAGATGCGAATAGACAAGTCTGCTCCGGCATGTACTCGCGGAAGTCCTGGGGCGGCAGCATGGATCCGTTCGTCCTCACAAAATTCATCAAACCAAAGGACGTCAAGAAGCAGGATGACCCGCTAGTAAGCTTTGTAATGTTCGAGTGGCAGGACAAAGACTTGATTGGGGTGCCGATAGAAGGTCAGGGGCCTGGTGCTGTCAGTATACTTTTGCATTCTCAAGGAGGAATTGGAGCGCTGATGATGAGGACAGCGCAACTACATCTGCGACCAAGCAGCCAAGAAGGCCGGCCAATGCGAGAAGATTGGATCCTTCATACTCTCCGAGAATGCCACGGAGGTCTCCAAATCACAGATCATCTCTGAAGCGATACACCTCAGCGACCCAGCCGCGGTCAGCTACTCTGTCAAGAAGACCGGCTACTACTGTGTCGGCACATACGCATTCAGCGACAAGAACTACAAAGGCGTTGTCGAATTTCGAAATGCCTACGGCGAGCTCGCAGCTGCTCAAATTGCCAAACTACCCTTCTACGCCGCCATCACCATCGTCTACGCTTTCGTCGCAATAGCATGGGGTGCGCTGTACTGGTTGAATCGCCACGATATCCTCGCTGTCCAGAACTACATCACCGCGATTCTGGTCTTCCTCGTGGTCGAGATGTTCATGACTTGGCTCTTCTACGACTTCCAGAACCGACACGGTCTCAACGCAGGAGCTAAGGCACTCCTCGTGGTCGTCTCAATCCTTAGCGCGGGCCGCAACAGCTTCTCCTTCTTCCTGCTCCTCATCGTCTGTATGGGCTATGGTGTTGTCAAGCCTACCTTAGGCAAGACTATGATTTACGTCCGCTGGCTGGCGCTCGCACACTTCGTCTTCGGCGTCATCTATGCTGTCGCCTCCCTCTCCGTCACGCCCGAGAACGCCGGTCCACTCGTCCTGCTCGTCGTCCTCCCCCTCGCCGCCACACTCACCGCCTTCTACGTTTGGACCCTCAACTCCCTCAACCTCACGACCAAGGATCTCAAAGAGCGCAAACAGACGATCAAGGCCAGCATGTACCTGAAACTGTGGTACTGCATCCTGACCAGCATCGTCGTCATCTTCGTCTTCTTCTTCGTCAACAGCTGGATCTTCGCTGGTCAGAGCGATGAGGATTTCGTGCCGAACCACTGGAAGAGCAGATGGTTCATTCTTGATGGGTGGTTGAATCTAATCTACTTCTTCGATGTCGCATTTGTGGCGTATGTCTGGCGACCGACGGCGAATAATCGGCGGTTCGCTATGTCTGATGAGGTATGTCCTAGTATCCAGCCTATTCCTCCTTCAGCTTTTGCTAACAGTATTACTAGATCGCCCAAGACGACGACGGCTTCGAAATCGCCTCCATCCGCTCCTCCATGGACCTCGGCTCCGACCTCGAAGCAGCCTCCACCATGAAACAGCAACAAACCGACGGCGCACCGCCCGCCTACGACCCTCCCGCGCGTGGAGGAGCTAACCGCGACGCTTCACCTTTACCCGCTCCCGTGCCGCAGAAGCCTATGGCGATGCCGAGGGAGAGTTTGGATGGGGAGACGATCTTCGCGCTGGGTGACGAGGGTGGGGATAGTGATGATGGGAGCGACAGCGAGAGTGAGCGGAGGGGGATGATGGGGGAGAGAAAGAGGGATTGATGGGGAGGGTGCAGGGTCTTGGATAGATGTAGTTTAGTTACCGTGGTGTATCATGCGCATTGGACCCAAGTATAGCCACCCTTTTTCCTTCGTCCTTCTTCCCTTCCCAACGCCCCAGGCCTCTGGGAAGTTCCAAGACGTGATAGGCCGGCTTGCTGGCCGCGCTAGCGGGCGGCTCCCGTTTTAGCAGCACAGCCTGGCGGCTTGACTACATGTACCTACTGTTTCATCTGAATCTGTGTTCCGCAAACTACAGGTTCTTGACGACAAAGCTCGAATCTTTCAACATCCCCACGGACCAGCTGTATCGGCGAGTTACGCAGCGCGCATTGTGAGAAATAAGGAGTCACTGGTCAGCCTACGGTTCGGCGGCCATGCTGCAGCACTGGCATACTTCCTAGACATATACGACGACATGCAAAGCACTGAAACCCGAGACAAAGTCTATGGACTACTAGGACTTGTGCACCATCTCACTAGGACGCATTATCATGCACCCGACATCATCGACTACACTGCGGACATCAATGAAGTCTTTGCTGAGACAGTCTGGTATCTACAGGATGCACTGGGTGCTCTTGCTTTCCAAGTAAAAACCAGGCAGATCGAGCAGCTGGAAAAGTTGCTTGGGACGTCAGTAGATGTAGGAAAGATGAGATACCCTCCGTGGACGGGAGCGGTAATGTCTGGAAAAGACGAGTTTCTACGTGCTGTCGACTACTTTAGATCAATAGGGGTGAACCACACGTCAGCGTACCAACTGCAACCCGAACATGAACGCGCCGTGGAGGCTGCGCGGACGGAACGAAAACGACGGAGCAGGAGACATCAGGAAAAGTTCAGTCGTATGAGCGATGATGATTGAGCAGTCTACCTGACTCTGGTGGACGTTGATGGTCAACCATGTGCATTAGGCGCTCTCTTGGTGCTAAAGTTTTGCTGATGGGGGTCGGAGGTTCGAATCGTCTTCGTGACCGGGGACGGAGCCGTCTTGCTCGGGTCATATAATTTTGTGAACCACATAGGCCAGCCGACATCTTTGATCTTTTGCGCTCATGCATTTTCATATTGAAGTTGCTCAACCTGCGAACCAGTTACCAGATCCAACCCTCTAATGCCTTTTTTCGACTTCGAGTGCTGGGTGCTCACGGCATCGAACATGTTACGACATCAATCAGCCAGCCCTTGGTGCCGATCATCCCCCTTCATCAGCCAGGTTCATACCCCATCCAACATAGCAGCCGATTCCAACCATCTTCCGCCCTCAGCCCCTGACCCCCGGCAACGTCCTAATACACCCATAACACAACCGACTCCTCTCCGGCGCCGCCCCACCCAACGGCATCTCGCACAACTCACACCTCTCCTCCTCCGCCCCGACCCCCGGCGCCTTCAGCTTCCCCGTCGTGCGCACGACGTTCGCCACGATCGAGGGATAGTCCCGCTCTACCGACTCGAAGTACTGCCGCATTAAATCGTCTATGCTCGTGTTCTTCGTGCTCACGGCTGGCTTCGTCGCGGCCTTCAGGATTAAGTCATCCAGAGGGGGGCTGGTGAGGGAGGAAAAGGCGATGATCTCCTTGGTGAGAAGTTCGCGCATGGGGTAGAAGTTTTGAGGTCCGCTTGGAGAGGCTGTGTCGGTGACGAGCCAGGGGAGGGAGGCACCGCGTCCTTTGGCGGTTTCGGCGAGGGTGAGTTCGGCGAGGCGGGTGGTGCTGTGGGCCCAGAGGATGGATTCGCAGTTGTGGTTGGTGGCGAAGTTGGTGATTAGGCGGCGAAGGAGGATGCGGTGAGTGTCGGCGCGGGAGGTCGCCGATGGGAGGGTGGCGAGGAGGTCTAGTACCGATGGCTCGGTCTGGGAGGAAGTGTCACCGTTGGCATCGGAGGAGAGAGGTGGCTGGAGGAGCGGAGAGACACCGTCCAGCGAGAGTACTTCTGAGACGGGCAATATGGAATATGTATGCTCAGGGAAGCGTTCCTTGACCTTTTCAAGCAGTGCCTTACTTGTAGGACCAGATCCATCGTCCACATGCACGATATGTAATTGATATCCACTCCTTCCTGTCCTCTCTACTTGCCCTTTCATATGCTCGCTGAGGATGTGCAGCAGCGTAGTCGAGCATGCCCCAAATGAGAGCGGAAGCGAGAGTACTCGCTCCTTGCCAGGATCAGAGTACTTGACACGGAAGCTCTCCATCCGCTTGACGACCTTTGTCGACACATACCTGCAGAAGCATTCATTGCAGAGTGGCTCTGTTCGTACGGTGATCGTAGGCTCGTTCGTCTGGCATCGGCGGCATAGACTGTCGTCTTTTGGCACGATAGGCCGTCTGCCAGGCATCTTCGGTGATGATGTTGCAACTGCTAACGACCGCAGCCTTGGTAGAATCTCTGCGAGTATCGTATATGGTTTGAGATGTTTCTCACCAAGTCAAAGCTACCGTACTAGCAGACTGGTGAACAGGTGAGGTTGAGTTTTCAATGTCACTTGGTGGCCGAATTAGGCAGTGTAACAGAGACACGGCGGAAGCTTGGTACTCTTGTCAATGCATATCATATCTCGCATGCAGTCGTAAGTCCTTCAAGCTTCCGAAACCATGTTGAGTGGAACGGGGGATGGGTGGAAGAATGAAAAGCACTTCACGTGGACGTGGACGCCAATGCCGACGAACCCGGGTGAATAAAGTTCAACACTCACCCATCTTTCTTACTTATTCAAAAGCTGCCAGTGGCAATGATACGTCTTCACACGTCTTCTAGCTCTTCCTCCGTCACTCTCTTTACCATCTTCGCAGGAGTACGTGGTAAGTAGAGTTGTCGCCATCAACCACCCCTTCGCTCCGCCTACCAAGCCCCGACGAGAGCCGACGGGATTCAACCAGCTAAGGCCTTGGCTTCTTCCGTCTTGCCATCCATTGCGCAACTGTAGACTCCTCTCTCTGTGAGCTACACGACACTGCCAACCGTGGCTATCTGGAGCGGCGACTGGGCGCATCCAAGGACCTGAATGCATCGCCGGAACCCGCATACTACCCTCGAACGAACCACCGCCGCCGAGACCTTCGATCGACGACTGAGGCAGTGGCCCGCGTATAGAAGAATAAGATAAGACAAGCTGTGAGAGAAGACTTCCACTACATTGTTGGCGGATACCTGGGCGAAGCTGAGACATAGAGCAATATGGCGTGGGAACATCTTTCGGTCAACAAGCCGCATCTGGTGTACCTCATCCTGGGAGGCTTCACCACACTTTTCATGCTATGTTCTTCCATCATTAAGGAGCGGCTGTACATTGGCGAGGCAACGGTGGCAACACTATGCGGCATCATATTCGGCCCCCATGCGGCGAATCTCATCGATCCCCTCACTTGGGGCAACACGGACCAGATCACTCTGGAGTTCTCTCGGATTGTACTGGTGGTACAATGTTTTGCCGTCGGTGTCGAACTGCCAAAGCACTACATGGAGAAGCACTGGCGGTCGGTCACATTCCTACTGATCCCAGTCATGACCTTCGGCTGGTTGGTCACGAGTCTATTCATTTGGGCAGTCTTCCACCAGTGGGCCAACTGGCTAGACTGTCTCTGCATCGCCGCTTGTGTCACCGCGACTGATCCCGTGCTGGCATCCTCCGTCGTCGGTAAGGGCAAATTCGCAAAGCGGGTGCCAAAGCATCTGCGAGATTTGCTTTCTTGCGAGTCTGGCTGCAACGATGGCATGGCTTTTCCTTTCGTTTACCTGGCCATCTACATTATTCGATACAAGGAGGAGCCGGAGCACGTCGCCCTGCACTGGTTTTGCTACACGATTCTCTACGAGTGTATCTTCGGAGCGACCTACGGTTTAATTGTTGGCTACATTGCACGACGCCTGATCCGCGCAGCACATGAGCGCGACTACATCGATCGAGAGTCTTTCCTGGTGTTCTACTTCGTCCTGGCTTTGTTCTGCGCTGGATCTGGAGCATTGCTAGGCACGGACGATTTGCTCGTCGGCTTCGCGTGCGGTGTTGGCTTCAGTAACGATGGCTGGTTCACGGAGAAGACGGAGGAATCGCATGTCTCCAACGTTATCGACCTGCTCATTAACTTGACGTTCTTCGTCTACTTCGGCACCATCATCCCGTGGGACCAATTCAACGCTGCTCACCTTGGCCTGGACGCGTGGCGACTGGTGGTTATTGCGCTCTTGGTTTTATTCTTCCGACGCATTCCGATCATGCTGTGTCTAAAGCCGGTTATCCCTGACATCAAAACGTGGCGTGAGGCACTGTTCGCTGGCCACTTTGGGCCGATTGGTGTTGGTGCCATTTTCGTGGCTATCTTGGCCAGAGCCGAGTTGGAGACCGAAGAGACTACGCCACTTGCAGTTTTACCTGAGCCTGGCTTCCCGCATCGGAACGTAATTGAGCTGATATGGCCGATCACCGCCTTTTTAGTGATCACATCCATCCTTGTTCACGGATCTTCGATTGCGGTGTTCACGCTTGGCAAGCACATCAACACGCTCACGCTTACGATGTCCTACTCCAAGGCGGTGGACGAGCCGAACTGGATGGAGCGGTTACCTCGCATCCAATCTCGATCAAAGAGCTCGATGTCTGCAAGATCTGACACCGATTTCGAGGTGGAGAACGAGAAAGGCCCGCTTCCACCAGGCATGCTTCCCGCTGTTGGTCGTGGACCGTTCTTGCGGCGACAGAAGGAAGAGGATAACCCAAGCCGTGTGCAGAGCCGCTCGTCTAGCAGGCACCGACCGAAGCACAGCAAGAACTGGGAGACTGGTCGTGGACCTGGTGGCCCCATCAGTCAGTCTGCGATCAAGCCACAGCCAAGAGACCAGCAGAGTCCAGAGCACCATGAAAGTGGCGACTCTGATACGCTGGCCGTCAAGAGTGAGCCTGCATCTGACGAGCAGAAAGACCCAGATAGGGCGCGCAGGACTCAGGCTGGTGAGATTTACGAAGAGGGCGAGAAGACTGTTTACGAAGACGAAGAGGGTAATGTCCTTGCCGTCGAAGACTCAAAGCAACTCCAGCCCCAAGGAACCCGTGAGGAGGACGAACAACGGGAAGGCAGACGCCTCATGCACGCGGCCGGCGCTGATCGCAATCGCCGCGGTGTTGCCAGTCCGGATTGGCAGGCAGACCAGGGCGGCGAAGCGTTCATGGACAGGGTCAGATCTTGGGGGGAGGAGGAAGCTGGCAAGGCTGAAAAGGAGAAAGACAAGGTGGAGGACTACTTCGAGCCCAAGACCGAGTCCAAGGCCGAGCCTGCCAAATCTGCGCAACCCCAACGACCCGGCCAACGGTGGCGTGAAGGTGTCAAGAAGATGAGCACCAAAGGCTTCCTCGCCCCGAAGAAGGATGAGGAGAAGGCTACGCTGGAGCCTGTGGCTGAGAAGACGCATGGTCCGGCTCGTGCTTATCAGTTCGGCAACACTATCATCGTCGAGGACGAGGACGGCGAGGTCATCAAGAAGTACGACATCCCTGCTCCAGATCGGAAGCAGAGCTATTCTGGCGCCAATCCGAAGACTACTCGGCAAAGATTGCAGTCCATGGGTACTATGCTCGGGATGGGCGAGAGAGAAAAGAGGATTCAAGCCAAGGAGGCTGGCGAGACTGCCGGGCCTAGTCAGCCCGCTGAGGCTGCGGCAGCCAAACCTCCCGCTGCTGGTCCAGATGACGAAGAGAACCTGCGCTTCACTATCACCACCGGCGGCAGACGCATGAGTAAAGCGGACTTCATCGACGCCATCCGTGACATGGACCCGAAACGCCGCGTGCAAGCCGTAGAGGACAGCAACGCACCCGAAGGTGTCAAGCGCGAGGCTCGCGCAGAGGCCCGGGAACAAGCTGCCCATCTCCGGCGTGGCACCTCTGGTAACGTGCCGGTCGTCAACGAGCAGCCCGAGGGCGAGGATGACCGCATGGCCGAAATCGAGAAAGTTGCCACCCACGAAACCGACAACGACCTCCGCCTCGTCGACTCGGAGAACCAGCAAGTTCCCTTCCACGACGTCTCCCGCGAACTCCGAAACTACTCCATGAACCAGTCTACCGGCGAAACAGCTGCCGAGCGTCGCCGGCGCGAAGCCCTGCAAGACCAGAACGCAGGCGACTCTGATTCCGAAGACGACGGCACCGACCGCGTGCCGCCGAAACCAGTAGCCAGCTCGTCGACCGCTGAGCAGAGACAGTTCAGCGACACGGGCGAGACTGCTGCAGAGCGGAGACGGCGAGAGGGAGCGCTGGGCTTGAGGGAAGAGGAGAGCAGTGATAGCGAGGACGACAATGAGCCGAGACAGTTGCCGCAGGGGCAGGCGCAGAATGTGCGGTTTGCGGACCAGGCGGAGCCGAAGGAGAGGCCGGCGAGGCAGAGTACGTTGAAGTGGGGGAAGGATCGGGGGCGGTAGGACTGTCTTCTAGCGATGAGTAGGTGTTGGAGTATTGGGTTGTGGATATGGGGATATGGGTGTTTGATGCAGCGAGGCGCTTGTGGTATTGTGCCGTTTTGAGAAATTGTAGATATGTTTACAACACTTTTACGATGCTCAGATATATCGTCTACTCAGTGTCGTGCTCTGTGGTATCTATCTGTATGGTTCTGGAGTGGTGCATGTATCTTCAAGAGGCTCATTTTGAGTTCACTTCAGACTTCCGAGCCGGGCCAGCCGCCGAAAGCGGAACCCTGCATCCCCACCCGTTGGCGCCTGCCAAGAATGTCGAAAGGCTCTGGGCCTCGTCCTTCCACCATCTCTTCTTCCTCCTCATCCACCACACCCACTCCGTCCCCCCATCGACGACCAGCACACCGGAGGCGCAGACCTCGTTTTCTTCTTCCCTTTTCTGCATCTCCTTTGTGCTTTCCTTGCCGAGTCTTACGGCCTGTCAGCGAGTTTCTGTGCCTGTTGCTGCTTATCTCACCAACAGTCCGCCGCACTTGTACTCGCTGAACGACCGCGTCGAAGTCCGCTCGAAGTCAGCGACAGCGCGCAAATCGCCGTCTCTCTCCATCTCACAGAGACCAAGAGTGTACCACAGCCCGCTCTCGCAGCAGCAGCGGACCGGCAAAGCTAAGGCGTCTATCAGCTCATCTCTTTGTGCGTTGCGCTTCCACATCTCCGCCAAGATCTCTCGCAGCAGGTCCTGATAAATCTCTTCGCAGCTCCACAACAGAGCAAGAGGACGCGCGCGCACCCTTTCCGTCAGCTGTTACTCTATTTCGGCCTCCAATTTCCAGTACTCTCCTACCTGTACTCTCTTCCCTTCAGTCTCCCAGCAAACCATGGCCGACTCATCCACCGCTCCGGGCTCGACCCTGCCTCCGCCGCCGACGACGGGCGCCGCGCCGGGCCAGGCGAACTACGAGAATGGCTCGCAGAGTCATATGCCGCCGCCGCTCAACATCCCGCAGAACAACAGCAATATCGGCGCGGGTGCGGATTTCATGTCGCCGAACAGTGCGATTCGACGTATGGCGCCGGAGCCTAACAAGAGGGCGTTGTATGTCGGTGGGCTGGATCCAAGGGTGACGGAGGAGGTGTTGAAGCAGATATTTGAGACGACGGGCCACGTGCAGAATGTGAAGATTATTCCGGACAAGAATGTGAGTACATGTGCCTTTTCCACGCGCGGCACATGATCGGGCAGCATGCTATTGTTGCTTGGCTGGTCACGAGGCCTCTGCGTTGTCAACAGCTTGATAAATACAAGACTGAAGCTTTCCACCTCCCTTTCTATACACACAACACGACGATCAACATGGCACTAACTATGGAGTTGCCACAGTTCCAATCCAAGGGCTACAACTACGGCTTCGTGGAGTACGACGACCCGGCGAGCGCAGAGCGTGCTCTCCAGACGCTGAATGGTAGGAGGGTCCACCAGCAGGAGATTCGTGTGAATTGGGCCTATCAGTCCAGCAACACTTCCAAGGAGGACACTTCCAATCATTTCCACATCTTCGTCGGCGATCTCTCCAACGAGGTCAACGATGAAGTGCTCATGCAGGCGTTTTCAGCCTTCGGCACGGTTTCGGAGGCACGTGTCATGTGGGACATGAAGACGGGACGTTCTCGCGGGTATGGTTTCGTTGCTTACCGTGACCGCACCGAAGCGGAGAAGGCGCTCAGTTCGATGGACGGCGAGTGGCTCGGATCACGTGCCATTCGTTGCAACTGGGCCAACCAGAAGGGCCAGCCTTCTTTCACGCAGCAGCAGGCGATGGCGCAGATGGGCATGACTCCGACCACGCCTTACGGCCACCACAGCTTCCCGACTCAAGGTGCTCAATCCTACGAGATGGTTGTCCAGCAGACCCCGCAGTGGCAGACAACCTGCTACGTCGGCAACCTCACGCCATACACCACCCAGAACGATCTCGTGCCGCTCTTCCAGAACTTCGGCTACGTCACCGAGACTCGCTTCCAGGCCGACCGTGGCTTCGCGTTCGTGAAGATGGACACGCACGAGAACGCCGCGAGCGCCATCTGCCAGCTCAACGGGTACCAGGTTAACGGCCGTCCGCTCAAGTGCAGCTGGGGCAAGGACCGTCCTCCGACTGGCCAGTTCGACGGCTACTCTCCTGCTGGTGCGCCACCGCAGAGCGCGTATCCGGCGACTCCGCAGGCGTTCTTCCCGCAGTATGGTCAGCCGCATGCTATGTCTCCTCAGGGTGAGTACAGTCATAGTCACAAATATTCGCATGGTTACTAATCGAGTTCTAGTCGCCACTCCAGCCGGTCAATTCCAGCACCCCACCGCCGGCAGCTTCCAGCCACCCAACATGACTCCGCAAGGCATGCACCCGCCGCCAGGGGCCTGGGGCCAGCCTCAGATGACTCCCCAGAGCGCGGGTGGTTTCCAGCCGGGCCAAGGTGCTTTCATGGGTCAGCCGCAGCCTCCTGCTGGCTTCGGTCGCGGCTACGGTGGCTACTAGGGCTAGGCGCCTGAGGTGGCTTGATCGTGGTCTGATCGAAGCCTCTTCTACTTGACTTCGGCTGTCTCTGTCAAGTGGCTGGCAACTCGATACTGTCAGTGTTGCTCTCTCCTCTCCGCGTGCTGCTCGGCGATCGATCAAGCGGTTTTTCCTTTCTTGCTTGGATACACACCACTGGCAGACAAGCATGTGCGAGCGAGCGGGAGGGACATGAAGGGGTGTGTTTTGTTCAGCGATGCGATGGGTCTCACTCTCCATTCATGTATGGTGCTTAGCTCTGAGCGTGGACAGGGACATGGACTGTTATGGTGTCTGTTACTGCTTGACTGTTTCCTGTGCGACGGAAGGAAAGGATACGGTATGAAAGAATTGCACAGAATGGACGGCATGACAGGGTGTGGTATATAGTTGTTTGAGAGAATGGAATCGAGTTATAAGGTCCATGTTGTGCGATGCGATGGGGAGGAGGTTGACTGGGCGCTGTCTAGCTTCTGGACGCTGGAAGGCGAGGGTGAGACGGCTGGCGCATCTTCTCCGAAAAGCAGACAGGTTTGGAGCACCACAGCTTCTCTCATGAAGGCCTGTGAGAGCAGAAACGGGAGCCGCCCGCTAGCGCGCATGGGAATTTGGCCAATCAGAAGCTTTGGTCGGATTTTGGAGACACCTCACTCTACTTTAGTTGCTGGAGTTGAGCGAGACTTGGAGTATTTGCTGGACATCGACAGATGCATCCTTCGCGGAAGACCTGGCGCTGCGGCAACCGTGCGAATCGTCCCCCTCACCTGCTGGGCAATTTCAGTTCGCAGCTACGATGTGCCTACGGGATGGAACGTTGTATGCACCCTGGAGGTCATCAATATATCTCCAGTCACTGGTCGCGCCCGGGATGGTAGGTTCAAGACATTCATGTCCTCGGCTGCGGCTATAGGCAGCCTCCTCGAACGTATGCAGCCAGGGACACCAGGACACTAACCCTCGATCATGCATCACCTTGCTGTACTAACACTACGCCATCCGTCCTCCGTCACATGCCGGCGGCGCTTGGATGTAGGTATCTCTGGACCACTACAGATACAGCGTGCAGTGGGGCGAACTTTCAAGCAACCGCTGGATGGCTCGAGCCTCGAGGTGCTCAGGGTTGAGGACCGTCCTGCTTTTCTTCCACCAGAAAGCGGACATGTTTCCAGTGTGTGAGTAATTCTCATAACATACTACACCACACTTGCGCTGAACATTCATCCGCAGTTGACATGAAAATGCTATACGACGTACGAAGACCCTTCACCGACGAGGAGGCTTGTCGGGACGTCTTATTTCGCAACGAGAGGATACCCGGTACTTCCAGATGTATCGTCACTGGCAATTATTCTTTCACTGACAGACCTTCAGAAATACCATCTGATATGGTGTGGAGCGATCATATCATCTGGTAAGGCAACAAGTAAATTGTTGGAGAAAGAAAATCGTGAGGATTTCTTACATCAGGGGGCCTTCGGCTTCACTGCACCACCGCCACCCTGTCCCGAGTCTCCCATATTTTACAGCAGGACCTCGCGCACGATGCGAGAAGCACGCTATCGTTGAGATAACAAGCCTCGATAAGTTCTGAAGTCCATTGTTCGTCCGGATCCGGGAGACCGTGAAAAGTCTCCTTTGTCTTGATCGTGGTAAGTCCATTGCAACGCTTTCTTGCTTCCTGTCCCAGATCTCCAGCATATCGCTACGAGAGTCGTTGAGTCGCTGTCATGGCTCCCAGACGAAAGCGCGCCCAAGCCGACTCAGAAGAAGACGTTGCGAAAGAAAACAGCCCACAGAAACAAGATGGGGAAAAAAGGGCATCAGCCCGCCGCGAGTACGATCAAGACGTGATCAACCACCGCTTGCGGGCTCCCGATGTCTCCGGCAGATGGCGGCCGACGCCTATTCTAGGTGACCGTTACGCCGGTTCCGAGGCAAAAGGTTGTGTATGGTTGATGCTGGACGACGACGATGTCATTATTAAAGTAAGTCATTCAACTCATGGAAGTTATCGTGGCTGGACTGACAGCCGATGACAGCGAGTGTATCGAAAAGACACCTTCATGAGCAAAAAAGCCTGGACGCATCCGACACTCTGGGCGGGCGACGTCAACGACCTCGACACCAGGGAACCGAATGAGCTGGCAACGCACTCGGAGGTGTCAGGCAATGAGGGTATAGTAGAGCTATTCGTGACCATGGACCAGAGACTCGTCAATCGACTCAGCCGAAGCTATCGAGTCTATACTTTGTATGCACCGCATGAATCGCTCGGGGACGTCTTTAGGTGGTACAAGGAGGAGCCTAAGATTCCAGAGCCTTTCATCTGGTACGTCGCCGAGAATCTTGCGAAGGCTGGGGAAGCGATGAAGGGGAAGGAGATTGTGCATCGGTAAGTGCAACGCTATGCTACATCAATCCTGCAAGCCCACTGACAATCAATTCAAGCGACATCAAACCGGAGAACATCTTCCTGGATAACGCTGTCCCCTACCAGTTTGAAAAATATCCTCAGCCTTTGCTCGGTGACTTTGGACTGGCGTTTTTCTCCTCGGGACTGAGAAGGGGCAAGGACTTCGATATGTACCGTCGTGCGGGCACACTGGGCTTCAAAGCGCCAGAACAGTTTGACTGGTCGAGTGACTCGATGGACGAGAAGACGAACGTGTACGCGGTGGGACTGGTCCTGTGGAGCCTCGTCACTCGCTCGGAGCCTCCTCAATTCCAACCGGACGACGCTGTGAAAATTGATGGCATTCATCCAGCGCTGGAGCTTGCTGAGCATGACACTGGCGAGGCCAGTAGTGATTTGGTGGATCTGATCGAAAAGTGCTTACAGGATCTTCCTGACGATCGTATCGATTTCAATGGGATGCTGGAGTACATCGAGCAGCGGATGCGCTTGGCAGGATCTGACACGATTGATCGAGTGTCGCAGATGCGGGAGAATTTGGTGGACGACGCCGTTTGGACGGAGGAGGGTATCGTGGTCGAAGTGGACAAGTACGAGTTGAAAACAGCGAGGTGGTCGGACCTGGAGGACCAGGAAGCTGTGGACCAAGATGCTGAGGATCAAGAAGTTGAGGGTCAAGAAGACGGAGATCAAGAAGATGCACAGAAAGGTGACGCGGAAAAGGACAGTGAGGATGCTGACGCCCAGCTGAAGACTGAAGAGGCTGAAGCGGACGAGGAGGAGGCCAAGAATGGAGAAGATGAGAAAGCTGAAGAGCCGCAAGTGTAACGAAGTCCCAAGAAGAAGCGGGAAGAGGATGAGGACGAGGACGAGGCGGCACAGAAGCGCAGCCCGAAGAAAAAAGTGAGGGGACATAAGTAGCATTTGATCAATCATTATACATTCGGCCACAGATCGCAGGAAATGCACTCCAACAGTCGATGCGCCCAATCGCATGCGGCTAGTGAGTATGTTGGGTCGGAATGATTGCGCTTAAAGCTTTGGCCTTGAGTCGCTTCGCTGCCTTCCTCTCCTGCGCCGCCTGTTGCGCTGCATGCTGCTCCCTCTCCACCTTGAGTTGTCTCGCCGCCTTCTTGTCCCGCGCTGCCTGCTGCTCCCTCTCGGCCTTGACTCGCTTCGCTACCTCCTTCTCCTGCGCTGCCTGTTGCGCTGCTTGCTGCTTCCTCTCGGCCTCAAACTGCTTCGCCGCCTTCTTGTCCCGCGTAGCCTGCTGCTCTCTCTCGGCCTTAAGACGTTTCGCTACCCTCTGCTCCTGCGCCGCCTGTTGCGCCGCCTGCTGTTTCCTCTCAGCTTTGAGACGTTTCGCTGCCCTCTGCTCCTGCGCCGCCCGTTGCGCCGCCTGTTGCGCCGCCTGCTGCTTCCTCTCGGCCTTAAACTGCTTCGCCGCCTTTTTGTCCCGTGCAGCCTGCTGCTCTCTCTCAGCCTTGAGACCTTTCGCTGCCCTCTGCTCCTGTGTCGCCTGTTGCGCCGCCTGTTGCGCCGCCTGCTGCTTCCTCTCGGCCTTAAGCTGCTTCGCCGCCTTTTTGTCTCGCGCAGCCTGCTGTTCCCTCTTGACCTTGAGTTGTTTCGCTACCTTCTTCTCCTGCGCAGTCTCCTGCTTTCTGCCTTCACACACGGTAGCAGGAGAAATCGATTTCTCTGACTCAATATATGGAGGTGTCACATTCTCTAATTCCTTTACTTTTTCGAATCGCCGAAGATTAGTACGCTGTACGATCTTCTTGACTATATCTTTGATCGCAATGCATTCTAGGAAGCTAAACCATTCGGACGACCGGTTGTTGGGCCATGTCTGATAACGGAAACAGGCGGCACCGGGGACTGCTGGATGTACATAATTGATCTGGATCGTATGTCGTCCAGCTTCACATCCCCTGAGTATAGGTTCCTCAATCTCGCGATAACTCGAATGCACCCGCTTGCTGTAGACATCTGGTGGTGCATTTGTAAGTACGATGGCATGTCGGTTGTAGCAAGCCTGTTGTGCGAATACCCAGGATGCACCTTTCATGTATCTGGACCACGAGTTTGGCTTCCCGGATTTCCGAGAGCTCAGGGTTTTTCTGCTGTTATCGGTATACAACGAACCCATGGCCATAGTAAGCGACTTCAGGTCGTTCCTGCGAGCCCAATTTTCGGCAAGATCTCGAGATATACCGGTCCAGAAGACGATCGTAGAGTCACCTTGGAGTGAGATCTCGAAAGCCTGATTCAATTGAGTCACTTCATTCTGGCAAAGGTATTGGGAGAGATCCATGGTTACTTGGACAAGGTGGTGGCCCCAACCTCTGCGCCAATATACGAATAACTCCCCAAGGACGAGTGGCTAAAAGGCGTTGGCAAGACGCACGTCGGTCGATGGTTATAAAAGGATTTGTAGCGAGGTGAATCGAAACTCTGTCCTCGATCGAGTTCCGCAGCCTTTGACTGGTTTCCATCGTATTGCGCGGTCAACCCCGCTCGGGAACGGTACACCAGATTCATAAGATGTTTCAATACCTTCGACGCTGAACGTCCGTCCCAGCATCACGGGACAGCTGCGGTCCTTGGACGCACTTACGCTTCTATTGAGATATCTCATCGTCCTCTCATCGTCTACTCTTGACCTCGATGAACACTTTGTTCTTGCTGCTCTTATACATCGATCCTGCGCACTTTGAACGAGCAGAGCTCGACTCGCTGCTTCGATCCTGGGATAGACGTTGGGGCTAATGTAGGCCATGTTGACGCCATCGCAGGGATAGTAAAGAAACGGTCGCCTGTCATCTGTAGGTGGCAGAAGATCGAAAAAGGCGGGGGAGCTGCGAGCTGCGAGCTTTAAATGAAGCTTGCCTTGTCTACAGGGTGACAAGCAACTCTGACCCAAGCCACATCGGGAACGCCAGAAGGTTTCTGCCTTTGAGCCATCTTCAGCTGAAACGCTGAGCCTCTCAGGGATTCTGAGAGTCTGTCGAACTTCGGTGACCAGGCCCATTCCACTTTGCGCCTCTCCCGGCTCAATGACCTCGTTACCCTCACCATCTCTTGTCGGCATGGATAGAGACTGTCGAGCGCTCGCGCAGAGGACGTCGTCTGGGATGCGTACTCCAATCTTCCCGTACACTTGCGAAGTCAAAGTGAAGTTCCACGCCCCGCCCTCCACTCCCGTACACCATGGTGAACAATCGATTTGTCACCAAATGTCAGAGTCAGCAGTCAACACGCCATCTGAAAAGCGGGCAGTGGGGGACATCATGCTGCACATGCCCTCATTCGCACACCATGTACGGATCAAGCATGTGCCTTCTATTGCTTTCAGTGCCACTCGACATAGACGAACGAAGTCATTGGTCCTTGGGAAGGCCAAAGTAACGAGCTATGACGATTGGAGAGAAGCACGAGACGAAACGTGCAGAAAAGGACACTGCCAAAGCAAACAAAAAGACGATCAAGCGTGGTCGAAAGCGTAAGAACGCAGAGCTGGACGGAGGTTCTTCAGAGCTCGCTTCCAAAATAATACGGGTCGCCGAATCATTAGAGCCGGAAGAGCGGTGGAGGTCTGCCTTCATCTGCATCTGCCCTTGTCGGAATCCATTCAGCCAAAGCCAGTCAAGCTACATCCCCCCCAAACCACTATTCCTCTACCTCCATGCTCGACCCCGGCGTCCCACCCTCAGTCTCCGTCTTCCCATCTTCTGCTGCTTCCGCCGCAATCTTCGACCACCCCTCCCCACCCGTAGCAAGCACAGCCCCATAGTCCAGCCCCCTCCCAAACCACCTCTCCTTCCTCGTACTGGCCCTCTGACTCCCCTCCAACGCACTTCTCGCCGCACGGGTAGTTCTTGCTTGCTTGCCTTGACGACCACTGCTCGTAACGCTGTCGAGACGTTCGCGTTGTTCGGCGAGCGCGAGGTCGAAGGAGACGACGGAGCGGACGTAGGGTGCGAGGTCGGTGGCGATGGGGTTTAGGGGGCCGTCGAAAGAGGAGGCTGTGAGGCCGGAGGCTGAGGAGTAGGAGTCGATTGGGGCTGAGATGGGGTCGAAGCAGGCGAAGGCGTGTCGGGAGAGGGGTGTTGGTGCTGGGGCTGGTGGGTTGGTTGTGGATGAGTGCATGCGGTCTGTGAGCGTGGTCGTAGAGTTCACGAGGCCAGCGCTGCGGAAGGCGTAAAGTGCTGATGTAGCGGACAGGTTTGGTCCAAGGCCGGTGTAGTGGGGTGCCTCATCGCTCTGTAAGAGCTGCATGCCTTCCGTATACTGCGAACGAGCTTTGTCGCGCATCGGCTTCTGTGTGTTGTCGTGAGAAGGTCTGTCAAGGTAGCCACAATATACGTCAATTGCACTCAACGAGTTCGCAAAGTTCGCATAGGCTTTGAGGTCTGGAAGCGAGTCGGGCTGCAATTTAGTCATTCCATGCCATCCCAATACTGTGGGCATGTCTACATTGGACTCGCGCAAGCTTGACAAGAGCCGATCTGGCTCGTCCATTTGCTCGGGTGAGGAAGACGCCGCAGAGACATCGAACGTGCCTTGACTCACGACCCGCAGCCTGCGCCCTTGCTCGTCTAGATCTGAACCCAGAGGATATCGCTGATAGATCCAGCTGAGCCCGCCTTTGGGATCACCAACACCAATCTGGCACCAGAAGTCCAGCTCAGCGATGCTCGCTCGGAGGTCTCGAAGCTTTGACGTGTAGAGAGATGCGACGGCCTCCCGTTTGACAAGGTGGCCTTCAGCTGCAGCCATGAGTAGCAGGTAATCGACTGCCAGATCCACCGGCGGCGGCTCGAAACGAAGTATAGCGTATAGTGACATCGCTTGCAAGGGCACCATCGCTTCATCATTGCAGGTCATGATGAAGGGCCGCTTCGATGTTACAATGAGTTTGAAGACGGTATGCCAGAAGTCCTTGTCGTCCTTGAAGAGGATGTCCACCTCCTCCAGCAGGATGAGTGACTGCTGCTGGTCCTTCGCTGGCTTCTTGATCGCCTTCTCAATCGCCTGCAATGCGACAGCTTTGGCTGCAGTAGGCGACTTCTTCTTTGGCTTCGCTTGCTTGGTGTTTGCCTGCGGTTTGAAGAAAGCGCTCATCTTCCCTTGCCGGCCACTAGCCAGGTCGCGCTGAAACGCTTCTTCGTTCCGACTGGGTTCTTCTGTGGATGAAGTCTCGCCAGGATCCGTGCCGTGGTGCTTTACGAGGTGGTTCTCAGTCATGTCGCCAACCTTCTCCAGCACGTCTTTGCCGCTTCGTCGCTCGCAAGGGCTTATCTCGAAGACTTTGAAACCCAGCTCCTTAGCAACAGCATATGCCGCGGCAGTCTTTCCACATCCGTGTGGGCCGCTCAAGAGCACTGCGTTGCTGAGCTTGACCCCGTCGGTGGCGACTTGGACGATGGACCTCGCGGACCTGATGTCGCCTAGAGCAGTTGCTGGAGCCTCCGGATCAGCAAGCTCATCCATATCATGTACCTCCTCATCACTGTCGACCAGGAAGTCATTGAGATCGTCTGCCCTGCGTTTGCGCTTCTTCTTCGGCTTGAGATCCTGCTTGGCTTTGGTCTTCGACTCAACATTCTGATTGCTCTCTACAGCAGACACAGTAAGTGATGTCAGCCACTTCCTGAGCACCGACATCTCTTGGCTTGGCTGAAGCACTTCTGCCGCCGTTGACGGCGCATACTTGTGCGACCAACTGAAGCTATCCCCACGACCCTCGTCGAAGGCAGTCAAAAATCGTGGGATCGCATCGAGCAGCTTACGAAGTGCCGGATGTGTGCTAGCCTGCGAGGATCTCGAGAGCTCGTCCTCGTCATACGCGGCAACCAGGGCATGGAGCTCTTCTTGCACTCGGCTTGCAAGGTCCTCGCCAGGTATGAGCAACCTTTTCGGGATCTTCAATGACCGATGAGGCTCGCGAAAGCCATCGCGTCTGAGCTCGCCTTCTGCCTCGGGCACAAGCTGTGAGGAGAAATGGGTCAGGAGTGAGGCGTCCGCTGGAATCGATCGTCTGATTGCTTTCCGTTTCCGCTTATGCGGTTGTGATTCGGTGAAGATTGCATTCAGGGAATTTTGCTCTCTCGAAGTCAGCCCTCTGACATGCGTTGACTCGCGATCTGGCCAGGATGGGTCTCGGGCACCCGAATGCTTCATCATTAGCCGGTCTTTCAGCAACGCAGAAGTCCAGACATCTTGAACTTGAGCGACAGGCTGTACGCGGTCCTTGCCTAGAGCCTGCCTTCTAAGCTTTCCTGGTGTGACTGCAGATGCCTTGCGCGGAGATTCCTGTCTCAGCGGAGCCTTGCTTTCGGGTTTCCCAGTGAAGAACGGATGCGTGGGTTTGGAAGGTTGCTGCTTCCGCGTACCACGCTTCTTCTTTGGAGTGCTCTTCACTTCCGTGAAATGTCGCTCAGTCCCAGCCATGATGCGGTCGATCCTTGCACCAATATCCCCACCCGTTGAATACGCCATCACAACAACCACATACTGCTCTGGCTTCGTTTCTTTTGACTTGCGAGGCCGCCCCCTCCTTCGAGGTTGCTCGGTGGGTTCTTCCCCGTCAGGCTTCTTAGACACTGGGGAGCTGAACTTGCCACTAGCATTCAGTCTTAGCATCTTTTTGGGAGGCGTTTTGAGAGACTCGTCCAGATCAACGGGGATTGTGCTCGGTAGAGGGGAGGAGGCCGGGATGATAACATGGGGCGAGGCATGCCTACGAGGCGTTGGAGTCCGTTTCTTCGGTGTTCGGGGGCCATCATTGTTGCTGATCTCGACAAACTCATCCTCACTCGTCCGGCGCCGCTTTTTCACATCATGATGTGCTTCTTCACCGTCCGTCAGGTTCCCACCCTCAGCCAATATCTCGCTCGACTTGGGATTCACGAGCTCCTGCAACGTCTTCTGCGTCTTGCCATTGGTTTCCTGTGAGGCCTTCGGTTTCCTCTTCTTTTTTGGCACAGGATCCGTCACCGTCGCCGGTGCTGGATCAGCCTGGTCATCACTGGCTTCGTCACCGAATCTTGTGCCATTCGCGGTCTGCTGGTGGGGTCGAGCGAAGAACGGGTGTAAACTCTTGTCTCCGTTCATGGCAGAAAGCACTGCCGAAGTTGCCATAGGTTATTTGCCCTCATCTCCGTCGCTGGTGTGCTTTTGCTGAGTGCACGTAGTGTTAGATGTATCTGGTCTACATGACGTGAGGTGAACGCGCTCGAAGACGCGTTTAGTAGATCACGGAGACAAGCTTCGGGTAACGCCGAAAGTCTAAAAGTCTAAAGTCTCGGCTAAAAAGTTCGAGGAAGCTGTGGAAGTCACGACACAGCCGAATTCACCTTGCTGCAGTACTCGACCAACACTCAATAATGGCCGACGCTGCGCTCGAGGCGCCTTACTCGATCGCAACGCTGCCACGGCCACTCGACACAAAGTGTGGGCGCACACGAAGTGCACCGGTCTACAGCATCCGGGAGTCAAAGAAGAGGAAGCGACAAGAGGTAGTTGTGGGCGTCGACGGAGAGAGCGTGAACATATACAACGTATGATACACGGCGACATGGATCTTAATACTATGACTGATCAACTAGGCAGATCCAAAGCCAACGCCTGGTGACATCTTACGCCTTGCCTCCACAGACCTATCTTTGCTGCTCACCATGCTCCTTCTACACACGAGGATCGACAACGTCACCTTCGCAGAGGACTACGTATTTGATCATCAAGGACAATCCACACGATCCCAAGCGGCGTTTAATCTGCTTCACCGAGGATGTAAGACGCAAAGGCGATTCGACCCCGAAAGTTGCAGCGCCGCAGAGGAGAGAGTGTTCTCTGGACGATGGCGATGTCCTGAATCTCGAAATGGTTCCGGCTGCAGCAGGGCGTCCGAGCTATATCGCTGCGAGCTACAACTCGGGGAAGACGTTGCTCGTGTCACACAGTATGCAAAGCATCGAGAAAATACAACGGCCCGACTCAGACGACCTTGAAGATTACACAATCGAGCATGCAGCGTTTCTCGATGTGGGAAGTGCGAAGAAGGGCGTCTTAAAGAGCAGAGAAGATGTTCTAGCAGTACTCGACCAGGACACCACCCATTGCATGCTACTGAGCCATGTGGCACGCATTGGCGACAAGAGATACTTCCAGCTTTTCGGCGTGAAGACGCCAGATCAGGCGTCCCTCCAGACATTCAAGACCACAATCAGCATGATCCTGGACGTTAAGCTCCCGGAGCTGAAGACTGGGGCCAAAAGTCCTGCGTGGTATTCACTCCACGCTGCATCCGGCACACTCTACCAGCTCGTGCTTGGCAAGCTCCATGTCGTCGATCTCTCTGGAACGATTCCGAAGCCTGCTGCGAGCTTCGGGGGTGGAGCGGACCAGGTGACTGGTTTTGCTCGATTGTCTTCGACATTGACCATGGCAGCCTCCAAGAGTGGTGTGGCGCTGTACGAAACACGCTATGGATCGGTATATGGCTCCTTATCTTTCACGACATCCGCCAGTGGCCTGAAAAGCAAGCGATCAGATGGTGATGATGACGAAGAGAGTGCGGCCTCTATCGATGAGGTATGTTCTTTGTCGGATGTGGGACCACTTGTCGGCCTTCAAGCACGCAGTCTCGTGGTGATACAGCTTAGCGAGAGCCTAAAAGAAAACAAGGCTGCTCGACTCAAGGGCACCCGACTCGCAGATGTCGTCACCAAGGCCGGGTCACATAGTGTTGAGCGGACAGGCAAGCCGCGGAAGTGGAAGGAATGGACAACTGTCGTCGACCGGCTCGTCGATGCAGACGACATCGAAGGCCTCGAGCGACTGGTTGCAAACGACCAAAACACCGGCCATCAAGGACAACTCCAGGCCGCCGTCCAGCGTGGTCCCTCAGGCAAACCTTCAGCCGCCGAAAGAAAAGCATACGAGGATCGCTGGCCGCTTCCCATCACGTATGAGCCAGCTCAGCTTGATCGCAGCCGAGCCCTCTACATCTTGAGCAAGGTCTTCAGCTCCAGCGAGTCTGGTGTTCAAGTACGGGTGCTGTCACAGAAGCTGCTGGAATGGCTTGCTCTCGCTGGTTTCCTCTCCGCTGCAAGTGTACGACGAGCATGGTCTGAGTTTGGAGGGGGCCACTCATCTATCACGATCAGCCCAGGCTCAATTCTTGCTGCGCTTCAGCCTTTCGACGAAGACTTCCAGCTTCTGGCCGACCTGCTGTCGCTTCCCGTGCATTGGGAGATCGAAGAGGTCGTTGAAGCTCTACGCTCGGCTATCCAATCTTTCGAAGAGCCAATAGACGGTGAAGCTGAGCCGCTTGCACTACCACCCATACCACAACAGCCGAATGGCGATGTGGCCATGGCGAATGGCGACATGCCGAACGGCGAGACAGACTCCCACATCAAGCTCGAGTCCGAAGCCGCGGAACATGAACTCGACCACGCTCTAGCCACCCTCTCTAACGGCCTGGATGTCAAGAGCGTCGCTCTCCGTGTAATCTTCTCTCGCCTCACCGCGTTTGACCCAGACAATATTACCGCAAGATTACGCACCATGATGTCGCACCGAGAGCTGATCTTCTTCATTCACCTTCTCCGAATAGAGCTCGCAGATGGTGGGTGGACTTCACGCTATATCGGTACGGGGTCAACCGATGAGGAAGAAGAGGAGCAGGAGGGCCTGGTCAACGCAAAGAAAGGCGCCAAAGAACGCGGGCCAGCCAATGAAGCTCTACGAACCATCGCCGACCTTCTCAACTGCGCTGTCGACGCCATTGGCACCAGCGGCTGGCTCGTCGGACTCAGCAGTACCACTGGCGGTGCACAGGACCTCCTCGCCAGTCTACGGGCAGAAGTGAGCGCCGGGCTCGAAGGATGCTACGAGGCTAACACTCTCGGCATGACTTTGGGCGAGATCCAGCGGTTCGCAATGCAAGCCAAGAGGGAGGAACTGCCTGGTTTTGGGAAAGGACATCTTTCGACATCGAGGCTCGGGCGCGAGGAAGGCGATGCGCTGTTGCCTATGGGTAGCAGAGCGGCTCCTGCTTTCGTGGATGGCAAGAAGAGGAAGCGTGCGAAGGATAAGGGTAAGGCTGCGCAGTTTCGGGAGAAGAGCAACCGCGTGGGCAAGTACTCGTTTGAGAGGATTAGGATATGAGAGTAGCAAGACACCTTCAATCCAGTCTCTTGTAAACACTCAAAATGTGCTTTGTTCTTCGTATCAACAAGCGTAATAAACCCAGAGCTCGGGATCACGCCTCCACGTCGGAAGCCGAAGCCGTCCAACCTCACCTCCACACCTCCGCATCGAAACCTTCGACCTGCACCCATCGTGACGCAAGGCTCGACGATCTGACGAGGGGCAGGCGGAGAAGATGCAGGAACGGAACGACATCGGTCGTGACAATGTCACCTCACTCCATCGCAATGACATGTCGGTGTAACAATACAAGGTGATGCTTATAATGCTTCGCCTGCTCGGCCGTTGCTTCCACCTCTGATCCATCATTAGTAAGTCAACTCAACAGTCTCTGGCTGTCTCTTTCCTTCAAGGGCTCCAGCTGTGATGGCACCCCTCTCATCTATCTTTCCTTTCCTCCTCGCCTACACAGCAGCAGCGCAAACCGACTACTCTCAATACGTCAACCCCTTCATCGGCTCCGAAGGCCCGTTCGAAGGTCTCGCCTTCGGCGGCGGCGACATCTTCGTTGGCGGCGCTGTGCCCTTTGGAGTAGCCAAAGTCGGCATCGATACCTACGAGAAGAATGTCTCCTTCTCCACCATCAATGGCGGCTACACGCCGAAAGGTCTCGTTACTGCCGTCTCGATGATGCATGAGAGCGGTACCGGGGGAAGTGCTAAGTATGGTATCATCGGCCAAATGCCATTGGCGACGCTCGATGGGGTGAATGTGCTCGACAACCGTACGTACTGGCAAAAGCGAGTCGGAGACGATGTAGCAGAGGTCGGCTACTTCTCAACCAAACTGGAGAGTGGTGTCGGCATCGAGCTCTCTGGCGCGAGGCATAGCGGGATCATGCAGTATTCTTTCCCGGCTTTCAGCGAAAAGCATGTGCTGGTGGATTTATCTCACTACCTGCCTGCCGAGGGCGGTGGTGGGGATAGCCAGTTCTTTGCTGGAGGCGAGATCAAGTTGATGGCTGATGGCAAGACGTATACGGGACAAGGGAGCTATGGGGGAGGGTTTAGTGAGAGTGCGCCGATGACCACGTATTTTTGTGGGGAGTTTGAGGAGGCGCCGGATCAGGCGAGGACTTTTAGGGGGAGGAATACTGATCCTATGGTGAGCAATACCAGTCAAATGTGTGCTGACTGTGGCTGATGGATTCCTAGGGTCTGTACAGGTACCACAACGCTCAAGGCCCAGTTCCACACCCGACCTATGGCAATGTCAGTGAGTCTTCCGGCCCACTCAACGACCGTGTCGGAGCTCTGTTCACATGGTCCAACTCTGGCAACGCAACCATCCGCTCTCGAGTCGGCATTTCCATGATCTCGGCAGAGAAAGCTTGCCAGTACAGGAACGATGAGATCTCGTCTTGGAACCTCAACGATACGGTGAATGCTGCTGTCAAGGAGTGGAACTCAGACGTCTTCTCGAAGATTCGGGTGCCGACCGATGACTCGCAGAATAGAACCAACCTGGTGTTGCTGTATTCGAGTCTTTATTTCATGCATCTGATGCCGTCGGATAGGACGGGTGAGAACCCGCTGTGGGAAAGTACTGACTCATGGGACGACTTCTATACGTACTGGGACACCTTCCGATGTACAGTCTCGCTGTACCATCTCATCCAGCCAAGGTACTATGCCAGCATGCTTCGAGCCACCATTGACATCTGGAAGTATGAGGGTTTCATGCCAGATGGACGAAGTGGGCAGTATAACGGGATTGTTCAAGGAGGTCTGTTCTATCTTCGCCCATGCGATCACGGTATACTGATGCTGCGCAGGAAGCAATGCGGACAATGCACTCGCCGATGCCTATGTCAAAGGACTAGAGGGCGTCAACTGGACAGAAGCCTACCAAGCGATGCTCACAGATGCCGAAGTTACCCCTTACAACACCTACAGCTTTGTCGACCCAACGAACGGTATCAAAGAAGGCCGTGGAGCACTGTACGACTGGATCCCACTTGGCTACATCTCTTCTGATCGCAGTACCAGACCGTTGTCGAGATCCGTCGAGTATGCTCTCAACGACTTCTCCTTGTACCAGCTTGCCAAAGATCTAGCACCGAACGATACTTCTAAGTATCTGAGACGTTCGGCGCAGTGGCAGAACACTTGGGACCACAATCTTAAGCATAAGGGCTTCAAAGGCTTCCTCACGCCGAAGCTCGCAAACGGCAAGTTCAATACTACTGACTATAACCCTGCGCTGTGTGGTGGGTGTGAGTGGATGGATATTAGCTATGAAGCTACGCCATTTGGTAAGTCCAAAGTAGCAAGCCTAAATGGCCGGTAAGACACTGATACATTGCTAGAATACTCCTTCACCATCCCACACGACATGCAGACCCTCATCCAATTCATGGGCGGCGAGGACGAGTTCGAACGTCGACTGGACTACATCTTCCAGCCAGGAACGAGTGAGCAAGATCTGGGCGCGAACGGCGCCGCTATCACTACTATCATGAACATTGGGTAGGAACCGACCCATCAGCCATTGCTGAACTATCTCATTGATCGTTTTCCAGCAACGAGCCTGACTTTGCGACGCCGTACGAGTACCACTACGTCAACAAACAATACAAGAGCGTCAATCAGACACGAGCGCTTGCCAATGAGTTGTAAGTTCTCTTCCCCGTCATCTACAGCCCTCACCTACTGACCAAACAACAGCTTCAAGAACGCCAACTACGGCGTCCCAGGCAACAGCGACGCCGGCGCCCTCAACAGTTGGCTCATCTGGCAAATGCTCGGGCTCTACCCGGTACCAAATCAATGAGCAAAGCCCTACCATGTCTGAGACAATTGCTAACCCCTTTGCCCTTCTGTTTGCAGGTAGTCACACAACCCGTCTATCTGATCAACTCGCCCTGGTTCAGCGACATCAACATGACGGTCAACGGCAACAGCACTTTACGCATCATGGCGAACAATCTGGATAACGCGAACAGCTATTACGTGCAGTCCGTCAAAGTGAACGGGCAGGATTGGGATAGAAATTGGCTTGAGCATAGTGATGTCATGGTCAATGGCGGGACGATCGAGTTCGAGCTGGGAGATGAGACGAAGAGGTGGGAGGATGGCGATGTACCGCCTAGTCCTGGACATCATGTGCTGTCAAGGAGCGACTAACGGTGTATATACGTATATCTACTATGGAACAAGATACCGATCTCCACGCCTCCACTACAACTCGTCCTTTCCGCCACCCCACCAATCCAAAGCTCCCTCCGACTTACACCCCTCCCGCCCCCACGGGCTCCTGCTGCTGAACCTCAAGCAAATTTCCATCCGGGTCCTCAATCAGCACAAACGTACTGAACCCAATCATCCCCACCCCCTTGATCGCCTCCCTAGCCTTCTGCACGCTCGAATGCAGCTCATCAAACCCAAAAGCCCTCGCGCCCAGTGAATCCCACTGCACCTCCTCACCAGCAGGTTTAACAATTTTGACCCCGTGCTTCTTGAACCTGCGCTCCGCGGCCTTGATATCCGGTACGATGAGTCCGAGGTGACCGAACGTATTCGGCACCCTTGTGCTCGGCTCGAATCGCGGCGCGTCCGGGTCGTCGGTGGAGCTGTGGTGGACGAGTTCGAGCAGGCCTTCGATATTGTTCTTCTCCGCGTACAGTTGCTCGCCGGTTTGGTATCCAGTGCCGTTTTTGCCGCCGTGGGAGAAGCCTAGGTAGACGACGGTGTAGTCGGGACTGGCGATGTAGGAGAAGATCTCGCGGAGGCCGAGGACGTCGCGGTAGAAGGCTGTCATGGCCGTGAGGTTGTTGGCGATGAGGGAGAAGTGGTTGAGGGTGTAGCCAAGGTTTGCTGGAGGAGCAGGAGGGTCCTCGCCCAAGGTGAAGGGAGAGGAAGTGGCATTGGCGGCTGCTTGACGGGCGGCGAGGTGACCGGGACAGGCCGATGCGAAGGTGAGGGATGAGGAAAGGGTGAAGAGGATGGCTAGGAGGGGCAACATGGTGGGTGCGTGGGTTGGCTGTGTCGACCTGGTGAACGGCCGACTGGTCTTTGGGCTGAAGCAAATGATGGAGTGTGAAGTTCCTGTTCGCCAGCATCCCCAAAGCCTTCAAATACTTTTCGCTCCATCGTGGCACGCGCTCGCATAGCCTCCTCTCGGTGGACCCCACCAGCAACGACGACGGCTGCTCTTGGCATATTTCCGCACGTTGAGTCACGAACCTAGTGAAACAATCGCAGTCATCGTTCTAATCCTTCAGCTCGCTTCAGCCATACCATATCGACTGAGCACAGCCCTTACCGTGGCCAATCGCTGGGCGATTCTCGAGGTCGGTACTTGGATCCGAGACCGAGGCCGACTGTGAGTATATCTTCTTCATTTCAGCTGAATCATACCAGAACAGTAGCGTGCTCTTGGTAGCTGACTACGACAGGAGAGACTGTCAGACAAGTCCGTGCAAAGGTGAACGTTTGTCCGAAGTGAAGTAGGCGGGACTTGCTGAGTAGTGTGGATTCAGCAAAGCTTGGCCGGCGTTGCGTCGATGAATTCCTCGAGTTAACACGCCGAAGGATCTCATGCAGAGGTGTAACCCGTGAGTCAAAGAAAGCTTGAGAGGGCCCCGTAGCGAGGAGAGGGTACCCCGTACAAAGGGAGGACATCCGGGGAATGCCCAGGTGCAACGGAGGGCGGGGGCCTGATGAGAGACCCGCTATGGAGATCGATTAGCGACGAGAAGGATCCAATAGTATCTTTGGTAGGGAATTGCGAATCGATGCTCCCCAAGGGAGACTGAGTCGTTGTTCCTACCGGATCCCGAAGCGAGCCTCAGCACAAGGGGAATAACCAGACTGCCAAGAGTCCAGGGCAAGAACGTGTGAAGCCTTGCAGTCACCAGTCCAGGGAAGCCCGGCTGTTCAAGAAAGTGTAGCGTAGTCTATACAACATGTAAGAGTCCTCTTACCGTATCATACACAGCCCTGATACACTCACATACCTCCCTTCAGACCCCCCATTCCGACCCATCCACAGCAACGCCATCGCCATGCCCAGCAAGCAAAAGTAGAGATCCCTTCCCTTCCCCTCTCACACTCATCTCCTCCCCAACCCCCAACGCCCAATCCGATCCTGAATCTCCGCCCAAGGAATCTCCTTCAACCGCACCCCCTCCTCCTCTCCCTGCTGCAGCACAACCGTCGGCGCCCCACTCCCTTGTCCAGCATTCTTCACCTCACCACCAAAAACCATCCCCGCCACGCGGCGCAGATCCTGCACCGTCACGGCTTCGATCGATTCAACCATCTCCTTGACCGGGATCCTGCGGCCATGGACCTGTACTTGTCGACCCAGATCTTCGAGCTCCACCATGCGGGATTCGAGGTTCATAAGTAAAGAAGAGCGGAGCTGATTCTTCGCGCGCTGGACTTCGCCGTTCGTGAGGCGGCCGAGACCCGTTTCAGAGGAGAGGAGGCCGAGTTGCTGCGCCATCACATCCAGCATGCGCACGACGCTCTGCGTGCTGCAAGCGGCGGAGATGCCGAAGAGGCCGGAGTCGGTGTAGGCGTGGTTAAAGGCCATACAGTTCTCCACCCAGCCGAATTGGTTCAGCACGTTGGTGTATAAGCGGGAGTACATGCCCTTTCCTGGGCCGCCGGCGGAGAAACTGCCGCCGCCGCCGAGGAGGGTTTGGAGGGTGGCGAGGGCGTAGATGTCCGGGTGGGAGATGGGGAGGGATTCGAAGGCGAGGTGGATGTGGCTAACGCGGGGGAGGGTGGGGTTTGGAGGGATTGGTAAGGGAGGAAGGGTGAGGAAGCCGCCGGTGTACTGTGAGGGCGTGTCGTAGGCCGGGGTCTGCGAGAGCGGGTGCGGTATTATTTGCGAAGGGTCGAGTGGAGAGACTGTAGCGGACTGCGAGGCGGAGGTGGATAGGTTCTTCAGGAAGGGAATCTTGGACATGAGCCGGCTGTCCTTTTGTGATGTAGGGAGTTGTGATGTCGGGTAGGGTGGGTTGATCGAGTGCGAAGGGTCGTTTGCTTCCAGCGTCGGCGTCGTCCGTTGTTGTTGCGAGTCCGTAGCCTCTGTCGTGATGTTCCTCATGTCCCCAAACCACTTCTCCGTCAACTTCACAGCCTCCGCATGCTCCACGCCCGCAAAAGCCACCACAATCCTCTCCGGCTTAAAAAAAGCCTTCCTATACGCCTCCACAGTCCTACGATCAATACTCCCCAACCTCTCCTTCGGACACAGTAAAGGATTGCCCAGCGTATTATCCTTATAAGCCGCCATATGCACCAACTCCGGCAGAATCAACTCCGGCTTGCCCCAAATCTCCCCAATCTCATACTCCGCCGTCTCAAGCTGCCTCTGCACTTCCTCCTCCGTAATCTGCGGCGACCAGATCGTTTCCGCCAGCAGAGCCACCGTCTCCGGCACCGCGGCGTTGAAGGTCGCGGACTGGTACATGAGGCTTTCCCGTGAAGAAGCGCATTGGATGTTCCCGCCTAGCGACTCGATCGTCTCGAGCATCTGGTCTGCGCTGCGTTCGGAGGTGGATTTGAAGGCGAGTCGGTCGATGATGTGCGAGACGCCTCGTAATGCGTCTGTTTCGTAGCGTGAGCCGGCATCGATGTAGACGCCTATACCAGAGAAGTGGCCAGGTAGTGCTTCGGTTGCGACGCGGACGCCGTTGGAGAGGGTGGTTATCTGGTCGAGTTCCGCTGGGTCGCGGGTGTGCGGTGGTGTTGAGGTGGTCGTCGCATACTGCCGTAATCGCACAGGTCTTCGAGGTAATGATCTGGGTAGCTGGCGCGGTAGGGAGGAGAGTGCTCGACTCATCGTGGGATGTGTTGTGGTAAGGACAGATGAAAGTGAACATGTGCTTCACTTCTCAGAAAGTCGTCGGAAGTCGGGAAAGTCGCGGAGATCAGCCCGATTAGGAAGTCAGAAAAGAAGGAGCACGTGATAATTTCAATTGTCCATTTGATTCGGCTATGTCGATAGCTAGTATACAGACCAACGGTCTTCAACCTGCACATCTTCAACTTGCCGTTCTATAGCTCTTATGCAGTCCACTCAAAGTAGGTAGATCGCCGTAAAGCCGCCTGAGGACTGGTGAAGCTGTTCCAGTCCAATTCTCCCATGTCCATGCAAGAAGCGCGCCTGCAATCATCGCTGTTGACCGCTGACACACACGCTAAACGCTTCTCGCTCCCAGTATGCCTTGCAATAATCATGCTCAATCCCATGCCATTCCCATCCCATATGCCTCCCACGACAGCATCCCTTGGGTATCTCACTCAAGACGCCTGGCTAGAAAACTGCGTGCAACGTCATGAGACATCCACACAATGCACAAACGCGCATGCACATAAACACCCCCTCTTTTTTCTTTTTCGCTTTGTACTCCCACACACGCACACACATTTCCTGCTCGTTCATCGCGACTTCCTCGTTTGAAGAGCTCGACACACACCTCTAAGGATCCCCAGGCGGGTTCCCACCAGGCCTCCACTCGCCAATGTCAATCGTCTGTTCCGAACCGATAGTTACGGCCATCGCGAGAGGCATTCTAGTCCTCGGCGTGCCGGGATCATACGGGTCCCAAAAGTCGTTTGGCGTGGCATCTCTCTGCGCCTGAGTCCTCACCCCGGCATCCACACCGCGGTATCCTTCATACGGAACCCACCCCGGGTAGGAAGAGAGCATGAGGGTGCGCGAAGGTCCTCGTGGTGGGTCACCCGGCAGCACAGTGCGGAAGGGCCACTCTTCCGCGGGAATCGGGGTGGTCTGGGTCATTAAGTCCCGGATTGGCGGAGTCGGAGGAGTGCTGGGCTCATTCGGCGGAGTAGTATTGGCGCGATCTCCATTAGAGTCTACATATGTGAAGTTGTCGTTGTCCTGGTAGCTGAAAGTGGGAGGGACAGACATAGGCGTCAACTCATCGTACTCGGAGTGTGGGCGTGGGAACGAGCGGACCGGGCGCCTGTAAGTCTCGAATCGGTTGTTCGGGTTTGGAGAGTGGTACGGGTCGTGGTTTGGAGTCGTAGTGTACATCGGAAGCTGAAGGTCACCGGTAGCCGTTCGAGTCTCACGCCTCATTAATTCCAGATGTGACTGAGGGGCACCATCCGTGCGCTGCTCACGGTCTAAGGTCCTTTGAACGGCGCCATTACTCGAGCCATTGGTGTGGTTGACGTGGTCGGCTTCGGGGTCGCCTTCTGTAGGATGCTCATCCTCCAGCGCGCTGCGATTGTCTTCGTCGCCATTGTCGTGGTCTTCCACAGCATCGTCCTCGACCCTGTCCTGATTCGCCGCCTCCTCGCTTTCTTCCCCTCCTTCCCCTCCTTCTCCACCTTGGCCACCCTCTCCATCTTCATCCCCTCCGGCTTCACCGCCCTCTTCGTCTTCTTCTGCGTGCTCAGGAAGTGCCAGCAGGTCTCGCCACTCGGTAGGCGTAATAGGCAAGTCATCCTCCGGCGGATCAGGGTCTGCCTGAAGATCCGCCACGGCTCTGCAGTTCGGGCACGTGAAGTGCGGGTAGTTGGGACCGAACAAGAGACTTCCGATACATTTGAAATGCCAGACATGCGTGCATGGCGCCACGAACAGAGCCTGACAAGGCGCAATGGCACAGAGGCAGATGGTGCACTCTTCGCTCACGGAAAGGTCGGACGCACGTGAGCTGGCATCCCTGGGCTTCGTTGACGCGAGAAGCTTCTTGTGGGCTGTCTTGTTGTAATCGTTCAGGCGAGTCTGCCATCCGCGATTGCAGTTGATCCGGATCTTGACGCAGCGGAAGATGACTTCTTCTCCTCCCTTGAAATCAATGCCTAGCTGGATGATGTCTCCATCGTTGACCCTGTATGGCCTGCTCTCGGTGCATGCGGGGCTGAGGCGGTTGTGGTTGAGGAAGGTGCCCGAGCTCGACTTGACGTCCTTGACCCACCACTGACCATCGGTGCACCAGAACTCGCAGTGACGCCTGCTGACCACCTTGCTCTTGAAGCCCACCGGGGTGACTGAAGTGGCATCCGCGGCGGTAGGAATGTCGCGCTCGCTGTACCTGCCGACCTTGACGATGCTGTTCTGAGACTTGAGCGTGCGTGACTGAGCTGCGAACTGCAACGCGGGGCGACTGCTGCGAGCATCGACGTATGGAGAGAAGCGGATCATTGGCATGGTCCCTTTAGGAAGTACTGTCGCAGTGCTGCTGCTCAATGTTGTCACTGTTGCGGAGCTGTCGGCTGGGTTGTTGGAGGTGCCAGATGCTGCATCCATCATTCCTGGCCTAGCCGGGACAGATTGAGAGAGAGCATCAGTGAAGACAGGCGCCGGGGTCGGACCAGCAGAGGCGCTTGCCGTGCGGGTGCGTGCCATCATGCTTCGCTCTGGCGAGGCTACCTCGGTTGACGACGTCGGGTGTGCTGTGTCGCGGCTTAGTCCACTCCTACCTTGCACTGTGGGAAGCCAACCGTCCGTACCACGCTGTCCTGCTGACTCATTCGCTTCCGAGTCGGACTGCTCTGGCAGCGGCGGCGCGTTCTCGCTCGGGTTGGTATTGCTTGGCGTGGAAGTCGAGCGAGTGAGGTTCTGCTGGGAGCGGGACGTCGTGTTGTGCAGGTGGGCGGTGGTATAGTTGCGGAGGTATGACAGGCCTCGCAGGCGGCTTGGTCTGTTGGGTGATGTCGGCGTCGAGCCGTTGCTTGAGGTTGTCGGCTGGCTGCTAGGTGGGAGCGAGGCCGTGGCCGGCACGGAGCCAAGCATCCTACTGGATGCCGAGTCAGTATGTCACACACTCAGACACAGACGATAGCAGCGGCGACGGCGACAATGACAATGGTTGTTGTGGCAGCCCGAGTGACCCTACTCGCGGTTGTTGTCTCAGTGAAGTGAGTGAAGTGGAGGCTGGATGTCAACCTAGTCGATCGCCGAAGTGGGGCCGTGCTCGGAAATGCCAAGATTCGGAGGGCACTAGCGAGGCGAAAATGCAGGCGCAACATCGACTTCATCGAACTACTTCCAGCACATCGATCACAACACAACCGTCAAGGTGAGAACACCAAAGAAGACAGCAAGGCTATACAGAATCGCTGACGGGGTATACAAAGATGGTCGCAGCAAAGAAGCACGTCCCGATCGTGAAGAAGCACACCACGCGCTTCAACCGCCATCAGTCCGACCGCTTCAAATGCGTCGACCCCAGCTGGAGGAAGCCTAAGGGCATCGACAACAGGGTTAGGAGGCGATTCAAGGGTCAGGCGGCTATGCCAAAGGTGCGTTGGCCGTATACAATATTGCAGGATGAGGAGGCGGATGTGCAGGATAAGGGAGGTGGAGAGGCTACGAAGGACCTGTTTGCTGATACTGCGGCAATTCACAGATCGGATACGGCAACAACAGGAAGACCCGCCACATGATGCCTTCCGGCCACAAGGCGTTCCTCGTTAACAACACCCGCGACCTCGACCTTCTCCTCATGCACAACAAGACCTACGCCGCAGAGTGAGTTTCAGCGAACTGTCAGCCGCCAAATGGGTGCTAACAGAGTTCCAGGATCGCACACGCCGTCTCGTCGAGGAAGCGGATAGAGATTGTTGCGCGCGCCAAGCAGCTCGGTGTGAAGGTGACGAACGGCAAGGCGAAGATTGCGACTGAGTCTTGAGCGGGTCAACGAAGATGGGGATGGACAAGCGCGATGGAATTGAGTGAATGCAATGAAGCATTCATGCATTTTCACAGCTAGCAATAAGAAGCTGGCATCTTGAAACTCCACCAACGCCACGCTCAAAGTAGCAGTCGTCTCATCATGTCACAAGACACTCAAGCATCCACAAGAAGCTCAATCAGTCCTCGTCCATGTCCTCCACACCCTCCCCGTCCACAGCTCCCTCATCCACAACCCTAACCTCCCCGTTCTCCTTGCTCCACCAAGCAACAACCCTCACCCGAAACTCCGCCACCGCGACCCCAAACACCTTCAACAGCGCCGTCTGATGACTATCCAACGCCTTCCCCTCCTCACAAACCACAAACTCCTGATCCAACACCACCCTCCCCTTCTCCAACCGCGTCGGCATCCCCCACTTCCTCAGCGTCTGCTCCAACGAATGCGGCGACGGCACATCCTCCTCCTGCGGCACCTCTCCTCCCGTGCTATAAACCACCCCCGCCGGCACAGTAAAACTCCTCGGAGCCACAATCCCCGCCCTCGCAAAATCCACCTCCACAAACTCCTCCAAATACCGCATCGTCTCCTCCACGCTCCTCTCCGTACACAACACCCCCACATTCCCCTGCAAATACCTCGCCAGCCCGCTCAACCCCGGCTCTGCCTCCTCTTCCGGCGTGAGACCGAGCGCTTTCGCCATGACCTTCGTCTTGCCGAAGAACAATCGTCCGTCGGAAGCGAAGTTTTGCCGGATTTCTTTGAGATAGGTGTTGCGCATATTGCTAACGGAGAAGAGGAAGAGGGACGGGTAGGCGGCGATGGCGGCGCGGAGGGAGGCGTATTGGGAGGCAGACTTTTGGCGCGAGGGGACTTTGGCGATGCGGGAGGTGTGGACGAGGCGGGAGCGCTTGGATCGGGGCATGGTTGCGATTGTGTTCTTGGTTGTTGGTGGATGGCTCGTTTATTGGGAGAGGGGTTGTTGTTGTAGGAGTTGTGCTGTGTCTGGTTGTCGACTTGCTCGAAAGGAAATTTTGGAGTAAGCTTTTTTGGGTGACAGCTTAGCGTGCATGGGTTAAAGCCGAGTATGTCCGATGTGCCTTCGAAAGCACAACATCATGGCCACTTTTCAGTACTACGGTAGAGAGAAAGCTGAAGGGGCCTTGAAAGACTTGGGCAGGTTCAAGTGGACGTAGCAATGCTCGTTGTACATTTTACACCACCTTAACCTTCACCAAATCATTCACAGCCATATACCGACTCACCCCAATCCACCCCCACCGAAACCACCTCATCTGACTCCGATGCCCCGTCGTCATCGCCCTCTGCGCCCTCCTCACATCCCCAAACCCACTCACCGCCAGCACCGGCGTCGGGAAATCCCCCCTCTCCTTCCTCTTCCACAAACACGTAATCACCGTCATCGCCGAGTCCACCACACTCGAGTACTTCCGCACCACATTCGTCGTCGTAAGCGTGTACAGCTTGACCGGACACTCCCACCCCGTATGTCTTTGCATCAGTTGGCTGAGAAAAGCCTTCGCGCCGTGCAGTAGAGAGACGTGATTCGGATGGCCGGATACGCCTCCCTCGTCGAACGTGATGATTGTGTCGACCAACGCTTTAGGCGCTTGCTTCACGCTCCCCTTCGCAGCATCAGGCGCAAAGTACCGCGTGAGAACGCTGCCGACTTGCTTCGCGTCCCACGTCTGCGTCATCGAGTCAGGGAACCGCTCATCCTCCAGCACAACCACGTGCTCCGGATGCGTGACCCCGAGCATCAGGGCGCTCTTCTTAAGCTCATCTTTGCGAACATGGCCGAGTCCGTCCGCATCACCAGAGCTCAGGCATAGAATGTATATTTGGTTTTGCAAAGAGGACTCCGAGAGGCGACGAAGTGTCGGGGCGAAGAACATGGCTTCGTCGTCTGGGTGGGCGATGAGGAGCAGGATCCGCCGGCCTTGGAGGGTCGGGAAGGTGAGGGTCATGTAGTGGGTGAAGATCCAGAGGACGAGGATGGCGAGGGGGAGTTGGGAGAGGAGGGTGTAGTTGAGTTCCATTGCTGCCTCTTGATGTCTTTGTTATAGGATCAATGGGTTGTAAACGCGATCATGGCCAATCTTGAAGTTTTACATCCATTCTTGACGGGTCCAAATTGAAGCAATGGCCGTGCCGGTGTGACCAAGTCTTTGTCGTTCACGGCTACTGCATTTTGGCTGGTGTTGACTTTATGTCGAAGAGAAGTCGCACGGGCCGAAGGAGAGTGAAGTTCGGGAAGGCGGCGTCGGGAGAATTGTTCGATACATCGATACATACATGAACGAATGGCCGGACTTCTCCAACATTAGAGCAGCTAGCAAGATGTATTGAAATGCGAGATCAAAGGCGCTTGTCGGACAAACAGAATCTAGAAGTTCTGGGAACGTGACCTGGTTCTCCGAGACATACATATGGGCCAGAATCCGTCGGTGGGTAAACAGTAGACGGTCTGCGGAGCAGAATTGCATGGATTTTACTTCAATCGTTCAACTTCGCATTCTACCGCTACCCAAACCTCGTATCTATCGTCTGGCCACTGCGCATCTCCACAGCCTCCAACAACAAATCCTTCCCTGTCTCCGCACCCGATGCTTTCCCTTGCGCCACTACAGCCATTGTAGTGCTTACCTCGCCATGCGGTTTTGACGGAAACGCTTCCACACCGAGCAAAAAGTGGTTCTAGCAATTTGCAGCTTTGGCGCCGGGACAGAGCAAGCGTCTCTGGTTTCGGGTTGAACAGAAAAGGCAACGATAGTGCTTGATGCTGTCTCGGAGAGCCTCTTCCCCTGGTACTTCGACGTGCCTGCATTGAAGCCTTTAACTCTCTGACTGTTTCGGGCCTGTAGTCGTCGTTCATATGCTATGCGGCCCTAGCGGTTGTCACATGGGAGACAGCAGTTCGCCACGAGGCGCAGAATAGCGTCTCTGGCCACGGTGATTTCATAGTCGATCACATCGGGCGAGACACCCAGCATCGTTTCGCAACAAGGTCCCGACGACACAGAATTGTTCAAACGAGCTTCGCCGCCCGATCAGCGGCGATCTCGCACATCGCCTTCTTCACATTAGTCTCCAATTTCCACAAAGAAGCAGCTCACTCACCCTAATAGCGGCGCTCTGCTCAGTCTTAATATCACTCCCTTCGATCCTCCTCGCCATATCCGCCATAATCACATCCCTCCCTCTCCCCTGCACGAAAACCACATATCGCAACCCAGGAAACGCCTTCTCATACTCCTCATTCAGCTTCCGCAACTGCTCGGCCTCCTCCCCGCCACCCTGCAACTGCGCCTGCTCAGCCTGGCTTTGCTCACTTTCGACTTTCTTCGCTCCTAGTCGTGGGTGCGATCCGAGAATGCTTCGAAGCCAGTCTGTGTCTGATGTTGAAGCAGACTCCGAGAGGTCGGTAAGCTGAGCACCGACGGCGGAGATGAGGTCGTTATAAGATTGGAATGTCTCCTCGTGCAGGAGTGGGACCGAGAGGGTGTGTAGTTGGGTGCTTGGTTCGAAGAGCTGGTCTAGGATGGCTGCGCGGTCTGAGGTTGGGAGCGATGGTACGTCTCCAATGGGAGGTAGTCTGTTGATTGTGGACATGATTCTTGTGGTTCCCTTCGGGGTATTTCTCTTCAACATGCGGTTCCAGCGGGATTAGAATTGAGTAGGTACCTAGAGGGGGAGAAGCTAAAGAGATGGACGTCGTTGATATGTGAGCTCCCATTGGTGTGAATGAGATCGGAGCTTTCTCCGGATGTAGCGTTCGTCAGGTTCCAGCTGGACGACTACCAGCTTGACCTCTTCCGTTCTCTCAATTTACCAACAAAGTCGAAACACCAAGGGCATCTGGAACGAATTTGCCGCTTTTGTCAAACCTCACCACCACCATCATGGAAGGGACGTCTTATCAGACCTTGAGTACAAGACTTTGAGCACGGTATGGCGACAGGAAGCCCAGTATAGGGCATTTGGACCTCAACCAAATCCAAGACGCATTTTGGACTTTTTATTGCGCCATGGATAACGCGCTGCAAGCAGAGCTCCAACGGCTCGGAGACCTCGAACTGGCAGTATTGGTAAGCCTCATTGCTCGGGAACACTGCATCTTCTCGACGGACGGTTCGAGGCATGACCTTCGAGATGAATTGAGCGTCATCTGCAGTGTCGTATTCGGGCTCCAGCTGGCCGTCATCGGATGCAGTCCATCTACTACTGTCGATGAGTTCAGCGAAGGCATTCTGGTGGAGCCCTCTCTGGACAATGAAAGTCCCGTTGAGCGAAGGCGCAGCTACCGTTTGCCTTCCTTTTCTGCAGACTTGTCGTCAACGAGGACTGCCCAGTTTGGTAGCAACACGCTCGACACGCGCCGTATCGCAGACGTCATCATCGCTGTGGACCTGGACACCGCCAGCGAGAATGTACAAGTACAAGCGCTCGAGCTCATCCGCACCAAGCGCGTCTTTACTCGCACGGCCATGCATACAGCTTCGAAGGACTTCATGGTCCTCTCTATAACTTCAGCTCCCGGCACAAGACTTTCGAAGCATCTGAACGACTTGTTCTGCATGTCTCACTTCCACCCCTCCAGCGATGGACTTCAGTACTTCAACAATGATGCCACAGCAGAGGACATGCCTTCCATCACACCGGACTCGATCGACGCTCTGCGCACTCTCACTTCCGAAGTCTATCTGAGCCCTGAGCTTGCGGCCTACCTCCATAATGTTGTCGTCTTCATGCGCAGCAGCCGCTACATCTCAGGAGGCGTCACGGCTACAGCGACAAGACAGCTGCGCGCCATCTCGAAATTGTTGGCTCCGCTCCACGGGCTGGACTACGTACCTCCCTCGCTGGTCACGCTCGCAGCGCACAAAATATATCCACACCGGCTCAGGCTTGCAACAGCGCAGACGGAGAGGAGCTTGCAGTGGGGCAGTGATCCTGAGGCTGTTAAGCGGCTTCTTGAAGGTGTCACTGTGGAGGATGCTATCGAGGATGTGTTGGCCAGCGTGGAGACGCCTTTGTGAGACGTTCAAATGCAGAAAACTGTGCTTTGTAGCAACCGCCAGCTGTTGTCTTTGGGCGCCTCCTGCAAGATATTGGTCTTTGCCTGCAGCGACATTCACATGCTGCTTGATCTGCACCCCGTTTATCCGGAAAGCCCGTCCCACGACTTGCTGTGGGCAAGTGCGCTCGGCTAGCGTGAAACTCCACCTCGATTCAAGATCAAGACCACAGACAATGTTTGGCAACAGCCATTGCAACACCTACACCACGCTCGTCATATGCAAAATGGTGAGGGGATATCAAGCATAGTGGTGATCAACGAATGACTGCCACGCGTCTTCCGAGGAGGACGACTGCCAAGTGAAGGTCCTTTGAAGCTTATCTAGCAGACTTGTTGAAGAATCGAGACCTCCGCCACCTATAACACTGCAGACAACTAGTCAGATGCCGTTGGCGTCAAATGGTAAAATGGCGCGTCCTCGACACCACATGAGGTCACCGACTTTCCCGCTGTACAATTCAACCAGGAAGAAGCCTCGCAGATGGCCTCTCGTGCTACGGTTCATCAAAGGTAAGAACTGTCTATACTTCACTCAAACAACAACGGCTGACAGACATCCCAGGTGCAATCCATGTCGATGTAGCAATTCCAGTGGCGTTACACATAGCTTTCACCGCATTGGTATGCTACGTGGACGAACGCCGTGATGGCCATCTCTACTTGCCCAGCACAACAATACCATCCCTCTCAATAGTGGTGGGCTTGATGCTCGTGTTCCGGAACCAGACGTCCTACGATCGCTTCTGGCAGGGAAATCAGTACTTGACAACGATCGTCACTTGCATACGCAACCTGACCAGAGGTTTCCTGGCATGCTCGTACGCTGGCAAAGCACCGCCGAGCGACCCGGAGCGAGCAGATACAGAACGTACCGTAAGGATCCTCCTGGCTCTGATATACGCTGCAAAGAACCATTTGCGCGCTGAATGGGGATCTACGCTGCCCTTGCTCTTACCTCGGACGGAAGTGGAGCGGAGGCGCCGCGAAAGCCACAGCATGTCGAGACATGAGTACACAGAACTCTTGCCAGCAGGAACTCGTGGTTTTGAGGAGCAAGGTCTCGGCCTGTTACTCCAGCTCAGCATCTCGGTGGAGGGCTACATCAAGCGTGGCCACGACAGAGGCTGGTTCAACGCCCCGCAGAGCTCGCAGATGAACAATCAGCTGAACTCCCTGGTGTCTGCTTATGGAAGCATGGAGACGATTCACCTGACGCCACTGCCTGTCGCTCTACTCATCCACATGAAGCAGGTACTAGCGCTGTTTGGCGGCGTCCTGCCCTTTGCCCTGGTGGGAGAGATGGGATGGTGGACGATCCTGCTTGTCGGCTTCGTCATGTTCACACTCTACGGCATCGAAGCCATCGGCGCCCAGCTGGAAGATCCGTTCGGCTACGACAAGAACGACATCAAAGTCGATGCGATAGTCGAAGACTTGCGGGTGGAAGTAAGCGTGATGCTAGAAGAATGGCGTCGCAACGGGCCCATGTTCGAAAGACCGGGACCAGGACTATAGAGTCTTCAAAAAAAACTTTGCATACCACACCAAACTACCTCTTCAACGTCTTCTGCTTCTCCGCACTCTCCACCACCTTCTTCCGCACAAACAGCCCTTTCCGCTGCCTCACAGCATCCACGTACCGCTTCGCCACATTCTCCTTGTCCGCCTTCTCCCCCAAATCCTCAATCTCCTCCTCCGTCCGCGGCACCCAGAACGGGTCTTCATCCAGCGCCTCGAAACCTTCAAACACCAACTGCGGCGCCGCGAAACCGGAAGTACGCTGTCGTATCTCGTCCGAGAACCCGAAACTTTCCGCCACGGGCAATAAAGCCAGGATCGTGAAGTTCGTCGACGGCTCGAGCAGTGTTTCGTCTACGATCCTGCCCCGTCGGCGTGTGATGACGGAGTATACCCGTCCCAGCACTTCGGCGGAGGCTTGGATCTCGCAGCTGTACATCGCCAGCAAGATTCTAGGACTCCAATCAAGGAAGCCGGCGCGGATGGCGTCGCGGGTCGTGCGGAGGATTTCGCCAGTGAGGCGGCCGGTGTTTTGCGCGGCTTCGGAGTCTGAGGAGGTGTTGAGGGAGAGGGATTCTAGGAAGACGGCTATGCCTTGGGTGGGTTCGTTGCACAGGGGGCCTTGGTGGGTGGCGAGTTGGAAGGCGTGGGTGGTTGTGTCGGCCAGGGTGTTGGTTTGTTTGTCTGCTGCTCCATTGGAGGTTTGGGAGGCGTCATCGTGGAGGCTGGAGGATGTTCGTTAGCATGGTCGGTGGGTATGGGGTTATGACACTTACAAGCGATTGCAGATGGCATCGTGAGTAGCGTCAATCAAAATGTTGGGCCCGACTCGTCGAGGTCCGAATGAGCAGATCTTATCCACCACATCCTTCCACACCTCTCTCTCACCCTTCTCTTCAGCGAAAGCTTCTGTTAGACGTTTCCTGAACTCTTCCATTGACAGCACCTGACCTGCTTCCTCCATTGAGTCACCAGCTTCAACATCGTGCTCCTCAATGTCCTCGGGCTGGTCTGCGTTAGTCTCCTCTCCATCGACATCGTCTCCCTTCGGGACCGAGCGCTCCTCTTCTTGCGCCTTCCTTTCAGAGTACAGCCTCTTGACTGCCCCAGTATGCTTCACCAAGAACTCCGTTACAGTTGCCGGCAGAGGCCTCACCCTCAGACGGATTGTGACAAGCTTGCTCGCGGTCGTCATCTCGACCCTGCCTCTGCCCAGCTCAGGATTCTTGGGAGCCTCCATCTCCTCTGCCCGCACAATACCTTCCCGATACGGCACGATAGCCTCACCAGCTTGGACGTCGCACTTTGCGAACCGTTCTCGGAGGTCTTTCAGACATCGTTCCAGGTGTAGTTCACCAGCAGTAAGTATGACGTGCTCACCGCTCTCCAGCTGCTCGTAAGTGACCGCTGGATCTGCTTGCTCGAGTAAACGGAGGCCGCGGATCATCTTATCCAAGTCGCCAGGATATGCTGGCTCGAGCGCTACACGCACGATAGGTGCATTGGTCGAGATAGCTGTAGTGGAAGAGAGGTTGGGAGCGCCGTCGAGTTGCGAGCAGATGGTTCCGGACTTGAGAATGGCGCCTTCGAGGCCAGCAATGCCGACCACGTTGCCTGCTGGTACGGAATTGAGGGTTTCCAGACTGCGACCCATGAGGAGGTAGAGTGCTGTAATCGTGACCTTCTTCGGCTGTGGATGGGCGTCAGGCCTTGCGGGCGTGAACTTCGGTGGGAGGACGTAGACTTCGTCTCCTACAGTCAGTGTGCCGGATAGCAGCCTTGCAAAGCCGATCAAGTGCTCGGGATCCTCGTCCTGCATTTCTGTGCCATTCGTCGTTTCGACCTCCTCGTCTTCGCCGATTGCAGCGCTGCTGAGCGCATCAGTGACAGAAGCAACATCCGCCTCACCGTTCGCTTGAGCCTGCGCTCTTGCTATCTCAGCTCTCTTCTTCCTGCCTAACTCTCGAGCCTCCTCAGCACTGAGCATACCGCCCTTTCGCTTGTTTCCAGGCAGCTCGCTCTCCGGTATCGAGACCATCTTGCTCACGTACGCCACCACCGGCTCGCCGATTGTTTGCTTCGAATGAACTATTGCGTCATTGATCTTTCCGTCGATCTGATCAGCGCCAGGTGACTGCTCCAGTAATGCGGGCATTCTGGACTCCTGCGCGGCTGAAGGCGATGGTAGACCCTCGACAACAGACACCAGCAATGCAGTAGAAAGCGGCAACCAGGCGCCAAACACAGCACTCAGCAAAGCCTTCGGATCTCGTGACCGCATGATGTGAGCTGGGATGTTGATGTTGAGGCTTTTTGTAATCTTTTCCAGCAGACCATGGTCGCCCTTGTTGTTCGGTCCACCCGTGGTAGCCTCATAAACTGCCCAGACGTTCTCCAGTACCAGCTGTACAAACATTGGCTTCAGATTCCGTCCTTTGAGATGCTTTGAGCTGAGAACTCGCTTCGTCTTCGGATCCAGATAGAAGTCACCCCAGAGCACTTTCTCCAGAATATGCCGCTTAATACCAAGTTTCTTCTCGTACAACCCAGCAAATTGCCGGGGCGTAAAAGCCCACCCGTCTATCGCAGAGCTGAAAATAACGTTATTTCGCTCCGGCTCGAAGTAGATGTCTTCATCGTCCTTTTCTTCGTACTCGGCTGGCGTACTGCTCATCACCACGCCTTCCTCGTCTTGCGCAATACTCGTCTTCCTCCCCTTCGCTCCCTCACCCTGTCCATCCTGGTCCTTAGTCTTGTTCACCCTCTCCTCAATTCTCTCCCGCCACCTGAGATCATCCTCCATCCGCTCACCCAACGCAAAACTGCCCATCACCGCATTCACCTGTTCAAGCAACTTACTTAGATGCGTGTAAGCCTCAGCCGGACTCAGCTTCAACTCCGTAATCAACCTATCCATCTTGTTAATCACCAACAGCGGCCGCAACTTCTCCGTCCACGTCTGCCGCAACACAGTCACAGTCTGCGAGCACACGCCCTCCACCGCATCGACCAGCACGACCGCGCCATCGCATAGACGAGAAGCGGTGGAGACTTCAGAGCTGAAATCGATATGGCCTGGTGAATCGATCAGGTTGATCAAGTACTCTTTCTGCTCTGGCTGGGCTTCCGGGGCTGAACGCCGTAAGAGGGAGAAATAGAGGGAGATGGCGGAGGATTCCATGGTGATGCCGCGGAGCTGTTCGTCTGCGCGAGAGTCCAGGTAGCGGATCTTGCCAGCGAGTTTGGGGGAGATGATGCCGTTGGTGGCGATGAGGGCGTCGGTTAGGGAGGTCTTGCCATGGTCCTATGTCATTCTTTAACAGGGTGCTTGGGGACAGTCTGGAGTCGTTTCTTTGGCTTACGACATGTGCTAAGATACATATCTATCTTTTCATATTAGTCCTTTGCCATCCATGGTTTGATGCTCCAATCCCTACATTTCTGATACCCTCGCCCTGCTGCTGGAGCTTGACCAGCTTCTCCGGGCCTACGACAGGCATCTTTGCTGGTATGCCACACCAAGAAGTGATTTGGCTTTGGACGACTCAAAGAGAGTGTCGATGATATGTCTTCGATGTCTTCTCGAAATCTAGAGCATGCGCTGTCGTGCAGCAAGCCGTCGCCCCACCCGACTTCAGGACTTTTCGCTGACGGGCTTCAAGACGACTCACAATGTCTCATCATCACCAGCATCAATCGCATTCACTTCTCCATCAAAATCTTTCTCGACCCCCCCAAAATGGCAAGAGCACATGAGCAGTCTTGTGACCGTTTGCACTTGCCGTTATTTCATGAATGGCGCCACTGCCGATCATTCCTTCCCCTCGTGCCTCCCCAGAGTCGAGTGGCGTCCGAGTCGAACCCAATGCCCTGACCACCGCACCTTCCTTTCCACTGTTCTCCAGGAGGTGAGGTCTTCTCTGTCACGACTCTCCTCTCCTTGACCACAACAACACCCAACACGACACTCTGATCAACAGACAATTGGAACCATAGTATTTGCATAACCAACAAGACACAACCACAACCCAGCAAACCACGCGACAGACCACAGCAATAGGACTGCTCACCACCATCATGGCCGAAGTGGCCCCACGCCAACACTGCACGCCCCATCGAGTCGTCGGGCGGGAGATTCCCATATCAACTTTGCCAGTCCCCATCTTCCAACACGCGACCGGCTTCAGAGCGTTCGAGGTGGGCCTTGACACGTTTAACTCGCCTGTCAATGAGAACGGCGTGTTCGCGTTCGATCGCATCATCAAGCATGGGGAGGTGCTGAAGCGGACGAGGAAGACCAAGGTTCGTCGATGTCCTGCTCCTAATGAACTTCCAGAACATGGGCTAAAGTGACGGATCACACAGTCCTGGAAGTCCGTCTTTCTGGTTCTGCGACCAAACGTACTCTCTATCTACCGCGATAAAGAGGAAACGAAGTTGCGACACCGGATCCTACTCTCAGACCTCACGGCGGTCGCGCGACAGAGGGATCGCAAGAGGAAGGACAAGCAGCATGTCTTTGGATTGTTCTCGCCTTCACGGAATTACCACCTCGAAGCGCTGTCAGATGAGGATGCACAGGAATGGGTGGAGGTCATAAGGAGGGAGGCGCGGATTGACAGGCATGAGGAGGAGCTGATGCTTTCGAGCCCGGGCGGCGCGAACACAAGTCAATACCAGGGCTTCGAACGAAGTATCGACGCGCAGATCAGTGCTGGCGCGGAAGAGAGAAGTCCACAAACAGCAGGCTACGCGAGCTCTTCGGATGCAGACGCTCTGGTGTCGGGCTATGCGCTACCCAGAAGTCGCACGCACACGCAGGACAGCACTCTGCCCCGCCCTCCCGCTCGCCAACCATCCTTCGCAGAATACTCCGGCGCTGAGAGGACTTCGATGTCTGACTTCTCGGACACCGCAGGTCCTGCAGCGCGCCTCTCCACCTTATCGCTCGCGCAGACGATCGACCCGCGCCCTTCCACGAGCTCCACCCAGCCAGTGCCAAATACCATCTACGGCACCTCCGCCCCTGCGCGACCAAACGCCGGGCCTAGAAATCCCAGCCAGCTCTCCACCCTCCGCACACTCGACCTCGACAACCCAGAGCGCGTCCTCTACCTCTGCTGGGCGTACCTCCTCAAATCCAAATCTGGCGTGCGCCAATGGAAGAAGGTGTGGGTCGTCATTCGACCTTCGGGTATGGCACTGTACAAGAATGAGGAAGAGTACGCGGCGTTGCTAGTGCTGAGTATTGGAGACATGATCGATGCGGTGGAGATTGACAACATCAGCAAGAGCAAGACGTGGTGTATGCAGATTTTGACCGAGGAGAGGAATTATCGGTTTAGCTGTGGGGAGGAGGAGGTGGTGACGAGGTGTTTGGGCGCGTTGAAGAGTTTGATCAGTAAGAGGAAGGCGAGGAGGAAGGAGATGGAGGCTGCTGCTGCTGCTCAAGCGGCGGCGTCGACGTCGTAGGGAGGAGGAGGAGGAGGAGGACTATTGATTGGAGGCATTATTAGCGATGCAGCATTACTTGACCTATGGAAAAGCTCTTGACATTGTCTCAACCATTCTCTCCGCCTTGTCGCTTCATCTCTCGGTCGATTCGAACAATCACATGCAATCGCGTCTTCCCGCCGCTAGTCCTCGTCGTCCCTCGCAACTCCCGCTCCAAACGCCGCTAAGCCCCAAACGCGCCCAAGATCATCCTCGTTGGCAAGCACAGTTCACCGCACCGCCCCTACCCCCAACCGGCCCAATGACCGACACCCGCTAAGGCAACCGCAACATGCTAGCACTCGACACACACGACTCATGAATGTACGCCTACCTCCGCCTTCGCTCGCAGATTTCCCTCGAAGACCTCTGCGACGCTTTCGACGAGTACACAAACAGCGAGCGCTTTTACTTGAACGAGATGGCGCATCGGGCGTTGAAGACGGCGCATTCGAATGCGAGTGCGCCGGTGGTGATGAGGGCGGGCGCGAGCGAGGCGGGGTTGAGGCGGAGGGAGGAGGAGAGGCCGTCGGTGGTGGGTGTGGAGGGGGCGGAGGGGGGGAATGTCAAGGTTGTTGTGAGGGTGAGGAAGTTTATTAAGAGAGGTGAGTACAGTGCTATGGTAGTGGTTCGGTGCAAACGCTGATGAGATGGGATGCAGAGCTCGAGAAGCGGTCGCCGTGTTTGGTCGAGATGGTTCCGGAGACGCAACAGACGATTTTGCATCCGCCTGAGTTGACGGCTGAGGAGGTGAAGAATATGCGGAAGCAGTATGAGACGAGGGACTTTACGTTCGACAAGTCGTTTTGGTCACATAACGAGGCGGATGCGCATTATGCGGAGCAACAGCATGTGTATGAGTCGTTTGGAGAGGAGTTTCTGGACCACAACTTTGACGGCTACCACACTTGTATCTTTGCGTACGGACAGACGGGCTCGGGCAAATCGTACACCATGATGGGGACACAAGATCAGCCAGGACTCATCCCACGGACATGTCAAGGCTTGTTCGAGCGTATCGAAGCGGAGCAGAACGGCAGTATAACATACAACGTCCACGTCTCCTACTTTGAGATCTACAACGAGCACGTCAAGGACTTACTCACGCCTCGCACCACACCTCCAACATACCTCAAGATCCGCGAGAGCCCTTCGGAAGGCGTGTACGTCCAGAACTTGACCGACGAGCAAGTAAAAAGCTACGAAGACATCGAGCGCCTCATGAAGACCGGCGACCTCAACCGGACCACGGCCAGCACCAAGATGAACGACACCTCCTCCCGCAGCCACGCAGTCTTCACCCTCACCCTCAAGCAAATCCAGCACGACATCGCCACCGACAGCACCATCGAGCGCCTCGCCCGCATGCGCCTCGTCGACCTCGCGGGCTCCGAACGCGCCAACCGCACCGAAGCCACCGGCCAACGCCTCCGCGAAGGCGGCAACATCAACCAGTCCCTCACGACCCTCGGCCGCGTCATCGCCGCCCTCGCTGATCCAAAGCGCCAACAAGCACAATCCAGGCCGAACAGCCGGCAAAACCAATCCAAGCGCCGCGCCGAAGTCGTCCCCTACCGCGACTCCGTGCTCACCTACCTCCTCAAGTCCTCGCTCGGAGGCAACTCCAAAACCGCCATGGTGGCCTGTATCTCGCCGACCGACTACGAGGAAACGCTTAGCACGCTCCGCTACGCCGACCAAGCGAAACGCATCCGTCTCACCGCCGTCGTCAACCAAGACGCCGTCAGCGCCGCAGAGCGCGACGCGAAGATCATGGAGATGCAGGAGACGATCAAGTGTCTCCAGCTCAGCGTCAACGCCGCCGCGACAAGGAAGCGGGACGAAGCGGATCGCGCGAGGGACGAGATGGAGGATTATCAGCGGCAGGTGGGCAAGATGCAGCGGGCGATGGAGGAGTCGCGGGCGGTGAGCGATGTCAAGATCCGTGCTCTTCAGATGGAAGTCGAGGAGTTACGGCCGCAGAACGAGGCGCTGAAGTTGGAAATTGAGGCGCTGAGACGGCATTTATCGCTTGCGGTCGGGGAGTTGAAGAATCCGATTGTGTTGCCGAAGGAGGTGGGTGGGGAGGAAGATGGGAGTGATAGTGGCTTTGACGACGACGATTTTAGTGATGCGGGCGGGCTTAAGTTTTATGGTGAGGAGGGCTCGTTTGAGCATGAGCAGTGGCAGAGGGATGTGGATGAGGTGTTGAAGGATCTGGCGTTGTTTAAGAAGAAAGTGGCGGATGATCGGGAGAGGTTCCCACGGCCGTGGGAAGCGGTTCAGTGAAAGTGGCGGAGGTCATTGTTGGGTTGTGTGGAGGGGGGTGTAAGGATTGTCTGGTTCTTGGTGTTGAGACGACTTGTTTGTGGTTTCTTTGAGCGAGGCGTTGGGATCTGATGTTTGTGAGGCGACGATACTGGATGATGAATGGCCTGGCTGATGAGTTAGACCCACGCTCTCTGGGTAGGTGGGTGGCGAAGAGGCGTTCATTTTGTCGATAGCGAACAGCAGCACATAGCATCGCTCTGCAAGCAAATTTGTATCTTGCCATCATGCTCCCATCCTCCATTTGGTTCAACTGCCACATCTCCTCCACCTCACCACCGTCCCTCCCCCTCCACCAAACCCACACACCCTCCTCCCCAATCATCCCCGACGATACTGCCTCCCATACTCAAACCCCACAATCCCCACCGCCGTCTGCACGTTCAAACTCCTCGTCACCCCCATCTGCTCAATCTCCACCAACATCCCACACTCCAGCAACACCTCCCCCGGCACGCCTTCCCGCTCACTACCCACCACTAGCACACACTTCTCTGGCAGCACACATTCCTTCGAGCCTAGCACGACTGAGCGGTCTGTTTGTTCGATCCCGACGACTGTGTAGCCTTCTCGCTTGCGCTCGCGCAGCCATTCCGGTATAGACGGGGCCGAGAGTTGCGTGACGGGGAGATGCAGGTGTGAGCTGACGGCTACAGAGAGGAAGTCTTTATTCGACAGGACGTTTTGGTTTTGTAGCGTTAGTGCTCCGGCGCCGAAGATCTCGCTCACGCGGCTTAGACCGCCCAGGTTGTAGGGGTTCGTGACGAGGGAGGCGACGATGAGGAGGTGCGGATGTGGACGGGTTTGAGGTGCGGAGGAGGATAGGGAGCGCGCGAGGTGGGCGGTGCCTTTTGTTTGGAGTGCGGTGGTTACTGTTTCTGAGGTTTGGGGACCGAGGGAGGGTTGTTGGGGTGGTAGTGGTGGGGTGGGTGCGGGGCGGGTGACGGGTGGGCCAAGGGGGATGCAGGGGGGTGAGGTGAAATATGGAGGGTCGTGTGCGTCGTTGCTGTAGACTTTGAGGAAGTCATCGTGGGTTGTGAGAGGAGATTCTTGCTGGTCGAGAGCGAGCCACGGGCCTTCGACGAGGTTGGTCAAGGTCAGGTCGGTCGTCGGGTCGAATCTGCCAAACTTCCTTTCAGGCGGCGGATCGTGGAAGCGTTCAAGGCTTCTGATGTACTCGTCCAAAGCTGCGAAGGCTACGTCGTCTGTGATTTCGTTCCACCTTTTTGTTCTCGCGTGATCCATGAGTAGTGGCACTTGCCATTGCGCCTCATGCCGAATCACGACTTTCGATGAGGCTGCGAGGGGCACAAATGCTGTTGCGATCTGTTGGGCAAAGTCTTTGGTCGTGTCTGGCGTGCATGCCAGTATTGCTCCAATCTTCATCAGTGAGGCCAGATGCTTCGGGTTGGAGTGATGGTCCTTGGTCCGCAGTCTTGCGAGGAGAATGTACCTCAGGTCTTGCCGTACGATCATCCTCACAATCATCACCTCTAGGAGGTACCGGTAGTGTGGCAGCGGCTCGATCGCTAGGATGTGGAACAGGTCTTCCAGCAGCCCTACCCTTTCCTCGACGGGTGGCTCGTACTGCTCAAAGCATAGCAGAAGCACCTGCAACTGAAGCAGATTCTTCCATGCGCTGATAGTTGGTGGTGGGACCCTCTGTGATCGCCATTTGTGAAGGATGTGCTCTACTATCGTCCTGATCAACACTGGTTCTTCTCGGTCTGGTTGTCGCAGTCTGTTCACAAGGTCGAGGTATGCTGCATAGCCATAGCTGAGGGGCTCGCCAAAGTAGTGCTCGTAATCATACGGTGTCAATGGAATGATAGCTTCTTCGAGCATTGTATCAATTGTTGGACTTGGAGGCTTTTCAGCCACATTAGTGATGAAGTCTGCAAGCCCAAGGAGGTCGGATTGGTCCGGTGAATCAGTAATTGCCCTCCTCATGCACGCTGCCAGCGGCGGGAAGAGAAATGTTTTAGTATCGGCTACTTCTCGCAATACCCTAAGCTTCTGCGAAATGCTGGCAGCAAGCACGTCATGCCGGCGGGCGCGCATGAGGGCGGGACTGCCCAAGAGGAGGGAGGGCAGCACCATCAGAAGTCTTTTTGGGAATTCGAGGTATTCGACGTCTGACCAGATGTCCTCCAGTGCTTCCGAGGTCGGCTCGAACGCATGCATCTTTTCGAGCGCCTGTTGCTCTCGAGACTTCCTTGCTGATGTTCTCGTCGGTGGCGGGCGGTCGGCTTCTGTCGCAGTAGTCTTCAACCGAACATAGTTGCTAGCCACCTCGGGTAGACCGCGAAGCGTCTGCATGTGCGCTTTCTGCTCAACGCTCAAGGAGTCTTCGAGGCCCTCGAGCAGGTAGACGGTGCAGTAGGCGAACATCGAGTTCCGCTTGGCCATTATGGCTTCGACCACGATATCTGTAATCTGTTCCGGTCCCGACCACACCGCTCGCAGCCACTTGATAAAGCATGCAAGCTGGTGTCCATGTCGACACGAGGCCTTACCGTCCACGTACTTGAGAGTAGCCACAAAATGCTGGCCTTGCGTTACCCAGGGTAAGAAGTCGGTGCGGAAGAATGCCATCAACTCGGGAGTAGGTTTGAAGGTGGAGCGCATGACCCAGTTGCCCACGAACTTGCGATTCGAGTCTTGCATAGCATTGTCAAGGGCCGCGCCAAGTAGCGCGAAGAGCCACGAGGAGCTAAGCTCACATTTGTCGCTCACGAAGAAGTTCAGGTCCTTCTCGCATTCCATGACCTGATTGATATATCTTCCGAGGATGATAGTCTCGAACACAGTGGCAAAGCGCTCATACTGCTTGCGCAGCTCAGCAGAGATCGGCACCCAATCACTCGCGATGGTAAGCTTGAGTATGTTGAGGCAAAGCTTTCTTCGCTCCGCATCCCCGTATCTGAGGCCGTTCGAGAGGAGCTGCCAGTATTCATCGTCGCCAGTCTTGAGAGTCTGCTCCCCGGATGCCGAAAGAAGCCACCTGAGCCAGATAGAGTACCCTGTGATGACGCTGAACGGTCTACCCGAGTCGATCAGCGAGCGAACGTGGCTCCAGATCAGCTCTGATAAAGCGGTAGATGAAGTGATTGGTGCATCCGGGTATGGAAGGGCAAGTGTTTCCAAAACAACATCTCTTGCGGACTTCTGAATTTCTGATTTTTCTGAATGCAGTAGCTCGAGGCAGACTTCGAGCAGCCGGGACTGAATATCGGAGAATGGGGCATGTGGAGTGACCAGACTCGCAAAGCGAAGCCATGGACGGAGATGCTCGAAGATAGAGAAATCATTGCTATTGACTGACTTAGCTTTGATTGCCTCTTCGATTGCTCTACTTAGTAGTGTGTGGCATAGTTGCTGATCTTCTAGGCACAAGCCGACAGCTAGCTGAACATGGCCCTGTTCGATGGTCCTTTCAAGGAACAGGGAAAGCTCCTGAGAAAGACCTTCGCCGCCATCCTGCCTGATAACGGATGCCGCGAGGCGTAACTCTGCTTGATCGTCTGGCTTCAATGACCATATCAGGTCGCGCAGAACACTATAGCGCTCGGCTACCGGGATGCGGTCCAGTAGTACGTTCATGGTCACCGACCGTCACGCACGGCGCTCCATGTACTCCTGGATGAGTATTCGACTTCGTTCAATGGCTGCCAGAATTCGCTCGTCTTTTCAGTACCGCAGACCTCAGGAGGGTGCTGTCGCCGCGTCTCCATAGGAATGATGCGCCCAATCCACGAGCTTTTGGCTCAGTACAAGGTAGAGAGTGGTGTATGGAAGTGTGGTCTGGTCCCTTCGGTCTGAAAATGCTTGATGTATCCCTTGGAGCGGGCCGTTTCCCGTGGAGAAGTCCGCTTTAGGCAGGAGTGAAGTCTCGTGATTCGAGGATCTGAGGACGTGCGGGGATCGCATCTTTCGCGCATGGCGTGTGCATATTTAGCCCAGTGTGATCGTCATGGTGAATGAGATCAACACCGCTTAGCAATACCACACCACCTCCAAGTGGCGGGTAGGTGAAGTACTGCTTTCTACACACAGTTCTTCCACCCTTCACCCCCTCTCCATCTCCACATTCTCGACCACAGGCGCACCGGCGGCAAGATGCCTGGCAACGAGGAAAACCGCGAGAACGATGAGAGGGAGCCGCTGCTTCGAAATGGCAGCCAGCTGAACGACGCCGGCGAGGGAGGCGACAGTCGCCAACTCATAGAGTTTGAAGAGAACGATACAGAGAACCCGAAGGCATGGAGGTACCGGGACAAGTTGATGAACATGGGCGTCATCGCATCCATGGCCATCTTGTCGCCGCTGGCATCGTCGATGTTCACACCGGGCATCGACCAGATCGCGGACGGTTTGAACACGACCCCGGAGACGGTCATTGGATGTACGACAGGCTTCGTAGTACGTACAGCCTGCTTAGCACATCCGTGGGCATCTTGCTAACTGCTCAGATCATGCTTGGGATCGGGCCTCTCATCCTCGCGCCGCTCTCAGAGACCTTCGGCAGAAGATCGCTCTACCTTATCTGCTTCAGCATGTTTACTCTACTGCAAATACCGTCAGCACTCACGCCTAACATCGAGTTCCTCATCGTCGTGCGAACGTTAGCGGGTTTCTTTGGTAGCGTTGGAATTGCGAACGGTGGAGGAACGATATCAGATATGTGCGGACCAGAAGAACGCGCGAGCATATTCGGATGGTACCTATTAGGTCCTTTGCTCGGTCCCACCATCGGTAAATTCCAACGAGCAAAACCCTACCATGTCTGACACATTGACTGACCTTTGTCATTTTCTTTGCAGGTCCACTGCTGGGAGGTGTGATAGTCGAAAGAGCAGGCTGGCGCTGGATATTCTGGGTCTTAACCATCATCTGCGGCCTCAACACGCTCGCTGGCTACTTCTTCCTGCGCGAGACGTACGCGCCAGTCATCCTGGCCTCGCGCAAGAAGCAGATGGAAAAGGATGAAGACGCGACAGGCAGATACACCTACAAGGGCGAGGACTTCCGACCTCTTTGGAGAAAACTCGGGCACTCGTTCTCCCGACCACTGCGGATCTTGATGCAGCCCATTGTCTTTACGATGAGTAGCTACCAGGCCATCATCTTCTCGACGACCTACTCGCTCTACACCAACTTCCAGCCAATCTACCAGGAGGAGTACGGCTTCAACACTGAGCAAGTCGGTCTAATCTACCTTGGACCAGGACTTGGCTTCCTTACCGCAGTCTGGTTCCTTGTCCCTCGTATCGACACAGTTCGCAACTATCTAGTGAACAAGAATGGCGGAAAGAGCTATCCAGAGTATCGGCTGCCTCTCGCCAACATTGGCTCTGTCCTCATCCCGGTTGGACTCTTCTGGTTCGCGTGGACGGTTCACTTCCACGTTCAGTGGTTTGTCACTGTCCTTGCGACCTACTTCTACGGCATCGGGCAGGTCATGATCCTCAACACGACGACGAACTACTACATCGACTCCTTCGAGCGGTACTCCGCCTCAGCCATCGCGGCAGGTGCAGTCTTCCGCAGTATTGTGGGCGGCATCGTACCTCTTTTTGCGCCGGCGTTGTTCGATCAGCTGGGTTATGGCTGGGGCATCTCAGTCTTTGGCTTCCTGGCTCTGGCGATTGCTCCCGCTCCAATTTTGTTCTACTTCTTCGGCAGCAAGATTAGAGAGAGGTTTGCGGTAGACTTGGACTAGAGCTAGGTCTGCAATGCAATTTCTGCGATCCACCATCTTCTTCAACTCCACCGCAAACGTCGAACGCTGAATCGTATGCCCCAATTTCGTGGGGCTCAATCTTCAGCCTCATGCTTAGGGCCTGCAGCTAAAGCTCCTCCACCCAGGCTTGACAGGTCACTTCCATAAATATTCGCACCATCACGAGAACCTCGGTGTCTCAATGCGTGAAACGATGGTTCGCCGTCGCAAAGATTTGCAAAAGGGCTTCGATCGTTGGCAGCCTCCGGAAATCCAACATTATCCCGGAGCTGAGACGATCACCATATCAAACATACGTTCACGTAAGCGAAAAAGCGTCTTTTTCACGCGGGCCTTACCGTTGCCTCAAACCACCACTGGGGCCGCGAGCTTTAGTCATCGGCGTCAGCCGCTCTCTTTACGAGCTGGCGACTACGGTCCTGAAGAGGGATTGGCGGTGGAGGGCATCGTTATGTCGCAGGCATGCATGGCGTTATAGAACACGCCGGTTTTGAGGTCAGCCGCATTACGAAAGCGGTCGCACTTTGACGGTGTTTACGAGTGGGTGTCGTAAACGCACAATGGGGCCTTCTTGGGGAAGGATGACTTTCTCGTAGTGAGAAGAGGGGATGGGTCTTGATGTGGAGCGATGTCGAGATGAGGCTGATGTTTGGGAGGTTATATAAACTATTCGATGTCAGCTATTCGAGTCTGAATGCACATTCCTGCCATTCCATCTCTCAAAATACTCGAGTGAGCAACAATGTCCGACTCCTCGAAAGTTTGCCTCGTGATCGGTGGCACCGGTGGCCGTGAGTCCGTCCTACTCTCCCACCTCTTCCACCCACTGTACTAACATCTTCCTAGTCGGCCGCGGCATCGCCCTCGACCTCGCCTCCACCGGTTGGAAGACTATCGTTGCCGGCCGGAACCAAACCAAAGGCGACGAGATAGTAAAAGAGATCACCTCCTCCGGCGGCACCGCCACCTTCCTCCCCGTCGACATCACTTCACCTTCCTCCATCTCCGACCTCCACGAGAAAGCAGTCTCAACCTACGGCCGCCTCGACGCCGCGATAAACAGCGCAGGCACCACAGGTGACGTCGTCAAGTTCGCCGACTCCAGTCCTGAAAACACCGCTGCGGTCTTGTCGATAAACTTGCACGGCGTGATTCTCAGTATGCAGCATCAGATTCGGGCTATGCAATCCAATCCTTCCGGGTCCGGCGGACGGATCATCAACATGAGCTCCGTCTACGGCAGCCATGGGGGCATATGGGCCAGCATCTATTCCGGGACGAAACATGCTCTTGAGGGCATCACGAAGAGTGTGGCGCTGGAGTACTCGAACCCCAAGGACAATGTTCTGGTGAACTGTATTGCGCCGGGTGTGATTGTGACGGAGATGACGGCGGTGATTGCGGACCCGAGTGTCCTTCCGGATGGAGAATTGAAGGAGTATTGTATGGGGTTGCGGAAGCAGTATGCGCAGGAGAGGTATGGGGAGGTCTCGGATATAGCGAGAGGCGTGCGGTATTTGCTTGAGAGTCCTTGGGTGACGGGGACGACGTTGCAGATTGAGGGTGGATTTGGTGCGCGATAGGAAGAGAGTTGCGAAGTCGTGTAATTGCGGTCTATTCCCGGAAAAAGAGACCATTCTGGGGTTGAGCACAGTCGCCGTCCATTATTGTTGGTGTTTCGATTTGCCCTGGACTGTTTTGCGAATTCGTTCTGGCAGTCGAATCCGCGAGGAATGAGAAGATGTGGGCTCCTGCGCAGAAGGTCCCGGAGGCATTACTCCGTTCTCCAGTGGCCCATACCGCTTGATTGCTCGGGCAAGGCCAGCTGCTTCAGCGTCGGTCCAGACCAATGTTCCACCTCGCTGACTGTGCTGCTGTTCAATTGCTCGCCTGTAGACCGCTCGGTCGGCTTCATCAAGTGCTAGACAGGCTTCTAGGGTGCCATAGATGTGTTCCGCGGGCTCAATGTCGGACAGGTGACTGCGTCTGTACTCCAGTGCATCCTCCAATCGTCCAGGCTGTCGAGCGATGGCCAACATAATATTGTAATGTAGAATAAGCCCCAAAAGACTCTTGCGCCCATCCAGATACTGTAGCGCTTTTCGATGCGCGTCCTCAGCTGCAAGGTGGCGCCCGAGTTCGCCACATTCGATACCTTGCACAAACAGCTGGAAGAACGACGGGTCCGCCGTATGATCAAGCTGTGCCAGATTGATCTCGTGTAGCTTTGAAGCATCATGCACGAGTCGTAGCAGGTACGTCCCAGCAGAGCTCTCCGCGAGCAGTGGGTGCGACACTGTACCCTTAACAACGAGCAGGAAGTTCTCTATTTGCCTGAACAAGGCTCCCTCAGCGTGAACATTTTCTTGGGCTAATCGCTCGAGAGGCCCTGAGGCTATTGCCATGGCTTCAGTAACTCGATTAAGTCTCACAAGCCAAAGGAAGCCTTCCCCAACAGCATCCCATCCGATGATATCTGACACTCCCAATGTCATCGCAAGTTGACAAGCTCGCAGTGAGAGAGTCATCGCATTCTGCAAATGTGTCGAATGCGTTGGACGAATCAATGGGACCTGCATATACCAGCGACGCTCTAGGCATGCTGCCTTTCCCCGGAGTACTGATACTTTGAGGTATGTTGGTATCTCTGCCTGCCTAGGCCCTTCGAGTTCCAGCAGCAGACTGTCGCAGAGCATTTCAGCCTCGTCGATCTTACCAAAGTGGTTGAGCAGGTTCGCGATGTCGTGTTTGTACCTTATAGCCCTCTCGAAATCTTCGGAAGTCACACTCTCCAACCGGATTAATTGGAGCTGCGAGAGAAAGAGCTGTTCCTCATACAGACCCAAGTGGAAAAGCGAATGGGTTCTGAAGTCCAGTAGTTGCATCCAGACCTTGTCAATCCCGGAGTTGGAGAGCTGGGACCTCGCAAGATCGCTGGATAGGATGGAGTCTCCAACCAGGTCGCAGTCCGAAAGTATTTCGTCGCAGTAGGCGTCTCCTGCGTCCGCTGCGAGGCAGTCCATTTTGGTGGTGAGGCACCAGAAAATGTTGACATCATCTCCCGACCAGACGTGCTGTGCTTCGTCCATGCACTGACGTGCCAGCTCTACACTCATGCCTGTGAAACCAAGCTGTCTGAGAAAATCCGCGGTGAGCTGCATCAGAAATACCAGTGGCATGCATCGCACACCGAAGGACGTTGCAGACGGGATGAAGCTCAGATTGTGTCGGAAGAGATATCTGGCGAGACTCAGATCTGTTCCAGTAAGATCACTCGCGTCATCCGGCTCTGGGAAGACTTCTCGAAGCACGAGGGCAACTTCTTTTCCGTACCTTGAAGTCTCGTGTGGTTTAAGCCTTTTCAGTATCCGTTCATGGACTACTGGATGCAGGTTGTACTCTCGAATATCGGTGTGTCCGTAGACTTCTTCGATAAGTGACAATCGGAGAAGCCTAGACACGACGTTTTGCTCCTCCCCCGGACCCATCTCAATGAACTCAGGAAGTCTCATCAGTAGTCCGTGAGGAATGCCTCGGTGGTCGAAGAAGCCCATGTAATTGAGGCATGCCGCTGACAATGGATCGCGCCTGGACAGTACGTCAAAGGACATCTCCCAGGTGACTAGAATGCTTTGGGCGGCCGAACGAGGAGCTGGATTGCTGAGATCTCTCACTGGCATCCTCATCAGGCCCATTCTACGCTCCTTGTCTCGATATGCCCGGGAGTATTGTAAGATTGAAAGTTGTTGGTCACGAATGTTGGCGGCAGCCTGTGCGACTGCTAACGGCAAGCACCCAAGGGCTTCTAAGAGCTCCTGCACATCTTCTGCGGTTTCGTCGGTGACGGTCTGTGCTAGATGGCGAGGCACGGATTTGAAGAGTAGTCTTGCCGCTTCCTCGGGACTCATGGGCTTGACCTGTACTCCGTGGTCCGCTGCAGCGTAGCCGCCCACGAATCTAGGATCTCTTGTGGTTATGAGGACCCGGCAATTGCGTGGAATGTATGTGTTGATTGCAGTCGAGACGTCACTGAGGTTGAGGAAGTCGTCCAGGTCGTCAGCGTTATCGAGAATCAGCAAGCATTCATGTTTGAGTTGTTCGAGCTGCCGACGGGTATGATCCAAAGACTGCATCATGGGTATCGACTCGGTCGTTGCTTCCGTTGGGCTTAGCCGACCAGAGATAGTTCGATAGTCTGAGGCAAAGTTGGTGAGCATGTCTGCGCGCACCCAGAACACAGGCATGGAAGTCTTGACCATGTTGCCAAAGTCCAGAGCGATCTGAGACTTCCTGTAAGCCGTCAGCGTATGTACTACTCATCGTGAGGGTAGGCAAGGTACTACCCGACACCACCCATTCCCCAGAGTACAAACACCTGCCCTGCGTCTGATTTCACGTGGAAGAAACGCCGAAGCAGATTCGTGTAGGTTGGCCGTTCAACAAAATGCTCATGAGCTTGACGCGGAAGTACTGAGGGGATGTTCCCAATGTGTGCGTCCACTATTCGACATCAGTGCTCAGCTCCAGAAGCTTGACGACACTTGCAAACTAACTGGACCTGTCAGGATTCATCAGCGACGCGGTACAGCGCTCAATCTCGCGCCCACTGCCAGCTTTGCTAAGGTAAAGAGTCGTGAGTGCCTGCATTCTCTCCGTCGCCTTGTAGTCGTCGAGCTGCAGATCTTCCATTCCCTGTGGTACATTGAAGCGAAAGTATCGATCTTGATCACTCAGTTCTCGGCCGACCGATGACCGCGCGAAGTCATCGGCAATGCGCTCGGAGTCAGTCAACATCTCCACAGCCTTTTTCAAGAACGAAGCAAGATTTTTGGAGACTGGAGTGATTTTGGTCGACCCGGTGCCGATACTGACAAGACATCCGACTTTCCGTCCTTTCAATTCTGGATCGCGGCTGAGCTCGGCGAGGGCCTCGTTGACAGGATTGTTGAAATGGAGGCCTCCGTCAGAGAACTCATGCTTGCCAGCCTCGAAACGAACAGGCTTGAAGTAAATTGGAGCAGCTGAAGTTGCACTGGCTGCTTCCCAAATCGTGCAATCGTAATTTTCCGCAGTGGATGCAGTCGCAGTATAACTTCGGAGTACCTCAGGCTTGGCAGTAGCTGTTGTGACACACAGCATCCTGAGACGCAGTCAATCGTCGCTCACGCCAACAGAATATCACTCTGTTACGCACACTTTGCATGGCGGTTTTCCATCGACACGGAATGATGTGCTGGCTGGGAAGTTGCGATCTCCTAAGATTGTTTTGATCTCTGCCTGGAGCGCCTCGACGCTGTAAAAGGCAGATGAGGCAAAGCCTTTGACGATTTTTCCCACAGCACCAAGCGCAGGAGGTCTCCCAAAGACGCGTCGGCCGACTTGTTCATATGCACTTATGCATTCGTCAACTGTCATCTGAAGCCGTCCAAGCATTACTGCGATGAGGCCGCTGGTGGAAGTGCCCACTATCAAATCGAAGATATGACAAGGTCGGACGTCGGCTTCCGTCTCACCCATCTCGTGCGAAAGATTTCGCATGAGCCTTCGGAGGATGAGGAGCGTGGTATAACCTTTGATGCCGCCGCCATCCAGCGATAGGATTCGTAGATTGTGTGGCTTGCTACTACTTGCCATGCCTAATGACTTCCTGGAACATGTCCTTGTGGGCGATGGCAGGGCGGTCCTCTTGAAATAGGTCCTTCCAGAGAAATGTCCTTCCGGCGATGGCAGGGCAGCCTTGAGGGAAAGGTCCAACTTATAAAGAGGCGCGAAAGCAATGCGGTCTGCCACAAGGCTGTACTCACAACCATGCGGGCGTTCGCAGTGGTGTGATGTGGCGCCGCAGGTCCGACGTGGTCGAGACCTACGAGGTATAATGTACCTGAGGTATTATCGTAAACCCCCGCCATAAGCTCACGAATGCGCGAGTCTCATTCTCAATCGGTGATCAAAGCCATGTTCTGCGCTCCCAGTGGGACCTAAGCACGTGAAGGCAAGTCTTCGGGCGCATTGAGAGGTCAGTACTTCGTACGCCACTCCTTGGCTATCGTACCATCGCAACGTCCGCCACGAGCTTACGAACGCACGAGTCTCGGTTCCAATTAGTGAACCTGTTCAGCGCTTCTCGTTGGATTTAAGTGTGTATGGACAATTCTCCGGCGTCGCGTGAAGAGGTGAGGAGTACGTACGCCATTCTTTAGCTCTAAAAACGACGTCCGTCACATAGAAGACCTTCGGAAATTCATGAGATGAAGTATTTCAAGTACCTACCGTACTGCGCTACTGGTACAAAAGACTCACCCAGATCCAAGTCTCGAGTCAAGGGCATTCAGAGACGCAAGCAAGCAAGCAGTCGGTAGTAACACACGTCGAGCAAAGAAAAATGGAGCCTCCTGAACAAACCCGCGCCTCCCGCACTTTGCACCGCTCCCTGTTCGCAGCCTTCGTCGTTCCCGTGATCTTTTCTTTCTGTGCGAGCCGGTACCTTACCCTGAGGAGGTAGTCCGACTCACCGTTTCCGAAATCATTCACACGCTTCACAGCTTCGGTGAGGTATTGGTGCTTTGGGCGGTGACGTAGTCGTAGGATGCAGCCTGCTCCGCGGAAGCCGTCAAGCAGTGATGGCCTGTCACATCAGTATACTTACCACAAATCAGGGTCAGTAGTGTATCAAGGGAGCCTTACCAAGATCCAGCACAGTCCAGCTGATTAGTAGCGCGGTCTGCTGCTGCGGTGCTCCTCGTACCCACCATACCCGCCCCCGTCGTAAGGCCGCTTGCGCGAGCGATCGTCGAACCCACCACCATAGCCAGGGCCGCCGCGATCGCCGCCTCCTCTGTACCCTCCGCCGTTCGGCTCCTCGCGATCCCGGTAGCCGCCGCCACGAGGAGGGAGAGGCTCGTAGTTAGCGTTGTTGCGTGATCCGCGATCGTCGTACCCTCCGCCAACATAGCCTCCACGGCCTCCCCCGTAGCCTCCTCCATAGCCTCCACGATCGCCGTATCCGCCTCGTGGGCCCGCCGGTGCGCCGTCCGGAGGCATGCCGTTTTGATATCCTATACCACCTCGGCCGCCTCTGAAACCGCCACCGCGGCCACCCCTGAAGCCTCCGTCGCCTCTGAAGCCGCCTCTGAAACCTCCACGGAAGCCGCCTGGTCCTGGTGGTGGGCCGTTGAACTGGTACCCGCCGCTTGCGCGAGGAGGCGGCGCTTTGGTGTAGTGACGTCCTCCCAGGCCACCTCCAAATCTCAGTGGTCTCCACCCAGCGACAGTCCGACCGCGTTCCACATCGACGAGGATGCGGCGGCCCTTAATGCTAGCACCGTCCATCTCTTTGTACGCAGCTGCGATAGAAAATGTCAGTAAAGAAGCGCAACCGACAGTACGTGGTGGGGACAAATATACCTTTCATGTCGGCCTCGTTGTGGAAGACGATGAACGCGTAGCCTTTTGAAGCTCCCTTCCTCTTCTTCTTACTGATTCTGTCCTGAGCCACACCACGAGCAAGCATCTCCGCCTCGTTCTCTCCAGTGTCGGTGATGACCTTGATTCGCATGATTGGTCCGAAGCGCGAGAACTCGGCTTGGAGGTCGTGCCTATCCACATCGTACGAGAGGCGCGAGACGAACAGCGTGCTGAAGGCATCGCCAGCCGCGCTTGTGTTCTGCTTGGGTTTGTAGAGTAGGTCTGCGCCTTCGTTGTGAAGCCATTGATGATGCGCTTGCTTTTCACGTGTCTCTCGGTCGCGCCTTTCCAGCCATGACTCGGTGGGTGGGGGTTCGTAGCCTGGGTCGCCGGGCTGAAGTTCCTGGTTGTCGGACGCTTTGACGTTCTCGGCCTTTTCGTGCAGAGCTGGGAGGAATTGTGCGACACTAGTGATGTGGGCAGTGCGACGATCTTCTGGCGCAACGTCATGCGCGGGGAGGTAGCGGAGTGGTGGGCGCGGCGCGAAGAGTGCGCGGAGGTTGGGGGGTAGCTTGTCGGTCATGCTGGCTCACGTGCTGTGGTTGAAGCCACAGAGCTTGGGCGATGGTAAAGTATCACTGTGCTCTCGCGTCAGATATAATTAAACCAATCTGATGTGGTTGCGAGAGTGGCCGGGCATGATGGTGGATGTGGTGTTAGAGGTGGAGATCGTGGTCGAAAGCAAGGAGGTCTTCAAGGTCTTGGCGTCCGCTAGCGCGATATGGATCGAGGCTCTCGAACATCCCATCTCGAGTTTGTACCTCACTTCCATGCGAAGAGGAAATGGCTCGATAACATCAATCGCGACAACACATAGGAGAAGCACAATAGATCATGACGGTCCAGGCATTGCGCGCCGTCTCAAAGGCGCAGGTACGCCCCTCATGGAAGCATAAGACGGTATGGGTATGAGCGTCAACTAACCACCTCCAACAGAACGGCGTAGGCGCATTCGTTCTCCAATGCAAGCGCCTCGAGTTCCACTACTGCGATTGGGCTGGTAGCAGTCGCGGCATGAAGTACGTCCCTAAGCAATCTATTGCCTCCGCGAGAAAAGCATTTGACTAACATGTACGAACAGCGCCTTCCTCCAAACCAAACTCCCTGCCTTCGCCCGCGAGAACCCCGGCGTCGAAGTCTCTGTCTCCCCTCGACCTGGCAAACACCCTGTCATCCGCGGCCACTTCATCAACGGCCGGGAGAAGGCTATTTGCGTTCGCAATATGACGCCCCACGAGATCCTCGACAAGGCACTGTATATGAGGAGCAACAGCGGCGAGAAGATGAACAAGGGCACGAAGGCGGGCAGGAATGTGGTGCGGTCCAACAACGAGAGTGTGAGGGGTGTATGGGATCCGTATCACGGGACTGCATTCAAGGTGTAGGTTGTCTGGTCAGGACGATATGGCGGCAGAGTCTACAATTTGCCTATTCGAGGTGGTTCGGGAGACCACGATTGTACAGATATGTACGATATGTCGAGCATATGGGAGGCGAAAGGCGCTTCAAGCCGAGGCATAGCGTAGGATACCAAGGGCATGAGTCTCGAATGGCATGTTTGATCGTGTACTTGCTCTCAATTCGGAACTCTACATGAAGGATTTGCTTCATCAGTTGCTATGAGTCGTGACGGAGTGTCTTCAATATCCTCATACATTGGTGGTCTGAGCCTCGGCAGAAACCGGATGTCGTGCAGGTCGTTCCTCCCCGGTTCATCCCGTCTCTTTGACCTCACCTCGAGCAGCCCGTTGGCCTGGAGCAAAATCATCACGATGGCAATGCTTTCAGTGACGACCGCAACGCCTTTGAAATACTCCAGCACAATGAAAGGGCCTTGGAAGAAGAGGCGACTTAGCTTCGCTGCAAGTAGCCTCGATGCTCTGCCTCGGTAGCTGCACGTCTGGCCCGCACGAGGGCAGAACACGACTCGGTAGATATACAGCCATACTTTCGAAGCAAATGCTCCGACGTTTGTGTCTGCCTCTCATGACCGTTGCGCCTACTCCAAAACTGAACGAACTAAAATTTCAACCTCACCAGCAAGATGGCTAAGCAGCAGAAGATATACACACATCCAACGCAGAAGAAAGCCGATACACCCAATGTTGATCTGTTGACCTTGTTGTTTGGTAATGCCTTCTTGGGATACAGACAGCCACTCGAGTGCGCACCAATACTGACACTTCTCCCAGACACCGAGCTCTCGGTTGCCCAAGAAGATACCCTTCTCCACCACGCAGCAGACGACCCCAGCAACAAGCTCACCAAAGCCGACCTTCGGGACCTTTGCCAAAGAGTTGCTCACGGACTTCGCCACAACTACGGCATCGGCGCCAATGGACCCAACAAGGATGTTGTGACCGTCATCTCCTATGGCCAGATCCTCGTCCCGGCAGCACTGTATGGAGTCATTGGCGCCGGTGGTGTCTACTCCGCCGCGAGTCCAAGTTCAACTGTGGCAGAACTGCACCGACAGGTCGAGATAGGACAGTCGAGGTTGATCATTTGCGGCGAGGAGCACAAGGATGTCGCTTCGAAAGCTGCGCAGGAAGCCGGTGTACCGTTGGAAAATGTACTTCTGCTCGACTCGACCGCTGGCTCCTGGTCACTAAAGTCGGTTGCGGGCAATGTTAACGCCATGTCTGACCAGAAACTCCCTTGGGCTAGGATCACCGACCCGCAACAGCTCAAAGACAGCCTCATCGTCATTCTCTGGTCTTCGGGAACTACTGGCCTACCCAAGGGAGTCATGCTCTCGCATCTTAACCTTGTCGCCGAAACATACATCACCTCTCTCTCCAGTCGCGCTTGGGTAGCTAAGGAGATTGAGAAAGGCACATTCACACCAAAGCAGCATTCCACGCTCGCTCACCTGCCCATCTCACACATCGCAGGCTTGTTTGGCTACCTCATTGGGCCTATATACGCCGGCGCCACCGTCATCTGGATGCGGAAGTACGTTTGGGACGATATGGTGAGATATCTGAAGCGCTACCGTATAACATCCTTTTACACAGTCCCTTCCATCTGGCTACGCATCAGCAAGTCTCCGGAAGTCACGCTCGAGGATCTCAGCGGCCTCGAAGGCGTCGCAACAGGCGCGGCGCCAATGGATGGCGTGCTGATGAAGAACGTCAACTCGAAGGTCGGCAATGGCAACGAGAAGATGATCGGGCAGACGTGGGGCCTGTCAGAGACCACTGGGGCAGTCACGGCGGCGCAGAAGGACGATCCGAGAGGTGCGGATGATACTGGGAGTATCGGGTACATTTTGCCTTCGGTGGAGCTGAGATGTGTAGATGATAATGGAGACGATGTGGAGGACCCCGAGAAGCAGGAAGGAGAGCTGCTCATTAGGAGTCCTTTGGTCACGAATGGCTATTTCCGGAACGAGAAGGCTACGAAGGAAGCGTTCATAGACGACTGGTTCTGTAGCGGTGATGTTGGGGTCCTGAGGAACGGCAAGTTTTATGTTGTTGATCGGAAAAAGGTAGGATGGCAGCCTGATTGGGTTCAAGGCGAGGCATTGGGGTGCTAACTTGGTGGCAGGAACTACTGAAATACAAAGGCCTCCAGGTCGCTCCTGCGGAGTTGGAGAACCTGCTGTTCTCGCACGCCCAGATCAAGGAAGCGGCTGTTGTTGGCCTACCTGCGCCAGATGACCCAGGCACGGATCTGCCTAGAGCGTACATCGTACCCAACGATCGGTCAAAGATCAGCGAGGATGAGGTGAAGGAATTCGTCAAATCGAAATTGGCTCCCTACAAGCAATTACGAGGTATGTATGCCCAACACCGAGCAACGATGAGCAGGAGCTGACCCCTTCGATAGGTGGCGTGGTGTTTGTGGACGAGATACCCAAGAATGCTATCGGTAAGATGTTGAGGCGGGAGCTGAGAGAAAGGGCGAAGAAGGAGACCAATGGTGGGAGGAGTAAGCTATAAGACGGCTGGCTTGCGCTGTTGGGGCTGGAGCATCGTCATTACAGGCGTCAGTCCGAAGTAAAGCGATACACTGGCACGAGATGACTGCTTTCTGGCGTCTACATTAAGAGTGCTTTTAGATTGTCTGCAACGTACAGTGTGATGACCCTACAGAACTTCATCAGCAAGAGCATCTCATCCTTCCAAAGGAGTGTATCTAACTTACGTATGAGGAGCAATTCTCACAAAGTATGTTCCAAACCCACGATAGAACCGCAGTGGTCCTTCATCCTTCAAGGCCTTGACAGCACAATCCATCATGCCGCGATACACTGGCTTGCCATCAGCACCCTTCCCACCTCTCTGCAACCTCGTCTTCACGAAGTCGAACGGAAGACTGAAGAACGCAGCGAAAAAGCCGGCAATCCCAGAAGCCACCAGTGCTTGATTCTGGAACCCTAGACTCGTATAGTCCTGCAACAACGGCTTCGACTGCGAGAAGAAGGCTAGCTGTCCGAAGTTGGTTGCCATCGCACGAATGATCGTCGGATTAGAGCCAGCCCACAGCCCAAGCACGCCCTCCTGCCTCGACACTCGAACCAGAGCATCGATCACAGACCGATAATTCGCCCGCTCAGCTTTCGGCTTCATCCCATCACTCTGCATCCGGATCAAAGCGACCTCAGCCGGATTAGCTATCCCCGCCGCCAGCCCACCGGCTGACAGCGAAGCAGCTGCTCGCTCCGCGAAGGTGACTTTCCTACCCTTGTCCTTTGCTCTGGTCTCAACGAATGCAAGGAATCGATCGAAGAGACCAAGCCGAAGCATGCCGTACGATAGTTGACGAAGGTAGCCTGCGGACAAGCCGGCCCAGAGGTCGGTGACCCTCCCTTGCGCGACGATTGTGCGAGCGACGGAGATTGGCGAGGCGGCAGCGGCGCCTTTACTGCCTTCGCCGGCGAGTTGGAGGCGGACTTTGACGACGTCGGCGGGTTGGATGCAGGTTGTTGCTACCATGCCTGAGAAGGCGCCGATGCCCTGTCGATGTAGTCAGTATTTGTTCCACTTCTGGCTGGTAAAGATTTCTGTTCGTTTACTCACGAATGGCAAGGCATTCCGTACTATCCGTGAGGATAGGAAGGTTGATCTCGGTGGGACATCTGTTGTCTTTGCAGGCAAAGCATCTTTCAAGGGTTCGACTGTACCTGACATTGGACGATCGATAAATGTTGTTCTACATATCGTAGAGTTCACCCAGAACCGACAACGGCCCAGCCAGGTGAAGCGTTTCTGGTGCTCCAGAGAGTTCAATGCAGGTCAGATGCAGCCGAGGACAAGGTGAGGAGTAAGACTCCCGGGTATAAGACGGTCGGCCAGACGAGCCGGGAATAACGACCAACGGAGAACTTCTCCAGTGCCAGATGCGTGGACTGTGGTGTAAAGAAACACCTCATCAAATGTTGAGATGGTATTTGAGAACCGCTGAAGATGCAAAACAGCTGTTCGTCATCGCCACCTCTTCAAGCAGACAGCTTCGACGACCAGAAATGTCCCCAATCGACATTCTTATTTTTCTTCCGGAACTGTGCCATACCATGCTCGCCTTCACTTCCAGGCACCATCATCTGTTCGAACACATGCTTGACATACTTTGTCTGCTCCTCTCCACCGGGATCATTCCAACCGAGTCTCACAAGCTCCTTCACAGCCGCAGCAGACTTTGGAGCGCAGTTGCGAAGTCCTTGCAAGTACTCATTCAATAGCCGTTCGAGATCTTCTGCGGAGCTGGCAATGCCGTGAACAGCACCAATGCCCTTCAGCTCTTCAGGCGTGACGGTCCGTCCGCTGAGCATTGCTTCTCTTGAGAAGGAGATCCCCCATTCGCGGATCATATGTCGCGAGATGGTTGCCGGGCTCAAACCAAGCTTGATCTCCGTCATCGTAAAGCGTGCTTTCGGCGAGACGAGACGGACGTCGCAGGCGAATGCCAGACCTACACCACCGCCATAGCAGAGTCCATCTACTACCGCGATCGTGGTCTGTGGAGAGTTCATGATGGAGACGAACAGGCCTTCGACTTTGTTGTAGTAGTCGTCTTTAACAGCTTGGTCGCCAGAGGCACTGCTTCCTGACGAGCTCAGGTCCATGCCAGTGCAGAAGAACTTCCCTTCTGCGTTGAGTATGATCTGGAAGACGGTAGGGTCCTTGGCCAACGTGTTGTAGAGATTTGTCACGCCTTCGACCATGGAATTGCTCAGTGCGTTGCCATTGCGTGTTCGGGTCAATGTGACCTTGACAACATTCCCAGCTCGAGAGACACGTAGCTCGCCGTCGTCAGACTCAACCCTCCACTCGGGCGAAGCGGCTTCTACCTTTGTCGATGATGGGGGTGCCGCTGGTTTTGTTTGACCTTTTGCGACGAGAGCTGATCCAGCCCGGCTACCGTTCTTCTGGCCAACCTGCTTCGATATCCAGTCACCAGTCTCAGACAATTGTTGGAGATCGACGCCAGTCGCAACGCCAGCCCTCTCGAACATGTATACGACGTCTTCGGTTGCGACATTGCCGGTTGCTCCTTTGGCATGAGGGCAGCCACCTAGCCCGGCGACAGAGCTGTCAAATGTTCGCAAGCCCATGTCATACGATTTGATGACGTTTGCTACAGCTTGCCCATATGTGTCGTGATAATGGCCGGCCAACTTGTCGGCGGGAATTTCTGACAGTAGTATTCGCAGGAGCTTCTCAGTATCCGCAGCAGTGCCGATGCCCAACGTGTCCCCGAGCCCAACCTCATAGCACCCCATTTCGAGGAAGCGTTTAGCGACCGAAAGCACTTTTGCAGGCTGAAAGGAAGTCAGTAGCTATAAACGTAATCATGAGTCTCAGGCTTACGTCTGTTGGTCCATCGTACGGACATGCAAAGATACACGAAATCACACTGCAGAACACATCAGCGTTGCTCTCTTCGGCACTCACAATTCCCCAGTCTCACCCTCTAGCACGTATACCCTGAGCAAGACACGCCTTGGCCACATCCTCCGCTCTCGTCAGCGCCTCCTCCACCGAGCAATTAGTGTTCTTCCGGCTGAAGCCCTCAGAAGCAGCCGCAAAGAGCACCGCCTCTTGGGCCTTACTAGCAGCAGCTCCCTCAAAGCCCTTCAGGTTCGGCACAAGCACGGGAAAGTTGATCGACTTCTGCATCCCAGAGGCCACAATGTGCTGCATCACCTCCTTCGAGTCGGCCAGTTGAGGTATCCATTTTGGTGCGACGAAAGATGTTGCTTCTATCGTGCGTAGACCCGAGGCTGCTAGGCGCTGGATGAGCTCGATCTTGATAGAGGTGTCAACTTGTGTTTTGATATTTTGAAGGCCATCCCGTGGTCCGACTTCGACGATTGACACATCAGGCTTGGCGTTGGACACTGTCGACCGGTACCGCCTCAAGTATGGGCTCCGACTGAAAACGAGCGGTGCTTGGCTCTGTCGAGCAAGAAGGGATGTCGTTCGGAAGGCTTTCATCCTGACGGCGCGTCCAAAGTTGTTGTTCAGGGACGGACGCTCTCAGCTCCGTGCCACACGTTCATCCAACGCGTCTGTCATGCCTTCGCAACAGTCTTCCTCTGCACGCTCATACAAATGCAATATCAGAATGTATGATCACCAACAGGCGGCTACATCCTGGGTTCCGATGAAGGATGGCTGGAGGGAGTACACTCGAGAGGGGAGAGCGGGCAACGTTGACCGAGGCTTTCAATTGTCCAAGGTGGTGTTGCTTCTTGACCACGTCTTCAACCACGCAAATTAGACAATGTTGCTACGATGAAAGGTCTTGTGTCTGGTGCGAGACAATGGCGACTCGCTGCAAACGTCATATTATGGCCTCGCGGTACTGCGGCATGCAATGTCTGGCAAACATGTAGACGAAGTTATTCGACGCCAGCTCCAGCTGCTGAAGGTGCTCTTGCGGGCGTGAAGATACTGGATCTGTCTCGAGTCCTTGCAGTAAGTCTCACCAGTCGTAACAATGCGCAGAACGGTAACTTTGTAACGTCAGGGTCCATACTGTGCCCAAATTCTGGCCGATTATGGTGCAGATGTGATCAAGATCGAAGACAACGAGAGAGGCGTGAGACCATCCGACTTCACCACCAAGGGACAACGTTGACACAAATGATGCTAGGATGACACTCGTCACATCAGAGCAGCAGGGGAATCAGCAGCATGGAAACCAGGCATTGGACCCATGTCCAATTACTTCGCCGCTGCGAACCGCAACAAACGTTCTGTCAAGCTCAACTTGAAGCATGAGAAAGGGAGGAAGATCTTTCTGAATATGGTGAAGGACGCGGATGTGGTGTGCGTACGCCATTGCAAGACCAAATTGACCCTCCACTGACGAATTGAAAGCATCGAGAACCTCCGTCGAGGCGCCATGGAGAAAATGAACCTGGGCTACGACGTGCTCCGAGAAGTCAATCCCAGAATCATCTTCACCAGCGTATCCGGTTCGTCTTCCCACCAACCAGTCCCGTATCTCTACTAAGCCTTCCTCCAGGCTATGGCCCCGACGGCCCCTTCGCCTCCCGCGCAGGCTACGACATGATAACCGGCGCCGAAGCAGGCCTTCTCCACCTACAAGGCGAACGCGGCCGCGGCCCCGTCAAAGCCGGCATCGCCGTCACAGACCTCTCCACCGGCCTGTACGCCCACGGCGCCATCCTCGCAGCTCTGCACGCACGACACCGCACAGGTGTTGGTCAGAAGATCGATGCGTCGTTGTTCGAGACGCAGGTGGCGCTGTTGATGCATTCGGCGATGGCGTGGTTGAATCAGAAGCAGGAGGGCACGAGGTGGGGTGCGCAGCATCCTAGTGTTGTGCCTTATGATGCTTTTAAGACTGTAAGTCCGATCTGAGGGTTCATTGCAGGTGGATGCTGGAGGCTGATTGTTGGCAGAAAGATCTTTACATCGTCTGCGGCGCCGTGAACGATAAGCAATTCCTCAAGCTCTGCACTATCTTGGGCAAACCGGAGCTGGCGAAGGAAGAACGATTCGGCGACGGTCAATCTCGAGTCGACAATCGCGATGATCTGCACGCGATCCTAGATGATCTCTTCGTGTTGAAGACCACGGACGAGTGGATGGCGCTGTTCGATGGCACCGGCTTGCCGTATGGTCCAATCAACAACATGGAGCGTGTGTTCGAGCATCCGCAGACGGAGGCGCGGGAGATGGTGCATGATGTGCCGTACGAGCATGCTACGTCTGGAAAGCTGTCCCTGCTTGGTGAGTCTTCCCTAAGCGAAGACGGTATTGTGCTTGCTGACTTCTTCCCAGGTCCTGCGGTCAAGATGAGTGACACCAAGCCAACGATAAGACGGCGGCCGCCGCTTCATGGCGAGCATACTGCAGAAGTGCTGCAGGAGTATGGGATTGATGCCAGGGAGCTTGACGCGCTGAAAAAGGACGGTGTAGTGTAACCAACATTCAATCGCATCATACATGATTTGTTGCACCTGCTCGTTGATGTGAAGCGCACAGCATGTGTTCCTAAATGACCGTGATGATTCATTAGATAATCCTAAATGCGCCCAATGTAAGCACACAACTCCTCGCTAATATCAAATCCACCCAGTATTCCCACAGAAGTCCGACCTGCCCAATCCAGATGTCCCTAGTATCCACCAAAAGTCGACGTCCGCTGCGGCTGATGGTGGAACACACTGCCTGAGTATTCGCTATCGTCGTACATGGTGTTCCTCTTTTCCGTTCCATCTGACGGCAGCAGCTCCTTCACTTCCCAGTTGTTCTGTCTTTGACCCACTGAGAACTCCAGATCCTCCTTGGTAATTGAGTCCCAATATTTGTACACCATCATCACAGCCAGTAAGTTGGCGAGCGTGCTGAAGAACAGTGCGTCCAGGTAGTGCTCAGCGGTGTCGCAGATCGTCTCGCTGAACTGATAGAGAATGACCTGTCCGAGGACAAAAGCTAGCACGCCAAAGAAGATGTGGAGTAGTGGCCATCGCTCCTGCAGTGTGCCGATGATCAGGATCAACTGCATGACAATGTAAACGGCCAGGAAGAGCGCGCTGAAAAGGTAGACCACGACGAATATTCCGGTGGTGTTCTCAGGGCCAAGTCCTGCCCAGCCCTTGAACGTCAAGAGGCCGACCGCGAAGCTGATCAAGAACATCACGATGCTGCAGACACGGAGTAGCCAGACTGAAAGCGTAGTGCCGTCTTCGTAAAGCTGGAAACCGACAAATCCGTTGATCATCAGCGAGATGCATGTCGCTGATGCGAGACCAAGCTGTGCCGCTACAAAGTAGGCATATGCTCCACTTCCTGGCGGGACGACACCGCAGTCGACCAATAGCGAGAATATCGTAAGGAGGGTGTAAGCGTAGAAGAAAGTCGTAATCTCCTTGCGGCCTGCCGTGTCCATGTTAGCCGCTGTTCTGTACCACCTCTTCCGTATGATGTCTCGACCTACCAACAGCTGTGAACTTGCTCCGCACATGTATGATCATAATGACAGTCATGACGAGTGCAAGTATGTGCGCGAACCCTGCGGCTCCTTCAAAGATGATGGTGTTGGCCAGCTCTATTGACCGCGCGTAGCAGTTGCTTTGGATGCCATGAGAGCCGGTGAGCGGCGATGGCGGTCCTACGAGAGGACATAGTGGCAGAGGGGTCTTCGCGCAAAGGTCGTTGAAGCTGCCGAACCCCATGGTGCCGTTCGAGGGGCGGCGGAAGATGTAGCGGTGTCGCGCAGGCGGGTATGGAGTACGAGATTACAGCGAGTGTGTGTCGTGTCGTTGATGCGCGCAATATAGAAAGCGAAGGACTGGTGTGCAATGGGCGTATGAGTGAGCAGAAGAAGAGTGAGGTCGACAAGGGTGTCCGTCGTACATAGTTTCCCTAGTTACGCGGCGAGCGCCACTGCCGCAGGGCGGCTGCAGGGGTCCAAGAATAGGTAAACCTTTAAATTGAGATCTCTAGAACATTAACTTCCAGATCTCGACGACCACTTTTTAATACCAGAGACGAAACATTTTCAACAGCCAACCTGACTGATCACCCGGTACAACCATGGCCGACGATGATGGCCCACGAAATCGCAAAGAACGACGGGCAGCCGCCAAACAGTCCGGCAAGGCAGTTGAACCTCCTTCATCAACCCCCAAGATCAAGATGGCTCAACCCGACCGCAGTGGCCCCAAATCCAAAACATTTATGGACCTGTACGAAGAGAAGAAGGATCTCCTCGACCAAGGCCAACCGTTCGCTTCAAAGTACGAAGACGGCCGTGTCCGCGACGAAGGTGGCAACATCCTCGAAGCAGGTCTGGGCGACGATGAAGAAATTGGACCAGTTGGGATGGCAGTCTTTTGGGCCTTGACTTTGGGAATGGTGCATTTCACGCTCGATGTGTTGGTCTACAGTCAGTACCGACAAGAGATCGAGTGGTGGGAGATTGTCAAGCGAACGGCTTTCATGATGCCGATTCTATTCCTCATGATCTTGACGATGAAGTCTGCGATGGCAAGTCGGTTTAGAGTCGCACGGCAGATATTCTTCTTGGGTGTGGCCATTGCGGCGGGCTGTTACACGATCCACGCGGCAAATGCCAAAGGCTACTATGCTGTCATGAAGCGTTGCCCGCCGCTTGGGACACTGTGGGTCTGGAGTGTGATTGAGATGGACTTGCCGTATGCGTCTGTGAGTGTGATGGTCGACATTTGGTATCTGTGGTGGAAAGGATATTCAGCATTGTAAGGCTCTGTGTGTCTGTCAGACTAAGCTTGCTCTGCGATCTAGCTTGACACAATGGACCACCACATAACCCTGGGCTCGACTGGCACTCCGCGCCGTCTCTTGAATTAAACGCTGAGACCTCGCCAGAGCCAGGCAAAGCTCGAACGACCTGCATTTGCACCGCAACAATGTATGGAGCGTTCCCTCATACCCCGAACTTGGAGCTTCCGGATCGGAATCGCGACGATCCCCGGTCCGTCATTTGCTCGCCAGCATTGCAACATCTTCGTACTACCGTCGAAATGGTTCGGCTGCATGGGGGACACAGCTCGTACTTGAGATCGAAGCCAAAGGCTGTACGCCGGTATATAAGCCATGCAAGTCCAACGCATGTCCGCCGGTGACTAGTCCTGTTTGGAACAGCGCAGAAGCGTAGTAGTTATGGCGAGAAGAGCCGCCAATCGACCCAGCTTCTTGGTGCTTGAGTTGGCCGAAAACATCGAAGCGCTGACGGTGCGAACAGCCTGCTGCTCGTGCCGGCAAAGCAGCTGCAATTCACTCGAATTGGCTCTTCGGTTCCGGTGCTACGTAGCCTCTGCGGGTCAGGAACGCCTCGAGACCTTTCTCAAATCTCGATAGCTAAGAGGGAATCAGTACAACAGCCATACTTCTCGAAATAGAATAGGGACTTACCAGACCATAGTCAGGCACAACGCCATCTTTGACCCAGACCCCATGAGCACCCATCATGTTTGCCATTAGCACATCTGTAAACAGCCTGTCTCCCACCACCGCCACCTGCGAAGCCGAAGTTACACCAGCATCAGGCGCAGCTCGAAAGTAGTCCATGATTTCGCCATGACAGCCAGGCTTCTTAGTCGTATGCCGTAGGACTTTCACTCCAGTATTCCGTTCCAGAAGCTCGGCTTCTGCGTATCCTGGGTCAGAGTTCGTGCCAGCTGAGTTGGACACAATCAGGAGGCGAGAGCCAGGGTAGGCCTTCTTCAGCTCTTCCAGAGTAGACACGTTCTGAGCGCTGACATGATTCTGGCGAGGAACGGCAAAGCAGTTGTCTTTGTCCAAGACTACCGCTCGGATATCTGGTTTCTTCTCGCCATTCCTGGTTGGAAATGCCTTGGAAAGTGGCGTTGGCAGTTGATCGAAGGTCGAGACAGTATGATGTGGGAGGCACAGTGATGGATTGTAGAACAGTCTCAGGACGTTGAAGGTTCCTGAGATGTTCATGAGGCGTCGTGACATGCAGAGTCGATGTGCCAGCGGAAAGGTGAAATGAGACGCGTTCCAGACGACGTGAGGTCGGAGGACCGGCTTCACCGCCCGGCAGAATTTCGCATACGAGCAAATGTGAATTCGAACAACCACCAGATCAATAACTCTTTGACCTTGCATTACTAGTTCCACTACCGCTGCCTTAAAGCCGCAAAGAAGCGCCGACATCCTCAGAGCCTCCACGGCGTCCGCGCGCTTCTATAGCCTACCATGACTTCGACCATTGGCATCCCGATCAAGCTCCTCAACGAGGCCACTGTAAGTCCAACACAGCTGTTCGCGTGAGCGTACGTGTGCTTACGGGACGATTGCAGCTGACTTTGCTACTGCTAGGGTCACCTGGTCACGGTTGAGATCGACTCTGGACAGACCTACCGCGGAAAGCTTATTGAAGGTAGGAAAGGCCATGGAATATGCGGCGCAAGGACAATTGCTAATTATGATATACAGCGGAGGACAACATGAACTGCCAGCTCGAAAACATCAACGTGACACAGCGCGACGGGAGGGTCACGCATCTGGACAGGGTATACATTCGTGGGTCGCACGTACGGCTATTCATCGTACCGGACATGCTGAAGTGAATACTGGGCGCGCATTCAATCTGGAATCGTGGGGGACTGACGAGAGCTACAGAAACGCTCCCATGTTCCGCGCCCGGCGCACGCGCGGAAGAGGTGTAGGATTGGCGAGAGGTCGGGCTACGGTGAACCGCGCGCGTGGGTCGGGCAGAGGAGGCAGAGGTTGAAGGGATAGTGGTGGACGATGGCCACAGGATCATGGAGTGGATGAGGTCTTCGCTCGTTCGGGGAAAGCGAATACCGTCATATGACCGGGCAGGACTGGGGAGAAGCACGAGCAGGCTAGCGAGGCGTACGGCGTTCGCGATAGGCAGGTCGAGAAGATCGCAGAGGCCACAATACAGCCCAATAGCTGTGGAATACCAACGACTGCTCTCAATGCTGTCAATCAATCTGTGTGCATCAGTATTGGCTCTTTGACTTCAACGTTCGTAACATGTGATCGGCACGTGAAGCCATAAATTCTACTTTGTCATCCAAGCTGTGCAAGTCCATCTTTATACCACAATGTGTGTCTTAACAATAAAGACTGCCGCCCGTCTTGAGGATGGACATCAATCGTTCCCGCCGCATCCTTGCACTTGGTAAACCGGGCTCCGGAGTTTTGAAACTTATCGAAGGTAGATTGCGCTGCCGCAGGACTTGACTTCACATCTGACATCTCCAGATCTCACTGGCAGCGCACCGTTATGCCACGACAATGGCTCGACGGCCGGTCTTACGCACGAGTGGGAAGTCAAGACCGCATACTACGAAGCTAAGGTGCCGATATGGATCGACGAGATCACGGACGTACAGGAGTGGAAGACCGAGTTCTCGAAGCCAGAAGCTCGTGAGGTAGTGGAAGCGGTAGGAGCATGGGTATACTGCTTCAAGCCACCCACCAATCAAGAGGTCAGTCAAGAATGCGAAGAGGTCATGAAAGCGATCCAGGAGGTCTCTGAAGAACATGCCGGATATGGGGCGGACACTGTCATGCTGGCTGCCGCTATGCCTGCCGCGAACGGCACGGCTTTGACTGCAGAGCAGGATGAATGGGACGATACGTGCATGCAGTACGGCTTCGAGTTCATCAACTACGGCGCGAAGGGCAAGAACGAGTTCGGCGAAAATGTAGGCCTGGACCGCTTACGGGAGGCTCTAGAAGCCAACGAGTGGGCAGCCACGGCAGGCTCAGACGATGGTGAGCTGGACTTGGATGCACTAGGACTCGACGATGGAGACGAAGACGACTTTCGAGGCTTTGCTCGTGACGAGGCCGAAATGACTGCAGAGCTGTTCGGCATGAAATCCGCTCTCGCAGGACACGACTTTGAGCCGGACGCAGAGGACTTTGCTCCTCCTACGCAACAGGCGGAAGATGTCGAGACTTTAGACCGCCTGATGGGAAAGCTGTTGGCTGTCAAGGAACAATCTGCGGATCTACCAGAAGCCCAGCGGAAGAGAATGGCGGCGAAGGCTGTCAGAGAATTACTGAGTGAGGGTGAGGGCACCTGAAAACGGCGCTTGAATTGGATACGCGAAAATCGACACCCACTGGCCCAATGTCCATCCTGCTCGCCGATAGTATCGTCCTCTATAAAGTCGACACCAGGATCGCGCGTAACAGCATTGAACGTCCGGTCGTCGAGCGCAGCGAAGTATCCATTACGCAGCTGCGCCTTGATGTTTACCTCATATGCGAGGAAAGCATGGTGTTTGGCAAGCGTGTGACCTGGGCGGAATACAACAAGATGTTCAGCCAGTACGGGCGAGTCGTGGGCATAGTACGGCGCTCCGTAAACGGCTACTGTGGCGTGCTGACTGGGATGGCTTCGATGTGCCTGGTTGTCTTGCATTGTTGTTACATGCAACGGCGGCGAGAAACTGTGGTTCTGGCCATGCGCAGGGCAAGGGTGTGACGGGATGAACTTGAAGAGTCCAGGGTGGAAGAGGACTGTTCTGCCTATGTGAGGCGCTTGCTAGTTTTGTCTTCCCATCGGCAGTAATCCGAAGATGGAAGAATGCGTTTGGGACGTATAACAGACAGCAAGATTGAGACGGCACAGCAATTTGTTTCTATTCTCATGCAAAGCTTGAGTGAACCTGCCAGCACCCGATGCACCTCTGCGAGCTCCCTTTAGCCAGTGAGAGGGCACTCCTACAAGCAAATTACTTTTGTCCAATCTACGAGTGCTCCAGGCCAGAGTAGCCAATCGTGATCGCTTTCAACGTTCCTGGGAATGGTATGGATAGGTATCTATATCTGTACACCAACATACATGTCAACCCCAACAAACCCCTACTACTCCATCTTCTTCATCTTATAGATCCTGTATCCCGTCTTCTCCAGAATCCCCGGCACACACTCCACCATCACCCGATCCACCAACTGCCACTCTTCCGTCAGATCCTTCCACGGGACCAAGAACGGAGTAGTCCTCTGCTTCGCATTTCTTTTGCCGGCACGCCATTGCTTCTGCAAACGCTCAGCATTGAAGCGCTCGTGCTCCATCTTGTCCAGGATATCGAGATCCTCCTTCGTGAACTCCGGCACGTGGACCATGGCATCGGAGTCCTTCTCGCCTTCAAGCATGAAATACCCGACAGCGCGGAGCTTGCGCGGGATATCGTCTGCTTGCGCACGGGTAGATTCCTTGAGCTCGCTGGAGAGTTCGTCCCAGTCGACCATGGCGCGGTCGTTAAGGAGTTCTTTCTGCTGCTCGGGGGTGACGGACATGATACGGCGCTGTTGCTTGTAGCGTTCGAAGATGCCTTCGGCGATGCGCTCGCGCAGGACTGGAGGGAGCTTAGGGCTGCGGAGGAAAGCCATGAAGGTGCGGACTTCGGGTACTTCCTCTGCGATTTGGTCTTCGGGTGGGAGAGCGGCGATGTCGAATTTCGCCCGGCCTGAGAGTCTGCTCGTGCTGATGATTCGTTCCAGCGATCGCAGGCCTTTCTTGTACGCGGGAACAAATAGCAAGGCGCGCAAGACGGTTTCGTCGATCTTGATGGTGCCGTTGACCTCCAGCGGGGGATGCCGTTCGAAAAGCAGCTGTCGGAGCATGAAAGCGCGGCGAACAGCAAACAGCTTGTCTTGGGGACCCGACTGGTTTGGTCCGAGGAGCCTCACGACGCCGTGGAGGTTGTCGAGTGACGTAGAAGTATCGGTTCGGTCGAGGTCGAAATGAACCTGGGTTGGGGTAGGCGTGCTCTCGGACCTTGGAGGTTCTTGCTTGACCAGGAAGAGCAGCAGACAACGCCCGATCTTGTGCTCATGTGTCCCGTCCTTGAAAGTCCCGCGCCTCATCAACGAGCTCACCTGGTCAAACAGGGGGCCTTTCTCCTCGAGAAGGTGCTCGAAGTTCTCGAAAGATACAACCGATATGTATCCTTCCTCTGAGTGGTCCCGCACGGTGTTGCATATCACTGATAAGTCCTCCGCACGCATGACTTGTGTGTCGTACGTCAGCCTTTTTAAAGGCCACTCGCTGCTAACAGCATCTGACAGACTGGATGCCAAGAATTTCTTCCCGGAACCAATGGGCCCAAACACTCCTATGCACGTCGGCGCCGCAGTCTTTGACCCAAAGCGCTCATCCACCGTCTCGACGATTGAGCCTAGGCTCTCCTGCTCTCGTCGATCGGCAGTAAACAACTTGCCGAACTTCTGCACTGAACAGTGAGCAAGCGCTCGATCATGTCCCTTAGTGACGATCTCTCGAGCCACTTCAGAAGGGTCACCAGTCAGAGCATCGAAGATGGAGAAGCTCCCTCCCGAGGAGATGTCGGCAGAGGGCACCTTGACGGTAGATGCCCTTTCCTTTTCAGATAAGTTCTCCATAATGCTGTTGACGTCGTAGTCTGGTGCTTCGTCGTCCTTGTTAAGTGTGAAGCCACTTCTTGAGAGTCGGTTGCTTGCAGTAAGGCCTAATCGTATACCCAGGTCCGTGTCTGGGAACCCCAATGCAAAGCCCGCAGTAAATGCTGAAGCAGTACCGGACTATAAGATAGTCAGTATACATCGAACAAGGGTTTGCTAGCCTTGACTAGGTAAAAAGCACCGTGCCTGACGACAAACAAACAAAACGACTCATCTGACTCCAGAAAACCAGCTCATGCACTCACCATTTGCATGTGAGACTGCTCCATGTGACCCGGTCGAAAGTACAACTGCGGACCCACGGCGTCTCTACCTCTATGGTGGATGATCCCTTCGTTCCCAAATCTAACTATGAGGTTTGGACAAGTCACCAGCGTATCCAGTCGCCCGTTTGATCCAAGATTCCGGACAAAGTCCTCAGCAGTCGCTTCCCAAGACAACCCTCGACTCAGCGGTATGCCCTCAGCACGCAGGTCTTCTGCGTCTAGGATGACAGCCAGGTGATCGGGGTCAGGCACGCCATCTCTGGTCATCGGCCCATTGCGCAGGATGTCCCACAGTCGACCGGTGGCAAGAGGTCTCGTCGTATGATGAATGATATACTTTGGCTTCAACTTCTGTAGAAAGTCCAAAGCAGGCTCAACGTCCTGAAAGGCTTCTCCAGAACCAGTGATGATAGCAGTACCCGCAGTCGTAGAAGTTATCTTGTCTGCTGGCGGAGCGTGCCAAACAGGTCGTTTCCCAATCTGTCGAATGTTGACCACGTCGTAGCGCGAAGGTCGTTCCAACGACGTCCGATCACAGGTGAGGTCCACTATGGACGAGGCATTGTGTTTAAGACTGTGCGACGCGGGTGGTTGGAGCGGTGGGCCGAAGACCTCGACGTTCCATTTGGGCGCAGCGGCGGTCAAGAGCTGCGCCACAAGGTCCGCATCTCCAGTGCGGATTACCAGCTGTGCAAGCTCGCCTTTGTCGACTGACTCGGCGAGGGGGTCGGAGTCGGCGAGACAGTCGGTCATGGGATAGATGAGGTAGTTGTACGACACAGCGCCTGCCACCGAGAGTACGCGGTGCGATGTCATCGATCACACTTGAGGCGTCCTCCGTAAGTTCATGCCCGCTGGGTCAGTTTTCTCATCAATGGGGGCGGACAATTGTTGGTCTCGCCCAGCGGAGGCTGTGTTCAAGGAGGCAGGGAGGATCACCACGCCGCCGCCGCCCTCTCATTGGCTGGGGCCACTCCACCGCTTCAGAAGGAAGAACAACATGGGCTCATGTCTGCTTTCTTCTACCGTCGAGGGAGTGCGGTGGTGAGGGTTCTGGGAGAGCAAGACCAAGCATACCGTGACGCTGTATATGGGTAGTGTGCACATGGTCGATGTCCTGCCCGTCTCGATGGCGCCAGCGCATTGATGCGTAAAACTAATGCACGATCAGCTGAGGCGAAATCTTCTAGTCCTGCAGCATTCTTGAGCGTCGTGAGCAGTTCTGACAAGGTAAGAAGTATACTCATGAAGCATCGATAACCTTCCTGTACGACGAGGGGACCCCGATCGAGCACGAGGCAGCGGCTTCCCGCAGACTGTACGCCCGGGGTGCTGCCGGCTTGGTGGGCCGGAGGAGGAGGAAGCCATGGAGCTCCAAACCTTCCAGGTCACGGATAGTAGGCTACTTCACCGAGACTGGGTTGGTGTGACCCAATGGCATGAGCTGTGCAGTTCTGACACAGTGTTAGCATTTCCCCGATCCCATAAAGCTGCGGCCATTGCGAGATATTGAGGATGATGATTTCCTTCTAAATCACAAGATCGACCGAAGCTACGATGACAGTACTGTCCGATTCAAGTTGGTGTAAGCAAACGGTCACCCTTTTGACCAGCAGGTTCCAGAGAGACTAAGATCATGAAGTGTAGGAAACGCAGTAAGCGCAAACCTGACCGACACGACCAATCTTCCCATCAAGCCGGATATCAAAGATATCATCAGGAAGCAAGGGTGGATTTCCGATGAGTATGAGCATCTGTGGCGGCGAGACGGAGGAGGGTCAGCCTGTCTTTGCTCTCATGGCATCCTGAGTAAGTCTTACGTCTTGCTGGACGAGCAGGGCATTGCGACTGACTCCTCTAGCTTTCCTGCTTCAAACACCGCGGGACGGCCGAGCCTTCTGTTCCCTGTCTCTGGTCAACCGCGAGCGCACCCATTGCGGTGGCATGTTCATCGGCGACGACCACTACAGTCTCGACAATCTGCTCTCTGGCCAGCCATACCTCAACCGGCACCCAAAGGTCCCTCGTGACTTCGCCGTGCTGCCACTCAATATCCTGGTGTCCCACGTTGAAGAAACACTTGGCTATGTCCAGCGCCTGGCTCGTGAACTGACGTCGACCGAAAAGCGCATCGCTGAAGGAAACATCAACCTCGACGACAACGGCGACTACAAGCTCCTCAACAGACTAAGCTTAGAACACTTGCGGGTCCAGCGGCGGTCGAACTTCGAGCTCGAGCTGGCTGAGAATCTCACAAAATACGTCGATGAGTACCACAATACGTGGCGCCATCTCTGGGAAGGAGGAACGAGCTACATCGAAGAAATGCGTGAAAAGATAGAGCAGCAGACTCGCTACGCAAAGCAAGTCCACCTCGATCTCGAAGTCATTCCAAGACGGATCAAGAACCAGTCAAAGGCCGTGAGTACCACCGCCCGCTCGTGTTTAGTGCGCGCTGACCGTCGCGAATAGATCTTCAACTTCATCGCCCAACGCGACAACGCACTCAACATCGAGCTCGCGAAAAGCTCCCGCAAGATCGCGGAGGAGAGTCGGCGAGACAATCTCTTGAACATCGAAATCGCAAAAGCCACCGCACAAGTAGCGGAAGAGACCCGACAGGACAGCGCGGCGATGAAGACGATTGCTATTCTCACCCTCACGTTCCTCCCCGGGACCGCCGTTGCCGTAGGTACTACAACGCCACTTTTGTGCTTCTGGTGCTAATGTTGTATAACAGAGCTTCTTCTCAATGGAGATGTTCAACTGGCGTCCTGGGCCTGGTGAGCAGATTGCTTCGCCGTATTTGTGGGTGTTTTTCGTGGTGACAATTCCGATTACGGCGCTGGTATACGTGATTTGGCTTTGGTGGTTCAGAGTGTCGCAAAAGCATTATACTAAGGTATCTCAACTCGCACTGAAGGCTGGAGCTATTGCTGACCGTGATGCAGCGGCACGAAGAGGGACTCGATAACATTGAGTTGAAGTTGAGGCAGGCGGTGAGAAGTGCTACGGGGACTTGGTGATGATACAAAATAAAACCATGCTGGTACTAAAAGCGTGACGGCAGATACGAACTGATGAGATCTCGGAGTATGCCTAGATGAGCCATGAACTGAACAAAACGTCTTTACGGCGATCGCAGACCACTTGAACAGGACTTGCCACATGCTGTCATCGTACGTTGGCGACGGAGAAGCCATCGAACGCTCCAGAGTCGTATAAGAGCACAAGTACAACATCAGGCGGCGTCCCCATTTATTACTGATGACTTCTTTACCTCCTAGCGGTTACGATAATGCTCATTACGACGCCGCGTGTCGATTGCACCCGATGCCGCTTGGAAGGCAATCTGAGCGCTATTGTAATAGATTTCGAGGACGTTCTAGCGTTGAAGGATCGCCGCCGCCGCCTCACCCACGCACAGTTGAATATCATCATCAGGCGAACCGGGTGACTGACATGGAGTCGAGGCCAACGCTTTGACTTGCCTCACTCGCCCAAAGATAGTTCACCCGTCGCCCTTGGCAATCTGCACGCCATTCGTTCGGCGCGTTGCCCGCGTCTGCCCGCTATACCTCGTCGGGGAGCTGTTTGGGGCTTGGACCATTCCCATCCACGAGTATACATATGAAGATGCGGCCGCCATGTTGGTGCTGTATTGCTAGCTGCTATACCGGCCGGCAATGGCCCTCGACGATATCTTCGACCCCTTCGAGGCGTTAGGCTTGGAACGGGACGCTTCGCCCAGGACGATCAAGGCGAGATACCACGAACTCGCCTTACGCTACCATCCCAACCGCAACCAGGGAGAACTGTCGGAGCATTTCCACAATATCCACCAAGCATGGCAGCTACTATGTGATGCGGACAAGAGGCGACGGTGTATTGAGTTGCTCCAGCTCTTCGATTTGCAGGATGACGTGTACACCAATGTATGGGATCCCCTGCATGCCCATGAGCATCCCGAGCAACAGCACGACCACAAGAGTGCGGACAATGATGGACATGTGTCAAGCGATGCGGACGATGACGATCTACCGCGGATTGCTGGCATCAAACGCCGGGCTACTTTCGAGCGTCCTACAAAACGATCCACTGCTGGACTGGACGACATCGAAGAGGGCAGTGACTCTAGTGACCAGACCACAAATCCCGTAGACAGAGGGAGGACGCGCATCTCAGACTTGCGCCGTACCCATGCGTCGAAAAGGAAGGAAGACTCAAGCAGTGACCATTCGAATACAGCCGCAGAGCGAATGAGACGGTTGAACAAGCTGAGAAGCAAAGAATGCGATGCTTTCAACGAGTACAAGGAAGCAATGGTTGCGAAGTTTGAGGCGGAGCTAGCTGCTCAGAGATGTAAAGACCGGTTCGAGCAGGCAAGATGGCGGAGGCAGTATTACGAGCGAGCACCAAAGGACGGAGCACAGCGTGTGCGTCTTCTACGGCTCTTTAACAGCGCAGCGAAGGCTTTGATAACACACCAACCGGTCAGGAGGCGGATTAGCACCAAGTCAAGCGCGCGTTTCGTGACACCAATGACACCTGCGACAGGAGAGGCCCAGAACACCGGCAGCCTGCTGAGCTTACCCTCCCGGGTCAAGTCGATACATCGAAGAGGTTACAGCAGCGATGTGACGGGTGATCAAACTAGCAGCGAAGAAGAGAACTCCAGCGACAAGAACACATCACCACACAGGAGCCCTCGAGCTTCGTCTCCCCGACCTGGACGGCCAAGGCATCGGCGGTGGGACTCAAATCCTGGTATAGCTCCTCTCGCAACTCGAAGCCTGCCCAAAGAGAATACCAACCCGATCTCGCCCATCACAGGACCACTCAAGGTGTTCATCAGGACGCCGACCAACCTGGCTGAGATGGCAGCATCTGGAGGCGCTGGGTCGGACGCAGATTCGGCGTCCGCCTCGTCAGGGTCGACATCACCGCAGCCTCCCGCGCTGAGAAAAAACGATTCGGGGCGCTTCGTTATGGTTCCTACGAAGGGAGCTACAGACATGTTCACGGTTGCTGATGATCGTACCCGCAGCCGCTCGCCGAGCGCAGACCGTCGCTCCATTAGCGGCACGACGGTCGTCGGTGCGGCGGAAGCATGTCAGTTCATGGTCAAGCAGGTCGGACATCTGCAACATCAAAACATCCGTACCGAACACGTGCACCTACTGTCGTACCAGGAAAAGCGATGGCTGCTGGGCATCGATCCCGACTCAGACACGGATCCGGAAACGCTTCTCAATCGTCTTTCGAGGCTAGACCAGACTGTCGCGACAAGTTTTGTGGTCAAGCCGGATATCAAAGCGATTTTCAACTTCAGGTTGATTTACAGTCACCACGATGTGCCCAAGCACCGGCATCAGACATTCATTGCGTTGAGCTATAGGCGGAAACTGCAGGTAGAGAAGAGGCATAATCACTTCACACTGCCACTGGAGCCAGAGATGTTCCAAGCCGTGTGGGACGAGCGTGAATCTGACACCGAGGGCATATGGATTGATCAGATCTGCATCGGCGATACCGAAGAGGAAAAGACGATCTCAATGTCGGCCATGGACATGGTGTACCGCAGCGCCAGAATGGTGGTCGTAGCCTTGGACGACGTCGAGCTCGATGCCAAGGAGGGAGCTATATTGGAAAACCACATGACTGAGTTCGAGCGACAAGTCCATGTCAAAGCCAACAAGCGCTTCCGCAGACGGCAGACGCCTTATCTCGAAGCGAAAGAAGATCTGTACATGGTCATCCGGAAAATGCTCAGGTCGTCTTGGTTTCAGAGGGCTTGGTGCCGACACGAGATGCGGCTCGCGAGGGACCACGTCTTTCTGGTTCCTTGTCGCACTCCTGGTTCCTGGTCTGGCAAGAGTGTCTTGCGGTTCACAGGGAAGTGCTTGACTCACTTCCTTGCTCTGGCGACGGAGGTACCCTTCGAGATGGCTATTGAGAACGTAAAGGCTGCGCTGTATGCATTCTTTCGCGACAGGAGCAAGCTCCCAGCGCATGATTATCATATGCGCTCTCATCATGGGAACTTCACGACTGTTGTCGCCGAGGTATTTGCTATGCAGGCTGGTGGCGACCCGAGGATTCCTCTAGAGCAGCGAGAGGCCGACGCGCGGAAGGACAAAATCTCCATCATCCTGAACACAATGGAGTGTGGTCTGGCCCTTTCGCCGAAGATGCGAGACCCTCAGATCAGATTGCCGGAGCATGAATGCAACTACATGATGCTGCTGCTCGCACTCGCCGCCCGAGACCCTGGCGCCTTAACATCCCTTGGCCGTCCGCTCCGCCAGCTGCCGCATGGTCTTATGTCCAGCTGGATCTCCGCACCAACGAACGTCGACAGCGGCCTCAACAACTATCGCACCTTGAATCGCCTGCCCGAAACCTCCCGCATCTCGACCGGCCACCAAAACGCCGAACACTTCGTCAACCTCGCCCTCAAATTCCTCTCCGCCGACGACTACACGCCACCTCCAGCCCTGTCCTCCGAATCCCTCAAACTAGCCTCCCACTTCGTCGACGTCTGCACCAAGCGCAAACTCGGCCGCAACCGTAACCGCTACCTCATCACCGACACGTCCATGAACAGCGTCTTCGGCTCCATGCACGATATGTACGTGCAAACCCTCGCTTGCGTCTTCGAGTGCGGACCCCTGTGGCTCAGCGACGTCTGCGAACGCTACGGCGTCAGTCGGTGGAAGCACGATCTGCAGTCTGCGTATGAGTTGATGATTGCGCTGAAGAACACGGATGGGAAGTGGCCGGAGACCGCGTGGAGTAATCAGGCTGCCGGCTTCCTGATGGACTTCGTCAACTTCTTGGTTGTGAGAGGGCTTCCGCACCGTGGGGCGACGAGCGATATGGATGATATGCGGCTTTGGGGGCCGGTTTGGGTTCCTACGATCAACGGCGGGCGGGTGCTTACGTTCGCTCCCAGGGAGGATGTCAGGGTTGCGGTGCCGGTGGCGCTGTTCGACAGTGACTACGTCCATCTCGCACGGCTGTGGGTGCTGAAGCCGCGTGGCACGAACAGTAACAACGAATGGACGCTGCAGGGCAAGAGTGTATTATTCAGCGACGATGCGTCGATGGAGAGTCTGGACAAGGACAATGGCATGATTCGGAGAGCACAAAAAGTGTTTGGGCGGCCGGCGAAGCCGTCGATGGGGAATGTTGCTACGGCGGCGCTGAGGTTGCGTACAACGATCTAGGCGGATGGAGATTTACTGGTGTTGTTTGCAGCGATTAGCGAGGCGTTCAGATGATGGGTTTAATTGTGACGGATTTAGCCGGTTCAAAATTGCGAGATATCCTGTTGCAAAACAATGTACGAGCTAGACTTTGTATTAACGGAGCTGCAGAGGCGAATATTGGTCCTCGATGTATCATTCTGAGTCCAGATCTGAATCTAGATCTCATTGATGCACCATGGTGAAGGCAAGAAGAGGTGCTCGGGATGGAAGAGAGACCGAAACCGAGCTCATTGTCTTCGCGGTCAACCCAACGGACTTCACTCCACACCCTCCGCTTTCCTCCTCCTCGTTCTTCCTCTTCGTCAACAGATCTGCACGAGGGGTACTGCATGATAAGCTGCTGAAGGGAGAGCATCAGAAGTGACTATGCGCTACAGCATTCAAGAGCCGCTACAAGCAGGTGGGTGAGGCAAAGCGGCCTTAATGCTCTGCTACTGCGAGGTGCATTGATCAGTCGGACGTACCAACTACGAAGAAGCACTCGCTCGAATAGGGAGCTCTCCAATGTCCACGGACATCTGTTACAGGCAGCCTGGCCGTTGATCCATCTCATGTACAGGTACCGTTCCAGCCATGACCCCGCTCTGTGGGAAGCTTCACTGCTTGTAAACGAGAGGTACGTGTAGGTAGGCAGGTGCTCTCAGAGCGTGTAGAAAAACGTAAGTACAGACTGACTGTTCTCAATCTCGATTTGACTTGTGTTTGACTTCCTCCCTCTCAAAACCCAAGCTCGACAATCAAGCGTGACAATGGCTTCCTTGATCCCAACAGAAGTGGTAGGGTCACTCCCTCGTCCTATGGCTCTTCAGCAGGCTTTCGCAAAGTATGACAAGGGCGAGATCGATCGCGACGCCTTGGTCGCAGAACAAGACAAGGCCGCCAAAGACTCTGTCCAGCGCATGGAAGAGACCGGCGAGCAGCTTGTGACTGACGGCGAGCAACGCATCAGTTCCTTCGCGACATACCCCATCATCGACACACTAGGAGGCGGCGGACTGGCAGACAATCTCAAGCCTGACGGACAGTACTTCGCGATCTTCGACGACGGTCACCATCGACAGCTTCCTCGCCTGACGTCTGGCCCGTTCAAGTACAGAAACTGGTCAGCAGACTACTTCGCGAAAAGCAAGCCGTTCGCTCAGAAGCGTGGCATGAAGACTGCAGTGATTGCTCCCAGCATGTTGTACCTCCTCTACCCGCTCAAGAGAGAAGTTGAAGGCTATCCCAAGGAGAAGTTCCTCGAAGACCTTGTCAACGAATGCGAGAAGGACATCCGCAAGTGCTTTGAAGCGGGTGCGCAGCGTGTGAGCATCGATTTCACCGAAGGTCGTCTCGCCGCTCGTAACGATCCGAAGAATCCATGGACTGGTGCTCAGTTGTTGCAGACGTTTGTCGACATCAACAACAGGGTGCTAGGTCGTTTCAGTGCTAACGAAAGGACCAACATCGGGATTCACACCTGCCCTGGAGGCGATTGCGACTCGACGCATAGTGCGGATGTCGATTATCATGAGCTGCTGCCGAAGATGTTCGAGATGAATGCCGGATACTTCTTAATCCAGTGTGCGAGCGAGCCGGACAAGGTGAAGGTGTACAAGGAGATTGGGGAGGTCATTCGCAAGGATGCAAAAGGCGTGAAACAGGTGAGCAGAATCGTTCTTTTGGACGCCTCTTAGTCAACTTCCGTGGGCAGTGGATGAGAATCGTACCACGATTGGGAGCTGAAGAGAGCGTAGGTCGCCTTTGTCGGCTTCGTCAATCCCCAAAGCCCAGATGTCGAGACTCCAGAGCAGATTCGCGATCAGATCCTCGAAGCCGCAAAGTACATCGCCGTCGACCAACTTGGTGCTACCGACGATTGTGGATTCTCTCCATTCTCGATCGACGAGAAGCCGAAGCACGGTAAAGTGCCTCTTATCACGATGGAGGATCTTGATCAGTTAGTCTGACAGATCTTGAATAGGTAGCCCCGATTTTGCCAGAGACATTGCGTTCCAGAAGATTGCGAACCGCGTGAAGGGCGCGGAAATGGCTCGAGAGCAGCTGAGTAAACAGTAAGGTCCAGTGGGCCAGATCTAGACAGGATGAGCACCTCGGAGCATTCAACTGCTTGATTTGAGAGTGCAAGGCGTGCATTGGTTTGGCAGTTAGTGGACGGTGGCTATTGGCCCTGCCATCGCTTACCCAGGTCTGATGTTGTCGGCCCTGCCTTGAACTGGTTCGAGGCTGGGTAACATGGATCGATGATTGCAAAAGATTTCTTGCTTTGAAATGACAAGGTGACCAGCTTGGACCGTTGTGTGTTGCGTGTCACTTTACAGCTGCGAAGCTCGTCTGTTCTCCAACCGCTCAAGATACTCCGCCACATCACGATGACCTCTTCCCCGAACTCGCTCCAAAGGGTCCGGCATATGTTCCAGTGGCTCCCGCACTTGCTCCAAAGGCGTCCCTCCGTGCGAGTTTTTGATGTGGACATCAGCACTATTCGCAACAAGCAGCTTGGCCAACTCGACGTCTCCCACCAGCGCAGCGTCATGGACTGGTGTGGAACAGCCAGCGTATCTTTCTACCATATAGAAGTCGATTCTGTCCTCGTACCTTATCTTGTTGATGGCCGCCCGCCCTCCCCTGTCCAGGAGGTATTGCATCAGTTCCAGCCGGTCGTTCGATTTGCGCCAGACGGCGTGGTTTAAGGCGTCGCCCTGTGCGATGGAAGCGCTGTGTTGCATGTGCAGGTCTATCACCTTAAGAGGTGCAGTTTCGACCGCCACCATGAAGGGTGAGTGACCAGCCTTGCAGCGAGCGTTCAGATCTGCGCCGCGTGCCAGCAACCAGGCAGTGGCCTGTTCATTGTGCACAGCATTCCTGTTCCGTCAGTTGGGCTCGACGCGTTGGTGTTTCTGTACTCACCCAAGGACTGGGGGCGTCCAGCAATCCACTTCTTCGTTGATGTCCCAACCATGATTCAACAGTACCTCAAGAATAGATAGGTCATCTCCAGTGGCAGCGGATCTCACGTCCTGTCCGTTGAATGTTTCCCCCTGATCGAGAAGGAACTGTACTGCGTGCTTGTGCCCATTGTTTGACGCTCTGACGAGGCTGCGCCCGAACTTGGGGATGTCACGTTCCTGCTCAGGCTGTGGGCGCTATTTTGCACAGCTTGCTTGCAAATCAGGCGGCAGTGAGCGCCATTTTGCACAGCTTGCGTGCAAAGCAGGCAGATCCCCGCTAGAAGCGGTCTCTTCAACTTCTGCAACCACTTCGCGGACGGCATCACGGGCGGCGAGCTCAGCTGGCGAGGGCACTGGAGGCGGACCTCGAACCCGTTGGCCCAGTCCACCGCTGAAAACGAAGCCCGCTGCCTCCAGACGCGCACGTGCACGATCGTTTTCGGCCTCGCTGAGCGGAGGAGCGACGATGGAGGCGTGAGTGACAGCAAGCTCTGTGAGAGAGGGGCCAGCGTCAACAGCGGATTTGGCAGGCTGACGTCGTCGTAGCTGAGCGGGTTGGATGCCCATCTCAACCAGTCTAGCATCCACATTGTTGCGGCTCCTGTCTATGGTTACTTGTCTGTGACTGTGGAAAGGCCGATATCAAGCTGGTCAAAGGAAGTGAACCTGCCGATGTACATTTGTCGAGAGCTCCCCGCTTCGAGCTTCAAGGCTGCGCTCGTGCTTCTGAGGTGTGGTATTGTATGCGCAATGCTCTGAAGACTTCGGAAACGTTGTGTGGAAGCGGAAGCTTGAAGGGAACATGAAAGTGGTGAAGAATCCTTACTTTGAATGACTCTCGGGTGTCGCAGCTCCTCCAGACGGCGCAGCGACCGGGAACATGGCATCTCAGCCAACCCCTTTTACTCCAACTCTCCCACATTCTCACCGCCCCCTCCCCAACAAATTAATCATCCTCTCCACCTCCACCACCCCCTGCCCGGACGCCTTCCCCCGCAACTCCTCCAACTTCTCCCGATCCTTCGCCTTCAGCGCCTCCTCCGCCGCATTCTTCACCAACCCACACTTCAACCACATTTCAATCCTCTCGTTGACAGCCAGATTCGTGCACTTCGGGATGAACAGCGCGGCGACTTTCGGGTTTCCTGCTCCGAGGATCTCGTTGAAGTAGGGCTGTTCCCCGCAGAAATCAGCATCAGATACCAAACCATGATAGTAAAGTGGGTAGGAAGGACGACGTACCTCCCACCCAATCGCGCTCTTCCGCCCCTTACTCAACTCCTCCAATTCCCTCCACTCCCGCCTCCCCACCAACGCCCTCAACCTCACCCACGCCCACCCCTTCTCCCCCACCTTAAACTCCTCCTTCACCTTCATACCCCTCTTCCCATGCCCCAACCGCACCAACTTCCCCATCGTCTCGTTCACACTCAACCCCACAAAACTCTCCCCCTGCAAGTCCCGCTCGAAAGCCTCCTGGAACTTCAACAACTTCTGCGCGTCTTCTAGCGCAGCGACTTGCGGGGCGTGGTCTTTGCTGTCGCGGAGGAGCTTGGCGGCCATCTTCAGCTTGTCTGCTGAGCCGTTGGTGTCGCTCGCGGATAGAGCTTCAGAGAGGAGGAGGTTCGAGCCATCAACGCGGCGGTCGTCTTGGTAGTACAGATCCTTCAGCACCTCCTGGTCCTGCTCGATGGCACTCGCCTCCACGATCGCGCTCGCGACGGGGCGGCTATTGATTGTGCGGAAGAAGGTGGAGAGCGGCATTTTCTTCTTGAGGTTGAGGAGGACCCAGAAGATGAGGTCCGTGTCGCCGCTATCGATCGCTTTGTCCAGCGCGCCGCCTTCCTCACCAAGCGAGAGGAGGAGAGGAACTTGTTTCCCGGCTCTCGGTTCGTGCTCCAAGAGCTGAATCGCCATGCTCCCGCGCCCGTCTTCATAAGCAGCGTGCGCGACCTCTTCAAATGAGATCCCGCGCTGTCCATTCAACTTCCGCACGATCTCCTCGCAAATACTCTCCTCATCCGTACTCGACGACCGCACCTTCTGCCGCGCCCAAGCAACATAGATCTTATCCACCGGCAGTCTCAAGAACTCCGAAATCTTCAGCGCCAGCAGATACTCCTGCCTGTTAACCAACCGCTGCACCAGTCGTTCGGGCGTAAGGCGGATGTACTGATCATACGACACCGGCACGCCGATCTCATAAAACCGCACCGCGTTCAACACGCGCAGCACCTCCGTCATATCCACATAGTCGTCGCTGTTATACAGCTCCAGCACCGATTTCCCGAAACTCGCCGCCTTGAGCAGCTGTTTCTGGCGGTGGACGCTGTACTCCTGCCCCGCAGCCCTAACACAAACATTCACCGCTTCGTCCAAGTTCCCACGGATGAGTTGGATATTCTCATCCGCCTTTGCACTCTTCTTCTCCAACATCTCCACCGCATCCACCAACACGCTCGCTGGACTGCTGGATCCCAGTCTCCAGACCTCTTCACAAGCATCGGGGACCTTTTGCCAGAAATCGCAGACGTCGTTCGTCATCACGCGTATTCCATCCACATCCGGCACCAAATGCACGAAACCATCGTACTCGAAACTCGTCGCCGAACCACTAGGCCCAACAAGATGAATCTCGTCCTCCCACGCCAACACGACAGCATTATTCCCACACCACTGCAGATCCTTCGGCGGCGTCTTGACACGGGAATCGTACTCACTAAACCGCTCCTGGAAATCACTGCTGATGACCCACACCTTCCCGTCATCCGTGTACAGCGCGATGAACTTCCCGTTAGGCGACACAGCAATATGCCGAAACGGCCCAGCCTGCAACCCGCGATCCTCGCTCTCCGCCGCATCGACCACATGCACCGTCCTCCCCACCGCGAGCAGAACCTCCACAGAGCGGCTGGAAGTATACTCCGGCGGCACGACCGCCCACGAAATCACCTCCCCCGGCGGCGCGGACGCTAGAGCTTGCGGGCGTGGCTCATCGTAGCGCGTCACGGCCACGAAGCGGTTGTTCCCCAGCAAAGCCACGAAGCCCGTTCCCCAGAAACGACAGCTCTTGACGCCGTATTCTTCTGCTTCGTGTCCGAGGGAGAAAGGTGTGAAATCCGTTCCCAAGTCGGCATAGCTCCTCACCTCCCCGTCTTGACCCACGACCAGCAACCTCTCGTCTTCCGACCACCCGACCGCAGCAAGCGCGCCTCGATCCCTCGGTATCTGCCGTATCAACCTGCCCGCGCAGCTGTATAGATCGATCGTCGCTTTTGTCCCAACGGCCTGCGAGCCGCGCGGAGCGAAGATCTTGGATTCATCGCGGTAGAGTGCTAGCTTGTCATACCTTTAATCAGTGGACTGCGTTTGTAGAGTATTGGAGTCTGGGTGCATACCTACAGCACCGCTATAAGGAGCGCCGACGACGATGTAGTTCTCGAGCTCGAGGTCCGGGGCGAAGACGTCGGTGTAGAGGCGGATGGAGCGGTAGAAGCGGTCGCCGACGCGCTTCCAGTCGGCGGTGGCTTTGGACATGCTATCGTTCTATTATCATTGTTGTGACAGTGTGTTATTGTGTTAAGGCAGAGGGTGCAGTTAGAGCTTCAGATGTCAATGAACCGGTGGTCAAAGCGCCTGACGTCTGGCGTGGGGTGCTGGATGTGCAAGACACGGTATGGAAGACAGATCGAAAGGACAGGCATTCGAAGCAATCGTTCTACGCTGTGTGATCTCGACTAAGGTATCCATGATCGCCATGATGCGATACCAGCTATAGCACATTCTATTATTCGAAGCCACCTCATGATCGAACGCCCGCAGATGCAATGTCAGGCACAAAGCCATTCCATGTCTCCAGAGCTACCTCATCTCATCACATAGTCCTTCCCCTACTCGTAACAGTGCTGCGGATGATGCTGCTGCTTGAAAGACCCTTAGTCGTAAAGATCCTCGTCGCCGCCACCTGTGAGCTTTGTTAGTTTCTGTCGTAGTGTGTAGGATGATTGAAGTCAGGACATACCATTCTGCTGCTGCTCCGCATTGCCGCCATCAACACCACCCTCTGGGAAGCGGAAGAACTGGCTGCCACCAGCAGTGTTCTTCATGCTCTGTGCGAAAGCCTCGTAACGCCTGATCTCCGTATCGGTGACCGAGCGACGAGCCAAGGCCATAGCCTCCTCGAAATGCCTCTTGGTCAGCTCTGGCACCGGGTCCTCCTCCTCAACGTCCTCCTCCATCTTCGTGTCGTCGTCACCGCCGGCAGCCTCGCGCTGCTTCTCCTTCTCGATGGACAGCCCGATGGACTCCTTGATGGCGAGCTTGACGGCACGCTGCGTGATGAAGCCCAAGTCGGCACCGGAGAAGCCGTGGGTCTTGCTGGCGATGTAGGAGAGATCGATGTCGGATGAGACTGGGGTCTTGCGGAGCTGGGCCTTGAGGATGGACTCGCGGCCGGCTTGGTCGGGCAGAGGGACGTAGACGAGGGTGTCGAGACGGCCTGGACGGCACAGAGCGGCGTCAAGCTGCTCAGGCCTGTTGGTGGCGCCGATGACGAAGACGTTCTTCTTGCTGGTCATACCATCCATCTCAGTGAGGAGCTGGTTGACGACACGGTCGGAAGCACCACCTGCGTCGCCAACAGAGCCACCACGAGACTTCGCAATAGAGTCCAACTCATCCAGGAAGACCACACAAGGAGCAGCCGCGCGAGCCTTGTCGAAGATGTCGCGAATGTTGCTCTCAGACTCACCGAACCACATGGAGAGCAGCTCGGGACCCTTGATGCTGACGAAGTTGGCCGCGCACTCGTTGGCGACTGCCTTGGCGAGCAAAGTCTTACCAGTACCTGGTGGCCCGTAGAAGAGCACACCACGGGACGGAGACATGCCGAACTTGAGGAACTTCTCGGGATGGTCGACTGGGTACTGCACGGACTCGATGAGCTCGCGCTTGACGTCCTCGAGACCACCAATGTCCTCCCAGCGCACGTTCGGCACCTCGACGACAGCGACCTCACGGAGCGCAGACGGGTTAGAGGCGCCGAGAGCGAAGCGGAAGTTCTCCTGTGTCACACCAAGGCTGTCGAGCACCTCGGCGTCGATTGTGTCCTCGTCCAGATCGATCAAGTCCATCTTCTCACGAATCTGCTGCATGGCTGCTTCGGAGCAGAGAGAGGCCATGTCAGAACCGACGAAACCGTGAGTCTCAGCTGCGATCGACTCAAGATCGACGTCGTCTCCGAGCTTCATGTTCTTGGTGTGGATCTGCAGGATCTCGAGACGGCCAGTTGGGTCGGGAATACCGATATCGACTTCACGGTCGAAGCGGCCGAAACGACGGAGCGCAGGGTCGATGGAGTTCGGGCGGTTAGTGGCGGCCATGACCACAAGGTTTGAGCGAGCCTTCATGCCGTCCATGAGGGTGAGGAGCTGAGAGACAACACGGCGCTCGACTTCACCGTTTGTCTTTTCACGCTTCGGCGCGATGGCGTCGATCTCGTCAATGAAGATGATAGCCGGGCTGTTCTTCTCCGCCTCTTCGAATGCCTTCCGCAGATTGCTTTCGGACTCACCGGCCATCTTGGACATAATCTCTGGGCCGTTGATGAGGAAGAAGAATGCGCCGGTCTCGTTTGCCACGGCACGAGCCATGAGCGTCTTACCAGTACCGGGAGGTCCGAACAGAAGGATACCACGCGGTGGCTTGATACCGATGGACTTGAAGAGTGCCGGATGCCGCAGGGGCAGCTCGACCAGCTCACGGACCTGCGCCATCTGCTTCCTGCAGCCTCCGATGTCGTCGTAGCCCACCTCGTTGAGCTTGTCCTCCTCATCTTCGCGCTGGATTGGGTCGCCCTCGCAGTGGATGACGGTGTCTTGTGCCACGATGCCGTACTCTGGCGGGTCGACCTCAACCACCTTGAATTCCACCGTCCTCATGGCGGCTCTGCATGTGAAGAGATCGCCTTGCTTGACGGGGCGGTAGGCTTCGCGGAAGTAGGGAGCAAGGAAGACGTCGAAGAGGGAGCCGGTGAGACCCTCGACGGTGTCCGCCATTGGTAGCACAGCGATACGCTTGGCGTACTTGATGTCGGGGCAGGGGTTGACGGTGACCACATCACCCAGCTTGACGCGCAGATTGTGGCGAACGACTCTGTTCATGCGCACGGAGCCGTCGTCGAGATCGTCGTCAGCGAGCACGATAAGCACGGTGTCTTTCCGCTTCTTGCCCTTGACGAGGACTGTGTCGCCACGGAAGAGCTGCAGCGTCTCCATCGTGTTGTTTGAGAGGGCGAGGATGGAGTTGTCGTCGGTGGTGGCATCGGTGACGATGAGGCTATTGGGCTTCTTCTTGCGCTTGAGGATGGCTGTGGCGGTTGCGTCCTCATCTTGCTGCTCTTTGCCGCTCGGGTCGTTGTCGAGGTTGACCTTGCGCTTGTCTTGCGCGTGCTCTGGCTCTGCAGACATGCTGGCGGTTGGTGATGTGTGATGTGAGGTGGTGAGGTGGCGGTTTTGATGTGGTGATGGTTCTTCACCTGGTGTTTGAGATTGGTAGATGCGCTTCTGGTGGACGAAGCAGGCGGCGAAACGCGGTTATGATAGCAGTGGTGTCTGCAGTGAGATTCGGCCAAGGAGTGTGATGACCTTGTCGTGAACGATGCAGACGAGAGTTGATGGGAGGAAGATGGTGAAGAGGGTGAAGCTTCGGGAATGAATGTTTGTGAGAGCTGCTGTGAGGTGCCTGGACAACCTTAAAACGCACGGACTCTTTCCGTGACGTGCTCCAGTCAAAAGGCAACGTCTCTCCAATCGCCATCAATAATCAGCCAGCAGAAGCCCGTCGAAGGCCACAGATCACGACACGCACGCTTGGCTGCCTGCCCCATTCTTACCTTCACTTCTCTCTACGATCACGTGGTCGCACGAAAGAGGAAGTTACGTCTATTCACATTCAGGTAGTCGCCACTGCTGAGGATGTCTCCTCCAGGATCATGCTGCTGTGAATACGATCTGAAGAAGGTGAATGCTCGCACCAGAACAGTCGTTGAATGGAGTAGTAGGACGAGGTGAGGTGAGGTCGAGGCATGGCGCACGTATAAGGTAGGTGCCGATGGTCGCACCTGCCTCCCATACCACGCTCGGCTCAATACGGTAGGGACCATGGGCGCTGTGCAGAACGTATCGAGAACGACGAATTCCTTTCTTTTGACATATGTACACAGCTGGACTCCTGACACCACAAAGAGTCTTCACAGCTGTCATCAAAGTGGTGGGCGTGCATGTGAAGACGTTGCCGGACAGGAAGTCGCGTGAATGCAGCAGAAAGAATGGACGTGACGAGAATGGCCTGCCAGTCTTCCTTTCAGAGAGCAGAGACACATGGTCTCAGCAGCCTCTCAGACACTTGCATTCCTTTCAGAAGACAACTTACAGAAGGTACAAAACCAAGGACTGTCGGCGAGTTTCCACATCAACCAACCTCAAGAAGGCCAGCTATGGATCCAGAGCAGTCAGACCCAGCATCGAGAGACGTAATGTACGAAGACGAAGTTGAAGAATCTGCTTCTCCTCCCGAGGACTACTCACCTAAGGAGCGCCATGAAGCATCTCCGTCTCCACCTCAGGACGACCAGTCCGCAGATTGTGACGAAGCATCTGCGTCTGCATCTCCGCAGACCAAGGAGACTTTGAAGGAAGCATCAACGCCTTCTTCCAAGCATGATCTGATCATCGACTGCGCAGAGGCACCTGCTTCTACTCCTCAGAATGGCGTGTCCAAGGACCGTGACCAGGCGCCTTCGTCTTCTCCCGGAAGCGGAAGCAGTCCAGAGGTTGATGGAGCACCTGAGACCTGCAGATTCCCAGCACCGGCCGAGGAGATGAGCTTACGGATTGCCGAACACAGGACGAACGGCCACCTCCCACAAGCCAATCTAGATGCTCTCGAGACCACTCCGGAGATCGTGTCAATCCTCAACATGCTTAACTCTGAGCGCAACCGGACAACCGACGAGGACGGCTACGATTCCACTGTAGACGCCCCCAGGAACGACAGCGTCACCACCAACACCATGACGTGCCTCCAAAACATCGAAAACAACGGCGTCTACCCCACCGATACCTCAGAAGACGACTCCCACCACTTCCTCCCCATCCCCATCCCCTCCCACCCCACATCCCCAACAACAGTCCACCACGAATCCGTCCTCAAAAAACGCATCATCTACTCCAAACTCGCCCCGGGCGCCGAATACGACACCCGCTCCTACACCCCCACCTTCATCCACGACTGCCTCATGCTCCCCGGCACCCTCGCCACCGTCACCGGCAAACGCTTCCCCACCGAGATCCTCAACCGCATGACCCCCGCCCTGCTCCCCGGTTTCCACGGCCACGTTCATACGCAGACGCAACAACCGTGTATCCTCCAGTCCCACGACCCGCAGGACTTCGTGCAAGGGATGCTGATCTTCGGCCAAGCGCGCGCAGCACGGGACAGGATCCACGCGCACTACCGCGACACTTGCCGACGGGTGAAAGTGCAGGTGGAAGTGGAGTTTCTTGCTCCAAACCCGTCGGAGAATGCGTGGGTGCTGTTTCGGAAGAGGATCTGGGCGCACGCGTGGTTGTGGGCGAATGTCGGGAGTGGGGATGTGGAGTTCAGGGGGGTAAGGGAGAGGTGGACGTTGGAGGAGTATTTGGCTGGGAAGTTGGGAGGGGAAAGGAGGATGATGCTGGGGGAGGAAGGGTGGATTGGGGAGGACTTTGAGGATGGGAAGGAGGTGGTTGGGGGTGAGCGGAGGGATGAGGGTGCGGTTGGGGGAGGATGTGAAGGCGTTATGGTTCACTCCGAGCAGCCCAACAGCTCGGCTTGGGTCGCTCAAGACCCCTGGCAACCTCAGCCTGAGGAGGCGGGTGAACCAGGTCCCGACAAGAAGGACGACCTAGCTCAGGCTGCTGTCCGAAGAGACGTGGATTGGGTGTGGTGAGCAGAGACTACCTTTGCCCTGTCGGATAGCTTCTTTCGACTGCTCATCCAGACCCCCCTCATGTAGCTCAGCCCTCTACAGCTTATGCCTACAAAACTTCAGCTAAAGCCACCAAGACCATGCTTTCGAACAGAATCACCTCGCAGCCCCCTTCCAAGCCTTCCCAACCCACTCCTCCACATCCCCCAACAACACCTCGGGCTTCTCCATCGCCTGGCAAAAAATAAACCCCAACATCAGCGCCTATCTCCTCCCAAAGTTTCCGCGGTTGGAAGTTCCACTTACAGCAAAATGCCCACCCCGCCTATGCTCCGCAAACGCCACAATATCGCACGTCTGCGCCGCCCAGCTGCGCGGGATGGGGAAGAGTTCGTACCGGAAGAGGGAGTAGCCGGTCGGTTTGGAGAGGTAGGGTGGGGGGCCGCGGCCGGAGCGGCCGGCGAGCTGGTCGGGCCTTCAGTATTCAGGGAGATGAGAGGGTGGTGATGGGGGTGTAAGGGAGGGGATTGGAGGGATTGGAGGGATTGGGGGAGGACGCACGATTTTTCCGCTTGCGCGTTTGGGGTTTTCGGTGCTGCCGGTTGTCTAGGGGAGGGTTGGTTAGTGTTGTGTGTGAAAGTTGGGGGTTTAAGGGAGGATTACGCCGCGGTAGGGGTAGATGCAGCGCGGGAAGGTGTCTGTGAGCCAGTACAGCGACACACTGTCCAGGATAGCCTCCATCGGCGGATCCTCATCGCTCCATTCGAGAAACTTCTCTCCAATCCTGTCATCCTGTCAGCAGGCCCTTCTACAGTACCATGCGAGAGATTGCACACCAACTCAACAGCGCAACCGGACTAGCGCTCAACGCCAACCCAATCGTCGCCGTCCGCGTCCCATGCTCAAGCGCATAAGCAAACCCATGATCATAAAACTCCTCCCCCCTCGGCAACGCCTCCTTCTCCAGATCACTCAACTCCAATTCCCCCGCGTTCGCCGGCGGCGGGATGGCCATCATGTTCACGTGCATCCCCTTACACGCCTCGTACCCCGAAGCCAAGATCTTGCTGATGAACGACCCGATGTCGCCGCCTTGCACCAGATACCCGGATCCGAAACCGAGGCCGAGCATGAGGTTGTGCATCGCGCCGGCGGCGATGGTGGTGTCGTAGTCTTTGTCCATGGGAGGGCCGGAGGAGTAGCAGTAACCCGGTAGTGAAGGGACGATGACATGGTAAGGTAAGTCCTTCGGCGAGTACTTCTTCCTCAGCAAATCAAGAAGATCGTAGAACTCCAGAATACTCCCCGGCCACCCATGATAAAACGCAATCGGCACCGCGTCCTCCTTCTCCGAAAACAGCGCCAGGAATTGCACTTTAATCTCATTGCTATCAGCATCCTTAACAGTAGCTTTGTAGTTCGGGAACGAGTTGGTGCGGTCCTCGCACTTGCGCCAGTCGTACGACGTAGACCAGAGCTCTTTGGCTTGCGCGAGCCAGTCGCGCTTCATGCCATAGCGGCGGTCGCAGTTGGTGTTTTCGAAGACCGCGGGGCCGATGGGGGAGAGTTGGATGAGTTGTTTGAATTGCTGGAGTTTCTCGTCGGAGACGTGGGCTTTGAAGGGTTGGATGTCTAGGGTGGCGGAGGAGGGGATCTTGGAGAAGTCTGCCATTATCTTGACTTTTCTTGTCCTGTTTCGTGTGATGTGAATCGGTAAGGCAAGGGATGTTGGTGATTTATGTAGACTTGCCGCGGCTTGTTTTAGACGTTGATCTGTCAGGTGCGGTATTCGGAGTTAATGCAGCTGAGGTCGTCACTGCAGCGGGGAACAGCTCGAGCATGTTGGGGTTGAAGTAAGATGCTCACTCCATCGGGACAGCGCCTCTGACAGATAATCAATTGTAAGCCTTTTCCAGTAAGACGACATCAAGCTCTGAATGATACCGAATCCTGGGGGCCAGTGGTTTGGGTCGTGCAATAGACGGCTGAAAGGATGGATTGGATAGTGAGGAGTCATATCGCCGCTTGCTACGAGTCGGCCAGTATAGCATTTACCTGCGTAGATACCTTGGTATGGATCATCCAGGATGCTGTATAATCCACCTGTGATCCTACCTATCCAATCCGTCAAGCTCGACAAGCTTCCTGACCACCGACACAACAGCACTCGTCGACATGTCCATACCAGGATCATCGACCTTCCTAGCCAACAGATCGTCCAAGATCGTTCGCAGCCTCGAAACCAGCACACCAATCCGAGCCCAGCCTCTCAATCTTAACCACCCATCAACCAGCAGTCCCCTCCCTTGCGGATCAATCGTGATCGGACCAGAGAACATCAGCAAGCTGTAGACGTTAAACGGCGTCAAATCGCGGATGAAGTTCTTGCTCGTCGCCATCTTGGTGAAGTAGCTCATGAAGACGCTGTGGCCGGGGAAGCCTTGGGCGTCGAAGAGCGTAGAGCTGGGGTGAACGAATACTCTGCCGTTCTCTTCATTGAAGTACTTGATTGTTCGAGCTTCAGGGTCCAATGCGACAGCGCCAGAAGAGGAGGCCGCGAATTTGGTGTCTGGGAACTCGATACGGGCGACCTGTGGTTGGAAGGCGCCGGCTACGAGAGCGCGGATAAGTGCTTCAGGATCGCTGCTTCGGCTGGGATCTTTCATGCTGGAAGGCGAGGCGTCGTAGTGGGCCGGAATGAAGCCAATCTCTTTGAGCGACGAGACGTACTGGAACCGGTTCGTCGAGATGTCCATGAGCGTCTGATGCGAAAGGAAGTTTTCGTCGCACCACCTTCTCAGAGATGAAGTGGGCTCTCCTCGGGAACGACGCTCGCTCCATTCCTGGTAGGCTCGTAGGTCGCAGATAAGATCTCCATTAGAAGCGCCGAAGCTGGCTCTGGCTGCCTTTGATTCATCGCGCTTCGTCTGGGGATTGACGAATGGGCTCTTGACAGTCAGAATAGCCGCGATGGTGAGAGCAAGGTCTAGACACCCGAAAGCGGCACCAAGAACCAGCAGCTTGCCGCAGCGCAGGTCGGCAGGTATCAGCGAAAGATGTCTTCCGAGAGCCGTCATCTCGCTGCCATCCAGTGCGCCCATGCGGCCGAGCAACTTCAGCGCCCCATCGACTGCTAGACTCTCTGGCGGCGTTAGAGCTGAGGCCAAGAACGCTGGAACGTCGGCAACACCCATCGCTTTCACAGAGAGACAAAGCTGCTCAAGCGGCACTCTGCGAATCTCCGGCTCAGGTCTGTCTGCCATCTTTGCCTCTGCGGACCTGGTGTAAAGCTTGTAGCATTTTCCTGCTCGCACTCTGCCGGCTCTGCCGCGCCGCTGCTTGCATGCTGCTCGCGATGCCCACACCTCAGCAAGCTTGACCATATTCGAGTACGGATCGAAGCTGGTCTCCTTCACCCTCCCAGTATCAATGACAGCAACGATGTCTTCAATTGTGATTGACGTTTCCGCGACGTTGGTGGCTGCCACGACCTTTCGAAGGCCTGAAGATGGCTTCTTGAAGACTAGTCGCTGTTCAGAGCTTTGCAGCGATGCGTGCAATGGTAACGGATAGAGGCCGGGTATGCCTCGCATGGCGGATATTGCTTGGTTGATCTCGCCCACTCCAGGCAAGAAGATGAGGATACCACCATCCTCGTAACCCAGCTCGTTGTCGATATACTGTACTGTGCGAGCAAGAAGGTCGTAGTTAATCCTTGTGCCTACGGCGCGGAGAGCTTTGGCAACCGGGGCCGGTCCGTTGCTCTGATTTCGCGGGTCTTGATCATGGTAATTGTCTGCCGCGTCCTCTTCCTCTGGGGGCGCGAACCCTGTCATTCGAAGCACATCATCGAGATAAAGATCTTGAACTGGGTATGTCCGACCCTCGATCTGCACTTGTCCTACTGTTGCCGCTCCTCTGAAGTAGTCCTCGAAGACTGCAGCATCCAGGGTGGCGCTCATGAGGATGAGCTTCAGGTCGTTCCGCTTCTTGAGAACATCTCGTAGCAGCACCAGCAAAAAGTCTGTGTCCAGGCTGCGCTCGTGGACCTCGTCAATGACGATGTGGCTCACGTCCGCTAGACTCTTGACGACGTCCTCCGGACTGCCTCCGGATGTCTGAAGTCTCCTCAGAAGTACACCAGTGGTCACAAACTGGAGCTTCGTGATCCCCGGCTTGTGCTTCGACTCGCCGCGGATAGCGTACCCAACCTCATCCCCCACTCTACCGCATCGCTCATCTGCAACACGATCTGCAAGCCCTAGTGCAGAGATACGGCGAGGTTGGGTACAGATGATGTTGGCTTGTGCTCCGAAGCATCTCTTGATCATGTCGTCGAGTACAAATTGCACACCTTGAGTGGACTTGCCAGAACCAGTCTCTCCCGATATGATGGTGACCTGGTTGCTGTTGACAGAGGATACAATTGCATCTTGTAGTCTCCAAGCCGGGAGTTTCTGACGAGCCTCAATCATCCGCGTTTGTTCCGGTGTAGCTTGTTTGGCCTGCCATGCGTTCATCACTTGAACGCTAGCCGGCGTATTTTGGGCCCAAGAGATCGGGTTAGGCATCCGCCTTCGCGCTTTGGTCCTCGATACCGCTTGTCTTGATGTATCACTGGGTGCAGATGTGGCAGATGCGATGTCGCTAAGCTTGCCAGGCTTGTCGATGATGGCAGGGACCTCTGCTTCGAGCCAGTCCACAATGCTGTATAGCATCTGCTCGCCCTTGAGGCTTGTAGCTGCAAAGTTCAGACAGCGTTTCAGTATGCTGAGTCGAATGTAGGCTGGCAGTTCAGCCTCAATAGACAGGATGGGTAGAGCTTCAGGGTAGCCTAGAGTGGGCGGACGAGCGCGTAGGAGCACAGGCTTGCCGGCTGGTATGGAAAGCTCCAAAGATATCGTACATATTCTGTCGTGGTTTGTGAACCTATCTCCCAGAATTGCTTCTAATGTTACAAGCTCTTCGTCCCAGGTCTCGCTGGAAGCTTGAGACGCCTCAGAAGAATCAGGCTCAACCTCAAGCAATTGAGACTGCAAAAGCTCCGCAGCTTTGGCTTCATCCCCTGAGCACTTCTCCAAGGCATCGGCAGCCACTTCGGTCGGATACCCGGCAGCACAGAGACGCTTGAGCTTGCCCTCCTTCCGAAGATCCCCACTGGCCAGACTGACTCCCGCCAGATAGTTCTCAGGCAAAGCCCATTTCGGCAGGTCATCTTCAGGGACGTGGATGAGCAGCCACTCGAGGCACTCTTCGCGATCTTTGCAAGATTCTGTCGCTTCTTCAACATGACTCCGGCGAAAGCCGATCCGTGAGAGGTCGTCGCAGATGTTTCGTGTCTCCGTAGGACTCAGCCGGACGCCGTTGGAATTCCAGGTGCCGTCTGATCGCACCAGCCGCTCCACCTCACGCCTTGTCTTCAAGCCCATCTCGACCTTCGGAGCCTTCTGCCAACCTCGAAGGACATGCTTGCTCTGCACCTGCCCATCAAGACTGACAACCTGCTGCTTCTTGTCCTCTTCTTGTTGCTTGGCCTTGTCCCCTCGTGCTTTAACCTTAGCTACTTCAGCTTCGTCATGCTGCTTCTTGGCCAGAAACGGGTCGGCCTCGTATAGATAGCCTTTCCCAGACAATCGCGCTTCTTTCTTCAGCGACTCGAAATCACCTTTCCACAGGTCACGATACTGTGGTGGTAAGGTCATGTGGATATTTTTCATGTTCGCCACACGAAAAAGAGCGTATGCGGCTGCAAAGTGCCTTGCTTCTATCGCACTCTCTTGCGCCTTCTCTCGCTGGTATTCCAGTGGTGGCAGTATAGGAGGCAGTTGAGTAACCTCCTGCGTCTTGGGATTCTTCTTCCGCAGGATGACCCCACCGCTGAAGCCGCTTGCATTCCTGTGGATGGTGTACTCCGGCTTTTCCCACTTCTGCTTCTGACATAGCTCGTTGAAGAGCGTCATGGGAAGCTTGCCCGTCCATGATGAGCCAGCTATGAGTGTCCTGGTGTCCGGCTTCTTCTCTGGCTCTGGCTGCGTGCCGTCCTTTGCAGTCGCAGCTTTTCCATTGATGTTGGCAGCACTTGATCCAGCGGCGGGCGCTGGCGCATCCTGCTTCCCCGTCTTCGAAGGCTTGTCGTTCCCAAAGACTATGAACGAGGTATCTTCGCCATTCGCAGTAGCAGCTACCGGCTTCTTATTGTTCTTGTTCCCCTGCGCTCGGGGAGCATGCGGTTTGTTGACCATCTCCTTCTCCCGCTATGTTTGGAGTGTAGGCCTTGGGCTGAATCCATGTATGAGTTGATACTCTGGTGACCTTTAATCGTCTCGAAGTCGAGCGGTTGGGTGTGGTCGAAGGCACATACGCCTGAGGCATGAGGCCGCTTAGTCATGAAGCCGCTTAGTCATGAATACGGACAGTCCCGCTCGACTTCACGCTGTCGAACATCACGAGACATCTTCGCGATTGTTCTTACAACCGACCGGCGAAGATCTCAAAATATTGTCAACAGAGTATAATGCTAGCCTACGTGAGTGCATTAACTCCGCGGCTCGGTCGTGAGTCCAGCAGTAGTCCGACTGCCCACCCTTCCAAGCACTCCACCCAAGATCCAAACAACAACACAAGCAATCAGCGGCCTTCAAAGTGGTGGCCATACTACGTTCAAATGACCCAACAGCTCTCAAATTAGCCACACCATACTTGCTCTTGGTGCACGCCACCTCCGCCACCTCCGAGTCTTTGGCCGCGCCATGTGGTCATTTCAGATAATGTCCGGATCAAGGAACAATCACCACGACCGGCCCGTCGAGGCGCTCATTTGAAATGAGATCCCGCCTATCTCCTATGTCCACACCCGAAACCGCCGTTTCTGAACCACGGCATCTGCTCCCATCCTCACCACGCCTTTGTAAACCAACAACAATATCAAGCACCAAGACAAAGGTCTCACCCCCCAACAACAATGCTAAGCACCCATATTGTTCCCCTACACAGTTAAGTGACCACATAGCCCTGATCTCCCTCGCGGTCGTCTCTTTCTCCTACCCGTCACCATCAAGTCCATCGCAAACATACAAATACCGCTTCCGAACCCACCACCAACTTCCTTCTGCACCAAGAAATCCAACCACCAAACTACCAACTACAACACACTCTTTAAGTACATCCTCCCCTTCCCCCTTCCATCCAACCCTCACTAACATCTCTTCCTCTCACAGGCTTCCAGCTTTCAACCTAAAAACCACAAACGCAATGGCCGTCATCTCCACCACCAGCACCATGCAAAAGAAGGGCGACTCCGCCTTGATCACCGGCTGCACTCTCCAGGCCAAGGACGCCGTGGTCAAGCACCTGGCGCCCGGCTGCGAGATCCAGAAGAAGGGCGACTCGGCGCTCATCACCGGCTGCGAGCTGCAGAAGAAGAAGGGCGACTCCGCGCTCATTACTGGGTGTGAGGTCATGTAAATTCCTTCTCCTCGAGATGGTTTAGATGGCTGAGTCCGGGCGATCGAGGGCTTTGCTGCTGGTGACAGTGGTAGGGTCTGAGGGTGTTCCGGGCTTGTTTTGGCATTTCTCTTCTTCGATTCGGGTGTGGCGCTGTTGCGAAGCACTGCTGTTTCTTGGTAGTACGCTGGCGGGTTGTGAGACCTGGCGGTGTGCTTTTATTTTTACCTTGCTTGTATATACCTTTCGCAAGCATTGGGCGCGTGGGCCCACCAGCCATTTATGTTCACTATCTTTGTTCGTGGTTCAACACTTCTTACCAGGTGATGATGGGGATGGATAGGTTCAGCATCCTAATGTTTCCTGATGTATTCAATGTCATGTACACGTACTTCGTCACTTCGCGCGATGCCTCCCTCTCACCCTGTTCCCCACCCCTGCATCAGCAATACTCGCACTATCCTTCACCGTCCCCACATTGGCCAGCCTCCTCAACCCTCCCTCATCCTCCAGCTTCGTCCCCATCCGCTTGCTCATCTGTAATCGATGCTGTTCCGCCTCCGCGGTCTCATACCCCAGCTGCGTAGAAGGCGGCAAAGGAACTTCACAAGTGCTGTTCCTGACCTCTTCAGGAAGATCGGCCGTCTCATCTGACTGGTGAACGGGTGACAGTCCGCCAGACTGGTTCGAAGCAGACATGGAACGGTTAGAGATCCCGCTCGGTGCGCGGCCAAGTGGGCGGTTCTTGCGCTTTTGCAGGTCGGAAGTAGAGTTGGGTCGTGAGCCGGCTGATCTATGTTGGAGAAGATCAGAAATGTCAGCATCTAAGCTGGGGCGCGGACGTGCGGGTGCATGGCCATTCACCATGGTGTCGCTTGTGGGTGGTTGTGGTAATGTGTGTGAGTCTTCGGAGGGTGGTTCGACCTTGAGATGATTGTTGGGCTCCACCTTATCCTCTTCTGTTTCAATCCGGGAAGTCTGACTTGTCTTGCGAGGCGACCGATTAGGCGAGAGCTCTTGCAGGGGCTGAGAGGCTCTTCGTAGCGACTCGCGCGGAGCGAGTGGAGGTGGTGGCGCGCTGTCTAACGATTGGTCATCATCCTCGTCCTCGTGAACGAATGGTTGTGGTTTCTGTGCGGCAGATTGATGGCTCGACCTCGCGGCTTGCAGTGGAAGAGACGGCGTCGCCTGCTTCTTCCTGGTGTTGGAGAGACGCTTTGACATCTGCTCATCTTTCCTGCCACCCGATTAGCAACGATCAGGTGCCCAAAAGCGAATCGCACCGTCTTACCTGATCGGCTTCTGCGCTTCAGACGGGGCTGGACTGCCTGTGTAAGACGATTCGCCGCCCATACTTGCGGGATCGTACGCAGGTAGGGCGATTGCATACTTGTCGAATGGCGGCTGTTTGCTAGTCTTGAGGCATGTCCACAGCCAGTCAGCGGACACCACAGGGATGTTGTGCTTCTGTGCATAGAAAGCCTTTTCCTTCTTGATCGAATCCGTCGCGCATATTAAGACAGTGCTGAACGACTGCAACGTCTGCCAATAAGTGCCGCCCAGCAGGTCGACTGCTTTAGCTATCTGCCGCAGATCCAGGCCTGAGAATCCTGTGGTCGACACACGCATGTCTTTGAAAGCAGACGGGCCAATCATCCACAGTGGTGCACTCAGCACATCATCGTTGGGATCGAGTACACGCTTGTGGGATATCGATCGTTCGACCCACCACTCCGTAGCCGTCTGTGTGGCCGCGGGAACTGGTGGAAGCTGTAGCTTGGCAGGGTTTCCGTCATATGGCACCAGCAAGTAGCGTTGTTTGAAGAATGGATTGGTGGATGCGTTCTCAAACTCCGTCAGACTCTTGACAATACGTGCGCAGTTGGGATCCAGGAACTCGTGCAGTCGTTGCGTGCGTTTCGCATCGAAGCCGTAGAGGAAGATGTAGATGCCAGAGAACAGACCCTCCGAGACTTCGCGATGCCTGTGAGGAGGCTCAGTCATGCTTGTCACGGTCATCGATGACTCTCCTGTATCACGTGTGGTCGAACGGTCGTCGTGATCCGTCCACTGGTCCACGCCAGAGGTCTCGACACCCACGCTGTGCGCAGATATATCCTGCCACATGTCCTGGCTTTGACTCTCCAGCCGTGTGCTTGTTGTTCGCCGTAGCTTCTTCCTGGTCGCCTCGGTAGAGCCCTCCGCTTCGCCGTCTCTGCCTCGTTTGCCCAAGCTTGTCCGTGCTCTCGGCTGCAACCTGAACGCGCCTATACCTTGCTCTTCCACAGGCATGACAGGATCATACAAACTCTCATCCAGAGCCATGCCTCGCGACAAGCTGTCCTCATACCACTTCTGCGACACAACCTTGATACCCCACGATCTTGCAGCCACGTACTTCTTCCCTTGCGGCACGGCAGCAATCAAGTGAGTGACCACCTTCGTCAGGTCTCCGTGATACGTAGCACCCTCGCTGATAACCTTTGCAGCAATCGCGTTGCGCTCCTCTTGTTCCTCGAAACCTGTCACACAAATCTGTAGATTATGGAATGTCCGTAGCTGGTGTTGCCACTCGAGAGACGGCACATCTACGTCCTGTCCGTCCATCCACGGCACGCGGACTGCCTCGATCCAGTCTGGGTGTAGCACTTTGATGTCGGGCCGCTCTTTCGCGACGTAGCAGTACTTTGGCGTGGTGATGCTGCCCACGATGAGATGCGTTACGTCTGCGGTGAGGTCCAGCTTGTGGATTGCGCCCATCTCTTGAGCAGTTTCGGCGAGCTTTATCTGGAGGATGGAGTTAGTATGTGGCAGTATGGACGTGACCATACAACTCACTCTGGCATCCTGCAGAAGCGATGTGCAGCAGAGGACGACACCTTTGAGCGGGAGTGGATCGATGCCTGTATCCATCAGTTCAAATTCTATCGCGCTTACCATTGAACCTACCATGATCCATATCTTGCGCCATTGCGAAGGCAGTGGAAGTGTGAATCGTGATGTTCGTCGCGTATCGAAAGCTCGAAAGTGACGCGACCTGCACGTGAGCGGGGTGGGCCGAAACTCTGTTCAGACGTCAGCTTCCGAACATCCGAGCAGCAAACATCTTTGTTTCTTATTCTCCGAACACAATCGGCCGCAAACCGCAGTTGGTGAACTCCTTGTGCCAGAATGACACCACTCGTTCATGGTTGCTTGCTGCTCATGGAATCCCGAGGCTTTACACCTCGACAAAAGAGACTATTCACCACAATGCGCCAATAAGCGATGGATCCGCCGCCACACGCAAGACCAACGGCAAGAAATGGCTTGGCTACCTTATATTCAAGGAAGTGTTATCTGCAAGATGCGCGCGACTCCAATGCTTAAAGGACTACCGTCGCAGTTCCCCAGTCCTCTTGCGGCGGCGATTGTTGAAGCGTGGTATTGAACTGCGCAATGATCTCCTAGCAACGAACCAAACATTGTCCTCTTAAGACACGCACATACCTCTCATGGCTGTTCCATTGCTGGAGAGAGAGTGGTCTCCAGCATCTACGCAAACGACCGACACCATTGAGCCAAAGTGGCAGGTACGATTCAATGATGGCAAAAGGCGCAACAGCAGGCACTCGCTCTTGAGTCGGATTTGGTACTGGCAGTCTCGACCGTCTATGCGAGATGATCACTACACTCACGACTACTATGCGGCACCATTGGACGATGACGATGACTCTGAGGATCTGCCCAAGCCTACACTGGCGAGACAGCCACGAGGAGTGAACTATTCTCCTATGCTGCGTTGGCTGAGGCGCTCCCTGCTCCGGCTGCCGTTGTACATACTTATGCTGTTGTAAGTTGTCTTTGGGGTGTGGTCGTTTACAGCAAGCTTATGCGCAACAGCGGCATCCTGCATCTGATATTAGTCGTCTACGGCCGCAAGCCGCTACTCTGGGATAACCGCAAGGATGATGTCGAGATACCGGACTGGGCGACAGATCTTCAGGCTTTAACGCACTACGCGACAGACCCAACGCGGGATGTGCAACCAATACCATGCCATTCACATAATGACTATTGGCGGCGGATACCGCTATTCGATGCACTGCGCTACGGCTGCACCAGCGTTGAAGCAGATGTCTGGGGCTACGATGAGAATGACGACCTATTCGTAGGCCACAGCACAGCCTCACTAACGCCTACGAGGACTTTCAAGGGACTATACGTAGATCCGCTCGTGAAGTTGTTGGACAAGATGTAGGTTCTCCGCTGGAAGACTAGATTATATCTGCTTATCGCATGCCGCAGGAACCCTTCGACAAGCTTCGGCGACACGAAAGGCCACGGTGTCTTCGACGAAGACCCACACCAGACGCTCGTCCTCCTGGTTGACTTCAAGACCGAAGGCCACACACTCTTTCAACGTGTCCAGGAACAGCTCGAGCCTCTCCGCAAGCGAAACTACCTGACATACTGGAACGGCGACAAAGTCATCTCCCGCGCGATAACGGTTGTAGGCACAGGCGAGACACCCTTTGACCTCATAATCGCCAACCAGACCTACCGCGACATCTTCTTCGACGCCCCACTGGAGCTGATGTACGAGCCGCCCTCGGGTGGAGGCCAAGTCCACGCAGCAGTCATGCCCCACGATGGCAAGGAAAAGAAAAGAGGCCAAGGCCAAGAAGGCACCGCCCACCTCACTGCCGACGCCTTCAACGCAAGCAACTCCTACTACGCCAGCGTCTCAATGACTTCCGCCATCGGCATCCCCTGGTCCGGCCGCTTCTCCGCGCACCAGCTCGAGCGGATCCGTGGGCAGATCCGTGGTGCCCAGCAAAGAGGCCTGAAGGCGAGGTACTGGGAGACGCCGGCCTGGCCGACGAGCTTGAGGAATTACGTCTGGGAGTTATTGGTGAGGGAGGGGACGGACATGTTGAATGTGGATCACTTGAAAGCCGCTGTGAGTAAGGATTGGGGGAGGGTGGGGCATGGCTTGTTTGATGCTTGATGAAGACCGTGGGCTGGTTCTGCTGCTGGCGAACGCTTGGACATTGGGCTGTACATAGACACGACTTTGATGATGCATTAGAAGTAGACGTGTGCTTCTTGGATACAGAAGTAGAACGATACCCACGAAGGCTAGCTAGAATGATAAACATGCTTCACGCACCTCCATGCGCAGCTCATTTGCTATCGAACATCCTCAGATCTCATCGAAACGCCATCTCTATGAGCAAGCCCTTCCATGCCACGCGCTTACCGAACGGCAACAGAAGCAGAAGCACAAAAAGAGCAATCAATCCCCAAGCACACTCTCCACCTCCCCTCCACCCCCAAACCCATCTCCCTCCACCATCTCCTCGTCCTCCACCTCCTCATCAACCAACCCCCTCCTCCTCAACCCCTCCTCATCATCCGCATTCTCAATCTCATCCTCCGTCTCATCCTCAGCAACAATAGCATTACTCTTCGCGCCCTTCTTCCCCTTCGCCGTCCCATTAACAGTCGCAGGCTTCGCCTTCCCCTTCGCCGCAGCTTTCTTTCCCCGGCCTTTCTTCCCTTCAACTTGCCCGATGTCCAGGTACGAGCAGAGTTCCTTGTAATTATGCCCCAGCTTCAGCTTATTACGCTCAAGCCTCTTCCTCGTCGACGTCCCGTCGATGACGCCGGCATGAATCGCGTAGATCAGACTGCGTGTGAGTTCGCAGAGGGTCTGCTCTGCGAACAGCGTCCGGCGCTGCTTCGTCTCTTTCCTCTGCTGGGAAGCCTGCGTTTGCGTTGGCTCGTCGTCGTCGCTCTCGTCTTCAGAGTCGGAGAGGGGGTCTTCGTCCATGGGATCGGCGTCGATGTCGCTGTTGTCGTGAACGGGCTTGTCTTCCAGCTTCTTCCCGCTGAGACGGGCGAAGTTCTTTTCTGCGGCGGAGAAGACTTTCATGATGGATTTGGTGTAGGAGTCGTGCAGGCTCATGATCAGCACGGCCCAGTCGTCGCGCATGCCGGGTTTGAGGGGGATGGTCTTGAGGACGACGGCGGTGGTGTGGAGCTCGAGGATGTATTTGGCCATGGTGATGCAGATGGGGTCTGAGGACTTGCGGGATTCGAGGACGGAGTTGAGGTTGGTGACGTACTGGTCGCGGCGTGTTGCCAGAAGTTCCAGCTCATCGTAGGAGATTTCGCTCTCGGTGCCTGATGTCAAGGTTCGGATGATGCCGGCCAGCTTCCACTGCAGATAGAGTATGCCGGCCTCCGCAGCACGAGCAGCGATCTCGTCTTCGAGAGCAGCATCTTCGGGGTCAGGCGGAGGTCCTGAGGAAGGCATGCCGCGTTGAACAAGAGCGATGATGCAGTCAATGGCGCCTTGGTAGTCACTGGATACATTCGTGCTGTCTTCCAGTGACTGGATAGGATCAGACACTTGTGACAGGCGTACGATGCGTAACAGATTGTTGCTAAGAGCACGCAACACCTCTTCCTGGGTGGCGCCACGCACGGTGATTGTATTGTGATCGAGCAGTTCTGTCAGATTCTCGACGACATCCGCCCACAGGTTACTGATCTTCTCGTCCGTGACTTCCTCGAGATCTGTGTATGACTTGGCGTGCTGGATAGCATTACTGGCCGGCCCAAGCACATCATCGGTTCCGTGAGACATGAATTGCTTGCGGATATCGTCCAGGATGGCGCCGTAGGTCGCAGTGTCTTCATGCAGCCCACGTAATGAAGGCATGTTAAGCACACTCTCCATACGCAGAACCGCCGCCGCGGTATTCGGCACGTCACCAAATTTCTTGAACAGCCGGGGAATGAGACTGGCGAGATGGCGTGCGGCTTCCTCTTGATCTTCGCTCAGCTCCGCCTTCTCCCTTTTGGTGAGCTTCCGCTTGGTAGAGACGCTCGATTCATGCAGGTCATGGAGATGGCGCTTGACACTCGTGCTCACAATCTCCAGTAGTACAAAGGCCTCTGACTCGTCCAGGACAACCTCATTCTTCAGCTGCGTGAGTGTGTCCTGCGTGCCCTTGACCTTCTTGATCGAGTGGTCGAAGAGCAGGTATCCAGCTAGAGCTTGCCAATCCATGATATCTTCCATCTTCTCATAGAGTGCATCTGCGGCCAAGGTGAAACGAGATTCCATCGCCACGGCGTGCAACACAAGACCGCCATCACCACGGTGCCGCTCGACCTGGCTGGGAAGGTCATCGCCAGCATCATAGTTCACAAGCATCTCAGCAAGTGACTTGAACTTCAGCCAGTCCGCCCTTGGCGTCTCCATGTTTCCCTCCGCGAGCTCGGGCAGAGACTCCTCGAGACTCTCCGGGCCACCAAGATTGTCGATCCTGCTGTTGTAGGCATCGTTGACATTCTCGGCGAAGAACTTGGCCACGGTTTTGCGGACCCGTGGGTCAACATCATAGATCAGGCGGCCAACTGCATCAACATCTTCGGGCTCAATGAGGCCGTGCTCTCTTAAGAGGTCCAACAGCTCGATTCCAGCCACGCGGACGTTGGTCTCTGCGTCGGATATGGCAATCTCAACAAGCCTTTCGCGGAAGCGTTCAGTGAACGTCTTCAGACCACTGATCTTGTCCGCTTCGGCGTACAGCCGCTGTAGTTGCTTGAGGATTTCGGCTCTGGTCGCCGCTGAAGAGTCACTGAGTATCCAGCCCAAATAGCGCAGATGGGAGCCATCGAAGAAGACGTGTGGTAGAATCATGATCCAGTCGCCGAGTGCACTCGCACACTCCTTCCGGATGACAGGGTCGATGTCGCGGTATCGGTGGATGAAGACGGTGTCAAACCAGTCCTTGATCTGTACTTCCAACCATTCTTGGATCTGGTTGGTGTCCGTGACCTTCTTGTCAAGCTGCTTCACACGAGCTTGGTTAACCTTTGTCTTCTTCTTCTCGCTGTCCGATTGTCGCTGCGCAGCCGCTGCTTCGTTCGCCCGCTCAGCGGTCACTTCGCAAAGAGATGTGATGATGCTGAGCGAGGCCACAGTCGCAGTGTGCCTGAACGCGCGGCTTGCAGCAGAAGTCATCGCTGAAAGCCAGACTTCGATGTTCTCCAGCAGGATAGGGTCGCTATACAGTAGTCCTCTGGCGGCGATGGATCGAACCAGAACAATAACGAACCCCGACACCGTCTCCTTGAAGGCAACACCGGCCTTGCCTTTGCGGTGGAGAGGAAATTCCGTTGGCTCTGTTAGCTGGTACTCGTCCTGGATCTCTGTGAGTCTGTTCGTGGCATTGTCAGGATCGTCGATGTCGTGATCCGTGACCTCAGTACCGCAACCGGCACACTGCAGTACAAAGTTGATCACGTCGGCCATGGCTTGTGCCTCATGCTCGTCGAAACTCTTCAGCCAGTCCGAGGCAACGGTTTCAAGGCTATCGTCGCTGGCGAACACTTGTCCGTAGAGCCCACCAACTTCTTCAGCATCCACAGCGACCGCAGCTGCTTTCTTCTTCGGTGCCTTCTTCCTCCTGAGTGGGAGAGCTGTGCCGTTCACCTTGGCCTTCTTTTGCGCGGGCTTCTTGGGTGCAGAGGCTTTTGGCTTCTGCGTCTTCTTCTTGCGCTCCCTGATTTCTTCCTCTGCTGGCTCGTCCTCGTCGGTCGGCATATCCTCATCTGACTCGTAGTCGTCTGGCATCTGGGCATCGCCATTCTCGTCATCGCCGCGTTTGCGCTTCGAGCCGCTGAAAGGGCTAGACGCGTATTGGGCGGTCTGCTTGCGAACACGTCCGGATGCGCGTTTAGCAGTGCTAGGAGCGCCGGAAACAACTGGTGGAGAGCTGGACATGCTTGCGATGCGGTGCGGTGTCGTTGTCGCGTGGTCCCAGCCGATGTGAGGATATGTGAGGCGCGTCGTCTGTCGATAGACTTACTGGACCATTGCGATATTGACCAACGCGGCAGTGGGACGGCTCCTCGGTTTGCTAACTCCTGGTTGAGACGTCGTAGAAGAGCGTGTGTCAATCAAAAGTGTTGTTCAAACAGAGAACCAGGACCCCTCCAGCGCGTCACGCGTAGAGCGACTGGAAGCTCGGACCATCTGTAAGCGATGCACAAATCGAATGCAGCATAAATTGTCCTTATCTCGAAATATCGATATTGACGGGCGAGACAACCGTGGTCTCAGCAGATGGCAGTCCACTATCTCAACATGCTTCCACGATAGCAACGACCGGACGGACTACCATGTCCAATCCATTCCTCTCGCCCAAGGCTCACCCGGGCGATGGCACAATCCATCTGGCTCTCCTGCCGCCCAGTACGCCACGACTGCGGACACTCAACTACCAGTACCCGCTGAAACTGGTCTCACCCGCGCCTTCGCGAGCTGGGGATGATCTGGTCCATACAGTCTACCTCCTGACGTACGGTGGCGGCCTAGTCGCAGGAGACACGATCGATCTTAAAGTCGACGTCGAAAGGAAGACCAAGCTTGTTCTCCTCACGCAGGGGAGCACGAAACTGTTCAAGTCGCTGGACAGAGATTTGGTGAGCAAGCAATGCATGACCGTCAACCTGGACCCAGGAGCTGCGCTATGTTATCTACCAGATCCGGTGCAGCCGTTCGAGCAGAGTTGTTTTGAGCAGCAGCAGATTTACAACGTAACCATACCCACTGCAGAGGAGACGCAGACAGGCAGCCTCTGCGTGCTCGATTGGGTCTCGAACGGTCGCCCGGCCAATGGCGAGAATTGGTCGTTCTTCCACTACCGTAGCAAAAATGAAGTCTTCCTTCGTCAGTCGGATGGCAAGCAACGACTGCTTCTCCGTGATAGTGTTTTGCTGGACGACCGTGAGGACGATGGGTCAATCGCTGCCCGCATGGACGACCTCGCAGTCTTCGGTACTTTAATAATCTACGGCCCATTCTTCCGTCGGCTCGGCCAGTTCTTCATGGACGAGTTCAAGGCCCTTCCTCGCATTGGCGGGCGTAAGTGGGACAGCGGCAGCGACAGTGGGGAAGAGGAAGCTGGCCCACACATCCTCCGCCGGCTGGAAAGGCAAAGAAGGGAGGCTGAAGATCGAGTCCTTTGGTCTGCAGCCGACGTTCGAGGCTGCGTGGTCGTCAAGCTCGGCGCACGGGAAGTTGAGGGCGGCAGAAAATGGTTGAGGGATATGCTGACCGAGGAAGGAAGCGTGCGGGAGCAGTTTGGGGAGAGGGCACTGCTTTGCCTGCGGTAGTAGGATAGCACCACGTCGGACCTCGAATGCGAAGCCCAGTTGCATGTCCGCCATACGCCTCAAGTCACGGTATGATTGGCACCACGGCACCTGGATCGAGTCCATCGTGCGTGGGCGAGGCAGCAGCATAAAAAACTGAGCCCTTGCCGAAGATGCCGTGCCCGGCTCCAGAACGATAGACTGGCCTCTACAACCTTTCAACGCGAGGCTACAAGGCCACAGAACATATCAATGTGTCATCTCGCGCATTAGAGACGGCGTCCGTCCCAAAAGGCAGTGCAGTTGCGCCTTACATCAGCTATACCAAGACGTCCAGCCTTGCACAAGACAGAGACAAAACTTGCCATATCAACTCTCACTTACGTGATGTTCAAAACGTGTGTATATTATTGGCGTCAAGCGGCTGACGTTCAAAATTCCTTTATAAGCATAGACAACCCATAGGCTTCAGGCAGCGTTATTCTGCACATGTTAGGCAACCGAATTCTGGCAATTTAAGGTATAGAGCTGAGACTTGGCTTCCAATGGCTTGAATGCTGTATACACTGTCTATCAATCAATACACACATCGTTAGAACCTCCAACCCTTACATTTGATCAACCACAACGCCGCAACACCATCCTCCAACATACACTGCGATCACAATGCGCGGCCTCCAAGACTCCCCTTCCACCGACTCCCTCCTCCGCGACACCATCCTCCGCACCTTCTGGCTCTTCCAACTCTGCGTCTCCGCGCCCATATCCTGCGCCCTAGGCGTCTCAGCCTTCGTCCGCCTCGTCGAAGTTCACGGCTTCATCTACGACTTCATCGCCTCTCTAATTCCGAGTCTGATGGCCGGCGTGATCGTCTTCATTCTCGTCATCCAACGGAGGATGTTCGAGCATGGTCTGAGTATCGACTTGACGCTGAAGTTCGAAGCGGTAAAGTCGATCCTGGCGACGTCGTTGTGGATATGGGAGTTGGTGGATTCGGGGGTGCAGCCGACGACTGTTTGGAATCAGAGGGGGCCTAGGATGGTGGCTGCTGGTGTTTCGGCGATTGTGTTGTTGTAGGTTCTTGCTTCCATGGGTTGTCATTCAACTGAGTTTGCTGACGGTGGCATGTAGCCTCTTGTTCTATCCGACAGTCGTCTACGTTACCAAGGAGAAACAACGGCAGCAGAAAGCTGTACGCGTGTGCGTCCACGAGGGCGAGTCTCCGGAGCTTACACGTTTGCTTAACGTATGAGCGGTTCAGCGCGGCAGTTGGCGTTTGGCTTGTTTGGCATGCATATCGGGCCAGAGAAGGTGTCATTCCTTCGGCGAGGATGCTTCTGAAGCTTGCGCCTCTTGCGCCTTCTTCAAAGCCGCAATGCGATCATCCATAATCGATATCTCAGCGTCAACCCTTAGCAGCTTCTCATTCAGCATCTTCGCGTAGTCCTCGTTGCTCATCACAGTCACCGGACTCCAAGGCTTGTCGCTCATGCGTCGCCAGAAGCCCGGCTTTGCATCGTGTTCAGCAGCCTCTCGTCGCTTGTACAGATTGTTCGATGCCATTTGTCCAGCGAATCCAAAGATGGAAAACATGAGTGCGCCAGGTAGGAAGTTGGCCCGCCCCCTCGTAAGCAAGGCTACAGCTCCGCCTGTAACTCCACCTGCAATGGTGCTGGCTTTTATCAAGTCGGCCGAGGGCAGTTGTTGGTCTCCTGGCGTCCACGCTTGCACAATGCCACTGCGGGTAGCCCAGAATGCTGCTCCAAGGGCGAACGTCTGAACGCCAGATACTGATGCGAAGATGAATGGGGTCGTGCCTTTGACAATGCCTGCCGCGCCTCCAAACAGGAAGCCAGCTGTCCCTATATGGCGTGTTAGAATAGATCTATCGGAATAAGGGGCGAGCTCATCAGGGCCAAACAAAAGCGGAAGGACGCAGTCATGATATGTGCATCAAAGGCGAGCTGGTCATCACATCATTTCCTGCTCTTGAGTTGCGCACAGGTACCATCTGAGATCAACTTACCACATGCCGTCCCAACCTTCAAGGCAGGCTCAATCGTTGCCACAATAGCATCCCGTGGCGGCATCGCCACCATCTTCTTATCCGCCATCTATCGATGGACTTTCTCTTTCATATCATGCTCGACCTGACCGACGACCTGGAACGATGAACCGCATTGCATTCACCCATATGTTCATGCATGCAAGCGCGTGAACTACATGCGGTTCCAGGTTCACGCTAGTGGTCTTGGCGTTCTTCTTGACTTTTCCTTTCGGCAGTAGATCGTTGAACCGCACCGCACTTCGACCAGGACACCACATCTCCTGGACAGCAAAACCACACACCGAAACACCTCGTGCGCACTCGATATTGCACGCACGTAAAACCGATCACCAAGGAAGGCGCAAAGAGCGGTTCACCCGGACTACACCCAGTAGTCCACACTACAGCCACCCAGCATGGGTATGTACACTTTCACCCGGCGAGAGCGCGAGAGCCGCAGCGCGCACGGCAGACATCGCTAGTGATATGACCTAATGCTAACGATGTGACTATAGCGCCTAAAAAGAAGCAGGAGAAGATGAATCTGGGGGAGTTCCTGACGAATCAATGTGAGTGCGACCGTTCAGTACATGGCAAGGCGGGCGAGCAGGCGGGCAGGCAGCGGGAGCAGACGGACAGAGCAGGACGTGTGGTAAAGGTCGAAGAAGCCACGCTGACTTTCTATAGCGCTAGGATCATGGGCCGATGAGATGGAGACACAACCAATGCCAGCCGCACCATCAGGAGGCTACTCACGCGACCGCGAAGGTGGTGAGAGACGCGGCTTCACGCAGCCGGCATGGGAGTCTGCAAGAAGCGGAAGCGGTTTCGGCGGAGGCATGGGAGGCGGCATGGGCATGGGTGACAGGGGCGCGAGCTTCGGTACAACACCAACCAACACTCTCGAGCTGTCGCAGCCTCGGACTAACGGATACACAGACCGCCCACGTTTCGGAGACCGCGAACAGCTACCTTTCCCCACCAAGCCACCGTACACGGCGCATCTCGGTAACCTCACCTACGACGTCACCACCCCGGAGATCGAAGACTTCCTCAAGGAATGCCAAGTCACCAACGTTCGTATTGTGGAAGACAAGCTGGACCACAAGCCCAAGGGCTTCGGTTATGTTGAGTTCGCAACACCTGAGGGGCTGAAGAAGGCGCTCACATACTCGGAGACGAACTTCATGGGCAGAAATGTTAAGATCAGCATTGCTGAACCACGTAAGTCTTCTGGTGTCTCCGATGTTTAATTCCCTCACTAACAGCTCGTACAGCAAAGGACCGCGGCGGCGACTCCTCGCGTGACTTCTCGGACTGGTCGCGCAAAGGTCCGCTTCCTGACCTCCCACAAAATCAGCGCCAAGGCTCGAATCGAGGCTTGCCTACCCGCAGCTTCAACGACAATGCTTCCGACGCAGGCAGTGAGCGCGGTGGCGGTCGCAAGGGCTTTTTCGAGGGTGACGGCAAAGTACGCGACTTCTCAGATTGGTCACGCAAGGGCCCTCTGTCACCCGTTCCCGGCGCTGGTCCACCAGTTCGCGACGGCGGCAGAGTGAGAGAAGGCCCGACCGAGCGGAGCCCAGCTTCTTGGGGAGAGGGACGTTCGGACGCAGGCTCAAGACCACCGCGCAGAGAGTTCGAGCCGAGGCCGTCGGTCGAGCGCGTCCCAACTGCAGCAGAGACGAACAACCAGTGGCGCTCAAGCATGAAGCCGGACACTCCACCGGTCAGCACACCAGAAGCCTCAGCAGGCCCGTCATCACCGGCCGCACCAGCGCCACCGAAGGAACGCCCAAGGCTGAACCTCACGAAGCGCACAGTATCGACAGCCGAGGGTGAGCAAGCCACCAGCTCCGCGACCGACTCGAAGGCATCACCATTCGGCGCGGCTCGCCCTGTCGACACTGCGACGAAGGAGCGCGAGGCCGAGGAGAAGCGCCTAATGAACATGAAGCAAAAGCAAGAGGCAGAGGCCAAGGCCAGAGAGGACAAGGTGGCTCGCGAAGCCGCAGCTAGAACAGCGCGCGCCGAGCGTGCAGACCGTGGGCAGGCACAGGAGGACGACACCAAGGTCACATCACCGACTTCGGAGAGCGGGAAGGGCAGACGTGCTTCGCGCCAGCAGAACGGCACAAAGCCAGCGCCAAAGGAGAATGGCGAGACACCAGCAGCGCAGAAGCCCAGCTTCAGCATTCTCCAGCGCGACACCGAGGGAGGTGACGAGGGTACCGAAGCGGCCGAGCAAGACGACGACGCCAACGGCAGCATCGTCCACGACAAGGAGACGAAGCCACAGGAGCCAGTCGTCGAGAACCCGTCGAACGCAGGCGACGCCTCCGACCCAACTGCACAGGAGCTTGAGGAAGAGGGATGGTCCACCGTCTCCAGCGCCAAGCCGAAGACTGGTCGTCGCACTGGCGGTGGTCGCGCGCTTGCCTCCTAGAGGGACGGCAAGCATCATGACTTCATCGGGCTTGCGGGTCTTCAACAGAAGTTTCAGGGAGGCGGTCTCCATTCTGTCGCGTCTCAGCATGCTCATCCTGCTCGGCGTTAGGCGGGAAAAGTCGGCTCCTTCTCTTTTCGATCGTCTTCACCACTTCGGCGTCCGGCGGCTTATGGTCTTCGACATAGAACTGGCCGCAACATCATGCAACTCGACTGCGCCCCTTTCAGGACTGGTACTAACTGGACACTGTATGGAGGCAGTACTCTTTCGACTGTATAGCCTATCTGCTCGCCACCGGGCATATCAGCATTGCTTACTTGACTCTCGTAATGCTTCCTTCATCCGCTCTGATGGCGTTTCACGGTGTGTTGAGGAGGAAGGGTGCTTGGGACTTGAGACTTGAGCATATGGTATCGGATGGGCATGGAGAGCGGGTTGTTAGTGTGATACTGCTTCTGAAAACGAAAGACTGTTAAACTTGATGCCGTGTCCGTGCCTTTCCATTTCCGTGAGATCATATGCTGTCGTACCACATGCTGTCTGAGCTCACCGTTTCATGCTAAAATCCACTCTATCGTGTGACAGCGTCTCCTCTCCGCCCCTTCTCCCAGCAGATATCGCCCCCAATGCCTACGCAGGCACTGCTCTCATCTCCACACCCCTTCCCTCACCGCGGTAACTCCGGCCCCAGCCGCCGCTCCCATCACCACCGGCCTCATCCCCTTCTTCAATTTCCTCCACTTCCTCCCCGCCTTCTTTCCCCCTTCCTCCACAAACTTCGGCATCCCTTCCCCCAACCATCTAGACCCCCCCTATCCTCCACCCAGCACGCGTGACCAGCCCCCAAGCTCTCGCACAGTTTCCGTACTCTTCTCCGCGCGCGACGAAAGTCTCGGCTGGGTGAACCGTGTGCCGGCCACTTGACCTCCAGGTTGAGCGATGCGATGCCCATCAGCTCGTGCTCGTGGAACGGCTAGTTCAGCATCTGCGTGGTCGCATCATCATTGCTCAGATCCCCCACGGTGGACAACGCAACGCACGGAGGCGGTTGGGCTGCAGGTCATGCGTTGATGCTAGCACCGAGGTCCGGGTGGCGTGGGCTAGGGTTAAGGTAGAATGACCTGCTCGAGATCTGGGAGAGGTTGGAGTGGCGAGCTCGAATGTGAAATACGTCGTGGCGAGGTCTTGGAGGGAATGGCTGCTTGTGATGGGGTCGCCAATTACGTCCAGAAAGATAACCCCCTTGATTGATGTCTAAGAGAGAAAAGGAGAGTGCAGTTGCATGTGCAGAGATTCCAGGAGGGAGGATGAAGGATGAGGTCGGAGATAATTGGCGATAGACTGACTGACTGACTGGCTGGAGGGGATGATGTGATATTTATATTCTTCTCGAGTACGAAGAAATGTTTCAAGGGCGTACACCCACTGCGCTGCTCCGCACACCAACTGACCTGCTCGACAACAAAGATGCCGTGATTCATCTATCCATTCATCGCTTCGAACGCTCATCACTCATCTTTCATACCACATCCTCATACTCACATCAACACTCCCCAACACTAACCCCCACCCATCTCCTCGGCACCCTCCCCTCCCTCCCCCCACCACTCTCCCTTACAACCATCGGCGGCAGCCAAATCTTCGCCCGTCCATACTCCAACTTCCCCTCCCTCCGCATATTCATCTCCAACACCACCACCCTCAAAAAATCGGAATTCTCCCTCGGTTCTCGCTGCCTCACCCCCGCGCTGCCGGTGAGCGCTCGACCGGCTTCGGATTGAGGGTCTGGGTTTGAGGAAGAAGAACGGTTCTTTGAGCTCGAGCTCGCCTTCCGGCGACCGCGGGAGTACGTCTGCATCTGAATCGTCGGTGCGGCCTTGCCCTCGACGGACTGCTCCGCGAGGTAGGGAGCGTGCAAAGCCATCTGATACGGCGCCTCCTGCTCCTCGAACGTCAGGGGCAGGGGGTTGAGGTAGCGGCGCTGCGCCTGCGTCGGGGTCCCCTCGATCGCGGGCCGGACTTCCGGGCTGAAGCGCGGGAAGAGGAAGGGGTGGGACCAGAGCATGTCGTCGGACATTGGAGAGTTCGGGTTGCGTTGGGAGGGGGAGACGGAGGAGACGCTGAAGGTGGCGAGGGCGTTGCGCAGGGCGGCGAAGGAGGTGGTGAGGTTGGATTTGAAGGAGGATTTGGGCTTGGGGGTTGTCGGGGTGGTGGGGGTGAGGAGGAAGTCGGGGGGTCCTTCGTCGTCGTCGTCCGAGGAAGGGAGAGAGGCGAGGGGGTGCGAGGTGGCGCAGTCTACGGACGCTGGGAGGGAGCGCTGTTTCTCTTTCTTGAAGTTGGAGTAGGATTTTCGGCTTCGTAGGGAGCCGGGGGTGGGTAGGCTGCCGCCAGAGAGCGTGGAGCGGTTGTCGTCTGAGAGAGAGGGAACGGAGTCGAGAGATGTTGACCGCGTGTGCAGGTTGCCCTCTTCAGGTGTTCCGTTCTGCGGCGTAGGCTGGTGCTCTTCATCATCGTCCTCCTCGAGGAGCATACTCAGAGTCGGACTGCTGCCATAGCTCGACTTGAGCGACTCCTCGCTCTTCCACTCATTCACCAGCTCGTCTATCGAGATCCTTCGATCTGCAGTGGTTGAGCGCCGGCGGAACTGATTCGGCTTCGGTCGAGGTATCTGCGTGACTGCCAGCAGCGCAGCTACCGCCGGAGGCAGCGCATTCGGGTCATGCTTCGAGCTCTTCCTCCCACCACTACTCCTCGCCCTACTCTCCACCCTCTCGTTCTTCTTCGGTGGCATCACCGGCGTCCTCTCAGGCGTCGTAGGTACATCCACCGGCGGCGTAGGCGCCCTCGTCGGCTCCGTCCTCGCGCGCACCGGCGACTGCGGTCTCGTCTTGTTCTCCGCCCTCACGATCTTCGGCTCTCTCTTTCTCCGTCTTGACTCTTGTTCTTTCTCATCATACACCCGCATCGACGGCGCAGCGTTATAGCGAAAAGACCTCGGCACCAACATCTTGTCTTCTCTTTTCTCCCCTTGGGATTAAAGAAGAGGAAAGGTGGAACCAGTGTGTCACAGCAATTCTTCCCTTACGAGCCACGCGACCCAAGCGGCCTCATGGGCAGAATCGAGCGGTCTCTGACGTCCGGACTCAGGCACGCGCTGCTAGTACCGGGCCGGGGATTTCTATGTCGTAATCGGGATGAAGCGTTGGGTTGGGATGCTTGTCATGCTGATCGCTCGTGATACTCAGGTAGCTGGACTATTAAAAAATACCATAGGAGAACATAGGAACGTAAGAAAGGGAAGACGAGGTAGTATTGTAAGACGCGATGGTGCAGTGCAGCGCAGGGCTGGAAGCGTTACCACGTCCGTTGACAACAAGGCAGCCGAGCGTGGGATGACCGCAACCTTCCCAGTGGTTGGTTGGCCCCTCCGCGAACCATCAGGTCACTGATAAGGACCTGCTGCGTACCAGACTCTGTCGCGTGGCATCATCTACTTCGGACGATACGCCGGGACTGCATATCTGCACTGGTACATGGGCGATGTATCGCATCTGCATTTCCGGACATTTGTTGCTTGCTTGCTGTCGTCTCAACTTCAGCTGAAGCGAAGGATGATGACAGGGCACGACGTCCTTCCTCTTCAGGCAGAGCGATCCGGCGCCGGCCCGTTGAGAAGACGATCGATTACCAGGCCCACGGTACGCTTTCATTGGCGGGCAGCGTCTAGGCCGTTGGGCGGCGGTCTTTCGTGGTACTCGACCGTCGCTCTTCAGAGAATGCTGATGTTGCATACTCACTTCGACGATACAGCGCTTCTCCATCACCTTCAATCATCTACTCGCTGACACCCCCATGAGATCGATACAACAGACAGTTGATCTTGATCTACACACCCCTTCCAGAAGCCCACCCACACTCGCTTCCCCACACATCGCACCGCCTGCGATATCCCGATATAGTACAGATGTGCACCACCCCAATCTCAAAGCTGTTGCTGTGAAAGTAACAATGTCGCGCATGAAAGCTCGCTCTCACGAAGAGCAAAAGCGATGAATGGCTGGAGATAAGCTTGTTGCATCGTAGCGTTTACACTTTCCTACTACGCAAAACTACGCAAGCTACGCTGCATTAGTTGGGCGGAGCTGCAGTAGGCGGCGGAGAGGGGTGCGTGGAGCGATGTCGGGGTGACGACGGGAGTGATGTTGTCCGATAGGCGAGCTGCGAGGTGAAGACAAGATGGGAAGTTGAAGAGTCGGAAAAGCCGAAAGATGGAACGGGAAGCGATGAGAAAAGTGTTCAGGAAGTTCTTGTGTTCAATGTTTGAAGTCGTTCAGAATCGTTAATGCGCTAAAGTACATTCCATCGCACTTTCAGAGCCGGCCTTCTCGTCTCTTCCCTCCAGCGGGCAGTAAGATATGCGTCGCCGCTTGCCAGGCATTCCTTCAGCACCATCTCAAGTATCCATACTGTCAGACCAAAAGCCCACCAACACCTCGCCACTCAATACCATATGCTGCCCTCCCTCGGACCCAAACGCCGTCGTAAACAAAAGTCCAGCCTTCATCTTGTCGTCTCCAAGCCTCCTGCATCCCCAAGCTGTTCTCAAGAATCGAATCTCCTCCGTCGTCGGTAGAGGGTAAGATGAGAGAGAATCAATAAGTATCCCCCACATCCCCCTCATCCGTCCACGCCTCACTCCCCTCCCTCTCGCTCTCCTCCCGCACCCTCTTCATCTCCCCCATCCTCCCTCCCATCGGCGCCGGCCTCTTTGCGCCCTGGGCATAGCCCTGCGCATACCCGTGCCCGTGAGCCTGCCCGTGGTACTCCCTCCCCTGCTGCGCCTTAACCTTCGCCCAATAAGCCTCCGTCGCATCCGCCTCCTCCGCATCGCTCTGGTCCGTGTACGTCTCCCAGTTCTCGCTGCCACTCACTCCCGAGGCGACGCTACCGGACATTAATGAGGAAGTGTTGCTGGTCTGGCGCGAGGGCGGGGCGCGAGGGTAGTCGGAGCGGCTGAGCGGGCGGCCGGAGGAGGTGGTGGTGTAGGAGGCGTCAGAGCGGGGGTAGGTGGGTCGTTGGATGGGAGGAGGTGGGCCCATGGTAGAGGAGTGCATTTGCTGGTGGTGGGATTGATGGTGTTGGTAAGGGCGGGACTGGTGGTGGCGGTCATCGTACGGGTCTTCGGGTTCGACGTGGCGGACGACGCTGGCGCTGCGTTCGAGTTCGTGTGGGTTCTCTTGCTCGTGGGTTGGGGTGGGCGGGACGAAGAGGTCTTTCATCTTTGGCGGCGGGGCTTTAGGTGGTCCCATGCCGCCGCGGACGGTCTTGCTGAGGTCTGCGTGGCTCTTTGCGCCGTTCAGGCGGCGTTCGGGTGAGTTGTTGCCATCTCGTAGTGTGCTCATCGGTAAGCGGGATGCGCCAGGAATTTTCGATGGGCTGGTCCTCTGACTGCTGGACATGGACGATCCCATCACAGAGCTGGACATGGTGGAGGCTGCCATTGGGTTCCGGCCAGCCATCGCTGTGGGCGTCTTGCTTCTGGGTGGCGGCGCACCTCTGACAGTGCCATTCCTGCTAGGAGGCTGTGATTTTCCAGCACTCTTCGGCGCCTCTCTCGCGGGTTGAAGAGCATTCGGAGTCTTGCTTCTGGCGGGTGGTGCCTTCGCCTTCGCCTGGTTCATCTCCAGCTCGTCCAGATACCGCTCGCCATGTACACAGAAAGGCCGGCCGTATTCATCTTCCCACGCCTCAAGGGTCTTCCTCAGATCTGCTTCAACCTTCGGCAGGTCCTTCGCAATGCGCTTCCGCATCTTCTCTTCTCTCAGCAACTTGCCCGGGTCACGCTTCTCTCCTTTCACAGGACCCTTGGCCATCAACCGACTCGCATCCAGACTGCTCTTCTCTAGGTCATCGCGATCCTTGATAAGACTCCTGTGTTTGTCGACAGCAGCCAAGATTGGTGCGCGCTGTTCTTTCAAAGTCTCCAGGCGTGTAATTTCCTGCTCGTGTGCTGACAGAAGTGCGTCCGAATAGACGTCCGAAAATGCAGGCGCAAAGTCCAGCATCTCCTCTTCAGAGAAGTATAGGTTGTCCCACAGCTCTTGCAGCTTGAAGCGCGCATCTTCAACAAAGAGATGTAGGTTCTGCCTCTTCAGCTCGTTCAGCCTGCTAAGCTCATCTTCGAACTCGTTGATCGTCCTCAGTCCGCAGCCACGGTTGGCAGATAGGAATTGCTTGCGCTCTGACGCTTCAATCCCGAGACGGTCCCACAGTCCTTCGATGTTCGTCCGTAGCTCCTTCAATCTGCGCTCGCGCTGAGACTTCTCAGACACCAGCTTGTCGCGCTTCGAAGTCAGGCGCTTCAGGTCATCCGCATGCAGACCCAGCTGCTCCGGCGACTCGCGCGCGTACTGTACGATGTGGCTTTCGACTTGCGCCTGTGGTGTGCCGAGCTCCGACCAGAGGTTGATGATCTCGTCCGCAATCTGGCCCACAGTCGAAATACGCCTGTTGTACTCTTCGTACACTCTTGTGAATTCGTTATCCAGCTTGCCGACGTACGTAGGCGACAAGTCGAAGTTCGGCGGTACCTTGGCGTTCGGAGAGGTCGGGGGCAGCTTGATGGAAACAAACGAAGGCTCCAGATGTGAAGCATACGACTCCAGCGCCTCGACCAGCTTCTTGACCTGCTCGTAGCGCTCGCGATGCAGCTTCGAGATGGTATGATGCTTGTCCTTGAGATGTTGTATGCAGTCCAGAAGCGGGAAAGAGACCTTGAGACCATCGCGTTCAGATTCATAGTCGTCGTCGGGTCCCGAGTCGTCTAGCGATCGCTCCATCTGGCGGATGGTCTTGATGAGGCGCTGGGCCTCTTCGGTAAGGTCATGTTTCTCCTTTGCGACGATGTTGAGTTGGTTATGGAGGGTCTCTGAGAGGGCGGAGAAGAGCTGCCGGATCCGTTAGCATGCGCGACCTCCTGTAGTCCTGTTGTTGTTAGGTACTGACCTCCGACTCCCGCGAGTCCCGCTCATGGCTGGCGACGCCTATCTCGTCGAAGAAGCCGTGCAGTCGCTCGATGATGGTGGTGACCTGCTGCGACAGGTAGGAGGTGTCCATTGCCGTTCTCTGCGCTGCCAGCAGCTCGCGATGCCGACTACTGGACCATCAAATGTGGGGTGCTCTGGCGAGGAATGCAGAGTTGGTATGTTGTGCTGGTCGGCGCGGTGAATCTCCTGCCTGCGCGCGCTGTACAGCGGCTGTAGAGAGTGTTATGTGTATGTGTTTGCTTGATGAGATGAGCGACTGCGGTTTGGATAGTGTCTTGGGGTTGGTGCTAGCGGTTGGTCTCCAGATGGCTGCAGTAGAGTACGCGAAGGCGTTGGCCGATATTTTGCCAAGCCGTAACTACAGCAACGTTCCTTCCGTGTCGGCGAACCTTACCCGTGCGGACGAGCTTAAAACCTTATCCCAAGATCAATTGACGCAGACGACATGTGAAAGACCCTCGTGACTTTTTGTGACTGTGGATTGATCGCGTGGGACGACCTACTGAGCAAACATGATACTCCGGATATATCTATCGCTGCTCGCACACAGCACAGTCCACCCCTGAGGCAGATATGGCTGGGCAACTCCTCACGCCCTCCCCATCGCCATCGCCACCAGCTACGCAAAGAACTATACTTCCAGCAGAGATTAACGCTGCCACCCGCAAGCAGCACACAGAGCTCAACCGCCTGATAGTTGACCGACTCCCGCTCGCGCTTCCACCGCACCAAGGGACGCCAGCGTTGTATGGGCAAGGTCTGGCTGCATTCGCAGAGATCTATTTCACCTTTGAAGAGGTCTGGTCAGATTTGGCAACGTCCTCGAAGCAAAGGCCTGGGAAAAATGGCGACTCGTACGATACTCTAGTCCGGCAATGGCTGGCAAGTCTGCGACCAGACGAATTGAAGAGGTCCGCTCGGCTTCAGGATGATATCAAGCACCTCTCCTCCATCACCAACAGGCGTCTTGGTCCGCTCAGCGCTCGACAGCTTCTCGTGCTGCAGCGGATGACGGAAGAGATACACGCGAAGCCGCATACCTTGATCGCATACAGCTGGGTCATGTACATGGCAATCTTCAGCGGTGGCCGCTGGATCCGGCAGGAACTGGCCAAAGCAGGACCTGAGTTCTGGGGTCAATCCCTTCCTACAGCCGACGATGCTGGTACCCAGTCAAGCCGTGACTTGCTAGGCATCTCATTCCTATCCTTCGAGGGCACACATGATGGCGAGGACATCAAGGCATCATACAAGAGTGAACTGGTGCAGGCGGAGACGCTTCTAACATTTCAGGAGAGGCAGGACGTTATCGAAGCTTCCCAGCAGCTATTCGAGGATTGCATCGCTCTTGTTGGAGAGCTCGACGAGGTCGCCCAGCGACAGCTCGTAATCGAGAAGGCCAAGACAGCTGCCCCTTGGATTCTGGCGATTTTGCTTGCTGGATTCTGTTGGCTCGTCTTCAAAGGCGCCTCTAGTAGGATATGAGCCCTATGCGAGGGTGTTGATGGGGGCAAGCAATTGGCACAAACGGCGCCGGGTTCCGTCTAGTTGCTTTGGCGGTAAGACCTGGCTTTTGGGCAGCAATCTGAGAGGAGAACCGTAGGTCAACGCAATTGCGTGTTTGCTGTCCCACGATTATTGTCTCACATTCTCCTTCTCCGTGATCATAAGAACCGCTCCTCCACCTCTGACAAGCTTGCAGCCAGCCTGTCACGGCTCGAGGCTCTACTCAAGTTCCTTTGTTGACTGAACGAGCCACACCAGCTGTGGCAGTTCGAAGAATCTTTTTCATCGTATACCTCATGGCGACCTACCGTATATACATGAAGCCGAGCAGGCTTACATTCGGACCGCAGAGCGACGACTCACGTGAATCTGGGTGAATGCTCACTCGCATTCACTCTTCTGCGGATCCACCCGCTTGTTTACTGCGGGAGCCTCATACCACAATTCACGCGGGCAAGATGATGCTAATAAACATCCGAGCCTCTCCTCGCGTCTCTTCCGGCTCCGACACACCTTTTCACACCACTTCGACCAAGATCTTCTGGGCTTTCGACATCGAACCACCACACGATCTCGAAGACAAAAGACTTTATCACCCACGCGGACAATACCTCTTTCTTCTGCCAGCAACAACCATGCTGTTCTCCCACAACCGCGCTTCCGGCAGGACCGCCAACTTTACCTCTGATGACGACCGTCGCCCCTTGCTCACGCCCTCCTCCCGCCCAAGTAGGGTAACCGGCAACCCGTACTTGCGAGGCCTGCACCAGCATCCCGGTCCTCGCCAGCGCTCGACAGGTCCTCGCCAGCGCCCGACAGCTCCCCGTGAGCGCTGGATAGGTCCTCGCGAGCGCGTGATCCGCATGTACGCTGAACGTGCGGCGGAACTAAAGCGCACGCATGGCACACACCGCGACGGCCGCCAACATCAGCAATCTTTACATCTGCGATCTTCCCGCGCGACTCCGGCACGTGGCAACGCTTACGCAGGCCCTCCGCCTTCTTATGTGCAACCCACCGCTCGTCGTTCTCTAAGCATCAACACGAACGGGTCTAGACAGCCGACACCGCCTCTACGATACTCTAGACGTCCGGATCGAAATAGTACACGGCTACGTGTGAGCTCGTCAGATGCCGGTGATGCTTCGGAACAACGCCACCTCGATCACCGCCCGCATGCTCCTCAGCCAAACGGAAATTCCACTCGCAACGTGGGTCATGTCATTACAGACGAACACAACATCTATGCGTACATCGGCTCAAACGGCGAACAGAATAACTCGACCATTCCTCGCCAATACGACGGACCCCCAAGGCGCACCCGTTCTTCCAACGGAGACTCGACCACTGCGGCTCCCTCGAACAATCAAGACCCTTCCCCCGAAGACGAAGATGAGCCACCGCCGGCATATTCCGGTGCTGTGGCGCCAAAGCGTTCGTCGCGAGGTTGTCTTGGGCATCGCTTGAAGCGCGCCGCTGTGGTCTTCGCTAAAGCAGGCCTCATAACAGCTGTGGGGCGCAGCTATCGAGCCGAGCGCCGGGATTCGGACCGGAGGTGAGGGTATGAGAGAGCAGTGCAGGCGAAGAAGCGAGAGACGGGAGATGGTGTGGATTGCAGAGATGGGTGTGGGATGGAGGGATCGGTCAAGGAAGAATGCGACGGTGGGAGACTGGCTGTGGTCGTGGTCCTTGTGAGGACAGGGAGACGGGCACGAACGTGGGCACGAACGTGGGCACGAAAGAAGGTATTGATTCAATACATTTGACAAAAATTACTCGTATGACCCTCCCAGTAATTTTGGACCTCCGGTCTCAGTGTCTGAGGAGCCATCCCAGAGCAGCTGTTGCAGCCTATCCCTGATTACACATTTACTCCTGACCGCGAGTTCTCGCCGTGGAGTTTTTGCCGGATCATTGGCGTCTTCGCTGCTATATTGGTCGGCCGGATCAAGCACACGTCTTCATCAAGCACGCACTACGCCTCAAGTACTTTCCCTGGCCTTCTCCACAGCCTTCTGCAGGTCTCCAATTGATGCCTCAAGTGTAATCCCAATCTGCTCGAGCACCTCCAGTGAGTCGTGCAAGCTTTGCTGAGACGTACTGCATTCCTCCGCGCGTCTCCGCAAAGGGCGGAGTACCTTTTCGATGGACTCGCGGGGCGCCGACAACGACGCAGCAGGGAAGAAGATGCGAGGAAAATCCCAACATGTCCCGTTGAACAGCGTAACCATGAGATCTCGTCCTCCTTTTTTGAGAGAGTGTGCGTCAAACATGAGCCGTACCGCCCACTTCGTACGGGCATCTCTGCTCGCTGCAATCACTCCAACAACTTGCTTAATCGTCTGGTCCGGCAGAAGCTGCGCTGTGGGGAGCTGGAGGTCCCTCGCACCCAGATCAATGGTGATGTCGGAAGCGTGGGTCTTATGTCTGTTGAGCGTGCAGTCAATCCAAGACCGGAAGTTGGATACAGCATCGAGGTGGTGCGGACCATGCTGAAGTGGTTGTACGTTCCTCCCGTCAGGCCTGCGCCAGGGAGTGTTGAGCATAAAACTGTTCACTTGGTAGAACACCGGGCTTGCTTCCTCGTGCAGTTGCTTGCAGGTTGTGGTGAGTGCGAGTCTGTAGCGATGCGGTGATTGGATCCATTCGACAACAGGTTTGTTGACATTTTCCGTGGCGTCATCCGTGGCGACGGTGATGAGCTGGATGTCGAAGGGTTGTTGCAGCACAAAGGCATAAATCTCATCGCGCAATTCCCGTGGGAGTTTATGGAGAGGGCTGTTGTCCATCGTTACGATTTCACTACCCATCGTGTGTGGGTATATTAGAGTTGGTGAATGGTAGTATATGTAAGAGTAAGACTCCTCTGACTCACCGGATGGGACAAGGCAGAAGCTTCACCACGCTAGCTCGACGCAGTGTAACCGCATTGAGGAAAAGGCAATCCACGTCAAAACATGTGAAAGGATGTGGAGGATATCGCAGGCATATCGCAAGTTGGACAGCTTCACCGCCTGACCGGCGCATTGGTTCGCCTGACGCTCCGCCTTGACATTAGTCAACGTACCATCGGGCCAAAGCAGTCTTCGAACTATAGGAAGACAACGGCATGCAGTTCTTCGCCCACCCTGCATTGCTCTAGCTATCAAGCGTCCTGACCACAGCCTGCCTCACTTCCGCTCCATGCTCCTGGATCGAAAGCTTCGAAGCAGCTGGCCCACTCAGGATGCTCCCAGTCCCCAGGTCAGCACCTCGCCGCGCCTCCTCGACAGACTGCCTCGTCTCATCCATGAGCCTCGCAACCATCCGGCCAAGGCGATTGTACCTACGTTCGTATTCGGCAGGCAAGACATTTACTTCTAGCACCTCTCTCAACCACAACTTCCTCTTGACTACCGCTTCATTGGCAGCTTCGAGAGGGAATGCCACCGGGATGTTCGCAAAAGCACACAGTTCCCACCCGTTGGAAACCGTGAGGCTCACCGTCCACACTATACGAGGGCTCTCCAGTGTCATGACCATGCAAGCCAATTGGGCTGAGAGGCGCTGTCGCCACGGGTGGTTTTCGAGTGACATCATGTTGAGGTCTCCAAGGCCGACATCGATTGCGCGAACGGTGGAGGAGTGCTCGACCACGGTATTTTCAATCCACTGGCGAACCACTTGGAGCCTGCGGGATAGTTCTTTCCTCTTCGCCTTGTCGTTGCCCCTGTTTCACGAGAAGTAGCGCCCAATGTTGAACTTGATGGAGTTGCTTTTGAAGAACATCGGCATAGCTTCCGCATACATTTGCTTGCAAGTAGCCGGGAGCGCGAGGAAGTGTGGATGATGGCCTGCCAGGATGCTGGCTTTGATTTTTACTTGTTTGGCCTTCTTCGGCGCCATCGTGAAGACTGAGATTGTGTCATGGTGTTGCAGAACATGAGCATATATTTGATCGCGAAGCTCCTGTGGTAGTTTAGCGAGTTGGCTGTGCTCCATGATCGTGAAGAAAGGTTGTGGTTGTACGTTAATGTGAGACTGTTGATGTGGGAAGAGGGGATACGATGCAGAGGAGAGGAGTCACCATGCACAGCCCCCAAGCGTTGCCCGGTTTAGAGTAGAAATACACCGTCACGTGATTGTAGGATTTCGGGTGAATGGCTGATCAAGACCCAACGGGATTATTGCAGGCTACCATGAAATGCTTCAATGTAGTATCATGGATCAATCCCGTCGTCATGTAGTGCGCCGTAGCGATCGCACCCTCGATCCTTACTGGCGCGCCTACGCTGACAGCAACTCCATGTTCAGTATATGTCGTGACCCTCATGACCTCCCTCAGCTTCCTCCTTACTCTCCTCTACGGCTTCTCTGATCTCGGCCATGAACCTCGTCACCTGTCCGACAGCTTCTTCTGCACTTCGGCGGCTGTTGTGCTCTGACAATCGACAAAACTGATCCCGATCCTCGTCCCCCTTAGCGTCAAGTTCTGCGTGCCATTGGCGCGATGCGCGGGCGATGGCTTCGTGAGGATGCCTGAATGGCATGTCGTGGAAATCGAAGGCTCTCGGAAAATGGCGGCAGTATCCTTCGATAAGGACCCTCAAGCTCACCATCGGTTTCGTCCGTCTGTTGGAGGCACCTTCCAAGGCTGCAACCACTTCCTCTTTGACGGATCCGTACGGTGTGTGCTTATCGCACAGCGCTCTGGGTACACAAGCGCCTAAGTGGATAGCAATGCGGTAGGAAGACACAGAATACTTGTCGGTCATGTTGGTGAACCAGTCGACGAGGATTGGAATTCTGTCAGATATTGCGTAGTCGAGTCGGAAGGCTTTGGTATTTAGCTGGAAAGTGTTGACTTCGAAGAACCTCGGGCCTGCCTCGCGGTACAGCTGCTTGCAAGTCGCTGTGAGGGCAAGAGTGTTCAAAGGTAAGCTGGGGAGGGCTCTCGGTCGCCCATGAGCCCCCACAAGCGATATCTTGATGTTCTCGTTGTGGCGTAGTGCGAGCCCGTAGATTTGGTCTCGGATCTCTCGGGGGAGGTTGTTGAATGGACTGTCGTCCATGGTCGCACAGTCGTTTGAGGTGTGAAGTAGTGGTATGTTTGAGCTTCCGGGAAGGAAGGGAGGTGAACGAGAAGGGGCTTCTGAGTCTTCAAAAGCCGCATGCACATGCAGAAAACCAGCAGAGACACTGACGTAACATGACGTAAGGTTGAGCAGGCAGAGATTATGTGGATGCATGTGATATGAACGAGTGAAAAGCCACAGACCTTTGAAGCCCCTTCTACCCCTTCGCCGATGCATAGCAGCTTCTAGAGCGACGGCACCACGGCAAAACGCAACCGCCATCCGCACAGCATATCCCCCAGACGTTCACCAACGATCCTACTGCTCCTCTCTAGTCGACCCAGCCTTACGCAACCCCCTCCTCAATCTCATCCATGAATGCCTGCATCAGCTCACCCACAAGCTGAAGATATTCGCAGTACGCATCAAAAGCCTTTTCCCACTTCTTCGTCTTTCCCGTCGTCAATCGGCGGAAGCTTCCGAGCCGTCCTTCCAGCCTTTTGATCTCTGCGGACTTCGCATCGGCTAGAACAAGCTTGATGGTCTCATCAGAAGCCGTCACCGCGAGACGCTTGAACTCTACACACGGGAATGAGAGCCCGCACTCACGCAATCCCATGTCTGCTTGGCCGTCATGAACGACCCTGATGCTGATGCACCAAGTGACGGTATCCTTGGCGTGTGCATGCCGTATGGTTCGCACGAGCTCATCGATTACTAATTGGCGGATCGGCTGGCCCGATTGCAGTTCGTTGGTGGTGGCATGGCCGAGAAGGATGGTGAAGCGAGCTGGAGCGGAGTATTTGTTGACGGTGGTTTCCATCCAGTTGGGGAAGGTAGCGAGCTCGCCAGATGACTTGGTGATTTCCGATCGGAGGATGGTAGTGTTGTAGGTGATAGGATGCATCAAGAAGAACATCTGAATGGCCTCTTCTCGCACTTGTTTGTTCGTTCTGGTGAGCTCTCGGAACGCACGTCGTCGGTGAGAGAGGAATTGCAGCTTCAGTCCGCCTTTTGCGTCATCTCGCGGTGCAAGGTAAGCCTCGCCTTCGCGATCGTAGACAGGATCTGTTCGTAGTGCGAAGCTGTAGACTCGATTGCGAAGCTCGCGGGGAAGCCTGAGGAGTGGGAAGGGTTCCATATTCGGGTGACGGGGCGGATGAGGGTGTTGCGCTGATGATGGCTGGTCAGCGACCGGGGCACTGTTGAGTGGTGGACGATATGCGGAAGTCACGGGCGTTGAGTGAGGAGTCTTGCGACGAGGAGGGGGTCCATTCTCGACTAGTGTTTGCTCAGCGAAAGAAGTACAGAGAAAGGCAGGAAACGTGACATGGCATGATTTCACTTCAAACGCAGACAAACTGTGATGTGAGGTCTCGAATGCTGACTTAAGATTCGCAGACAACGTGATGTGACACGCCCCAACGTCCTTCACTCACCTCCAGCCTGATGCAAAAGTACCTACACTCTATCATCACCCCTTTGATGTTGGCACACTTAGCTCGTGGAATACCACCCGAAATGATTGAACAAATCAGTCCTCGGCGCTTTCGTGTATCCCAAATCCTCGCTAGACTAGGCCTCGACAAGCTGTTGTACCTCATCAACAAAAGCCTGCACGATATCGCCCACGCCCTCCATCACACCGACATCTGCGTAAAACTCTTGCCAGCTCCTTCCGCCAGCGTTGACCTGCGCCTTTAAAATCTCTTTTCTTGGATCCAGCGCCAAATCAATGGATTTCGCTGGGCCGATCACTGGAATGTGGCAGAACTTCAAGCTGGACCTCCATTCCGACCGACGAGTAAAAGGCGAGACGTGAACTATCTGTGTCTCGAGGGTGAACACATCCGTGATCGCCAGCGTCACGGTCCAGAATGTACGAGGGCTGTTGCCGCGCTTGATGACCCTAGTAAGTTGACGAGTGACCCATTGGCGGAAGTACCCATCGGGAGAGAACGATTCGGCGGCGACGGAACCTAGATCGAAGTCGATGCTTTGGGCTGAAGTGGAGCGTTCATTGATGTTGTGGTCGATCCAGTCGGCAAAGGCGGCGAGTTTGCTCGGGTCGCCGGACCAGAGTGGGATGGGTTGGATGCTCGTCTTGAAGGTGAAGCCGGTGAGCTGAAAGAGAATGGGTGTCGCTTCGAGATATAGTTGCTTGCAGGTTAGGGGCAGCGCGAGGACGGATGCGTAGCGCAGCCAGTCGTTGGTTGATTTGAGCTGCCTGGCTTTGCCGCGTTTCGTCGCATCGCGCAATGTGATGTTGTGGTCGTGTTGGAGAGCAAGGATATAGATGGCGTCTCGGATCTCCCGGGGTACCCTGCTGAGCGGGCTATTGTCCATTGTTGCAGTGGCCCTTCAGTGGTGGGAAAGCTGGTGTGTACAAAGGCAGGAGGAAAAGGAAGAGGAAGGCAAGGGATCGCAAGCGGTGAATTGCTGTTAGGTGTATGAAGATTCACTCGGCAGGTAGCGGCCATATCCATGCAGCTTGCGTCACCAGAAGAGTGAATGCTGAGTGACATGTGATGATGAGCGCGATCACGTGATCGTTTATCCAGACGAACTGCAGTCCGCTTTGTTTAGGAATTATCTTCATTGTCGAGTAGAGCGGCCGGCCGTGGGGAGAAGAGTGGCCTAATGATGTGGATAGCATGGTCCTATACAGCATGTTTTCGAAGGGTTTATACAGTCAGCGGGAGCAATGTCCCTTACCGACGACAGAGGGCGTTACCGTGTGAGTCTGCTCGCGGCAGGATAAGGCATTGCATCAAGAAGACTGGTTTGCCATTGCCTGTTGGCAATCGCAAGTGTTAGACAGGCTTGCTGTTGGCGTATTGAGGCTCTTGCGACAGGTCCAAATGTCCTATCTACTCGCTCCAGAGCCCCCCGTGCTGGTGTCCGGAGAAGTGACGGTACATGTATCTTGAGCGATTCACGAAGCTTCTTGCCGACGCAATCGCTCCCTTTGAAGGGCTAGAGAATAATCAGTAAACGGGAAGGCAATGGCGGTGGCGAAGGATCGAGGTCAAGACTGCCAGGTGTTGTCTGCCAGCTGACAAACTAGGAAGGCTCGAAGGCTTGGACCGCATATCAACCTCGACCGCCCATTGCAACAACAACATTCCCACCACACTTGGACCTTTCATAGTTATTGTTCAACATGGGGAGATTCACACAAGCATTCACAGCGTCCCTGGCTGTGCTGGGCTCAGCAGCAGCGTCCGCGGTCATTGATCTCAAGCCAGACAACTTTGACGGTGAGTAGGCCAACTCGATACCCCTGCCTGCCCTGCTAATGTTTTGTCTATAGACATCGTCCTCAAGTCCGGCAAGCCAGCCCTCGTCGAGTTCTTCGCACCATGGTGCGGCCACTGCAAGACCCTCGCCCCCATCTACGAAGAGCTGGCCTCCTCCTACGAGTTCGCCAAGGACAAGGTCATCATCGCAAAGGTTGATGCAGATGCAGAGAAGAGCCTCGGGCAACGGTTCGGTGTGCAAGGCTTCCCTACGCTGAAGTGGTTTGACGGCAAGAGCGACAAACCAGAGGACTACAAGAGTGGGAGGGACATCGACAGCTTGAGCACATTCATCTCGGACAAGACTGGCATCAAGCCAAAGACGAAAAAGGCGGCACCAAGCAACGTCGAGATGTTAACGGACTCGTCGTTCAAGGAGCAGATTGGCGGTGACAAAGACGCTTTGGTTGCATTTACCGCGCCGTGGTGCGGACGTACGTTAGATCATGCCCGCTCTACTTGCTCACATGCTAATCGTGTGTCCAGACTGCAAGAGCCTCGCTCCAGTATGGGAGAAGGTCGCCCAGGACTTCGCCTCGGAGAACGGTGTCCTGATCGCCAAAGTCGACTGCGAGGCCCCCAACGCCAAAGCTACCGCGGAGGAGGCTGGCGTCAAGAGCTACCCGACCATCAAGTACTACCCCAAGGGCTCCACCGAGGCAGTTCCATACGCCGGTGGTCGCTCCGAAGCCGACCTCATCTCGTTCATGAACGACAAGGCTGGCACTCACCGCACGATCGGTGGCGGACTCGATGCCATCGCCGGAACCATTCCTTCACTCGACGAGATCGTGTCCACCCTCAAGACTGGCGGTGCCAAGGCCTACAGCGATCTTGAGAAGGCCGCTGGCGCTGTCTCGGACAAGTACGCAGAGTACTACGCCAAGGTCGCGAAGAAGACCGAGGAGAACCAGTCATACGTCGAGAAGGAGCTGGCAAGGTTGCAAGGCATGATTAAGAAGGGTGGTTTGGCGCCGGAGAAGATGGACGATCTGATCAGCAGGAGCAACATCCTGGCCAGGTTCAAGGGTGATACGCCAAAGGACGAGCTTTAGGAAGGACATGAGTATCCATAGGCTGTGATTGGAAGTGGAAAAGCATTGGCTCTTGCGTATGTATGAAGCATGAGCGATGTTGCCTACAGAGCATAACGAAGCATGAGCATTTGCAATCCACGAATACCTCAATGCCAGATACCAGTACTCTTACATGGCGCTGTTGTCGAACCCTTGTATGTAAAAGAAATTCTGAACGAGAAGCAAAATGATGTGCAAGACTTTCACTCCATATGAATAGATCAACTCTTCGAAAGTGCAGAGCATGAGAGGAGCAAAATGTCCAAAAGGGGAAGGAGCACAAAAGAAAAGCCAAAAAAGAAGACCCGTAGTCCCAACCACCCCTTTCGAAGACACATTTGTGAAACCGAAACTGGTGTTGAATGAAGGAAACCACTGGAAACAACTCCCCAATCGCTTGCACAGGCAGCACTATCGGTTCTCCGTTGTCCCAACTCGCTGTCCCAGGTGGCTAGTGAATTTCTAATGAAATCCATGACAGAGCTGGTTAGACTTTGAAAGAGATTTATAGCGGGTCGAAGAACAAGTGCTGGCCACGAGGACGTTCGCTGGAGTAGTTCGGGTATGGATACTAATATAATACTTGCCGTGGCGCTTCCGAGGTTGGGCCGGGGCATGAGGTGAGGTCTTGGGAAGGGAGTCTTGATCTTCGATGACCGTTTGACCTTTTCACCTTTTCGACAAGTGGACCTCATTCAAAGGAAGGGCAGAAGTCCAGCACAACGTCCTAATTTCCCTTTTTCTCAGTTCATCGATGCCCGTCGGTCAAAGCAAGCGGCCTTGTGTCACCAGCTGTGCCAGCGGAGGAGTTGCATGCCTTCCTGCAACTAGAGCCAGCTGCATTTGCTGTGCCCGCCTTGACCAGGGAGGGAGCAGCTAAAGCCGCAGTGGTGCTCTCAGGATGGTTTGAAGAATGACGATGTCTACCATCGACGCGATCGGCACTTTCGTCAAGGAAGCCGGAGGGCGACACTGCCAGAGGAGACTCCATGTTTCCAACAGCACCTCGCGCAATATGTTATCCTGGCATTGCTGGCCGGTCGGAGCGCCGCAGCATCGCCTTGACTGGCAGGGCATAGTCCCGATCAGATCTTGACATGCTCCTGATTGCGGACTGCGCTCGAACAACGGCCAGCTTCTGGCCATGGTTGGTCTCCGGGACCAAACTCTGGACCGGATCATCTCGCATTGGCAGTAGCAACGATCAACAATGCCTTCCTCTCCTCATCGCTCTTCTGGATGAATGTCCAGGGACTCATATAGAAGCACCTCGGCTCCATACATGTCGAGATGTAGTGGAAAGCCGACAGCATCCCGCCTTTCATCCACAGATGTCTCAGGGGGTTGGGCGTCGAAGGCACACGATCCGCATACGACAGGCTTGCGCAGCTGAGGACCATAGCGGCGATGCCTGCAGCGATGGGCGTAGCGACAGACGTCCCGGATTTATAGGCCAGACCATCGTGGGTGCTCAGCCATGCTGCTGGCACTTCCACTCCAAGCGTGCCGAATACGGCAGGGCCATTCGGGTCTGGAGGTGGGTTGTAGTCCTGGAAGACGCCGAGAGCGTTAGTGCCTCGAATAGGGATGACACTGTGATGGCATGCTGGAAACATCTCTTTCTGGTTTCCGCCGTAATTGGCTACGGCAGCGAAGAACAAGATGTAGCCCCAGCGTTTGAGGACTGCTTCGTTGATGGCGTTGCTGATGACGGGTTCGCCGTTGACGATGATCTCTTTGTCGAAGCCAAAGGACATGGAGATCATGTCGACACGCCATTCGGTTGCTGCCCAAAGGATAGCCTGTCGTCGCTGATGTTGGCTCAACGGAAGACCGCCCAGAATATCAACCTCACCTTCGCAATGCTCTCACCAGCTCCTCCCAGACCGTCAACGTTCCTAGCAACACGGGCAACATAAACGTCCGCATATGGAGCCACCTTCATCAGCAGAGACACCACATGCGTCCCATGACCGCTCTCGTCCACAGAAATTTCTGAGCCGTCGGCCCAGTCTTTCCAGCCCTTGATCCGGTCTGTCCTGGGACGGTCGAAGAACGATGCGTCCGGATCATAGCCAGTGTCCAGTACAGCTACCTTGACGCGTTCTGCTTTGATGCTTCCGCGTTTTGATGAGTAGGCGAGGACAACGTCTCTGTTGAAGTCGGACTCTGCGATGCGGTTAAGCCATTGGTTTGACTTGTCGCTGTACTGATGTCAGCGAGGCACTAGATCATGCATCTCAGTGAGCTTACCGCACTGCGCGTACGGGATCATCAGGAAGTCTTGTGGTCTGCGAAGCCAGCTCTGGTGGGTTTGGTGTTACGCTCATAGGAGTAGACTGCGATCTCTTGTGATTTGAACCATCGCTCTGCACATGGCTGTGTTCGGGCATGTTGTGGACATCATTCGCAAGATCTTCCTCCTTTGCACCAAACTCGAAAAGCAGCTTCATGACATCAAAATGTGAATTCGCACTGGCGGCCCTCAAAGGGCTTCCGTACTTGCCTTTGGAATCATGTATATGAAGTAGCAGAAGACGGACAACCTCATGCTTGCCGGCCCAGCAAGCAATTTGGAGAGCGGTGGAGTTTCCCTTCCCTCGCGCATGCAGATTGATGCCGGAGTTCAGCAGGATTTGGGCAATCTCGACGTTCCCGATCCAGGCAGCTGCTTGCAAAGCATTGCCGTATATGCCTCCGGTAGCGTTCACATTCGCACGATGCTGTAACAATGTTCGCACGGCTCCCACCTGACCGCGTGCCGCAGCTGCTAGCAACGGAGTTCCATACTTCTCGCTCTGAGCCTCGATATGAGCGCCACAGTCTATCAGTAACTCAATCAATGTGGTATGCCCTTCGAGGCTTGCGGCGTGGAGGCAGCTTTGGTCTGCAAGACCAAGCGCATTCACGGAAGCCTTGTTCTTGAGCAGTAGTCTGACCATCTGTTCGTGGCCAACTGATACAGTGGCATACAGTGCGCTTCCGTCCAGTACTGAAGGGCTGTCAGGGTCCGCTCCCATATCAAGCAGTTGCTTGACCGTCTTTTTGTCATCTCTCCTGGCAGCCTGAACCAGCAGTTGATCGACAGCAGCTTGTGGGACGATACTGAGTGGTGCTCGTGCCTTATGTTGAGGGCGCGGCGTTGAAGACCTACTCCACGAGAAGAAAGAGAGGAGGGAGGCTCTCCTGCCCCCCGGAACAGATTTGAAGTTGGCTTCCTTCCGAAACTCCTCTACGGCGTCCATGATGGACTGCTTCTCGCTATGGCCGTATGCCAGCCTCTGCTGGAGCATGAGACGCACTGCATTGTAGAAAGACTGCTCGACATTGACGCGGGTCTTCGCAGAAGACTCAACGAACATGCACCCGAGCTCTTGGCCAGCGCAAAACCCTCGCTCGTGGACACGGTCCGCTCACCTTCGCTGTCTGCTTTGTTCGCGACCAGACAAATTATCGGTGATCGTAGGATAGAATTTGGGCCGGTCGACTGTGCAGCTCTGACCCGCATGATCTGTTCATAGAAGATCTGGACATCTTCGAACGACGTCCGCGACAAGACGCTGTACACCAAGACAAATCCTTCTCCGGTCTTCATATATTCCTCTCTCATGGCCGAATACTCTTCTTGCCCGGCGGTGTCCAAAATGTCAATCATGCACGGTTCGTGGTCTATATGCACCTTCTTCTTGTAGGAATCCTCGATCGTGGGATCGTACTCAGCAACGAACGCGCCGACGACTAGCTAGCATGTCTGAGCAGAGTCCGAGAGGTAAGAAGTTCGCGCCGACGTACTTGAATGACGAGCGCCGTCTTCCCTACGCCTCCTGCCCCTAGGACTACCAGCTTGTGGTATGGAATGCTCGTGGAGGCCATAACGCTGCGAGAAGTCCAGCCGAGCCAAAGTCTTGACTGCTACCACAAAACCGGCGGAGCAGAGCAAGGCCGGAGCACAGCAAGGCGAAGTGGCCAGAACAATCGCGTTATCACTGGCAGCTACTGCATAGTATTGGGTGCGGTTCTGTCGACATCGGAGGGCACGAACTCAAAGCGCGTTGCGGCTCTGAGTGGTGGCTGAGGTCTGGACTTCGCCACGTTCCATCTCAACTCAAGAGCATTCGGTCCGCCATGTAGAGTATCCGTACACATTCCCGGCGACGTACGTGTGTAAAGACTGAATATTTCGGCACATGTCGGTCGTGAAGACGTACATCCTTGCTCCCAACTTCTCCTTCCAACCCGACGGCTCGATCAAAATTGGCAATATCATTGCCGAGCCCTTCAGGCCAACAAAGCCGCTCTCTGCGCTCGACCTTGTTACCAACTCCATCGAAATCATCACCACTACTGAGCTACAATCAAGCATTCGCAAAGTCAAGAGCCGCTCCGGTCATGGCAGCATCTGGGCACAGTTCCTCCAAACTGCAAGCGGTCATGTCGGCGCAGGAAAAAGCACCGATAGAGCGACCAGCTACGAGAGCGACAGTCTGGACACCATCCAGCTCAAGTATGATCCAACAGAGGATCAGGTCACACCGCTGCTGCAGAACAGCAAGGTACTGGCCGCAATGAATGCCGGCATCTTCGGCAGACAGCCCGTCTACATGATTACAGGACTGAAGATTGCCAGAGGCTTCAGCATGAAGAATCAAGTTACTACCAATTACGAGGTCAGTACAGGCTTTGGCGTACCAGTAACGGATCAGATCTCCGTGGGCTTTGACGTCGGACGAGGCCACGGCAACGAGGTCGAGACGTCCTTCCGGTCTGCGAACGACATCATCTTTGCGTATCAGTTGCACAAGATTGCTTTGAAAGGGAGGAAGACCACAACTACGAATGTCGACGTGTATGCTCCCAAGTCAGCATTCCTTCACGATGATGATGATGAACGGGACAGGGACGTGGCAATAGTGAATCCTGCATCGGCGGATGATGTCGACGAGGCTTTGGCAGCAGACGAAAGTACAGAGATTGAGGTTGCAAATGTCATGGATGGTGAGGAAGAGTGCGTGTGCATCTCGTTCAAGGATGGCTCAACGTCATGAGTGACTGATACGTATCTCCATACCTTAACATGGGATAGTTTACCGCAGTACCACGACTCATCCTCTGAACATGATCAAGAGGGAGGAGTTACGAGGAGTCGAATGCTAAACATCTAATGCTGGTCCACCGCACCACACCAAAGCGCAGCACAGAGAGTTTCTAGACAGGCTCGAAAGAACCAGACGAGGCTGAAAGTCGCCCTGAATTTAGAGCCACAACACCTTCGCATCCCTGCTCGCGAGCGCCCTCCAGCTCAGAAAGCATATAGCAACCAAGCCCTCCCTCACCCAAATTCTCACAGCTTCCGCACGAATCTGCACACGTTCACCGACCTTCAGCACGCCGATCGCCGATCACGAAGCTCGAAAACGCCTCTTCCAGCACATCACACCACCTCCAGCCGCAGCCTCGCCGGCGGTTCGCACTGCAGCCGACGAATCATGTCCGACTATATCGACCCCGAATTCCAGGGCGATGCGCTGGCCGGCTTCGAGTCGATGGACAACTTCATGGACTGGGATGGAGGAGAGGACTGGGTTCCTGATTGGGTTGGCGTCGAGGATGACGCTGCCCAAGGCAGGTGAGTAAAAAAAAGACTGACGCTTGAAGTAGGGCGATGTGCACTCCCTCTATCCAACTTGTAGCTCCAATGGAGCTAGTTGCAGGTCACGGGGAGGTCGTGTTCTACAACCCATCTCAAGCGCAGGGTGCAGCGTCAACAAGCAGTTGCCTTTTACCTTGCCATTCTAACCCGACAGCTACTGGCTTCGAAACGTTCTCTAGTGTTGCGAGCGTGCCGGCTGAAGTTCTTCCCAAGCGGGCCAAAGTAAAAGAGACAGGCCACAACTTCGAGTGCCCTCACAGAGACTGCACGCATCCCGGACCATTTTGCCGTCGGTACGAACTCAACAGACACATCCGCACAAAGCACAAAGCAGAAAAGCCATTCCTGTGCCCTTATCCCGGCTGTTTCAAAGGCAACGCTCATTCAGCGTTCTCTCGGCCCGACAAGCTGACATCTCACATTCGAAATGCGCACTCACGGGATGTTGACAAGTTGCTGAAATGCCCGGCTGGAAATTGCAATGTCGAGCTGTTGCAACTCGACATACTGCTACCTCACATGCTTCGAGAGCACACTAGGAGACAGTGGATCCAACAGCTTTCCGATGAGCTACGACCCATAGCTCATGCTGCTTCGTCAAACTTTACTAGGTGTCCACTGTGGCACTGCGGCAAGGCAGTCAAGTCGCCATCCCTACCCGCACATCTCCTCGCTCATCCCCTGGACCAGCTCAACGCCGATTCAGATGCCCTTCGCAGGTCTTACTATTCGGTTGTCCGCGACAGTTGCCCTCATTCTGGAGTTGCCGGCGGCTCCACCTGCTCCTGTCCTATCAGTGCCGTTCGTATCCATTGCCCGGTATGCGCAAAACCGTTCAGCAACAACGCCAATTTGGAAGAGCACATCGACACTGAACACCTCGTCGCTCCCGAGCACCATGGCCATTACCAGGCATGGCTCCACTTGGTCAAAGCCGAATGTCCGCACCTAGCATTCAACAATTTTTGGGAATACTGGCCGGTCGGCCACAGTTGTTTAGCGTGTACATGGTGCGGCGTGAAATTCGGCTCATGGCCACATTACTCTCTGGATCATCACCTCATCATGTTGGCCGACCCAGACGCCATCAAACCTTTCCGCCGTGAGATACTGAAGGTATACCCGGCTTTCGCAACTCATCCAATCTGGGAGGATCTTTGAAGCACGACCAGCCCACACAAGCGCGATCGGTCATGGATCTGCCTCGTTGCGCGAAGGCCCCACGATCCTTTCTCGCCAATGGTAGAGCATTAACGAACCTCACCGGGAGCCTTTTTTTCAAGTGCCTTGCTGCGAAAAACGTTTGGCGGGTTATTGCGGTATCTTTCGGCTTTACCCTGGAGACTTTCTTGGAGTATGGAGATGATCGATGAACGGCCTGATGAACACCACACTCATTTGTATCACGAGTAACGATAGTGCGCCAGTTTCCTTAGCTTTCTGTTATGTATCACAACAGAGTGACAACTTGTAGATGTCCACTCGACTCCAAACTGTGTAGTCACGTATAGTAGACCTTGAGGAATCACGTGTCGGTGGGTCAAACGAGATGCTTCAAGTTTGGCCTGCGTCTCGATAACGACTTGCTGTGCCGCTCCATGCAATCTCCACCATGCCTCAACCCGAGAGCTTCGAGGATGAGAAGCAGCGGATCATAGAATCGTGCTTCACCGACTCCAATGACGATGGCCAACCGATGGAAACATATCTCACGCATATCCGAGTACAAGACTGCATCCTCCACTTGCCTTCGTCCTCGCCACCTCCGCATAGAGCAGAGGATATCCGCAAGGAGCGCTTCATCATTATCGCCCGTCGCTCAACGGGAACAGCGAGACTCCACAAGGCGAGAGAGAATGCCGACGGGAGCTTCAGCATTGGCCGGACGTGGAATATCGAAGATCTGGCATCCATCGAGAGCTTTTCCAACGCCACATTGCCTTCGACAAGCGAGCAAGAGGCCAGGATGAGGGCGTGGGCGAGTGATGCAGGATTCGTTGTGACGTTCGAGAAAGGGTGCTATTGGCGAGCAAGTTCGGCAGAGGAGAAAGAGCGGTTCATTGAAGAGCTGGTCAAGACTCTCACGGACCGTACTGGTGGACAGATGCCGGTGTTGCGGGGAGTCGACATCGACCAGACAGCACAACTGACCGCAGCTCCCTCATCCAGTGTGCTGTAGGCGACCTACCTCCATATCATCACGCTCCACTGACATGTGAAGCGTTTCGATTGATATATGAGGATATCTGGGGATGATTAGGGATGAAGGTCCGCGAATGAGCGATTTACAACCGCTATGTGGCGTGTCAGAATCGACGAACTGATCGTTGTTGAGGTAGCCATAAGCACGAATGAGTTGTCAACACGTCGCTACCTTTCAGGAGATGTAGTTGCGATTCACGTGATAGTTAAACTCAGGCACATATCAGGCTTGGCAGATCCTGCAGGGACTTCTGCGGGTCGCTTCACAGGCTTGATTTTGTGCCCGCCTGCAAACACACTTGAACCACCCATCTTCTTGACCTCGTACTCCGCGAACCATTCCTTCTAACACCACCACACATCCCACACACAAAGACTACAGCAAACATGGCGGACGAAGAGAAGAAGCCCACGGAGACCACCTCCACCGAGGAGAAGCCTAAGACCATGGGCGAATCTGCCGCAGACACTGCCTCCGCAGTCAAGGACAACGTCTTCAGCATGTTCGGCGGCGGCTCCAAGCCCGCGGCAAAGACCGAGACCGCCGACGAGGAGAACGACCGCTCCGGCAGCGCCAAGGCGCAGAAGGAGAAAGCGGCTGCTGAAGGTGGTGATGACGAAGACGAGAAGGCTGAAGATGAGGAAGCGGATGTGCACTTCGAGCCGGTCGTGCATCTGACGAAGGAGGTGGAGACGAAGACGAACGAGGAGCTGGAGGAGATGATGTTCAAGATGCGCGCGAAGCTGTTCAAGTTTGATCGCGACTCGCGGGAGTGGAAGGAGCGGGGCACGGGCGATGTGAGGCTGTTGAAGCATCGGGAGAATGGGAAGACGAGGTTGGTGATGAGGCGGGACAAGACGCTGAAGGTCTGCGCGAACCACTACAGTATGTTTGACGATTGTGCTTGGATGAAGATGCAAATGCTGATTTGAGACTAGTTGTGCCGGACATGAAGCTCTCGCCAAACGTGGGCAGCGACCGCAGCTGGGTGTGGAACGCAGCCGCCGATGTGTCTGAGGGTGAGCCCGAGGCGCAGACGCTCGCTATTCGTTTCGCCAACGTCGAGAGTAAGCTCATCCAAAGCTCTACATATTCCTCACGAAACTAACTCTCTGCAGACGCCAACGCCTTCAAGGAAGCCTTCATCAAAGCCCAGCAGGAGAACGAGAAGATCTTCAGCGAAGGCGCCAAGGAGTAGGCCTCCTCCAGAACCGCCGGCCTGCCCGAGCTTTCTTCTCTGCCCCAGGTTCCACCACTGTCCATTCCCATGAGACCCGGCGGAAGCACAGCCGGAAGGGCACAGAGGCTTGGACCGCTCGAGGACCCCATACTCCCCCCAGGCCCTTAAGAAGTACGGGAACGACTGAGGGGGTCTGACAATCACTGCACAATGGAGAAGCAAGCCCTATCGTGAAGCGGCAAGCATTCACAAGGGAAGTGAGCTGCTGCTGCTTCAGCATTCTGAGCGTTCCGTATCCACCACTCACGACATACCCATCACTCACTCCATCACGATATCACGTTTGCACAGCAGCATACCCACATCACATGGCATTGTACGGCGATCACTTGTTGCTCGAGCGAGCCGGGAAGGAGAGCTTAGATAGACATCACAATGGAAACGATACAGTGAATCTGTTTCGCCTCACTTTATCGTTCATACCTCTGTCACATGGCCGTTCACTTAGTCACACGTTGTAACGTTGAACATATTCGCTATAGAGTCACTGCTATTGTCTCTATTCTTTAGATCCACCTGAAGTCTGCTTCAGAACCAAATCCAACCTCACCTCTTCGACCCCACACAGGCACGCTCACCACCACCGCACAAAGAACTTCATTGCTCTCGCACACCTGCACCTCACCACAAAGAAATCACTATCTGCGCCGCGACAACTATCCCGTAACACCGCGCGACAGTAGCTTGCTACCTCAGACCATCTCACGACCACAACAAAGACCGCGACAACGCTTGCGCCGGCCTACAGGCGCGCAAATACTCCAACATGCCTGACGTGAGTATATACCGCAGCACCGTCCCCGACATGGCTGCCCAAGATGTCTCTCCGATCACTCATACTCGCAATCATGGCCCGCATCAAATGCAAAAAGCTAACCCGCCGCCGCCAGGTCAAACGCACCGTCAAGCTCGTCACGACCCAACGAGTCGACCAGTATGTGCCTTTCCCCTCCCCCAAACCACTCCCCACTAACCCATCCTCCCAGCTCCATCCCCGCCGAAGCAGAAGGCTTCCCCATGCGCGTCTGGGACGTCAACATCTACCTCGTCGGCCCGGACGGCGACGACATGCCCGCCAACTGCTACGAGAAAGCGACCTACATGCTGCACGAGTCGTTCGGCAAGCGGCAGAAGCAGACGATCAAGAGCCCGCCGTTCCGGATCCAAGAGCAAGGGTGGGGCGAGTTCGACATGCAGATTACGCTGAGTCCGGTCGGGGGGCAGAAGGGCGGGGAGCAGACGATCAGTCATGATTTGAATTTTCAGCATGAGCGGTATGAGGCCGTGCATAATGTGGTGAGTATACTCCCCATCATCTGTCTATGAAGAGGGAAGGAGCTGGTGGCTGATGAGCAGGACAGACGTTCCGCAACCCCAAACCAGACCTCGTAGCCATCCTCAAGGAGTCCGGACCAGTGGGTGAAGCCAACGGCGCCGCCGCCGCACCTCCCAAGCAGAAGCGCAAGCCCGCGAGCCGCAGCGTGGACATGGAGAAGCTGGCCGAAGCGCTGCCGCAGCTGCAAGAAGACGACCTGCTGCAGATCGTGCAGATGGTGCATGACAATAAAACTGAAGAGACGTACACGAAGAACGATCTCGAGAGTAAGCTGCATCCCTTCACTACCTTCAGTGGTTTGAGAAGTCATACTAACATTATGTGCTCGCAGACGGCGAATTCCACGTCGACCTCTACACCCTGCCCGACAACCTCATCAAAATGCTCTGGGACTTCACATCCGGCAAAGTCGACATGGCGACCGTCGCTTAGAAGGCGGCGGGAATCGGCAGTCTACGCTCGAGCGCCGGGTTTGCCAACTCCACGGCCAACATGATGATGGCACAGCGGCGTGTGAGGGGCTAGTTGCCCTCGACGTTCGGGAGTGGAGAGGGGGAAGTGAGTGAGTATGCGATGAATTGATCTGGGGTCAGCGGTCAATGCTATTATTACGACGAAGGAGTTATGGGTTGGACCGGGTCTTGTCTTGAGGGGACTTAGACGTGGTCACGGACGGGGCAATGGATCGGTCGAAAGTCATCAACGTTGGCTGAACGGAACGGAACGGAAGGAAGGACAGGGAGCGAAGGCGTCCGGCGTCCATCATTAGGCGAGTTAGCTGCTCGTTACTTGGTTGCAGTATTGACAAGAACATCTCACTTCATTCTTCTCTTCCTGCCTTCTCGTTCAACTCAATCCTTTCCATTCTCCCGCTCCCTCCGTCCCCCTTCCTTTGACATCGTCACTTTCCATCTCTTGTGCCTCCGCTCAGCCACTAATCTCCTTCTCTCAAACGCAGCATGAAACCCAGTGCACCGCCTTAAAACTTCATCCACACACCAGCCCCCCTCATTGGCAGGCTGACGTACGTGTACCTCCGCCGCTATCTCTCGTCCGCCACCTCAAGTATGGACTTTTGCCCATACCTGCCTGGAAGTCCACACCCACCCCATCCACCGCGCTGCGGACTGGCTGGACGCTGGAAGGCGTGAGGGCGGTAGGGCGGTAGGGCGGTAGGGCGGTAGTGCGTTAGGGCGTTACCGCCAAGGGAGTCCAGGACTCGAAGCCGACCCGACCAAAGGGCAGGCAGCTCATACGTCCAATATCTTAGCCTGCTTGCTTGTCTACCTACTTACCTGTGCTGCCACCGCCGCATCAGCGCATCTTGCCTAAAACGGCGTGAAGGGGAAAGAAGGAGAGCGTGGTTGCTTAGGCCGCTGTCAGGGGCAGTGGCGGGGGAGTTCACCAGCAGGAAGGCGTGAGATCTGTGAGGCGTTGTAGACATTTCTCTATTCATGCTCTCATCTTCTGTAGTAGAGAGAGCAAGTAAGGTATCCGTTCCAGCCATCCCAATGATCCCGAACAAACAGTCCCGTTCACTAGGAAAAGACAGTCGGTCAAGAGCCCAGGTGAGTGAAAGAACGCCATCCATGCCCGCTCGTTCCCCGTTGCCCGTCCCAATTCCCCAAGCCCAAGCCCAAGCCCATGGTATCATACTGTAGCCGTCCGATCGCGCATCCCATCCCACCCATGAACGCCAACAACAGTCATCCCCCATACTCACTCACTCACGCAACATCTCCGCCACCACAACCCTTATCCCCATCCCAAACAAAACCCCCAGCAGCAAGTAGACCACAAACTCCCCAGCACGCAACTAACGCGCCTTCTTCCCCTCTCTACCCTCCCCCTTACCCTGCTCCACCTCCTCCCCCGCCTCCGCCTTAGCCATCGCCGCCTTTGCCGCCCTCTCCTCCCTAATCCTCCGATCCATCGCCGCCTCCCTCTCCCTCTCCCTCTGCAGCTCCGCCCAAAACCTGTCGTGTGCCTCTATCTCCTTCTCCCCCGCATCCACCGCCCTCTCGCGCTCGGCCCTGAAAGCCGCTTCCGCCTTCGCAGCCTTCGCAGCCTCCCTCGCAGCCTTCTTCCTCGCCTTCTCCTCCTCGCGCTTAGCCTTCGCCTCTGCTTTGGCGGCGGCTTTGTTCGGCTTCGCGGTGGACTTCTCAGACCCTTGCGAGACGCGCGAGCTCCGCGTCGACGTCCTCGAAGAGTAAAGCGATGTCGAAGGCGTAGCCGAACTCTTGCCCGTAGGCAAGGGATCAGCCGTCACAGCCTTCCCGACCCCTGCGTCGGTGTGGAGCTGCACGGCCTTCTTCGCCGCATCCGCAACCCGCTGCTCACGGCGGCATTTCACGTAATCCTCCTTGCCCACGCACTGTGCGATCTCCTTCAGACTACCAGCGCGCTTCGTCTTCTCCGTCGGCGACCACAGATTCTGAAGGCGAAGAGACAACTCCTTGCCCGCAGAAGTGCTCTTAGCGAACTCCTTACGCGCACCGGAGAGACGCTGCTTCAGTCCCAAAGCCTTCGTACGACTGGCGACGAGGCCGTCGTGGAGAGACTTCTTGGACGGGAAGGGGTAGCTGATCAGGTCTTTGACGGCGGTGAGGGAGAGTTGGGCGTTGTGCTTGGCTTGCTGGACGCCGGTCTGGACGTCTACCGCAGCGTTGTGGGATGAGCGGTGGAGAGTAGAGCGGAAACGGGTGCTGATGTCCTGGGTTGAGTTGTAGACTTTGCCGAAAGCGGTGGCAGCGGTGTTGACGTAGGCTTGCACGTCGCGGACGGCGTAGAGAGCTATCTCGGACGTGACGTTGGTTGTAGCAGCTGCGCCGGCGGAGAGCTCCACGCCAAACTTCTGCTTCAGACCCTGCAACCTCTGCCTCGCCACCGAGATGTCCTTGGTGAGCGTCTTAGCCATGGCGGTCGTGGTGCGGTGGATCGGACGCTTGCCGAAGGTGTGAGAGGTGGTGATGTTGAGAGGAGCCTTCTTCACCAGCATGTTGACCGTGACTTGCCCGTACGCCTCAACAGGGTCGACGGTAACGTCGTAGACGCCATCGATGAGCTGGGTCAGGTTGAAGTCGATGCCACGGCCTGCAGCTTTGTACACCGCGATGTCGTAGGGCTGCAGGTAATGCCGGCCGTTCAGTGGCTTGGGCAACGAGATAATGATGTGGTTGGGGGCCGCGCCTTGCGACCTGGCTTCTGAGGTGAAGCCCTCATACATGCCTTGGAGGACCGCCGAGGATGGAAGGAGATGCGAGATGTTGAAGCTGGCAGAAGTGTCGATAGGAGTGAGCGCGGACGACAGAGCGTCTCTCCTGCTATCGAGGCTCTCCTCTGCGTAGAGGGGCGCATTCAGCGCGGGCCAGAAGTGGCCGGTGATCTGCAGAAAAGCCAACATAGCGACCAGGCCGAACAATGCGCGGAAATCCCAGGGCGTGGTAGAGAAGTAAGCGAACGGATTGAACGCCTTGATGCCTTGCGTGTTCGCCGATGCGGGAGCCTCTGTCTCGAGCTCTTTACGGAAGGGAAGCTTCGATTTCAGAAGATTCCGGATCTCGCGCTGGACTGTCTTGCCGCCCACCTCAATGGTGTTGTTGAGGAAGAGGTGGCTTCCCTCCTTAGCCTCCTCTACCTCTTGCTGTGAGCGTGGGCCGAAACCGCGCCTGTTCCCTTCCAAGACCACCACAGGAACGTAGTCGCATGCCATGGCCTTCTTGACAATGGTGAACCAGTGAGGAGCATCACTCGTCCCCAGATGGATGACAGCGAGGTCGGGGTTTGGGATCTTCTGCCCAGTCCCATAGACGTAGGTGTACCTTTTCCTGTCCAAGCCCTCGAGGACAAGATGATACGAAGCTGTTGGCGTCGCCTGCTCTTCGGCCCTTGTGCAGTGCTGAACCAGAATCTCAACCTCTCTGAAGCGCACAAGCAGGACCGAGGGGGCATTGTTGCTCGTCGCAGTTGGTAGGGGCGTCGTCAAGACCTGGAACTCGAGCTGATTGGCAGGGGCAGCGCTTGTCGAGAGAGACGCTGCTAGCTTCTTCGACAGTGCTACCATTGTTTCGGTCTCCTCAGAAGAGGCATGCTTGGACACGAACAGCACGTTGAAGGTGATCCTATCAGTGTCCGTTGATGTCGTCGTGTAAGAATCGGACAGAAGCGGAGCACCCCCACGATGCATCACCGACTGACGCGGAGTCTCCAGCTCGTAGCTGTCCAGCAACGCATTCTCCTTGATGTCCTCCTCTTCCAGCTGCTGCCCACCCGGCAGCGTCTCGAACGAACCCTCAGGCACAGCAGTAGGCTCCGAGTCATCAATATCATCCGCATGCTCTTCTTCCACATCAACCACGCTCCCTGAATCTTCCGGTGTCATCGCTCCTTCATCGCTCTCATCGTGCTGTTCAGAAGGAAGGCTGGCGGTCTCGCGGTCATCGTTGGAGAACTCAGATGCATCATCGAGCATGTCGTAGTTGGAATCGGCGAGGGAGGTGGAGCTGCTCGACATGCTGGCGGACATGGCTAGCTGTGCTCCTGCGGCGGTCAAAGCGGCGGGTTGTGTAGGTGTGGTTGTAGGGCGGATGTCGGACAGCCTCGACAGCCTTGCGAGCTGTGGGGCTGAGTCGATATCGAAGTCGTCTTTGCGTAGGAATATATGTCCGAAACCGGGAGGAAGGGGGTAGTTGAAGTCGTCTGCTGCTGCTGCTGCTTGAGCGGTGCACTGCGGAGCTTGGGTCAGCTTGGGCTTCACGTTCCTGTGGCTCTCAAGTGCGTGGTGTTCGGCGGCGTAGTCGGGGTCCATTCTGGCTGGCAAGAAGTAGAGGCGGCTGATGAAGCAGAAGCTTACACGTGTCGTGCACTGTCAAGGAAAGCGGGCGGAGGTGAATTGAAGGTGGTGAGTGAGTTTGGGCAGTGCTGCCTGGGTGTCAGAGCGGGGCAAGCGGGAGCCTTCTCCTGGAAGACGCCGCTGTCTGAGGCTGGGGAGAAGTGAAGCAACTAGCAGTGGTGAGTCAGTAAGAAGAAGCTCGTCGAGAGAAGTGAATCTGGATGACGGCGAGCAAAGGCGGGATGGTCTGGTGTCAAGGTGTCGTGCTACGCGTTGTTCATCATGTCGATCCCGAGTACTATCTAATCGCGAGAGCTGTCTGCCCCGCACTAGCAGTATGAGCTAAGGTAGGGGTGTCTGAGGCAACATCTCAAATCACGTGCAGGTCATCCTTCAGTCCAACCACGCCTCCAAGCCAACCTACACCTTGAACGACATAGTTGTGGTGTTGTAGTGTCAAACACGCAATGGATGGCAGACAGACGAGGCATCATCGTCCCCCTGCTCATCCTCGCCTTCATCTTCCTCTCCCCTGACCCCGTCCGCCAGTCGCGCCAGCAGTTCGACCACCGTCCGACACTCCAAGATGTCATCACCGAAGAGCAGCGCGCGCTGTCTGAGGTGCAGAACTCGACGTACCGCAATGATCGCTTTGCGAAGCCGGATGCGATCGGACTGAACCTGACGGGTCTAGAGCCGGAGAGAGGCTACTCCTGGGAGCCTCTGCCCTTGGTGCAGAACAAGGCGCGAACATGGCTCGGACACACGCTCGGAGAGGAGGACGAAGCCATCATAGACGGAGTGCTGGACTTGGACCTCGGTGGCGCGCAGGTGTACAAGAATGTCACGGGCTTCGTGCACGGCAAGTGGGTGCAGTCGAAGCTGGAGACTCCCATCACATCGCCCACCATCAACCTCTCCGACTACGCCATCCAGAACCCGTTCAATGGCCGAACAACACTGCATCCGTTCGGACGCAACATTACGGGCGATGGAGGGGATATACGATTGCGCTTTCACGAGAGGCAGGCTCCTTTGCATGACCTCTTCGACGTCGAGACGGCCAACGCGACTCCAATCAGCATGGAAGTCACCATCTCGGAAGAAGAGTCTGGGAACGAGCATGAGTTTCGCGTCTACGGCGTCTACTTCCCGACTCTGGGTCAAGCTGTCCTCACAACCACCAGCGACAAGTTCGCCGGCGTCTTCGCACTCCCTCACCTCGCCATGTCCGGCGCCACCTTCGAAGAGTCTCGTCGAGTCATGAACGAGTCGATCCTCCGAAGCATACAACGCCAAATCGACGGCGAGACGGAATCCCACAATCCCTGGACCTCCCGCCTCGAAGGCGACGCCGCCGGAACGCCCTTCTCCTTCCCTCAATGCGAGCTAGTCTTCTATCTCCAGCAACTCGACCATCCCGGCCTCCCAGAGACTGATTCAATCTCCTTCCTCAACTTCCTAGAACGCGAACTCCGCTTTCCAACCGGCGCCTTCCTCCCTCCCGCCCCACCGATTCGCTTTGCCATGGCAGCCTTTTCCCCCGACTGCGGCTTCATGCTCGAATCCGTCGGTCCACCCGACCACGCGCCTCAAGAAGGTGACCACCTCAACGGCCCGAAAATCGAGTCCCTCCACCTCGCTGCCCGTCATCACATCCTGCTCTTCACCGCCACGCTGTCCGCCCAACTGCTCCTCCTCATCCGCCAAATGCGCGACGCCTCCACGCCCTCCACCCGCTCCCGGCTCAGCCTGTACACTTTCGCCATGCTTTCGCTTGGCGACGGCTTCACGACTATGGCGTTCATGCTGATCAGCCTCTTCATCGGCGGTTTGTGGGTCAATCTTGTAGCAACAGCTTTCGTGGCCTTCATGAGCGTAAGCTTCTTCGGGATGAGGTTCTTGATGGACATCTGGACTGTGCAGGCGCCGGAGCGGGAGCAGGCGAGGCGGGAAGAGGCGGAAGAAGAAAGAAGGAGGGAGGTGAGGTTCCGGGAGGTCATGGAGAGGTTGAGATCCGAAAGAGAGGAGAGATTGAGACAAGAGCGAGAACATCGGGAAAATGCGGAGAGGGAGCAAAGAGCACAGGCGGCGATTGAGAGGCAGGAGGCTGCGGCTACAATCGCACACCAACCTGAACAGCAGACACCCGCAACCGACGAAACAACCCCAGCACCTCCACCCACCACCGCACCAGCACCCGCGCCCCCATCCCAACCCCCTGCCAACACCGGCGAAATCTACCCCTTCTTCATGCCCTCCGACCAAGCCGGCCTGCTCCCCACCACCGCCCTCCCGGACCCGAACCGCCCCTTAGTCCTCCCCCCCGAATCCTTCGCCTCGCTGTACACCCGCTTCTACCTCCTGCTCCTCGCCACACTTTTCATCAGCCTCAACGCGGCTTCCTGGAGCCCGGTGCCAAGGAGAGTCTATTTCACGACCGTCGGGTTCGTGTACCTGGGTTTCTGGATCCCGCAGATCGCGCGCAATGTGGGGAGGAATTGTCGGAAGGCTGTGCGGTGGGAGTTTGTGCTGGGACAGAGCGCGCTACGGCTCACTCCCTTCTTGTACTTTTACGGGTACGGGGGGAACGTCCTCTTCGCGGAACGTGACTACATCTCCCTCGCTATCCTAGGAGGATGGCTCTGGTTCCAAATCTTGACATTAGCAAGTCAAGAATTCCTCGGCGCGCGCTGGTTCGTCGGCCGGAAATGGGTTAGCGAAGCGTGGGACTACCACCCCGTTCTCCGCGAGGATGAAGAGGGGGCTACGATGCCTGTCGGCTGGAGCAGAGAAGAGGAGGATAAGGGGCCCGAGAGCCCTATGCAAGGGCGCGGAAGCATCGACGACGGTGCTAGACGCGCTTCGGTGTCCAGCGGGAAAGACGGGATGAGCAAGCCCGTTGAGGCTGAGGGGAGGAAAGCAGACAACGGGAGGCGGATCTTCGATTGCGCGATTTGCATGCAGACGCTCGAAGTCCCCGTCATCCCTGCCGGCGGCTCTGCCGACTCTACCAGCGGTGGTGGTGGGCTGAGTGGACCAGCGGGTCTGCTAGCGAGGAGACAGTACATGGTGACGCCCTGCCGACATATTTTCCACGCGCCGTGTTTGGAGGGGTGGATGAAGTATCGGCTTATTTGTCCCGTGTGTCGGGAGGGGGTGCCTGCGCTGTAGTGTAGATATGGAGAGGTGTACAGATACTGTATGTGTGTAGCGGGGGTATGGAGATTTGTTTGCCCGGCTCGTTGACCATCCCGTGGTGTTGGAGCTTCGCGGGTGTGTTTGTTCACTGCCTGTGGTTTGTTCTGTGAGGTTGGACGAGAGGGTTAGGGTTGGGGTAGCGAGGAAGTGAGTAAATAAGTAAGGAGTAAGTAAGGACGACGGCGACGACGAGGTATAGTATCGCCCATGCCTCTCAATATTTTCTTGCGGACTCTCGTAGTGCCTTTTGTGAGTTCCTGCGGCAATGTTGTAGTCGTCAGCGTGTCCCTGCGGCGACTTGGTGATTTCGGGTTCTGAACATGTTTGTAATTTCCCGTTTCGGCGGAAATGCATGTGTGCAGATTATGGTCACTGATTCCCTCGTCTGCTCATGGATACCAGCACGCATGATTAGAGCGCAGTAGAAGGCTCAAGACACCAACATGGCATATCCCAGTACTCAATCATCTCATCCAACAGAAAGCGCGCAGCTGCCCTACCACACCATCCGTTGCTGTCCGGGATCGTGTACAGGAGCACGAGAAGACCGCTGTCGGGGTCAGCAGGCGCGCTCTGCTGTGCGACGGGACCGTGAGATATTGGGAGCGCAGAAGTACGGGATCTTTGGACGTGGGAAGGGGTCTAGGAATGGGTCCTAGAGCTGGATGGAGATGCGGTGGGAGAGGAATGGTACGGACGATTGAAGATTTGTGATTCGGTAGAACAAGGAGAGGTATGTGAGTGGGATTGTTGAGTCGGGATCGAGCAAAGGATGGAGGCAAGCGAGTCTCGCAGCGCCCAGCTGGACCGGTGACGGAGAACTTGACTACCATACTCATCTTGTAATAGGAGAAGACGACCACGGGTCCTGTTGCGAGCGAAGTGGCAGTCGGATTCTCATCCGGATGAAAGGACTATTCAAACCACAGCTGGCCTACTTTCGAGGGTATCTTTCTGGCTGGTACCGGTAACGAACACAAAGGCACCTCGTCCTCGTCCGAGTCTTGAGAAGCTTCTAGTACTGCTCCAGCCGTCGGTCGGCACAATCAACGCGCAGAGCCCGGTGCTCTTCCAAGAGTGTGATTTATGGAGTGCGGACTGCTCGGAACTCGTTGCTTTCATCACTGAGCGCAAAAGTCCACGTGGCGCCTGCGCTGGTTTCTTTGCGTCGGAAGACCGGGACCAGCAGCCGGGGTACAATGTCGTCGCAGGCAGACGCATTGTTCCGGCCTGCAAGCCGTGATCGATCTCGCACCTCGTATCGGTAGTCTCACACGGACATTGTATCGTTTTGCCGTACAGCTGAGGACGAAAAACGAAAAAAGGCAGGACGCGAGTTGACACACAGAAAGGCACACCTGCCATGAAATACTTACCTGGCGTGGTTGGACATGCTGCCCAACTTCTGGTGGTACAGCAGTCGGATGACTGGACAGCGTGACTTTGCATGCGCACCGTACTCCCGTTCTCCATGGTTGGATGAGGTTCAGCGTTGAGCTGCTATCATGACACAATCGTAAGGTAGTCTTCCGCAAACCAGGAAACCGTGGCGTCAGTCGACGAGAGCTCGTGATGGAAGCACCGGAAGCGCAGCGGTCCAGACATTGACCTTGCCGCATCCAAAGAAAACATCGCAAAGAATCATTCCGTCAAAGGCTCCAGCAATATGCCACCAAGACCTTGCTCCAAGCCGTCGTGCCGTGCGGTGAGACGCATGTGGTCCATCGAGAACCCGCCGCCTGCAACCGGACCAAATCCACGATCCATAGCAAAGAGTCCAGCCTCAGCCCATAAGCAGATCGCATGCTCAAGTTTTGTGATCGTCGCTGCAGATGCCCTTCCCAGCTCCTCGAACGAAAAGAAAAGGTGGAGAGGTGGTGGTGGGAAAGGTGGCACGAAAGACACTAGCAAGCCAAAGGCTCCAAGGTTCAAGCAAGCAGGAAAAAAAGGAAAAAGTACCTACTCACAGATGGTGGGACACAGGGAGAGGTAGAAGCTTGCATCAGGCCTAGTCCGGGCGATATAGCTCGGGGCGTGTGATATGCGAGGTCTGTAGCCAGTCTCATGCCGGCCATTAGTCGTGCTTGGGTACAGCGATGCACAGTACATGTGCGTGTGCCGCCGCGGGCGGATCCTTACGGCTCAGGCGGCCGGTATACATGTACGTGTATTGGACCATGTTTGCGCAAGCTCGTGAGATCATGATTTGCGAAGACGCAAAGCAGACAGGCGGCAATAATCTAATTGCTTCGAAAGGTGTGTGGCGAGGGTCTTGAGTGGAGTGATACGAGGCTTGCATATGGGTTTGGGATGTGGTCCGACTGCGGCAAGCGCAGGTCTGAGAGCTGGAACCACACGGCTTGACGTTAATGGAAATTCTGGGTCGATACGCGAGCAGCATCGTGGTCGGAAAGTTGTTGAAGAGCACGCCGGCACAAGCAATCAGATTTTTGGGATGTTGGTGATTGGACTGCGATGAATCTGACCGCCTTTTTTGACTCCGTCCGTTCCCCGCAGAAGAGTGTGAGGTGGCTGGTGGAGGCGAACGCCGTGGGAAGACAGTCGACTGCGACTTTTTTCGCAGGAAGCCGAATCTTGTCCAAGAGTCGCGAGCTGCAGTCGGATACCCGCTTGCTCTTATTCAGGCTTCCGTTGTACCAAGTCTCACCCCAAGCGGGCAGATGCGAGAGCAATGTAATCGATTGCGAGCTGACGGCACACAGCCCCGACTTGTGCCGGCGGTTGTTGGGTACATAAAATGGGTACAGAGGCTGCCCGCTTTGAGGCATTCAGCCAGGATGATGGCGGATGAGATTAGGATGAGCTTTTGCACACGTTGGATCTCGGTGGTGGCCGAAGCTTGTGGTATGGATAGCGACATGCCCGAGACTTCGTGTGGGTGGGCTTGCCGCTTGCGTACGTCTATGTCGGTGAATCACCGTTGAGCGGTACGGCATACGCGTTGCATCGAGATGAGAATGCGATTAGTGACATGGTGGATGAGCATCCTCATCTGACGACCGCTTTCGGTCCGTTAAGGATCTCCGAAGACAGGATGATGCAGTGCGGCTTCGAGATATCATCTCCGAGAAGGTGCTGCACTGTCAGACTCTGTGTCCTCTCCTCTAGGAAGGTGATGCGGCTAGCTGAACCGCGGTCGCACAACGGCTCCAAAGTGATTGGCTTTGTGGACAGGAAGTCTAGCGGCACGAAGGATGGTTCAGATTGTCTTGGAGCAACGCTGCTCCTCCGGGCGAGCTCCACAAGGCCGGAGGCGACGACAAAGTAGTTGTGATCAGTCGACAGTTTTTAGCCGCCTCTGAGAGCCCATCGGTGACACGAGAACGCGATGGAGAGAGATGATCGTGTCGACGGCACGCGGAGCGACGGCTGCAGCAAAGCCTGCGATTCGCTCAACGTGAGACAGCCCATTATCTGTCCAATTTCGGACTAGGGAGAGGCTTGCTCTTGCCCTCGCCAACCTACTCCTTCCGAGACGGTGTTACTTTGGCCGTCTTATCGATGCAACACCCGTCGAGATCCTGAACAATCATGATCTACCACAAAGCCACCGAATGCTGACGGCAAATTCCCACCGTCTATACTACTAGCAACAACGGACATCTGTTGGGCCCCGAGGAGCAGTAGCCGAACGTGGAAGAAGCTGAGCAAGCGCCAGGAGTCAAGTGGTTGGCGTAAGACTTGGGTCATGCGGTTTGCTTTGGTGTGTCGTTTGTATGCATCTTCAGGAGTGTCGCGCCGACTGCAAGGCTCGGCAGCTTATCGCCTGCACATGTCATACGTGTATCGGAAACGTTGCAGTCTCATTCACCACCACCACTATAGTACATCCGCGCCGCAAGACTCCATCGAGGCGCCAGGAATGCAGGTGTGTGTTGTTGTTTTTGGTCCGCCCCCATCAGCCGTTGGTGTGAGACAGAGCGCCGACCAAGGATGCTGAAGTCTGACAACTGGCTTTCTCGCATGGCATCAGTGCTCATGATCAGCGAGGCACAGCTGGAGTGGTGTGCGTGTACGGTATCGGTATCCGTACAATTTAGCTCTCGCCAAGGATGGTGTAGATGATTCGTGCTTCTGGGCCCACCGCAGATGCTGGGTCCGATAGCAGCAAGCAGGCGTGCAGCGGATTGCTGTGTGGAGCTAGCAGGCAGAGAAGCGAATCCGTCGTGAAATTGAATGGGCGCCGACATCATTTGCTGGATCAATGGAACCTCTGTGTTACGATGACTTTACGTACCTACCCTGCCGCCCATTCACTCCTGCTGATGAGGTTTGTTTGCGCGGAATGAAGCGGCACAGCCGTCGTCACAGGAGCCTGTCCTGTCCTGTCCATCTATCCTTATCCACCGCGTCCCGAGGTTACGACGTGTGGACGGAGTTACGTAGTGTACATGCGCCGACCCAGGATGGCTCGGACGTGGCTATTTGCGCGGTGTTTCTCGTAAACCACACGGCCGTCGGGGGTGGCGTTTGGTCTTGATCGATACTCGCGAGGTCTTGTCTCCACCGGTCCACCAGTTGCGAGGAGGCGCTAATTGGGTGGTGCGAGGATCCAATGACACGGTCATCGTCGTCCAGATGTGCCGACGGACGGTGAGAGGAGGGGTCCATGTTCTTCTTCCTGCTGGGCGCGCGGGCGCTCTCCAACGCTAACGTAGACGAGACTTTTCTCTTGCCTGCAGCGCCGACCACCTTGCCGGCTCAGCGCCGGTGGCCAATCAGACGAGGGGTGCAATTCCACGGTCAGCTCTCCTGCGCGGGCTGGAGCATGCTGGGAGGCTCCGTGTGCTGCGGCCACCTCACCCTGTCAGGAGGTTGCGGGTGTAGACTTTTTTAGTCGCCTTCCGACTGCATCTCACGCTGGATGGACGCAGCAAGCATGACGCCTCCCACGCTCCAAGGTGTCGTCTACGGTCTACCTAGTTTCGGGTATGTTCTAGCTTGGCTGGGCCTGCTGCTGCCAACGTCCGTGACGCCGCCCCTCTCGCCCCTGTACCTTCCCTCTGCGAGCCTGCGTACCTTCTCCGCGCCTTCACCAATAAACCCTCCCTTCTGCTTAGCCTGCGGCCGATCCTGATCGTGCCAGCCGAGAGTGAATCAGACAGTGTGGGAAGGCGCGAGCGCGAGCGCGTGTGGTGCTAGCAGCGGCCTGCCCTCGCCTCTGCCTCTGCCTGTCTGGGCCTCGCTGCCCGCCCCAGGTGACGATCGTGCTTCATGCTTCCGAAGGCATGCCACTGCTCCATAATTGCACTGACGACCTGACCACTAACTAACTGAACCTTGAACGGCCTCATCCTGGCCGCTCACTAGCATGTCTGCCGCTGCCGCCTGTCTTCAACACACACGCATGCCTACCTGCCGCCGCCCTTGCTTCAGCAATCAACATCAACAACACTCACCCTCCTGCCCTGCGCCCGACCTCACCTGGCTGCCACCTCGCATGCGCCCTCTCCCTTTCGCGTGAGCCGGCTCACTCTGACGATATCACCCGAATAGCACACACCTACCCACAGGCCTCCTTCACTTTCCAGAAGCTCACATGACACCAACAACCTCTCTCATGTACGCAGCAGTCACCCACCACTCATGACGACGACACACCCAGCCTTCCACATGTATGCAGAACCTGCTATCCGCTTTGGGGATCCATTTGGCTCCAATACGACTCCGAACAAGACCATCCACCAGCATCTCCCATATCTCGACTTCAATAGAGCTCTCACCCCACCGCCAGAGATGAATGGTGCTGTCCAGGCGTCCAAGTCAGGCTACTACCAGCCAGAGCATGCCACCCATTATGGAGACTACGTCCCTTCCAACCACGCCTCGAGAGCTCCCGCAGCACACTGCCTGCCTCAGGAGGTGTCCAACACTGAGTTTGGTCAGAATGGAGTGCAGCCGCGAAGTCGGCCCATGTCACCCGCCATGACTTCACGGCAAACGACAGTGGATGACACGTACTCACAGCACAAGAGAGAACCTCAGGCTAGTGCAATTGCCCCTTCGTTCCAGATCCCCAAATCTGTGAACGACAGCGGTGGAAGTTTGTCAGAGCTCGCAGCACAGGTGGGTTTGTTCCATGACCGCACGGAGATCGCCTGCTGACCTTCTCAGATCACCTGCCTGTTCTGGTTCGAATCATCTGATCTCCTTCAACAGATCGAAGAATCTCCGATCCCTCTCCATCCACCGAGACAACTTGTAGCAGATGCAAAGCCCACGACTGGGTTCAGGAAATGGGTCACGACGATACTTTCAACAACACTTGTTGCACAGAATGTGGTGCTTTTGGCACTACTATTCGTTCACAGGCTGAAGAAGCTCAACCCGGCGGTCAAGGGGAAGCCAGGGAGCGAGTACAGATTGCTCACAGTAGCATTGATGCTCGGCAACAAGTTTCTGGACGACAACACATATACGAACAAGACGTGGGCTGAGGTGTCTGGGATCAACGTCAACGAGGTCCACATCATGGAGGTCGAGTTTCTGAGCAACATGAAGTACTGCCTCTTCACTTCTGCAGAGGACTGGGCGAAATGGCAGTCTTTGTTGGGCAAGTTTGCCAACTTCTTCGAGCGAGCGAGCAGGCCGCCTCCACGGCATCCACCAGCACCAATTCTACCGCCGGCTTCCTCACTGCATTTGCGCATGGCTCTTCCATCGCCTCCGGCATCGAACCAAGCATCACCACCATATGTCAATGATGCTAATCAGAACCTGCCGGCTTACGGGGGCCAGTATGGACCTACGCCAGCCCCATCACCGCTCACGTACATGCCGAACGGTCAGGCCAGCCATCCGACTTCCCGGAAGCGAAGCCACGAGGATTATGCAACTGAGCCTCCAGCAAAGAGAGTTGCCAACAACTACCAAAATTATCACTCGCCACAGTACTACGCAAGCGGCCCACAGCAACCTACCCAGAGTCAGCCAACTCGTGCCACCCTGCCTAGTCTGGCAAATACGGTCAACCAAGCAGCCTCGGGCACACATGCACACCAGCCCGCGAGCCAAGCACAGCAGCTGCCTCCTTTGCAGGTGCCTGCAAGGGCGATGGCCATGGTGTATCCCAATGCAAGCTCCCAACCACACTTGCAGCAGATGTCGGCTCTTGCTGGTCCAAGCTCGCAGCCGCCCTCACAGTATCAGTCGAGACAGCAGTCACCGTACCCTGGCTCCGCCACCGCATCACCAAGCCGCCACCTGCCGCTCTCGGCCACAACACTGCAACCTCCGATTCAAGTCTCACCAACGTACTTCCTGCAGCAGCGGAACTCGCCATACCGACCCGTGCACAATGTGTCTACACTGCTGTACCCGCCAACCACGAATTCCATGCAGAACCAGCCGCAGAACGTCGAGTACAACCAGATGCACTACCAGCCGCTCGGCAAGCCGATTCAACAGGCACAGTCCGGCAGACTGCCATACGTTTCTCAGAACGTCTGGCTCGGCGGCGACCACCAACAGTCCATGACGCCGGTGCTCCAATGGCCTGGATTCAATCACGCACGTCAACACCACCCGATACCTCAACAATAGAAAGACAGAGAGTCTGGCGGCTCTGACTGACAGTCCTCACGGACACCACTTCACCAACTTCAATTGTACATATTGAACCACCACACTAAACCATTCACGATGCATGTCTTTTGCTGCGTTCGAGCAAAAAGCACACAGGGCGTTTTTTGCTGCATGATGATACCAACTTGTTCATATTTTGCTGGGAGAAGGGAAGAGAATGAATGCATTTTAGCAAGGCGTTTTGAAGCGAACCTGAGAGGTGACGCTGCGGGATTTTGACGGCGAGCTCTCATCGCTGGTTGAGAGAATGGAAGGGAGATGTATTGGTCTCGCTGAGACGGGGAGAGGATGCTGTAACACAGAGTAGCTACCAGACGATGGGCCATGTGTTCGAAATCAATCAAAGGAAGATGGCCGGTCATGTTGACCGAGCTGCATCCACATTTCCACTTCCACTTCCAGTATCTCATTCACTGTGTTGTCCGTATGAGCAACCTGCAACAAAAGAATGTAGATCTCCCAGCGTCACACCACGCTGACGTCTTGAAACATGCGGCTACTCGCCTTCACCCACGCTACGTTTCACCTCTGCTGACCTCGCGGATGCCGAAAGGACGAAGAACAACCCGGCTCGCAGGTGTCCTCAGAGGCGAAACCGCTGGGTTTGAACTTTGAGGTCTACAAAGCGCCTGGCATGAGGCCAGACTGCCTTCGGCTTTGCTCCGCCAGTTGCGCGTTGTCTGGAAGGGATCTTGGGAACGCGTGCGGCTGCTGGATGTCTCACCTGCAGTTTTCTTGCGTCGAGGGTCGGTTAGGCTATCGAGCAGGATGTTGTGAGGTCAGGCTGCTGTATGCGCGCCGACTGGAGCAGTGTTGGATAGTATTCGTTATTACCCTCTTCTATACCTGTACGTTGTAGATACATGTATTTGTCCTGATGGAGAAAGAGAAGACGATCCACTAGCGCATTTCTGAAGATTAAAATCAAAGGCGAAGGCAGGAGCACGTTCTCGAGTGGCTGACTGTGGGGCCGGGCGCCTTCCCTCGCAAAGAGCCGCCGCGCCTTCTCCTGGCCGACCACCCTACCACCTCGACGACAGCAACAGTAATACCCGCCCCCCCCACCACCGTGTACATACACCCACCCTCTCTACGAGCCCTCCCAGCCCGGTGCTGAGGGCTAGCCGTTCATTCCGCGCACCGCTCGAGCGCAACGCTCCTTTGATTGACTCGAGGCCGCACCGACGCTCGCTCTGCATCTCACGGTACGACGGTGCTGAAACTGGGTCACGATACCCAAACCTACCTATTAGACTTAATTGAGGCGCGAACTTGGAGGAGTGTGAAGGTGGAAAAGAGGAGATTGTGAAGCAGAGGAAGAGGAGCAGTGGAACGCGATCGACCGGTGTACACTTGGGCAGCGCGAGCTGGGTTGTTTGTTGCGGGTTGGGAGGACGGTGTTCTTGCACCCTTGCGCGCGACGCGGACGGCTCTTTCAATTGCGCGAGGGAGTGTACTGGACCGAGTTCTGCGCAGTCACGGACGTCGACTTTGAGACCTGTTATTCACACATACCAACACGACCATAATTATGCGGAGAGTCCTCAGAGCAACCGCCGCCCTGGCGCTACCTACTCTCATCAGCGGCGTGGCACTATCAGACATGAAGCCGCGCGCTGAGAATCTTCCCGACGCATGCGAAAACCTGTATACCGCGCAGATAGCGGGTTGCGTACCCCAGGACTTCATGACAAGCCAATGCAGCTCCCCATGCGTGTCTTCGCTGAACGCAATGGTCAACCCTCTACGAAGTGCATGCGGTGGACAAGGAGTGCAAGGCCAGAATTTGGTGGTGGCGTTTCTTGCTGGAGTCGGGCCACAACAGCTGTGCCATAACGCGGAATCTTTTACGAGTCCGACAACTACCTCAACACCTCAGACTACGAAGGATTGGACAACGGCGGAGCCTTCGATCATCAGCAGTACGACAACGGCTCGGAGACCCACGCAGACGAAGAGTTTGCTGGTGGATACTTCAAGAACGACGGCCGAGGAGACGAGCTCTTCGAGTAGTGTTAAAAGCACTCACAAGCCGAAGCCGACGAAGCACACGACGAAGCACACGACGACTATCCACGAGGCATCATCGTCATCGTCATCATCATCAATTGCGGCCCCGATTACAAGCAGCTCAGTCGCGCCCAGCACGTCAAAGCAGACGAGCTCACCCACCAAGACCACCACGGGTGGCGGAAACGAGGAGACACAGTTCGATGACGGCAGCGGTGGCGGCAGTCCCTTTGATACGCCGGGCAACCTGATGAACAGTGCGTCCGGCTTCACGATCCCAGCACTATCCCTTGTGCTCCCTGCGTTCGCAGCAGCACTCTTTACTGCGCTACGATAGCCCGAATCGACCGACTCTCCTTCTCTCTCCTTTATACAGATACGCGACGACGCTCTACTGTTCGTGTGCGTACTTAGCGGTTTTGGGGCGTGCAGTTGCACGACCTTTTGGCGGGAGCTTTTGCGTAGACGGGAGCGTTGGCGCTTTGTAGTTGTCTGGATTAAGGGAAGGCATGATGATTCGAACAGCAAAGAGCGAAAGGAAGAGGCCTTGTGTTGATGGAAGAGTAGCGTTGCCTGCCGCATGCTTCCAGTGTGCGTGCTGTTGCGAGAAGCCTGTCACGAGTAGATACACCTTTAATGTTGAACCTTGAGCGTCTGCTGCTTTCTTCGTTGTCGTCCTGTGGTTGTGTTGCTAACTTGTCTTCATGCTGTTGACCTCTAACCATGCCTTCAGGGGTTGACTCCCGGGCTGAGGATGAGCTGGCTGCTTGATGTCCTTTTGACCGGTGTCGTGTGGACAGCTCACAACACTTTGTCCTTGATAATCACGGACAACATCGGAACCAGCCCTTCGACCGCAGACTCAACCTCCCGGTTCCCTGGAATAGCAGGCTGCACGTGCGGAAGCCGCCAGGTTAGCCTGATGCTTGCTTGTGCTGAGCGGGCCCACCCGCAGCATAGCTTATCTACACTTTTTTGTTGCAGGGGAGCTTCTTCAACGCCTTCCCTTTTTCCACCATCCCCATCCTCCCACCCCCCCTCTAAAACACCCGTAATGGCCTCTGGAGCTGTAGTGAGGCCGTTGGCCTCCATCAGCGCATCCATTGGCATCAAGCAGGTCGCCACGCGCGGCTTCGCGACAGCCACCAAGCGACAGCAGCTTCTGGTGAGCCAGCTGTCACGGAGCATGCGACCGCAGACGGCGGCGCGGGTACCGCGGGAGTCGATACAGCAGAGCTTTAGGAGAGGGTATGCGGAGCAGATCAGCCCGGTGACGAAGGAGAAGGTGAAGAAGCGCTCGTGGGGGTTCTTTAGATGGTCGTGGCGGCTGCTGTATCTCAGCGCGATCGGAGGTTTGGTGTATACGGGGTGGCAGATTCATGTGAGCAAGTACCCGACGGATCAGGAGGACCCGGATCCGAGGAAGAAGACGCTGGTTGTGCTTGGTATGTTCAATGGCGGTCGTTGATGGGTGTAGGGGCGGTGTGCTAATGATGGCGAATAGGTACTGGATGGGGCTCTGTCTCTCTGCTGAAGAAACTCGACACCGAAAACTACAATGTCATCGTCGTCTCGCCGCGCAACTACTTCCTCTTCACGCCTCTCCTGCCCTCCTGCACCACCGGCACCATTGAACACCGCAGTATCATGGAACCCGTCCGCAACTTCCTCCGCCACAAGAAAGCCACTGTCAAGTTCTACGAAGCTGAAGCGACCAAGATCGACTACGAGAAGAAGATTGTGTACATCAGCGATGATTCTGAGGTCAAGGGGACTGTATCTCGGACAGAGGTGCCTTTTGACATGCTGGTCGTTGGTGTGGGCGCTGAGAACGCTACCTTCGGTATCCCTGGTGTTCGCGAGAACGCCTCCTTCTTGAAAGAAGTCGGTGATGCTCAGCAAATCCGGAAGCGCATCATGGACTGCTGTGAAACTGCTATCTTCAAAGACCAGTCTCCCGAGGAGAAACGCCGCCTGCTCCACATGGTTGTCGTCGGTGGTGGACCTACTGGTGTCGAGTTCGCCGGCGAGCTGCAAGACTTCTTCGAGAACGACCTACGCAAATGGATGCCTGAGCTGCAAAACAACTTCCACGTCACTCTCGTCGAAGCCCTCCCTAACGTCCTGCCTATGTTCTCCAAGAACCTCATCGACTACACCGAACAGACTTTCAAGGAAGAGACAATCGAGATCCGTACTAAGACCATGGTCAAGAACGTCGCCGAAACCTACATCGAAGCTGAATATACCGATGCCTCCGGCAAGAAAGTCCTCGAGAAGATCCCGTACGGTCTGCTCGTCTGGGCTACTGGCAACGCCGTCCGCCCCGTCGTGAAGGACCTCATGAACCAGATCCCGGCGCAAAAGGACTCCCGCCGTGGCCTGTTGGTGAACGAATACCTCGTCGTAAAGGGCAGCGAAGACATCTGGGCCGTCGGCGACTGCGCCATTGCCAACTACGCCCCGACCGCCCAAGTTGCTTCGCAGGAGGGAGCCTTCCTCGCCCGCCTCTTCAACCAGATGGCGAAGACGGAGGAGATTGAAGGCGAGCTGAGCTTGCTCTCGGATGAGCAGGCCAAAGCGCCGAACCAGGAGGCAAGAGATGGGATTTTCGGACAGATCAAGGATTTGCAGAAGAGGCTGCGCAGGGTAAAGCAGATGGGGCCTTTTGAATATTCGCATCAGGGTAGTCTGGCGTATATTGGCAGCGAGAAGGCGGTGGCGGACATCAGTTGGTTGACTGGAAATTTGGCAACGGGTGGGCAGTTGACGTATTTGTTCTGGCGGAGCGCGTACTTGAGTATGTGCTTTAGCAGTAAGTTGGAGACCTATCTCGACATTGTTTTTGGGCTGTTTACTGACGTGGTTTGGCAGCTCGCAACCGGGTCCTGGTGATCACGGACTGGATCAAGGCTAAGATGTTTGGTCGCGATGTCTCCCGAGAATAGAGGCGCGACTCTGCTGGACCTGTGTCATATCGACTGTGGAATAGAAGCGGCAGATGGACCTAATAGATTGGATCGGGCGGGCGTTACCTGAGATGAGGCCTGACAGAGGAGGCTATCTGTACTTCAGACGGCTTCGAGTGGCCGTTGGGCTTCTTGTTGTGTTAGTAGTGTGCTCAATGGGTGTGATATACTGTGCTTCAATCGTCGATATAGCAGTTCCTTCCCAAACCGGCATATCCTCGCAATGGCCACGTGAAAACGTTTGATGATCCGCTCGGCTCGGATCTTGAAGACGAAGCAGATCCCGCGGCTTGGTGAGCTTCTCAATGCACCTATGCCTCAGCACTGCTGCACAATGCGTGATGCATGATTCAGCTCTTCGTACACACTTCTTTCTTGACTGTTCTTCGGTGGTAGCGATCTAGACAATTCGACTCCACGGCTTTTCGAATTTCTAATTGACTTTTCTCATTCCAACGTCGCTCGGCCCCGTAACGTCCCGGACTCACGACTGAACATCTCGACTCGTTGCGCCGTACAATCCCACCCCACCATACCGGCACGTGAGGACTCAAGACTATGCTCGGAGACAACACATGATACCTAAGAAGCCAGCCCGAGCATGAGCGAGCACCCAGCCTACAAACGTCGGAGCCAGCGCGATCGCGCCCGCGCCTGATGGCGGCAGCGCCCACGCCATGCTACCACACCCGTCCTTCCTCCTCGGCCTCCTCGTCATCCTCTACCTCTGCACCTTCGTCGCCTTCGCCATCCTGCGGATTGTCACCGGCGTCTCGATCCAGCGCGTCGGCTTCAGCGGCTTCCGGCGCATCGGGTTCAGTCTGCGCAATGGGGTGAGGGTGCACGTGAGGGGCGTGGGGGTGAGTTTGCATCGGCCTACTTTCGCGCTGCCGACGTGGTGTAGTTTGGTGGTTACCGAGGCGGTGGTGACGGTGGATTTGAACGCTGTCGGTGACGGGCACGGGAAAGCTAATGGGGCGGCGGGGAAGGAGAATGGGAGTCTGGAGAGGGAGAAGAGGGAGCGGAAAGCGGCGCAGGATGAACGGCAGGATGAAGATGGGCATGGGAAGTTGTGGAGGCGGTTGACGGAGATCAAGGAGAAGATCAAGAGGTTGCATAGTAAGATTGGGTGGATTCGGTTGGTGGATTTGCTGGTGACGGATACTACGGTCAATATTGTGGGCGTCGGGAGCATACAGCTGGAACGGCTGTCGTTGTCGGTGGACACGAGGTCGAAAACTGTGGACCGGAGCAGGCTGTTTCAGCATCACAAGACGAAACCGGATACTCAGTCGCCGGCGGAGTGGAAGTCGATGATACGGAGTATACTTTTCACACCAGAGGGAAGAGACAGCACGGAGGTCCTCGACTATGCTACGATCAATATCCACGGCATGCTGCACAATGAGCTCCAGGGTCTCCGCGACGCTTCCGTGGCGGTCAAGCTCGGACGGCTTAACGTGCCGTACGACGACATTGAGCACGCGAAGAAGTGCGCGGACATGCTGCGAGGCAAGTATGCCCAGCCGAATCCCGAGCCGGCTACTGTGACGATCTCGAATGCGCTGGAGGAGCTGGAGAGGGTGGAGACGCAACATCAGGATCAGATTGTCAGAACGGTGTCTGACTCCAGAGCGTTTGTGGCTTCCATTCTGCGTGGTATCCAGGAGGTGCAGTTTGCGGTCAGCTTCTTCGGCCTTTCTAGGAAGATGAACGTCAGGAGTGACACCGGCAAAGATGTCTACTTCAATCTGGCGATGAAAGAGATCGGACTGGATGTGCTGAGGCTGGATCCGAAGAGTCCAGCGCATCGGATGTACTTCGCGAGCAAGGATGTGGCGCATCAAGGACTTTTGACCGCGATTGCGATATCTGCTGGGATTGATGATGGCCACGAGCATCCGGAGAGGATGGTTTACATTCCAATGGTCACGGCTACAGTTCGAACGACCCTGCCCTCCAGGACGATCCACTACTCGCAGGAGAACAATGCGAGTGAGAGGAACACGAATATACTCTATGCGAACTTCGTCTGCACTTCGCCTTCTGTGGATCTGGATCCTAAGCATTTGCCACTGGTGCGCGAGGTGCTGAAAAGGCATTCTTCGTCAGATGCGCCGAAGCAGAAAATCCCTTCGAATCGACATCATCTCATATCGCAGTTGCTGCCGAAGGCGTACATTAAGCTGTCCATCCAGGAACCGGTCATTCGAGTCTCTTTGCCTCCGATGCACAGAGAAAATGCTGCAGAGGATGACTATGATCTGCTCATCTCTTCAGTCTCTTCAATTGGGATCGAGCTAGAGTCGTCTCATGCGGCTGAAGGGCCACTGCATTACAGCCTGCGCACGCACTACCGGCATTCCAGGCATCACCTGTACTATCAGACCTTTGCCGGTGACAGGCATGATCTTCTGCATAGCGATACGGTAGAGCTCCAGGTGGATGTTAATGCGCTGCCAGATGCTGCAGTAGTTGCGAGCGGCCGACTACAGACATTCACGATCTACATGGTGCGACCTGAAATCTCGGAGGGCGTCCGTCAGATCGTCAAGCAGTTGAGACGTAATGTGCTAGCCCGCCACGATGGCGAAGACAAGCGACAGATGAGCTTCTTACGACAGACTCCTCAGTGGCTTCAGCAGTGCCGGATCGAGGGCTCTGATTTTGGCCTTGAGCTCGCAGGCGTCGACGAGCAGGTGTCCAAGGACCGGAGAGGGTTTGCTCTCCAGCTCGAGTCATGGACCACCGAGTACAAAGCACAGCGAGACGAGCGGCCCGACATGTTCACGCGCCGGCACTCGATTTCTAGAGCCATGTCGCTCGAAAAGAAGCAGACGATGGAACAGCGAGAAGCAGAGTCTCCACGCAGGCGTCCGAAGAGTATTGCAGACGGTCGGCGGCTGACGGTGCATTTGCAGAATCTAGAGGGCTTCATCATGGACTCTGTTGACAACTCCCCATCGGAGTCATGTCTGTCTGTGCCCAGATTCGAGGTTGCGTTCACGACTTCGACTGACAACAACGGCCCGGTATTCCACATCAACTCGCATGCAAAGAGTATGCTGATGCAGTATTCGCTGTACAACCACTTCGCGATGGGTGTGGCTGTTATGGTTATCCGGAAGACGTTCCTGGATCTGGACAAAGAAGAAGTCAAGCGTGAAGCTCGGCCGCAGAGGAGTAGGCAGCGGTCACTGCAGGTACCCGGTGATCTCAACGACGAAGATGAGGTGGCTAGGCACGAGGTCACCATCATCGACTTCAAGGCGAATCTCATCCAGGTGAAGGCCCGCATGCCTGCCGATCCGCCGATGATGATCCAGCTTTTTAACCCTGAGACAGGCCGTCATCGCTACGGCACACCTTTCTTGCGCTGCAAGGTCGCTAGGCTGTACGTTCGTGCTCCCCGGACGCAGCGGGCCTGGAGCAGGATCCTCAGTATTCGCATGCTGCGCGTGGACATGCGAGAGCTGAGACGCAAAGTTGGCAAGCATCACGTCGCGGAGAAGTCGATCGACATTGTGGCAGAAGTCATCCGCATTGGCGTGCCGCACTCGCTGGTGGTTCATACTATTTTTGACAACATCACGAATGTCATCAAGACGACCAAGCAGCTGCAGCACCATTTCGTGACGGGCACGAATGAGTATATCCTCGCAAAGGAGCCTGAAGGACCGAAGCATGTCCCGAGAATCACATTGCGAAACCAGCTATTGATCTTCGATATTGAGGACAGCAGCTTCGAATTCAAACTGAACTCCATCTATCGGGCTGGCTTAATGGAGCAGAAGCAGAGACTGGCTCGAGAAGACGCTTTCAAGATGAAGGAGAAGCGACTGGCTCGTTCAAGCAACCGTCGCGGCTCCCAACTACGCGCACGTTCTGCCCAGCCCGATGGCCGGGCACGCTCGAAGACGAGAGGCGAGGAAACAAACGGCGGCCGGAGAAGCCAGAGTAATGAGCCAAGATCTAGGTGGAGTCCGAAGAACAGCCAACGGCAATCTCGTCGGAGGGGGCGTGCGATGCGGTATGAGACGGACGGCAAGTGTGGTATTAGCGATACTTCACAGCTGAGCATCGCTGCCGCAAGAGACAAGCTGGATCGGCTCAATGCTCAGTCGTGGAAGACGAGGATTGATCGGATGGCTTGCTTTCAGTCGCAGGCTATTAGGGACATTCGCTCCTATCTTCTGGCTGCAGACGACTTGCCAGAAGAAGCAGAGCAGCATGAGCCGATTCTTGCGCTCAGTCGGCGTCCGGGGCTAATGGTGGCTGCGCTCAATGATCTCACCATCACCATCGACAAGCCTTCGTTCCCAATCGATGAGTATCCAAAGTTCATGCACGACATTGGGAAAGGCATGCCTCATGACATGAAGTACGGGCTGCTTGTCCCAATGAGCCTGCACATCACCATGAGCGAAGCTCGATTCCAGCTTCGCGACTACCCACTGCCATTGTTGCATGTGCCGGCGCTGGCGAGCGGACAGTCGCCTAGGCTGCCTAGCTTGTCCATGCGGACGGACTTCGTCATCGCTGAGGAGTTCCGGGACATCGAATCTCAGCGACATGTCAACGTGGAGGTGGTGCCGAAGGAGAAGATGAGCACGGAGTCTGCTTTCACTATCGATGTTCGCAGGACGATATCGCCTGTGAAAACGTACTCGAATATGAAATTCGAAATCAACACCAGCCGGCCCACCAAGATCACCTGGGGCACGTCTTATCAGCCTGCGATTCAGGATACCATGCAGGTTGTGGAGGCCTTCACGAAGCCAGCGGTCGATGTTTCCGACCGAGTCGGCTTCTGGGACAAGATACGCCTGGGCTTTCACTCGCGCGTTAATGTTGCGTGGAAGGGCGACGGCGATGTCCATCTTGTGCTCAAAGGCTCGCGAGATCCGTATGTCGTTACAGGGACTGGAGCGGGTTTGGTTATGGTTTGGCGAAACGATGTGCAATGGAATATTGCGCAGAGCAACGACCCGCGCCAGTTCATGACGGTAGACAGCAGCGACTACATCCTGGCTGTGCCCGACTTCGGCGGGTATGCGAGGTCCTCGCAGGAGTTCAACGAAGGCGATGCTGGATCATCGAGCAGCACGAGCAGTAATCCGAGGGACGCCGTGTTCAAAAAGGTCGTCATGAAGCTGTCTGGCAAGGTGCGATGGCTTGGTGGTATGGTGTTTGAACGAGATGTGGGAGATGGCTCGAGATCGTTCGACTTCATCCCGCATTACAACGTTGTCCTCAAGGACCCTCAGTACGCAAAGGCGCCACCTGGGAAGGAGTACGACGCTTACAGTGGCTTCCGGAGTCACCACATCCACATGTCAGTTGCCGTGGCTGCACCGCACGATCGGCAGTGGTCTGTCACCAATGTGCAGCCTTCGAACAACTACAACGCAATACACCTGACGCCGCGCTTCTTCTCGCACTTCTACAGCTGGTGGTCTATGTTCTCGGGCATCATGTCGTTACCCATTCGACAAGGACCGCTCTGGGGCGGTATGACGAAGAAGAGCAAGAAGCTGGGCCGCCATCTCGCCACTTTCAAGTACAACGTCCTTCTGTCACCGCTGTTTGTCAGCCACGTCTACAAGCACAAAGACGCCGAAGACTACCAGGAGAACGTGGTCTCAGCCACCGGCCTCAAAATGAGACTCGACAGCTTCATGCTCGACCTCCACCAACGCCGCGAGTACTTCGACATCAAGGGCCACGAAGGCGCTCAGTCAAAGACATCGAGCGGCATACGCATCAACCAAGCCCAGCTGGACTTCATCCACGCCGATCTCCGTGCGCTTTCTGCTAGTATTGCTGGCACGAGCACTGAAGACATCGAGAAAGCGAATGATGACGCCCTTGCTTCGCTGTACGGGCAGCTGCCTGTGGTGGATATGTCCAAGTTCACGATTCCTGACAACGACTTCTCGTGGATCGATATGGATGACTTTGTCGAGCTGGATTGGATTCTACCTGCTGAGTCGGACCCGGAGACGAAGATCTTGCCGCTCGGGTATGCTCCGCGCTTCACGTACTTCAGGCAGACGGATCACCATGGGTTCATTGCTGGTGATTCGACCAGAAGGAGTACGTTCGGCGAGGAGCCCACGCATTACTGTGTGATGTCTGCAAAGAACGATCCCAGAAGGGTGCAGGTGGAGCTGATCGAGAAGCGGCTGCACAAGCTCAACGAGCAGAGGACGCACAATGAACGAGCTGCTGGCGATGCTGAGCTGAAGTTCGTCCAAAGCGTCACCACAGACAGCAAGGAGCGGGAGAAGCTGCGAGAGAATCTGGACGCCCTTCGTACCCATGCCGACTTGTTGGAGCGGAAGTACCACTTTCTAGAGGCAATGTTGGAAACACTTTCCCAACGACTGGAGAGTGACGATCCTTCCGCGGTTCCTGACCTGGAGACCAGCGAGGCCTTCTTTGAGGCTCATGAGAATGCTCAACCGGCGATGGACGACAGTGAAGACATTGAAGCTGCACCGCTGGCGGACTACACGAGTGACTTCAACAACCGCTTCATCGTGCATAATGCGCAGATCAAGTGGAACAACTCGCTGCGGAATATCATCCTGCGATATATCCACCAGGTCAGCCAGCGTCGTGGATTCGTCTACTACATGTCGCGGCGAGCAGTCAAGTTCATCCTAGACGTCATTGATGAGCGAAAGAAGACAGAGGATGTGGCGACGCCGACCCGAAAGAAGTCCGTTGCTACTGAGCAAGGACCGATGTCGCCGGATAGTATCGACGACGAGTCCACGATACAGGATCGTATCGATCAGCTGTTGAAAGATGGACGGTCCTTCGTTAACGCAGAAGATCAGGCCGATACTAATGACGTCGAGAATGTTCCCGACGCCGCAGGAGCAGGCCCTACTGACGACATTGCTGTCGAGTATACACCGCTCAATACCTACCACTTCCGCCTGATTGCTCCTCAAATTCAGCTGCAGAGCGAGAAGAACTCGAAGGCTGCAGTCTTGGTAACAGCCAAAGGCATGCAGCTCAAGGTCGTGCAGATCATGGACAAGGACAGAGTCAGCGATGACGTTTCCGGTCTGGTGCAACGACGGTTTAGAGCGGCTGCGGATAGTTTGCAGATGTTCGTGACGACGACCAAAACCTTCACGACGGAACATCTGCACATGTACAGCGCCAATCGTTACGGTGCGAAGGCAGGGACCTACTGGCCGCCTTGGGTGCCAATGGAGATGATGTTCGAGTTCGAGACGAACCCGTACGGCTTCAGCAGGGTGGTGCATCGGACGTCGACCAGCCTGAGATACGACAAGTACAACACCTTGCGGCTGAAATACAACGACGACATCTCCGGCGGCGAGTCTACAAAGACTACCTCAAGAGCAGACGAAGCAGAAAGCCGGATGGACCACGTCTGGCTTGAGTTCCCACATATTCGGGCCATATGCGACTCGGCACAGTACTTTGCGCTCTACATCATTGTCATGGACTTGCTTTTGTACAGTGAGCCGCTCGAGAAGACACGCACCGAGCGCTTGGAGAAGATCATGCTCGCTTCCGACTTCAGCGACTTGTCCGGTGCCCCCGAGATGGTGCAAATGCTGCAGGAGCGCATCCGCCAGCTCGAAGAGATCAAGATGCACTTTCAGGTCAATGAGAAGTACCTTGATCGCCAAGGCTGGAAGGACCGGATAGCGATGGACCAGGATCTTGCGGGCTGCGAGGACGAGTTGTTCTTCATGATGAAAGCTATCACCACCGCCCAACAGCGGGTGGAGGATCGACGTGAGCATGAGAATGTCGCTGGTTCAGTGCATCTCAATATGTCTGCCAAGGAGATCGCATGGCACATGATCCGTGGGAAGGACGAGTCCTTGATGGAGGTGCAGCTCAGCAATGCATCGTTTGACCGAACCGACAACAATGACGGGTCAAACTACAACTCTATGGAAATTGGACGTATCAATGGTTACAATCTCTTGCCCGATGCACTGTATCCGGAGATCATTGGGCCATTCATCGACGAGAGCCGGGGCTTCCATGAGCATAAGCACGGCAAGATGTTGCGGGTGCATTGGCTGATGCTGGAGGCGATTGCGGGAATACCTGTCGTTGACTACTTTGAAGTCGACCTGGTGCCGCTGAAAGTGCAGATCGAACGAGAAGTGGCCAAAAAGCTGTTTGAGTATATCTTCCCCGGTGTCGGCGGCAATGCTTTCGAAGGAGGTGGCTTCAGCCCGTTCATGGTCAAGAACATGCTGCCCACCCAGGAGGAAGAGGACGAGTCCGAGGCTAAAGGCACGGATGCTCCGACTCCAATGGTCGAAGACCTGGAGCCAACCAACAAGCCGAGCCACGGAAGCGGTCTGGCATCACTTGAGGAGCGCTTGAAGCCGACCGTACATCTGCAGACGAGGAAGAAGCCCCCGGAGAGCAGAGGACTGGGCATCTCCGCCGCCAGAGAGCATGTCCACGGCTTTGGCCTATTCCAGCACTCCGACCGCTCCCGCTCCGCCCTACCAGGTCGCGCACCGGCGTCTCAACAGGCACTCGCCTCAACCAACAACCTCAGCCCCATGTCCCGCACAACCAGCGAACGCTCCCTCGCCACCATGCGCAGCAGCGCCAACGGCAGTGAGCCCGAGAAACGCCGCTTCCTCCACCGCACACACAGCGAAGAGCGCAAGAAGGAGACCGAACGCTCCGACGACCTGACCCAGATGATGAACAGAGCCAGCAACTACATGACCCTCTCCTTCGTCAAGATCCCCTCCATGGTGCTCTGCCTCAGCTATAAAGGCCAGGGCAAGCGCAACCTCGAAGACGTGCATGATCTGGTCTTCCGCATGCCGACTCTCGAGTATCGGAACAAGACCTGGTCGAATCTCGACCTTGCATTGCAGTTGAAGAAGGATGTCATTCGCGCTCTGATATCGCATGCCGGAGCCATCGTCAGTAACAAATTCTCCCACCACAAACCTACCCGTCTGCAGCAGACAAAGCTGCGCGAGATCGCGAATATGAGCACGTTCATGAGCCCGCGCGCCAGCTCCACGGCGCTGCAGGAAGGCGGCCCCAGCGAGGACAGCAGTCTGAACGAGCGGAGTGCTCGGTCGCCGGAGCGAATGGGGAGACCTAGCACGGCCAGCGCAAGACCTAGTACGTTGAGCAGGAGTATCTCGGTGACTTCGAGTACCCCTTCCGGATCCAGTCATGCCGGGGACAAGGTGGAGGAGGCCAACGGGGCGGTAACGCCCGGTGCGGCCGGGAGTCTTAGTGGGCAGCCGATGAATGGACAGGGGACGCCGAAGAGGAGGATGTCTTTGCCTAGATCCTCGCCGGGGGCTGGGGAGGGTGATGTGAGTTCCTCCTTGATCCAGTCACTAGAAGGTCGCCATACTGACGCTACGCAGCAGTACTCCCGCCTCCGCACGGCATCGATGTCACGCCGCCTCTCTGGCTTCGGAGATCGGCTGCGCCAGCGACCTAGCAACAGCAACAGCAATGAGGGAGAGGAGACGGATGAAAGCAGGCGGAAGAACAAGCTAGTGCTCAGTGGGCAGAAGCTGCTGAGGACTTTCAGGGATCAGTAGGGGCATGGCTTCCTTGCATTGGGTGGAGCAATTCTCAATGATACCCAAAACTTTCGGAGTGGAGATCTTGGGGCGTCCGTGGTAAATACTGCTTTAGCGTTTTCGTTTGTATATACAGCGTTTGAAGTGCAGAGTATGATACAAGTGCCTGCCATCTTTGCTGCACTCTGAGACTCCTCGAGCTTCACAGCATAGCACCGGTCAACTGGCTGGTCCTTGCCTACCTCACCACAATCTATTCTCCGCTCCCTGCCCACTGCTGCTCTTACCAGTCTTCCTGCGCCGAACTTTCTGCTTGCCCTCCTCTGGCACCCTGAAGAACAAGCTCGGGCCCTCCTTCTTGCCCACCACATAGCTGAGATAGCCTCTCTTGGCCTCATCTCTGTAGTATTCCAAAGACTTCCTGCTCGTCGGATCTGGCAGTCTGTATTTGTAGCCTCCCTTTTCGAACACAAATTGCTCTGGCGTTGGTGGCGCGTCTGCTTCTACGGTCTCGGGGAACGTAATGCGTGATTGCAGGCTGTGATATGGGTGCATCAAGCCCTGCCGGATCTTAGGGATGGAGAAGGGGCTGTAATATCGCGTCGTGACTGTGCCACCCGCCTTCTCCACCGCCGCGACGGCAGAGGCTGATGCTCGCGAGACGATCAAATGGACCGGCGTGGTGATCTCCTCCTTCCCTCTCGCAAGCAGCTTGACCCCATCCTTCTTGACCCCATGAATGCAACGACTCTTCGCCAGCTCCTTCAGCGTGATCGGCGTCTTTGGATCCAGGCGTCCTTGATCAACCCAGTATTGTATCTTATTCAAGTTCACCGGTGAGAAGTCCGCTTTGAACGCGCTGTTATCGAAGCCGCGCTCGCCGTGCACAACGGACTCGGGAGTCTGCCCGCCATTGAATCCCGCCGGCACCTTGCCGTGCTGGCCCTGACCTTTGTGACCGCGGCCGGAAGTCTTGCCCTTGCCGCTGCTGGGACCGCGACCGCGGCGGATTTTCTTGTTGTAGGCGCCACGGTTGTCGGAGAGGGAGGTGAGGATGCTGGCAGCGCGGGTGGAGGGAGGGTAGAGGAAGGGCGCGAGGGGTGTGTATGCAGTTGAGGGGCGGGAAGGGAGCGAAAGGAGGGTGAGCCGGGGCGGCATTGTCGATGGTGGTGTGATCGATGTTGTCGATGAATGAAGGAGGTCGTCTTGAGGTGGATGTCCTAAGACTTGATGCCCGAAGTTTCGCCGGCATCGCTCTTGTGTCCAACCTGGACCTCACTCCTTCCTAAAGTAGCGATCTTTAGCAGTGTACAGGAGCAGCACGTGTTCTGCTAGTCAAGCGGGCCTGTACAAACTAACGACTATGGACGTAACATGAGCGAACCTCCGCTGCTCACCCGGCGGCTCACGTTCGCCTTTCTCGCAATCTTCACCACTCTCTTGGTCGCCAACGTGTTGGTCCTCAACCACTCTCACAACCTCAGCATCTTCTACCAGGAATGGCTACCTTCTGTCTCCGCCGATGCGACCCAGCAGCGTGTAGGGTCCCACACATGGCAGAAGAGCCAAGAGCCTGGGCCGCTTGTCGAGATCGATGACATGCACCCCATCAGAGAGTTGATCCGGGATGCTGACCAGAGATTGGAAGAGTACGACTATGACAGGAGCAAGACGTTCAAGGAGACGGTGGAGAAGTATCGAAGGATGTATGGCAGACATCCGCCGCCAGGCTTCAAGGAGTGGTACAAGTTCGCACGCCGCAAGCATGTCCACAGTATCGACGACTTCGCTCAGATACACGATGATCTACGGCCCTTTTGGTCCATTCCGCCAACCGAGATCAGGCACTATGCGGCGCATTCGTCTGACGACCCGGCACATGGGCTTGCTACCATCCATTTGAGGGGAGGGCAAGTGTTCCAGGAGACGTGGGGCTGGAGAAGTGAGACTTTCATCAAGATGTTGAAGACTGTTAGTCGGTGGCTACCGGACATGGATATTCCCGTCAATCGCATGGATCAGCCGAGAGTGGTGGTGCCGTGGGAAGACATGCAGAGCATGCTTGCTGAGGAGGAGAAGGGTCGCACGCTGGAAACGGCAGGCGTTAACAGCGCATTCACTGAGAGCATGGAGGGACTTTGGCACCCCAACCCACGAATACCGGAACCGGCGTGGATCAACCGCTGGAACCCTTTCATCTACTTGAAGGACCATCGCAACGATATATCGGATCCGCATCCGCCGTACGGTTGGTTCCCATACGCCAACAAGCAGTTCATGGACCTCGCTGCAAAGGCCTGTCCCCCGAACTCGTACGCTCGCAATGCAGACTCTGCAGAGCACCAAAACTCGGCTGAAAGGAGCTACAAGCACCGCGAGGGGTACTTCATAACCAACTTCAATCTCTCGTCAGACCTCTGCACGGTCGGTCCTACCATTAGCAACTTACATGGCATGCTCTACGCTTCGACTTCAATGCTGGCAACCCACAAGCTTGTACCAGTCTTCTCGGAGTCTAAAACCAATGTCAACAACGACATCCTCTTCCCGGCAAATATGTACTTCAAGTCTGATCCTCGCTACGTCTACGACGACGAGCAAGATATCGACTGGGACGACAAGAACGACATGATGCCTTGGCGTGGTGTGACATCTGGTGGTACCGCATACGCTTCCGACCCGGGCGGCTGGAAGAACATGCACCGCCAGCGACTCGTCATGCTCACCAACTCGACCGCTCTTTTCGCGAATAACGATCAAGTTGAAATTCGTACTGCTCTCCCTGAGCACTTTACGCCGCAGACCACGTATGAGCAAGCCAACTTTACCAATCCTGCTCTTGCCGACTTCGCAGACGCCCACACAGATGTTGGCTTCACAGGCAAGCTTGCATGCGTGCCAAACTGCTCATTCTACGACGACACCTTCGCAATGATGAAGAAGACAAGCTTCGCGGAGACGTTCAAGTCGAAGTATCTGATCGACGTCGATGGACACAGCTTCTCTGGCCGATGGCGCGCGTTCTTGCAGAGCAGAAGTCTGGGTCTGAAGGCTACCATCTTTCGAGAATGGCATGACTCGCGTCTTTTCGCCTGGCGCCATTTTGTACCGTTGTCGAACGAATTCAACGAGCTGTACTCTCTGCTTACCTACTTCATTGGTCTGCAGGCGCAGGGCGATGGAGAGGAGTTGAAAGTAGAACGGCATGATTATGAGGCTTTCAAGATGGCGGAGCAGGGCCGAAAGTGGGCGCAAAAGGTGTTGAGGAAGGAGGATATCGAGATATACCTTTACCGGCTGCTCCTGGAGTATGCGAGGATCATTGATGACAATCGGGATAACATTGGGTTCAAGGGCGATGGAGGAGAGGAGATGGAGAGTTTTGATATGCTGGTTCCGGCTATGGCTTAATGTTGGAGATATACCCCTGGGTTTGGAGTCTTGGGGATTAGAAGTAGGTGTAAATGCATTGGGATACCCATGTTCTCTGCGCTCGAAACAACTTGATGACCTAATGTTGATTACCACAGCACTTTCTCTCGCTCCTCGAGAACCGCCAGGCTGGCACGTCTGACTTATGCGGAAGGCACGACTGCGCTATTGTTCAAGCACATGTCACATCCAATGATATTTCAATCGTATCCAACTTCACACAGCGCTCTTCTCCAACATCACATCATCACCGCTGCAGTATTGTCATCCACTGCAGCACCATCGCCACCATCGCTTTCTTCGAGAACAGCCATCAACATGCCATTGCCACTGTCATCCGCCGTCGCCGCTCGCATCCCGCTCTCCGTGAGCAAGGCGTACGACACGCTAACACAGTCACTGCAACAGGTGCACCAAGCAATCGTGGGAAAGGAGAACACCGCACCACCACAACCTCTGCCCGCTGCCCTTCGCTCACTCACCCGCGCCAAGAAAGCTTTCGAACGGGCCGGCTACGAAGGTGAAGCAGAAGCACTGGACGAGTTCTCGAGTATCCATTTCGACCTAGGGCTCACCGAGCGGGCGAGGAGGGAGATTGTGGCACTTCCGGTTTACGAGAGCAGGAGGGTGGACTTTGAGTATGGGTTACGATATGTGGAGAAGGCTTGGCGGGAGGTTGGGGAGGAGGTGATGATGGTTGAGGAGTTGGAGGAGATTGTTACGGATCTCCGGGAGAGGGAGGAAGGTGGGAGGGCGATTAGGAGGATGATGGCATCGACTTCGCTCGGGGAGGAGGAGATGAGGGAGGTGAGGCAGATGGCGGAGGGGGTTGAGAGGCTGTTGAGGGAAGATGGAGGGGGTGGAGAGGAGAAGGGAGAGACGAGGGAGGAGATGGAGGCGAGGGTTGCGGAAGAATGCGAGGAGGAGTCACGAAAGAGGGTGGAGGCTATTGAGCGGAGTGCGATGAGAGTGCATGGTAGAGTGTCGAGGAAGGGTTGCGTGGAGCTGTGAGATGGAGCTGAGTCACTTCTGGAGTCTTCAGGTGTGGCTCGATGGTGTCCCCATGCTGCTTGGATTCATAATCGTGTCTTGGATACTTCGACCTTCGACGCTTTTACGCCGCTCCTCCAATATTCAAGTGCGCTTGACTCCCAACATCATACCGCTTGGTACCGCCTTCGTCTGCTGGAGACCGCCCGGTGTCCATGCTTCTCATCCCTTCTCAAGCAAACAGTCCCTGCCAAACCAGAATCTCACCACCTTTGGTATTACACCCTCTACCTGAATCGCCCTGAACATCCCTGATCGGACCGTTGCTTCTCCGCCGCCCAGCTGCGCTCACACATCTGCCCAGGGTCGCATATCGGTCCTTCGTCTTTGTGTATGGTCTTTTTGACGCCCCTCTCCCTCTTGAGTCTTTTCTGTTCATCTTGGGGAAGGATTGAACAAGGTACCAAGCTGTAGCATCCTCTGCCCCGAACGGTGGCATGCGAGGTCTCCAGAGAGGTTGGAGTCTTGGCGAGAGATGTTCTGGCGAGCGTTTGTAAATGAGAGCGCGGCAAGCAGTCTGAGACGCTGTTATTCCGCGTGAACGGTCGGACACCGATGGTGATACTTGAAATGGCCTGACTGGTAGAGCACGAACGTGAGGCGCTTCATTGTGCCACCTGTCATCCTTCGCCATGTATATATGCACCTTCTGCGGGAGTATTGGCACATCTTAGAGGCGGAGGTGAACTCCACTGACTCTCTCCATGGTATTCCCGTATTCGACTGTTTCGACACCACGAGATTTGTCCACAGCTATGTCAACATATCATTTACGTCCCACACGAGAGCGGCAGGTCCTTCATCTCCTCTCACCCTTTCTTTGAGAAACTTCCGCTGCTGCGATCCTTCGAAAGCATGGAGGGGCGACAATTGTGGATATCATGGAAGATTGCTCCAAGCCAGCTGCTTCGAAGGGATAGAGGGAGCCAGTCCATTCTCAGCTCACATTGTCCGCATGTTCGCCGAGGAAGGGCTCGTTGGTGGTGAATTTCGGGGAGTTGGAATAGACAGCTAGGCCACCCATATAGTTGCTGGCTGGAACGACCGGGAACGGCGCCTCAGACCAGGTGAGGTAGCAGTGTCGCGGTCGACTGTAGTATTGATGTCACTGCGGTCAGCAGAGTTGGGGTATGTAATGGCCTTGTAGAACTCAGCAACTTCTCCGGCCGAAAAAGGAGTGGTTGCACTCCTTCCGTAGTCACCTCTTACTGCCCGACAGATCCCGCGCCACCTGTCCTCAGCATGTGACCAAGCCCGCCGTCTCCGACCTCAGTTCATCCCCGGCCCAAGCTCGGCGCTCGGCTCTTCAAGTATACATTGTGCTATTCTAAAAAGGCCAGTATCCAATCATGGATACTAAAGGCTAAGCCGCCCCGACCGAGCATCATTTGCTCGGCTACGACCATAATCGGCGTTAGCAAAAAGCTACCGATGGGGGAGCAAGGGGTGTTCAAGGAAAGGGTCAACAGTATATAGCTAATCAAATCTCCTAAGAAAAATACAACCAGAAAAAAACCTTCAAAAAAAAAAAAAGACAGAAAAATACCAAAGAAGCAGACAACCAAGTTATCTACTGAGTTTCTCTTCCACCTCAATCGAGGTCTTCTCTTTTGATATTTACAGATACCTCATACTCAAGCCTCTTCTTTTCGGACTCCGAGAAGACATAGAGACGACTTGCAGTAGTGACAAGCTCAGAGCACCTTCCAGCCTCAGCCTCCGTGCATTCTTTTGGACTTCTAGACCGGTATGGAGACTTCAGAGGGATCGGATGATCATGTAAAGACACAGGGACCATCTCGTTTTGTGGCGCGATGGCAGGGTGATCTCATTTGGGACTGAGCCGGTGCAAAGGACGACCGTTCTTCTTGATAACGTCCACAGAGTCCTCCGACATCAGATTGGCAAACGCATCCATCAGACAGGCACTGCTTCTTGGAGTACAAGGCAAGTATTGCAGGGGTGCATAAGGAGTACATGCTGTACATCGACTGATCGAGTGAAGTAGGAAGAGTGAGGTGAGGTCAAGACAACCACTGCTCCGCAATTCCCACCAAGACGAGACAGGCAAGTGATCAACACCACCTTCGCCGAAGACTACCACCTTTGTTTCCCAGGTGTTCAACATCCAGCTTGCCCTGCTTGTCCATCCACAAGTCAAGCTTGTTGTCATACAGGTGTCAGACACCTGGTAAATGCGGCGAGCTTGCTCCTCGCCCTCATTGCCTGGAGTCTTCACGTGATTGAATGAAGCATTGCTAATACAGCCTTACGACTCAGAGCTGAACATCGGCGTCTTCAAAACACTAAAAGAGCATCGATTCAGCATCGGCCAGCTCGATCATAACCTCTGGAGCTGCACTCAAGAACCATTGTTCACTTGAGATCATTGAGACGACATGCTATCATTCTAGCTACGAAACACTTCCAACATCGAACATCATGGCCTCCACAACTCTAAAACCCTGGACCTCCGAACCGCGCAAGCGCTACCGCCTGGTCGACTGCACACTCATCGACCCGAAAGACGGCAGCGTGCATTCTCACGTTGCCATCGATCTCAAAGATGGCGTGATCTCGCGCATGTCAAAGCTCTCCCAATGGCCTTCTCCAGGCGACGAAGTACTCTCATGGACGCAAGGTGAAGAGGTCACTATCATCAACCTTGACGGCCGATACGTGATGCCTGGTTTGATCGACTGCCATGTGCATTTCGCGACTCCGCCGGGTGAGAATGGGTTGAAGGATACGGTGAACCAGGACTTCAACACTTCTCTGCTGAGGCAGCCTTGGCTTGCTGGTGAGATCGTGAAGCGCGGGTTCACCACTGTGAGAGATTGCGGAGGAGCTGGGTTGGCGCTCAAAGAGGCGCTGAATGAGGGTCTCTGTCCTGGTCCAAGGCTTTTCATCGCTGGTCACGCCATCTCCCAGACTGCCGGGCATGGCGATTTGAGATCAGCGAAGGACGGAGAATACGCTTGTTGCGGCGGTCACGTCAACGGTCTTGGCCGTATCGCAGATGGCGTAGAGCAATGTCTGCATGCGGCGCGGGAGGAGCTTCGACAGGGCGCAGACTTCCTCAAAATCATGGTCTCCGGAGGAGTTGTGTCGCCCACGGATCGCTTGACCAATCTTCAGTACACCCCCGAAGAGATTCGCGCCATCACCAAAGTCGCGCACGACTCAGGCACATACGTCACCGCGCACGCCTACACTCCCGCGAGCATCCAGAACGCCGTGCTGAATGGTGTGATGGGCATCGAGCATGGAAATCTCATCGACGAGCAAACGGCAGAGCTCATGGCGGAGCGTGGCGCCTTTTTGACTCCGACACTGGTGACATATTATGCCATGGCTAGCAAAGAGTTCGGTGGGTTCCTGCCGCCTTCGATCGCAGCAAAGAACGTCGAAGTTCTGAACGCAGGGTTCCGAAGCCTCCAGATCGCCGACGCAGCGGGTGTGACCATGTGTTATGGCACCGATCTGCTTGGACCGCTGCAAGTCAAGCAGACTGGAGAGTTCGCTCTGCGAAAGAAGGCTGGGCTGAGTTCTCTGAAGATCATGCAGACCGCCACTGTTAACGCAGCACGCATGCTGCGGCAGGAGGAAACGCTGGGCCGGCTGAAGGAGGGTTTGGCAGCCGACTTGCTCGTCCTGAACGCGAACCCGCTGGAAGATATCGAAGTGCTCGATCGTCCGGAGCGGCATCTCTTGGCTGTCGTGCGAGGAGGCAGGGTCGTGCATTCCCGGTGGTCGAAGATGCCGAGCGATCTGCAGCACGCTCGCAACATCGAGTAGGACTGCAAAGTGGCCAGGAGTTGTAGTCACGGAGGGGAGCTTAACCCTTCGTCTCATTGCTTCGCTGTTTCAAGGGCTGAAAGGCGCGACAGGATCAGCCATAATATCCAGACAGTCCCGACCCCAAATCTCCACATGCTGCACATCCGCAATCTTCACTTCCGTAATGTGTACCTTCGCTACAACGTGTCCCCCGACATCAATGTCATCGTACCGTGGACCAATCTTGAAAATCATGTTGCCCACCCCAAGCCACTTGAGATTCTGCGCGTTCAATTTGCCAAGAGTCTGCGCCATATTGTTGTAGTGACCAGAGTTCTGACATTGTCCTTCGACCTCGTTGGGTAGCAGTAGTCGTAGAGCTTTGAGCTTGTGGAGGAAAGGCAGGAGGAGCCATATGGTTTTCAAGCTGTCCTCTGAGCTGACACCCACGCCCAGCTGCTCGAGATTCGGACAGTAGCGGATTAGCTCGCCGAGATCGTCCTGCGTCAGGTGCCATACGTCCCAAAGAAGGAGATGCTTCATAGAGCTGCCGTGACAACGTGTGATAGCATGTAGGTACTGCTTACCCAACGCAGTCGCCTCGAAGTCGGGCTGCGAGTCGTCGGGTGTGACTGGCATCTCTTGCCCGCTTCCGGGCGTGTTGCCCGTTTTGCCCAACCGCTGACTTACGATATACAGATTCTCTAGCGGCGCTTCGGCCCTCAACAGCATCTCCACATGCTGCATCGCAGGCTCGTTCGTCCGCATGGTGGTGAATTTGGTCGTGAGATCTGGAGGGATCTGCTTCCAAGTATCGTCTAAGAAGACGTTCGCACTGGCTCCTCTCGCGCCCCCGAAGACGTCGAGAAAGGTGACGCTTTTACAAGTGTCGTAGTTCAGGATGTCGCCCATGCCCTCGACGTTGCGGCCGTAGAAGTTTTGGACTGCGAAGTGCTTGAGCCCCATATGATACTCCGCTCGAAGGACTCGGCCAAAGTATGTAGCCCACGACAGGCTTGACTCTGCTTCGGCGCGCATACGGGGCGAGAAGTGGAGTCGGACGTCTTCGAGCTTCTTGGAGCTGAGGAGGAGGACTGAGATGTCGTCTGGATAGCAAAGGGGGTCGATCTCCATCGCTCTGAAAATTCGCAGATTGGCCATAGGCGGTATCACGACCGACGGTCTCGGCACCCTCGTCTGCGGGAATCTGATCGATAGGCTCGTGAGGTTGCTGTGCGAACCCAGTCCTTGATACAGTGGCTTCAGAGGCTTGCAGTCCAGCTCCCAGCTGAACGACCGTAGCTTCGTCATCCGGTCTGTCGCCGAGCGCATCAAGATGTTCAGCATCATGCTGTTATCTGGTACCCTGCCCTTCGCGAAGTCCTCCGCGCCCACCTCGTTCCATTCTCCATATACTCTGAAGTCTTGTACTATGCCAGCATGCGCTTTTGTGACCAGTCCATTCAACGCCATCAGAAAGGGGCTTGCAGACCCGAAACCCTCTGGTCGCCCATTGGTATACCGAATGGTCGGATATGAGTGCAGCGACACTTTGGCGTACAGCTGAGGTAGGGTCATATAGTACAGTAGTCGACATGTTCTCGTGACGCGCGCGATGTCTCCCAGGTCGTCGAGATGGCTCAGGATCAGACCAACGAGGTTGAGAGGCAGTGTCGCCGCACCGCCCGAGAAGCCATTCGTGGCCGGCACGGATGGGTATTGTGATACTGGCGAGGTGTATGTCACGAAACGTGGTATATCGTTCGGCACGGAGGTGGAACCGCGCAGTAAGGTCGATGCCTCCATGGCGCGCTTGTCTTGCGTTGGACGGGCGCTATCGTATCTGCATTCTGGTCGTGGTATGGCGGAGGACTCGGAGGATCAAGAAGTCACATACGTAGCTCGCTCTCGCTATCGACAGCGTGAAGCTAAGGCCGTGATTATGCCGCAGTCTGGGGAACGTGAATGCCTTCCCAGGCTCGCCAGGCTCGCCGATTCATTCTCAAGGCTTACGAATGGCAGACCGGATGTGTTAGTCATTGGCGACCGTGTTCTATGAACAAGGAAAGACTGAGGTAAAGTAGGTAGTAAGAGGACATTCACGCTTTGGTGTAACCATCTCGTTTCTATGCAAATGGTAGCTGATCGGTACGGCAATGCCCGGGTATCTAGAACAATCACTCCAAAAACCCCGTCTATTTCTTAATTTTAATGCCCTGCAACCCCTTCACACTCGCCCAAACAGTGCCACTGACTTTCACGGGCAGCTTGCGGCCCTTCAGTCGCTGATCGATGAGCCACATGCCAACGACAAACTCCTCCCTATTCAAGCGGCCAATGCCTCCGGTGTCCACAAGGTCCCAGACAGTCTCCAATTCAGCCGGCGGCAGTCGAGACCGATTCCAGATGTCTCGAGCAATGATGTTCGAGACTTGGTCAGCAGCAGCCTCTCGGACATCAACCGTCTGCTGCGATTTAGGTGACTTCCGGAATTTCATCTGTTCTTCAAGAGTGAAAGAGCAGTGCAAGCCTTTGTTGGCGGCCCATACACCTTCGTACCGCTTTCTCTCGCGCTCAGTCACCGCATCGCGCCATCGCTTGCGATCGCCCTCGTGGTGCTTGTTTGGATGCTTCCGCAGGTGTCGCTTTTTCTTGTGCTTTCCGTAAGGGTGTAACTCGTCGCTGTCATCGGAGCTTTCGGACTCCTCCTTTCGCATCGTGTGCCGCATACCACTTTTTGTAGGGCTCGGAGTTCGAGAGAATCCAAGGTTCGCAATGTGCTTGTGGCGCCTAGTCGGCGGTGGCGGAGGGTCCATCTTGCGGGGTGATGGCGCGCGTGAAGAAGCAAGACTGCCAGCAACCATGGCATCGGCCAGCTGGTCTCCTGTCATGCTTGGCGTCATTTTGCGTGCAGGATACATGTGATGGTATTGGGCCGGTATTGATTTGGCGGATGCTGAAGATGGCGCGAGTGACTCTGCTCGTACAGCAACGTTGCCGGCTACGGCATGTGGTATGCGCACGGCTTGGACGGTAGAGTTGCGTGACTGGGTCATTGGCGGCTCCGTGCCTTTCCGGTTCCTGCTTGGGCCACGGACGGTAGAGGGACTTCGCCTGATGGGAGAAGTCTCCCTTAGTGGGTCCTCAGAAGCAGATGCGTATGAGCCACTCGAAGATCGCCTAGATTCAGGTGGGCGAAGCACAGGCGGCGAAGCGGAATCGTTGTGCTGGCTGCTCTTCGACAGACCTCCCTTACCCGCCAACTCCATCTCAAACAAGGATGTGATGCCTCCAGATTGCCTAGTAGGTTTTGGCGATCTCAATGCCAGCTGACTGGATGGTTTGATGACCACAGGCTCCGGCCTCTTCCCTTCAGGAGTGCGAGACTTGCGCTCAAACAAGTCAACCAGCGAGGTCGTGGGCGGTATCGGCGAGGAGTCTGTTTGCTTGCTGTCTTGATTGCCATTCTGCGGCTGCTGTGTGCGAAACGATCGCGGCTTTGATCCTACCGGAGGTCCCCGCACCTCGTCCGCTCGTGCGCTGCTTGTCGCGATATTGACATTCGGGGCCGAGGGCTGAGGCGTGCTGGCAGCAGCAAATGAAGCAGCTTGCCTTGAAGGTGACTTGGAAGGCTCTTTCACCGGATCCGGCACTCCAAGGCGTGCTGTTCGGCTCGCGCCCAGTGAAAGTCTGTCTGCACTGCTCTTCACACTTCGCACGCTCTCGCCAGTTGTCTGCCGCTGAAGAGGTGGAGCTGGCGATTTCAGCCTGGCATTTGGTGACGGACTGCTGGTTCCAGCTCTCGCTGCCGCTGCTAAAGCACTGTTTACTCCGCTGGGTGTCTTCTCCTGGGCCCTCGCTTTGGTTGGTGGTCGCCCAAAGGCAGTCGCTGCTCCCAGGAGGGCGGCATTGCGCGGGCTCGTTCCAGTCTCAGCGGTGCTGGCGTAGGAAGGCGTCCGGGATGGACTCCTCGGCGCTTGCATGAGCGCCGATGATATGGTCTAGCGGGCGGTGGACCATTATGTTCGGAAGAGGAGGGGTAGTGTTGTTGCTGATGCACTGCCTCGAATAGATTACAAGGGAGGAAGGGTAAGCATCTCTCAGCCGTGATGAGCCGCAGTCGACGAGTTTTGTCAATGAAGCTGCCACTGCCACGAGCTCGCTTTTGGGAGAAGCCCCTGCTCTTTGTCACAACTCTCTTTCTTCTTTGATAATTTTAACATGCGAATTGAGACCGCAAGAGATCCATTCAACAAGGTCAGCATCGGCAGTCTTCGGATTGTGAAGACATCACTGTCGAAGCAACACAGTAGAGCTGATCATGTGACTGCGCATCACTAGCGCGTTTTGCTGCCTTGAAGAAAGCAGATGGACATGATGTAGTGGCGAGCACATTTTCGAACATCCCCAAGGGCGCTCAAATGTGAACAGTTCCATAGCACACACCTCGCACCATGGCGGACGACGATACCACGGAGTTTGACATGGTGGACGCCGCGGTGCAGGATGAGACTGCCGTCAAAGAAGAACACATGATGTACGGCCATGGCAAGTCTCACCACATCGTACGAAGGAGAACTTTGACTGACTTACCGAAAGGCGGCATGACCGAAGAAGAGCTAAGCGAAAAGTATCCGACTCGACCACACAACCATTCAAAGACTCTGCCATTCAGCGAGCTGTATCTGACCCTTTTCAACCCTCTGAAGGAGAACACGAAGAAGCCCACTGGACCGGCCGTTGCGAGAAAGAAAGTAGGCCCGCATGGCATGCGCAAGGCACCGAACGACATCCGCAGATCAATCATCGACCGCTTCATCGCACGATGGAGGAAGGAAGTGGGCAACGACATTTATCCTGCTTTTCGCCTCATCGTGCCGGAGAAGGACCGCGATCGAGCAATGTACGGCATCAAGGAGCTGACAATTGCTAAGCTCCTTATCAGTGTTATGAAGATTGACAAGAACAGCGAAGATGCCCAGAATTTGTTGCATTGGAAGCTGCCTGGAGCAAAGGCTTCAAGCGTCATGGCAGGTGACTTCGCCGGGAGATGTTTTGAGGTGATCAGCAAGCGTCCGATGAGGACTACGCCAGGAGAGATGACTATTGCCGAAGTGAACGAGCTACTGGACCACTTATCAGTGGCACAGAAAGAAGAAAATCAACGTCCGATCATGGAGCAGTTCTATACAAAGATGAACGCAGAAGAGCTGACATGGCTCATCCGCATGATTCTGAGACAGATGAAGGTTGGTGCAACTGAGAAGACAATCTTCGACAACTGGCACCCGGACGCTGAGAACCTATTCAACATCTCCTCCAGCCTTCGGCGGGTCTGCTGGGAGCTGTACGATCCTCAAGTGCGTCTGGAAGGAGATAGCAAAGGGATCAACCTGATGCAGTGTTTCCAGCCTCAGCTGGCGGCGTTCCAAATGCGATCAATGGAGCAAATGGTTGCTCGTATGAACGCCACCGAGGAGGATCCGGTATTCTATGTCGAAGAGAAGCTGGACGGGGAGCGAATGCAGCTACACATGGTCGAAGACAACGACAATTCTGGTGGCAAACGCTTCCGCTTCTGGTCGCGCAAGGCCAAGGACTACACCTACCTCTATGGCAATGGACTCGAAGACGACAACGCAGCGCTCACTCGTCATCTGAAGGAAGCCTTCGCAGACGGTGTCAGAAACATCATTCTTGACGGTGAGATGATCACTTGGGACCCGAAAGAAGACACTATTGTTGGCTTTGGAACGCTCAAGACAGCCGCCATCTCCGAGCAGGAGAATCCCTTTTCGACAGGCAACAGACCACTCTACCGCGTATTCGACTGTCTGTATTTGAATGATCGTGACCTCACGCGATACACGTTACGCGACCGTCGCAAGGCACTACGGCAGGCTGTCAACAATGTGCATCGCCGTATCGAGATTCACGAGGTGATAGAACGAAAAGAGGCGTCCGAGATCGATCCATTGCTACGGGAAGTCGTCGCCACTCGGGGTGAAGGGCTTGTGCTGAAGAACCCGCGCTCGTCGTACAAGCTCAACATGCGCAACGACGACTGGATCAAAGTAAAGCCAGAGTACATGACTGAGTTCGGCGAGGCATTGGACTGTATAGTAGTGGGCGGATACTATGGGTCTGGCAAGAGAGGAGGTAAGCTCAGCAGTTACATGTGCGCGCTGCGTCTGGATGAAGAGTGGCATACAGCTGGCACTCACCCTCAGAAGTGCTACTCATTCTTCAAGGTAGGTGGTGGATTCAAGGCCGGCGACTACGCTCAGATCCGGCATCTTACAGATGGTAAATGGCACGATTGGGATCCGAAAAAGCCTCCAACTGAAGTCATTGAGCTGGGTGGTGGTGACAGACAGTACGAGCGGCCGGACCAGTGGATTTATCCTGCGGATTCGGTTGTACTCTCCGTCAAAGCCGCAAACGCGGGAGGATCAGATCAGTTCAGGGTTGGCGGCACTCTGCGGTTCCCGCGCTTCAAGAAGTTGAGGACAGACAAGGACTGGAAGTCGGCACTCAGTGTGCAGGAGTTCTTCGCCTTGCGAAAGCAAATCGACGAGGAAAAGGAGGAGAAGCAGTTCAAGATCGATGACGAGAGACGCAAGCGCAACACGCGGAAGCGCAAGCGCAGTGTCATCATTCAAGGCCAGGAAGAGGACCTCAAAACTCCTTATGCCGGACCAGCGACGAAAGTCTTCGAAGGTCTCAGCTTCTGCATCATGACAGAGGCACTCGCTCCCATCAAGAAGTCAAAGATTGAGCTGGAGCAGATCGTCAAGGCGAACGGCGGCCTTGCCGTAGCATCTGAGAAGGACGAAAACACCATCATCATTGCCGATAGGAACCTGGTCAAGGTCGCCTCGCTGAAGAAGAAGGATCAGCAGAACCTGGTACGTCCGTCCTGGCTGCTCGACTGCGTGAAGCAGAGCGAGATCGACATCGGTAGGCCGAGCTACTTGTTGCCATTCGAGCCTCAGCATATGTTCCATACTGCGGCAGTAGACGATATCAGTGGGAATATTGAGGGCAACGTGGATGAGTACGGGGACAGCTATGCCAGAGACGTCACTCCTGAAGGTCTGCTTGATCTGTTCAAAAAGATGCCGGCAAAGTTCGAGGATGACGTTGACGGCGCTGAATTCCTTGATCAGCTCAATGAGCATGGCCATGGTGTCGATGCCATGCCTGGCTTCATGTTCCATGGCGTCAAGGCGTACATCGACGACGTTCCTGCAGAGGTCGTCAGGCTATTGTCGTTTGCTGGTGGAGAGGTTGCGGAGTCGATCGATGACCACGGCGTTACACATGTCATTGTCGTGCAGAACAGTCCTCGCCTGGACAATATTCAGAAGACTGTCAGTTCGAGGAAGAAGCTACCGAGGATTGTGACGCCGTCTTGGGTGTCAGACAGCTGGGTAGAGAAGACGAGGCTGGATGAAGAGCGTACGTTGTAATACCCTTGTCGGTAGTTAATGCTAACATCGCCAGGCTACGCTCGTGGTTGAATGGCTGAGCTGGCATCAGCACTGGCCGAGATTGAACTCTAAAAATGTCTCTGCACCACGACGAGCCAGTTCAAGCACCACGCGTGCCATCGCAGTAGCCGACGAGCTTTCTGCAGCACTACTATGCGAGGGGACTCCAACTGCCCAACCGAAGTATGCGCATGGCATTGCCTCCCATGACCGCCTCAGCGGCCTTGGTGTCTTCCCCGAATGCAGAAGTTACGGCGTTGGAATTTAGCGTCACGCTCTGCCATTCCTTCTCGCCTTTGTCGAGCGGAGGGAAGAATGGGTGGTCAGTGCCTATCGTTCAACATCGATTAGCAATGCAACTTCCACTTAAGTTGATCAGCTTGCTGCTCATACCAAACATCAACCTATCGGCGCCAGAAGCATCTACTGCAGCTTTCAGCCCTACATCTGCGTAGATGACAGCGTCCAGGTAGATATTGCTCTTCAACACATCCCACAAGCTCCGCCTGTTCACTATCCTACCTTCTTTCTTCAAGTGTGCATCATGCGCAATGCAGCTTTCGATCCTGCCAGCGAGGAACGGCAGTGTACCACCGCTGTGAGCGATCATGACATTGAGCTTCGGAAAGCGATCGAACACCCCGGCAAGCAGCATGCGAGTAACGGCGATCGTCGTCTCGAGTGGGAAGCCGAGTGCCAACGGCAAGACATGGCCATACTCGCTAGCCCGAGGACCGTACACAGTGTTTGGCAGGCCGTAATGCGGGTGAAGGAACCAGAGTGATCGTCAGCTACGTCCTCACCGCAACCTTATAGCAGAGAAGAACATACTGCTAGCTGATCGTGCTTCTGCAGCGCCTCATACACAGGATCTAAAGCCGGATCATCAAGACCTGCGCCCAGCCCCGACGACCCCATCACAATGCCGCGCATGTGCTTGAGCCCAGCCGCTCGTTCTATTTCCCGCACAATCTCACCCGATGACGCCGACAAAGGAAGCGTCGCGAAGGCGTACAACCTCCCTTCATGATCAGCACACAACTTTTCAGTATCATCGTTAATCATCCGAGCAGCTTCTGCTGCTGTCTCCGAGGGTAGCCAATCCAGCCAGGGATTCGCCAGGCTGATCACAGAGACATCGATGCCGTGAACGTCCATGAAAGCGAGCTTCTCGTTGACATCGAAGTATTCTGGTCCGATCGGTCGGCCGCGGGATGTGGATGCTGTGTCCTCGGCTGGAAGGATGACTAGACGATCACCTGCTGCTGGGTTGTCTGGGAACGAGCGAACGTAGGGGACTTCGTTGCGTGAACGTAGGAGGTCCATGTAGGCCTTGTGCTGTGAGTACTGGTAGGTCATTTTGTTTCGAGGATGCTTACTGGCGGGTACATGTGAGTGTGCACGTCTACTACTGACGTTTGGGGCGCCATGATTCAATTTGTATGTGGTCAATTTTGGAAGTGGAAATCTCCATTCAATGTGAGGTTGTTGGACAGACGCCTTCACAGCAGCCCCACTTGCCTTATCTACAGCACGCAGCTCCCTCACCCAACACGCGACAGGAACAGACCAATCCTTCTTTTGACCTCACCTCCTCTCTTTACAAGTAATTCAGAGAAACTTCCATACCAATCACAATGTCGAACACAGCTGTTAACGCCGTCTCATCTGACAGTCTGAACATTCCTCTCATCGACTTTAGCTCATTCATATCTGGAGATGAGGCCAACATAAGATCAACTGCTCAGCAAATACTGTCTGGCTTCCAGAACGCTGGATTTATCTACTTGAAGAACCACCCGATCACTAAGCCTACAGTCCAAACGACCTTTGACTTATCAGCCAAGTTCTTCGCCAGGCCTCTGGAGCAGAAAGACGCTCTTTCTTGGACGACTCCAGAAGCGAATCGCGGCTACTCTGGACAGGGCCGGGAGAAGACGAGCAATGCCTTCGACATTGACGACATTGCAAAGGAACGAGAGCAAGCTGGAGCCGATCTGAAGGAGTCTTTCGAGATTGGACGGGAAGGTGTGGAAGGGATGCCAAATCACTGGCCGGATCAGTTCGATCGAGATGGCGAGGCGTTCAAGAAGCATGTGCTTGAGTTCTTCGAGCAGTGCAAGGACCTGCATGTGCAGATCATGCGCTCCATTGCGGTCGGGCTGGGCATTGACAGGTCTTGGTTCGATGGCTACTGCGACGATGGCGACAATACGCTGCGCTTACTGCACTACCCTGAAGTGGACGCCAAGGTCTTCAAGCAGAACAAGAACCAAGTACGGGCTGGTGCACACTCTGACTATGGCTCCATCACTCTGGTGTGTTCTGCTGGAAGGTCGTAAACGTGACCACGCTGACCATTGTGCCACAGCTCTTCCAAGACATGAGAGGCGGTCTCCAGGTGCTCTCACCCAACGGCAACTTCATCGACGCTACGCCAATCGAAGACACCATCGTCGTCAACGCTGGCGATCTCCTTGCCCGCTGGTCGAACGATACCATCAAAAGCACGGAGCATCGTGTCGTCGAGCCGTCTACCAAAGCCGATACGCATCCGCCGCGGTACAGCATCGCATACTTCTGCAATCCGAACTACGAGAGCGTGATTGAGTCGATCCCATCTACCTTTGACGGGCCCCAGGGGAAGAAGTACGAGGCGGTGAAAAGGTGAGTGGTACAACCCTAATGCGGGCAATGTGATCTCGCTGACGGCGATACAGTGGCGACTACCTTGTACAGCGTCTTACTGCGACGTACTAACAACATGGAGGGGGAGGGAAGAGTTTGACAGCCCTACTGGCGTCTGACTGCTCCAGGCCGTGCTCGCCGTGGCAGCAACTGCCAAAAGCGGTCATGATTGGCGTTGTCGATCTCGATTTCAGCCACAGACTCGGTCTGGCCAGTCCGCAGGAATGATCCGACGGCTTCAGACTCCACCACCCCATACCTGAGAGCCTTGGAAACCGGAAACGCCAAGTATACCGTCTCCAGGCTCTACGGGCTGGCACGACGGCGACAGCGAGGACGGCTGGCTCCCACAAAGCGCACGAAAATTCTCTCTGGCTCGTGATCACCAGTGGCACACTAATCAAATCGTGGCGTGATCGACGACTTGCGGCTCGCAAATCGCCTACAGCCACTTCAACCCCGCTTGTTGACCCTTGGTGCCGTCCACCACTTTGAGCCTTTCCACGGAGAAATGTATCACGAGCTCAGTCGGCGTTTTCGAGACTGCAGTTGTGACTGTTACTTCTCCGCAGCCGACACCGAGCGCGCATGATCACCCCGCTGCATCATGATGCAGACTTCGGTCAAGGGCAGCACATCAACACTGCATTGGCACCAAGCGGCTTTTCACATGAATGTCGAGCCAGAACCATCAACAACCACATCAGAATGGCGAAATACCGGAGTGGTGGATCGCCTTGGAAGTCCAGCAGCCGTCTTGCCGCCACGTGCTCGAGGAGCCAGTCTGTGCTGTTATGAACTATTCCATTTCACGATATTGTTTCCACGTTGAACTTCCACAACGTCTGTTGGGGTGCTGTTTGTTTCGATGCTTACGTTCTTAGAGTCATCACGACCGCGTTCAGCCTCAAAATAGAGTGGAAACGAGAGGGCATGCCTCTTCTTGCACTGGCGGAGCCACAGAATTTTCTCATGCCGACGTCGGTCTGAGGTGCGTCGCGGACTTGTCAGCGAGTAGCAGCAATTGAGTTACGTTATATTTACCATTGCGGTGGTTCCTTACTGTCGTGCTTCGCAACATGTTCGACTAATAAGATCTGAGCTGTCTGCTCTCCGTCTGCTCTCGCAAGCATGTCACAGAACCCTCCTCCCATCTTGAACGAAGACATTGGTTGATCCAGCACAACACCGTCACGTAGGGCTTGTTCGGACCGATTTCCTTCTCCACACAACACTCTCCGCGCCACAGCCCACCCGCCCGCCTGTGACGTGTTTCCTCTGTTTTCCTTCGAGATGCCCAGCAAAATCTTCGGCGTTGACCTACGCCTGCCCCAGCCGCAGAACGAAAGGCCTGGCAAAACAACTTCAAGCGCCACCAACAGTCCTGCTTCATCCCGAAGAGGTAGCCTTCACACCGCAGGAATGGATCACGTCAAGAGGCCCAGTCTGGCAGGCCTCAAGTTGGGGAGCAGCGACAAGAAGAACAAGGAACGGTCCTTGTCGAAAGATCGCAAAATTGGGCCGTCGCAACTGTCGCCTTCAATCCAACCGAAGTCCGTGAAATTGGGCATGTACATGGAAAGCCCGCCGACTCTGTTTATCGGCGCACCGTCACAATCATCCGGAGTGTTGATGTCCGGGCGGCTGCAAGTCACTCCCAACGTCCCAGAAGCCACACTCAACAGCGTCACTATGTATCTGGAATGCACAACGACCACGAAGCGACCAGTCTCCGATCGGTGCCGCGAATGCCAGACTCAGATCAACGACCTGTATGAGTGGCATTTTTTCACGCAACCGAAGACTTTCAAGGCGCAAAATGGGATGCAAGAGCTGCCATTCTCGCACTTGATTCCCGGACACCTTCCTGCGACTACTCACGGCCAGATTGGAAGCCTCGATTATTCACTTCATGTGAAAGCGAAGGCAGCTGACGGGCAAGAAATCGAATTCCGCCGCGAGCTCAAGTTCCAGCGGGCGCTGCTTCCTGGGAACGAGAAGAACAGTGTTCGCATTTTCCCACCAACCACGCTCGCACTTCACGTCACACTCCCGAGTGTCATCCACCCGATCGGCGAATTTCCGATACAATGTCGTATGACGGGCATCACGACGCAGAAGGGTAACGACACCGCCCGCTGGCGACTGCGAAAACTTCTCTGGCGCATCGAAGAGTTCGAGTCCATGGTCTCACCAGCTTGCAGCAAGCACGCCAGCAAAGTCGGCGGCGAGGGCAAAGGCATCTCGCACGAGAACACCCGCGAGGTCGGCATGGACGAGCTCAAACAAGGCTGGAAAACGGACTTTGACGGCGAAGGCTCGATCGAGGGCGAGTTCAACGCCGCTATCGATGCGTCTGCGAAACCACAGTGCGATGTGAATGCACAGAACGGCCTCAGGATATCGCACACCCTCATCATTGAGCTGGTCATTGCGGAGGAATGGGCCACGGGCAAGAAGCCTGGCGCTGCCACTCCAACCGGTGCCGCCAGGGTGCTTCGCACGCAGTTCAATCTCAATGTGACGGAACGAGCAGGCATGGGCCTGAGCTGGGACGACGAGCAGCCGCCCATGTATGAAGATGTTCCAGTATCGCCACCGCACTACCAGGGGGAGCACACGACCATGACAGACTACGAAGGCGATGATTTGCATGAGGATGTGGAGCACTTGGTCCTCACGCCTTGATCCACGGTGATTCTTTCGACTTCGACTTTCTCTCTGGAGCTCTTGGTTCGGTTCGATATATCGATGATACCCCATCTCTTTACTGGGAAATGGTTTTCGCGGATTACTGTTTCCGGTCTTTACGGCGGCTTGTGTTTCTTCATGGGTTTATTGATTTCAGCGAGGCGTTGGGGCGAAACCTAGGCGTCTACATGGACAGCGCGGAGCAACATCAGGTTTCTCATGTGGTTTGCTCATACTCAGTCTAGTTTTCAAGTTTAATATAGCATTTCAGATGTCGACATTCAACTACGACATCAACCCACATGCTCCTCCCACTCATTAGCTCCAGCAATGCCCGTATGATAATATCTTCTTTGAACATACCCTGCCAACGCCCTACACCTACGCTTAGCAGCAACAACAAGGACGCTCCGCTTCACACGACCCAACCATGCCGCCCACGCCCAACTCCTGACAACCAGATACAATATCACCTCCTCATCCAAACGCAACCTCCTCCCATCAACGCCCCTGACCCAAGTACTGCTCACACCCCCTATGACACTGCAGCACCGCTTCAAAATCCGCCAGAGTCATATACGACTTCCCCCTTCCCCTGGCCCGTTCATGCAGCTCGCGGTACTTGTTGTACCGTTTGGTCGTCACGCATGACCGGGAGCAGCAGCGGTCTTTTAGGATTCTGCGTTCGCACGGGCGGCGGCAGTGGTGGGAACATGGGACTGTGTGGCTGTAGCGGGAGTGTCGGCAGTGGGTGTAACATATGTGTGTTGTGGTGCACATGGTGAGGTGAGATGGTGCTGGTGTTGAGGGGCTGGGTGGCGATGTTTAAATTGTTGTCGGTGTGTTGGGCTCTGAAGGTCGACTGCTCGGAGAATAGCGGCCGGGAGGTCTGTTGCTGATGGTCGTGGTTGGGGTCGTTGTGGACGAGATGGTAGATATGGGGGCGTTCTGGACAGCGCAAGATCAAGCGGCCGCTGCGAGACAAGACGCTGCCGTTGAGACAAAACGCAGGCGAACAATGCAGTCGTACGAGACAACGACGCACGCGAGAAAAGGCCCCAACGAGGCGGTGGTGTCCCATGTGGTGATTCGATCCTGGCTGTGACCTTCTTCAGCCATGTACGACAGACTATGTTTGCTGACCCGTACCACCACGCACGTAGCCGAGTCTCGATTTGTGGAACGTGTACCTTAACAATCACAGTGTGTTCCTAGAAAGAGAGGTCGACGATTTCCGGTCTTATGAGTCGCAAGGGTGCCATATCTACATCCATTGGGCCTTGAGACCAACGTGATGAACCAGCACCGTCGTGTCGGGCGTCCCATGCATGTCGTTGCAATGGCGTCTACCCGTCCCCTAACGTCTGAACGGGTCGCGAGGCAGAAGCAGCGACCAAGAAGGGAGACCTTAGGAGCGGTTGACATCAATTTACCAGGTATGGTGTATGGTGTGCTGGTTGCTCTCAGTTGTCCCGTAACATAATTCAAATTCTCATTTGCCGGAGGACCATCATCGAAGCAATATCAGTCCACAATACGACCATGCGTTCATTCAGCCTTCGCTCCTTCCACCGCTTGCGCATCCGGCATGTCAGCGTCTCTATCCTTCTCCACCTTCTCCACTTCCTCTGCCTTTGGAGTGGCTTTCACCTCCTCCCTGCTTGGCTCATTCCTTGGCGCAGCTCTGCCCCTATCACGGCTGCGCTCACGCCTGTCCCTCTGAAGATCTTTGTCCCTGCTGCGATCCCTACGATCGCGAATGTCCCTCTCCCGGACGCGACTGCGGCTCCGCTCCCTGCGACGGACCGACCTGTCACCATCATCTGGCCGAGCGCCGGAGCCAGGGATGTAGCGGTCAATGTCACTTGGCCTTGGGCGGTCGTCGTCGCGTGGTCGTCTCCTGCGATCGGCTTCACGATCTCGGTCCCGATCTCTGTCGCGGTTTCTCAAGTCCCGATCTTCACGGTTGCACTCGGGCTCCCGTTCCCGGTCTCGCGGTCGATCGCGTGGTCGCTCGTTCGGGCCGTCATCTTTTTCTCTTCTGGCACCAGTATTGGCCGCAGCAGCGCCACCTGGCACATACCGATCGATACCAGGCGGGCTGCGGCTTCTTCCTCCTCTCCTGGGAGGCGAGCGGTACCTGCGTGGTGGCGAGCGTGAGCGACTGCGGTCTCTGCGTCTCGGAGGCGATCGCGAGTCGCGGTCACGCCTTCTCCTGAAAAAGTCGCGTGAGCGGCTTCTGAGGCGCGTTGACAGGCGAGGCTCCACCACTTCGCCCTCCTCGCCACGCTCGCTTCTCCCACCTCGTGCACGAGCCTTCCATGCTTCCCGCTCGGCACTGACATCCCGGTATCTTCCACTCTCTCTGCGTAGAGCATCACGATCGCGCCGCAACGGACGACGATCATCGTAATCTGGGGACATGTCTCTTCGGCTGCGGCTTCCAGGCCTGGCGTCATCCCTACCGGACGCTGGGGCGGTTGGCGGAGCTGGAGGGCTACGTGCGGACGTGCCTGCCTTATCACCCTTCTTAAGGGTCAACGAAGTCGGCAATAGTCCTTGGCTTCTCATCTCGTCCCGGGAAAGCTTGTCGTGCGGCGCTGAGGTCATTCGTGCAAGTTTCGCTGGTGGCTCCATGCTCTCACTACGCTCTGGTTCCGGCCGCTTGCTCTTTTCCGCCATCTGCTTGCCCTCCCTGATTAATAGATCCAGCGCTTCTTGCTCGAGCCGCTTCGCCTCACGCTCCTCTCTCTCGCGTTGCCTCTTCTGTCGCTCTGCTTCTTTCGCCGCCTCCCGCTCATCTGCCTCCTTCTTAAGGCGGTCACGCTCTTCGTTGAACTTGCGGATGCGCTCGCGCTCCTTCTCCTTTTCGGCGTTTTTCCAGGCTTCACGCTCTGCGCGCCTCTTATGCTCTCTCTGCAGCTTCTCTGTCTCGGCCTTCAGCTCCTCTTGCTTCTTCAACAGCGCTTCGAGCTCCTTCTTCTTCCTCTCCGATGCCTCTTTCTTCTTTCTACCCTTCTCCTCATCTGCAAACTTCTTCGCGCGGTCATTTCTTCTCTGCTCGGCTTCAGCAGCATATTGCTCCTCGCTTTTGCTGCCGCGTGCGATTTCCTGCTCCACCGCATCGTCACCAATTTCCTGTCTGCGCAGGTCTCTCAAGGCATTCTCTGCGCTGGCTAGATACTGCTCAATGTAGCCCTCCACATCACTTTCGACTTTTGAGTAGACGCCGCCTCTCGCCGCCGCACCTTCCAGTAAAGGTGCTGCGATTCTTCGATCGGGCTTTAAGTACTTCACGGGCTCCCGCTCGATCTCATTTGTAGTGAAGTTGCGCAGCGACGCCTCGAACATGCCACGTGATGCACTCTCATTATACTGTTGGAAAGCCTTCTTGCGCACAGTGTCGAACTCGCCGCGCTTCTTGAACGTGTGCAGGAGCGTGTCGATGGAACCGCGTTGTGCGGAGGATAGTGGCAGCTCACTGATCTTTGGCTTCTTGCGTGGTGGGATGTTGTATTCGCCCGTATCGGCCATGACGACGTCGGTAGACGCCATTGTTGGCCGCGACGCGTCGGTGCGCGTTGTGATGGTCGTGGATGAAGACGAGGTCGTGAAGCTGGATTGATCGCAGGAGTGGTCCGGAGGCTCCTGCCATTTATGTGCTAGCGCATCCGAAGCTCCGAAGAGCTCAGTCACCAGGAGGGAGCTTGTGTGACGAGCAACCATTGGGGATTACACAACAACAACCACACACGAACGTTTTTGCGGAGCACTCTCAAGCTACTAGAGGGCCACATATAGCATCGAGCCTACCAACTTATGCCACAGCACCAGCGCTGAGCCCAGCACAATGGTGAACAAGGTCCTCTTCTGGTCCGGCTTCGGTACGATATTGCCAATCCTTCTTCCAGTTTTCAGCCCATGCTAACACATGTATACAGGCATGGTCGTCCGCTTCTGGCAGCTCGGCATCGAAATGCGCCCATTCGCGCAACAATGGTGGGCCTACGGCATCTACGGCGGCCTCGGTGCGGGCTTCGGCTACTGGCTCCAGGGCGTTGAGCACAATCAGATGCGCTACCTGCGAGATACAAGGGACAGGTTACTGGAGAAGAGGAGAAGGAGGGCGGAGAGGGAGGGTGAGGGTGCTTTGACGGCGGGGACTGGGTTCCAGAAGGGCACCGAGGGCTTGATGGCTAGCCCGACCTTCCGGGTCAACACGGGTATTGAGGTGCAGGGAGAACGGATGACTGAGAGAACGAGGGCAGCGGGAGAGTCATAATGTGGTGGGATGACATGGGGATCGTGATTGGGAGACCAAGGAAGTGGGGATGTTGAGGTGATGGCCAGTGGGCGCGCGGAGGAGCTGCTTGGTCGAAGCCGCATGTGTTCAAGACCACTGGAAGGGCTCAGTGGTTTAGATGCGAATGTAACGTGGTATGATGAGCGCATGTAGTACATACCAATCTGTCCGTTGAAGCGGCAATCTTATTTTGGCTTTTCCGCTTCAATGGTCATGGCTTCTGAATATGTGTTCACTTCATCTCGTCTTCGAAAGTATATATGCACCTCTTTTGCTCGAGGAGTCAGGTATGACAGAGAAGCAGGCTTCCATACAAGACCATGAGTTCTTCCGGCCACGACTTCGCTTCCGGTAACGAATGGCAAGGCCTACTGAGCGCCAACACACCCATCGACAGCCTACCCAATGGCCGCAACAGTACCACAAGCAGACCGCGCACCCCCAATGCCGCTAACTCGTCGCCAAGGAGCGGAATCGTGGTCTTCTCCGGAGGCAGCGCTGCCAACCATCTAGTCGAGATCTTGAACCAGCTCCGCGAAGCCAATAACACCACTCTAAGCTATGTTGTACCTATCTCGGACAATGGCGGCAGCAGCAGTGAGCTGATACGCGTCTTTGGCGGGCCAGGTATGGCCATACTGATTGCTACTCTACGCACACACAATGCTAACGATTCGTGGTAGGCATTGGCGATATTCGCTCGAGACTCGTTCGTCTCATTCCAGAGAGCAGCGCCGAATCGATAGCAATCAAGACCTTCTTCAACCACCGCCTGCCGAAGACCTACCAGCCAGCTCGCACAGAATGGCACGATATCGTCGAAGCGAACAATCCACTATGGGACGGCATCTCGAGCCCCAAACGCGAGCTCATCCGCAGCTTCCTGAACGCCATCAACCTGGAGATGGTCAAGCGGTTGCGTCCAACAAGTCGGTTTGATTTCTCCGGCGCGGCTATAGGCAATCTCTTCCTCACGGGTGCGAGGCTGTTCACAGGCAGCTTCGAAGCGGCCATCTATCTCCTGAGCTCCATCTGCGGCGTGCCGGATAGCATAGCAGTGCTGCCTGTGCTCAACACCAACTTTGCCCATCACATCGCCGCCAGTCTTGCGGATGGCACCATCATTACCGGCCAGAACAACATCTCTCACCCGAGTGTGCCGACTGCAGCCGTGCCTACGCAGCAACAACAAGGACAGCCGGTATCTCCAGCCTGGCTACTTAAGACTGAGACGGAAGAACAAGACAAAGTTGAAGACGCAAACCTCCCTGGTACCCTTCCAGTCCTTCGCAAACCAGCCATTGCTTTCTCCAAGGCTGATGAAGAAGAGCTGCCCTCTCGCATCGAAAGGCTGTGGTACATCAATCCCTACGGTCAGGAGATCTCGCTTCCCGCCAATCCGCGGGTTCTAGATGCCATCAACAGCTCAGAGACAATCATCTACTCCATCGGGTCCCTTTTCACCTCCATCATTCCATCCTTGATTCTGCGAGGTGTAGGTGAGGCAATAGCATCCCCATCTGTCCGCTCAAAGATCCTCATCCTCAATGGCACCATCGACCGCGAGACAGGTCCATCCGCCGACCCATATACAGCGATGGACTTCATCGCCACCATCGCAAACGCATGTGCAGAGTCCAGGGGCTTAGCCCGGCCCCCACCAGACGAATGGGTCAGGTACGTTACAGCAGTGGTCTATCTTGAAGGGCCCGGATGTCCGAGGGTGGACAAGAAGGCTTTAGGCATGATTGGAATCGAGAGCATGCGGCTCTATGGCCCAAGAGAAGAAGGAGGGAGGGGTGGGAGGTATGATTTGAAGGCCTTGGAGCAGGCGCTTGAGGCGATCATTGGGAGGAAGGATCCACGAAGCGATCGGACGAGGCGTAATACGCTTGTTGGATGATGAATGGCAGGGCTTATCTAGAGGACGCTTTGGGCCAACGAACACTTTGCTAGCCACCATGGCGAGGCCTCAAAGGTCATCAAAACACTCCAGGATGCCACCGAAATACTTCGATTATCTCCGACTCTCGAGGCGAGAAGCAAGATATCATTAGCATCGCATTGTATCCATCGCGTCTTGCCGTAAGAGGCATATGATACGGCGTCGACAAAGTGGCGAGATACATGTAGTCAGATGATATCCACAACATTCGTGACAATTACTGTCTTGCTGCGCAGCAATTCCATTTTGCTTCGGAAGGACTGCTTTATTACTCTTTCGCAATCCCTTGGGGAGATCAATGCGGCTCCTCGCCGGCCATCAAATCGTTCCAATGCAGTCTTCTCTTTGTGGTAACATCCCCTTGAGCATACCTCGTAGCGAGAACAGCGTCCTGTCGACCGTTGACCGCTCTGTACGAGAAGGGACGTTGAAACGAAGCAAAGTCTCGAATCGCGTAGCCAACGCGCTAGAATAAGAAAGTGGATCTCGACTGCCACTCCACGCGGAGGGTGGTCGTTTATTATGGTGGCGCAGTCGAGCTCCGTTTCCTCTACCTCAAATTTTGACCTGGACGTCCTTTTTGACCTCCAAATCGCTTTGTTTCTTGTTCCTGACTATTATTACATACACGTCGCCGTCGTCCCTTCTGCGCCCACCGCGCTGAGATGTACCTACCCTCTCGCTCGAGGGGAGAGGCGACTTTGCGACGAGGACGACTCTGCGACGGGGACGACTCATAGTCACTTTGGCGATACCTTAGGGTCAACTTGGCGACAGGAATGAGTAATAAACACAAAGCAACTTGAAAGTCAGAAGTCGTTGTACGAATTTCGAAGTTCAAACGCCCAGAATTTCAGCCACCATAATAAACGACCACCTTCGCGGATGGTCTGTAGTCATCTCAACTGCCCTGTCACTCCACGCGGAGAACTGGAATGAACTCTTACAAATCGTTCATATTACATCACGCCTCATGTTGAATATGTCGAGGCTCTCTGCATGCGTACTGTCTTACATTCTGCCACAACCTCCACCTTCCCACTACCTCTCCCTCTCCGACCCTTCCGTCCTCGTCATAGCTCCGACTAGAGCTCATCATCAGTCTCCATCGCGTCGTCGTCGAGGTTCCAGTCCGCGGGAGCATCTGGGAGCTCATCTTGGGAGGAAGGCGGTGTCGTTTTGCCTGATTCGCTCCCACGAACTGGCGACGATGACGCCTGCATTGGCGATGAAGGACCGACAGCCTGTCGCACCTGTACCAGAAATGCAATCCGTCAGCAAACATTCACTTGACGCGCGGAACTATGTGCAAAGACGTGTACAACAACGAGACTGATGGATCATTCGAGGTAAGAAGATACAACGCAGGGACGCAAGCGTACTCACCGTTTCCTCGCTCGACGTACGCTCTAGGGTTGAGGGCTCTGGGCTCGCTCCAATCGCCAACCCACCGACGCCCTCTTCCAGCTCCTTGCTCTTGTCGCCGCTCGCCTCAGGTCCCTTGCTCTCGTCCTTGGATTCTGTTCCGGGCTCCTCTGGCACAGGCAAGCCACGGGCCTTCCACTGCTTCTCCCACAAGCTGTCCAGCTCATCAAGCATGAGTTGCTATATTGCAGCATGTTAGCACTTTCCTTACAGCTTCAGCACCACCATCTGCAAGCCGGATGTTGGAGAAGGTGCAGACGTGTTGGCAGGCGAAAAGCTTACCGTATGCTCGGCCAAAGCAATCAGATTCTCATCGTGAGCATCGACATCCTCGTACAGGCTAGGAGTTTCGGCAAGCACCTCGAGACAACGCACCAGAAAAGAGCGAGCGCGCCAGTGATGGCGGGTGCAGAGTGATTGTAGCTGCAGCGCATGTGCTTGGATGAAGCGTGGACATACCTGGGTGTAGGCGGGTCAGTATCCATGCTTGGAAGGTCGACATCACCGCGGGCCTGTATGGGAGAGTGGCTGACAACCAGACCGCGTACGAGTTCGCAGAGGGCAAACAGTGACTTACGAAGTCGCCGGTGAGCTCACGACAGAGATCGTCGGCGCGAACGCTGTCGTCTTGGTCGTAAGCGGCAACAGCACGCTGGTATTTTGTCTGGAAGAAGGCTGACTGGTTCCTTGAAGTATCCATCTTTTGCGATACCCAAGGCGCTGTTGTATGTTGTGTGTGTTGTGACCGAGGAATGTCGGAGGAACTGCTGATGCTGAAGAGATTCGTGTCGCGGTTACGGGAAGGTGCGTCTCTGAAACCGCGCAGCCGGGCACGTGCATATGACGCACAGGTCAGTTCCAAATGCACGTGAATCGGAAGGTCAAAGCTCCCTTCTTCACGCAGACCGTTTGCAACACATTTCACATCGTTCACCAAAGCAAAAATTTCTACCTTCCAATCTTTCGACATCCCTACCAACCTACCGTCACATTTTCCTTGGCCCGACCTTTCAGCCGCTTGGGCAAGACCAAACATCCCGATACACGCGCCAACATGGCGAGCGCAGGCGGCGGAGGCGCAGACGCAGCTGGTGAAGATCAAGAGATGCGTGACAGCCCTGCCTTGAATGAAGGGGAGCAGGAGGATGCCAATGCCATGCACTCCGACGAGCTCCACGCCAGGCGCACGCGGGAGAAGACGCTCCCTTCTCCGCGGGTGCTCGGTGCTGGCTCGGGATACCACTGCATACCTTTCGTCGAGACATGGGGCAGTCACCCGGATGGTACCAACTACCGAGCGTGGAAAGAACTCTGCGAGAGACTGGACCGACACACCAGCTTCCCACCTCCTCCGGCAGCCCTGGGGCACTGGCCTGTGGATCTCATGGCCGGCCTACCTACTCAGTTCGTTCACCCGGATCTCATCAGCCGGGCCGTCGCGCGTCGACGGGGCAGTACAGACAGTCCGAAATCCGAATGGCCCATCGTTGGGTGGATTGTTGTCGTTACACCCCGTTCGAACGAAGCTGCACTCAATAGTCTTGTGGCAACGACCTACGCAGCAAGCTACCTCCAATCCTTGCCTGGACGGGCACGAACTCAATTCCTCATCGATACACCGTGCGACGATGGTACGATTGACAGGGTGCGGCTGGTATTGGAGGACATTTCCAAGAGAAGTGGGTCATTCTGTACAACAAGATGCCAAAACATCGTTCGCTGACTGATTACAGGCCCTTACGCACCAGGGACATGGTCGAGAGCCGTGATCAACAATGTAGGTCAGGTCGCCCTTGAGGTGGCAAGCACAACTTCCAGATCGATTCAGCTCCCAAACCTCGATATGGACTCACGAAAGCAAGGTTTGCGGGCAAAGGTGCGATGCTTCGATCCATCGAAGCTTGGACAGCGGGACGGAGGCATTTATGAGCGTCAAGTAAATTTGGCCATTTCCGAACTGCTCGAGCTCACGGAGACCCCGACACTCTCTCACATCTATGCTCCAGCTACGCTCCCAGCTGGGACACAAATCCCGGGTGCGTCGACTGAGCAGACCCATCGGATACTCCAATCCGCCTCCCTGGTACTTTCACGTCTTCATCACAGGGTCATTTCGCCTTCTGCAATCCAGATTCAGAAGACTCTCCTGCTCGGTCTTTTTGGATCCAGAACAGCTGCAGCAAAAGCCGGCCCGGGTCAGCTCTACTTCTTGCAACAGGGAGAGGACGGCAACTTCAGTCTGTTACCATCATCGGCATGTACTGCGATTTTCGAGGATACTACGCCAAACACAATCACGGGCATACCGTCTCGAGAGGCTGCGATCAGGGTGGAAGACACATTCTACTCAACGCTGCACAGTACCAGCTCACTGGATGCTGCTTGGGAGGCTGCCTGCCGCCGTGCAGACTTCGAAAGCCATCTAGCAGCTTCGGGTGAAGAAGGGGCAATTGCGGATTCGTGTCCTCCTCAAGAGAAGCACTGCAGAACGCATCTTTGTAGATGCGGAAGGCTTTGTGTCTGTTCCGCCTTTGTGGTCGTAGGTGGAGAAAGGCGCTGTCCGCACTGTGCTGGCGACAGCGGCCCGGCGACGAGAGAGAAGCCGAGGAAACATCCTTGCGCGCAGTGCAAAGGCACGTCCAAGCTCTGCATGAGAAGAGCGATTGGCTTGCCATGCACAGAGTGTGAGAAGGAAGGCCGACAGTGCAGCTTGCGGGCGGAGGTGTGCGATGGGTGCAAGGACACACCGCTCCTCTGTAACAAGCCCGCCCATGTTGGTGCGCCGTGCAAGGAGTGTAAAAAGCAAGGTCGACAGTGCAGCTTGCAGGTAAAGACGTGCGAAGAGTGCAAGGACACGCCGCACCTCTGCAACAAGCCCGCCCAAGTTGGCATGCCATGCAACGAGTGTAAGAGGCAAGGCCGACAGTGCAGCTTGCAGGGGGACATTTGCGATGAGTGCAAAGACAAACCGCACCTCTGCTTCAAGCCCGCCCAAGTTGGGGTGCCATGCAACGAGTGTAAGAAGCAAGGTCGGCAATGCAGTTTCGCAAAGCAGACGTGCGAGCAGTGCAAGGACACACCTGAGCTGTGCAAAGGAGGCAGGTATCCACGGCCATGCACGGAATGCGTTCAGCAGGGCCGGCAGTGCAGCTTCAGCCAGAAGAGTAGGAAGAAGATCTGCAAGCAGTGTGAGGACACACCCGAGCTATGTGGAGGAAGTGACCATGGCAGGCCATGCACGGAGTGCAATGAGCAGGGCCGAGAGTGCAGCTTCCAAGTCGTCATCTTCAGCCGTGTATTCAGGCATGTCTTTCAGGACGAGCGACAGGATCTACGCGCAGCCGGCAGACCAGCATCGAAATTCCTCGAGCTCAGCAACGAGGAACTCTGGATAGCATTCAGCACGTCCTGTGCTATTACATCGGGTCAGGACAGCTTCACCGACCAATACACGAAAATCCAGCACCGAATCGCCACCGCGGGCGCATTTGCACTCAACATTGATGCGCTGAACCCCGTCGCCGTATGCGACATCAAAGGCTCCCTAGAAGTGCATATTCATGTACGGGACAATGTTCGTGCCACAGCTGCGAACATAAACGAGCTCAAATATGAGTTCAGCATTCTGATCGTCAAGTACTTCTCCGACCTGTGCAACGGCCCAGATCAAGAACACTTGCAGACCTTGCTGAACGCCCTGGATCACCTGTACCTCGTCACTCTTCAATTCCCATACCAGCGCAAGGAGCGACTCAAATTGGACCCGCAAGTTGTGCGTTTCATCTGCGAACAGAACCGCACTGGACGGCTTGGCGACCCTGCTGAGATCACTTGGTCGAGGGTGCCATGGCAATTGGCAATTGACCGTGCCGGTCAATTCACCAGAGGTCCGAAAGATGCTCAGCAGGAGGAGAAATTGAGACAGCGCAGGGCTCTGCCATTTCCTAACGCCGACAGGGTCTTGCCAGTCGTTGATGAGATCGAATCGCAATACGAAGTCTCCCTTCAGCGCCCGGTGTACCCGTTCGACATACGCACTCGGCCAGAAGTGTGGTGCTGGGAAGATCTGAGGATGTTCTACGCGCAACGATTGAGAACACTCATGACAGCGTGCAACAGGCATTACGAAACGACATGTTCGGTGGAAACCTTGTTCATTCTGCATTGCATACAGTACGCCAATCCTGCGGCATACGTGCCTGTCCCAGGCTTCGACAATTGCGAATGGCTACGACAGCGTCAAGTGTCGTACCAACACCATCCCATGCGTGCGGCTGCCGCCCATAGCGACCATGGACTTGATATGACCACTGGGCTGCCCAACGACTTTTCATCGCTTGCGGATTTCGACATCACGAAATGCAACATCTCATGGGAGCCTATGGTCTGGAACTGGATGCGCGGACGATGGGATGATCAGCTTGGAGAGGTTATCGCTAATTTGCAGAACCTACCTCGGGACAACCCGCCATACTGGCCGGCACAGATCCCCAACCTACCAACAGCATTTGGGATACCTGTAGGATCTGCAGGTGTGGGTCTCGACGAACCGACAGCACTTCACGACATGTTCTCAGGAAAAGTGCGCCAGTTCCTCCGCACAGCACCCGCTACTACGCAACCGCCACTGCAAAGTAATTTGGCCAACACTCGGAACATTTGCTATGCTTCGAGCGCAATCCAGGCAATTTTCAACGTTACGCCGCTTCGCGCCCTTCTCTCGCAAGCCGTGGCGTTTCCGTTCAGAGTCGCAACCGGCCGCGGTAGCCAGTACCTTGCCCGTACCCGGCAAGATCCAGACATGCTCGACCACCAAAACGCTGTGAAAGCCCTGGCGTCTACTATGAACCAACTCGCGGCCGATCGGACAGGCAAACTTGGATCTGGACCGACTCTTCATGTCCTTCAGTGTGTGCGCCGGCTGTACAAGAACGACTTTCCGGAGAACAAAGAAGATGATCCAACGGCCTTTCTCACAACGCTCCTAGAGATGTTGAATTGTGCCGGAGATCGCTCGACGCCCGTTGTTGGCACCACCATCCAGGACCGGCTTGAGGCTGAGCACAGACATGCATATCAGAACGATCAACTCATTCCGTCAATCGCCAGCGAATACCTCCGTCACTGGAAAGGCTACCTCCAGATCGGGTACGACTCGCCGATCACTGATCTCTGCGCGGCACAAGTGGCTCGAGAATCAAGATGCATGGAGCCCTCCTGCCTGTCGCCCCACTCCCGCAGTTTCGAGGTTCTAAATTCCATCAACATTCGGCTGCAGGATGCTCCGGGCTACAATTCCACGAAGCAATTCACCATCGAAGAACTGATTCGTGAGGGAAGCAATGTAGGCAACGACCTTGATCACGCACCAATGAGGTGCGAAAGCTCAGCGAATCATCCTCCGAAGACTGCAATGTACCGCAGGATCATCAGGCTTCCACCCGTGCTGATCATCAGAATTGATCGTATGGCGCTGTCTGGCTTGCGTCATACCTCCGAAGCAGCTGCAGAGAGTGCTTCTACCCTTGCGCGCAATCGCTTGATATTGGGCGATGTGCTCGACATGGGTCCTCTTAGCAACGGCCGCCGCCTGCCGTCCGAGAACCTGCCGCTCCGGCGGCTACTGAACCCTGTGGGTGATCAGACACAGTATCGTCTACAGGCGATCATTCATCATCGCGCTGGACACTTTGTGACGTACGCAAGAGCCGTCTGCAAAGATGGGTACCGCAGATGGGTCATCATGAACGACATGGAGGGCTGCGTACGTTACGAAGACCCACTGAACATGACTGCAGCCTCGAACACTGGTGAGGCGACCCTCATCTATACTCAGATGTCTGATGTCGAAGTACGGATTCTGGCTGCGGAGAACAAGCTTGCCAGAGGTGAAGACATACAAGAGGCACTCGACGGCATTCTGGAAGAAGAGCTCGAAATTGCCAATGGCGTTGTCGACTGTGACGTCCTCAATTCTTTCCTCGGTGATGGGGAGGAGAGCGATTCTGAATCGTCCTCGTCATCTTCATCATCATCCTCCTCCTCTTCCTCGTCATCTTCATCGTCGTCTTCTGGAAGCTCTGCGGATCTTGAGGAGAAGAACAAGCTCTTCAACTCATGGCTTGCCGCACTCAAGACCAACCAGACGGACAAGCAGCGTCAGAAGACACTGGACCGTATGAGCAAGCAGTACGACGGTATTGCCAAATCGTTTGCAGACCTGCAAGCTGCTTCTGGCGGACTTGAGAACACCACTGAGCAGAAGAATGTTCTCGGGAAGCAGATCGAAGAAGCTGAGAAAGTGCTTGCTCAGCTTCAGCCCGAGGGCTATCAGCAGGTCGTCGCCGAGCGCGATCGTTTGGCTGCTGAGAACCAACGGTTAAAAGAGGAGAAGTCTTCCACGCCCAGTATCATCGACCTGTTACGTGCGGAACTAGACGGCCTCAGTTTGAAGGATATTGCCATCCTCAACTCAGAGGTTGCTGCTGCACTGCCCAGGGCCATTCATCGCCATAACGAGTCAACACGGGCCTCAGAGGGCCTTAGTGAGCAGGGCGGAGTGCCTGGGAGTGAGAGCGAGGACCCACCAATAGACGACACGAGGTCTGCAGAGGGTGTTAATCCTCATGGCGCGGCTGGGCATGAGAACGAAGACTCACAAATGGGTGGCACGACGCCAGGACCGGGACAGAAGCCAAGTGATGCACCACCCGTCGCACCGCCAATCCAGAGACCGCACTTCATGCGCCCCACGGAAGCTCATGCGCGTCGTACGGGCCGTACTACGCCACACAACGGTGCGTCGCCGCCTAAGAAGAAGCTGAGGAGGTGAGATGTGAGCAGCAGATGTGGTGATGGCAATGGTGTGTAAGCTTGCATGGCAGTAAGAGAGATGGCGCTCGGCTGAGCCAGTTGATGGAGAGTTCGAATTGATTTGGAGTTCGCAATTGCTGGTAGACTGGTGAGGTCGAGAGTGTGTTGGATGCAACGAAGGAAGCTGGGAGCGTGGAAGGCGGGCTGATTTGGGTATGTCTTACTGATTCAAGCCGTACATTCGCCAAACCTGCGCGGAACGAGAGAGGACTACTGGGCGCGGAGAAATATCTTAGATGGTGATAGCCACCCTGGCATTGCCCTCCGTAGTACTTTCTGTTCGAAATCGAATGAAGCATGTACATCCACTTTCTCAGATCCCGCTAGGTGTTGAAAGCAAAGCTAGGTAGCTGTCGAAAGAAGGATGTTTACGCTAAAAAGCCGGGGTTAGCCAATCAAACCGTATAGATGCCGCTACTCTGAAGTCGAAGTTGCGATGCTATCTATATACTAGATGCGACGGGCCAGCCCATCTCGATCCACAAAAATTATCTGTTGGACTTTGAAGCAACATCTCTCCTCAACTCTGCATTTCAGCTCATGTCCCACCTCGTAGCAGGATGCACCACGACCCCAATTCCCCCGTTGATTTGAGAGCGCTCTGCAGGAGACCCGACAGATGAGACACATTGCCCCTGACAGCTTGGCGCTATGTAAGCCATTGGTCCCTGGTAGGTAAAAATACCTTTGGTGAGACGAGACGCGGATCGGTTGCATTCTTTGGGTTTGGTTGTTCGTATATGATCACCTTTCTTTTCCTCCACATTCCTTTTAGCCACTGGGTCGAGTCGTCTTGCTTTTGGTCTTTTTGTTCTTTTGGAATAGCGTGGCAGTTTGGAGTACTTTGTTGAACATTACTTGCTTCACGAGGACAGCATCGGCTCAGGATAGCCAGAAAAAGCGAAGCATAGCCAACATGATGGGGCAAGAGAAGGGAGCGTCGACGTTCGCTACGAACAGCATCCCCGGGTCCTCAGCATCCACCGCCAAACTCGAGGAAAATGAGCGGAAGTTCATGCCTCTCGATGTCGAGGAATATTTCCAAGGACCAATGGGATATCACCACTCGAAATGGCCAGCTTTCATGCGTCTCCGTGGCAGCGTGCTCCCTAAGATGATCATCCCGCTCAGCTTTCTGGCGGCATGGGCGACAATGATCACCTGCATCGACAAATTCGTAACACCTTTTGGCATCGAGTCTTTGCTGTTGACCGTGACCGGCTTCGTGGTCGGTCTGTCGCTGTCCTTCCGGTCCTCGACGGCATATGAGCGATACATGGACGGACGAAAGTACTGGGCGCAGCTCCTCTTCACATCCCGCAACCTCGCCAGGCTGATTTGGATACACGTGCAGGAGCGGCATGGAGAGTCGGAAGAGCTGGGCAAAGCGGATGTTCTGGGCAAGCTGGCAGCGCTCAACTTGATAAACGCTTTTGCCGTGGCGCTCAAGCATCGATTGAGGTTCGAGCCGAGTATAGAATACCCGGATCTTGCGCCTCTGCTTTGCAACGTCAAGACAATGGCCGGAGATGCCGATCAGGCTGCTCTACGCGAACGCAAAGTGTCGTCTTGGAAGTCTGCTGGGCAGCATCTTGGGCACTCCTTTGCTGAAAGCAATCCAAGGAAGCTCGTCAAGCGCGCGAAGGAGAATCTCGGGAATACACCGTTGGAGATCTTGACTTACTTGGCCGCCTACTTTGAGAACCTCTACACGGACAAGAACGTGACAATCGGCACTCACCAAGTTCAGGCGACTGGACTTCTGGCCTCTTTGACGGACGTCCTCAGCGGTTGTGAGCGTGTCGTCAACACGCCTCTGCCAGTCGCTTACTCGATCTCCATTTCGCAAATCACCTGGGCATATGTCCTCACCCTGCCGTTCCAATTGGTAAAGTACCTGCATTGGGTGTAAGTATTCTCCGAACCATACCCACCTTGCCCTGCTGACAGCTTTCAAGCACAATCCCGGGTACGATGCTGGCGGGCTACATCATCCTCGGTATAGCACAGATTGGTCGCGAGCTGGAGAATCCATTCGGACTCGATGTCAACGACTTGCCACTCGACGCCTACTGCCAGGAGCTCGCGAACGAAATCGACACGCTGACGAGCCAGCCGCCTCCGTTGGACAATGCGCAGTGGATGCGTGACGGTGGTGCGAAGGTGCTGTGGCCGTTTAGCGGGATGGAGTACAAGGAGTGGGAAAGCAGGAGTTTGGAGGACATCAGGGCTGCGCTGAAGCTGAAGTCTGGTAGTAGGGACGTGAAGATTAAGCGGGCTGGGACGATGTTGGCTAGTCATGATCTGACGAACGAGTCGTAGTATGGCTGTGAATGTTAGCTGTACGTACGTGTATGTACCACGTTCAAATACCTACCTGTTGTTTGTGATCGAGCAGCCCCACGGTTATGGTGGAGCTCTTCTGCTCGCTGACGTCGCGGCTTCCAGCTTCCAGACCTTTAGGCAGGATATGCAGGGAAACTTGGCGCACGGGATACAAGCTCTCTCGACCTCACTTGTTTCGACACCACCACTTCTTCCACTAGCTGAAGCTACGTGGACAGCTCAATCGACTTCGACAACTTGCGTTCGATCGCTCATTCGAAGACCATATTGACAGCCAGTACTTCCAGAAGCTTTCAACTACCTAACACTCCGCCATCATGTCGTTCATGTTTGATAAAATGAAGGGCGCCGTGAGCTCCGTTGGCAGTGGGTTCGGAGGCGGCAAGGCTACCACTCATGCTCATAGTCACCATTCGGGCGTGTGCTCTGATGACCAGAACGAACACCACCATCTGCATCGGTTTCAGTCGTTTGCACCGCAGCGTGAGGGCAACTCTGTGAAATGGTATCCCATCCCACTGCATGCAACCAGGACCTGTTATTAACTGCTTTGCTAGGCACGTCGATGGCGCTGCCTACATGTGGGCAGTCTCGGTGGCGTTAGAGCAGGCTCAGCACGAGATCTGGATCCTGGACTGGTGGCTCTCGCCCGAGTTGTACCTGCGGAGACCGCCGGCGAAGAACGAGCAGTACCGCCTTGACAAGATGCTCTTTGCTGCCGCTAAGCGTGGCGTGAAGATCCACGTCATTGTCTACAAGGAGGTCACCCAAGCATTGACTCTCTCCTCCTACCACACCAAACACTGGCTCGAGGACAACGACCCAACCAAGGGCAACATCAAAGTCTTCAGGCACCCGGATCATCTGCCGGACCAGCAGACGATCACTTCGGACACGTGGCAACGCATCAAACAGAGTGGTACGAATGCTTCCAAGCTGGCGTCACTGCCTGGAGACGCTTTGAAGGGCATCTACGGTGTCTCAGAGGGTACTGTCTTGTACTGGGCCCACCACGAGAAGCTGTGTGCGGTCGACGGCAAGATTGCTTTCATGGGCGGACTCGATCTCTGCTACGGCAGGTGGGACACAAACGATCATCCCATTGCGGACGCCCATCCCGGCGATCTCGACTCAATCGTCTTCCCAGGCCAAGACTACAACAATGCCCGTATCATGGACTTCTCCGACGTCTCCAACTGGCAGAACAATAAGCTGGACCGCAAGTTCAACTCACGCATGGGATGGAGCGATGTGTCCATCTCGCTGCGAGGACCAGTTGTTGAGGATCTGAGGGCCCACTTCGCCCAGCGATGGAACTACATCTATTTTGAGAAATATTCGTCGAGAGATGACCCTCGCTACCACCCCATCGTCTTCCAAGAGAGCCGCGTCGGTATCATTGGTGAACCCTACCAGGCTACTGGAGGTGCGGAACCTGAAGGTCAAGGACATTACGAGGGTTTCAAGAAGAAGATGGAAGATCAGTATGAAAAGGGTCGCAAGCATCTTGAGGAGGGCAGGGAGCGCGTCGGCAAAGGCGGTCACGTGCGAGACGAGGGGCGTAGAATGCTCCAAGAGGGTCATGAGAAGATGGAGATGGAGCGTGAGAAGATTCGGCAGGGACGTCACGGCGGCCAGCACCGTGGAGACCATGAAGATCATCCCGCTGCCAGCCATCAGGGTGGCATGAACTGCCAGATCATGCGTTCCTGCTGTGAGTGGTCTCATGGCGTCCCGGTCGAGCACAGCATTGCCAACGCCTACATCGACACCATCACGAACTCAGAACACTTCGTGTACATCGAAAACCAGTTCTTCATCACGGCGACCGCTCCAGAGCAAACACCGGTGCACAACAAGATTGGCGGTGCTATTGCAGACCGCATCATCAAGGCGGCAAAGAACAGGGAGCAGTGGCAGATCATTATCGCCATGCCTTCTGTACCTGCGTTTGCTGGAGATCTCAAGGCTGATGATGCTCTTGGTACTCGAGCAATCATGGAGTTCCAGTACAACTCGATCAACCGAGGAGGCCACAGCATCATGGAGAAGGTGGCCAAGGCTGGATTCGATCCCATGGACTACATCCGCTTCTACAATCTCCGCAACTACGACCGCATCCACACGTCTGAGAAGATGAAGGACGTGGAACGCAAAGCGGGCGTGAACTACGAAGACGCTCGTCAGGGCCACGACCAGAAGTTCGCTCACGCAGAAAAGAGCGAGAAGTACGGCAAGGGCCACCACAACCCAAAACACAACGACGATGCCTACGACAAGTATCAGGAAGCTGCCAAAGAGGTCCATGGCGGCAAGTCGCACAGCTGGGACTCCGTCTCGTCGTGCTACATGCTGGATGGTGAAGACATCAGGAAGGTGCCATGGGACGGCGATGCACAGTCTGAGCTGGACGCGTTCGTCTCCGAAGAGCTCTACATCCACTCCAAGCTGCTCATTGCCGACGATCGCAAGGTCATCTGCGGATCGGCCAACCTCAACGACCGCTCCCAGATGGGCTCTCACGACTCGGAGATTGCCATCCTGGTTGAAGACCAAGACATGGTGGAATCCTACATGGCCGGCAAGCCCTGGCGCGCCTCTAAGTTTGCGACTTCCCTCCGTCGCCAGATCTTCCGCAAGCATCTCGGCCTCATCCCAGCACAAGACTACCGGCGCCCCGACGCCAACTTCTTCCCGATCGGCCAAGATCCGAACAAGTACGACTGGGGCAGCCGCGAAGACCAAGCCGTCGCCGACCCCGTCTCACCCTCGTTCCTTAAACTTTGGAAGACCACCGCCCGCAACAACACCGAGGCCTTCCGCCGCGTCTTCCACCCCGTCCCGGACGACTCGGCGAAGAACTGGAAGCAGTACGATGACTACTACGAGAAGTACTTCAAGCCGCAGGAGGCGAACAAGGAGAAGCAGCAGGGGAAGCAGGAGAAGCCTGCGACGTGGAAGATCGGGCACGTGGTGAAGGAGGAGTTTAGCCAGGGTGAGAAGGGGTTGCATGAGGTCAAGGAGATTCTGAGTCGGGTTAGGGGGACGTTGGTGGAGATGCCGTTGATGTTCCTGAAGCAAGAGGATATTGCGAAGGAGGGGCTTTCGTTGAACTCGTTGACGGAGGAGGTGTATACCTAATCTGGTGGAGATACTGGCTCCAACTGAGAAGGGAATGGCTTCATAGAGCAGTCTAGTGCGTCCTGCTGCTGGAGGACGAGAAAAGGAATGGGTTCTATCTGCTGAGCTTTTTGGCTCAGCATTTGCTACAGAAAGCAGCATACGATGATGATGCAAGGCTCGATCACGATGCAAAAGATGAATGACGCAGTTGTAGAATCTCTTCTTTCCAAGCCAAGATTTTGTTTTATGGTTGCGAGCTGCTAAAAGAGTGAATACGCCTCAACCAACTAACACTGTATCCCTCCAAGTTCTATCGATCTGGCCTGTTCATCCTCTCCCACCGACCAATCTTCACTATCTCCACCACGTCAATCCTTATTCACCACCGCCTTACTCCGCCGCGAACTTCCCATTGACACTCTGACTCATCTTCACCTCCTCCGGCGTATACTGAAACGCCTCCACGCCCACATCCTCCCAATCCAATTCCATCATGTTCCTCGCACTCGTATCCATCGGGTCCGCCGGAATCAACCCACCGCCGCCCTTTCTATTCGAACTCCTCACATAATGCGTCGCCTCCCTCATCTCCACAGCCGTGACTTTCTTGAAACCAAGAGCTTCAGCGTAGTCGTTCGCTTTAACCATGGCATTTTTAGCGGCCATGGTACGGAGTTTGCTGTGCTGTGCTTCCATTGTCGTGGTGGTCAGGACCCAGGAGACGCCTTGGCTGCTGACGTGGGCGATGGCGGTGAGGTCGTGGATCACGGGGCCGAGACGGGAGAAGTTCTGGATGGAGACGGAGTAATCGATCTTGGCGGTGTATTCGCGAGCGAGGTGGACTCTCTTCTCGCTGTCATAGTTTTGGTAGCTGCTTTCCGAGAGCGAGGTGCGGGACCAGTAGTCAGCCGTTGGTGCTTTGTCTCCAGTGCGTGTTGAGATGGAGCGAAGCACAGTTTCGACCTTTGGGCGAGGTGAGTCGCGACGTCGTAATGGATTGGCAAAAGTGTGTACTTACCTCTTTGGCGGAGGAGATGACTGCTTGACTGGTTTTGTCCTTGTCCTCGGACTCGTAGCGAACCTCGACTGCGAGAACGGCACGCTCAGCAGGGAGCAGTACTTCGACCTCGCCCTTCACCTCGATTTGGACTCGCTGGTCTTGATTTCCTGCCATTGCTGCTGTCTGCTCGTTTTTCTTGTTGAGATTCCTTGTCTTTGTTGGAGAATTGTTGATATTATTGAAAACGCAGAAAGTGCGGAAACAGCACTACTTATACTTTCCCACTTGACTCCTTCATCATACCGCCTGATTTGTGCCTACCTCGTCGTAAATTCACAATGTTGGTTCATCGAGACCGCCATGCCGGAAGCGGCAGCCAGCTGCGCAGGCATCAAGACACCGATGTTGCCTGCTTACCTTCCGACGCAATCTGGCGGGCTGGCCAATATTTATAAGTCGCACGAACGTCCCTCCAACGGTGATGAACCGTTGTTGTGTCCTCCGGTGAATGAAAGCGAGTGCGAGCATGCCACTCTCCGGCCGGAAGATGGCTTGGCGATGTTGGAAGGCAGACAAATCCTTCAAGGCAGACACCACGAGGATCGGAGGCCTGGAGATGTGGTAGCAGCAAGAGCGGAGTCACGAATCAATGTAGTAAGTTGGTCTTGTTGCCTCAGCTCAACAAGGTACACTCGTAAATACCTCTACTCCCCATCCATCGCCTGCTGCGCCTCCTCATACGCTTTCTCCAGCGCCTTCACTCTCTCCGCAGTCTTCGCAGTACCCTCTTCTTCCTCGAACTGCATCCAGCGCTTGAAGACGAAACGAGCCCTGCGCTTCTTCATCTTCTGCGACGCAATGCGCTCGTGCAATGCTCGGACCTTCTCTTTCGCATCCGACTTGGCCTCTGCAGTAGTCGCATGCGACAGCCTAGAGCGCTCAAGGTCGACGAACGTATCCCAGCCTGAGCTCCACTTCGGCCATTCAGACAGCAAAGCCTCGAACATCGTGCGCCCGCGCTCAGCATTGCCGTTTGCCGCCTTGAACTCTAGAGCCGCGAAGCGTGAAGTCAGCGAGCGCTGCTCATTAGGCAATGAGATAGACTGCAGCGCTCGATCAAGCAGCGACCGAGCCTTGTCCGGAGACTTCAGCGAATCCATCAAGAAGCTCGCATAGTTGACCCACACATCTTGGCTCGCCCGGAAAGCTTTGTTGCCTACGATCTTCTCGAAGACCGCATCTGCCTTGTCATGCTTGCCGGAGTCGATGTAGATCGATGCGAGCTTCTGGTGCATCTCGAGTGGATCCTGAACCTGGCAAGCCTGCTTGAAGACGTCTTCGACTCGTTCCTCATCGCCGTACTCGACTTCCAGGTTCATCCATGCGATCCAGACGTTGGCTTTCTCATCCAGCTCGCGGATGTGGATCGTTCGCAAGGCACGCTCAGCAATCTCGCGAGCCCGCTGTACTTCGCTGAGTTCGAGCTGGAAGGCCATGTACTGGATCCAGAGGCCAGAGTCGTTGGGTTGGCCAAGTAGCTGTCGCTCGAAGTCGCTGACGCTGCGAGATCCGTACTTGTCTAGGTCGCCGGTCATGTCGACCTTGATCTCGGGTTTGTTGCGCTTGCGCTTCTTGGGTGCTGCATCTGCTTCAGAGTCGGAAGCCGCTTCAGCAGCAGTTGCGGCACCATTGCCTCCATTCCAGTCGAAGCCGTTTGTCTTAAGACCACCAGTCGGCTTTGGTTCGTCCTCATCCATCTCCTCGTCGCTTTCAGAAGCATCCTCTCCGCTTTCGGCATCCTCCACATCTTCCAACTCAATGCCGCCATCTATATCCATGTCTACATCTTCATCTTCACTCTCATCCCGCAAGGCTATGCCATCCACCTCGACACCGCTGTAATCGTCTTCATTATCTTCCATCTCCACATCGTCTTCTCCGTTAGCAAAGTAGCTAGCCTTAAGCCCAAGGCTGATTTTCCTCGCCTCCACATCAACAGCCAAAACCTTCGCCTTCACCACATCGCCAGCAGAGTATAGATTGCGCACATCCTCAACCCGCTTCGCTGCCACTTCACTCCTATGGCACAGACCAGACAATCTAGGCTGCGTGTTATCGATATCGATGAATGCACCAAAGTCTTCCACTTTGCGAACCTTACCTGTTACGATCATGCCTGGCGTCAGGTCAGTCATCGTCACAGGTGGCTTGAAGTTCTCATCTACGTGAGATGCTTTCAAGCTCAGTAGTGCGTGCTTCGCATCTGCGTCCACAGAGAGCAGCCTCCCTTGCACAAGCTGATCAACTTCGACGATGCTCTTCCAGTCCTTGATGTACTGGTCGCTCAGGTCGGAGATGCGAACCAAAGCATCGATCTTCGCGCCGAGCGAGACGTAGACGCCCTTCTCGGCGACATACTTGACGAAGCCTCGGACCAGCTGCCCGGGCTTGAGCTGCGAGTAGCTGGTGACTTGTGGATCCTTGACCGGCAAGCTGGAGCTGAGCATCTTCGAGGGTCGTAGGGTCAAGTAGAGCCGCTTATTGGGTGCATCAACGTCAATGATGCCCACGCGGACGATGTCGTTCTTATTGTACTGAGCCAGCTTCAGGTCGTCGTAGTCATCACCGATCTCAACAAGCGGCACAGGAGCGCCAAGGTTGTCCGAAAGCTGTACCGTCACGGACCGCTCGTTGACCCTCGTAATTCGTCCAGCGAGGATCATGCCAGGTGAGATGGTCTCAAGCGTCAACTCTTCAGCAGAGCTTCTCACTTTCGCTATAAGGTCAAGCTTGTTGTTTGCAGCATCCACGCTCTTGACAGTGACCTCCAAAGCGCAACCGATTGGAAAGTTCTTCTCCAAATTCTGAAGCTGACCAGCATCGTCTGAGAGGTCCATCAAGGCGACTCTGCCACGGACGTTCGGTGACAAATTGACCCACACGCAACGGTCGCCATGGTTATTCACGAACGCTATGTGTTGCGAGCCTTGCTTTATCGAATCCATGGTCAGTCCACTCTCGTCTCTGTTCTGGATCCGGCTCTTCTTCGCCGAAAGCTCAAACACCGGCACGCCGCTCTGTCGATGCGTGATAGGCAGGAAGCGATGGTTTCTCGCATCATGAACGCCCAGAATCTTGACATCGATGATATCGTTTGCCTTGAACTTTTGGATCGGTGCCTTCTTGTTCCGAATGCCATCCCATGAGTCGAAAGCTTCGCTGACGTCGACTCGCCCTTGGATCTTGTCTGCCAAGCGCACGTTGATCTGGCTTGCCTTAATGCCAGTCACGCGAGCCTTTGTGATCCTGCCGAGTGAGAGGTCGACCAAGGACCTCACTGTCGGATCAGCAGGGTTAACAATCTCGAGTGCTGCCGGCACGTGTTCTTTGTTCTCCTCAATGGAAGGCGCTGGCTCTCGCATGCTAAGAGAGATGCGTTCCCTTGTAGCATCAACGTTTGAGACCCAGACATTGATTGACTGATCTTTGACAAGACCGAAGGCAGCCTGGCCCAGCATCTCAGGTACCAGTTGGCTCTTCGGCAGCAAGCCAACTATACCACCGGCAAATTCTGTGTAGACTCCTTCCGGCGTGACGTTGCGGACGAACCCATGGACCTTCTTGCCTACCACGGCATCCGCGAAAGAAGTGATCAAGTCGCCCGCCTTCGCTTCCTTGACCATACTGGACTTCCTAGTAAGCAGTACATGCCGGCTGCGCTCAAGTCTGTGGAGCACGACCAGCTCAGCGAGCGTCTTCTCAATGTGTACCTTCTTCAAGGCCTTCTCAGGATCAGCAGTGGCAGAATCGCTCAGATGGCCAACGCGAATTGTGCCTTTGAGTCCACTGGGAAGCTCGACCGTGACAGACTCTGGGCTCTTCTCGGTGACTCTGCCTGAAACGGTTTGGCCGCCGGCTGTGCTCTCCCAAGCTTCCTCAAGCGCAGCATCAAATTCGGCAGGATCTTTGCAGGAGACCTTCATCTGCTGAGCCTCTGGGTCGACCGACAGTATCCGGACGTTGACTGTCTGCCCCAAGCGCAAGTGCTTCTCTGGTCGCTCAATGAAAGTCTCGCTCATTTCAGCGACAGGTAGCCACGCGCGCACGTTGCCAAAGAACTGCACAGCAGCACCGGCTTGCAATATGTTGACGACAGTGCCTTTGCCTTCCATGCCAGGCTTCAAAGAGGCATACTCCTTCCATATTGATGCCGAGGAGTCATCATTGACGAGCGACTTCTTCAGTGTCAAACGAACATGCCTCTTCTCCAAATCCACGCTGAGCACCCGCGCTTTGACAGGAAATCCTTCTTTGAACTTTCGCTCGGGGTGCTCCAGGTGAGTGTCACTCAAATGGATCTCCGGCACGAGGCCAGTCACCCCATCACTCAACTTCACAAGCACGCCCGTGACGCCTTTGGCACCCAGGATCAACCGCTCGACTTTGCCCTTGACATTTTCGCCAACCTTGAGATCTTCGATTCGTAGGAACTGTTGTTCCAGGATCGAGGGCTTCAGTGCTACTCGGTAGAGGTTGTCGATGGGGCTGTAAGCGATGATGCGAGCGCTGTGCGTCGAATCGACCTTGTATTTGCCAATGGAAGACGTCAGGGTATCGATACGGTCATCGGATATCTGCGATATGTGCGCAAAAGCCTTCGCTGGTTCCTTCGTCCGGGAAAAAGAGAGCTGCATGTACAGACCACGATTTGGGGTGACGTGGATCACCTTGGCATCTTCAACGATGGAGGAAAGCGGATGATGTTGCTGCAGCGAAGTCGATTGAGCCTTGAGCTTTGCACTCGCGTTACTTGGCAGCTTTGATGGAGGTGCGGGCATGGTGAGAACATGGTCCAACAGCGAAACACCGACCCTACGGCTGCCATCGTCCTGAGGTAGAGCCCAGATAATGCGTCCTCGGACTTTGCTGCCGACCTTGTACTTCTTGTTAATGTCATCCCCAGATAAGCCCGCACCACAGTGAGCCAGATCTGCTGTAACATCGAGCATACCCATGACTTTTCCAGCGACCCCGGCGGGGCTGTTGTCGGTCACGAGCACGTCGACTGCCGTTCCAGGCTGGAACCCTTCAACCGTAGGTGCTTCGCTCACAGCAGGTGCTTGTTTGCCTTCTGCGATCGCCGAGCGAGGGACTGCTCCAGGGCTTAGGTTGAGCACATTGCCATTGCTGCCCTTGCCAGTTACCAAGCACAGCATGACTTGACCTTCCTCTACGTCCTCAAGCTCATACGCCGTACCCAGGTCCTTCTTGCTTATGAATCCGCTGAGTTTTGGGCTTGAGAGACCAAGCTCCATTACAAGTCCATGGTCCTCCACGCTTCGTACGGATGCCTGAATCAAGCTGTTTTGTACGACACTGCTCGAATCAAGCCCTCCATTGACCTTACGCGGGTCCACCGACAGCTCAATATGCCGCTTGCTTGTCCCGCTGCTCTCTGTCGGCGCCGATGTTGTAGCCGTGACAGTCGCGCGCAGCCATTGTCCAGCGTAGAAGAGGTCTTTCATGTCAATGTCCTCGTCGTCGTCCTCTTCTTCAGCTTGTCCATCGGTCTCCAGTAGCCTCTCTATGCGCGCATTGAGGTTCTCTGAGACGGCCGTTATTGGTACATATCCTGAAAGGTTGTTCGCAAGCGCCAGCTCCACGTCTCGACTGGTGACAGCCGTGACATATCCCAACAGGACACTTCCAATAGACAAGTTCTTGTAGCTCAGACCCTGGACCTTGAGAGTGGAGACCTGCTTGACATCCTCATCGCCGGCCTTCTTCCTCTTTTGCTTCTTCTTTGCCGCTGCGCTGGCGCCTTCATCGAAAAGCTCTCCATCACCGTTCTCGTCTGCCGTTGGCTTGCCCGTCTGCTGCTCGAACAGCACATCTCGTTCGGCTTGCACCTTGATCTGCTTCTGCTCGATGGGTGTCAAGACGCTACCGCCACCACGGGGAAAGGCTCGATCTTCCTGCTGTAATACTGACTTCGGCACAGCTTTTCGTTCGGAAGAGACCTCTGCTTGCGGCTTTGCTGGCTTCGTGGGCTTTGTCGCTTTGGCTTGCTTCTCGCTCGCATCTGTAGGCTTGACCTTCTTGTTCGGCCGCTCGTCGGTCACCGCCTTCCTCTTCGTCGTCGCCATGGCTGTTGTGTAGCTCTGTTGGCTGCGGTCCTAGAAATTCTCGAAAAAGTCGACCCAAGATTTCACCTCGGCCGAGCTTTGGGCAACGCTTAATTCAACGGCTGCTGGCGGCTTGGCAATTTAGGTCGCGTCTCCAAAACGCGTTCTCGTCCTCGACCTCATCTCATTTGCCTCGATCATACGCAGCGTTGCATTGTACCAGCGACCACCATGGCGGACGAGCCATTGTATTCTTCACAGAGCAGCAGCTACGAGCAGCACAAAATACTGGACGACCAGGAGAATCTAGCATCCTCACCAATCGTGCACAACCACAAGCCGAAGAAGCCACCAACAGTCACGCCCAAGAGATTTACGAAGTTCTTCACGCCACGAAGCTCTCTGTCTTCTCGCCGAGGGAGGCAATCCAAAGCCGGCCGGCAGCTTCGCGACATCACCAAGAATGGAGCCAATCGTAACCGCCACCCGGCCGCACTTCGACGTCTTGAGGACGAGGAGCTTGGGGTGGATGCCCTCTCCGAACGGCCATCCAAGCGCCGAAAGCACTCCTTCAATGTCGGAAGTTCCCCACCGCAGTCTTCACCCTTGAAGCGTGTCCATGTCACAGACAATGTTCATGTCCTTGAGGATGTACCAAGTTCTCCAGCCATCTCCGATGAGGATGACTTTGCCCATCTCCTGGAGGACCTGAAGCCTTTCCCCAAACCAGTGAAGCAACTACGTCAGACGAACAGCAGTGCAGGTATCCTTCAACGCAGCTTCGGTGGCTTCGATGCGCTCTCTCGAGGAAGAAGGAAGGCCGACCATTGCGTGGAGTGGCGAGCAGAAACTGAAAACTTCGCTTCAACGCCCAACGACATACATTACTTTACTGGAACTGCAATACCTTTCTGCACTGCGAGCTGCAGGACCAACTCTCTTATCGCAATTGGAGAGGAAGAAGGACGAGTACGACTGGTTGATTCTTCGCCAATGTCGAACTTCAGCGTGCCACATGTGGAGTTCCGCCCTCACCACAATGCTATCATGGACATCAACTTCAGCTCTGACGACTACATGCTGGCGACTGCTAGTGGAGATCAGACAGCACGCATTATCGACATGCATACTCAAAAGACGATGTCCATCCTGTCGGGACATACGAGCAGTGTGAAGCAGGTACGCTTCCAACCCAAGGACGACAACATCATCACGACGAGCAGCAGAGACGGGACTGTCCAGGTGTGGGACTTACGGTGCGGTGGGAGAGGGTCTATCGCGACACTGCGGTCTGCCTTTGCACGCAATGTTGACGACGGCGGGGTCCAACCCACGGTGCAATACTCAAAACACAGACTGAACGTGGCGCCTGCGTATCGGCCGACCACGCCAGCTGCGACTGGCGACAGCGGCGTGTCCATAACCTCCATTCAACATCTACCCAACGGGCGCGAGCACCTACTCGTTACTGCGAGCGAGTACAATTCGTCGGTCAAGCTGTGGGACCTTCGAAACGCGAGCAGGAGAAGTCTCGCCACACCGGTCTCTACCACGCTTCTGCCTCCAAGTCATCTACGAACCCGCAACTATGGCGTCAACTCCATGTCATGGTCGACAGACGGTGCTCGGCTTTACACTGCGTGTAGAGACGGCGCAGTGTACGCTTACTCTACCAACCACCTGCTCCTCGGATGCGCGCCTGAACTGGCGAATTCAACTCACAACTCCCGTACTGCGAGGAGTACGAAGCCGGGCATCGCTCCACTCCATGCATACAGACATCCTTCACTGCGAATGGGCAGTTTCTACATCAAGTCCTCCATCCGGCACGCGAAGGGCGACAAAGGCGAGATGCTTGCGGTCGGAAGCTCGGACAACTGTGCGGTGCTGTTCCCGACTGACGAGGGACACCTGCCTGAGCGGGAACGTGCAGGTATGGATGAAGACGACGAGGAAGATGGTCTACCATCTGTCCCGATGCTTGATCCTAAGAAGAACGACAAAGCTGGTCACATCTCGTCCTACGAACAGGGTACAGCTCTAACCAGAGGGCATAGCAAGGAGGTGACGTCCTTGACATGGACGCACGATGGAGAGCTGGTTACTGTGAGCGATGACTTTACTGCGCGGTGTTGGCGGGAGGATGGCGCGAAGGCTAGGGAGCTGAGGCAGTGTGGGGAAGGTGGTGGGCAGAGATGGCGCTGTGGCTGGGCGGAGGTCGGTGGTGGGTGGGATGAGGACGATGGGTGAAGATGAGCGTTGGTATGCCATGAGATTCAAATGAGGCCTCACGGACGAGCCGCTATCACATGCAAATTTCCGCCTCGCCCGCCGAAAGCCGCGTTGTCCATATCACGCTAATACACATTCCATCCCGTCGGTGCGCAGAGCCGTATATATTGGCTTCAGCCCTCCATCTTCCTCAAAAGAATTCTTGGCATACCTACCTTGTCGTGGTGACGGCGCTCAAGCATGCCACTTACCTAGCACTGGACTCTGCATTGCACAGCGCGGTAGTCCGGTGCTATCGTTGTCCTTCGGGGTCCTTCGGGGCCACGTACGGCGTCTTTTTTGGTTGCTACTCTTCTTTCATTAGTCTGCGGGCGACTTCGTTGCTAGCGCCTGAAGAAGGAACGTTCCAATGTTCAGCCCAAAGCTATGCTCCCTGCTGCAGTTCGCCAAACATTGCCGTCGAATCACATGATCCGACTCCTAGACATGAAGACGTGGATCATTGGCGTCGTCCTCTTCCACCCAAAGAGCGCATATAGCCTAACAACCACCCCGAAGCCCCCTCGAGGAGCTTCCCGCACATGCAACCTCTTCTTGCCCACCCTCAAGCTCTCGGAGCCCCGTCTGCTCCGGAACCTTGTCGGCGCCGAATGAGTGAAACAGCCGACCTCATCTCATCTCTGCAGGATCTCATTGGAACTGACCTACATTCCTTTCCGCTTGGCGTCAGATCCTGTAGGATACCTCTCGATTTCAAACACAAGGCGGATCGCGTTTTGCGTCTATCCATAACAGCGATGCTCAGGAATAGCATCCTGCAATGCTCGACCATGTCCGAAGGAGGGATGGGCGTCGCCCGAAATATCCCTCATCGATGCGGATCCATCTGTGCAGCGTGTATATAGATGCTATAGCCTGGCCTTGTATCGCAAACTCCCGGTCTACAAACAACTCACTCTCAGCGGGACTGCGACCTTCTTCCTCCTCCCGTCCAACTTCCACACCTTCGACGACATGTACTGCATACGGAACACCGCCCTGTGGGCTACAGCGGTCTTTACTCTTATTTATGCCAGCCCGACTCAGGTACGCCATACCAGCTCTAACGGCATGAGCAAGAGGGACCTGGATTTCGGGGGGGATGTCACCTGCGGGCTGTGGGGGTCAGCGATCACGGGGGACACCGAGAGAGCGATACGCAACGTTACAGACAGCGTAATCAATGCTGCCATAGGAATCCCCCTGCCCACTTTTGCACCAAGTCAGAGTTGCTCTCGGTTGGCATGCGTGGGCACTAGGTAAGAATCTTCGCCTCTATACACCCAGGCACGAGGCTAATACTAGTTTTAGCGGCCTCTACGTCTGTAATGACGGTGACGAAGACACCTTTGTCTCAACCGTCGATCTCGCCGACCGTGCCACCAGCCTTTTCACACACTGCATGGACTACTCCGCCGCTAACAGGGTAGATGTAACCCTGTATACCCCGATTTCTGGGCAGGCGTTCTTTTCGGCACCGTCCTTGAACCTGGTCATCAGTTACTGCGATCCCGACGATGATCCGTCCAAGAAACCAAGCGAATACACCTTCGATGAAGATTGCGGGCCCAACGGATGCAGCCCGACTTGCGGGTGGGAGGGCGCTGATCAAGATCCGTGCCCCTTCTATAAGTATATGACTGTGACGCCTGGGACTCCTGCGATACCAACACCTACCCCTTAAGCGAGCATGATGGGAGTGAGGAAGCGAGTGCAATCATGCCGTGCGATGGATGGTCAAGAGCACATTCATCGTCTGCTAGCGATTGACTAGCTTGTGGAGTGAGTGAAGGGCGTGATGCAGCATTGCTGGTGTTTCTACTCTTCTCTCGCTAGCATCAGATGTTGCATGCGCAATCCTCACTGACGAATGAGAAACTTCGAGCGCTTCTATGAGGCTTCTCTCAATCACTAGCGTCGCCCTCTTCCACCGCGAAAGCGCATATAGCTGTGTCACACCCCAGGTCCCGTTTGACGAGCCTTTCGTACATCCCGACCCTCTCTTGCCCACCCTCAAGCTCAGCTCTACTCAAAGCTGCCTTCGTCCGAACCACGCTACTGTAGTCGCCCTACGCCACACCAGCGCAACAACCACACCAGACATGGATCCCTACAATCTCGAAGGGCTCGACGAGGAGCCTCGTTACTGGAACGGGCCTTACTGGCTGGACGATGCTCTGGCTGCCTTACCTTCCTCTGAGGAGGCTGAGGTGGTTGGGTGAGGTTTTTTCTTTAATAACTGACGAGCTCGTGATGAGGCTTAAACTCGACACTCGGGCCGAAACGTCATCCCATGCGTTTGAGGCCCTCCCTACCACCAGCGACAGCCAGCTTCAAGACAACGTGATCGTTTGCAACGACGTCAACGCTATCTGTCCTGGCCGCCAGCCGACAAAGAGCCTCAAATGCGGCGTCGCTGGCTGCACCACCGACAAGCTCTTCGACCGCAAGTACGAACTGGAGCGCCACATGAAGACTCATGAAGTCGGCAGCTTCCTATACACGGCTACTGGATGCAAACGCGACGGACGTAAACCGTTCAATCGCAGGGACAAGTTGCAGGATCATCAGAGGAGGGTCCATGGATTGTGATCGTTTCTCAGGCGGGGGGTTAGGAGGATCGGTGTTGTCCTCGTGGAAAGTACATTCTTCTTGTGGAAGAGTGGTAAATGTCATTGTCGCAGCGTCCGTCCCCGAATTACACTCGCTAGTTCTGCAACCCATATGAAGATCGCATTCAAACTTAACTCTGAAATCCACGCGGTGAGCCCGCTGGCCAACAGCCTATCAATCGTAACCCTCATCACTGTCTTCCTGAGCGCCGCCGCGCACCCCAGAACCACTGTCGCTATCATACGCAGTAGTTCCTTGAAGCGGAGACCTTTCTTCATCACTGTCGTCCAACTCCGGCAATCGCTTTACGTTGCGTCCGCCCTTGGGCGTCGAAGAGGACTCCTTGAGCCGGTCTATTGTCCGATGTTAGCTCGCTGTCTTTCTGTCACTTGATGCGAGGCAGCACTACTCACCAATTCGCCGCTCGACCTTCGTCTCCACCCTGGCCTCGCGAGCCTCACTCACCTTGGCGAGTGTCCGTTCGTTGCGTCTCGTGGACCGCACTGGCTCAGGCGAGGGAGTGTGGTGGTCGTCGACATCCAGACTGCGGACCTTCGTTCTCGACAGGTCGTTGGCAAAACCTCCTCGACTTGTGCCGTCCTTGCGTATCACTGTGCCAAAGGTGTTGTCGATGTAGTCGTCAAAGCGCAGACTGGTCTCTGCTACGTCCTCGAAGTGTCGGTCCCTCAATTTCGGAGGTCCATCTTTCGGAGGTCCGTCTTTGCCGGAGCCCTCCCACTCGTAGTAGGCCAACGCCACGGCGGTCTGAAAGGCATTCTTGATTTGGCGGCCGTTCCATTGGCGGTCGGGAGTGGCTCTGTTTCGCCGCCAGAAGTCCCGGGCAAAGGCCATGGTCTTGTCTTCATTCAGTCGGACGGCTCCAGAGTCCTTCAGTCGTCGAATATTCATTCTCCAAATCTCCATTGTAGAGTCTTCGTGGAGCTGGGGGTAGTGGAGTTTCATGTGTATCCGGGAGACAAAGGCTTCATCGAACTCGCCGACCCTGTTAGTGGTCAAGATCAGGACGCCGGCATTGTACTCCATCTGACGGAGGAATACTACGCGCATAGTCAGTCAGAAATCCTCGTGTTGCTGGAGGAAATGCTTACCAGATACCAGCGCATTGCGTGCGTGATCGCCAGTCGTTCTCTTTGCCTGCAAACAGACAGGCAAAAGGGTTAGCGAATGTCTCATAAATCGCAGGGTTTTCCTCATCGATTTGGTACCATAAACACATCCGCCTCGTCGAGGAGGATGACACATCCCCACTTGTTGCCCAACGCAAAGAATGAATCGAGATTCCGTTCGACCTCGCCGGCATCGGTGCCTAAGTCACCACAGGTAATCGGCAGCAATGGTCGTTTGAGTTGGATAGCAACGCTAAAGAACAGATAGGTAGAAGGGTTAGTAAGTGTCTCCAAACCACCGACAGCGGGTATTGAGTCTCAGAGCGCCGCATGGAGCTCGGTCGCGACTCGGGGAAGCCTTTTACACACTGGTACTCACCTTTCAGCGGTGCTTGTCTTTCCCACACCAGGCACGCCGTGAAGCAGCAACACCATGCCTCTTCCCTTCCCGTGTATAAGATCGAAGTGAGTCCCTTTCGCGTTGGGCTGCTGGGTGCGAGTGGAACCCTCGAATTCGCGGAGTTGATACCGTACAAGTGCTCTGATCATTCTCTTGTGATTTGGTGGTAGAACGAGATCCTTGAAGGCGCTCCTTGCCGCATCAACGTTCCGGATGCATCTCGGCTCCTTGCAGTGTAGCAGGTTAAGAGCGAACCAGTTTCGATGCTTCAACGCATACCCGTACACTCGCAGTGGGAGCAGCTCCAGATGCTCATCGGTTAAGTCAGTCGTCAGGTCCAGGAGTGCAGAGTCTGTGACGAAGTCGTCACGCTCTGTCAGATCAAACGAATTGTCATCGAAGGTGTCAGTACAGCTAACGCATCCCTGCACCGAGCAGTGAACGAGGTCAAAGCATTCTGCGATGTTCGAGTCCGTTGGCGTAGCAATGACACCAGAATTGAATCCAAGTTTGTTGCCCGGGCTCTCAGGAAGGTCGATGCTTTCTAGAATCGAGAACAGGGCTTTGTGATCGATGATACACTCGCAATCCACCTGTGCGCTACGTTCAGTATGATTCTGATGGGTGGGAACGTGCAAAGTACCTTTTGACTAGCCACCTTCTCGTTGGCACGGCCGGTAAAGATCAGAGTATCCTCAAGACTGTCTCCATCGTATTCCTTGTGCGCACCCTGTACGCACTCCATGAATTTTGCCCCCCGAGAGCGCAATTGTTGCCTTATATCAGCAAAGGTTGGATCGAACTCGCCGGGGTACACGTCCAGTTCCGTTACTCTACGTTGGCCTCGATACTCGGGAATGATAAATCTCATCGGCCGGGGTCCGTAATTCGTCCCGTCAAAGTCGAGGTAGAAGCAGTCGATAACCAGTGGAGTCATCCTTGTCGCTCTACCTTGGAGTCCTATGCTGATGGAGTCGGTTTTGTCGACCTCGAGCGCTCCTATGAAACTCCTCTCGTGGATTCGGAAAGAACGTGATCTCTCCTTTATCCCAGCATCGTACTTGGGTTTGAAGTACGGTCGTCCGCCCGTGACAGACAACACACGATACGCACGACGAGCATCCGGATCCGAGGTTGCGCCACTCAGGATAATGTCACCAGGTTTGTAAAGGTGCAGCAGATACTCGAAGGAGATCTCTGAGAGTGTTCTGTCAGCGACCCGTTTCCGCACATCAAGTATGTCTTTCATTTCGACGTCCATGAATGACACTAGCAGCTGAAGCAGAGCCTGTCTTCGAGGTGTGGCTTCGATTCCACCAAGGTCAACGGGTTTCGGCGCTGCAGATGCCTCTTTTGAATCTGAAGCTTTAGCATCGTCTTTGACTCCCGCATCAGCGTCGCTGTTTGCCGGCTCTGGAGCTTTGGCACCGTCTTTGCCTGCCGCTTCAGTGTTGTCTTCCTTTGACTCTGTGGCATTGGCATCGTCTTTACCCGCATCTTCAGCCTCGCCGCTTGCTGATTCGGTTGAAGCAGCCTGGAGGTCATGTTGTTTGCACTTCTCGAGGGCCGCCCGGATCTTGTTCTCGTAAGCCAACAGATATTTGAAAGGCCGAACGTGAACTGGATCTTTGAAAGAGATGTCGAAGCCGGTCACTGCTTTCATCAGCTCGGGCCAGTCCTCGTCATTGAAAACCAATCGGAACGGTATCTCTGGTACTGTATCCGTGGCGTCCTTTGATGGCAGCCCTTCTGCCAACGGAGCGTCGCTAGAATCTTGGTTTCTTTGAGCAGTATCAGTCGCACGTCTGATGCCATGCTCTGCGCCATCCATCGACAGCAGGAGAGCTGTTGTATCGGGTGCCTTGCCCCACACTCCCAATGGCCATCGTTTCACCTGTCGAAACTTGTCGTACGATATCTTCATTAGTCGGGCTTCATGTTCTTCCTTCTCAGGCACTAGAATATCAGGTCTGGAGGTTGCGTCAGTCTCATGTAAGCTTGTGTTCTGTCTGGACATACGAACTCTGAGCCATTGGCTTTGAGGAGCGCTCTTAGAGATTCTGAATGGCACGAACAGCAGCCGTCAGTATACCATTGTCAAAACCACACTCGTGAGCACCCACTGAGCTCTTCCATCAACGCCGCGCTCTGGTCATCGACGACTGAGTGTGCCGCTCCGTCTACAGGGCTCTCCGGTTGCTTGTCCGCCAAGGTTCCATTCGTGGCTCCAGCCCCTTCGGATTTCGCATGGTCTGTTTGGACGGTCGGTCCCTCGCCAGGCCCACCAGTGGAGTTCTCCGCCTCATCAGAGGTGCCGGGCGGGTCTGCAGAACCGCCATTTACCTGTGGGCTTTCTTCAGCGCTCTCCATTTTCTGGTAATCACGATGGTAATGGCAAAGAATGGTACACGCGGTGCTTGGCCGTATCAAATGTGCAGAAAAGAAGATCCTAGGGAGTCTCAGCCTGAGAAGGCATGAGAAGGAAGAAGTATTGCGCAGCTCTTAGCAAGGCTCGTGGCCGAAGGGGATGCCAGCCTTGCCAGCCTTGTCGAGAACAGGTGGTATGGCTTCCGTCTGTTTGCAGCATGTGCTGGATGGCTTGCAGCTTTCGACTTTCTTCACCCAAACGCGTCTGGCGCCATGCATGGTACGAATTAGTCGCATAGCCTCGTCGCAATGTTGGCCTGCAAAGTCCTACTCGCATTACGAGAGCTTCGTTAGATTGCAAGTCAGGGACCTGCACCACCTGCCTGCAATGCCAGTCATTCAGATCTCTTCTTTGTGTGGCACAAGACAGTTGATCACCGTTAACGTCCAAAAGTGATGCTCATCTCCGGAGCATGGGATGTGTCGTTCGGGCCAAGCTTCTGGCCGACGAGCGAGCTGCCCGTTCCAGCCGAGCTGAAGCAAGCATGGGGTGAGCGAGCTGCACGTCGATTCGTCCATAGTGTATTGACGGTGGCAGGGCATTGGTAGGTGGTAGCAGTCTGGCCTCTCCATCTGCAAGAACCAAAACAATTGCCTGCTTGCGGCTGAAGACTAATGAGCCGAGCTTCGAGCTCAACTGGGGCGCAGCTATGTAGCCTTGCTTGCCTGCGATCATGCACGAAACGCTTGGTCAAGGGAAATGTAGGACGTCCATCACCTCCATCCATTAAAGTCCACCACAGACCTTCTCGCAAGCCCGCCATGGCTCCCACAGCGCTGGCACTCGACACCAGACGTGGATCGCAGCAGTCCAAAGATGCCGCGACGAGATCATACCTCCTCAGAGCCGGCTTCGGCGTTTCCGGGAGCGATGAGAATCCGCTCGTTCAAGCGATGTGCAAGGCTACTCAGCAGGTATACTCAGACCAGAGCTGGAGGCAAAGTGTTCCCGGCTGACTAGTTGGTGCAGTCGGCGGTCGCCCAGGGCTGGCAACGTGAAGATGCGAGAAACATACTGATAAAGTAGGTCCGGGTTGCATCGTTGTGCTCCAGAACCAGCTGTCGCCGCTAGCAGCATCTTGCGGATACACAACTAGTCGAGCTGACAAGAAGCATAGAGAGAATGCAGACAAAGAAGTAAAGCAGCACCAACAGCGCTTCCTGGATGCCCTTCAAACATACCAAGATAATGCAAAGGAAGAGTACAAGACCAATGTCAAGTTGTCTCTGAACAACAAGCACACTTGGCCAGAAGTAATGGAAGCCGTTGAAAACATACAGAAAGCCCGCGCAGGGCGAACAACAGTATGGGCCAAGGTCAACGAGAAACTTCGAGCGTTCGGCGACAGCAGTCTTGTATTCCGGCAGTGGTTGGAGATCTTACCGACACAGAATGAGTACTTCTCAGTACTGTGTGGCGGATTCAAGCTGATCTTTGGGGTATGCACGGCATCAGCCGATAGCCACATGCATTTGCTGATTGAAGCAGGCCATCGGCAGGCTCAAAGCTGTTCGCGAGTTCATTAGTGATGCACTGATGGAATTACCAACGTTACTGTCTTGCGTTGACAAGAACTTGGACGTCTTCGAAGATGATCAGCTCTATGCGTGTGGTCGAAGTCTGATGAGCATGACCTTTGAAAGTTTGGAGCTCATCGTCCGCGAACTCACGAGCTCTGCCGTTAGTGAGTGTTGTCCGGACAAACATGAGTAGCAGGGACTTGCTGATGAAGACCCTCAGAGAAGAGTTTCCGGGCGTTTCTGAAACAGGACACATACGCCGATGAGCTTGAAGCAAGCCTTGATAGAGTGAGGAAGACTTCGGATCGGTTCAACAAAATCGCAGACGTCTGCGCGCATGGCAAACTTGGTGTCATCGAGGAGAATACTGTTGGAATGATGACGCAGCTCAGCCTGGAGCACCAGCGAACCAATTCGGTTGTTGCGAAGGAGGTCAGGGCAGCGGTCCAACATCTCGAGGGCTACCAGGCCGAACGGGATAGAGCCATGAAGCAGATGGCCGAACAATTCTACGCAAACATGCTTTCAAGCTTCAACAGCCAGCTTGACAAGCGTCTGCCGCTTCAAGAGAGGGTGCCAGCTCCGCCAATGATCAAGGAGAGCCGCGCGCCTGGCAGATCCTCTCAATATCGACGAGCCGACGTTCGTGCCGCACTGTTGCGTGAGCTGCAATACGAGCCAGAAGTGCCGGTGGAAGATCTGGCAACGAGCCTAGATGCCATATGGACCGCTGATCGTACAGTCCACGACCGTGTTCACTACCTCGTAGCAGAGCTTCAAATGTCAGAATGGCTCTCGCAACTGTCTCGGCGGATACTGCTCATCGACGAGACAGAAGTTACGATGCACCGGTCGATAGCACCCAGTTTCCTCGCTGCTAAAGTGGGAGAGACGGCGTGGGCAAGCATGCGCAATGGAGACAATCCGGATTACGCCGTGATTGCCCTCGCCTTCTTCTGTGGAGAGCACATTCGTCCGAACGAGGATGCGCTCGCCAGTCACGCCGGCCTCTTACTTAGCATAACAGGTCAGCTTGTGGCCGCTTACGAAGACCTAGACCCGCGCAAGGCTTTCCGAGAGCTGCAGGCCTTAGATGACCCGGACATGGCAAGCCTTTGGCGGATCTTCGAGGGTCTCGTCCTCCAGCTGCCGGACGATGTCTTGCTTTATGTCATCCTCGACAACGTCTCGGAATATGTGTACTCGAATTGGCGAGAAGAGATGGAGTACCTGGTGGACCATATGATAGAGCTTGCCAGGCAGCTGAGTGGAATGTCGACCCGTTGCGTCCTCAAGCTGTTGATAACGAGCTCGCCCTCGAATGCTCGATTGGAGTCCGACCTGGAGCCAGACGAGATTCTAAGCGTTCCCGGCCACGTGCCAGCGGTTGGGGAGTTTTCTGACTACGCCTGGACTGGCGGGCTGTAGCACTGTAGTACCATATGAACGCGAACCGCATGCCTTTTGTCTGCTTCCCTCAACACTGTTAGGTGAACGGTGTCGGCGAGCATCTTCTTGTTGTAAGCCAACATTGCAGTCGAGTCTCGCCACCGTGTTACTCCAGGGGTGCGTAGGTCGTAGGATAGCTTTAGCAGATCTCCAGTCCCAAGTGCTGTCTTCTTCATAGTAGTATGGTTCATTCGTCGCGTCCGGAGCGGGTGGTTTGGAAGAACATACGATCTTCACAGAATTGAAGGAATTGGTGCTCTCGCTAAGTGACCCTGAATCGGCTTGGCAAGGGTCCTGCCCGATTAGGGGCGTTGCGCGTTTTCGTGAGGAAGTTGTCGAAGGCAGGAGGGATACCTCAAGAACAACTTGCACGTTTCCACGAATCTTGCCACTCATTCTGCGATACCGATCGCTCGCGCTCCGGTCTTTCATGCTGGAGCCCATGAAAGTAGTCACACCTCCTCACCACGCTTAATGTCCAACCCGCAATCCGCCTGGTCGTATGTGAGCAACCTTTCGAAACCGCGCCGTCGCTCCTCCGTCAACAAACTCCCCAGCCACGATCGCTTCGAGAAGCCAGACCGGCACACAACGAGTGGACGACCAATGCAAGAAAAAGTGCAAGCCGCGTGGATGAATCAGTCGCAGCGAACACGCTATCTCAAGGCCGGGTGCCTGATCGCATTCCTTCTTCTCGTCCTCTACCATATTTCACCAGCCAGCGATGTTTCGCCGCGGATACCGGGGGTCGGGAAGTTCCCGGGTGGAGATGTTGCGAGCGATTCGTCGGTAGCGACGACAAGATGCACGAGGAGTTATTCGAGCGATAAGCCTTTAATACAGTATGCGTTGATGATTGATGCCGGGAGCACAGGGAGCAGGATACACGTTTACAGGTTCAATAACTGCGGGCAGACGCCGGAGTTGGAGGACGAGGTGTTTGAGCAGACGGCGAAGAAGAAGGGTGGGAGCGGACTGAGCAGTTATGGGAGTGATGCAGAAGGCGCGGCGAGGAGCTTGGATGTGCTGCTGGATGTCGCGCTGAAGCATGTGCCCGAGAAGATCAGGAGTTGTACGCCTGTCGCGGTGAAGGCTACGGCTGGGCTGCGCAAGCTGGGGACGGAGAAGAGCAATGCTATCTTGAAGGCTGTCAGGACACGACTAGAGATGGTGTATCCTTTCCCTGTCGTCAGTGGGGAGCAGGGTGGGGTGGAGGTAATGGACGGGAAATTCGAGGGCGTATATGCCTGGATCACGACCAACTACCTGCTGGGCAAGATTGGTGGACCGGACAAGACTCCTACGGCAGCTGTCTTCGATCTTGGAGGTGGAAGCACGCAGATTGTCTTCGAGCCGACATTCAGGCAGGCAGCAGACGGCGGCATGCCAGACAAGATGGAGGAGGGTGACCATAAATACGATCTGAACTTCGGCGGTCGGCAATTCTCGCTCTACCAACACTCATACCTTGGCTATGGTCTTATGGAGGCTCGAGATACCCTTCATCGCAGTGTTTTGCAGACTTTGCACGAGAGTAACCCGAGCTCGAGAGCATGGCTGGACAAGCCTGTGCCAAACCCTTGCCTTGCAGCGGGGACAACTGGCGAGGTTAAGGTCCCGATGGGCGAAAATCACGAGCTGGGCTCCGTGGTCACAGTCAACATGACCGGGCCATCGAGCGGCTTCCCAGCGCAATGCCGAGCGCTCGCTGAAAAGGCGCTCAAGAAGGATGCCGAGTGTGCCCTAGCACCCTGCGCATTCGGCGGTATCTACCAGCCCTCCATCGAGAAGACGTTTGCACGTGAAGATCTCTACCTCCTGTCTTTCTTCTACGACCGCACCTCAGAGCTTGGCATGCCTGAGACCTTCACCCTGAGGGATCTGCAGGACCTCACAGCCCGCGTGTGCCAGGGCGTGGATGCATGGAAGAGCTTTGAGGTCGTACCTGGCGCGGTCGATCAGCTGAAGGACAGGCCGGAGACATGCTTGGACCTCAACTTCATGCTGGCACTGCTGAATACTGGGTACGAGATGCCGATCGATCGGCAGGTCAAGATCGCGAAGAAGCTCCAGGGTAATGAGCTCGGGTGGTGTTTGGGCGCCAGTCTTCCGCTGTTGAGCGGTGATGGGTGGAGTTGTAGGGTCAGCGAGGCATCGTAGAGCGGCGCTGTCAGCATGCATGGGCCGGAGTCATAGCGAATAGAGCATACATGTACCATAGCATCTTTGCAGCCGGCAGAAGAGCTGTCTTGTGAGAGCACATGCTATGGCACTTTGACATTTCTGTATTACCTTACCTTCCGTCGTCTACTCTTGTGCTCGGGTCAGCAGTTGTCGCTTGGCAGGTGCAGGGGTGCGAAACCTTAAATCAATCTGACCTCTCCACGCGCCTTCTTTGGACCTCACTTGCGAGCCTCACGCTCAACACTCGAAATTCTTTCGCACTCCTCTCTCCCTCCTTCACCACCAGAACAAGTCGCTCGTGAACAGACATCAGTCCTCACTCTATCATTTGCACAACCTACACCCGCGGCAGAGGGCGGCATTGCATCTCACGATGGGCTCAAATGCCTTCGCGTTCAAGACATGGGCCATCACCGAGAATGTCATCACCACGTCCACGCCCGAGACATTCAACGACACTAGAATCGGCATCGACGCCGAGGACTACCTACACTCGCTACTAATCACCGGCAATCGTGAGCCTCTCCTGCCAGCTCTCGGAGGTAAGCCATTCTGCCTTCTGCGCCGCGTGGATGAGGGTATCGAGGGCTTCAAGGCGGCTGGCATTGACCCAGTGTTCGTCTTTAACGGGCTGGATCTGGCATGTCGGGACAGGGCAAGCATTCTCAGGGAGAGCAGGAAAGCGTCCATGTCACTGGACGAGGCGTGGCAGATTTACGACCAGGGGCGGGGTGAGGATGCCGTGCTTCAATTCGGCAAAGCTTGTGAGTAACATGTCATTACGCACACAACAAGTGATCTACCCGACTCACGGACAGTAGGTACGTACAGGAGCTACCACATCGTCAGAAGCCTGCAGTTCCACCTGCACAGCAAAGGCGTCGATATCATGACAGCACCTTATGCTGCAGCTGCGCAACTGGCCTACATGCTGAAAACAGAACAAATCGACGCCGTGCAAGGTTCTGCTTCATGCCTTTTGTTCGGGACTGGAAAGGTCATCTTCAGCTTCGAGTGGGAGAAAGATTCGGTGGTCTGGCTGGATGTCCGCAAATGCCTCGCTAAGCTTGAGGTCGACTTCGAACAATTCACCAACATCTGTCTGATCTCCGGATGCGGCATCCTGTCTCTTCTGCCGGACCTCGATATCGATAATGCTGCCACGAAGATCATCGCGGCTCGGGTCTTGCTGCAGAACATGAACTTTGATGTCGACCGTCTGTTGCGATCGAAGAATGGCGACTATCACAAGCTCTTCTGGCAGGCTCGTTTTGCTCTAAGGTACCCAGTGGTCGTCAAAGAGGAGGGCGAGGTCGAGCCACTCAACTGGAGAGAGGGCCCGAGCGATGCTCACGAGTTCATCGGACAGCGTCTGCCGGATGAGCTGTACTTTTACCTCAGCCGAGGAGTGGCTGGTCCCAGGGTGCTGAATTGGCGCACACGGATGGAAATCCTTGAGACTCCGCCTCTCGATGGAGGCGACTCCACACCCTACAAAGACCTTGTCCAGACGAAGCTCAAGCCTCTCAGGGCACAGGCAGTCGCGCTTATGGGACAGTCGCTTAATCGGTACTACCAGAAGCAGGACGTCAAACTTCTATGCTGGTGGCACGAGCTGTCGACGACACCTCTGGGAACCACGGACATAGCCAATCCCGGGCAAGCCGCACAGAGCTGGCATGTCAACAGTGCGCTTCTGTCGCAACTCAGCGGCGGTAGCTCCACACCATCCATGCTGTCGTACGCAATCAATACTTTGGCGGACCCGTCAGAGGCCAAGAAGACCGTCACGCCTAGGGTTAATGGGACCACCCAGCTCCACGACGTGGCTGATCTGCGCGCGAACGTTGTCTGGCGATTCCTGAATGACAGAGGCTACCTTAACTCGGATCACACACTGTCTGCATGGGGCAAAGCGCTGAAAGCTGCGTTCTCCCACGAAGTCAGTACCCGCAGCGCCGCGTCCCCTGAAGCTACCACCGAACTCGAGGAGGCCATTTTCATGGCATTTGAGCTTCTACGCTTGGGACTCCTCGACAGAAGAGTCATGTTTCCAGTACCACCATTCTCTGGAGGACCGATCAGAGGCTCCGACCAAGACAAGGCTCAGATCCAGCTCGTCAGTCGGGTCGCCTGTCTAGGATTTCTGCGTCACAAGTCGATCGGCTACACTGGGCCACTCTCGCGTAATTTGCTTGCGTATCACCAGTGTACTGCGGCCACCCGCGGAGCCCTCCGAGATCTGCTCGAGATGCATGCCTGCAACATGTTGCTCTCTGGTGTCGTCGACCGAAATCTCGACAACAATGTCTACACCGACGTCGCTGCAAGCCTCCCATTGGTCGATGAACCGGACATCGGCCTTGCTCTGATTGTCAAGTGCTACCTCGACGAGCTGTGCCAACCATTCGAGAAGCGTGTGGCTATCTCTGGTTGGTTCCCGCATGCTGAAGATATTCAAGGTGACCTGCAGAAAGCTTGGAACTTGTGGGGTGCGGTAAGTTGATCCTCGAATTGGCGAAAAGATTGACCTAGAATGCTAATGAATCGTACAGATCAACGCTGGCGTTCAGGCTGCTGAATTCAACATCGTCAACAACGAAACGAAGAAGACGTTCCAGGCCGCCGACACCTGGCTCAAGGAGAAGCTCGAGCAAGCCAATGGCCCTAATGGCACCACCAACGGTGTCACGAACGGTACCACCAACGGCACTGCGTAGACTGCAGATTGGAGAGTCGCTGCAGCACCTATCTTAAAACTAAGGCCATTCATCCTGGAGGCGGAGAGGCGGCCGAACAGCTTCTCGACGATGGATGACATCACTTAGCAAGCTGAGATCAAGAAGATGGAAGCGAGATCGATCGACCCCGAGGAAAGAATTGTTGCAGACGGTCTGGCGTTGCTTGAAAGGCGGACCAGACTCGACAGCATTACGGAGGCGGAGGACGAAGGGGTGGATTTTCCTCAGGCTTTCGCACCGAACACTGTGCGGTACTTCACTCCAGTTCCAGGACGGATGGGGGCGAAGGAATGTTGACAGAAGGAAGGCGGGATAAGGCTGCGGTCGCTATTGCTTGGAAGTAGAGTGAGTATCGAGTATTATCTCCGACAAACCTTCGTACCCACTGTCCTGGGTCCCGCATGCAAGCGCGCGGGGTCGGCTGTATGGCTTCAAGACTGCGTCATGTTTAGAGTACAATTAAGGTACTTCTCCTTCCCGCGGCAACGGCTGAAAAATCATTATTGGGCAAGCAAGGTAAGAGAACAATTCGATATATCCTCAAGTCGTTGTCTACGTCTAGATATCTGTCCTATCCGCTCTTCCAAAGTCTCGATTCTTGCCGCACCCATTAATACACGGAAGAGCCGTCAACATGGCTACCCAAACAGCCACCGTGCCAGAAACAATGCGCGCCTGCCAAATCATCGAATTCAACCAACCGCACCAAATCCGCACCATCCCAACCCCCTCGGCAACGGACCTCAAACCCAATGATCTCCTGATCAAGATCGCCGTTCCCTCCCTCTGCCACTCGGATCTCGAGTACCAGAAGGGCGTCTTCCCCATCACGCTTCCCGTTACCGCTTCTCATGAAGGCACAGGGACAGTTCTCGCTTTCGGCTCGAATGTAAAACGGTTCGACGTCGGTGATCGGGTGGTTGCAGGACAGACTTTTGGGCGGTGCGGGGAGTGTGAGGTTTGCAGTGGGCCGGAAGAGTATAGGCATTACTGTCCGAAGAGGGAGGCGATGATGAGTGTTGGGGGAAGGAATGGGGCGTTTCAGGTTAGTGGAGGGTTTCTCTATATTGGTGGACATGCTGACCCTTGCGTTTTGTGTATGCCAGGAGTATCTTGTTGTTGATGGTAGGGAGGCGACGCGGATCCCGGACAAGATGTCGTTCGCCACCGCAGCACCGCTGGCTTGTGCCGGAATGACGGCATGGAGGGCAGTGAGGCAGGCGAGGCTGGAGAAGGGCCAGTGGTTAGGCATCATCGGTTCCGGAGGTGGTTTGGGCCATCTCGCCATTCAATTTGCGAGGAAGTCGTTCGGGCTGAAGGTTGTGGGTGTCGATGCGAGGGACGAGGGTCTGGCGTTGAGCCGGGAGATGGGGGCAGATCTTGTTGTGGATGCGCGGAAAGGGAGGGATGCAATGGTAGAGGAGGTACAAAAAGTGGCAGGTCCCGGTGTTGACGCAGTGCTGGAGCTGTCCGGCCATCCTTCGGCGGCTGAGACAGGCGCTGCAATCACGAGAAATCATGCTAGATTTGTCCAGGTGGCGATTGTAAGTAGCTCGTTGCTCTCTGGGCGTACAGCCGCCACAGTACTGATTGTTTGCAGGCGGACAAGCTTCCAGTCGATGTCTTGCAGCTGATCTTCAAGGACCTGACTATCAGCAGCTCGTTCATGGCCTCGCAAGCGGAAACGGAGGCAATGCTCCATGCTGTCGTCGATCACAACGTCCACGTGGAGAATAACATCTTCCGCGGGCTGGACGAGATCCCTCGGGCAGTTGAAATGCTGAAGAAGGCAGAGTATCGCGGCAAGGCGTGTTTCGTAGTCGACAAGGATGCTGTAGGGGTGGTGCCTGGAGACGGGCGGGTGTGAGCTGAGCAGAGTGTCTCGCCCACCATCGGCGAGATACCGTGGGTTCCACTTCAGTCTGCTATGCAGCACGTTACGGCTCCACCCTACTGCACAGCTCCTGTATACAGCTCCTCCATCATCAAATTCCCCCAGTGTTCGGTCTCACCTCGTCCTTCATATTCATCCACTCTTGCCCCGGGTCTCTCACTTCATCAGCACTCACACTTCCGTGCCGACTGTTCTCCTACTACACCGCCACCTTTGCGCTCCTTCGCACCCTCAGCATCCCAGCATCGTTAGCTTCATTAGCATCCACCGCATCCTGCTCGTTTTCTTCAATTGAGAATGGGACGTGCTCATTAAGACGCCTCCGAGTTTCGAACCGGGTTGAAAGTATGAGAAGGTAAGCGATAGTATGAGATGCTGTGATGGAGAAGAGTGTTTTCAGAGAAGTTCATGAAGGCGTCTCCAAGTCCAAGTCGGCTGGTAGAATGTCACACCACACGTATCGGGCGTCAGATTGAACTCCATAGCACACCGGCCTGCCATTTAGCGTGAGATGCTGTCTCGGGGAAGGGGCAGATAGACGAAGTGATACACTGGCTTCTTGGAATCCAGATCCAGCTAAAGGCATTCCAAAGCACTCCATAGCACCAGATGCTCTCTTGTAGAAGGTAACGGCAGGTAACGGCAGGTAACAGGTACCAGTACTCAGCTCGAACTTCGCGTTCCGCTCGGAAGCATATCAGGTGGCACCATATGCGTTCACTTATCAAGTAAGATTGAGTCGTAGATCCCGGTCCAGTAGCTTAGCAAGGGAGTCCGAAAGCCTCAAGTTCTCCAGATCTCGAGGCTGCACCTCCAAATCCTCACGCGCTACTTTCACCGCTCGCCGGATGATATCCCGTTGTGAATCTGCGTCCTTGATTCGGGCCTCTCTAGGCTGAACTTGTCGGATCAAGCAGGTCAAAGCTGGCCACGGAAACTCGCTCCGTGCATGCCAACGATAGATATGCAGACAGTTCGTCTCGCACACTTCAAGATACAGCGACAGAAGCCTTTTACTGTGCTCCAGTAGGTCCTGAGAAGGCTGACCGGTTTGTACTTGGGAAGAGAAAGCCGTGAAGTACATTCGCTCCATAAGAGCGTTCGCGCGGTTTATGACGTAGCAGTGTAGCCTTTCGCTTAGGTTACAGTGCTGGAGTATGCCCTTGGCCAGCATTTGCTCGGCAAGCGTGATCCGGGAGATCTTGTCATCAAATGATACGTCTTCGGAGCCGAGCGTGTCCCATACGTCGCCAGCGGTGCCAGGGCTTGACATCGAGTACATCACCTGGAAGCTTTTCGCTACGAACAAAGCGAAAATTGTCTCCTTAGGCTTCTCCCCAACCAAGGGTAGCTCCTGCATGTTGGGTAAAAAATGGCTGTCATTGATAGCGGATGGCATGTCGTACTGACTGCAAGCTATAGCATCGCTGCGTTGCTGGCCTATTGAGTCAGCGAATTGAGCATCCATGATCATGGCAGCCCACCACAAGCGGCGACACATCTCCGTCTCGAAGGCTGACATCTGGAAGGCCTCGCCATTGTTGAGCCTCGTTGTAGCGCCACGGCTCACAAGCCCGGAGAGAGACCAGGCAGCCTCAAAGTTTCCGAGGGATCCGAGAGCCAGTGCGTGAAAGAAAGAAGCCTGCAGAGTGATCAGCTCAGAGCAGCCCATGGCTCCGGGAGCAGAGAGAGCCTTTTCGGCATTTCGTCTTGACTCCAAGACAGCAAGAGGTCGCGACTTGCTAAAGGTCTCCTGACATTCCGCTTCTGTCAGGGAGACCACACTCGCCATGAAGATTGCGCAGACTAATGCTTCTTGGCTGGGAGTCAAGCAGGATCCCTCGGCCCTGGCCGATACCAATATCAAAACAGCTGAAGCATCTTTTATTTTGGTGAGAGGATGCACCCTCTCCAGGAAAATATGCGAGAGAGAGCTGGCCTGGCTCGCGCTGGTGCCAGCAGTGAGCGATTGCTGTCTTCCAGAGTCCGGGACTAAACCTGGTTGGCTTAGAGCAAGGATGGTAGCAATCGTGGTGTTGCTTCCGGGAGGACGTAGTGGTAATGTAGAGCGACCTTCAGAGGGTTGCCTCTCCTTCCTGGTGTACGTACACAGCATGCCGAGCTTCTTGCAGCTGGCGCATGGAAGCCCTCGATCACATCTGACCTGTTGGCCTGTCTGTAAGCAGACTGTGTCAGAGAATCTTGTCTGTGTCTGACACATACCTTACGACGCTGGCAGACGGCACACGCTGGCGTGCTGTTGCTGCGTCTCGGAGGATATTCGCTTCCGTTTGTGGTCACGCTGCTGACTATTAACGACATCTTTCATATCGTGTGTGTTTGGGGGAATGTAATGTATAATCTCAGGTCCAAGTAGTCCGTCGACATTGCCTTTGTCAGAACTGATACGCGTTTGAAGCACAGTGTTTCCTCTCCCAACAATCCTGGTGTTCTGACGTTGAGCTGTGAGGTAAAGCAAGATGCAGTCCAAGTTACGACGGTGTATCGAAGCGCCACGTACGTGCCCCGAGCTCCAGACCGCGATCCTTCTGTGCTCGACAAGAGCACAAGGAGTTGGCGTCTTCTATTCCTCCCTACACCTTCTGATCAGTGGCAGACGATTTCGAATTTGTACTCAGCTCGAAGCCTGTCGCGAATGGAATCCCGAGGGGTGAGGGTACAAAAAGCTGCACTACAGCGTGTCCTGGACGAAGTCCTTCTCGATCAAACTTCTTTCCATGACTCAGCAACGCAACGAGGATTATCTAATGGCACTTCAACTACTCCCACCATTCGCGACAGATCCAGTAACGAGCGTATACGGGGCCATCATCGCTCAAGGAAAGCCAACGTTGTTGTGCCCAACCCAGGTTCGCGATCCTCCAGACGGCCTAACAACTCTCTTGCCGCCTTCAACGACGATGGGGGCGGTGAGCAGGCTCCCGGACCTGTCGGTCTTCTGGACGATGCCGGCCAGCTTGCCGTTAACGTGTTCTTGCACGCGTGCGTCACGGATGCACATTGGACCTTTATGACCGATCTGCTCGGGCGTCAAGATGCTGGAGGCCCCGCGGTAATGCATGCCATGAAAGCGTGCGGAATGACCGTACTTATTGGCTCCAGGCCCCCCTCCAGTGTTCAAACAACCGCTGAGCAGGTGGACTACACCCACGCCGTTAGATCTCTTCAGCCACTGCTCGAGAACAGCGTCCATGTCAGGGACGATAGTACTCTGCTAGCGGTGTTCTTACTCGGACTCTATGAACCGATATCGACCGATCGAACCACCAACGCGAGCAAACCGAGTCAATACAAAGCACATATCAGAGGCGCTACCGAGCTACTTCGCCTCCGCGGACCAGATACGTTCACCTCGACCGCGGCAGCAGCACTGTTCCTTGACTGGCGTCCACAAATCCTCTTTGTCTGTCTATGGGACTGCGACCCTGTGCCTGAGTTTCTTCTCGATTGGCCCAAATGGTTGGAAACAGACAAAATCGACCCTAACGTGAGACGAGTCGAAGAGCTTTACGGAGTGCTCGCGAGAATCCTCAACCTCCGAGCTGAGATCGCAGCTCCGCAGCCATCAATGAACAAGGAGACCTTGATGAGGGAGATGATTACACTGACCAACGCCCTAGATCGTTGGGAAGCCTCCGCAAGGACTTCAGGGTCCTGGAGATACCATGCGGTACCGAAAGCGGAGACGCAGTGCTCGATTGAGTATGTCTGGAGTATAAAGACGTACGCCTATACACAACCTTACACTGTGAGCGGGTGGAACATGTATCGAATGATCCGAATCCTACTGCACCTCATGTTCCGCGCCATTTACATTGAAAAAAGTGCAGAATCAGCCGGCCAGCAAAATCTTGAGGTGTTTACTGCAGCTCGCAAGCTCATGGTCGACGACATATGCGCCTCGTTTGCGGCTGTCATCGGCGAGGGGGTTGAGCTGACTCCGCATCCGCGATCGAAATTTGTACGTGCATACCAGGCAGTCTGGTCACTCTTCTTTGCTGGAATTTCTCTCCTCGTGGCCTTGCAAGACGGCTCCAGCGGCGCTGAACGTTGCTATCAAGAGATTCAGCTCTCTTGGATCATGAGCAAGCTTCGGCTCTTATGGAGGGTGCACGGAATCAAGTGGGCGGCTGGTCCTCTTGTGGCCCTCACCCAGTCCGACCGGGTGCCTGTTGAGTATCAGCAGTGTAAGTGCGAACCCCATTGCGAACCCAATCTCCTGTTGACCAACCTCACTTCAATAGTCTTAGACAACATGATCAAGCTTCCACGCCGCGCTGCTGAACCGCATCGAAAATCGACCCCTCCGACGAGGCAGGGGGGACCGGACTCGAGCTCCTCGAGACTCTCCTCATCTCAGATCACCACTGCGCTCATCTCTTGCTGGTGAGCTCGAAGGTGCAGTTGGCTACAATTAGAAGAATTGGCAGTCTCCGTATCCTGGGCTATAAGCACAACACGCCTAAGAGCCTTTGGACATGACGTTATTTGATCGAGAAGATGTGAGAGGATGTGAGGACTGTACGATTCTCCACTATCCGAGAGAATAGGAAGCGTATCACCTAACGGCAAGTTCGATAGCAGGCGATTGTGTGACGGAGGGCCAGAACCGACTGCGACTTCTTTTGGTCGCGTCCAGGCTGAAACGGCGAGCCACCACGATCTTTAATACCTGGCGACAGGCATCTCTACCAGGGAATGAAGTCTCCCAAAGTGATAGACGGAAGGGTCAGCAGATGTTTTGACGGAGGTTAAAGATGAGAAGGTCTCAGAACGCCTTGGACTTGCCTCGGGGGTGCATTCCGCCCTTCGGGTCGACGTGACGAGTAGAAGGATGATCAAGGTTCTCGAACGTCGGGTTCAGAAGGCATGGTATTGGAGCGCTGCATGGCTCCTGATCCTGTCTCGGAGAACACCTCCATACACCAGTGATACAGCAGCTGTCTCGACCTTTGGCTCGGACTCACAACGTTACACAGCAGTGTGTAGCCAATGATCGCGACTCGAATAACTTTTGCACCATTCATAAAACGGATGGAGTCACATTTTGCTCTCGTAGTGCGAATCGCGGATGATTTCGTTGATTACACCACCATTGACAACATGTTATACCGTGTGTCTTCATAATCTCATAAGATGAGGGCAAGCATAGCTCTTGCTGGTGATGCGCAGCCTTGAAGTTGTCGGATTTCAAGGTGGCATCTCAAGCGCAGTGTACCTCCCCATCCGAATGCGTGTGACACTCCTGGTCGATGGTTAGCGAATATCCTGCCAGGATGTATCACAGAGGACTTACAGAAGCCGCAGAGGCAGTCATACTCATGCCCGTAGACTCTGTAGTAGAGACAGCCAACGCTGTACTCGACGACATGGCGGTCGAGGACGATGATGCTGGCACGGAGCTCGAGCTGCTCATATCGTGACTGTCGTGGTCATGACCATGGTCTTCTGCCTCCGCAGCGGCAGCTTCACCGGTGCACCCTTGCCCGGGCGCCGCGATGTCGTAAGCGTACACGTCCAGAGCAAAGTACCGTAGGGTGGCGCTATTCCGCACAGCCTCTTCTGGCGAATCCATGGCGAGCTCCAGGCATTCGTCGTAGGTGTCAGCGTAATGGCCGACGACGCCCTCTCCGAGCTTATCAGTGTGGTAGACGCGGTGTATAAGGTCCTAATAGACGTAAGCATTCTTTCCTTCCTACGCAAGAGAGCGTGGGAGCAACGATGTATTCCACCCAATCTTACTTACCGAGGCGAAGTATGCTGTGTTTTCGCTACCAGCGACGGTGTAGCCGTAGCCACAAAGACCAGCAAGCGGCCATCTGTTCGTGAAGGAGTACTCGCAGATTACGGTCTCGTCGCTGCCGTTCTCGCCTCGCCAGTGGCCACCCCAGCCCTGTTGGGTGTTAGAACAGGACTCTATGGCACTTATGGGAACAGGAGAATGACCTCCAGACGGCAGTTATTGTCCGGATCATCACACCTGAACAGAACTCCCGTCTTGTCGCCATTGACAATCTTGTCGAACCAGCCGGCCGGCTCCCCTGTGCTGGCATTGCCAAAGTATTTGATGTAAAAGTCCGAGCTGTGGCCGAACCGCAGGATGTGGTCTTTGGCGTGCGTGGCCAATATCGACATGTCGTCGAGCGCTTCGCCGAGCAGAGCCGTCTCGCTGTTATTGCAGAACTGGATGTCGTATTCCATCGTTCCACCAGCGTCCCATGCTCGGGCCGACACAGTAGATGGCTGGCGAGGAAGGTCCTCGGGATCGATCATCGGCGCGGTGAAAGCGAGAGAAGCAAGAGATGCTGCTACGAGCGTGCTGCGTAGGAACCACATTGTGGAAATAGTTCCCTTGTCGTAGATTGGGAATGGAGATGGATGAAGGAGATGTCATGACCTACCTTTGCCCGCCAGCAGCGACGCCTTTATACACAATCATTCTCCTGCCATTATGGTTGCTGTAATTCCGATGCAAATTCTCATGATGGCATGTTGGGAAGAAACATAGTCGAGATCTCCGTCGAAAAGCGAGCCAAGTCCTACCATCCCTCTGGGCAGTGGAAGGTTGCATCCAGTATGACCGCATGTTAACACGTGCTGGACGGATCGATACCTTCACCTGGTATCCTCGTGGAGTGTGATGGCGTTGGTGGAGTGTGGTAGACCGAACATCAGGGTGCCGTCAAGCCATGCAGGCCCTTGGCTGTTCTTGGACAGTAGCCTCTAAGGCCCGATACTCGGGACGCCCGATGGCAGCAGCATGAAATGTATAGTTTCCTGCAGGCAATGATTGTAGACATCCAAGACGTCGAACACCATCAAGGTAGTCCGTAGTTTTTCGTGCCAAGTTATCCACATCGATCCAACGTTGGCGCCCAGTGCCTGATGCTGGTCTCGTCGGCGAACATCGGTCACCATGCTGTAATTCTCTCGCCGAGTGGATGGCGTTGTATGTGAGTGCTCACTGCTGTGCCTCGTGAGATTCAGACGTGAAGTCCGCTCACGAGTCAAGACAATATCTCCTCTCGGCGCCATTGGGGGCCGTTCCTTGGTATCATCTTGGTTGTGGACGCTTCTTGTTCTTAGTGGCGAGGCGCGGCGAGAATGGATGCGCCTGTGGATGTTCTCCGGCATGGTGTGTTGACCGCGGTTGCATCGTGCCGAGCAAATTCTTCCATCAAAGTATGTCCCACTACTACCGTGGAGGCGGGCTAATATATGCCTTACCCGCCCTCGTGTTTGGACATCCATAGCATCGACCATCTGTCTGAGATTTGTCAATATGGCCTCAAGATTGCTGATCGTTTCCACGGCGCTGCTGTCCCTCACTGCAGCTCAAGGGACAGATTGTCGTTTGCAGGGTAACATCCAGTGCGCCTCCCTCTGAACGGATGCGCTCGGGATCAATATTGATATGAGCAGGTACTGCAAGTTGCCTGACGGATCGGAGAGAGCGGTCACGACGTACGCAGGCACCCCAAGTCCTTCAACTTCCGCAGCATCGAGCTCGGAATCGACATCTGAAGAGGCTTCGACTCCAACCGTGGTTTCTTCAACCATTACGAGTGCCACAGCCGCTGCCCACTCAGCGCCTGCTGTAGCTTCAGCGACAGGATGCCATCTGCATGGAGAAGAAACATTTTGCGTCGTTGGAGACGAAGAATATGAGATTACTTCACCTGTCGAAGAAGACGCTCCCACCGAGTACAACGATTGTCACTTCCATGATGAGGAGCTGTATGTCACGATCGAGCGACATTCCTCATACCTTCGTTGTGTCCGAGCTGACCTCCACAGGCACTGTACCGATGGCGGAGGCGATGTAATCTTAGCTCCCATGGCTGCAGCATCACACGACTACGAATCGGGCGAAGAAGAAGGTGCCTCCAGCGCCAGCGGGGTGAGCTGTCATTCGCATGCTGGAGTCGAGTGAGTGCAACTCCATTGTTCAAGCCAGGCCATCTCGAGAGGCGACGCTGACAGGGTGACAGACACTGCGTCGACGCTGAGGGCAATACTGTCTCTTCCGGCTGCGCACGGCCTGACTATCAGTACGACATTCCGCTGAGAATCGGCCTGTTGTTCGTGATCTTGTGCACTGGTGCGATCGGTGTGCTTGGGCCCATCTTCACAGCGAAGTTCTCCAAATTTGACGCGGATCACATTGTGTTGGTGTGCCTAAGACAGTGTAAGTGTCTGCTGGACATTGCTTCTCTCGTTGGGACGAATGGTTCATGGCTAACCCTTGACTCGTAGTTGGCACGGGCATCATTATTTCGACTGCCCTTGTGCACGTAAGCTATTCGAGCACATTTCGCTTGAAGAGATCGTCTGACAGAACTTAGCTATACACTCACGCTCAACTCTTCTTCTCGAACGAGTGTCTCGGACGGCTCCAGTATGAGGCAACCACGTCTGCAGTGGTGATGGCTGCTCTCTTTGTGACCTTTCTCATCGAGTATATTGCCCAGAGACTGCAGAGACGGAAGTCGACGACCCAAGGAAGGCCAGCAGCCCTCCATGATCACAAAATGCCACAGGCTGCCGCGGATGACAGCTCTGAAGAAGAACGCCGTATCCCGGGTAGTGCCACGGAGAAGGAACTGATGGTTCAAGTCACTGTGATGGAGGCTGGTATCATCTTCCATTCGATCCGTGAGTTCCCCAGAATGCAGAACGTACTGAGACTACTCGCTGACATTTCCAGTAATCGGCCTGACGCTTGTGGTTGCAAACGACTCCGGCTTCATCTCGCTGTTCATCGTCATCCTCTTCCATCAGATGTTCGAGGGCATCGCTCTTGGATCACGCATTGCCATGACGTCTGCTGGCCTGGCTCGTAAAATTGTTATGGCATTGGGATTCGCCATCACAACTCCAATAGGAATGGCTATTGGTATTGGAGTCCTGTCCAGCTTCAATGGTAATGATCCAAGTACAATCGTCGCGATTGCTACGTTGGATGCTTTCAGCGCAGGTATCTTGCTGTGGGTTGGACTTGTTGGCATGCTGTTTAGCGACTGGTGGTTTAGACCTCTGGCAACTTCGGGGGCGGTGAAGACAGCGTTGGGAATGCTGTTCCTCGTATCCGGCTTGGTACTTATGAGTCTGCTGGGCAAGTGGGCGTAAGACGCGGATTGGTCGTTGAAGAAAGGGATGGCAACCATCGATCCGTCTTCAGCATACATGTAGGGTAGAGGGGTTAGCATACGATTGCGTGACCTTTGGGATGCTAGAAGCAACTTGAAGTGCCGGTGCTCGGCCATAGCTTGATACGCCTCTATACCAGTCGTTCAAGGATCTTTCCAAGGATCGTACTGTGCAATTTATCGTGATCCTACTTCCGCTCATGGCCATAAGCTGGCGTCCAAGGTTGATGTTGGCCATTTGCATGTAAAGATGACCTCTCAAGGCGTGTTTCGCCCGCCTGTCCATTGGAGCACTTTCCCGTGCACCATAGCAGGGTTCTCGAGACAATTCTTACCCGGGGATTTGAGATGGAAGGACGGGATGCTTCCATTTCAAGGTGATTATCGAAGTGAGGTCTCGTGCAAAAGCTTGTTTTGAATTGAGCCTGAATGGCCCTCCTCCAACACCACCAACTGCTGGCAACACACTGATAATATGATCACCATGACGAAGGAGCATAAATGTACGTTCGGCGTTGTCTAGAACAGGCAGGTAGGTTAGACAGAGTCGATCAATTTCTAAGTCCCTTACAACTCAGCTCGTGAACCTCGACGTATTTTTCAATTCTTTCGTCTGGTAGCAAACAACCACATTCAACAGAAGCAAGTCAAGCAAAATGAGCGACCCAACAGGCGTATCCATAATCGGCAGCGGTAAGACCAATCCACCATTCCCAGCAACATCAACATACCGCAATGCTGATTTGAACACAGGCATCTTCGTAAAAGAACAACACCTCCCCGCCGTCCTCGCCTGCCCCTCCCTCTCCCTCAAAGCAATCTACTCCCGCTCCCTCGCCTCCGCCAAATCCGTGTCCTCCTCCCTTTCCAACCCCGTAGACCTCTACAGCGACGACTCGGAAAAGTCATACAAAGACGTCCTCTCCCGCCCCGACGTCCAGGCCGTAATCATCGCGCTCCCCATCCTCGTACAACCGGACTTCATCAAGCAAGCTCTGAGCGCGGGCAAGCACGTGTTAGCGGAGAAACCGCTGGCGCCAGATGTCAAGGCGGGCAAGGAGTTGGTGGATTGGTATCATAAGAACGTCGACGATAAGAAGGTGAACTTTTCTGTGGCAGAGCAGTTTAGGTATTATGCCGCGTACCAGCATGCTGCGAAGCAAGTCTCGCAACTTGGGAAAGTGCAGGGGGTGAAGGTGCGGATGCACACGTGCATTCAGAAGGGGATGAAGTACATCGAGACGGAATGGCGGAAGAAGCCGCAGCATCAGGGTGGGTTCTTGTTGGATGGTGGTGTACATTTCATCGCTGGCATGAGAGTGGTGTTGGGTGGAGGTGGAGTGAAGGTGGACAGGCTGAGTGCGAATACAGCGTTGTTGCAAGACTATCTGCCGCCCGTTGATACGGTGGATGCGACGTTGAGGCTGGACAACGGAAGTACGGGGAGCTTTGCTGTGAGTTTCGGAACGAGCTTTGAAGGGGCAGAATGGACAGTCGCGTGTGAAAAGGGTACCGTGAGCGTGGACAGGACGATCGTCAAGACGAAGCCCAAGGGTGGAGAGGAGAAGGTGGAAGATGTGAAGGATGAGGTCGGTGGGACGGCGAACCAGGAGCATGTGCCTATAGGCAGTGTTATGCCTGAAGTCTTTGCATGGGCGAAGAGCTTGAAGGAGGGCAAATGGGATGCCAAGCAGAGTGCAGAGGAAGGGCTGGCAGATTTGGAGATTCTGGAGGCGCTTCTGAAGAGTGGTGAGAAGCACGGAGAGCCAGTGACTCTGAAGTATCAAGTATGAGATGCTGCAGATGCTAGCTGGCTGCCGCAGCTTGAGGCACCTCCTCCGCATTGTCCTCGAGACCCAACATCTCAAGCTTAGCCGCTGGGTCAGTATCCTCAGTTGGCTGCACCGGCCCTTTATAGCCCTTCGTCGGCAGAGCCCACTCGGGTAGCGGCGTCTCGTAGCTCCAGTCACCCTCCATGGACGCATACTTCATCGCGTGCAAATAGATCCCGAGCTCATGCGCCCCGGGATCGGAATACAGATCCGTACCACAGACCTCACATTTCTGACCTGTCATCTTCTCCGCCTTCTTCTTTTCGTAGTCCGCCACCATCTCGTCATGGTAAGCGATCGCCTCTGCCACTTCATCCTTGCCCATGCGACCCAGACGGTCCATCACAGACTCATCGTCGTCAGCCGAGTTTGAGTCTTTGCCTAAATTCGGGCCAAACACGCGCTGGTTGCTGTAGATGGGATCGTTCGTGATGGGATGGCCGAGAAACTGCAGATGCACGCGCAGCTGATGCGTCCGGCCAGTCAAAGGCAGACAGCGAACGATGGAGTAGCCCTCTCGAGCTGTGCCATCGGCCGCAGCAGGTGCTGGATAGTAAGCTAGCCGCTTGAAGACCGTCCTCGCTTCCTTCCCATTCGCTCGTACCCGATTCAAGCCCAGCTTCGGCGATATCTGCAGAATCGGCTGCTCGCACACCACATCTTCCTCCGGAAACTCTCCCTTCACGCGCGCCACATACTGTTTCCGGACCGTGCGCTGCGTGAGCTGCTCCGTCAGCTTTTCCGCAGACTTCTTGTGCTTCGCGATGAACATTATCCCGCTCGTTAGCCTGTCCAGCCGATTGCAAGGTAGCGGGTTCCATTGATGACCTCTTTCCGCCCGCATGATCTCTACCACGCTGTTGTAGTTATACCTCCCAGCCGGATGCACTGGAACACCTGCGGGCTTGCTGATCACGATCATGTCTTCGTCCTCGTGCACTATGCCGATCGGCTGGCCTGTCACGGGCGGCTCGTGGCGATGGAGGGTGTGACTGATAATGTCGCCGTTCTTGACCGTTGTCTTCGTCGATGAGAGAGGCTTGCCATTCAATTGTATCGCTCCCTCCTCGATCGATTTGGCGTAGTACTCGGGTGTGCGATCGCGAAACTCATCACGGAAGATATCGAGGATCTCCCTGCCACGCCATCTCTGCTTGCACCACTGTTGGAGTGTTAGCTGCCAGATCTGCTCCTGTCGTTGCGGGCCACTTGCTACGTGCGGTCTGGTATGTGAAGTGGTATGGTGCGACCTTGTCGATGTCAGCTACGTCCTCGGTATCGTTGTATGTGTGTACACACCCTCCTCAGTCCATCCTCAAGGAAGTAGGGTCGCGGCCAAGGATCGCAAGGCGTCAAGGCGACTGTAGGCGGTGGCTCGAAGACTTCCTTGTCGACGGGTGGTTCTTCAACGACGGTGAGCGCCATCTGTGAAGGTGGGATACGGCCACGCTTGAGCATCCACGCGAGGATGCGCGGCGATGGAGCCAGCTTGAATGTCTATATGATGGGTGATGATGGAGGAATGTCGGTTTTCACATGTCAGAACTCGAGAAGCTTCGTGCGTGTACCTGCCCAAACAGGAAGTAGCTTAGCGCAGCCTTATCACGCGGCGCTGCGCGATGGCGCACGTGGCTAGCGTGTGTAAACATCAACTCACCAACAATCAGATGTTCTCACATCCACCTCCCAATGTATAACAGAAGGAGGACTTGTAGGAGTATTTGATAGACACGACACTGGATCACCACAGTCTTGAAAGGACAACATGCCTATAGAGATAACACCAATCACGGAAGGTGACATTCCGGGCGCGGTAACATGTATACAGCAAGCGTTCAAGGAAGACCCGTATAATAACTGGGTGTGTTAAGCTCAAACGAAACTTTGCCATGCCCAACTCATTCACTAACTCTTCTGCCTCCTATCTGTAGGTCTTCGACCAAAAGACCTTCTCCTACACCCGCAACTCCCACTCCCTAACCCTGCGCTGTCGCTGGGGCATGCAGCACGCCATCTTCCGCGTAGCAAAAGACACCACCGACCCAGAACACAAAGTCCTCGGCGTGGCATGCTGGCTCCCTCCCCACCCCTCTGATGCCCCTCAAACCTGGAACTCCTGGTTCGGCGACTGGTGGCTCTGGCTATCGCAAATCCAGATGAACCTCCTCCACGGCCGGGGCGGCCTCAACACCACCCGTTACTGGATCTGGAAAGCTAAGCAAGCGGAAGCGCAGCAGGAAATCTGGACAGATCCGAGCGGGTATTATTTCTGTAACATCGTGACGGTGTTGCCAGAAGCGCAAGGGAAGGGAGTGGGAAGAGCGTTGTTCAGCGATGTGACGGATGTGGCGGATCGAGAGGGAAGGAGGTGTTATTTGGAGAGTAGTCGGGCGGAGCCGAATATGGCGATTTATGAACGGATGGGGTTTGAGCTGAAGAAGGAGATGGTTTGTGATGATAACGGAGAGGCTATTACGTTGTTTTGTATGGTGAGAGAGCCGAAGGGAGAAGGGGTGGAGACGTAGGACTGAAAGACTGAAAGAAGTGACCCTACCATAACGGCTAAGTCTACCACCTTCGTGCCAACAAGATCTCTAACCCTTCAAAAAGTCCTATTACTCTTTTGACAGCTGCTGAAGAACGTTTGCGGTCGAGGGTGGGAAAGACAATATAGGACACGCGGAAAAAATTGCAGTACTCATTCATCTAGAGAAGTCATTAAAGTCGTCAACAATCTCATCAGGGAAGCTTGATCGATCGCAAACGCCTCCGTACCGCAGCCCATTCATGAACACCACGTTCCACCCAACGCCGTTCAATGCTCCCTGTCCATGTCCGCCTAGTACCTGCCCTGTCCGCTGTGCCTCTTCTTGAAGCTATCTTCCGCTTTGGATCCCAAGAACGCGCCGGCTAGCGTTCCGATCAGGCCATGGCCATGGCTCTTGCCAAACATGTGTCCGCCGACGCCTCCAGCAACGGCGCCCATGAAGCCGCGCTCGCCTTCTTGCGGATTGTTCGGGTCTTGTGGGTCACGCTCGTAGCCGTATGGGTTTGTTGGGTTGCCGGATGGTGGTGGGCCTGGTGTGAATACGTTAGTCAAAAACACAATGTAGAGTCTGACGATGGGAGACTTTACCCTGGCCCCAAGGACCGCCGTGCGAATAGTCTGCTGGGGGCGCTTGTCCCCCTGGGTAGCCTGCCTGATCACCGTACTGCGGCTGCTGAGGATATTGCTGCTGCTGTTGCTGGTATGGGTCCGAGTAATTCGGCACCCCTCCATACTGGTGCTGCGATGGATACTGCTGTTGCTGCTGCTGCTGGTATGGATCTGATCCTCCGTATGCTGGGGCGCCTTGTCCGTGTGTGAAACCTCCATGTTGCGGAGGACCTCCTTGCCCAGAATACCCGCCCTGGTTGTAGCCGCCTTGAGCGTAATTTGGGGCAGGTGGAGCTCCATAGCCGCCAGGTTGTCTGATCGCAATGTCAGCGTTGTCCAAGACCTGTCGCTCATTCGTACGCGAAAGGACAAACCCATATGGAGTACCCCCATAACCTCCTTGTCCATAGCCGTTATTGTCGTACGGGCCGGACATTCTTGATGTAATCGTGGTCGTACTGTTGTTGATCGGTTTCGTGATTGAGTTGTTGTTTTGCAGAGGTTTTGACAGAGTGGGAGATTGATAGAAGGAGAAAAGAAATAGAGGTCTGAGGTCAGAAGATATAGAGTCTTACCTGCCTTTTTACCCCGCCACCAAAGCATACAAAGCAGCTGTCCTCAACAGCTGATCGAAGTGGCTCAGCGGCGGACTCAGCCTTACGTGTGTAGGTAAGTCCGAAAGCTCCCGGCTCAGCGAAGAAGCGGGTGGCGACGCTATTCGACATCGGCGTCGGTCTGCAGGTACTCGGTTGTTAATGCTGTTCGGTCTTGTATCTTGCGACCTGGGTGTTGGTGGTTCCGTTTGACGATCCGCAAAGACTGGAGATGACGTTGGAGTTGGAAAACAATCACGTGACAATCTCGGATCGTCAAAGGTGGCGCGGCATTATCCCTCACGTCCGCTTCTTCGTACGCATCGTTGTACAGCCCTCAAACAAGAGTCAAAGCACGCAGCATTGGTGAGGGAGCGTCAGCTGAGGTGTCGCAGACGTCGTGCACAGGGCGACACGTTGCTCGACTTCGTCTCCTGAGCCGTGATGGTCCTGGAATTATTCCTGGCGACGCGAGAGTGTCATGGTATAGAGGAGAGGCCGAGTCCCGACACACGGCAGCACGTACGGTACGCAATGATCTACCGTGCCGCAGATCGCACTCACACGACAACCACGCCGGTGGCAGATCGACATACCTCCCCAGGCAGTAGCCACAATCTCGCCTTACCTTGCTCGAGCCTTGCGAGACTGCCTTGCGAGCCTTGTTCTAGATGAGACGAAACCTTTGACTTCTTCGCAACGACAGCGGGAGACGCAAAACGTCTGTGAGAAACCTTCCAACACATTTTCTCCTGATCCGTATGGCTGAACGTCAAGCCGCACGAGCCTGCACTACCGGCACAAGACTCGGTTCGGTGTTTCAGAGCGAGTGCCGGTCAGGCATCTCAAAACACACGACACTCTCCTACCGCATCTGTTAACAAGGTGAACCATCCTCACCCGCCTTTACAGCGCACATCCCCGCTGCTACACCGCTCGCACCGCTGTCGTGCTCGACCGTCCTGCCCGTCTCGGTGCGGCGATCATGCGTCGACCAGCTGCCTCACCCTGGTACAGTTTCGGCCCATTTGCCAGCATTTTGCGTTAAGTACACCCCTCCCACCATGCGCTACTCGCTGTCCATCTGCTGTGGTAGGCTCTGCTCCTTCACAGGCACGAGTCCGCTGTGGTGCGGCCAAGCGCATCAGCTGCATCGTCTTGCACTCTTCTTTTCTTGTTTCTGTTTGTTAGGACGCAGAGCGGTCCACTCTTTCTCATAGTTGTTCAGCAGCTGGGTCTGCTTGCTTCCTTATTAATACCATTACCCAAGTGCTATTACGATCACACTAGCCCTGGACACCTCTGGCAGCACCCAGTGGATCTATGAGCACGCTCCAACTTACTGCCTGGATTGTCATCCTTCAGGAACCAGACTCAATGGCTCATACCACCCGGACTGGCAGTGATCCGGCAAAGACAGCGCAAACGACTTTCATCACTTCATCGACATCAATTTCACGAACTACTGGGCATACAGCTCAAGGACTTACTACGCAAAGACACTCCACTGCATCTCGAGTCTCAGAAGTGTCTTCATCTGCGCCAACATCATCATCAACCTCGCAACGCACCCCATTAGATGAGAGCATGCCAACATCTTCTAGCACAATACATTGGGGCCCCGCCATCACAGCTCCTACGTACACACCGGCACCTACAGGCTCCCCGTCATCGCAGCAGACCATGCCATCACAGCCAACCAACGGATTTTCAGCAGATGCCAAGAAAATTGTGATAGCAGTAACGACCATTGGTGAGTACGGTCGGTCGTGTCGAAAAGATATGTACTAACATGCATGGAGGTGGCACATTCATTCTTGCACTCCTGTTGTACGCGCTCTGGCGACGAAGGAAAGGCCACACATACTCCGACATCATCCACTTCAGGCGCCATTCCGGCACGATCATACTGGGCTCAACACGGGATGAACGACTTACAGCTCTGCCCATTTACCAGGAGACCCGCTACTCGGTTCGCTCGTCGAAGCATGGCTCAACTTTAAACTTTGGCAAACACGCCCGGCGGCCTTCTGCGGTTCCGTCAGCTGTTGCACAGCGATTCTACGCGCAGAACCCGTGGGTGCAGGATGTCTGGCAGTCTGGAGGGCCACCGACACCAACCGGTCAGAAGCACCCGCTATCTCAAGTCGCCAACGCAAGTGCACAAGATCTGAAGGCACCAGAAATGGTGCGAGTCTACTCCAGCCATGGCGACAAGGACGAAAGGAATCCACAGTCCCAGCACGGTAAGCCGCATCCTTCGATTGCTGTCAGGCCCGCATCCAGTCCCAAGGAGGACAAAGACGACGAAGAGTCCGTTCACGAAGCAAAGGACGACCGTCCTGAGCGCTGGAGCTGGACGAACTCCCAAGCACCACCAACACCGCGGATGTACGCACCCAGCATGCACTCTTCCCTCTCCAGCCTGCCACGCTTCCGGAAGGTGAAGTCTTGGGTGCGCAACCAAACCGAGCGGCAGACCACACGCATCGACGAGGAACGCGGGTTGCATAGCCGATCAGGATCAGAAATGCCGATACTGAAGAACAAAGCTTCGAAGCCGAATCTTGCACCGAAAGTTACGAGGAAGTTATCGAAGAAGAGTCTGCACAGTGATGGCAGTCCGATACTCATACAGTCGAATACCGACGTTGCTGGACCGGTCCGGCCGCCGTCTGCGAGGGTTAGAGGCGATGTGCCACCTCGCATCACACCGATCTAGAGGAGCGTCAATCTTGAAAAGCGTTGTTTGGTCAGTCCTTGATGGACAATCGAGCGTTACTAGCGACCCTGTACGATAGACAGATCCACTTTGTCCTGCTTGCGAATACCCTCCATGGCGATATCAAGTCATCAACTCCCAAATAGATGCCGAGCGTTGAGCACTTTGCGCAAACTGTATCTGGACCACCCACTCAAAGACCACCATACCTGTGACTCTATTGCTGAGGTGTCATATCATCACATGTTGCAACTATACAACCAAGACATCATTCTGAAGCCGTAACATCACCTGATCGATGGCAACATCAACATGCTGGGGTGACGTTCCAGACTGCCGCATGCCGGCATGCTTCATATCTGTGCCGTGGTGATATCCGGGTTGTTTTTATCCCAGACCTTGTCAATATCTGGAGCCGCGGTGATCTGCCGAGCCGTTGCTTAGCCTGGTCGTGTTGAGACGAGGATGGGTTGTTTCATATATGAGCTTGGATGGCACGGATGTTGCCAGTCTTGGGGGCCGAAGACGAGAAGAAACTGTCCCGGGTTGGACGATTTATTCGCCATACGGCTCGTAAGATACTCGCCGGTCATTAATCGTACAGTGTTCAGATGTCTCATGATCGTGACCAAGGCCAGCTCGATCGACCGGTCCTCGAATGTCATGACCCTTCAAGTAGGTATCCATCGTGCTGTCCAGCAACACACCACAACGACCAACTCACAAAGCAAAATCAACATCCCAAACCGGCCTCTCAAACCTCCACTCATCGAACCCAATCTCCCCAGGCATCTCCGTGCCATCACTAAGTTGTAGTCGAGGAAAATGGTCATTCGCCCACTTGTACAAGTATCCGACTCTGGGAGCCGCGCCAAAATTGATCAGATGCGTGCCGCGCTTGAACTGCGCCATGTTCGGCGTACCACTGCGTGAGCGCTCGGCTGCTTGGGCGAGAGTTTGGGCATCGTAGGGCGGCATGCCTAGGCCCCAGCGGAGCCAGTCGGTGCCCGTTTCGAAGGCGAGGTTGAGGTACGAGGAGGACTGTGCTGGGTCTGATGTGTTGCCGGGTTTGGATTGCTCTGAGGATTCTGCTGTTGTGATGAGTTCGGCGGAGGGGTCGGGCAATTCGCACGCTCTTCGAAGCCTTTCGACTAGGTCGCTGTTCTCCAGCACAAGTGCGCCGCTGTGCCAGCCAGCAGCTGTGACACTGAGAGCGAAGTATGCACCAAGCCCGTCATCGTCACCACTTTTCACCCCGAATCTGCTTTCCCAGTCGCGACCCTCCTGCTCGATCCATTCGCTGACCTCACCTTGGCATTGCATTCCAGGCGTCCCGAGAGCCATCCGTATTCTCTCCTGGGCCTCACCAGGATCAACGCCACCTGAAGTCAGAAAGTCAACCCATGCTCTCTTCTCGCGCTCGAACCATATCCTTCGACCTTCTGTGTAGGCATGAGGTATGAGCCGGCCATCTCCGCCAGCTCCCTGGTACCTTATGCCTCTCAATCGTCCTTCCGGGGTACCATGACCTCCGAGACCGAGCGCACCACAGCATTGCGGTTCGGTACCATAGCTCGTGATATAGCCTGCTGCATGCAGTGCGTGGAAATGGTAGTCTCCAAAGGCCAACTGAATGACGTCTTTGTGTTGCAAGGCTGGGACAGTGGTAAAGAGCGCCTTGTCTCCGAGCTTGCCATGCATTAGGTCCATGACACGATCTTGTTTGCCTGTGTAGACAGCACCGGATCGTGTAAAGACTCCAAATGACTGGAACGAGCCTTGGACGTCTGTGGCAAATGCCGCTGCTCCATCCGTATGCTCTGGAAGAGGTAATTCGAAAGGTGTGCTAGCCATCTCGCCACGATCGTTCCACCAGATCTGTGAGACGAAGACTTTACCAAGGTGTGTGTTGAATATGACGACGTCCTCGAGTACGATGAAGTTGCGCACCTCTCCCACTGCATCTGTGCCAGGGTTGTTGAGTTGTCGACGAAGCCGATCAGAATCCTGGTTTCCGACTTGCAAGAAGCTGGTCTTCGGTACCACCACGCTGTTAAGCACCAACGCGGCATCCTCGAGCTCATTGTCGCCTTCCGCGCGTTGCAACGGCTCCCAGATCACGATGCCGGTGCCTTCGATCAGTGCAGCACTCTTGCTCCACCCTGCAACCACCTTCTTAACAGTACCTTTACCGCCGCCATTGCCATTCTCCGTGGTATCATGATGAATGAACTTGACATGCAACGAGGCCTGATCAATGCTAGTCCAGCTCCAAATTCGTCCGCTGTCTGTCAAAGCAAGGACATGCTCCCTTCCCGAAGAGAATTGCCTGACGGTAGTACTTGGGTCGTATCTAGCATGCAAATGTGTAAAACCAGGCGGATACCTTAGCGGCTTCGGCTCGAAGGTGGTACGTTGTGTGTATGTTCGCTGGGCGTTCATGCCATTCATCACACCTACCGTGTACAGCGTTCCCTTCGAATTAAGCAGGGTCGTCGACCAGCCGCCACACTGAATATCTGATATGATACCAAGTTCGTCCATCTGAAGCATCTTCTCAGGCCAGCTGATGTGTTTCCTACGTAACACTTCCCTCCTCGTCACCCCAGCAAGTATGGCCTGCGAGAGGCTATGGCCGAGAGCGCCGAACGAGTTGTCACCCCATGTGTACACTCTGGATTGCGTGTGCATCCGTTTGAACAGCTTGTAGTAGCGATCTCCTCCATGCTGAATTGCAGGTTGATTCGGCACGCGGAATGTTGTACGGAGCTGGCTTGACCAGTATCTGGAGTCATAGAGGAAGTCTTCTTTGCGTAAGGTCTTGCACGTCGAGGTGGTGTTGAGGAAGCTTGGTACGTCGAGGTAGGAGAAGACATGGAGCAGGAGTTCTGTTGGAAGGTCCAGAAGCGCTGGCTCTGTTGCCATGACTGTCCTTGAGATGGATGAAATTTGTATTAGCTGGCGAAGCACCTACAAGGCCCAGTAACTATGTGCTTGGTCGGCGCGAGGCTGAGGCCTACGCTGTAGTACGGATCTACTCATGCAAGGTTGCCTGACCACAAGGTGATGTTCAGGGCCACAGTTGCATGTGATCGCCCGAGAATCTACCGGAGCACAGGCCCAGACCGACATCCATTACCGCTACTCCATACTAATTATTTCTTTCGTTCCACTCCCATACCTTAACAATCAGGCACAAGAGAACCACCATGGCGCCCGCCCCCTCAATCACCGTAAACAACCTCACCTTCGCCTTCCCTGACGGCAGCACTGGCCTCCGCAACATTGGCCTCGACCTCCCTCCCGGCTCTCGCAGTCTCCTCATAGGCGGTAAGAAGCCCAACGCCCCAATTCATTTACTACACGGAATGCTAAATCCACAAGAGCAAATGGCGCGGGCAAAACAACCCTCCTCCGCCTCCTCTCCGGCAAACGCATGGCCCCTTCCAACACCGTAAGCATTGCCGGTATCGACCCCTTCGCCACTGGCCTGGAAGGCGTGACCTACCTTGGTCTGGAATGGGTGCTGAACCCGATCGTGCGCACTGATATCGCCGTGCCGGAACTACTGAAGAGTGTCGGCGGGGACCACTACCCCGAGCGCCGCGATGAGCTGGTACGGATTCTAGACGTGGATCTAAGCTGGCATTTGCACGCGGTTTCGGATGGCGAGCGCAGACGGGTGCAGCTTTGCATGGGGCTGTTGAGGCCTTGGACGGTGTTGTTGTTGGACGAGATTACGGTTGATCTGGACCTCCTGTCTCGCCACAACTTCCTTCAATTCCTGAAGCGGGAGACGGAGAGCCGGAGCTGTACGATCGTGTACGCGACGCATATTCTCGACAACTTGGCTGCGTGGCCTACGCACCTCGTTCATATGTCTCTTGGGCGTGTGAAGAAATGGGGTGAGATGGGCACGTTTGAAGTCCCGCCTACAGATGGTGGCGCTGAGGGCAACAGTCGCCTTGGTCAGTTGGTACTGCAGTGGCTACGCGAGGATCTAGAAGAACGGGGACCGCGCAGAGGGCAAGGTGCTGAAGGGAAGGCTTACCACCACATGCAGGGCATTGGCGGGTATGGACTTGAAGAGAAGAAGTAGGGTCAGGTACTGGTAGACTTTGACGAGCAGAAGCTGCTACTCAACAGCTGCTTCAACACCGCTTGCATTGGGAGGGCGACTTCAACGTACAAACAGCGATGGCGTTCAAGAACTGATTGTCTTCGGTCTTTGCGTCGTGTATCAGGAAGTCAACACACAGGTCTTGATTCCATGAGTGATGGGTAGAAGGACTAAAGCAAGATTCTCGAATTCAACATTGATGTGAAAGATTTTCAGAGGTCTGATTAAGCCCTTGTAGAACTTGCTATGGACTAATGAGCGAGCAGACGTTTCGAGGCTATGATCAAACTCGGAATGCTCCAGCATTGTGTCTGGGAGAACCCTCAATCCATAAGTTCGATGTAAAATTGCGAGTTTTCGTGGTAAGAGCTTCAGCAGGTGACAACAATCAAAGGAACGTGGAAGACATGCTCTCTAATCACTGGTCATAGCTGTATAGGGTTCCAGCGTGGGAACCATGGACGGTTCTCATTGCATTCAATGCAAACGACACTCGACATGCCATCGACAATCTGTCGTCACTATCGTCCTGAGCCTCCCAGTCGCCGACATGTCCTCCATAGCCAGCGTCGCCATCCTCTAAGCCTTACAAGGTCCAAGGTAGACAGCAGCTGCGGCTCTGGCTATCTTCAAGAACATAGAAGGTCTGGCGTGCCCAACATCTTGAGGCCTGGCTGTCTCTAAGAGCCTAGAAGTTCCGACGTGGACCGCACATGAAGCTCTTACCTACTGGCGAAGGGGTTGATGTTCCGACGTGGCCAGCATATGAGGCCCTTACCTGCTGGCGAAGAGACTGATGTTCCGACATACGGCGCATATAAGGCCCTTACCTGCTGGCGAAGGGATTGACGTTCCGACGTGGGCTGCATTTGGGGCTCTAGCTATTATCCGGTGGATGAGAGTCCCGACGTGGTCTACATCTGAGGCTCTAGCTGTCGTCCGGTAGATGAGGGTTCTGACGTAGACTGCATTCGAGGCTCTGGCTGCCGTCCAAGGAATCCAGTTTCCGACGGTGTCTACACCTGAGGCTCTAGCGATCGTCTCGCGAATGGTAAATCCGACTTGGACTGTATCCGATACTCTCACTGTCATCCAGAGCTATTGAAGGTCCGTCATGTATTTCATCCTGAGATCTGCCTAACATCTACGCGTTCAGGCGGTTCCTAGTAGTGATGATTTACGTACATCAGCGCTGATTTCAGGTGACCCCTCTCCTTATCCCCAATCACACGTCACGCGGACTTGATACTTTCCTGTTTCCTCCATCGGACTGTCGAGATACCACACGAAGGATATCTTTATCACCAGCTTTCGTTCAAGTAATAGAAACGATGTAACTTACGCTCGCTACTTGCGAACACGATGACCAGTGCTAGGAGGCCTTGGAAGCATCGAGGAAGCATTGCGAGTAACCCCATCAACGGGCGTACAGGTGGTCAAGCTAATCCAACCACCTAGTTCGAGCGATCAGTGTGATGGATCTTCTCACAAACACCGACAGCCCGCCAAAAAGAGTCATGTGGCCTTTCCAGGTGGAATTGATCTGGGAGAACACTGCCAGATGTGCCCGGCTGGCCATTTCTACGGCCTCTGGCCTGTCACTGCTATAGGTCAGTATTTGATACACACCAACCGAGTATGACCACTTACTCCCCTTCCTCCTTCAGGATGTTCTGACAGATTGCTACCAAGTTGCGGATAAAGTCCAACTGTCTATTAGTATCAGGCGTACTTTTTACTTTTAAGGATTTGCTGCATATCTGCAATTTCGGCGTTGTCAGCTTTGACATGGAAGTCTATATCCGTGTCCCCACGGACTGGTGTTGTAGCTTCGTACCAAGTGCAACCAAGGAGCGGCAAATATACATGCCCAAGCGCAGCATCGATGATCAACCCTAAGTATTCGAAGAGCTAGCGTGATGAGTGAAGGCACATAGCTATGGCTGGTGTTTCGGAAAACCTTACCATCCGCGAGCAGATACGCAGGCGTTCCGGGCTTCTGCTCGAATGTAGAATGCAACAAGGCGCTGCATCTTAAGTGATCATCTCTTGGAGAAGCCTCCCATCCATATGGGCTCGTCGTCGTCGAACGCATCGAATGCATCGATCCCAATGCAAAGTACCTGTACTGAGATGAAGTAAGGTTCTTCCAAACCCTTTGTAAAGAAGCTTTGTTGAAAAGGAGGGAGGAGAAAGTGGTGTCAATGTCTGATCATTACTTCATATCAGCTACCTTCTGGTACCCTATCTCGCTCGAACTTTTGGAAGAAAGAACACAAGCAGGAGACCAGGATCGTATGTCATCGCTCATCAAACCTGAAAGCTTCTCATCGCAAGCATCAAACCATGTAGAAGGTCATGGCATCCCACGCAAGCCTTCTCCTTACATGAGAAGCTCCAGAACTGGTCCTAGTTCCTTTCACCACGTCTAGTATCGAGGTGGACCTCCTCCGTAACCTCCCTGCTGCTGTGGAGGATACCCACCTTGTTGGGGAGGATAACCACCTTGACCCGGAGGACCTGGCGGAGGACGTCCGTAGCCCTGCTGGCCTGGCGGTGGCTGGCCGTACCCCTGCTGCTGTGGTGGATAGCCGCCGGGCTGCTGCTGGCCATACTGAGGCTGCTGCTGTCCGTACTGGCCAGGTGGTGGAGCTCCATATTGTTGAGGCTGTCCATACCCTTGCTGAGGTCCTGGTGGCATGCCGCCGCCCATCTGCTTCTTCTCGTCCTTGGTGTCGTAGGATGGATCAATGGCACCCATAATCAACTTGATCATCCAGAGATCAGGCGTGAGGTCGACGGGTGGCTGAGCACGCGACATCTCGGCGGACTCGTTCTCGTAGTCTGCGACCATATTAGCGTAGCTCCTGAGGTATTGGTCGGATCGTCTTTAACATACTCGACGTGCAGTCAACCATGCTGCCGATCTGCGGATCGTTGTCCAGCTTCGCCAGGAACTCAGTCGCCTTTTGGTCATTTCCCACCTGCGCGAACTGGAACGCAACAGCGCCCTGACCCAACGGCTGCCCGTTCAATCCGCTCTGCTGGCACTGCTGATGAGCGTAACGGATGGTGTCACTAAGAGCATCCGCCTTCTCGCCTGCAGGCTGGCCGTCCGTGATACCGATGATGAGAACCGGCTTGCGGAACTGGTTGCTGCGCATCTTCGAAATCACGAGCGGATCCAGCACCTTCTCCCTCAACTTCGTGCCGAAAGGCGTCAGACCCTTGTAGCGCTTGCTACGCATGATCTGCTCGATCTGCTGGTCGGACCTGATGTGGCTCAGCTGCTGCGGCGGGATCTCCTCGTCGTTCATGAAGCGGATCTCGATGCCGTCTTCGTCGAAGAGCGTGGCGGCGAATGCGACTCTCTGCAGGATAAGCTGGAGGTCCTTGATACGCTCGCCGTTCTCCTCGAACGACATGGAGCCGCTGTCGTCGATGTAGATGATCACATCGTAGAGAGCGAGTCTGACAATATCATTCGCGATCTCTTTCTGGATGTGCCACGCTTGGCATAGACGGTCGATCTGCTGAGCCGCGCGGGCTGCGATTTGCGGAATCTGGGGCGAGCCGGGTGGGTAGAAAACTTGTAGCTGCTTCTCTTGAATCGCCTGCTCTAGCTGACGCTGGTAACCTGCCACGTCTTGCGGCCCAGACATCTGCGGTGGAGCGCCGCCATACTGACCGCCGGGTGGAGCCTGGCCGTATTGCTGTTGGCCTGGTGGAGGAGCTTGGCCGTAGCCTTGTTGGCCTGGTGGAGGTCCGCCCTGCAATCACATGAAAGTCAGTACATGTCACCATGTGGTAGAGCGCAAACGTGATTCTGTGAAGCAACGAACATATCCGTATCCCTGCTGCTGCTGCTGCTGCTGAGGTGGGTATCCCGGCGGCTGGCCGTATGGCTGTTGACTCTGCGGCTGCGGTGTTCCATACGAAGGCGCTTGACCCGGGTAGCCGCCTTGCGACTGACCCGGCGGAGGTGGAGGGGGCCGTGAATACTGTTGCTGGCCGTAGTTACCTGGCGCAGGGGACTGGTATCCCGCGTTCGGCGGTTGCTGTTGTTGCTGTTGCGGATAGCCCGGTTGCAGCGCAGTAGGGTAAGGCGGCGCTGAACCTCCAGGTGGAGGAGCCGCCGCTCCGCCGGCAGCTAGTCGTGAGGCCAAAGGCATGTGCTGGTGTAGTCGCGTCGGATGTGTTGTGAAGTTGTTGAGGTGTGAGGTCCGGGAGAGATAGCAGGTTGAGAAGGAAGAATGTGTGAAGAAGGATGTCAAGTCAAAGGAAGGAAGCACTCACTGGGGGAGGAGCGCCACCGGGATAGGCTTGGTAGGAAGGTTTCCCAGGCTGTGCAAAGAAGGTGAAAGTCAGGGACCGATGATTCCGAAGCAACCTGGAAGCAGTTGCGCGTTGTCGTCACATGCCACTTACATAGCCGCCTGCTTGAGCCCCTGGGCCTTGCTGCTGACCCGGCGGAGGGTACTGCTGTTGCCCACCGCCGCTGTAGTTGGCAACAGCCGCCGCGCCACCCTGTGCGGCCGCGAGTTTCGAGGCCAACTACACCCGTTGTCAGTCTCTTCACCATTCTTTACGGCCCTCCAACGATGACGTAGCGGAGGGGCGGAAGGTGGGGGTACTCACACCCATCTTTGTGCTTGTGTGCCGTGGATCTGGTAGTGAAGTGTGGTGGATGTTAAGAGTGTGGTGAAGGGGTATAAAGAAGAAGTGAGGTCTGTTCAAGAAGTGAGGTTGATTGAAGCACGGGACGTCACGTCAACAGTGAATGAACGGTGAAACTTGATGGTTTGCAGATTTGCTGGAGCTGAAATTGAGGCAGAAGCTATGCTGCGCCACGGTGATCTGCAGGAACCGAAGGGATGAAAGGCCAGTGAAAGTGAACCAGTCTTTAATGTGCTCAGCCTTACAGTGGCCATTGAAGTGAGCAGCGGAATACCGGATCCTTCGTGTTGAGAATTAGGCAAAGGATGAGGATGTGACTGTGCTACAGCATCTCGCGGTGCTATCTAGCGTATCTGCAACGTCTTCCAACCGCGTTTGCACTCGTGGTTCTGTCAGACCAGCAGGCCCGACTTGATACTTCGTCGCTCATACCGGGACTCTTCCTTGCTGACCAGCACGCTCTGCCCAGTCCCCGTTGGTAATCCTGCTAGAATCTCGCCCTTCCGCCCTGCTTCGCATTCCGCGCATCATCAACATTACGGCTGAACGTCTTCCAAAGCTCCTTGATCACGCCCTCCGTCTTCATGCGGTCGGTGATCTGCTGCGCGAGCTGGCCCCTCTTCGCAATGCTCCAACCGTCCCTCTCGACAATCCTCTGCGGAGTGTTGTACCCATGATTAACCAACCACTCAACAACAACTTCGTTCAGATGGTGGCGCCAGTGCTGCAATGGATGGGCAGTAATAGCGTTGATCCTGCAGAACTTCCCAACGCGGAAGATGCGGTTCTCAGGCTCGACGACCCTACCGTCAGCATCTCGGCCAGGTCGGTCGCCTGCATCTACGTCATCGTCGTCTTCATCCTCTGCATCGTTCCCGTCTACCTCTTCCAAAGTCTCTGGGTGATACGGCTTGCCTTGAAACTGCATCTCAAACGTAGCCGGATGTCCAGTACGGTTGCATGCGTCACAGGTATCTTGCTCTGCCGGAATCGCCTGCTCTGCAAAGTCCGGCCTGGCTTGCAGGGCGATTGCGAACTCTTGTGTCCAGACGCTGGAAACAAACTTTGACTTCACCAGGCCTTTGGTCTCATCGTTGAGCTTGCGGAAGGTGAGTTCGTAGACTTCGTCAGTCGAGTCAAAGGCCGGGTTGATCTTCTTCTGAACCATCCATTCGACAGCGAATTCGAATAACTCCTTAGGCCGCATCTTTGCATATCTCGAGTATTTGATCGGGAGGCTCGGAATACCGAGAGGCTCATCCTCGTCTCCCTCCTCCACGAACTCAGCATCGTACTCGTCCTCGCGGAAGAAGCGCGCGCTGCTCATGGGTCCAGCGTCAGCGTCGTCGTTCTCCTCCTCCAAGCTGCCAGCACGCGACTCTTCAGGCTGTTCTTTGTCTTCTCCTTCCTCCCCATCCTCTTCGGCGGTTGCAGGCGCACCGGCTCTCTTACGACGTAGCTGTTCGAGCGCTGTCATCCTCGCGTTCTTCGGTCCACTCTGGGTCGCTCGGGAACCACGCGGCGCGTCATCTTCACCACTGTCTTTTAAAAAGTCGATGTCTTCTGCTAGCTCCTCCTTCTCCTGTTGTGAAAGCATCTTTCGTCGAGGTGTGGTGGGCTCGTCCTCGTCATCTTCACTAGCTGCTCGGGCTCGCTTCCTCGGCCGCTCGATGATCTCAATGTCGCTATCGCTGTCACTGCTGGCCATGCGTGGCGGCGAAGAGCTAATGAAGCTGTTGTGCGAGCCGCGACGTTGCCGCTTGCGTCGTTGTGTGCCTGTGGTCGTCGGCATTTCGTCTTCCTCGTCCTCTTCGTCACTTTCGATGTTGATAGGGTCCGATCGCTGGTGTGTGACCACTACGTCGTCATCGCTTGAGTCGTTGATCGCGACTGGTGGTTGTGTGCTTCTTGTTCTCCTGCTCCCGCTTTTGCCCTTCGACTGCTGACTGCGTTTCTTTCGCGTGGCAAGCTGAGACACTGACGGAAGCTCTTCGTCCGACTCCTCGCTTGAGACATCCACCACTGGCCGGCGGCTCCGCTGAGAAGTGAACATGCCAGCCTGGGCAGAAGACTGAGGCCTCGAAGGTGACGAAGCTAGTCGCACAGGTGAGCTGAACGATTCAGGATCCCGTGAGCTGGAGAAGTCTAGCGGCTTCTGCGTAGCCCTGGACCGCTTCTTGGTCGCCTGCTGCACGCTCTTCCGCTGCGTTGACCGCACGGGTTCACTTTCGCTACCTCCATCTTCCTCTTCATGTGATGCGGCTGGAGTTGGAATGTTTGCGCTCGCGTTGCTGTTGTTTGATATTTTGCGCCTCTTTGCAGGGCTGTCGATAGATACTGCGGCAGCGCGGCTTTGGATCTGGGCGTTGTAGCCCTTCGCGGCGGGGCTTGAGGATGGAAGTGGTGTGAACGTGAGGCGGCTCTGCTGCCGCCGTGAGGACCTTGTGCCAGCCATGGTGGTGTGTTCGCTAAGCCAGTGTAGTGATTGAGCAAGTCGTCAGAGCCATGGAGGTAGAAGCAAATAGCAAAGGTTTGGTGAAGGTGTCGTGAGCGCTGCCCGAAGATCGAAGTGTCACGCGTTTCGCGTTTTCAAGATGACGTAAAAAGGTCCGTGCGCAAGACTTCACTACCTCGCTACTGACTTCACGTGAATATCGAGGCTGAACTTCTTACTCTCACAATGAGCAGCCTGCGCGGTCACAGTACAAGACTCTCAACGTAGACGGCGTAAGGACAAGATACATGAAATGCTTGGTTCATCGCGGACATTGTCCGACTGCTTGTCATTGTCCCAACAGCCATGGATCTTCCAAAAGCTCTTTGGCAGTGACACGGTCTTCTGGGCGCCAGCAAAGCATCTTCCGCATGAACCTCAGGTATTTGGACTTCTCCTTCCCTTCCAGAATACCTTTCCGTCCTCCAGCGCCGTTCCAATCTTCCCGCCAGCTTTAAGCTTGCCTATACGAGCTTTCAGTAGATGTCTCTCTTGTATCAGCATCATTGACTTACCTTCGTTGTCGAAGAACTTCTCAGGAACGCTGCTTCGTTCCAACAGGTCCTTCGGGGGAGGACCGAGAAGCGACACCATCCTGACCAGATGCGCCTCGCTGGACTCTTCCCGGCTTGGGAGTCGCTCGTTGAAGAGGTGCTTTCCTTCTAGGAGGTCCCAAGTCTGCTTTGGAGTAAGTGAACAAGCCATGTCAAGGGTTGTTCCGAGAGCTTACCATCAAGCCGAAAGCCCATATGTCAGTCTTGCTGTCCCACGCGATTTTGAGCAGGATTTCAGCAGCGCGGTATAGGTCCGGCATGACTTCGCCCTCGAACGGACCTGTCCCAACCTTCGCATCGCCAAAATCGCATATCACTGGCTGGCCCGGATCGTCTGGCATATCGATGTCGACTGATGGGTAAATGATGGGATCGCCGTCGACTTTCGAAGGCTGGAGATCCTCTGCCTCCGCCTCGAGAACTTCGTCCAGGATGGTTGGATCGGTGATGGAGAGCATGACGTTTCCCTCTTGGATTTCTGTACACCTGATGAGCCATTTCAATCATTAGAAGCACACCAAACGGTTTGACGAACCGATGTACACTATGTGGGCGTCTGAATGTAGGAACTCCAAGTCTAGGAGAAGCCCGTACAGCATGGGTCGAAGGATGTCTGGAGGAATCTGTCCACCCGCTATCTCACGGATGCCGCGCATCGTCAAGCTTAGTGGCTCATGTACGATGCAGATATGTTTTCCAACAGCGCCATTGAGCTCAAACGAGTCGAACAGTCGTCGCACTAGCCTCGACCCTGGATGTTGAGAGGAGGGGGACTGCAGGTGTCTGAGCACATTCACTTCATTCAAAGCTTGACGGTGTCCGGTCATGTACACTTTGACGGTGACATAGCGCTGTTTGCTGCTGCGTCGTCGACGTAGCACCGGTCCTGAGAGCACTATGGAGGCCTTACTTCAAACCTCGACCCAACCAAGCAGTATGTACAGAGCCGTAGCCCAGTTTCGCTAGCACTTGGTACCTCTCATGCAGGACTGGTCCAAGTTTGACATTGAAGAATCTTTTTCGATCGTACCATGAGAAACTCTCCTCTTCGAGTAGGACGTCTTGGCCGTATTTTTCGCGGTCGATGTAATGCAGCTGTCGCGGCGGTGAAGGGCGTGTCATTGCTCCGTCAGATATCAGCGTACTCCGGTATATTCCTGCCGGCTGGTAATTAATTCAATCTTATAGGAATAGAAGGATGTCTTTTAATGAGAACACGACTCTGTTCGGTTCCGGCCTGTAGCATATAAAGATCTCGGCGATACCACAAACCTACTGCTCGATGAATATACAGATCCTGTGGCCGCATACAATCGAAATTTCGTTGTGAATGGAAGTCAGTCGTCGTTGAAGATCAGAAGAACATTTGAACATGCTAGAAGTCGACCGGCCGGACCTCATGACCCTGCCATTCAAAAGTCGCATCGATAGCCTCCAGACAGAAAAAAGGGCCGTGAAGCCGGATACAGGTCCGCTCCAACCAACGTAGCTGTTCAGCTTTATGGCTCCTCTTCCTATCAGCCTATTGGCCTGGACGATAACCACGACTAATTGGACCGTCAGCACTAGCGCGAATTTGCAGAACAAGAGAAGCTCGATTCCTTTGGCAAACCCTCTTCCCTTCCCAGCTCTCTTTGCCTTTTGGCTTAGGTCAGTGTCTACTACAACGCCCTCAGATCTTCACATCTGCTAACAGTACTGTGATTCAGATCAAGTGTAGTATCTGTTCTTTTCAGTTTAATCGTGAGTACACCCTCCAATTTTCACCAGCACCGCATCCACTGACACTCCTCGCAGTCTGAAACGAGTCTACGGACTCATTCAAGATTATTCTTATTTTTGCAACCCGTCCTGGCACCGCTGTGCTTGCACATGTGCCGGGGCACCGTGTCCTTGGTATCGCACTACTTCCTTGAGACGCGAACACACCTTTTTCATCAGATCCTTTGGTCGGAAACCAGAGGCTGGAGAAGAAGCATCACCCTGTCATCCCTACACTTCACGATACCACCACCTCCAGACCGAACACACCCGGCCATCATCCTTCGCTGATGCTCGACTGCCCACGACGACCATCTCCATCGAGCAGAGTTTTCACGCGGCACACAACGCCTCGACTTCACACAGAAAAGGCGGAAGAGAAAGAGCAGCATAAGAGTTGTCCACACGTCACTTCAATCATCGTTCGTCACTCATTTGGAGGGCAGGATACTTCACAACCTTCGACGCTGCCCCCATCACATCCCTCAAGAAACTGTTGGCCGTCCAGAAGCCTCCCGCAAACTCCATATCATACCACGCGTTCACCGCGCAGGCGAAGCCCTCCTCTCCAGCGGTCTGGCTGACCTTGTGGTACCACCTGCTTCATGTCAGCTGAGGTTGGCACTGAGGTCTGGTTGAGCTTACATCGCAGGTAGATACAGCATATCCCCCTCCTCTAAAGTCGCTTTCAATGGCTTCGCGAGATGTGAAAACGGCGTCGTACGCTCACCAGGCTCATCAGGATCCCAGGTAGCGAACGGCAACGTCTCTCCTCCTTCACTCCGCTCGATCACCAGCTTCCCACTTTCTTGCTCCGGCACATACCTCGCTTGCTCAAGCAGTTGCTCATTCACACACGGCATCTCCACCGGCGAGAGCAGGACAAAGTGCTTCTGCCCGCGGATCTGAACGTAGATGTTCTCGTAGTTGTCCTTGTGAAGGGCGGTTACGGACCGCTCGTTGCCGATCCTAAAAACAGAAAGATAACAGGGTCAGCGGAGGTCTCATACCTGTCAGGGTTCTGCCCATGAGTCTGATACCAAAGATTGATGGCGTCGGGTTCCTTCTCGAGGGCGAGACGGGCGAAGGGGATGGACTCGGGGATGTCGGGGAGGAGGGAGTAGTATTCTTCTCGGAGGTTGTCGTTCTCTGGAAGATCGTCAAAGAGATGGATTGGAGAAGGGGGGGAGATGGACGTACGGGTCTGGGCATACTTGACATTGCGACCATTTTGCTGCTCTGGTGGACACTGGGTGTCTTGGTGGACGTAGTCAAGGAACTCGTTGAAGGGCTCTGGGGTTTCATGAGGCTGCACGAAGAGGGGTTGTCCGTTTTCATCTTCTACAACAGCATCTGCATTGCTACGAACATATGTTACTACCAACTCTATCCAAACCAGAACTTGTCACCGACATACCCTCGCGGCGTCACAGCCACTTGCACTGGCTCACTGCCCATAACCCGCCGAAGATACTGAGCATCCCAGTGCTTTAATGCATCCCAATCTGAAGCAGCTTTCCTAACAACGAACGGCCTGTTCCTGCTCACGAATTGCATGAACTCCAGTGGGCTTGGTTCTTCTACGAGCTCGTCCACGACGGCAGCATTGAGCTCGTGGTAGTTCTCGATGGCGGCTGCTATTGCGGTGTCGATGTTCTCCATGCTGAGCTCATATGGATTTCGTGGCTTGGGAGAAGGTCGTTGTCCCTTTCACAGCACCTCAGACCGCGCTGTGGAAATACGTCCCATCTCCAGACTGAGTTCTTCTCCCGATTGTCAAGTCAACAGGCGCTGTAATGTAAGTTCTCTGGTGTGGAAGACTGCTCGGCGATTACTTCATAGCTCCGTGCGCTAGCCGCTCTCCAGCTATCGATAGCTCCATGTCTTCAACCTCTCCACACCACAATCGTATCGAACAAGCTGTAGCCGGGAGACTCACATGAAGTCATCTCCTCCTACCGCTGGTGTCGACCGAAAGCGCAAGCGTGCAAGCCGGCAGGATTCCAACGACCCTGCAAAGCAGCAAACCCTCCAGTCCCTCTTCGCCGGGCAACAGAAGCCACACGTTAACACTACCGCCACCTCTCCCAACAGTAAACGAGCACGACCGGACGTTTGTGAGACTACCACTCCACCGAGAAGCAAAGGCCTTGCCACCAGCGACATGTATACCTTCGCATCTCGCTCGCCAATGTCCAACGGCAATGGCGTCATTGATCTCACCAACGGCACCCCTCAGACGTCCCCTCAAGCAAAGCGTGTCAACGGCGCCATGAAGGCTCGTCCGGGGATCAACTCGCATACGGGAGCGAAGAAGCTGGTTGTCAAGAACCTGAAGACGAACACACAGTGGGACAGCAAGGCATATCTGGAGAAGATATGGGGACAGCTGGATCAGGCGTTGACAATCATCTTCAACGACGGATATGACGGGTTCAGCAAGGAAGACTTGTATCGGGGTGTAGAGAACGTCTGTCGGCAGGGAGGGGCGTCGACACTGTTCTCGAGGCTGGAGAAGAGATGCAAGGATCATGTGGAGCGAGATATGAGGGCTCCACTCTCGCAGCAGGCGGGCAACGACAACGTGACAATCCTACAAGGAGTGCTGGGCGAATGGGCACGATGGAAAGAGCAGATGATCACCGTCCGAGCAATATTCTTCTTCCTGGACCGGTCATACTTGCTGCCATCCAGCAAACCGACCTTGTCCGAGTTCACACCGCAGCTGTTTCGCGATGTCGTTTTCCACGATCGACAGTTGAAAGAGCCCATCATCGAAGGAGCATGCGATCTCGTCACGGCAGACCGCACACAGTCCACTGGATTCAATGAAGAATTGTTCAAGCAGGCTGTCGACATGTTCCACGAGCTTTCGACATACACGGCGACGTTTGAACCGCGATTCCTTGCTCAAACGCAGGAGTATATCGCTACGTCCTCTGACCAGATCATTGAGGAGAAGCCTGTACCGGAGTACGTGGCTGTCGCCGATCGAACGATAGCTCGAGAGATGGCCCGCTGCGAGAACTTTGCATTGAACGCAAGCACTCGACGAGACCTTCTTGCACTTCTGGAGGATCACCTCATCGAAAGCAAGCAGACCGACTTGACCGAATACGAAGCTTTGGCGTCGATGCTAGACAACAGCGCTAGCGGCGACATCAAAGCTCTATACGCACTGCTTGCACGGCGACGGCTGGGCGCAGAGCTCAGACATGCCTTTGCACGGTGGGTCGAGGAGACAGGAACGAGCATCATTTTCGCCGACAACTCCGACGACATGATTGTGCAACTGCTCTCTCTGAAGCGAAGAATGGATTTCACGTGGCAGACGTGCTTTGAGCGGGACGAGCAGATCGGTCATGCTCTCCGAGAAAGCTTCGCCGTGTTCATGAACAAGACGAAGAAGTCCGAATCTACCTGGGGTACTGACAATCAGAAGGTCGGTGAGATGATTGCGAAATACGTGGACCAGCTGCTCCGTGGTGGTGTGAAAGCGATACCGGACGTCTTGACCGCGAGACGGGCGTCCAGCATCACTGGCCCTCGCCCGGTCCTTACCTCCAATGGCCAACCTGCTGAGGAGGACAACGAAGATGCCGAGGTCGACGAGGACGAAGAAGTCAACATTCAGCTTGACCAGGTCCTCGATCTCTTCCGTTTCGTGCAGGGCAAGGCGGTCTTCGAGGGTTTCTACAAGAGGGATCTGGCTCGCCGTCTGCTCATGGGGCGATCGGCGTCGGCAGATGCAGAGCGGTCGATGCTGGCGCGACTGAAGACTGAGTGTGGGTCGGGCTTTACCCAGAATCTGGAGCAGATGTTCAAGGACATTGACCTTGCGCGCGAAGAGATGCAGTCTTACAAGCAGCGTCTCGAGGATCGGATTGGATATGAGAAGGGCAAGCACATCGATCTCAATGTCAACGTCCTGTCTGCCGCTGCCTGGCCAACATACGACGACATCCCTTGTGCGGTACCGCCGAACATCAAGCGTGCAATCGACGACTTCGAGCTCCATTACAAGTCCAAGCACTCTGGCCGCAAGCTGGACTGGAAGCCAGCTCTGGCACAATGTCAGATGCGCGCGACTTTCAGCAAGGGCAGCAAAGAACTCGTCGTGTCCAGCTTCCAGGCGATCGTCCTCGTGCTGTTCAACGGTCTTTCCTACGATGAGCACCTCAAGTACGAGTACATCTTGACTCAAACCGGACTACGTAGGTACCCCCAACCCCTTGTCAACGCAAGAATGCTAACCCATCCGCAGCCGAAAAAGAAGTCAAACGCACCCTCCAATCCCTCGCCTGCGCCAAACTCCGCCCCCTCACTAAACACCCCAAAGGCCGCGACATCAACCCCACGGACACTTTCACCGTGAACCCCAACTTCGAGCACCCCAAGTACCGCGTCAAAATCAACCAGGTCCAGCTTAAAGAGACCAAAGAAGAGAACAAAGAAACGCACATCCGGGTCGCCGAGGACCGGAATTTCGAGACGCAGGCTGCGATAGTCAGGATTATGAAGTCAAGGAAGACGATTTCGCACCAGGAGTTGGTGGCGGAGGTGATTAAAGCGACGATGAGTCGGGGCGTGTTGGGCGTGGCGGATATTAAGAAGAATATTGATCGGTTGGTGGATAAGGATTACATGGAGAGGGAGGATGGAGGGATGTATTCGTATATTGCGTAGAAGTGCAACACAAGGATGGATTTGGGTAGATGGTGGGTAAATGTGGAAGGCAACAGTTCCAGAGTATTGCGTATGCAGAGTTCATATTGAACACGTTCAAGATATACACTTCTGCTATAGCCGCCAGTGGAGGGCTTATGTGCTGGCCTGGTGAACCTTCCGAAAGCCACTACTGGGACCACGAAGAGGGACCATGGACAAACACGTTTCGCTTCCAAGAAGTGCCATGCTAACGCTATATGGGGTATCTCTGTCCTCTTCCTGCCCGCCAGAATATCAAGCCATTCCCATATCTTCATCAGCGCCCATATTGCATTTTCGCCCAGGGTTCGCGCCAGGAACGCCACGCTATGCCTTCTATCCGATCATCTCGTCATTCAGCACCGCATCCATCATATCACATCCTCACGCGGCATCCGGATCCGGCACCCAAAGCAGCACATCCCTATCCGCGCTCGCGATCAAATTCAACCGCGGGCAATGCGCCACCACCGCCGCGGGCTTCTGCGATGGAAGATCCCACTTCGGCTCTAAAATCTTGTCTCCGTCCGGAGCATTCGTCATGAGCTCTCTCAGATCCCATACCAGCAAGCCCGCCTGTCCTCCGTTCCCACCGATGACGAACTGCCCGTCTGGCGCAAACGTCGCGTCGCTTTGTAGATATGTACTCCCCGTTCCCGCGCTCTCCAGATCATCACCGGGTGCTAATCGCTGTGTCGAGCCGCTCGCACGGTGGAGGTACGCGACCATGTCGCCGCTGAAGGCGTCGAGGATGTAGTGGCCCGGTCCGTTGGTGGAGAGGAGGATGTATTTTCCGTTGTTGGAGAATTCCATGCCGGTCCAGCCTTGGGCTGGTTTCTGTCCGTGGGAGGCCGAGAGGGACTGTTCGAGGGAGAGGAGGTCGAATGTTGCGAAGGGGGGTTTGTCGTAGTTGCGGTAGTCGTAGAGGTGGACGGTTTGGGCCTGGGTGAGAGGTTAGCAAAGTGCAGCGTTTGAGGACGCTGGGGCAGGCTCACGGGTGGTGAGGCGATGGCGATCACTGAGCCGGAGGGGTCGAAGGAAGTGAGGTAGGGTGACTCGAAGTCTAGCTGTCCTTGGGCCATGGAACTCCTGCAGTCCCACAGCTTCACTGTGTTGTCGAGTCCTGCGCTCAAGAACTGATCGTTGCCGGGGCTCATGCTGAGGCTAGTGACCCGCGCAGTGTGGCCTTTGAAGTAGCGAATGAACGAGTTGTCGTGCATGGACAAGTAGCGGATCCCATCGTCGACTTTTGTGCTGGCGTAGACGATCGAGGTCGAGTTGTGGGTGAAGCGCGCAAGGGCGGAGCCATACTTCTGGCTCTTGAGCTCCTTTGCGTGTTGGCCAGCTTTTGTATTGAAGAGCTGAATCGTGTCATCGCTGCGTGAGAGAAGCAGGAATTCGCCGGTGTCGTCGAAATCAATGCTGGTGTAGTGATTGCCAGGTGTGGGAAACTTGCGAGACGGGCGGTATGTGTGGATCACGTCGGACACCTTCGTCGTCGTTGCTGCCATAGTGACTTCGAGTCCCGTGCCACCGGCAATGACAGTGAGCGGGTAATGAAAGGACGGCAGCTCTTGCTGTTTGGAGGTCGGCTTTCACATGCTATCCTGCTACCGCGATCTGCAGAGGCGCGGGCCGTGAGCCGCTGGTATAGCCCCACTCCCCTCAACTTCACTTCACTTCATTCCAACTTCTATCACGCCGAAACGCGATTCTGACCGATGTGTATTGGCTGAACCTATTATAATTGCTCCAAAAGAATGCACCTCAACTCATTATGCCTCGAAGTTGTTCCCAAGAGGACGGGTTGGTGTTCGAAGTTCACTTTTCTCGTGTCTGCATTACGGAAGACAGGCCAGCACATATTGGAGTACTCCAGAAGCGCTAGCTTAAGCTATACATTGAGCAGATTGAGTATCAATTTGAGTGATTTATCAGTTCACCGTCTCGGAGCAACGACACGTTCGCAATACGCTCCCTGCGAGCTCATGCTATTCCTGCTTACTGGAGAGGCTACCGCTGATTGACGGTGGGCAAAGCCAAAATTCGTTTCATTCCAAGTCGGTCTCTCAGTAATATCCCACGGCCACAGCCGCTCCGCCGCCGCAACGGCGTCCTCCTCGCTTTCATGCTCCTCCCGATTCTCCACACACGAATCTCGGAATCTGTTCCACTCTGCCCGATACTTGACCAGAGTCTCCTCCCAATTACTCCCTTCCACCCAGCCATCCGTACCGCAGTCGAGCAACCGCGCCAAATGCGTACGCAACCTCCGCGAAGTAACCCGCTCGTCTTCAGCCTCGGCCAAAGCTTTTGTCTCCAGCTCGCTCGAGTGGTACAGGCTCTTTCCCGGCGTATCGAGCTCTGCCCACTTTCTGTCGAGATGCGCAAGTATGGAGCGAAGCACAACCTCATCCTTCAGCCAGCCCGACGATCCAGCAGCGAGAAGCTTGAGCACTGAAGGGTCCAGGTCGAATCCAGGCTTCAGTTTGGCACAGACGTACGACATGACAGCCCAGGCGTACCCGCAGTTTCGAGCCTCCTGTTGCATCTCCAGCGACTCTTGACTCGGTTCGGGGTCGAACAACTCGTCGAACTGCAGCTCCTCTGCAAAGTCCTGTGTCTCGACACAATGCACGAAGGCTGGCTCGATTGCGGTGGTTTGCCAGTCGATGAGACCTAGGATGCTGGTTGGGTGGAACAGTGTTGGCTTGGAAGCGGCCTGGATGGTAGGGACTTTCGTGATCGATTTGCATGTCTTTGCGCTAATGTCCAGAAGCGATTTGTGGTCATCAGCAAGCTGTACTGTGGATAGTCCGTTTCAATTGGAAGCGAGTCGTGATCCTGCGATTCCGGTCACGTCGGAGAAGTATGTGGTAAGATCCTGCCCTATGTAACGTCAATCTCAGTCGTGTCAAACGTCTTTGGAGAACTCACATCGCCCTCTCGGCTCTTTGGCTCCCGTCCCCTGCTCTGAACGCACCCCTCCACTGGTCCAGTACTGCGGGCCACAATGAGGACCGATGCAATATTTGTCGCCGATTGCCAGTGCTCCCAATGGCCTATTCTTGGTGTTGAGGTAAAGCGAACCGAACGCTCCGAAATCCAGCTTGCACACCTCCCGTGCTATATACCCAAGCGCCTGAATGCATCTGAGACGTTAGACGTAGCTCATCGTGTGCCAAATATGGTTGAGAGGTACCCCCGGCATGACATCCATGATCATGAATTCGGCGTCTACGGTATTGGTATCGGTCTCGACACTCGAGGCAATGACTTTGGGCATGGGCATGTCTTCCGTCCGCGATCCATGAGAAGAAGAAAAGTTCTTGGTGCAGAGTCCATGTACGTCGTCAAGCTAGCTTGTGTGCACGTGAATATTGATCGACAGATCGAGGTTGCCTTGCAGTAGCGTCCTTGAGTTTGGCCTAGTCCGAGAAAGGAAAGATGAAGTGAATGTTTTCGCTAAGCCGAGGTCAGAGGTCGAAAGCCGAATGGCTGGAAAGCTTCAAGTCCACGAATCCTACAATACAGTAAGCAGCGACAACTCCTCGTACTTGACACTCCTCCCTTCTTGACGGATGCAGCAGCAGTAACACCCACTCATCAGCTCCAGTGAGCACCTCCGCCGGCGCCATCGGGACAGGAGCAGGCGCAAGATGAGCACCACCACTGGGTCTTTCATAGCCGGCGGGATAGCAGCATGCGGCGCCGTCACAGTCACACACTCCTTCGAGACCGTGAAGATTCGTTTGCAATTGCAAGGCGAGCTGCAGGCCAAACGCGACGCCCCGCGAATGTACCGTGGTGTGCTACATGGCGTGGGCGTGATCTTTCAAAATGAGGGGCTGAAGGGGCTGCTACGAGGGCTTAATTGCGCCGTAAGATACAGAAACCGCGCGTTTGAGCAGTGGGTAGCGCTGACCGCAAGATGTGTGTACAGTACATCTACCAGATCATGCTCAACGGCTGCCGTCTCGGCTTCTACGACCCCATCCGCACACACTTGAACTCCGCCCTGTTGAACCGCTCGGTCTCCCCAACCGCCGTCCATGACCCTGCGACCAAAGCATACCAATCGCTCCCGATCAATATCGTTTCCGGTGCTTCTTCAGGCGTACTAGGCGCTTTCGCCGGCTCGCCGTTCTTTCTCGTCAAGACACGACTACAATCCTTCTCCCCCTTCCTACCCGTGGGGACACAACATAAATACCGCAACGCTTGGGATGGGCTAGGACAGATCTACAAGGCTGAGGGCGTGAAGGGGTTATATCGCGGCGTAGGGCCTGCAATGGTGCGGACGGCGTTCGGGTCCTCAGTGCAGTTACCAACATACTTTTTGGCGAAGAGGAGGTTAGTGAGCTGGTTCGGGATGGAAGATGGCGCGCCTCTACACCTAATGTCCTCGGCCTGCTCAGGATTCGTGGTCTGCGTGTTCATGCACCCACCCGACACAGTGATGGCGCGGATGTACAACCAGACCGGCAACTTATACTCCGGCGCCTTCGACTGCTTATACCGGACCGTGAAGACGGAGGGGATCTTGGCGGTGTACAAGGGCTTCTTTGCGCATTTGGCGCGGATATTGCCGCATACGATTTTGACGCTCAGTTTGGCGGAGCAGACGAATAAGCTGATGCGGCGGGTTGAAGACAGGGTGTTGCCGGATAGGGTGACGGAGAAGATGTAGTGGCGATGGAAGGTCTGGGCCAGGTATGTACAATACGCCTCCGAGCTATAGATGGCATAGACGGGATGTATGTACGATGTACTGCAGTGTTGGAGTCCAGTGGCGCTGGCGCCATCTGCACGCAATGGCGCCTGCCACGCTTCAGTCATGCCTGCTGTCAGGCTCGCGACCATGATTGTCGAGAGATTCTGTGCAAAGGCCGGTCTTTCCAAAATCGAGAATCTGGGCCTGCCTCGACTCCGACAACATGTGCTCGAGGCAAGTGTTGACAGGCTCGGTCTTGCTCTTTTCTACGGCCAGTGGATTTCGTCTTCCTCTCATTTTGTCCACATCACTGTCGAACGGGAAACATCTCTTCTTCCCAATTCTTCTACACCATCAAGTACCACACCAGCATCAACACACGATCGACGATGAAGGTACTCTCAACTTGGGCACTGGCCGTTGCAATCACCTCCATGGGACTGTTAGCAACCAGTTCGGAGGCTCGAGCCCCTGTCACCGTTGACCTCCGCCAGCATAAGCATTCGAACCCGGATGTCGTTACTCACGTACTCCAAGCTGTCGACAAGCACTCAGGTGGAGTTCCCGGCCTTGCAATCACTTCAGAGACACATGGATACGCTCTGAGATATTCGATTTGGTTTTTGTCTGATAGCTAACTAATCTGGTCAGTCCTCTATACTGGTACGGCAACTTCAAAGTGAGTCCAAACGCTCAATCGAGAGATGCCGTGCTTAACAGCGCGGCGAACCCACTCGAGATGATCGCGGTCTACCAAGCAATCTGCTGACCTCTCAACTCAACACTGCAGGTGGGCGAGAGCGACGAACTCTCACTCATCATCGACACCGGCAGCCCGGACCTTGGCATCAACCCGGGCGTGTACAAGCCGTCCTCGCAGTCCCAGAAACTCAACAAGACCGGTTATTTCAAGTACGAAGGGTGCGGTTTGACAGGCTTTCAGTACGAGGCCTACGCCACGGTGTCCTTCGCCGGGCTGCAAGCAACGAACCAGACTTTTGGCAATGTCGTCAAGTCTTCTGCAGCGACACCTGCGACAGAGACTGAGTACTCCCATCATGGCATTGCAGGCTTTATGGGACGCTTCTCCGGAGATACACAATTGGGCGGCGTCCCATTCTTTCTCCAGCTTTGCAACCAGGGCGCTGTAGAGGAATGCCGGTTTGGCCTCGCGTATGGAACTTACGGCGTTGGCAAGCAGGTCCTTGGGGGTCTCGACAACTCGCTGTACGAGGGACCACTCTCGGAGGCGACTTACTTCAACATCACCACGGAGGTGGGCATTGTCTACGACGCAAGGGACGGCAAGACGCAGGACATGAAACCCGACCTTATCGTCTTCGACAGCGGATCGCCAAGTGTCGTCGGTCTGATTGACCAAGTCAAAGAGCTTTTTGACGGCCTCGGCATCGAGTCTGTCTCGCAAACAGCGAAGGGGGGTGAAGAGGGAGACCGAAAGTTCCTCTCTGGCTTCTATCCCTGCGATTCTCCGCCCAAAGTGGGCTTCACCATTGGCGGAAAGAGCATTTTCATCGAGCCATCCGCATTTAAGCTGTGGGACAATGGCAGCAATAAGTGCACGGCTTCGATCGCAGGAATGGACATGGGGACAGGCCCCTCGTTGTGGCTCGCTGGCCAAAACTGGTTCCAGGGCAAGTATGTGGACTTTGATCAGGGCAAGGGTAGCAGCGGAGTGGCGACACTGAAGGACAAGACGATGGCTTTGTCTTCGTAGTGTCATGTACAGTGGTGTTTGACGTGTACAGCAGAGGTGCATCTCTTGGGATGAGTGAAGCAGCATTGGATTTGACACATGCATGAATCCAGTCTTAGTGCACTACCTAAGCGCTCACGCTCTCACTCGAAAAGTAATGAGCGGAGGATCTCAGAACGCGCTCCAAGGCTTGGTCGGCGGCTCAATATCAGGCGGTACGCCAAGTAGCGACGCAGACGACCTCCTCGACTGAGTCTTCGGCCGCTCGCTCAGAGCTATACTGCTCGTCCTACTCCGCCGGCTGAGGAGAATGCTGTCCACTCGACTGGCTTGGCTCGTCCGCGTATGCTCCGGCCACATCTTCGCTTTTGCGAGATGAGCAGGCAACGGATCTCTGCCGTCGAAATCTTCATTCCGCATATCGGTGCTCAACATTGCGCCTCTGGCAAGGCGGAATGCACTGGAGAAGCTGTTGCTGCTGCTGTAGGATGCGCCGCTTGCGGCCACTGCTATGAGTCCCAGGATCGCGGTGATTGCGGTCACGGTGATGGCGACACTGTAGGTGATCCAGAGTTTGGTCTTGGAGTAGGTGTAGACGTTGTGGAAGGTGCGGTGGGTGACGTTCACGGGCGGAGGTGCGAAGGCTGAGGATGCGTTTGGTCTGTCATGTGTCAATCGAAAGCCCTGTGAACGAAGTCCCTGGTGACGGTGTCATAACTTACTGGAGATGCTGTTGACTCATCATGCTGACTGTGGCATTCTTAAAGAGGTCCTCAATAGTCTCTGCGAGCGAGCTGGTAGGCGATCGAGGGTCGCTCTTGACCAGTCCTTGGTCTCTGGTGCTGCTCCAGGCGAGGACATTCTGCTGTAGCGTTCTTGCTCCTGCAGTGCTGTCTTGTTCCAAGATTGGCTGTGTGAGGAAATGCAGCTCTGGAGTAGAGATGAGTGCTGTGGATATGACTTGGGTCGACATGAAGGGTGCCGTTGCATTCCCTTCTGCGCTCACAAATCCTGTGAGAAGATACGCAACTGCGTCCATTACTGCCTGGAAGGACAGAGTTCGTAGTATTCCAGGCGTGAAATCGCATGATCCTTCGGAGCCGTGTGCCGTGGTGCAATTGACCGAAGACACAGTCTGAATCGTCGTCTCATCCAAAGGCACAGTGCTCAAGTCGACGTCTTGTAGACCGTTGATGTAGTCAAAGGCAGTATGGTACGATGCGGACTGGAGAGCGCATTCCAGCATAAGTCCGCCTGCTTCGGGCGCATACAGGGATGCTGCTGGTTTGCTACATGCGGCCGGTGGACTTTCGTGATCCGCTCTTCGCATGGCTTCGGGACTGGCTGCCAAGTACAAGACTGCAGGCATCGAAGAGCCTTGGAAGATACGAGAGTTGAATGCATGCTCCCCGCTGCCAGATGCATTGGTCTGGGATGTGTTCAAGAAGGGCATTCCTTCAAGCCAGGCGAGGTATCCGTATGCCTCGCAGTTCGATGCGGAGCCAGTGGCGCTTGCTATGTTCGAGCGGATCTCGGATCTCAGTGGCTCTGATATGTTGGTGCATTTCAGCGCAGGCCCAGAGAAGTCCAGAGCCCAGCTGGAGTTTGGGCCTGGCGGTGCTATCGGGAGTACGGCACCGGTCGCTGCCACTGCTTTCACTACTTCGATTACTTCTCGACTGGGAATGGTGTAAGCGAAACGAATGGTATCTGGATCGTCATCATCAGGCATGGGCGGCATGTCATCCACGAAGTTCAGGCTCTCAAATGCCAGAGAAGGTACCGTTTACAGCAGAGACGGTGGTGGCAGAACTTGTGCAGTCTCGATGGAGAGTGTTGCGGGAGTAATAACAGCCGTGAATGGCAACATCCTGTATTTTCCCGGTCAGCGCTGGTTCGTCGAAGACTCCAAAGGGTGCTGAATACCATGCAACGAGCGCGAGCAGGAAGAGAAGAGGTAGCCTCCACCAGACCCAGAGCTTGGACAAAGATATGACATTGCTCAATGCAGAGAATGCCGTGTCCAGGTCACCCAGGGTCGAGCCTCTTGCGGAGCGTAGTAGCGCTCTCCATAACAGCTGTATGTATGCGGTAGAGAGTGCGATGACAAGGAAGGTCTTCACCAGATACGCGATCGCGGTTCCAATGGCGATGTTGAGCTGCTGAGGTGAGACGTCGGAGCCCAGAATCTGGTAGCCATCTGTACGGGCCTGCTGTCCGGCGAGGTGGTCATAGAAGAGGTGATGCCCAACAGCTAGCAGCACGCTAGTGATAAGAGAGAGTATGATCGTTGCAGGTGCCTGCCATGGGAGACTGTTGACTCTTCCGCGAAGGTTCTCCAAGGCGGGCATATTGCTGTTGCGGCGAATGCAAGGACACCCGGCAATACGACTCGGCGTACACAAGCGTGTAATGCCGCATTGAGGGTGGAGGAGCTTATTGTTTTCCACGTGGAGACATGAGGCGTTGTCAACCCTTGGTTTTCAGCTGTCGGCCCAGCTGAGCTGCGGCTGAGGAGGCGCTGCAAGGTTTAGATGCCCTATTTGCCTTCCAGAATGGGGCCAATCTGCGGATGCCGGTCTCAGAGTGCTTTGCTAACGATTGGTTCGGTAGGTGTTCGAACAGAGTGATGAATTATGGGCAGAGCGTCATCGCATTTCTTAATAGCTATAATCGTGTGCAAAAGCATGGTGAATGCTCTTAAAATCTCGAGAGGCAGACTCCTTGAGCGGAAGCCCAGGCACTCCATTCTGGTCCGACCGTTGATAGATACGCCAGCTGCAGAGTGTAACAGAGAAAAGGAAGGACTCTGAACAAGAGAAGCAGTCAAAGAAACCAGTAAAATTGACTTCAACTGCGCACATCCGTAGTGAGGATGCGGTCAACAACGTACATCAAAGTCCGATCTGGTCAGATACATGGGGTGCCATGGTGGGTAAAGAGTTCGTTCTGTGACCATGCCCATTCATTAATCATTCACTGCCGTCGTCGTTATCGCTAGTCACGCTTCCGCCGGTACATCGCCGGCGTCTGCAGCAGCCTCCTCTGCTCGTATCTTCGCCTCAAGACGCCTCTTCTCAGCGTTCTTCAACCTAATCATCGTGATCTCGTCCAAGCTCGCTCCTCGGTCTTTCGTGCCTTTGAAACTGAATTTCGGTACCGAAGCACCTTTGCTCGGTTTCGTGCGTTCTTCGCCGTCTGGAGCATCACCACTTCGTGTTGTAAGTCTGGTTGCTCGGTCGTTGCTGTGTGTAGTTTCCTCCTCAACATGCGTTCTCTGCTTGGGAACAAAATCTGGTTCTCGTCCAGTGGCCCACTCCACCTTCTCGAAGCGCCCATAGACGTCCGGTTCCTTCTTCACTTGCTTTTCCAGATCAGAGACAGCTGCGTGTGCACCCACGACACTTCTGAAGACCACAAGCACCGTCTTGTGTTGCCGTTTCTTCTTCTTGGATGAATCCGTGGGCGGTCTTGATCGGATGATCACATCGTCTACCGGCCCAAATCTCTCAAATGCTTTCCTTATGGCTTCCTTGTCCTCGTCTGAGCTGTCTTCTGCCCTGAGCCGTACCTTGACCGATCTCTCCATCTCCTCCACGCCGTCCCTACCGTCTGCCTTTCCGTTGACTGCCTCACTCGCGTTGCCGGACTCCTCCTCCCTCATCAGAACTTCCATCTCCTGCCTCCGCTTCTCCTCCAATTCCACGCGCCGTCTCTTCGTGTCCTCCCTCATCCTCGCCAACTCTTGCGCCCACTCATCATCCGCGCCCCACTTTCTCTTCCCAGTCACACCACTCGCGCCCTCTCGCTCCCTCCTCTCCAGATCATCCTTCATCTCCGTCCTCCGGGCACTGAGCAGCTGCTCCCGCTCCTTGACCTGCTCCCGCGCTCTTCGTGCATTGTCGTAGAGGTCCTTGAGTTCTTGACTAGATAGGATCTCGTAGGCGATTTGGAGCAGGTGAAACTTCTCAAGCGCGGCATTGTCGCTTGTGCCGACTTTGTCTGGGTGGTATTTGAGAGCTGTCTTGCGGTAGGCGCGGCGGATGGCTTCTTGGTCGGTGGTACCGGGAGTGAGGGCGAGGAGGTCGTAGAAGTCGGCGGTAGTAGAGGTCGCATGCGATTTGAGGTCGTCCGTCGCCATGTTCCGTGCTGCTGGGACTATGTGCTTCTGTTCGAAGTAGTTGGTGAATGGGATGTCCAGGAAGTGAGGTACACCAAATTGCTTGGCGGAAGCGGCGCGACCTCGTCCAACATATGACCTCTGAGCAAGTACTATAACACACACCACCAACACCACTCAATGCAATGCGACTCACAACGCGAGAACCAGCATGACCACGACGCACCACCCCACCACCCTCGTTGACTGGCTCGACGACCTCACTGTCCGCTTCCTGCTGAACCTGCCCGCCTCGGAGCTGTCCTCGGTCCCGCGCCTTTGCTTCCAGGTCGAAGAGGCACAATGGTTCTACGAAGACTTCGTCCGGCCCGCTGTCGCCGCCGCCGGCCTGCCTCCACTCCCTAGCCTGCCACTACGGCAATTCTGCTTGCTGCTGTTCCAACACTGTCCGCTGTTGAGCGGCTTCACAGACGCGCAGCACATTGCCGCCTATGAGGAGTTCCTCGCGTACAAGGTGCGCGTCCCTGTACGCGGCGCGATCATGTTGGACGAGGAGATGGAGCATGTCCTACTTGTGCGCGGTTGGAAGAAGGGCGCGAGCTGGTCTTTCCCACGAGGGAAGATCAACAAGGATGAGAAGGACTTGGATTGTGCCGTGAGGGAGGTTTACGAGGAGACGGGTTACGACGCTCGAGAAGCCGGACTGGTACCGGATAATGAGGATGACGCGAAGTTCATTGACATTACGATGCGAGAGCAGCACATGCGATTGTTTGTCTTCCGGGGCGTGTCGCGGGATACGCATTTCGAGCCCAGGACGCGAAAGGAGATCGGTGGGATCAATTGGTACGCTATCAAAGACCTGCCGGGCTTCAAGAAGCAGAAGATTCAGCACGCGGGTGAGGGTCCCAGTTCGAGCAAGTTTTATATGGTTGCGCCCTTTTTGGGCCATTTGAAGAAGTGGATAGGCCAGCAGAGAAAGGCCGATCCGACCAGGGCGGTGAAAACCAAGCCGGTCAATGGCGGCGCAGCTCCGGTCGTTACGGAAGATGAGACAGAGGTAGAGGAAGAGTCTGCCACTCAGACTGATGCGCAAGTGAACGTTAAGGGTGATCTTTTGGCGAAGCTTCTAGGCTCCGGGCAGACAGAACAGCGGGATCTACCTGCGCCTCAGCCTGAACCCTCACATACATCTGCAAACGACCTCCTAGCAATGCTTCGCGGCACTGCGCCGCAGAACAATGGGAATCAAATACCGCAAACTCCATTGGAGCAAGTCGACCAGTTCCCTCGAGAGCCGAACACACCCCAACCAGACCACTTGAGACATCCATCCTTGGCACATGGTCAACGACAGCCTCCCCCACCTACATTCCCACTCTCGCCTCAGAACATACCTTTGCACGACCAGCAGAGAAATGCTTCCATGCCGACTCCCAATATCTTTGGGCCAGGTCCCAATGGAGTCTCACAAGGGCGAGCACCTAGCTTTCCGAATGGGATGCCCCCGCATCTGCACCAGCAGCAGTTCCAGCAACGGGAGAGCATGCCAGGCCGTGCCCCGGGCCCGCCACCTGGACCACACAACGGGTTCTTTAGAGACAATCGTAACCAGCACAACTATCAACAGCCGTTTGCCACCCAGCTTCCGCAACAGAACATGCAATCCCCGTTCCAGCAGCCTCCACCCAACGCTTATTTGGCACAAGGTCCGCAGGGTGCTATCGCAAGCGGCCCAGCGGTACCCAATGCCTCGCAGCTGCCACCACCAAGGCTGAATGCTCAGTCAATGAAGCTGCTTGATGCCTTCAAGAGCAACGGCAGTGTCCCGATGGTTTCTGCTTCTACTTCGGCGAAGGCAGATCAGCGGCCTACCAGTGGCCATCAGGCTGCATTGCTGGGTCTGCTTAAGAAGGCTCCGGCCACTCAGCAATCTCCAGCTGCGCAGGCAACAGAACTACCGCAACAGCCGCATAGAGCAGTCTCGCCCACGCCCACAGATGGGACGGATAGGACTGTTAGACCCACGGAGAGGAGGCCCACCCTGAACGAGATCACCAGAACTCTGCCCCCAAAAGTCAGGGTGAAGTCGCCACCCACCGTCAACACGACTAGTCAACCATCCGAGCCACTAATCGCATCTGAGCGCGAGCGGCCGAAGTCCAGACAGCTTTTCGATCCCTCTGCACCCTTCAAGCCTCAGGTTGCAAGTCCAGAGAGGTCACAACAATCTCTTCCATCCTTCGCACAGCAGCACCCAGCGACGAGGCAGCCACCCAAGTCACCTAGAGGAAGGAACGCTAGTCCAGCTAGCTCACCATCCCGGAAGAATGGTGTGCAGACTGTCCGGAGCCATCAGCAACCCTCTTCGCCGTTCACAATCCTAGCTCGGCCCGGTTCTGCTAGAGAGGCAAAGTCTCCCGCCGCACCTACGAGTCCTCTTCTTAACGAAGGCCCACAGACAGGCTTCAGGCCGCAAGTGCTCAAACGTTCGAACGGGAACGAAAGCGCGGACACTGCACAGCAGCCAGCGGACAAGAAAGATCAGCTACTTGCTCTCTTCGGTAAGACAGCACCTTCAGCGAGATCGACTCCGTCCACGCAACCTGCGTCTACTGGCCCCAATCGGCCATCACCCGCACCTGATAGTCGCAAGAACTCACTCCTCGATCTTTTCAGTCCTCCCGCTGTAACTTCACAGCAGCCAACGCCTACACCCGCTCCTGCACCACCTCCCGCCCCACGCATTGAGCCCGAACGACGTCCTTCATCAAAAGCTCCACCTCAAGTCACTTCGGCGCCTGCTCCGCCAAGACAGCAGAACCTCCTGCTTGACCTCTTCAACAACAAGACAAATACCTCGGCCACACCAGTGACCAGTCCCGGCACGCCCATCTCGCCTTTCACGCTGGGGACGCCGGCCACGACTTCAGGACCTTCACAGCTTCCGGGCATGGCTGGCGGCAGAACGAGTCGCTTGGCGTCTGTGAGCAGTCCTGATGGCAGTGGAAGTGAGAGCGCAAAGACGCCGACGGAAGCAAAGGAGTTCTTGATGGGCTTCTTGAACGGGGTCGTGCAGGAAGGCTACAGGGGAGCGACGTCCGGGGCCCGGTAAACCTCACCCTTCACTTTGAGACGATAATGAAGACAATTCCAGAGCTTCCAATGCAGCATCGTTGCATATGTGCCAACTACTGCATCAAAGCCTCCACCTCGACCTCAATAACCATCCCCTCCAACGCCAACCCCTTCACCTCCACCGCCGTCAACACCGGCCTATTCCCCTCCCCACACCACTTCCTTAACCCCTCCTTCACAGCCATAATCACCGCGCCATCAAAATCCTGCATCCCGACCATATACGCGCGCACGAGATACACGTCGCCCCATCCGTTCTTGGACCCCGCGGTACGCAACACGTCGTCTACGTTTGCGAAGGCGAAGTCGACTTGTTTGAAAATCTCATCCGATGAAGTGGGTTGTGGTATCACGCCGTCGGATTTGTTGAAGCCGCCTTGGCCGGCGAGTTTGAGGGTTGGGGGTTGCGTGGGGAGGCGCACGGCTTGGTGGTAGTGGAATTGGGAGGCGAGGTCGGCGCCGCGGCCCGTGGGGTTGGTGTAGGTGAGGGTGGACATTGTCGTGGTTGTTGGCGGTTATGGCTGTTGTTGGAGATGGAAGTGCTGTTGTGTGCAATGATACTTGAGAACAGAAGATGACCTGACCAGTACTTATACCTACGTCTACAGCGAAGGAAGACAGACCCCTACCTACCATTGCCCCTTATTCAGCTGTCCCCATCCCAAGGACAGTCTCCCCAATCCTTTCATCTCAATTCCGCATAGTCTCCCAGCTGTTTCGTACGAATGCATCAATGTTGCCCTTAAAGCGTGCCCAGATTGACAGCATTGCTCCAGCTGTACGGACGAGTCTCCAGCACGGCTTTGTAATAACAAGGGCTCGGCAGCTTGGCCGACCTGATGACTGGAACGAAATTCATTGCTGTGTTTGGTTGGACGGCGCGACGAGCCCGTAGGGCGTGAGGCGGTGATGTGGGTGATAGGGAGCGCATGATGGGTGGCTTTTTGTTGTGAGTAATTGGGGGTCGATGGAGTTTCGTTTTCATGGTCTGTCTGCGTTCTGGTGCACGGGATATGGAGACGGAGACGGCCCGTGGTATGAGAATCGTGGTACAGTAGGTGTAAAACAAGAAGTGGTATCTGTTCCGATCGCCATCAAACGCATCCATGCACCCACCCCCCATCAACACCATGACTCCTCACCCTTTCAATTGATCGAGTGGACTAAGCATCATAAGCCGCCGCAATCCCCGGCGCCGGCCCCTCCAGATCAACCCTCTCGACCCGACTCCGAATATCATTACTCTCCCTCACCAAGTTCCCAAAATACTTCCGTGCCACCTCGCTCTCCCCCCTTACCTTGTCCGTCTCGCGCTTCTTCTCCTGCAGCTGCTCGACGTTGCGCTGCAGGCCCTCGCGTAGCTTGGTGGCGGGGTATTGCAGCGCGCGGCGGACTTCAGCGGAGATGCGTTGCGAGTTCTTGTGGGTGTAGTCGATCTGGGCGAGTTGGGCGGAGAGTTTGGTGGAGAGGCGTTTGGGGAGGGAGTGGGGGATTTGGGAGATGGCGTAGGAGATGCCGAGTGTGACTGTCGTGATGTTAGTACGGAGCAAGAAGAGATGTGGGGGTAGACTTACCTGCAAGGACCATGCCGGGCAGCACGAGTTTCCTCACGTTGTTTGGTCCCATCACCTTCGTAGCGGTCAAGGCACCATCAAGCCACCCGAGGCCGCCGAATAGCCTTCCGCCGACTACACCGGCGACAGTGACGGCCATGCTGGTGCTCGCCACCTTCTCCTGCCTCTCCCACAGACTTCCCACGTCGAAGAAATCCCACAGCTCTGCCTCGACCTCGACTTGCCTGGCCAAGGCGTCTCTCCGCGTCTTGAACATCTTCTCGGATCGGAATGTCAGGTCGACGTACTGATCGCCCAGATGCAGCAGCCCTAAGCTCTTGATACTGGAGACTCCTTGCACCGTCTTCTCACGAGCACGCTCCTCGCACCATCGAACTGTCTCATTGATCTGATTGAGCATAGCCGCCTTCAAGTCCTCCGCGTAGTTGTAGGCTCCGAACACCCCAGGATATTCCACGCCCAGGTCGCTCTCAGCGATATGCGAGATAGACGAGTTGAGCGTTTCCCGGGTCAACCGGTAGACTTCACCAGATGTCTCCTCAATGTTGTTGGCGACACTATCGTCCGCTGCAGAACGTGCCTTCTTCGACTTCTCGAAAACAGGCTCCAACTGGCGCAGCTCCTCCGAAACCCGGTCGAGCTCGCCCTGTGCGACATTCTTGTTCACGCCAGCCAACGTATTGAGGTCTCCCAGCACGTTCATGAGGTAGGTCTTCGCAGGCGCAAGTTTTGATCTCGCCCGCTTCTCCAGCACGAACCGGCGTAGCGAGGCTTCAAGTTCGTTGAAGTCGTCAAGCTTCTCCTTCTCCTTGCCCTTCCCTTTGTCTTTGCTCGGAGGCGATCCTGGCTCGCCGTGCTTTCCTTCGGGTTCGTCGTCTTCATCGTCTGGTTTGGGCGGATCTGACTCGGGCTTCTTGTCTTTGGGCTCGAACGAAGCCGACGCAGAGCCGCTACCGCCTCCGGAGCCGTCGGGTGGCCCATCACCACCAGCTGGAGCCACTGGTATAGCGTTGCTAGATACGAAATGCACAAGCTCCGATGACTCCTTGAATGTTGCTGGGCTCAAGTGAGCAACCTGCTTCAAGATCATCTCCTGACACCGGTTCTTATCCCTGATATTGTCGAAGCCGTTCACCACCATGAACATGTATGCTTTCTCTCGTGCGGCATTGAAGATGAACTCCTTTGCCGAAAGTGTGAAGTGATTCGCCGCCGACACAACGAATACAACAACGTCAATCTCCTCTTGTCGTGCGAACAGCGCGGTCGTCTTGAGCGAGTCGTTGTTCAATCCGGGTGCGTCGATGAGAGCGATGTCGACGACGCCATTGTTGAGTAGCGAAGTATCTACCGATCGGATGTCCTTGATGTAGATCTTGCACTGCGACCAGCTGTCCGCATCAACCACAACGTCTTCCAGCTGAGTGAGCTTAAAGACGCGGTATGTGCTTTCATCGTTGCGGTTGTAGGTCGTTGCGTGAGGTATCGCATGGACTTCCTCAACCCCGCCGTTCTCTCGCACATCTAGTACTTCGCAGAAGATCGAGGTGCATGGTTGCTGGTCTTCGGGAAGTACCTTTCGACGTAAAAGAGCGTTGCAGAAGGTCGATTTGCCAGCGTTGAGATCGCCCGTGACCAGCACCTTGCTCGCGGTGTCATCTATCCGCTCTCGTAGTGCAAATAGATGTCGGACGCTGTTGTTGATCTGGTTGTCCAACAGCGCCGCAACACTTTGTTTCTCCAAAGAATGCACAATCTCCGACTGCGGTAGGCCCTCCATCTTCAGCTCGATCTTCAGCACCGAGAAGTCTTGCGCAAGCTGTGGTGTGACCAGTCGAGGCTCTTGCGCTGGCGGTTTTGTCTCGCTCGACTCGCCCGTCTGGTGCTCGCCGACAGAAGTACCAGCTCGACGAGGCGCTTTCGGTCGCGGTGGTGCTGATCGGACGGCATCGTGTGTATCCTCAAGGGTGTGGGTGTGGTGCAATCCAGGTCGTGCGTCCGGTCTTGATGGCTCAGGCGATGGCGGTCTCTGTACAGTAGGGTAATGTGCCGGCCATGTCGCATTCATCTCCTGCAAGCGCTTGAGCGTCTCTACCGTCTGGTTGATCGCTCGTCCGAGTGCCGTCCGATTCTGGTTATAAAAGAGCTGGTGGACATGCGCAGCCAGTTGCCGTCGCTCGTGTTCTGAAGCCGCATTGCTCTCCCCGGGTCGCACAGGTGTATGCGCCGGCGTATACCGGTCCTGCGTGAGGCCCGGGTGCCAGTGGTTCTCGCCTGTTCCATCGCCAGTATCGCTTCCTCCGTACCCAGAGTCCTCGTCGATGATGGCTTGCAGTCTAGCGGCCGACTCAGATGTCGACCCTGAGCCTACTGTCATGTATTGCGGTCGTGCATTTCGTTGTTGCTGCGGCGTGGTTGTGCCCCTGCTCGAGCTGGAGCCGCCAGAGTTGCCTGCGAAGTAGTCGCCGGAGCTCATAGTGTGAGCAGCGTGTTGTGTTTCGTCACATGTGTAAGGTGTATTGTTCAGAATCCAGAAATGGTGTGGCGCGCTCGATGATGGGTGCCGACGTTTTGGCCTTGATACCTCCAAATGCCTATCTCGGTTAGATCCGGCTGACTAAGGAGCTCTAATCGCAGGCGTTCGCATTCACTGGGAGGGTGCAACTCCAACTCACTCTGGAGGCATTTGTGAGAGTGAATAGGCACATGCTCCTCAGTAAGGACTTACGGATATCACACACCCTTCCGACAAGCTCCCTCGATCCTTTGGCGCTGCGTGCTCTCTGTATCGCATCAACAGCCAGCTCGTTGCCCGACATGAATGTGAGCCGGTAGCATATCCCCATGCCTGATTGTGATACTGATAGGCGTATGCGTAGATCGTAGAATGGGCCTTCGGCAAGCGCATGACTCCAGCAGAACGACTGCGCAAACATCAACGAGCGCTTGAGAAGACGCAACGAGAGCTCGATCGGGAACGGACGAAGCTCGAACAGCAGGAGAAGAAGCTGGTCGCAGACATCAAGAAAAATGCGAAGAATGGACAGATGGGTGCGGTCAAGGTGCAGGCGAAGGATCTGGTGAGGACGAGGAGATATATCACCAAGTTCTACCAGATGCGGACACAGCTGCAGGCGATCTCGTTGCGGATACAGGTGGGTTCGGGATGTTGGGCAGGGTAGTAGGAGGGCTAACACGTCGCAGACTGTCCGAAGTAACGAGCAGATGATGCAGAGCATGAAGGGCGCAACACAGCTTTTAGGCAGCATGAACCGGCAGATGAACCTCCCAGCATTACAGCGGATAGCTATGGAGTTTGAGAAGGAGAACGACATCATGGATCAACGACAGGAGATGATGGATGATGCGATCGACGATGTGACGGGGCTCGAGGATGAGGAGGAAGGGGAAGAGGTCGTCAATCAAGTGTTGGATGAGATTGGTGTTGATCTGAGTCAAACGGTATGTCGGCCTTGGCTGGCAGGATGGTTCGCTAGATGTGCTGACTCTTGCAACAGCTCGGCGAGACACCTCAAGGCCTCCAGAAGAACGCTGTGGCGGAAGGAAAGGTCGCGCAAGCTGTGGGAGGTGGTGGAGCGGATCCTGGGGACGATGACCTGCAGGCACGGCTGGACAGCCTGAGACGATGATGTGATGGACATGCTTTGTGTTGTGAGCGGGCGTTGGATTCATTGTCTTCCTTCTATCTCGAGCGATTATGGTTGGCCGACAGTGCTGTACATGCAGATATGTACCGAGCGAAGGGAAGCTTCATCATGTTTGTGGGGAAACCCCGATTCCAGACCGATTGTTTGTCTGGACGACAGATGAAGTCCATTCTGTGGTCGTTTCATTCAAGCTGTACGTTTCCTACAGCATTCAGATCGAGCGGCGCAGTCAATAGTGCACCATCAAGTCGAGCGTGCCTTAGCCGGCGTCGTCATAGCCTGAGAACGCCACCGAGAGAGTTCGCTTCGAGAACCCCGCCCCACGCCTCCGCCTGTTTGGATTAGGGAGCTGCGTGACAACATCAGGTCCTTCAAGCATTGAACGCTTTTTACATTGCAGCCTCCTGTACAACTTCTCCACACTACCTTTGTACAACCCTCCCCTCTGCATCCGCCTCAGTGGTCGTGGCTCCTCGGCCAGTCGGCATCCCGTCTCTCCCGACGTCAGGACCCGCTTGGAAACACACGGGCCAGAGGGGCACTGCGAGACAGGACTCGACGACAGCATATACTGTCTCACTGGTACTGCAACTGCATACAATCAACTTGTTTGGCAAGAGACCACCTTTGTAGTTGTGGTCTTTGTGCTAGAGCTCTTCCGTAAGCGGTCCCTTCGTCATTGCTTCCAATCCTCCCTCGTCCAGACTACTCCACGCTCGGAAGACAAGAACCGCTGTAGAGACATCTCATACACAGCTGCTAATCTGTTCGGGCAATTGTAGACAATCATCGACACGGTCGCCATTCTGTGCGCTTGACCCTCAGCCTCCAAGGCATCCCCGCCCGCACCTCGGAAGACCGCGCGCCAGCAGCAACGGACCGCTGTAGCCCTCGAGCTACATGAGCAGTGTGGCCACGCAATCTCGTAACAACCTGGCCGGAAAGCAGAGACGCAGTCTCTCCGGTCAAGGGGGCTTGCTGAACAGAATGTTTGGTAGCTCCAGCGACGACAGGAAGGATGCGGTGACCGGCGATGGCAGCCAGAAGAGCGAACCCCCACAAAGTCCCATGCCGCCCAGCAACACCACCGCCATCGAAGAGAGCAAAGATGAGGTTCCGAACGACATGCGAAGTCCGACGCGAAAGTCGACGGATGAGCCCACCTCCACCGACAAGAAGCGGCGGAGTAGCGGTGTTGGACGCGCACGCGACCTCTTCAGCAGCGCGAAGGCATCTCTCCACAGCCTTGGGGGCTCGCCGGACAGCAAGAGTTCAGACAGGACTCCCCAGACACCGATGCAAAGGCTGGGGAAGATGGACCCGGCATTGAGCGTTCCAACTGGCTCACTGAACAACTCAGCTGGAGAGTCGCATCCAGGTCCCCGGTCGACGTTCCGCGTTGGGGTGACCGAGGACAAGAACAAGAAGTGCCGGCGCACTATGGAAGACACCCATGCATATCTCTACAACTTCCTCAGCACGCCTGCTCCAGCACTGGGATCGGACAACAACGGCAAGAGCCGCACTTCTCAAGCGGACTCGACCACTTCCGCCCTGTCGGAACAGGGCGTCGTGGAAACAGACAATGGATATTTCGCCATCTTTGACGGGCATGCAGGTACCTTCGCCGCCGAGTGGTGCGGCAAGAAAGTGCACATTCTTCTGGAAGAAATCATACGCAAGCATCCGAATACACCTATACCAGAGCTCCTCGATATGACCTTCACCTCCGTAGATCAGCAGCTCGAGAAGCTGCCTTTGAAGAATAGTGGTTGCACGGCTGTAATTGCCGTCTTGCGCTGGGAGGACCGGATACCGAATTCTCAATCGGCGACTGGCTCGACCGCCATCGCGCCAGCGGCTGCTCAGGCAGTTAAGGGCGAGAGCCAAAGTTCTGAGACAGATCAAGCAGAGTCGAAGTTACGCGAGACCGCCTCCCGCCAGCGCGTGCTCTACACGGCTAACGTGGGAGATGCGCGGATCGTCTTGTGTCGGAATGGCAAAGCCCTCCGCCTGTCGTACGACCACAAAGGAAGCGACGAGAATGAAGGCAAGCGGATCGCAGGCGCTGGAGGCCTGATCCTGAATAACCGTGTCAACGGAGTTTTGGCTGTGACTCGTGCCCTAGGTGATGCCTATATGAAGGACCTGGTCACGGGCCACCCATATACGACGGAGACGGTCATTCAGCCGGAAATTGACGAGTTTTTGATTTTGGCCTGTGACGGGGTGAGTGGGCTACTCTAACTACATCTGCTCTCGCATTGCTGACTGATATCTAGCTCTGGGACGTCTGCTCCGATCAAGAAGCGGTGGACCTTGTCCGCACTATCGAGGACCCACAGACCGCCGCCAAAGCGCTTGTCGACCACGCTCTCGCGCGCTTCTCGACTGACAACCTCTCCTGCATGGTCGTGCGCTTCGACAGCGACAAGGTGCAGGAGACGGCGCAGAACAAGACCGACCCCATCGGCGTCGAAGGCGACCCGGCAACGAAGCCAGGCGGCCTGAGCGAAGCAGAACACATCGTTCTCGACGCGAAGAAGAAGCTCGACGAGAGTGGTATCGAGACTCTGGACCGTGTGCCGACGGAGGAGATTGAGCGGCAGCAGGAGCACGAACCCGGGCCGGAGCTGAACGCGGATGCGCTGGAAGCTGCGAAGAAGAAGGCGGCTGCGAATAGCTAGCCAGGGGGTGGTTGCTTGGGACGTTTTGGCTTGGGGATGACTGATGATACGTACAGCGCTCTGGGAGCGCCGGAGAGACAGTGCTTGGGGCGTTTTTGAAGCGGAGGATTTGAGTGGGGGAGGAGTGACGAGCGGCGCTGCGGCATTGCTGTTGCTAGACGTTCGTTGGCAGCATGCATGAATGAGACCTGCGACTCGAGCGTTGTTTACCCATCTTCCTCCCTCCATGCTCAAAACCACCAGGTTGTCTCTCTCCCCCTTCTCACAGCCCACTATCCCCGCAATGCGGGTGCTCCCGCACCCAGAAACGCCAACCGCCGTCATAATTCCGACAGTTACTTAGAATCCCAAGCTCGCCTGCTCCAACACTCTCACAACCACCAACTGCCAGCCAGCCCTCGATGAGCCACAGACGGAAACCAAAAGGCCATACTGATGTTGGGTGAGACAGGAGACAGCGATCCGCCGCAGGCGGCCGAGCAGGCGTCGCAGCAGAACAGTGAAGGCGCAGAGGGAAAGAAGACAGCTACCGGTACCACCACTACTTCACCGGGCCATGAGGGCGCGCCGCCCAAGTTTGTCGCGCCGAGCTCGTATTTGAGGCCGTTGTCGAGGGAGACGCAGCCGGAGACACACACGCAGATGCAGATGCCGATGAGAGGGGCGCAAGTGATGGGTAGTCGGCCGGGGACGAGGCAGGGAGGGTTGACGGGGTTTGATCGGGAGCAGAGGGAGGGGTTGGTATGTCTTCCTCCGCAAGCAGCAGTGCTTTCTACTGAGAGAGCGTTTGGGAAGTACAGGCTGACAGACGTGGTTCACAGCGAGCAATCCGGGCTTTTCTCAAAGTGCGCACCAGCTACGACGTCCTTCCGCTCAGCTACCGCTTGATCATCTTCGACACCTCGCTACTCGTCAAGAAGAGTCTCAACATACTCCTACAATGTGGTACGTCTCCCCAAGCTCATACGACAGACTCAACCTTAGCCCTCCACTGACAATGGCAAAGGCATCGTGTCCGCTCCACTCTGGGACTCCAAGACCTCCACCTTCGCCGGCCTGCTCACAGTCTCCGACTACATCAATCTCATCCAATACTACTGGCAGAACCCGGACGCGCTGGGTCAAATCGACCAATTCAAACTCAACAGCCTCCGCGAGATCGAGCGCGCTATTGGCGTCAACACCATCGAAACCGTCTCCATCCACCCCTTACGACCCCTCTACGAAGCATGCACACGCATGTTACAAGCCCGCGCGCGCCGTATACCGCTCGTTGACGTGGACGACGAAACGCAAAGGGAGATGGTGGTGAGCCTGGTAACACAATACCGCATCTTGAAGTTCGTATCGGTCAACGTGAAAGAGACGCAGATGCTGAAGAAGCCCTTGCGGGACCTGCCCATTGGGACGTACACCGACCTGGCGACGGCGCGCATGGAGACGCCGGTCATGGATGTGATACACCAGCTCGTGAAGCGCAACATCTCCTGCGTGCCGATCCTGGACAAGGACGGGACGTTGCTGAACGTGTTCGAGGCCGTGGACGTCATTGTTCTCATTAAGGGTGGGGACTACGAGAAGCTGAACCTGAGCGCTGGCAAGGCGCTGGAGTTGCGATCGGACGTGCGTATAAACCATTCGTCCTAGTATTACGAGAGGTCGAAACTGACTTAAGTTGATGCAGGACTTCCCCGGCATCTACACCTGCACCGTCAACGACCGCCTCGACACCATCTTCGACACGATCCGCAAGTCGCGCGTGCACCGCCTCGTCATCATCGACGAGGCCAAGCAGCTCAAGGGCGTGCTGTCGCTAAGCGATATCCTCGAGTACACGCTCAACAGTCCGCTGGGCGATGAAGGCGAGCAATAGGTTTGCGATCGGGGACGGCGGGACAGTGCGGCTCAGCGCAGCAGATGTGTGGATGAATGAGGGATGATACCCATGGAAAGGAACGAAAGCGTTTATGCGAGAGAATTGGCGTAGATCGTCGTTGTCTATAGCATGCAATCGAAACTGAGGTAGAGAAGCCTCATTGTTCTGTCAATCTTCTCGTGTTCATTTCGCTGGTGATCTGCACGATTTGTAGGGTCAGGCATGTGAAAGCCGACGTCATCTTCAGCTTCCAATGGCTGGACTCCGTCCTCACTCTTACTCCCTCCAACTCGCGCCTTGAGCGCTACTTTTCAAGCAACATGCATCATGAAGAAGACATTACTGCTCGTGTTTCTACACGGCTTCAAGGGCTCTGATCACACCTTCAACAACTTCCCTTCCGATCTTCGCGCGTTGCTGGCGCACACCCTACCGAACATTGACATCCTGAGCATACAATACCCGCAGTACGAGACCCGAGGCGACCTCAAGGAGTGTGTCGCGCGGTTCAAAGAATGGTACGCAGAACCTCACGCGCAAAGAGACTGCTTGCTGACACTTTGCACGCAGGCTCCAAAACAAAGTCATCGACCTCGAAGTCGCCAACGGCACGCCCTCGCCTACAGTTGACCCCTCAGTCCACGTCATACTATGCGGCCACAGCATGGGCGGCATCGTCGCCGCCGAAACTCTGCTGAGCATCGCGCGCGACGAGCCAGTCCCTTCCGCCTACGCCAACGACACGACGAACAACACCACCACGCGCCCCACCTCCTCCTCCAAAGCGCCTACGAACCTCAACCCGCCCGACTCCGAAGCACGACCTTCTTCCGCACCACCTCAAGAACCTAGCAGATTATTCTTCCCGCACGTACAAGCGGTCCTGGCGTTCGATACACCGTACTTGGGCATCAGCCCGGGCGTCCTCGCGCACGGCGCAGAAGAGCACTTGAACCAAGCATCAAGCGCGTACAAAGCCTTCGAGGGCGCCAGCAGTCTCTTCGGCTGGAACTCGCCACGCAGCGGCTCCCCCGCGCCCGTCGCCAACGCGTCAGCGAAAGGCCTGCCGGCAGCAGACGGGAGCACGGCGTCGGGCGGCTGGGGGAAATGGGGCAAATACGCCGCCTTCGGGGGTGCGGCGGCAGCCATCGCCGGGGCGGCGGGGGCGGCGTATCTGAATCGCAGCCAGATACAGCAGGGGTTCATGTGGGCGGGGAGTCATCTCGAATTCGTGGGATGTCTTGCCCGCGGCGCCGAGCTGCAGAAGCGCGTGGAGAGTGTGGTTGAGTTGACGCGGACGCATGAGGTGGGGTTTGCGAACTTTTACACCGCGTTGGGGACGAAGGTTACGGGGCAGACGAAGTATGCGGGCGCGATGGTGGGCGCGGATCGCACGTTCTGCGTTGTGCCGAAGGGGGAGATGCAACCTGAGAGTCCTACTGGGTCTAAACGCGCTGCTCCTTCATCATCATCTAACCAGCAACCCTCGGCGAAACGCCGGAAGAGTAAAGAGGCAATGGCAGAGGAGATGGAGCAAGGCGAGCAAGTGCAAGAATTCGCCCAAGACACTTCGAAGAGCAAAGGACATTGGGTGAAGTGTGTCAATGAGCTTGCGACGGATGAGCTGCGGGCGCATACGAGTATGTTTCGGGCGGCGGGGAATTCGGGGTATCATGAGATGTTGCCGCGGGCGAGGGATTGGATTGTTGAGGGCTTGGATCAGGGGTGGAGCGGGGGTTCTGTTGGGAAGGCGGGGGAGGTGGTGATGGATGAGGAGGAGGGGGATGCTCAGGGTGGTGCTCCTGAGGATCCTATTGTTATTACGCCGTGAACGAGATTCCTCTTGGATAACAAAGCGGTTGGTTGGGAAGAGCCTACGGAGATAGGTATTCAATATTTGGACACGATCACGTGCGCCGGCTGCCCATATTGATATTCGAAGTTCCCATTCTACCAAGATCATGCTGCATCTCTCGTAAGTCGCTCTACTATATGCTATAAGACGCCCGCGGTCTCAGCAACAATTCCTATGCCATGCCATGCCATCATCCCGCCCATCAAATCATCTAACCATGCACATGCGTAACCCAATCTCATAAACTCCCATATCCCTCATCCACCCCCCTACTCCCCAACAACGCCTGCCTCTCGTCCCCTTTACCCCCAGCACTCCCCCCAACACTCCCCGGCACCCACCCCCTCATCCACCCCCTCACCCTCCTCCACCTTCCCACCCTCCCTTCCCCCTCCAGCACCACAACCTTGCGCTCCCCCTCCCCGTACATCAAGAACTGACACCCAACCATCCCATCCATCCCCAACACCCCCGCCGCCCCGAGGAAGAACGGTAAAGCGGCGGTGACCCAGGCTCCGCGATCCGAGCCTTCGGGGCCGACCCAGCCGTGTGCGCCGTAAGGAGCGAAAGAGGACCAGGCGCGGGGGTTGGTGGCGAGAGCAGCGGAGTAGAAGGAGTTGCCGCAGAAGGCGGCGAGGAAGAGGGTGGGGGAGAGGCCGGACGTGGAGCGGCGGCGGGCGTTGTGCAGGAGTTGCGGGAGGCGGGAGGCGAGGTAGAGGGCGGTGGAGAGCCAGGAGAGGGCTGTGCCGGCGTTTTCGAGGGGGGTGGGCTGTTGCGAGGAAGTCGAGACGTGGGGTTCTGGTGGTGGGGTGAGGATTGGTGAGGCCTGGGCGAGGGCTGCGAGACAGGCGAGGAGGAGGAGCGTTCGTGGTGAAGGGGACGAGAAAGGCGAGGAGGAGCCGACGCGGTAGATGGTCGTGCCTCCGGGTGTGGCGGCGAGGGTTGGAGGTGCTTTCTCCCCCGTGCTGGCGCCCTGCTGGAACGTTGGGGCGCGGAAGATGGCCTGCGGTCGAGATCTCTGCTTCGAAGAGGTTGATCCTGCTATCGAAGCATCCGCACGAGATGCATTCGTCTCCTCTCCCCGGACGACCTCAGCCATCCCAGCACCACCCTCCCATCCCTCTGGTCCTTCCCCACTCCGCACCCTCCTCAACCTCTTAATCAACCTCCCATGCCTCAACCGCTCATACCACACCCACTGCCCGACCAAACAAACATCGACAAAAACGTAATAACACCCAATCGCCACCTGCCAGCTCGCCTGATGCGTGAACAGCGCTCCGAGCAAGTTACTCAAATCCCCCAGACACCATTCTACCAGAAAGAAGATCGACAGGCCAGAGGTACTGGATAAGCTGTAGTTCTTGTAGATCTGCGGGAGTTGGGCGAAGAGCCAGGCGATGATCGACAGGATGCCGAGGGTGTTGGAGATGAAAGCGAGTGGGGTGGGGAGGCAGGTGTGGAGGAGGCTGCTGATGTACTGGAGGAAGGGGGTGGTGGGTGTGCAGTGCGGTGGTAGAGATGGTCCTAGGGGGGTGATGGTGGGGAGGTAATCGTTCAGCATGGTGGTTTGGGCCCTTTTGTCTCGTCTGGTGGTGCTCAAGCCGAGAGTATGGACAAGCGGGATCGTCTGGACATCGGTTGGATTCTGTTCTGCCTTCTACTCATGCAAGGCTATGCGCAAGCGGGCGTGACTCGGGCCTCGTGTTCGTCTGAGACAGCAAAGGTCACGGGAAGGCACCACAAGCTCTTCTCTGTTCGAGTAGCCCGGATCCAGGTGAGTGAGATGTGCGCCAGTAACATGCGAATTGGCCGAAAGGATAGCAAGGCTGCAAGCCAGATGGCTAACACCTCTATGCGTAAGAGCAAATGCCGACAGCCTCCAGCAGTAGGTAGTACCTGTATGATGAGAGCAAATGCAGTACAAGAAGCCGATGCACGCAAAAGAAGCCAGCATGAACAAGAAGACGATTAAGAAAGAAAGATACCACCACCCACTCACCCACCACAACAGCGTCAAGTAACCAGAAGTAGTCAGCGCATACTCCGTACACCATCCCACCTTTATCGGCTAAGATAGTGGGATGCTTTGCCCGCGATGAGCGCCCGGCCGTCAAACAGCGCCACGCAGCGAACTCCAGATCACCGGCCCGGATCGCATCGCATCGTACGCATCATGCAAGTCAACCGCTCTCGGCGCCTATCAGCGCACGAGGACCTGTATCTGACTTGGTATTGTAACGCGGTGATGTGTCGGTGGATGGATGGAGGGAGGGGACACGAGATAAGGAAAGAGAGTTTGGCCGGGCATGCGGCGGGGACGACGCAAACGCACGTGACCGGTCTAGAGACGGCTTGATATGAACACATGGCCCAAGAACACGAACGCGCACAATGGCATTTGCTTGCTATAGACAGCGACAACAAAGAAGCTGATAAGTAGGGGGGTATCCTAGAAACAACCATCACAAACCCGCTCCAAACGCCGCAGAGCCTCAAGTCCAAAGCAAAGTCGTGATCGCCCACAGTCTTCCTTCTTGCTCGCGAGCAGCATACACCCATTCCCCCTCCCAAACACCGACAAGATCATAACGTCGTCCAATGATCATCCCAACCTGTCCGTTTCTCACGAAACGAGCCCTCTACCGCCAATCCTCTCGCCCCCCTTCCCCGTTCACACGGTCTCCTCCCTCTTCACTCATCCCCTCAAACCACGCTCCCCCAAGCACCTCCCCAATCCCCCATCTCGCCTCAACATCCCTCTCCAAACACCCCTGCACCAACTCCCTCACCTCCTTCCCGCCCCCATAAGCCTGCGCCAACGCCTCCCCGTCCCACGCAGCCTGCATGATCATCTCGACCGTCTTACTCGGCATCGCGTGCCGGAAGGGCAGTTCGCCTGTTACTAAGGCGTAGACGATGACGCCGAACGCCCACATGTCGCCGGCCGTCTCGAAGAGTTTCCTGTTCACGCTCAGACCGCGCGGAGAGGCGTATTCCAACGTGCCGATGACGGAGCTCTGGGTGCGGTGGTGCGCCTGTGCGTGCGCGGGCGGCTCGGCGAGGAGGGGGCTGCTGAGACGCATGGCTAGGCCGTCGCCATCCAGACTCCCTTCGTTGTGCAGGAAATCCGCGAGCCCGAAGTCGCAGAGGCGGAGGTTCCCGCCTTCCGCTGCGGCGTTCGGGGCGGACAAGTCGATCAGGCAGTTCTCGAGCTTGACGTCGCGGTGACAGACTCTTATATCCTCGTGCAAATACCGCAATGCGCAGGCGAGCTGGTAGGCGTAGTGCTTCGCCAGTTTCGGCTCGAGACCCTTGCGGCCGTTGTGGGAGGAGGCGTCCATGCGGGCTTTGCGGACAATGTCGAAGAGGGTGCCGCCGACGTTGAGCTCCATCATGCAAAAAGTAGCAAAGTCGGTCTCGTAGACGGCGTGGAGGTCGAGGATGTGGCGGTGCTTGAGGTGCCGCCAGATGGAGACTTCGTGCTCGAGTTCTTGTTGTGCTTTTTCGTTTTCGGACTCGTCGCGGTCGGGGATGGCTTTGCGGACGATTTTGACGGCGCGCAGGATGGGTTCGCCAGAGGGGCTGATGGCGTGGACCTCTTTGACGACGCCGAAGCCGCCTTGGTTGATCGTTCGGCCTATGATGTACTCGTTGTTCAAACCGATCGCCTGGCCTTCGTCGTCTGGCTTCGGCTCAGGTGCTGGCTCTGAAGCTCCAGCGTCCCGACTCCATGATGATAAGAATGTGTGTGCTGGACTAGGAGATGGGTTAGCGGAAAGTGATCGTCGTGACTGACGTCGTGAACCGGCGCCTGGGATTCTCGTAGCTCTTGAGCCGGTCATACGGATCGATCGCGCGCTTGAATTCCGACTTAGCGGGTTGGTGTACTCTTCGGTAGGTGACATCAACGGCGAATGCAGCTTGTCGGTGATTTGCTCTTCAGGGATCGTTTGTGGAGGCGAGATGGTCATCTTGCTCGACAAGCTGCCGGTGCTGTTCTCCAAGCCACCAGTATCCACCGGAGAGGTCAAGACGTCACTAATGGGCGATATTGTTGATGCGGATGTCAGGGATGCTGCCGCTGAGGCTGTCGGGTGATCGCTGTCCGCGTTGCTGGGTGGAGGTGTTGCCATCTCGGCCGCTGGACGTCCGCCGGACGGGCTCACCTGGGCATGAAGTGTTAGCCAAGGTGTGCTTCCCTACAAGGTCCTTCGCGCACTCACCAGTAAAGGGGTTGGTCTTGAACTGCGTTGGGTCGTAGACACCCACCCCGGCAGCTCCTCCATCCCCTCCCTCGTCTTCCGCAGGCCTGGTGTCCTCCGCTCTTCTGGGGGGCGACTTGCCCCGTCCCTTGCGTCCTCGTCCTCGCGCTCCCGGTGCAGCGACGATCTGCCCGGGTGCAGCTGGGATAGGGACCCGGTTTCCGTCGTCCGTGACGGCGTGCGTGCCGAAGGAGATGGACTTCCCACGCTGCTTAAGGCTTGTCTGGAGTGCCTCGATCTCGCTGCTGCGCTGCTCGGCGCGTCCGGCGGAGAAGGCGCGCCATGAGACTCCGCCGCCATGCTGCTTGGGCTTGTCGACGCGCTTCACCTCGAGCTTGCCCTTCTCGGGGCTGGTCGGGGGCGCTTCGGGTGCGGTGGGGCCTTCGAGGCTGCCGGAGCGCGAGGTGACGGCTTCGGAGTCCGAGTCCGAGTCGCCGTCGCTCTCGCTGTCCTCGAGGTACTTTGTGCCTGCAAATGGCGATGCGACGGTATGACGTGAAGGCTGTGTGGGCTCTTTCGCAGGTTCTCGCGCACCCGTAGGCGTTCCTGACCTCTGCAGCGGGTCGACAGAATCCGACTGCTTTCTCGGCGCTGGGCTGGGATGGCGATCGGCACGCGAAGGTCGTTGCGGTTCGTCGTCGGATCCCGAGTCGTCCAGATATGCCAAGTTCCCTGCCGCGAGCGCGACTGCGCTTCGAGGGGTCTTGTTGGTCTGTACACCCCGCCCTGCAAGCCCTTTGCTCTGCAAACCGTGATCCAGAGACCCCCTCCTACCAGCGCCGTCGCTCACACGTAGGGATGCGAGTTCCGCTGGGGCAGGACTCGGGCGGCGATCGGTGGTGCGCTTGGGGGCGTCTAAGAATTCATCCTCGCTGTTTCGCGATGCAGCGCTGTGAGAAAGTGAAGAAACGTTATTCTTGGCGGGGGGCGCGGCTAACGCGGACGGCGGCTTCTCTTTCTTCTCAGCAGCGGCCGATGGCGGCGACTTATTCGTCTTGGAGCGGCTGCGGGAGGTGCGCTTGTCGTCGTCGCTATCATCTTCGAAGGGGTCGGCGAAGGGGTCCTTGCGACTCCTGCGGCGGCCGGTGTCGACGCGGAGAGACTTGAAGTGCTTCTGGATGTCGGCGGCCATGCACACGTGTGTGGAGGCCTGACGGTGGATACCTAGGGTTATTGGGTGGTGTAGCGGCGCTGGAGCGTGTAGAGCGCCGCTGGCATGAAGCGGGCGGGCGGCCAAGAAAGTAGGAGAATGGGTGGGTGTGGTTACAGAGGGGATGATCTACCGTGACTACCAAACACGATGATCTGAGGGGTTCAACCTTCTTATTATTCCTCTCGCAGCAAACACCTCGAGTCCGTCTGTACCAAGAGGTCGCCAAGTACAGCTGCGCCTCCGGGTGTGGATGCAAGCAGCATGCCCTCGCTGTCCGTACGCCATTGTCCTCTCCCGCCAAGGGTCGACGGTGGAGTCATCACCCATCTCACAGGCTCACAGCGGGTGCGAGTGGCAGCTGCAGCGACATGAGCTGATCCCTGCCCACTCCCCGCGCATCGAGACCTCCGGGCCGCAGGCGAACTACTGCGCGGTAAAAAGGCCGTCAGCGCCCCGGGCCAACTCTCGCTGTCGAAATGTGGGACACGGTACAGCTGTTCAGAAGCCACAGTGCTGCATGTCTTCGGTGTGTGGAAACAACCAGGGCAGGATCAAACACACCGCATTTGCCAGCGATACATCTTGCAATCGAGACGACCTACTGATAAGCCAGAGCTGCCCACGTGCTGGCCGATGCGAACAGTCAGGTCATGCACGTCCGACACGAATTGGTAAGAGATGAGACGGATTTGCATCTTCGGCACTGCGCTCAGCCATTCCTTGCCACTCCGTCGGGTCAGATATGACATGTTTTGGAAGAAGAGCCGACAGAACGACAATCACATGCTTGATGAGGAACGGAAATCGCTCATATCGTTGCGGTCATCGTGCAGTAGATTCTGAGGGGTGTGGTTCTGCAGGTGGTATATCGCCATGTCTATCAGTTGTGGTAATGCTGTGTCGTCGGGATGCAGAAGCAGCGGGTGCGCGATATCTGAATGCGAGCTCGTGTAATGCGGTATACGCAAAGGGTCCCGTTTGAGTCAAGTCAGAAGGGGATCTGGTAAGCTTTCGGGCTTTTAATGTTCGGTTGAGCAGGTTCATGCATGTGAACGACTGCCGCTTCGCACCACCCGGATGTTTACTCGAGGTGTTCTGTAGATGTTCGTCACGAGAGAAGTTCTGAAGTCGAGCTTTTCCTGTCTTCACTTGTACTTGTAAGGTAGTGTACATGTACGGTCCTGTCTCCGTCTCGTCGTGGTAGAGCAAGGCGGGATGTCTTGGAGATTGAGATGGTCCGAGCGGACCACGGCTTCACCTGCTGCGAGCAACGTCCATCGACGGCTCGTCCATACCGCCTGCCATGTCCTGAGCCTCTCCACGCCGTCGTGACTACTACTACACTTGCTGCACTTCTATATACTGACTCGAGCGTCCTCCAAAAGACGCGCACATCGCATCAACATAGCGGCAGCGAATAGCCAGCAGCTTATCAGAGCACCTCACCTCATGAAAGCTACCACCGCCTTGCTAGCCTGCATACCCTCCACCGGCCGATAGCGACAGCGTGCTGCGCGGCTCTGCGACCTGGTCGCTCAGGCGCCCACGCGAGCAGGATGAGTGATTTGTGCCGGAGACTCTTCTCCTCCTGCTGCGGCAGTACGTTGCTCCTCGTCCATGCAATTCTCCTCGCGCTGGCCATACTAACAGCATTCTCCCCCCATAGGTCGCTCGAAAGTAGACTACGACAATGTCCTCGCCGACTCGGAACGCGAGGCTGTGGCCGACCTCCTCAACTACCTCGAGAATGTACGATCCCTTCCCCTTCATTCGCTGCCTGGCCGGGACAAGTCAAGGCCGGAATATTTGAAGAATACATGCTGATATCAAGCACTACAGAGGGCGGAGACAGACTTCTTCTCGGGCGAGCCGCTCAATGCGCTGAGCACACTGGTCTACAGCCAGAACATCGACCTCCAGCGAAGCGCGAGCTTGACTTTTGCAGAGATTACTGAGCGTGGTAGGTGGAGGATGAAGTTTAGACTTGGAACTCGGCATTGACTGAGTATACCGCAGATGTACGACCCGTCGATCGCGCCACTCTCGAACCTATACTCTTCCTCCTCGAGAGCCCAGATATTGAGGTCCAGCGCGCTGCTTCTGCTGCGCTTGGCAACCTCGCGGTCGATGGTAAGGTATACCATCTGCTCACATGACGCCCTGCTAAATAATGGACAGGCACCAACAAAGTCCTCATCGTATCACTCGGCGGCCTCGCTCCTCTCATCCGCCAGATGAACAGCCCGAATGTTGAAGTGCAGTGCAACGCAGTCGGCTGCATTACGAACCTGGCAACACACGAAGACAACAAAGCGCGCATTGCGCGGTCAGGTGCACTGGCGCCTCTCACTCGGTTAGCGAAGAGCAAGGACATGCGAGTACAACGGAACGCTACCGGCGCCCTGCTCAACATGACTCACTCAGACGACAACCGAAATCAACTGGTATCAGCAGGCGCTATCCCCGTGCTGGTGAGCCTTTTGAGCAGCGCAGACACCGACGTCCAATACTACTGCACCACCGCTTTGAGCAACATTGCGGTGGATGCGACGAACAGAAAACGACTGGCGCAGACGGAGAGCAGGCTGGTGCAGAGCTTGGTGCACCTGATGAAGGGCCAGGCACCGAAAGTACAGTGCCAGGCTGCACTCGCGCTGCGGAATCTGGCGAGCGACGAAAAGTACCAATTGGACATCGTAAGAGCTGGAGGTCTGCCACCGTTGCTTGGGCTGCTCCAGTCAAGCTACCTACCGCTCATACTTTCGGCTGTCGCCTGCATCCGAAACATCAGCATCCACCCGATGAACGAGTCGCCGATCATAGAAGCTGGCTTTCTAAAGCCTCTGGTGGAGCTGCTCGGGACTACTGACAACGAGGAGATTCAGTGCCACGCCATCTCCACCTTGCGCAACCTCGCCGCGTCTTCGGATAAGAACAAACAGCTCGTCTTGGAGGCCGGAGCAGTGCAGAAGTGCAAAGAGCTCGTTCTCAACGTACCGCTGAGCGTGCAGTCCGAGATGACGGCAGCGATCGCAGTGCTCGCGCTCTCGGACGAGCTGAAACCGCACCTGCTGAACCTCGGCGTCTTCGACGTCCTCATCCCCCTGACCGAGAGCGAGAGCATAGAAGTGCAAGGAAACAGCGCCGCTGCGCTCGGCAACCTGAGCAGTAAAGGTTAGTCCCTACCTTTCATCACTATCCCTTTCAAGTACTGACCTAGCAGATACAGTCGGCGACTACACCCTCTTCCTCTCCTCCTGGTCTCAACCCTCGGGCGGTATCCATGGCTACCTCGCCCGCTTCCTCATCTCCGACGACCCCACCTTCCAGCACATCGCCATCTGGACGCTCCTCCAACTCCTCGAGTCCGCGGACTCGCGACTGATCGAAACCATCAACACCGCCGACGACGTCATAGGCGCGGTCAAGAGGATTTCGGAACGCGTGGTCGAGGGCGAGGATGAAGGCGAAGATGGCGAGGATGGAGAAGGCGAAGTCGTGGCGTTGGCGAAGCGGTGTTTGGAGATTGCGCAGGGCGGGGGTGAGAAGGCGGCAGCGGGGAGTTTGGGGAGTCAGAGCAGTAGGACTTAGTGGGCGTTGGTTTGGGTGCCGAGTGGGCAGTCGGCGGGGGATAGCGGGTATGGGAGTGCTTGAGCCCGCTTCTTCTCCCTCTTGCCGCGCGATCCTGGAGCGAGTCGGAATTATACGAACGACTGTGGAAAGAAGATTGGAGAGCGGGAGATTCTTCAAGCGTACACGCTATCGAGTGCGCAGCGCGCAGCAATATTTTCGCCCGCTGGGTTCTGGCGATACAGGAGAAGCAGGCGTGCGTGCGCACGGTGGGCTTGGGGTTTATCGAATGGAGCGAGCATACACGTTGTTTGTTTTGATTTGCATTAATGCGGCGAATAAGGCAGCGAGTCGGGGTCGGGGGGCGCATGATACCTTTTTGACTGATTGACGGAGAGGCGGGCTGTGTTTTTTGTTTCCCTAGGGTAGCGATAACCAGAACCAGGGGTACCGTATTTGGATCTGAGACGCTTGACAAGCGAATACGTTGAGGCGGCCTGCCTGCTTTCCGAGCTTCTTTGATTAACTGTTGTCTACTCGTTCCTCGTTGTTTGAAGTGTTTTAAAGACACTACGGGACAGCAGCAGAGCGGAAGTGCCTAGGAGGTATAACGCGTCACGTGCCGGATCCACGACCTCACCTCCTTGGCCGGCTGGCTGGCCGGGCTGTGTCTGAAACAAGCCGTCACACTGGACTGGTCACTCTCCTTATCTACTAGTCATCTACACACAGTCAGTCATTCGTTTTGGATACGGTAGTGAGGCTCTTGGAGTTTTCAAGCATGCGATAGCATCCGGACTGCCATAATTGTCGCGACAACGACAGCGACAGCGAATATGCAGCAAGGAGACCCCCTCGCCACGACTCCCGACGAAGACGTCGTGCACCCTGCAGCTGGCTCTGCAGACACGGCCAAAAAGCTCGCACGATGGCGGAGGACGGTAGGGCTAGTGATGCTGGGACTGGTGGTGTTTCTATGGACGGCGTCGAATTTCTTGGGGAGTGTATGATTCCCCCTTCCTCCCTCCCCTCCTATACTACTTCGGACCGCGTTGCTAATGTATGAGGTCTAACAGGCGATTTTGGCGGACGACACGTCCTTCAACAAGCCGTTTTTTCTGACGTATCTGAATACGTCGTTCTTCGTGCTCCCGCTTGTTCCGGCGCTTTGGCATCGGATAAGGAGGAATCCGGAGGAAGTGAGGGAGTGGTGGGAGGGGTGTCGCGCTTGGGTCAGGAATCCGATCAGGTCTATGAGGAAAGGGGACTATCGGAGTTTGCAACCGAGTAGTCCGCTGGCTACGGCGCACCATCGTTCGATGTCTGATTCCCAGGAGTTACTTCTTAGCGATCCTCGCGCGGCGACGTCTAACCCCAAAACCTACGAAGGCGAAGAAGACCGTGAAGAAGAGCCAGCGCTCACCCACCTCACCTTATCCCAAACAGCCCGCCTCGGCCTCGAATTCTGCATCCTCTGGTTCCTCGCCAACTACCTCGTCGCCGTCTCCCTCGAATACACCACCGTCGCCTCCTCCACCATCCTCACCAGCACCTCCTCCGTCTTCACCCTCGTCTTCGGCGTCCTCTTCAAAGTCGAGCTCTTCACCTGGCGCAAACTCCTCGGCATCCTCGCCTCGCTGTCCGGAATCATCCTCGTCTCCTCTGTGGATCTATCTGGTACAAGCGGGGACGCGGAGCACCGGGGTGACTTTCCTGAGAAGACGCCGAGGGAGTTATTCATCGGCAATGCGCTCGCGTTCCTCAGCGCGGGGACTTACGGGGTGTACACGGTTTTCATGAAGAAGCGCATCGACGACGAGAGCAAGATCAACATGCCGCTGTTCTTCGGCTTCGTCGGACTCGCCAACGTCTTGCTGCTCTGGCCGGGGTTCTTCCTCCTCCATTTCATCGGGTTGGAGACGTTCGAGCTTCCGCACGATAAAACGGTGCTCGCGATTATCCTGACGAACTGCGTCGCTTCGCTGCTAGCGGATATGGCATGGGCGTACGCCGTGCTGCTCACTACACCTATCGTCGTCACCGTCGGTTTGAGCCTGACGATCCCGCTCTCGTTGGTCGGGCAGATGGTGTTGAATGCGCAGACGGCTACCGCTATCTACTGGGTAGGCGCGGTGGTGGTGGTGGCGAGTTTTGTGTTTGTGAATCATGAGGAGAAGAAGGAGGAGGAGGTGGTGGTGCATCAGCAGGTACTGCAGCGTGGTGCTAGTGTTGAGGTACGTCGACGGAGCGAAAGCATAACCTAGAAGGCATACAAATATACCGGACACACGTCCCTCCCACCCTACCGCCTCCCATACCGTCGCTCGTACTCCCCCCTATCCCAATACTCCTCCTCTTCCTCCTCTTCCTGCCGCAACCTCTCCTCCCTCCTCCTGTCCCTCTCCCATTCTCTTCGTTCCTCCTCCTCCTCCATCCTCATCCTCTCCTCCTTCTCCTCCCTTAGCTGCGCCCTGAACCTCTCCTTCCTCTCTGCTTTCTCCCTGTCTTCGGCCTCCCATTTCGCTTTGAGTTTATTGTTTTCGGCTTTCATTTTCTTCAGATCGTCGTCGACGCGTTGAGCGGCTTCCTCCTGCTCCCAATTTTTCATGTTGGCGGCGTCGCGGGCTTTTTCTTCGGGGGAGGTGAGGAAGTTCGAGAGAGCTTCGCAGGCGGCGCCGAGGAGGCCTTCGGATTCGCCTTCGGTGGGCATGATGGAGAGGGGGAGAGGTGATTGGAGGGGGGAGGGGTGATTGCAGACGGGGAGGTTTTATGTTTAGAAAGCGTAGTGTGGGTGCTGGTTTTCGTAAGGACTCTCTGCGAACAAGATGGCTGGAGTAGGTAGCCTCTTCTTATACACCATCCCATCCCATCCCATCCCTACCTCGCACCGTTGCACGGACTGACGTGGCATGCGGACCATGTTGCCTGTCATTCCAAGGCAGCGGACAGTTGCCAGTACGTCATGGTCGTACTTGTACTCCCAGTGTTGGGCTAAGGCGGCCAGCGGAGTGGGAGCTTAGAATAGACTCATGTACAGAGTGGCACAGTTAGGTAGACAGTGCATACCACCCCCCTACCGCCTCCCATGCCTCGCTTCCTCCTCTCTCCTCCTCCTCCTCCCCCTACCCCTCTCCTCCTCCCTCCTCCCCTCCTCCTCCCTCCTCTCCTTCTCCTCCCTCAACTCCCCCCTCACCCTCTCCAATTCCCTCTCCCTACCCTTCCGCTCAGCCTTCTCCCGATCCTCTCGCTCCCATTTTGCTTTCAACTCTCGACTCTTCCGCTTCGCGGCTTTGAGGTCGTCGTCGACGCGTTTGGCGGCTTCGGCTTGTTTCATCTTCTCGTATTTTTTCTTGTCCGCTGGGTCGTCGGCGGCAAGGAATTTGAGGGCGTTGAGGAGGAGGCCGGGCATTGTGGGTTGTATGGGTTTTCTTGAGTTGTGGGGAATGTTTGTGGTGTTCGTTCAGAGGTTGGGGGTTGTTGGTGCTGTGTTTATGTCGTAGCTGGGCTGATTGAGTGGTCTGTTCTTTATGGAATACTGCTTATCTCAACCGTTGCACGACATGACGTGCCGATGCAGCCCTCCGCCTCCGTCTGTCATCCTGTGCACAAGCGACATCTCATGGCAGTTGGTCTGGTGCTTATCTTGTGCTTCCATGTCATATCATCCATCGTCACGTACCACCGTCCTGCCATCGCACTGACATCAGCTCCTCCCAACGCAACATCAGGTGGCCTTCTAATCTTGCTCCTGGAAGTACCACGGTTCGCGGCCAGCATACTCTTTGCCTGGAATCAGAAAGGGTGGCTTCACGAGATTGTCGAACACATCGATATCAACGATCTTCGATGTTGTCGTTTTGTGTGTCGTCACAGCCTCGTCTTCGCTTTCCGTCTCTGAATCGTCTCCAGCTACCTTCTCTTGCTTCACTACCGTCTTTCTGTCCTGCTTGGTGTGCTGGGCGATCTTCTCGTCGGACACCGGCAACAAGACACCACACTCCCAATTCCTGCAGTTCAACTTCCAAGACTTTGCCTTCTTGTCATAGACCAGCTTGCCCCATGCCGATTCGGACATGTTGGCCGATCCGACGTAAGCCCATGCCACATCCTTGCCTGGTCCTTTGGAGTCGCTCTGCTTGCCTCTGGCGTACAGAATCTTGTTGTGCGACAGCAACCCCGTCCGCGTCGATTGATAGTCCCGGAAGCACGACCTCGGAAAGCGCATCTCCTCCCACCATCTTCTGTTGATGCAGATGGTGCCAGCAGCACCGGCCTTGGAAGCCTTGACAGTTTCGTGGGTGGGGAAGTAGATTCTCATCATGTCGCGTATCTTAGGCTTAACAGCGGATGAAGCCGCCGGCCCTCCGGCCTTGGGCTTGAAGAAGTTTGCCTGTGCTTTGGACGCTGCTCCACTCGCTGCCTTGATCATGTCCACGCCTTGCGCGGCAGAGTGCATGTTCCGGAGTTGATCGTCGCTCAAGGAGCCGATTGATGATGCAGCGAAGTCAATCTGTAATCCTTCATCGGTCTGTAGATCGAGTTGGCGGACAGCTTGAGAAAGTCCTGGAAAGCCTGTGCGCCCAGCTTCATCGCCCAGATTGCTGCCACCAGCAGTGTACACGAAGGCGATGCCGTCTGCGGCACTGAAGTCGAAGTTGAGCACACCGTCTCTGACGTCTTTGTCGATGTCTTGCTTTTCGAGGAAGTAAAGCAGCTCGGAGCAGAAAGGGTTGAGCTCTCTGTCCTTTGCTGCAGACCGTTCTGCATGTCGTGGTAGATCGATCATGAAGACGCTGTTCTCCATCACGCCCGTCTCGCCCCAGTCAAAGTCTAGAAGATTGGCGGTCGGAATAGCAATGCGGAGCTTGTTTGGATGGAAGAGGAGCATAAGCTTCGAATGCATGCAGTTGATCTGACCTTCCATTGACGGGAAGCATAGTCGTAGGTAAGATCTTACATTCTCCGTCTGCTCGATCATCTGGCGACGTAGATCGTCTTCCTTTGCCTGCATGACAAAAATTAATTTGGTCTTCCCGTTCGGTGGCACCTTGAGCTTGGAGAGCACCCAGTCGGTATTCCACTGGTAAGCTGAGAGGACTGCTGTATGAAGCGTGCGAGCCTCTAAGACCTCTTCGAGCTTGACATCGTCGCCGGTGCGCTCGAAGCCGAAGGCCCAGGTCCTCTTGACAGCGCCATTAGGGTACTGGAGACGACTATGATTATTGTGGGCTGCTCCCGCGGTGTTGCCAGAGCTCTCCGTCTCTGCGTTCGAATGGCCGTTTGTCATTTTCTGGTTGGCTGCGTTTGCTGTTGCTGACTTGCGTCCTTTCTGGTCGTCGGAAACGATTGTCGAGAATGACTTTAACATCGCTCCGCTAGGCAGCGAGACGACTGACTCATCCACATCTACAGTCTCGAGCTTGACAGCTTTCCTCGCATCTCGATGACCTGGTGGTGATATCGAGCGCTCGCGCTTCCGACCCAGGCGTGCGAGCCGTTCTTCCTCCATGGTCTTGCGATCTAACCCAGCCAGTCCAGCCATGATGGTCGATTGGGTTGAGCTTCTTTATGAGTCACCTGTAGTGTGGCAGACGCTGGCCTGTCGTCTGAAAGCCAATACGCTCCCTGAGGCGTTGATGTTAGACTGCAGCAAGAGACGTGTTGATGGCCACACTCAGCCTGGCTGATGTTGGAGCACAGCACTTTGGCTTCTCCTGTGGAGTTCCACCGAAGCTCAATGAGTCTCTGAAGAGCGTGCGAACCTACCGTTGCGGTTCGAGATGGTCGACAGCGTCCTCGCCTTCCTGCAAACCGCGTCAAGGCGCGTGGCGCGTGTTGCTGGGAAGGCGTAGCCAAGAGCGGACTGGAAGCGACCAAGGCGGCTCACAACGATGAGTCTTAGGGCTGGCTCTAGGGCTGTCATCCACATGGATTTCGATAGACTGCAAGGTGAATCATATGAGTGGAAGGATGAAGACCGGAGGATTCGGAAAGCTTCCGCCTTGCGCCCTGTGGACCTGCTTCCTTCCTCATTCGGACATTCTCTGGCCACTCCACTTCCGCACATGATGTCTTTTTTTGCAATAGACAAGTCAACATATGTATGAACAGGTAATATATCTCTTGCTTTACTGGGAGGACTTCCTTCCTCTTCAACAGCCCATCTTTTCGCATACAACATCTCCCAAGATCGAGCGCTTCTATCGAGACCGGACATCTGGCGTAGCTCGTCAAAATGCCACTTGACCAGATATCAAACAATATGCCTACCGTTCCGGACGAACGAGTACTCCCTCCTCTTGGCATGACTGGCGAGCAATTTGAGGAAGCCGCTCTGTCAACCGCAAAAGGTATCGAAGAATACTTCGCTTCCTTGCCCTCTAGGAACACTTTGCCATCTGTAGCCCCTGGATATCTTCGAAAGCTCCTACCAGAATCAGCACCAAACCAAGGCGAAGCATGGACCGAGATAGAAAAGGACATCGAGCGAGCCATCATGCCTGGCATCACGCACTGGCAATCCCCGAAATACGCCGCCTTCTTCCCAGCGAGCACGACCTACCCAAGCATGTTGGGCGAGTTCTGGAGTGCGGCATTGTCTTCTCCAGCATTCAATTGGATATGCTCGCCTGTCATCACGGAGTTGGAGACGGTAGTCATGGACTGGTTTGCGAACATCCTCGCCTTGCCCGAAACATTCCTGTCAAAGACCGAAGGAGGCGGCGTGCTCCAACTCTCCGCCAGCGACACCATCGTCACCGTGATGGTCGCCGCCCGCGAACGCTATATCCGCCGGCAACTCGAGCGCGAAGGCGTCACCGACCCCGAAGAAATCGAGGACCGATCCTGCGAGATCCGCTCCAAACTCGTCGCCTTGGGCTCCGAACAATCCCACTCCAGCACCAAGAAAGCAGCCATCATCGCCGGCACCCGCTGTCGCACAATCCCCACCCACCAAAGCGACGACTACGCACTAACCGGGCCCGCTCTCCGCGCAAAAATCGAAGAACTCCACGCCAAAGGCTTACAACCCTACTACCTCACCGTCACCCTCGGCACGACCAACACCTGCGCCATCGACGCCTTCGACTCCCTCGCCGCCGTCGCAAAAGACTACCCGGACATCTGGATCCATTGCGACGCCGCCTACGCCGGCAGCGCGCTCATCCTCCCCGAATACCAGCACTTCTCCGCACAGATGGCGTTCGTGGACTCGTTCAACATGAACATGCATAAATGGCTCATGGTCAACTTCGACGCCTCGTTGCTCTACGTGCAGAAACGGCGTGATCTGACGGACACCCTCAGCATCACACCAGCCTACCTGCGCAACCAGTTCTCGGATAGCGGGTTAGTGACGGATTACCGCGACTGGCAGATCCCGCTCGGCCGCCGCTTCAGGTCGCTGAAAGTGTGGTTCGTGATCCGGACGTTTGGCGTGCAAGGGCTGCGGGCGCAGATACGACATAGTATCGCCCTTGGGGATTTCTTCGCCGACCTCGTACGGTCAAGGAGCGATTTATTCACCATCGTGGCGCCGCCGCGGTTCGCGCTGACGGTCTTTACTGTTAATCCGAGGAGGAAGGAGCCGGAGAAACTGGAGGATAATACGGGAAATGGGACGGATCCGCGGCCGTATCAGGATAGTCAGGTGTCTGTGAAGCCGGCGGCGGATAGTAAGGAGGTGGAGGAAGCGAATGAGGTTACGAAAGCGGTGTACGAGACTATCGATCAGGAGAAGGAGTTTTTCCTCACCTCGACTGTGCTGAGCGGCGTGTATGCTATCAGAGTGGTGTCCGCTAATCCGCTGGCTGAGGAGAAGTACGTGCGGCAGATCTTCGATACGCTTGTGCGGACGGCGAAGAAGGTGTTGAAGAGTAGAGACGGGAAGCAAGCGAATGGCGCAAGCCACTAGATCTTAGATGAGAAAGGGGTATATAAACAAGTCTATACAAACGCTAAAACGCTAAATCATTAAATCCATCAAAAACCCCTCAACGCAAACCTCATCACTTCGCAGGTAACTCCTGCGGCGCATTCCCAGGCAACTCCGCATGATACGACATCCCATCCACCTCATGCCACTGCTCCCGCTGCGGCACGGGTTTATACGCGCCGTACAGCTCGCTGACGGGAGGCGATTGCGCTTCGCCATCGTAATGCGCGTACGTTGGCGCAGGACCTTGCTTGTCGTCGTGGTAGCCCGGTGGGGCTGGTGCGGTCGCTGCGGCGGTGGCGTTGCGTTTGCGGCGGCGGAGGAGGAGGAAGATGATTGCGGCGATGATGGCTAGCAATGCTACTACGCCGACGACGATGCCGGCGATTGCGCCGCTGGAGAGGCCGCTGTCGTCGTTGTCGTCCTTGCCGTTGCCGTTGCCGCTACCGATGGCGTTGAGCTCGGAATCTGTGCGCAGGACAGTCCAGTGACCCTCCCATGACTGCCGGAAGAGGTCGTCGCCGGACGGTACATCTAGCGTTTGGGTGACGTCCGTGATATCGACTGGATCGTAGCCCAGCCCCTCCTTGTTCGCTCCGGGACCAGGCGCTTGCGCTAACCAGCTAACATTCGTTCCCCAGTTCGTGCCGGTGAACGTCGCTTGCATGAACGCCCGTCCAAGCAGGATAGGATATCCGTCGACTTGCGAGATCCGGGCTTCCATGATGGGGAAGTAGGGCACATCGCTGTCCAAACCGGAGATGGAGCTTTCGAGAGTCAGGTTGAGGAGCGCAAAGGGGACTTTGATGGTTTCGTTGGCGGTGTTGCCGGTTAGAGAGGGAAAGGTAAAGCCTAGGTATCCTGCGCCACCGACGATTTTCTTGTAGGATGGGTCGGAGGTTTCCCAGAGCCAGTAGCCAGCGCTCGAGTCGAATTTCACTGGCAAGTTCTCCGTGATGGCTTGGATGGATTGTTGGGGGAGGTATATGTACGGGTATTCGGGCTTGAGATAAGATTCGATCGGCTGCGTGACGCCGGCGGATTCCGGGGCCTTCAGCAGATTCTGCTTCGACTCGAATGGAAACGGGCTGCCTCCAGCTTCAACACCGATCATGATGTCCAGCAGACCAAGCTGGGAGTGTGCGTCGAACGAGAGAACGGGCCCGATGACACGGCCCCTGTCATATCCTCCAAGAATCAACGAGCCCGGGTACTTGAATTGTGCTGATCCAATATGGAGCCCATACGTATTCGACTGAGTGACATCGTCCTGATACACCGCTAGAGGTGGATTGTACTTCCTGGCAAGCGGACTGCCACCCAATCCCATAAGTCCCACCTCCGCCGGTACAGTGTTACCGTTCGGGTAGGTGACCTCGGCGATTTTACAGACGTCGACGATGGTTCCAGAGGCCACAATACCTTGAGGCAGAAGGGCGTCCATGTAGGCGGTGCTGCCATTGTAGTAGAAATAGTAGCCGGTCTTCTCATTGAGATATGTGTACCATGATGAGCCGTTGGTGTAGGCTAGCGAGTTGACTGTTCCTCCCGCTGCGCAGCTGCCGGTGGTGTCATTCTGGCACGCCTGGCTTGTAGGCACGTACAGCGCGGCGATTGTGTTGTACAGGTTGCTCGGGTACACGTTGACTGGTGAGTAGTCCTCATCCGCTGGATACTTCAGACCCAGCGAAACCGCCTGCCACGGCCCATCCGGTCCAAAGTAATCTGTGGTATTGTAGGGAATGGACAGAAACGCCCTCGAAGTCGTAGCAAAGTATAGAAGAGTCGCGAGGATAGCTGGGATACTGATGCGCCGTCGCACAGCAGACGCGGGGTTCGCCATGCCGCCGGGTCGATCTGAGATTAGATTGGGGCCCTGCGTCCCTATGTTCGTCCCGGTGGGCTGGTCGCCGGTGTCGTGCGTAGGTTCAGGCGTTCCTGGAGGCCGGACAAAGGAAAAGATACGGTATGCTGACAGAAGGAGAGAAGACAACGCACGCGCGCGAGATGAAGGTCGAGGGGAGACAGCTACTTACGCCCGGACCGTCTGCCATTTCAAACACACCACGCTAAAGCTCATTGCGGACGGCGTATAGTCGACTAAAATGGACGAAGGATGGCCTGAGGGCTTGTCGCTCAGCCGCAGCCGCCAGCCTTGCCGACTTGGACCCATTGCTGCGTCTTTGATGCCAGGCGGTTCGTCCAGTATGGGAGTACATCTCACGTTGCTGATCTGCAGATCTGGATCGGGTGTTCCTGTGAGTAATTTTGCCCTGTGTTCATTGCTGAGCGTTGCAAAGTGAATGTTCCGTTCTCAAGAGGTGTGGTGTGGTTGATGGACCCCACAAAGCGGGAGAGCCAGCCAGGCCTTCCCCTCTAAAATTAGCAGTTCTCACTTTAGCGTGGCTTGGACGTTCTCTCTTCACCTTTCACGTGATTTCGGCCCTGGCGTTCGCGAGTGTCAGTCTCAATCAGATGCGTATAGAACGCTGCTGGCGGCGTAGACGAAAGAAACAGAGGGCATGTGAGATCAAGCCTGGCGAGGTACCTCACACCCGTCGAATTACCCCCGTTCAAAACTCCACGCCGGACATCTCTAACACACATCTTCGATAAATCATCAACGAGATCGATATACCATTGAGGCTGCCAACCAATTCTCGCCGCCAGAATTTCACACCAATTCGAAGCATAAGGTGACGATGCCTTCTCTCGAAAGAAGCAGAAGCAGAAGTTGTAGAGTCTGCTAGCAAGGATGACCTCGAACTGGAACCCGGACATACGATGGCTAGAAGGCCATGGTGAAGAAGTCACCGCAGTCGCCTTCTCCCCCGATTTACAGGTACTCGCATCGGCGTCATGGGATCGGACTATCAGGCTGTGGGATGTGATAACAGGTGAAAAGCTACAGAAAATTGAGGAACATGACAGCGAAGTCACAGCCCTGGTCTTTTCGCGCGACGGGCAACTTCTTGCATCGGCGTCCGGGGACAGGACGGTCAGGCTGTGGGATTATCGTACTAAACCAGCAGGAGAGATACTGAAGCTCGAAGGGCATGATAAAGAGATTACAGCTATAGCTTTCTCTCCTGACGGGCAGCTACTTGCATCCGTGCCCTGGGATGCGGTTCAACCATGGAACACAACAACAGGAGAAAGGATGCAGAAGCTCGAAGGTGGTGGTAAAGAAGTTGGACCTTTGGCTTTCTCCCCTAACGGGAAGGTGCTCGCAGCCGCTCCCTGGGACGCCGTTCAGTTGTGGGACATTGCCACGGGCAGAGAGATGCACAAGCTCCAACACAGGTGGCCGGTCAGGGCTATCGCGTTCTCTCCTGACGGACGTACACTTGCGACCGGAGTCAATGACGATATAATCCGGCTGTGGGACGTGACGACAGGCGAAGAAGGACGGAAGCTCAAAGGGCACCAGCTTGCTGTTAGGGCTGTAGCGTTTTCCCCCAACGGCCAGCTACTTGCCTCAGCATCTGAGGATGAAACAATCCGGCTGTGGAACGTTACAACAGGCGAATCGACGCCATCGTTCAAAGGTCACAGGGAAGGGCTTACGGCTGTTACCTTTTCTCCTAACGGCCGAGTGCTCGTGTCGTGGTTGTGGGATCAAGAAATTAGGCTATGGAAGGCGACCACTGGCGAAGAGATACAAAAGATCGAAGGGTACGGAGGAATTACGGCTGTAGCGACTGTAGTATTCTCTTCCGACGGCCAGGTGCTTATAGCTACGTGTGATGACAAGGCGATCATGCTATGGAAGGCGACGATAGACGAAGAGATGTAGAACTTCGAAAGCACGACGAAGGAGTCGCGGCTGTGAGCCGTATTGGTGAGGCCGCTGTCAACTCATACTTGACCGCTCATACTTGACGGCGCAGTCACGATGTGGCCAGAGGGTCACTTTCAGAGCGTTGTCCCAGCATTGAAACTCGATACTTAGACGCTTGCACACCCTGCGCCCTGCATCCGGCATTCACCTTTGTAGCAAAGGTTGAAGTTGCTGTGCACACAACGACGGCCATCGTCATCACATCCAATACCATAGTAGTCGGTTCGGTCGATTTGCCTTTTGGCGAGCATCCGGCTGTCCTCGTAATTGACGTAGACGAGTCCATCAGCGCCTTGGCTTTCCGCCCAAGCAGCGTTCGCATCTTCTGCAGATACCTGGAAAAGAAGGATTAGTTATGGAATACCAAGCAATGTTCCAGTCACATTATACATACTGTGTTTGTGTACACATCATTGTCCTCGAAGCGAATGTTCAGGTGTTCGACGGCCTCTCCTATGCAATCTTCCGCTGCAGTACTCGTTAAATTCATGTTGTTGCTTTCGTTTTGCAGTACCACTACTCCGTCATCAATCGACACCCACCATTGCTCCCCTGTTGCCTTCAAACATGAGATCAGCCTGTCGAATGCTTCGTGGTCCAAAGCCTTCTTGACAGGTCGTCTGGCACTTTTAACAATCATGTGCAACAAAGCAAAAATGATAATAGTAGCTAGCCGCATTTTGGCTTGTGTAAGGAGGACTTCTTGTCGAGGCTGTCTTGTCTGTCATGACATTGGCCAACGAGGCGTTGGTGAACCGCTATTTGTTAATCTGCTGAATACAAGAGCGGGGCTCACGCGTTTAGAACCTAGGCCAATGCGACTACGGACGGGGGAACGGACTCAACCTAACATTTCCGTCAACAGCTGAATCGCTCGCCACAAGCAGGAGGCGCGTGTGCAAGAGGCATTTCTACTACTCCATCGCTGATAGCTTATGAAGACTGCTAGTCGGCCATGAAGCACTGGCGGCCGCTTGTAGAATTGGAGAGGAGTGGTGAACAGGACGGACAAACGGCATCGTAGCCTGACATTCGACTCGGGTGGATTGACATATGGCTATCAATCTGGCCACGGGGAGTGACTTGCCCACCTCACGGTCTCCTCCCATCACTACGTCACGATCAAAGCACACCCCCAGGAATCTGCTACACCCAAACATCAGCACAACATCATCACTCCGGTTTACAAGGCCGGACACTCACCTTTCCACCCCCACCATCCTGCGCATGCGCATGCGCATGGCTCTGCCCCACCGAGCTCGAGTTGCTCCAGCCCTCCTGCGGCGCCGCATGCCTTCGTAGCATGAACATCGGCTTCCGACCTTCTTTGTCGAGCTGCTTGAAGAGCATGAGCGGCTTCTCTTCGAGCCCGAGACAGCGCTCTTGGTCGCCGTGCACGATGTAGAGGGCGTATTGGCGCCAGTCGTCGGTTATGTTGTAGCGTTTGAGGGCCTAGGTACGTTAGGTAGGCTCAGGAAGGGGTTGTTAATGTGTGGTGATTGGCAAACGACTCACCACAGGTAGTACTACTCGGCAAGGATCCTCGATGCTAACGCGGAAACTCTTGAAGATCTCGACTTGTGGATTGTCCCTGTCGCCACTGTTCTGTGTCAGCTTCTACATCTTCATCATCTGACTGGAAATGACATACCGATCACCGCGTTCTCTTGTGCTCGACCCATCATCGTCCCGTGGGCTCGGCTGCGGCTGCTGCCCTCTCCGACTCCGATCTGCCCTCGCTTCCGGCTCGGCAACAGCAGTGCTCGCGGTACTCCACTGGCTATTCGTCGAGTAGCCTCTGTCGTCGTGCCCGTGCCGGTCATGGCGTGTCGACTGGCCATCTCTGGGGAATGACCGCTGTGGGTGGTATGAACCACCAGATGAAGGTGCTTGATTGCTGTACGCCGGACTGGTGGGGCTGAGCTGCTGGCCGTGGACGCTGTTCGGGCTCGTCTGGCTAGTCATGCTTGCAGTCAAATGAGTACTGGCTGCCATCGCAGCAGCACTCGCCTCCAGATGCCCACCTCCGTCGTCTCGAACTTCTCTAGGCTGAGGTGTATGCGATATCGGTGGCACGTGAGTCGGTGAGGCTTGCTTTGGCGCACTGCCCAGGAACAGTTTCTTCGTTGAGAACTTGCGACTGAGCGAGCTGCCTTTGCTGGTGATCGTGGGAGGAGGTTCGCTCGGCTTGAAAGCTTCGGTGTCTCGTGGTGATGGTATGGAACCGCCTGCTGGGTCTGGCAGAGGTGTTCTTTGATCCTTCATCAGCCGTATCACCGGCAACGTCTCCTCCCGCAGTTTCCTGTTCTCGTCCGATATCCGGTCCAGGTCATTCTTCAGCTGTCGCAACTCTGCTTCTGCCGCGATGATCCTCTGGTCACGTAGCCGTATGGACTCAATGATTCTCGCGATATCATCTTGCGTCGCGCCCAGATCTCCTTTGTCTCCCTCCGCTGAGAGCGGCACGTAGTCGTCCTCCTCAATCTTGACACCAGACCGGATCTTCTGGTCGTACACTGCCTTTAGTATCGTGAGCCGATGTCCAATGCTATTGACACCCAGCTCTTTCAACTCGTCATGGCCCAGTGACACCAGCGCCTGCCCATTGATCACCTCATCCGCGAAAGCCTGGCTGTACTGCTTCAGCGCTGGCGACAGCGACACGATGTAGTCCGCCACCTGCTCTTCCGACCACTGCGTAATCTTTCCCATCGGACTTCTGCCTTCTCTGTCCGGCCAGCCCTGTGTCGTAGGCGTGTCTTCTCCATCCACAAACCCACGCTCATCCTCTGACTCTGAAGGGTGATCCGAAAGGTCGTCATCAAAGTGCGCCGGCACCGTAGGCGACACTACGCCCACATCTGACCGTTCAAACTCGTCGTCCGCCTCTGCATCGCTATCATATGCATTGTCGCCTGCCTGCTTCGCGTACTTGTCCATCTTCGCCTCATACGCCCCCTGCGCAGGCTCAACCTGAATGGCCGTCCCGCTCCTGCTCCTCTGGCTCCCCGCCGCGCCCTTATCATTCAAGCCAGGCCTGTCCGGTGGTCGTCGATCCGGCGGCGTGTCAATTCGATCCCCAAAACTCGCATCAATAGGCGTGCTGCCAAACTCCGTCTCAGTCGGGCTGGCGGGACTGCTGGGCCCGCTCAACGTCTTCTGCAACCCCGGCAACTGCTCGTGCGACCTGTAGCCTCCAGCACGCAATGGCAGCGTTTCCCGTGAATTGCTCGTCAAACCGCGGTTGGGGATGTGCGAGGCGCGGTGGCCGACTCGGGCGAGCCAAGAACCCTTTGTTGTCGTCGACTGCTGTGGCGGGCGACCGTAGGCGGATTCAAAGGTGAGGTTGGATGAAGCCATGTGCGCCGGCAGCACAAGCGGCCCTCGACCTGGGATGCTCGCTCCTGCGCAACCGGGCGTGTCGGTGCGGCTCGTTGTTTCACAGGTGGACCGGGGGGCGGCGACGGTGGAGCTGGGCTTACAACCTTCTTCACACGTCTCAGAACACGAACAACCTTCTGCACAACAAGACGAACAGTGCGGACGTTGACGAGGACCAACACTCAGACCACACCGAGTCAACCCTCCCGTAGACTAGAATCGCCGCCAATGAACGTTGGCAGAAGCGTATCCCAATCCGTCGACCAACCACGAAACGGGGCGGCTCCTGTCCGTCTTGCCGCTAATAAACCTGGTCCTTCATGCAGACCACATGTACCTAAGGCATGGGGGCGCAGGAGGCTGAGGGGGGGTAGCTTTGCTATGTGGACAATGATAAGTCACGGGAACCACCTCCCAGGTCTCTCAAGAGCACCGCTTCTGTCTTGTGAGTGACCGACTATCCTCGCAATTACGTCCTGCTATCCAATCCAGTAGGCATGGGTGTCCACCTACCTGCGAGACCTACTCGAATCCTGTCAACATGGTCCTAGAAGCACTTGGAGCTGCGTCAGCCGTCCTCGCCTTGCTCGAGACGAGCCTCAAGTCGGCAGAGTTCTGTAGGAGTGTCCGTGACAACTTCCTGCAGATTCGTCAAGATGCACAGGGTGCTACGGAGAAGAACTTCATTCTCGAAGACTACTCAAAGGACCTTGGCGAAGTGGCGAAAGAATGCCGCAGCAAACTCAAGCAGACCCAAGCAGTCTCGAGCAGGAAGATTGTCAAAATTGCAAATGACTGTCTCAAGGATGCCGACGAGCTCGCCGCCCTGTTGCGCACAGTTCGCGGGTCAGGTGCATCCTCCGAGTCTAAGAGTGAGGCGGCCAAAGCGACATTTCGAGCGATGAAGGAACGGAAGACTATTGAGAAGCTGGAGAACAGGTTACGAGCTCACCAGGCTGCGTGGGATACAGTTGTGATCCAAGATATCCGGTAGGATAGCAAGACGCGCCTTTACCCTGTCAGGCAGCGGCCGTTAACATTTTGCAAGTAATCAACAGGATCTTGCCAAGGTCGAGCAGACTGCAGAGTTCAAAGCTTTCCATGGTCATTTGCAAGAGTTGATCAAGAAGCAGACCAGTGCGGAGGAGAGCAACTCCAAGCAACATGCCATGACGCTTGCGCGACTTGAGGAGATGAAGCTTGCTGACGAGACCGCCCACAACAAGACCCTCGAGCGCGTGGACCAGGCAAGCAGGCAGATTGCAGTTGGTAGCCTCGTGAAAAGTTTATCATTCGACGGACAGCACGCAAGGAAGGAAATGCTAAGGGATCCGTGGCCCAGCACATGTGACTGGATCTTTGCCGAGCACGAAGACTACCCGGAGAATCCTGCAGGGTTGACAGAACATGTCTTCCTGGACTGGCTGAAGACGGACTCTCCGCTCTATTGGATCAGTGGAAAAGCTGGCTCTGGCAAGTCCAACTTGATGAACTACATGGCTGGTCATGAGTGCACAGAAGAGCAACTCCAGCTTTGGAGCGGCGGAGACGCAGTGCTTATCTTGGACTTCTTTTTCTGGCGGCCGGGGACTCCTTTGCAGAAGAGTCTACCAGGACTCATGCGATCACTTCTATACCAGTTATTGGAGTCCAGGAGGGACTTGGCAGAGATCGTCTCGCAAGAGCTCGAAGCCGGGATGTCTGCGGGCTGGACGCAGCTCAGACTGCGACAGCTATTTGAGAAGTGCATCACAGAGCTCAAAGATACTCCATTAGTGTTCTTCGTTGACGGATTGGATGAGTTTGATGGCGACTCAAGCGAATTGCTCGACTTGCTGCTCCTTCTGCCACAGTGCGGCCGGACTAAAGTGTGCGTCTCTAGTAGACGTGAGAACAATCTCATCCCAAGACTCGATGCCCTCCCGCAGCTGTGGATGGAGCACGTCAACGAAAGGGGTATCCGGATCTATATCGACGACAAACTGATCCCGCTCGGTCTGCAGCCCTCGTTGGCGCAGTGGATCGCTTACAGAGCGGGCGGCGTATTCTTGTGGGCTGTCGCTGTTACGCGCTCAGTCTCTGAGGGGTTGCACAATGGAGACGACGATGCAATGATTGAGAAACTGATTGAACAAATGCCCGAAGAGATGAACGAGCTGTTCCGTCACCTCCTTCAACGCATCAACAAGGCCTACAGAGGAGACAAGACATTGTACTTCATCCTTCGGGCAAAGCAGCTCGCTGACCAAGAGCTTCTCGAGGATCCGAATCTAGCGGTCATTATAGCGGCTACAACCGCGGAAGGCTACCTGCCATACTCGTACTACATCGAGCAATGCGAACGACTGCGTCGTCAGGTTCCTGCCCGTAGCGGAGGGCTACTGGAAGTCGCACCTGGTCACGAGAGCCTTATAGATCACGCATGGGCGGTACCTCAAGACGACAGTGCGGATCCGCAAGCTTGGCATTCTCTGGAAGACATCGCTGCGGCTAGGAGAATTGTTGAAGCCGATTCATTGGTGAAAGACATGTGCCATTGCGAAAACAGCAGGATCCTCTGGCTTCATCGCTCAGCGTACGATTTCAGCATGGAACCAGACTTTATGGCCACTATGGGGTTCATAAACCATCCACCAGACTCAGAGATTTTGTTTTCCTACCTTTCTGGATATTTGAAACTGCTGGCTGTCGCGCCCTCGCGATCGTGTGGTCAAGCAATTCGGCCGACGTCTCAGAAAGTCCATGAGGCTGCTTCGTATATCTACGCATGCAGGCACCATCTTAGTGATCGCACCGACGAGCTACTGAGTCGATTGAGGGCCATCGTGACATCTATCAGGCCCGCAGCGTTATCCGAAGATACTCAACTCGGTTACCCTGGTGAGCCAGAGACTGGAACTCATGCCCTCGCGGACCACCAAGCCATCGAAGACTCAGTCTACCTCGGTGAGATGCAGGAAAGGGTATTCTGGGCCGCTTGTGCGGAAGAAAAGCTTTACGATTACATACGACAGCATCTCTTCACATGGCCTGAATCGGCTGGCAGCAGTCTCGCCATGTCCACCATGGTTGAGTCTTGCTGCCACAATCGGCGAGGTGGTTTCTTTCGAGCACCGAAAAGCACGTTCTTGTTGGAAGTCTTACAGCGTCTAAGCTTGACGCTGCCGGATGTCACTGAAGCGTCGTCAACCCAACGCTACGCCAACGTGAGAATACGCCCGGACTGGTCCTGGGTACCCGATCATACCAGGATGTCCTGGAGAGATCCGTCGAGCTGTGTCGCTGACGGAAAGCGCGATCAAGAAACAATGCTGAACATGGTCAAGGCATGGCTGAGGTTCACGATGCTGTTAATTATGTCTTCGACCGCAGGCGAATTCAGCAAAGGCCTACCCAGCATCGTACTGGAGATCATGCAGTCCTTCACACCGATCCTCAATTCCCGCGAGGTGTTCGTAGCGGTGGAACATCGGCATCGATGGGATAAGACTCGTTTGTGGCTCGAGGCTTCCTCTGACGCATTTCCACAGGTCGCACTCGCAAGATGGCTCCCTCCGGTAGCTCTGCGAGAGATCTCTGAGGCATATGCACAAAGACCTCCAAGATTCAGAATCTCTTGCGGCACGCGAATTGGCCCGTTCGCAGAGACACGGCACGTCGTTGCGTGTTTTGAACCCCCCGGTTCCCTGCGAGAGTCGAACTTCGAACCCTCACTTTTTAAACCTCGCGAGGACATCTTGCTAAACCCTGAGCCGGGTTGGGCGCTATCTGCTAACGCGTATGTAGAGATTCACTTTCTTCTGACCGACGACAAGTTCCGCGCTGCTCTCATTGACGAGATCTGGGCGGCATCTCCGGACACGCTGGATGGGTGGCAGCAACTATATCTACTTGCGTGCGTCCGCAGGTCCAAGAACGATGCGAAGAACCTTGGCCTGAGTGATGTTGAGAAGAGAGTACTTGGCTTGTAGCAACATCCGGTCGTCAGGTGCTCGTCGTCGAACCGAGCAATCGGCGTCGCAACATTGAAGACGGCAGACGGGGGCAGCAGACTCCAGGACGTATCTTCATTCTTCTACACATGTTCCACGTTGAAGAACATGCGACAGCTCAGGTCAAGCTCTCGTTGCGCATGTGACTGTCCGGGCCGACTTCCAGACTCCACGATCAACAGCATCCGGCGGTCATATGCTTGATACGAGAGGCGTTCAGAGTTCGCTCGTGCTGCAAGTGCTAGGAGTTCCGGCAATGTTGGATACATTGCAACGTCATCTGAGCACTTCCGCATAGAAGGAGACTCAGCCTAGATGAAGAGAGCGTTAGGCCACACGTCACCTCACGGCTGACGGAGAGGAAAGGAGAAGAGGCGCTTTACACGGTGTAAGGACGGGAACGAGCAGGCGCTTGGTCGTTGCTGCTTGTACCAGACGCAATGTCTGCTGCCGGGAATGGCGCTTCAACGCTAGAAGAGCGCCCCGGAGCAAGATGGCGAGAGGGAGATGTAGATGAGCAGCCAGCAAGACCCGCCAGACCAATGACTTATACCCGCTTCGAACCGACTGTCGTAATCACGAGGGTTGGACGTTGTGTATCATCAAGGGCAAAGATAGGGCTACTAGATACTACACAATATATATAATCAACAACCCACATCCCAAATATCTCCAAAATTAAACAATAATCTCAATCCCAACCTCATTCATCAAAAAGTCATTCATCAAACCCCAGTCCCCAAAATCCGACCCATCCTTCAATGCCTTGCATGCACCACTTCCATCAACCAGCCCACCCCCTCCACCACCCCCTCAAAACCCCCACAACCCTCCTCTGCGCCCCCGAATCCTCACAAGCAACCTGCAAACACGTCCCCCCATCTACAAAATCCAGCACAATACTCCACGGAAGCTCCTGGCGATCTAAATCCGGGATGTACGGGCAGCGGAAGTCTTGGAGGGGGAAGCGCTTCGCGAAAGCGCCGGTGCGGGAGGAAGGGTTGTGGGGGTCGGAGGATTGGTGCGGGACGGAGAACAAGAGGTCCCCTGTTGGGGTTAGGGAGAGGAGGCGGCGTTTCCAGAGCTTGGGGTGGCAAAGTCAGTGGAGGTTCGGTAAGTATCGTGTAGGGTAGATGGGGCTTACCAAAGAGTCGGGGAATTGGATGTTGAGATCCCCTAGAACAGTGGCGGGAGGGGTCTCGGGTTTTTGTTGGGCGGTGCTGGTGCTCGACAGCATATTGCTAGCTCCAATCAAGCTGCCGCGCTCGCTAACCGGGCTGGTGGAGGAGGCGATGGATTGCGGGACGCCGCTTTTGCGCTTGCTGACGCCGATGGTGGACATGCGTTTGAAGAAGCGGGAGGTGCGTGTGGTTTCCTTGATGCTAGGTTGTTCGACTGTTAGAGGGGTCGTGTGGTGGGTAGGTGGGGGAGGGAAGTCGTCGGCGCTGGGGCCGGGGGTGGAGAGGGTGGACTTGTGTCGGCCGAAGCGGCTAGAGGAGTGGAGTTGACGGGTTTCTGTCGGGCTTCGTGGCGATGTTGGAGATGTGACTGTGGGCTCGGATTGCGACTGTGGTAGCTGTTGGGTGGTGTCCAAAGAGTGTAGCTGAGGAGTCTTCGATGCTTCGCGCTCGTGGTTTACTGCCACTTCAGGCTGTTGCAGCTGAGCATCCGCTTCGTCTGCGTCTGCAGTCTCGACTGGAATGGGCCGAACGATGCGCGCAGACACCGACACCGAGTTTCGACCAGATGAAGGATCTTGCTGCACGCTCCAGATTGCGTTGCTCTCCCGCTGCGGCATACTGCTCATCGGACGCTGACTCTGGTGATAGCTCGTACGGCTGCTCTGCCTGTGCAGTGCGCGGAATGAACTCGCTCGCGCAGCGTGCGGCGGTGGACTCCGGCGCGAGTCGCTTTGCTCCCGCATAACCTCAGGAGATACCGATCGGGTGGAGGGGCTACCGTGTGGGCTAGTCTCTCGGCTCGTCCTCTCGGCCAGTGCCTGTATCCTCCTCGAGATCCCACTCGACACGTTGCGCCTCATAGCAGACAGAGGATCCATCCGCTCGATGGAACCCGCCGACATGTTCCGTGAAGGACCGTAGGGATGCTCCGCAGGGTCCGGACTCAGACGATCCTGCATCTCAGTGAAATCCACAGTCGGCAGTGTGGATGCTCGGTTGATGCTGGTCGATCTGACCGACACTTCCGATACCATGGAGTTCCCACTCGGTCGACGTGGGAAGTAGCCTGCCATTGGCGATTTGGCCATGGCAATCGGAGTGGCCTCCTGCACCGTCGCACTTTGCAGCTCCTGCATGAGCTCGTCGTCGGACGAATACTCAGCCTCAGGGTCAATCTGCAGAGGCTCCACGTAACCACGCCTCCGCTTCGCAAGGTCGTTGCTCTTACGCGGAGGTCGTTCAGTTATGTCATCCTCGTCTTCACTGCTTACTTCGGCGTGGTCGTGGCCGTTCTCATCTTGTGACTGCTCGAATTGCCTGTCTTCTTCGCTTCCAATGGAGCTGACGGGCCTGGTACCATCCCCCATCATAATAGTAGGAACTACCGTAGCCTCATCTTCGAAAGGCGAAATGACGCCAAGGCTGTTCAAACTTTGAGACATGCCATCGTGGTCGGTGTCAGACACAGGTGAAGTAGGCTGACTCGTCGAGGTGGCCCCAGCCGTATCCAGGTCGAAGTTGGTGCTGCCCGGACGTGAAGCTCGCTCTTTAGGCTCTAGTGGCCCAGTTGGTAGATCATCGAGCGCCGGATCGACCGCAGAGGCCTTCGGCGTCTCAGCAGACGAAGACTCAGGCTCGTCATCGTTGTTCTGCTCGACTTCCGCTTCCCGCGTATATGGCTCTTCAACATCCTGATCAGCTTCTTCGTCAGCGCCTTGCTTCGCTTGCTCGTAGTCCATGGAGATACCAGAGTCAGCCTTCTTCGCTGCCGAAGCTTGCTGCTCACCGGCGCTCAAGTCTTCTGAATGATGCTCCTGTTCCTGTGCCTTCGCCTCCTCTTGCACGTCTTCCCCCCGCATAACTCCACGCTCTGGCTTTTGCTCTGGCTCTTCCTTCCCAGGCCCTCCGTACTCAGGCAGCTTAGGCACAGACGGAACATCCTCATCAGCCGGCTGCACAAGAGTGCCGACCTGCGAATTCGACTTCCTCATCTGCTTCTTTCGCAGCTCCACAGCCTTCATCAGGCGAATCTTGTCTGGAGTCATTGCAGAAGATTTGTGTGACGGCAAAGACTTGATGCTACCGCGAGAGACTGGTCTCGGCTTGTACTCAGGCATATCAGGTATTGGTGGAGGGACAGGTGGCGCAACTGCGAGGACGGGTACGTTCATCGGTCCTTGCGATTTGGGCCGTACTGATTCCTGCTTCTTGGCCGTGGTAGGCCGGTATGTGGCCGGGACCGAAGCTACGCCGGCCATAGAGGGTCGCTTCGCCTTGTCTCCGGCGACCGGGCGTGGTGCAAGCCGGACTTTGGGCTTCAAATCGAATCTACTGAAGTCGTAGGGATCGTCGTCGAACTTGAGGCTACCGGAGGTTTCTTCCGCAGTCTGCGCAGACACCTCCTGCCGTGTTATAGGCCTGCCAGGATTGCTTGACACAGACTTGAGCTCTGGGCGCATCTCTGGCTCTGGAGGGGGCTTCTGGGTCAACAGTTCTACTCCTCGAAGTTGCCGCTGTCGCTCTGCAAGTGGGTACGAGGTCGTCGTTGTTGCGCTGGACGGCTGTTGCGTCGCCGGAGCTGCCATCTTACTTACTATAGATTGCGAGGCGGCGCCATCCGAGACGTCATCCCCATTTACAGCCGGTTGCTTATCCATTGTGGGTGTGTCGGTATTTGAGAACTGGCTTGTAGGCGCAGTGGACGCCGAAGACAGCGAGGTCACCGACCTCTGCCCAGAATCGTCCCGAACAAGGAATTGAGAGATGTGCGCCTTCTTGGGGGAAGTCACTGCTGGTGGCGGGCTTGCAGGCGGTAGGTTTGAAGGGGGTTTCGCCTGCGCTTCGTCAACGTTGATGGTCGGAGGCGGCGATCGGTCCGTGTTGCGCAACCTGTGTTCCCGCCTGTCTACGCGATGGCGTTGCGAATGAAGATTGGAGCTTGAGGACGCTGTAGAAGTCATGGACGGACGAACGGTCGAGCTGCTGTCCTCTGCATCCTCACTGATTTCCTGTAGACGTTCGTGCAAGCGGTGGGAAGACGTAGAAGGCGAGGCGGTGTGTAGCGGAAACGAGGCTGCGAGGGATGTGTCGTTGAGGCCGTCGGAGGTTTTGATCTCGAGGACGGTTTCGTAAGGTGTAAATTTCTCCAAGATATCCTGCCAATGGACCGCCGTGCGCGCTGTACCGTTTGTCAGCTTGCAAACGAGCCGAGTACATCTTCCAATCTCTTACCCAGCAACACCCGCGACGTGCCCTCGGGAACATATTTAATCAAGACCTTTCTCCGCCGGTAGACAATTAGACCGTAGAGTGGCGAGGCATCCTCATATCGCGCAATGGCTGCACGCGCATCTGGCGCACCTCCCTTGCCACGCCCCAAGAGGTCTACCGAGTCGCGCGAGTTGTACTTGAGAAGCAGCCTGCAGTTTCACCTTAGCATGTCCGTTCATTCTTCCTTCGTGTCCGTTTGAAGTCTGCGCATGTGACTTTGCGACTCACCATCCTCCCGCTTCGGTGTTCGCCTGCTGGTATGCTTCCTGAACCGAAGCATCATCCAAGCCATTCAACGACATTCTTCTCTTCCGCCGCGTTTGCCTTCATGCAACAGGCCGGTTGCTGCCCGTTCGGGCGTCAGGGGTGGATCGGCGTGGCCCGCTCGTGGTCGCTGCCCATTGGTGTTGTCGCGTTTGCAATCGTCGAGCACTTCCGAGTCGGTGTTGTGGTCGGCAGTGCGTGCGGTCCAGGATTAATCAGACGTTGAGCGCACGGAAGCACGAGAAGTGGTCAAGGAGACACTGCTTGGCCGCGCTCGTGCCAGGCTGGACCCCAGCTGCGTTCAAGATCACCTACCAAATTAGCTCACTTTAGCTGCGGATCAAGATGCCGCCGCACCACCAATGGCACTCTGCTGTCGTCACTCGAAACCCTTTCCCTCTCCAAACTTTTGCTCGACTCGGGAGAAGCTCGCAAATCTGGCATGTGCACTCCCGTGGCGATATGGGGGGGATGCATGCTCATGAGAGCAGGACTTCTGGAACTCCAATTCGACTTCAGTGGCACAACATGTGGCGGCAGCGGCATGTAGCAAACAACAGCAGCCGCCCTGCAGCTCGTCCTTGCTCGTCCCAGCGGGACCACGTCAACTAGAGAACGCAGCGTCTCCATTACCGGCCAGCCTAAGGAGCTCTCGAGATTCGAGCCTCGACCGGATGGTTTTCCGACCGCTGCACTCAGATCGATCCGAAGGAACCACGATGACCCATGCTCTCTGCATCCCTCTACTGCAGGTCCCATCTTTCCATGATTCTTACAACCCGACACACCGGCAGTCTCCCCACACCGTCTCCGAGGCCTTTCATAAACCCCAAAATCACGTGAAAGTCCACCTCGAATGCCTCCAGCGTCCGCGGTCGGCATCGACAGCAGCACGTGGGGGAAACAGTCTTTGTGGCTTGCTGGGCGCCCGTCATCTCACAGATCGCCAAGTGGTGTCCACCTCACATTGAGCCATTCGCAATCGCTACATCCACCACGCGGATAACGATCCCACTCTCTCTAGCCATGCGGGCGCTGCAGAAGCGTGCTGACAATCCTTGAGCTTCTCGTATATAAGCTCAAGAGCTTGCCTGCAATGGCCGCTGCGGTAGGTGGTCTGCTCGTTTTTCAGAATTCATCATGTATTCATTATCAAGCTCTGCTGTTGCTCTCTGTGCCGTTCTCCAGGTCAGCAATGCGTTGCCTGCACCCTGGGGAAGCCCCAAGTGGCCTCATCATGGACATGGGAATGGGGACCAGCGGGGCATTAAGTGAGTGCTCTTCTTGAGCAAAGGAAGCACTTGATGTGCTAATGGCACACTGCCTGCAGCGTCCAAGTTGGCCCGCGCCCCTACTACCTGGTCAACAACATGGACAAAGGAGACCTAAAGGACGAGCTGGAGGCGTGCAGCGAGAAGCCCATTACAACCTCCCACTTCTCCATCTCGCACAGAGGTGCTCCTCTCATGTTTCCAGAGCACAGCAAGGAAGGATACATGGCCGCTGCAAGAATGGGAGCGGGTAAGACCTGTTTCCTAGAAACGCAAGTGAGAAGGACCCAAGCTGAGTTGTGTTGTTCCAGGCATCATCGAGTGCGATGTGTCCTTCACCAGCGATCGCGAGCTCGTCTGCCGCCACTCCAACTGCGACCTGCACTACACCACCAACATCCTCGCGAAGCCCGACCTGGCAGCCAAGTGCACAAAACCCTTCACTCCCTACGATCCCGAAACAGGCGAGGAAGCCAGCGCCGAATGCTGCACCTCCGACATCACGCTCTCCGAGTTCAAGTCCCTCTGCGCAGAGATGGAAGCAACGACCTTCAACGCTCTCAACACGAGCGAGTACATGGGCCGTACCGGCAGCACTCCGGACTGGAGGACAAACATGTACGCATACTCCTGCGCAGAGACCATGGCCTTGAAAGAGTACATCCCGCTCGTCGACTCCATGGGCCTCGACTTCACAGCCGAAGCCAAGGAGCCCGAGGTCAAGATGCCGTTCCAAGGGGATTACACACAGAATGAGTTCGTGCAGCAGATCGTCGATACGTTCAAAGATGCCGACATTCCTGCATCGCGAGTCTGGCTGCAGAGCTTCTTGCCCAGAGATATCTACTACTGGCTTGAGAACGACCCAGCATTCGGAGCGCAGGCGGTGTACCTGGACGAGCGCGGAGACTTGAGCGATGAAGGGTATGAGAGGGCAGTAGCGTCGCTGCCTAGGCTGGCCGAGAAGGGCGTGAGGATCGTCGCGCCTGATCTCTGGCAGCTTGTCGCCGCGGACAATGCGACGGGGAAGATTGTGCCTTCGTCGTATGCCACGGCGGCCAAAGAGGCGGGATTGGATATCATCACCTGGTCGTTCGAGCGCTCGGGGCCGCTGGAGAGCGGTGGTGGCAGCTACTACACTGGGATCAACAATTTGATCAACAATGGTTCGTTGACTTGCCGTAGATATATCTTTTGTGTAAGGCTAACAATGGGCAGACGGCGACGAATACACCGTCATCGACGTGATTGCTCGACAAGTCGGCGCCATTGGGATCTTCAGCGACTGGGCGGCAACCATTACGTACTACGCCAATTGCTTCGACCTCTGATTAAAGAGGTCTGAAGCAGTATATGTGTTGAGTGGGCTTCGCAGAAATGGAGAGCGAGACCATCGGACCCAAGTCGCTGCCAAGCATCCGAAACAGCGAGGGCGCGAGTCCGACCGAGAACATCTCCACATCAGAATCATCTGCCGACTATTGCTACATCCTTTCCTGCATCAGATCCTGTTACTACTCCTCGTGCCAAAATGCGGAGGTAAGTCATCGTTACCTCTTCCTAGTGGGTTCAACCAGACACATGGATGTTAGCGAAGCTCAATCGGGCATTCGGCAGTCCGACAAGTCCTCGGAGTTAGAAGAAGTCGTCTTGGTATAATAATCCATCCCTTATATCCAGACAAGAAAAGAGCAAGGAGTACGTTTCAATATCCATTCAAGAATTTACCACTGTTGCAACTCTATTCAACACCTACCAGCTCATCCAGTACACCATGGCGCCAAAGCTCTTCCGCAACGCAACCATCATCTCCTTCGATGAAGATGCTCAATCCATAAAGGTTCTCCGAGACACCGATGTCCTCGTCAAAAACGACACCATCGCCGCAATCGAGAAAGACATCCAGTCTCCGGACGAAGCAGAAGTCGTCGACGCCACGAACAAAATCCTCTCCCCAGGCTTCATCGACACGCACACCCACCTCTGGCAAACCGCGCTCCGGACGCTGGCGCCTGATACCACGTTAGCCGAGTACTTCAGCAGTACGTCCCCTCCCCCACCACCCCTACGCACTGTCTCGGTAGGAACGTACCGGTCTCACGCGATGATGTTGTTGTGCAGGCTACAGCCACTACTCGCCCCTCAGCGCGTCCTTCTCACCCGAAGACCTCTACATCAGCACCCTAGCCGGCATCCTCGAGGCCCTGAACGGCGGCACCACGACCCTGCTCGAGCACGCGCACAATAACTGGTCTGTCGACGCTGTGAAGCGGGGGTATGACGCGGGGGTGCAGAGCGGGGCGCGGATGTGGTGGTGTTGTGCTGCCGAGCATCGCAACGGTATCACTGATGAGGAGATGCTGGAGGCGTTGGGGCAGAGGCATCGAAGTGGTAACGAAGGGGGGTTGATGGAGCTAGGGTTAGCGTGGGATGGGATGGGGACGCAGTCGGAGGAGGAGGTGGAGAGGGTGAAGGGTTTGGTTAGGTACGATTCCCTATTCCCCTCCCTCTTCATTACTTTTCTGTTTGCTAATGTGCATTACAGGAAACACGACCTCAAAGCCCTAACCCTCCACCACCTCGGCAGCCCCTGGCCCTTCGACAACAGCCCCTCCCTCGCCGCCTCCCCCCCAAAATCCCTCCAGTCCCTAAACCTCCCCACCATCTTCTCGCACGCCGGCTTCGCCACCCCCGCCGACATCTCCGCCCTACGAAAACACAACTGGCACCTCTCCATCACCCCGGAGTCCGAACTCCACTACGGACACGGCCAGCAAACCAGCCGGCTCGTGCAAGACCAAGCCTCCCTGGGCATCGACACGAGTTTCACGTTCTCAGGGGACTTGTTGACACAAGCGCGGATCTGGCTGCAGACGGCGCGAGGGACGGAGTATAACCGCGCTTTAGGGACGGGGAAGATCCCGGATCGGAATCCGATGAAAGTCGAAGAGGCCTTCTTGCTCGCGACCCGCCAAGGCGCTCTCGCGCTCCGACGGGAAGATCTCGGCGTGTTGAGAGTAGGCGCGAAAGCGGATATAGTCTGTTTCTCCGGCGAAGCACCGAATATGGCCGGCTGGTCAGACCCCGTAGCGGCGGTGATTCTGCACGCGAATGTGGGGGATGTGAGGGATGTGATGGTTGGTGGGGAGTGGAGGAAGCGGGAGGGGGAGTTGATGTTGAAGGAAGGGACGTGGAAGGCTTTCCGGGAGGGGTTTGTGGAGGTGGCGAGGCGGGTGCAGAGGGAAAATGAGCGGCCGCAGGCGTTGGGGGAGAAGTTTATGGGGGTGGGGGAGTGGGCGGATGTGGAGATTATGGGGACGAGGAGGAGGGAGGGGTGAGGTGTGTGGTGGTGGTGTAAACTGTGTGAAGTATGGAGTACGGAATATTTGTGGAGCGCCATTCCCAAGACGGATCATCCAAGATCGTGATCATACCCAATCCTCCCATTGTACAAGCCCATGTGAGATGTCGTTCGCCTATGCTGCAGCCCAGCCCTTTTGTCCAACCCATGCGTCGTCGCTAAATCCGTGTAATCCCATCCAACGCAACTCCATAACCAAATCATGAATTCCAAACCTCAATAATCCTTAACATCACTCCCCTCATACCGACTCAAATAAACATGCAAAGCTTCCGCATCCAGTCCAGGCAAGCCACTACTCTGCGGCCGCAGGACATCCGGACTTCTTGGGCTCTCCCGGCTCATACCCTTCAGCCTGCCAGTGTCACTTAAGAACTTCGTCAGACCCTCCATACTCCCGTTGAACCACCCGCTTTCTTCGTCAAAATGGGATGAGCGAGATAGTGCAGGGTACAGACTCTCGTCCTGGCTCTCCTCATCATGCGACGTGTGAGCATCCAGACCCGGAGCGCCGGGGCGAAACTCATAGACCCCCGAGCTCGGAGGGTCGGCAGGAGAGGACGAATCGAGATCCGAGTCCGCGAGGTTGTAGAACGAGTTGTCCTCGATATCCGAGCCGAGCGGGAAGCCAGAAGTGACAAAGTCGTCCAGCTCTTCGTCCTCCTCCTCGTCGTCGGCGACTTGGTCTTCGTCTTGAGAGGCGCGCACGACTGAGCCCTGGCTGAGCTCGCGTTGCAGGCCGGCGAGGGTGTCGCGGAGGGTGTTTTTGAGACGGATGTTGGTGACTTGTTCAATGTGAAGCTCCGTCTCTGCTATTTTGGATAACAGTTCGGAAGTTCGGGCCGCCTCTTCACCGATCTCTGCACCAGAATCAACCGGTTCGTCTGAAGTTGGTGAGACGAGGTCGTCTGCGAGGACATCGCTGAAGGCCAATTCGAAGTCGCGTAGCATAGTGCGGTCTGGCACGGCGAAGACGATCTCGTTGATACCCTCCCATCGCTCTGCATTTGGTCTCCGCTGTCGTTGGCCACCGGCGATGACTTTGCGCCAGCACTTTGCGATCTCCTTGACAGGATTGCCATAAGCACCGCAGCCCCATGCGCCGAGCACAAGCTTCTCCACGCCCTTGCTCTGCGCTATCCGCATGACGGCTTTCATCTTACGCATTACAATGTCCCGGTGACGGTCGCAGTAGCTGACGCCGCAGCTGCAGCCCTCACCTTTGGCATCGGAGAAGCGGACCATGCTCGAGCTGATGACATCGACGTAGTACCGTTCGCTCTTGGGGAGGTCGTGTGCGTCGGGTAGATGGTCTCGGAAGACCAGCACGTCTGGTGTGTAGATGCCGCTGACCTCTGGCAGGCGGTAAAACGAGTCCAGTAGCGAAGGGTACACAGTTGTTCGGGCGCACAGGAACTCCTCCTGACTGTTTGCGCCTTCTAGAAAACCACCACCAGGCCGAAGTGCCGATGCCATATTGAGTACGGCCACATTCGGTCTCTGTTGGCGGCTCTTGACGGCGGGCGCAGAGCGCTTCGAAGCTGGCACCTTCTCCGACATGCGTGCAGCCGCCGTCAAGGTGTCCAGTGCCTTCACCCGTATCTTGAGGTCTGTTCTTGGGAATGGATCGGTGCCATTTTGTGGTGTGACGACATTCGCCTCTGGATCGACGACCAGCTCGACTCTTGCTACGCCATGCTTTGCTCTTGGAGAAGACCGTAGAAGGTCCGGCACTACTTTGTTCTTGGTATCTCTCGCTCGTTTCGCGCGCTCGTCTCGTCTGTTTTGGTTCGGTCGCAACACGATAGTTGGCTGTTCTCGGCCCATTGTGTTGAGAGTGTGTGGTGAAGAGTGGATGTGTTGAGAAAGCGAGAGACGGGAAAGCGAAATGTCAATTGCGCGCGCTGGACGCCGCAGCTGTGGTCGGAACCAGATTCATGTGATGCGGAAGTCCCTCGGGCTGACTGTCGATCCGGGACGATGATGTGTCGCTCCACTGGCTGGACCACGGCGAGCAGTGTTCTGGAAGCGACCAAGGGAAGACAGCGATCACATGAAAGGAAAAGAAAGAAAAGGCGGGTGTCAGACCTGGTACAGATGTTTGGTGGAAGAGAGGAGTAGCAAGCTCTCGTGGTCACTTGCCTCGATTGCGTCCGACTAACGCATTCGAGCGTCGGCTCGTGAGCTCCGTGCGCTGACATGTGAAAGCGCCCGGATCAAGGATCGGCGCTGATGCTGTGGTGTTCTGCCCGGAAATAGCAACCGCATTCCAGTCCGATCAGCCACGTCCGAAGAACATGTCGCGCCGTGTGTCTCGCAGTCGTCCTTTGTTTCCATCAAGTCGTGACCGCGTCCAGACTCTGCAGCCGTTGAAGCATAATCAAACAGAGTTGTCTTGGGGCCGGGTAATACCTGGGCAAGCTTCGGGCTCGAAGGGAAGCTGTACCGTTACCAGCCTCGTATCGGGCCGGTCTCCTGCGGCGACTCATCGATCGTGATGGCGTCAGACGCGGTGACAAAGTCATGGAGTGATGATGTGTCGTGTTGTGAAGTTCCACAAGCCTTTCACATGAATTTCCACAATGCGTTGATGAAGACATGTGTCAATCCAGAAGGACTCTGGTGCCTAAGACTTTGCCGAACGGCGATAGTTGGCGTACTCCTGGGTACGTACGCATATCTGATACCGGACATCGTCAAACCTCACCTCAGGTGAGCTTGAAGTGATCTTGAGTTTGACATGTGATTGTTGCAACACGGTCCGAACAATATCACATTACTGTGAGAGGATTGCACCATGAGCATTGTTACTTGTATCCTCACGGAATAAGCACACCGAGTTCGCGTCAGCCATGTGAAGAACACACTCTCTTTCCCACCATCTAAAACTGAGCCTCCACCATGCCTACCGCAACACCAACAATGCCTCCTCCTCAAGAGGCGAAGACCGCCAACTACATCCCAATTCCTCCCGCGAAGCCCTTCCAGTCAACACTGAGATACCCCTCCAACCGCAAAACCATCTACGACCGCAACCTCAACCGAACCAAAACCACCGAGATCTCCCTCGCCTCCTTCGCCTACCTCTTCAACACCCTCATCACCTACCACCATTCCAAATCCAGTTCCGTCTCCGAGATCGAATCGCGCCTCAACAGAGCAGGATATCCCATCGGCATCAAAATGCTCGACCTCCTGCTATACCGACAGCCCCCTCGCTCAGCGACCCGACCAACCCGCATCGTCGAGCTCCTGCAATTCATACACGGCACACTCTGGCGCGCCCTCTTCAGCCGCAGCGCAGATGCCCTGGAGAAGAGCACCACGAAGAACAACGAGTACATGATCATCGATAACGAGCCCTTGGTGAACACATACATCAGCATCCCGAAGGAAATGAGCCAGCTCAATTGCGCAGCCTTCGTCGGAGGGATCATCGAAGGCATGTGCGACGCCGCAGGCTTCAGCACCGACGGCGTCTCCGTCCACTCGGCGGGAGAAGGCGACGAGATGTGGCCGGGCAAGACCATCTTCCTGGTCAAATTCAAAGAGAGCGTGGTAGAGCGCGAAGAAGCGATCAAAGCCAGCGGTGGCTGAAGTGGCGGCGGCGTCCGCTCGGCTGAACTCCGGACGACGCGAATCAAGGTATATATCAAATTATTGGAGTCCACTACTCACTTCAGCACCGGTGCTCACTGGCAAGGATATGTCCCACCTTCAATGACTCCGAACGAAACAATGGTAAAGCTCTGCGACCCTTAGATCACACGTGCGAATACTTGCTCCACGACCGATCGCGCTCGAGTGCTGGTGCTGGAGTCTTTTTGTCCTTTTGCTAAGGAAGATGGAGAAAGTGGGGGTTTCGAGTTAGGGGCTCGTGCTGCTTTTTGCGATGAGCAGCACTTTACGGCAGTGAAAAGGACCATCACCATGAGGGGCAGGGTCAGACATCGAGGAGCAGTACGCTATGAATTGGGGATGGAGACAATGGCCGGTATGATTACGGAGCGGATATACCACAACGGAGCGGATATACCACAGCGGTTCGTGGGTGGTGGAGGCAATTCGGGCGAGAAGTACCAATCTTTTACCGGTACACTCAACCTCACGGCTGCCCGCAGGATTCAGACATACTACGTTTGTGCCTACCGCGTTACTTGCCTTTACGCCCCGAATGGATGCTCGAGTGCATGGCCCTCCTCCGAGTGAGAGGGGCACGTTTTCCTCGAGTATGAATATGATGAGAAGGAGAGGTGCAAGCGGGTTAATGATGAGAGTTGGAGGGGCAAGAAGTTCACAAGATCTCTGCAACCAGTTTGAAGCAGGACTGGTATTCGAAGCGGATTGAAACCGTCATGATACCACACCAATAGGCAATGCCATCGGCGTAAGCGCCCTGTGCCAGCTTTGCGCTTCTACAATTTCACGCTCCACGTCAACCGTATCTTTCCCATTCACAAGTCCTTCTTCCATCCGAGTGTCCTCATCAACCTCCTCACCCGGCACTCGTGACGTGATAGCACCACCTAGTAGACTCGCTTCAAAGATCTCACTCCACTCCTCACTGAATCCAGGCTCACTGTCATGTCGCTGTAAGATCTCCCTGCCTATCCACTCGCTCCAGTGACCAGGGTGGAGACAGCACCACTTCATGACTTGCACTTGGAGATGCGGCTCTGTATCTGCGTAATCGTACTCAAATAGAGCGCGTAGCAGCCATCTCGAGAGCGCTTCTTTCTGAACATCGCCGGCAGGGTTTGTTGCTGTATGCGCTCCGATGCTCGCGAGGAGACTCGTCAGAAGCATGCGGCGGAAGCCAGGTAGGTGGTTGGCCAGATTGCTCAGGAGATCGTCCCATAGTAAGAATGCTCCGTCGAGAGGGGCGCCCATCCTACATAAGTTAGCGAGCTCGGGATAGTTGAGTTGTGAGCGCGGGACTTACTCTCGACTCGCAGGCAGAATCAGACGCTCATCAACCAGAGCCTCCGCCACCGTCTTGACCCTAACCGCACTACCCCCACACCGCTGCACGATCCCATCCCGCATCCCTCTCACCTCGCCCTCCTGCTCCCCCTGCCCCTGCCCCCTCCTCAGCGCATCCCGCCTCCCCTTCCGAAACCCCTTCAACAACCCCACTACCTCCGCCCTAAACTCCTTCCCCACCCCCTCCTCCCGCTCGACCTCCTCCAACCTCCCCCAATAAACCCTCCACAACCACTCCAGCGCCTGGTGAGTAGCATCCACCAACCGCTTCACCCCGGGCAACTCCTCATGCGTCGCCTCGTGCCTCAGCGCGACAAATTCAACCGGCATACCAATCTGCCGCGCAATCTCGAGCATACTACTCGGTTCCAGCGACCTCTCGCGGTTGCGGCCTATATCGCAGAATCCGGTTACAAACCTCGTGAACGCGGCGCTGTACACCGCGCGAATGGAAAAGCTGCTGGTGCCGGGGAGGTGGTGGTGCAGGAGCGCGTCGACGAGTAGGGCGGTGGATTCGACGGCGTGCGGGAGGTTGCCGCGGAGTTTCCAGGCTTGGATGCGGGTGATGGCGTGGCGTTGGGCGGACGTTGTGGTTGGGGTGGTGGGGGTGGGGGGGTAGAGTTGGGAGCGGACGTGGAGGAGGTCGGAGGGGTGGCGCCAGGGGGTTGTGGTGTAGCGGGACATTTTTGATGGTCTTGCGGGTCCGTGGTTTGAAGTTCGTGTGTCACTTGTGGTGTTTGACGCCTTTCCAGTAATTTTATGAAGGCGTTGGTCAGATCTTTGTCATGCTTCCACGGCATTGAAGTTTGAGCTGCCACCTCATCCTTGCGACTTCATCCCACTTTGTGCGATGCGATAGTGAACCATTGGGCAACTTGAATACAAATCTGATTCCTGTCACTTCCTAGCTTGATATCAAAGATTTGATCGATGGATTGAAGATTCTCGAGGCATCGATAGGACAGCATCGACAGATACACGCCAGGAAGATTGCCACTTGATACCGACCACTGACGAGCAAAGACCAGGACCATATTGAAGCTCCCGATTGCCTTCTGGGTATCTTTGAATAGGAATAGGCATGTCCCATGATGCCCTCCACCCGGAGACGGCGAATGGTGAACCCATCGAGCGACATGATGAGGTCGACCTTGGCTCTAGCGACTCAGAAGGCATGCAAGAGAGACTAGAAGTCATCTTCGACAAGAAAGATGCTCAGAGGCGGCGAGCATCGCTTGTGCCAGAAGGCAGACCATCCAGACCCTCCAACAAGCGGCAAAAGACTGGCTGCATCCTTCACGCCATGCTCGAGGGGAGGGTCAAAGAAGGCCAGTTTACGCCCAACCAAGCCGGCATGTCTGCGTCTCAACCTACGGATAAGAGCCCACCGGAGCTCGTGGAAGATGTCGATGAATCTAAGGAATCGAGACTTCTGACGAAAAAGCAGCTGTCAGACATGGCAGCACACGTACGGAATCTCTCGAAGAAACTGAGCCACGTCCGCTTAAAGCTTAACGTCCGCAACGTATTCATCCTCACGAAAGCACATGACCAGACCCTCATCGGCAAAACCCGAGAAATGGCCAACTGGCTCCTCCACTCCAAGAACCCGGAAGGCCACCCCTACATCGTCTGGGTCGAAGAGACCATGCGCAACAGCACCTGCTTCAACGCCGACTCCCTCACCTCCCAAGACCCCACCGCCAAAGACCGCCTCCGCTACTGGACGAACGAACTCTGCCGCAAACGCCCGCACACCTTCGATATCGCCGTCTGTCTCGGCGGCGACGGCACCGTGCTCTACGCCTCCTGGCTCTTCCAGCGCGTCCCACCACCCGTGATGTCCTTCGCTTTAGGATCCCTAGGCTTCCTGACCAAATTCGACTTCGACCACCACGCCGACATCCTCACCCGCGCGGTAAGCGAAGGCGTTACCGTCTCCCTGCGCCTCCGCTTCGAAGGCACCATCATGCGCTCCCAGCGTCGTGAGAGCGAAGAACAGCAGAATTCCCGCGACCTCGTCGAAGAGCTCATCGGCGACTTAGCCGGCGACGCCACCTCCCACCGTCCCGACGGCGTGCACAATATCATGAACGACATTGTGCTCGACCGTGGTCCAAACCCGACGATGAGCGGGATCGAGATGTTTGGCGATGACGAGCACTTCACTACTGTTCAGGGAGACGGCGTCTGTGTAGCGACGCCAACTGGATCTACGGCGTATAACCTCGCTGCGGGCGGGAGTTTGTGTCATCCGGAGAACCCTGTCATGCTGGTGACGGCGATTGCGCCGCATACGTTGAGTTTCCGGCCGATTATCCTGCCGGATACCACGGTGCTAAGGTTAGGGGTTCCTTATGATGCGCGGGCGAGCTGTTGGGCGAGTTTTGATGGGAAGGAGAGGTGAGTCTGCATGACGTTTACAGAGAGGGAAGTGAGATAGAGCTGACATGACTGCAGGTCTGAGTTGAAGCCAGGGGACTACGTGACCATCTCAACCTCTCGGTTCCCGTTCCCAACAGTCCTGCCACTAGAGCGGAAGGGCGAGGATTGGGTAGATAGTATCTCCAGGACGCTAAACTGGAATAACAGGCAACGACAAAAGGCATTCGACGATCTGAAGAAGACGGCATCGGAAGTACAACATAAAGCTGATGTGGTTTGACCGGCCATCTAGGCAGACCTTTTACATATTACACCTCCACGTGAATCAAGACTGCCTGAGAATTCACAGGCGTCCACTTCCTCCCCTTCCCAATTCAGCCCATCTCCTTGCTCCCCTTCCGAACCTCCTCCCCAAACCTCCGCTGCACCGCAACCACATCCTTCAAATGCCCCACCCCCAACTCCTCCCCCTCCGCATCCGCAATCGCCTTGGCCGTCCGCACCGAATACGCAATCACCCTACCATTCAGCGGCACCTTCGCAATCTCCTCCAACTCGTCGCCCCAGTCCGTTCTACCGTCGAGGCGGCGTAAAGCATTGGTCCAGATGGCTTTGCGCATCCACGGCTCGAGGTCGGGGTAGTTGATCGCGAGGTGGATGCGGGAGATGAACGCTTCGTCAAATTGGGCGACGCGGTTGGTGGTGAGGATTAGTATGCCGGAGAAGTATTCGAGGCGGCGGAGGAACACTGTGCAAGCTCATCAGCAAGATAGCCTAAGTTGTGGTAAAGGGAATAACGTACCAGAGACGAAGTTATTCCGCACGATGTCGTGCGCGCTCCTCTGCTCGAGAAAGACGTCCGCTTCGTCGATTAGTATGACAGCTTTCCACAGCTTGCTCAGCTCGAGAATATCTATCAGGGTCTTCTCGACCTTCTCGCGTGTCGCTCCTAACTCGCCACCGCTGACGATGTATAAAGGCCGCTTCAAGGACTCACACACAGACTCAGCAGTAAGCGTCTTGCCCGTGCCCGGCTGGCCGTGCAACAGCATCACCATTCCACGCCCTCTCCACCCGATGACATCGCCTTCTGCGGCATCGGTGAAGACGGGCGAGCTGATGAGGCTGGAGAGGACCTTTTTCTGCTGCTTGTCCATTACCAGACGGTCGATGGCTTCTTCGGACCAGTCAATGGGTGAGAGATCGTCGATGCGCATTTGGATCCATTTGTGCAGGGACAGCTGGAAGCCGAGAACTGTGGAGGAGCAGAGCAGCATCTCATCGTTTGAGATTTCTCGAAGCTCGTGGTCGTAGTCTTCCGGTTGCTCGTCGACCGCTTTCCTGCAGACGGGGCAGCAGCATTTGCACTCTTCGAGGATGGAGATGCCCTTCTTCTGCGAGTCGACTCTGTCTTCGTCTCTGGGCACTACGTGGCGCAGGAAGGTGCTGGCGTCGATCATGACCCTGCCCTTCGTCTTGTGCTGCAAGTTGTGGATGCCGCGGAGTTCCAAAAACCGTTTCGCTCGGGTGAGCACCTTGGCTTTGATGGCTTCCGGATCATCACAGTGGTCGAGCGGCAGAACAGAGAGCGAGGAGAGCATTCGTGGGTTCTCAAACGCTGTGATCTGCAGCGTGCTCTCCACCTTGCCGATCTTCTCGCCGTCGTAGTCAACACCGTGACACGTGAGCGCGAAGACAGGTCCGCAGCGGGATTCTGCGATCTGACCTTTGCGGAGGGAGAGCAGTTGCTCCGTGTCGCGGTGGTACATCAGACAGCCGGGCTTGAACAGCATCCACAAGTCTGTGAATCGGATCATGCCTGCGGCCAGGAACTCGTCAGATTGCCGCATGCGTGCACCCAAATGGGCATGCAAGAAGTTGAGAGCGAAGCTAATATGCGTCTTAGTCAGGTCCGGCACGTCGAGGCGTGACTTGCACTCTGCAAGCTCTTTGCGGTAGTAGTATAACAGCTTGGGTGGATCATCGAACTTGATAGTGTCGCCAACGCGGAAAGAGTCATCAGGGTAGTAAGACACCAAGTCTCGGATTAGACGGACGAGGCCGGCCGCTTGGATCTCCAGGATGGTATCAACCAGCTCGCCTTGAGGATTGAAGCGGCGGGTGACGACCATACAATATGGATCCAAGATCGAAGTCGCTCTGCGTGTCTTCGACAGGTCGGCTTTGGGATCGAATTGCTCATTTTCTTTCATCAAGTGCCAATTGCCCTTCTTGTCCTTGGTGGCTCTGACGGTGATGCATTCATCGCGGTAGCCCAGGGTGGGTACTTCTGGTGATCTAAGCACAGCTGTGGAGGTCGAGTTGGAGTGGGCATTATCCTCCGAGTCCTGGTCGATGTCTTTGGTGCCTGCATTTATTTTTTGGACGCGAGCTTGCACGTTAGGCTTGCTCTCGAAGTAGGACTTCCAAGCCTCTTGGAGACGAAGGCTGATACCAACTTTCATGATGCTAGCTTTGTAGAAGAGATGGTGTCAGGACGTAAAGGAACGATGCCAGAGCGTGAATGGAAGAGATGAAATGGTCCTCGAGGCACTGACTTATAGAAGGCTGAACTTCGCAACGTAGTCATGGAAGAAACACCTTACCACGCCAGGCGACTGTTTAGAGGATCTGTACAAGCATGATACCAACCTCAGGCTGTCTGCTGCCTGCTCGATCGTCCGAGGGCTCTCCCAAGACGGGCATGGTCCCATGCTGCCTTGATTGCAGAAACGTACAATTCCAGTTCAGGTGTTGAGCGGGGGATAGGCCGAAGGATTGAACAAGATTGTATTGTCTAGGCGCAAGGCAGACAAGGTGCCTCAGTCAAGCTCAGTCTCGACCTTGGGGGCGAGAGGCTGTGCAGCACCTAACAGCGATTTATGCATCTAGGCACTGCCATACACCAGCGATGCTCTCGAGAGTTCATCAGTTCCTTGATAAGAGACATGAGGGTTGTATGCTTTGTTTGGCAGTTAACCCTTGTATTTCCTTCAGCTCTGCGTGTGTGTGTCTGATCGCCAGGATGACCAAGTGAGAGTTGGCCATGATGCCTGAGACGCCTGGATAGCTATCCTCAAGGGCCGCTATGACTCGCTGTCGTTGAAGCATGCATTGTCGTTACTAGTATCCGTAGAACTGATGATATATATCTTCAGGAGATGTGATGAGAAGACGGAAGTCAGATAAGGTTGATCTCGATCTGGCGTAGCTCCGGTTGGTCCCATTGCGGAGAGACAGGGGTTCTTGTGAAACCGCAGATCTTCGGAGCGAAACAGGAGTCGAGACGGCTGCGTGTTGGAAGCCACTTCACATCACCTTGCCAGAGTCGCCGTGCCGCAGTGCTTGCTGTATACCGAGACGACGTGCTGACCTCACCCCCAGCAGCCCGCCGCCCCTTCCTACCGGCATCGGGACTGTTGCTTGATCGCGCCAGCCAAGGATCGGCTCCAGGTTTCGGTGGACCAGCGATTGCGGCCATCCAGCCCAGCATCCTCGAGCGCGACATTTTTTCCAACACCACCGTCACTCCCATTGCGCGCCCGGGTAGCGTGCGCAACGCTCTTTCGCACCTTCTCTTGTCCAACACCGACCTGTACCGCCAACACGACCTTTCCACTGCGCCGCACGACCGCCCAACGATCATTCGTCTGCGCAACCTCGAAGAGCGGGACCCTTTCGCTTTGACCACCTGCCTGCTCCGCCACGCACTGCCCACCTCTGCCATTCAAGATGACACGACCGAACATCGTTAGAGCCGACACGATCGATCTGCAGGACCAGGACAATCCTACCGCCGCCGAGCACCAGAAGCCTGTCATCCATGGCGGACTGGGAGCGCATCAGCGCGCCGAGGTACACCATGTCCTCGAAGAGCGCAATTCGGAAGAGCATGCGTTGGCAGATGCGTGGAACATGTCTGGGGATATAACGGAGGAGCCGGGCACGATCGACCACAGCCAGAACCAGCATTTAGAGCAGGACAGTGCGACGAACGGGATGCAGAGGGATGGGGAAGACGATGGCGAGAACGGGGAGACAGAGGGAGACGCGGACGATGACATGATGGATAGGATATCGAGCTCGCCGAGCATCGACGATGGTGGGTTTACATCGCCCTCTTCTTTAACCCCTGTTAGGCACAACCCAGCGATCGAGAGGGTGAAATGGCCACCACGCACATCGAGCCTTTCACCTTCGCCTCGCGACACTCCAACATCAACACGCGAACGGACTTCCAACCAGTCCGCTCATTCACCACCGGACTCTTCACCGCTTCAGCAGACGCCGCAGCATCTCCCGCTGCACGTCCGCAGAATCGGAAGAGTCCCTTCACCTCTCGTCAGCCAGCCTGATCTGTCTCCGAGTCCGTCTCTGGACGACGAGGTACATCTACCGGCAAGACCTGTTCCATTCAAGCGCACACAGCGTTCTTCTTCTGCGTCAAAGTATCGTCATTCAAAGGGTAGGTATGAGGAGCCATTGGACCACCTTGCTGGATCACCGATAATGCAATCAGCGGCCGCAATGCACGGATCGGGCACGGATCCTGAAGTCAGGAAGGTACAGTTCGCCACGGGTCCAGAGGAGCAAGATCCCGACATGAATTCATACGACGATCAAAACAGTGAGCGATCCGTCATCGTCCACAGCATCGAAGCCGAATCCAGGCCAATCGAAAGCCCGTTCCGCAAGAATCCTTTCACCAGCAACTTGGCCGACACTACACGACCAGGGCTTCCCGACCCGTCGAGCTTCAACAGCCTCGCCAGCCTGGACATGGACGATGTGCTACTACCAAACGATGACCCGCTGTTGGACACCCCGCCATCGCCGACAGACTCCGCGGACTCCTGGGAAAGCTCCGAGGCGGACAGCCTGGATGAAGATGAGAATGATGATGACACTGACGCTCTCTTTGACCCCCTTGACGATCGTTTCATTGATTCTGGTTGGGGTGGCGAGTGCTTACGTGATACAGAAGACATCGATTTCGAGTTCGTCTACGCGCTGCATACCTTTGTCGCAACAGTCGAGGGGCAAGCCAACGCGCAGAAAGGCGATACAATGGTTCTGCTTGACGATAGCAATTCGTATTGGTGGCTTGTCCGTGTGGTAAAAGACAACAGTATCGGTCAGTTTTGCTTATCCAGGTTACTGGTTGATCAAGGCTGATATTTGGTACAGGATACCTGCCTGCGGAACACATCGAGACACCAACAGAGCGGCTGGCAAGGTTGAATAAGCACAGAAACATCGATGTATGTCGAAGAGCTCTTCGAGCCATTTGTTCACTATCCCTGACGTGTTCTAGCTATCTGCCACCATGCTCAGCGACAACTCTGAGAAGACCCGGAATCCGCTCAAAAAAGCCATGAGGAGGCGAAACGCCAAGACCGTGCAGTTCGCAGCACCGACATATGTTGAGGCCTCCGACTACGACTACTCATCAGACGAGGAAGACCAGCCACCCATAGACCCCTACGCTGGCGTTGTTCAATCCGAGGACACCCAGCAAGAGGAGCACGTCGAAGAGGAACCAGCTGCGGAGAAGGTCACGACACCAGAAGAGGGCGGACTTTCACGGGCGTCGTCGTCTTCGTCACGTGCTTCCTTTGACCGCGAACAGGCTGCGACGGCTGCAGCTGCTCTCAATGGTAATGTCGATGAGCCGCAACTCAGCCCGAAGCTTGTGGATAAGACCGAGGCTGCACCGCTGAAGTCACGCCGAACACGTAATACAGATTCATTCCTCAAGGACGACACGATAGAAACGCGGAAGATCACCTTGACTCCTGGGTTGCTTCGAGAGGAGGGCAAGAACTCATTATCCACCGACAGCACGCGGAATCCCAGCTTGGAGAACCTGGTGAAGACGGTTTCGCCGACGGAGTCCCTGAGCAAGAAAGACAGCAAAAAGGAGAAGAAAGAGAAGAAGGGCGGCATGCTCAGCGGCCTTTTCAAGAGCAAGAAGAAGGATAAGAAGTCGAAGGAGGACATGTCAGTAGCGGATTTGAGCGATGCTGAGAAGGCTTCGTACGAGGCACAATCACCCACGCACAGCCCCGTGCAGAGTGGACGAGTCTCGCCAGAGAAGGACAATGCAGGCTCGTTGGCACCGTCAGACATTCGAAGGCAGGAGGTTCAGACGAGGCAGCCGACTAGAGGCAAACTCCAGAAAGCACCACCGCATTCACAGACCTCTATCCCAGCACGCGAAGCGCCTCCGCAGGAGCCACCGCAGCAACAAGCACCGGAAGAGCCAAAGGAGATGGTTGCAGAGCTCCAAGGCTCTGAAGTCGCCTATGAGATGGGTGCCGCAGAGCCTGAACAAGCAGCGACAGACGACCAACCGCATCTTCACACCGAGCTGGCCCTTCAAGACAAGCAGACTAAGGAGGGAGCACTGTCACCACTCACGAACGTGCTCGGCCCCGACACAAGCAAGAGCCAGAAGCCCGTCAAGGCGAAGAAGGTCAAACAGCGCATGGAGCTCGACGACTTCGACACGCCTACAGACGACGAAGGACCGAACCCGTTCAAAGAGCAGGACAAGCGGGCAACTGGCACGCAAGAAGACGGCTTATCCGAGAGTCCCGTCGAAATCACGCACAGCACCTTCATGCACGGCACCGAATCCATCCACATCCCTATGCCCGGCGCCAACGACCCCCGCGACCTCCCCGACGACGAAGACGACAAGGAAGTCGAAGTCGAAGACGAAGAAGAGCCAGACAGCCTCACCTCCTCCCCCAGCATCGTCTCCGCCCCCAACAACCAACCCAAAGACGCCCCCACCACCACCCTCGCGCCCACCCGCGGCCTCTCCACCGACTCCCTCCCCTCCGCCACCTCCTCTGCAGATCCAATAAGCCCAGCTTCCCAACAGCCCTGGTCCGACGCCTCGCTCCGCGCCTGGCTCGAGGACGGCTCCGAGGTGCGCGACATGCTCGTCCTTATCTACGATACGTCCGGGGTGACGGCCGTGGGGCGGGAGCATCCCGTGATGAAGGGGTTGTTTGAGCGGGAGCGGAAGGGGGTGGAGGGGATGTTGGGGGAGTTGGATGGGTTGTTGGCGGGGTTTTTGGGGAGGAGGGGGATCCAGCTTAATTGAGTTGGGGCGGTCTGTGGGGAGGGCTGGTGGGGAGGGAGGGGTTATGATGGGATGAGATGGATGATGCGGGTTGTGAGACCTGTCCGACGGACAAGGAATGAGTGTAGCGTATACTGTTAGCGTTTGTGCAGCGTGAGGGTAGCATAGCGAGGTGATGGTATGCATGATGTTTGATCGAGAGGACCTCTGTTGTGCAGCATACGGATCATGGTGACGTCTTCTCGAGCATCAGAAATGGTCAAAAGGTATGAAAGGCACAATGCGCTGCTGTCAGGTCAATTCGATCTTGGAGAAAAGATCCGTGCTCGCGTTCCATTATACCGGTAAGTACAAGTAGTCAACACCCAGTAGCCCCAGTCCAGCCTTCTCCGATGCACAAAAAACGTCCATCGCACCATGAACCTCTGCATAACACCACTTCCGAACTCTGAGAATGCACCCCTTCCCTTCACTCATCAGACCACATCTCTCCCGGCACGAAGCTCTTGACGGTCAGCAGGCGGATGGTGTTCTCCAGCTTGGCAATGCGCTTGCTGGCTTCGTCGAGCTGATCGGCGAGGCTGTCGCGCTCCTGGAACAACATGTCGATGTCCGTCTTGTAGGCCGTGACTTTGGCGTTGAGCGTGTCGAGCTCGGCCTGCATTTTCATCTCCGCAACATCACTCAGCTTCGCCTCCAACTCTGCCAAACGCTTCCCGTGCCCTTCCACGCGCCTGTCCTGCTGAAGGTTCTTGGTCTGCAGGATGTGATAGCGCATATTAGAGGTTGCTAGGCGGTCTTCAACATCCTTCGACATCAGCTGCTTCCTCAGCCCGGCGATCTGATCCTCCATCTCCCAGAATCGTGACTCATTGGTGGAAGCTTGCTCCTGCGTCCCGGCGAGATCGAACATGTGGCCGCGGAACAGCTTTTCGGCCTCGGTCTTGCGCATGAACTCATATGCAAATATCGAGTAGATCGTCGTGGGTGGTGGGGGCCTGCCGGCGCACTTCTCTCCAAGAGCGCGGAGCTGGGCGGCAGTGTAGCGGATGATGTTTGTAGCTGCCGGGGTCGTCTCAGCGGGAGAATGGTGCTCGGTGTTTGCGTAGATAGAGTTCTCCATTTCGCTGGTGTGTCTAGGGAGTGAAGGTGTTAGAGAGTGGCACTGTCGTAGACACGAAGACGCTCACCTTGTTCTCCAAAAATGCGATTCTTCTGGTGCCAATGGTAGCGGTGAGAGTCCTGCAGCAGGCTGGTCGTCTTGAAGAGATATCAGTAGTGTACGGTGAGTGGTTGATGTGGTAGACTGGTGAAGCAAGACGGCTGGCTGGCCTGGCTGTGAGTTGTTGAGGAAAAGGTTTTCGAAGTGTGAGAAGCTCAAGAAGTAGTAGGGAAATGAGCTAGTGCACGGCCCTGAAGCCAATGCCAATGCGGAAGGAGCAGCTTGTAAGGAAGGAGCGATGAGCAGCTGGATGAGAATAACTTACGAGTGATCTGAAGGCTTTGTCCGCCGCCTTGAATTCTTGATAACGCAGGTGGCCCCTTCACATAGGTACAGTGCTCTCCCACATTGGACTGAAGGTCTTCTCGAAGGAGAGTATGGATCTGGAGAGGTCTTGCGGCGTTTGAAACAAGTAGTTTGGTAGGGCTTTCGGAGATAGTAATGTCTGAGGTGAACCGCCATTCATGATTTCGACTTACCGTCCCCAAGGAGGACTTACCTTACGGTCTACACTGCATTGTCGCTGAACTACCTACATGCTCCTAACTCCACCTGTTCGTCTTCCTCGTTGTACTTATCCAATGGGGGCTTGAGGCAGCGTGATGTTAGAACATAGCTTCACATATACATGACCCTGACGGAGCCAACACGCACAGCTCGTAAGAGACCGAGCAGCAGAGATAGTAGAGTCATAACGGAATCCATCTTAACTTCACACAGAAGTGTACGTGCCTTACGAGAGGCTGGGAAGGAGAGTGAAGTCGAAGCGGTCATATCTGGGCGCGACACTCGGGCCATGTTTTCTTGGCGGACTCGGTTCGCCGCTAACAACGCGTTCTCTTCGCGTCTGCTCTTTAAGTCTCGTCTCCCACCTCTTTGTTCTCTTCACATCACAACACATCTTACCTTCCTCGCCACTGTCCACTCTCAACCCAATTGGACTACGACAACCTCACAACAGACAACATGAGCATCGATACCACGCCTTCAAAGAAGGTTAGCAATGACATCGTCGCCGCCACTACATCATCGTTCCAACTAACATGCTTCCCAGGCTGCCTCCCGCATTGAGAGTCTGAAGATGGAGTCACCCGTCAAGATGCAGAAGCTAGCCACCGAAGAGAACAAAGAGAACCTCGACGCCCGCTACGAGGCCGACGAGGTCGCCGTCCCCATCAAGGGCATCCCCGAACTGCCAGAGGATGAGCCAAAGGTTGCAGAGACCGGTGTCGCGCCCACAATAAAGGAGGATGAGATGGACGAGCCCATACTGCGGGAGAACGCGAACAGATTCGTGCTGTTCCCGATCAAATATCACGAGGTTAGCGCGCTGTCCGCACGACGCGACCCAACGCGTAAAGTGTGTGCATGATCAACCCCACTAACCCTTCACACAGATATGGCGGATGTACAAGAAGGCCGAGGCGTCCTTCTGGACCGCAGAGGAGATTGACCTGTCGAAAGACCTCCACGACTGGAACAAGCGCCTCAATGACGACGAGCGCTTCTTCGTCTCCCACGTCCTGGCTTTCTTCGCCGCATCCGATGGCATTGTCAACGAGAACCTGGTCGAGCGCTTCTCCGGTGAGGTGCAAATACCTGAGGCGCGCTGCTTCTACGGCTTCCAGATCATGATGGAGAACATCCACTCTGAGACCTACTCCCTCCTCATCGACACATACATCAGCGAGCCCAAGCAACGCACATACCTGTTCAACGCCATCGACAACATCCCATGCATCCGTAAGAAGGCTGACTGGGCGTTGCGGTGGATCTCGGACAAGGACTCTACCTTCGCCTGCCGCCTCATCGCCTTCGCTGCCGTCGAGGGAATCTTTTTCTCCGGCTCATTCGCCGCCATCTTCTGGCTCAAGAAGCGTGGTCTCATGCCTGGCCTCACCTTCTCTAACGAGCTCATCTCTCGCGACGAGGGCATGCACACCGACTTCGCCTGCCTTCTCTACTCACACCTCAACAACAAGCCCTCAGCAGCCCTCGTCGAGTCCATCATCACAGAGGCCGTCACTATCGAGCAGGAGTTCCTCACAGACGCCCTTCCCTGCGCACTCCTCGGCATGAACTCGAAGCTCATGTGCCAGTACATCGAGTTCGTCGCCGACAGACTACTACTCTCGCTCGGCAACAGCAAGTTCTACCACGCCACCAATCCCTTCGACTTTATGGAGAACATTTCGCTCGCGGGCAAGACCAACTTCTTCGAGAAGCGGGTGGGAGACTACCAGAAGGCGGGCGTCATGGCGTCGACCAAGAAGCACGACGAGAAGAAGCCTGGTGCCGTGGCCGAGGCTGCGCCCGTCATGAACGGCGACTTTGCTTTTGACGAGGACTTCTAGATGATTGATTGTGCTTTGACGGCGTCACGAGGAGTTGTGGATTGGATATGGGTGGGTGGGATGATGCACTTGTGATACACTACTCTGTTTTGCTTGTCTGTACGTTGCATACGCAGAAGGCGCATTAGCGATGGTCGCCTGTTCGTAGCCAGCTGAACTGAAATCATGAAATTCGTATTCTTCCTCATCATGCTTCGTTCTCGTCAAGCAGCACAAGCTCCATCCTCCAAGCTCGCCCAACAGGATCGGAGATTTTGCCTCGCATGCCTTCCCACGAGCGATTCGTGTGCATTAGTTCGACACTGTGACGTCCGCATGCAGCAGCGCAGCACGAGGCAAGCTGTCTCGAAGTGGGCAAGGCATGGGTGTGGATCACGTCAATCCAACCTTCCCGCCAAAGTCCGTTGCGCGCATGTCAGCAGCGTGCACAACCATCTTCCCGCTTCCGTTCGTATGCATTCTGGGTGCTCCCTTTCCCTCAGGCGTTGTTGAGTATTGTTCGAGATATTGATTGAGCCTATCCTACGTACTCCGAGCATTCACCTGCGCCGTTCGCTCTGCTTCCACCTACCTATCCAGTCACACGCACAGAAGAACATGTCCGCCAGGATCCGGTAGCCCAGACCAGGCGCATAGCGTGTATAATGCGCGTAAGATTTAGCAGTCAGCTCCGATAGCACCATGGCGCAACCAGCGGCACCCGCCATCACTTTGACCGACCCAAACAACGACCCTGCCTCCCCTTCCCCCGCCTGGTCTCCCACGCGGGATGCGCCGAGGAATACAATTCCACCGGATGTGGGCGGAGTGCTGAGGAATGGGGGTGGGAGGCCCGAGACGCCTACGCGGAGGCAGGGGGGAGGCCGACCAGAGTCTTCGAGTGGAGGGTGGGGGAGCCCGGGCAAGTTGACGAGGACACTGTCGTCGAGCAATGGGAACCCCGCTGCGGCGTCGAGGGATGATGTGTTCAGGATCAAAGAGGGAGAGGGGGAGGGAGGCATGGGGGCTATGGATCCGTTGTCCCAGCACATTCTCAAGCGCACCAATGCGCCGCCCCCGATGAACACGTCCATGCGACCCACGACAGCAGAGGGAGGAGCAAGAGAAGATGTCAAAGCTCCGTCAGAACAAACAACGACAGCACCCGCCGTACAGCCGTTGAGGAATGTCGATACGAACGATAGCAGCATTTCGCAGTCGACGAATAACAACTCCCAGAAGGATCTGCGGAAGGGTGTCAAAGCCGTTTCGTTCATTTCACGCCTGATGGGAAACAAGAAAAAGGACGAAGCAGGTCCTATAGCCGACGATGAGTCTGTCTCAAACGAAGGCAGACCTGAGGGCACGGATGCCCAGGTCTTCTCGCAGCCATTGGATAATATGAGCTTCAGCCCACGAATGCCCCAACCGCCTTCTTACATCAAGGTACGGGCGAAGCACAAGAAGACCCGGGACTTCGACCGCTTGTTCCTGGCGCAGGAGCTGGACTGTCGCAAGCGGAGGAAGGTTGAGAGGCAGAACAGCTCGAGTAAGTTGCGGAGAAAGAACTCTGCTACGCCAGCTGAGCAGGATACTGTATGGGCCATGGAGTTCAGTAGGGATGGCAAATACTTGGCCGCGGCTGGTGCAGATGGCGTGGTGAGAGTGTGGGCGGTGCTGTCGAGCTCAGAAGACAGGCAGAAGCACGAGAAGCAGGAGGCGCAACAGAGTGAGGGCAATGGAGTGGACGCACATGCTGAGCACCTGAGCGCACCAGTCTTTCAGAGCCAGCCGATACGAGAGTTTGAAGGCCATGGATCGACGATTTTGGACCTCAGCTGGAGCAAGAACAATTTCCTGCTGTCCTCCTCGATGGACAAGACCGTTCGCTTATGGCATGTCAGCAGGACGGAATGCCTCTGTACCTTCAAGCACGCGGACTTCGTGCCCTCCGTTGCTTTTCATCCGAAAGACGACCGCTTCTTCCTGGCCGGCTCGCTGGACTCTCGACTCAGGCTCTGGAGTATCCCAGACAAAAGCGTCGCTTACACTGCTCGGCTCAACGACATGGTCACAGCGGTGGCGTTCACACCAGATGGGAAGCACGCCATAGCAGGCTGCTTGAGCGGTCTATGCATGTTCTACGAGACCGAAGGCCTGAAGTACCAAACACAGGTGCATGTGAGATCGGCTAGGGGCCAGAACGCAAAAGGCAGCAAGATCACTGGCATACACGCTCATCACGATCGAAGGGGCGATGTGAAGCTTCTCATCACGAGCAACGATTCGCGCACCCGGCTGTACAATTTCCGCGACAAGAATCTGGAGCTGAAGTTTCGTGGAAATGTGAACAATAGCAGCCAAATCCGCGCGACGGTGAGCGATGATGGCAAATTCGTGGCCTGTGGAAGCGAAGACAGAAAAGCCTACATCTGGTCCACCGGCCCTGGCGAGGGCGAGAAGCGGGACAAGCGACCTCTCGAGCTCTTCGAAGCGCACGACTCCACCACGACGGCCGTCTGCTTCGCGCCGGCCAAGACCAGGCACCTGCTTAGCAAGTCTGAAGATCCGGTCTACGATCTGTGCAATCCACCTATAGTACACTTGATGAGCCGCGCAGAGCGAGCGGAGAGCCAGACCTCTTCCAAACCGCCCACAGAGAACGGAAGCGTCCAGGCGACTCCGGCAGATCCTGACTCCCGCTTCGAGAAGCCCAAGGAGTCTGCATCTTACGTCGCACGCTCGAGCCACAAGTGCGGCAACATCATCGTTACAGCAGATTACACCGGCAAGATCAAAATCTTCCGCCAAGATTGCGCATGGTCGAAACGCCGCCTCGACGACTGGGACCGCAGCTCCATCTTCAGCAAACGCACCGGTCGCATGAGCCGGACAGGCTCGGTCATGACGCGCGGTAGCCAGCCGAGCTTACGCGAGGGTAGGAACTCGACCAGTCTCTCCGGGCCATCGGACAGGATATTGTCCTGGCGCCAAGGCATCGCGAGCTCCCCGAGCGTGGACCGTGAAGCTTCGCAGAAAGATAGTAATCGCGGCGTCTCCCCCGGCAAATCCTCGTTCGATCGCACATCCAGTCCCGCCGAAGCGAGGAAAGCCGCGCACAGGAATAGCGGCAAATGGACTGGCTGGGCGACGAGTCTGCGCTCTGAGACGAGGTCTGACTCCGCCCCCCCGGATCCTGAGATGCCTATGCGCGTCGACACGGCCAAAGCCCGCGGTGCCGCTGATGACGCGGGTAGGAACAGCGCTGGTAGTGGCGGGAGTCCGCGCTCTGGCTCCCCTCGTTCCCTGCGGGAGGAGAACCCTCTTCTGCTGTCGGGGGGCCGGAGCTATATGTTCTGGGACACGCAGGAGTGGAAGGGGCGCGCGGAGCGGCAGCAGCAGGTTGCTCCGGACCAGTTGCCGCTGACGCCGATTGCTTCGCGGGAGGACGCGACGCCTGGAGGCCAGCAGCAGCAGCAGCAGCTTAGGCCGGGTTTGGGGAGAGGCGCGACGGTGGTGAGTGAGTTGAGCGATGAGAAGAGTAGTGTGAGCGAGTATGATGATGCTGAGGAGGGGGCGGAGGATGGGGGTGGGGATGGCGCTGGTGCGAGACAGGGCAGTGACGTCGATACGAAGTGTAGGAAGTGTGGCGGGCTGTCTTTTGGAGCGAGGAAGGTGGATGGGGGGACGTGTTTGGTTTGTGTTAAGTGTGGGACGAAGGTATGATCATCGCGATCGCTTCGATTGGATAGCACCCCAAGAAGCAGGGAGGGGGACATTGTTCACTAGTTCTTCAATGAATCACAAATCGCGTCCCGTTCAAGACACCCTCCTGCTCCATGCGAATAGCTTCGCCATACATCAAGCCGGGTGCATACGCCTCGCCGACTAGCGTGCAGTGCACCGTGCCGTTTTCCTCCGCCAGGCCCTCTTGAGGACCCTCAGTCTTACGCAGGATGAAGGGCACCTTTCCACCCTTCAGAACGCACACCATATCGCCGGCTCTGATGTCCATTGGTCCCAGCCCGATGTAGCCTTGCGTTGATATGAAGAAGTTCTTGCGATCTACCACCGTCTGGACCAAGCTGCCAATAGCTCTCAGCTCGTCTCTGTCTCTTCCTCGCAGCTTCAGTAGTTCAATCTGTGGACTCTCTTCGACCTCTACGTGCCAGAAATGCGCGAACAAGGCTTTGTTCAGCACCGAATGTTCAATGCCCATCTTGGCGAAGTCTGGACAGGAGATGTAGCGGCTCTTCCTGATGTGGTCTAGCAAGTGTGTGCTGGCTGTCAAGGTTTTTTGGAACGCATCATGTACGGTCTCGTTGCTCCCGGAGCGGTATGTCATTGCGCGCAGTCGCGACCACCATGGCTTTTCAAGGACGAAGGCGTCTTGGCCCTCAGGGCGCTCCACAGCGTCAGATTCCACAGCTCGACGAACTTCACGCATGTTCCCTTCAAAATCAGTGTATTCACCAGGACCGAGGGCTCGTCTTTGAGCAGGTCCGCTGCCACGATCTCCACGAGCTTCGTTCAATGCTAGGAAAGAGTGCTCTGGATGAGCTTGATTGACTCTCTTGTGGCACCTACAGCAGTAGTGGACGTCGACACATTGTCGACACTTGTAGTACGGTCCCCAAACGACCCGCCCGCAACCATGACAGTCAAGAAAGCTGTCCACAAAGGTACTGATGTTCAACCGCCACTGAATCAAATCGTTTTTGGGGAAAGGACCGAAGTGCGGATCCTGTCGCTCGTCCAATTCTTGTATCTCGTCGCAGATTAAACCAGAGATCGTCATGCGTTCTTCCGAGAACGAGAGTCCAGTAGTCGCGACAGGCGCAGCAGCGAAATTGGCACTCAATGTCTTGTAAGTCATCTGGTTATGCAGTTGCCAGTATATCCCAATCATTTCTTGACTCCAGTCCGGGCACCAAGAAGGTAGGTCTTGTCTCCGCATCATAGGCATCCTCGAGCCAGACTGCTGCGCGGAACGTCCAAGGTATTTCGCCCAGTCCGTCGCCGCGCCTGCATATACGCATCTGAGTGTCTCGAGCCCGCTCGGTCTGAGTAATAGCTTCTTGGCACAATGGATAAGACAGTCTCGCAACGGCAGTCGGTAGTTCACGAGGCCGTCTGGGACGTCGCACGCCATGCTGGTGAATGCGAAGACTTTGTCGCGCGCATCAGACGTCCGCCTGAACCTGTAAGCGTCAATGAGATCCAGAAGGTCGAAGTCGTTCTTGTGTAATTTATGGCGTCTCTGCGCAAGGTCGTAGACAGCATAGCGGTACCCGGCGTAATATTCGGTTCTGTCGACGCCTTTCTCGAAGGAGTCACAACAACTCTTAGTTACGATCAAGTGTCTCTCCAATGCTGTCACGAAGCGCACGTGTTCTTCGAATGACAGTTGCTGGTCGCCGAGATAGAACACAAGTTCCTTGGCGAAGACGGCCTCCTGTGTCGTCCATGCCCTCGACCACCACGAGTTCCTGTTCCTGAACAAGTCATTGAACAGTTTATCACAGGCATCCTCAGAAAAGTGGGCGTCTCGGTCGTTCCCGTGCAACAAGATAAGAGAAGCCATACCGTTGCTGTTGTCGCCGAGCCACACGTTGACTCTGAAAGCACCCCGGTAGATGTCACCCATCATGTTGACCTGGTCTGTCCGTTCATCTGGATCTTCCTGATTTATGCAAATCGCATCCGCCCATAGAGCGCGAGGTGCCCTTTCCCGACGTAGAGTGGACAAGGCTGCGAAAAGATTCTTGGTCACTGTCATCGGCTTGCCAGCCAGAGTTATGATTTCAGGGTCGGCTCTGCTGCCCCAGGTATAGGACAGTGCTTCGTACTCTGGCTTCTGTTCGAGGCTGACAACATTGAGCCCACAAGTCAACGCACCGCCATCTGTGTCAGCAGTCGGCGGCTGGATAGTGATCAGGCGTATCTCTCGTTTCTCTCTATTCAACCTTTGATATATAGGGATGTCCAGCTTGGGAGGGTCGATCTCTTCTTGATCCATGATGATTGGAGTTCTCAAGCTGTTGATAGACGATAAGGTTGAGAGCGAAAAGGCACAACTCGGGAGCAGGTCAAGGAAATATACGCACCTCGAGGCTAAGCTGTGCCTCACTCCTCATCAGGTAGAAGCTACATGGGTATAGATGAACGCACCGCTCAGACCCAGCCTAGCGCGTTTGACGGCTGGCGAGCATAGCGCAGCCTTGCGCATGTCATGAAGCCTCAGAAGACGAAACCATCGCGTGGTGTTTGTCAGGTATAATGCAAGATATCGGTTCGCCATCTGGCTCTCGCAGACCATTGATGCGCAACAGCTAGGTAGCTTGGATCAGAGGATACTTCATTAAGACATGGATTTTTGGAAGAGGAGGCATGCGGAATGAAGTCAAAGCGCAGCATGTAATGTCAAGATGAGTCAGCACGACATCGAACATCAACTTTCGAGATATCGGCCTCGCGGCCGTCTCCCATCTTAAAGACAAGCGAAGAGAATGTTTTCTGCGAGGACACCACCCCGAATACACAACATCTGCGCCCAATGCCTCCGCCACTCCAAGCGTCGCCTCTACAGCAGCACATCAAACAACCCACCTCCACCTCCCCCAACCGGCACAGCCAAACTTACCAACCGCCGCCTCGTCTCCCTCCACGGCCAAGATGCGCCCAAATTCCTCCAAGGCCTAGTCACAGCCAACGTCCGTCCGGACTCCCGCTCCGGTTTCTACGCCGCTTTCCTCACCGGCCAAGGACGAGTCCTGAACGATGTCTTCATCTACCCTACCCTTGGCTCGCGCTGGCATCAAGACGTGAATAAGAATGAAGAGCAAGGGTATCTGGTGGAAGTAGATGGCGAGCAAACGGAGGCGCTGATGAAGCATTTAAAGCGGCATAAGCTGCGGTCGAAATTGAAGTTACGGCTGCTGGAGGACGGGGAGTTGGATGTGTGGGGTTTGTGGAGGGAGGATGAAAGATGGACGGCGCATACGAAGGGGCAGAAGGAGGGAGGGTTGATTGGGCTGACGGATTGTAGGGCGCCGGGGATGGGGCAGAGGGTGTTGTTGCCGGAGTCTAGGTCGCTGGCTGTGCTGGGAGCGGAGGCGGAGGGTGTTGAGGAGGCGCCGCTGGATGCTTATAGAGTAAGGAGGTATCTGAAGGGAGTGGTGGAGGGGCAGAATGAGATTCAGCGGGAGGAAGCGCTGCCTATGAATGCGAATATTGACATTATGGGTGGGATTGACTTCAAGAAGGGATGTTATATTGGGCAAGAGTTGACGATCCGGACGCATCACACTGGAGTTGTTCGAAGACGAGTTCTGCCGATAGCGTTGTACGATCATGGAAGGGAGCCTCCGGGGACACTGACCTATGATGCTGGATCGGGCAGACCACTACCAGAGCACGATGTGGACATCCGCAGGGACGACAAGCGAAAACGAGCTACTGGCAAGTTCATTGCTGGCATTGGGAATGTCGGCCTAGCGATGTGCAGGCTGGAGCAGATGAGCGATCTCACTGTCTCTGGCGAAGGCAGTTCCTTCAGCCCTGGCGACCGCTTCGTCGTTCAGAGCCCAGATGGCCGGGATATTGGTGTCAAGGCATTCGTGCCGGACTGGATCCGCGGCAACGTTCGAGAGGCAAAAGTGCAGAAGCGCGTCACATGAAGAAGATTTACAGAAGGCTGCCTATCTTTTACCCTCCGTCCAGTGCTCGCCACCACCCATTAGAGTGGTGCCCTTGTCGAGATCACTATTCTGCTTCTCGCCAATCCACTGTGGCTTCAGGGCCATAAGACCGGCTTCGACGTTCCATGCCCGACCACCCTCGATATACATGGTGCCGCCGTTCACCTTGCCGTCCGCCATTACACCAAGGATGACTTTGGCGACATCTTCGGCAGTGTTTGCTGGCAGACCGGCCTTCTCCCAGGTCGCATCAAGGTTGGCGGTTAGACGGGTCCTGGAGCACTGTCAGCTACGATCTTTTAAACGAGTAGGTGGGTCTGAGCTGACTTTGTCATCCACGGCGAGATGGCGTTCGTCCGGATCTTGAACGGAGGCTGGATCAGATGTCTGCTGCGCGTTAGCATTAAGAATCCCCGGCTTCCATTGTCACCTTACTCCCTCAACACCCTCATCATCCCCAGCACGCCATGCTTCGCCGGCACATAAACATTCAACCCAGGATCCTCCCGGAACCCAGCCACGCTACTAACGAGCGTCAAACTGCGATCCGAGCCACCTTCGCCTTGCCTCAGATACACCGAGGCAATGTTGCCAAAGTACAGCGGGCCCTTAAGACACACATCGACGACATTCATCGCCTTCTTCGGCTCCTCCCGCACCGACTCGAGCGTCATCTCCGGATCAAACGTGCGGCCTTGCTCGCCCAGTCCGGCGTTCGCTACCGCATGGTCGATTCGTCCGCAGGTCTTGAGCGCTTCGTCGAAGAGGGCGAGGTTCTGGTCGTAGGATGTCACGTCGCAGTGGATGTATTTGACATGGGTTTTCGAGTTGGCGGAGAGTTCTTGGGCGAGGGCGGAGCCGGGTTCGTCGAGGACGTCGCCGAAGAAGACGTGGGCGCCGGAGGCGTGGAGGAGGCGGACGAGGGAGGCGCCGACGCCTAGGGCTCCTCCTGTTAAGACTACGACTCTGTCTGCGAGGGCGCTGCCGGAGGAGGGGTGGAACTGGTACGTCATTTTGATGAAGTCTCGATCTAACTGGCGTCTGTGGGAAGGTCGATCACGGTTTGAGACAATCTATGCTGAGATACATCTCCAGACTACTTACTCTGCTATATATTCCCATCAATACTGCCGGCACTTGTTCGACGATCTGGATGCCCCGCAGTCTCCACAGCTCGAATGTATATGCGGAACATCTTCCGATGCCGCCATTCTTCATCATCAATGGTTCTTCTCCAGCTACCTTACTCTGCATGGCTGTGAGATCTCGCGGCACATTGAGGCCTTTTGCCTTGCATAATGTGCTGGAAGCAAGACCTCAGAAGGCAAAAGCCCGCTACACTCTAATCGGTGGCTGTCTTCGTTGCCTTCTCTAGCCGGCCCACGCCTTACTTGCTTGAACCTCACCTTCCCTATTATCTCTCATCACCTGCAAATGCTCGCTCTGTCTTCTGCTGTCAGTATTCACTCGTGAACGTCGGGGTTACCGAGGCTCTGCTCATGGTATGACTCGTCAATGAGGCTGAGCCAAGTCCATGCCATGTGACCTGTGATTTTCCGCTTTTGAGGCCTCCGAATCTCTTTCGAAACCTTCCACAGCCACTTAACACGACAACAACCAAAACAAATCAACGACTAGTAACATGATCAACCACCACCAAACTAGCCTGATTGCAATCGTCCTCCTACCCAACAACAACCGCTGAGAGCCAACCAGGCCTGCCCCCGCGTAGGCTCGTATCGAGCCACATGAATCAATCACCCCACGTCGTCTCCACCAGCGGCTGCTTCTTTTCCCCAGACGCCGCATATCGTCGGTTCAGCACATCCACTGCCATGGAAGCCAACGGCTTCCAAATGAGGCCCGACGGAGACGTCCAGTACGAGTCGCCGCAGCCGAACAAGGCCCAGAACGCGGCCAACCACCAGCGTACATACCAAGGTGAGTAGCCCTGCTAATCTCGAGCTATCGCACATACTGACTTGGTTGATAAGCATGTATACCGTGCCGCCAACGCAAAGTACGCTGCGATCTGGGCTCGGTCGACAACCCTCATGACCCGCCGTGCTCGAGATGCAGGAGAGAGTCGAAGACGTGCTACTTCTCTGCTACCAGGCGTAAGAAGAAGCGACCCGGCGTAGATAACAGCGAGACCTACTCGGATGCCGGTGACGATGTGCCATACGAGATCAAGGATGGTAGGAAGAGGGCGAGGACATCGTCTGGTGCAGACCTCGAGCAGTACGACCCTCCATACGATGCGCCGCGCACGCCGGGTGGCTCCATAGGCAGAACGCAGCCTCTCAACAGACCAGCGGCGCCCAAGCATGTCCACTACGGCGAAGAAGATCACAAAGCCAGCGAGCAGACCGTAGGACTACTCCAGGCAGCAGAGGTACACGGTGGGCATGATGCACTCAAGCTACTCTACGAAGCTGCGACAGTGCAAGGCGGTAGGATGCCGAGCAAAGACAGCGGCACCCTCACCGGCATCAATGGTGTCTCGCCTGCTTCGGGCCCTTCCATCACCGCACGGAGCCCAGTCGTCGATGTGCCTGGTACATGGCAAGCTGGACCAATGGGAATATACAAGAACGATCCGATGTGGACGAAGTCAGACATCGACTACGGCATCAAGAGTGCGCCAGCAGATCCAGCCATCACAGTCAACTCGCCTGGATACGCTTCTGCCATAAAGGCTTGGTCGCGCTTCCGATTCGTTCGCGCAGGCTGGTTCACGGCAAGAGAGGCTATTGAATATGTCGAGTACTTCTACAAGCACCTCTCGCCGCTCACGCCGGTCGTCCTACCCGACTTCCGTGATCTGGGCACCCATGAGAAGCTCCTCACCCAGGAACCTATGTTGACGATCACCATCCTCCTAATCTCTTCTCGCCACATGAGGCTTCAGGGACCGGGCGCGGTAAGCCGTCCATACTCCATTCACCAGAAGCTCTGGACCTACCTCTCTGGCATGATCAATCGTGTTATCTGGGGCCAAGAACAGTTCGGCGGTGGCTTCTGTGGCGCTGGTGCTGAGCCTGGATGCGACGTCAACCCTCTCTCCCGCAAAGGTCTTCGTACCCTAGGCACCGTAGAGTCGCTAGCCTTGCTCACGGAGTGGCACCCAAGAGCCATGCACTTTCCGCCCGATGAGGCTGACGACGAGCTCATGGTACCGGAAGAGTCTTCCCGCCCAATCGACTTCAGCGAGCAGGCAGACCCATCACAAGGCATAAGTGGGCAGCGCATGGATGCGTGGCTTGAGCCCTGCTGGCGCAGCGATCGGCTCTGCTGGATGCTGCTTGGTATCTCAATGTCGCTTGCCTTCGAGATCGGAGTGTTTGACAAGACTGAGTGGCAGCGCCATGCTCGATCCACTGACGGCCACCCTCTCTCTGCTGATGAGCTGCAATCGTACGACCGCCGCCGTGGTAGTGTCAGAGACATCCTCCTCATCTACGTCAGCCAGACTTCAGGTCGACTTGGGCTGACTTCCATGCTTCCAAGCACCTACTCCACGCCTGAAGACAGCGACCTCTACAAGCGCATAATCGGACAACACGAGACTATGCAAGAGACGGTCCTGCACTTCTGGCTCCGCATGGCTGCCATCATGCGCGAAGGCAACCACACCCTCTATGCAAACAAGACCTTTACTCGAGATCTCATCAGGAATGGCGACTACAAAGCTGCCTTGGCGGCGCTCCAGACACCGCTTCGTGAGTGGCGCCAAGACTTCGACAAAGCAGCCTCGATCCCTCAGTATATGCGGTACATCCTGCAGATTGAGTTTGAATATTGCCGGGTCTACATCAATGCATTAGCACTGCAAGCTGTCGCAGAGCGGTGCGCAAACGATCAAGCATTCTCGCTCAATGATCCACCACTTGAGTTAGCTCGCAACTCCGCTGTGTCCACGAACGGCGTCCGCAGCGACGTTGCTATCGCACCCCCGACTCTTGCGAAATGGCTCGGCGGTGACCGGTTCTACCTTCACGAAGTCGGCGAAGCGTCTCGTAACCTGCTCAAGGTGGTCGTCGATGGCCTCTACCCTGGCGAGTACCTCAGACATGCGCCAGTCCGGACATACTTCCGCATTGTTAGCGTGGCGATCATGCTGCTCAAGTCCTTCTCACTGGGTGCAAGCGAGAGCGACGTGCAAGACTCTCTGACGCTAATGGATAAGACTGTTGCTGCGCTGAAGGGGTGCATTGTCGATGATGTCCACGTGGCTAGTCGCTTCGCGGACCTCCTCAACAACTTGACACAGAACCTCAAGCCACGTCTGGTGCGCATTGCGGGCGATGGTCGCTCCGGTCGCAGCCGCCGCGTCAGCCACCAAGGCAGCCCTGAGCCGCTGCAAGCTCAACTCGGCACAGCGAACCAGAAGCTCCAGCAGCACCAACAGCAGACGTCCATGAACGGCGTGCAAAGCCAAAATCAACAGCAATGGGCCTACAACACCACCTCCAACCCAACAACCATGGCCCCCAACCACCCCATGTACGGTATCTCAAGCGACGCCTACGACCTCTCCGGGCCAGACAACAACTTCTCCGTCATGCCCCCACCCTCCTTCGGTTTCCAATCCCCCACCAACCAATTCACCCAACCGACCAACAACACGACTCCCGGCGGCTCAGCCATCGACCCGTACCTGCAGAACTTTAGCAACGACAACTCGATGCAGGACTGGTTGACGCTGCCGCTGGATCCGCTGCTGAATATGAACGGCGCGGACGTCACACAGACGATGTATGGGCCGCAGCTGGGGGAGTCGGATATGCTGGAGTTGTTGCTCGGGCCGAATAATTATGGGGTGTGAGGGGGGTTGGTAGTCTGGGAGTTGGGAGGGGAGAGATGGCTTTTCAAGGGTGCTGCTATGGCTTTAAGGAGTGCTTTGAAATGGGGGCGTCTCTCGTTGAGGACTGGATGGTGCTTTTGGTGATCAATGGGGAGGCAAGAGGAACGGGCAGGATGCGGTACTCTGGCTCCGACGGTTCACTGTGCAGAGGATGATGGCTTGATGGAAATGTTTCTCATGATACCCACGACACTCTAGGTAGCTCTCCCGTAGCTGAACCGAATGTCATTCTTCACTTGATACTATAAGTAGCCCCCAACCTCTCCATCAAATGCCCCCGCGCCGTCATCCCCTCCCTCATCCCCTTCCTGCCCGTCCGCTCCGCATGTTCCCTCACCACCTCGCTCGGCACAGGATCCAACGTCGCGTCGTCCAGCGGGTGACAGAAATAGGCTATACTGTACCTATCACTCCCCTCCCCTTCCTCTTCCGCCTCCTCCCCGGGTCTAGGCGAGGATGTGGTGGGGAAAACAACCCGATGCCTCGTCGACCTCAACAACCCCCCCGTCCAATCCTCCAGTAAATCGCCTATATTCACCAATATCGGCAACGGCTCCCCTGCCGCTCTCTCACTGCCTTTCGGATCGACGGGTACACTCACCCATTCCCCTTCCCCTTCCCCTGAGCCGTGGGGGGTAGGTTTCCAAATCTCCAACCCGGGTTGGCCGGGTCTTTGAAAAAGCAGAGTCAGGGACCCGAAATCCGAGTGCGCGCCCGCGCGTACGTCGACACCTTGCTCTACTTCCTCGGCGGGTAGGGCAGGGTAGTAGAGGAGGCGGAGCACGGTTCCAGATCGCCCGAGGGCTGGGTCGTGTTTTTCGGAGAACCAGGATGGCGGGATTTCGAGGGCATGCGCGAGGTGGTGTAGGAGCGTGAGGCAGAGTTCGTGGCAGCGGGATTGGAAGGAGAGGATGGAGTTGAGATGGGCGCGGAGGGGGGTGGGGAGGGGTTGTTGCAGTTGGCCGGAGATGGGGGCGCCGATGTTTAAGGCTCTGAGAGCTCGTTAGCTGAGCCGTAGAAGCAGTGAAGGTGCAAGTAAAAAGGAGAGGAGATACTCCTTAACATCCGCCCTCCTCTGCCCCCCCGGACCCGGATCCAACTTCTCCACCCCCCTGCTCAACCATCCATAGTTCGCACCCGCTGCATTAGAGCCTATAGCGACGTCTTGCTTGACTTCGAGCGGAGAGGCGAAGAATTCTTTAGATAGAGAGAAGAGGTTGTCGATGTCTGCGGTTGGGATGCCAAGCTCGTTGTTTTCGATGAAGACGAAGCCGTAGGTGGTGGCGGCGGAGAGGAGTTGGTGAGAGGCGTGGGGGTTGGTGGGGCTGAGGTTCACGGTGGGGATTTGCATGGTGGTGGTTTGGTTGGAGTGGTGTGGTTGTAATGATGGGGATGGATCGAAGATTATCTATGGATGCTTAAGGTATAGCTGCATGATAAGGAATTGTGGCATGAGGTTTGACAAACGTATAACGAATGACGAGGAGAATCTAAATCCGACGGCAAGTCTTGTTGAAAAGCATTTTCATACGTAGCTACAAGAAGCATAATGCGGCTCTACTGCTTCTCTGCAGAAGATGCTCGGTCTATGATCCTGCACAGCAGCAGCACAACTCCGATTGACGGTCAAAGCTGACGCCCGGTATATCCCCAATACGCCTCGCTATCACCAACTGAATGCACGCCTCCCAGACTCGAACAGAGCATTAGCCCTGCTCATCCACCCTTCCTGGGTCGTCGGCGAGTTCTGTCCTCCATCCTCACTGCCCTCACCATCCTTCCTCGACGACACCTCCTGACCCTCAACCTCCTAAGTCTTCGGGTTCGAAGTAACCGCCGCCTTCCGGATAGGCAACCCCCCACTCCCCTCCGCCCCAGCCTCCGGCGTCTGCGTCCCCGCCGGCGTCCCGATGCCGGAGAAAGGACTCGTGGCCCCGGAAGGCGGCACCGGCATCTTGATGTCCTCCGGACTGCCCGGGATGAGCTTCTGCGGGAGGTCGGGGATGTGGATGCGCTTGGCGGAGTTGTTGTAGGAGGCCGGGATGATCTCGATGACTTCGTCGCGGGGGAATTGGAGGGAGGGGATGTCGCCGGCGGAGCAGGCCATGAGGTAGCCGTAGAGGACGCGCAGGACGGATTCGTGGGCGATGATGAGGAGGTCGTTGTTCTCGCGCTCGAGCTCGAGGATGATGGGTTCGAGGCGGACTGCTAGGTCGTGGTAGGACTGGGAGTAGACGTGTTAGCATGTGGATTACAAATGGACGAATGATGTGCATACCTCTGCGCGGGGGTAGCGGTGATGGTACGGATCCTGCTCATGCTTCGCCACCTCCTCAGGAAAGTTCTGCCTGATCTTCTTCTCGCTCATCTTCTCGCACACCCCTGGGTTCAACTGGCTCATCTGACTGCGCTGCCTCACCCTATACCCCTTCCCTTCGAAATATGCCGAAGTTTCCACAGTGCGCCTCCTCGTGCTCGTCCAGATCGTCAAAGGCTTGAGAGCGGTAGTCTCTGGTGCACCATGAGCGATCAGATTCTGCCGTTCAGACTCGCGATGTGAGATCAACGTCTCGGTCATCTTGCTCGCATAGTCCTCGCCTTCCGTACTAAGACTGGCGTCTGCTTTGTAGCTGTCCTCGTCCTTGGTGGTCCCAGCACGACAGAAGTAGATCTGCCTGCTCTTGATGTGAAGGTTGAGCAGATAAAAGACGATCCGCTGTGAGAGATAGCCGAAAGCGCAGTTGTTACTAACCACGCGCTGACCGGCGTTCAGCATCTTGACGTAGTGGAGCTCATTCTCCTCCATCGATTCATAGTGCGGTATCCGAGCGTTGATGCGCTTGAGATAGTCTTGCACGGCGTCTTCTGGCTTCCACCCAATGTAGTCTGGTGAGCTGATTTTGACGGATCTTACGTTCTCCTCGATGATCCGCTCATCCGTGCAATGACTCTCGATGAACAGCGTCTGCACATTGTGCTTCTCGAACTCCTTGGCGAGTGCCCTCCTGCCCGAGCTGAGCGGATTCACAGCATCGTAGATTGCAATCTGGCCGTTCTCGGCGTCCAGAAAGTGGAGGATATCCTCCCTACACTTCTTCAAGATCTTGTTGCGCATGAGCACGGTGGGCGTTGTGGCGTTCACGTGAAAGTAGTCTTCCGGCACGTCACCCTGTTGCCCCACGTACGACCTGCGATAGTCTCCGAGATGGAAGATGTGCGTCTTCACACCGAGCCAGCGGAGGTAGCGGGCTAGTGCAACACTGATGTGAGTTTTGCCTCTGGCTGGGAGGCCGACCGTGGCGATCACGATCCGACCTGAGTGGAAGAGACGTCCAGACTCCGTTGAGTAGAGTTGAGCGGGCGCCATGGATTCTTTCTCCGGCAGGTCGTGAATGGCGTCGACATAGGTGCTCGATCGACGGCGGAAATTGGGCGAGTTGGCCGCCAAGTCTGCGGTCAGAAGGGTGTCCATGGTGAAGTGTAGGCCTCAGAGCAGTCCTGACAGTTGGTTGATCAGGTCTTCAAACAGTTCAGTGTGTCCTGTGACTTCAATCGATTCGAAGACTGTCTGCCTTGTGAGACGTTAGTATGAGAAAGACTTTTGAGTGAATCTCAACCGGCGCCACTCACAGCAAACTGTAATCCAGCAGGTTTCGCTGCCGGCTCCGGGTGGTGTATGTGGACACAGCGGTGCAAGACGGACACAGAAGTCAGTGCTATCGAGGGGATCGGGTGCTTTTGTTCACGTCAGCAACGACTCTCCACATCATCGCGGTCGTACGGCGGCGGTGGCGGGCATTTCGAGTTGTCACGATAAGAGGCAGTATCAGTAAAGCAATGTGACGATGTAAACCATGCCTCCGGCTGCACGGGCCCCCTCGGCCATGTTGAGCCGAGAGTACGGAAAGAAGTCCTGACGCAGCGAAGAGCTTCTGCTGGAGAGCACCACCACGCGACTTCGACACACCACTCGCCCGACGACAGCGACTCCATCGACATCCTTCCATCTTCGGCTGTTATAAGAGAGAAACGGACGAATACAGCTGAAGACACTCGCTCGCTCGCCCGTCGCCCAGCATGGCGGCACCTCCTTTAGAAAAAGTCGACACCTCTCCTCCCGTCACCTCCCCCGATGTCGATGTCGTCGTCGCTCCCCCGGCGCCTCGGACGAATGCCTTCATGGACACCATCCTCGACTCCTACCAGTCCTTCCACGAGCGAAGGCAGGCGTTGGGCCTCAGCAACCCGGGTCCTGTTGACGAGATTGCCAAGGAGGTCCAACGGAGCGTCTTTCTCACCAACCAGACCTTCTCGGGGCTGCGAGCAGAGCTGAACAAGAGCTTCTCCATATACCCCTTGTTCCAGATCAGCCATGCCTTCGCGACTGGTAGCCAGATGCTCTCGCCCTACACATTCCTCGCTCTCTACGGGACGGACAACGTGAGTGCTTCCGTCTCATCAACAAACACGGCATGTCCCTAGACTGACACATAATCTAGGTTCTCTGTCAAGCCCAACTCGACTCCGATGCCTCCTTCTCCGCGCGCTTCAACTCCCGTCTCTCGAACCGCTTCATCTTCAAGTCCAATGTGCAAATGCAACCCGCGCAGATGGGCCAGCCCGGCGCTGCTCAAGTATCGCTGGAGCAAGACTACCGGGGCAGCGACTTCACCGCGCAATTGAAGAGCATCAACCCATCAGTGCTGGAGGGCGGTCTGACGGGTATGTTCATTGGCAGCTACATGCAAAGCATCACGCCGGGATTGGCATTGGGCATTGAGGGTGTATACCAGAGACCAGGCGGTGGCATGGGACCAGAAGCGGCGATCAGCTACGCAGCGCGATACAAATCCAACGACTGGATTGGCAGCTTGCAGCTGTTGACGCAGGGTGGTCTGCAGGGCACCTACTGGAGGCGGCTGACGGACAAGGTGGAGACGGGTGTGGACGTCAACTTGCAGTTTGCAGGCCTTTCTGGCTCGAACGCCATGCTCGGCGGCGCACGGAAAGAGGGCGTAGCGACTTTGGGTGCAAAGTACGAGTTCTCGCGTTCCATCTACCGCGCTCAGGTCGACTCGCAAGGCAAGATTGGCTGCTTGCTGGAGAAGATGATTGCGCCGCCCGTGCGTCTCACGTTCGCGGGCGAGATGGATCATGCGAAGGTAGGACAACACGTCTGCACCACTCTATCGAAAATATGCTAACGCCCACGCTTCCAGAACTCTGCCAAAATCGGCGTCGCAGTCTCCATCGAAGCCTCCGGCGAAGAGCTCATGGAGCAGCAAGACAAGATCAATCCGGCCTCGCCACCCTTCTAAAGTGGTGCCGACTCGGCTCAAAAATCAAATGTAATCTTCACTCTGTAACATACAGCCAGGAGGGGGGGAGGGCTCCGAGGGCTCGTTTCGCATGTCACAGCCACATGCGGCTGACGAGCGCCGGGGGGTTCTGGCATGTGTTCTGAGCATCAGGTAGCGTGTCTTTGTGGGCATGACATGGCGGGGAGCGATGTGCTGCGCTGCGCTGGCATGTGCTGTAGGTATAGAGGGCGGGTGGAGGCGTGTATATATAGCATTCTGAAATGTTTGGAGATAAGGGAGTCTTGAACTTTCTCGTCTGCATTACTACGTCTAACTTTCTCTATCTCATCCACCCCCTCCTAGCTCATCTACGCCACGCCTTCATCCGCCAGCTCTAAGACTAAGTTACTCTCTACTCCGTCAACCCCTCAACCTCATCCCCAAGCGTGCCAACCGTCTCCTCCACCTCATCCAAAAGCCCCCTCACAGTCTCACTAACCTTCGGCCCGGCCTTCTGCAAAATCTTATTCACATTCCCCGTCAAACTCCCCACCACCTGCTCCAACTCACTCAACACCTCATCCAGCCCGTCCGTGCTCGTCTGGCCTGCAACCGCACTCTGCACGTCCGCCGTCAAGCTGTCGAAGCTATCCAACAAGCTGTTCGTCCGCGTGCGCAGGGCCGGGGACACGCGCTTGAGCACATTGCTCAGGGAGTCGCTCATCGAGCTCGCGAGATCGCCGAGGGAGTCGACGAGGTCGGTGACGGTGGCGAGGAGGCTGTTGGCGCTGGTGATGGCGGCGGTGGATTGGAGCTGGATGTTGTTTTGGAGCTTGTCGAGGCGGTCGCAGAGTTTCTGCACGGTTGTGGAGAGGGCGGGCGAGAGGTCGGAGGACACGTCGTCGAGGAGGGCGGTGATTTGGTTCACCGTGGACTGGAGGTCGGTGACGAGGCTGTCGAGTTGGTCTTCGTTGAGAGTTTTGCTGTCGAGGGTATCTTGGATCTCGGACACGAGGTCGTCGACGTTGTCGAGTAGGTCGTCGAGGGTGCGGCCGAGCCCGGCGTCGAGGTTCTTGACGATGGAGACGACGTTGTTGGAGAGGTTGTTGACTAAGCCCAGCACGTAGTCGAGCAGGTCGTCGAGACCCAGGAGGCCGCGCTTCGAGTGGGTTTCGTCCCAGTATTCCTCGGCGGCTTCGTCGCGGTCGGACTGCGGCCACGGCATGGGGAAGTCGAAGTCGTTGTCGTGGTCGTCGTCGTCCGGGGCGTAGGCATCGTCGACGGAGAGGGCGGGGTTGGAGTGAGCGACCCCGGAGTTGTGGTCGGCGGCCGAGTGTGGAGGTTCTGGGTCGTCAGAGCCAAAGTCTGGCATCGGCATGTCGAAGTCGTCGTCGTGGTCGTGGTCGTCCTCGTCGTAGGCGTTGTCCGTCGCGCCGTTGGAGTCGAGCTGGCCTTGGGAAGCAGGGTGCGAGCGCTTGTCTTGGCGGTGCTGGGGGCCCTGGGCCACGAGGTCGAGGATGCGGTGGTGGTGTTCATATCCGACCTCGTTGCTGGGGTCCTCAAGGACGATGGGGACGGCGGAAGCGGCGGCGCTGAGGCCGAGGATGAAGAGAGAGGCACGCATTTTTCTTGCTGCTTGCTGTAGACGAGTGGGAGTGAGAAATGGGTGAATGCAGAGGAGCAGGAGGTAGAGGCTGAGATCGGGGGGATATAGAGGGGGAACGCGGAATTGGCGGAAGGGATGAGGAGAGTTACCAGTGTTTAGGTGAGGAGAAGATGTTCATACTTCTCAATGATCCATGTAAAGTCTTCCTGTGAACATGGAGCAGTCTGTACATGGTGCGCTGTATGAGGCGACGGAGTTGCTGCCGCTTGGTAACTCGATATTAGAGAGTCGGTGACCTTTGGTGCCATCAAGGATATTTCGGAGCTCTTGCTTGAAGCATTTCGGAGCTCTTGCTTGAAGCATTTTGGAGCAATCTGAACTGTGCGCACGAACAAGATGTAGTCGATCCAAGGGCCACATGAGAGAACAAGCGACGGCAGCGGTAGATGTTTCCGGTGATTCCATTATAGGACAATGTATCCTTCCTGAAAGCTTTCTCCTGTACGGGCTCAGTAGTACCAATATTGTGCTGCATCGGAACCGATTGAAGACTGAAGTCGAGAACCGCAGCCTTCCGAAATCGAAACATGGCTCAGGTAGGCAAGAAATAGAATTGTCCCAAAGGCGGCACGCTGAACTTTGGCGTCGAATCGAGCCATTGATGACGGCACCTGCAGTCGCTTTTGTTTCGATACCTACGTGTAAAGCCCAAGATGTAACGGAGTGAGATACCGACTGGGGCTCCGACCGTGGATGGTCGTGTTAGGTCGGTCGATGTAGTGATCCAGGACAAACCAACGAATGCTCCCAAGAATATGAAGGCACTGCGTGTCCAATAACATTTGCGAACAAATCCCCGTGGAAAGGTAGAAGCGCTATGCGCTCGAGATGGTAATTGAATTAACAGGATACCGAGTTCTGCGATTGATTAGCAAGGCCGTGCTATGTGCAAATCCAAACTCACAGCTATCTCATGAGATTCGTGATACCAAGGTATCGCTTGGAAGACCAGTGGTACTATGCTGCTGTCATTCCTTGACCAATTTGCCTCCAACATCATGCGTTCATTTGCCAACAGCCAGAAACAACCTATCCCCAATGTCTCCCAAGCCAGGCTTAATCATGCCTCGATCATCCGTCTCAGCATCCACACCACCCACCCACAGCTCAACACCTTCAGGCCACGCCTCTGCAGCTCTTCTCAATCCATCCCGACTCGCAAGCACAGAGATCGAGATAATGCGAGGCACGCCCCAGTCCCGCAGCGTTTCGATAGCAGCACAAACGGTCGAACCCGTAGCAATGATTGGATCGACTATGATCGCCAGCTCCGCGACACCGGATGTATCTCCCGCTTTGTGGTATGGGAGGTTGTTGTAGTACTCCACCGGCTGTAGCGTGCTCTTCTCTCTGTACATGCCTAGATGGTGAACCGAGACTGGGGAAGGGAGGAGAGCTTGAATCGCTTCCAGCATGGCGAGGCCGGATCGTAAGATGGGCACGATGGTGATGCTTGAAGGTGAAATGCCTTCTGTGATGTATTCGTAGTCGAGGGGGGAGGAGTCCTAACCACATACCCAACGCGTGATTAGCTCCAATGTCCCTGGAGATGCTGGTCAGCCGGTGTTCGGCTGTGAGCGCTGAGAGAACTTACGGTACCCGTCTGAACGGTTTGTAGGCCTTTGGCGAGTGCATCGCAGCCTACGAGGGTCGCGATGTCGTTGATCAGTGTCTTGGTCTCTTTGGAGCCGGTGGATCTCGAGCGTAGCTGGCTGAGCTTCGCGCGAACGCAGGGATGGGTTGAGACGTGGACGTTGGTTGGTAATAAGGTCGCCATGTCGATTAGACGGGAGAGTCGAGAGAGGTATACGGAATTACCAGACAATCTCAGCAGGTATATATAAGGTATACATCGTGTTGATTGCTAGGGAATGGGAGCAAGCGCGACATTCAATGCGCTCATATGCGGGACAAACAAAGCGTGGGGGTGGTGAATGATGCCCCCGAGTCATGCCACAGATACACATCACCGCCATGGAATGCTTGAACAAATGCACCATCGTCAAACCGGTTCTCACCCGACCCAAGCTGGAAGGATCTGGACGATCTGACGCCGAGACTGTCAAGCATGCTTAAGCTACAAGACCAGATCGATGGCCGAAGCGTCATCCTCCCGAAGGCCCTATACCACTTCGCCACCAGAAGACAGCTCGCCCTCTGAGGACGACCGCGGAGTATCAGAAACATCAAGCCGGAGGCGCACTCATTATGGCGGTCAGCGGGTCAGCAGATCAACGCGCCCGTCTACTTCTGAGACTCAAAAGAGTGCAGCATCTCGTCGAAAGCGCGCCAGCTACCAGGAACCATTGGACTACAGTAACTTGGACGAAGAGGCAATTCCGCCACCGGTCAAAGCAGAGGACTGGAAGACTCAGAACCCGCCTTCGCGGTTGGAGGAGAACATCCGCCAGTCTCGAGCAGCATCTGGCAGCAAGCATGGATCGAACCGCAATGAGACGGTCCGAAGGCGGAGAAGCAGGAATGATGGCGAAGAGGAGCTTACTGAAGTAGCCGCACCGCCTCCTGCGTCGAGAACCGGTGATCGCGAGGCCGCTACAGGCGCCGAGCAGTCTCTTGAGGAGGATTTACAGGAAGAGGATGTTTCTGAAGAGTCTCGATCATGGCATAGGCAAAGGCAGCCGGAAGAGCTTCTTCGACGCAAGGATGAGCCTGCGAAGACCTCGAAGTTTTTGACTGAGCTCTACACAATCTCCTACCTCGTTTTCTTTGCGATCTTAGGCACCCTTGCGCGACTGGGAGTACAGTGGATTACTTTCTACCCGGGCACACCTATGGTCACTCCGGTGATATGGGCCAACTTTGGCGGGTCATTTGTTCTAGGTTTTCTGGCCGAAGACCAGCGAATGTTCCGCGACAACTCGAGCTCGTCATCCACAAATGGCACATCCCTCGAGATGCAGCACCGGAATGGGAATGATGGAAAGGAAGCTAACAAGCCAGACAAAGCAGAAGCGACGAAGAGGAAGAAGGCCATCCCACTGTACATCGGTCTCGCTACAGGCTTCTGCGGCAGCTTCACCTCGTTCTCCTCCTTCACGCGCGACGTCTTCCTGGCTCTGTCGAATGACCTCCCGACTCCGATCGATCATCCGTACCAGGGCAGCGCACCACCAGTCACCTCGACCATTAGCCGCAATGGGGGGTATTCATTCGAAGCACTTCTGCACGTGATCATAGCTACCCTCGCCCTCTCACTTGGCGGTCTGGTTGTTGGCGCTCAGTTTGCGGCATTCCTTGATCCTATTACCCCGAGGATCCATGGGAGCTTCATAAGGAAGTTCGTAGATCCGGCTATGGTCATCCTAGGCTTCGGCTGCTGGCTCGGTGCAGTCTTCCTTGCCATCTGGCCGCCAGCAAATGCCTGGCGTGGCGAGGTCGTGTTCGCTCTGGTATTTGCACCGGTCGGCTGTTTACTTCGATTCTACGCGAGTATGAAGCTGAATGGTCTCGTGCCGGCGTTTCCACTTGGCACTTTCGCGGTCAACATGCTTGGTACGGCTATTGAAGGGATGTGCTACGATATACAGCATGTCGGCGTGGGCGTGATGGGTCGCATTGGAGGCGGCATGATTGGGTGCCAGATTCTCAACGGTGTTCAGGATGGTTTCTGCGGGTGCCTGACGACTATTAGCACCTGGGTGGCAGAGATTAACGGTTTGAAGAGGAAACATGGCTGGGGCTACGCATTTGGCAGTGTGCTGGGCGGCTTCTGTCTGATGGTCGTTATCATGGGCAGTGTACGCTGGAGCGTTGGATCTTCATCACCGGTCTGCGATACGGGATACACATCTAAAGTACATGGCTAAGCACTACCTCACTTGCCGACGTCATCGATCCGTTCAATCACCTTCTGCGCTATGATGTCCGGACACTCTTCGGGAAGGAAATGGCCATAGCCATCCGGCACGCCGTATGTCTTCAGCTCGCCGTCGTTCCACTTCTCCCACACCTCCGGCACATCGTGCATACGACCAAGGTTCGAAGCGGAATAAATCACGAACGTCGGGATCTTCAGCATCCGTCCAGCTTCCTGGTCGGCTTCCTGCTCCTCGACGTCGATCGTGGCGCCAGCTTGATAGTCTGCACAGCTGCCGGAGATGCAGTCAGGCATGGAGAACTGGTAGCAATAGTGGTCCCAGGCGCCGTCTTTCTTGAAGCTGGCGATGCCTTGTTCGTTGCCGCCTTTGACGCGGGCGAGGTTTGCTTCGGTCCAGTAGCCGCCGCCCATTTGCTCGATCACTGGCTTACGATCAGCTACGGCCATTCGAAGAACATTGGCGAAAGTGACATACTAGCGGGAGCAAGGTCAGTGGCCAGAAATGGCCAATGATAGTACGCCATACCCGCTTTCGGGTTTGCAAACGCGCGGAACTGCTCGAGGGTGGGAACGATATCCATGAGAATCGCCGACTTGATGTTGTGCGCTGGGTTGTTGTCGACGATAAGACGATGACCGACTCGAGCGCCGCGGTCATGGCCGCAGTATATTACTGGTCGGTCCTTGCCAAAGACATCCTGCAGGGCTTCGAAGATAAGATTGCCGACTGTGCGTTTGTCTGATTTCGGTGGGAGGGATGAGAACCCATAGCCGGGCAGTTCGGGGATGAAGAGGGAGATCTTGTCTTTCAACTGGGGAACGATATGCCGCCACCTGATCAATCTTGTTAGACACGAGAGATGTGCCTGTTTCGGGAGGAAGAACTGACATGTAGGACGATTCAGGGTACCCATGCACACAGCAGAGCACTGGGCCAGACCCATGATCATGCGAGTAGCTCTTTACCGTCACGTCGGAAGATACCTTGCAGCTGTGGTCCTTGAGGAATGGGTGCAGCGTTTGGAGCGTTTGATCAGCCATGCTGCTCGATATCTCGGCTCGGCTACCTTGTGTCTAGAAACCCAGAGGAAGCAGGCAACAAGTTAAATATGCAACAAACACCTTCGTATTGTGTGCTATATCGATGATTACAGTGTGCCGTCATTTATCATAAGCTCATCGAAGAGCTGTATTGACTTTTGCTCGCACGGCATTGACCTCTCTCTAACGAATGACAACGAGCGGAGTAGTTGGTGCAGGTGAGGTGCACCGTGCATGTGAGAGAGGAGAGGAGTGGGGCGGGCCAGACCTCGAGCGAAGGAAGACGACCAGCCAGTCGGTGCTATCTTGCCGAGCCTGCACCCTTCGACAAGCCTTGAACTTCAACTCTTCTTCTAGACACGACGCATTGCTAAGACGCTGCACAGACCCCGACACCGCGGTCGCAACCCACCGTGTCCCCCCCTCTGCGACGAGACCCTAATGCGCGCGACACCTCGACACCGGCCCTGAGCGCCCTTTCCCCCCTCCGCGGCGCAACGGGCGCTGACCCTCTCACCGCCCCCGCCCGCATCTCCTCCTCCCGCGGCGACGACACAGATGGTCAGCAACAAGCGACAGCTATGGAACCTGCCGACGCAGACGACTCAGATGGAATCGGCGCACTGCACGCCCTTCACTCTGCCTTCGAACGGCGTCATCTCGCTCAAGGATTCGGTCATAACCCTGACCACCGATGTGGTCTTCCGACCTGAATGCACCGGCGCAGGGATTCAAGAGGTGTCGTCTATCCTCGGCAAGGACCCGTTCTATTCCTCGACGATACCGCAGACGTATGTGATTGCGGCGGCGACGGTGATAGCATGGATTCTCGTGGTCATGCTTATCATCACGCCGCGCACGAACTTTCTCGGTGGTTCGGGCGCGGTGCATGGGTTCGCGAATGGGCGCGGGATCATTGGAGGAGCGACGGGCGGTACACCGAGTTTGATCGGCGTCGGGTCCAGGCCGTGGTTGCAGAAGGTCGCGGCGCTCACGGTGGCCATCTCCTTGACCATCGCCACTGCGGACTTCTTCGTGGCTGCGCAGGAGCAGTACGAGATGGGCTACATGGACGCGAATGACTTGCGAGAACATGTCCTCGGGACCATGGAGATCAGAGTCACGCGCGTAATATCGGATGTCTTCCTCTGGCTTGCGCAGGTGCAGACACTGATACGGCTCTTTCCACGGCACAAGGAGAAGGTGCTCATCAAGTGGATTGGATTTGTGCTGATCCTGTTCGACTCCATCTTCTCCTGCCTCAACTCTTTCCTGGTCGAAAGCACGCATCCGCCACGGCAATTCGTTGACGCGATACCGGCATTATCATATCTGTTTGAACTGGCGTTGGGGTTATTATACGCAGCTTGGGTGATTTACTATTCCCTGACGAAACGACGCTATGCTTTCTACGACTCGAAGATGCGGAGCATTACTCTGATTGCAGTTCTGTCTCTGGTGGCTGTACTCACGCCGGTTGTATTCTTCGTCACGGACGTTTCGAACCCAGATGTTGCGGGATGGGGTGACTACTTTCGATGGGTGGGCGCTGCGGCCGCGAGTGTGGTTGTTTGGGAATGGGTGGAGCGCATTGAGGCGTTGGAGCGGGATGAGAAGAAAGATGGCATTCTAGGACGCGAGATCTTCGATGGGGACGAGATGTTGGATGCCACGCCAAGTGAGGATCTTGTATGGAATGACACGCACAACGACGGGCGTGGAGGGAGAAAGGATAGAGATGGAAACGGTGGTGGGGCGGGCAATCAGTCCAGCGCTTTGGAGAAGGGCCTTTTTAGTGGTGTCGCTCAGCGGTTCCGACAGCGCCAGAAGCCACCGCACCACTTCCCACTGGGTCGGACGCACTCGCAAACTACGACGACTGCGACTCCCGAGCTAGGTCGCAGGGAGCGTGGCCGAGGAGGCATCGTGTTTGGTGATCTGCCGAATCCAAGGAACCGAACAGAGGATCGAATATTGGGAGGTCCAACACCACCGCCCGCAGTTGCCAGTCCAGTGAGCAGGACGGACACCACCAGTGCAGCTAGTACGGTGTACGTTGTACAACGCAATCCTCACGCTGACCACCCGCAACCTGTTCGCCGACGCATGGACGCCTTTGGGAACACGGCACGAGCTCTAGCTCAAGCACGATCGCAACGGCAAGGCAGGGATACGGGAGCGACCAAAGACCCGGAGAAGGAAGAGTATGAAGAGCAGCCACCGCGACCCAACCTGGGTCGCAGCACTGGCGCATGGCTTGCCGTGAACAATCCATTCAAGCGGAAACGTGCTTCGCCGCCTGCAGAGGTCCAACAAGCCAGACACGCGGCTGCGCAGGCACCAGCCCGTGCGATCACTCCAGCGCACAATTTCTCCCCCTGGGACATCAAGAACCGCATTGGTGTCTTGGCTGCAGAGACAGGAGACAAGCTTCGAGATCGAAGAGCGAACCGCCGACCCGAAGTCGACTTGCCCGTCACCGTCGTTCCGGCACAGCCTCGCGGGAGTGGCCGAACGTGGACGCCTCCTGTACCGACACCGACGCCTACTGTGCAGAAGACGACTGGCGCAATCGGTTATGTTGAGCATTTCCCCAGCGACACTACTACGCTCACTGCCAACAGCCAGGATGTGTCTAGACAGCAAGTGCGCGTTGACGATCAGAGCCCATTATGCGCCGGTGGCATAGGTCCCACGCCAACTCCTCCTGCAGGCAGGACTCAAGCTGTACAGAGCCCACCGCGCGCTGACGACTTGAGTCCTGCGGCCGCGACCGAGTCGCCAGTGGTCGTTCCTGCACCGAGGAGGTCTCAAAGGAGTTCGCCGCTGGCTTTGCATCACACCTCTGCGGATAGTGGATCTGAGCGAGAGAGGGATGAAGGGTAGGAAGGTGTTGGCGGACGTGTGCTTGGTTGCATTTTAGCGAAGGTGTTGGTGGTTGGGCAGGATACAGAACCCCTACGCTTTGTACGGCGGTCATGCCAGAGGAATCGATCTGGGCGGATGAGTTGATTTTGTGTTGATACCCCAAAATTTCGAGGCATTGCGATGCTGGTTGATCTACCTCTATACACTTCCATTTCCTCCGTCTTCGAGTACGAGTACGTACATGTGCCAAGTTCACCTACCGCAGATATCGACGTCAAGCGCACGTGTCTCGGCTGGCAGCTCCGGCGACAGCTCGCTTGGAAGCAGCAGCAGCAGCAACTCAGCCTCCCGAAGCCACTCCAATCCATCATCATAAACATCTCATCCTCGACCACCAACTTACAGCGCGGCGCATTAGCATTGTTTCTTCCAAGCGCATGATACACCTCGAGTCCCGCACCTGTACACACCATAACAGCCAACATGTCCCTCTTCGGCACCTCCCCCGAAGCGCCCTCCCGTCCCAAATACTCGCTCTTCGACGACGATAACAACACTACTAGCAACGGCAACGGCAAGCCCAAAACAGCTTCCACGTCCATGTTCGGCGATAGCAGCGCCGACGACTTCGACGCCGCGTCGCCCTGGAGCTTTACGCCGAAGAAGAGCAGTGGAGGGCGCGGCAGCTTGGTTAAGAACTTGCTTGCGGACGCGGACGTGCCGGATTTCTACGTCGATACTTTTGATGAGCTGCAGAGCGGGGGCAGCGTGTCTGCGGATGCGGCGAGGGGGGTGTTGCGGGATGCTGCGGTGGGCGAGGGGAAGGAAAGGGAGATCTGGGACGTGGTGACCGGACGGCAGCAAGTTGAGAGTTTTGGAAGGGGGGAGGTGAATGTGCTGCTCGCGCTGCTTGGGCTGGCGCAGGAGGGCGAGGAGTTGAGCCTAGACGCCGTGGACGAGCGGAGGAGGAACCTGCCTGTGCCGAAGATGCCTGCGAAGGCGCAACAGCAACAGCAGCAAGCGCGGCCCGCCACGCCGCAGAAACAGCCGAGAGGAGCGTCGCCGGAGCAGCAGAGGGGTGGGGCGAGGAAGGGTTCGTTTGGCGCGGGTTTTGGGGAGAGCGATCCCTGGGCGAGTCCGGCGTTGCATAAGGGACATGCGCATACGAATGGGATTGCGAGTGCGGCGCCGCAGAGGACGACGAGCACGTTTACCACGGGAGCTGCGGAGCCGGCGGACTCGGCGGGCACGGGGTCGTATGGTGGGAACTCGTCTGGTAATGGGGATAACGCGGCTTCGTCTTGGGGCGCGTCGGGATCGTATGATGCTGGAAATGGATCTGGGTATGGAGGTGCTCCGTCGAGCGGTGGGGGTTTTGGAGGCGACGACAATAGCCCTGTGGCGCCCCGGCGGAACCAGCCAGTCAGGACAGCGACGAGCAAAGGCGTTGAGGAGGTTGTGACGGTCAATCTGTTGGAAGAGAAGGAGGGCATGTTCATGTTTCAGCACCGCAACTATGAAGTCGCTTCCGTGCGAAGGAACAGCAAAGTCATTCGACGGTACAGCGACTTTGTCTGGCTGCTGGATTGTCTGCACAAGCGGTATCCGTTCAGACAGCTGCCTTTGCTTCCGCCGAAGAGGATGCAGATTAACGGGAACCATATTGCGGCGGACAACTCGTTTATTGAGAAGAGGAGACGGGGGCTTGCGAGATTTGCGAATGCGTTGGTGCGGCATCCGGTGTTGAGGGAGGAGCAATTGGTAGTGATGTTTTTGACTGTGCCTACGGTAGATGCAAGCCTTACTCGACCATTGACCACGAAGTGTTTGCTGACGATTCATAGGAACTTGCAGTATGGCGGAAACAGGCCACCATCTCAGTCCAGGAGGAGTTTACGGGCAAGTCGCTACCTCCAGGCTTAGAAGACAGCCTTCCGCAGAACCTGCAAGACACCTTCGACACCGTCCGCTCGGGCGTACGTCGATCAGCCGACCTCTATATCAGCCTTTGCAACCTCACTGAGCGCCTTACAAAGCGCAAGGAAGCCATTGCGACGGAGTACGGCCGCTTCGGCATGAACCTCAATTCTCTCACCGAAGCGAGCGCGGACGCCTATGCCATCGACGCCAACGACGTACCCTTGCTCAACGAAGGCATGAAGAGCACATCCAAGCACCTCGGCCAGTCGCAGGCGCTTCTCGAAGACGAAGCGAAAGCGTGGGATGAGGGGTTGCTGGAGGATCTCAAGACGATGCGGGATAGTCTGGTCACCATGCGGGATATGTTTGACCGGAGGGATCGATTGGCGAGGGATAATATCCCGCAGTTGGAGAAGAGGATTGTGGCGAATGAGCAGAAGTTGCAGGGGATCAAGGCGAAAGGGGAGGCGGCGAAGCCGGGGGAGGCGGAGAAGGTTGAGAATGCTATTACGAATGTGAGTCCAACTACCGTACCCCTGGAAACGGCCGGGTGTTGGGTAAAAGGGTGTCATGCTGACAGATGATAACTGCAGGACAAGCAATCCATCGTCTCCCAACACGCCCGCGGCGTCTTCATCAGGGAATGCGTGCGCGACGAACTACTGTACTTCCAGCACACGCAGTACCACGTCTCGCGCCTGCACCAGGACTGGGCGCAGGAGCGCGTCAAGTACGCCGAGCTGCAGGCGGATTGCTGGCGGGGGCTGGTGGACGCTGTGGAGAGTATGCCGCAGGGCGACTAGAGGTCGCGCAGCGTGCCGCGGGGGAGGGATTTCACGAGGAACGCGGCTTTGGTGCCGACGAATAGTTTGATGGTGGCGGAGTGGTCGAGGGGGGCGGGGGAGGGGGTGGTGCCGGAGTTTGCGCCGGAGGCGTAGGTTGGGGTGGAGGGGCGACCTTATTGTTTTGTGAGCGGTGTACATGTTCATGGCAGAAGGGTAATGCTACCTAGGCAGGCAGCTGTACAGACGCGATACCTACACCGTCGTGCCTTCCCTTCCTCTCTGGTCATGACACGCGCATTGACCTGGCTGTGTCTCCTTGCTCTAGCCCCGACCGCGTGTCTCAAGCACCTGCATTCACATTCGCACGTCGTTTGTTCATGTGAGTTTCAACATACCACTTGAGACTGCCTCGTTTGCCGCGTCTCACACCATCGCTCCCCATGCCAAACCACACGGTTCATGCCCATCGCCATCCTCAAGACCATCTTCCGCTGCGGGCAAAGGCAAAGCCGCCACAACGACGAGATGCCGAAACGGAAGGCTGAGACTTTGACGACGGGGGAGCCGCCCGCGAGTAGAGTGGTGAAGAGGGCTATGAGCAGTACGCAGACCGATGGTGAGTCCTAGCGTTTCTTTCTCCAATATCACTTCACCGCACTGGAACCTGGCGAAAGTCGCACAAGGCAAGAGAGGACCCCCGCAGCATTGCAGCCTGGGCTGCCACTTTCAGCCTTATCGGAAGCCGGCGCCGGCGGGGCAATCGAGCCCTCGTTAGCAGCGCGTCACCGGAGGCTTACGTGACTTCTGGACTCGGACTTGAACATACACTTCCAACCACAACACTCACCTCGTGCGACCACCTACACAACGCACATGCACCGACCGCGATAGCTTGTCCCTCACCTATTTTCTCCCCTTCGCAGCTACTTCACTTCCTCCCCTCATTCACACACAGAGGTCTGAGACACCCCCGCTAACACCGCAACAATGCCAGGCGTAACGAGCGCGCAGCAGAAGACGGCGATTGCCGAGTTCAGCGAGGTGACGGGGATGCGGGATCAAAAGGCCGCGGCGAAGGTGTTGAAGCAGTATGGGTGGAGGGTTTCGGATGCTGTGAATGCGTGAGTGTCTTCTCTTTTGGCGTTTTGTTGTTGAGTTTATGCGGTTTGCTTGGTGGTGAGGAAGAGATGGGTTTGGAGGGTTGGAAGAGGAGAGACATGGATGGATCTGGAATACTGGAAGCCTGGACATGGAGAGAAAGAGAGAGAGAGGTGCTTCTGGAGAGTTGATGAAAGCCTGGATTCAGCGCGAAGAGCATGGGATACGCTTCTGGCACGTTCGGACACTGGAGCATTGTCTGGCATAAAACATCGTCGTCGCCGCAGGCTGGTCTATCACACCTTTTCACCACCTCTACACATCGACCTCTACACATCCACCATGGCCGACACCACTTCAGCGCCTCCTCAGCCTCCCGTTCCCCAAGCGCCGAAACACATGAGCGAAGTCACTGGTCCCACGATCTCAAGATTCCGCCTGCTCTATCTCATCGTCAACGATATGATCGATTGGCACATGTCCCTCAATCCGGTGGCACCCTGGCATCGCATTCGCCTATTCGAGGAGGGAAAATACTGGAGTCTCCAGCCGCAGCATGGCAAATTCATCTGGATATCGCGAGGGTGGTGCAAGGAGCTGGTAGAGCCACATATCGCTCGCGACCAAGGAGAGAAGGTTGAAGCCCCCAGTCCCTATCAGAGACCAAAACCCAAAGTTCTACCATCTCAGAAATCCGACCCGATCTATTACGACCCGACATATGAGCACCCAAACGACAGACCTGCCGTGCCCGGTCCCATAATCAGTCGTGCTCAGCTCATCGGGCTGCTGCAGGAGAAGGACATCCTTTGCGAGACGACATCCGATAGAAAATCGGCCAACCACCGCCTACTGTTGCAAGACGAATCTACGGTCGTCTACATCCCGCGGTATCTTTGCGAGGAGCTTTGGGAGCCATACCAGGTCCTCCGCCAGCGGTACGAGAAGGACACCCAGGAAGACTACCGGGCGAACGCACCCTTCCGCCCATCATCTCAATTTCTTGGTGGTCGGGAGTATCGTGGCGTTCCTGGTCTGAGTGATCGACCCCGGCGTCGAATCGCGTCTTTGTCAGAGGCGCTCGAAGAAGACAAGCCGGAAGACTCCGACCCAAAGTCAGCAAAACGCATCCTCCATTTTCTCTCAGATAGCTGCGTTCTTTTATGTCTACTGCTTTGCTTCGTCCTACATGCGTGATTATGCTTAACTCATGCTGACGTGTTTCAAAGATACTTCCAAAATCCCTCTAACAACGCCTCCAATCCCATCCGCACCGGCATGAGCAAAGTCTTCGACAAGTACCGCGACAACCCCAGTGAAGAGCCGGACGAGATCAACGTAGAAGGGGTGAGCAAGATGCTGGGTGAGATGGGTATTGGTCTGGAAGACATCGGCAGCCTGGTGTTCTCAGAACTCGTCTCATCACCCTCTCTCGGCAGAGTCACTCGCGATGGCTTCCTCGACGGCGCAGTGGACGTCAACGCCGACTCTCTGAAAAAGCTCAGCAACATCGTCAACCAACGCCGCTCCCAGCTCTCCAAAGACCGTGCCCTCTTCAAGAACGTCTATAACCACACTTTCACCATCGCCCTACAAGGCAACCAGAAAGCCCTTCCCTCCGAAATGGCGCTCGAGTTCTGGAAGCTGCTCTTCTCGAAAGACGGGCTGGAGTGGCGCACGGCGAACGCCAACTGGCTGGAGATGTGGCAGGAGTTCCAGGAGGAGAAGTGGAAGAAGGCGGTGAACAAGGACTTGTGGCGGCAGACGCTGACGTTTGCGGAGGAGACGATGAAGGATGAGACGTTGGGGTTCTGGTCCGAGGAGAGCAGTTGGCCGAGCGTGATTGATGATTTCGTGGCGTGGGTGAAGGCGGAGAAGGGGGTGGGTGGGGATGCTATGGAGGTGGAGTGAGGAAGAGTATTTGATCGTGCGCTCGCTTGGGTGGGCTTTTGCTACAAGATATCGAACTGAAGAGATGGGCAGTTTGAGAAGACAGATGACGCAGGTGCTACGAGGTGCTGCCTGAAGTCGACAACATCTTCGTTACAGCTGGCGACGGAGCAGGAAGACCGACTGCGACCGATCCGATGGCGCTCGCATTGATGGCGCGAACAACATGGGCATTGCACTACACCATTAGCATAGAGCGAAACCTCAACGGAGATTGCTTGCAACATCACGAACCTGATTCTTCCCGGTCACCTGAAACGGCCTCGCCGCTGACAGACTGAAAGCGCCATCGTTCGAAGTCCTTCGTTTCCGTAAGCGTAGAGTCAGTCGCTTGCCAGTTCAAACGAAGCCATATTGTTGCTTCCGCCGCTATGTCCGCTTCGACAATACTGCACAGGCCCGAACGTGAAGATGGCGTAGAGCATTGACTCTTCGCAACGTTGTTTCGTCTGTTGCGAGATGTCCTGGTCGTATCTTTTGTTCGACTTTACACCATCACCAGGTGTGGTTGGACAGTAGAAGGATGTCGTCGGAATTCGCTCTCGGAGGCGGCGGAAGAGAGGGCGTTGTGCTGACATGTGCCCGCCGAAAGGGGAAGTTTAATTACTCCATCCCGTGCCTTCCAACGTTCATATCTACGTCGCATCCTCTCTTCCCCTCTATATAAACCTCACCACAGTCTCTCCTTAAACAACGACCGACACAACATGGCCACCGAACCCTTCCCGCCCATGTACCCACTGGCGCATGTCCGCAGCAAACCCAACAGCCAGACCGATCCGAACGCGTCGAACGTAAGACGACGGAGACAGAGCTCGAGTCTGGGAGCGGATCCAAGAGGAGACACTGGCGCGAGGGCTCTGGCAACATCGAATCTGAAGCAGAGCACTCCACCGAGAACACTAGAGCATGTGTGTCGCCTTCCACAAGACCCGGCGCATACCAACTCTCATGGCTGACATATCTACCGCCAGACACACAACGGCAAAGAACGCAAGCGCCGAAAAGCGCGCCGCTACCTCTCCCGCTTCAAACGCCTCTGCCTCAAACACACCTGGCTCATCCCGCTCCTCCTCGCCTCCACCATCCTCGCACTCTACGCCCTCTCCCCCGGCGAGCACAACCCCCTCCACCCCGCCATCTTCCTCTCCTACCCGAACCCACCCTTGCACGAACGAACCACCACCCTCCCCGCGCACATCGGCAATGTCACGCAATACGGCAAAGGGCGCAAGGACTTCGCATTCGTCGCCTTCTACACCATCGTCCTCAGCTTCACCCGCGAGTTCCTCATGCAGCGGCTCATCCGCCCTTTAGCCGTGTGGTTCGGAATCCGCGGGCGCGGGAAAATGGCGCGGTTTATGGAGCAGTTCTACACGGCCATCTACTTCGCCATCTTCGGTCCGTTTGGGATGTACGTCATGAGCCGCACGCCGGTCTGGTACTTCAACACCGCGGGAATGTACCAGGGGTTCCCGCACCGTGCGCATGAAGGCGTGTTCAAGGCGTATTACCTGCTGCAGGCGAGCTACTGGGCGCAGCAGGGGCTGGTGCTGATGCTGCAGCTGGAGAAGCCGAGGAAGGATTTCAGGGAGTTGGTGCTGCATCATATCATTACGCTGGCGTTGATTGGGTTGAGCTATCGGTTTCACTTTACGTATATGGGGGTTGCGGTGTACATTACCCACGACATCTCGGACTTCTTTTTGGCGGTACGTTGTCACCCCATCCCACCCATCCCATGCCTTGCATTGCTAACCTTGGACGGGATGATGGTGAACAGACATCCAAAATCCTCAACTACCTCGACGCCTGGATCACGCCCCCCTACTTCGTCACCTTCATGGCCATCTGGGCCTACCTCCGCCACTTCATCAACCTGCGCATCCTCTACTCCCTCTCCCCCTACGCCCTGCCCTTCCTCACCACCCCGCCCAACGAATTCGCCACCGTCGGCCCCTTCACGCTCAACTGGGAGACCCAGCAGTACAAATGCTGGATTAGTCAGGCCATCACGTTCGCGCTGCTCGCGGCGCTGCAGGCGGTGAATGCGTTTTGGTTTTTCTTGATTGTAAGGATTCTGGTGCGGATCGTTTGGAAGGGGGTGGTGAAGGATGAGCGGAGCGATGATGAGGAGGAGGAGATGGAGGAGGATGAGCGGGAGGGGGAGGTGGTGGTTGAGGAACCAGTGAAGAAGGTGGGTAACGGGAAGGTGAAAGGGCCGCAGGTGGTGTTGAATGGGGAGCCGTTGGTCGAGGAGCGGTTGGAGCGGGAGCTGAATGGAAGTGTTGGTGGGGTGGTGACGGGACGGGAGAATGGGGGCGGGAGGAAGGGGGCGGCGAGGAGGAAGCGGTGATGGGGGGGAGGATCGTCGATGTGCATTTTTGGTCTGCGTTCTGGCGAAATGGGCGTGCTCGAGCTCTGGAAAAGCTGAGTTGCAGATACGGACGGCCGGACTCATAAGGTACAGAGTATTAATAAACGATAATGAGTAGCTTATTGAGAGAACGTAATGCTATGGAGACGATCGAGACTTCCTACCTCTCTGGAAGTAGCGCCCGAGACCGCGCCACGAGTTCGAGTGTTTGGGAATTGGAGGCTAGGATGACAACGTAGGGAACCTAGATTCTTGCTATTCGTACTATGAACACATTATTCAGGCTGCCAGCAGCCCCCGTCATCCCTGTCCCACCACAACAAACATGCAGTATACCGACAACACCCTCCTCACCTCAGTGCCTCACAGCATCCCCTTGCCTACTCAGCTGCTTCCTCCAAGGCATAAACCCCAGGGCCGTCGTCCTCGCCTCCCTCCTCACACCCTCGTACTGATAAGACGGCGAACCCCTCCGCGGGTACAAAGCCCCCACATCCACCGGCATCAACTCCGGGTGCTGCGAGTAAGGTCTCGCCGCGAACGAAGACTTCGGCGGTCCCATTTCTCTCTCCGACGACTTCTTGGCCGGAGCACGCCGTTTCGCTGGTCCTGGTTCAGGACGGTCGTGGAGTTTCACGCCCCGCGACGGGGAAGCCGGTTTCAGCTCTTTGAGGATCTTGTTCAGCTCGGCGGGCCCGGAGGTGATTTGCGCGCGGAGGTAGTGCATCGCGTGCGGTGTGAGGAGGCTCTCCATCACGGGCGTGCGGGGGGTGTAGGCGAAGCGCTCGGGGCGGGGAGGATCTCTGGCTTCAACTGCAGGGTCCAGGAGTGCTTCGTTGCCTTTGGAGAGCAGTTGTTGGATGTCGAGACTCTCGCCGGGAGAGATGGCGGTCGGGTGGCTGGGCGTGATGCAGTCCATGTCGACTTCTTTTCGTAAGACGTGGTCGATGTCCACGGCGCTGAAGTAGGCACAAGACTGCGGTAGGTCGTCGATGCCCATCTGCTGGCTAAACATAGCGCGGGTCCAGACGTTCGCGACTTGCAGGGCCATGGCGCAGCGGTACTTGTCCTCCTTCTTCGCCAGATACCGAATCTCGTCGTGCACGGTCAGCGCCAGACGAGCGTCGATGTTGTAGCGGCGGAGAAGGTAGTCCATGCTGACGATCAAAAGATGCAGGTAGTCCTGCCCTGACGACTGGATGGCCCAGTTGATGCGGGAAGTCATGAAATTGCCTTTGCCGATATAACGACGCATGAGGGCTTCCGTGATACCAGCGCCAAGCACAGGTGTTCGCGGACGTTCTTGCTCGGCGAATTCTTCGAGCTTGTTGAAGACAAGGCTCTCGGTGCCGCCGCGCCAGAAAGCTCGTTCGCTCAAGACCTTTCGTCGCTCCTTCTTGCCTTTGGTTTCGAGATATAGATTCTCCGCGATGCGGCTTGCGTCTGCTTCGGTCAAGGTCGGGTTGAATCGCCGGAGGAGAGACTGCGCGAACTTCAGCCCTGCGCCGTAAATCCGCCCGTAGTTAAAGACTTTCGAATCGTTCCTCGAGATGCCAAGAGTCTTTGCGGTTCTTGAGTGCAGGTCGGTACCGGCAGCTTTGGTTCCCTCCAGCGTCATGAAGCCAATGGCATTGCCACCGTGAAGCTTGAAAGCCGCGTCGCCGACAAGTGATGCGATCCATAACTCTTCACTGTCGACGTCGGCACCGACAAAGCAGTAGCCTGGCGGCGCTGTAATCATAGACTTCAGCTCCGAGCCCACTCGGTTCGCCTTCGCGTTTGCTGCGGTGAGCCAGGTATTCTCCACTGCTCGCCGAGTGATGGTGCCCATGGGAATGACCTGCGGGAGAATGTAGCCAAGCTCGCTGTCCGTCTTGCCAGTGGACAAATCGTTTTCGTAAACCGTCATCTGGCCCGTGATTCGGTCTCTTGCACTAATCCAGTAGCTGCAACTAGCGTTCATATCCAAAGCTTCTCTGGCGTACTTATACTCGGATGCCAGCGTGCCGTTCTCAAAGAACTGCAAATATCCTTTTGCAAGGGGTGAAGCACATCTTGCCGCAGGTCCATCTTTGTGTGGTAGCTTGAAGTAGGCGTGCTCAGTATCACCACGAAGATCCTTGTTCTCCTCCTCATGCATATCACAGAGGGTCAGCGTCTGCTCTCTGTACTTGGCCGCAGCATCTCGCTGCACTTTGAAGGTCCAGCCGAACTTGTCAGACCAGACTAGGGGATGTCCGTCCCAGGCTAGTCGCAGCAAAAGCGGTGCGATGCGTGTCCTCACAGTCAGGGAAATCGGGCCATCAGTCTTCGCAAACAAGTCCTTGTACCAAGTAGGCATGCCTGGTTTCTTCTGTCTGGCAGCGGGCCTCGGAGGATCGCCTTTCTTCTTGCCCTTCACCATCCGCACCTCCTGTCCACCCCAATTTAATTGGCAAAGCCACGGATCATTTTTATACACTTCTGGCGATGAGCGATGCTCGAGCGCCTTCTCAGCCAAATCAACCAAACGCTCCTCGACGGCAGACGAGAGCTTGTGGTATGTCGCCTCCGCGTTCTTGATGTAGGCCTCCCAAGTCTTGTTGATCGGCAGGATCTCAGATGAAAGGTGCCGCAATGCTGCGAAAGACACCGGATGTGGGCATAGCTCCACGAATAGTGGGAAGACTCTCTTGTACACTCGGTGCGTGATATCCACATCAGCTGCGCAGTAGTCCAAGAGCTCGTCCAATCGCCCGACAACGCCTTTCCGGTCAAGCTCCCCAAACCACTCACGCCGCGCTTTGTCGATGGTAACGCCGCAATGGAACTTTGCAACGTCTCGTAGGCTGTTGACCGATGATCGACCGACCCAGAGATCTGCTTCCTCGTCGAGATTGCCCTTGGAATCAAGCAAGCTCGACAGATCGGCTGTCTCGTCTTGCACCGCGATCTGGTCCTGGATCTCGCGCGCTTTTCGATGCTTCATCCATGTCGGCCGTTGTCTGCCGCACATGCCATTCACGGCAACATGCAGGCTCATGGTGTCCATGAAGAAGTTGCGCGATTGATCTACGCTGTACTCTTCCAGTATCCGAGCTCGATCATAGCCAATGTTGTGTCCAACGACGAGTCGTTCTTGCGTCGTGTCTCCTAGCGGTATCAAATGCCTATCGTTCTCACTCTCCCCAAGCAGCCATGGCGACAACCATGCATACCAATGTGTAGCCGATACAGCGCAGGCCATGACCGGGAAACTGCTCTCTTTCCACATGACCTCCGTGTCGAACGTCAATACGTCGGCATCCGGAGCTGCGATGGCCTCCCAACTCCTGTCCGCGTAATACTTCGTCCATCCGCTCTGATGCGCCCATTTTCGAGGTCTCTCCGGCGGTGAGGCTCGAGCATACTTCTTCGACAGCGACAAGTATGGCTCTGCGCTGTCCATACCCAGCCGATAGAAGTGCTCATCCAAGGATGTGCCCTGCAGGGCTGGCAAGTCGAAGCCGATGGGCTCGCTGTTGTCGCTTTTCTTTCCCAACAACTCATGGCGGGCAAGATGGTCTTGCGACAGCTTGATCAACTCCGGCGACGGCCTCGTCGTTGACTGCACGGGGAACAGCTGCGGGTAGACATGGGATGAAACCTGCTGGACACCAAGCTCGTTACGTCTCGCTCGGGACGATATGGCAAGGCCGCGCGATGGCACATCGTCCTCCGCCGCCTCCACCGCTGCTGTAGTGGCGTAGCATCGTCGCGACTGACAGGTCCATTTAGGGGGCTGCGGGGCAAGGCGGAGGAGGGACGTCTGCTGCGTGCGCTCGAAGACGTTGACCAGGTGGTGGCGGCATCGTGATCGCATGGCGATGTCTTTTAAATCCTCGCATCACCGCATCGTTCCGGGAATGTTGAACATGGCATTTAGAAGGTCGAAGATGGAAGTAAATTCGCGTCATACACGCGATTAGATTGGACTGCGACGCTAGAACGTCTTCCGTTGGCCTTGCAGGTCTTGGCCATTACCAGAGCGCTGGAGGCGAGGGACCTCACACTTCGCTCTCTTACCACTGCGATATCCTTAACGTTGTATTAATTCTTCGCGGCGGAACTGTCTTTCTCTTTATACATCCCTTCTGCTTTTGAACAATGTGGGCCGCTCTTGCTGTGTGAATGCGCTAGATCTTTCGAGATGGCGTCAGAAGTGAACCAGGCCGACGAGATATGGGATCACATCGGGGACCTGGGCGGGTGGAATTTCGATGGGTTGGAGGGCAGTGATGACATCGAACCCGACTGGTAGGTCGGAAGTCTGCAAAGGCCTTCAAAGCTTACTTCTAACACTGCCGTCGTAGGTGGAGCAGCTCTAACGCACACACCCGAGAGCCAGCCCTTCACTACGACGTCCTCTCCTCCCCCTCCATCGAGAACTTCTCCGGCGACCTGCCGCCAAGACATCCAGCAAGGTCTTCACCTTCAGCTTCTCGACTGCGACCTCGTGACAGAGCGGCTTCGCCAGAGTCAACGGCCGACCGCGCCAGTTACTCCATAAACAACCACTCAGCTTTGCATCACCGGCGGAGGCGGTCGCCCACTACAGATCCCAGAAGAAGAGCACCAGTTGCGCACAATAGCGATGACTTGCTAGACGCTGAACCCACAAGAGCACCCTCTCGCTTTACCATTCCTGACGACCTCTTCGGCTCCGTCAACTTCACCTCCGACAACCCTCGTTCACCTTCATACGGCAGCGGCATCGACATCGACGACTTTCTACAACACGACTCCGGAGACGACAACATGCCAGCGACACGAGGGACCCGAGCGAACCGCCGCGGTGACAGCATAGTCGACCTCACAGACACGCCTTCTGCGCCTACCTCCTCCACACCTCGCCACCCGATCAGCCTCAAGCGTTCAGCAGCAGAAGCCTCTACACAACCACCCGCCAGCAAGCGCCGTCGCATCAAACCCGAAGACGATGTCGCCTCCGAACGAAAAGACCCGATAGAAGAACTAGACCTCACCAACGAAGCCCCCTCCGCCGAAGAAGAGCTCGCGCAAACACAGCAACACCAACTCCTACAAACCCAACGCTCCGAGTCCTCCGGCGCCCCGCTGAAAATGGGCAAGCGCACCTGCATCATCTGCCTGGACAACATCACCAACGCGACCGTGACGTCGTGCGGCCACATGTTCTGCCACGAGTGTCTGACGCAAGCGATCCGAGCGGCGGAGAAGAGTAGTGAGAAGGGGGTGGGCGGGTGCCCGGTGTGCAGGAAGCCGGTGAAGAGGAATAAAGAAAAGCAGATGATTCCCATTGCGTTTATGAAGAGGAGCACGTTCAAGGGGAAGGGGAGACGGATTGGGGGTGTGCTGGGGTGACGAGCGTGGCAGCAGGAACGAGGACTGAGCTGTGAAGGTACTGAGCGAGGCGTTTGGGAGCTGTCGGCATGGAATGGGATGCTGTTAGCGAATGATACCACTGGGCAGCATGAACTTTGGGCGGATGATTGTGAATGTGTTATGGACTATGGGCACTGTCAGACAAATCAAGGGCTTCCTCAACACCAAATCCACTCTTTCTATAGTCCAGCAAGGAAAGGTAAGGTTCGAATGTCCAAGGCAAAGTAGCATTGTGCCCTCGAAACTGGCTTCGAGCAGCCGAACACAAGTCAAGCCAGCCGCGAGATTCTCAAAAATCGCCTCCGCCGATGAGCTGGTGGACAGCGCCTCTTCTCCGAGACACAGACAGTTTCGCAGTTCAGTTCGCACTTTCTGAACGTAAGCTAGCGTCCTCTACAGTTGAGCCAATGAGCGCTTACTATCTCTTCTCCGAGCGAGCAAGAGATCTCGTGCTGGTGAAGCGTCTGAAACAACACTTTGCTTCAGGATAAAATGAAGAGAACCTCGCAAAACCCACGACAGCCAGGTCACCAGCTCCCGAGCGACCCCATCGACCAAACCCTGCTCCGGCCGAAGCGCCTCTTCTCCAAAACCGAGACTGCGTCGGTGTTGTTCCGAGCATTTTTGAACATCAGCTAGCGGCGGCTGCTCCCTGCCAATCAGCTTGCCGCTTTCAGGCGCCTCTTCTCGAGGTGCGAGGTGAAGTTGGTGCTGCCGTAGCGTCTGATGTGGCCATGTCAAGGTGTCGGGAAGGCGCGAGAGGGACGCAGCGACCCTGGCGAGGAAATTCGATCGATCGGTCGAGCTGTCGCGGCTTTGGTCGACGAGCCTCTTCTCCGAGAGCGGGAGGGTCCTGAGGAAATCTAGGAGTTGCTAAAGTGTTGCCAAGCTTGACGTGAGCTAACGTCTCTGGAATTGGGCCAATGAGGTTGCGCGAAGGTAAGACCAGACCATTTCGATAGTTGAGGGTGAGAAGGACGATGTTCCGTTTTCTGGCATCAACTAGCGATCAATGCACGTCGTGAAGTCAGTGATGGATTTCCATCATCGGGTCTTGCCAGCGCCGTAGCGATGAGGTACCACGATGGTCCTACGCCCTCGCAAAAGCCTGGGTAAGCTATCCTCCTGGTTCAGCAGCCATGGCAAAGTCGAGCCGCAACCGCACGACTGCCTGATATGGGTTCTGCTGGCACCGACCAGCAGCGAGGAGCCGTACAAAAGCCAGTATGACGCTGCTGTGGAAAGACTCGTGACTGCGCTCCGCGCTGAAGAAGGGCTATGGCATGTCACCCATCTGGTCAACCAGGGGCCACCATCAGTACCTCATTGTGCTCCGTCCATGATCGCGAGAGCTTCGAGAGGGTCTCTACTGGTTCAGGCGAAGCCCAATGATTTCGGGTCTACTCACCCTAAACTTCAGTCATTCCTGGAACATGGAAACACCGCTGTGGAAGCTGGACCTATTGTCCGCTGGAGCATCAACACGTACGAGCTGGTGCAGAACTATGAACCAAGAACTTCGAAGAGCCTCACGGGGACTTGCGTGGTCACCGTCAGCATCCAGCCAAGTCCTGGTCAAGAGACTGAAGTCGACAGCTGGTACCGCAAGGACACGCTCCCACTGCTCGGTGCCACTAGTCCTGAGCTCTTCTTGCGTTGTCGGAGGTACAAGCGGGTGGAGACTTCAGGCGGATCAGGTCAGCTTGGGGCCGGTGGCTCGCCGGAGATGCTGGCTGTGAATGAGTACTTGAGCGTCAAGGCTCTGTTCCAGCATGCTCTCACGAAGGGCCCGGTGGTTGAGGAGACTGAGCGCAGTAAGAGGGTGTTGGGGGGAGCGAGGAAGGTAGAGAGGACGGTTTGGGAGGTTGTCTGATAAAAGCACGTGCGGTGCTCTCCTTGCCTCTACGTATCGCCAGATGTCCTGGCCTTCGTGGATGTTCCGCCACAACCTGTTCGCCTTCCTCAACCCTTCTGGCGATTCGAGTGGCTTGTCAGAGCATGGTCTGCCGACTGGAGGCTTGCATACTGGTACAAGCCTGAGTGCATCTGTGGAAAACAGCGGTGTGGTCACGAAGTTGGCGTGGGACTGGTTCAAGAATCAAGACAAGTCTGTTGCCATATGGCCACCCAGCTGTAACCTCCCGCTCAACCCCACTGCTGCCATCTGCTGCCTGGTCACCAAGCTGCGTTGCTGAGAACTGGTATGGTTAATTCTCTGAGAACATCTCGGCCGGGCGAAGATGCTATCCTATGATCCACGCACATCGAGTTACTTAAATTGCATGAACTCATATTCGAGCTGTTTCAATGTTATTGCAGTCGCTAATCTATGCCCGCTATCGAAGCGAAGCACTTGTATAGATTGCCCCGCCTCGCACCAGCGTCATGTGGCGGCTGGAGCTGGCGCAACCAGGTTCATGGCAAGAAGCATGTCAGCTGCCATGCTCAAGGCACGCAAATACAATACTCAGCTCATCCCTCGCGTGGGGAAGTGATCACATCGTCCTCTCATCATATATCGTCGTTCATACGAAGCAAAGTAGCAGACAACTCATCTCTATCACTGCACAACCATACCACCTGCAGGGCAGCTCAGCTGGATCAAACTCTATCACATCACCTCATCATCAGGAACACACTCCGAGATGGAAACCGTCAAGAGCGCAGTAGGGCTCGGCAAGTCGAAGGAACAGGACGAGGAGCCAGTGAGCGGCGAGACTGGCACTGGCACGACAGCCGAACCGTATGATGCCGGCAACAGCAGTGAGGCACAAGGTACGACGTGACTTTCTTGCTTCTCGAGGGGTGGGAGCTACGTTATTACTCCTCACCTCAGCTGCTTGTAGGCGCCGCGAGTTGCGCCGCTTATCCTGCTTCTTGCACTGTAACTCGAGTAGAATACATCGTCAGCAGGAAGGCTTCTGAACACGTGGGAACTGTATAGCACCAGCAGTTCAAACTGTTGCCACCAAAGCTTAGCAGCTCCGAGACGAGCTTCGTACATAGCTATCCTGTATGAAAGTGCTGACAATACCGACTTGCAGAGGCCGCCAAAGAGAAGCCGGAACAGCAAGACAACGAGGACACCACAGGCCAGGACACGAGTGAAAGAAAGACTCAACTCGGCAGCAGCTGGCTGCAGTCAGCCATACCATTCAGCAACAAGAAGTCGAAAGACAGCTCGGACGAACAGACATCAGCCGGCGCACCCAACGACACGCCAGACCAGCCCAAGGAAGCAGAAGACGAACCCAATCGCCCACCAAACCACCTAGGCGTCAACGTCCCCGAAGGCCACAGTCTCGACTTCGCACCACCGCAACCAGAACAGCTCAGCCCAGCTGAAGCAAAGAAGCAGGAGAAAATGCCCGAAGAAGAAAACAGTACCGTCGCCTCCGCCTCCGCCGAAGGCGCAGACGACACGCAACCAACCCCTCGCTCCCCCTCCTCCCCCTCCGCCAGCAAACCCTCGCCAGCCCAGCTGCGCGGCTCGCGCGCCTCCATCGCCCCTCCACCGGGCAAACGCGTCTTCAATCCATCCGGCGAGAACCCCGGCCGCATCCCCACGGCCGGCGGCAGAGTGCTCGGCGAAGCAGCCTCCGAAGACCGCAGACGCCGGAGCGTCTGGAGCAGCAGCAGCGAGACGAACACGATGCCGCCGCTGGATAAGCAGGGGAGCCCGGATCCGGTGACGCAGAGTAACACCGTCTCCAACACGGTTCCGCAGAGTCCGAATGGTGAGGGCAGCTCGAAGAGCGCCGTCGATAGCGCTACCGCTGCGCCCCCGCCGGCGAAGGAGGGAAAGCCGGAGTTCAATTTCGCTTGGGGTGAGGGTGGAGAGGGGGCGGCGGAGGGGAGTAAAGCCGGGACGTCGACGAAGACGGACGATTCGTCCGCGACGCCTAGCAAGGCGGAGCAGGTGAAGGAGAGTACGACGAGCGGTGGTGGGAACAATGAGACGCCGACGAAGGAGCGGAGGGCGAGTCGGTTTGGGAGGTTCAAGGAGAAGATGGGGATGAGCAAGTAGGGATGATGTGATGGTTGATGAGCTGGGAGGATGTTGATGTTGATGTTGGTTCGAATGCTTGGGATACCCTTTCGCTGCTGTAACGATCTTTCTGGTTCTTCTGCTTGACTTGTATGTACCCGGCAGGTGGAGTTGATATGAGCAACATTCGATCGAGATTTCAGTATCTGGCTCGCAAATCTGCTCTTACGCAAATTCTTTCCAGGCCGGCCACTTCATTAACTATGCGCTCTCCCAAGCGAGGACGCTCGACCGTGGGTTTGTGCTGTACGCAAGGAATGGCCTCCGCGATGGGCTTTGCCCTGGCAGAGCATCTCTCTTCTCCTCGGAGCCGCTGATGCTGCAGCTGCCGGCTGAGATGAGGCGAGGTGAGGTCTCTTCTTCACAGCCGCGACTCCGGCTTGGCCGCACCTCCGTATCTTTCAGCTGCAGGAACCATTCCAGGTTGCGTTCCATAATGCTGGTCCCTTGGGCCCCATAGGGTCTCAGCCGACGACGGCACCTCGTCACATGTCCGTCATATTGCGGGTGGATCTGTTCGCCAAGCCAAAACTCGCATGCAGCGGCAACCAAAAGTACATGCCCCCTTGTCTGCAGCGTAGAGTTTTTGCATGACTCGGCAGCTGTGCAACGGCATGCAATGTTGTGGATTGCCTGTCCAGCCTGCCTGCCTGTCGGGCTGCCCTCCATTTCGCGTCCGGACTCCGTCGAGAACAACTAGCTTGACCAGAATTTGCAGGCCGTATCCTTGGGTGCGCAAAAGACCAGGTATCCACAGATTGAGTCACTTCAAGGCGGCTGCAGCATCGCCCTAACCCTCTCTATCCGCCTGTTCGCCGCTTCCAACCTCTCGATCCGCCGTTTGCGATCGGCTTCACGCTGCTCCAAATGCTTGATCTTCTCCTTGAGCTTCGCGTTCTCCCTATGCAAGACCTCCGCGTCGTGATCCTTGACCGCCTGCTCTTCCATGTTCTTCTGTTCTCCCTGCTTCTGCGTCTTCTGCTCTTGCTCTTGCATACGTTGCTGTTGGGCCTGCAACTCCTGCTCTCTCTGCTGCCTCTGCGCCTCCAGCGCCTGTATGCGCTCCTTCAGCGCAGCATTCTCCTTGCGCTCTGTAGCCACCATCTCGTTCGCCTGCTGGAACAACGTCGCGCTCAGGTCTTCAATCTCTGCATTAACCTCCTTGACCTTCTTCTCCGCCGCTATGCGAGTAGTCTGCTCCTTGACCAGCTTCTCCTCCAGCTCCTTCTCCCTGCTGCTCGTCGCCGCCGGGCCATTCTGCTGACTGACAGCGGGAGACTTCTTCCCCATGAAGCTGCCAAAGCGCGAAAGACCAGGCTTCTCCGCCGGCCTCTCAGAAGACGGTGAAGCGTCAGGCGACTCTGTGCCAATCGTAGGCGTCGAATGCTTCCTCTGCTCTTGCCTCAACTTCGCCTCGAGGACACGTATATCGTTCTCGTAATCCGCGAAGCGTTGCGCTACGTTCCGACGCCGTCAGCTCACCATCCCACGCACGTCCGCAGCGCTCCCTCGAGCAGACTCACAAGCAGTATTCGCCTTCTCCGCCAAATGCCTCACTTCGTCCTCCAAGTCCCTGATCCTCGCCGCGTCCTCGTCCGCCTTCGACGACCCGACGCTGAGCGCCGAGTCGTGCGGCATGTGCGTGGCATTCCAGCCGTTCGACAGCCCGCCCTGGGCCATAACATCCGTCGCAGCACCCCTTCGTGTTAAAGTGATTAAGAGTTACTGTGAAGGAGGGTGAAGGCGACATGCGCGCCGGTGTATGTGCTACTGGCGCATAGTAATGACCGTATGATATTGAGTCTGTAACGATACGTGTAGCGGACGGACGTGGTGGGACGAGGGTCGTGTTTCAGGGATTATCAAGGAATCTTCCGAGCGGTGGCTGAACCTTGAATTCTGTAGGGCTGATGGCGTCTGGGGAGCACTTGTGTCGACCATTGAGTGTTTCCCATCGGCGTCGGACGGATCTCCGCTAGATCTTTCTGCAAGTCAACAGAGGGGGATGAGGGGCATGAGGGGCGGATGAGGGTCCCGAAGTGTCCCTCTGACGCAGTTCTACATGTGTCTTCACCTGGTCGATGGTCCAGACATGTATACCGTATAGACCATACCTTTACGGGGTCATTGACAGTTCGCACTAACTGGGGTATACGGATGTTTCAACGGGCGGCAAACTACACATGGAATGTTCTAAAACTTGGGACACCATCGCAGTAGAATAGAAAGGATCGTTGGTAAACATCTATGTAGCTCGATAGGAAGGACTAGGCACAGAGCAAGGCTGGTACAGCTGTTGTCCAAACATGGGTTGCAGACTGGTAGTAGCGCAGACGCTTCCTCACGTCGATTACGATCAAGGCATGCTTCCGGCGTCTTCACGATTCCTGTTGGTGCTCCGAAGCGATAAGGGCTTTCGCCACCATGGTCGTTCACTAACGTAGTCTGAACAGCTTTGATTGTTGAGGCCACCCGCGTGCCGTCTCGATGCCCATATCGTGAATAGCAGCGCGGATCGTAAAGGTCGAGTTGTGCCTCCATAAGCAAAGCAAGGCTTCCTTGCAGTTCAACCATCGAGTACTGCACCTGACAGTTAAGTCGACAGAGAAGAACAGCGGGCACCGAGACACGCTTCGGTCTGACCTCCGAATGGTCGAACAACACCTCACGTGGCTCGGAGTGTCGAAACGCCGCCGGTAAGCACGAGAATGTTTCGAAGAAAAGCAGTGGAGCAAATGCCGGTGGCGCTACGGCATGCCGGACTGACGAGGAAAAAAGAGTGGCCGAGATCATCGGGGAGCCGACCGGGCCATGTGCCGCAAGTGCAACAGCACCGAAGGAAGAGCGAGAGTGAGCGCGTTGTCGAAAAATTCCAAGAGGAACGACAGGGCTCGACGGAGTTTGTCGTTGGTCAGTGACGTCTGCGATTGGCTCGGAACGTAAGCCGAGTGGGGTTGGAAGCGAGACCTCTCAGCGCTACAACGAGCAAGTACTTCTGAGCTTTCGCGGACAGCCCTCCGGATATCAAGTGGCGAACGACATCTCAATGCTCGACATCAATTGCAACGTTCAAAAAAACCAACAGAAGAGACAGTACCGACCTGAACGAACACCAAAGTCACATTGACCAACCTTTGGCGACCATCTCGCGTCCGGAGAGCGATCGCCACCTCACACCACACGCGGCGCAGTCCGAAGAGCCGCATCTGCTTCGCGGACCTCGACGTTTCACAGGCACAAACGTCTTCGACCTCCGCCTCCGTCGTTCATCAAGAGGGTTTGAAGTCTCCAGATTCGCCAGGCTGAACCAGACGCTTCCTCGCCAGCCGTTCGCAGCGTGAGACACCATAGACTCGCGTGTTGCAGGAAAGCCGGACGAGCATCACGCCCTCAGTGAGTGTCTTGTGCCCAAAGATCGCTTCTTCTGTCGCTGACATCTCCAGATCAGATCCGCAATGCCTCGCACGCGTGGGGCGTCGTCACAACAGCAGAACAGTGTGGCGGACGCTGCGGTCCACAACCAGAACTTCCAGCCCCAAGAGCCACTCCAATTTGGCGACACCATGGCCAATTTCGACAGCAATCCAGGCGCTTTCAGCGACTTCAATGGCGACGAGATGGACTTCTCATTGGTCGATGGCATGTTGTAAGTGGCAGAATTGAGTGTCAAGCTTCGGAGCCCCGCTAATCTCACCGCAGTGACGAAAACCTGGACAATGGCATGTTCGGTCAATCAAACCCGTCCTTCCCAATGAATCCGAACGGTTTCAACCAGAGCGTGCCAAACATCAATCCTGCCAACATTTCGCAATTCGGACCAGGTACGGGCGGATACCCAGCATGGTCTGTTCCTCAAAATCCTCCGTCCGGCCAAAGCAACATCGTCAGCCAGCGCAGCGACAACGTCAGGCAGCACTTTGGGCAGATCACACCTCCCGACGATCATACGCCCTTGGCGAAGGATGATCCAGCCACCAACACCCAGCAGTCGCAAGAAGACATCGCCAAACTCAGTCGCGCACAGAGAGCCAGAAATGCTGCCAACAAGCGCCACGCCAAGTCCAAGAAGCGAAAGGACAGCCCGCTCAACGAGTCCAAGATGGAAGGCGAAGAGGAGGACGAGGAAAGCAAGAGCTCGAGTGTCCAGCGGGAGAAGAACCGGATAGCTGCAGCGAAATGCCGGGCGAAGAAGAAGGCGAACTCCGAGGAGATGCAAGACGTTCATCGTACTGGCGCGAAGCAGAACAGTCAGCTTCATCGAGAAGTCCGGGAGCTGAGAGATATGAAGGCATTCCTGCGCAATCAGCTCCTGCTGCACGAGCCCGGCGTGTGCCAGTGTAGTGCGATCCATCACTTCAACATGGCGCAGGCCCAGCAGATGGCGATGGGGGTGGGCAGCATGATACCACAGTCGATGTCGCCGTCTCAAGGAAGTGTGAGCTCCATGCCTACGCCAGGATCTGAAATGTCAGGAAGGCGATACTCGGGTTCGGGTTCAGCAGGCATGTCGAACGCACAACCACAGCAGCAGATGGCCAGCCTAAACTTCCCGCATACGATGGTTCCAGATGCGATGCACATGCCAGGCCTTGCGTCGTACGATCTGTCCTCCACGCCGCGTTACGCCGACTTCCTGCAGAACTCTCCCGGCGGTCAGGGTGGCTTCTCATGAATTTGCCTCCCGCGATGAGAACGGATACAGGCATAGGCTTTCTTTGGGACGAAGGGCTTGGAGGGCGTCGGCGTAACAAGAGGATGGAGTGTCCCCAAGGACTGGTAGAGGGCGGCCTTGTCCTGGTTGGACGCTTGCTTCGTAACGAAAGTGATGATTCAGTGATGGACACGAACATTGAGCTGGCGGTGTTGCATGGGGGAGGCCGGCCTTTCGTGTGTAGATCAAGTCCTAGAAACGATGCAGGTCGATGATTTCGGAAAGCGTGAGGTCCCGTCCGGTCTGGACTCGTGGTCGTTGCGCTGAGGTCGCTGAGGTCTAGACCGAGCTCCAAATGCAGCTGCAGCTACGTGGTGTAGCATCATCACGGAGGTCCGTCTCCCCGGTCATCAGATCGCCTTTCGTCTTGGTGCCATCCAACGCATCGTCTGCAAGTAGCATCATGCTGAGCTTTTGAAGTGCTCCTTAAGTTTGGCCTTTGTTTCGCCTCGAGGTTGCTCGGAAATTTGCTGGAAGTGCGCCTGAACATACACGGTGACGGTACCTCGACGGTCCGCTGTTTTCTGTGCAACGTCCAACGTCCTGATCATCCGTAATTTTGGATTGTTGTAGTCGTTTCGTTTCAGCTTTGGTTGTCCCAAGTTCTGCGGCCAGCTCTACGCTGCAGCACGCATCGATTTCCAGCGGCCAGAGTGTCCATCATTTGGGTCGTCCTGTTTTTCTTGTTCATAAGTCAAGTCGTCTCATCTAACGCAGTATTGTCGGTCATTCGGGGGATTTGCTCTTCGTCGTTTAATGCTCTCTTTCAGCTCTTCGTTCACCGACAGCCAGATTGCGACACGGCATGGTCAAGTGTCGTCCGCAGCATCTGTATCGTCAGTAATTCCACTTTTCACAGATTTTCCAAACATCTCCTCGCCGTTGTTCCACTAGATGAACAGGTTAATATTGTTGTCGAAGGAGTTGACGAAGAAAAAAAGTGGCACGAAGGAAGAGGTGAGGTCGCAAAGTCGGTGATGCCGCCCTGACGACTCGTTTCGCGAGCCGGGGCCTATCACAGGCAGGGTGGCGATTGGCTACTCAAATCATGTCGTTCTTGGCATTGTCGTAGCTGACGGCGAGATGACCGCTCCGCCGACTGCGAAGCTGGGATGGGATGAAGAAAGTGGTGGGACGTTAACGAACAACACCTAACATTCTGTATCAATCCTTCGCGGCTTTGAAGATACCTAGTCTGTGGTAGATTTATGGTAGTATACGACACCGTCTTGACCTTGTCGTTGTCGATTGTTACATCCAGCCAGTGCATCCGCAAGACATCCATCAGACTGCCACCTCTTCTGGCCAGCCCAGCTCTCTCTGCCGCCACCCAAGCATCATCGCGTATCATCTCTCCTGTTGTCGGAGCTCGAGCTGGAGGTTAGCAGTCAGCATAGAGAGCTCCACTAACACCATCATCACGAAACTGGTATGAGCCTGCTCACGTTAGCCAAGCAGACCACGCGACGTCCATTCGTATCAAGCGTTCTTGCCGTATGCTTTGCTTTCTTCTCGTGGTATTTCCTCGCTGATCTCTTCTCCTCCAAGTCGACTCAAGCGCGCAAGATGCACATCCAAAGTATCCCCATGTGGGAGGGCAGCGGGAATAACTACGCATATCTTGTGACGGATGAGAAGTCCAAGGATGCTGTGATTATTGATCCGGCGAATCCATCAGAGTAGGCATACGAAGATGTTAATACTCTTCTAAACTAACACTTGTTCAGAGTTCTACCATCGCTCAAGAAAGCTGTCGATGGTGGCTCGAAGATCACGAACATCATCAATACCCACCAGTAAGGACTGGATCTCGGGAATCGTAGTCTGTCTTTCTGACGAATTGCAGCCATCATGACCATGCCGGCGGCAATGTTGAAATGGTACGCTGCTCTTGTCGAGGTATAATGAGGCATCGCTGATCTCCGTTCCAGCTCAAATCCTACTCTGTCCCCATCATAGGCGGCAAGGACTGCGCCAAAGTGTCGAAGACCCCCAGCCACGGCGACACGTTCACCATTGGCGACAGCATTAAGGTGAAGGCACTACACACCCCTTGCCATACCCAGGACAGCATCTGCTACTTCTTCGAGGACGGCAATGACCGGGCAGTCTTCACTGGCGACACGCTGTTCATTGGCGGTATGCTATCCGCTGTATCACCATTGCACCGCCGCCTAACTGACACGGTGGCAGGCTGCGGACGCTTCTTCGAGGGCACACCTCAAGAGATGGACAAGGCTTTGAATGAGACGCTGGCTGCGCTGCCTGATGACACCAAAGTCTTCGTATGCCATCCACAACAATGAACTCTCATTCACTGCTAATGTGCAACAGCCGGGCCACGAGTACACCAAGGGCAACGTCAAGTTCGGCATCAAGGTCCTACAATCCGAGCCGGTCAAGAATCTCGAGTCGTTTGCAAACTCAAACAAGCAGACGCAAGGGAAGTTCACTATTGGCGATGAGAAGGTAGGTTATCCAGTATCTCGCCCCCTTGTCCGCAGCTGACCTTTCTAGAAACACAACGTCTTCATGCGTCTCGACGTGAGTCCTCCGACCTCCTATTATGACTGTGCGCCTACTGACATTGCTTCAGGACCCGACTGTGCAGAAGTTCACTGGCAAGACTGGGCGAGTTGACGTGATGGGTGCGTTGAGGGAGGCGAAGAACTCGATGTAGATGTTCAAAATAGATCGGCTTCAATGTTGCCAGAACAATCAGTCAAGAACCGTTGTGTCCTTCGAAACAACCTCTCATCTGCATTGACGTGAAGGTGATAAAGGTGCATGAAGTCGTTGCGGTCATCCATATCTGGACCCCACCAAATCCAACCACCGATCGTGACTCCCCTCTCCCCGCAATGACTGCGGAGATGACTCGCTCATACCAATCGCCTCTCTTCACTACAAAGCTCCTATCAATGCCAACAACCTATGATCGTAAACTAAGATCAAACAGCAAAGGCCAGCGATGATCCTACGAAAACGAGAGTAACAGAACGTTGATCCAAACGACAAGAGCTCGCAATGGCAACCAGATCGGAGCGATATAAAGGGCCACAAACGGCGCAAGAGCGGCGGGCAGGTGAATCAGTATGCTCGTGTGCAATATGAACAAGTGTTATGGAGACGACCCTAACTCCAAACCAGGCATTGAGTGATTTCGCCGACTACGTCCAGCAACAGCAAGCCCTCCGCAAGCCGCCACAGTCCAGCAGCTCAACTGGCAAAGGCGCCCCCAAGCAAGAGCATGCTGAGTTGGATATTCTCGATGATCTTGATCTAGGGGATGACAAGCCGAAGGTCAAGTTAAAACATCTACTACTCGACGACACCGACACGAAAGACGATAGCATCAAGCAGCTTCAAAGCGTCATTGAGACCCGGATAGACGAAGGGCATGGCGAATGCTTGTTCGATGTTGGACTTGAGGACAATGGGGATAGTCAACTTCTAGAAGAGAAGGAGTGGGACGCTGCGTTGGCGCGGATACGAGGCTTGCTGGAGAAGATGAAGGCGGATTGGAAGATCCTCATGACGAAGAACGTTCCGGACAGCCCGGTCGATGTCGGAAACGAGAACAAGAAGGAGAGGGGATGTGTTGGGAAGGTGATGATACGGCGGCGTCCGCAAGATCTCGACGATACGATTGAGACGAGGATAGCGGTTGTTGGCAACGTGGATGCTGGCAAGAGTACGATGCTGGGGGTCTTGGTTAAGGGCGGGCTTGACGACGGTAGAGGTAAGGCTCGCGTCAACTTGTTCAGGCATAAGCATGAGGTGGAGTCAGGCCGGACCAGCTCGGTGGGCATGGAGATCATGGGCTTCGACACGAAAGGCGAGGTTGTGGTTTCTGGGGTACCTGGACGCAAGCTCAGCTGGGAGGAGATTGGGAAACGCAGTGCGAAGGTCATCTCCTTTACGGATCTTGCGGGTCACGAACGGTATCTGCGGACAACAGTCTTCGGCCTCTTGTCCAGCGAGCCGAACTACTGCCTGCTCATGGTAGCGGCGAACAATGGTCTCATCGGCATGAGCAAAGAGCATCTGGGCATCGCACTGGCCCTCAATGTGCCTGTCATGGTGGTAGTGACGAAGATTGACATCTGTCCACCACACATCCTGCAGGAGACCGTCACGCAGCTGACCAAGATTCTGAAATCTCCTGGAGCAAGGAAGATACCGATCTTCATTAAGAACCGCGAAGACTGCATCAACACCGCGACACAGTTCGTCAGCCAGCGGATATGCCCGATCTTCCAGGTCTCGAACGTCACAGGAGAGTCTTTGGACATGGTCCGGGAGTTCCTGAACATCCTGCCTCACCACGGCAAGTACGATGTCGACGCTCCGTTCGAATTTCACGTGAACGACACCTTCTCAGTGCCGTTCGTGGGCACTGTGGTCTCTGGTGTGGTCAAATCCGGGGTCGTACATGCCGGCGACACTGTTCTTGTTGGACCAGACAGCCTTGGCCAGTTCACTACCACCACCATCAGGAGCATCGAGCGGAAACGAATACCTGTCCCTGTCTGTTCAGCCGGCCAGAGCGCGTCCTTCGCACTACGAAGAGTACGCAGAAAGGACGTCCGGAAAGGCATGGTCGTCCTCCTAGCCAAGTCAGATACCAACCCGAACGCTGTGGCGCCTCAGCCGAAGGTTCATCGCGAGTTCGTCGCAGAAGTGCTTATCCTGTCCCACGCCACCACTATCCGGACGAAGTACCAGGCTATGCTCCACGTCGGTCCCGTCAGCCAGACCTGCGCCATCATTGATATCGATCGAGCGTACATCCGGACTGGTGACAGGGCCACGGTCGCCTTTCGCTTCGTGCAGCGGCCTGAGTTCCTGGCGATCGGCGACCGGATACTGTTCAGAGAAGGCCGGACGAAGGGACTGGGGATTGTGAAGCAGGTGGGGTATGATTCGTCGAAGCCGTTGAATCCTGAGGCGGCGAAGGAGAGGGAGAAGTTGGAGGGTGGTGGGAAGACGGCGGCGAAGGCTGGGAGTTGAGAGGGACATGATGAGGCGGCATAAAGGTCTGACGAATGGCATGTATAGATGGAACATGAAGAGACGGGGAATGAATCAGACATGAATTGACTTCTCAGAGGGAGTGTAACGTTGACAGCCTAAATAGACCTACATCAGCTCAGCGTTTCAGCACTTCCCTTGCTACCCGTCTCTCTGTCTCCTCGAGTAGTGCCAGCATCGAGCTACGGCGGTCACGGCCTCCAGGTCCGTTCAGCACTACCTTGTACTCCTGATTACACAGAGACCATCAGTCAATATGAACCAAAGAGTGATTGTCGTCGAGTTGCAATATCACCTTGTGGATACTAGCAGACCGTGGATCGCTAGCAACGATGCTTGTGTAGTGACTCAGCCCGCTCATCGACTGACCCGACACTATCTTCAAGTCTTTCTCTCGCGAGAAGACGACTTCCGCGTTCGCTGTGAGGGATGCAGTCAGCCACATGTGGCGATTCAAGGTCGAGATGTGGCAGACGGACCGAGAATCAGCGACGAGATGTCGCTCAGTGTCACTACGTGCTGTGCGTCGATGGCGGTGGGCTTTGATGCCATCTCTTTCGGAGAATGAATAGTCCTGCCCACAATGCGTTTTATGTGAGGTCGCATTCGTCCTGTTCCAAGCTCGCAGCCGGCCGGACCCCGGGCCGTCCCCAAAACTCAATCACCTAGACATCCTTGTCTGAGCTTCCTTTTCCAGAGTCGAAGAGAAGAACAACACAACTTCGCCCATCTACCTACATCGAGCCTCACCCGTTCAACAATCATAAAACAGCAACCATGGTCCAGCTAGAAGAAGTCGAAGATGACGAGCTGAACCAGCAGCAACCCGGCCCGAACAAGGAGGAAGAAGATGAATGGGACACCGACACAGGTATAACCGCGCCATACCCTCCATCTCATACGCATCGCTCACTCTTCTCACAGAATCAGAAGTCTCCGACGTAGACGTAGACGACGACCTCGACGAGACCCTCCTCGACCGGCTAGCAGCCCTCAAAGACATCGTGCCCCCAACCTACCGCAAGCAGCTCTCCAACGTGACATCGACCGGCTACAGCTGGGCGGCGAAAGCCATGAACATGAGCGGCAAGACGTTGTGGGTGGTGAGCACGAGCGCGCTGCTGTTGGGTGTGCCGTGGGCGCTGGCTTTTAGCGAGGAGCAGCAGGTTCAGGAGATGGAGCGGGAGATGCGGATGCAGCAGAATGCGAATGAGGTACGTCTCGGCGCGTAACTCGGGTGATATGGATGATGAATGCTAACACGAGATATAGCTGCTCACGCAAGGCTCTTCGGGGCAGAGTAATGCGAAGCCGGCGATTTGAGGGGGAGAGATACACTTGTAGGCTATCATGTTTGGCGCCATGTGCTCAGTGGTGGCCAATGTACTATACTCTTCTCTCTACCTCGATTCTTTCCATCCACTGGGTCTCGAGAATTGTCTTCGCGTCCTCTGGAGGTTCCGGTTGAGCTTGGGGCGTCGCCACGAACGCAAGTAGGAGCTATACAGCAGGCCACTGCCTTGGACCTGCTGTCCAGAGCGCCGATAACGTGGGTGAGCTGTGAAGTAGATTTGTTCTGCTGTTCTGTGTCCATGTAGAACTGTCATACGTCCCGGATGTAGATTACACTCGGCCGAAGCTCGATTCTAAAGAGCTCTCATGTTGTCTCAGTCCCTTGCAACAAACATGTATACGACCAACACATATCACGATCTCGAGTGAGGACAAACGGGCTGAAGCTGGAGCTGGAGCTACGACAGCATTGCGCGTGAATGCCGCAGCGATGGTTGATGTATGGAAGGCAGGTGATGGGGTGGCGCAAGGCGGCGTGGCGACTTCAGCCTGCCGACTTCTCTCTCCTTCCAAACGGACACGGATATCAAACACGACCATACAACCCAGTACAAGAAGGTCAGACAACTTTGAAGAAAGATCATTCGGAAGACATATCTAACGTCTCCGGAACAGCGTGAAAGGCTCAAGATGTGCTGAGATGCGGTACACCTGAAGCCACCTACATTCATCTCGATAGGACGCCACGCAAGCCAGCGATCGTCAGCCCAACATGGAGGTGAAGTTGTTTACCTATGATTTGACAAGGGGCATGGCTCGCGCCATGAGCCGACAGCTTCTGGGTATTCAGATCGACGCAGTCTACCACACCTCGTTGGTCATCGGCGGCATCGAGTACTTCTTCGGGCAGGGCGTCCAGACCTGCTACGCCGGAACCACTCACCACGGAGCGCCCATGGAAGTCATTACCATGGGCACAACACAATTACCCATGGAGACAATCCTCGAGTACCTGGGGAGTCTCAAGGAGGTCTACACGCCTGAGAGCTACGATCTGTTCGCCCACAACTGTGAGAAGCCTCCTCATATTCATGCTTTAAGACGTTCGCTGACCACTCCACGCAGGCAACAACTTCACGGATGACTTTAGCCAGTTTCTCGTTGGAAAGGGCATACCTGATCATATTACCAATCTTCCGAGGAGGGTGCTAGATACGCCGTTCGGCCAGATGCTGAAACCGCAGATCGACGCGAGCATGCGTTCGATCACGCAAGCACCGGTTCCGCAGAGCAACGTACCTCCTGCTCCTACTACGAACGGAACTCCTGCAGCGAGTGCTCCTAAGTCAGCTACAACACCCAACGTGTGCAGCCATCAAGCCTCCGGCCCTGCGAGATTCGGCAGCGTGGTCAACCTTACTGGCCTGAGTACACTAGAGAAAGATCTGCAAAAGGCCTCAGACACCGCAGCGACTATCTTCTTCACTTCGTCGACATGTGCTCCGTGCAGGATGGCATATCCCATGTTCGATCAGCTGGCAGCAGAACACCCGCAGGCCTTGTTTGTCAAAGTCGACATCAATTCCGCGCAGGACGTGGCAGCAAAATACCAAATTCGAGCCACGCCGACGTTCATGTCGTTCTCCAAAGGCACAAAGCAAGATCAATGGTCTGGTGCAGATCCAAACCAGCTGAAGGCCAACGTGGAAAAACTGCTTCAACAGACCTTCCCACCTCATCCGCACACACAGCTTAACCTTCCTACACTACATTATGGATCCATGAAGCCGGTTACCTACCCGCGGGTGCCACCACTCGACAAGCTGATGGCTAAGCTTGGTCCCGCCAGCAACGATCAGGATCTCGTTGCTCTGCGATCCTTCCTCGATAAGCGCAATACGAACGCCAAAGACGCTGCTTTGCCAGACATGCAAGCAATCAGTCAAGCATTCCAGGCCAAAGTACTATCTCTACCACTCGAAGTCCGCTTCGCAGCAGTCGACCTCTTCCGCTGCGCGATGATCGACTCCAGAGTCAGTGGCTACTTTGCGGAAGAGAAAGACTTTGCCACCGTGGCCGGCTTGATCAAGCACATCGATGGCATTGACAGCTGTCCGCACAATCTACGACTCGTCACGATTCACCTTGCCTGCAACCTCTTCACCTCGCCTCTCTTCGTACAAGAGACATTGAAGCAAGGCAGTCACATGGCCGCGACGCTCGTAGAGCTCATCACCTCCTCGTTACTCGACGCTTCGCATCCCACAACTCGGGTGGCAGCAGCATCTCTGGCTTTCAACATTGGCGTAGCGAATTACCGCGTAAGACGAGAAGAAGGACGGGAAGGGCTGGATGAGGGCGCGCAGGTCGAGCTGGCTGCCAGCTTGGTTGAGACGCTTGGGGGTGAAGATAGTAGTGATGCTGTGAAGGCTTTGCTGCTGGGGCTGGGGTATCTCGTGTGCTGTGCGCCGGAGAATGGGGAGTTACTTGATTTGGTGAAAGCGCTGGATGCGAAGGGGACTGTCGGGGCCTGCAAGGGGCAGGGGGCTTTGGCGAAGGAGGTGTCGTCGATGTTGTAGGGTGCTGATGGATAGATTATACAGAATACATGGAGGTCCGCATGAAGTTACCTTTACGAGTACGATGAATAAGGCTGCGGCTTCCACGACTGTCACCGACTGTCATCAAACACGAACGGCAGCGACGGGCGTCTCTATTTGAACACCCGCTCCGACGTCAACCTCACCTCACCACACCTCACCTCATGTTCGCAACCAACTTCATCCGCCAAGCAATATAGCATGGACGCTTACGCTTCGCAGATGACCTCACGGAGGATTGCATGCATGCATCTCCGCCCGACCAGGAACACGGCAGCGAGCATGGCATCACCACCAAGGCCGCTGCACGACTGAAGAAACTCTGCCCAACTCGACACTTTCCGACTCCGCGAAGACTGTGTAAGAGGAAGAGATAGATGGACCTCGCACCGAAGCGGCAGACCATCCTTGTTGTAAATCACGCTGATCGTTGACAGCGCTCCGATCGGATCCCGCGGGGCTTTTCTAACACAATGACAGAGCACCGCTGCTGCGCCTTGCCACTCCCCTGTCCTTCACCCGCGAGCAGCCCGAGATCATGCGACATGCTCGAGACGTTCTGCCCAGGTCGTCGTGTCGTTCCCGTTCTCGAACAAAGCGGACAAGAGGCTTTTTCGCTCGGCGTGCAGCGGATGGTCTAAACTTGACGTGAGCGACGATGCCGAATTATCCGATATACTGCCATTGGCTGTCGTGGCAAAGTCTTTCTGCATCCGCGGTGAGCTTCCGACAGCATCATCGTTGTGAGAGCTGCTTGCCGCGCGGTGAGCGGGTTCAGGATGCGCTCGGGTCAGCGCGTTGATATAGACTACTGCGAAACACCACCTTGCCCATGTCTTGTCACTTTCCTTGGATCTTGTGCAACGTCTTCGAGTCAAGCCACTGACAGCTCCCACGTCAACACACCGATCTTGGAACTGCGCCTGCCGACCGGCGACGTCCCGCCGACCATCCCCCAGATCTTCGCTGTCGATCCTTGAGATTGATCTTGTGGCATTGCGTAGTCGACGGCATCTGAAAACCTTGTTCTCTCTTGAAATCTACACCGACCTCGCGGTGGTAGTTGGTGGTCTTCATTACATCTTTTGGAGAAGCACGTTGCGTGGAAGCTTGGGCATTGGTTGGGCACAAGAGGATCTGAGACGGCTGAATCGAATGCGGTCTTGGAGACAGCGCAGCGGCACACACTACAACCTTGGATGTTGCCCACCCTGGACCTGGGCTTGACGTACAACGACATCTTGGGCAACTGAATCAGGCGCCCACAATACATATTCTTGGACCTGTGTCCGTTTGACAATCTATTTCCAAGACGTATCGGATTATTCTGGCAGCATCTCCTACGGTACGTTACACGAGCTTCCTTGTCGCCGTCTCGAAGCAGGCGCCTGTGCTTGTGCGCGCGCGTTTGTGCTGGCATGCGGATGACGCCTTTGTGTCACTGCAAGGTCCTGCCTTGGTTGAATATGGTCGAGTGCCATGCACTGTTCTTGCAAAGGGGCAGCACAGCACATGGGTTCATTAGACCTCGAAGCCCGGCGACGGTCAGCTTCGCAGCTATGTTTGCTGTTGATTCCTCATAACACTCATTGCGAAGCTCCACACGTCTTACTCGAACAACGTAGCTGACGCAACATGGCAGTCCCAGCACGATCATCTCCCTGTCGCGGACCCGTATTATACAGCCCCGTTGCTGCGCCGCACGACCCGAATCAATCACACCAGCTCTTCCGCCCACGTCGAGTTGGACAAGGTCGAATACGTATTTGTCCTGTTGTTGAGTCGGAGGGCAAGTCTGCACAGGCAGCAACACAAGCATTTGAGCGCTCGGTAGAGCGAGTATCATCCAAACTGGCGGTCTCGCGGGAAAACGCTCGGCGGTTCATCAAGTCGGTCATTGCTAGCCCGTCAAATCCGACAGACCCGCAAAGCGATCGACCGAAGACAGCAAAGAGGAGGTCGTGGTCTCCAGCGAAGAGGAAGTTGTCGGGAGGAACAACTGGAGGCGGAGCAGAGTCAGAAGAGGCTAGCAACATGAGGTCGGCAATAAGAGGCTCGATCAGCGGTCCCACGAGTGTACATCCGGCACGGCCACGAGTAGGTACAGATGCGAGCAATCTGTCTGTGCCATCGCTGCAACCGAGCGTTACAGGCGCCAACGGGACATCCCCGCGCCTGCGAGCTGGATCCATCGTGGACAGTGTAATACCCGCATACAACTTGGACGAAGAGAAGCCGATTGCATCCGGCAATGGCGTAAGCATAGGTGTCCACCTGGCAGAGCCTGTGCTGTTCTTGCAAGGCTTCGAGAACACCGAGAACTCTCCAGGCAACACCGCCATGCTGCGAGGCAGCTTACATCTGCGGGTCCAGAAGAGTGCAAAGATAAAAGCGGTCACTCTCAAATTCAAGGGCAAATCGATTACCAAGTGGCCCGAAGGCATACCGCCGCGCAAGGTGGAGTTTGACGAAACCGATACGATCATGAGCCACACCTGGCCATTCTTCAATGCACAGTTTGAAAGTGCCGAGAAGGGCACCAATGCCGATCATGTGCAGCTGCACAAGGGACCAGATGGTGCTTCGACGACGGTCACAAGACTTGACGGCTTATCCCCGAACAATTCGCAGGTCAATCTCAGCACAAAGGAGGCTCGGAAACTCGCACTTTCAGTCAATCAATCTCGCAGCTTTGGAAAAGGCGACCCACCACCTGGGGGGCCTGGAGTAGCAGCGAAAGGCTATCGCACGTTCTTGCCTGGCGACTACGTCTACAACTTCGAACTCCCGCTCGACAGCAGATTACCAGAGACGATCGACGTGGAGCTTGGCTCAGTGAGATACGAGCTTGAAGCGACTGTTGAGCGATCGGGAGCCTTCCGAGCAAATATTGCTGGCTCCAAGGAGGTGACGCTCATTCGAGCCCCCGCAGAAGGATCACTTGAGCAAGTCGAGCCTATCGCAATCAGTCGAAACTGGGAGGACCAGCTCCATTACGATATCGTTATATCTGGAAAGAGCTTCCCGCTGGGCAGTCAAGTACCCATTGCGTTCAAGTTGACGCCGTTGGCGAAAGTGCAGTGTCATCGGATCAAAGTCATGGTCACGGAGAACATCGAGTACTTCTGCTCGAACAAGCGGGTGCATCGCATGGAGCCGACGAGGAAAGTTCAGCTCTTCGAAAAGCGGGCGGATGGTCCACCGACGAGCACCTTTCCGGGCAGTACGATGCGAGTTACGGCTGGCGGTGGCATACCGTATGATATGCGAGCGAGAGCAGCATCGGGAGAGGACGTGGTTCCCACTGACACTACTAATCTGCTGGGTAATCTTGACGGCGACACGGTTGGTCCTACTGAGATGGAGTTCAGCGTCCAGCTTCCGAGCTGTCATACGATGAAGGATCGGGATCGAGGGCAGAAGCTGCACTTTGATACGACGTATCAGAATATTCAGGTGCATCATTGGATCAAGGTAAGCCTCACGACTAGAACTTTCGTCCCGAAGTACTCTGACATCCTCATCTAGATTGTCATGCGATTGTCGAAACCTGACGCAGCCGATCCCAGCAAACGAAGACACTTTGAGATCTCCATCGACTCGCCCTTCCACATCCTTTCCTGCCGCGCAACCCAAGCCAACATCTCCCTGCCCGCCTACAGCTCCCCCGAAGGCACCAACCCATCCGCTCTCTACGACTGTGGCTGCCCCGGCGCAGCACGACGCCGCAACTCCCCCACCTCTTTCGTCCCGACCCTCAACTCGCTCAACGCCAGCCGCACCGGCGACACCGACCGGCCAAACACACCAACCCTCCAGTCCCCCGGCCTCGCTCGACCGCCCACCGCCCACCTCAGCGGCCAACAAAACCAACAACAACGACCGCAAAGTACACAACAGAATTCACGACCCATCCACCTCCTCCGAGCACCTTCCTTCAACCCTCCGCCTTTCGAGGAGAACGACCCACCTCCGCCTCTGGTTACGCCGCCGCCACAATACGACGATATCGCATCACCTACGAACGGACTAGCGGACTACTTTGCACGATTAAGCGATGCCTACGATGAAGATGACACCGACGATGCACACCATGCTGGACGGGTCAATGTACCGCTTACGCCTGGCGGCAGGATTCATCGGAGTATGGATGTGCCGCGGAGTCCGATTCAGTTGAACGACACGCCCTTCTTCGCACGGCTGCGGTGATGAAGAACTATTTGGGAGGCCTGAACGAAGTTATGTACATATGAAGATGATGAAAATTTGGGGACTGGGATCTTTTGAGACATATGAAGCGTTTTTGCGATGAGTATATGGTGATTTGGGGTTGGGGAACATGATTTGGGTTCCTTTTGGGTATCTGGTTGGGTTGATTTGGATGGCTTTGTGGAGACAATGCAGATAATGTTGCACAGATCTTTTTATCTTGCTGCTACGCCTTACCATGTGCTACCGGCCATCAGCAGTAAATATGGATTCCGAAATACCTTTGTTGTTCACCTATCCGAATCCGGACGAGACCGACCGACTACGCTCTTTGTTCGACACCACGTACCCATGGTCAAAGCCTCAACGCTCCTTGACCATCATGCTCGACGCTCAAGTAGATTAACATGACTCATTGGTCACCCCAGCGTCTCATACGGGAAGAACACATGAGAGACTTCCTCGACCTCATCAATCCCTCAACCGTCAGCGTTACATGCGTCGGGACCAAAGCCAACGGCGACCGCTGCAGTCGCGGCGTAGGCAGTTATCGTCAGGCGTTCATCAACGCCATGACCCTTGAGAACGTTTGGTTCCTGAACGCAACGGAGGACTCCCTTCGCGAAGCATTGGAAGACACAGCCGATGAGCTCACCTGCAGAAACCACGAGAGGGACAGCGATGAGATTGCTTTCCGCTGGCTCTCGGAGATCTAGGAGTATCGCAGGATGCTGCAGAATGAGCGGCTGATGATGATACCACGCAGAGTGGACCAGCCGCCAGATGATCCTTCGGCACAGAGCGAGGAGGCGCGGCGATGTGTCAGATGTTCGGTCCCGGCGAAGAGTCCGGTCGGTACGCCTTGCTATCACACCTATTGCTGGCCGTGTCTTCATGACATGTTTGGGGGTGAGGTTCGAACGTGGTGTGTGAACCGATGTCGTGCGTTTGAGCTTGTTGATCTGCATTGGACTGAGCTGGACTGAGGAGGCGGGCCAGAAGCTCTGCGCCTGTGATAGAGATCATGAGTAGTATTAGACTTGCCCCATGGCTTGAAACAGCTTACCATGGCTCTCACTTTCTGGACCCGTGCTTCGCAGTGCTCATAATTTCAGGCGGGATCAGCTGGTCCAGAGATATAGCCACATCTTCCCACACTGTTAAGTCTTCGGCCAAAGACATCAGCTTTCCACCTTCGCTCTCCAAGTCAAGCGCGTTGAACAGCTCGCATCTCTCTCATCTGCGCTGGAGTTCAAGGAGGCCCATCGCAGTCATGCACAAGGCGATCACGACCCGGGTTGTCGGTATGATCTGGTCCTGCAGCGTACGAGTGAGGATTTTAGAAACGGAGAGTCAAAGTCAGAGGAACTATCCGAAGGAAAGGAGACGAGAGTGAGGTCGCGAGTCATGCGCGTCCCAGCTGCATGTGCAGTCGAGGGCGAGATGCCCCAAAGGAGAGCCTTGCATTCTTTTCTTTTCCCCCCTCACGACTACCTTATCATCACTGTCGTCGTGGACACACGAACAACAGTGGGGAAAACTACTCCCAGCGCTGGGAGCTCCAGATGGCTTCGGATTCCTTAATTCATATACATTGATAAAGCCGCATTCCTCACGTACGGCCACAGATCGCAGATATATAGGGCATCCCGTCCGCTCTGCCGTACTCAAGCTGCGAATCGGATGATTAGTACTGCCGTGGGTGACCAGGTGGGAATACCGTCTGCTGTACGTTTTGCCTTTTCTTTTGATCATCTGCTGGCGAATGAGATGGGTGTGTATAATCCGGGGATTATTAGCAGTGCGGAAGTCTTTTTGCGCGGCCTTGAACTTTTCGTGAGCCATTCAGCGGCCTCCACTTCGTGCTGGCTCAGCCCACAACAATGTACTTGAAGCCACTTCTTGCACGGCCCCTCGTAGCTGAACACCACCACACCGGTCACGATACCATAAGTACCGCCACACAGGCAGGCCGCTTCTCTAGACAAGCATCTTGTCCCTCCGCTTTTCACAGCCATGGCCGAAGCTTTAGGTCTCGCAGCGTCAGTCATCGAAGTCTCCAATGAAGCCTTTGCACTTGGGAAGTATCTCATTGGCATAGTCCAGGACTACCGCAATGCCCCGTATGAGATCAGTCAGATCGCCAGCGAGCTTTTTGTCTACAGCGAGTTGATGGGGCCATTGGCGGAGCATTTGAAGGCTGGCTCGGTCAACTACAGTGCAGGATTTAAGCAGAGTGTTGAAAACATTGCTCGTAATGTGGGTGCAGAAAAATCAACCTGGGTGAAAGAGTACGATTGACCGTGATCGCAGACAATAAAATTGTTCAACGAGCTCGAAGCACTGATGCCGCCAACCAAAGCAGACGGCACCATCGACAAAGGCGTCGGCGCGCGACTAACGTTTGCTTTCAGAAAAGGCAAAATCGCAGAGGTACAGGACAAGGTCTTCCGAATGCGAGACACTTTTCGCTTCATCAAGGAGGGCTACGAAGACCAGATGCGAAGAGCGCAGCCCGTAGGAACCAACGGAATGCTCCATGGCGAGCCTGTCACGCTGTCAGGTCCTGGAAGAGACTCCTCTGGCAACCAAGTCAATTTCTCTGTCACACTTGTCATGCGTCCGGCGCAGTCTTCAACCTATAGTTCTGCACCAATAACAAGAGAGAAGGCGGAAGCTCAACCGCAGCTGCGACGACCGGAAGGCTACCTTCAGGCTCTGCGTCAGAGTCCGTACTTCTCGGCCGGCGTCCTGCTATCCTCGCCTTCCAGCGGTATGACGAGGGCGTACCGTGAGGCGCCGAAAGATCCTGCCGTCGAGAAAATTGCGGCAAGAGAGTGGGCTCGTAGAAAACCCTCTCCCTATGCGGCTGAAAGCGGATACGCTCCTGGGACGGAATACATGACAAAGTCCAGAATGAGCAGAGAGTCGGCAGAAAGTTCGAGCGAGACTGCGGATATCCCAGATGATGCTGAGGCTGCTAGAGATGTCGACGCTCTTCTCGCTAGCGTAAGTATCACACTCATCCATGCATTGAGACCTTAATTACTGACAGTGCGATACCTCAGTGGTTCGGCGGCGACAACGAGCAGTCTACATCAGGTCGGCCTGCACTCACTGTTGTAGAACCCGAGGAGGATGAGCACGAAATCCCTATGCCGTACTCGAGGACGCCACCACGAAGCCCAAAGACCGCAAGGGCGCCTTCTCCAGCCGGGCATTATGTGTCTGGGTCGGACCCGTTTACCTGTGATTCCTGTAATCAAGAGGTGAGCAATAATGAGAGAATTGAATATGATCAAGCTAATAGGATACCAGATCCGAGGAACACGCTTCGAATGTAAGAGATGTACCAACTTTGACGTCTGTAGACACTGCTTTGAAAGCGACAGCGCCATGCTCCGGCTGAATCACCGGCATCCTCTTGCGGCGTTCATGGCTATTCGGCAACATTGACGTACCTCGCCATTCCCCTTCACCTCTACATGGACTAGGGTTGAAGCTGGACAATGTGTTAAACCTTGATTTCTAGAGCTCTTTTTGATGCAGTCGTGTCTCCAGCCATAGAATGATAGATGTGGTATCAATACAGTCATGCCTCAAACTCCATCAAATGCTCGTAAATGCCATGAACTCGCACAAACGCACCAAACATCCCTTCCGCGGACGTGGATCACCATCCTGACCCTTGGTCCACAATGGCGTTGAGTGATTGCATCCCTTGGTCGTTGGCCGTACTGCTAGCCTGACTGGTCGCAGATGAGGCCGATGCAGGCCGTGAGTTGTTTGCCGAATCCGAAGTCGAGCCAGTGAACCCAGCATGTTCGCTGTGCTTCTTGTAGTAGTAGCTGCCCTCCTTTAGTTTAAGCTCCGGACTCAGATTCTCCAGTACAGTCGTCAGGATCCCATTGACTCCCTCCTGATGCTCCCCGTCCCTGTTCCATATCTGTATCAACATGCTGTTGAACCGTACACCCAGACTGATTCCACATATGTCGTCTCGAAACGTCGTCCGGTCGCTCTCCACGGCGTTCTGCAGCTGTTCGCCAATCGCCATCAGGCACACATCCCTCCAGAACTCCACAGCCACCGCTTTGGGCACGCGAAACGTCCACGCCCCTCCACGTGAGTTCCTCGGATCCTCCCACACAGGCTTCACACCCTTGTGGAACAGGTGCACACTGTCCCGAAGCGCGAGCCGGCCGATGTCGAAGTTGTTGAACACGTTCCAGAACTTCTTCACGTCGTCCACCATCGCCAACACCTCCAGCCTGTCCTCGTACGACCCCTCTGCTGCTCCGTTGCTGCCGTTCGACGGTGGTGCGGGCGACTTCTCCTGCCTGTCGTGCCAGAAGTCCCAACTGTGTACGAGTGGTGGAGCGCGGTTCTTCTGGAGTCGTGCTTGGAGGAAGTTGCGCATCTCCGCGCCTCGGGCGGGGGATGTCGTCGCTGCTGCTTCTTCGGAACCCATGGTGGGCAGGCCGGTGACTTTGAGTTGGGGTTGTTCTGGCATGTTGGGCAGCTTTGATATGCTTCGAGATATGGCAGGCTGAACAAAGGGGCTGTATTGGATAAAGGCGGATTGGGTCTCAGCCGGCTAGCCTCTGCTTGATAAAGAATGTAGGAGACACGTAGTGACCAGCAGCGACATGTCTGTGTGATGTTGGAGTGAGGTTGGATCAGGCTGCGCCGCAGCACGAGCGCGCTGTCTGGTCCTGCACTGGTGTGACATTGTTTGCGCTGATGTCTAGCAAACTTGTGACACTTACTTCTGATTGGCCCGGTTATATCCGCAACCTTCTGAGGCAATTCTGACGGTGATGCTTGGATGAAATTGGAGACAGATCATCAGAGAATGTTTCGCTACACCATTAATTGAGTACTACAACGACAATGGCTGCGGCACCAGACGTAAGGAGCCAGGACGCTATGCAGGTCGATTCGGAGGCCAAGACATCGACGCAAACATTCAAGATAGGCACACGAGCATCACTCCTGGCCAAAGTCCAGACGAATGAGGTCGTCAACGCATTGAAGAAAGCATGGCCCGATTACCACTACGAGATTGTGGCCATGACCACGACTGGCGACAATAATCAGAAGACGGCTCTTCACAAGTTCAACGAAAAGGCTTTGTGGACCCAAGAACTCGAAGTCCTCCTCCAGAGTGGCGATCTGGACTTGATAGTGCACAGCTTGAAAGACATGCCCACGCAGCTACCGCATGACCTCGACCTCGGATGTGTGACGAAACGACAAGATCCGAGAGATGCGCTGGTTATCAAGCCCACGCTTGTGGACAAGTACCGCTCGCTGGCAGAGCTTCCCGAAGGCAGTGTCGTTGGGACGTCAAGTCTTCGACGGATAGCGCAGCTGAAGAAACATTACACTCACCTAAAGTTTACCGATGTACGTGGCAACGTGGGTACCCGGCTTGCGAAGCTCGACAATCCAGAGTCTGAATACAGCGCTATCATTCTCGCGGCAGCGGGGCTGGCACGATTAGGCATGGACAGGCGGGTTACGACCTATTTGTCGAAGGATAATGGAGGCATGCTTCATGCAGTCGGTCAAGGTGCACTTGGGATTGAGACTAGAAAGGGTGATCAGCGAGTCAACGATCTTCTGAGCAAGATCTGCTGCGAAAGAACGATGCGGCAAGGTCTGGCTGAACGTAGTCTCATGAGAACGCTCGAAGGCGGCTGTTCGGTACCCATCGGTATCGAAACTGAGTGGGTTTCGAAACGAAGCTTTTCGCCAGAAGGTAGCGGGATTGGCGTCAAGCCTGCCGAGGATTATCACAAGCTTACCGGAGTGGCCGTCAACAGTCCGGAGAACAGCTCGGCGCCGCTGGATGCAGAGGAAGCATTGTCGGATGAGTTGGTCATGCGTGCGATCGTGGTGAGCCTTGACGGGCAGGAAGCGGTAGAAGTGGAAACGCGGAAGCTCCTGAACAGTCGAGAGGATGCGGATCAGTTTGGCTGGGAGGCAGCAAGATTACTCGTGGACAAGGGAGCGAAGGAGATTCTGGAGGCTATCACGCTGAATCGCGGGATCATTCATGAGCAGGGCGACGCCTGAGGAACGTTTCAAGAGCTGGGTTGAGTTTGGCCTCTTATTTAAACAGCTTCGCTGAGGTCAGTCTGTAGGAATGGGGAAAAAATAGCTGATCACGCAACCGGGCTTTTCACAGTAATATAGGACAACACGAAGTATCGGTACCTTTCGATCAAGACATCCACCCATAAGTCCCTCGATTTCAGAATCGAAGCAATACCAGGCATCCGCCATTTGAGCTGGTCGGTGTTCCAATTTCTGACTTCATCTCCCACGATGCGACAGCGCTGTGAAGTAGGCGCCAACGGGGGATGAAGCCTTCTCACTAGGCGGAGTTCTTTCAACAGCGGATAGAAATGGCTGATCATGGTCAGATGCACCAAGAAATTGTCGAGCCGAGCACTTATCCCAGGACGATTGGCGAGCGTAAGATCAACCAGCTCAATATCGTAGAGTGTCATTGTGAAGACCTTGCGTTCGTCGATGGGCCAGCCCAGAGTGTCCCAGGAACGGTAAAGGCGGATGGCACGCTTGTATGCTTTGATGACGCTACTTTCTGCAGGCGTTGGCTGAAGCAGCCAGTCCGTCATCCCCCAGATAAGGTAGCGTATGTCAACTTCAAAATGCTTGATGCAGGACCATCTTCTTCTTACGACACTTCTCAGGTTTCTCTGATCAACTTCTGGGTGTAAGAAGATCCTGTGATCGTACGCTTCCGGCGCATAAAAATCGACCATCCAGCCGAAATCGAAGGTCTCGAATATGTAAGGGAACGTCTCTTGCGCAATCTGGCGACAGACAAAGCGGATGGCAGTCGGGTCCCTCGGTCGCCAGGTCGTTGACACATTGCAGATCTGGTGTGGCAAAGTTGCGTGCTTCACTCTCGCCAACACGATCTCATACACCCACCGTCGACTCTCGACAGGGAGCTTGGTCAAGAACAGGGAAGGCATGGGCTCTGCTGCAGGGGTGTTGCCTTTGCGTGGACTCCTGCCCGTCATAGCACGGTACGCTGAGCTCACGAGCCTAGGAGTGTTCAGCCCTCTATCAGACGGGTTTCGACGCTCACGGTCCTTGCTTGGGTCCTTGTGAGCGCTGAGCCAGTTGGAGATGGTCTTTGGCGCCATATCAGTAGCTTCTTGATGATGATGGTGTTGGAGCGTCTGCAGAACACTTCTCAGCAGGACGAAGTAGCATGAACAGATATCGCTGAACTTGGAAAGAGAGAGAGCTACTGGCCGGGAAGCGAGGCTCATGACCTTCACCCTGACGGTGGGCAAACATTCACGACCTCTATTCAAGACTGGTGGATCGATTTTGGTGACGCATCCATTGTTTGTTGCCATGTTTTGCCCTGAGAGCATTCAGCTCGATACTGGCCATGCAGCTTTACACCAAATTTGAGAAGGCGAGATCAGCACCCTCCTACCCGCCTCGAGCCCGCTTCAACACCCGAAGGTATTGAAGCCTCACGTGCATGAGACGATCATAGTAGCGAGTACTGAGAGGCAGGAAGAAGTTGGAAGTCATGCTCACAGCAATCAGTGCATCAATCTGTTGTACATCTGCCCCCTGCTGTCCTAAGTGCACGTTCTGCCGCTTGCCTGGATCATTTGTGAGCAAGTGCAGAGGCTTGGTCGTTCTGTGCAAGTCTTTCAGTGTCGACACCAGTAATCTCAGGGAATCTCCCACTTCACCTCTTCCGACTTCCATGCTCTTACCTCGTCTCCCTCTATACAGTAACGGGCTGTGGCGTTCTTGATCTCAACATTGGGCATGGAGTCGCCATACACCAGTCGTAGCTCCGCCAGCAGCGGGAAATACAGTCCAAAAAACTTCAGGGCCAGCAGAAACCCGGGTATTGTGTTAGACGGAGTGTCTTCCTCATGCAAGATCTCCGCACCGGTAATCTTCAGAGTTTGGACCTGCCGATCTATCCACGCCCAGCCTGAAATATCCAAGTGCCGAGTAGATGTTGATACTATCTACATACGGGCGAGGTACTGAGTATCTCTCGAACGAACGAGCGAGCAATCGCGCAGCTCTTACTTCGATGATTTTGATGCAGCTCCACCGTTCGGCAACGGCCAGGTCGAGGGTAGATGCAGAGAGAGGTCGAGTAGATAGCGGCATGAAGCTGATGTGGAAGTTGTTGAAGATGTGTCCTCGTGTTTCTTCGGCAATCTTGCGGTTGACCAAGCGAATGGTGGTACGAGGGTGAACCCCTGACGGTGACATCCTTTGGTATGGTCCCGACGGCATTAACAAGCAGGCTCCCTTGATGCCCGCCAGCAAGAAGTCGTAAATACGTGATCGGACGTTAGTAGATATTTCGAGGAACGCCGAATCCGCCCAGAGCAAGGCTCTTTCGGGTCTGGATCTACGGACCTGCTTCGTTGGAGGGACCATGACGTTCTTCCAGTTCTTGAAAATCATCCAGGGCATCTTGAAGCAGCAGCTGCTGTTCGGTATACTGTGTGGTCGAGCTGGTAGATTGTGGGGACCGAATTGTATACCGTGCAGCCGAGCTGGTATACAGTGCGGGCACTACAGGCGAAGTAGTATACCGTGCAGGGGAGAGGATCGCAGCATGGCCACTGGTTTGTTATAGGTCACTGCCAGCGATGAGGCTCGCAGTACTGTGTTTGCCGCGAGTCGGGTGTACGAGTGGAGTTGTGTTTGCCACCAGTGGTTCGCCTGCCCTCACTCCTTTCCGACGGCTCGTGAGCGTGCTGGTCATCCATCAATAACTACCATGCGTGGGAGACTGTGATACAGCCAATTTCAGCTGCTGAATGAGCATAGTGAAGCCCTGCATAGCTGTAAGTACCCTGCATTTACATCTCCAAGCTCAGATCTCACCAACCTTGACCAAGGGAAGTTCCCACTTAAGAGCGCCTGTGTTCCACTCCCGTACCTCATTCCCTGCGATCAGGTAGTGCTCGAAATCATATTGTGTGATCTCACCTGGCACCGGATCACGCTCCACTTGCGATCGCAACTCCGTCAGCAGAGGAAAGTAGTGACAGAACAACGCCAGCCACATGAGAAGATCCGGCGAGTCTGCGCCTTGGAGATTGAAGATGTCCTCAGCTTGAAGTATCGTCAGCAAATCGACGTTGCGATCCTCTGCAGGCCAGCCGAAAGAGTCCCAAATGGCGCTGAGCGGGGTAGCATCGATTTGAGCGTTTGGTGGCGGAGTATCAACAATGCGGCTCTCGACCCACTCCACATTCGCAGACCTGATGAGGTTCGTAGCGAGCGTCTCGAAGTCCTTGATCATGGCCCAGCGGCCGCGGACGAAGTTTTTTTAGACTGGCCATAGACTGTTCCTTGAGGCAGTAGCTCAGATGCTTGCCGATGTCGAATCCACACAGGAGGTACGGGAAGGTTTCTTTGGCGATCTGCTTGTTGGCAAGGCGCAGGGTAAGACGGCCGCGTATCGGTGGAATCCTGCGGTCGCGCCGCTTGAGTGCATCTCCTAGTACCATTTCGTAGATGGTTAGTCTGAGCTCCGATGGTAGATCGAACAGCCGTGCGTGTGCAGGAGAAGACTCATGTGAGGCCAAAGGCATTTCAGCAGGTACAATAGAGCGTACAGTTCGATGCCCCATGTTCAACAAGGTTAGGAGAGCGTATTAGCAGCAAAAGGTGTTAATTGAATGGGCTGGTCTTTTAAGGTAGCAAAGCGTCGGCATTCTTGTCGCCAGTCGTATTGCTTGAAGACCAGCCATGACTGGTGGCACGTCCGCGTCAGCCGCTTCGTAGAGCCCTGTTTGTCAAACGTAGATCGAACCCTGCCGTCATGGCCGCCGCGTGGTACTGACAACGCACGGTGATGCATGCCTCACTTGAATAGCTCAGTCTTCCTCCTTCAGCCTCCTACTCATACCCTCAGGCGCAACCTTCTCCGCTCCACTGCCTACTTTACCCTCAAACCCACCATCCTGCATGAAGAAGTCCGCTTCATCCACAATATCCCACACAATGTCTTCAGCCACCTGCTCCTTGTACCTCTCCCCGATTGGTCTCGCAAGCCGTCCTGGGTTCCAGCCCTTCTTCGCACCAGAAGCGTCGATACCGACCGCGTCCTGCATTGCAACGTCTGGCCCGTCAGCACCAGAAGCCGCAGCAGCGCGCGTGCTGGAGATATGAGCCGGCGGCGCCCAGAAGCCGTTTGCGCCGTCGCCGAAATTCACCTCAGCGATACCACCGAAGAAGCACGAGACTGCTGGGAAGTAGCCCACCAGACCGTCGTCGAAGCCTTCTCTTGCGCCCATGGTCTTGCTTGGGGCAGAAGCTGGAGGCAAGAAAGATAGGAGATTTTCGAATGCAGTGCCGATGAGCTTGCCGTTCTTGTACACGCGAAAAGCGCTGTGTGGCAGAGTTCGGAGTGCTGGTGTCTCGTGGTTAGGACCAGGTGCGGCTTTGATTGCATCCTTGTTGGTCGTGGTGATCTGGTTTGGTAAGGAGCTGAGACTGGTCATGCGGTCGGCATAGCTTTCCATTGGCTTCGTCGCGACGTGGTCGAGCACTTCGAAGTAGCTGTTCCCTTTGTAAGGGACGGGTATGCGGTCGCGTATGATATTCGGGATGTCAGAGCCTGGGTCCAGAGCTTGCGCTGGGTCATCAAAGCCGTCACCGGCATCTACAGCAGGGTTGTAGACTCCACTGACGACTTTCTGATGCAGATTGAGGGAGGGTAGCTGGAGTTCGAGGCCGATCACATCGCCTTCTTTGACGTCCTGATCTTCTGGCGCCAAAGTAATTTGAGGTGGCGCTCCCACTGCGTTCTTGGCAGACTTAGCCTTGGACTTCTTGGGCTGAAAGAATTTGCCAGGCCGGCTGCGGTGCATCGTCTCGAAGCGGATGTCTGTGATGCCGTAGCTGTACCCATCAAAGCCTACAGGAGAGTCCAATGGTGCTTCACGTCGTGCCCATCCGAAGCGGACATATGGTTGCGGGCCATTTGCGGTCGGGTCGGGACCTTCTGGAGGCACTCCTCTGTGGATCTTGACCTCGTAATAGAGCGTCCCTTCTCGTGCGCACACATTCGACCGCACCATCCGCCACCCCTTCTCATTGGCAGTAACAAGCGCATTCGTTGTGAAGTGCATCCACTTGTCGGCGTCTTCGAAGCTTAGCCGCGAGTAATGCGGCGGAGGCGATGTAGTCCGATAGTACTGCTTGTGTGGGAAGAGTGGATCTGCGATGGCTCTGCTATAGCGGTAGCCGCGCTTGTTCTCCGCGAGGTCAATAGGCTTATACAGCTGTCTCTCGCTGTCCGGCATCTCCAGAGGCAGCGGCTCGTGCACGATCATGACATCCTCTTTCGGCAGCTCGAAGTCCTGCGCGCGTGGGGGAGGGATGTTGAACCGCTGTGGTGATGGGTATGCATTGGCGGCGTTGGCCTTCCTCTTACCCAGCACATTGCTTGTGGAGCCATTGACACCGCTCTCCCGCTTCTTCAGCGACTCTTTCTTCTCTCGCTGTTCTCGCTGAATCGGAGTTGATGTTGGAGCTGGCGTCTTGGATGGTGCGCGCGACGCTGGGTTGAGCGGCGATGGCACCACCGGCACATGGCCTTGGTCTGCTGCTGATAGATTGTTGTCCGCCATGGTCCTGGTGCTCCGGTATGAAGCAGTGTCGCGTGTCTTGAGATTGAAACGCGTGCGGTCGTCAGAAGCACTAGCGGCAAGCATAGACCACACCTTATCTGCAACCCTAAATGACCAACCGCAAGACATTCGTTGGCGACCACCGCCATTAACTGAACATTTCGCTCAAGCGCATGGTTTTGCGGAGAGTCACACTCCATGATATACTTGGTTAACAAATATATAGATTGCTGCTCCAACCAGTCTTCCGAGACACACCATGGCCACCACCACCAGCAAGGAGGAATTCCCACTGATAGACCAACTACAAAACGAACTCAACCGGGTGCTGGAAGAAACGGGAAGGCTGTTCGCCGCCTCAGCTCGAGACAGCAAAAACCCACCAGTCGCACAGGCCTCGCGCCTGAAGCAGATTTTGCCGAGTTCTACCAATAGCTTTCACGACGCGCTGGATCAGCTCGAGGATGAATTGCAGATTGCCCAGTTTGTCTTGCGGAGGGACTTGGCTTTGTGCCGCGAGCGCGATGGAATTCCCAAGACGGTGCCTACAGAAGATGCCGCTGCAGCGAAGCCAACGGTGGCCGAAACAGAGCAGCCAAAGCAACCAGACCTGGCTTACGAGTCACAGGAAGCTGAAGATGTGTCCATGATGGATGCTGAGACGGATGCGCCAGCCCATGCTGAAGAATCAACTAAGCCAGAGCCACCAGAAGCCATGCCTTCAGCAGAGGCGCCCACGGATGACACCGCCACCACCAAACCGCCAGATGAACCGACTACCAAAACGGAACCCCCTTCAATCGACGAAAAGCCGTCAGAACCACCACTTCAGATCGACACCCAGAACCAACCGAAGGAGTCCACCACCAAGCCCACCGAACCAGCCGCAGAAGACAAAGAGCCTGACACCGGCACCTTCAGCAACCCCGCCGATCTTGACTCTCTCTTCGGCGGTCCCACCTCCGCCACCATCGACAACGCCCCAGACTTCAATCTAGACTCCGCCAACGACCAAGGCGACTTCGACTTCTCTTTCGGCAACGACGACAATGGAAACGGCGCGGACAACGAGAACTCTCTTTCGGCCTTGTTGCCAGGATTGCATGACTACGCGAACACGCAGCCGGGTGGAAATGCTGATCAGGATTTTTCTGCGCTCTTTGGGAACGATATAGGGAGCGCGGGTGAGGGACAGGGGCAGGGGCAGGATGGAGGAATTGATTTGGATGATTTTATGGATTTTGGTGATTTCGGAGATGGGAGCTTCACAGCGGGGAATGGGGAGGGTGGGAATAATAATAGCGATGACTTTAACTTTTCGTTCGATTGATGGAGCCGCTATCGGTACTTTGGAGCATGAGCATGGTTGGGGCAAGAAGGTTTTCACAGCGCGTGCGCTGGGCGGGAATATTTCGATATTTAGGAACTTAGATTCAGAGATGTAGCGTGAACCTGACCACTACAAGCCATACGATCGTCCCAACCGAAGATGGTTGTCTATGTATCCGAGGTATTATTGTTATTAGGTGAACGTGTTGAAGGAAGTTGTGGTTGCACAGCTGGGATACTGGGCAGACCCCATGTCGACCCGACTCCGCCTTGGCCGGCGAAGGACCAACCAAGAAACATGGGGAGACAAGCATCGCCTTGTTCGACCCACCCTTTCCCGGTGCACGCCGGCGGCAAAATATCTAACGAGAGGCCGGCCACATGTCACGCGGGGTTGGTGATCGACAGTATGCATGTACTGTACAGAGTATCTCGTAGTACTTCGACCCTGCGCGCGCGGGTTTGGATGGCTTCGACTGTGTGGACTCACGGCCGTGAACCTGACCCGTGCTCATGGGATGCAGATCCTATCTACCTGGAACCCGTGAGGCGATGCACAGGATGCACCCCGAAAATAACAACACCTCATCTCCCACCTTCCTTCTGTGTCCTGGCATAAAATGCTCCAAGTCTCCAATCGTGGCTAGGACTGCCATACCGTCTCTCTCACAAGAAACCCTACTGCCAACATGCTCGCTATCGAAGCCGCGATGCGCTCGCTCCTAGTAGCAGCGGCGCTATCCCGGCCAACAACCGCCCAAACCAACCCTCCAATGTGAGTTCACTCTAGCAGACTGAACGAAGCATCCCAATAACATTATATCAAACATCAGGCGCAGAGCCTACAGCACAGACACCAACGTAACCCTATCCTTCAACTCCGGCGGCCCCAACCACTGCCCCCGGAACGGATCCAGCGACACCATCACCTTCTCCACCTTCTTTCCCCTGGACCTCTATGGCGACCAACAAGCCTGCTTCAACCTCGCCGACGTCTTCGGAAGCAACAAAAGCGTCCAGAGCAACTTCGGCGGTTTCGAGGCCAGCGGTCTCAAGTACACCAATCTCACGTACGGGTACTCGATCTACGGCGCCGAGAACTACGACCCCGGCACCAACTACTCCACCGTGCTGTACCATCAATACGGGATCGACGCCGGAGACTCGGACGAGTGGGATCAGAGCGAGTACGCCCCTCGCTACGTGCAGTTCTACCCAGGCAGAGACTGCGATCAGGCTGGTGATGCGCAGGGGAATCTCGTCCCGTGGTTCCAGAGTTCTTGTCGAGCGAAGCACGATTGCGAGCAGGCGCCGGCTAGTATTAAGAGCTTTATCATCGGGACGGTGACGGATGATTATCCGTATCCGAAGCATTGTAATTTGATGTCCGTGTACGATGCTGCGACCACGACGAGACCGGTGTTGGCGGCGGTGGTGGGATGTGTGGCGGTGGTTGCGTGGTTTGTAGGGCTGTGAGGAAATCGATACCCAATGAGACGAGGCGATATGTCTTCCTTCTCTCTGACCGCCTAACTGAAGAAACCCAATGTCCTAGGTGTTGATTATATCGACTTTGGGTCTTGCCGGTGCAGCAAGGCGAACGAACACTGACCCGCTGAGCCAGATCAAGAGTCATTACTGTCTCCTAATCAAGGTGGCGTGCATGGACTATTGATTGAGGTGGTGTACGACCAAACACAAACACCAAAGTACTACACAAAAGAGGTACACCACCACACCATCGGCGAATCGACCATCAAACTGCTGCCAGCTTCGTTATCAGAGACTTGCACGACCGAACCACGCCGCTTTTCCATTCCGGCGTCATCAAAAAGGCAGTACCGCAAGCAACATCGGCCGCCTGTCTCGCTACACCACTGCACTCAGTCGCCTTCTCCTGGTCTCCAGCCTCGAGATGCAAATGCTCGAGTATCGTTGCGCTGCGAGTCGAATCAGCAAATGAAAGACGAGATCAAGCATTCCCACCACGAAAAACATCCGACCTACATCAGTAGCACATCCCACACCATACACACCTCCCCCTTCAGCTTCTCCATCAACTCCGTCAACAGCTCGACGCGCTGCCTCTCCTTACCCTCTGCCGACAGTACACGCAACTGCACATCAATGTGATACATCGCCTCCCTCCCCCGCTCCCACTCACCCACCGGAACCCCACAGAGACAACACCCACACTCAAACCCAAACTCCCTCAACTCCTCCAACCGCTTACTCCTCGGCAACGCGAGCGGGATATACGATAAACACACCTCCTTCCCCTCCCCCATCTCCCTCACCGCGCGGACCTCGAACCGCTTCTCCCCCTCCCCCTCCCCTTCGCCAGGGGTACCAAGCGCCCACGTCCCGTTCGGAGCATACGAGTGATTAAACCGCGACGCCTCATCCCCCAGCAACGACATCCCCGCCATAGAGTCCTTCCAGCTATTATTCAGGTACTTCGCCAGCACCTCGCCGCAGAAATTCGGACGCTTCGTCTCTCCAGCCTGCTTGGCGAGCTCGCGCTGCGCGGCCGTGGACTCCGGGTTCGTGAGGTTGTACCAGGCTGTGCGGTCGGCCGGGGGGAGGGCGAGGAAGGCGCGCCAGATTTTCTTCCAGGGCACGGTGGTGTGGGGAAAGAGGACGAGGGGGCGTTCGGTGAAGAGGAGCGTGCCGGTGGGGATGGTGCGGGTGGTGAACATGCCTTGGCCGTGGAGGGGGCAGGGACGCTGGGTGCAGAGGGGGGAATCTGGTGGGGACATGGTTGGCTGTTTGGGAGTTCGGCAGGATAGGATTCTTCGGCTCGCAGGGAGTGTTTGTTGAGCCACCGATGCTTACAGGCTCAGAGACTCGTTCTATACGTTTGCAATGATACGTTTGCTTGACGCAGAGGTTTGCTGCTGTTCAGATTCGGACCAGTGTCGACATAGCTGATCCGAAGACAAGCATGCACGTACTGACATTGCCGTCACTCGACCTTGCCCTCATCTTCAGCGAGGCACCCCCCATTACCAAACCACCCCCTAACTCGTCAAATTCTTCTCCCTCTCCACCCCATTAATCCCCGCCGCCCCCCTCAACCGATCCTCCCTCATCACCACCGCCTTCGGCAAATCCACCCCAATTCCAAACAGCACAAAAGCCGCCCACTTCCACCGGAAAGGATTAATCACAATCACAAAGACAAACCAATACAACAACTCCGCATAGGTGAAGAACTCGAACGCCCCGCCCGGAGCCCGTCGTTTGATCCACCGTGTAAAATCGATCCAGAGTTTCATCAACCGCTCGTTGGGCCGTGCCAGTGGGTCCACGAGGAACATGAGTAGAAAGCGCGTGTAGATGCCGATGTGATAGTTGCCGACGGTGCCGATGGCGTTGACGTAGGTGCAGTTGTTGGCGCAGACGTCCATGTGTTTGGGCGGGAAGGTCTGGAGGTACCAGTTCGGAGGTTCGTACTTTTCCTCAAAGCACTCGGAGGGTAAGAAGGAGAGGGAAGGGCGTTCATAGCCGGTGGCGAGGATGCAGAGGTCGCCTTCGATGAGTTCTTCGCGGCCGGGTCCGCCTTTCGGCACGCCCTGCGAGCGGTGGTTGAAGGTGATGCCTTTGCCGTCCGGGGAGAAGTGTTTGATGTCGCCGCGCAGCCAGGAGGCGCGGCCGGAGCGGATCTGGTCGAAAACGGCGTTGTTTACCATGGGGGTTTCGGTGAAGAGGCCCTTGCTGCTTCCGCGGGGCGGGCTGAGGTCAGAGAGGTCGCGGTAGAAGAAGAGGCGGAGGAGGTTCTCGGGGATCCAGGAGAGGGGCGTTTCGGAGCCGAAGATGTTGAGGGAGAGGAGGATATCAATAAACGGATTGCGTGGTATCACCCACTTCTCACTGCGCGCGAGGATGTAGGTCTTTTCAGCACCGGCGTGCTCGACGAACTCGAGTGCTTCGATAGCAGAGGCACCACCTCCAATGACCAAGACCTTCTTGCCCTTCGCATCTACACCGTCCAGTTGAGACGAATGGACAATACGGCCCTTGAAATTCTCTTGCCCAGGCATGTTAGGCGCTTTCGGGTCACCACAGGTTCCGATGCAAGCAATGACTCCATCGAATCGTCCCTGCGACGGGTCGTTGATGATCCAGCGATCTTGAGGATCCTTGTACACCTTCTCTACCCTCGTGTTGAACCTCGTCTTAGACTGCAGCCCGTATCTCTTCCACAACTGCGTGATTTGCGACACAATCTGCTGTCTGTCCGGGTAGCCACCCGACCACTGCACGCTCGGATGGAAGCGGTACATGACGGAATGGATCTGTAGACCAGACGTATTGTTGACTTTCGCCCATATCCCACCGAGCGCGTCTTCACTCCCCGCCTCGAAGATGGTGACATCGAAGCCATGGCCGACGCAGTGGGAAGCGGAGGAGACGCCTGTCAGACCAGCGCCGATGATGGCGATCTTTGGACGGCCGAGGTTGGCGTTTGGTGGTGGAGGGGTGGGAGAGAGGATGCGACTGAGGAGGGACTGGAAGAGGGAGTAGAGGAAGACAAAGGGGAGGTTGATGAGCTGGCTGAGGTAGCCGCTGATGCTCGACCGTTGCTCCATCTCTTCGCGTTTTGCTGCCACTCAACTCTGCGATGATGAAGGAGAAGGAGGAAGAAAGGTTGAGCGCAGGACTTACATGGAAGGTACGACTGACTGACCGTTGACGCGCGGAAAGTATGGGACCACGCGGTTGCCAATGAAGCTTTGCAAAGACCCACGAGGTGGATTTTATGCAGCAATGACGCCATGTGATCGGCATGTGATAGTCTGCCCTGTCGATCGCCTCCGAGGAGGAGGAAGGAACGACCACCAGCAATAATCACATGCAGCCCACCTTGATCCTTCGAGATATCAATAAAGAACAACTTGACTTCGCCTTGATTTACTAGGTACATCTATATCACTTTACTGAAGCCTGACCAACGAAAACCACCCAAAGACAACACCCACCCACTATGGACGACCCCATCAACGACATCCCCCAAATCATCTACAACCTCACCACCGCCCCCTCCTCGCTCCAACAAAAAACCCTCGAACGCTACTTCACCCCGGACGCCTCCTTCACCCACCCCTTCTGCGCCGTCCACAACAACCGGCAAGCCATTCTGAGGATCTTCCAATGGTACAAGATCCTCTCGCCTGATATCAAGATTCGGATCAACTCCGTCGGTGCGTACCTCAAACCTTTCAACCCTAAATGTACCATTGCATCCTGAACTGAATCTGGATTGTGCTAGCTTACGATCAAGAACACATGACCTTATACGTCAACCTCTCCCAACTCTTCGCCATCTGGTTCATCCCCTTCCACCGCTCCCCCGTCACCCTCACCACCGTCCTCACACTCGCCCACGGCCACGCCCTAAACACGTCCACCCCTCCCCCAAAAAACCCCACTCCACATTCTCAAGCACAATATTTCATAACATCCCAAAACGACCTCTACCAAGTGGACCAGTTCGTGCGCTTCTTCTTACCCTGGGGGCTCGGCACCACCGTCATCGCTGTTTGGCATTGGGTGGCGACGCTCGTCTGCGTGGTAGGGGCGAAGGTGTTGCAGCCGGTGCAGTGGGTTTTTGCGGAGCTCAGTCGGCCGCTGGGGGAGGAATTGGAGGATGGGGATGGGGTGGGGGAGGAGGGGTTGGAGAGGTTGGGGATGGAGAGGAGGGGGTTGGATGTTGGGTTGGGGTTGAAGGCGAGGAGGGTGGGGAGGAGTGAGGGTGTGGTGGGGGAGAGATCTGATGAGGATGATTGATGGGGAGGAGAGGTCGGTAGCTATTCGTTGATGGAGTGTCATCTTGGCGACTGAGTCGCTTCGCTGCTGAGAACAGGTGTATAGAGCGGCATGCTAAGCTCAAGCACTACGAAATGTTGACGCCAAACATACTAAACACCTTCTCAACATTCTCCATGCCCTCCACCCCCGCCTCGTCCTTCAGCACCCCATACTCCTTAACACAGCACTCGAATGGCAAGTTCGACACCGCCTCTTCCTCCCCCTTCTCCTCAACATTACCCCACAGAATGCACAACTTCTCCCGCACCTTCGCCAGCAGTTTCCGATCCTGTCGCAAGTCCCCCGGATCCGGAACGTCGTTGCCGAAGAGATACTGCGCCTCCTGGTGTCCAATTTGGACCCAGAGACGGCTGTGTTGATCGATGGATTCGAGCTGGAGTTCAAAGGACCATTCGTAGCGGGGCGAGGACTCGTAGTCGATCATCATGACGCTGTCGTCCGGACTGTCCTCGTTGTTCGAAGAGGCGAGGCGGGCGAAATCTTCCAGCTGCTTGGGTTCGAAGTCCACCACGCGCGCTTGGGTGCGGTATGTCGCGTTGATGAAAGGGATGATTAAAGATTCGATATTGGGATCCGAGTATTCGTGGTGCTTGTTTTCCGGATCCAGGATAATGCGGATAGAGCTGAGCGGTATCTCCCGATGCCCGCAGCGGACGTGAGGGTTGATGTCCACTTTGCTTCGCCTTCGCTTCTCCTCGTCTTCAGCATGGCTCGGCATATCAGGGGAGATGTCTGATTTGGCTGCCTTTTTCTCTGCCTTTGCTGCATTCTTTTCCTGCTTCTTAAGCTTCTTTTTCTCTCTGTTCGCCGCTTTCCTGGACTTTCTGGTCGATCTCTCATCCCTGTTCTTTTTCGCCTCGTCCGCGGCAAGTTTGGCGTTCCGGTGAGCCCAGTACCGCTTCTTCCGTTCCAGTAACGCTTTGACCTCTTCGGTGCCCGGAGGTACTCGCCGGATGCTCACTTTCTCTGGATACATGTGATCCGGCCACATGTCGCCTTCCAGGCCGCCTACGTGGTCCGCTCGGTTCCTGAACTTGACATTCTGGAGACGCACAAAGTCATCCTCTTTAATATCTCGGTTGGCGTAGCCGGCGTGAGGGTTCTGAAGGTTCACTTTGAGTACCAGGTAGCCGTATGGTCCAGGCCATTGGCGATCGGTCTTGTCGTCGCTGTATCCGTACTGGTCGCCGTCACGCTCGGAGGAACCATCAGCCTCGGGTGGCGGACGAGGGAATACTGCCTTGTTCTCTGTGTAGTCTGTGACGTATAAATCGCACTTAGCGTTGCCAGCCGGGAACTTCTTCACGACTTGCACGCAAAGGTCGGCGTAACTGCCCGTGTTGGTCGCTCGTACTTCAGAAATCGTCTTCAGCTTGTCTCGAGCAGGTAGCGAGGTAATCTGTCGCTTTGCTTGCTCTGACTGTAAATCCTCTCCGGGCCGCTTCCTGGGCTGCTCTGGCAGTACACTCTCTTCGGCGCGCTTCGATGGTGGTTCTGATTGCACATTCTCTCTCGACAGCTCTCTTATACCTGCCGGGCCCGAAGGAGCATTTACAGGTGCCTGAATGCAATGTTAGTTGCGAGTGGCCGACAGAACTGGTGGAAGAACAAACACTTACAGTATCGCTGTATTTTGATAAAGACTGCAAGACCGAGCTCATTGCATGCTTGAGCTGTATAACATAATTCTGCTCCTCAAGGGTGAACCTTCCCACGTCGTTTGGCACACCAAGGCACTCGAGCCGCTTCTTGTCGTGGAAGGCGATCTGATAGTTCGGTGCCGGAATCGCTGCAGCCGGGAAGACCAACACCGACGTTCTGAAGGTCGACAATGCAATGATTTGGCCGGTGAACATGGTGATTCTGATACCTCGTAACAGTACCATGTCGCCAAGTCGCTCAACTCGTGGAAAATCCTTTTGGTCATCCGCAAAGAAACGGACAGTTAATCCTCGGGATCCGTGAAGCGCGTCGCGCAGACTCTCGTCCAGCAATTTGAAAGTCATCATGTATTGGCTTCGTGTTAGTGTGGGTGGCTGAATGTCGACCACTGTCCCGATGATGTTGACCAGGGTGTTTGGCGTTGTCCTGTACGCGGACGAAAGGTCCACGAAGGTCTTCGGCACTGCCATGGCGGGATGTGGATGGTTTTGCTACTGTGTTACTGTGGTATTCGAGATATGAGCTGCAGCTGTGCAACGATGTCTTGTTGCCGTATGGAGCACTGTATGTCTCCCATTCTTACGATCTTCCCAGGAGTACGAATGCTGATGAAACCGTAGGCTCGAGCTCGCTTCCAGAGTGATGGTCGTGGTGGTCTGTTTGAAGTTATATCGGCCCTTCAAGAATGTCGACGTGAAGTCCAAAGTCGCGTGAGCGCGTCGTGCTGGGAGAGTTCTTGGCAAGGGCTCCAAGTCTTGCCCTCCAGATCGCATTCACTACGTAACATTGAAGGTGACTCGGTCCAGCAGCACAACTTCACATTCACGAAAATCTTTGATCGTTCGCTCGGCTGTTCCTTGTCGCTCAACTATCTTCAAAGACGGCAGACGTCGTTCCCATGTGAAGATTGAGAGACCCACAAATCGGCCGACTAGCGCGAGCGCTAAGCGAGAAAGAGTGTTTTCCTTCCAACGTCACTCCCTAAATCTCCAGTCTTTCACAACCACCCACCTGTGCCTCTGCACCACTCGAGACACTGCACCCACAACCCACCCGTCTTGTGTGACTAGTGGCCTACTTCGACAGCACCCTTCACCTTTCAGCACACTCACTACCGCACTGCCGGCAACATGGCGGAACGCTACATCCCCGAGCACCGCCGCACCAACTTCAAGGCGAAAAGCACCTTCAAGCCAGACGAGCTACGTCGCCGCCGCGAAGAGCAGCAGGTCGAGATCCGGAAGCAGAAGAGGGAGGAGAATCTTGCGAAGAGGCGTGGCATTGGGAACCGCGGTGATGGTGCGCCTGGCGCCTCGCTTGGAGCGGCGCCGGACAGCGATGATGAGGGTGTGGGTTCAGAGAGTCAGGTATGCCATACTATCTTCACATGATGCCGCTATAGAAGTGATGCTGACATAATGCACAGTTGAATGAGGAACTCCCTGTCATGGTAGCAGGCGTGTTCTCCGAGAAGATCGAAGACCAGATCCAAGCCACCACCAAGTTCCGGAAGCTCTTGTCCAAGGAGCGCAACCCTCCTATCGAGGCCGTCATCGCTACTGGCGTGGTCACCCGCTTCGTCGAGTTCCTCCGCTCACCTCACACTCTGGTCCAGTTCGAGGCCGCTTGGGCTCTCACCAACATTGCTTCTGGGTCTGCGCAACAAACACAGGTGGTGATTGAGGCAGAGGCTGTGCCAATCTTCGTTGAGCTACTCAAGAGCCCTGAGCCTGATGTTCGAGAGCAGGCGGTGTGGGCGCTCGGCAACATTGCCGGTGACAGCCCTCATTGCAGAGACTACGTCCTCTCCAAGGGTGCGCTGCCGCCTCTCGTTCAGCTTCTTGGTGACAGCCGCAAGTTGAGCATGCTCAGGAATGCGACATGGACACTTAGCAATTTCTGCCGTGGCAAGACGCCGCAGCCAGAATGGGATACGATAGCACCGGCCCTACCAGTACTTGCTAAGCTTGTCTATTCGCTGGACGACGAGGTGCTCATCGACGCATGCTGGGCCATCTCGTACCTCTCCGACGGCTCCAACGACAAGATCCAGGCTGTCATCGAAGCCAACATCCCGCGTCGTCTGGTTGAACTGCTCATGCACGCTTCGACTTCTGTTCAGACACCTGCCCTGCGCTCGGTCGGCAACATCGTCACCGGTGATGATGTTCAAACACAGCTCATCATTAACTGCGGTGCGCTTCCTGCGCTCCTTTCGCTACTCAGCTCTCAGAAGGACGGGATTCGAAAGGAGGCTTGCTGGACGATCTCGAACATCACCGCCGGCAACAGCACGCAGATCCAGTCGGTCATCGATGCGAACATCATGCCACCTCTCATCCACTTGCTCAGCCATGGCGACTTCAAGACCCGTAAGGAGGCTTGCTGGGCCATCTCCAACGCAACCTCGGGTGGGCTCCAGAAGCCGGACCAGATCCGCTTCCTTGTCAGCCAAGGTGCCATCCGTCCATTGTGCGACCTGCTCACCTGCCCTGACAACAAGATCATCCAAGTCGCTCTCGATGGTCTTGAGAACATCCTCAAGGTCGGCGACATGGACAAGGAGGCTGCGGATGGTAGCGCTGAGCCACCGGTCAACCGCTACGCTCTATTCATCGAAGACTGTGGTGGCATGGAGAAGGTTCACGACTGTCAGAACAACAGCAACGAGGAGATCTACATGAAGGCGTATAGCATCATCGAGAAGTACTTCTCGGACGAGGAAGGCGAGGCAGAGGTCAGCGATCTGGCTCCTCAGCAGGGCACCGATGGGCAGTTCGGCTTCGGTGCTCAGCAGCAGCAACAGAACTTCAACTTCGCCAATGGTGGAGGCGATATGGAGATGTAAGCATCGACATGAGAAGTTGAGCATCCATAACCTGCACTTGGCGCCGAAAGGAGGGAGAGAAGAAAGAGCAGGACGACCGGCGGAAGCCACCTATCGCTCCGCGGTCACAAAGGTAAGTCAGCAGTATTTCGGAATGGCGCAAGGCGTACGAGGGCAACCCCGACCACACGCCACACACCATCCACCTAGGACAACTGTGATCCCACATCCCTTCACAGTACGACATCATACGAGCACAGCACGATTCCACCACGCCCCGTCTCTGCAACAGCACCTGCGCCTCCGTCCGAGATTCGCCATCATCACCAACACCGCAGCCCAATCACCACGCTTCACGACCACCGATACCCTCTGGCGTTACAAGGCGACAATGGTCCACGAATGACGCACGCTTATACGCCCCATATGCCCCCACACCACCATCGGCCGAAGCTTTCAGGACGTGTACTGGTCCTCTCCACCATGTTCAACCTCGAGCACCGAATCCTTTGGCCACCTTTTGCACCCTGACACCTTGCTGCTTCTGACTGGCGTGGGCGATTACAAGTTTGGCTGCCCGCTCTTTGCTTCCTTGCCCACGGGTATGCTGGCCCATGGACACCGGTAACGTGAGTGTAGCTAGCTGAGGTCGTTGAAAGGTTTCACGCGCGTGTGTTCATAGAATTGGAATGCAATCAAGTCCCCAAAACGCTTCGCGCTTTTCAATGAGAGCTGCCATACTTGCTTCACCTCCTAGTATCAGGACTTGTATCCCGTCCTCATAGTTCTTGATTATCTATACATTGTGGTTGTGACTTTGTTGCGCTCTCACATGCGGCTTGCCGTCATCACGCTGCCAGCCGTATCGATAAGACGAACTTTCACGAGCCCCTGCAGGTGCAACCCCGGCTCACCTCACGCGACTTCATCTTTCCCGCGCGTCTTCAAGTCCTTCTTTTACATCTCTTAGATTCTGACCCCGAGTCTGACGACCATGGCCGACTTCACAGGCCTGAGAGTCACCTTGACGCTCAAGAACCCTCCGAGTCTTGTGCTGCAGGGGAAGGTGATGCATGTGGTTGCTGGGCAGACTCTTACGCTTCAGGATGGTATGGATCCTGAAATATTGATGTGGATGTGGGAAGGGTTGCTAATAGTAATGTGCAGTCTTCTTTCCCGCCAATGGGTCGAGAGCGCCGACCTGGACGGTACGAGCGACGGATGTTCAGGACCTGAAGGTCGATGCGGATCCGGAGTCCACTGCTGCAACTCGAACGACCGCACCCCCTGTACCAAGCGCTCCGCCGCAGGCACGTCCACCAAGCAATGGAGGTGCTGCGAACGTTTTGCCGGTGCGAACGACGCCAGCGCCGACGCATGCGCAACGACAACCTTCAGACTTCGTGGATCCGGCTATCCTGAGCTATGGCAGATCACCGGCGCCTTCGAAGACCGCCGCAAAACCCGCTGAGCCCTCAACACCAGTGAAGTCTATGCTCGCAAAAGCGGCGGAGAATCTACCGAGTAACAGCTCGCCTTTCATTGGGGATGCTGGGAAGAGCAGTTCTTCGAGGAAACCCTCGACTGTTAAGAATGGACAGAAGCAGGGCGTAGAGGGTAGGCAGGCTACTACAGCACATGGTATACCTGGGGATGGTACGCAGGAGGCGGGGCAAGCGGACACATCGTCGAAGAGAAAAGTGAAGAAGGGGCAGAAGAAGAAGGCTGCCAATGGCACGCAGGATCCACCACCCGTCATGAACATCGAAGTGTCTAGGAACGGCAATGATATGAACGGCAATGTTAAGAGAGGGAAGGGATGGCGCCAGACGCCGTTGCTGCAGCCTTCACCGCAAAGTACCAGCTCACCGCAGCCGGGCAGCAAGAAGAAGAGCAGACGCGAGAGGGAGCAGGACAGAGAGGCAAGCCAAAACGGATGGGCGACAGAAGATGCCACGGATATCCAAGAGATGGAGGAGTTCGACTTCGAGGCGAATCATAAGTTGTTCGATAAGAAGACGGTCTTCGACCAGCTCAGGCAAGGCGATACTACAGCTGATGAAGATCGATTGGTGGGCCACAACAAGCTCGCCAGGCCTGGTACATATGGAGGCAAGAATTTGCATCCGACGGAAAATGTGCTGAGTCCGCAGCTGGGGCCGAAGTACAACAGCAACGAGCTCGATAGTACAAGCGATGCGGACACAGAGCTGAACTTCATGGGCGATGGAGGTAGGTCTTCGTCTCGACACTCCACAACACGGACGGGAGCGAAGAAGCAGCCCAGTCGACAGAATAGCAATCAAGTCGATCCGAGGCCGCATCCGCTGTCTGCGTCTATGTCGTCCGAGCGAGGGATGAGTCGGTCACGGACTTCCCTACCTGGGAGGACCGGCAAAGCGATGCATTCCTTGACCACCTCGCCAATGCCGGAGCGAACGCAGTCGCCAATGTCTGCACTATCGGCGACTAGGACCCATGCACCATCAACGATGTCGTCACGTCTCAGAGAAGCTCATCTCGCCATCCACCCAACCATGACGCCTTGTCCTGTGCTCCACCCCAGTGCATTCGAGACGCTAGAGAAAGAGACTGTCTCGCGCTACGGATTGACAAGCGAGGCCATCACCGAGAGCGCAGCGCGCTGTATCGGCGAGACAGCCATGGACCTCTTCCACTCAACCACCAGCAGCCGCCGGCCATCCCGTACCAACACCCTCCGCGGCAGCATGAGCTCTCATCTCCCGACCTTTCACCATCCCACTACGCCCCACACCGTAGTGGTCATAGCCGGCAACCATACCACCGGCGCCCGCGCTGTAGCAGCCGCCCGCCACCTCCTCGCCCGCAACACCCACATTATCCTCGCCGAAGCACAATACGAGTCTTCGGAAAGCCAGTCCCCGCAGATGAAAACTCAGACCGCGATCCTCAAACGCATGGCCAAAGCCGGTGCGCCTATCCGTCGCGGCCCGTGGCGGAGAGCGGAGAAGTATATCAAGAACCTGCCTTCTCCGCCCGCGCTGATCATCGACGCGCTGCTGGCGGGGAATACGTACGAGAGTCTGGCGGAGGAGACGTCGAACTCGAAGCATGCCGCCGACGCGCAGAGGGAGGCGAGGGAGATGATCGACTGGGCGAACCGGAGTCGCGCGCCTGTGTTATCTGTCGGTTGTCCGTCTGGCGTCTCAGGCTTAGACGGGAGCACGACGGTGATGGAAGGCGAGCCGCTGGCTGTTCGGCCGGGGAAGGTGCTGGCGCTTGGGGTGCCGCTGCAGGGAATGCTGGAGGCGTTGAAGGGTGGGGAGAGGTGGGAGGTGTGTGTGGGGGATTTGGGGGTGAATATTGCGCTGAGGAGGGAGGAAGGAGTCGGGTTTCGTGGGCAGTGGGTTGTGGAGGTTCGGTATTTGGAGGAGGAGGGTGAGGGGGTGGTTTGAGGGGAAGGTCAGATATGTGCGTATATGTACCAGTACGTCACTGTATTAACAATGCCAACACAGTCTCATGACTTTCTCCAATATGCCTTGATCAATCTCGAAAGGGTTCACTCCTCCCGTCTGCCGAAAATTGTCAAGGCCCAGAGTCATAGAGTAGCAGCTGATGTTGAGTAGTACTAGGGGAGCATAACGGTAGGATTTTGTCAACGGTAGACTGACGGTAGACTAACGGTTGGTGTTGGCTAACGGTAGCCGAACTTCAACCGAAGTGAAGGCATTCCAGCAAAATCGAACATCCACTAGCGCCCGATGCCTCCAAGCCAATGGCGGCTTAAGATCCTAAGGTCAAGTTCACTTTCTTCTCCATTCCCTTCAACTCTCCGTCCTGAGCCGACATGACAATGCTATTGCCGCAACTACATGTACACGTTAGGGGAATCCAGAGCTATCGAATCCTTCCGCCAACATGACGGCTTCCAGACCATTGCTCCAAATGCCGATGGTCCCACAGCTCGTCCTTCCGACCTCACCTTCAACCCCACTTCATGTCCCCGCACCAGCGTGGGCACATGCTGCGCGGAAGATGGTTTTCCAAGACGGTAGAACCATGGCACGACCGCCGATGGATCTGGTCCTGCGCAGGACAGCATAGCCCGAGAAAGGTAGGTCACTCTAAGCTGTCTGCTCTCCTACCTCTCCTCTCTCCCATCTCTGAAGCTAGCATTTCCTACAGTAGTCCTTGAAGATGTCCTCCAAACACTTCATAAACGACCCCACCCACCTCGTCCTCTCCGCTCTCAAATCCATCACCCTCACCAACCCCACCACCGCCCTCGACGAGGAGAATAAGATCGTCTACCTCCGCCCCGATGCCGCGAAGCAACAGGTCTCCATCATCTCGGGCGGTGGCAGCGGCCATGAGCCTTCCTTCGCTGCCTTCGTTGGCCCGGGTCTACTGTCTGGAGCAGTAGCAGGAACCATCTTTGCTTCACCCGGCGCCGAACAAGTCCGACGATGCATCGGCGAGCGCGTGGAGACAGGCAAGGGCGTGTTGGTGGTGGTGATGAACTACACTGGCGACGTGCTGAACTTTGGCATGGCGGTTGAGAAGGCCAAGGCTGCGGGTGTGCAGGTCGAGATGGTGGTTATGGGCGACGATGCAGGTGTAGGACGGGCGCAGGGCGGGAAGGTGGGGAGGAGAGGGATTGCTGGGACGGTGCTGGTGCATAAGATTGCTGGTGCGTTGGCGGCGGAAGGGGCGGAGCTGAAGGATGTGCATCGTGTCGCTAAGACCGTGGCGGAGAACACGGTCAGTATCGGGAGCTCGCTGATGCATGTGCATGTACCTGGGCGAGAGGCCGGTGGGGAGGAAGAGCTGGGTCAGAGTGAGGTGGAGATCGGGATGGGAATACACAACGAGCCTGGGTCGGAGAAGTCGAAGGAGGATCTACCAGGAATTGTGAAGAGGATGCTGAAGTACATGCTCGACCAAAGCGATAAGGACCGCGCATTCTCCAACATCAGCTCCTCCAATGAGACAGTCCTGCTGGTCAACAATCTCGGCGGCGTCAGTGTGCTCGAGATGGGCGGCATCACTACCGAAGTCGTCAACCAGCTTCAACAGACCTACTCCATCAAGCCCGTCCGCATCATCTCTGGCACCTTCATGACCAGCCTCAACGGCCTAGGCTTCAGCCTGTCACTGCTAAAACTCCAAGATACAGGCGTCTCGAAATCCATGCTCGAGCTCCTCGACGCCCCTGCTGAGGCGTCCGGCTGGTCTGCGGCTGTCAAGTCCTCCACCTGGGCCAATCCGCCCACCAAGACCCGCGATGCAGGCTCGGGATCGACGGGCCAGAACAAACCATGCGGTATCAGCATCGACCCCAAACAAGCCGACAAAGCGCTCCGCAACGCCTTGCGAAAACTCATCGCCGCAGAACCAGATATTACAAAATACGACACCGTCGTCGGCGATGGCGACTGCGGGATAGGCCTCAAGCGCGGTGCCGAAGGCATCCTCTCTTACCTCGACGAAGGCAAGAACGAGCAGGACGCCGCATTATTCCTCGATGGCATCATCAGCGTAGTCGAGAAAACCATGGACGGCACTTCCGGCGCGCTTTACGCCATCTTCCTCAACGCTCTGGCCGGCGGTATCCGCCAGCAAGGCTCCTCCTCATCGCAGTCCGCCGACCCAGCTATCTGGGCCAAAGCGCTGAAAGCGGCTTTAGATGCCATGAGCAAGTACACCCCCGCGCAGCCCGGCGACAGGACATTGGTCGATGCGTTGCAGCCATTTGTCGAGACTTTGGAGAAGAGCAAGAGTGTGGACGAGGCGGCGAAGGCGGCAGAACAAGGGTCCGCGAAGACGAAGGGCATGAAGGCGAGTTTGGGAAGGACGGTGTATGTGGGCGGGAGTGGGTTTGAAGAGGTGCCGGATCCGGGGGCGCATGGGCTGGCGGTGTTTTTTAAGGGGTTGGGTGAGGGGTTGGACTGAGGGGTGTGGATAGAGACGTAGTCAGATTGCGTTGGAAAAGAGATATGAGATCACCATTGTAGAAGTCTGGTTCCTTTGTGGTTGTCATGGTATACCCTGCCCATGCCGTCTTGGATCTGCTTTTCGTGGTACGCCTCGCTTGAACGCTCTCAGATGGAAAATCTGAACAGCAGCTGCGCGTTAGCTTGCCTGTAACTTTCGAGAACAGCGCAAGGTCGTACCAAATCAAGCTCCACACGCCCATCACAACCATATCGCTCGTTAGGACGTAGCAGTCGCTCTGCGGCCACCTTATTACCGCACACCCATCCATTCCATCCCCGATGACTCCCCCTCAACTCAACAACACCAGAATCACACTATCCCCCCTCAAAAACATCTTACTAATAAACCGATCCTTATTCACCGGCCGCCCCTTCTCCCCGCCGCTCTTCCTGGGCGTCTCCGTCCACATCTCCTTGACGTTCTCCAGCACCATGTTGCAGTGCCGGTCGAAGGCCTTGACTCGAGCGAGCAGTTTGCGGTTGTTGCGGCACGAGATAAGGACTTGGGTGTGGTTGCGCACGGCGGTCTGGAGGAGGGAGAGGGGTCCGTTGGTGAATTCGTGCGTTTCGAGCAGGCCGAGTTCGTATTCGGTGAGTTCTTGCTTGGGTTTTGATTGGAGTTCTCTGTGGGGTGGGGGTCTTAGTGGGGAGGTGGTGATGGGGGAGGGGAGGGGGGACTTACTGGATTTTGGCGTCGGCAGTGGCCATGGCGGCGGTATTGGCTGGTCTGGGGTGATGCGACAGTGTTATGGTGGTGAGCTTGAAGAAGAGGATGCGGTCCGGTCAATCTTCGGCTTTAAGCTTTTCCACGTGTGGCGCTAAGATGTGGCTGGGCATCTTCGACGCGAGCGCGTCTCTCTCATACAATCACCTTCGTCTCACCCAACAACCACTTCTTCTTCCTTCACAGCGTTCTTTTGCATTTTCTGCTTGTATCCAATTCGCGCTCATATGACCTCTATCGATCAATGAGTCACGAATAGTTCTCTAGCGCACCCAGAAGCAGCCAACATCGTTTATCAAGCACCATCACCACCGGCTTCACGACACTTCCTACAGCAGCATGTGGCACGACCGGTAGTCGTCAGCCTGGATCGTCCAGGCGTACAAAGACCTCTTCACCTTCACAAATCAACTTGGCCTCCTACTCCAACGATCACCGCCGCCATGGACTTCGGCGACGAGCAAATGGGAGACATCCCCACGCGTCCCATGCGTGTCAAGGTTCTCTATTCCTTCGACCAGGACAACAAGACCAACTGCCTCGCACGCTTCCCCGATGTTCTCCAGATCCCCGCCGTCGCAATCGATGAGTCCAACCAGGTTGGTGTCATCGAACTGAAGCAGGTGTTGCAAGCTATCGTCGCCGCTTCCCCAGAGCTCGTGTCCAGCCTTTCCAATGGAGACTTCACCATCTACGCCTACGACTACAGTGAATCTGACACCCCTCTTGTTGGGCAGGGGAGGCTCTCTGCTGCCTTGACAACTGCTCCGCCGGCTGGTCAGAACAAGACCATGATCACTGGACGTGTTTGCAAGAATGTGATGGGGCTGTTCAACAATGGCGTGAAGGAGACTCTGGAAGTCAAGCTGAGGCTGACGCCTGTTCCCAAAGCGGTATCAAACGAGTACACGAAGAGCAACGATGGTATGCGCAGTCTCAGTCCTGCCATGTCGGGAGGTTTCGATCCGAATGCATGGAGTGCGTCTCAACAGGGCAAGCCTCAGCAGCATTCGAACGATTACTTCAACTTTGATGCGATGCTTGGAGGTGGCAACAGCAATATGGGGATGATGGACGCCTTCTTTGGGATGGGTTCAGGCGTTGGCGGGAGTGGTGGCGGGCTGCAGATGGCTGGTGGTGCGGGTGTCGCTGAGACCCCGTCAGACGCCTTCCCAGGATTCAACCCCGCTTTTGCCGCCCATCCACAGAGCGCTCCAGGCAGCCGGGCGGGAAGCCCAATGATGAGTTCCGGTTCCAGCAGTCGCAACGACTTTACACGTCATCAGAGCTTTTCTGGCAAGCCTTCAACTTTCATGCCGGATCAATCTCGGCCCGGCTCACGTGCGAGTGTACGAAGTGAAGTCCAACACCAGACGCAACAACGCCAAGCCTCGCCTTCGAATCAAATCAACCAACAGACTGAAGTGTACTACAACGAAGATGGCCAGCCACGGAAACGCGCAAAGGTACAGCAGACCGACTGGCGCGGACGGTCATCCTTCGGCGCAAAGTCTGGTGACCTTCGTGTCAACGCCGCCACGGCTGCATCGATGCACATGCACCGTCCGATTCCAAAGCGAGCGGCTGCTCCTGGCAGCAACCTAGAGCCTCCGCCTCGCGTTCCTACCCCGGTCCCGCAACGCACGCAAACGCTTCAGCAACAACAGCTGTTACAGCAGGCGAACGCACGTCGTAGCCTCTTGCGGCAAGCATCTTCAGCAGATTCAGACTTCATGTCCGACTTCGAAAACTACTCTGATGCAATTGCAAGCTCGCCCGATGATGACTCGCCCGGCAACAGCGCCACTGCCGAAGGCACACCGCAGGACATACCATCGTCGCCACCAGTGTTTGCAGGCATCAACTACCCGCAGCCAAGCAGTCCCGGCTTACCAACTTTGCCTCTGCCTCGCATGGCTGATAGTGGCTACATGAGCGAGCGCGGCTTCCCTAGCAGTAATGCCATGGAGGGCATGGAGAATGAGGAAGACCGCAGCCCGAATGCCCAGGACTACGAGATGGCTGCTCGGTATCGCTCACGCAGCAAGCAGCCACAAACCATCGTTAAGATCGAGGGTGACGGCGATGTGTTGAGCATGAACGACATCGAGGTGGCTAGTGGCGGGATGGACGTGAATCCGGGGCTGCCTGGAGACATTAATCGACTACCGCAGAACATGCTGCTGAACTTGCCGCCTGGCAGAGGCCAGGAAGCCAGTCGAGAGTCTAGCCAAGGGTATGTGGACACCAATGATGACATCCTCCGTGAACTTTTCGGAGACTCTGTGCTGCAATCGATGGAGTTGGCTGACCATGAATCCGATTAGGCCCAGACTTCCGGCTAAGCGACCAGCGCCCGTTAGCAGAGCGAGTGCGCCAGTGCATACTTCGGCTTCAGGGTCACGACGTTGCTCGCTGGCATTGCCACCCGCACCGTCTTCAGATGCTCCAGAAGCTGGGGGTACGCAGAAGGCTGCGCCCAAGAAGAGGCAGCCTCTCAACCGATCGCGAACTCAATCAAACGAATCCGAAGCTGGATCGCCCGCACCGAGCGACACTGAGGGTGGACGACCGAACGGATCCAAGAGGTCTGGCTCGGGAGCTCAGCGTCGGAAGGTCATTGAAGATCGTCTTCAGGACGCCATCGCCAAGGGCGAGACACCACAGTACTGCTCGAACTGCGGCGCTATCGAGACGCCCACATGGCGCCGCTTGTACATCAAAGAGTGCGAAGGCAAACCCTCACCGCTGGATGAAGTCGAGGGCGAAGGCGAGACGATTGCGCTGGAAACAGCCGAGCGCGATGAAGCCGGCGAGCCCACCAAATTCCTGATCAGGAAATCCATGAAGGCTGGAAAGCGGAAGAGTGATCCTGGTGGTGGATTCATCACGCTGATGGTCTGTAATCCGTGCGGACTCTGGTTCAACAAGACCAAGACCATGCGGCCTTCTGATATGTGGAACCGCAAGTCTTCGAGCAGGAGAAAGAGTAAGAAGCAAAGGGCGGCGGAAGGAGATTACCATGATGGATTCGACACTCATTCGGATGTTGTGTTCTTCACTGACCAAGTGGCGCCCGAGGATGCCGGCGATGATGCTGATGCTGAGGATGATGGCCGGGTTGAGCATGCTCCTGCAGTTGCGCCGGCTCGTGGTCACCGGGCCAGGGCCAACAGCATGCAGGTGCACTCAACGGGCACGGCCAATGCCAGAGGTCAGTGGAACGCATCCCAAATGGGTGCTGCTCTTGCAAGGGAGGTTCAGTCAAGCCCTGCACGCTTTCATGGATCACAGCTGGCTCCCATCGAAGTCCCAGAAGTGACGCCAAGGCCGACACGTCGTCTGCTCTTCCCATCCCCACGCAAGGATGGCGAGGTCAAGAGCCTCGACGACAACGCTCAGGTGTCACTTAAAGCAGCACCACATCTCGACGGTGGCTTTGCGGATAAGGCTGGATTGGATTTCAACTTCGAAGGTGATAGCACCAGCCTCTTTGAAGCGTTCACCTTCGACAAAGAGAATATGGCTTCGCCGCTTGGAGAAGGCGAAGACGATCTCGCTGACCTCTTTGGCTCACCTACCATCTTCAAGACTCCACGCAAGACGCCTGCGAAGAACCTCACTACCCCTCGCTCGCTCCGTCAACTTCATCATCTCCTCAAGACACCTACACCTAACCGCCGCAAACCATTGACTCCAAACGCCAACGCAGCGAACAACGCCACCATTCCCATCGACCCCACCGCAGACGTACCAAACGACTTCATGACCTCCCCATCCAACTCCCGCTACTTCCTCCGCAGCACGCCATCCCGCGCCTCCCGCACCGGCGCCACGCCCAGCCGCGTCTCTAACATCAGCGGCGTCGGCGGTGGCAGCGATGGACCTTCTCCATGGTCAAGGCATTTGGCGCAGATGCTAAGTGGGACGCATGATGGGAGCAGTAGTAACGTTTTCACGAGCCCGAGTCGTGGGGCGCCGTTTGATTTTGGGGAGATGGAAGGGTTCGGACTGACGCCGGGTGGTGGGTTGGGAGCGTGTGATTGGGAGGGTTTGGAGGGGATGTTGGGGAGTGAGGGGATGGAATTCGGGGGTGGTGAGGAGGGGGGAAATGGGCTGATGTGAGGGATGGAGAAACATCGTGCGGCTGCTCGAAACATGGGGTGAAATCGCTCGTTACGAAGAATACTACGAACACTGAGCCATTGCTTGGATATGGTTATGAGCTCTGGATGCTACGACTGCCGGCCTGCTGTAACGAATGAGTCAACCGACATGCTCTCGCTATACTCATGGCTCTCGCTGATCCTCAACTACATCATGTCTCCTGTTCCACAAACCCCTGGGCTCGAGGTGATGCTGATGTCGCTTATTGGCGGTCCTCAGCAGCCATGAGAGCAATAGCACTCACTTCAGCAGACGACGGTTGAGTAAGTACAGGATTTCGTCCGCTTTATCTTTGCCCTACCTCCATCAGTCTGCACTGCTGGCATTCTTCTTCCACTCTGCTCACCACCCTCTCTGGCTGTTTCCTTAGCAATGATTTCCTCCAAGCAACATCACCTCACAACCACCAGTCCACACATGTGACTTTGGACCTCCTACGAGCACAGATCACTTCACACAACCTCCCCAGGGGCTGAGCAGCGTTAGCAAACTCACTCCCGCAAGACAACTGTCATTCGCACGCCTGAAACAGAGAAGTCACATGGCGAGCTGAGGCACGTGTGAAAGCCACGCCGTGCTGGGCTGCATACCGGGTTCGGGACTCTCGACATGTTGTTCTACCAGCGCGCCGGGAACAATGGCTACCAACATGACTGGCTTTGCACCGTAACATATCTGGCAACCAACAATCTCATACTACAGCATGTCTGCTTGCAAGCAGGACCTATTCCTGATCATGCTCGCCGCCGCCATCTCCGCCCAGATGGCACCCCTCCCCCGACCATGCCCCAATCGTCCCATGTCGGGCGGGAGTCCTACAGCTCACTCTGGCCTCTCTCCCAGTGAAAGGCCACCGGGGCTAGGAAGGTTTTGAAACCACTAACGTACGGGAGAGTATGCAGGCGGGCAGGTGAGGTTGGAGGCCGTGCCCTGGTGGAAGCAGTATAAATCTTGCTCTTCCAACCTGCGAACCATTGTCAACCTTTCCACAATACCACTCTCCGCGAACAAGATCTCCACCGCCCAGATCCGACAATACCAGCACAACAACAACAATAGGCTTTTCGGCTATTGTCAACCATTTCCTAGCAGCCATTCACCATCATGGTGTGTACCTCTTTGCGAATATTGGCGACTTCAGGTACTAATATGGTAACAGCCTGTCCTCTCCAAACCACTGGCCCCCTGGGTCTTCAGCCGCGACCGGCACAACGTAACCCGCTTTCAAGAGCGTAGCATCCGCCGGACCTTTCGCTTCCTCGACCTGCCTGCAGAGATGCGTGAGATGATCTACGACCTGTGCATCGATCTCCAGAGCGTTGATCGCTACTTCGACACTCGCTACCTGGCCATCAACCGTCAAACGAAGTACAAGGAAGAACCTCACCTCGTCAAGCTCCGCTACCCAAAGTACCGCATGAAGACGCACCCAATATTCTTAATCTGTCATCAGATCTGCGACGAAGCGGCCAGCTTGATGTCCAAAAAGAGCGTCAGCTTCCACCATGGCCTGCTCGGCGCCTGGCAGATCTCCGATGTACTGTCTGAAAACATCCTGCAGACTGTGCAATCCATCAACATCACCACCAAAGGCCACCCGATCTTGAGAGACTGTACTTGCCTTCCCTCCTGGCGTGGCTACCTCGATCTTCTCGCAGACCTCTCCCGCATCCTCTCCGAAGGCCACAGGCTCAAGAGCCTCACCATCGACCTCGAAGATGATACTCTCAAAGAGCACGTCACCGACTGCTGGGAGTCCAGCATCAAGTGCGACTATCGCAACCACATCAAAGAAGTCTGCGGCCGTCTCAAATACATTCGCGGCGTCGGCAACGTCACCATCAAAGGCCTCCCTTCTGCACTCGCTGCCTCCCTCAAAGAGCGCATGGAGTCCAAGCCCCGCCCAATCTACTTCCTCGACTTCCCAGGCGAGATCCGCAACAAGATCTACGAATACGCCGTCGACTACTCCGGCCCCAACACCCAGCTTCAGCGCATCGTCAAGAACTGGGCCGCCACCAACACGCTCGAAACCCACTACCCGACCAAGACCACTCCCACCATCCTCCTCCTCAACCGCCAAATCTACAACGAGTGCTCCACCCTCCTCCATCCCACAACTCTCCGCGTCACCTGCCCCGCCACCGCCGCCCTCCAAAGCCAGAAAGACGTCCCGGACCTCCTCCGACTCATCTCCGCCCCTACGCTCCAGAAGCTACAGCACCTCGACCTCCGCCTGGAGAGCTGGGAATGGATCTACGCCGTCGAATGCCTCTTCCACGCCCTCTCCCACGGCAACACGCTACAGACTTTCCGCTTCGAGTTCCGCGATTCGCTGAAGCATCAGTTCCAGGCGCCCGATAAGAGGTATCCTGACAAGAACCTCGCGACCAGTCTGAGCGATCTGGAGTACGTGCAGGGGGTGGGGCAGGTGAAGTTTGTGGGTAGTTTGCCCGGGTGCTATACGAGGCCGTTGATTGAGATGATGCAGTTGCGACAGGGGTCGCTGGTGCAGTTACCGCGGCCGATGGCGAGGAGGGGGGATGGTAAGAAGGTGCGGCTTCATTATGAGGGCTGAGCGTTAGGCTTGTTGTTTGCTATTATGGTTGGGCTGATGAAACGTGGGCAGCCGCTCAGGGTTTGCGAGCTCAAGCTTGAGAGAACTGCATGACATGCTTTTGCTGATGCAGGAGATTTTGACATTTGAAGCGTCGTAGCGCTTGTGAGCGTGGCGTTGGGGATGGGAATGATTTACGGAAGCTTTTCGATGTTGTTTTCCAAGCTACCAAAGCTGAGCCAGGAATTTGTGCTACATAACCGAGTACTTGAACGACATTACTCCTCGTAGCCCTGATCATAAACCTTCCTGAATCCTCTAACATTCACCGCCTTCGCCGTCCCAAACACGCGATGCACATTCGGGCTCGAATCCGCGGCCCTCAACTCCGGCCCATCCAGCGCATCCAAATGGTCCCATTCATGGATCACCAGAAACCGCGGCGTGCCTTCCGGAGCGCCCATGATGTTGTGCACGAGCTTGTAGCGCTGCGAGCGTCGGTAGCCGGGGACTTTGTGTAGCAGATCGAGATGTTCGTTTTCGTAGAAGTCGTGGTAGTCGGCGTCGGAGGCGGGCTCGTTTTGCACGTGAAGGGTGAAGGGAGGTGCAGCTACAGCAGTATTAAGATCAAAATTCCGAGCATATTGGAGATAAGGAGAAGCTTACTGTCAGGCAGATTGTCAGGATTATAATCTTGAATCAACTCGTAGACTCTGACATCCCACTCGGCAAGCGGGAAGAACTCTTTGCCACCGAACATCTCACTCGTCTTTGCCGTCTTCTTGATCTCCTCGCTTTCAGTGTAGTTCTCGAACTTCGTTTGATAGACGGCGCAGAAGGTCTTGTCCGCGGGGAGTTCGTTGAAGTGCGAGAGTTGAGCGCCATGGAGTTTCGTCTCGCCAGATTCAAGTGGCGTCTTCGTTTGCAGAGAGAACTCGTTGTGGGCTCTGAAAAACGCACCACGATCGCCTACGCCGCTATTCACTGCATCGGGAGTGTGTTCTTCTGTGTACCATTTCTCCCAGAGACTTTCGTCGACTTTGGTCGGTTTCGAGAGTGTTCGGATGAGGTATTTCGAAGGCGCCATTTCGTCGGTAAATGTGAGCTGTCGAGCTGTCAATTCGTGCTAGTCGTAATATCCCTTCTACTTTGATGCGGTTCCGATACATCAGTTGTTCTTGGAGTCGAGGTTGTCTTCAGTCGCAACGAGAGGTGGAGTCCCCGCACCTTGGCCGAGGCGAAGGCTAACGAGAACCGTGAGAGGTGTTCATTGCCCTCAAAAAACAATGCATTCAAAATCAATTCAGACTCCGACTCTTCAGTACACAAGATGGAGATGCAGTAGAGATCAACAGCAACCTTGCAGGCGTTGCTGATAGCAACCTCACGGCGGCTTTCCAACAGGCGCTTGTGCCGTAGCAGTGTTCGCCTGGGTGTCCTTCTGTCGCGCTTCAGTCTCATCTGCCTTCTTCGCCTTTGCCTTGAGCTTGCGATGCGCCTTGCTCTTAACGTGCATGCCCCACTGCTCCTCGGTAATGCAAGTGACGCCGCACAGCTCGCAATGCTGCCGTGTCCATTTCTCTGGCGTCGCGGCAAGATCGTAGTCTCGACTTGGTGTAAGCAAGTCCTTGGCTGTGCTGGACATCGAAGCAGGATCTGGCATAGGATTGGAACCGTTGAGAAAAATGCGCGTCAGCTCCAGAGCTGGTCCAACGACATCGGGGTCAAAATGTGAGATATCTGAACCATCCAGAAGGTACAAGCTGTTGCTGGCGTTTTCTGAAGCGAGTGCGTTGACGAGCTTGATCCGGATCCAGCGTAACTGCCGCTTTGCATATTGTCTGGTCGCAATCTGTGTCCTCTCGATAGCCTCAGCCTTAAGCTTCCTCAATTCCTGATCGCTGGCGCTGCCGTTTTGCAGAGCTGTCGTATAGGCCTTGAACTCCTTGTATCCGATGCTGACCCAGATGCCTCTGGTCTCATCAATATCAACCCCATCAGCGGCATGTCCTTCCGCAAAAGCAGAGAGCTCCCTGACCTCACCAAGGAGGCCATCGGCCATCATCTTGCTCACCCGTCCGTCTAGGCGGTCACGAAGGGAGTCGTTCTGAGCGTGGACCCAAAAGATGAGCGCTGGAAACCGCATCGACGTTTCGGCTGCACCAGCATGACCGTCTCCGTCGAGCACAACGTTTTGACCCGCCTTCAGCTGACGCTGCTCAGCATACACATCCGAAGCCTTCTTTCCCGTCTGCAGATAGATCTCTAGACTTCTCTGGATCTTCCTGCGATCGTTCGGGTGCCAACGATCTGCCATGACTGGGTCGATACGGCGCAGCTCGTCCAGTAGCACTTCTGTCGGCTCATCCAAAATCGGCCATTGCTGCTTCGTGTCAGGGACAAACTCCTTCGACTCACTGCCCCCCTCTTTCTCTGCCAACCGGTCGCGGAACAACAGGCTTTGGGTGTAATAGTGCGTTCCTCCAACAAGTATTGGCAGCTTGCCCCTCGACCGTATATCCTCCATGACACCCAGTGCCTTCTTGACAAACGTTCCTACGACCCATGTCTGCTCATGTAGGCCTATACAGCCCAGGAGATTGTGCGGGATGCCCTGCTGCTCCTCAGCCGTGATTTTGTTCGTGATGATCGGCAGACCAGCGTAGAGCTGCATGGCGTCGCCGTTGATGATTTCGCCATTATAGCGCTTCGCAAGTTCGACGGCTAGCTGTCTGCGGTGGTCAGCCTGTCGTTGACGTATGATAGGTCAATATATGTACTTGTGATTTGCCTGTCCCAGTCGCGCCGATGACTGCGATCAGGGGATTGTTCGGCGGCGGCCTAGTCATGGTTGAAGTGAGTCTGGCGAAGCGCATAGAGCGCAGCATCAAGGTGTCATGCTGTTGTTGTAATAGGATAGTGTAACCCAAACTACCTGTAGGTCTCGTCTAGGTATTCCTTGGCACTCTCCGAGCTCATATCAGCCCGGATCCTTCTCGAGATCCTTCTCCATCAGACCTTTCACGGGCTAAAGACTTGTCCGATGACCAACATTAACTTTCTGGATCTGACTGGTCATACCATGTGCATTACAAGTTTGAACACTACTAGGGACACTCGCGATCATGCCGGACTTCGCCTCCAGCGAGTACTGGGAAGCCCGGTTCGAGAAGAACAAGTCCACGTTTGACTGGCTTGTCCCGGCCAAAGTGCTGTCCAATCTTGTTCGGGATGCCGTGGACGAGACCAGACTTTTGGACGCTGAGGTCCTTCATGCTGGTTGTGGCACCGCCGAATCTTCTGCCATCCGAGAACTCGTAAATGACCCTGGACAAATTCATAATGTAGACTACTCACAAGCTGCGATCGATGCAGCTTATGCGAGGGAGCAGGAGCTGCTCAAAGAAAAGGACTCAGGTTTCACAGACGATCTGCTCGAGGCCCCTACAGAGACAGCCGACAAGCGTGACAGCGTGCGGCAAATACCACTGCAGCCCCCTCCAACGATGAGATGGTCGTGTTTCGACTTGCGTTCTTTGGATCATATCTTGTATCTGCTCCAGGAGCAACGAGAGAGAGGACGTCTATTCGACGTCGTGATTGACAAAAGTACGAGCGACAGCATTGCATGTGGCACAGCTGTGCCTATCAGGCTTCCCTACGTCCTCAGCATAGACGGCTGGACTCGTGGCATTCTTCACAGTGGCTACGCGCAGGCCGCTGAGGTCCATCCTCTACATGTACTGGCTGTACACATGGCAGCCCTGACCAAGCCACGAACCGGGAAGTGGATAGTCGTATCCTACTCGGAAGACCGCTTCCCGTTCTTTCCACCTTACCCGAAGAGTGTATCGCATGGCTTCCTGCCAGATGATGTTCTCAAAGCTGGCTTTCCACATCCCAAGCATCTGTGGCGACTGGAAACCAAGGAGAAGATCGATGTGTACCGTGATGAGTCTCTGGCTGAGCGGAAGAAGAGGCTTGCGTCTGGAGTTGTGCATCGGCCAGAGGTCCCGAACTGGCTGTACGTCCTTACCAGGACTGAAGCGCTAGTCAGTGATTGAGAGTTCAGGTGTGAACCGTGAAGACTTGATCGACGAGCGTACTGGCACCCGAAGCCAATCAAGAAGCAGAGCTGGCGGAGAGGTTTTGCCACGGTACCATCGGACTACAGATCCCACCAGCGTTCATGAATATCTCTCAGATCGTTGTCCTCCGATCGCTTCAGGTACGATGCCATGTCGTACTACGGATCCCGCTCCTTCGAAGTCCAGCCATTACCGAAATATGCAAAACGATTCTTCGGCCGGACGTAGGTGTACTCGAAGTCCTCCCACCTGTCACGGCCCGGTCAGTCATCACGAGCACGTCCTTCAGCCTCAAGGATGTCAACACCACTCACCGAGGCTCCCTTCTGACGTGGTTCATATGAGCCGCGCTACCCGGCCAGTGTCCTGCAATAAAAGATTGACGTCAGCAGATGGACTGGAGACTGGAAATTGCCGGAGTGTGTCAACTACTTACCATGGATGCGAGAACCTGGGATGCCACTATTCGACCATGAAGCACACATCTTCGTCAGGTTCGTGTGTGGGAAGTACGCATCGCAGTACCTGAGACACGTTTATCAGCACAAACCCTACACCGTGACATCTGGATCTAGAACCGACTCTACGAAATCATCTGCTGCCTCTTTCGAGGGTGTCATCGTGCGGATGCCTTGCAATGAGATCTTTCGGAGCATCTTGGCAATGTATGCCTACGAGTACCAGTGTCAGCGCTGGTCTCCTCACACGCGATACGAAGCACCTACAATCTGCGTCTCCGCCGAGTTCACCAGAGTTCCGGTTGGACCAGCTGGATTAGGCCCAAGGATGAAGCTCATGTTGGGAAAGCCCGGCACACCGGTTCCAAGGTAGCTATACGGGAATCCAAACTTGCTCTCTGAGGAGACATCAGCTGGTTTCCAGTCGCGAGACAGATCGTACTCGCCTGCCACGATAGATACCGGAGGATACAGTCCGTGTTGGCGCCCGTCGAGCATATTACAGCGTCTACTGGGCGCTGCACACCGTCGGTGGTCACGATGCCGTCCACGTAGAACCTCTCGATTGGTGTCTGGATCAGTGTTACGTTGTCTTTGGGCAGTGATTCGAGATAGCCTGGACCGGGTGTGAGACGGCGGCAGTGAGGTGGGAAGTTCGGCGTAAGCTTTGGCAAGAGATCTGCTCGACCAACTTTGTCCAGGCGGTCCTTCATGAGCTTTGTGAACTTGTTCGGCAGATTACTGCTCGTCGTCGAGTCTGCAAGGATGCCTTCAAAGGTTCGGTAGAAGCCATCTTCGATCTTCTTGCGGTAGCATAGGTACGTCTCCTCGTCCTTGAACGCTTCCTTGGCTTCCTCGCTAATATATATATAGGGCCATCCTGACGTTCCTTTAGATCTGGTGTGAAGGCGACCCCAATCCACGTCGGACTCCGAGCGTAGTGGTCGACGTGCTTTGCCACCTTCTGCAAGGCGGGCGTCACCTGAATTCCAGAAGCTCCGTTACCGATGGTGGCGATCGCCTTACCGGTGGCATCAAATGATTCATCCCAGGCTGACGAGTGGCAAATCTTGCCTTTGTACAAATTCATGCCAGGGTACTGAGGCATCTTGAAGTCGTTGAACCGGCCGATGGCCTGGATGCCAAAGTCGAAGTACTCCGCTGAGCGCTGGCCTTTGGAGTCGACCTCCAACCGCCATTGAGCCCGTTTTGGCTCCCTTACGACCCGATAACTTTGGTCCACAGCCGCAATTTAGAGTAGACATCGTACTTCTTTGCGAAGTCCTGCCAATACCTCCGGATCTCTGGACCTGTGGTGTATTCTTCAGACCATTGAGTGTTGGGCGAGAAGCTTGACTGGTATACGTGCGAGGGTATGTCGCATCGCACGCCTGGATATCGGTGCTCATGCCACGTGCCTCCGACATCATCGTTCTTGTCGAAGATGACCAGCTGGATGCCTGGTACCTTGACAGGCAACAAAGCGCCGGCCATTAAGCCACTGAGCCCTGCACCAACGACGGCGACCTAGCATTCAAAGTCAGCCGTGCCTTACGAACAGCCAAAGTGGCCAGGACCTTACCTTCAGCGGCCGAATATCATCAATTGCATGTTCGCCAAGCTGGAAAGACGTCGAATGTGGATAACACGTGGTGTATCCATCGATCTCTTTGGCGTTCTGCTCGAATGTGAGAGAAGCACCGCTGCTGACAGACGAAGCACTACTTGCGTAGTCATTCTGGTCTATGGATGAGCCGCTCATGGAGGAATCACTGCTGCTACCTGATATCGAAGCGGCGTCAATGGGTACCGCCTCGTTTGCATTCATGTCGTTGGATAGACCCGACGTTCAGAAGATCAATGCAGCACAAATACTGTAACGATTCGCGTGAATGAGATCCTGTTTGTGTAACCCAGTAGCAAGGATTATTGATGGTGTTCTACATAGCTGACATCCTGTATGCTATCGGAGTCCACTGCGGAAACTCAGAATTGCGTGCTCAACGCTCGCCTTCTTCCTACCAACATGACTGGACGATATCTCTAACTGAGTTGACTTCGCCGATGCACATCAATGAGTTCAACATCGGCGACATTGTCAACGTCGGCGACTCTCCAGCTCTATCACGTTGGGAGCTATCAATTGGCGGCACCTCTGCTGCGTATAGCGTGCGCGATATCCTGTTGGCTTCACAGATAACGCTGCCATTGGGGGCGCAGATACTGGTTCGGTCCAACGGATGCATGGCTCTCCAGCCTCTGTCTTCCAACAAGCGGTCTCCATGCTGAGCATTGATGGCCATGAGCAGCAGGCACTTTGCGTGTACTGTCCAACATCAATAGTATCTCTCAAGCATCGTCCAGACATGCATTCACCCAGCTGTGATATCGTAGATACGCACAGAAGTGTCATCACTTGCTGCTGCAAGCTGCAACGGTCCGTCCTGTTTGGCACCATTGATGTTCGTGGTTCCAGGTCGCCAGCGGAGGGCATTGACGGCAGCCGATGGTGATATGGATGTGTCGATGACAGTGGTGGATAGCAGCTGAAGTTCTTGCTTGTCAACTTGCAGAATACTAATGCTGCCATCCTCCGTGCCATGGGCAATATATGCCACGCTCTGCACCGTAGACTCATGGTATGCCACCGCCGTCACAGCGACGTCGACGGCGATAGATTGGACGAGGTCCGCTTTGCCGTCGACAAGCTTCCACAACTTGACCGTCTTGTCTCGTCCAGCGGTGGCAAACACATAATCGACGTCCTGTGGCGCCCATGAGCAGTCCAAGATCATCCTCGAATGTCCCTTCAGGTTTGAGCAGAATTTCGTGAAAGTTTTTGAATCGGTTGCATCCCTCTCATAGACGTACCAGCCACGATCCCGACTGACGCTCAGCAGGTATTTGTCATCGGGTGAGAACGACAGACTAGTGACTGTCAGGCTGTGTGCTGTCAGAGAAGGCTTCACCTCTCTCCACTCTAGGCAGTCGTAGAGACGAATGACGGCATGGTCGATCGAACTAGCCTTGCAGGCCGTCGCAATAAGACTCCCGTCATGTGAGGACGCAACAGCCGATATCTCGTATCCATGACCGTACAGCTTCTCATGCTCTGGCCAGAGAGTATGGCGAGCAAGATGCTCTTCGAACGGCGGGTGATCGAGGTCCAGCAATGATTTCCCCCTGTGTCCTGCAGCTGGCCCAGCTTCCTGCTCGTCCTCGCCATTCGACAAGGCGTCGCCATCTACGTCTTCGTCTCCTTCGGCAGCGACAGCTTTATTGGACAAGCCGAGGACTGGTATGTTCGCAGCTTCTGGTAGGTGTCCGTTGACCGAGGTGGTTGTGCCCGAGAGTTTTGATAGTAGCTCGTCGATAGCTTTTGGCTTGTTAAAGACCCGCAAAAGTTTTTCGTCGGCGCCAGAGACGAACTGATGAGGAGAGGTTGAAGTGACACAGTTCAAGTCGTAACCATGTATTTGAGGCCGAGCAACTTCGTGCCAGGTATTCATGCCATCTCGTCGCCACTGAGCCAGCATCCGTGTGGTCTGGTCTGAGCTTGTTGACAGTAGATAGGATCCGTCTGGCGCCCATGCGCATCCCTGAACTTCTTGGGTATGTCCACTGATGCCGACCTGCTGCAGCCACGAGTCTTCTGCTTGACTGTATGCCCATCTTCTCCAACTACCAGTCCGACCGAGGCTCGCTACTCCCGACCCGTCAGGCTGCCAGAGCCCGATCCAAAAGCCGCCTGTGCTGCCCGTCGCCGTTGTCGAACCCTTCTGAGCGCTGATCTCGCCGAGTCTTGTGTGGCACACCCAGATGTTCGAAGATTCGTCAAGTCGCCAGATCGACAACGAGTTATCTGCTGAAGCTGACAGAAGCGTCAAAGGATCCTTGTCTGAGGTCTTTGGCGCCCATCGCCCCGTATAGATCCAGTCTTCGTGCCCAACTAGAAGCGCTTCGAATGTGACGTTGTGCTTGCGATCTGCACTCCCTATCTGATGGGCTTTGTTCGATAGAGAGGTGATATGTGAAGTCGCAGCTTCAGTAAGATCCAGTCCCACGGTTGACGTGTTGTTACTCTTCGCCTGTATCCGCCACAGACGAATAAACTTGTCTTGGCTGGCGGAAGCAAGCAGAAGATCGCCAGTGTATTCTTGCACAAAGTCTAGGGATCGTATCCACCCCTCGTGGCCCGTCAAGGTCGCCTGCAATTTGAACTCTGCTGCATCTACGTCGCGGAAGTAGAGCTGAATGGATGATGAGGTTCCTGCGACAGCCAACACAATCGCACCGTCGCCGAGCTCAAAAAGTGCACATGCCAACGGAAGGTATCTTGGCTTCAGCGTCATGGTCTGCACCAGTCTTGCTTCGTCGCCTAAGGCGTCCCATATCCTCACAGTGCCATCTGCTGCGCCGGAGACGAAGAGATCTCGGTCCGGTAGAACCGATACGACGTTGACAGAGCCCTTGTGCTCTTCCAAGCATTGCTCCTGAACGAAGGTCGACGTTCCATCGGTCTGCTTCCAGATTCGTATCGTGTTGTCCGCGGCGCCAGTGATGATCCGTCGGCCTTTCGGTCCGTTGAATATCTTAACTGCGTTCACAGTACCAGTATGGCCCGTCAACAAGGCTGATATCCCCGATGGCGTTGGGTCCTTCGAATTCCAGAGTGCAACGTTCTGACCGGCTCCAAATGCAAGTAGTTCAGGCGCCCAATCGGCCGCTGAAGGATGCCTGTTACCTCCAGCGGCACAGAAGGTCAAGTCTGCCGTTGACATGGTCGGGCATAACAGTAGGGGTACTGTCCGCGCGATGGTCTTCTCCAAGAGATGACGGAGGCGTCCGGAAGTAGCAATTCACCTCATATGGATCTCAAAAAATGCCTTAGATTTTTGGGCGGCTAGTCCCAGGTAGGCAAGAGCGAATTTGCTAGCGCACAAGATAAACCACTTCAAACGACAGAACTCCTCTTCTATAGATTCACTCCCGATATCTTCGCAAGCATGGCAGACCCTATTCCACTGACCGTCGAGTTCACGTACGTCATATCCTCATCTAACCCTCTCGGCCAAGGCACACAGATGGCTGACAATAAACGCAGTGGCGGACTAGAAATGCTCTTCTCAGACCAACGAAAGCACAAGATCTCCATACCTGGCCAGGACGAAGATGGCAGTGCCTCGAACGTGGCATATCTCATTCACTGGCTCTGCGACAATCTGATGAAAGACCCGCGGAAGGAGATGTTTGTCCTGGACGACTCTGTGTAAGACCTGCTTGCCATTGCCGAGGGATCATGTAAGCTAATTTGACGCAGACGACCAGGCGTTCTGGTACTCATCAACGACTCGGACTGGGAGTTGGAAGGTGAGGCAAATTATGAGCTTCAGCCTAACGACAATGTTGTCTTCGTGTCTACATTGCACGGAGGCTGATGGCAGCGTCTCTATAATCCGAATAAGCCCCATACTTCTCAAGAGCTCTTCGCAACATTCGAGCTAGATCCGGCATCGCAGAAAGGAACGACGAAAGCACAGCAAAATGGCAGCGGCTGCTCCCTCACCAGTCACGCCTCTCTCGACAAGATCTCCCACCCGAGCAGCTGCCACACTTCTTCCTGGAACCACTCTTTCACGTCCCTCCCCTTGAGCTTGGGCATCGGCAGTGCTGGCCCGCCGCTGACTGGCATACTCAAGCAGTCCTTGAAGGGATCGTTCTCGTCCGCATCCTCCTGGGCAAACATGCAGCTCACCAGCGTTCTCTGCAGCCGCTCCTTGGCCACAATTGTCAGCGCACCCTTCAGCGAGCCCTTGTTGTTCGCTGCCTTCGGCTTGCCGGTCTTCGCGCTGATGATTGCGCCGAGATGAGCAGGAGCCGCGGTCATCATGTGGTTGAGTAGATGGATCAGATATGGTGCTTGGAGCTTGGCGATCTGGACCGCCGTCGTCTCTGGTTTGGGAACGGTCTCAGCGCCTTCTTCAAATTCTTCCAAGTAGGAGATGTTGGCGATCTCATCCGCAACACTCTGTCTCCGCTGGTCTCCGAAGACGATGGCGTAGAGCTTAGGACCGAGACTGTTGAGTACAACGTATGCGAATCCTTCAAACAATGTCTTGTGCGACTCACTCTTCGCATCAAGCACGTCAAGCATGTTGCAGAGGAGTTTGGTCAAAGCATTCAGGCAAGAAACATCTTTCACCGTTGGGTTGGCTGGCTGCTTTGCCTTTTTACTTAGGGACCGGTCCTGTGCGACGGTGGTTTGACCCGTGCCATGTAGCTCAGCAGCCGACGTGTCCTCGAAAAGACCAAGCAGCTTCTCATACATCTGGACCAGAGCATAGGTGACTCGGCGCTCAGCTCCATCGGAGACCTGACCAAGCTTGTTGAAGCCAATCACCAGGGAGCGAAATGACCTACCGGTGGCGACGATGACCGACGAGAAAGTTTCTGCAGTCTGGCCAGCCGAGCTGGGTGATGCTATTGCCTCAGACAAGGCTCGCGGGAGCACTTCTGCAGCCTCCACCAGCTGATACGCCAGAGCTGGAGGGTCGATGGTTTGACGAGATTTCAGTAGTGAATGCACTTGGAAGAAGCTGCGCATAATCGTATTGCCTTCAGGAAAGTCAGCTCCAGGCACAAACAGGAGAGAACGCAGACTTACCGGCATCTCCAGCACCCGTCAATTCCAGATCAAGTTCCAGGTTCAAGAGCGCATCATCCTTCTTCCCACCTCCATCATCCCTCCTCGCCTTCTTCGGAGACCTGGGCACAGGAATGACATCCTCATCTACCCGCTTCCGCTTCTTCACAGGACCTTGCTTCGCACTCGCTACTTTCTCCTTCAGCCCATCAACCTCACGCTTGAGATCAACATTCTCACCCTCCACCGACTCGAGCGCAGCTTTCATCCGCTCGAACTCCGCACGCCAGTACGACGAGCGGTCCAGGTGGCGGTACGCTGAGCTGAGCGCATTCTCGCGGCGGCCTTTGGCGACGTGCTGGCGGAGGAGTTGGATGTATTCTGGACATGATCAGTGAGTGCTTGAAGTGTGCAGTTGTAGGGGTGGAAGAATCTTCCTACCAGCAATCGTCAGCTCTGGTGGTTTGGAACGAACGATGGAGACGGCAAAGGCGATTGTGCGCTCGCTGGGCAGCTTTCTGCTTCCGGCCATCGCGTTTAGAGTGGCTGCGATATTCTAGTCTCAGGTATGTAAGGGTATGGGAAGAGTGAGAAAGGGTTGAGTTGAATGGCCTGCGGTGGAGCTGTTTTTCATTTGGGCAACCACGACCGGGCTGCACCTTCCTCAGATGTATCAAGGCACGCAACGCACGCTTTGCATTTTCGGAGCCAAGATGTTAGCACTGGGAAATACAAAAGTAAGGTAGAATTGGGACGAATTGGATTGACGGTCATGGTTGAATCAAACGCTATCTCCATTGAAGCCTCACTTGCCTTCGCCGTGCTACCAAGCAGCACATCTCGCCATGCCCACTCAGAACGTACCCGTCGCGCGAACAGTCCTCACCGGCACCGTGTCCATATCATGCATGCTGATGGGAAAGCGGCAGTCATTGCCATTCAAACATCCACTGCCCCTCATAGATCCCACCGTAGCCGACGGGAAGGGGCACATGTGGCCGTAGATGCAGTTGACGTCGTCGCAATCGTGGCCTCGCTTGCATGGCGTCTCTTTCGCAACGACGCGAAGCGTCTTCAGCTCTGCGGCGCTGAACTTGAAGTGGTGGTTGTGCGGGCACTTGTCTGCGCGCCCTGCGTTGTAGTGGCAGCAGCCGGCTCCGATGTAGTGCTGATTGCAGCCCTTAAGCTTCTTGATGCGCTGAACTTCGTCCCGGTCGTAGTCGCCTGGCACGTCGATACGCTGACCAGCGCGGTTGCGCTTAATCGTAGCTGCTGGTTCAACGGACTGACGGCGGAGAGTGTCGGCCAGAGGGCGAAGCTTGTTCTTTGAAATCACCGTCGCCCAGGTGGAGTTGGCGACGTCAGAGTTGTTGCCTGAAGAGGTGATACTATCAGTACGGGCGTGAAATGAAGGTCGAGCGTTCTCAAGGCCTGCGGCACTGCTCGGCGGACTCTGGACGCTGAAGCTCTGACCGACTGGCGTGGCGTTGCGCGGCGTGAAGGCTTCGCTGGTAGCATTGAGCGAGATACGGGAATCGACCCGCTGCCCGCCAGAGCAATACGTCTGGTGGTTCTTGGTCTCCTGGAAGATGCCGGCTAGCTTGAGCTTGCGGAATGGCATGTTGGCCAGATCCATGTTGAAAGGAGCGCCCTCCAGTAGTGCCACGCGCGGCAGCGCTTCCTCATCGTGCTTATGCTGATCGAGGAGGCTCACGTAGCCACTGGCACTGGTGCATCCGAGGACAATCTGGCGGCAGTGGTAGTTGTAGAGGAAGAGCTGGTACATTTCTGTGCAGTGTCAGCCCGACTTGTCTGAATGAAAAGTTCCGCCGGGCCATGAGACTCACCGCTAATCTTCCCTTGCGTGCCACCCTTACAATTGCCGACGTCGACAAAGTCAAAAAGAGTGTCACTGCACGTGAAGCCACGTGCAAAATCCTCCACCTTCCCAAAATGTTCCACAAATCCAGCTTGAGCGCAAGTGTCCGCCACGACTCGAAGGTTGGCATAGACGCGAACGACAACCTTTGAGTCAGCCGGGTAGTCGTCCACGGTCGCAGTGGCCCACTCCGTGATGGCGTCAGAGAGCAATGCTGCTGCTTCCTTGCCACCCGCCGCGCCCTGCCTCAAAAGGAGGTTGCTGAAGAACAACCCGTCGCCATCGATGAGCACGAGGATGTGCGGATCACGGTTCTGGGATAACCAGTCAGCACTTTCGCTCGCTGCGCTGGGTGGCATGAGATATGACTCACCAGAATCTTCTGCATGCGAATGACACTGCTCTCCAGCACCTTGTCGCGCTCCTGCAAGACTGTGCTTGCATTCTCGCTCTGCTTGACGTAGTCTTTGTGCTGGCTCAGGAGGTCCTCGTAGCGAGTGATGAGGTCCTAGCTATTGTCAGTTGCGTACTCGGCGACAGCAGGTGGTGAAGCTGGCTCGATACTCACCTCGATGAGCTGATTCTTCGCAGAATCACCATATTTCGTCGCCTCGAAGCGCGTCCAGAGCTTCGTCACTTCGTCGGTGGGTTTGCCGACGGCAGAGTTGGAGGTCAGCGGGCTGTGGTAGCCGTTGCCGTTGACGCTGGGTGCCATCTTGATATTTGTAAAGCCGGTGGCGCCGTCGTGGTAATGGTATGATCTGGCGCGTGGTATATGCGCAAAGAAGGTGATGTATGTAAGGTATGAGGAGAGGGGAGGAAGCACGATGAAGAATGAGTCGGAAGAAGTGATGTCGCGCGCGCGAGGTGGTGAAGTGTCTCGTTTGCAGGTGACGTCGGTGAAATTGAGGAAGCCGCTGCCAGGCAACCGGGTCTTTGAGCAGCGTTTGACCTCACTTCATTCGCAGACCCTTTTCACATGCATGTTCACTGAGAGCACGGGTTCTCACATTATCCTGAACGGTCGTGGCAACTTCGTCGTCTTTCGTGATGTCTGCGACCAATGGTGTGCGACTTGACGTGTCACAACATGTATTGGTGGAGGTGGACCAGGGTCAAACGGTCTTGTGCAACGTGACACATTCACGTCTAGCCCTGCTTCCAGAAGACTGCATATCTCCTTCTGCGGTGTGATGAGGGGTGTGGCCACTTGCGAGGCGCATATCAGCCTATGGTTTTGGTGCTTGGACGCTTGTTGTATCAGAAAACACCTACGCTCAGAATGCATGCTTCCATTCCCACCATGTCCACCCTCCTCATGCACACCTCCATCTTGCACCTCGCTCATGCAGGAGCCCGCGGTATCTCCGCCTGCATAAGCACGGGTATCATATCTTCCTCCATTCCTCAAACTCCTGGTCCAGATGCTCCTTCAGCCTCGTCATCTTATTCCCAAAGTTCCGCCCACACCTCCAGCATACCATATCCCGCGGAAACCACCTATAATGCCTCCTCGAATCGTCCTCCGCCAACGGGTACTCGTCCATTCGAATGAAAAAGTCCGTCGTGAATGATTGGTAGTGATTCGTCTTCTTAAGGCACTCGCTGTGCAGGTCCTTGCTCAGGACGTGTATGTGGAGGTGGTTCATGGACGGGTTCGCATGCGTGCCTGACATGACCTCGCTCTCCCAGTCTCGACCCGGCGGCAGGACGTCTGGTATCTCGTCCGCCTCTTGCGCTTCGCGACGCGCTGTCTCGAGGGCGGAGTATTTGCCAAACCTCCTCCTCAGCTCGCCTGCGACCATCTTCCGTACCTTTGCCTCTATCGCTCGACACTCTGCTAGGAACTGTGCATCATGGAACACCTCCTGCCCACGTTGTACGTTCTTCTCGCCATCGCGCGGTAGTATGAGTAGGTGGACGCTCGCTTTAGGATAGAGGTCGTTGATCACCACAAACTTGTCGTCGTAGTAGAGCACCCGGCTCTCAGGGAAGGACTCAGGCTCCGCAATGTATACGCCCAGGCCGTCTCGTCCAAAGGTAGTCGTCGCAGCCGATCGGCTATCCATCTTCTTCTGTGGTTTCGAGTGTTGCGGTTTGGGCTTCGGTTTCATGAGCTCTGCGACTGCATATCAACAATCAGACTCAGAGGACAAGTGAGCAAAGGGGAGTTCTCGCATACATGCATTGTGCCTTTGTGTATGATGTTCTGAGGCCTCCATCTCCGGATCCGCGACTGCTGGGCCTTTGTCCTCGACATCATCGGCGGACGCTCTTGTAGCCATGGTGACTCGACGCTGATCTCGTGCTTGTTGAGAAGTACGAGCTGTCTTGAGTCGACGGCGCAAATGATGCGACAAATATCTGTGCATTCACTGGAATAAATTAGAAAGGCACCTGGCATTGAGGTTCAGGAATGGAGGGTCGAGCTGAAGCTTGCGTCGAGTCAGTGTCACAATCGTCATTGACGTCTGCGTTCAGCGCGACAATTCAGATATTCACTGTTGTAAAATAGATATAACGTGTATGTATCGCTGACATCCCTGTTTGCTATGCGCAGTTGTTACATCGAGGTCTGCCTTAAACCAGCTTGCTGATCGAATTGCTCCCAAAGATCGAACATCATCTGTTCCCGTTGCTCCATGCATCCCAGCTCCACATGCCCCCAACATATTGCTCAGTATACGGCACAGCCGGGGTCCCAACTGGTTGTCGCAGCAGATCCGTAAGCCATGCAGCGTATTTCCCATCGCCCAAACTGCCCTGGATGTTCACTTTGCCCACCCCTCTTACGTCCTCAAACAGGTTGAGCACACTAAAGTCGCAGCTCCCGTACATCGCCTGGAACACATCAATCTCGAGCTCTTCCACACCGCTGAAGCTCTCCTCGACCTGCTTTCGAGAGAACCGAGGATCCGTGTCCAGGCGCACATGGATGGAGTATTTACGGATCAGCTTCGCGACTCGCGGGGCTGTAATAGGATCAGGCAAGGTGACTTTGCCTGGGTAGGTGTACGCCAGGAATCGAGGCATCGCTGTCAGGAGGGAGGTGTGCGCCTGGAAGAGGTTCTCGCCATACAGGATAGGCGTGCCCTCTGTGTTGACTTGTTTACACGTCTGTAGTATGTTTGCGCAAAACCGCCGCCGCCGCCTGATATGCTCGGGCATGTCGGAAAGGGCTTTTGAGCCGCACAGAGACGGGTAGGTTCGTGTCGCGTGCGTGTTCTGTATGAGTAGCAGCTCCCAGATCTGATTGCGCAGCTCAGGCGGGAGCTGGAGTAGACGGCATTCTGGTTGACCAGCAGCATTGTCAAGATCCATTGAAGGCTCTCCCTTCCGCAGGAGAAGTATCATGCTCGTGATCAAAAGTGACAAGGAAGCAGTCGGAGATGGAAAGGAAAGACATCTATACCAACAAATGACCACGAGATCTCGGAGTCCTTATCTGCGGAGAGCTCCTGCTGGCCGACCACAGCCATTGGCAGCTGCAGGCGTGTGGGGAAAGCTCACATTGCAGCGGGATCGAGATGATCTTTGACTTCAGCGCATTTCACGATGGCCTTAGGAGGTACTGTCGCGAGCGTATCGATTGGGGTTGCTGATAGCAACCGGTCCTGCGTCATCAATTGAGGAAGGCTCCCTGGCTCTTCCTTAGAGTGGCTTCCCAAACAATCCATAGAGCAAGTAGTAAGGCCCCGGCTGTTTGAATTGGTCGTGGCGCTTGGAGTAGATTGATGGTACAAATCTTTCTGGGAGTCCTTATCGCCGAGAGCCATACGGTCCTGCGTCTCAGGGTGATATGGTTAGGCGCATGGAGTTATCAGGAGGCAAGAATGGATGAGAATCGGATATCTCACGTCTTTAAGTATAGATTTAAGCTCAAGCGCCAAAAGCTTGGCTGAAATCCCGGCTCTGAAACGACTGATGAGACAACTGCAGGCACATCCAACAACTCCTGGATACTGGATACATCCTAGATACCTACCTTCCTGTCGCTCTTTTACAGGTACTCCCTTGGCATAGCGCTTGATCTGACGTCGTCAACAAAGCAGGCGCCACCCCGGTAGAACGCCCCACGCCACGGAATTTTTGGATCATCTTCACGACTCTCCTTTCTGGATGGACTCGATCAACGACCTAATACAACCTCGAGTTCATCATGTCTGCTGTACGAGACTTTGAGCAGTCTCGCGGCCGATCTGCGACTGGCGCAACTCTACCTATCCCCCTTTCACCAATATCTTCACCAACATCTCGCGACAACCCCACGTTCGACCGCCGGGCAAGTACCTTCTCACGACGCTCAACGGGAAGCGTCAGGTTTCGACATCCCTCGAGAGCCCAAACGGTCACCGCCTACCATGAGCCCCAGGATAGCGAACCGGTATGGCAGCCTGGAGCAGAGCCTGGAATCGACACATCCGCCACCGACGAGCTTGTGCCACCAGAGATTACCTCACTCAAGGCCGAGTGCGAGATCAACATCGTCGATTTTTCCGACATCGACGTTCGTCACATTCGGGCAGACAACGACAGTATAGCCCAAGTCCTGGACGACCGAAGACCTGACAACATGCCATGCCGGTGGATCTCGGTTAACGGCCTGAGCTGGGATGTGATCCGATGCTTGGGCAACAAGTTCAACCTGCACCGACTCGCCATCGAGGATATGGTACATACTCACGGCCGGACGAAGGTCGACTGGTACGCTGACCATGCTTGCGTCATCTTGACTCTCCAAAAGCTTGTGCTCCTCCACCAGTGCAATAGAGGCCACCGCGGCGACTGCGACTGTCCCGACGCAGACCTCGACCATTATGGAAGACCCCATCGAAGGAAACCATGGGAATTTAGATCGTCGAAGGCGAAAAAGCGACAGAACAGCGAACTACCGTATTACCTCGATAAGGACGGGGACGGCAAAGTCGACGAGTTTGTTAACGCACATACTGGCGTCTCGACGAGTGCACCGATCAAGCAGGTACGGACCCTGCATCGCTACGAGAGTGGTAAGATACCCGAGCACACTGCGTGGATGGAGAGGCATTCTACCCTTGCGTCGGAGAACCTCTCGGTCAGTGTTGAGCAAGTGGCGATATTCTTGCTCGCAGACAATACCGTCATCTCCTTCTTCGAGCAGTCGGCCGAAGATGTGGAGGGCCCGATCAGAGACCGTCTGCAAAGCACGGAGACAATCTTGCGATGGAGCTGCGATGCATCGCTACTCCTCGAGGCCATCATCGACGCCATTGTGGACTTGGCCGTGCCGGTCAAGGATGCCTATAACAAGGCCCGCAAGGAGCTTCAAGTCGACGCTCTAATCAACCCGAACATCAAGACTTCGCGGAGTCTGCACATCTTTGGAGAGGAAATCGACATGCTGCAGAATCTCTTCAAGCCAATGGTCCATCTCGTCAATGCCCTCCGAGACCACCAGTCAGAGCCGGTGGGACCCGGGGTCGCGCAAGTCCCTCAAATGCCGAAGTTGGAAATCCAGGAACCGTCGCCATCTAGGAGTGAGAAAACACCGCGCGACAGAGAAGGAGCGCCAACTTACAGTCGCAAGACTTCCGAGTTCCGCAAACCCGGCCCTCTGCGACGGATGGAGACGGCGAATAGTGTTGCCATCTCCCCGTTAGCGCACACGTATTTCGGCGACGTGCTGGATCACTGCATCACCATCATCCAGGCGCTCGAGCAGATGGACGCTTCTGCCACCAACATCTCGACCCTCATCTTCAATACCGTTGGCGCCAAGACGAACAACTTCATGATGATCCTCGCGATAGTCACGGTCTTCTTCTCGCCCTTGACTTTCATCTCTGGCTACTTTGGTAAGTGGTTCCTCGCTTTCTATCTCAACGTTTCGCGTGACGCATGTGCTAAATGATCTTCTCCAGGCATGAACTTTTCAAACGGCGACGGATTGAACCACGACTTCTCTTTCTTCTGGATCATTGCGATGCCATGTTTGGTGGTCTTCATGCTCATAGTGTTTGCTACAATGTGAGTACCAGGCCCAAGGTCTGCTGCCGGGCTCCAGACACAGCTGACTATTTCGACAGGCTCTGGGGTAACATCGTGGACTTTATGAGCAAACGGGGTATCCGGGCACATCGACATCGGCGGAATGCTACAAGGAGGGCACGTGGGTACTTTTAGATACGAGAAGGAGGTCACGGTTGTGTCTTGTCAGCGTGCGTTTCAGCGATACTTGTTTGTCAAGCCTTTCAGCGACATATGGTTCAAGCATCAGCCTACTCTGCATACAGCGTGGTACCTGACAACTTCAGTACTCGCTCCGCAACTTTCTTCCGACCATCCGTTTCTCCCAGCTACGGCCTTCAAGCCGGTACAGGGCCACTACGAAGCTCACCTCCGCTTCTTGGTGAGAGTTCCAATGATATGCGGTACCGTATCATACTTGCCCTCGCCTTCTCCGGGACGCAATTTCACTTCCTCCCACTCGCCGGCTTGCAGCAGCCACTCGTCTGTTGGTCTCGTGATGTCGCAGCCGTTGAAACAATGGGGCCAGACGATATTGATGCCGCCTACACCCTAGATTAGCGCATTGGGCTCACAACGAAGATCTCGTGGTCCGCGACATGACTTACTCTGCCAGTACCCAACAAAGTCACCTTGGTACTTCGTCTTGACGTGCTCGTACACCAACCACTGCCCACCAGGCTTCAGCAGGGGATAAAGTTCCTTGATGATCGTCTCAGGCGTCGGGATGCTGCAGAGACACTGAACGGTGATTATGGTGTCGATAGTCTCCTTCTGAATGCCACCTTTCGTCTGGAGCTCTTCTGCTCCGCAGCCGATGATCTCGTAAATATCACCTAAATCACCGTTAGCGAACGCATCACACAGGATCAGAGAAAAGCGGCGATTGCATACCAAGTCCAGCATTAACAGCATTCTCCCTCAGCGCCTTATGCATGCCCTTATTCGGCTCAATGCCATAAATCTTCGTGATATCCGGATTATTCGCCCGCTGAAACAAATACAACCACTGCCCCGACCCCGGTCCGATGTCCAGGCAAACGCCCCGCGCGTTCTTCTGCAGCAGCGGCATCACGGCCGGAGCAGCGACATCGCGGGACTTGGGGCCGAAGAAGGCCCAGAAGCGGGCGAACCAGACGTCTTTGAAGTCGGAGGGGCTGAGGAAGGTGGTGAGTTGGAAATTGAGGAGGAGGTGGATGATGGTGGGGATGATGTAGAAGAGGGAGTAGGAGATGAGGATGAGTGGGCGAAGGAGGTTGATGGGGCCGTTTTCTTGGGATGTTGCTCCTGGGCCGGGTTGGGAAGACATTGTGCTGGATTTGTTGCTGTTCGTGCAAGAGGAAGAGTTGGGGTCGTGAGTCGATTTATAATATTTGAACAATTCAACTCATACCCCGCGCCGGCTGCGGTCTTAATGTACTCCAGGCCAACCCTCATCAGGCTCGCCCGCATGAACCCAGGCCAAATGGGTGCAAGTCCAAGAAACCTTGAGGGCAGCTGTCGCAAGATAAGAGACCTCACTCCTACTTTTGTCGACGAATGGAGAGGCCAGATGCAAAACTAGGGACTGAGAAGTATCTGAACATTATTATGTGCCATTACTATCCATGAAGCTGCCTTGCTCTTGAGCTGGCGATTGCGAACTCCCCACACACATAAACCCATACTTCACACATAAACTACCAGTTGGCAAGGAAGGCAGCACCACCGAAGAGGGCCGCAGCGCCAACCGCACCAGTAGGCAGCGCTGCAATACCAGAGCTCGAGCTCGAGCTGCCACTGCCGCTACCACCGTTGCCTCCGGAGCCGCCAGTTGCAGCCACCTCATTCGTCGTCTGGGTCAAGCCAGGGTTGGTAGTCGACGCAGTTGGAATCCCAGAGGTATACGGGGTTGCCGAGGCCGAGGAAGCGCCGCTGAACTGCACAACGCCAGTGGTCGCGGATGGGTCCGCCTCGGCGGTTGCGTTGGCTGGGTTGAGGACAGAGTCGATGACGTGGACCACACCTCCGGCGACAAGCACATCGGCAAGAATGACACGTGCGCCGTTGACGAAGACGGCATCGTCCTCGACGGTGATCTCAACATCATCGCCCTGCAGAGTGGTGACAGAGCCTTCGGTGATATCGGCGCTGTAGACCACTGTGCCGTTGATGACGTGGTAGGTAAGGATGTCCGTCAGGTCTGAAGTGCTAAGGTTGGCGGCAGTGCGACCAATAGCCCGGAAGGCGGCATTGGTTGGAGCGAAGATTGTCACGTCGCTCAATCCATCCACTGTATCAACCAGATCGGTAAGGGTGAGAGCGCCGGCGAGCGCGGTCAAGCCAGCCCCAATTGCGGTCGTCGAGACGTTGCGCGGGACCTGCAGTACGCTGTCGATGATATGTACAACACCGTTGGTGTAGTTGACGTCCTTTGTGAGCGTTAGCACATGCTCAGGTTCTGAGAGGGACGCTAAGACCTACAGCCTGCACCACGGTCGATTCGAGCTTCAGACCTGACGTGAGGACGACGTCCTGGCCGTCGAGAGCGACCTCCACGACCTGGCCGCCCGTCACGTTGGCGTACATCTCATCGTCCAGGAGCGTCGGTGCGAACACTGGCGTCTCCGAGATCGCCGAGGAGTATACCATACCTTGCAGGACATGGTAGTTGAGGATGGCGGCGACGTCGTCTTCCGTGGCATCGTCTAGCAACCCAGAGGACTGTAGTTCAGAGATCGCGGCGTTGTTCGGAGCAAAGACGGTCACATTCTCCGCATTGCCTAGGGACCGAGCAATGTTGGGATACGCCTGGAGGATTGTTCCAAGGCCAGACAGCGAAGGGGTGTCTCCAATGAGAGCAGTGAGGGTCGGGTCGCTGTTGCTGTTGTTCTGCGCTGCAGCGAATGCCAACGCACTGCTGGCGATGAAGGTCTTGGAGGCACGCATGTTGCTGTGAGGTCCGGAGAAGTGTATGGGAAGGCTGGCAATCGATGCTGATGAGGAGAGGAAAGCTTGAAAGGCGTGTGAGGTGGAGGAGGGGGGAGTAATATAAACTGGTACTACTATACCTTTATACCGATGCCTAACGGCCTTGTCTGACGTAGACGATCCTTCAAACGCCGTCTGGGCACTCCCACGTGTTTGGTGGTGGAGGCTATGCCCACCCTCGAGTAAACAATGAGGCCGCGTAGGCTAAGAGCTCGACGTGAATAATTCCTCTTGGTACGTTGCCGTCGGATTGAGCTCCAGGCCAATGGGCACGTCCGAGGGCAGGGCTGGCGCGGAGGAGCTAGCTTTGCTAATGCTGAGTGGAGGGGGTCGTTCCTAGGTACCAACGGAATTTTCTGTGATGAGTCGTTGAAACACGCCCTCGGTGTCGAGGCAAGCAAAGTATGATCGGCCACTTTGCGCCGTCTTGGTTGCGCCTTTGGGCCTAACGTGCTGCAAGCGTGCAGAAGCACTGACACAGTCTAGAAAGGCCTGACTCCGCGTTTGGCGATCCTGGCGAATTGTCATCCCAACCCCACAATCGAGCAACTAGGCAGCCAAGAATCGCTCCCGGCAGGCTGAAAAATGCCGGACCATCAGTTCAGGAGTGCAGGGCAGAATTGAGCCGTGGTGGTATACCACTGCTGTCCATGGTGACCGGGCGGTGGCTTGGTTAATACGAGTCGTTGGACGTTCGTTCATCTCTCTGAAAGCGGCCGCAGTGGAGTCAACAACATCGTGCTTTGAACGACCCTTTCGAGAAGGTGACATTGCCGTGCTTAAAATGAAGCCGTTTGTCTCGTAGTCGTCTAAACGGTCAAAGGCCAGGAGCATTCGCGGTCCGCCATTGCGTATTGTCGTCGGCGACGGGGCTCTCATGGACTCTTTCACGCCGGTCTCCTCGTGCTGCGCCAGGTCGCCTGGGAGAACGTCGCCTTTTGGTGGTCCTAAGTGATGGCCAGAGTAAGAGGGGAGAGACTTGACACTATCTCGCAGAGCCAAGGGGAGAGGCATACCTCGTACTGTGAGAGAGTTCGAGACAACCTGAATGTCGAATCATGTGTCGTGACGCGAGGCGGCAACCTCGACCTTGAATGCGGGATCGCGGGAGGCGGGATCAGCCGCAACCAACATGACGTTTCGAGGTCCGACGACACTTGACGGATCAACACACTATCTTGGACCTCAAACGCTGTTCCAGATTGGACTCCCGTCTACGGATCGACCTAATATAACCTCTGGAAGTTTAAGCGGTTACACATCCACCTCTCGGACCGCCCTTGTAGCTTGTCGCGTGGAAACAAGCTCGGGAAGCATCATTTGAGCCGCAGCCATGTCTTCCAGGAAGAAGATACTGCTGAAGGTGAGGTTGTCGCGGGAATGCTGAGAACTAGAAGAGGACTGACAAGCATAGGTCATCATCCTGGGTGACAGCGGCGTGGGCAAGACGAGCTTGATGAACCAATATGTACGTTCCACCTGCGCACGCCTTATCAACAGCACACGTGCATTATAGAGACGCGCAAGGAGGGCAGAGACTTACGAGTACTTCTCCAGGTAAACAAAAAGTTCTCAGCATCCTACAAAGCAACCATCGGCGCCGACTTCTTGACGAAAGAGGTGCTGGTTGATGATCGACTCGTGACAATGCAGCTTTGGGATACCGCAGGCCAGGAGCGCTTCCAATCCCTCGGCGTGGCTTTCTATCGGGGCGCGGACTGCTGTGTCCTCGTCTACGATGTCAACAACTCCAAATCTTTCGATACGCTAGACAGCTGGAGGGATGAGTTCTTGATACAGGCGAGCCCAATGGATCCCGAGAGCTTTCCGTTTGTGGTACTGGGAAACAAGGTGGACGTGGACGAGAGCAAGAGGATGATAAGTTCGAAGAGGGCACAGGCGTTCTGTCAGAGCAAGGGAGGGATACCCTACTTTGAGACGAGCGCGAAGGAGGCGGTGAATGTTGAGCAGGCTTTCGAAGGTGCGTCATCATGCCATGCAAAACTGCGCGGTCCTGTTTCGCGTGCTGACCGTGATCTCCTGCAGTCATCGCTCGAAACGCCCTCGCACAAGAGGAGTCGCAAGACTTCAACCCTGACTTCCCAGAGACGATCCCTATCAACATTGGCGAGGAGAACCAGGGCTGCTCTTGCTAAGATATGTAAACGAGTACCAGCGAGCACACCGGCGATCTTAGCTTACGATGCGAAGGATGTTGTTGCAAGCATTTGCAGGCGTCCAGGGCGTTGATACCATCTTGATTAGAGGCAGGCATCATTGTTCCAACAGCAGCGATACCATTATACATAGTTGACCAGTACCCTAAGCTTTAAAATAGACTGCCAGTCTTGCGGTGTACTCATCCTGTGTCGTCGCTGAACAGACATATGCCAAGACCTGCTTGTTGACCTCACTTCTTGATCTGCTTTGCGATGCACCAAACTTCCTTCTTCATCCTACGAGAACCAACACGACTTTAATACCGGTTTGAGGACCTGAAAAGCTCTCAATGGCCTCGTCAGCTCTCCCAGGTCAACTCCTCGGCCCAACCAAATCCAACAACATCGGCGCCGGCACCCACATCTCCAGCTCCAACCTCTACGCCAGCATCGCCGGGCCCCTCACCTCGAACCCATCAACGTCCAAATCCTCCCCCGCCCCGACAATCTCCATCTCCCGCCCCTCTGGCGACCTCCTTCCCGAAGTCAACACCACGATCATCGGCAAAATCACCCGCACCAACCCCCGACAAGCCAGCCTCTCCATCCTCGCTCTCGGCCCCACCGGGGCACACGTCCTGCGCGAGCCTCTCCCTGCGCTGATACGACAACAAGATATCCGCGCAACAGAGGTGGATAAGGTGAAAATGGCCGAGTGCTTTCGGGTCGGGGATGTGGTGCGGGCGAACGTGATTAGTCTGGGTGACGAGAGAGCGTATTATTTGAGCACGGCGAGGAATGAGCTGGGCGTGGTGATGGCGTGGAGTGAGGCGGGGAATGTCATGGTCCCGGTTAGTTGGCGGGAGTTTGTGGATGAGGCGACGGGGGCGAGGGAGGGGAGGAAGGTTGCTAAGCCGGTTTGAAGGGATGGAAGATGATTGCAAGATTGAAGATGGCGTGACGAGCCCAGACGAGATCGAGATGAGACTATGCACTTGAGCGTTTCTACAATCGCCGCGCTTACACTACGCTTTCGAGGAACGCAAGACGGCCTCACGTTACACCGAAGCGGCACGCTCAGATGAAAATGGAGGTTCGATGGCGACCGAAGCATTCTTCGAGGTCTCAGGTGAGCGTGCTCGGTTCACGGCGGCCTGGATAGCGCATCAACGGCACCCATTTCCAGTCGAGCGGAGCGCCAGGGACGGCCGGTCGAGTACGGTACTATGTCATACGCAGAGCATAGAAAATTGCTCGACCGGTTACTTAGGCATCGCGCAGCCTACTCGATATCAAGCAGGCAAAAAGCGCAGTATTGGTGAAAGGGATTAGAAGTACTTCGTCAAAATTGCTTCTTGTTCAAGACCACATTATTGACCCTTCTTCTTCCCCATCATAGCTCGATACCGCTCAATGACCTCCCTCCGCGCATCGCCCAGCTCCTCCCTCCGCTTCAAGCTCCCAGCTGTTCCTGGCACGTTCTCCACATCCACCCTCGCATTATTCCTGACCTTGAATTTCTCCTTGGGTACCGTCTTAAAACTCGGCGGCGCCTGCACAACATCATGCAACCCCTTCCTCTGCTCCCTCCTCGCCGCCAGCTCTGCCCACGGATCATCGTCATCCCCGCCTTGCTCACCAACCATTCTCCGCCTCTTCTTAGACTTGCGGTTACTGTCAGGGAATTGCGCCTGTTTACCGCCGAGCTCAGCGTCCCGCTCCTCTTCGGCTTCTTCTTCCTCTTCCTGGCGCTCTTCCTCCTTCTCCTTCAGCCGCGCCTCGTCTTCGCGCCAGGAGGCGTACATCTTCTGTAGCCGCCTTTCTGTCTTCGTCTGGCGTTCTTTGACGCCATCGACTTGGACCTTGCCTTTGCGCGCGAGGCCGGTGACGGGTAATGCGTGGTCGACTCGAGCAGCGAAGTCGCCGAGACGTTCGCCTGGGAGGATCTTTGGGACTTCAGAAGATGGTCCTTGAGCAGTCGCCGTTGGTGCAACTTCTGTCGTTCCTGCGCCTTGGCTTGCTGCTTTTCGCTGCTTTTTCCTGCTCGCGCGAGTATCATCGCCATCGTCTAGTCCAGACCTCTGCCGCTTCTTGGAGGCTTGGAGGGCCAGCATGCGAGAGAAGGCGCGCGGTGTATCGTCGTGCTTGTAGCCTTTGCCGGTTTCGGGTTTGGGTCTCTTCGCCTTTACTTTCTTTGCTGCGGTTTTGGGTGCTCGTGTTGCTAGTGGTTTGGCGACTTGTGACGGCGCGAGGTTGAAGTCGGTCTCGTTGGCGCCTTTCCGGCGAACGTGTTTGTGAGGCATTGTTGCGTACAGTTCCCGGGATCTTCAATCGTGTCGTGATTGAAGAGCAGGGGCTCGAAATAATTTTGGTACAATTGACGGCTTATCGATAAGCGCGACGTCCACCCTCCAAAAGCGCCATCACGCCCCGACCGTACTCAATCAACGACATTTCTCATCCCTTTTCGATTGTGCACCGCCGAAATGCCTCCTCCATCGAGTCGCATGACCAAAAACCGGCCACAGCCTACGCGCTACCGGCCGGGCAAAGCAGAAGTCGAGGACCCCGAATCCGAGGAAGAATCGTCAGAGGAAGAAGAAGAGCAATCAGCAAAGGCGCCCGCACCCAAAGCGTCTTCGTTCCCTTCGCAGAAGAAGCTCGCGGTCGATCTGAGTAAAGCTGGCCAGCAAAGATCAGCAGCGCCCACATTACCAGCCAAACCACCGGACGAGGACTTGGAAGGGTTCGTGACTGCTTCGGAGTCTTCCGACGAGGATGAGGCCGGCGATGGCTCGAGTGACGAGGGGGAGGGGGAAGAGTCAGAAGAAGAGGAGAGCAGTTCGGATGATGAGCCGAAGAAGCCTATGCTTGCGCCAAAATTCATATCCAAGGCGAAGCGCGTACAACAAGCTTCGAATGGTCCAACGGCAGAAGAGCGAGCAGCGGAGGAGGAGCGATTACGGAAGGAGAAGGCGGATGAGATGCTACAAGCTCAACTGGAACGGGAAGCAGCGGCGAGAGCGGCAGGCAAGAAGTTTTGGGACGATGAGGATATTGCTCCTGAAGATGAAGTGGACGACACAGACAATCTAGACGACGAGGCCGAGCGAGCGGCATGGAAACTACGTGAGCTCAAGCGCGTACGGAGGGATCGTCTAGCGATCGAGGAGAAGGAGAAGGAGCGAGAAGAGATTGAGCGGAGACGGAACATGACGGCCGAGGAACGCGAAGAGGAGGATCGCAAGTACATCGAAGCACAAAAAGAGGACCGAGAGGGCAAGGGCAAGATGGCGTATATGCAGAAGTACTTCCACAAGGGCGCCTTCTTCAATACAGAAGGCGAGCAGGACGAGGAGGTGCAGGCGGCGCTGAACAGAGATCTGGCGGGGGCGAGGTTTGCGGATGATGCGGGGGATAAGGCGGTGTTGCCGGAGTACATGCGGATCCGGGATATGTCGAAGTTGGGCAAGAAGGGGAGGACGAAGTATAAGGATCTGAAGAATGAGGATACTGGGCGGTGGGGGAATGATGTAGGGAGAAGGAAGAGGGAGTTTGATGGGGTGGATGAGCGATTTAGGCCGGATGACGGGAGGGAGGGTGGAGGGAGGGAGAGGACGGGGGCGAACAGCCAGCCGGTGGGTGAGAGGAAGAGGGCGAGGTATGAGTGATGGCACTCCGCTACGAATGGAAGACTCAGGCTGCCGTCGAAATACATTCTATCAGACGGTCAGGCGAACCACGCGCTCGGCCTGGCCCAGCATGGTTTGAGTGGAACGGCGGGTACGATCAGATCTACCCGGAGCGAAGCGATATTGATGGGCTTAGCAAGGCGTTGGTAGGTTATCTGCATGCACCTGCTTTTCTTGGTCTGGTTATCATACCTCCTAAGGTAGTCCAAAACGACTCACATTCAATTTCCCTTGCCCTTCTTCAGCAGCATAATCACGTGTTGCCCCACCATCTTGACAACTCGAATTTCGGCCAAGTCCGAGAGAACCCCGCCAAAAACTTCGAATCACTGCTCCACTTCACACAGCTCAAGAACTGCACTGCATCTCCTCGCTCACTAACGCTCTCGCTAATGCAACTGGTTCGACTCCCGCAGCAGAACCTCAATTACTCTATTGAAAGCTGCTCGCAAATGCAAGGCGAAGACGGCGCCAGTGAGCATGGCGACGGGGTTCGATGAGCTGGTCGAGCAGCTGCTGTATGATGTCGCACTGGCCGGCAGGGAAGGTATGTCGAAGGTCGCGAGTTCGACTCATCGTACTTCATCTCCTGAATCAATGACATACTCACTAATGCTGTCAAAGGCATCGGTGTACCGGAGCTGGAGCAGGCAGCACGATCTTTCTATCAATCACGCCATATACCAGAACAGCCAACGCAGCCCATGCCCGCCACCGAGGACGATCTTTTGTTCTCCGACGCGCCACCTACAAGTACAACAAATGAAGTCGACTACAACTTCCTCGATGCTGTCTGGGACTGGCTGTGTCACCACCCGGATGTTCTGATTGACTACAATGAGGATGAAGCGGACTCGGCTCGCACTGAACAGCATCGCACCTCGAATACCGCCCCTTCAGCTCACCGTCATGCTCGCCAACGCATATTCACCACCGAGGACCGCACGTGGCAAGTCATCGCAGGGCACGGCGTTGACCATAGCCGGCTTGCTCCCTTATACTTCGAGTGCCTCAGGGTCATCGCGGCCCACGGTCCGAAGGGCATTGTTCAGCCAGATCTCAGAAGGATCACCGACCAGGACAAGCGCTCGGTACCTCACCGCACCGATGTGCTTGCTCAACAAGGCTACATCACCAAGGAGCCCGTTGTTGCAAGAGGGGCAGGCACAAGCCTGCTGCGGCTCCGCCGGTTCGCGAAGGATGTGAAGGTAGACTCGGCTCAGGAGCGGACAACGACCCTAGCGGAAGGAATGACATTGCACTACGATGAATGCTTCGACAAGATGATCAAGCTTCTCAAGGTTAATGGCAACATCATCGCCATTGCCGATCTGCTACTGGGGTTGGGGATATACGAAAACCGAGGCAAGACGAGGGCTTTTCGCTACGGCTACAAACGCCTGGCGAAGCAAGGTTGCATCCGGAAGCTCCTGGCGCGAGTTGATGAAGTTGATGATGATACTGAGGCCGGTGGCAAAGAGGCGTGGATACGCTGCGTTCAGCTCATGCGGGAACCGACGGAAACGGATCGAGTCTGGTTCAAGAAGAATGCCGGGCCGATGAAGCGTCGCAACCGCGTTTCTAACCAGACAGAGGGCGGTAGCGATACCAGCGACTCGGAAGAAGATGTCGAAGCTGGGCAAGAAGACGGTGCGCTGATGAATACGGGCCCTGCTCCTGAATGGACGCCTGATCTTCCCCACGCCAACTTTCTGTATCGCATCATTGCGGACGCCGGCGTGATCGGTATCACATCCTTTTCTCTCGACGAACGGATTGGTGGCTTTTGGCGTCGTCCGCTCGACGAGCTGCTCGCTCGTCTTTCCGACCCTTCGAGGCATAAGCAGCCATCTCATCTGAAGCACCTGAATATTGTTCGAGAACCGTCTAAAGAAGGAAAGCGAACGCAATTCAGGTATCGCACTCTGGAAAATTTTGGAGAAGCGGTCAAGATGGGCCAGACGACATGGAAGGTGGTGCAAGGCAGTCGTGAAGATGTAGCCGCTTTGAGGAAGTCGCTGTCAACGGAAGCTAGAGTGGACCAGTGGGGTTTCCCACAACTCCGTGCGTACAAATTCGCTGGTACCGATGGGCGAGCATCGCTGCTCCAGTGTCAAGGTGTCGCGGAAGCGCCAACCGAAAAGAAAGACGACCGTTCAGCGCCAAGCAAAGCGACTCACAAGAGGAAGTTTGACGACTTGGTGCAGCCCAATGACCCGACTGCACCCGTCATACCCTCACGATGGCTCAATGTAACATTCGATCCATCTGGAAAGCAAGTTGACAAGTCGAAGACCGAGATCGCTCGTCATGTGGCAACTACTGCGCACCAGAACCGTGAGAACAGCGACCAGATGGCGCAGATGCCAGAGGCTTCTGTTCCAACTGCTGAGACCCGTGCTGTCGACGAAAACACAGGGCCAACTCCACCGGCAACAGTCAACCCCAACCCGTCCGTCAAAGCAAAGAAGGTCAGACTCAGACACTCGCCACAGAATCATACGGCTGGCCCTCTCGTTACGACCTCTGGCCTCCACATCAACCCTTCCGGATCGTACCCTCCACACTTGATCAAGGCTGGGAGGCGGAAGATAGTTCTGGTGGCTGTGTTCAAGTCATGGAGGCTGGCGGGACTGCCTTGCTTCCGGCAGAGCGGTCCTGCGGCCGTGCTTGATCCGGCTTTGGCCAACGTGCCTTCTGGAGCTCTGACGCCAGGCAATGGCAGTGATGAGACTTCTGTACCGAAGAGCACAGATACTGCTACGACCTTGCCGGCAGAAGTAGCGCCTGTTCAGAACAGCACTCCAGCTTTACCAGTTGACGTGCCTACCCCTTATCGCAGCACCGACGGGCCCACACCCAAGCGTGCAAGACTGAATGCTGACACTCCCATAAAAATGGTTTACAGCTCACTGGCATCGCTCGAGTCCAGTATTAAGCTTCCCAAGGGGACGAAACCAGGCCGTCCAACGGACGGAGAGCTGGCTCGGCGTGCGCAGAGGAGAGCGGACATCGCTCAGGAAATGCTGGCTACTGGGGCGGCGAAATTGGCGTCAGAGTCAGCGGAAGCTCCACAGAGTCCGCCGGCAGTTGAGACCAGCTTAATCGCGAAGCTTCCGATCAAGGTACCTGAGCCTCTCCCGACCAGACGCCTCTTGTCTTCGACAACACCTTCTGTTCCTCGAACTCCTGTGGAACCTAAGTCTAATGAAACTGGTGCGCTCGACGTGGATGATGTTGTCGATGCCAGTGCTCAGACTCCAGCAGAGGAAGTTCAGCAACAGCTCGAAGTAGGTGGTGATTCAGGCGGCTCTACTGACCTACGCCACCAAGGGGACACCACGCCAGCTCCCGCAGTGCAAGAGCCACCGCATTTGCAGTCTCAGGAAACAATTCAAGCCGACTGGTCTCGTGATGTCGATGCCAATGCTCAGGCTATAGCAGACGGAGCCCAGCGAGATCTCGAGGCGACTGATCGATCAGGCGTCCCCATTTGCCCTCGCGATGACAGGCTCGCCACACCAGCGCCGGGTGTACAGGAGCCAATGCCCGAGTTTGATACAGAAATTCTGCACCGCCGTCTGGAAGACTGCGTATTGCAAATCGTACGCGATGCCAAGGGCGCTCACGCCGCGGACCTCAATTTGTCCTTCGCCGTTGCAGATTGCTGGGACCAAGCCAATGGGCCAACACCTGACCGCAACAGCGTCATGCGTACTGTGAGTCGGCTGGTGGCGCAAGACCGGATTCAAAAATACAAGTTCACTTTCGAGGATGAAGAGGGCAAGCAGGCTGAGAGGGCTATTGTCACAGAATCTGGAATTGACTTGAACTCCGCCGTGGTCCAGGAGGTACGAAAAAACATCGTCCGAGATCATCCTTACCGAAACAAGTGGATGAGCACCCGTCGCGAGAAACTCAAGCTGGCCGATGAGAAGCCCAATACCCCTCAGTCGCCAGGAGCTGGAGCACCTAGCACAAACGGCGCTTCGAATCATGACGCCCAGTTTCCAGCTTCAGAGCTCAGATCAGTGCGTCGCAAAGGCCGTATTGCTGCCGAGTTTCCAGCAGTCCACGGTGTGACCGTCAAGCGCACGGCGAAAGGCATCGAGGCGGCGCAGGCGGAAGAAAAGCTGTTCCATCGCAACTTTCGACACGTACCTGCTTTGGGTCGGAATCGATTCCGTGGACTGTCAGCTGGCAAAGGTCCGCAGGGTCTCAATGGTGTCTTGAACGAGGAGCAGGCTGAGAGAGGCGATCCTGAAGAAGTTGGCGAAGGCAACGAAGACATCGAGGAACGCGATGAAGGCGGCAACGAGATTGGTGATATTGACGATGATGACAACTACAGCAGCGGAGACGATACTGCTCCGGTGGCAGAAAAACAAGCCGCGGGTATGACGAGCTTTCAGCTCGAGCGATATGCTCACGACCCTAGCGCAGTTCCCAAGAGGTTTGCAACGCCGAGACCTCGTAGCAGTTTTGAGCCCCAGAACGCTCTCCACACTGCTCTGGCCAGTTCCAGGAATGCGCCACGCAAAGACGCGAGACCGGTATGCAAAGCGGCTATCAAGCCGGCGCCACGTGGTGCCAAGGTTCAAGGGGAAAAGAAACAAGCCGATATGGCTTGGGCGAAGTCGTCCGCCGCGCCTACAGGTCTGGATGACGTGCTATGCAGAGCCAAAATACTCGGGTGCGGCACTGCTGACAAGTCTGGAACGCTGTTCTGGCAGTTCCAGTGCGAGGTGGAAAGGGTCCTGTTGGTCGAAAAATTACTCATGAACGACGAAGTAATGATCTCTGGCGGCCCTGACTTCGTCAACCATGGGTTGAACAGGCATCACACCCGCGTTCAGTGGAGTGACGAGGAGTACAACATCGACTTTTGCGACGGGTTCCTCCCCACTCTGAAGGCGGAGAAGGATCGGCAGCGCCCTGCTAAGAAGGTGGTTAGGAACGGGGGACACCCAACGACACTGCAACCCGCGGCTGCAGCGGCAGGTTATCCTGCTCCTCCCGCCACACGTGCTCCGCCTGCTCTCCCGACTCCTCCATCCAAAACGCCGACGTTTCGGACCATTCGACCCCATGACCCAGCAACGTCCTTGTCGCTTCCACGCTCCGGGGTGTCCATCAACGGCCTCTTCCAGCAGCCGACGCAGCTTCAGAGCCCGGCGCAGTTCCAGACCCCCATTCAGGCGCAGCCGCGAAACCGTCCGAGCCCGTACAACACTAGAGGCCATGGCGAAGGTCGGCCTAAGATCGATTATATGACCAGCATCATCGACTTTGACGACGACGACGAGGAAGTCAGCACGCCCCAGCAAGGTCGGCACCAGGATGTCATTGAGATTGATGGTTCACCAAGGGTCAGCACGACACGAAAAGCCAACAAGCAGGATGCCATCGAGCTTTATGATCCTGCGGAGGACGACAGTATATCACAAAATGCTCCGCGCTCCTATACCAAGACGTTTGTCGAGCGTGGACGCCTTGCTGTTGCAGTCGCTCTCTGCCAGATGATCTGCGGTGGGACAGTTGGCAGTAACCGGATCAAATGGGAAATCGTTACGCATGCCTTTGGCTACAAGCTGGGACACGAGAGCTACCGTGGAAGGTGGAAGGTACAAGGGCGGACTGAGTATGGCAATCAATACGTGACGAAGATCCAAGCGATGCTCCATGAGCCGTTCCTGCAGGCTTATGAGAAGGGAGAGCTGCCGACGATTGATTTCAGCAACATCAACCAGACTGACTGGCCAGCTCTACTGGATTGGGCGGTGGATATCGTTCAGCCTGAAGGCTACCGAGCGGTGCGTCTCAACCGACGTGGCCCGCGGAAGAGCACAGCAAAAGGTGCTGACACGGACGCCACACCGACACCGAATATCCCTCCGGACAAACAGAATGCTGGTGATGTGCAAGCAGTGGCTCTGCCTAAGCAGCTCGAAGACGCCGCACTGGACAACAGCTTCATCATGGAGAAGTCTTGGCTACGCGCTCTGATCGCCACGCCAGATGAATTCTACGTCGAGCAGCAAGCTACTCGCAAGCTCTCCGTCATCGATAATTACAAGCTGGACAAGATCGTCCACGAGATGAAGGCCACCAGGACTGTTGCGCACAAGCACAAAGGCCGTCAGCAGCCCGGACGGAACTTCATCTTCACGCCGTATATGCTGTCGCTCTTCAACCGGTGGCTCGGCGATAGCATTGACCACAGCTTCCTCATTGATGTCGCGACGGCTTGGAAGACGGTGGCAGAGCATTTCCAAGTGCACGACAAGCTCGAGCTCAAGCCGGGTGGTGCGACCGAGGAGAAGATGCTCGTGCTCAACGACCTCCTCGCGCACGGCAATGTCAAGATCGCACCAGTCATCCCTCCCATCACTGACGACTTCAACGCCCCGCCTGGCACGCTGAGCAAATGGGGCACGGGTGGCTACTCCCACCGTCCCAAGGCTATCGACGATTCAACCTTTCAGCTCTCAGTGGTCTACACCAAGACCACCTCTTTCACCTCACAGCACGGTTTGCGCCAAATGCCCGTTCCGAAATACGTCCCGGCCGTCCTAGGCGAAGCGGGCTTCCGCATTCCCTTCTGGATCGACATTCACGGCAATTTCATTCCGAAGATCTGGAGGATGGTGCTGCGTTCGGTTTTGTGGTTGCTGGTCTATTGCGCCGGTGTGACCGTTGACGGGATCGAGAAGGCGCTGGGAGGCAAGCTGTGGGCCTGGGAGGCAGAGCTCGTGGTGGAGTGGATGGAGAGGGTGGGGTGTGCGGTGAAGTGTGGCAATGGTGGATGGAGGGCTGGGGAATGGTGGTTCTGCGCGTTGATGGAGGAGGTGTGGGGATGAGATGGTTATGGGAAATGTTGATGAGTACTGGTTTGCGTGGGCGCTGGTGGCATTTGTCGTTTTATGGTTTGCATGAGATACCCCGGCCCGGCGAGGCTGCCTGCATGGGAATGTTGATGAGTATGATAATAGTATATAATACAGTCCATGTCTTGAAGGCTCGTTGTGGACTCTTTTCATATCTCATCGATCATCTCTGCATCGCTGTGACACAAGCGTGACCGCTCACCAACTATCAAAGTTCCCAAACCCACCACCCTTCGCCCTCTTCGCCGGCGGTGGCGCCATCTCAGGCTCCCCATCCTCCCAATCGCCCACAATCTCCTCCTCATCCTGCCGCTCCATCGCCTGCTTGAGGTATTTCCCCACCCCAGCCCCAGCATCTCCTCCCTCAACCTTCCCATCCGCCCTTATCCGCTTCCCCGTCCACGTCGTCCGCTCATCCTCAGCGCCGCCTTCGCTCCGCAAAGCCTCCTTTCTCGCTTCCGCCGCCTCCTTATCGGACCGCTGTTTCATGAACTCCTCGAATGGGTCGACGTACACCACCACATCCTCGATCTCGCAACGCTCGGTCGGCCGGTCTTTGTCATCGACCTCCGTCTCCTCTAGTCGCTTCAGCGTGTCCAGTCCTTCGACCACCCGGCCGAAGATCGTGTGCTTCCGATTCAAGTGTGGGACAGCGCGGTAGGTGATGAAGAACTGGCTCGTGTTCGTATCCTTGCCTTTGTTCGCCATACTCAGCACACCGCGCGTGTCGTGCGTCAGTGGGCCTTCTAACTCGTCGGCGAACGGCTTGCCCCAGCAGCTCTGCCCACCGCGTCCGCTGCCGGTGGGATCGCCGCCTTGGATCATGAAGTTCTTGATGTTGCGGTGGAATTGGACGTTCTTGTAGTAGCCTTGCTTCGCCAGACTGATGAAGTTCCAGACGGCTTTGGGCGCGTGTTCGGGGTTGAGTTCGAGGTTTACGGAGCCGACGTTCGTGGTGAGACGGGCGTAGCCTTTCTGTTTCACGCGCTTTGGTTTGAGCATGTATTCTTCGTCGCTCATAATGGCGCGCTCGCCGGAGGTGTTGGGCGTGAGGCCTGTAGAGGTGAAAGAGGCGGCTGCTTGGCCTGTGGTGTGTTGGGCGGCATTGAAAGGCACGGGTTTGGTGGTTCTTGACTTAGCGACTTCGGCATGTGCTTTGCGCGCGTTTGACAGTGCCTGAGACTCGACTGAGGATTTGCCATTGGCCTGACTCTTCTCTCGATCTGCTCGCGCTCGTGCTACAGCTTCTTTGGCCTTGAGTATCTTCGCCGCTGACCCCATGTTCTGCTCGTTGACTCCCGCACTGCGCTCGGCCACTTGCTCGGCCGTGAGTGTGCTCTCGCCATCTTGCAGATACTTGAACTGGCTGAGATCTCTGCTAGCAACATTTTGTGGGTCCTGTAGAGTGATGATGTCGCTGCGCGCGAACGTCTCATCGCTCACCAGGTCGTTCCAGTTCTTGGCCTTGATGTTCAACCGCTCCACGGTGTCCCAGCTGAATACATTGCCAGTATTCCGCAGCGCGACAATGTGCGTGTTGTCCGTGAAGGTCTTGAAGGTGACCGGGTCCACATACTCGTCCTCGTCGTTCTTGCTGAAGTTCAACTTGATGAGCTCCGAGCTCTTCAGTGGTTGTCCGTTCACTGGATTTGTTCCATGCTTCTTGATCCACGGTAGTATGTTGGTCAGGTCGAAGATGGTGCCCTCGGCGGTGCAGACTGGGTGCTCGAAGGGTTGTAGCGACACGGCGCAGAAGTTGAAGGGTAATCGCTTGAAGTTTGCGCCTGCGCTCGCGTTGGCCGACTTGCGCGCGTTGGCGCCAGCAGCAGAGCCGAAGGCATCCTCAGAAGACCACTCGCTGTGGGTAATCTACGTACAACTACTAGTCAGCATGTCGTCGGCGCATACGAGGGAGGCTGAAGGAAACGTACGTACAGCTTGTCGGTGCCTGTGAGACGTTAGCAAGATCCGAGACAGACTTATATGACATGCTGGGACTCACCTTTACCCATGGCGGTCTCTTTTGGCTTGCTCAAATGCCACGCCTGTATGTGAGGAACGCTTTGTTTGTGGGTGGGTTGTAAAGGCGTGGAGAGTAAATGCATGTGAAAGCCGATCTGATGAGTCAGCAGACCAGGGTCTCCGATTGGTGTGATACCATTTCTATACGCGATGCGGCACTGGGTGTTAATAAGGTAGATAAATAGGTCCCATTTAGGATGCTCTCAGTAGCCCGCAGTAGCCTTGCTCTCCTCCTCGAAACCCCCTGCGTGGTCTTTCAGGTACAGCCAGCATCACGTCCGTACCGAAGCTTCCCTTCCTGCTAGCCTGTATTTCTCCTCCGTCCAGTGTTGTTAGACACTATTCATACTGATCCCCGTATCACAGACAAACATCCTCCCTCTCGTCTCCGCCCCTTGAGCATCTGTCAGCATAGCTCAAGCGGCATTTTCCAAGCCGCTCGTCGATGCCCGATAGGAGAAGTGCTCCAACGTACATGCGCTCTTCAGATGTCGGGCGCGCCATGGTCTGAAGTTGAAGTACATTGTCAAATGCGCTCTCGCAAGACAGAGGAACCCCAGTATGGTGTGCGGGCAGCGGGATGACATCCACGGGGTGGCAAAGGATACCACGGAGGAAGACTGTCCGGAATGTAAAGGTGACACGCCGCCAGAAACACCATGAGGTGTGCAGTGAAGGTGGTCATGTCCCTAGAGTCTGAACCTGTGGATGACCTTCCTGGTGGACTTGGAGTTCTCCAGCGCCCCACTGGTACAATGAGAGATAGTGGACGAGCTTCTCAGATACTGGCCGCGGTGTAAATACCCTGTAGTCATGAGCAGAGGTTCTTGCACCGTTTGGCATATGTTCGAGCCACTTACCATTCCCGCTTGTCATCATCGAACTGAGCCGAGTAGTTGTAGTGCGGTAGCGTGCAGATGTTCTTCTTTCCCATCTCGCGCCTCACGTCTATGTCGAAGACGAACCATCCTTGAATGGGGTTCGGGGAATCAAAGCCTGGCAACAGATGCACGGCGTCAAAGCCGACCGGACTCTGTTCATCGTCCGGTTCGTCGCCCGGGCCTGATTCCCGCAGCGAGCGGTGTAGCACTTGTTGCGAGTAGAGTTCACCAAGGGCGAAAGGACGAGCAAGTGGGTCGCCAGGAATGCTCTTCACGTTTGCACGGATAATGACGCGCTGCTCTCCGGTGCTTTGCTGCTTCATGTTCTTTCTAAAGCTCTGTTTGACTGGGTCTAGAGTCAAGGTATACTGTGTCAAGTCAAGAGGAGCACACCTAGGAGGTGTGTGCTGGAGTGATAGCCACAAGGGTGAAGGTTTTGGGCTGAGTCAGCGGGGTCCTCACCTCACTGACCACCTCTCAGCTGCTTGCTTCTGACAGTTGACTATTACCTACCGGGGGCGAGGCTAACTAGCCCTCCTCCTGCGCTTATGGAGCAAAAAATCTGGTCGAACGCACTCTGGCAATCATGCTCGATATGAGTACCCTAGGTAGGCTGTGCACGATAGGGTGCCGCTCGCCACGAGGCTGCACGGCGGCTAAGCACTCAGCACACGGAACCGCTTGATTCTCTCCGGCCACTCATCCCGTCTTGACTCTGCTCGATCTTTCTTCTTGACGGAATAGCATCTGGACGGAATAGCATCTAGACGGCAGTAGTCTTCGGACTCGATCTACCAATCTACGATGTGGCTACTCAACGTTGAGACTCGAAGGCTCGAGTCCTTCCACCATGAACGCTATGTACCTGGAGGCTACGCTATCCTGTCTCACACGTGGGGTCCCGACGAACTGACATTCGACGACATCCGTCTCGACGTCGTGCCTCGAAAACAGGGTTACAAGAAGATTGAATATGCATGTCAGCAGGCTTGGAAAGATGACTATCACTACGTCTGGATTGACACCGTCTGCATCGACAAACGTAGCAGCGCCGAGCTATCTGAAGCCATCAACTCGATGTTTCGATGGTACCGTTCGGCGAGTGTTTGCTACGCATATCTCAGTGATGTCAAGCTTGATAGCGCAGGGTTTGAAGATCCATCGACGGCAGGATCCCCAAATGAGAGGCCTCCGTGTCCCGAGAGCAACATACACAGCCTTACCGAAGGCGCTCGCGCCATTTTTGGGTCCCTAAGTAAGATGCCACCTGGTCCCGAGAACAACATGAACAGCCTTCCCGAGAGCAGTCGCGCCAGTTTCGAGCAGTCTGCCTGGTTCACCCGCAGTTGGACGTTGCAAGAACTGATAGCACCCGAGAAAGTCAGCTTCTTCGATTGTCACTGGGAAAGGCTTGGCGACAAGGAGGCACTGGCGCAGAGCATCGAGAGAGCGACCGGTGTCGACGTGGCGGTTATTCTCAGCTCCGAACTCCTGCCCACCAGGAGCGTAGCGAGAAGGATGTCATGGGCTGCGAAAAGGAAGGCCTCCCGCGAAGAAGATCAGGCTTACTCACTACTGGGTCTCTTCGAAATAGCCATGCCGATGCTGTACGGTGAGGGTGGCAAGAAAGCCTTTATAAGGCTCCAGGAAGAGATCATTCGATCATCTGCAGCTGCCGATCATTCAATATTGGCCTGGATGCCAGACGACCCGAAATTGCCACGCGAAGAGCTCCTCTCCCCGCATCCCTATGGCTTTCGCTACGCCCGAGATATCGTCAGCTGGCGCTCGCAATACGGAGAAGTCTTCGAAGGCTCCAACCAGGGGCTGAGGATATCGGTGCCAGTGTCAGACAAGCATGCAGAGTTCGTAGAGGGATCTCAGGAACACATGAGGTGTGTTGCTGCCTTGAACTGCCGGTACCAGGATGAGCTATGGACTCACATCGTACTTCCTCTCAGGCGAAGAGCCGTGGAACAAAGCTTCTACTATGAGCCTTCAAGAGGCATTAGTGCCGACATGTACTTCTATGCTCGCCAGGCTCCGAGATGTCAGCCGCACCGCTCTGACCATGCGGAAGACGAGTGGAGGTTCGAGGCCATGATGATGAGTGTAGTGACCTCGTATCCACCGAGTGTTATATCATTGGCAAAGCAGCCTCAATGGAACAATTTCAACCGCAACTTTGTTCATATCGTCGTCGATCCGGGCCTTTTCGTCGCTGTCAGAGGGTCACGTCCACCAGAAGCATGGGACAAGAATACCTCGATCCTGGCACTCGGGAACGCATGGCTCCCCGGAGCCATTCAATTTATGAAAATGGCAGCGGCCATCGTGTCGCACCCCTCGTCATTTCGCGGGCCTAATCTCGCGCTCCTGATCATGGTAGGAGGCCTTGCTCCTTGGATTGCCGTCTTTCGATGGGTCGACTTTGAAGCCATGCAGCGCATGCCATCTGCGCAAGAATGCACTGTTGTACCAGTCACACCCGTCGCTGTTCCCCTGCACGGTACCGACACGCCCGTCCTGAACGCGTCCGTAAGAGAATTCGGAGCTACTGGTGAGAGGATTTGGAGCATCCATCTGTCTCAGCCAACGCCGGAGACCAAGGCCGCGTTGGCACCAGCGAAGTCCGCTTCCCAGAAAACAACATGGACGGAGAAGCTGCTGAAGAAGAATAGCGATACCTCAAGCAACTGACGCACCGAGAAGTGACGTGGACACTGGCCCTGCGGATGTATCGAACGCTTCACAATGAGCGGCGGAGGATCAGGACTCCAGTAGTATGACCTCGCAAACCTGCATGAGCCGAATCCTCGAAGCAAGTCTCGCAGAATGGGCTGTCAATGATGCAGCGGGCTGGGACGAGATATACTGATACTCCTGGACCTAGAAGACGTCGGTAGCGATTCGCTCGCAATAGGAAACATGACGTCCATGGCGACACAAGGCTGAGAGAAAAAGGCGCAAGGCTGTCGAATTCAGAACTCCATTGGCTGCCTAATGCATACTGCAGTCGCACCGCCCACTTGCAGCCTTATCGTTGTGTTATAACGACACGCGATGAGCATTTTCAGTTCCCGTCCAGAAGATACTCGTTTCGAAGTCCAGTCGAAGAGTGTGTGAAGTGACGGCGAGGCTTGAGGGATACACTTCAATGTTTGGACTCAGCCCAGCCGGGGCTCATCTCGTAGTAGTGATTGCTACACACATACTCTGTTTGGCCGGCAACGCTATGGTGATCGGCGTGGTGAATGCGTCTGGGTACCACAGTCCCGACCCACCCTACACGGTCATACCGCATACGCTCGCACTCAAACAAGTGGTGAGTTCTGACATCCGTCCCCTGCCATCTGCCCTTTGCCCTCTGACAACGAAGCACTGACCTTGATCAAGGCATGCGTGTCATTAACAGTCAATCTCCTGCTGGTCGTCGCCGCAGTAGTGGCCAGCCGCTTCTACTATAAAGACAGCGAGTCCGGATCCCGCATCGAGTACCGCATCGACTACAGCGCCTGGTCGCTGGTTCTGAACACCATCTTCCTGCTCGCGACAGTCGGACTCGTGGCAAGTAACAACAAGCCACTTTTCACTGGCAGCATCTGGGAGCCTCTGGAGGACGAAGTAGGATCTGGGAACGGAGATGGATGGTCTCGTGAGACGAGGCACTTGTGGAAGGCGATGCGGTCGACTGTTTGTGCTGCGATTGTTGTTTCCATGTCAGTACTGTTGAGAGTCCTACTGCGTTATTCGAGCACTGATTCTCGTCCACAGTGTATGCACCGCCGTCTGCGTGCTAGGTGATGTATACCTAATTGTCTCGTGGCGACACAAGAATCGAAGGAACTCCGACGGCACAGAAGAGAATGGAGAGACGGTCGATTTGCAGCAGCGTCCTCCTGCCGCTGGCGCTGCGAACGGGCCTCGGGTGGTTGGAGGAGTGTAGTGAAGGAGATCCAAACGCGTCTCGAGCACTGGTTCCCAGCAACATGCAAGCCAGTATCTCTATATAGTTCAACTCATGATCTCGGAAGTCCCAGAGATGGTGAAGTGCGCTTTCGAGGCAGCCATCGTCATCCCCGTCGTCTGTTGCTGGTGTTGCTCCATTAGATGCGTGATCTTTGATTTTGTGAAGCGTAGCCTCAGTTATACAAGGGTCAATCATGACTGAGGATTGGTACACTCACAACCGCAAAGGCCTATGTGTATCTAAATCATTGAGCATCAAGATGAAGTCGTCTGATAGACGGCCAAGCCCAGCCATGATCGTGGTGTCGTGTCGTAAATGGCTATTTTCAACTTCAACTTCACAACCTTACTCTGCTATTGTAGTTACGAGCCATCTACGAGCCGCCATTGTAAGTCGTTACGAGCGCTATTGCTCCATTGTTATTAGTCAGGTCGTCCGATTGTCGTCTTGTAACAATAAGGCTAATTTCCTATATCTACGAGCCGTTTACATAGCTCGCACTTAACCTTCTAATATAATTATCAAAAAAACCACCTTAGCTATACTAGTTATAGTATCCTTTACTCCTATTAATAGCTTCGATAGTACTACCTAATTGATAGACCGGTTTAATTAAATAACCGGAGGTCCTCCCCCCCCTCTATCCCCTCTTAACGCCCCCCCTCCCCTAGTACGTACTATAGTATACCGCAAGCTAGAGTCTTAAGACCCAAACGACTTCTAGTACTATAGTACTAGGCGTTAGTACGAGCTACTCTACGAGTTAGCTACAAAGACGACTAAGGCTAAAGTAAGTCTCCCCTCCCCTTCTAATCCCCTTTATTTAACCCTACTAACTTCTATATAGCTCAAAACTACCTATAATAACCTAACCAAGTATACTATAGCTAGCTTTATTATAGAGGTTAATAGCGCTTGTGTTACTACTACCGAGAACTACTATTAGTATAATAAGTAGAGGATTAAGTACTCTCTACCTACTAATAAGAGTATATACTCTAGGTATACCTTCTATAAGCGTTAAGCCAAATCCAAGTACTCTACGAGTCGCGCTATCGGCTCGCTATCGCTAGAGCTAACGAGTTTACTTAACGAGCTAGCTAAGAGGTTTAAAGGGCTAGTTAAGAGGGTTTTCGCGCTTAAGTCTAAGAAGCTTATACTTAAAGATAAGGTAGTTAAGCTTAAAGGCCGTATATAGTCGCTAGAAGAGGGTCGTAATAGTAGTAGGTTTTGTCTCTTTTAAAAGTATAGTATCTATCTATATAGTAAGCCTACTAGCGAGCCTTAGCGATTCCTACTTCTACTAATACTCTAGGTATATAGAGTTTAATTAATTACTTCTACTACTACTACTACTTCTTCTTTTGCTTCTACTTCCCCTTCGTCTTGTCTTTTAGCTCCTCCTCCGGCTTTATATCTATCCCCCTTTAGCTTTTATAAGGCCGTAATACCCTATCCGACGGCTCCGCTCGTAGTAGCGCCTTTACTTTACTCTTTACTTTACCCTTTAAAGGAGCCGGCGACTCGCTACGCCTCGTAATCTCGTCTAGTAGAGTAGGAACTATACTAGCTATTATCGTTAGAAAGGTAATATACCGGTCGAGGTCTATAGTAACCCCCTCCCGCGAGCTAGACTAATTTTACTCGTAGTTAGCTCGTAGTACCGTACGGAGCGACTCGCGTTCGCCCTTCTTAAGCTCCGTAGCCTCGATCCTCTACTTAAGTCTCTTATAAGTATACTTATAGTAATCCGCCTTCTTATTAGCCTCCTAACGAGCTATATAAGCCTCCTTACGAGCCTCCTCTAAGCTAGACGACTCCTCCGAAGCTAACGAGATACCCGCCGACCGCTTAAGATAAATCTTTAAAGGAGGTTAACGCTCCTTATACTCCTTTTAAGCGGCTTAACAAGTAGTAAGTACCTTTTCTACGATACCTACTACGATTCGAGCCTTAGCGTCTAGGCGATTTTAATAGTCTATTAGCTTCTAAGAGAATAGAAGGTTAAAGACTAGCTACTCGATACTACTAACGACTATAGTAGGAGCGCTCGTAGAAGCGCTCGTAGTAGGACTCCGGATTAGTAATAAAACCGGTATAATTACCGGAGGTGTCCGTAGTTAAGAAGGTATACCGGTATAGCTCGTAGTATAGCTCGTAAAGAGGTCGTCTATATAGAACTAGTTATTCCGCTTATTATCCTCTATCTTAAACTATAGAGCCTTCGTAATAGCGGTCTCGTAGTAGATAACGTTAATAAGAACTTTATAGATAGGACGGTTATTAAGGGCTTATCTAGTCCGGCTTAATAGACTTACGACGTCCGATAACCGACTACTCGTTAGTAGCTCTAAGCGTAGCGAACGGGGGATATAGAGCTTTAGATACTAGCTAGTTACGATCTCGGCGTAGAGGTAGCGGTCTAGACTACGAGCCCTACGAGCTACTTTACTTAGAGTATAACTAAGAATCTAGTCGTTAAAAGGAGGGGTATAATCCGTTGTTATGATCCTACTAGGTAGTCTCACGTGATCAAGGTTGATCGTGCTTCTTTGGAGAGTCAAGTGACGATTGAACA